CGTCAATGCCTTTCTCGCCCATGACTCCGCAGTGGCATCACGCACGCGCATTGGCAGCTTAGGCCCTGTCAGCCCTTTTGTGCGGACAAGGGGACCATACAACACTGACCGGGGGAGCTCGAGAGGAGCAGCCAGTCACATCCCAGAGAACACCTCTTTCCCCTCACTCTTTAAATTGACTCGCTCGGGCTCTGAGGCATCGTCGAGTCCGGTGGCCCCCCTATTCTTGCTGACCCTCTGGTCTGGTAACCAAACAAGTCACGACCTGCTAGTCAGGCACTTTGAAACAGACAGTTGCAGCGGCTGCCACCGGGAAGACGCAGAGTGGTGTCATCACCACCCTGTCGAGGCAATGTTGCACCTTCGAAGGAGCCTCGAAATGCTCCGACTGCGCCGCACAATGAGGGCTTTCACACAAGCCCCCCCCGTTTGGGCGATCACACAGGGCCTCGTCTCCCAGCACCCGTTCCCCCGAGCCGAGCAGGGCTGTGCGGTCAGCCCTCTCTCTGGTCACCAGGTGAGGAAAACTGCCTTGCCGGGTTCGACCCACGATCCGAGAAAACCCCTCATTCGAGGGAGAAACCCTAGCAATTGCTGGACAGTGTTTCACACAAAGTACGATCCGGGCTCTCCATTTGCAGCTGTACCCGTGGTCCGGGGTCGCTGTTTGAGCTTGTCATCATTGTGGAAAGAGAAAAAATCCTATGCTCCAGAGGCGGTGCTTATCCCATTTGCCGAACCCAAAACGGCAACAAAGTAAACAAAACAGCGACCAACAATCGCAACCCCTCACTTTTTTTTCTCCGCTATCTTCTCAAGACGCGTACCAGCGCGCGTAGGAGTCCACATGAGCTTCGCCCAATGGCGAGCTTCAAAAGCCCAACAACCTGCAGGAGCTCTCCCCCCCCCTTGCCTTGGCGTGCATGTGCAGCAGCGCGTGGGTGTGGCCCGCACGCACATGTGAGTGGATGGACTAGGCTTTTGGCTGCAGCTGTTGCTCAGCGCTACCAGGGTGCGCCGTCTCGACGGTGCCGAGCAAAGTAGACACAACGGACACATACTTGGCCGGCGCCGCCGCTGCCAGAATGCACGCTATCAAAGAGTGTGTGTGAAGGAAGCTGACGATGGCGCGAGAGAGAGAGAGGGGCCAGGCTGGACCTCGCTAAGCCACCGAGCGCCGGATCAAGATAGCGTACACTAACAAAGAGCAGTGACAACGGGCTGTGTCGTGCCCCTGGCTAGCTGAGCCTATGGTTCGACGTTTTCGTTTCTTTAGCTCGGATTCTGGGGGCGGCGCCGAAGAAGGGAGACAGAGTGCGGGGCGCCAGCCATGATGGGTGACGATTTCACTACTAACTGCCACTGCCAGCCGCCGTGCCATCGGTTCCCTCCTAGGATGCAGCCGGCGCGCGCGGACGGGGATGTTCATCACGAGATGACAGATGGGTTTGACCGTCTCCTCCGTCCCCGTCTCCGGCCTTCACGCCATGTCACGCGCGCTCTCCTTGTCTACAGGGTTCAGAAGCTCTGCGCTGCGATGGAGCTTCCACTCTGGGAATGCACGACATGTGTGAGAGTGGGGGGCGGAGAGTTCGTCCTGTCACTCCATCACTCTTCGGACAAAGTCCATGGCGGTGCTCGACTCGAGTCCAGAATCTAGATCCGCCTCTATCTCTCGCGCCATCCTGCGCCTCCTCCGTCGGGACGCCGACGCTGGCGGCCAGAAGCAGACATTCCGGCGTCAACTCGGGCTGGCTGAAGGACAAGGATTGCTCTTGGTTTTCCTTTTCTATTTTCTCTCTCACTCGCTCGCTGTCTGCCCTTGTCCCCCCCCCTTACCCTTCCGCCAGGCGCCACGATGCGATGCGACCAGGGTCCTACCTGTTCGGGACTATCAGGTAGGCTTTTTGAGCGGTTTCAGTCTTTGCACAGCGAGACCGGGGTGCAACGGGACGACTGACTAGCGATTGTGTCCCTCCTCAATGATGATGGCTCGAGCCGACCCCGGCGGCTTCTTGCACGTCACGCTGTTGATGAAACCCGAGCGCATTGCTTCTTCTACCCATCTTCCTCGATCCTTTAAGTGGATGGAGAGAAGGGATGGGGAGGGGGGTAAGGTAACCTGACACGACAGCCGAAGTTACGGAATAATTAGGCTACTCCCTTTTTCAAGATGCAAAGCACGACGGTCAGCACAGACGCCGTTCGATGTGTACAGATGAATTACGCAGTACGAAGAGTCATCATATTCTCGGCACTGGCCGCAATAGCCGCAATCGAGGTGGCCCCTACGGCTCGGTTTGGTCGCAATCGGGGGGTCCTGTCCTCTGTGTGTCTGTCTGTCTGTCATCCATGTCATGGTGGCTGACGGGAGACCACAAGGGCACTACTCACGCAAAAGGACCCCTGAAAAGAGATAAAGAGAGGGCGCCCCAGGCGCTCTATCCGTCTTCGTCGTCGGGGCGGGCAAGGGCTATGCCTGTCTGTTCACTTATTCCTGGAGCTCTCTGACTGTGGTCGGGAAGCCGCAACAGCGCCACAGAGTGCGAATCCTTGAACGGAGCGGCTGCTGCGTACTGGCTGGTGGTCCCCTGGTCCTGGGCTTTCTCGGAGAGGGGGAGAGAAGCGGAACGTTACTTCTCCATTTGCCTGAACTGTGTGTGTGTGTGCGTGCGTGCGTGTTGGCCGAGTGAGGGCTTGTTGGGCAAGGGAGAGGAAGAGAGAGAGACCCATGAACTAATTAAGCGGTCTGTCTAGGTAGTGTCTTTGGACCCTGATTGCCGAGCGGCAAACCCCTGGTGTGTGTGTGATCTGCTATTTAGAGTCCGTGTGTGTTGGGGGAAATAGTGCGCGGGCTCAAGCGGGTGCGGCCGTGATGACTTTTTGTTATTATTTGTTTGGTTTGGAGAGGGGCTGTTCTTGCGGTCGGACGGGTGACGGGTGCACGGGTCGGGTTGACGACGACGATGTCTACGGGGGGTCGGTCAGTCGGGGCCGGTGTGTGGCCTGCTGCTGCTGCTGCGGGCGGGCGGGATGGCTTGAAGCGAGTTTGATCGTTCCAAGAGTTGCCAGCGCATCCGCTCATCTAACCACTGTGCTTGTGCTTGTGTGCTTGTGCTGCCCGGAGGTCCGAGCGCAGACCCTCGCCCGAGCAAGAAGCGAAGTTACTGCAAGGCAAGGAGAAAGTCACAGGTGGCACCAGCTCTCTTCCCGGTCGGTCCAGCAATAGGAGAATCATCCCGGGGAAGAGACCGCCTGGTCGGTCGTGGGGTCGGGAATTGTTTTGATTCATGTTATCTCTCTCTCTCTGGCGAGCAATGATGGCGGTTTCAGCGATTGAAAGACACAACGCCGGGTGCTCGGCCGGTGGCGCCGCCCTGGGGGCTTGATGATGGCTGCTCCGGAGAAAACCCCGGGACTTTCAAGGTCCTGCGCGTGTGCTTGCATCATGGCGCGCAGTCGGGCATTCCAAGGGAATATCTCACGCGGCGGAGGTTCGAAGCCCCCTTGCTTCAAGTTTGCCGTTGGAGATGGGCAGTATCAGTCATTGGAGGGAGGTTTTGTTTTGAGATCTAGAACGTAGGGGTCAAACGTGTACTGAACGTGGTAGTAATTATTGTGTCCGGTGGACTTCGTTCCCCACAGTTAAACAATCCGGTGATGTGCTTCTTCTGTGCGGGCTGTTGAGTGGTGCATGGTGATTCTGGCTCTTGTGGCCCTGTGGCTTTCTGAGTCAAAGGTGGGTTTCCTCCATTATGTGGAAAGGGGTTCGCGGAAGAAGCTACTGGAAAGGGAGGACACGGTTGGGTTTAATGATATTGTTGCACTCGGGCGAAGGTCCGAAGTAAGGGAATGTTATGGCTTGAGACACGCGAAGACACATGTTACCGAGTGGACGGCCTTGTCTGAGATGACTTGGAGAGTGGCTTGATGTGTTGCGAGTTCAGATTGAGCGGCAAGTCTAGCTTCGAGGGTGTGTTCATTTCTTCGTTGTAGGCTTGGATATCGTGATGTCCTCACATTCTTGCCACGGTTAGGCGTTCCTAGGACGCCATAAAGCCAGACCTAGGACTGAATATCCCATCTGTTGATTGATGCTGAGGGCCAGGGATGGTCATGCGGATATGTTGATGGTTGGGCTCGCATTGATATGGCATTTTCTAATCATTTAATTCTGAAGTCTACTGGCCTTGATGTGGCTTGGAAAACGTTGAGAACCAATCTATGTGTCGTTCATGCCATGTGAATATTTTTGTTCATGTATTTGGACTCCCTTCCGCTTGTTATTTTTCTCATCACATAGTTGGGGACCGTTACCTTTGCCACCGGCATCTTACAATCGTTTAATTTCTTGATTCTTCTTGTCCCCGAAGTAATTTTTGTAAACCAGTAGATACTGCATTGGTCGAAACGGAGTGTCTCACAACACCGATGACAATTGTTGGGGTTTTTGTGGTATTCATAGCCATCAAGTTTTGATAATTGAAGTTGGTACCAAGACAACTATAACTTTGAGAGTCGTAACTCGTGCTGTATCGTGCTGAGAATCTTCGCGAAGAAATCAGCAACGCATGCTGTACGAGGAGCATTCACAATGGAACGAGTTGCGTCCAACCGAAGCATGGTGCTGTCGTCCATGATGGACTTGTAGCACCCGGAGCCAAACTTAGTGGGCACTCAGTTAGATGGCCACTATCAATGCTCCTACGCTCATAATCTGCTACAAATATTTTGTGATTCCCGAGAATAAACAAGTGGCTTGGTTGGACAGCTCCAAATTCTTCCTGACCCTGGACGATCTGGTCAATGGTGCAGTTGATGTCAACTCACGATCTTAAACATCCACTTGCCGGTATCAAGGCCACAGCTTTCCGCAGGATAGATTTCAGCATTATGACAACTTCGAATGATCTGCAACTAAGACTCGTGATCACCATCTGAAGATTGCCAAGGCTGGGTCACGACTCCACGATGAGTGACACAACAACGATGCATATTCTTGATGATACCACAGCAACCGCTGCTGACCATGTCGCAATTGATCGCGCAGCTCCGATCGAAGTTCCTGTCGCCGTCATCGTGCATGACCTTGGCCGATCATGAACATGGGCATTGAGAGAGGCTCGAAATTTTGACGATGACCATCAGCAATACGCATGACTCAAATCCCCGAGCTTCCAGGACGCTTCCATATGCCCGAATCACGAGGCGGCTCAGCAGCCGGATTATCTCTCTGGCAATACTCTGAACAGGTCTGGAGGATACAAAATGACGTCAGTGTCGTGGGCTGGTTCCGGCGAGTTCTTCGCAGGTAACATTGGGGCTCTTCTCTCCTGCGTAGTTCGAGTCTATAACACCCGCCGCCCATACCAACAACGACAGCAGCAACCGCAACATTTGCAACCAGACCTCGCATCAACTGTTGCATTGAGTCTCAATGTTGTTCAGTCCCTGTCCTGTTCACGTGCACATTCAAGCAATGTCGTCGCAAAAGGGCGGAAATTTTCCCTTTGCTGCATGGAGTCGATGCACAGACCGCAACGCTCTCCGTGTTTCCGCACTAGGATGATGGTGCGCCATGGGTTGTTTTTCTGTGCATGGGTTGACCAAAACGCGTCCAAGGAAACATTCCCACCCTGCACACAAAACAAGTCTCTCCACAGCCAGAATTGAGCGAGAAATAAGAGCTCGGCACACACATTGACTACGAGATGGAAAGGAGCTTGTGATCACTACGTCATTCTCGTCCTGTTCGTGCCAGGCATGTGTATCCCGTGGAGGCTTGCAGCGCAATTTCACGTCTTCGAGGTGGACCAGTATAATCCTGTCTTTGCGGCGGCACTTTGCTCTAGCCGCCTGGCAATGTGACGGACGCCCCTTGCTTGCAAGACTTTCCAGGGCCGCCAGAGTCTCGAACGTGGCCAATCTGCCCTCACCGAGACAGACTTGCTCCCGCCGAGGCGTGCAGGGTGGACGCGCCTGTGCATCGGCGTCATCTCCGCGCTCTGGAACCAGTCTGATTCCGGCCCAAGTTCTGAAAGGTTTAAGCCTCCTAACTGATGGCGACGGCCCTCACATTCCAGGATAGCCCTGCTTTGAATATTTGCAAACGGCCACTTTCTCACGTGATTTTCTTTTTTTCTTTTTCTTTTAGGCAGGCCGTACCGCGACTGTCATTTCACTGCAAGTACGCTAGAGTCTAGTTCGCGTTCTTGCGCCGGTGCACTAAAACCACGGGCCATGGTGAACCGTTTCTTTCCGGGGCGGGTGCAAAGCAGAGGAAAGTCTTTAGCGTGGGGGCGGTTATAAGACTGCCGAATTATAGTGGACAGGGGCGGGCGCACTGCCAGGGACAAAACCTGCAGGGACATCCACCCGCACGCCCTGTTTTCGTGAGGCTCTAGGAATGAGTATGGCATCATCGTGCGCAAATGCAAGTATGCGCGGGCATGCACGCACGTGGGCGCCTGTGTGTGCCTGCGTGTGTGTGTGTGTGTGTGTGTGTGTGTGTGTGTGTGTGTGTGTGGATAGATCTGCGCCAGGTTTATGATTGCGAAGATTACACTACTCTGCGCGTTTCGCGCGTGCTAGTGCGTGGTTCACAATAAACAAACTAATTCTGGAAGCGTGGCAAAGTAAAGAAAAACGTGGCAGGTGGCAGGGATATCCGCGCTTCGTTAGCGACGGGTAGCAAAGAGCTGGTCTTGAGAAATACATACTCTCCCAAGCACCACGACGACGGGCACGGATGCCGTGATCCACAGAGCGCAATATCCCGGCTTGTCGAGGCTTTCTCTCTTCTTTTTTTTCGACAGCGTCGTCAAAGTGCCATCCATGCGCCTGGCCATGGACTTGGAATGGTGGAGCTAATTAGATCGTTGCTAGATAAAAGAGACAACCCAGGGTCATCCTCGTCGCACGACGTCAGATGAAGCTCTCTGTCCCGCGATAGCTGCTTCTGGCCCGAGGGATGTTCCCGGCACTTTCCTGGCGGCTTTGATATGACTTTGCTGGCATGCGGGGATGGCGGTGCAAGAGTGAGGTGGGCAGATACTCATTTCCGGCGGGGTCTTGGGTTCTGGGAAGGTCCCTGGGCGTTCGGGAGCTGGCACGCGCAGCTTTCGATCGGAGTCCCACACCGCTTGCTTCCGAGATATGAGTTGATGATGTCTGTGGGCTCAACGAGATGAGACGAAAGAGATGAGACCCTCTTGATCGTGGTCTCTGGTGATTGTGAGGCGCCACTTTTGGGGCTGCATAGGTCAGTCCCTTCGAGCAAGAGTCTGGAGATGAAAGATGGACCTGGATCGTGGACGAGATCGACCTTGCAGCAGATCGATGGGGACAGATCGAACTCCCATCGAAGGAGTGGACTTGCTTTCTGGAAGGTATGGAGAAGGTGGAATCCGTTGCAGACAGCAGGGACAGGATCGTGTTGATAGGTGGATCAAGTTCACGTTCGGGGCACAGCAGTCTCTTGACGGGCTATCTGAATGTCGTTGGACGTGTCTTTCATGGTCAAATGTGCCCGGGTTAACCTGACCTTGCAGTTGGATCGGTGCTTCAGTATCAATATCAACAGTTTGTGGTGCAGATGGTGCCTTTCTTCTGTAGGCACTCCTGAGACGGATCCCAAAAAGTCAGTGTTCACCCTCTCGGAAGCTCTTTCAAGCAAATGATTCCAGACATTGATATGTCTTTCACAAACGCAGCAGACTCGCACGTGAAACTCAAGCGGCCAAGCATGACCAGGCTACACTACATGACATAGCAGATGAACTGTCACTGGGTATAAATCTCGTTCATTATCAGCTCTGCAGGTCCGGCATTATTCAAAAACTACGCTGTGTTGTCTCCCCTAAGCTGAGCCGATGGACCCCTCAAGGCTGTCAGCAACGTCCATAAACACCTTCTTCAGCCGGCGTTGGTGCCACCACGCCAACGCACAAACGAGACTGACGGTGGCGACGGCCGCCACTGCAGTATAGGTCCACCACGTCCCGGCGGCCCGGATACTGGCTGCTGTGTTGCTGCTGAGGATGATGTACGCGTCCGGATCATCGAGACGGCCGTTCCAGTAGGTGACGGGGATCTATGCAGCATTCAGTGAGTGGATATCCTGGGACTAAAAACAAACCAGTTGTGTCCGGATATGGAAAAGTTTGGAAGTGTCCCGCCGCTGAAAGCCAGAGAAATGGACGTAGTCAAACTTACTCTACAAGCACAGCTCCGATATACCCCCAGCAGCTGCATCATCGTCCCTCCTACAGCCGCCAGTATTGCAAAGAATCCGACAAAGACTTGCCCCCACCAGCAGACCAGCTTGGCAGGCGTTCGGGTCTGGCTCCAGCGCTGAGGCCCGTACTTGATCTTGAGCCGTGCCTCCCAAGACCAGAGAAGCATCTCGCACACCTGAGTAATGGCGTAGACGAGATATGTCAGGGTGCGGCATGAGAGGCCGTTGCGCGGTGTGTTGTAGCTCACGAGGAAGGCCAAGACGCAGGGCGTGAGCATGAGAAACGAGCTGCCGACGCCCACGTTCCAGATGTCATGGAACTTGAGGCCCAAGGCAGCTCGGACGTCCACTGGGGGGGTGAGCTCGGCTGTATTGAGATTTCCGGGATGTAAGGTTGCAACGGAAGATCTCCCCACCTTCCGAGCACGCGAGTAGTTTGCAGTGTACTCATCAATGGCCTCCTTGACCCATCTGCTCTTGTTGAGGCCGCGCTTCCACAGCTTGACTGTCTTGAAATGGCCGTCGAAACATCGCCCCACGAGACTGTATCCGTGCAGAGAGTTGAGAAATCTGTCAATGTGCTGGTGCCTCCGCGCACGACGCACGAAGCTCGCCCAGAGTGTTGCATCGTACGCGTCTTTCAGTGCTTCTTTGCCGCCGTCGTAGACGATGCCTTCCAGCGCGAATGGCTCATTGGCAGCGAGCATGGCGCTGGATATGATGGCGAGATATGGAATGACCATCCACCCTGACGGTGTCAGTAAGTGAGCATCACGCGATGGAAATCGTACTACTTACACATGCCAAATGCGAGAGCGTGAGCGGTATCGTTGTCGCCAAGATTGTTCTCGACATCGAGTACTGTGTAGATGAAACCGCCTACAAAGAACAAAACGGGTGCACCAATTGTCGTTCCAAAGCTGACAGATGGGGAGAAAAGGGTCAGCTCATGTGAAACATACGATCCGGTCGCCTCGGAGGTCCAGATTTCAAAGAGTCGGACGGGCACTAAAGTGCTGCCAGGTCGTGGCTTACCTCGGCTGGGAATTCAGGATAGACTTGAGCTTCGTGGGAAGCGACACCACGTCGGTGATGCCCCTTGCGACCTGATCTTCGTGGTCGTCGATCATGGTCATGATGCGCTTCCATATTGCGTTATGCACAATGCGATGAGTGGTTGATCTGGACAAAGGCGTAAAGCGCATGCTCTCCAGATCCAGATTCTCGACCCTCTCGTCCTTGCTGTCGCTGCTGTCAACGCCACCAGTCGACTTGTCCTCGGACGAGGCTGACTTCTCCGCGAAGGTAGTCGACACCGGGCTAACTGGTGCCGACGAGATCGTTGCTTCGTCGCAATTCTTCTCCACCGTCGACATACGGATGTTCCCAGCCACGACGGCGATCAGGAACTGCGCCTTGAGCCGCAGCGGCAAGCGTGGCGGATCCTTAGACCTAGTTGGAGGCACGAGGAACTCGAGGATCTTGCGATCAACCATGTACTCAAACACGGCGCTCAGCAGCATGGGGCCGGCGAACGCGAAGCAGATGGCCAGCCACAGAAAAGTGTCGACAAACATGAGCAGCATGGCAGCCAGCAGGCGCAGCCAGTAGCTCGCAAGGCCCAGCACGGAGCGTGGGTGAGCCTTGAACACTGCGTCTGGAATGGCGAGGGACCGCGTCCGGGGGATGTTGAGGCAGAACGCCAGACTGGGCACAATGAACTGCACCGCAGGGCCGATCCACTGCTGCATCGAATGCGCGTGGCTCATTTCCCAGCCAGCACACTCGGACGCACACCATCGATAGGGCACACGTATTTCTGGCGAGCCCTGAGGATCGCCGCCGTACGAGGCGCCGCATGGAAAGAGGTCAGTGCTGCCGCCTGCTATGGCGGCTGTCAGCTCTGCAATGGTGACTTTTGGGTCGACGTATGACGAGGAAGAGTACGAAAGATTGCCAGAGGCATCGACGTAGAGAGACTGGTCCAAGGCTCGGACACAACATTGCGAAAAGTTTTGTGCGCCGCGGTAGATGGCCGCAGGGTCAGGATCGTAGAGGCTGAAGTTAGCCAGTTGCGGAACGAGATCCCCAACCGTGATCGAGTTATTGTCCATGAGGTTGTCTCTTGAAGTCGCTATCCGTAACGTAATACTTTTCCGTGGTGAGCTGTGTATCCTTCCCTCTTTGTTGACAAAATCTGAAAAGGTCGAGCTGTGTTGATCACTGCCTAACTACGAGAACACCGCAGTATGATAGGGAGTGCATCGACCTCTGGCCTAGTTCGTCAGTCAGAAAGAGAGTTTAGTTGCCGGGTCAGGTGAGCAAAGGGACAAAGAAGCCACTGCGGGTGCGGCCCAGCCCGCGAATGTAAAATGCATAACCGAGACATGGCTGGCTGTTCGGCGTCCCTCACGCTATCTATTATCTCAGCGTGGCAAGTTCTGGATCGTACACAAGTATTTTGATCAAGGGACTCTTACTCACTGTTGGAGTAGGACAAAAACCGGAAGATATTCTGGCAGCAGTGGCTCAGCACTCGACTTTTCGATCGCCAGTGCCCAACGGAAACGAGTACGCACGGCATGATGACACCGCTATCAGCTGCGAAGCCATTGGTTGACCAATGGTCTTTCCGCACAGGTCTCAGAAGCATGAATGTTTCAGTTGGCTTCAGATAATGATAAGGCGGGCAAGTGACGTCTTGTTGCAGGAAAGGTCGCACAAACGGCTGCGGATCTCTACGGCTGAAGACGCCGATCCTTGCGGGCATTGAGCGGCTGCTGGAAAAACGATTCACGATCACTGTGTTTAGTAGGCCCTAGAGTGAAGAGAGCGGATAACAGGAGCCTTTTCGAAGGACCAAAGTTACCTTCTAAGGATAGTGTGCTAAAAGCATCCATAGCAAGCAAGACATATGTCTCACTTGACGGATAATCCGCGCCGACGGGCTGGTGCGTGAGTTTATCGCGAATGCTAATCGTTGGGAAGCACATCAGCTTGCCTTGCCCCGAGACAGTGCAATGATTGGACAGTACTTGCAACTTGATATGAAGGGCTGATATCAACTCTGGAACTGCGACCCGCGGTGCTTACACCGAGCCCTTCCTTGCCGATCATCGAGCTGTTTACTGTCACTGACACCACGGGTCGTTTGTTGTAGCCTCCATGTGAAATCAATTATGCTTTTCTTGTAAGACGCCAAACGCCAGCTATCTCCATAAATGCAGCCTAACCGGCTTTCCGTGACGCCTGTTGTACATGGCTCCAGAAACTTTGTATGACTCCTGTCGCGCCTGCTCGCCTCAGACAGTAAAGTCCCAAGGCTTGAATGTCTCCTTGAATTTCTCGACGTCTGCAGTCTCCTCCGTGACCGATTGGACCACGTCTTGCCAGTAGAGTCGCTGTTCCAGTCCGAGGAGCTTTGCCATGACCTTCCGAGCAAACTGGAGATCAAACCGGAAGCTGTCGTCGAGACGCATGACGAGTTCTTTGCCTTGGATGCCGGTGTCGCTATCATCGGACCACAGCCAGACCCGAAAGAAGTCGCTTGTCTCACTGACTCCCGAGCCTAGGGAAGTGTCTTCCAGTGCAGGGTACTTACGGTTCTCGGCCTCGACCTTGAAGCCTGCCTCGACCAAGCCCTTGCGCAGCAGTTCCGCTGGCACTGGCAGAAATTGCCAGTGGGTGTGTATTCCACCCTGGCGGCTGATCTCCCAAGTGACAGCTCCTAGACTGTGTTTGGATTGCGCTGATACCATGGCCTGCAGTGCCTCCTTGAAGCGTGCCATTTCTGCATAGGTTTTCTCAGCATCGGCAGCCATTGCACGAATCGTCGGCTCGTGGGACAAAGGTATGATGAGCTGGTGACCTGGGAATGCGATCCCCTGCTCGGCGAAAGTGTCGGACGCCGGCAAAGGTCCCTTGGCAGTGGTCACATATGCGTCTTCGCCAATGGAGCAAATCATGTGCGTGTCTAGGTTGGCGTTACTGAGACAGAAGAAGCAGCGGTCTGGGCCGGGCGGCGGTGAGCGTGGTGCTTTGCGACGTCGGCGATTGTCACCGTCACGGCCATGACCATCTGCCCGTTGATCCGCCGCTCCTGCTCCGCGCTTGCCCAGGGCGCTTCTAGTCATGAACGGCGATACTGTACTACCCTGTGGGACGGCAGTGGCCGTCTCGCCAACTTGCAAATTGAAAGCGTAAAGAGCTTTCGCCTTGGCAGTGTTACCATATGGAGCCAGTGATAGGAAACGTGTGATGGCGATCGCATCCGAGTCTGTGCTGGGCGGAGGATGGAAGAAAGGCTCGCGCTCGTAGAAAAACTCTGATGACGACGTGGCGAAATGATACCGCGGCTTGAGTGCAGCGCATAGCATAGCGACCTCGGCAGAGCTGGCGACTGATGCCTGGTGGTCTGGCGAGAGAGGAGCATTGGAGTTCTTCCACACCTGATCCGGCCACAAAGCTGTCAGCAGGATGTCAGTGCTGTTCGCGCCACGTAGAGCTTTGGCGTCATCTGCAGTATGCAGCGGCATATACTGCTCCTTGGACTGGCCTCCGACAATCGTTGTGTCGAGCGCACCACCAAGGGCTACAATGCGGATGCCATCCGAAGTCTTGGTGACGCTGCGCTTGCCAAGATAGTGAAGATTCTCGCAGATCTGCTTCGGATGTCAGGATGAGTCCCGAGTGAGATTTGGGACATGTGCTGCTTACGTCTTCATCACCTTGCAGCCGATCAAGGACACGCTGGGGCAGAGGTGATGTGCCAACTGTAAAGTAAGTCGTCAGTGGCACCGTCACTTGGCCTTGGAGGAGGCGTGTCAGCGCCTCATCATCTTGCTCGAGGCTGAAGAGGTTGCCGGTGATGATGGCAAAGGCAAAGTCCTGCTTGGCATGCAAGGCGGCGAGCTTCTTAAACGCAGTCTCAAAGCTGCCATTCAGACTGCCGAGCACGATGCTGCATGCTTGGGTCAGCTCGACGTTCCTGGTTGACGTTGAAATGGTTGCAGAGGACTCACATCTTGGCAGCCATGTTGCCTGGCAAGAGTGCAGAGATGTCACGCCGTTGCGCTTCAAGTATGCCGGCGCGACTTCAGAGGAGAACGTCTGCAGGTGGACGCAGGTACCTGGCGCAAGGTATGCTAAGTTGTAGTGCACCTGGTGAGTCGCGACGAGCATGGAGCTCACTGCGTAACGGAAGCAAGGTACGTACTGGATGCGGTTAGCTCCTGAGTTCTCAGGTTGAGCCCGGGCGCGACGTTGGAGGTGATTGGCTGCTTCAGGATCACGCTAGCTGATTGAGGCAAACCGGCACCAGGCATGGGCGTTCGGGGCACGCTTATCGATGGCGTTGGCGGCTTATCTTATCGGCGATCCGCAAAAAAAGTAGCACTGCGCCTGCCCAGCTTCGTCAAGCACTGCGCGCAGTGGGGGTCCAGGGTCTGGACGAAACTCTACAACTTTTCTTCAAGAGCCGACAGCCACCTGTCGCGCGTCAACAAGGCCGACGAAGGCGATCTGTCCACCGGTGTGCAGAAGCCTGCCGAGAGGCCCCCCACGACACAATGCACTCGACCGTTTCCGGGCGCATCGTCAAGCCTCGCAAGGCCAACAGCACTCCCCATCAGAAGAATCATCGATGGGAGTCCTTCACGACCAAGATCTCGAAGCTGCACTCGCTCGACCCGCTCCGCAAAATTCGAAGACACGACCTCGACAAGGAAGATCTCGATGCCGCCACATCATATTTCAGAAACGGCCTGGAAAAATGGACGGACCTCAACATCTCAAAGCCGTACATGGCCTTCCGGCGCGAGGTGCTGCCCTGGTCTGACAGCCTGCCTCAGATCCTTCACTTCCAAGACAAGATCTTCGAAGCCCTGTCCCGGTATATCTCGGCTTACGACAAAGAGGCTCTCGAGCCGCTTCTCGATCTCTTGACTGCCTTTGCTCACGATCTCGGCGCCCGCTTCGAAAAGTACTATCCTGCAGCCCTGTCGTTGATCGTACAAGTCGCAAGCCGGCCGCAGGACGCTGCTGTGATAGAGTGGACCTTCGCCTGTCTTGCCTTTCTGTTCAAGTACCTGTCGAAACTCATAGTACCGAACATCATCCCTACATACGACACGCTCGCTCCGCTGCTGGGCCGCGACCGAAATCCACCACATATCGCACGATTCGCGGCCGAGGCACTGAGCTTTCTAGTCAAGAAAGCTGCTGCGCCAGCGCATCGCGAAAAGGCCCTTCCTCGCTTGATACAACATGCTCGAGACGACCTCGACAAGAATGCTGAGAGTCGACAGCATGGATTGTACTACCATGGCCTGGCAACTATGTTTGCCGAGGCCATGAAAGGTCAAGGCCAAGTAGTTCATACGACCGGCCCCGAAATCTTAAGGGCACTAATCGCGTCCGTGCCTTCTGGCCAGTCAATCTCAACGAGATCGGCAATGTGGTCCGACCTTGTCTGCGCAGTCCTTGTCAGTCTTGTTCACCACACAAGGTCTGAGACTTTCACACCAGTTCTCGAAGTCGTCTTGGATTGTGCCCAGGGCGAATCGCTTGAGGGCGGCGAGTCACCGCGCAATTGCCTGTACATCAGGCTACTCGGCACCATCACGGGCGTACGCAAGGGCAGTCGTATCACGAAATGGCCAGAGGTGCTGACCACGCTGCTGGACTGTCTCAAGGGTGCTGCGAAAGGGCTGCCGTCGTTGCACGACGAGGCACAAGCGTTATTTTGGCAACAGGTCGTGGTCAATGTCGCTATCGTCTGGCAGCAAGCTCCAGTAGACGCGATCATCCCTTGCCTCACCACCTTCAGCAATCTCATGTCGAATGAGCCACTTATGCGCTGGTTCATTCCATTCTGCTCTTATTTCTCGCAGCTGGACCCGGACAGGTTTCGCAGTTTATTTCTCAAGCAGTTTCAAAAGTTAGTTGATCAAACGATGATATATATGCTTCACCATACTAACATATCGATAGGTTTGTGGTCATGCACTGGTCTGAAGAGCCAAATGAAGAACTGCTATGTGTGCTCTTGCCACGGATGATCGAAGGTCGAGGGCTTCCCAGGCTATCCGACACCGAAGACTTTTCATTGCCCCAGTCTTGGCAAGATCAAATAGTCAGCACGTTTGAAAGGCTGGAGGTCTCACCATTTCCCGAGCAGGGTGCTGCGAACGCATGCGACAAGGACCCCAAAACATGGCGCGACAAATGCCTCCCAAAGTACTCTGCTTTGCTTCAGCTCCTCGAGATTACGACCGTGCGACCTTCGACTTATGGCCCCGTGGCAGAGCTTCTCTTGAGAAAGCTAAAGCTGGCTTTGCGACCTTCTCAGTCTATTGCGACGGATGAAGCCCGGTTCATTGTGACCCAGGGCTTCTCTGCCTACCTCAAGATGGCAAAAGCGACTGGGCAGCTTGATAGCTCTATCGGTCCACTGCTGAGAGCCGCCGCGCCCAGATATCATGACTTGACTGGATTCCTGGAGGCAATGATCGAATATGAAGAGCGGCTGAATGGCAAGGGTAGCCCCGAAAGTGAAGGCTCTAGCCAAGATGGCGAGGAGAGCCCTCTGCTCAAATGCCTCATTGACAACCTCTCTGCGCCCTCTCATCGTCATCGTCTTGCCTCGCTTCGTCTGCTGGGTCGCTTAGATGCTGCTGCGGATCAGCAGGACGCACTGGCAATTATGCTTCAAACGGAGGAAACACCACTGGACGTGCAGAACATCAGAGCCATCTCAGTCCACCTGCGCAAGTTGGCAATGGTGTACCCAAATATCGAGGAGGGCTCATGGCTGTTGCGCGCCATACCATCCTTTTTGTTTGGAGTCTTGACGGTACGCCTCACACCGCTCTGGGATGCTGCCGTTGAAGCGCTGGCGCAGATTGGCTCGACCAAGCATGGGGATGAGCCGGTCGCTGAGCTAGCTTTCAAATGGTTGGAAGTCTCGTCCAAACGATGGGATGGCCCAGTCAACGACTCGATTGCTCAACAGAACAAAGGCCGTACCGACTTTGAATGTCCCAACCTGGCCCGGCTCCAAAGCAAAGGCATGGAGGTGCAAAAAGTGGTGGCAGAACCTTCTGAGCTCCTCCTTCAGGCATTCGAAGAGCAGCAAGAACTCACCCCACCAAATCCCGAGAATGCTCGCTCCCAAGCCCTTAGAGTCCTGGCCGCTTCACCTGCTTTAGCTGAGAAGCGCTCACGAAGACTTGTGCCATTCTTCCTGGCCTGGAACCACGACAACTCGCAACAAGACATCTCTGATGAAGAGGAGCACCTTGATGAGATGTCTACAGAGTCCTGGTCGCTGTTTGACAAGAAGGCTCTCATCAAGGTTTTTGCACAGTTCACAAACCCGAAAGTTCTCTTCCAGAGCCAGCAGGTATATGATGCTCTGCTGCGGTTATTGGGGAATGGCGATCTCGAAGTGCAGAAATCATCGCTGAAAGCAATTCTTGCCTGGAAACAGGAAGGCGTGAAGCCCTACCAAGAGAACCTGGAGTATTTGCTCGACGACGCCCGTTTCAAGAACGAGCTTACTGTGCTATTTCAAGGTGATCATCAAATCAAGCCTGAACATCGCCAGGAGATGATGCCTGTGCTGCTCAGACTGCTCTATGGACGCACAATTTCGAAGAAAGGTGTCGCAAGTGGTCGAGGCGGCCAGCACGCAACCAGGCTGGCTGTGTTACGCCAGCTGAACGTCCAGGACATTGGTGGATTCTTGGATATTGCTCTGGGAGATCTGCAAGGCGTTCATGTGGTGGAGGACTCCCATGTACGCGAGGCAGCTTTTACGCATGACATCTTGCCGATTCGAAAGCAAGCGGGTTTTCTGCGTATGGTTGAGGCCATCATCGACGAATTGGGCGAAAGCGTGCAGTTATACACCGAGAAGATGCTCCATCCGGTACTCTATTGTCTGGTTCAGGCCTGCCGAAACCTGAGGGATAATGGCGACAATGAGGATGACGATGCTCAAGGTCTCGAAAACGTCTCGCTCCACCGGACTGTGAGGCTCTCTGCACTGAAGTGCTTGATTGCACTGCTTCGCAAGGCTCCCAGCTTCGAGTGGAACCCTTTCAAGGAGATCATCGTTCGGGAGGCCATCAGCCCTCGCGTGGAGAAACTGCCGGTCGAGAACACGCAAGGAGTATCAGCAGTCATGCAACTTATCTGGACGCTTTCAGCGCTCCCGAGGACTGCACTGTTTCTTGCCATTGATGATCAGATTGTCCGCCAGCTTACCAATTGCCTGCTTGTGGAGAAGTCCAAAGACGAGGTCAAGGTTTTTGCCCTGAGCGTCATCCGCAATCTCATCAAGTTATCTCAACAACCCGCTGTCGAGTCAGAATTCAATGAGCTCATTGAGGAAGAGCTCCTTCAGCCCAACCTGGATCTTATCCTGTCGAACATCACGTTTGTCCTGAAGGCCAAGGGAGAGATCGGCAAGGATCTCCTCACCGCTTGCGTCGAATCTGTCGTGGAGTTGTCGCCGCTGCTCCGTCAATATGGCCAAGCTGCAGAACTTATTGACGTAGCAGTCTTCCTGCTGAGCGAGCCAGCCAGGCGGGTGAACCCCAAGGTCAAGGGAAGCATTCTGTCGATTCTCGAGAGCATGCTTCAGATTGAGGACGTCAAGGCCAACGATGAGTTGTACAGCAAAGTATACTCCGCTGTCGCGACACTTTTCGGATACTTCAAGGACCGCACAAACCGTCAAGCACTGTGCAGGGTTCTCGCTATCCTGGCCAAGGACTCCGAAATTGACCAAGAAGTTTCCGCACTGAGTTCTAGACTCAACGCCTTCAAAGAGAACCGCATGGATGAACCAGACTTTGAGACAAGACTGTCCGCTTTCAACGCCATCACGAAGGCTCGGGATGTCCAGTTCACAGTCAGGGAATGGGCACCGTTGATGCACAACATGCTCTTCTACATTCGTCGTGACGAAGAGTATGGCGTTCTTTCTGCCAACGCAGCCGACTGCATCTGCAGATTCATCGAGATCACTGCTGGGCTTGAGACACCTGCCAGGGACGAATATCTCACTATGCTTGGCGATGTTGTCCTGCCAGCGATGCATTCGAACGCGAAAGACGAATCCGACACGGTACGCCGCGAAACCGTGAAGGTGGTTGGCGTCATGGTTGCAACACTACCCGACTGGGCTCCAGTGAGCGACATGATTGGCCTCAGTCCGGAGCCAGATGAGAAAGAGTCCGACCCAAGCTTCTTCAGCAATATTCTGAAACCTGCCACAGCCCGTCAGATGCGCGCGTTGCAGTTTCTGATACAAGTAAACCACCGACAGGAGCTAAGCAGCCGCAACCTCGCCCACTTCTTCCTGCCGCTCCTTGAGCATTTCATTTTCGGCAAAGAAGAAGGGAGCGACGATCAAGGTGTTGGCGCGCAAGCTGGCACTACAATTGCTGAGATTGCCATATCTCTCGACTGGCCTCAGTACCGTGCGACACTGCGCAGGTATATCAGCTACATCCAGTCTAAGCCGGAGATGCAGAAGCAGCTGGTCCGTCTGCTTGGCAAGTTCGTGGATACCTTGGCTGTGGCGCATGCCGAGAAGAACCAGGATGCTATGGACGTGGACTGCAGCGGCGATGCCGGACCGGCGAAGAAGCGGAAGCTCGCAAGGACGATGCCTTCGGCGGAGAAGTTCAGCGAAGATCTTCTTGTCAATATTCTGCCGCCTCTGATGGACTACATACACGAGAAGGACGAAACAACCGTCAGCTCTCGTGTGCCCGTAGGCATCATCATCGTCAAGATCTTGAAACTGCTTCCAGAAGAGGCACTCAACCAAAAGCTTCCCGGAGTCCTAACGGACATTTGCCACATCCTGCGGAGTAAAGCTGAAGAGTCACGCGCCATGGCTAGAGACACTCTTGCAAAGATGTCTTCCTTGTTGGGACCTTCATGCTTCGGCTTCGTGCTGGATGAACTTCGCGGCGCTTTGACCAAAGGCTATCAGCTGCACGTTCTATCTTACACAATGCATACCATCTTGGTACATGTCATCCCTCAATTTCAGCCTGGCGATCTCGACTACTGCCTCGACACAATCGTGGCAGTCATCATGGACGACATCTTCGGAGTGACTGGCCAGGAGAAGGATGCGGAAGAGTACACGAGCAAGATGAAAGAGGTGAAGAGCAGCAAGAGCCAAGACTCAATGGAGCTGATCGCCAAAACAGCATCAGTCAGCCACCTGGTGAAACTGGTGCAGCCTTTACAGTCTCTTTTGATGGAGAAGCTGGACCTCCGCATGGTGCGCAAGATTGACGATCTTCTGTCGCGCATCGCCACCGGTCTCATGGGCAACGCCGCAGCCGAAAGTCGCGACACTCTGGTCTTCTGCTACGAGGTTATTCAGAAAGTGTACGAGAGCCAGAAGCCCGAGGTAGAGCCAAAGCTTGACCCGAAGCTCCGCAGATACCTGATCCAGAAGGGAGCGAAGAAGAGCGGCGAACGGGGCACGACCAACAAGTATACCTTCAAGCTGACTCGCTTTGCGATCGATGTGCTCAGAGCTGTGCTCAGGAAGCACGACAGTCTTCGCACGGCAGCCAATATTGCCGGCTTCATCCCTATCTTTGGTGATGCCATCGTGGCAGGTGAGGAGGAGATTAAAATCGCCACCTTCAAGCTTTTGGTCGTGCTTGTCAAGGTCCCGTTCAAGACCGACGATTCCGAGAAGCTGTACAAAGTGGCTGCCAAAGACGCCATTCGGTGTCTGTCATCCTCGACCTCCACCACTACGGACATAGCGCAGACATCGTTGAAGCTCATGTCAACAATTTTGCGTGATCGCCGAGATGTGCCTGTCAAAGAGGCGGCGATCGACATGCTGCTGGGCAAACTAAAGGATGATCTGACAGAGCCTCTCTATCGCCATGTCACTTTCAACTTCTTACGCTCCGTCTTGGAGCGCAAGATAGAGACTGCGACCGTCTATGACACTCTGGACTACGTCGGCACGATCATGGTCACCAACGACGACAAGGATACTCGAGACCTGGCGAGGGGAGCCTTCTTCCAGTTCTTGAGGGAATATCCCCAGAAGAAGAACAGGTGGGCCAAGCAGCTGAGCTTTGTGGTTGCCAACTTGCAGTACGACCGTGAAGGTGGGCGGCTCTCCGCGATGGAGATCATCCACCTTCTCTTGATGAAGTCCGCAGATGACTTTGTCCAGGAAGTTGCCACCACCTGCTTCATTCCTCTCATTATGGTCCTGGCCAATGATGACAGCGAGAAGTGTCGCCTCGCCGCTGGTGAACTTATCAAGGAGATCTTTCGCAAGGCTGACAAGGAACGGACCTCCAAATTCCTCACACTTGTGCGTAACTGGCTCGAGCAAGACGACAATCTCCCAGTCCTGCGCCTTGGTGTGCAAGGGTTCGCTCTGTACTTTGAGGCTCGAGAGCCAACTTCGAAGGACAAGAAGGACTTGAATCTCCTCCTTAGCAGCCTCATCAAAGTATTGGATGAATACAAGACAAGCGCCAGAGACACCGAGCTTATGACGACACTGCTGCAGACAATGCCGATGCTCATCGAGAAGCACCCAGCAGTTGTCCTATCGAACGGCGAGCTCTGGGAGCTGATCACCAAGCCACTCGCGCATGCGGATGCGACTGTCAAGTTGGCTAGCGTGCGCTTGCTGAGCACATACCTGGCCGACTTCTACCAAAACAACGACGTCTCCTCAGTGACCGAGACCATTACAGGCTCTCATGGGCTCCAACTTACACAGGAGAAGATCCAGCAGCTTGTGATGCATGCAGTTGGTGTTCTGAATCCCTCGGTGATTGCTCGATGGAGGCGCAAGTCGCTCAAGAGGCGCGGCAACACGGCATTGTCTGCCGAGGAAGCAGAGAATCTCGAGCAGACCGAGGTTGATGAGACGTTGGCCACGGAAACTAGCCGCGTGGTTATCATGCTGGCGAAGTTCTTGCCTGTGGACGACGCTCCATCTGAGGAGTCGGCGGAGGTTGAGGAGGGCACCGATGGGCAAGACGATGCAGAGAGTGAGGACGAATGGACCGGGGTCGACGACGACGATCAGGAGCCATCAGAGACCCTTCCTGCAGTATCCTTGCAGACATTCTTATCGTGGCTCTCGGACATTCTCGTCCAGGAGACCGCGCCCAGGGCACCTTTCCTGGTTCCCAAGGTCGCGGTAGGCGACATCCTGAGCATCCTCCTCGCGACACTACCGACATCTGCCCTCACCAACTCGTCCACCTTGTACACGCTGCTCACGCCTTTGCACCACTTTACGGACCCGAACATCCCCGTGCCGTACTCGGCCGACAGCCTCTTCACTACGCGGTACGAGGCCTTGAAGACCAAGGCCGAGGAGTCCATGGACGCTCTGCAGCGCAAGGTCGGCACGACGGCGTACACGACTGCGCTGATGCGGGTCACGGAGCACGCGCGCAGGAGGCGTGAGGCGCGCAGCCGGAAACGCAAGATCGAGGCGGTCAGCGCCCCGGATCGCTACGGCAAGTGGAAGAAGGGCAAGCTGGATCGCAAGGTACACCGGCGGAAGGAGAGGGGCCAGGAGAATAGGAACAGGAGGCATGCATACTGATCCCTGTGCAAGGGACGAACGCACAAGGGAGAAAGGGAGTTTTGAGGCGCATGACTTGATTTTTTTGGTTCCACGCTAGATTGCATACTTGCATATACACTCGGCCAGGCAAAATCGCCACAAGGCTACACAACATTCATAGCATAGGTCATTCGCACAACAGCACGTTTCGCATGTAGCTGTATCAATAATGCATCAAAGATTGTAAAAAGCAGCTCTAGTCTATATTCCAGAGAGGGGGTATATCGTGAATTCTATAGTACATGTCGTTGCTGTCGCTTCAGGTGACGGTGTTTCTCGCGCGGACTGACGTGCGCTCTAAAACTGCCCATAGGCATCCATAGACGAAAGTCGGCTCGAACTGACAGACCCAGACTCGACATCCACAGAGAGTTCAACTCTGCCTGAGCCAGGATCTGGCAATTGACAAGTCGCTGTGTGTGGTGTAAAATCATGGCTGGTGTTGATGATGAAGTGAGCGCCGAGCAAGCCGTGCTTGTTCGTCCCCTTCCGCGACCCAGCAGAGTTGACGGGTCGTCGTGGTCTCTCCCCCTAATTACGGCGCCGGCGCAGCATCGGCAGTATCGTCCTGCCAGAACTCTACATCCCCGTCTTCGCCGAGCGTGCCACGCTTGACCAGCTGGCCCTTTTCCCGCATGAGATCCTCGACCGTCATCTTGCGATCTCCGAAAATGTTGAGGTGGTCGCTTATGACGTGCCGGTTGCGGCAGCTGGGGCAGGTGATGAGCACGGAGCCCCGGTGGTAGCCTTGCTTGGAGACGACGTGTGTCGAGCGCTCGGAGCACGGCACGCAGGTGAATGTGAGCTGGTAGTGCGGCTCGACGAGCTTGCGGGCCTTGACTTCCGAGGGTTGTTCTGATGTCGAGTTGTTGGGATTGGTTTGGGGCGCGGAGACTGGAGGCTGCCGTGGCGGCTTTGGTATGGTGTGGGCGAGGCGGAATATTGCAGGCCGAGAAAACGGGCTCCAGGTAGGATGTATTTGTGCTTGAGAACGGGTGACGGATCTTGAAGAAAGTCGAGAGGCGCTGCGCAGGAGGGCAGCGGCTGGTCGAGAGGCCGACATGCTGTGAAGGTGGAACGTTTGCCTTTGCGAAGGGACGAGGGTCGAGGTGGGAGGAAAGCAATGGAGCCGGTGCTCTTTGAGTCGGCGCGTCGAGGAAGGCAGTTACTTATTGTCGTTCGACTGGACTTGATGTCGCCGATGACGGATTAATGATCTGGGTGTGCGGCTCCTCAGGCTTGCGGCGTGTGCGACCTGGCGGATGACGAAAGTGCCCCAAGTTTTTCGATAAGCCGAGCGATAAGGAAAGTGCCTCCCCACTAACACCTCGGGAGTGACCAGGGTCCTACTTCACCGCCCGGCAGTTTGCCTTGGCGGACCAGTCTTCCCCCAATGCTCCCTCCCACAGCAAGGTTGCCCCTCGTCATGGTTGGTGCCCTCGATGATCAAGCATCACTGCGAACACTAAGCTGCACCAGCTGGCCGTCCCTGCTTGGTCTGCCGGACGTCGTCTGTTTACGTGCTGGTGACTGGCTGCATCCAACCAGGCCCCAAACAACCAGCGGACCATTACTGAGACCCGCACTTGGGCGTGGAGCAGTCTTTCTCACTTGGAGCTCATTGTTCCGTTGCGCATCCGCCGTGACTGTCCCCAAGTACACCTACTCCACGCAGAAGCCGCCACCACATTATATGAGTCAACCACGCAAAAAACCGACCACCCCCAGACTCCCTATACCTCGTCGAGCATGCGGTCGCCGCGTGACACTTCTGCGAGCTAGCCAATAACATTTTCGCCAAAGTACGCTCAGCCTCGACCTCCATCACGAGCCCATCAGATCGCAGTGCTGTACTGCTACATGTCTTGATTCACAAGCTGAGTGGTACCAGAAGGGCGAAGCAAAATGATATCCGGTCGGGGTGGCTCCATGGGCCGCGGTGGCCGTATTCGGCCTCCTCGAAGGGTAAGTCTTCCGTCCCATCCCATGGCACCGGCAGTGTGCTCTCTGCTGGCGGCTTTGGAAGTGCCTTCCCGGCCCCAGTCGACTTGCTGACATACTGGCGATGCGCAGCCCATGGTCCCGGCAAGCGGTCCGAACGATTTCGAGCAGTGCTGGGAGAAGCTGCAAGACGCCCTTCGGGACATTCATAACAGGAATGCCGGCAATCTCTCATTCGAGCAACTATACCGCTACTCATACAAGATTGTTCTTCAAAAGTCGGGAGGCTTGCTCTACGATCGCGTCAAAGAGTTCGAGGAGAATTGGTTTGCGAAAGAGGTTATGCCGCCAATTCTCAACCTCGTCTCGAAGAACCTGATAAGCGTCACGCTTCACGAGAACTCTGGCACGAGTGTCGTGGATCGGCGGGCCATGGGCGAGAAGTTTCTCAAGGGCATCAAGAGCTCGTGGGAGAGCCACAACATATCAATGAATATGATTGCCGACATCCTCATGTATCTCGACCGCGGATACACGCAGAACTATAGCCGACCGAGTATTTATGCGAGCACGATCGGTCTCTTCCGCGATCACATCCTCCGAGCCTCGTTGCGCGAGAACGGGTCAGACTGCCTCCTCTTCGATATTCTCAATGCGACCATCATTGACCAGATCAACATGGAGCGCGAAGGCGATGTCATTGACAAGGCGCTACTGCACAGCTGTGTCACCATGCTGGAGGACCTTTTTGAAACAGACGAGGAGAACGAGGAGCAGCGGCTATACCTCACGACCTTCGAACCTGTCTTCTTGGAAAACAGCCAAGATTTCTACCAGCGCGAGTGCGAGAAGCTGATTCGAGAAGCTGACGCCGCTGCATGGCTGCGACATACCCAGAAGCGAATCTCGGAGGAGGCTACGCGGTGCAGGACAACGATCTCAAACATGACGTACAACAAGATTGTCAAGGTCATCGACGACGAACTCATCTCGAAGCACCTGCGCGAATTTCTGGCGCTGGAAGGCAGTGGGATTCGCGCAATGATCGACAACGACAGGCTAGAGGACCTATCGATTCTGTACGACCTCGTCACACGCATCGACTCTACCAAGGAGCCACTTCGTCATGCTCTCGCCAGCCGAGTCGTGGCACTGGGGATGGAGATCGAGCAGGTGCTCAAGAGCACTGATTTTTCGACAGCTCAGCAGAGCGCAGAGCAGGCCGAGCCCGGGGAAGGTGCTGGCGAGAAGCCCAAGGCCAAGCTGCTTAATGCTGCTGCTCAACAGACTGCCGCGGCCATCAAATGGGTCGATGATGTACTGAAGCTCAAGGACAAGTTTGATCGCCTCTGGACGGATTGCTTCCGCGAGGACAATCTTGTCCAGACATCGCTCACAAACAGCTTCTCCGACTTCATCAATGCTTTCGATCGTAGTTCCGAATACGTCTCGCTTTTCATCGATGACAACCTCAAGCGCGGAATCAAGGGCAAGACTGAGGCCGAGGTCGATGTCGTACTGGATAAGGCGATCACATTGATCCGCTATCTTCGAGAAAAAGACAAGTTCGAGCAGTATTATCAGAAACACTTGGCACGACGACTCCTGCACGGAAAATCGGAAAGCGCAGACGTTGAGAGAGAAATGATCTCTCGCATGAAGCGCGAGCTTGGGAACAACTTCACACAAAAGTTTGACGGCATGTTCAAGGACATGCAGACGTCGCAAGAAGAGACCGAAAAGTATCGCAAGCATGTCCGTGGACTTGGCGCCAACGACGAGAAGCAGATCGAACTCAACATCAGTGTTCTTGCGGGCAATCATTGGCCCAAAGAGGTTATGGGTCGTCAGTCTGGCTTGGCCGACGGGTCAAAGGTCAACGCGAACTATCCCAAGGACATTGAACGCCTCAAAGCCAGCTTCTTCGAGTTTTACTCCAAGGAGCGTAGCGGTCGTGTTCTGACTTGGGTCGGTACAGCTGGCACTGCAGACATCAAATGTGTCTTTCCCAAGATTGAGGGCAAGGCGTCTGGCCCACTTAGCAAAGAGCGGCGATATGAGCTCAACGTGTCGACGTACGGCATGATAGTGCTTATGCAGTTCAACGACCTGGCTGATGATTCCTGGCTCTCGTTCGAGGAGATACAGGCTCAGACCAACATTCCGCAGCCCGATCTCATCAACGTTCTTACCTCGTTGTCGGCCATCAAGATCTATCGGGTTCTCCTCAAGGATCCCCCAAACAAGCATGCAGCAAAGCCCGGTGATCGTTTTGCATTCAACCGCGAGTTTGTCAGCAAGACAATCAAGCTCAAGGTGCCTGCTGTCAATGCGGCAAACAGAGTTGAGTCTGAGGAGGAACGCAAGGAGACTGAGCAGAAGAACCTCGCAACCAGGATGTACATCGTCGACGCGGCCATCGTCCGCATCATGAAGTGAGTCACAGTACTGTTGCTGATTTTGGGCCGGATAACTAACTCTTATTCCGTAACAGGCAACGCAAGGAGCTCAGCCACACTCAGCTCATCACCGAGGTCATCCAGGTTCTGACCAACCAGTTCCAGCCTGACGTGCCGATGATCAAGAGGCGCATCGAGGAGCTCATCTCGCGAGACTATCTGGAGCGTCTCGACGACACGTCTGCATACAGATACGTGGCATAGGCGAAGACTATCGGTGATGCCGGGGCTTCGGCCTTGAGCACGCTTCCGCCACGAGGGCATGATTTGGTTTTGAGGCTTTGATTTTCAGGCAAAGGGCATGGCACTGGCGCATTGGCGAAACAAAAGGCAGCATTTGAGTGCTTGGCTTGTAGGCCAAGACTTTTGATACACGGGCGCATAGAGTAGCAAGATCTGCTGTAACCACTTGCGGTACAATTTACTGTAAGACGATCATGCGGTGATGAGGGTAGCCGCGCGAGGACATGCACAATACACTTCACCAGAGCGAATCATTGACCCGCTTGGCATGTCCGAGGGCTATACTGCATGTTGTACCTTGCTGCAGTTGCGATGGCAGGCAAAATGCCTCGTTGCAAACCTGCGTGCCAAAGAGTGCGATGACTCCTTGATTACAGGCCAAGTCTTCTGCCTACTTCAACTACTTTCCAATCCCTGTCCCGTAAGTAGGATGGTGAAAGAGAAACAGGCAAACATGGCTGTGCTGTGCGCCTTGCACTTTCCACTGTGGGCCAGTAACAGATCGCGGTATTTTCGTGCACATTTTCAGCTCTCTTGTCTCTGTGTCAGCCTTATGCATCTTTGGGCTCGCTCAGGGCCCGGGTGCAAGATAAATTGCTCAAATACGAGGAATACGCCCGCCCCGCAGCCTAACGTCCGGGTGGGTCCAGGCTGGAGGATGCTGGGACCAATCAGCAGCCGAGCTTCTCCGGGAGAGGCAATGAGGGTCTTCTGAGTAGTCCCACACTTTGCTGCGATCGACTGCTGGAGAAGGGCGTGGGGGAAGAGGGAGGGGAGGCTGAGCATTCGGTGTTGACCACCATTGGGCGGTATTTCGTGTCATTATTGGTTCTAGAGTTTCTGTGAAAGGGATGCTTTGGTCGCTGGGACCACCGAGCCGGATGACGGCATGCGCATGCGTTATTATCCCGCGCTTACTTTGATTGTGGTGGTGAGCTGCGACAGGTACTTAGGTACTCTCTGGGGCGCCGCATGAGCAATGTACTTACACGTAATGATGTACCTACCACCACGGGGATCGTCGTGAGGCTGCAACACGCGGTGACTCCAGGCACGGTGGCACAAGCAAATGGCGCGTGCGGTTTCGCGTAGTGCTGATCTTGAAGGGGCCCTTGGGGAGTATAAAAGGCCTCCTCAACCGGCGCTGGAATTCTGTGGCGTGGGTTTTGTTTCGTTTCTGGTGCTCATACAAGCAATCAACACTACACAACACCTTTTTATCCCACTCATCACCATCTTCAACCACGAACAACAACTCGACATAAAAACAAGAAACAAAAGAAAAACATGGCCCCTTCGACAGAGAACCAGAAACATCACACCAGCCCGGCGGCTATCCCGCCGGAGCTGTCAGACCTGCACTGCTACACCGAGACCGACGGCGTCATCACGACGACCATGTTCGACCTGCCGGGTTACAGGGTCGTCAAGGTCCTGGGCACTGTGTACGGCCTGACTGTGCGCTCGCGCAACTGGGCGGCTGGCTTGGGCATGGTGGTCAAGAGCGTCGTTGGCGGAGAGCTGCGGTGGTATACCAACCTGGTCAGTTTCTTTTTTAATCTTTTTTTTTTAACTCCCTTTTCTTTCTCTCGTTATTCTCGGGCGGAGTGGGTTTGGCTTGGATTCATGCCTGTGGTTGTGTGTTGCCTTGTCGTGGCTTTGAGATATGCCAGATACATCATTCCGACGAACCACCAAGCGCATGTCATTCCCCTTGCTTCTCACCACTCGGGGTGGAGTTCCGAATTTCCCCAAACCTTTCCTCTCTTCAGAGTCAATTGCACATCCTTCCAAGCACGTCGCTGTCCATCTAAAGCCCCGAGCGAACCGCAGTATGAAGAAGATGCGCTGACATGAGAAACCCCCCTCAAAAGCTCTACTCTGCCCGCAACGACGCAATATCCCGCGTCGTCGAGGAGACCAAGGCCCGGGGTGGCAACGCCGTGATATGCCTGCGCTTCGAGTCGGGCGACATGGGCGGATTCGCGCAGTCGTGCGCGTACGGGACCGCGGCCGTCGTGGAGAAGGTCGATGACCAGGTCCAGACGCCTACGCAGCTCGTCGGCAGTACTTGAGGAGGGTGGAAGAGCAGTCGAAGAATGGTTTGAAGAGGAACTGGAGGAGAGAGGGGGAAAGAGAGGGAAAGAGAGAGAAGGGACTGAGGCTTGTACTTGGCGTGGAGGAAATGCAGGTCGCTAGGTCGGCAATGCGATGCTTGGAACGGTTGCGGCGGGTTGAGAGAGAAAAAGTCGGATCATCACGGGGGCGTGAACGGTCGGGTCAAATCCGTCTTTGGTGCCGAGCTTTGTGGAATGGATGGCAAAGCTTGTTGATGGCGTATTGGAGGGGTCTCCGTGTTCGCCATGGTTTATCGTAATTCCTAGAGTGTTCTCAAATTTCCGGCCGACTTCATGCAACAGCCGTGGGCACTGTGCTATGAAAGGTCAGCCGTATTCTTGCAAGCTGCGGTTCTTGCGGAATCATAAGTCACAAACATCACAGACTTGGAGAATCTTGACGATGGCTGGTCTGAAAGAATTACCGCTCAGTCTTGCCGTGAACAATGTTCAACTACGTAAACTATACTTGGTTCAGGCCGATGGCGTTCAATACCTCGAAATGAGACCTGCTTTTGGTGACATTCTGGAGTTCCGAAAAGGCTTCAAGCAGTTGTGACGTGCGTATTCCCCCTATGCCGTGCACAAAGCATATGGAGGCTATTCACGACTTGGGCAAAATCAAGCATGAATCGAGTATGTTGGAGCTTGAAACATGCCGAGAGTCGTTTCTGATTCTTCAACGTCGCATTGAAAGTAATGGGCTTTGCTTACTGCCATCTATACCATGGGCCTGCGTAATGTAGGCAGTGTCGCAGTCAATCTGTGAAAAGCAGATACCATGTAAGAATTGTCCTTGCTGAAACGTTCTTGGACATGTTGGATCCCCGCAGCTGCTGCGAGCCATGGAATGTCCTGATTTGATAATGTCCAAGCGGCTAGGGACAACCGAGCTGCAAAGTGGCTGTTACCGCTCCGGTCATGACCGAAAAGGAAGATCGTTGCAAAAGACGTCGTAAGCTCCAGCGATGTCAGTCCTCAACCCCTATTCCGGGAACAGTGACATGGACTGTGATCCAAGACGAACAAGCAAGCGCACAAGGCGGCACACCGCGGCTGCATAAGCTTGCCAGCCCAGCCTCGCTGTTTGTAGTAATTTGATTGCATCGCCAGCAGAGGCTGCTAATAGCCAGGGCAGGGGCCCGGAACAGGTGGCGTTCTCGCATGAGAAGTCGGCGCCCAAACTTTGGAGCTTTACGCCGCAGAACTTGCCCACGCTTGGCAAGAGTGCTTTCACTGAATACAGGCGGTTTGCGAGGATTCCGGGACAAGATGATCGACTTGGATGAGTCCAAGCGTTAGTATACGTGGCCCAGGCAGATACTCAGCATGCGTGCACGATTGAAGAAGAAAGGCGAGCAGAGTCGGGAGACGCTGTCATCCTGGCGGATTACCACAGACATTGCTGCTGGTCACAACACCGTTCTTGGTGACTTGCAGAACGCACACAGAGGAGCTACTCAAGGACCTCTACGCCACGCTGTGCCGCACCCATACCTGTTTGACGCCGCTTCAAGCCAAGAGCCTGAACTGTTGGAGGATTCGATGCCAGCAGGGGCGAGGCACACAGGGGTCACTGGTGGGTGCTATGGGTCCTTCCCGGCAGATCCTGTGGTCTTGGCCCCTTGGACAATGACAAATGGTATGCCGGCGGAGCTCTGAGCGGAGCGTGGGCTTCAATTCCCTCCATCAATCACCAGTGCAGTCGTGATGTCTTGTGGCCGTGCGCGTTTTGGGCAGGACTCACCGAAGGATGAAGCCGGATGCGATCAGCTGGCCCACCGCGCACTGCCAAATCCACCTTGCGGGGCGCCGTCTTGTGCCAGTGTCGACGGCGGAAGGGCGAGTCGTGGCCGAGCCCTCAATAGACCCGGCGACAGGTTGCAGAGCAGGAAACCGTGCTGCTGTGGCTGGGCCGGGCCATGTCTTGAGTCCGAGTCCGGGTCAGACCGCCCATCAGTGCCCAGTGCAGATGGATGCAAGGGTTCACACGCAAGCCAGCCAAGGTGTGATCGAACCAAGCAGCTGCTTACCACCACCCTGTCGAGAACGTGCCGACAACGCAATCATGCGGAGTTGTAGCCGAGTCATTCGACAGAACCCTTGGGAGCGTTCTGTACTGGCGGGCTTCTTTCCTCGGGGGAGGGGTATTCCAGGTCACATCCTTGGCTTGAGCGCCCTCTACATATGCCCCGGCTCCTGGTTGTGTCTGCTTTGCTGATCGCCGCAAATTGCAACTCTGCATCTCGAGGTGGTGCGATACGCGTCAGATCTTTCTGGGCCTGGCAGGTGCCCTTTTTTGACATGTTGACACACGCTCGCCATCCCGCAAACATTGCTGAGCAAGCAAGCAAGCCAGCAGCTGTCTCAAACTGCGAGACGACGCTGGGGTTCGAATGGGGGGGCTGTTCATGCTGCCGGACGAGTGTTTCCAGCACTCGGGCGTGGCCATCAGGTTTGCCTTTGGACTCCTAGCGGGATATGAAGCCACATGGCCGTGATGGGCGTAGGGCCGTTAAGCACGCGCCAGGGAGGCTGGAGCCTGGCCTGGTGGTCATCCGGCGGTGGTCATGGCCAATCAGTCCGAGGCCATGCTTGCTTGAAATTGCCATGGCCTCCCTCGTTGTATCTGCAGGTTGGCCGAAAATACCAAAGAAGCTTCGAGCGAGAGGACTGTCCAGCGAGTTTTTTTTTTTGAGATGTTCTGCTGCTCGGAGCAGAGTGATTCATCTCGGCGCGGAAGCGAGCCATCATACCACCTCTGCGACCACATCATGAGATGGCATGCACCTAGGCGAGGACGGCAGGCAGGAGCAGGGTTGCCCAGATGCTGGGGTAAGCCAGGGTCTCCGCCGAGCAGCCGTGGCTCCCATTGGAAAGCGCAAGCCCAGAGACAGTGCTCACACAGGGCGACCCATACTGTATGGCGCATTGCTGCGGGCCAAGTGGCCGAGCCCTGGGCGGGCGCGATCACTTGGTGCAGCCACAGCCGTGGAGGCCAATCATGTGCGGCCACCCCCGCAGCTGGGGCGGAACGTCTAGCGCAGCATGGGGCATGGGCCGTGAGCGCACTGTGTCTCGGTCTGCCCAGGCGCGGCCTTGTGCGAGCGTGCATGTGCGAGCCCGGCCCGCCAGGCGTGGGAAAGGCACACTCACACTGGCTCGTCTGGTCGAGGCCTTTGCCCCGATCCTTCCCATTCTCCACTCTGTCTTGCCTGCCCATCCTCTCTGCGCCGCTCCTGTCCATTCTTCAATACCCACCTGCAACCTTCCTGCCAGTCGACCATCGTCAGCCCTCCCTCCACGACCACATCACCGTCCTTCGCCCCAGGCTGTCTTGCTGGCGACAGGCTGCCGTCCTCGTCACCGTCGCCGTCGCCTCCGACTCCTATTGCCGGATGCCCGATGCTCGCACGCACTTGTCACGAATGAGCGCGTGGTCCCGGCGGCTCAGCACACTGCGTTTCTCCCGACGTGACCTCAGGGCGACAAATCAACTGCAACATAACGCATGGTCTCGCGACCAGCCAAGGCCTCAACCACTGCTCAACCTGAGAACTCGAACTCAAAATATACTGTGCAGGGAGGAGAGGAGCAACGACCCGCAGACTCCAATCAGTGCCATACCTCTGACTGAGAGAACCTGGCTTGACTGAGCCTTCACGGCGCATCATGGCGATCGCCATGGGTTGGCAGAAGCCCGACAATGTTGCTGGCTCCTCAGCGCCAGCAATCATGGTCGGGCTTTTCGTCGCCTCGGCTGGCTTGCTCTTCGGCTACGACACTGGGTGCGGATCCCTGTCCACATCTCCTCGTTTGACATGATACTGACTCCATTCTGTGCATAAGATCGATCAACGGAATCCTCGCAATGAGGACATTCATTCGAGACTTCAACACCGGCTATGTAGACCCGGACACCGACAAAGTCAACCTCAGTCCCGCGGAAATCTCAATTGTGGTGGCCATCCTGAGCGCCGGCACCTTCGTAGGCGCTCTCATCTCGGCGCCTTTTGGTGACTGGGTTGGACGACGACTCTCCATCATTGCCTCAGTGGGCGTCTTCTGCCTGGGCGTCGTTCTTCAAATCTGTGCTGCAGCCATACCCATGATGATTTCTGGCCGGTACGTCACCTTGACACGCCAAGAAACGTCGGATGCTAATACTATGGCCGGACAGGTTTTTCGCTGGCGTGGGCGTTGGCTCGATATCAGTCCTTGTGCCTCTGTACCAGTCAGAGATGGCGCCGAAATGGATCCGTGGAACGCTGGTCTGCGCATATCAACTATCTATCACCGTCGGCCTGCTGGCTGCATCGATTGTTAATCTGCTCACTTCGAACATGACAACTTCAGCTGCATACCGGATCCCGATTGGTCTTCAGTTCTCATGGGCCGTGGTTTTAACTATTGGCCTGTCAGTACTGCCAGAAACACCCCGATATCTCATCAAGAAAGGCAAAAAACATGAGGCTGGTCTCGCTCTGAGCCGGCTTCGACGACTTGACATCACCCACCCCGCCCTTGCGGAGGAACTCGCAGAGATCGAAGCCAACCACGAGTACGAGTTGGCTCTGGGAGGAACCTCGTATCGGGATGTCTTCACCGGATCACCTCATCTGGGCCGACGCATGTTGACCGGCTGTGTGCTGCAGATGCTGCAGCAACTAACTGGCATCAACTTCATCATGTATTATGGCACGACATTCTTCGAAGGTGCCGGAGTCAATGACCCTTTTGTTATCTCCTTGGTGTTGAATGTTATCAACGTGGTATCCACCTTACCGGGACTGGTCGTTGTCGAAAGCTGGGGTCGTCGGAGGCTCCTAATCGTTGGTGCGATCGGAATGGCTGTCTGTCAGTTAACGCTCGCCATCTTTTCGACAGTAGTCGGAGATGCCGTAGACGATTCCTCACATGCCGCCTCGAGAGTCCTCATTGCTTTCGTCGCGCTTTTCGTCTTCTTCTACGCCTCATCCTGGGGTCCTGTTGCCTGGGTCGTCACATCCGAGATCTATCCGCTCAAGGTCCGTGCCAAGTCCATGTCAATATCTACAGCCTCCAACTGGCTGCTGAACTTTGGCATCGCATATGGAACACCCTACATGGTCGAAGGAGGTGCCGGATATGCCGACCTGGGTTCCAAGGTCTTCTACGTCTGGGGCGCCTTTTGCATCATTGCCGCCATATTCGTTTACGGCATGGTGTACGAAACGAGCAAGATCAGCCTTGAACAGATCGACGAGATGTACGAGCGTGTAGATGTTGCATGGAGAAGCAAGAAGTTCGAGCCTGCGTGGAGCTTCCAAGCGCTCCGCGAAGATAACTTCGCCAACGCCAACACCAACGCCGCCCCGTTACCGCCACACGAGCTGCAGCCAGCACGCACTGCGTCGAGCACCGGCGAGAGTGTGCAGACGGTGCATACCGTTGGGGCAAGCGCGTCCTCGGACGAAACAAGGACAGAAGAGGACAAGATCATACGACAGATGGGCATGAGCAATGTCGACTTTAGCTACTAAGCTTGTCTGGGCATGTCTTGTCCCTTTGGCCTTTGCTTCATATGCTTTTCATCTGGGTTTATAGCGTCGGAGTTTGACGTTTGCGGAGTTTTCACCTGCCACAACTACGGAAAATAGGGTTATTTATTTTTGGGAATGCCGATTCATATAAGGAAATGTTCATGTTTTTACGATATCCAATGGGAGCATATTGGCGCTTCGAGGTTGAGGGATTATTTACCACACTGATCTCATTCTCTTGCGAGCCCGAAGCCATTTGGGCAATTGGCCATTCTTTTCTGGCCAGAAGGCAACGACAAGACTTACAGTGCGAGTATGCGTTGCAGAACACAGCGGGCAGCAACATTACTTGGATTGTTTGGATAGCCACATCCTAGTAGTGCCAAAAAAAAATGACAAGATTATCCATCTTGGACAGACTGTTCCCACAACACCATGCACGCGCTTGACCCGACTGGCTGTTTCTGATGTTGGGCACGAGGCTGAGGCGATACGGCCGTGGTTCTCCTTCTGTGGTCGCTTGCAGAGCGTTTGAGCGACCCATCCGTGCATACGACTGTGAAACGGGACATCTGCGTCGTCCTCGGCCAGATAGCACTGAACAGCACCATACCATCAAGATATTCAAGTCACAGCGTGTAGCTGCCACTGCAATCGCCCATGCTCTTGCATTTGCATTACTGATTATTTGTTTGGTCATTAAAGAGGCTAGGTTCACAGTCTACCAGACTTCTTCGCCGCCTGTACCTATAGCCCCGCCCTTTTACATGATGAAGAGCAGATTCGTGTCTGGGGAGATGTGGTCAGTTCAGTAGTTTAGAACAAACAGTGTCCCTCCAACTTGGGAGGCGGATGGATGCTGAAATGGGAGACTCACCTAGCGGATGACTAGAGGACAACTGTGGCTTCTGGGAGTACTCGTTTTCGAGAATGTCTCTGATGCTGTTGAGCAGCTCCAAGTAGCTCTGCTGCGGGTCCTGCTTAAGGGCTCGGATGAAGGCGTGCGACATGGCGCCAGTGGCTTGTGAGTTGATCGTGGCGTCGGCACTGTGAGAAGGGGGTGAAGCAGATACACGCGTCAGTTCAGAATGGTTTTGCGTCTTGGACAAACACTTATGTCGGGCGAACAAAAGAAAGACTTACGAGGTCTGGTCGTCTTTGCTGCCGGACCACATGATGACGTCGGCTGGAGATGTGCGGGTCGCAATGGTCTTCTTGTAGCCAGAATCGCCTCTGAGGGCCTGCTTCGCAAAGCCAAAGATCTCCTTTGCGACGCCACCGACATCTCCACGTGCGTATGCGCCAAACGCGCTCAGAAGTCCCTGCCCGGCTTCAGCGGCCAAGTTGGGCTCCTTGAGGACACCCTTGGTGGAGTAGCTGTATGGCAAATCGAGGACGGATCCGGAGTGACACGAGTCGAAGATGGCTGTCAGTCTGACACCTTGCTGCAAGGGCTTGACGACGATGGTGTGGATGTCGTCGTCGACCAAGTGGCCGGCCTGCTTAAAGTCAACTGGATAGATGACCTCATCGTATCCATCGTCTTCGTCGCCGTCGAGGTCCTGTGTTTGACCGCCATGGCCCGAGTAGTGCAGGAACAATGAGTCGTTGGGGCGGGCATCCTTGACAAGCCACTGCATGGCGCGGATGATGTTGGCACGGGTTGGGATCATGATGGGGTCGCGCTGGTCGTCGGTGAGGATGATCGTATCCTCACGCTTGTAGCCGAATCGCTCGAAAAGAAAGGCAGAGAGGTTCTTGGTGTCGTTGATGCATCCGCGGAGCTCGCCGTCCTGGCCGAAGTAGTTGATGCCGATGAGGAGGGCCTTGCGCTTTCCCGTACAGTTTGAATACTGGAAGGTGTAGCCGTCGGGAGCACCGTGACCAAACTGCTGCGGCGCATTTGGCGGAGGAGGACCGCCGCGGTGAGGCTGGCCGTAGCCACCGACGGCGCGGCCATCGTGCGGGTAGCCGTACGAGTCGTAGCCTTGAGGCGGCGGCTGTTGAGGCGGCGGATAGCGGTTGTAGCCGCCACCACCGCCGTACTGCTGAGGAGGACCTCCGTATTGTTGGGGAGGAGGGCCGCCGCCATACTGTCCCGGCGGAGGACCACCGTACTGTCCTGGAGGCGGACCACCGTATTGTCCAGGAGGCGGGCCGCCGTATTGCTGAGGCGGAGGAGTGCCGTACTGGTTCTGGTAATAGCCTTGGGGAGGAGGCGGCTGGTGCTGCTGGGGATAACCCCCATAACCGCCGCCGCCGCCCTGGCTGTAGCTGCCGGCGCCGGGATACTGATTGTAGCCAGACATGGGGGTGCGAGACGGGAAAGGTTGGTAGGAGGTGACTGCGTGCGGTCGGTTGGAGTGGGAAGCAAGTTGAGGGACGCTGTTGTGGCCAGGAGAGAGGAGAGTGGATGGATGTAGGAGGGAGGCTGAGGGCACTCGAGACCGTAAGCTTCCTCCGAGGGCTCTGAGGCGCGTACCACCCAGGCACTTGAGCTTGGGTAGTAGGCTGCCAGATCTAAAAGAGCTGGAGCGCTGCCCGGGCTGGCGCTACTGCCCAAGCGCGCTCGTCAGCCCTCCGCCCAAGCTAGATCGGAAGCTTGAGCATGCCGCATGTGCCGCATGTGGAGAGTGAGGTAAGCTTGAGGCAGGCGGGCAGGGCAATCGCCTGACTTGTGTGTGGAGGGGCTGCTCCAGCTGCGGGGCCAGTGTGTGACAGCTTGATGCAGGTTCCGGTTCCCCCTCCTCGCCTCGCAACACGGCTGCTCCTCGCTCTAATACATTCTCATACATGTGGAATCTGAGCAAGTACGATTACCAGACGGAAAGCAGTCAACTTGCAGCAGGCGACTCTTGTGAGCATTCGGAAGAGGCCCGCCACGATCAGCCTGCCCGTTGCTCAGTGTTGGGGAGTTTCGTAATGTGAAACGTCGGCCCGTCAGTCCCACTACCAGGAACCAGACTTGCCGCTTTGCCGGCGGGATGGACATTGTCGTGCAGGGCATTCCAGCTAGGCAAGGGTCTGCCGTTGCTTGGCCTGCTGCAAGGACAATGAGGTGCTCCCGCAAACCACCACTTGACCCCACCACCACCACCAACGGCCCGTGGCGGCTCCGCCCGCCATCGGCTGGCCATGCGCGTGCCAAGAGAACAGCTCACGTCCGGGCAATCTGGGAGCCTGCTCAGGTGCCTCAGGTGGTCAGCTTGCAACAACACCTCACGGAAGACTGTTTTGTCGCTCGCTGACAGCACCCCCGTTGCATGGCCCTCGGCTCGAGCCTGCAGCTGCGGCGCTGGCTCTCAGGCTGGGTCCGCACAGGGGAGAGCAGCTGACACCCCACCAGCATATCTCTATTTCCAAGTGTGGGCGATTGATCTCGCGACAAAGCCCGCCTCGAGCTCTGTCACTACTTTTCCTTTCGGCTTCATACGCTAGTCACAGCCTACACAAAGATGTCGTTCTTCAATAACCTTGCCAACAAGCTCGACGATCTGAGCTTGGGTGGCTCCAGCTCAAAGAGGCGTGACGACGACTACGGTGGTATGTTGAACACGCTCAACCCTCATCGCCCCTCGGCACCCTGGCCATCACCGTGCCTGTCTAGCTTCGTTGCTTAAATTTATGCTTATTTCTTCTCTCAAGGCCGTCCCCAGCACAACTACGCCACCCGCGACTACGGCTACAGCAACAACGGCCCGCCGCCTCAGCAACATCAAGGCGGGTACCCTGGCGGCTCATACCAGTCTCCTCCACCACCGCAGGATCACTATCGTTCCCCAGCACCGCCATCCCAATCGTCCTCCGCTCCAGTCTACTCACCACCGCCTGGAAAGCCTCCCATCCCCCAAGGATGGACTCCTGAGTACGACAGCCACCATCAGCGGTGGTACTACTACGAGCACGCCTCCGGACGCTCGCAGTGGGAAGCTCCAGGCTACCAACACCACAGCTCAGGCGACACCCGCGGGTACGAGACGTCAGGTGGTGCGGGCTACCATGGTGGCGGCGGCGGCGGCTACAGCCAGTATGGACCTGGTGGTGGTGGTGGTGGTGGTTACGGAGACCACAACAACAATGACCCGTACGGCGAGAGCGGCAAGAAGAAGAAGAGCAGCAGCAGCGGCATGCTGCTCGGTGCCGCGGGAGGTCTGGCAGTCGGTGCCGTCGGTGGAGCCTTGCTCGCAAACGCCCTCGGTAAGTTTACTCACGTTTTTCTCTCCTTTCTTTTTACCAGCTGCTACCCGAATATTCGCTTTTGTCGTGATCCATTCTCATCCTTCTTCCTGTGCCACCCAATGTCTGGCGGATACACTGACATTGCAAAACTCACCAGATGACTCTGATGACGAGCATCGCAGTGGAGGCGGTGGCGGGTACTACGGCGCCCCGGTCCCGGCCCCGGCGGCTGCTGCTGCTCCGGTCTACGAGCCAGCGTACAACGCCGACGGCGAGTACGTCGACGCCAGCGACCGCGAGTCCGTGGCGTCGGCGCGCGAGGCGTACGAGGAGGCGTACCGGAACGCGCAGGACTCTGACGCGAGCAGCAGCGAGCAGGAAGAGCTCGAGGAGGCGCGGGAGGAATACTACGAGGAGTACGAGGAGGCTTATGAAGATTAGACGTGCGTGGGGGCTTCGGGTTGAGTGAGTGTGAGGTAACGATCAGGGAGCTAGAGCAGGAAGGTGCTTGACCTTCGAAGAGAGAGAGAGAGAGCTTGGTCATTATGACGGGAGAGGTGGCATGTCAAAGAAGCACTCCAACTTCCAATTTCTCTCGCGCGCTTCTCATCAGGTGTGCCTACAGTAGTACAGCGGTACAGTCACAGGCTTTCTAGATGCTGGTTCCTGGTTTTTCAACCACCACGACTGGGCTTTTCTCCGGAACGACTACGTTGACTTGATCGCATTTAAAGAGCATATAGAATCATGCAATAGCTTTACTTCGCATCGAGCGAATCTAGTTCTAAATGTCTATCCCCGCTCCTACGGGCTTCGTACCTGTTTGTCTAACACGATCCTTGAAACCGCTCTCAGCTATGAAGCCTTTCCTCTTCGTCCTCAGAATCGCCACCAGTATAGCCTCTCATGCTCTTTGGCACTCTGAACATGAACACAATCCCCGTCGCAACAGCCATATATACCGCCGCCACGAGGAACGGCAGTCCGATCCACCCACCGCCAAGCTGGATCCCCGTCTTGAGCGCCTTTGAGAAGAGCGGGCCCGCGACCATGAGCCCGGCCTGCTCCAGCAGGCTCAGCACCGTGTTCAGCATCCCGACGTGGTGCGACTCGACGAGCGCGTTGAGCAGGGAGCGTATGGCGACCGCCATGCCGCCGGCTAGGCCGAAGACTACCAAGCCAAATGAGAGAGTGAAGGGGTCTGGGGCAAAGGCGATCATGAGAGCGCCAAAAACGCCCGCGATGCCGGTAGCTCGGGCGATGAATGCGTCCTTCACCACTGGGGAAAAGGAGAATTTGAGTGTCAGGAGTTTGCTGATTGCGGGGAGGATAATGAGGGATGAGGCTAGGTTGGACCCGCTACGTATTGTGAGTAGGAATGCCGCCTGTCATTTTGCAAGAAAACTTGTGTCAGTACATATTCTTTTGCTCGGGTGACGCCAAACAAGGGAGATCGGGGATGGGCAGGGAAAGTGATGAATTACCTGACTCCAGGACCAGTTGAACTTTTTCCTCGTGAACTGGAGCAGAAGGATCTGCACGAATTTGCTGAGCACGACAAAGACCAGGGACAACATGAGGAACATGAGTCCGCGATTGTGCACCCCAAATTCGCGGACTTCTGCAGCGCCACAACGGATCTGATGTACAGTCTGCGCAAGTAGCGACTGGTGGTCTCGAACGCGGTTCGCTCCAGTCTCGGTGCTTTCCACAGTTTCTGTGCTGTTTCCGGCAAGCTGTTCCGCGAGCCTGCGCACTCGCAGCGTCTCGGGGGCCAAAAAGCACAACAGTGTGGCAACGATCCACAGGCCTAGGCCAAGGAGCATGCAGAGCCAATTGCTCTTCATCATGATGGCACCCGCCATAGGGCCAGAGACGAGCTCCGCAACAGCGAACGCGGCGCCGAACTGGAAGAAAACGGTCGCCCGATCATCGACGGGGACAATATCGGCAATCATGGTATACGCCATGGCCGAAGTGACCATGGTGGAGCCGCCAATGAGGGTGAAGACCGGGGCGGCAAGCATGGCCTCTGGGGAAAAGATGCTGGGAATGTATACTAAACGTAGATTTAGTCATCATCCCTTGGCATAAGAGTTCGTGTCATACGAAGTGTACTCACAGACAACCACGATGAACATCATGGACAAGATGTTGCCCGTAAGGGAGAGTATGATGACCGGCCTACGACCCCACTGGTCTGCCAGCAGACCATATGGGATGGCGCCGATGATGCCTAGAACTTGGTGTCAGCACGGGCCGGATTTTGCAGACAGCAGTTTACACAATGGCCAGAAACTGACCTGGGAGACACTCGGTAGTCATCTGCCAGCCCTGCAGCATAGCAAGCCGGCCCTGGACGGCGGTCCCTTTGCAGTCGCCATAGTCTTCTCCATCACGAAGGTCTTGGGGCTCCTCCAGGCAGATGTTGCGCTCGGCAACGGCTGTCGAGGCCATGGCAAAGAAGCTGGCGCCGATCTCAATGATGATGATGACGACGAAGCAGAGAATGAGGACGGTGCGGCGGTAGGCAGCTGCGAGGTCTTCTGGCCTGGTGGCTGGAGTCGGCGCAGCGAGCAGAGGCGTCTGCTCGTTGACCACCATGATGACCTCTGCGTCTTCACGCGCCTCGCGGTTCATGAGTGCATCCCTGGCCATTTTCAGACGGAGGCGGGCGACGTCAACGACACGCTGCTGGAATACATGACCATGAGAAAGGACGAGCCGCAGGTCTTAATACTTGGGGGCGCGGCATTGTAAAACAAAAACATCGTAGAGATTATGCTGCAGCCTGTCAGCGTGGTCCCGTATCAGGGAGGGATGCTTATCCCTGCCATGCCGGTTGGGCGCCGGGGCCTTGGCTCCCCACGAATCAGAGCGCAGGGTTGGTCGGAGCGACCTGTCTCAAGGTCCGAAATCCGATCGCAACCCAGAAGGGCAGTATTCCATGCTGGGATGGTCGAGTGCATGCTTCGGTCAGCATGCACGACACGCTACGGCGTTTGGCACAAGATGAATCCGTGAAAAGACGTCTTAATTTGGCCTGGCTATGGTGTTGTGAACCTTCCTAGGTTGCTATGCACATTGCCCCTGGCGCAATGTCCCATTGTGCCTGCCCTACACATTACACCTCTCGCAATTGCCGCTACTCGCAACAAATGCAAGCCTCTCAGCAAGCATCCCTCGTCGAAGTTAGCCATCCACACCCAAACCACACCAGTACCGCCTAGAAGACTGCCGTTGCATTGGGTGGCGAGCCGACAAGCCCAGGCACGTTGAGCGGAGTCGACGTCAGCAGGAAGCTGTATCTCTTGGTCTTCTTGCAGTGCTCCGACAAGGCCTTGAGATCCCAAAGCTCGCCTATGGGCATGCCAAACATGCTGAGCATCCACGGGTGAAGATCTGTGTCACTATCAGTCAGCCATCATCACCAATGCCTCTACGAAACACCTGCGGCCGAGGACCAGCTTACACAAATCGCTAACATCGGCCGGCGACCCGTCCTCGTGCACGGGCATCAGCGCCTCAAATGCCCACGAATCGCCCGCGCCGGCCGCAAATCGCTTGTTCCACAGCCACTTGGCCGAGGCAGCAACGCCATGCAGGCCAGATATGGTCATCTTGCCCATTTTCGCAAAATCCTCTGGCGTTGGCGCGCCCAGTATCTCTGTCAGTCCCGTCCTGATGACGAGCACGTCCCCTGGGCGGAACTCGACGCCCTGCGTCTTGGCTACCGCCTCAACCTCTTCAACGGTGATCCGGTGCCCGTCAAAGGGATGGACAATGGCGTCAGCACCCGTCTTTCCCTCAGCCCGCAGCTGCGACTCCTTCCACTCTTTGAAATCGATCAGCACGCCTCTCGCCACCATGCCGCCGCAGGCGTGCCAATGGTCCAGGGTCGGCATCTCGTTGGCGGCAGTGTGGGACACTGCTAGAGCCTCCTTGGTCACCTTGATGCCGTTGTAGGCCAAGCCAGACTTCTGGTCCTGCCAGTGCACCAGGCTGTCCCACTGGCTGCTCATCTGCGTATTGAAGTGCAGCTCGTCGTCCCAGCCCTCACCGCCAGATATCCCGGCCTCCTTCAGCGACATAGGGGTATGTGTGCACGCCATGCGTCCCGGCAGCGGGATTGGCATCGCATTCAGAGGCCAACTGTGACGATTCGACTGTGTGAGCGGACAAGGACCAGATCTTTCAGCAGAGACGGATCATACTTCAGAGAGATTGAAACACCATCTTTTGCCTCCGCATAGGCTGCCTTCCGAATAGCAGGTGTGAGGAAGTTCAAAGTCCCCAGGAGGTCCTTCTTGCCGTCTTTGTCGAACAGACCCCATGCGCAGCCTTGCGGCATGCCTTCCACTCTAGGAAGATCATCGAAGTCCGGTACTTGAGATGGCTCCATTGTGCAGATATGGCGAGGCGAGACAGGGAGCACAATACGCACAATAACGAGGATATGGAAAAAACGGTTGACAAGTATCGAGGGCGTGCTGAAGGCCAGCTCAAAAGCACATCGTTCGTCCATTGATACATATATGGAACTTTCCTTGACAGTGCGCCACCACCATTCTCCAACTGCAATTGCCAAGAGTACTGCGTTGCCAGCACAGCACATGTCGAGACCGCGGCCTTTCGACATGGAATAAAGGCGCTAAAGGTGCTCACCTCCAGTGGCTGAGCAGAGCTCAGCTTGCCGAGCTCGCACTCTCCCCGCTTCGTGCTGCAGATCCGCCAGGGCTACGCGGACCGTAAGGGCATTTGTGGCCTCACACATGGTGCGGGGAAGTGCGACGCTGCTCTCTTCTGGCAGCAGAGGACACCGAGTAAGCCCTAAGCCTGCTTGGCCTTGACTATACCTAGCTTCAGCCTGATGTTCGCACAAGGCTTTCTGTAGCGAGTGCGGCGCCCGCATGCTCTTTGAGGCATGTGTCCCTGTAACACAGATGCCCGCTTTCGGGCTCTAGGCCGCCCGTCAGCGCTAGATCCGCCCAACTGGGTGCCCTGCGGCTTACGAGCATGACAACAGGAGGTCGCGCACGACAAATCATCGTCAGAGGCAAGTCCTTTTTCCAGGTCGTGCTATGACCCGTTTTTGGCGCTGCAAGAACTGTCTGCAGTGGCATGCTTCAAGGCAATGATGGTGTGTTCACAAGAGGCAAGGTTGTCCTGGCGGGCGTGTGTGTTGCAAGGGTCTCTAGCGGAAGTAACAACAGGCCGATGCTCCCATGGCAACTTCCGGTGCGAATACGAACCCGCGAGAGCATTGGCGGATTCGTGTTCGCGTCTCCGCGTCCAAGACGCAGCAGCGGCACTGTCTCCGTGGGAATCGAGAGAGCATTCACAATGCATCGTGCAGAGACATCCTTGGCACCGCAGACACGTTGGGTCATGACGCCAGCACCCTACTTTACTGTACACCATACCAGTGGCTGCTTACCCTTCGTACGCGAGGCAAACCAAAGCATACGGGCTGGCAGCCTCGGAGTAGTGAGCCTATCACCTCCTAGCCCTGAGCAAATCAGACTTTGGCTCGTGCACAGAGCCATTCACTAATCTCTTAAGGCAGGATTCTGGTGTCTGGTGTAGCAGAGGACTTGACATGTTTTCTGGTGCACCCTCGGCTGGCGAGGGGATGCTCGCATCCGCCTCGGCGATGATGCCCTGCACTACTCCACAACAATGCAATCAGGCTCGAGCAGTGACTGCATGGAAAACTGCATTGGCCAACCCAAAAGTTCCCTGGGTACGACCCCTCCCGCCAGGCACAGGCAACGTCTCTAATTGGCGTCCGCCTCTGCCGGGGGCGCCAGCCCGAGCCGTTTAGTACAGCAGTGGTGCTGACTTCAGGACTGTCACTGATTGTTTCCCTATTGTGGTCAAGGTTGTCACGCTAGCCACGGATCAACTAGCGGCATGCCAATCGACGGCAACGGGACGACATGGTCCACCAGGGCCGCGTCGAATCTACATAAGGGACGCATTAAGACAGCTTGAATCAATGTTGGTCCATATGCACTATGTGCCCTGTTACTCCTCGAGCAACCATCTACCCAGCGAGCTATAGAAGTCCTATTCCTTGAGCACTCAATCCATCATGGCTGAGCTATTCGCCCAGATACAGGAAAGGTACACGGCAGAGACGCAGAAGCGTCTTCGTCCTGATGGACCAGCACAGTTCCTCAACCTCGAGGAGAGCGACAATGACCGCCTACGCCATCTGGCTGACGACCCGTGGGCGGACCACGAAGCCCTCGACGCCGTGGAGCCTCCCATTACTCAGGGTTCGCACCACAAGTTTCTCATCATCGGTGCTGGCATCAGCGGCCTTGTCAGTGCCGTCCGTTTGATCGAGGCGGGCTTCACAGCCGATCAAATCAGGCTCGTCGACGGTGCCGGCGGCATTGGCGGCACATGGTACTGGAACCGATATCCCGGCATCCACTGTGACGTTGAGTCCTATATCTACATGCCCCTGCTCCAGGAGACGGGCTACATGCCGTCGACAAAATACGCCTCTGGTGTTGAGATTCGTCACTACCTGAACGACGTGGCCAAGAAGTACAAGCTCGATGACAAGGTCCTGCTGCGGGCCACAGTAAACAGTGTCGACTGGGACGACAGTGCAAATGCCTGGAAGGCGAGCATCACCGCCAGCCGCGGCGCAAAGGGTGCCACCAAGAGCACCATTACTGCCGAGGCCGAATTTGTGGTACTCACGTCTGGCTTGTTGTCCAAGCCACACGTTCCAAAGCTTGCGGGAGCTGGCTTGTCCCAGTTCAAGGGAGAGCTTCTGCACACCTCGCGCTGGGACTACAACGCCACCGGCGGTTCCTCCGAAAATGTGTTTCCAGAGCTCGACAAGCTCAACGGCAAGCGTGTCGGCATCATCGGCACGGGAGCCACGGCAATCCAGGTCGTACCAATTCTGGCTCGGCACGCGGGCGAGCTCTTCGTCTTCCAGCGGACACCGAGCGCGGTGTACCAGCGCGGACAGCGGGACACTACACCGGAGGAGTGGGACAAAATCACCCAGCCCGACAAATGGCAGTACGCACGCATGGAAAATAACGTAAAGAGCATCACGTGGCCGGACCCGCAGGAGGAGGACCTCGTCAAGGACGAGTGGTCGCGGCAGAAGGCCTACGCGGCCGCGGTGGGCGGGCCCGAGTACTCGCACGTCGCGCCGGAGCAGGTACCGCAGGTCATCGGGCACTTCCTTGGCCTCGACAACGAGAACAGCATACGCATGCGGGCCCGCATCGCCGCCATCGTCGAGGACAAGGAAACGGCCGAGAAGCTCACTCCCTGGTACCCGATCTGGTGCAAGCGCCCGACCTTTAGCGAGACGTACCTGCCCACCTTCAACAGGCCAAACGTACACCTCGTCGACACGGACGGCAAGGGCGTCAGCGGCGCCACCGAGACGGGCCTCACTGTCGGCGACAAGGAATACCCCTTGGACGTGCTCATCCTCGCCACTGGCTTCCTCGCCCCGAGCACGGGCAATGCCGATCCGGCCCTGCGGGCGGGCGTGAAAGTCACCGGAAAAGGCGGCCGCACCTTGTCCAACAAGTGGGAGACGCAAGGTCCCAGCACGCTGCACGGCTGCATGTCCAGCGGCTTCCCGAACCTGTTCTTCATCAACCCGGCCCAGGCGGGTGTCGCGCCCAACCAGGCGCACGCCATCGACGTGCAGGCCCGGCACATTGCCTGGCTCGCGGCTGCTGCGCACAAGAAGGCTCACGGTATTGTAGTAGGGAAAGTGGCTGTCGATGTCGACACGCAGGCTGAGGAGGCGTGGGCGATGCAGTGCGTCGCCGGGGCGGCGCGGTTTGCCACTTTCACCGTCTGCACGCCGGGATACATGAACAACGAAGGTACCGCGCTGGACATGTCTGACCAGGCGGCCCTATTCAGAACTGCGAGGGCTACGCCGATCACCGCGGGCCTGCTCAAGTACCAGGAGATCCTGCAAGGGTGGAGGAGCGAGGGTGCTTTGGCCGGGTTGGTTGTCACGCCTGTTTGATGCTTAGAGTTGGACCAAGCGATACATGTGTGTGTGGCTCTGTGTAGATGTGGCGGCATCAATGCTTGCGCAGATTAAACTAGAGCGGTCCTCTTCAAGGCGGATATGGATACAACGACAGCGGTTCCGTTTGTGGCGGTGAACAATGCTGACAATGCCTTGCGAGCCATCCTTCTGTGATGGGATGGCTGGTGATTTACATGTATACTTAAGCGTACCTAGTAGGCAGGTAGACTTTTGGTCCGATGTACGCAGAGTCTCAAAGAGGACAAATTTCTACTCCGTAGGAGCATCCCAGCGTTTGTTCCGATACATCTAAACTCGCCACTTCCACAAGCCCTTGCATGCCCCAAAATTCTCTTCCTCGCGGGGCACAACTTGTATGCCCTGTGACCGTTGCATGGACCAGCAAGCAAGGGGTAGTCGGTCCAACGAGGTGTCAGGCAAGAAGATCACATGAGGCCACCACCACTCTTTGCAAGCAAAGCGGATCAAAAACAAAGTCCCAGGTCGATATCATTACTATATCTCATCTCTTTTGTTAACAACAGGCTGCAACGCTCGCAGAGAAAGGACATTCAATAGGTATAAAAAAAAGACCAGTCATGAACACTCTTAGGAAGTGCCATCGACGACAACTACTGAAACCACCCGTTCGGCGGATCCATCGGCAAGTCATCCAATATCGACGAGAGGATGTGATTATTCGTCATCTGGAACCGCACCTGGTCCAGCGCGGCCGCATTTTGTTGCTGCTGCTGAGGATCCCCTTCTCCTCCTCCGCCTCCACCACCACCACCACCACCACCGCCGCCAATTCCGCCAACCATGTCGCCAAACCCAGTCAGCGTCATCCCCATGGCCTGCTCGAGCCCACCGGTCCCGCCGGCGAGGCTGCCGTAGTCCAGATCGGCCCAGTTCATGCCGCCGAGCATGTTGCCGGACATGAACGGCATGACGGACTGGCCGGGTCCTGCCATTGCTGAAGCCCCCGCTACATCACTGCCGCCTGCTGGGGGAGTCGCGTTGGAGTTGCTGTTGCTGTAGCTGCCGGTATTGTTGTGATTGTTGGTGTTGCTGCCATAGTACGATGGCGTCGTTGCCCAACCCGATTGTTGCTGTTGTTGATATTCCATACGTGACTGGTCCGGCGTGCCTCCCGTGGCGACCTCTGAGAGGAGCTGTAGCGGTGTGCTGGCCTGGGGATACTCTTGTCTTGCCTGTGGGTTCTGCTGCTGCGGTTGAGGGATTTGTTGCTGTTGCCACTGGCCTGAGCCGTGTTGCTGTGGCTGATGTTGTTGTTGGTGATATTCGTGGGGTAGTGGCTGACCGGTTCTGCTTGCCGATCCATCCCGGCCAGGTGGCCCCTTGTCACTCGCCTTGGGATCCTCCGGGTTGCCATTCTTCGCGCCCTCCTGCTTGCGGAACCAGCCACTGAGCATCATGAGGACTACCAGAAACTTGCCCGCTGGTCGCGACTTGTCCGAAGCCGCAGTCTCGCGGAACTTCTCCAGGAGGCGGTCCAGGTAGCTCTGCACCTTCATGTCCTCTTTTCTAAAGACCTTGCCTAGCTCCGAGTTGGGCGAGCTCGCGCTAAAGTACATCTTGATGAGGACCACGACGGCATAGGCCACACGCACAAAATTGAAGATTGGGAGGCAGCGGATTGCGCTGGCATCCATAGCCAAGAACGTCTCGAAGATTCCGTCAATGGCGGTCAGACATGAAGACAGAGCGCTGATGTGTGCTGATGTCAATGCCTCGCTAAGCGCTAGGATCGGGTCTCGTAGAGCTTCGGCGTTCAGTGGTGGGCGAAACTCGTCCGCCTTGTCGACATACAGTGCGATTTCGTGCATGTATAGGCTGATGACATGGAACGCGAGGGTGATCGAGGCTACAAGCATGTTAGCAGACGTCCATTCATTCCGGACAACCCCGAGACTACGCTGCATGACTTACGGCGCCTCTCTTCGGCAGGGATAGCATCCCTGTACTTGATGATATCTCGTTCGAAGCCTTTGAGGGCGTACTGCACTTTGGGCTCCGAGACGTCGACATGAATGCTGGGGTCGTCCATGGAGAATTGGACCCCAATCTCCTCGGCCAGGCGGTGGGTCCATACTAGGTGGCAGAGGGTCCTGTCTGTCGGGGCTGCGTCTGGAGACGTCGAAAGCTCGTCAAGACATTCTTGCATGAATGAAGTCCACCGAACTAAGTTTGGCCGATGGAGAGCCATGGAGACGTTGGACGCGAGGAAATAGCAGCCCAGCCACGTCCGCCGTGACTCTATCGAGGTAGGATCAGGCAATGGGCTCTTGCGGAAGGGGTGATCGCGCCATGTATACGGGATGAGCCGCGACTTGGCATTCGCCTTGCGCTTGCCGAGTCCAATGTCGATGGCCATGACGGCAGCCAAATGGACGTACTGATAGAACTTGAGCTCCTCAAAGTGCTCGGGCGGGAAGTACCATATGACCCCGACGAGAATGGCCTGCACCAGCTCCATGCTCTTCTCGCCAATAATGACGACCCTGTCTGCAATCATCTGCGTGAACTCCTTGACAAGGACTCTTTGGATGTCGGGCATCTCAGATGCGGCGGCGGCCAGGACGGCGAGGAAGAGGTGTGGCATCGTCTTGCGCAGGTGCTGGACCGTCATGTCAGGCGCAAAGATGACCATGGGCAGGTGCTGTGCCATATGCTCGGTGTACCTGGCGAAGAGCTCGGCAGCCACCTCGATGGAGAGGATGCCGCGATCCACGACGTCAGCCACTTGTTGATTTGGATCTCGAGGTGGCCTTGCCGGAGGAGGTCCCGTCCCAGGCCGCTGTGATGGCACATTCGAGGTCTCGTCCGAAAACTTGCGCTTCTGGCCGCTTGAAGCCGGCGCCATACCGGGGGGTATGATGGCATCGCCAATGCCTATTCCGCGTCCCAGTAAATGCCGCGGAGGCTGTTGCGGGGGAGGAGGATCCCAGAATGAGGGCGAGGCTGCGCTCTGGCGGTGGTCTGTCGAGGCCGAGCGGCCCAGACGCTCATGGGAGGAGCTGCCATAGCGGGTTGGATAGGCATTGTCGCCAGCAGAGGCAGCAGCGGGGAGTGAGGGCTGTAGCGGGGAGGCGCTGGGCTGCCCTGGGACTCTAGAGGCCTGGAGGGTGGCCGTGAGGGCGTCGATCTTCTTTTCGAGCTCGGCGACGCGACTGTCGGTCTTTTTCTGGCGCTTGCGGGTGGGCTGGGTGATGACACAGCTGCGGCCGGCTTTTGCACAGCGCCTGCAGGGGCTGTCGATGTTGTTTGGGTCGGGCTCGCACTTGACCTTGAGGCCGCGGCAGGCCTCGCAGGCGCGGGGCTTTTTGGGGTCGTTGGGGTCGATGGGATCGTGGGCGTCGTCGGGGCCGTGCGGGGTCGCGTCGCGATGGGGCGAGTCGCCGTCGATTGAGTCGTCGCCGGCGTCGTTCATGGCGGCGGTGGATGAGCTGTGGCTGGCATGGCATGCCCTGATGGTGGAGGACGAGATGGACGGGCGGGCTGTGGCAAGCGCCGTGATGCCGGCCGGAGCGGTGCTAAAAGTGTCCGTACCCCGACGAGCAGCCTGGACCCACTTGCCCCAATCCTTCTGAGCACCAGATCAACACTGGACCTGGAGACACACCTGCCTGCCCTGCGTTTGTTGAGGTGACAAAGCCATCATCTTGGTACTCATCCCGCCCACTGCCATCACAGAGCCACCTCTAAACCTCTCGACGTCTCCATCTCGGATGCGATTGAGGGAACTACAAAACCTTGCGGTTCCTCTGGCGAGCAAGTTCTCCATACCGCGGTTCAATCAACAATGTACACTATGAAGGCGAGCCGCTGATGAGGCCTCAAGACAACGGCATGAAGCATTCACGGCAGGCCCAAGCTTGCATACTTCACAACGGCTCGCCATCCTGAATATCAAGTCTCCAGAACACGACGGCAAACAACCTGTGACTGGCAGAGGCCGAGACACTCATCGGCCGAGTCGGTGGGGCAGCTCCGCAAGACATCGGAGACTTCTCCGACCCCGTTGGCAGGTGGCTTCTCATTCAGTGCTCTCTGCGTTGATGGAGATTGTACAAGAATGATTGCATTCACCTCTAGAACCAGCTGAAGCTAGCACAAGCCGGTCACGATATGGACTCTCTGAATGCACGATGTCGACGCATGGAGCCCATAGACTACCCACAGGGCATCCAATGCTCGGCCCGCGATCAATGGCGGCAAGTTGTTACCCAGCCGTGTTGAGAGGAGGCGGTAAGCTGCATGACCATTCACGGCAACAGCCATCATTACCTCAGAGAGGGCTTGCTTGCCTTCTGGAGCACCATTCGTGTTTTACATAAAGGTAGCTGGCTGTACTGGCGCGACAACGGGATGTGAAAACCTTCCGCCTTGGCCTTCTCGATGGCGTCGAGGCCCGCAGTATACTTGTTATACTTCAGGCCAGGTGGTATGCATCTGGCGGCTCCGGGCATCCGAATGTCAATAGACATACTGTGTCTGGGCATGATTGTCGGCAACAACCGGCCGTTCGGTACAGCTGTCCTTGAGGATATGCAGAAATCCCTTGAAGTATGAACCTGAAGATGTGGTGCTTATCGTCAGACCGGTGCAATAGCGCGAGAGGCGGGTGCGTGGCGCTGTCGCTGCTGGGGCTGCCCGACTTCGCTGCCAAGGTGGCACAGCTGATAGCAGGCACAGTTGGTCCTTAGGCACCAGACTCGACTACAGGAAACAGCCACACTGCGCTTTGCAAAGAGCCATGCAGAAGGCAAACAAATTCCGATACAGCGGCTTCTGTCGTGGATCTGATGCAAAGAAGGTTGTTTTTAGTGGCCTCTTGACCCGGTAACCCCACAGAACGTAGGCGAGCTGTTCCCTGCATTCTGGTTAAACTGGAGTATAGTTAATACAGCGTTGCCAGCGTGCCTCAACGCAACAGCAACCACTCCTCCTCGAAGTGGTTTTCCCCCGAATTCGACCGGTTGCTGTATTGATTAAGCTATTTGTCACTCGCCCAATCTCCACCTGGGTTCGCCTGTAGGATCCTGGTCTGAGAAAGGACTGAGGTGCCACCATTCTTCAGTTCTCCGTGAGCCAACCTCCCAGATGCGGCGCAGGGTTACGGAACCGGAGAAGAGACGCTGGGACCTTGGTGGCACCAACACGTCCAATTTGTCAATAGTAATACATGAAAAGGCACCAACGGCGTGGTCAGAGGATATTCCAGCAGACGAATCTGGCATGCCTGGGCACATCTGGAGCGAGCTCGCGTGGGGCGGACGTCAAGTGCTCGCGGGAGCTGCTCTCCTCCCTCGCAGGATCCAGCCAGCTTCCAATATCGCCGTGCTCGATGTTGATCGGCATCTTTCCATGTGCTGCTAAGCACGTTGTGGTGCAACCTCGCCGGTAGTAACTCTTGGCTCGAAGCAGATGCAATCCGCAATCTGCGGCGCAGATGTTCACCCACGGCCTTTAACGCACAAGAAGCGCAGCACAGGTGCAACTGCCAAGAGAACTGCTTATCAGCTTGGACAATCCACATCTCTTTGTCTCCCGCACCGAGACAGCACTTGCCAGTGTCTTGGCTCCCGAAAGTGACTGAAAATCATCGGAACCTGAAGCCGATGCCCAGTCAACCATTCTCAGTCCTCCTGCCGGCCGGAATGTCCACGGCGGCACGAGTCGATCGGCAGCTCCGATCTGACCCGCGCACGCACCGCCCGGGGTATACCACTGCCAGTGCGGCAAATGCTCCGGTCTCGATGCAGAAATGGGAAGAAATGACGGCGTGTTTATAACCTTCCGACGGGTACAGACTTCATAAAAGACATGCTCGCTCTTGCACCCAGGACTTCCATTTGCAGACCGGCCTCACCTAGACAGCCCAGCAAACGTGTTGTTCAGTCAAGACAACACAGCACGCGTTACATTGTCAAGATGGCCATCTCCGCGGCCCCCGAGCCAGAAGTCACCCGCGATGAGAAGCAGAAGGCTTCAGTCGAGATGCACATGGACGATGGCGACAATCTGAAGCGAGCTGATGGCGAGGGGCCTGACTTGCGTGAGTCCTCATTCTACAGCCCATATTGACTCGAGAACAGAACATCCTGATTTACAACATGAGTTGAAAGGCTAATCAAGTCACGAGGCATCAGTTGCCGTTGAGGACCAGTATACCAAGGAGGAATATCACAAGCTCAAGCGCAAGGTCGACAAATGGCTCCTCCCCCTCATGTGGGTGTGCCACGGCATTCAGATGGTCGACAAGACGTCCATTGCTATGCAGGCCGTCTTTGGTCTTCGAAAAGACACTGGGCTTGTCGGACAGCAGTATGCTTGGTTAATGGTGAGTATGGGCCATTTCGTGGAATTCTGCATCAAGTTGTGACGGCCTCAAAACTGACAGAGCATGTTCATAGTAAGCCAATAATCACAACACAACATCACAATACCGCCTGGGACGTCTAAGGCTAACGAGAAACACTACAGGACGGTGTTTTATATGGCCTACATGGTTTTTGAGTACGATTCTTGACTCTTTCCGATTCTTGCCACTGAATCTCACCAGACCAACTGACACCTGCACTAGATTCCCGTCAACGGTCATTATGCAGCGTTTCAAGATGGGAATGTCGCTGTCACTTTGTAAGCCTTGCATATTTACCCCGTGTTGCTATCACTGCTACCGAAGAGTGCTAATGCCAATAAAAATTAGACATGATTATCTGGGGTGTCTGCGTGTTGGGAATTGGTTTCTGCCAGAACTTTACCCAGCTCTTGGTATTGCGACTCTTACAGGGCGCCTTTGAGTGCTCCATCTCGCCTGGATTTCTGCTTCTCGTTGGAACTTGGTACACTCGCCGCGAGCACACCTCTCGATCCCTCATCTTTGGCTCCTCGAACGCTGGCTTCGGAGTCATCGCCAAGCTAGTCATCTACGGCATTGGCGTCGCCACTCAGAACAAGACTGGCTTGCAGCCATGGCGCTACATCTCGTTTTTCCTCGGTGGCCTGACCATCCTGGCTGGCACAATCTGCCTCTTTGTGCTTGGTACTCCCGCCGAAGTACGTTGGCTCACCGAAGAGGAGAAGACCATGGCCCGCGCCCGCGTCATTGGCAACAACACCGGCCACGACACCACGGCCATCAAGTCGTTCAAGTACAAGCACATCTACGAGTGCCTCCGCGACCCATGCTTCTGGTTCTCCGGCATCAACGCCTTCCTCGGCTCCGTCCCCAACGGCGGCGTCACAACCATGTCGAGCATCCTGATGACCACCTTTGGCTTCACCAACCTCCAGGCTATCCTCATCGAGATCCCCCGCTCCGTCACCTCGGTCGTGTACTTTCTCATCGTCGGCCTCGTCACGTCCAAAAAGGCCGACCTGCGCCTGTACTTTATGCTGTTCAGCTGCTTCCCCTCGCTCGCCGGCTTCCTGGGCATGTCGCTCCTCCCCAACGACCCGGCAATCAAGTGGCAGAAGTGGGCGTGCTTCTACATCACCGTGCCCTTCGTCCTGACGACCTTTCTCGCCTGGACCCTGATCCCGTCCAACGTCGCGGGTCGCACCAAGCGCACCCTGACCTCGAGCTTCACCTTTGTGGGATACTGCGTCGGCAACATGGCCGGCTCCCAGATCTACATGGAGAAGGACGCCCCGCGATACATCCCGGGCACCGTCGGCTGCGTCGTCGCGCACGCGATCCAAATCGTCCTGGTCATCGCATGGAGGCTTGTGCTGGTCCGCCGCAACAGGACCCGGCGCCAGAAGATGCAGCTCGACGGCATAAGCGAGGAGGAGCGTGTCCGTCGGGCGAAGCAGTTCGGCGAGCAGGACTACACGGATTTTGAGAACCCTTACGTAAGTCATCTGAAAGCACAAGCCAGCTCAAGACCCTATGTACACGAGAGAGAAAGGGAGGGAGAGAGAGAGACCATCCTGCTGACTCTTGCGTTTGAACAGTTCTTGTACACATTGTAGATGTACACGACTAAGGATGGGTACAAATATGAGGGTAACAGAAAGACGAGGATTAGTTTCATGCTGGTGGCCGGGGGCAGCTGTCAGGATATTAGCATCCCGAAATTCCCCGTTGCGCCTTGCTGGGAGTAGCAGGGTAGACGAATAGTTGGAGAGATTGTTGACTGGCGAATAATTCATAGTCACCAGGACAAGATGCTTGATGAGGTGATGAGGATAATGATGATGATTGAGACGTTACCCCTTCACCGCGCTCTGACTTTCCCAGTTACTGTGGCGAAAGCATCGTAGCGTCCTTCCATGTGATCAGCACCCTGTAACCTCGCTGGTAATACTCCTGTTTCTCTTTGACAGGGTTCACTCTATAAATATTCTACATAAACCGGGCTGAAAGCCTCATCTTTATTGAAATGGCTCCCTTCGCACCTGCGGCTCTTAGGATCCGGATGACATCGCGATGTCTGTTTTTGTAGGCCCACCAGAGAGCAGTATGACCGTCAGGATCAGATGCTTCTACCTGTGCCCCATGTTCCAAAAGCAGTTTGATGGCATCTCGACTGTCTTGTGAGGCGGCTTCTATGAGAGGTGTACGCCCCTGCTTGTCGCGATGTTCTCTGTTTGCGCCACGGCTGAGCAGGATTCGGATAGCATCCCGGGCAGCATCCTGGTCAGCAGTCCGGGCAGAAGCCATGGAAACCTTCACAGCACAAGACACAGCATAATACAACGCTGTGGATCCAGCATGATCAGCAGCCTCAAGCTGGGCACCTCTGTCTAGGAGGAGTTCGAGTACTCGGCAACGGTTGTCTTCATACACATAACCGAGCTCCTCAAACTGCGCACCTCCGTCCAGAATGAAATGCCGTATTCGCAAATCGTACGGATATGGGACTAGAGCATAATGCAAAGGTGTGCGACCAGAACTGTCACGCGCTTCAATTTGTGCCCCGTACTTGAGCAATAATCGAACTGCAAGTACGTGTCCGCTGCGTGCAGCCCAAGAAAGAGCTGTAAGCCCGTTGTCGTCAGAAGTCTCAATCTGTGCGCCATGGTCGATCAGAGCTTGCATCACTTCTACATGGCCTGCCAACGCAGCCAGGGAGAGTGATGTACGTCCATTGCCGTCAGTGGCCTCAACTTGTGCCCCATGATTGATCAGAGCTTGAAGAACATCTGCGTGGCCGGCAGATGCGGCCGCGCAAAGAGCCGTGCCACCGCCAACTTTGGCCTGGTATGTGCTCGACCCATACTTCAAATCCGAAACTCGGTCCTGTGCATCAACAAGCGCACCGTGGGAGAGAAGTGATTGGACGATCTGTGTCCTATTCCGCCAAGCCCAGCATGAAAGAGCTGAAATTCCATCTTGATTCTTCACGTCAGGTGATGTACCTTGCCGAAGGAAGAGCTCGACGATGCCTGGGCTCTCAGCCTCCCAGAAGGCGAGATCTCGGCACTTCTGGGCAGTTGTCGTTCTGGGACTATGACTCAATAAAACTTGTATGATATCGGTTTTGCCAAGGTGCACAGCTTTTTGAAGTATGTTGATATCTGGTTGCTTTGAATAAGGGTACTTCCCAGCGCTCGCGCCAATATTGGCGTTTCGAGTAACCAGAAGATAAACGATGGCCTGGGCTTCGGCCTCAACTGCACACAGAAGTGCTGTGCGGCGATCGGGGTCCACCGCATCAATCTCCGCATCGTGGTTTAGAAGTAGTTCCACGGCATCGTGGTGACCCTGCTTGGTGGCCCGAAGAAGTGCCGTGTCACCGCTTGCATCGACCTCGTTCACAGGATGTGCTCTCGAAAGCAACAGTTTCAACTGCGCACAATCACCTTCGAAAGCGGCCTTAGTTAGAGGGTTGAAACTCGTAGTGCCGTTCTGCTGCAGAAACCTGGACTCAATCCCAGAATTCGCCCCATACTGAATAAGAAGCCTAACAATTCTGTCGTCTCCGCGTCGAGCCGCAGTTGAAAGAGGCGTGGCTTTAGCCCTCCCCGTCAGATAGCTAAGAAATGAGTTGTTTTCGATGAAATTTGCGTCCGCGCCAGCCTCGAGCAGCATTTCAACAATGTGATGGTGGCCGTGCGTTGTAGCACGAATCAAGGCTCTCCCCTTGAATAGGGAAATACGATCGAGCATCTCAGTGCTATGGAATGTTCTGGCCTTGGCCTGGGTCTCGGAAATATGCGATTTCAGGATAGTTTCGATAAACGCGGCATGTCCGTGTCTGCTCGCAAGCGCCAATGCTCGGCCTACATCCCACCAGTTCACCCGCCGTCCAGATCCAAGAGGAGGCACGATCAGATGAATCAAGGGATGGAGCCCGAAGTAGGCCGCAACCTCCAATGGGGTTATCGGTTTATCATCGTGCCTATCGACCGCACAGTTAGATGTATGCACGCCAAGCCAGGATTCCTGTTGCACACAGAGTGTGTGCGCCATCGAGTCAAGCTCATTGGAAGCCTGGGTAGCTCCATGTCGATAATGTTCTGGCCAATGAAGCGCTGCATATCCCAGAAAGACAGAATCCTGCAATGGTTCTCCTGTAATGTGGATTCCTCGAACCTTTGGTCCTAGCGTCGAGGCTGGCTGAAGTAGCAAGTATCGCATGCAGAGATCCGCAAGCACTGCATGTGCGAGACTGAGGTCAACGGCATGCCGCCATTTCAACCGCTGGACGGTCCAGGAAGATGGACGAACGAGGAATTCCCTAGCAGTCTGGTGCAATAGAAATAGTCGCTCATCTACAACGACAATGAATAGACCGCACAAGTCCCGTATCTCTTGTTGCAGCTGGGTCGCGTCGGATACATCTGCCTCAAGCTCCTGATACGCATGATATTCCTTCCCGCCAAGGGCCAAAGCAACAGCCATTTCTCGCAAATGAAGCGGCCTCTCTGCTGCTACGATTATTTGTAATACCGTGAGAACTTGTGCCGGGTTTTCACTCTTTGACAAGATCCCATCGTAAGCCTCGTCCAATTCTTGCGGCAATGCTTCGATTGCTTCTTGCAGCGCGTATTGGTTGAGGAGGCTCGCTTTGTCCAGATCTGCGAATACCAGATAAACCCAAAGATAAGTTCGATTCTCAGAAGCGGCCATGGCTGCCCGGAGTGACTCTGCCTGCGTGGAGCTGAGCTGGCGTAGCTTCGTAAGCTGTGCTATGTGCTGCTGAATGACCACGCTGATTTCTTCGGATATCTGATTCGCTTCCTCCTTGCTCTCACCGCTTAGATGTATCGTTGGCTGTACACCCTCCAGTGTCGCGAAATCCGATCGGATTATGCGGTACGGTCGGCTTGTGGCGATGACCTTGAGACGATGTGTTCCTTGCCCTCCGACAAATGTGGCAGTCAAGGCCTCGATGAGCTGCTTCGAATCAGAACACTCGTCTAATGCATCCAGAATGCATACGATCTCCCTCGCACAGCGACTTGCTACATCAAGCAGTAGGCTGATTAGGTCTTTCGCCGATTCAATGAGGAAATCGCCGTCCTCTTGAAACTGTTTGAGGACTTCACTCGATAACAGAGACGGTTCCTGCCGAAAGAGCTGATGCAGTATGCAGCGCAATGCAATACTGAGTGTCCTCTGGTCCTCGAAATCATCCTTGAAGAAGAAATAGCAAACGATTCTGTCATCGCTAACAGGCAGAACAGCGTCAATCAGGTACCGCGACAGGACGGACTTTCCGCATCCTGGGTCGGCGGATACCCAGAGCAGAGCCGATCGCTGGCGTCGCCAATTTTGGAAGCGCGTGTGCCTGGTAAACCACCCGCATGTTCCTTCAGCGCGCTGAGGATTCCGGTTCTTTCGTTCTTCGTACGGGCAGGCGCGCAGGCGCTGGAGAAATGAGATCCGCAGCTGCTCTGTCTCCTCTCGGACCGCCTCGCTGTGGATGTGTAAATGTCGGTGGCTGTTGCCGACATGAATTCTCGCATCGCCGCTGGCTGTGATTGAGCCGGTGGAGTTGAAGACATTAGAACGACTGGTCGCCATTGCGACCAGCCTGTGGTAGTCTCAGAAATGGTGAGGAGTATCAGGGAGGAAGATCGGAAGACGCGCGAGCGGGGAATTTTGCAGACATGTTGTGCGCGTTTCCTGCCAGTCTGCCTTGCTCGCGGGCGCTATGTTGCCAGGGACCTGGGATAGCGGCACGCATAAAGTAATCAGCCTTATCTGAGCCCCTGGACGATTGGCTAGTGCGCCTTGCATTGAGTCCTGCCTTTTAAACCAACCAACATACTGATAACAGGCAGCTATGAAACCCATCCCGGGAATTGATCAGAAGCGTCCTCGGCCATCTTGAAACCACACCCACATGCTACACTTGTCGTGTAAGTTGATAACAAGCTCCCGCAAAGGACTTCCAGCGAGAACGAGTTATCAAACTCAAGCCCAAGTCAATCATCGTACGAATCTCTACAATGATAGAAGCGGGGACTGGCCCTCGGTCAACAGAAACAGGCTTGTGGCGTCCATAGCTGGCATCACTGCCACTTTGAGCACGCTCGCCAGGTCTTGCCAATTTGATCAAGCACGCCTGCTGTATCATACTCTTCTCTTTCACCACATCCTCCACTCGCTATACTCAATTCCCACCGCGAGTTTCCAAAAGAAAAAGAATATATACTAGTTGATCAATCCCAGAGACTGCCACCACCATAGCTGTTTCCCACATGCAGTCTAGAATCCCCCGCCATGTCGGCATTGTCTACTTTGTTATCACTCGGAGCTGTTCTGAAGCCCGAGTTGGCCTTCACCATTGCCTCTATAGCCCAGTGATCACCGGCTTTAGCACGGGCACGGTCTATAGCCTTGAGAGTCCCAATGTGGTTCCGGCTGCTGAGAGCAGAGACCCTGTCCGTCACCACCTCTTGGAGCACGGCATCGACCCCTGAGGATGCATCCTGGAGGAGCATCAAGCTCGGCACATCGTCGTCCATCTCCTCGATCTCGATCTCTACCAGCCGACGAGGAACGGGTTGAGTCATAGTCAGCTTCTCCAAGCTTCCGATGAGCTCGGCGATCTCTACGATGAGCCTGTCGAAATCCTTGGCGTCGTAGAGCGCCCAGGCGGCTTTCTTCGCGAAGCTCGTCCCCTTTTGGAGGGTAGCGATGCGAGCCAACAGCCTCTCGTGGGTTCGACGACCTGTTTCCGTCAGACTCGTGGCTGGATCGCAATACTCGAGGTTTGAACCATCGGTCAATTTCGACAAGGCGTATCTTTCAGATACCTTCTGGGCATCCTGGAACAGCAACATAATTGCTTCGAGGATGGTGCAGACACGTTGCGACTCGTCATCCTGCGGCATGACCAGGTTGTATCTCGGCGTGCCGGTGATGTCGACTGCGTTGCCCCAGCGCGCCAAACGGGTTCTGGCAATGTCGAGCTTGAGCTGGCACCGCTCAAAGTCGCGCGCAAAGTGCCGCCCGAGCTTGATGTACCCGAGCGTGTCGACTGCGTTGTTGAACAGGGCGGCCACGCTCATTGCGCCTGCGACAGTGCCAAAGACTTCAACCATGATGAAGATGAATGCATCATGGCAAAAGAAAGGCTCGACAAGAACCGGCTGAGAGCACAAAAAGCCCGTCCACTGGCAGGAAAGGACTCTGCGCTCATCAAGGCTTCCGCTGATCTGAGCTGTGGCAAGCCAGCCTTCGCCAAGCCATTCACTTTTCCAAAATCCTTCCTGTTAATGACAGCAGAGTCGTCTGTTGCCTCGTTTTCCAGGACGACTTTGATGTCAGATTCGCTGAAAAGTGGGACTCAATGCAAACCCCGTCAACTACACTAAGTATTTGAATAGGGGCCATTCTTCGCTTCTAAACAACCAAAAGCGATCACACAATCTAAGGACGGTCATAACTAGTCTCATCTGCGGCTCAAATGATGTGCAAAGGCAAAGTTCCAGGAGCTGTCCGTTCAAGGTATGGTTACCACCAGTGTATGACGAGATGGTCCTCCTAGCACTGGGCCTTAAAGCCGTCCGGAAATCAAGGGACGGAAAAGAGGGGCCTAAAGTCTTCCCTAACAAGTCATCCTCGCGGCGCTTTCGTCGAGAAAGATCTCCCGCAACTACCTCGCCGCCGGGTCGAGAGTTAGCTAACCCGTGGAGACCGGGCAGCCGATTGGGCAGCGCTTCTATCCAGGGCTAATCTCAACAATTCCCCTTTTTTCTGCCTCTTTGTAGGTTTCCCAGATACTACGGCGAACACATCGTATGTAGGATCGGATCGACTATGCACCACGTGTTCAAGCTCAGAATCACACGGCGTGACAATGACGGGGGTTCTTGCCTTACCCATAAAGGTCAACGTGGTTCGTGACAAGGTTGCAAGTGGCCATAAAGTGTACGCAAAATCACTTTAACTTAGTACGTTGCTAAATCTCTCCACTCGAAGACATGTCTACACAACATTGGCACGGGCGCGTTGCAGGGACAAGGAAGAGTCACGAATCATCTCATATCAATGTGCATACTGTTTTGTACTGTGCTTTATTGACAAACTGCCAATGAAGTTTCCACTCCTGCTCGGCAGTAAAACTGCTATCCGGCCGAAGAAACTTCATGTCAAAGAATGCACCTTGGCTTTCTGCCAGGTCATGTCCAGTCTTGATCAGGTACGCCCACGCCACAATTGAAAAAGAAAACCATGCGCCAGCGCCAAATAAACATGCCCATGCAAGTAACGACGTGGCGAATGCGCCATTTTGATGCGAGCGCTTCCCAAATACAATCCCTGGCCTGATTTCGTCATGTCTCTCGAGAGGACGGGACGTCGTGATGGAACCTGATGGACGGATGGTCTGGTCGATCGCACAGCGCCTCGTTGATCCACTCAGGGCTGGGCAGGCAGATCGGCTTCTTCCTGCTACGAATTACCATAGATAGCCTTTTCTTGCACCCAGTGAGGCTGTGTGTGAAGGACTACCACAAGTTTCGTCGGTCTGGTTCGGGCTGGAGCCATGTCATGGGTTCAATTGCCCAAATTGTGCTGTCAAGCATGGAGCGTACAATACCAGCGCCGTAACACCAATGCTACATTGCGCGCTTTCGTCTGGAGTTTGATAGATTTTTGTCGATGAAGATCCACATTCTTCAATCCATGTAGAAGTCGCCCTTCAGGATCCTCTCCTGCATGGCATCTGGCCGAGGCCGCTCTGGTTGCTTGGGCTTGATGGCAGCAGCCTGCTGTGGCGGGGCTGGCATGTCCGATACTGATTTGGCACGGTCCTGGGATACAGAACCACGGGGTGGTGAGGTTGAGAAGCTCGTTGAAAATGAGGGTCGAGCACCAGCGACGGAGCTCTCGGCACGAGATCTAAGCTGTTCAGACCAATTGTAACCAGTGTCTGAGCGGCCGTAAAGCATGTCAGAAGGAGTTCTTGCGGTGGTTGTATTGCTTGCCTGAGAAATGCTTGGGCTTCGAGCGGGAAAGGTTGTGTTGGAGACACCTCTGGGTGGTGAGGGGCGTGTGTTTCCTGAAGAGACGCTCCTACCATTTGGACTGCCGGAGCCTGGGCGCGGGGTCCGCATGGACGGAGCCCCGAAGCTCATCCGACGAGTGAAAGGTGTGTTTGGCGGGTTCTTGGCGTACTCGTCTTCTTCGACAGCGTTCTCGTCGATGGCGTCAGAACTGGTGGTCGAGATGCTTCCTCGGCGGACACTGAAGGGAGCTGTTGTGGGGTTCTGTGCCCCAAGCCCCAGCGTGGTAACAGACAGTCGCCGACGCTGGTCTCGGGCAGAGACTGATGTGGCAGATTCTCTGCCATTGCCGTTGCCGGCTGACATTGAGTTGCTGCGCTGGAAGAGGTTGGTGAAGGCCGCGGTGGTGACAGAGCCTCTCCGGCCCATGCCGTTGGAGCTGGAGTCGCCCGACATTGTGAATGGGTGAGTTGTACTATGCTGTTTCGATTTGTCTGGGCAATAATGAGGCTTGTGTCTGCTGGCGAACTTGATTATCTGCAGAGTACTGTTGACCGTTGATGGTTTTGTGTGTGTTGTATTGTGATGACCGGGTTGAGCTGAGTTGTTGTAGGGGAAGGCTGTCCCAGAGAGATGGTTGACAGGGTGGTGAGCGGGATGGGGTAATAAAGAGGGATGATGCTTGGGTGTGGGGAAGACCCGCCGCTAAGAGACGCACGCGCGGTAGCTGTCGTGGGTCAACGAAGGGTGGGCTGATGTGCGGGCTCGTGGCACGATTGGAATCTTTGTAGCAGATGGGGTGGGCCAGTGGACCACCCAAAAGGCTTGACTCGTGGGAATGCAGCGGTGCCCTGGGCGATCGCTGGCGTTGGCCCAGATGCTAAGGCCCGTGGCGTGGTGCCTATCACAGACGGGTTCGTGACGGAGGCTGGGGCCGTCTTCAATGACGACCTAGGGACGGCGTTGGCGTGGTGGCCCTGGGTGATCAGGAGGGCACTTTGGAGCGTCCGCAGAGTAGACTGTTCGAGAGGCTGAGGAGCAGTCCAGTAATGTTCGTGGACACGAGGTGTCGAGTCGGGCAGCCGAGCTTGCGTTTAGTGCTGAAGCGGGTTGGTGTCGAATTTGAGTTTCAATGTGGGGTGTTGCTCCGGGAAGGACCTCATGGAGATGGTCGTGGTGCCTTTGTTGTGAGACAGGGCCTGACACGTTTGGGTCGGCTGTATGTCGTGGTGCGATTGGGGTCGTGCGATGGCAGGCTGCGAAACCGAGAGAGGAGAAGGAGAAGGAGAAGGAAAAGGAAAAGGAGGAGAGGAACGGATGAGAAGGGAGAAAAGATTGGACAGGTGCAAGCAATCCAGTGGTGAGACGCGCAGAAGTTTAAGCAGGTGCAAGTGCTGAGGAGATGCGCTTGCGAGACGTGGAGGCTTTGGACGGGCAGGAAAAGGAGGGTGGGATCGCTTAGGTGGTGGTGGTGAGAGCTCTGGGGCATGTGTTGAGTGGGCGCCGCCCTCCCTCACCGTGCTCAACCTCCTCGTCCTCCTCCCTGCACGCATCTGCAGCCACATTGTTTTTGTCTTCAGAGCGAGACTACAATACGCAATGGGTCACAGATAAGCACAGAAGATCCTTCCTGGCTGGTGCCGGGAGACTCCCCATGCCTGCTGATCTGTGCGCTGCTGTCTGCCGCTCCGAGCCAAAAAGAAAAGGCTTGCTTTATTGCCCAGCGCTCACTGCCAAATCTGGCTGGAGCCAGGGGCGAGCACAGCCTTGCAAGTCCCTGATGGCGGTGGCGGCGAACATTGCAGAAGGCCCAGCGATCCGGACAGGGCCTGATCTCCAGGGGATCTGTTGCTTCACAGCAGGTAGGGGAGAGCTGCCCGTCTCCCGACCGCCTTTCCACCACAACGGCCACGCACCTGGCCGAGCTGGCCATCGTCGCCATCAGTACCTCAAGTACCACCTCCGCAGGTAGAAGGAGAAAATGAATGCTTCAGAGGGTGATTGTTGATGAGAATCCTTGCCTCTGCTCGTGCTGTCTCATCCCCAGGACCTCCTTCTGATTGGTGGGTGCCACCTCCGTCATTCTTTGTCGTGTCACCGCCGTGGTGGTGATGGCACAAGCACTGAGCACTCGCTCGAGTTTATCAGGCCTGTCGTCACTCACACACACACCCCATCAGCCTGTCAGCCCCCCATCTCCCACTCTCCCACTCGGCCAGCCATCAGCAAGCCAGCCAGCGCGAGGCGGCGCCGGGCCACCCACAAACGGTCTGGGCCTGCCCATCCCTGCCGCAAGCGTGCAGCAGCAACTCAGCATTCGTGACGTAGCGCCCTTGCCTGCCACCCCACAGCAATGCGGGGTACTGCAGCCCGCGGAAGGTGCCCCCGTGCTTCCTGGGGCGTCAAGTGCGCCCCTCAGACCCGGACCCCTGCCTGCCCCCCGCCACGCGCTCAGACCAGATAACTAGATCAAGCTCGATCGCACATGGCTTGAGCAGCAGGGCCCCTTTTGCCAGAGAGCGACGGCTCGTGGAATGACATGTGCATCTTCTCTGCCGACACGTCTCTGGACAAGTCTTTTCTAGATGCGAGCACGTATGGTCAACCCAGACCGTCGTTTCGTTATCCACAACGATCCATGAATGTCCCACGCCAGTCCCACCGTCCCACGCTTATGAGCACATGGCATTCTGGATCGTGCAACCTTGGGAAACTCGTACAACCTTCTCAAGAAGCTGGGCCGTTTCCCAAACTGGCCTTGCCATGCTGTTGATTTCTCACCAGATGGGCATTCAGACCAAACTCTGCCTCACTGGGACTGCCTCAATTTGCGCCCAGGGCCGGTCAGTTGGTGCGTCGTGCTCCTGGCCAACCCACGACAAGACGACTTCGCGAGCCCGAGGACCCGAAAGGTGCTCCTCGGTTTGCACGCTACGATATGCACCCCTGTGGCTTTTGCTGTGGGCCACGGGCTGACAAGACATCGACAATGCCATCTCCCTCCTCATCCTTGCTGGCTGTCCATGGCCAAGGAAGCCGCTGCGCCCCGGAACCGCCAAGCCACGGGACGGAACACACACCAAGCACCTCAGCTCCAGCTCACGGCCTATCATCATCTCCCAGTGCTGGCCCCGTCCCCATGTTGGCGCGTCTACCCCATACCCACCGGGCGCACACATTGCCAGGGTTGCTGTGGCCTGCCTGCCGGCGTGGATAGGGGGCCCGAGTCAAACGCCAGCCTGTCAAGCGCTATCGTAAGCAGGGAACGTCGGCACTAGCAGCAGCGTCACCTTCGCCCACCACACCATCGCCTGCTTCCCCGCATTCTCGGGCTGATCGCGCCCTTGTTGACACAAACTCTCTTGGGATGGCTCATCGGGTTGGGCCCCAACCAGACTGCAATGGCTCGAGGAAAGGGGGCAACGGGCCATTTGCCCAGCGTCACCAGATCCCTCTTGTCAATGCCGATCTGCCTCTGGCGTCATGGGCACAACTGCGAGTGCAATCATCGGGCGGAACCCACGATCCTCGTTACAACTCATGCATCGCGGCAGAATACCTAATCCTCGATGAGTATTATGGATAGTCCACTGCCCAACAATTGCCTCCTTATGTCCATCTTGCTGGAAGGGCAGTTCACATCGAGACACGGCCTGGAGGCATGGCAGCCAAGAGACGCGCGTATGGTCACATGCTCAGTCTCATCTTGTCTGAGCCCCGTTGCGAGATCATCGGGCTCGTTACTCTTTTCAACGGCACAAACAGTATGACAAACCCCCAATCTGAGACGGGCAGACAACTCCGCGGCGGGGACATGCTGGCCGGCGACTGAAAGGCATCTAGTCTGATCGACTGTTGTCTTGCCATCCTTATGGGTCGATCCTCACAGGGTCGTATCTGCAACACGGATAAAGAAGGTGGTGGGCCACGCTTGGCTCGCTTGGTTGTGCGAGCAACAGCAGGCCCGCTCCCTCTTTGCACAAGTGTCCTCTTCTAGTGCTTTACTCGACCTTTGAAACCATGACATGGGAGGTGTGGCATGTTATTGTCGTTGTGCTGTGGCCTTGGCGCAGATGTGTGTGGCTCGTCGTATGATGATGGTGGTGATTGCTGACACCTGGTGAAGCACACGGCATTGTTCACGTGCATGCCCAGGCAGCTTTGATGCAACACAAAGGAAATCCGCGTCCATCGAAGCTTTTTGAACAGGTTACGGGTTTTCCTATCATTTCACAAATCAGACAAAAGCGGCGTGAGTTTTGCAGCTCAGTGACTTGAGTGAACAGTGCCCCAGATTGTCATCTCATCTCATTCGACATTGTCCGTTGTGCGACGACATCTCACTCGAGCTGCGTCAGCTCGCGTAACACGATATCCGGGCAAATCCATAAATTCCTCGTCAGCAACATGACTCGCTCAGTGTTTGACAGCATGCCGAGTATTTCCACGTGAAATGTGGCTCGATGGGTGGCTGGTCCTGCCGTCGGCTTTATGCGTGTGCGACTGTATACTTCTTCGGTGACCGGCGCCTGTCAACAAAGACTTCAGAGTATGCGCAAGCACATCTCAGTTGGATGCTGTCCCTCTACGTCTTACTTAACACTGCAAACAACAACACTACACAGTACGGTGCGAGCAAGACAATATCCTTTGGTGCGAGCAGGGCAAGGTCGACGATCCTGTATTGCAAAAGTCTAGTTGAAGCCTTATCTAAAGATCTAACAAGAAGGCAAGGCTTAGGGAAATGCTGAATGTATGTCTTATCTGGCAGCCTTGCCTCGCCTTACCCACGCCAATGCTGCGCCAACGCGTCCGCAACCTCGGTGCTCGCCGTGATGGGGACTTCATGCCCGGCGTGCTCCAGGACAACAAAGTCCACAAGCCGGCAGGCACTCCCATCCGCATCGCCAGTATCAACACCATCACTATCATCCCCACCGCCCAGGATCGCAGTGATATCCTCGACAGTCTCGTCACGATCAATGACAGAGTCCTTGCCGCCGAGGATGACCAGGATCTTGCCCTTTGCTGCGAGACCACTCAACGACAACTTGTCACTCTTCTTCTCCTCCTCCTCCTCATCCCAGTAACGCCGAGCACCCTCATTCCCGTGTGAAACCTCTTGTTCCGCCGCCGCCGCCCCCCAGTTCCTCATGTCAGACTTATTATCCCCGCCACTAGCGCCGCCAGCGTAGCCAGCACCACGACGTTGTCCCAGCAAGATCCCCCTCAGCGCCCGCCAGTCCTCGTCGCCCCGGGGGCTGTAGATCGGACACTCGCGGATCGTGCTCAGGAACGCGCCCACGAAGCCGGCGTGCTGGTCGACCTGCCACTGCACGACAGATGAGACGGTCACCTCAGGCCGCCAGTGCCGGGACAGCGAGGCGCTGTCGAATGCGGCGCCACCGGTGGCGTCGCTGTTGGCGTTCCTTGGCCGGGTCGTGTCGTCGCTGCTTCGCTGTTGACTTTCCTGCGTGACGTTGCCGGTGGTGGTGGTGGTGATGGGTAGCTGTCGAGCTGCCGGGTTAGATGATGCGGGCGACTCCGCTGTTGTAACGACGGCTCCTTCTGCCATAAGCAGGTCCGCGACCCCGCTGACGCTGCCCTGTGTTACGTCGCCGACCGCGGCTGCTGCGGCCGCGGCATCCTGTGTTCTACTTCTTCCCCCTCTTCCAGCTGCGCTTGGGCCCGCCTCACCCATCACCAGCGCCTTGAGGCCATCTCTCGCACCACCCGCCGCATTTCCCTCTCCTGCAATCTCCCCGTGGCGCTCTCCTTCCTCATCACAGACCGGACGCTTGGCGCCCGGCATCATGGACGCATCTCCCTCGGTCGTACGAGGAGCAGGAGAAGACGGCCGTATGCGCCTCCTCACCAGCCTCTGGACAACCCACTCGGGCAACAGCCCGCTCTCGTACAGGAGCCTGCTCGAGCGGCCGATGTGGTGCCGCCTGATCAGGCCAGAGGTCGCGACGAGGTCGAGCGAGCGCAGCAGGTGCGGGAACTGCGTCGCGAACGACACGCACAGGCACCCGCCGAGGGAGTAGCCGAGGAGGTGGAAGCCTGGCGGGTCTTTCCTGATGCTGCTGCTGCTGCCGCTAGTGGTGCTGTTTTGGAAGGAGGAGGAGGAGGAGGAGGAGGAGGCGGGCGATGGGGTGCCGAGCCAGGAGAGCCGTGATGATGCGAGGACTAGGAGTATCTGCGTGGTGTACAGTCTTACATCGTAGGGGACGTTCTGGGGCGCATCAGAGTACCCTCTGCCAAAGAGATCTGGGAGATTGGAGTTGATGTTAGCCTGTGATGCCGAGGTGAGAGCATCTTCGTATCGTGACTGAGAATCGCCAGTCTGTCCATTCGGAAGTGACAGCAGCCATCAGTGCTTTCTTCCACGTCAAATGGCTCTCTCATGCCCGTAATAGACACGTATGACGAGGTGAGAGAAGCACGAGTCCAGGAACAGTATCGCCCCTATGGCGAATCTGATGCCAGGTCATGGGATCCGTGAGCTCTAAAATGCAGCCAGTATCCTGCCAAGCCGCCCTACCCCGGCCAAATCGCCTATATGCCAGCACAGTCTCGTGATGACAAATGACATTGAGCATCCCCTCTCCTTTGCTTAAAACAAAACAAGAGGAAGAGACAGGTTCAAACAGCGCACATAAAGCCCGAGAACCTAACCACATGCAAAGAACTCACCGAACAGCATAACGCGATAGCCCCTCCCCACAAGCTCCCAGCCCAGATCCCCAAGCGCGATGCACGGCGTGCTAATGCCGTGCACGAACAGTACCTTCTCGCCCGTCTCGGGCCCCCACTCGTACACCCTGATGCTCCCGTATGCCGTGGGGACATCTCTTGCACCAGGGAGTGCACCTGTGGGAGGATACGGGAGGCTGACGATTTGGGACGAGGAGAGATGTGGGATTTGGGTCTGGATGGGGGAAGCGATGTATTCCGTGCTTTGTTTTTCCGTGCTCGTGGTGGTGTTGTTCTTGTTGTTGTTGTTGTGGTTGCTGCCGTAGTCTCTGTAGAGAGTCCAGCCAAGACGCAGGGCCGCGCAGCTTGTCAACGCCGCCGCCGCCACTGTCACGGAAGCCGCTGTGCGGTCTCCATGTCTAGTGATCAATGCGCTCATAGTGGAAGGGGGATCGTCCTGTCGTGGTAATGACCTGTATGCAGGAATATGAAATTCTTAAAGCGCTGGTGCCGTTTGCTGCTGCCACTGCTGCCGCCGCTATCGGCACCTGTCTCCCGACTTCTCAACGCGATCACAGCCGTGGGTGCGTTGTCGTGGCCATTGCCATCATTGTATTCGTCGTCGTCGTCGTCGTCGTTGCTGTCGTCGTTCCAGTCAGCGCGTGTTGAAACGAGTGGGCGAATGAGAGGCGCCCCAGAAAGCGGTCACGCCACGTGGGGGTTTCGGCGGGTGGGTCCCACATTCTCGGCCCGCGGGACTCACGGGCCACCCGCCGGCGGTGGTTCCTTCTCTTGGCTCCGGAGTCCGGGGGAAGGAGGGTGCTCCACTCGGCCCGGGGTGGGGACTGTGTACCTGACTAACCCGGCCGGCAGCTGGGGCCGCTCCAGGAAACGGTAGGTGTTACGAGACCTCAAAACAAAAACGGCCTTTTGCCTTTTCAAGCATCACCCAAAGCAAGACGGAACTTTTTTGGGGGCTTTCCGCTTTCTCCGTTCTTGGCAGCTCGCTGTAACGGCAAAAGGTCCCCTGCTGCAGTGGATAAGCGCACTTTGACGGGTTTCCTGCCGATATGACGTTATTGCTACGCAAAGGCGCGCGCAGACACACGAAGGGGCCAAAAAGTCTCTCGATGGCGACGACGACGAGAGAAATCCACAATCTCGCAGCAGAAAGGAAAGGAAACAAAAAAATAAGTTTGCGGTGGTTTCCGGCAATGCAACATGGTCACGACCCAGCGCGGCCTTCAAAGCCCGACGAATCACGAGAGTGTTGAGCTAGCCGACCTCCCCCGCTCCCCCTGGTCTGAAATGCTGGAAGTGACAGCGTCCGGAGAAAGTGGCGACATACGTATCTGTCTCTGGCGGGAGGGGGGGGGGGTACGCAGCAGATCGCCAAGAGAAACCCACCAAACGGACATGGGACGAGAGAGATGGAGTGAGGTAATGGATAGGGTGGGATGCACACGCACTGAGGCTCGAACAGCGAATCGTCCAGGGTCCATTTGACAGAAGGAGCTAGCCCTGGCGGTACCTGCTGGGTGGAACCAGGGCTACTGTTCCCACGTGCTGTCACTGCTCACGAGAAGCGGGGGTCGTAGGTGGTATCGCCCACGGTACGTGAACCACCTGAACCAATATGGAGGCGGGGAGGGGCGCAACACCAGGTCGACGGTACTTGAACCGCTGCACCCGGGGTCGGGGGTCGCTGGTCATGGGCAGGGCAGGGCAGGGCAGGGCTGGCCTGGCCTGCCAGACGTCGCAGACCCTGCCTGGCGGAGATCCCCGAACCCAGGATGGCACCACGCACGCGCCGGGGCAGGATATCGCGACGATTCTGTTTCTGCTGCTGACTGTTCCCATGCAGGCGCTGGAGGAGGTGTGATGAAGGCACATAATATTGGGAGAATGCGAGGCCTCTTGCACCCCCTTGCTCTCAATGACTTGCAGCGTGCAGCACACCGCCACCGCTACCACCACCACCACCACCACCGACAACGTCGAGGAACTGGCGCTGGCGCTGGCGCTGGCGCTGGCGATCAACAACAGCAAGCAAACAAACAGGGGTGGGGGAAGGGGGAGGGGTTCAAGTCACAGTCTTTTCGTCGTCGCGCATGCCCTTCCGTCACTTAGCTGTCAGCTGCGACAGAGTCTGGCCATCACTCCATCGCCAGCAGGCAGGGGATACGGGCGGACCTTGCATGCACTAAAACCGAGACAAAGGACGCGCTAGCAACGACAAGGTTGGCGGACGAGGACGCGGCCAAAGTGTGCTTGCTTGCTGCAATGCATCGTGACAACCCGCGGAGAGGGATGAACCACTGCCGCCTCGTGCGCGAACTCTTCCAAGGCGCCCTACTGGCCGCGGTCCGAAACCCGCCGCGCTCGGGCGCCATAATTGGGCGGACGCCCCATGGAGACGTTCCGACGGCTCTGCGGGCTTTGGCAAGCTCCATACTGCTTCAGATCGCCTTGTTGGAGGGGGGGGAAGAAGGGGAGGGGGGGTCACACCACCTAGTGGCGGGAGCCTCAGCTCCATGCACCAGCGTTTCAGCACATACTATGAAATGCATGTTCCTCCCACAGGGTCCTAGTTCCAGCGCCACGCGCCAGGGGCAAGAAGGAGGAGGAGGAGGAGGAGGAGGAGGAGGACTTGGTCCTTTGTGCCGAGCTTGGGGCTGGCTGGCTGGCTGGTAAGCTGCAGCGGGGCTGATTTCGAAAAACGACTCGCGAACTGTTTTTTTTGATAAGAAGAAGGCTGGCGCGCGGGCGGGCGGCAGCCGGCCAGCCGGGTAGCCGAAAGGGCATGACATGATACGATGCAACTGTGGCTCCCGAGCATGCCGGCCCGGGGCAGTCGGAAGCGAGGCGCGCCCATCACGATTCCCCCCAGTGCCAGGCGCTGCTTGACCCAAAATTTCGTGATTGAATGCCCGCTGCTCGCAGTGCATTCGGTTCTGGAACTAACAGGGTAAACCTTCCATAATGGACCATGCCAAGTAGAGGAGAGCAATCGTCACATCACTGAGACGTGTCCGAGGCGGCGGCCTTGAGGAACGATGTCCATCTCACCAACAACTGCATCAACCAAAAGGAAAGGGCACGCAACAATACCCCATGTCCGTCGCAAGCCACAGATAAGGCAAAAACACGATTCAGGTCGTAATAGTCGGTTGTTTGGTTGTCGGTCATCGGTCATAGCCTCTCCCTGTCAGCCCTGGGACCCGCCCGTAAAGCGAGGGAAACACGGGTACAAAACCCCTATCTACCGCATGAGTAAGGCAGCAAACCACGCGCCACGCAGCCCGCCCGCCCTGGGAGGTGGCGCCGTTGCCGCGGAAGGCGCCCGCGCGGGCGCACCCTTCAAGGCCGCGGGACTCGTCGCCAGCGATCCGGGGACCCAGCGCAGCAGCAGCAGCATATCAAAAAAAATAAAGAGCCAGCTCCGACAAATCATCCCCCCCCCCTCCCCATCTCAAAAGCCCCGGCTCCGGGACGGGGTCCACGCCGGTCCGGACGTGACAGTGCAGAGGCTTGGGCATGGGCCATGGGCCATGGGCCGAGGGGGTCGTGGGTGGGGCACCCTAACAGCCGTTGGCAAGAAAGCAGCAGCGGCCCTCCTCTCCCCGCCAGGCGATCCGACTCGCCCACACGGCTCGGGCGTGTCTCCGAACCCGCAGTAGCCTCTCCTCGTCCTGTGCCTTTTTGTTCCCTGATGCACATCATCCGGCGTATCTGTCAGAAGCTGCAGCACGGCAATTGCAGCCACCACTTCCCACACCCCCTTCTTTCCGGGTCCTTGGGCTAGCCCTAGGCCCTTGCTGTTTTGTTTTGCTTCTTCCCCCACTATCGCATTCCCCCGCAGGCAGTCAGGCCCCTGCCCTCAGAGCAACACAAGCACGATCTGGGATAGGGTACACAAAATGACGGGAACACAACATGGGAACACAACATGGAACCCCCCCCTCCCCCTGCCTCTAGATTTTTGGCTCAGCTCGCGGAAATCATCGACCAATCACGCACTCCGCTGTCAAGGCACATTTTCCGAACACTCCTCCCTCTCATCCCACGCCTTCGGGATATCCAGCATCATTCGTCACCCGCAGCATCACCATCGTCAGCGCAAGCATACATGCACGCACCTCGCCTGTACGAGACACAGAGACCCTCTCAACATCCCGGGGTGGTGTTATCTGTCCCCCATTCCCCCCCCCCCCCACCTCCATTGCTTGTCACCATGTCTGCGTACTAGGAGAAAAGAAAAACAGTTGGGAAATATATTCCGAGTGGTGTCACTGATACCTCCTCCTTCTCCTCCAGGGGGTGTAGCTGGTTCAGCAACAAAAGCCCCCAGCCCAGCCGAGCGACAAGATGAGCCCACCCGAGTTGAGTTCTCTCTCCCCCATCCCCTACCTATCCTCTCAGAGGGGGCCCGGGGGGGTTTAATTCTGACTTCCTGACACGGGCATGTAATTTTCACAGCCGGCGCCCCCCGTCCCGGCGATGAAAGATCATTGACGATATGATGCCGTTCGACTTGCGCCTCAGAGGGGGAGTGGCACACCGTATGCCACCCATATTCAATGGGACGTGATGATAATTGTTTTGCCCCAGAACCAAAATGGCGCGGCACGCAAAGGAGAACCAACCTAAAGCTGGCGGTATTTGTACGGTCCGCTCTTGATAAATGCGCCGGTTTTAGGTTGGTCCATCTCGGCACGATAGCCACCATCGAATGCTTGTGACGCTGCAGGCTGGGTACCCTCCATCTTGTTCAACCCCCCCCCCCCTCTCTCTCTCTCTCTCTTGCCGTTAGGATCGGGATCTGCATCCGCCCTAGTCCTTACGACCTTGCCTCTCTTTCTCTGTCTCTCTCTCTTTCTCTCTCTGCCTCTGCGTCTCCCGCAGAAAGTTTGGGTGTAATACGAGATGCACGCGTGTACACAAAATCGTCTTGGATATTCATGCTGCACGAGGATTTGTGGATACTCGAGGAATTACGAGTCGGGAGATCAACGATAGTAGAAGCGATCTCTCACGTGACTGTAGGGGAATGCAACGTGGGCATCACAGCCAGTAGACATCTCGCCCAGGTGGTGGTGTCATGCCAAACGAACATGAGCTCTCTGCCCTTCCTCTTGGTAGCCAACCATGAGAACCGATGCATCTTCCCGGACCTTCCATCACCCCTGCTGCAACGCCTGCTGCAACGCCTGCTGCAAAGCCTGCTGCAAAGCCTGACGCGCGGCGCCGGAACGCGACTGCCGTGCATGATGGCGTGCAGGCCCTGTCTGCTCTGGCTTTTGCGGCTTATGCCAAGACTCTGGATTCTCCCGCATGTGCTCGCGCCTGCATACACAGACAGATGGCATGAACAGAACACTTGAGAGTAACTGTTGTTGCACTTGTGGTGAGAGTGAACGTGGAATCTTTGGGGGGGATCTCCTAGCCCCACCGTAACATCATATTTGGTAGCTCTTCGGAAACCCGGTAGTCATGAGGTTAACCTCATGCTGTCATGCCCTCTTTGAGGTGCCCCACCAAGCTTGGTGACAGAGCTCTTCGGAAATCCGGTAGTCATTGTATCGTAACATGGAAGACGACAGATTAGCTAGATGTACAGTTGGAACTGGAAAGATTAGTACCGTGAGCGGTACGAAGGGAAAATGACATGAACACGGATGAATCCGTAAGAGCTAGCCCCATCTCGCGCGCCCACTCCTTCCCCATTTTGTGTATGTGTGTGTGAGAGTGTGTGAATGTGTATGTGGGTGTGACGACACTGCCAAATCTGGAAAGCGACGCCTCCTTTTGCCTCCCGGACCCTTGCGTCTCATAGTCTCCTGGCCGTCTTCATGATGTATTCCTGGATAAGCCGGCTCTCGCAGGTGCCATGCCGCAAGATCTCCGTCTTGAGAGCGAGGATCTCGTTGCGTAGGCACTCGACGTGGGCGCTGAGGATGCTGTTCTTCTCGGAGAGCTGCTGCTCTGTCTCCTGGAGCTCTGTGATACTGCGCTTCGTTTTGTTGCGGTACTTGGTCGCCGCTGTCCTGTTCTTCTCACGGATTGTCTTCTTCTTCTTGCTTGGGGGTGCTGCCGTATCTGACGGTGCGGGGTGCGACGCGGAGCTTGCCGTTGCCGCTGACGATGCTATGCTGTGCACGTGGATCTCGCTGTGCCTGCGTTTCGTGCCGGCGAGCTGTGATTTTTCCGGGCTCTGTTGCTGCTGAAGGTGGTGGTGGCTGTGGCGTCTTAGTCCTGAAGACGAGGGCTCGGGCATGATTTCGCCAGGGCTGGTGTGTGTAGACGCGCTGGCAATGTCGGAAAATGTGGCAGGATGGCTAGCTGGGGACATTGGCCACGAGTGTATGCTCGAGGCGGCGTCGTCAAGAGCCGTGGTGGAGATTTGTGAGGGGACAATGGTGCCAAAGGGCATGGCATCGTATGGCTGCAAGGGCATATTGTACATCTCGGGGCCAAGGTCCATGGTGAAGCCACCGTCTGCGGCAGACAGAGGGGCGTCCATATGGCCGGAGTTGCCATCAAGGACCATCCAGGACATGTCGCCAAACTTGTCGCAGGCGAGGCCGAAGCCGCCGCTGGACCAGTCATGTACGCTATGTGTGGAATGCTGGTGGTGAAGTTCGTCTGTGAGGGCAGCCATGGTGGCGGTTGTGTTGGTCCTGAGCCCGAGTCTTGCTGGCGTGTGTTAGTGGTCGTGGTAGACACGGAGGATGTGTAGTGCGGCGGGGTCGTCTTTGCTGCTGTTGTTGTTGTTGTTGTTGTTGCGGCTCTGGGGGAAGGGGCTGCTGGTGATATAGTAAGGTCTTTGCGCCTTGTGAGTGCGTGGGGCCTCTGGGGGGTGGCTCTCCAGGAACGGCGCCGGATGTCTTTTGTAGGGACAGAGCAAGCCGAACCGGCCTGGGGGGGTGCCTGTGACGACAGTGTGGAGCTTCTCTGCCTGCCCGTCTGTCCGCCCGCCTGGACGCGTGAGTGCGTGGGAACACTGGAGCTGCCCCCCATGGCAGGGACGGCAACTTCCGTGGGCGACGGTGCAGTATCCATCATCCATCAAACGGCAGGAGCATGGTGCAGGACGGCGGGCGGTTGGGCAAGGGCAGGAGGGCAGGCATGCCCTGCGAGGAGCAAAAGCTCCTGACAGGTGCACCGGCGAGCTTGCCGGGCAGGCAGTGGCGAGGCCGGGGGCCTGAGGCCCCTGTCGCAGGCCCCGCTCAGGGTCCAGTCTCCACTTTATACAGTGCTGGCCGGCTCGCAGCTAGGCCTTCTGGCCGCAGTCGCCAGAGCTCAACCGGGCCAGCCGGCGCCCTGATTGGCTGCGCGGGGCTCGAGGCCGGCCAGGGTTGTCCATTGGATCTCGATCCCACATGGGCCTGCCACACGCCATGGCATTCTCACATCTGATTCCTTCTGCTGCCTCCTCATTACCCATCCCGTCGGCACCCCTCGCGCACTTCCTCTTCGCCACCTGCGAGCGCCGCGCCCTCATCCCATAAAAACCCCCTGTGCAGTTGCCCTTCAAGCCACATCGCAGCCGACAGTTGGCAAGGGCAAGCCGTTCGTCTGGTGCGTGCTCAACAAATGCTGCACCTCGGCGGCGGCACGTGGTGGTCATGGCCGTCACGCACCCACGCTTGCTGCACGGCAAAGCACGGCACAACGCTGCTGCTGCTGCTGCTGCTGATAACCCGACATGTTCGCTGCTCGTCATGGCCTGCCAGGCACGCTTTTTCTCAGCGGGTCTTTGTTCGTCCTCCGCACACCTGGACAAGCACTTCAGCTTCCACCTGTGACGTACGCACAAGCGCGGGGGGGATGGCCACACACTAGATACCAACACAGTGCTGTTGCTACGGTGCAACCTTCGGAGCTGGCGCCGATGATGCGCATCGCATGCCAGGGGCAAACCACTCGAGGCCACCGTTTTTCAAAGCACAGTTTTGGAAGATGTCTGCAACGCCACCTTTGGGATACGACCGTCTCGTCGTCATCGACCTCCTCCTCCTCCGCCCCGCGCTCAGCTGTCAATCTCCACGCTCCTCCGCCCGTGTCACACGAGCCTTGGGGTTTCGTCTTCTGCCTGATCTCTGCACCCTCGAGGCCGAATATTCGGGGCGCGCCCAAGTCTGTGAGCTCGGGATCTGCTTCATCAATGCCAATTGAGCTCTCGCCAACTGCCGCGGCCATTGCCCACAGTGCCGGCCCGGCCGCTCCGCCGCGACACGCGCACCACAATGCTTCCGGAGGACAAATTCAATCGCCCCACCCCGCCGCGCAGGGCAGGTAATCAGCGAGGCGGTGGACAAAAAGAAAGCCGCGCACCACACCAACAGGGGTCCATGTCAGCGTCCGATTTATTCTGTCACCCGCCTCGATCGGCGCCCTGCCTGTACGGATACGTCAGGTTACGGGAAGCTCCGCCAGAGCCAGTCAAGAATCTTGGTAAAAGCCTTGACTTCTTTCTCGCGAGAAGCACGTCGACGTACATCGTTTGGCAACGTCGGCATCGCGATCTCGTGCAGCCACAAAACCCCCGGCCACGGCCTCATTCTCATCTTCCGCTCAGCCCCTCCAAGCTTCCAAGTTGGATGGCCGCATGAGGGAGGGACTGCATGGAGGTTATCTCAAGGCATGCAGCCCCCGCGGGTATGCCGTACTCGAAAAGGAAAAGGAAAAAGAACTTACGTCGTGGCATGCAAGGCAAAGCGCTGGAGACAAAAGGCAGGTGTATGTCCCCCCCTCCCTCCTCTTCATATCTCACAGCATCGCGCACGTGGCTGAAGACCCAGGGCCCGTCGCGCCAAACCATGACAGCAGGGAAGCAACGCTGTGCAAGACGCTCCAAAGATCTCGGAGATCGGCCAAAGGAAGCTGTCGCACTAATTACACAGATGACAAAAGTTTGCCCTTGGCACACGAAAACTAGCTCTCTCCAGATTTTCAGGGTGACTTGCAGCGCCCGCGCACATGCGAACCCGCGGGCGCTTCAAAGTTGTTGATTGGACCCGCCGTAAATCTTTCGATACTTGACGCTACTGCTGCTGCCGCTGCCTCTGTTGATAAATCACAGTCGTGGGAAGATATCCTGACCCCTGTAGTGACACAAGCCGTCAGCCATCGAGCGGAATTACCTTGTGCGTGTACCTGGTGCCGCATCCGCGGAGCATGGGTTCCCATGTCGCAGGGCCCCTTTGCCCGGCAATAGAGTTTCACGATGCATCGGGCCGCATATAGGAAGCAGCAGCCTCTCGACTCTTCGAACCCTCTCGAGGCACTTCGATGCTGGACGTCACCTTGTGGACAGGGCCAAGGGGATAACGAGGGGTTTTGCGCCAGCGGGCAGAGGCAGGGGCAGGGATACGGTGATGGGTCAAGACGGTACTTGCCGCCCACGACAGCAACTCCCGGTTACGTCGCTAGCGTCGCACGGGTTCGTTCACGATGGGCCGAGGCGGCATTTGCCGAGGAGAAAAGCGGCAAACAAGCACCAGCAGCTTCCAAGCCCTCTTCAACCACCCATCACTCATCCACTCACTCACTCACCACCCACACCCCCGGGACCCCACCACCCAGAGTGCTGAGGTGTGTCTGTGTCTGTGTGTCTCCGCCTGGGTGTTCTTCCTGCATGGGGCAATTTGTAGCTGATAGCGCCTCCTCGCGCCAACTCTCGCGCAGCCAATGGCTTGACGAGCTGCGATCGGCATCTCACCCGACACTGAACTGCCGGCAGCAGTGGGATACCCTGGTCAGTCAGTCAGACACTTAGTCAGTCACTCGCCCAGTCGACTCACTCTTGTCACTCTCAGTCGACTGTCAGTCGATTCTGTCAGTCTTGCCTGAACCGCCAAGCATGGGTGCCAGGCATGGCATGATGGGCGTACCTCTACCGTATAGCTCTACCCTCGTGGATGTTGTTGTGTGTGCGTGCGAGCGCGCGCGTGTGTCTTTGTGTGTGTGTGTCGAAACGATGCTGCGTGCTGGTGTGTCGTGCAGCGCCGATCCGATGCCTACCTACCTACTGCTACAGCTACACGAGGCCGAAACGCTTCTTGGCATCTTGACGATGCTCTTGGTCGCGCCCAGGAACGCGATGATCGTGGTCCCTGTACATATGGAGCAACACGTATACTGTGTGCCATTGCAGATGGAGCCCTTTTTTCTGTTTCTCTGGCTGTTTACCTCACAGTTTGATCAGTCGCAAGGTCAGAGTCGTGTTCGTGATGGCCCCGGAGAGGGGGGGGGGGGGGGGCTTGCCAAAAGACAACGTACCTTGCGTACCGTTTGTGATTTGTATTCCGGTGCTGACTTGCTGCCCCGTTTGGGTGGTATGAACCGAGCTCGAGCCATTACGGCCCTGGGAAATCTGGGTGTTACACACACGGCGGCAAAGATACGGTGGTAGCTCAACCAGCCTGACAATCGGAGGACGTCTGCCCGGTCTAGGACCTCGTTAGCTCGTGTACAGACCCAGGTTGTCTGGATGTTGTGACCTGTTGTGACTGTTGTCACTGAATGGCCACTGCCGAGGCGAAGAAGATGACGACGACGACGACGACGACGACTATGGTGCATGTCGCCCTCTGCGTCTGTCTTTCCCCCGTGGTATGACCATACGGAATCAGCCTAGTCCTTCGGTTCGGGAAATATGGAAGACAATCTAGACGTGCAGTTTCGCTTGAACCACCATGTAAACAACGGAGCACTGTTCCAAGCCAAAACGGCTCACACACACACACAAGTCTCGAAACTTTCCATCGTCAAAGGACTCGGAGAGCAAAGAACGCGGGGGCCCTCCCAAAGTAGACACAAATAGGATAGATATGCCAGTTTGGGGCATATCAAGTGCCTGGCAAATGAACGCCCGGCTTGGAATACGATTTCCGGCATACCGGTTGCTGGCAAAAACAAACCCGATTGGGCGGGTTTGAACAAAAAGCCATTAACAAACACCGAATACTCTCATTCTTCCGAATTACGCAGTTTCTCTGCTTTTTCTTTTCTCCTTTTTTCGTCTTCTCCTCCTTATTTTTGGAGGCCTATCTTCCCGCTCTGTATCTTTTTCTCCACCTCTCTCCCAACCCGCAAGTACGTTGATGGTAGCAAAGACAAGAACACAAAAAGTAAGATAATCGACCCCGAACCGGCTTAAGCCCGGGAACAAAGAGAGAGAGAGAGAGGGAGGGGATAGAGACAGAGAGAGAGAGAGAGAGAGAGAGAGAGAGCGGTACTGATTATCCCCAAACCCATCGCTACCTTTTTGCTTCAGAATCTGACCCAATGGGACCTGTCCATATACTTCCTCTCACGCATGCGAATCAATCTTCAAAAGCCTAAAACAGGTTTGTTTAAAGGAGAATGGGAGAGACGGGGGAGATTTTAATGGGGAGGATTATTATCAATGGCTTCAGGCTGTATCGCAATAACGGACAAGACAAACGGTCATAGATATTGGTCGAGACAAACGTAGACAAAGAAACTCAGGGCGTCACTTGGACCGCAACACAGCTACTTCTGGTTTTCAGAGAAGAGCAAATCAGATCACAATCTCACAGACAGCAATTGATGGGCTTGAAATCGTTACAGTCGCTTTCGGCGGAAAAGAATGTACTTTCATAAACATGTTGGGTATGGTACGGTACAGACGACATATGCAAGACACGCTCGATAATCAAAAAAAAGACCCAGACCTCCTCCTCGCTATATTTCCGTCGCGTTTCTCCCAGTATCCCAGGTAATGTCATCAATCACATGCGAGTCTCCTCGCGAAGCCTGCTCTTAGAGCCTTGGGCCGAGAGACCCGGTCCAGGCAGAAACATTGCACTCTCGCGTCGCTTGGCCCGGCCAGTAAAGCCTTGGTCTAGCTCGTCGTCGTGCTCCGACTCGTACAGCGTGTTGTTGTGCACGCCTCCTTGGTAGTCGTGACTGGATCTGCCGTAACCCTGCTCCTTCGCGCCGACAAGACCAGGGTAGAACGGCTCATAGCTGCTCATCCGTGGCGGGGGCGTAGCAGAGGGTCTCAGAGAGCCGTTGACCATGGGCGGTGGAGTTGGACTGGACCGGTGCTGCTGGATTTGCTCCAGCAGTCTCTGCCTGTGGGGGGACTCAGCGATCGGACCATTTCCTGTCGAAGGCCGGCGTGGAGGGGCCTCGAACGTGCTCCTTGAACCGGCATCTGATGCCTCGGGAGACGGAAGCTCGTAGGCCTCAGGCTCGATGCCGAACACGGCTTCGTAGTTACCCAGAAACAGGGCAAAGATGGGCGCCGGGATATTAAGCGTTGGCGAGAAAACAATGCCCACATTGCGAACTGTCATCTTGTTGTGATCCGCATGGTTGATGACCTTGATGAGAAACGCAATCAGATATTTGAGCAAGGTGGCGTTGGCTTGCGGCAGTCTCAGCGACAGCTCGGCCAAGGCAGCAATCTTCTCCTTGTGATCAGGCATCTCAGAGACGGCGATGAACTGCATGTGCAGATCTCGGGTGAGTATCGTGGTGGGGAGTTCTCGAAGATAGAGCTTCAGGAGAGATGCCACGGCGTGGATGTCGTAGTAGGTCTCGTCCGTCACGAGGTTTATGTCCCCCTCGGTGTTGAAGCGCTCGCGGAGCTGCTTGATGACCACATTCGAACCACTGAGCCGGAAGATGCCTTCCTCCAGAATGGCATTCTTGGCGTCCAGGTACTGGATGCAGCGGTACACGACGCAAGGCAGAGGTACATTCACGTCGACCGGGCCACTGTATCGAACCGCATCTGCAAGCTGGGCACCAAACACTTGGCGAACCGGGCCCCTCGGCTCGGCCTGGTTCACGCTGGGTGCGCTTGAGCCATACAATGAGTCCTGGTCATCGGTGGAAGACCTCGTCTTAGGGCCAAAGCCGAAGAAACTCCGCTTCCGCTGCTTCTTTTCCTCGTAGGTCGGGCCTGGAATTGCCAATCCTGCCTTGCCGCTCCACATCGTGGTATCAGCGATAGGCTGGGGGTCACGTGGGCCCGAGATGTTGAACGTCGCCGACAGCGGTGCTTGCATAATGTCCGGCGTGGCTGCTCCTCTGGACCTGGGTGGCGCTCCTTCGGGTGCGTTCCCTGCCTTGGCGGAATCATAGCTCATGCCGATGAGGCCATCCTGGCTGCCAGCATGAGGGGCATGGCCCTTGCCAGAGTTGGGCTTTTTCTTGACGGTCTGCCCACTACTCTTCGGAGCTGAGCCTCCGGATCCACGCCGCGGAGGCGCCTCGGACGACTGAACCGAGGATGTGTCATCCTTGCCGGGCTCCACATAGTCGATCCAGTGCAGCAAGGTCTCAACCCACTCGTCACGCTCCACATCGCTCTCAGCACAGAGCACATGCTTTACGTGACTGGAAGAATCTTTCTTCTTTGGCTCCAGGACCAGAAAGGCGTGGCGGTACTGGTTATCAGAATCCTCGCCGTTGGCGCCGCCAGCTTCGTTGTTATGCTGTGATTGCTTGCCAATCTGGGCTTTTTGCAGCTTAATCGTGCCAAGATGGGCACCTCCAGGGGTCTCAAAATAGCGAAGCTGGGGTCCTTCGAGCACAAAGAACCGTGCCTTCCAGCCGCCAAAATTCTTGCCACGCTTCGTGAGGTATCCTGTCTTGAACGGGCGACCACCAGGACCTTTCTGCTGCTTGCCAGACTCCTCAGCCGCAGCACCAATCATGGTGCCCATGTCGTCCGTGTTCGGAGGCAGCGCGTTTGTAGAAAGGTACTTGCAGAGCTCAAGCGCGGTCGCGCTGTCCAGGGGTGTTTCCAATAGCTCGTCCAGATACAATTCCAGTACTTGTCGTCGAGCATCGAGCTTGGCGGGGGCGTGGCCAGTGAAAAGCGACCTGTCCGGCGTCTTGGCAGTGAAAGCTGGGCACTGCTTCATGCGAGAGTCCAGCCGTCCGAGCGATGTCGTGTCCTTCTCGACTCGCCACAGCTCACCACCCTCGGCACGGGAATAGATGGCAAGTGTAAAAACTGGGTCTTCTTCCAATTGTGTCAATGAGATCATGCTTGCTCTTGGGGGCTTCATGCGAGATGAGGCCACCTTCACCTCAATCGACGGGAGAGCATTAGGGGGTAGCAAGAGGTCGGGATACTCGTCTGTCTTGAATCCGTTGTATATCTTCGTCCGCGCGGTGGGGCTCGGGCGGCTCGTGGGTGGACTAAGCTGAGGGGCCTCGACAATCCTCTGCATTGGCGCGTCTGGCTTGATCGGCGTTCCTCGCTGAACGTCCGTCGACGAAGCCGCAGACAGCGGCGTGTTTGGCGGCAAGGGGATGTTCTGTCGTGGCGGACGCGGCGAGAGAGGAGCCGGAGGAATGCCACGAGGTGACAGCGGCGGCGAAGTTACGGGTGACTTCAGACCCATGGGACGCGGGCTGGCGGGAAGACCTGGATTCATCATTGGAGCCGTCAAGGTCGTCTGGCGCACATCGTCATCGCCATTCAGCACGCCGGCAAGGGACGCGGAAGCGTTCTCACGAGCAGTCGCTGGCTGCAATCCCGCTATCCGAGGGCCGATAGGCATAGTCTTGGGGCTCACTTCTGACTCAGCCGTCGTTGGTGTGCCAGACTTGTTCTTGCCCGATTGGCTTCTCGCTTTCGCCTCCTCTATGGCTAGAACCTCACGCATGCGATCATCCTCTTCCCTCGTCCGTCGTCGGCCACGCTTCTCAGGAATCGGGAGCTCGTCAACCTCCAACAGAGAGTCATAATCTGATTCCGAGTCATTGTCAACTTCTGGTGGCAAGGTCGGAGAATGCTTCTCCTTCTTCAGCTGTAATGGCGCAGGTGGCGGTTTCCTGGGCGGGGGAGCCCCAGGCGGTGGGGGAAATGTCGGACTTCCTGCACCAAGAATCGGGGTCCCTTCGGTGATAGACAGCGAGGGCAGCTGACCTGGGGGCTTTGGAGGTGGCATTGTTGGTGGTGCGCTCGGCAGACTTCTGGATGGTGGCAATGTGGCATTATAGGGAATCTCTCTGCTCGTGTTCGCCGTCTTCTTGGAAGCCGCTGCAGCAGGATCCTCTGCCTCGTGGTCGTAGTTATCTAGTGCGTGCTCTGACGCCTTTGGCATAGCCGACCGGGGATCCAGAAGCTCTCCAACAGCCGAGGGAGGTCCGTTGTTGGCGACCTTGTCTGCGGGAGGTGTGATCGGATATGGTGCTAGAGCCATGTCGACCGGGGATTCTTTCGCACTGTCGGGCTCGTCCAGGGAGTGCACGGACTTTGGTGATTCCACAAGCTCTCGGGTCGCGTTAATATCAATGCGGGGGATGACGATTGGGCGAAGCTGGGGGTTTTCCGACTTTGTGGGTTGGTTCTCGGACGCCACGATGACCTCCTTGAGCTTTTTCCTATACTTTTCCTTGTCCTTTAATGCCCTTTCGAGGTCCTTGTTCAAGCCGAGAATCATGGCGCGCTGTTTGTCGACCAGGCGCCATAGCTGGGCGTTTTGCTGCGAGTTTGCTTGCTTCTCCTTGAGCAGGTACTGGATGACGGCCTCTGGGCTTCCAGCTGCAGAAATGAGAGTGGCAATCTCAGTCCCTCCAGCTGTGGCATCGGGGCCGCCCTGTTGGGACCCATTCCTGCCAGACATGGCAGAAAGTGCTGAATCTATCGATGAATTCCGCGGCGCGCCCTTGGGCGCCTCTGACTTGGTCGAATTGCCCGCCATCGTGGAAGAGGGCCCAGCAGAAGCACACCCGACAGGCTGCGTGCTTATTGTTGGGCTCGGTGGGCGTGGGGTATCATGCGAGGATGTGCCGGGTCTGTGAAACGGGATCGAATGGTTCTAGATTAGCTTCAGGATTTCTTGGATACTGAGGGCTGGTGGATTCGTTGCCATCGCAATCTCCAAGGATATTGCAAACGTACTCGGAGTGTTCAGACGTGGGCGAAATCGGAGGCGAGGGTGTGTCTTCGAAGAAGGAGGTTTCGCCTAAGCTGACCGCGTTTCCATTTGCTGGAGCTGTTGTCGGCAGTGCGCGCGGCGACGGAAGTGGCGCGGAGGCGAAGCGAGTTTTGACGTGCAGGTCGCGGCCTCCTGGCGAGAACTGCGCGCTTCTCGGGCTGGCGCTCGGGGGAGGAGACAGGACAGGTCTCGTGTGAAGCGGACTCGGTGCGCTTTTCCAGTGCTGACGACTACTGCTGACCCGGCAGGCGAAATGACCATGAATTAGCACCAGCTGACCAAGGCGGTACACAATGTCGATGGAGGTGGTGTTGTGCGAAGTCAAATCCCCACAGCTCAATGTGTGGTCACACCAGGAACTAGAGTTGTACAACAGCTAGTCCGTTCGCGCGCGCTCCTCGAGGCGCCAGGTGGTTTGCCCAGGACACAGCAGAGCATTAGGAGAGACGGGAGGAGAGTGAAGAAGGAGCGCATGCAAATGCAGCGAGCTCAAGCAGCCAGGGTGGTGAGGGAGGAGGAGCCCTGGCAGCGTGAACCCTGCAGAACATGGTATCTAGCGGGACATACCTGGGAGGACGGTTGCTGGGGACTGGCGGAAGGGACGGCGAGGGCGGCCCAGACGGCAGGAGATTGTTGTCGAAGCGGGCTGGTCGTCCGGGGACGGTTGGGCTGTCGTGAACGTCGTGAACAGGGGCGGTCCTGCCGGGCGGAGGAGATCGAGGCAGGCGGTCTGGCGAGAAGTCGTCGTCTCCACGGCGTAGGTATGAGGGAGAGGCAGGGTGCGACATTGCGGCCAGCAATTATTAGAGTGCGGCCCAAGCCTGCTCTGCTGCTGTGTGGATGTTGCAGGTCCTGCCCGTGACCTTGCTCGGATTCCAGGGGTGGTCAGATAAGCCAGCCAATCCACGGAGCCAGGCACGGCCGGGCGACAAGAGGCTGACGAGGTTGTCTGGTGGCAGTGGCAGAGACAACCCTGTCTTTCGCCGCTCGTCTCTTGTCTCCTGTTCTGCTGAGGAACGAGATGGTCCGGGGGGCGGCGGGGTGTCGTCGAGGGCCTGAAACCGCTACGTGATTGACAAATCTGCATAAGACGACCGTCTGAAAGAGGGGTCTCCGCCAGCGTTGCACCAGGCCGATCTTGCAAGGTCGGGTCGGGTTCCCTGTCCTTGTCGTTGGTTGTACTGGGAAGAGAGACGCAAAGGGAACAACAATCTCACGCAATCAGCTCGCCCACCTTCCTGTTAGCAAGATTGCCCTCGCGGAAGCAATGGAGGTAAATGCAACAGTGGTCAGGCCCATTCCAGGAATAGGGGTTATTAATCGGCAGCCTCGTGGCTCGGGGCGGCACCCACATGCAAACCGGCTGGCTGCCCCCCCTGAGTCGCGGCCCAGGATTAGTCCGGTAGTAGTGCACTCCTCAGCAGCAGAGAGTGCTCAAAATAACAGCAGAAGGACGCATAATCCACGTATAACAAGATAGCCCATCGTCACCTCAGTGTTGTTGTGTGGGACAATACTCCGCATCCGCCTTGGATGTACTGCATGGTGCTATGGCCGGCCGGACGCTGCATGCCTGCACTTTCTGGAGCACAACGCGCAAGGCAGGGCTGGGGCCCGCGGTGGATTTGTGTTGCAGGATATCTCGGCAAGCAAAGAAAATATGCATCGTGCATTAGGGGCGAGGGAGGGGCCGTGGGGCCGGCGAATGAGGAGGCCGGTCAGCTGCAAAGGACCAGGCACGGCGCACTTTGACATATCCCAGTCCAGGGGCAAACACTCCTTGGGGTCTTGGCCCAGGCCACGCCGCCGGGCCGAGCACTCAGACAGTCATGACACTGCTGCCGTGACTGTCCGTGTGAGTGGCATCAGAGAGAGAGAGAGAGAGAGAGCTATAAATTGATTAGAGTGACGACGCACACACAGGGCAGATCGCCAAGTATTAGACGCCCTGCCCTGGGCCAGATGGCGTCGGTCCTGGGAGGTTCCGCACGGGGCGCTTCGTGCGTCCGGCGCACATCCGCGATCCGAAGCTGTGTGCGTGCAAGTCGTGACTAACTGTAGTGCAGTAGTGTCGTCGTCGTCCAGTCGTCGACTAGAATCCGGCAGAATCGCTGGCGTCAAGACGACTCTGTGGCACAAGGACACAAAACCTTCAACGGTCCGCTGTCACAGGCGGGAATAAGAAAAGCGGCCCCCCCTCCTGTTCATGTGCTCGGCCATCCGAGCTTCGAAACGTTTCAGTCGAGGTGCTGTCCGCTAGCCCGAGCGCGGACCATTTATTAGGAAGGTAGGAGTTTACGGATGAAATAAATACCAACTCGCAAAAGCAGCAAAAGGACTTGGGCAGCTGAAGCAGGACCTTGCTGGCGTGAGTGCCTTGACTTTTGGCGTGGACCTGCCGAGCCACGCACGCCCAGCTCACCCCGGATTCTCGCAAGCGCCGCCGCCCCTGTGCATCAGGGCGACGCGGTCCCTGGCGATCAGGCGAGCTTGGCGCACGGGGCTGCCACTGCCCGGGCGGGCTGCGGTTGGGATCAAGCAGCCAAAGGTTTGTGCCGGCCGGCGGATGCATCCATCCATCCCCCAACGACCAACGGCCGCCCCGTCGTTGTCGTTGTCAACAAACAGCCCGGCCGGGGGGGCGGTTGCAGAGATTCGCCGCGCTGCTGGAGAATGCGCCGTCTCAGATCACTGTCGTGGCGGCAGTCAATTACGATGCACCACAATAGTTACGGTACATAGTAGTATCAAGTCGAGGAGGCGGATTCAAAGAGGCACTTGACCTGCTGAGTGGCCCCTCGGATCCCGTCGACGCAGACCTCATCTCGACATTTACTCATTTACATAGTGGACGTACACATCTGCTGGTCTCGCACGCCCGTGCACATTGAACGCCGCTGTGCATTGCTGGCAGCATGATGATGCCAGGAATGTGCACGAGAGACTGGCCAGACTGTACGGGCAGAGCGCAGTAGCCTCAGCCATTGTTGCTCGTTGGCGGACCTCATTCTCCAGGACAGAGACCACTCTCTCCCACATCAATCTCTCTCGTGCTGTTCGTGTTCCTCTTCTGGCGTGTCTGGATGCTGATCATGTCTCAGATTGCGGCTCAAATCCTTGTGGGACGGCGGCGCATCTGCGTATCTACGGCAAAGTCCTCTGGCAAGCTACGCTCGCAGTAAAGGCGACGTGGGCTCATTCATGATTGAGGTGACATTGACAGTGGGATGCAACGCGCCCTGGGCCCCCGGCCCGACCAGGACCCCCCTGTGACTGGCAACACCAAGCATCCAGCCATTCAGGGTCTCGATTTCGGCCATAGCTGACTCCCCACGCCGCCGAGGCGGTGTGGGTGCCACGCGCCACCAAGGACGATGAATGGCCGCCACCTTTCGCTCATCTTGCGAAGCGCTGTTCGACATCTTGACCACAGCCCTCCCTGAGGTAGCCAATGGACGCCGCGCCCGAGGAGATGGCGAGAGTCGACGACAAAGACCAGCGCTTCTTTGTGAGACGCGGGTCCATGGCAGGAGTGCCGGGCCAGTCATCATCATGGTCAGATTCCGCACCATCACTGGTAATACACAGCCAGGCCCACACAAATTAATAGGCGCATGGCCGCCCTCGAGGACGGACCCCCGCGTGTGGCTTGCTTGCTCCCCTCGCAATTGCCGGAATGCAGGTCATTGCGCTTTCGTCCCTGCGGCGGCTCACTCTTTGTCTCGCTCAGTGCATGCCCCCCACCTCCTGCAGACGGGCTCCTGTCTGTCTGGCCGTGCTGCCCCTGCTGCTTTCATTTCATGCCACAATGGCGTGCGGGAAAGCTATGTCTCTCCAAAAAGGCATGTCCCCGCCGCGGCCGGCTCCGACTTGTCCAGGCATTGCAAGTGTGATTTGGTGTCTCGGGGGGGACACATGTTAAAAATTGTGAAGCCCAAGCGTCCTCAAAAACTCTTGTCTCAAGGCCCATCACCACCACCACCACCCCACAACGTTTGGCTGCGGGTGGTCTCGCTGCGAGACACTGCAAATGAGCAGCAATTGCGTTCCGGCAGATAACCGCAGGCTGTGAATATTGCGTCTGGCTTTCATTCGCGACGCACTGACCTAGATAGGAAAACACATGGAGAGAGAAACCTGGCATTCTTGGATTGGAAGTCCGTCTAATTCAACCCAGATTTACTGATCCTCTGACGAAGCAAAAAGGAAAATCAAGCACTGGCCGAGGCATGCCTCACCGACTGTTCTGGAATTCGCTCGGCAAGTCCCGATGCAGCGGCATGCGATGACTGTGCTGGTAGCTGTACGCCGGCCACCAATTGCCTGCATGTATCTTTCAAGACCTCCCCTGGGCACCACCGTCCTGGGTTGTGTCTTGTCGCTTCTTTTTCCGACTGAGTCTCCATCTTTGTCCCAATCAGGTGGTTGCCCAATCTCGAAAAACATGAGAGTGAAGACATATTGCAAGAAGAGCCGTTTCACTCGAGTAAACAAGATTGCACGTTGCCAAATGCAGCCGTGGCCAACTACCGCAGGGCAGCGGGTCATTCTCACACAAACCGCCCCCGTCCGCTCTATAGTTTGCAGTTGCGACCCTAAGATCTGCTCGTCTCTGATGCATAGAGTATGAGCAAAACTCTTGGACAGATTCAACTGATACCTCAATCGAGTCGACCAGGGGGGCCCAGCGAATGTTGTTTTGGTCTCATTGGGCTGGCGAGGTGGTCTGAAAGCCCGCGGGGAAGTTTGCCGACAGACAGACAAACATGGCCTATGACCGACAGAAGCAAGCGCCTGGCAGTTGGCCGGGCGTGATTACAAGAGTGTTTTCCCTTTGGCGATCCATATTCTCTGCTAGCTTTTATAATACCAGCTTTGATCGTCATATTGCACTACAGGACATACCCTGTTCATTTGGAAGTCGTGTGAGAAGCGTACATGGCTGTGAATAGAACCATGCGGATGAAGCATCGCCATTTACATTCACCAGAGGCTTTAGCGATTCAAGTGGCTTTTCGCGCGAGAATCCGATTTGCTCTGGAGTTCGACCTACTTATATTCATTTCCCGATCCCGATGTTGTGTTCCGATGTGGACCCTCCATCTCGAAGGTGTCTCTGGCCGCTAGAGGCCACCAGATTCGCACCATCCGTCACGAAAGTGATATTATCCATTAGTGATACAGTGGGCGGGCACTGGAAGCATTGTCGCACGGGATTATGCAGTCCAAGGGGGGGTTTATCTTGGAGTCCGGACGTAATTCCCAGGGCAGCAAAGGCATAACACCGCGGCTGGGCACAGAAAAAGAAGAAATAAAAAAGAAATCCCTAAAAGTAGAGAAAAAGTTTATTAGATAAAGAAAAAGGAAAAATAAGGTTTGACGCACCAACCCTTGGTAAAATGAATGCGACTCCGCCTTTTCAGAACCCAATAGACAGAAAGCGGGAGCGGCTAAGGCTGCATGATAAACCCATGGCTTCCAAAAAGAAAATTCCCAATACTCCTCGTCACCGTTATCATTTGCGATGGCGGTGACGCCGTTCACCACGTTGTGTGTGTGTATGTGTCGTGATGAGGGAAGAATTCTTCTTCAATGACCAAGTTTCGGCATGTGTCGTGAAGTCATCAAACACATCCTTGCTTCTCTTGCTGTCTTTGTTACAAATTATCCTCTGTCTGTCTTGTCACAAACACTATCTGCACTACCGATGTGCAAGGTACTGTCCTGTCTTCGAGGGCACTGCCAGGGGATATCAAAATTGCCTCGACTCCGCGATCGTCGTTGTTATTTTGCGTCATGGCAGTTTAGCACTTAAGAGGATATGGTATGCCCACTCCTAATTCCCCTAATCGCAGCGGTCAAGCGAAAATGAATCCAAAGATAGAATGTTTGCTCGTTTTCTGGCTTTTATAGTCATGAAGTCGTTTCATACTGTGTGGTACATAAAAGTATGGGATCCGAAGGACGAGAAAAATGCTGACAGATTTCCAGCTTATAAGCCAATATATATAAATGAATCCAAAGACAATGCTCAACTGCAACCACGCTTAGAGAAATTCCCGGCTCGCCAACCGGTTGGTGCATAAGCACTTTCGCAGCCAAAAAAAAAGTTTTCAAAAGTTAAACGACCCCCTCAAAGTCACAAAAGCCCACTGACAAGAATGAAGGATAGGCGTTCCGCCCTTCCGAGGCGCGACTTAGTAGTCGATATACCGCCGGTGGCGGTGGTCCTCGATGACAATCTCGCGATCCTCCCTCTCCTGGTGCCGCCGCCGGGGCGCGTCCACGTAGCGGAAAGTCTCGTACTCGGGCTCTGTCCGCACGGGTACAGGGACGGGGACGTGCACGGGATACGGGACGAGCTCGCGCTCGCGCTCGATGTAGACCTCCTTGCTGCGGCTGCGGGAGTGGTGGTGGGAGTGATGCTTGTGGTGGTGCTTCTTCTTGGACTTGCGGGACGATCTGGAGGAAGCCACTGAGGGCTCGACGTCGACGGCGATGACGTCGATCGGGGAGTCGTCCTCGACGATGATCTCGGAGGGCGGCTCCGGGATTACCACGGGCGGCGGCGGTGGCGGCGGCGGCGGAGGGAGGACGACGACTGGTGGTTCTGGAGCGGGCGCGGGCGCGGGCTCTGGCGGCGGCGGCGGCGGCGGGAGATAGAGGACAGGAGGCGGAGGAGAGGGTGTGCGTGGCCGAGGTCTTGCTGGTGGTGGGATGACGGTGGTGATGCGGCGCTCCAGGGTCATGGAGCCGTCGGTGGGCGGTTCCATGTAGAGCACCTTTTTGTACTTTGAGTAGCGCTTCTCGCGTTCGCGCGGGACTGTGGTGGTGTACATTGTGTCAGAGGTTGTGGTGGCCGTTGATTGTTGGAGGGTTTGTCTTTTGGTGGCGGTCGCTGTCCACGTCTTGTCGAGCTTTGCCAAGCAGATGGCAGAGTACACGCACTGGTGCAGGCTGCGGATCTGGAGATGGAAAGGGTGAAATGACAATAGAGGAGGCTAACCTGACGAGGTGTAGAAGTACATGGTGGTCTGCTGGCGTGCGGGGACGGCCGAGATGTTGTTATATGCCGATCGATGCGGGTGGGCAGCGGGCGTTTGGCTTGGCTGGCTGGCCGGTGAAAGTGGATGTCGCTTGTTCTACGTCACGACAGGAACAGGTTTGGGCGCCGCGGGTATGGGAGGGCCTGCAAGTGCCGGCTGCAAGAGGATGAGGCAGCAGGGCAGTCCAGGGTCAAAGTTGGGATGCAGAACAGAGTCACAGGCAACAACAACACGACAGACAGAGGGTCAGCTGCCCCCAGTTATATGCTCTGCTCGCGTTCTGCATCCAGCTGCCCGACCTCCACATGGCCCTCAGCCATAATGGCCATGGAAACACATCGTCACTCAGGCATCGGCTGTGGTGGTGCGAGGGGCTGGTCGGGCAGGTGAGGCGGGCGGGCAGCGAAGCCTCGACAAGAACCAAGGCCGGTGCCAGTACGAACCAAGGGGCAGCCCTGAATCGCCAGGTTGTCCCTGTCTAACGTACATAGATCTGGGCTGGCCCTTGTCGGTGGTCTGGTCCTCTCGAGTCGAGTCCCCTCTTTTGCCAACAATGCCGATTGTTCGTTCTTCTTTTCCCTCTCTCCCATCCACAGCCCAGCCAGGGCCGGCTGACCCACACGGCGTCTGACCTGCCCAGATGACGTTGGTGGCTTGCCCCGGCACCACCACCTGCACTCACGCACAAACAGGGCCCAGTCGGATCCCGGCAGGGGTCCACGGCCAGTTACGAGAAACCCCAGAGCCTCGGGCACCAACACCAGCCTGACAACGGCCCACCCTTGTTTGACCCGTTTCGACGATAACCTTCTTGAGTCTTCCACCATTGATGAATTTGAGATATAGCTTCTCCGGCCAATAGGCGTGTATAAAACTATGGTTTCTTGGTTTCGTACCAAAAGTTTCAAACAGAATGAGGGGCTATTTCTGCAGGCTGGCCGCTGCCACTTTCCTCTTGTGAAGCTATATCGTCGATATTGCCTCCTCCCATCTTCTACTTCCTCCCCATCAGACTCCCTTATTCTAGAGCACGAACACTAACCAGACTCTAAAGCTCCAGCTCTATTGGGGGTTGAGGGCCTCGGGTGCTCGAGAATGCCAAGTCAGAGCTGCATGTTTCTCCGCATTGGTGTCGCAACTAACTACGGAAAACACACGTAGTCACCGGGGGCGGTGGTCTCGTACCTTTGGCCTCTTCGATCCTCCTCACTCCGTCTCGGAAGTTGAGCCTGGAAGCAGTGTCTGTTCATATGGGAAATGAAATGCCAATAATCAGGGCGAGTCCTGCCATTTGATTTCTTGGGCAATCAAAGCATGCGTACCTTGGCAAGTAGGAACAAAACTTGTAGAGATTTGAGACAAATGGGAAAAGCATGGTGTGGTGCAGTGAACTTGTGCGACGAGGGGCAAGTTTTCGTGTACCAATCGCATGTTTAAGAGAACTTTGACTTGACCTTCAACAGTGCCGCAACTCTGGGAATGCTTCCAAGATGGTGGGGGTGAGAGCATTGGATCACTATGAGGACAAAACAAGTCATAGCATCCACCAAGCATCTATCAAACGAGTACTAGAAGGCAGAAATGACGCCTCACGCCAGGACCTTGACAGGATTGGCTTTGATGTGCTGCTGCAAGCCAAGATTTACGACGTAGACGGCAGTCAGGTCTGGCCTGAGCTGTACAACGTAGGCATTGTACTTGAAAGCTTAGGGGCCACCAGTAGCGAGCTTGGGCCCGAGCCGGCCTGCCCGTCGAGCCATTTCAGGGCGCACGTACACGTTGCGCGGGGACTGGCCGACGTCTGCGTCGCGGGCCGCCAGCTCAGTGTGGTCTCAGAACCAGGTTTTGATATGCCAGATCGTGCGAACGCCGTTCGTCCGCCAGTTGGCGCCCGCGCGACAATGAGGGTCAGGGAGTCTTGGCAGTTTCTGATGAGGCTTGGAGTTGCTGCGCCGAGGCTGGCTTGTTGACGATGCTCTCCAGGTAACGGCCGACAGTGTCAATTCTCTGCTCGAGCACATCGTGGTTGTGGTGCAGGGAGATGCCCGTCCACGCGAGCCCACAGTCAATTAGACCAGCCAGTTCTCAGTCTCCGCGTGTCAGCGTCGTGTCCCGGAGTCGAATCGGTGGATGACAGAATAACGGAACATTCTGAATGTGGTTTACCTTTTGAGTTGCCTCGACTCTCTTGTAGCGGAATGCGAGAAAGTCGCGGACGCTGGAGAGATCAAATACAAACAGGCCCTCGACCAGGTAGCGCGTGCGACTCACAAAGGTGCTCACAGTGTTGAGGGCAAAGCGGATGACCTTCACGCCCACCTTGAGAATGAGCTTCAAAATGGGGCCAACCACTTGGAGCGCAACTTTGACGACGCCCTTGACGGCCGTCTTGAGCAGCTCCATGACATCTCCAATAGCCTCACCAACAGCCTTGCCCCGTATCTCGCACATGAAAGTCGTGCCTCTGTTTTCGAATCTGCGTATGAAATTTGCAACGAGTTGGCGGCTCATCGCCATAGCTCCCACCAAACATCAAATCACTTCCGAACTGTCACATTGGTCCTCTCTAGAAGGAATGTTTGAACAACCAGAATCCAAATGTATTGGGTATCTCGTATGCCTTATTCTATAGGTTGAGAAAATCGATCCGCTAATGCTCGTGCTATAAATCAAACGGGCTTGACCATGAAGATCTATTGGATTCATTAGTGCTTCGCTTCTTGGGAGGTCTTAAGATTTGGCAAGCTTACCTGGTTCAACGACTTCATATCGGCCATTGCCTGCCTCTTAGACGCAATGTTTCGCGATCTCGCGTAATGCCGTGCAGACATAGCTGTAGGTGTGGAAGTGCCAGTCTCGACTGGGGTGGCGGTGCCGCTGGCGGCTGGTGTGTCCACGACCATCGGTGTCGAGCTTGCGGTGGTATCTTCGGCCTCCAGCTTCCTCCGCTTCTTCTCCTTCTTCTCCCTTTTCCGTCGCTTCTCGGCCTCCTCTGCATCTGACGTGGCGGCACTTGCGGCGGTTTCTGCCTCCTTGAGCTTCTTCTCCTTCCGCTTCTTCTTCTTGTCCTTGGCCTTGGCAGACTCCTCGTCAGAATCAGATGAGCTCTTTGACTTCTTCTTCTTCTTCTTCTTTGACGATTCGTCGGTTGAATCATCCTCGTTCCCAGCCGCCTCACTCTTCTTCCGCTTCTTCTTGTCACGGGACTTTTCTTTCCGGCTCTCCTCCTGCTCGTCGTCTCCGGCCTTCCGCTTCTTGGACTTCTTGTCCTTCTTCGATGACGACGCGTTGACCTCAGAGTCAGAAACATCCTCCTCTTTCACCTTGACTTCCTCAGCCTCGGTCTTGATCACATCCTCCTTCTCCTTCTTGGTCACCAGATCCTGCATCTGGTCGCCGGCGAGCAGCCCGCCGCTGACAAAGCGCATGAGGCCGAACTTGTTCTCGACATAGAGGTTCGTCTTGATATCGGACCGCACCTTGCGCTCCTTCTCGATGCTCTCCTCCGACTTGCCGTTCAGCCTGCCGAGGAGGTCCTTGAACACGTCGAGCCCCGTGCACTCGTCGCTCTGCTTCTGGCGGATCTTGGCGCCCAGGCCGAGGAAGTCGTCCTTGACGACGACCTTGATGGGCGCCGAGCTCGCGGCGGTGTGGTAGCTGGCGTGCGCGGCGTCCTGGGCCCCCAGGTTCTGGCCCGGGGTCCAGCCCTGCGCGCGCAGCATGCGCTGGCCAAAGGTGTTCTCGTTACGGCTCCATTTCGTGTTGTTCGGGTCCTCGTTGAGCTTCCGCTTGCTGTGTGAGAAAGAGCAGGTTGCTCGTGGTTAGCCAAGATGGGAAGGGAATTGCGACGGGCCGAGGGAGTCGGTAGGCGACGTGACGGGCGCTTACTTCTTGGGGCCTGCGAGACCCATGGTGACGTCTATGAAGGATCGCAAAAGACAATAAGGATTCTCGCTGAACAACCAAGAAAAGCGAGCGGCGTGAACAACTACTCCGGCTGCAAGGGAGACCTAGGGACTCGTCGCAGGAAAAGAATGCGGATATGGATAACGGGGGACGGGAAGGCTGGTGGGGCGCTGCTGGTTGTGCCAAAATTTTTGGAAAGCGTCGCAGGGTCGATAAGCCCAATCAGAGGCAGTCGAGTCTCGACCACTTGTGGGGCCACGCCAAGCCAGGCCCCTGTCGACTGCCGCATGTGGCGGATCGCTCCTTCCCCAGGTTCCTGGCCATGTAAGTCGAGCTTGCCCAGGTGTGAGGACGTGGTGGAAGCATGTGCGTGTGAGCTGGAACAGCTCGAGGACCAAGTCGAACAACAGGACAAAATTTCGGTCATTTGCGTCTATCGCATGTACATTCGCATCGGATTGATTCTGCCACCTTCACACCTCCTCACTCTCTACCATGATGGCTCGGCCACGGCGATCGAAAGCTGCAGTCGCAAGTGACCCAGAAGATGCATCAGACCACGGCTCGCAGGAAGACACAATCGGTGCCGTGCCAAGGGCCATGCAAAACATCGTACGCGACCCGTCCAACACTGCCTCATTGTATTGACTGGAATATTGTACTTAATTCGCAACCGGATCCCTAACCATATCTCGCTCTTTTCGCCGTGACCGAAAATTGTCCAGGACACTCTCAAAAAGACCCGCGCCCAGAACCAGGCCGGCATCAACCAAGACTACAACGCCGCTCTAGACATGTGGACAAAACAGGTCCGGGATCATTTTGCACGCCAGACGCAAGAGATGTATGTTTCGGGTTTCTTCAGACTTGCCATTGTGGGATCTGCGTACTTTGTCCATCCGATTTACCCTGCTTCTTAGGAATCCCACTGACTAACAGCGGCCCTTTTCGATAGGGAGAGAGTCCACACCGACACAATTGCCCGCTTCACAGCCGCCGTCGAGAGAAAACTCGCCTGCGAGGAGGCCATCGCGGAAAGGATCAAGGCACTGAGCGAGGACCGCGCTCACCTCGCCATGCTGATCAACGCCGTGTACACTGGCCGCCGGGAGCTGGCAAGGGACGCGGCGGCTACGATGATGCACGACGCAGGTACAGCGAAGACCACAGGCAGAACAGCAAAAGCCTCGAAGCGAACGGGACTCGGCGTGAGTGGAAGCCGAACTGTCGGTTTGGACTACACCAAACGGAAGGGAGCTTAGCCGATCTCGTCATGTGCTCACCGAAAGGGAACCCCTTTGAAATTGGTGGGATTCTCGGAGACCTGATAAGTAACGACATGTGTCAGGTCACACTTCATGCCACAACCACATCTATGTCATGGTACACCTTTAATGGAGCATGTGAAACCATGGACAGCAGTGAATCATGCAGGCGCACCTGCGGATTTCATGTCGAAAACCTTGTTATGCTGATGCGATATATACTTTATGTATGCTCTATGCTCCCCCAGAGATCCAACCATTTTTACCTCCATGCCTGTGCACAGCCTGTCCCCCATTCAAACCATGGTCCTGTGATCAGACGGCCTGGCTATACGCGCCAAGCCGCCGCCGGCCGTACTTGTAGTACTTTCGCACCTCGTCGGCCCAGAAGACTGTGCTCGTCAACATGACGAGCCTCACTAGGTCGAGGAAACTAATGGCCTCAGTCTGGAAGACGTCCTGCAGCCAGGGAAAGTAGATGACGAGTAGCTGGCCCAGCAAGGAGAGCGCGACGGCCCAGTTGAAGAGCTTGTTGGAGAAGACGCCCACCTCGCCTCGGAGAATGGACTTGCTTTCCGACCGGCACGAGAGGGCGTTGAACATGTCAAACAGCACGAAGCAGGTGAAGGTCATGGTCGTGTCGCGGCGATCGACGCCGCCGTCGGCCATCTGCGAGATGTATACTGCCATAGTACCCGTGGTGATGATTGCAGCTGACGTGAGCACACGTTGCAGCAATGCTCGGGTGAGGACCGGCTCTGTACGTGTGCGGGGCGGGCGCGACATGACATCCGGATCAACCTTTTCTACGCCGAGCGACTGTGCCGGAGGGCCGTCCATAATGATGTTGATCCAGAGGATCTGCATGGCGTTAAGGGGCGTTTTGAAGCCGAAGCATGTGCAGAGCAGCACAAGAGTGAGACTCGCCACACTGGTACTGAGCTGGAAAGTGATGAAGTTCTGAATGTTGTTGAATATGCCCTTGCCTTCTTCGATGGCGCGAAGGATCGTCTTGAAGCTGTCGTCGGTAAGGATCATGTCAGATGCCTCCTTGGCCACATCGGTACCGTTGAGGCCCATCGAGATGCCGATGTCGGCCTTCTTGAGGGCGGGGGCGTCATTGACACCGTCGCCAGTCATCGCAACAATGTCGCCACGAGCCTGCAGAGCTCTGATGATCTTGAGCTTGTGGTCCGGGTTCGTGCGCGCAAAGATCGTCGTGATGCGAAGGGCGGCTGCCAACTCCTCCTCTGACATGGCGTCGACCTCGTCTCCAGTCAGGACCGGCTTTACAGCAACTTGGCTCGACGTGTGCTCTCGTGCAGTGGCGATGTGCATGCCCAATTGCTTGCCGATGGCATATGCCGTCGTCGCGGCGTCTCCAGTTATCATAATGACCCGGACACCACCGCGCATCAAGCGACGGATGGCTTTCGCTACCCCAGGGCGTGGGGGGTCGCTCATGCCGACAAGGCCGGCAAAGGTCAACCCTGTATAAACGTCGTCATCACTGCCAGTCGCGCTCCCTGGCGTGCTACTACGCGTAGAGTGACCAATTCCTCTGGAGGATCTGGTCACTGTGCCGCTCGCGAACGCCAAGACTCGCAGCCCAGTTTCTGCCATTGTCTCGGCAGCTTGCAATGCCTCCCTGCGGCGTCTCGAATCCATGACGACTTCGCGACCATCAGCAGTCAAGTAGCTATCGCAGGCATCCAAGACTTTGTCGATTGACCCTTTCATGTATGCATGGCCCTTGTCGTTGCTCCCTGACGCAGCCCCGATCACGACGCCCATGCATTTTCGCTCAGAGCTAAATGGCATTTCAGAGGTGCGAGGGCCAATGGAGTCACGGACATCGTGCTCCTGGAATCTGTCCAGCAGGTCGAGCATGGCCACATCCGTAGGTTGGCCCACCCATCGCGACGTCGGCGTGGGATCCCGGCTTTGCGAGTCTGCATATATCGTCCTTGCTCCATGAGCAAGCCTGGCATTGTTGGCGATGTTGCCAATTCTCAGAATACGGACTGTGGCGGGGTCTGGCTTCTTTTCGTCCAGATCCTTGTCTCCGTCGACACTGACAGCATCGGGCACGCCAAAATACCACATCTTGGCGGCTGTCATGTGGTTCATCGTGAGCGTTCCAGTCTTATCCGAGCACACCACATTGACGGAGCCCAGCGTCTCCACACTTGGCATTTTGCGCACAATGGCAGAATGCTTGGCCATCCGGTGAACGCCAAGAGCAAGTGTCACGGTGACAATGATTGGAAGACCTTCAGGAATAGCAGCAACAGCGAGAGATATGGATATCGTGAAAATCTCCAAGACCTTCTTGCCCTGCAACAGTCCCACGAGCGAAATTAGTGCAATAATGCCGCCAGAGATCTTGGTCAGCTGGGAGCCGAGCTCGTCCATGCTGAGCTGTAATGGTGAGCGTGGACTCTCAGTCCCTGAAACGCTCGTCGCTATCGTGCCAAATAGCGTCTCCCCTCCGGTGGCGAAGACTATCCCTTGCCCATGGCCGGACTTGACCAAGGTGCCCATATAAGCGATGTTGTGGATAGATTCATCTACCGCACCACTTCGACCTGTCCCATTTGTTGCTGGAGGAGCGAGTGTCGCGGGGCTAGGCTGGCGCATTATACCCAGGCCGAAACCGGAGTGTGAATCTGACCGTTGCCGCCCGGTCCTTGTGTCGGCGGTGACTCTGACCGGCTCCGTCTCTCCCGTAAGATTGGACGCATCGATTGTCAAGTCAGACGCCATGGTAACGCGAATGTCTGCGGGTATCCGGTCACCTGTCGTGAAAAGCACAAGATCGCCGGGCACAAGCTGAGCAGCCATGACTTTGGATGACGTGGAAGACATCATCTCCTCTCCCGGCGTCTCTGACCCTCCTGCAGGATCTCTATCGCTCGGATCGTTGACTGCCGGGGGCCACCCGGATGGTTTCGCGGCATTCAGAGGACGAGGAGGCTGTGCCCGGACGAGGTGGGCATGGTTCGGTACGAGGCGGTCGAGGGCTTCTATGGACTTTTCGGACCGATATTCTTGGACAAACCCGACGGTAATGACTATGGTGACAGCAACCGTAATGCTTACGGCGTCGTCCATGTTGCCCACGAGGAGAGACGCAAAGGCTGATACGAGGAGCAGAATGATGAGTGGCTCCTGGAATTGCTTCAGGAATCGAAGCCAGAGGGGTTCTGGTGGTTCGTGGGGAATTTCGTTCGGGCCATGGTTTCGTAGCCGTGTGAGTGCTTCGGCTTCGGTCAGGCCGTTCGCTTCTGAAGTTTGCAATCGAGAGGCTGCTTCGGCAGGGGTCATGGTCGCGAATTGGTCCGCCATAGTCTATGTAGTAGTAGAGCTCGTCAGCAACTATAGCCTGCACCGTTGGGCCGATTGTTTTCGGGGGGGGGGGGGGTAATGGACGTACTCGTGACTGTGCCGATGTTGTCCGGATGTGGCCGGGTCGCCTGGAGGAAGAACGAGCGCGGTCTTCCGGTGATGACGCCTCGTAAGGATCGTAGCGGTCCTTGCCAACCCCTTCTCCGCCAGAGACGGCGATCGGCAGCAAGGAGCCATCGTGAGCCTTCTGGCCCGAGAACGGCCAGGACATGCTGCTTACGACGATCGGCTAGGAGCGAAGCGCAGAGATTGACAGCATCAAGGAGAGGAGCTCGAGGCTAGACTCAGAATGTTGAAGTAGCGACAGCAGCGCTCAAGTGCATGGCCGAACGGAGGATGTGATGCGCTGCGTGGAGGTTGTTGAGGACCACACGATAGCACCGGGCGAACGCTGGGCCACAGTTTGGAGGGCGCACCACGATTGGCGACCTGGCGTCGTGGTGGAACGGTGGAAAAGTTGTTACAAGCAAGGGATGGGTGAAGGGGACTTCAGGAGTTGATGTTGGCGATCCCGGCAAGGAGTGGTGCAGCTAAAGTTAAGCTCCGGGCTGGCACTTGGAGGCGCAGATCTGGGCGTGTGGAACACGTCAACGTGGTTACTTCCAAGCCCCATCCAGATTGTTAGATTGCTGTCTTTGGCTGCGGAACGGGTTGCATGCAAGGCCCACGGGCCTGGGACCCCCTGTGCGCCCGTGTGCAATAGTCAAGTGTCTCTCGAACCGAATATTAGACTTTTCTCCTCGATATATTGCGTAGGAGTCTACAGGTTGTGCCACCTGGACACTGGGATTTGGAGATTTTCATTAGTTAATTCCAGAAGATGCAAGCAGAGATGCAGTCTCGAAGTCGAAGTCAAGGGCAGTGCACGTTGCAATTGGGCAGAGAGCATCGTCGATGCGCTTGAGCAGGCAGCGCAAGATGTGCCGTACTTTCAGGTACACTGCATCTGCATTCAAGGAACCTTCCATGCTGCGGCGGAGGAACGGCTTCTGCGCGCGTTTGTTGCTGGAAGCACACCAGATTGATCCCTGCTTCTCAGCGAGCCGCCGCAAGTTCCGGCGTTGTAGCACTGATATGTCTGAGTACCGTGATTGTCTTCAATTTGAGCCCGGCAGAGAGAAGGAACTGACTGCCGCAGCGCTCGAGGCCACATCGACCGCTCTCCTCCTGCTCGTCATCTCGTCACAACTCTGTCAAAGCGGAGTGGCATCTGCAACGAGAACAAGCAGCAAAAAGGCGGGTCACGGCCCCAGAGGAGCCAATGGATGTCCAGAGTCGCACCATTGTGGGGCCACCCGTCCCAGTTCGTCATGCTCGCGCACCGCAACTGGGCGTGTCCACTGCCAGCCACTGCACATGGCAAACCCCCCCCCCAGCCACGTCCTTTTCGAGCCCGTTGCTGGGCGGTGGGCCCTCCACCGACTGGAGCTGCCTGAGGAGCTGCACCCGGCCCGCCGAACACAACCCCCCTTGGTTGCCCGCCCGTCTCCTGCCCTGCCTGCCCTGCCTCTTGACCTCAAGTCCTCCCACCTGCACCAGGGCCACCTCGCTCGCGCGACCTTGCCGTCTTTCCCTCCCGTCACCATCACCACCACCGCCACCTCCCACAGCAATCTCCCGTGCGCGCACCGGTCTCCTCGTTGCTCTGCGCCTCCCGGACAAGACAATCCTTACTGTCTTCCCGCATCTTCACACTCGCTCCCGTCGCATCCGGCGCGCTTTCCTCCACGCGCAAAACGGCGCGCGTCCTTGCTGCGGCCGTTTTCATTGCCGTCAAAAACGGCGCTAGCACACGCGCTGTCGTGCCCGTCACCCACAACAACACCCGGCCTTTGAGCAACCACGTTCCACCACGCGCCCGCGCCCGCGCCCGCCACGTCGATACTCGCATCCATTACAACACTTTTGCAGCTCCATTTGCAATCGCGAATTGTCGCAAACTTCCCGTCTAGACATCTCTGCATCGTCAGGGTCCCCCCTGCTCGGTGAAATCTGCAGCGTCGCGCATCCCTCCAACGCGTGCCTCCCATCCTCAATGAGGAACTCTTCATCAGCAACATAGATCGCGTAGTTCAGTCCAATCTTGCATCTGATCGCTACGAAACCCTCAGGGCCCCCGCCGCGCTCTCGCCATGTTTTACTCGGAGACGCTCCTCCAGAAGACCGGGCCTCTGGCTCGCGTCTGGCTTTCCGCCAACCTCGAGCGCAAGCTCTCAAAGACGCATATCCTGCAGTCTAACCTCACGGACAGTGTCGACGCCATCATTACACCCAATCAGGCGCCAATGGCCCTCCGTTTGAGTGGCCAGCTGCTGCTTGGTGTCGTCAGAATCTACAGCAGAAAAGCGCGTTACTTGTTGGATGATTGCAACGAGGCGCTCCTCAAGATCAAGATGGTAAGCCACGAATGCATATTTCGCGCTCAGCCTCGATCCATTCGTCCCTGTGCTCTCGTGCTGACCGAGCCTTTAGGCCTTCCGCACAACTGGCAATAATGACTTGCCAGAGAATCTTGGCGTAGCCAACCGCGAGGCTCTTATGATCCCCGATCGGATTACCCCTGCGGACAACCTGAACACCCTTCCCGCGTTCACAATGCCGAATGCCGACTTCCTGCTCAGCCAAATGGACGAGGTCGATGCCACGCCAAGCAGCACCAACTTTGGTAAGGCCCGCAGCAGGCCCAGCAACAACCGTGACATCAACCTCCAAGAGGATTACAACAACAGCCAGTTCCTCCAGACTGATAACTTCGACGACAACGGCCTCGACCTTGTGCCCGTCGACGACGACCTCGAGCTTGAGCTCGACTTCGGCATGGACATTGACGAGCGACCCAAGCACCTGGACCGCAGCATCGAAATGGGACGAGATGCTCCAGCTGCGCGTTCTATTGAAGACGACATGATCAGCGAGATGGACTTCCCGCGGGCAAAGGGTGCCGATGCTGAGCCCTCATTGGCACTGGACCTCGGGGACGGCGTCATGATTGCTGATGGCGACGGAGACATCATGATGGATGGTGACGATTTCCAATTCGATATTGGTGATCAGTCCGCCATGCCCAACATGGCTGGTGCTCGGGATGCCACCCGCGCCCGCATTTCGGAGTCCCCACTCTCAGACATCGATGAGAATGTGACCCGGGATCTTGAAGAGTGGAAGCGCCTCAATAACCACAGCATCTATGAGCCCGGCCAGGAAGCCGAGGACGTGGAGCCGGCGCCCCAGAAGAAGTCTAAGAAGAAGAAGGTCTTTGCCCTTGATGCTGCCACGCAGCTCACCAGCGCTCACATCAAGGAGCAGCAACAATCACATGACAATATCCTCAAGGAGCCCAGCTTCATCTCTAGGGACCCTTACCTCCTGGCTCTCTTGGAAATGAAGCACAATGGTGGATTCGTATCCAGCATCATGGGCGATGGCCGTAGCAAGGCTTGGGCCCCCGAGCTCCGTGGATTACTTTCGCTGGAAGCCTTGCACTCCACAAACGAGCTGAAGCGTAAGCGTGATAGCGGAATTGCCGACATCAGCGATAACGAAAACACCACATCCAAGTCCCCGCGCCTGGAGCTAGGCGACGACGACGACGACACTCTCACAGGTCCTGCCGGTGGACTTGGCGACCGGACTGCTGGTCCCGACGGTACTATGCTTGAGATTCCCGCCGACGACGGTGTCGTCATGAACGATGACGATGGATTCGCTGATGGCACAGCCCTGCCTGCTTTCGACGACACAACTGTCCCCATTGTCCATCCTGCGGACAGTGGGCCTGTCTCGGTTGGCACAAAACACGCAGTCCACATTTTGCGGGACCTCTTTGGTGCCGAGGCCGCCCAGAGCGAGGAGAAGCGGAAGAAGACTGCTGTTGTGTTCCAAGAGCTCCTGCCCGAAGGAAGGACGACGAAAGCTGACGCCACCAAGATGTTTTTCGAGTGTCTTGTCCTGGCCACAAAGGATGCCATCAAGGTTGAGCAGAAGGAGGGCTCACTAGGTGGCCCAATCAAGGTTCGCGGCAAGCGTGGCCTGTGGGGTGCCTGGGCTGAGCGGGAAGCTGGCGGCGAGATTGCCAACCAGGACGAAGAGTCGAGACCAGAGCCGACGATCGCTAGTGCGTCACAAACAGTAGCGGCCGCCGCTTGAGTGGCGTGGAAATAATTTGGATAAAGCGCCGACCGGTCATTTCACTCCTGCGAGCGTCTTGGATTTGGAGCTGACCGGCTCGGCTCGTGTACAAAGGTTCCGGCATGTCTTTGTCTGTATTTTCCAGCCATCTGGTTTCGGCGGGCGTTACACGGCGTATGGTGAAGTCGGGGCGATACCATTCTTTCGCGGTATTTCTTGGTTGACATGAAAAAAGAGAGCATCATGACGAGAAATTACCACTTGTTGGCTTATGAGGGTTCTGTGGCGGCCCTCGTGTTGGCTTATGATTCTCCGACTTAGATAGGTCCATAGCAACAAAACATTACTTTCAAGGACGTTGTACGTATCATGACACTGGTGATGTGAGTACAGTTTGGAACATATTGGAAGCTGTGATTGCAATGCTGGGTGTCGTTGATTAGGAGCTATCTGAGTTTCTTTCCGGCTTGACCCATCGAGCGGCGAAGACGGGAGCTCCCCGTTCAACCGGCCCACTATTCAATGCCAATGGGGCCAGACTCGCGGCCGAGACGTCAGCAAGCCGCGTCCGGGCGCTGCATCGTGTCCAGTCATCCAAACTCACTTTCCTTCAACATCCTTCTTGCAAGACAATGAAGCACCCAACCGCTGTACCTTGCACTCTCTACGCTCCACAGAGCCATCCGCCAGTGGCCTCATCGCTGGAACGAGAACGGGCCGCTTCGAATGGCTGAGCAAGCATCACCCTGACGACCACCTCGGCAGACTCTGTAAGGGCCGCATCGCATCGAGTCTTCGAGGTGTTGACCCGTGGCGACAATTCCATCTCAGACGGCTTGCTTGCTGTATTGGACATAGCCGACGATTGTGCGACGTGATATCGCCTCGATTCGAGTTCTCTGCTGGACATACAAAGGTATTGTGAGGTTCTACTCCAAAGTCTTACTCGAGCAAGCCATCGAGACTGTCAGTGCTTGGGCTGTGCTACATTACTCCCGCGCATCATCAGTCCTTCTGCACGATGCCGACCAAGTCGCTATTCGAGCTCTGCACCGTCGTGTGTCTGAAGCACATCAAAGGTCAGTGACCCCCCCGGCGCGTGTTCTCGCAAACTCCCGTGGCCGTTTGCCTTGGACAGCGCGTTCGGCCATGCAGCACATCTCCAAATAGCTCCTACACAAGCCGCTATCCTGCTACACGTGCCACGCCCTTCCCATGAGACTAATTCCTCAAATTCCATGGCACCAGAAATCACCGACATCGGTCTGACGCCCTATCCGGCCGTCCGGCGGATCCTCCTGAACATCAACAGCGCGTCACAACTGCGACAGCTCGAGCTCGCCTCGCCGCACCTCGAAGGAGACGACGCGGAGTGCTGGATCCGGCTGATCGACAAGGACTTCCCCGTCCTCTCCAAGAAGCACAACTTTGAGCCCAGGAACCCAGCCTCATGGCACAAGGTGTACTCCAAGTACCAGCGGCTCGAGGAGGAGACGAAGCGCGCGGCCGAGGAGAAGCTCAAGAGCGCGTTCGCGGGGATCAACAAGGAGAAGGCCAGCAAGACGTCGTCCGTCGTCGACTTTGACCGGCGCAAGCTGCCCAAGCTCCCCAAGGATGGACGGGGCCTGGCTGGCGTGCGTAGGGTCAAGGGCCAGCCGGTCGCCTCGACAAACGGCCTGCGGTTCACGGGCGGCACCAAGACCAAAGTCACCGACGCCAAGAGCATCATGCGCAAGGCGCGCCGCGAGGCGGCTGCCATTGGCGCCCGCAACAGGCTCGACACCAACTCGGCGAATCTGCGTAGGGACCAACTGCAGCAGGCGCCCAAGGGGTTGGTGAACGAATACAAGCTCAAAGCACGGCCCGTAGAGAGAGGGATGCCGTCTGCGGGAGGCAGGATCGCGACTGGGATTATGCGACCGCCTGTGCCGTCTGTCAAGCGGATAGACCGGGACCTCGAGGAGCGCGAGGCCCGGCTGCGGAAAATGACGAGCTTGGCCAATACGAGGCGCAACACGACTGTCGTTTCGGACGACGAGCTAGATGACGAAGAGGACATTGGGTACGAATATGAGGACGAGGGCTACGACCACGGCGGTGCAAGAAACGGAGGCGGAGGTGGCCTAGACGCAGACGATCTCGAAGACATATTCGACGAAAGCCCGGCGCGGCCGTCATCACAAGTGCGAACCTCGTCCTCCTCACGGCTGCCCTCGTCATCGTCGAGTCGGAGACCAGGTGGGGGTGGTCTACTATCAAATGCCCCGGGCGCTGGGAGCAGATTATCAACCACGGCGTCTTCTTCAAGCAGACCGAGCAATACTTTCAGGCCTGGTGCACAGCAGCACTCTTCGCCGCCGCCGCCAGTGTCACGGAGCAGCAACAACTCCCCGGCAAAGCCAGCCTCGGGTTCATCGTCAGCAGGGCCGTCAGTGTCCCGAGGAGCACCACCACCACCATCAGGAGCATTACTGCAGCGTAAGCGTAAGGCCGCAGACGTGTTTATGAAGAAGCCGAAGCCCAAGATGGCACGATCGAGCTGATCAGGCTCGCTGCAAGCGGGGAGGTGGCTATCTGGACAGCAGATTGAATAGCAGACTGAACCCAGACAGAGATGGACGCGTTTCGGGGGAAGTCCACCCTCCTGGATCTTGTCCTATTTCGGCACATACCCGACAATTAGGCAATGAATTCATGGTCTCGAAACAACGTCCAGATGAGCAACATTTCAGGCATTTACGACCTCGGAGCAGGGTAACTCATATCGGAATCTCAAGAAGTGTAGTGCACAAAACCAGCATGTCTAGAACAGGATAGATTTCTGGCAATTAAAGTCCCGCGCAGACTTCGTTGTTGTCAAAAATCGGATTAAGTCATGATGCGAGTGAAAAGGTGTGGACATTGAGCATGGGCGGTATGCCTCCTCCACAGCGGTTGTTCTCAATGTATTCGGAGGTGGTACTATTTCATTTCGTCTATCTTTGGCGCTTCGGACACACCATGTGCCTCTACGGGGCCTCTGGTCGAAGAAGTCCTTGTATGTGCATTTTGTATCTGGCTCCTAACGCCCCCCTTTGTTATCAGCTGTTTGATGATGATTTGAAAAAAGAAGCCTTGTGTTGGAAAAAGGCAAGTGCTTGCTTTTCTTTCCTTCTTCTCGCAGAGTATGCAATTTCCTCGCCATCTCAGCGAGCGCGCGCGCGCGCGCGCCACAACAACAACGCTCCCCCCCCCCCCCCCCATTAAAACCAGACTAAAGTATCACACCCGTGCCATCTCAGGAACTTTCTCACTCATACGCATGGCTGGAGTCCGGTTTCCCCTCATATCGATCGTGGTGGTCGAGCTGGACAAAAAGGGCTGTGGAGAGACACAGAGAGAGTGTGTGTGGGAAGTTGGGGGGTATCTATTGCGAAAGTGACGAGCCGCCACGCAGGGCGAGGACCAAGTGTAGCGTCGCGCCGCCCTCGAGGGCGTAGTCGGCTGCGGTTTTGTCGTCGACCCTGTTTTGTTTGGAAAGGAAGTGGGCAGAGTTATTGTTAGTCCTTGTGTGGTTTTAACGTAGGAAAGAAAATGGCCTGAGGGATGGGCGCTCTTGGCCACCAGCACAGTCGCTCGGCACACAAGAAGCTAAGGAGGAAAGGTTGGCAGGTCTGGGCATCTTTCTGGGGAGGGGGGGGGGGTGCTTTTCGAACATACATCTGCTTGCCGCCGTAGATCAGGCGCTGCTGTACGGGCGGGATGCCTTCCTTCTCCTCGACCTTTTCCTTGATCTGCGAGACCTGTGGGCGTCCAAACCGGATAGATTGTCAGTGAACTTTGTTCCTAACAGTTCGAGTGTTGCGCCGGGTGTTGCATGCTGCTTTTTGTAGTGGCGGCTGGCTTCGGGCGCGCACGCGTATCTCGAACTTTATCACTAGGTCGGGGGATATCGGGGGGCGCACCTTGTAGTCGGCCTCGATGTCGAGCTCGATCTCCTTGCCCGTGAGGGTGCGGACTCTGGAAGTGAAAGAGGTGGACGTCAGCATTCTGCGGGGTGCAAGATGTCGGCAAGGGCGCCGTCTGGTTTGAAACCGAGGCCAGCAAAGCTCATGACGGTGGGCTTGACGGGGTGAAAGAGGCGCTGCATTGGGGACATGCGTTTGTGCTTACTTGATCAGCATCTTGTCGGTGTGGAACGGGGAGTTTGGAGAGATGGGAGTGGTTCTGGAGGTAGAGTACGGCTGTCGCGAAGGTCCGCTCGGAGCGTCTGGTCGGTTTGTGGAAGAGGTTCGCAGTGTATGAAGATGTCTGGAGGAACGCGGAAGGGAGCAGCCAGCTCGGTGATGGAGTTGTTGGATGGTGGGGTTCCCTGTCATCGGAGCCCATGCATTGCCTACGCCGATGCAATGGTCCCGCTAGGCTACCCGTGGGGTCAATCACACCTTGACGCCCGCAAAACGAGGTTGTGGCAAGATCATGATGAGAAGTGATGACATATCATAGACTACGATCCGGTGCATTCTGACGATCACATTGGAGGCAAAGCACGCTGAAATCCATGGGATCAGTCCGCCCTGTCCCCCCCGGACTTGTGACGAGCTCGGGGAGAGTTGAGTGGGGTCCCGGAAGATGCATGTGGTAATCGCCCTTCACATCTTCATGGATCCAAGCTTGCACGTCGATTGAGCCGCGCTCACTCTGGCTCCGGGAAAGACAAATATGCAAATCATGTTGGCTTCTTTTGGCGGAGGTGAATATGCTACACGGATTAGTCCCTAGAGTTACAATGGAGATTATTTCTTGCCAGTCCTTCCCTTCTACTTGTTCGAGCTGTCCCCAAAGACGTTCAGGCCCAGGCCCTCGGAGTCGAGCATCAGTCGGTTGCGGCCACCCGACTCCTGCATCTGCTGAGCAATATATCTCGCGTTCTCAATCTTCTTGAGCTCCACGTAGGCCTTGTTCTTCTTGATAGCGTCACCGATGAGCTCGGCAGAACGAGCCTCACCCTGTGCCTTGACGACCATGGCCTGCTTCTCCTGCCGGGCCTTGTCCACAATGAAAGCCGCGCGTTGCGCCTCCTGCTGCGCGACCTGCTTGGCCTCGACTGCCGCGGTGAACTCCGGAGAGAACGCGAGGTGCTTGATAGTATCGTACGTCAGCTCAGAGTTTCACATCCATGTCTCCTAACTACACAAAATCATGCACTTACCGTCAAGGAGACATCGTCGAGGACAATGTTGAAGCGGGCGGCGCGGACAGACAGGTTGTCACGGACCATTTTCGCCACGCTCTCACGCTGTGTGATCAGTTGGCTGGCGTTGAACTGCGCCACCACGCTCTTGAGGACCTCGTTGACGATCGAAGGCAGCACCCGCTCGTCGTAGTCCTGGCCGAGTGTCCGGTAGATCTGGGGTAGCTGTGCAATGTCGGGCCGGGACAGGACACGGCAGGTAATGTTGACCATCTGCAAGTCCTTTGTGCCCGTAAGCGACGAGACGTTCCTTGGCCGGGCCCGAACGTCGTAGGTGATGGGCGTCTCGAACCACGGAATCATCAGGTGGGTGCCTTCGCTGTAGATCTCCTTGCTCACGCCGTTTATCCTGCGGTACTTGATCGCACGGTGACCACCGTCGACGTTGAAGAGCGAGTTGCTGAGCACCATGGCGCCACCACCGAGAAGGATCAGGCCGCCGAGCGCACCGAAGGCGCCTCGAGGTGGCCGTCCGCCGGGGAAGCCGCCGCTGCCTCCGGCCCGCTGCGCCTGGCGCATCATCGACTGCGCGCGCTCCATGAATTCGTCTACCGGGCGCCGCGACATCGTGAGAGTTGGTCTGAGGTGCGAGAGGCGTCTTTGGTGTAGGCGGTCGGAGAAAAGAGGCCGGGTTGTCGTATGCTCGCTGTTTCGACCAGGTACTGACGAGAAAAGCTCCCAGGTGTTCTGCAAATAGCTGCCAACCGAGTTCGAGCCTGGGGCATGAGAATCCGTTCCGCAGCCACGGAAGCTGGAGCTGCCTGGTGGTGGTGCAACTGCTAAGCTCCACGCCTTCCCATTGGCCCAAAGGTGGGCGCTAGGCTACCCGGTACAACAGTGAAATCATCACCTGGGTTCTTCACACGAAGTACTGCCCCACCCAGATTGCGCGTGGAAGTGACTTTGCCTGAGCTTGACCAGCGCGCGCCGAGGGTCGAAGCTCCAGAGACCAGTCGCCCTAGCGTTTTGAGCCTCAAATTGTTCCATTGCAGCGAAACTACGGAGCAACAACACACTACGGCGCATTCAAATTGCCTTCACGATTCTTCTAGATACAACCTTGGACGCCGCAACTGTCAACTCTCGTAGGCATCCGAATCACGACACATTGCCCTGGGACATCTGCATCACACACCTCTGCAAACCACCCCAGTCGGCTGGGCAGTCTCGTCATGTCGAATAAGGCACCATCGCGCGTGGTGTTTGTGGGCAACATCCCATATGGTACGTGGACGTGTAGATCGCTCATACGACGGCGAGACACTGACCACACTTCTATCTCAGGCCTCTCAGAGGAACAGATCAGCGACATCTTCAGCACAGCGGGCAAGGTGCTGAACTTCAGACTCGTCTACGACCGCGAAACGGGCCGCCCCAAGGGGTTTGGATTTGCCGAGTATCCAGATGCCGGTAAGCCTTTATGCTGCCCCAAACTTTCCAGCGTATATGACTGACGCAAGTCTCCTTGGTTTGACAGACTCTGCCGCTTCTGCCGTTCGCAATCTGAACGACTACGAAATCATGGGCCGGAAACTGCGAGTCGACTACAGCAGCGAAGGAAAGGCCGAGGAGGAGGACGGCCCAATGCCATCGAGACCAGCGCCGACCGCCAACTTCTCACAACCCGCCAACGGTACTTCACACACAGCCAACCCTGCGGGCAGCCTGCCGCCGTTACCGCCTGGAAAGGAGCTGCCCCCAGGTGTCACCGCGACCGATGCGATCTCCCGAACTCTCAACACGCTGCCTCCCGCACAGCTGCTCGACATATTATCACAGATGAAATCGCTGGCGAGCACAGATGCGGCGAGGGCGACAGAGCTGCTGGCGCAGGCGCCGCAGTTGTCCTACGCGATATTCCAGGCACTTCTGCTCATGGGGCTGGTCTCGCCAGAGGCCATCTCCTCTGTGGTAGACACGAGTGCCGCGCCTCCACAGATGCCGCCGGCAGTCCCGCCAGTGGGTTACCCGGTGCCGCCAGTGCCTGGCTATCCTGCGGTGCCCACTGGCACACCGCCGGTGGCTCCCCCTTACGCGCCTCCAGTGGCCCCGGCCCCTCCGCCGGCTGGCGATCAGGATGCGCTCGTGAAGCAGGTCCTCAGCCTGCCACAGGAGGTTATTGACCAGCTGCCCGAGGCTGAGAGGCAGCAGATCATGACGCTGCGGGCGACGCTCATGGCGCAGATGAGATGAGGGGGTTTATCAGTGGAAGGGCAGGAATTGCGTGTTTTCGTAGCGATTATGGCTCAGTGCCTCATACCCAATATCAGATCGTGGCCAATTGAGTAGCCATCCGGAATTTATACAGAAGTCTCATTCTTGCAGGTGGACACGTGAAAATGGGAAACCGTGCAGACGACCGATCGTCAAATCGAAATGCTGGCAGGGCGGAGTGTGATCGGCAGGTTGTCTCGTTTTGCCAGTCTCCAACATGGCGGATCATTCTGCCCAGACGTGGCCAGCGTCCGTACCTGGTCTACATTCTTGCAATATACGGAATCTGCCTACATGCACAATGAGAATCAGGTTCCATTCACTTCGGTGCTCTGAAAAGCATCCCAATGTACTATTTCGCCCATTCGTCCGATCCAGCCCGAGTGTCTTACGGCATATCGTGGCCGAGTGGTCGCCTTAGTAGGCGCGCTCTCCCTTCAGCTGCATAGGAATTGACTGCGCACAACGCAACCCTGGCAAAAGCAAGCAGATGCGCTGGAAGAAACGGTAAGATTAGCTAATACTATTTTTTCACAGCTCTCATCTCATCTCGGCAGGAAAGTTAGCAGCTGCGAGACAACAGACATTCTCGTCACGCTCATGCCGCTCCAAGTCTCGATAGTATGCCCTAGGCGCAGAGTGCACTGTCCTTGAGGGACGAGGTCATTGTAGTTGCATTTATGGTCCAGTGACCAACGATGCCCGATTACGGCGCGGTCTCATATCCGACGACTCTGGGTTCCTGACGGCGAAAAATTCGTGATCCAATTGATACCGGCCAGATGCCGAGACCCTTTCCATAACAGTGAATCTGCGAGGCCATGCCGATTTGCCTAGGACTTCATCGTGGCCCGCGGCTCCTCCTCGTCCACGTCGAAACCTGCGAAAACCAGCGCAATGGGCCTTCAAAATTTTATGAGTGGTCGTTGCACCGATTGATCTGACCTTGTTCCTGCAGGATCTGCTCCAGAAAGGTGGCAGCCCAGTCGCCGACGGCAGATCACCCGGATCGGGCGCGGACCGGGGCGTTTGTGCGGGCGGATCCACTTCTCGCGGCGACGGCGCCGGTGGCCGGGTTGTCACCCACGGTGAACTCTGGAAGGTCTGGTTGGAGACAAGATGGCCTTTGCGAACGAAGCACTCCCAAGTACGCCCGCTTTGGCATCGCCCTGGCTTCGTCTTTGCTACCAGCTGACACATCCCTGAGCGCTACGTTTCCCGAGATCTAATTGGCAGCCGCCGAAAGTTCGTCTTGCACCGGCCCACAGCCCCGGCTGCCAGAGCCGGTGCCCTCGGGCCGTGCTTGCTCCTTGGGGGCAATCCTGCACAGGTCACGAACCAAGCCGCTGTGCATGTTCGACAAAATGCTCTACACTGGCGTGGCCTAAAGCTCTAACGCCTCAACGTCACAGGCCAGCCACGCGGATGCCGCGAAGCCGCGGGCTGACGTGCCACGATGGGGTGTGGCAGGAGCTGCCGACGACGTTGTGAAGCGGCTTAATACCTGGGCATGACCCAAGTCCCTTACATGGCTGGGCGCAGGTTCGGAGACATTCGAGATGGTCAACGGGCTGGCCAGCATCGAAAGGAGTTAGCGTATGGTACTCCGGGCACGCATACTGATACTTGGCACGCTGCACAGCCGCACCACTCGGGCACTCCAAGGCGTTCATTGGCTGGCATCCTGGTACCTGACACCATACCCAGGTACACCACAGTCGGAAGGCGTTCATTGGTTCAGTGACGCCCTACCATGTTCGCACAACCGGTACTGCGTAGGATTCAAGACTGTAGATAAGTTCAGATGCAAACCCACGTCTCAAGACTTGGACTTGACTTGGATCAACTTGGCCATTCAGTAAGAGCGGGCAATCGCCATTTATCAGTCGTTGCCACAATATCGTCTTTAAATTTACCTGGTCGTCTCAATCTCAACACCACCCTACGCGTACCACCGTCCTTAAAACACCTGCATCACACTACTACTACCATGTCCGAAGAACTGGCGTGTACGATTGTCATTGGCGCCATCCAAATCGGACTGGCCGTGGCTGCCATTATCGAGCGCCGCTACCCCCGCCAGGTCAGATGTAAGCCAAAACACTGCCGCTCCTTTCTGGCCTCTTCCTCTTAAAATTCTTTCAGCAGGAATGCTGACTTTGCATTCTCAGATGCAGACATTGAGACACAGGCCCTTTGATCTGGCACGATCTTTGTCCACTATCGGTCCCCCTTCCGAATCCGCTGTATGTAACATCAACCATTTTCCAAAAAACCGGCGCACCAGAAGGGCAACCGACGACACCAGGCGAGGTCAAACAAAATGGAGCAATATAAGAGAACACTAATGATGTAACCATGAAGGGTCACCAGAGAGCAAGGCGTGCAAGAAGAGTACGCATGGCCGAAGGGGAACATGTCCAGTGACAAAGAGCCTCTGACCAGCTTGACTCGTAATGTGTTTTCGGAATTGATATATCCAGGAATATACTGTGGGCAGAGTATGTGGGAATATACCTCTGGATATTAATCATATATGTAAACTACCATAAGGTAAGTACAAGCAATTGCAGGTGCAATGATCAACTAGATGCCGCGTTGGTGACCCACAAGTCTCGACTATTGTCGACGCATTGCCCCATCAAATAGAGACAAACCTGGAGATTTTGGCCGAATCGGGCAAGGTGCCGACCGTTGTGTTGAAGTGACACACAAAAGTCATAATACTTTGGAACCCATGCCACTTACACGGGAGCCTCACAGCTTGGCATTTTTGTCTCCAGCTTTGACACGCTCCACAGTGTTGCTGGCTGATGTAGCCTAGCGTCAGAGCCGCAAGGGAAACCATTCGTTCTCGGCGGTGGCTACAGCAGGGATGTTGGCAGGGGCTTTATTCCAGGCTTGGTGCTCGTGGGGGTCCGCAGTGGCTGCTGATCTTGGATCTTGACAGGGCTGCTTCTCGACTTTGCTGTAGGTGAGTCCTGATCTGCAATTGTGGCTACCGGGTCGGGCCCAGGCCTCGCGAGACCATTCAGCCGCCCGTTATACCATCCAAAGACGGAACCGACCTGGATGCGGGGGGAGGTGCGGGCCACGTGCGGCGTCTGGTCGGAGTGATCCAGTCCCAAAGGCGTACCTGCCTCACTGCACACGAGTCTCAAGCGCAACAAGACTTTGCAACACCCGCTTGCCAGGGTTAGTGCTACCTTGCAAAGTTGGTACCGATGGCATGAACTACGGCAACTCGACAGGTGAAGGCTGCGAAGCCGTGGAAATGGTAGTCGGCGTGCCGGGACAGAACCTGTGTGGTCGCGTGCCGGTTCGCCGTTTACGGCGGCCTGGGGTAACTGGAGTCCCACGCGGCGGCAGCTTTAGCTCTACTCATCACCGGCAGGTTCGTGATTGCTGGGCATGGGCCCTCTGATTAAAACGGCCGAGTGGGAGTGTGTCTCCGCTGTGGGTGGGGGCTTCTTGGGGTGGTTCGTACTGACATCACCACGCTCTGGAGGAGCCACTCTTGGCTCAGGCCCAGCATCTGCAGCACCCAGCTTCCTCCACGCATGCTTCCCACTCTTTTCTCCATCTCCTCACAGCACTCGTGCGCGCTGGCCGGCTACACCAGGACGCTTCATCCTCGGTCAGCGATTGCAATCGACCGACCCTCTGCTCACACAGACGCATTGCTGCCGCGCAGCCACGCAGGCCGATTGACTCGGCTCAAACACCACACCCACTGTCGGACACCACGAGCGGATCCCTGACGCTCGGCTGAGAGCCTGGGACGTGACACTGCCACTGTTGCTTGCGCTCTCCGCACTAGCACTGGCCTCGACGCCTGTCCAAGCTTCTCGTCCTGCTCGCCAAGCAGACAGTAAAAACCTGCCGCGTCAAGCTTGTCCTCTTTGCAACCCAATCGCCCAGCGCCGCCGCTGCGTGCCAACTTGCGATCGCTGTGCAGCCGCGCCGTCCTCTCGCCCTTGCAGATCCACCCTTCCGCCTGCAGCCTCGGCGCCGCCGACCAGTCATCGCCCAACATGTCGATGCCATCCGTGCGCCCTGCGACCTCTAATCCACCAGACGTTTCTCCACGCACGACCGCGGCCGATACCGTCCCCGGCTCTGGCTCGTCGACGAATCCGGCCCAGCAACCGTCATCATCATCCAACAAGAAGAAGAAGCACCGTGCCGGCCGCAAGCACAAGTCCTCTCGGCGCAAGTCCATCGTCAGCCGTCCCGAAGGCCTCAACAGTCAGCACGGGCTCGTCGAGGGTCAGACGGCCTCCGATAGCTTCTACTTGCAAGTCAACACCAGCAACACAAGCCTCGAGAGCGAGGCACTCCTCGACCACCGTGCAGATTACCGTGATCAGGGCTTTCGGCGGCCTCGGCGGGCCTCGACAATGATCGGTAGTCCTTATCAGACCCCCGGCCGAGCGCGAACGGGCACAAACTACTTCCCCGACGAGAATGCCGCCAGCGAGCGTGTCCCGTTATTGGGCACCTCTGTCACAGGTGAAAACGATCTTGCCGGCTATGGAGGAGCCAACCCAAGCCGGAAGCCCGATGCGAGCAAGCAAAGACAACGCCGAGGCTCTAGTAGATCCAGCGGCCTCCAGGCTATAGCTCCCCGGACGCCAACAGAGCCTTGGAACGTCAACTATCCTCCATCGGTGCCCGGGTCCCCGACACTGGATGCGACCGACCCCATGGGCGGCTTCAGAGATGTCATGATGCATGACGACGATTCGGACGACCACAGATCACGCCGCAACAGCATGCCCGGAGCCGAGTCTGACGAGACTTTTGTGCTAAATAAAGGATCGCTGGAGCGGAGACATACTGTGGCGCTCGCGCAGCAGGACGACGTCTGCATGCCGCAGGAGACAATGTCGGAACTTGGCGAGTTTGACCCAAATATTGATAGGGACGTGTCATCGCAAAGAACGCGCCGTCGGCGCCGACAGAAGTGGCCCGACCTCGAGCTGCTCGAGGACTTCTCGACACTCGAGAAAGAGAGCCGATCCGAGAGCAATCGACGCGTTAAGAAGATTGCCGAGCCCCAACTGATCGAAGGCAGGCTCCGGCCCGCAAATGGCAAGCGTTGGTTCACTGCCGAGGAGGAGGCGCCATACCGCTTTACGTACTTCAACATTGAGTTTGAGGACACGATCCACAGCCAGACAATTTCGGAACTGCCCCAGGCCGAACTCGGTTTTAAGGAGCTGTTTCTGCCCGATCCGCCAGTCTTGTCTGAATCCAGTGAAGACGACACTGAAGACGACGAATGGCCGACTCAAGGATCTGCCGCCGGCACTAAGAACGGCGAGGCACTTTCGAAGGTCAACACACGCGCAAGCTCGATCGCCCAACAACTCTCAGATAAGCGGGCGGACGCAAACATTTCTCCTCAGCCAGCTCCTCGCACAGGGCCCTCGAATGGGAACTCGAGCAACGGCCATGGCTCAGGTATGGCGACGCCTTCGCGGTCGAAGTCGCCCATCGTCGAAGCCAACGAGGCCGAGACAAGGCTGCCGTCGGCGAAAGTCGAGAAGCAGTTGCGGTACGGCGAGCGGCCTGTGTGGTGGTTGGATTGTTTTTCTCCCACGCAGCGGGAGCTGGAGCTTCTCTCCAAGGCCTTTGGCATTCACCCTTTGACCACCGAAGATATTTGGCTGCAGGAGGAGCGCGAGAAGGTAGAGCTGTTCCGCAACTACTACTTTATCACGTATCAGTCATTTGACCAGGACTCCAAGTCGGACAATTTCATGGAGCCTCTGATGATGTACATTGTGGTCTTCCGAGAGGGCGTCATTTCATTCCACTGGAACCCGACACCTCACCCTGCCAATGTCCGACGGCGAATACGGTTCTTGAAGGACTACGTGCGGATTGACGCGGACTGGATCGGATACGGCATCATCGACGATGTCACGGATGTTTATATCCCCCTGATCCAGAATATCGAGGATGAGGTGGACGACATTGACGATGCCATCTTGAAGCTGCACTCGATCCCTGAAGCCATGGACGCGTCCGGCAAGGACAAGGAGGACAATGAGAAATCATCACCAGAAGCCGCGCCTGAAGGCCATCTCTTGCACCGGGTCGGAGCATGCCGCAAGAAGGTGATGCGGCTGTACCGCCTGCTAGGCACGAAGGCCGACGTCATCAAAGGCTTTGCGAAGCGGTGCAACGAGAAGTGGCAGGTCGCACCCCGGTCCGACATTGGCATGTACCTGGGCGATATCCAGGACCACATTGTCACGATGACGGGCAACCTGAGCCACTACGACGTGATCCTGGCGCGGTGTCACGCCAACTACATTGCGCAAATCAACATCCGCATGGGCGAGCGGCAGGAGGCCACCGCCGACGGGCTGAACAAGCTCACGGTGCTGGGCACCATTGTGCTGCCGATGAACATCATCACGGGCCTCTGGGGTATGAACGTGTGGGTCCCCGGCCAGGACGACGAGGGCTATCTGGGCTGGTTCTTCCTCATCACGGCGGGCCTGCTCGTGTTCGGCGTCATGTGTTACTTTGCGGCAAAGAGGCTGAAGCTGGTCTAGATGTGTACATGTGTGTGTGTGTGGAGAGCGGCAACGGCGAGCACGGCTGTATAATACGAGGCTCGGATATCTTTTTGGGGGTACCTGGCGTCATTTCACTGGACAGGTACGGCGCTGCTTATACTGTGCCGAGAAACAATCAACATATGCTCATAATGGTTTTCGTTTGTGTTCAGTATGTCCCAGTGATCCAGGGCGTTGCTAACCGTTCTAAACTTTTGGTTTCGTGATTCCGGGCAATGTATATACTCGAAACTTGCATCCCATCTGTGGTTTGGCGCGTGCAGTCGGACGTGATTCTGCCGAGATGAGCAATGTAGACTGATTCTTGCCGTCTTTTTGCCCCCGACGCGCTTGGCATGTATCCCAATGCCTACGCATCTGACGTCTTGATGTGCACCTGTATCTGCATATGTGTGTATACGGCTGCGGTTATGGCTAGAGAGGGATGGATCCTCGACAACAACAACAACAACACCGCGGACATCGAAACTGGAGAAGGGGGAGGAGAGATATCCCCAAGAATACACTGGGAGTGTGTGGGGAATACGACACGAGGTCAAACACGACACGAGATCAAACACGACACGAGGTCAACAAGAACAACGCACGAGGTAACTATATCTCTCTTTATGCCATCTTGAATTTTCTTCACCCTTGTGCAGGTAGTTCTAGAGCCGGCCGTGGCCTCATCCGCAGATGACAGACTTCAAAGAAAAGGCACGAATCTCTGTATAAGCCGCCTGGAGACTGTCTCAAATGTCCAATGTCCAATGTCCAATGTCCAATGTCCAATGCCAAGACAAGAGGTACCATACGAATTATTATTATTATTATTCGGTTGACAGGAAGAGAGGTGCTGCTCTCACTCCGATGCTCGCTCTAGTCTGGCCCAATGTCGGTGTGCTGGCTTGTTGGACTGGACTCTCTCGTGACTCCGGGTGCGGGCCGCAAAGGGCATATTGCGAGTCATCGCCTTGTCAGAAAGTGGGTTTTTCTTGTTGGTTGTTGGTTGTTGGTTGTTGGTTGTTGTTGGTCTGAATATGCTTGTTGTCCGCGCAGATTGGGCCCCAGAAAAGGCAGGTGCCTCCGAGCAAAGTTCCAATTTTGAAAGTCTGTCGGCAGGCACCGGCAGGTAAAATGCATTTTCGTCCAGGGTTTTGTCCAGGGTCCCCCCCTTGCCCTTTTGCGCGCCCGCAGAGAATTGACTCAACCGGGGAGAGGAGTCCACAGCCCTATGAGCCTCAAATGCCTCAATGCCTCTGACTAGCTGCCGGCCGCGGCCCCCATGGGCCCCTGTTTTGTCCCTGGCGCCATGTCAGCGCCGAATGGGACCTCTCATCCCAGGCAGCAACCAACGTTCTGACGATATTCCAGACTATGTTGGTCGGGGTTGGCGGTCTGGCTGGCCATGAGTTCTTGGCGAACCCAGCAGACGAGTAGATTCTCAGAGGTATAAATACTTGAGATCTCTCCTCGATATGGCAGGCCCGCTGGCATGAACAGATCATCCCAAACACTCACGTGGCAAACACCCCGTACTGTCGCCATGCGCTCTATCAACGTCTCGTTCATCATGGCCGTGGCCGGCCTCGCCTCGACGGGGGCCGCCCTCGACGCCGCCCATGCCTTCGCCCAGGTGGGCGCCGTGGCGACAACCGTGGACGACGGTCAGCGCGCCGACCGCGCCAGCTGCACCAAGGCCTTCATCTCAGTCGCCTCCGGGCTGCCCACACCCACCGGCGCCCTCTCCTCGTGGCTTGCAGACCAGGACGTGGTAGCCGAGACCGCCACCACCGTCGACGCCTGCGCGACACCCAGCGTCCCGGCACCCCTGACCTCGGCGTTCTCCAGCTACACGGCCGCCATCACCAGCTGGTACTCGGCCTCGAGCTCCGCAGCCGACTCTCTCGTCAGCGAGTGCTCCACCATCTTCGCCGTCTCCCTCCTCGGCGACGCGCTTGACGCGCTCGATGCGGCCAGCGCCAGCTGCGGCTTCGGAGCCCCCACCACGGCTAAACCGGCCGCCGCACCTCGCGCTACCGCCGGTGCCGTCATGGCTGCCGCGGGCGCCGTCGGTGCTGCCATTCTTTTTTGAGGAAGGTCCGCTTAATCCCAGAGCGAGTAGCGAAGAGCAAGACCGGGGAGTTGGACGTGCAGTCGACATGTAGCGTTGTTGAACGATCGGTCTGTACCGTGCATGAAGCTGAACACATGAGAGGAGGAGTCCCGTCTTCAGTGGTGAGACGAGAAGGAGAAAGAGACAAATGTGAGGTCGGACCCTGGATGGCCATATGCAAGATACCCAATGATCTTTTGATATAAGAATTCACTCGAAAAACTTAAGTGTTATGTATGCGGCGGTCGTGCGAGACGGTGAAGCAGTGATGTTGTCGAGAGAGATTGACGAGTCAGCGCTATCGAATTCAGAGGGATGTCTGCTGTGCACTTATACGTATATTAGGCTCGAGGAACAGTTGGCGTTAGGTGGCGTCGGGAAGAGCAGTGGTGGGAGTTTTTGTCCTTCTCCGTCCCCCGAGGATGGGAGGAATTGGGGGCAAGATTTAGATGATGGTATGAGGAAGTCGTCGTTGGCGGGTTATGCCCTTGTTCACTTGCGCTTATGAGCTGCTGACATGGTATCAATAGATAAAGAAGACGATCCTTCTACCTAGCAGGCTGTAGCTTTCGGTCCTAAAAGGTCAATTGAGAGTTTCAGGCCTGGATCAAGGGCGAATTGTCGGTTGGGAAAGGTTCGGGTCTTTCGCGAATGTGGTCTTCTCGCGGAATCGAGGACCACAGACGGAGATGATGCCACGAGAAACAACGCCGACTTCCACGGGCCTGGGCCGGCCTGGTCCGGTCTGCCGTTGTGGGCAACCGAGGAAAGACGGAACGTGATTGAGAAACGGGACGTTCGTTGTGCATATTAAGGAGCAGACCTCGAAGCTTTATTTTTTGCCCCTGTGCCAAGCCAATGTGCATAGGGCAGCATTGGGAGTGAGATCGAGACTGGAATATGGGGCACGGCATGGATAGTGGAGATGCCGGAAGGGATGGACGGAGCCACGGGTGGAATGAGGCGTGCGTCGTATGGCGAGCCAACCCGAACAGCATGACGCGGCGGTGTTGTGTGGGACGATGGGGGCTGTGCCGACTTGGGACGGTCTGGGGGCTGGCTACATTGGCGGAGCCGCCACATGTTTCGATTTACGACGGAGTTGAGATGGCAGCGACGGCACGGGGGCCAATGGCTGGATGGTTTGGTGGACGCGGAGGAGAGAGGATGATGCGGATGTGCAAGAATGATTGTCTTGGCAGGGCCTGCCGCCAACAGGAACCCCGGGAGCGCTATGAATAGGCGCGTCCCGTTTAAGGGACGAATCAGCCGCCACCATCGCAGATCGATCGCCGGCCCCGTCCTGCATCCTTCCTTCTCGTCACCATGCTCCCTTGGACCTCAGTGCCGACGACGCGGCACACTTGCCCATCACCGACACGCCTCCCATGATGCACCCCAGAGCCATCAGTTCCCCGCCGATTGGCTGCTGCTGCGAGGACCCCTGAGTGCCAGCTGGGCAGCAGTGGAGCCTGCCCTCGTGCTGTGCCTCGCCAGGCCATCAATCATTTGATGAATGCCTAGGAACCCTCGCTCTCTTGTGTGTGTGAGTAAGCCTGGGCATTCTCATTTAACCTCTGCTGCGTTTTGGGCTTGAGCTAGGCTGACTGATCGACAGATGGATGGACTACGTACAGCTAAGTCTAGAGGATCATCACCACGACCGCTGCTTCGGCCGCTGGTGTAAGCACCACGGCCAATATGCGGAACACCAGCAACAAGGATCGAGGGCGCCCGCCCGTATGGCATCTTGGCCCGGCCGGGATAGAGTGGATGGAACCACACAATGCCAGCCACCATCGCGGTCGAGCTGCGCAGGGTTGCAGATCCCCGGCTCCTAGCCTCGCAAGGCACCCTTCCATCCGTTCCACCCTTCGAGGCTGTGACGTCGGCCCCTGGTCCAGCTCCTCGCACGACTGATCAGGTCGTTGAACCTGTATAAAGAGACTACCGATGGCGCCCGTCTGCTGTTTGTGGTCGAAAGACACCATCCGAAGCATAGCATCCCGAGACAATATTCCTCATAGCCATCACCAGCCATCAAGCCTTCTCCTTCTCGTCCTCCTCCTCCTCATAACCACCACAACCACCGCCATCATGCACTCCACCTTCTCCATCCTCGCTGTTGCCGGCCTGGCTTCCACTGCCGCCGCCCTCGACGCCCGCAACCTTGCCCGCATTGGCAGCATGGACAGCGACATTGTCGCCCGCCAGGACAGCTCCGACATGGCCAGCTGCGCCCAAGACGTCCTCAGCATCCTGGGCAACATCCCCACCGCCACCGCCCCCTTACTCTCCTACTTTGAGGCCGAGGCCACCGCCCTGGCCACCATGACCGACCTTTGCTCCATTCCGGCCGTCCCCGCGACGCTCACCTCGGCCTACTCGAGCTACCAGTCTGTTATCCTCAGCTGGTACTCGTCCGACAGCTCGCAGATCAACTCCGTCCTCACTGCCTGCTCCGACCTCCCGGGCCTCGAGTCCCTCGCGCCGCTCGTCACCATGGGCCAACAGGCCGCCAGCAGCTGCTTCCCTGGCAGCAGCTCCTCCGCCTCCGTCACCAAGACCGGAGGTGCTACCACCAGCACCACCAGCAGCAACACCGCCCCCACCACTCCTGCTTCCACCACTCCTCCTGCGACGCCTGCCGCCGCGCCCCGCGCCACTGCCGGTGCCGTCATGGCCGCCGCCGGTCTCATTGGCGCCGCTATCCTCATGTAAAGTCGCTGCGCAGAACGAGCGAGCAAGGAGTGGATAGTCTGTTGTTAACATACCTTTCGTATTTCTCGAGCGTGGTCTCAGTTATGGTAGTATTGGGGTCTGAAAGACACCTCTATCTGGAGGAATCATAATAAATAAGCAAGCTATTTTCCGTCTATACATGGTCAATTTACGACGCGTGTAAAGCAAACCTGCCATTTCCCAAGCTGGATGGACTTTCAGGTGTGTTTCCAGAGGTGCGAAAAGACCCCAACATGAAAAGAGAAAAACATGAGACATGGCTTCGCGTATTCAGCAAAGTACACCTACACATACAAAATTTATCAACCGAAGCCAACCTGGGTTTGGCCCTGCATACGCGAGACGGGCCCGCCAACCATGAGAGAAACATGCCATGGATACTGTGATATTCGCTCGACAGCCAGATAAACATTAAGAATCACGGGTTGGCAAAACTACCTGTCAAATAATACTTGTATGTCCCACTTGACATCCGCACCACAAACCCGGCTAGGGTTGTCAATATGTTGACATGTCGAACACATTGGTCTATGAATATACTTATGCCTGTATTAACTCGCTCAAGTCGCTTATAAAATCGAACGACAACAGAAGGAAAAGCCAAAGAAGAGAGGATAACAATGAAATCAAGCCAAAAGCTTCGAGATTGTTTGGCATGGACTGAATTCAGAGGGAAGCCATCCCCATGTGAGATTATCTCCCCTCATTGACTACGACCCCGTAATCAGCCCGCTTCTCGCGCTCTCGCACGTCCGTGGCGGGCTTGACATTGGCGATCTTGAGCCACTCCCCGTTGAAGGCGTTGATCAGCCAGTTTGTGAGTTCTGTCGAATTACGGTCATGTTAGCCAAGTTTACCAGGAGTAGACGCAACTGGGTGCACCAGCTGCAGTCTGAAGTGGGGCTGTGTCTAAGGTCCCAAAGGATTGGGAGATACGGCGAGTGGAATACGTACTATCATAGACAATCACGTTCGCGTTGTGGAAGTAGATGCCGTGATTGCTGTCCGGGAACATGTGCAGGTCGTAGTTCTCGACGCGCGCAAGGTCGAGCTTGTCCAACAACGTCAGCGTGCTCTGCATGTGCACGTTGTCGTCGGCGACGCCGTGCATGATGAGAAACCGGACGTTCTCGGACAGCGCTGTAACGTTGCTGATCGCGGTGCCGTCGTAGCCCTCACTGTTGTCCTGCGGCGTGAGCATGTACCGCTCCGTGTAGATGCTGTCGTAGAACCGCCAGTCCGTCACCGGCGCGACGGCCATGCCGTACTTGAATGTCTGGCCGGCGTCGGTCTCGAGGGTCTTGAGGGTCTGGAAACCTCCGTAGGACCAGCCCCAGATGGCCACGCGCGAAGAGTCAATGTACTTCTTGCCGGCCCAGATCTTGGCCGCGGCGATCTGGTCGTGCGCTTCCCATTGGCCAAGGTGCTTCCGGACGATGACGCGATGCTTGCGGCCCATGAAACCCGTGCCGCGGCCGTCGACGGTCACCACGACATATCCAAGGCCTGCGGCGACAAAGGCTTGGTAGTCCACGGAGAAACCCTTGTCCACGCTCTGCGAACCCGGGCCCGAGTACTGCTGGAACAGGACTGGATACTGTTTCTTGGGGTTGAAGTGCGGCGGGCGGCGCTCCTTGTAGTTGAGCTGAACGCCGTCTACCTCAATGGTGCCAATATCGATGAGCGGGAGCTCGTGCTTCTTGGCCCTGTCGGCCAGCTCGCTGTTGTCCTCGATGAGGTAGTTGAACGACTCCGAATTGCTGGGCGTGCTGACGACCCGTTGTTGAGGGATGCCGGGGCCACGGTAGGTGAGCAAGGCATAGCCAGCCTTGTCGGAGAAAGACACACCATAATAGCCTTCTTTCGATGTGTCTGTTAGTGGCTTGAGATCCGAGCCATCCAGTTTTACGCTGTAGACATGTCTTTGAACAGCCGACTCCTTGGTAGCCACAAAATACACCAGGTTTTGCTTGAGATCAACCGCCCGAGCCCCACCGTCGACCTCCCACTTGCCAGAGGTCAGCATGACTGGCTTCTCGGCGTCCATGGGGCTGTAGTATGCAATATGGTCACCGTCCTCATGGATAATGGCATCCAGATAGCCATCGTGAGGACGACCATTGTCGGGATCGGCAGGGATGAAGGTTGTTTCGTGAGAGATCTCGAACCACCCGCCATCAATCGCGCCAATGTCGATGGTGCGCACGGTCTTGCCAGTACGAGCGGTGACATCAATGAGGACAACCCTCATCACGTCACTGACGCGATTCGTTTCCTTGATGAGAACTTGACCATTTGCCCACAGCACATCGGTGATGAGGAGGTTCTCAGGCTTGAAACCTCCGCCGATCTCGACGGAAAACATATCGCCTTTGGCGACGTCATAAAAGAGGAGATCAACGAATGGGTTTGGAGCACCGGCCTTCGGATACTTGAGCTGCTGAACCTCGGGGTAGCTCTCCTCCCCAGGAGCTGGCGCTTCCCCGCTAGGCCGGTCGATGAAGAATTGGATAGGATACTCGGGGACCAGGGTTTCATTGGTCCGCAGGAAAGCAAGGAAATCGCCATTTGTTGACCACCACGTCGCGCTGTTGTCGCCAAAGACCTCTTCCTCGTATACCCAGTCCGGAATGCCGTAGAAGAACTCGGGACCTCCATCCGTCGTCACTTGCACGATCTGCTGGCTCTCAACCTTGCGGAGGAAAAGGTTGTTCGCGCTCGTGTACGATATAGACTTGCTGTCGGGGCTCCACTGTGCGAGCTGGACCCTGAGTTCGGGGGTCTTCGAGTCGAGAGGCTCGGCAGTCTGTGTGTCGACATCGAATATCCAGTAGATTGCGGTGAACGAATGGCGCCATACACGCTTTGTGTCCGTGGCAATGAGGACCTTCTTCAGATCAGGACTTGGCCAAACATCGTCGGGGGTCATCTGACGACCAGCAGCACTGAACCATGAGGTCTTCATCAACGTCTGTGATGACAGCACCCCTGGGTTGGACGCAGCGCTCTCCTCATCCATTTTCCGCACATCCTCCACAACAAGATAGTCCTTGCCCATCGCATCCTGCTCCAGCAACAGACCATCTTCGCCGTTTGCGCCAGCAATCCAGCTGATCGAATGCGCCTTCGGCCGCCAGTATCCCGATAGCACCTGGTCCAAGGTAATCTTCTTGCCGGAACCCTTTGTGCTGGTCGCTGCGGGATCGTGCTCTTTAGAGGATGCGCTCTGGTAAGACTTGGAAGAAATGAACGTCGCGAGGCCACCAAGCCAAGATGCCAATAGCAGACCCGCCAAAATGAAAATGATGCGCTTCAGCTTGTGATCCATGCCGCGTCCAGCGCGCGCCGAGGCGGACCCGCCGAGGAAGGCATCCTGCTCATCGTCCTTTAGTGGATCGTCATCGTCAAAGTCGTGGGTTCGATTGTTGTTGCGGCTCAACTTTTCGCGTTCGTCGATGCGGTCGAAGACGAGGCTGGTCGTGGAAACAGAGGACAGGGAGTCGCGAGGCTGTGCGGAATTGTCTGGCGCCTAGTCAGCTCTTGGTACCCAGAAATAAGCGCTCGTGTGGCCGGTCATCTAGACCGACGGCCAACTGTGATTGACTGACCCATCTTGTCCATGCTTGTCACAGCAGCCAGCTGCTGTCCTCGGCGTCAGGAGTCGTGATTGTGGGATGGCAGCTTATCTTGGCGTCGCGAAGGCGCACAACATCATCCAGATGCTGCCAGCCAGGGGACTCGGGGTTTACAGCTATGCAAAGACCGAAGTGCAGAATGTTGCCACCGTGGGGATAGCTTGTGCTCACTGTTGCGGCGTGGTAGTCTTCTTGAGTCGCAAGCAGGGAGTCGTCGTGCGGCCACCTGGTTGGTGATGGTGGAGATGTCGTTGGCCTGGCCCCACAAATCCGGAGGAGTAGTGGCATGCCTTATCCACCAGGCCAGGAACGCCCATGTTTTGTGTGTTCGTCTGTTGACGCTTCTCGAAGCAAGCGCTCAATGCACTTGTCGAGTTAGCACCACTCTTCCCTACACGCTGCATTCTTGAACCACACTTTCTTCTCTGTCACAACTGTAATCGTGCTGTGCCATTCTACAATCAATGCCAGAAACCCACCACAACCAATGAAGACATGTACCGAAGTCTCAATGTCCTTACAGCTCACACGACGTGATCGACATCACCTTGGACGATGAAGATTGTGCAGGCGTGCCAAAATCGACCGGGCCAAAGCCTCGGAAATGGCCAGCTTCTTTGAAGTTGCACCATGAGCAACGATTCAAGGTGCAGTGGTTCGTCTTGGCTCACGCGTCAGCGACGGGATAACCTCCTTTGCGTCCGCCGTCCCTTCGCCGCTCCATCAGCAGGAGCCGGAGCATAAGGAAAACATCAGTCCGGATGCGACAGGCGGGCATACAGGCTGGGCCTGTGTGATGTCGCATGCGGACCCCGCCGGTCATGCTGCAATGACAACCTCGATCGTCCTACATGATGCTCCGCCGCGCCACGCTGTCCACGTCGTGGCCCGCCCCATCCGAACATGGCATGACTGACACCTCGCGCCTTGCTGCATCATGCGGGGTTGGCCCAAGACCATAATGGTCTGCTCGCAGCCGCCAAGCCCGGCTCGCAGCATTGCCACACAAATAGAAGAAACCGAAGGGTGGTGGTCAAGGAAGAAACCCCCGCCGATACGGCGTCATGTTGCTGCAATGGTGCGCGGGCAAGCGAGCAATGGCTCGAGGTCCGGGCCCTGGTCCTGATCGGGATCCGCACCTGAAGCAAAGCACACCAAGCACCCTGATCTCATCTGTCATCTTACTTGTGCACGATGCTGGGCGAGGCAATGCCCTTCTCCTGCCCCTCGTCTTACTCGTCAAGTCTCAACTTTTGGCTTTGGATCTTGTTACTATTCATGCACTTGAAAAGGGCGGTCGGCAGTCCTGCTGAGTACCCAATGAAGAAGAGGAACAACAACAACAACAACCTGACATATGGACAGGGGCCAAAAAGCAAGGCCAGCCCCATCTCGTGTCGGCATGCAATATGTGCAACCTGCATTCAGCTGCGACATGTGTCAACTGGCAATCAATCTCTGCAGTCTGACCATGGAGGAGGCGGCGAGGAGCGCCGCTGGGTTGCCCCGACGGCCTTCTGCCTCGAGACGCACAACGGTCGACTGTGCCATATTACCATGACGAGATGATTGAGCACCTTGCCTCGTCTGCTGCTGACCTTGTGGTGTCGCTGGCGCTCTGGCCTCGTCTGCCGCCGCCAAGACGCTCCCCTGAGAAGAGCCCCGGCGCCTTTGTCGCAGGCCTCACAGTCAACGGCTTGGCATCACCGCAACAGCCCCTTGCTGATGGCGACCCGGCCCACCCGGCGCAGCTGGGCTCCTAACTGGACCTGCAATAATTAGTAACAGTCCGTTCCGATGCAGAATTGGGAGCGTAAACGACCCTCTGGCCTCTGGGGTTATTGGTCTTGGGTACGGACGTAGCATGCTTCTTGAGGGGCAAGCGTAGTGATATTGTCTACGTATGGACTGGAAGCGTGGCCGAATATCGACAACAGCGCTGGGCCGTCGGGCGGGTGGCTTACTTGAGGCAACGGTGCAGTGCCCTAGACCCCGTCTTTTCCCCCACTCAACCACGCTAGGGGTGGTTTAAGTTAGCTTTCGGGAGCTGAGCCGTGGCGAGCAAATGCTTGCTTCCCCTGCTTGCTCGTTAGTCGAGTCAAAAGGACGTCAGTGGAGGCATGCCAGCATGGTCGTGCATTCGCCGTTTCTTCTTTGCGCGCTGGCGAGCAGGGGTGATGACCACCAGGACCTCCAGCAAGTACTACATGGCATCTGCAGCTGAGAGACGCCTTGTCACCTCGCCCAGGCTCGTATTGCTCAACTGCAGACCCTGGCGGGCGATCTGATCTTCGTGGGCCAGCCCAGGGCAGCCGCTCGATCCCTGCTCGCCATGCATGCTCTCGCCATTTCCGGTCCGTGGGTTGCTTAACACCATGCAGTATAGCCCTCCTCTGCATGCCCTATAAAGCAAACCACGGCCTCCTCCTGGCAGTTTTGGGCACTGCTGCTTGGTACGCCTGCTGTTCTCGGCGAGTCCTTCGTTCACGCTCTTTGCCCCAGTACTCTGCTGCTGCGGCGACTTACTTTCGCTTATTTCCATTCGCTTGTCCGCACATCTTCAACATGTTCTTCAACCTCAAGAGCACCCTTGTTGGCGCTCTGCTGAGCGCAACAGCCGCCCAGGCTGCGTGTTCGGCCAACCTCTTAATCGATAATTTTGCCAAATACTCCAGCAACAGCAACAGCCTGGGGTCCTGGACGAGTGATGACCAGAGCATGACCTCGATCTCGGCTTCTTCCAACACTCTCACCTTCAACCCCAAGTCTTCTTCCTATTTCTACGAGACCATCCCCTGCCAGGCCGCCAGTAGCAACGGGTACAACGCCTTGCAGTTTTCCGTGACGGGCCCCAAAGATGCCTCCTTCCTCGTGGAGCTCCAGTCCAAGACTGCTTGCTCAAACACCGCGTACAACAGTGCTTGGTTCACCGTCAGTGGCTTGACTGGCTCTAAGCAGACCATCACCATCCCATTGAGCTCCTTCTCGGGCGCCAGCCTGAATGGCATCACCGGCTTCGTGTGGTCCACCTTCTCCAAGACTGGTTCGCAGTACCAGCTGAGCAACGTCAATCTCGTCTGCTCTTCCGGTGGTGGTGGGACGCCCACGACACTTTCCACCACCAAAGCCCCTACGCCCACTCCCACTCCGACTGGTACCTGTACGAACCTGGTCGTGGATGACTGGGAGTCACAGTCTCGCCTCACCTTCCTATACTACAATTCTCTGATCCTCCCAACCAGCGACGATGGCACCATGTCGTCCATCGCCGTCAGCAACAACAACCGTGTCACCTTTACCCCGTCCGGTACCGACTCCTACTTTTACAGTAAGACTGGGTGCGTGAACACCCAGAACCGATATGGTGGCATTTCATTGCGCATCAAGGCCCCTGCCGGCACTACCTTTACCATCGAGCTCAGCTCTCCCAGCACCTGCGGTGGCGATGACACCAGCTTCGCATCTCAGACAACCCGCGACCTGGGCTGGACTTTTGACGGCACCGAGAAGCTGTACAGCATTCCCTTTTCAAAGTTCTCCGCGCTCGACAAGACCAAGGTTGCCACAATCTTCTTCACAGCCTTCACCAAGGCCGTCACATTTGGACCCATGGCCTTCTACTGCGGCAACACAGTTGGCGAGTTTGTACCTCCTGCCACGACCGCCACTGCTCCCAGCAGCACAGTCCCTGCGCCGGCCGGCACTGCTGCCGCTCTCGTCATTGATCAGTTTGGCAACCAGAATGCAAACGCCCTGGGCATGTGGCACGGCGGCGATGATGGCCTGAGCACGACCTGGGGATCGCAATCGCTGACTCTCAAGGCTGACGACTCGGACTACTCGTTCTACACACAGGTCTCGGCCACGTGCAAGGATATGACCATGTACGACAACTCGTATCTCCACGTTGTCTACAGCGGCAGCAACAAGTTCACCATTGCCATGCAGCAGCACAACTCGCAGTGCAACGCCAACATTGCTCCCTACCCCGAGACTTGGGACTCGCTCGAGGCCGCGCGCTATTCGTCCGCCACTGACATCTACATCCCCATTAAGCACTTCAACATCAACCGTAGCCGTACCGTCGGCTTCGCATTCAAGGGCTTCTACACCACGGCCTCGACTGTCCTCAAGAAGGTCGAGATCGTCCAGAGCGTGCCCTCGGGCTGGAAAATTCCCAACAAGTTGCCCACTGGCAACCTTGTCTTTGCATGCAAGCGGCCCAACTCGTTCGCCTTTGCCATTGACGATGGCATCCCGGCGCTCTCCCAGGAGGTCATGAAGATCATCAAGGAGGAGAACATCAAGGTCACCTTCTTCACCGTCGGCGCCCCGCTCGACGACGCCAGCACCAACCTGACCAACGTGTACCGCGAGATGGCCAGCCAGGGCCACCAGATTGCCCTGCACTCGTACACGCACCCCAAGATGGAAGGCCTGCCCGACAACGAGGCCATCGACTGGGAGTACATCAACGACATCGAGGCCATGAAGGACGCCTTCGGCGCCAACACAAAGTCCAACTACTTCCGCCCGCCATTCGGCAACGAAGGCGCCCGCATGCGCCAGCGCCTCACGCAGGTCCTCGGGACTGCCGACACGTACATTATGAACTGGAGCGTCGATGTCGAGGACTGGCTTTGGGCCGAGACCTCGACGCCGGAGAAGCAGCTCGACGCCTTCAAGCGCGACGTCAACAAGGGCGGAAACCTCGTTGTCATGCACTACCTTTACCCCAGCACCGTCAGCTACCTGCGCCAGTTCATCCAGATCGCCAAGGCGACGGGCAAGCAGCTGATGCGTGTTGACCAGTGCATGATGGACCCCAATGCGCCGCCGTTGTAGAAGGCGAGAAATGGGAAAATGGCACTCGCTCTGGATTAGGAAGTAGTGGGAGTTGCCACGTTGGGGATGAGGCAGAGTAGTGTGTCTATTAACTGCTACGATATCGGGATTAACCTTAATGTAGAAATGTACACATTGAAAAAGATACCCCTTAATGCTTTCCTCCGTGTCTAAATGGCTCTCGTTTTGTGCCCCTTGACCACTAAACCTCCCAACAACGTTGAAATGCCAGACATCTGGTAAAGTAGTGCCCCCGGATGTCCGGAACATTCCACGCCTCCCCCGAAGAAAACCTTCTGTCTCGCCCGTGCTTTTTGCCTGCCTTGCCCCAACGGTTTCAAACGGCACGCCACTTTTACCCGTCCCATACTGGGACCAGCCAACGACTGGAGGCGAAGGGGTAGGAAAAAGGACGAGGCAGTTATCTAGATCATTGTCTCTGATTCCGGGGGACCCCTCGCTCGTTGTTTGGCCCCCTCACGTTCTCGAGGCTCTCTATCTGTATCTGTCTGTCTCTCTCTCTATCCCTGGCTTCCCCAGTCTGTGGGAAAAGTCCGGGGTGGTGCGAGACTGGGCTTGGAACGATCACATCGTTTATAGAAAAGACAAGGCGGCACCTCCCCGACGCATTGCCTTCCACACACACACACAGCAATCACCAAAACGGCTACCGTTTCTTAAAAAAGAGTATCATCGGATTCAGAGACTCTCAACCCATCGTCCATTCGTACGGGGCAAAAGTGGTTTAATCAGGGAGAGGGAGAGCAAGGCATCGATCAGCGCCCTTTTGCCCTCTGTATCACCTCACACATCCAAGCCCACATCTGGGGAGAAAGAAGACCATGCCTCAACACGCTTTCGCGGCCGATGACTTTCTGGGCTTCTCCTGGGCTGGGGTCACCGCGATGGTTCTGCCGGCGACTGCACACATCGACACGTCCCAATCGCCGTCCTCATCGTCGTCGTCGTCGTCGACCTCCTCCGCCTCATCCTCATCTCTATTAGCAGCATCAACCCCAACAAGCGACGCCTGTCGTCCGAGTACCGCAACCACACATAGAGCAGGGGAACGGGGTGGTGCCACACATGGCACGGCTGCAGGGCGCGGTGGCGAGACGTCGGCACCACCAGTGGCTGGGATCGGGAAACAGCACCAGACCAAGGGAGGAGGGGCAACTCCCGCGAAGCTGTGAGGGCGGCGCTTCAAAAGCTTTTGCCGGGAGACTCTCGAGCCGCGAAAGCGTTTGGAGATACCCCGAAGAGAGGGCGACGAATCATGACAACGCCGACATCATGGCGGAAAACTGAACAGAAGAACCGCCGTATGCCGTATGATTTCCTCGAGTGGAGAGGAGAGTCAGTGCTGCAGTAGTTGTTGAGCTGTCCCCAGAATATGTCTGCCCTTTCTGGTCCAGTGTCGCAAATATTAGGATGCCGAAGGACGTGGATGAACGAGCCATCAAAAGATAGTGTCGCAGTTTGCGAGGATACAACGCATGGGATTATCTCCGTGGAAGGGATTCACGCCCCCCAAAAATTGTATTGTTCAAGCTTGATATCAAACCCCGACTCGCTTTTCACGGCTCTGCATAGTTCCGCACACCTTTGATGATCCATACCTCGCCGTTGCCTACCCTGCTGGAGATACTTGAGACCTCGATTTCGTCGGGGAAAATCTGCGTGCCATCGAATGTCAGTGCTACGACTGGCTACAGGACGAACGCACATGCAACTTTATGAAGATCGCTGGCACACTTGAAAATGCGCAAAACGATGGCGAAATGGGGAAATCAGGTCACTCACCACTCTTTTCCCATCTCGCGTCTCCCACCAGACTTCCCTATCCCCAGACCCGCCCTCGTCGTCTGCGCCGCCGCCGCTACCACCAGCAGAAAGCAGGCTCCGCACCCTCTCCCCTTCGCGCCAGGGGCTCGTCGGCAGGACATGCGCCTCGACGAAGCGCCGCAGGTTGCGCTCCGCGCGGTCCCTACCTTCGCCGCCCTCGTACGCGCTGGCGCCGAGCCTGTCGTAGTCGGCGGCGTCCTCCCAGGGCTTCCGCGGGAGGGAGTCGATGGCCGAGTTGAGGGGCGCCAGGACGGTGCTGTTCTGGGACGCCGAGTCGAGGCGCGTGCTGATTGCGGCAATGTCCCGCACGAAGCCGGCAAAGAGGTTCATGCTGCGGTCGCGGCCCATGACGTCGGAGAGCATGACGCTGCCCTGGACCAGGGGTTTGGGGACGTCATTGTCGTTGTTGTTATTGTTGTTGTTATCGGAGCCGCTGGGAGGTGACATGGCGGGCAGATGGAGGGGCTGCTGGTGTAGGTTGCTGTTGAGGGATGTCTCGTGCTTGGGGTTGCGGGCGCTGAGGGCAGAAGAGCAGGCAGCGAGGAGCTGGAAGGAGGAGATTGTAGACAGGCGCATGACGCCTTTTGCTGTTGCTCTCGAAACCAAGAATGTATTCGACACTGGCCGGATGTGGCGAGGGATCTCGGGATGCTGGAAATGGATGTCGGATCATTCAGTGACCCCAGATGCCTGCCTGCCTTGTTTGTGGAGCGGCGACCCACGGCGGGGCGAGCTGTGGGTGAGTGAGTGAGGGCACTGCGCATACGTCACACCACGCTCACCTGCACAACATGACCAGGCAGCTCTGTGGTGTGAAATGCTTCACCAGCAGGGCCCGCATCAGTGTCGTCGAACGTCGTCGTTTACATCGCGCAGGACTGCGGCATCTCCAAAGAACGCCATCTTCAAGACGGCATTCCGGCAGAGAACCTCGAAACTGCCGTTGTGCTTTGTCGCAAGCTTGCGGGGGCAAGCAAAGCACCGCACCCTATCTCATACACAGCGAGACGGGAAGACAGCCCCGAGCTGGTCAATCTCACGCGACGTGATGTCGAGCCAGCCATTGTTGGCATCCATCAGATATTTCTTCTTTCGATTGCCCATCTCCAAATGATGGTCTCATGCCAATAAATGCCAGCAGTCCTTCTGCACCAAACACGCCCATTGCTCGTCGTGTCACATGCAACGGCTTGTGCCGCTCAGTGTGAGAATCCCATCTTCAGGGACCAAGGACTTCTGCCGGAGCGCCATTCGCAGTCTCATAGGCGACAGCTTTCACATGCCAGCACAGGACCGTGGTCGGGCCGGCGCCATGCCTGGCGTGCAAGCGATGGATGATCTCTTCATGGCAGCGCCAGCTGGCAAAAGGCAAGCCAGTCTGGATTGCCGCGCTCACCTTGTCTCTGATGACGGGCCAGCAGGGTGTCATCTGACCTGAGCGGCAAGCTCTCAGAGGGTGATACCTACAGGTAGGGACCCGCTCTGCCACTCTCGTCATCTGCTGCAGGTGGTGTGCTTTCACATGCCAATCCTCCTTTGCCAGACCATGGGGGAGCCGCAAGCAATGCATGCCTGGACTGGACAAGCCGACCGTCAGAATCAACACGAGTCACGGTTGCCGGTCCCCTGACTTTGAGTCTGATTGTAGAGACAAGAACACGCCCGCACCACGCAAATGCAGGCAGCTGTCCTGGCGGCGACATCGGCAAGATTGCCCTGTCCCGTTGAGCTCTACAAGCCTGGCTCACCCTCTCGCAATTGTCGCCGGCACCGGGAAATACCCGTTTCCGGGGACCAACCTAAGCAAGGTGTGCGTGTGCTCGCACCGGCGAAAGTTGCACGCGTGCAGGAGGGGGCTGCCTCGGCACGCGAGGCCCCAGCACCACCACCAGCTGGGCTTGATCGACCCCCTGTGGGCCGGCGTGCCTAGGTGTGGATTCGTGCCATGTCCTCGGCCGCGATTGCAACGAAAGGCGAGCAGGCTCGCACTGACTGGCATCTATCCGGTCCCAGAAACATCCAACACCCCAATCAGGGTGTGCACAAAGCCGAGCTTCGGCGGTCGGTCAAAGTCAACGGCCAGTCCTGGCCAGCCCTCACCTGAATCACGGCCGCCTGCAAAAACTGCTTCCAGAAGTGGCAGATTAATCTCATGTACCGGGCAGTCGTCGGGCACAGTACAAACGCGCGGTTGGAGAAGTGGGGGGTCTTTGGGCGTGAAGATCAACACCTGAAGGCGCATCATGCACACTCTGGCTGTAATGTTTGTCGCTCTGATGCTGCTGCTGCTGCTGCTGATGCTACTGCTGCTGCCGCCTATCGCTACGAAATCACCTTGATGGCGGTGCATGTTCCTGGCTCGCGGGCAAAACCCCCAGACGGGTGATTGTGGGGTTGCTGGGGAAGCGTCGGAAGTCAGATCCTTCTCCGCACAACAGCGGTTGAAATGCCCGAGGTCAAGGGTGCTCTTGAGCGCGATGGGCACATGCATATACGCGTTAACATAAATCATTGTCGTGGCAAAGCTGTCCGGTCGCGCAACCTGATCAGAACGTCTGCAGGGGCACCGCGAGTGACTTGTGAAGGCTGGAGAGGCGATGACCATCAGGGCTGTGGGCAAACTCGCCATTGGTATCGCCATTCAGCCGCCCGTAACCAGAATGCCACTGGCAAGCGGCAACGGGTGGCAAGCAGCAGTAGCCAGAGCTTAAATCTGTAGGTGATACAGGGCTGGCACATGCTGGGAGGAGCCCCTTTCATGCAACACACGTCTGCTTGTGAAAGCGGGTGGTGTCAGTGGTGCGTGAGAGTGAGGAGAGAGCGGGCTGGGCGGAGCGTGCAGGGCCGCCGGGGTGTGGGGAAAGGATGGGGGAAGCAGCGCCGCTAGTCGACCTCGGCTCTGGCAGGCGGTGCCGCAGAGGGCGAATCAGCGCGTGGGCAATTGCACACTGCACTTGCACCAGTCGGCACAAGCTCCAGCCCGCCGGGGTCTGGTCTGGTCGCCTGGTCAGGCCCACCTGCCTGCACTCGGCTCGCTCTGGGGAGACCTGGTGCATGCGTTGCGTTGCCCCTTCCCCCAGAAACAGCGCCGCCCGCTCTCCACTTCCGGCCGCACTCCAATATCTAGGCCCGTCGTTCCACCTCATCGTCTGCTTTCTCCTCCTCCTCCTCCTCCGTCTTCTCTCTCCCGCGACTCCATCATTTCCATCTCTCCTGCTTCTCACCCCGCCGTCGTGTTTCAGTGGGTTGGTTCACTACTCCTCACAAACTACCAGAGAAAGGAGCACCTCTTCCAGACACCCAGCATCGATTTTCTTCCTGCTTCCTGGTTCCTTCCTTCTTCCTCCACAATGGCTCCCCGTGTCATCGTTGTGGGTGGCGGCCGTAAGTCATGCCGTTCACCTTTCTGCGTAGCTTGGTGCCTGAGCAGCGCTCTCCTCGCAGCAGCAAACACTTGACTGCTTGCTAGTCCTTGGCGCGCCAGCTCTGCACCGAAGCAGATGCGGGTTGTACCGCATGCTTACGCTTGTGCTCGGTGCTGACTTCTAAATTGCAGTCTCTGGCCTGAGCGCCGCTCACACCATCTACCTCGCCGGTGGCAACGTTGTCGTCCTCGACAAGCAGGGTAAGTAGACCTCCTCCCCACCCAAATTGCTGGCTTCGGCGACAGTTGCCCCGATCTAACACGAGGCCCACTCTCCCTGCACAGGCTTCTTCGGCGGCAACTCCACAAAGGCGACCTCTGGCATCAACGGTGCCCTGACGCGCACCCAGGTCGACCACAAGATTGGCGACAGCGTCAAGCAGTTCTACGACGACACCCTCAAGTCCGCCCGCGACAAGGCTCGGCCCGACCTCATCAAGGTCCTGACCTACAAGTCTGCCGCCGCTGTTGAGTGGCTTCAGGATGTCTTCAACCTCGACCTCACTCTCGTCTCTCGTCTTGGGTAAGTCAGAATCAACTCATCTTGGTCTTTTCCTTTTAGCTCGTCCGCAAAGTCATTGCTAACCCCTCCCAGTGGCCACTCGCAGCCCCGGACACACAGAGGCCACGATGCCAAGTTCCCCGGCATGGCCATTACGTACGCTCTCATGCAGCGGCTAGAGGAGCTTGCCGAGACGGAGCCCGAGCGTGTCCAGATCATCAAGAAGGCTCGCGTCACCAGCCTCAACAAGGAGGGCAACACCGTCACCGGTGTCAAGTACGAGCTTGACGGCCAGGAGACCAGTCTCACTGGACCTGTTGTCCTTGCCACCGGCGGTTACGCTGCCGACTTTGGCGAGACCTCGCTGCTCAAGAAGCACCGCCCTGATACCTATGGCCTCGCCACTACCAACGGCTCTCACGCCACTGGTGACGGTCAGAAGATGGTCATGGCGATCGGCGGCAACGGCATTGACATGGACAAGGTCCAGGTCCACCCAACTGGTCTCGTCGACCCCAAGGACCCGGGCTCGAAGTGGAAGTTCTTGGCCGCTGAGGCTCTCCGTGGCGAAGGAGGTCTTCTCCTCAACGCTGACGGCGATCGTTTCTGTGACGAGCTTGGCCACCGTGACTACGTCTCTGGCATGATGTGGAAGGAGAAGGATAAGGGCAAATTCCCCATCCGTCTCATCCTCAACTCCAAGGCCTCCAATACCCTTGACTTCCACACTCGCCACTACTCTGGCCGTGGTCTCATGAAGAAGATGACCGGCAAGGAACTCGCCAAGGAGATTGGCTGCTCGCCCGAACACCTTCAGAAGACCTTCAGCACCTACAACGCTATTGCCGAGGGCAAGCAGAAGGACCCCTGGGGCAAGAAGTTCTTCCACAACCTGCCCGTGAACGTCGATGACGACTTCCACGTTGCCGTCATGGAGCCTGTTCTCCACTTCACCATGGGTGGTATCGAGATCAACGACAAGGCTCAAGTCCTCAATTCTGAGCAGAAGCCTTTCGACGGTCTCTTCGCCTGCGGTGAGCTGGCTGGTGGTGTTCACGGAGCCAACCGCCTCGGTGGTTCGTCGCTACTCGGCTGTGTCGTCTACGGCCGCGTCGCTGGTGACAGTGCCAGCAACTATCTCTTCCAGCAAGCCCTGAGTGGCTCCGCTGCTGGTGCTGCTGCCCGTGTCGGCCAGATCTCCCTGCACATCGACCCAGCTCAGCCCGGCAAGATCTCCGTTGAGTGGAGCGGCGAAGGTACGAGCAAGACAGCCAGCGTCAACGCTGCTGCGACGAGCGCGAGCACTGCTGACGCTGCCCAACCTACCCAGGCGTCTAAGCCCAAGAAGTTCGAGATCCCCGAGAAGGAGTTCACCATGGAGGAGGTCGCCAAGCACAACAAGAAGGATGACCTCTGGGTTGTTGTCAAGGGTGTTGTCATGGACCTGACCAACTGGCTCAACGACCACCCTGGCGGCCCGCAGGCCATCATGAACTTTATGGGCCGTGATGCTACCGAGGAGTTTGAGATGCTGCACGACGACGAGGTCATTCCCAAGTACGCTCCCAGCCAGGTCATAGGGCGTGTCAAGGGCCAGGAGGTTACCCTTGAGATCTAGATGTGTGGGGAATGATCGGTAGTCGGCTGCGTCTGCGAGGTACCCATGAACGGCGTCACGGAGGCACAAACCCTTGTTTATGTAATGATTGTTTCTGCATGCGCATTCCCAAAAGAGAGAGCTAGGAAGGCCTATTGGCTACCCTCCGTTCCTGCGTCGGCTTCTCTTGTACAGATACATATATAGCACGTCTGGCCTGTCGGTTGCGCGGCCCTTTTTCCTGAATCAATGAGAAGAAAAGAATGATGATTTACCATGGATGTTCAATTAGGACGAATGTGCATTATGGCCAGTCTTTGGCAGTAGAAAGCAATATTACACGCACTGCTATGAGTGACATAGAAACGTGCTCCTTGACACCTTCATTGGTCACAGTTTGAGTTGAACAAGATCGGTGAGCAGAAGGTGAATGTGGGATCCGCGCGGGCGTCTCATGCCATGTGCCTTGGCAGCTGTGTCTCATATCACAAGCAGTACATTGTGTTATCTGATATTATCATTTGAGGTCCCCATTGACCATGTATGTGCTGAAATGGCTCGTGCCTCGTTGCCCATTCATTCATGTCCCATGTCTGCACGAAGTAATCGAACGACCCAAAGACCAATAATTATATCGTTTCGACGTTGCTACAGCTGATCGACGCCAGCGATGCAGTTCTTTGAGAAAACGACAGAGTGATTTTGTGAACGCCTGCCTCGGGGTATCATAGTGTGTGCGTGCGGAAGATTGGCGTTAGGGTATGCGCCCAAACAGATGTGCTACTGAGAGGTTGATCAAAGCAATGTGCAAAGTTGTAATACGTTTCTCAAAGATTCTTGATGGTCTCGTCAACCAGTACCTTGGCAAGTATGCGGAGATCGCCTAGAAGTAAGTTGCGGTCGGAGATGGTGCCGCTAGTGATGATGGGCTTGCTTTGGGTGTGGAATGCCGCAAAGACGATGCCGCGATTGACCGAGTTCGACGGGGCAGGCTGAGACGATGGCAGGCAATTGCCGTAGAATGAGCACATGAACCCGTGCGAGAGTCCCTGCAAGGGTGGTGTTGTATCATGGTACTCATACCAAGTCTCTTCTGTGTCCAATGCTTCGGCAAGAATATCCGTGGGGAGTTCCCATGACCCGGTCGCCCCTTCAATGCCGTATGATGCGAGCAGGCGCCCCGTGACCTTGGACTTCGAGTTGCGGCGGGACGCTCTCGAGTACCTCGCATTTTCGAAGTGCATAGGAAAGTCAAGCAACCTGCCACGGCGTTTGCGGTCATCTGGCCAGAAGCTCATGATATAGATCTCGTCGAACCCAAAAGTTGTAGCGATGGTGGAGATCAGCGTAGAAGCGCGGATCGGGGCGGTCTTCGCCGTTGGCGAAGATGCCTGGCCCTGGGATAATGGCTTCCCCGAGGTTTGTGTGACTTTTCGGTCATGGTCCGCACGAACGGTGCGAACAGATGCGCTCTTTTGGATGCCTGCGCCGTGGACGAAAGTGATGCTGCGGTGGCTCATCTTTGGGGTGTCCTTGGGTGGTGGGGTTGGCCGTCTCGGTAGATCTTCAGCAGCATAAGTGTCGTAACTTTCGGCCACCTCGTCGTCGGAAAGCGCCATAAACTCGTCCACACTCGGCTCCCACAGAATCTCAATGATTCGTTCCTGATTGGGATCGGATGGCCACGACGCAAACGAGTCGCGCACTAAGATTGCTTGTTCAGGGCCGTCGGTCACGTGAGCGGTCTTGTTTGAGAAAGGGTCATCGGCTCGGGCACACCAGGTTTCCCGTGCTTCTCTCTTTGACGAGAACGAAGACGCAAGGGAGTGTGTGAGTGAATCAAAGCTTTCCCGAGTCGAAAACGTGTTTGGTGTAGCCAACGATGCTGGAGAAGGGTGTTGTCCGTATCGAGGCCCCTCATCCTCGGAATCTGATCCGGATGGAGACTCCAAGTGAGGCAAGTTCAAGGTTGAGAATCTATTTAGACGAGGGAGAATAGGCAGGCAAAGATCCTTTTCTGTGGAGGTATTCCTGGTTGGAGAGGGTGGCAGCGACTCGAGCATGCTCAAGGCACCAGCAGCCATTGAGGGTGATATCGGTGAGGGTATGATTATGGGTGAAGGGAGAAGGGCTGCTGGACAGCCTTTGTTGATGGGGAGGCGCAAAGACTCTGGCCTCTGGTCAAAGACTACTGGTCGAAAGAGCCCGGACGAAACGGGCCTCGCGCCGATCCTCCTTGTGGGAGATGTATTCACAAGGGACGATACATCGTCGCCAGGAACATTTGCTAGCTCTTCGTCGACTTGTTCCATAAGGCTGATTGTTTGGGTGTTCTGCATCGAGTAGCGACGCGATGGCTCATGACGGAAGATGGAATCTTCTGGGAACTTGAAGGGCGATATTGAGCAGGGGCTATCCAGGCATGGGGCAGCCGCCGTCGTAGACTGGTCAACATGGCGTTGTCCGCCACGGGTCGTGGATGAGGAGTTGGAGGGCTGTCGAGAGTGGGTGCGGCCTTGGCTAGAGATACTGAACGCCCTCTCCCTGTCGTCAGGATTGCGAAGCCTACGCTCCTCTTCACGCGGCTTCATAGAATTTGATGTTGGTCTGATGAAGGACGGTGATGGGAATAGCGGTTTGCTGGGCGACTGAAGCTGTGGCGTGATGACGGGTAGTGATTCGACGGCGGGCTTGTCCTTTTTCCTCGAAGGGCTGAATATCCGCTCGAGCTTCTCCATGGAGAGCGCCATGATGGACAGTGCTGTGGAGTTTCTCTGGGCTGGCCTACGAGTACCGTTGTAAATCAGCCTCGCTGATGATCCAGTATCTGATGCCAAAAGTGACCAACACCAGATGTTGCTCGGGATGTCATGCGCGACGCGAAAGGGGCCATCAAGCAGAATAGAGGCCGAAGGGAGGCACGCAGTAGATGCTGGGGAAACACGTCCTTTATGAGGTGGCGTGGACAAGGAATGCTAATCTCGCCGTGGGGTGAAAGTCTGTGGGTGGCCGGACTGGATCAGAGGTCTCAGATCATGCTCTGGACGTTACGCGAAGGGCGGGGCGGCGGTTCCCGAGTTCGGCGTGGGACAAGAGCAACAAAGCAGCCGGAGCATCGCGGAGAGCAGAGTTCGCGTCAAGCCAACCTTGGAAGTCTCGGGCAGAACTAAATCGCGGTCCCCAGAGGACGGGGGCAGGCGGGCAGGCAGGCACGACCAAAGGCAGGCGGCCCCCGAGCCGCAAGGGCTGGCGTGTCCCTTGGGCCCAAGCAAGGCAGGCAACGCGGCACACTTGGTGGCGTGGGGACAGGGGACAGTGTCTCTGCCATGATGCGAACCCTGCAGGAGCCGGTGGATGAGATGACGGTGAGACTGATGACAGTTTCCGCCAACTGTGGGTGATGAAGGGCAGCCAGGCAGGGCAGGTCATGTCGAAGTGAGGGCGTGCGGACGAGGGAGGGAGTGCTTTGGCAGGCGGTGGCGTCCGGGGCCAAGCCACACAGGCGGGCAGACGGAGCGCAACTCAAAACGAGGGAGCCGCTGTTGGCAGGCTCGAGACTAGCCTCCCTCAGCAGGACTCGACAGCCTACATGTAGCTTCGCTGCTGTGGGAAAAGCAAGTTGCGAGGCAGGTGGGCACAGCACACGTCAGGTCTGCTGGATGCTGGGCAGGCAGGTCAGGACAGCCCTGGCCTGGCCTGGTTAGTCGGCAGATCTCCAGAACGATAGACGGACGATCTCCCGGAGACCATGCAGTCTACAGCGCGAGCCTCAATTGGCTGTTCCATTCCACCAGCCGGGCGCGCGGGGCTGGTAGACGAACGACGGACCGGGCTGCAGGCGGTGCGGGTTCGGACGGGCCCTTGTAGGCTGCAGGGAGCCTGGCAGGAAGAGGTCGACGCCTGGTGATTGATGGACTGGGTTGAGTGAATTGCAGGAGCAGGGCCCAGGATCCAATGTGTGCGATAGAGTTTGCCCGTCGTCGAGAGGCACATCATACTTAGTGTAGGCGAGGCCCCCAAGGTTTGACGCAATTGGCCCACGCGGGAGCGGACCTGTCAAAACGGGAAGGAACGTGGTAGGACAGTGCCAGCCTGCCCACTGATGCACACAGCTGCAGATCGGGAGCAGCACATCATTGTAAAAGGGCCTCGCCTGGGCTCGGATTGCGCACCTCTTGCTGCCGCTTCTGCGACGCCAGTGCATGTCTCACCTCACCTGGCTATGCCTTCTTCGCCCGCGCAGGCATGCTCCCCTGCCCAGCGCTGCATCACGCTTAGGGTGACGGCCTTGCATCCCCGCGACATCGCCATACACCGACGAGCGCCGAGATGGGGCCCGTGTTTCCCTACATGATCGGTTTCGATACGACCGCAAAGCCAGGCCGTGATATTCGATCAAAGACTGCGCTTGCACAGATGGCGCCTCAGCGTAGGACGACTCGAGTGACCCGAGGAAAAAGCAAGGAGGTCGTCGCCATCCAAAAGCCCCCTCAGGTGCTAACCTGTTCTAGCTGGAGCCGGATCCCTGCTCGCGCTACCCACCCTCGATGCTGATCCTCGGTCCCCTGCGCCGCCAGAGCTGTATGTCGCGCTTCCCAGAGACATCTCGGGACATCTGTGGAAATAAAGGGACCGCTGGTTCCAAATGCTCTCACGGTGCAGGAGTTTAGTGAGCTGGTCCAGGGAGGTCATCCTTCAAGTCGGCCGTAGCATGCGACCCGGGACAGCAGAAGAGACGCTCTCATGCACAGCGGAGGCTTACAGCCCCTGCAGCACGTCTGCTGGGTGCGGTAGACCAATTCGTGCTGCAAAACGAGTCCTTTCACTGAATGACGGGCCTCTTCCATCAGTCCAGTGGTTTGCTTCGACAAACGGGATCCTGACGTGCCGGTATCGGTCTTCTTTCACAATCTGGCTTTCGCTTGCTTGTGGCTTTTCGCGAGTCGTAACCTTACACTACCCTCTTCCTGTGGCAATCGCCGAAGTGGCTTTTACTTTCACCACCAAACTCTCGTTCGCCTGACAGCTTCGCGCTAAGCACTGACAACCCACTTCCCGGCGAGCTCGGAAAGCAAGGTAAGATAAAAGCATATCTTGCTCGGCCCGAGCTCCGAGCATGCGGTTCGTATTCACTCGGGAGGAAGGGCTTCTACAGAGCACGCAGGTCGAGGCCCAGGGCGTTCCTAGCAGACAGCAGAGGAGTTGTGACGCCGTGATGTTCAATCAGAGACGAGTCTGCTGTATGCCAATTCTGAGCCAGGGGTTGACGATTGGCGCAAACCAGCTGGCTTGAGCAGTGCTGCGATGCTAGAACTTGTATCTACTATGGTAGGTTCGCAGGCGACCGACCCTTGCTGCTGATTAGTGCCCCGCAACAGGTTACTTCTGGCCAAGCGAAAGGCCGTCGTGGTTGCCAGTGAACCAGATCAACCAGCAGCCAATCGGCACATTGCCAAAGTGGTGACCAAAACCAGCCACCATGGTCCCTTGCAGCATAGCTGCGTGTGTGGCCTCGACCTATGGACAACAACTTCAGCCACATGTGGGACACCAGCGAGGAACTTTGGTGTTTGCGAACCGCAGGGTCGTCTCAGTCCCGTGACGGGCTTGCATGGATCTTTGCGTACAGTCGCATTGCTTTTGCCTGTGCCGTGTCCGTTGGACGCGAGGTTGACAGACACCGGCTACGCAGACTCGCCGTTGACCCACGCGAGAGAATTTTCAGCATCCCTTCCCGTCTGCAAGATCTTGTTTTTCCACTGCTCACTGGTCGGGCAGAAGCAAAGATGTGCGTCGGCACTTACGCAGCAGTGGCCAGGCGCATCCACAACACTTCGGCGCCCGCAGCCTGGCCTCAGACCAGTCTGAATCCCGGTCATATTGTGTCGCGTAGAGTTGCTTTCCCCCCGTGGTATTGTGTGTCCTTGTGGAAATGACGGGCTGTGCCTGTTCTCCAGGCTTGTTTCATCAATATCCGCTGTGTGACGGCTGCTCCGACGGGCCGTTTTTTTACCCCGAGCGAATTTTGACGCAAAGGTGTTACGCTGCACCTTCAGTCAAAGTCGATAGTATCAATGTGTATCTTTGCGCCAGCTGTAGCAGTGGGATGCATCTTGACCTCGACGTCTTCGCTTATATGCTCGACGCCTCGACATGCTCAAAATCCGGTCGGCTATCCCGATCTCACAGACAGGCCCCAATCTCTCCAAAGACATTGGCACAATCATACGTCGCCCCCAGGTCTGACACTGCTCAAGCCTGCAATCATTTTGGGTCTCACCTGCACCTTCGCCTCGGTCACACACAGACCGTGATGCACAGATGCGAACAAGGTGCGACACCCGATGCAGGTACCGTCCTTCGAGCTGTGTGACAAGTGCCATTCGTCCGCGGACGGGACGAACGCGTATAGTCAACAAAGCTGCCTGTGCCTGGTGTTATTACGACGCGCCCCCCCCCCCCCCCGCAGTCGCGAAGAGACTTGGGGTTCTTCTGAATAGTAGCGGCCACGAGTCGCCCCGTGAAGTGGTGTCGGCTGTGCCAGCGCCCACTGTTCTCTGCAGCGACTCGCTCTTCGAACCCGTAGAGCTCCCGTCCGAGCTGCTTGAGCTACTTCCAGGGTGAGTAGTTCACAGCGCTCGCGTGTTCTGGCAGCACGGCGAAGCTACGTGCGCCGTATAAAGCAGGTGTGCCCAGAGACAAGAAAAAGACACATCCATCAGAATGTCTCATTAGCCACTGACAGGAGCATTTTGATATTGGCATCGTGGAGTACTCGATTGGGGGCGCGCGTCAATAGCTGATTTGGAATGCTGGCAACTGTGCAAGCCCAGTTTGCAGGATCCTTCTGCCACTCTTTAGTCAATGATAAAGGTCTAGAGGCTGCGGCCGATAACACTACCCGAGCTACTATAGACTACGAAAGGACATGGTGATATTAGCCATAAAAGGTTCCGAACCATAATAAAGAGCTGTGGCAGTACTGGACACTTCTGTATTCAGAACGCCTTGGCCCTCTGATGGCTCCGATACTTTACGGGATACTTCACGAGATTACTTAGATCGTACAAACAATATTTCAGAGTTGTTCTAATCTTCCAGAATTCACTTTTCGTTCATATATCTATGCTTTTCCGTTGGGCTCTTCTACCCAGTCACGTGCTCAACAGTACATCCCCCGCTCGCGACCCACCACTGTTTGGCTGCCTGCCGACTCAGTCTCCTTGAAGGATGGGTCAACCTCAACCTGCTCTTGCAAGCAGGGAGCCGCATGCCATAGCATCCAGTGTACTATTATTCCTCAAGATTGGTGCATAAGCCAACGAAAAGCATGGCAAGCGTAAGTAAAAGCCCAGAGTTCTTCGTCTCGAGTTTCGTTTCACAAGTTTCCGTCTGCAGGCCAGCAACGCGTGGCAGCTGACCGACTGCACTGGGTTGCCCCTACTATACAGCATGGCGTAGCTCGTACCGCCCAGACACGCATCGGGCAACGGCAAGATGTCGCCAAGATCAAGACGTACCATGTCCTCGAAAGCCAGATACGGGCCCAAGCAGCGCTGGGCAGCTATGATCTTGAGCTCCTGAACCTCACCACCAAGCTACTCCAACTCAACCCGGAGTACTACACCATTTGGAACATCCGTCGTCGCTGTCTTCTCAAGGGTGTACTCTCCTTTCCGCCTGAATACAACTCGAGCGATGTCACATCGATGACCTTGGCCGAGCAGCACGACAGTATTAGCACCGCCCTACAGTCGGATCTCGCCTTTACGGTGCCGCTTCTGCTCAAATTTCCCAAGTGCTACTGGATCTGGAATTTCCGATCCTGGATCTTGTCCCAGATGACCCTCCGGCTTCCAATCCCTACCGTGCGCAAGATATGGGAAATGGAACTCGCCCTTACATCCAAGATGCACATAAAGGATCGTCGCAACTTCCACGCTTGGGGCTACAGGAGGGAAATTGTAGCCAAGCTTGAGAGCCCTGACCTGCAAGGCAAGAGCATGTCGGAAGCCGAATTCGCATACACGACCAAGATGATCAACGAGGACCTATCCAACTTCTCGGCGTGGCACAACAGGACACAGCTCGTTGCGCGTGTTCTCGACGAGCGCGGTGCCGACGATGAAACGCGCCGAGGTTTCCTGGACATGGAACTCAAGACCACCCAGGATGCCCTGAACGTCGGACCAGAGGATCAGAGTCTGTGGTATTACCATCAGTTTCTAATGTCGCAGATCGTTGGTCGCCATGAAAATCGACAGACCATTGTGCCGTCTCTGACCACCAGTCAGGCGACTGCCTACCTACGGCGCGAGATTGACAATCTCAAGGATCTTCTCGAGGATTACAGCGACATCAAGTGGATTTATCTAGGCCTCTTGGATTGGACGTCAGCCTTGGAACGTGTAGAAGGCCCTGCAAACAGCGGTGACCGCGAGCTCAACGAGTCCAAGGTCTGGCTGGCGAAGCTAAGGGCACTCGATGTCTTGCGTGCCGGCCGATGGGACGATATGGAGGAATGTGTAGCATGATGAAGAGGCACTGAGATTCGGCAGTTGAAATATGTCGAAATCAATAGCAGATTTGACTCTGAAGTGGGTTGAATTGTCCCCGGTCTGGTCAACTAAATACAGCTGACTAGCTCATCATTAATCAGCTTAAAGAGACGCCGCATTAGTATATCTTCTGCACTTTCATAACCTCGATAATAACTACGAACTTCGCCTCGGCTACCTCGTTGCTTACTACCCAACATAGCTTCCCAACCCTAAATCGCGATAACCTAGTGGCATCCAGGTCTTGATACACCTCGCCGGTAGTAAGGTAGGAATGATCAACGGGGCATAGATAGCATCTAAGCCAAAGACCATGTTCGGCAGCGTCAGTGGCAAACTGCCCGCCATTAAGTACCTAGCACATAGCTACGACACAGAACCGCCGGTTTGCCGAGTACGGTCTCAAGGAATACAACCCAGTCAGTACAGACCATGCCTGGACACGCAGCTTGAGCGCGGGGAGGAGGGCTTTGTAAATTAACAACGATCACAAGAGCATTATTAACGCAAATACCCAAGCTGATTATTCAGCGACGCACAAATCAACAAAGAGCCCAGATATTCTTTAGTCAGGATCTCAAATAGATAATGTTAACATTCTCCAATACATCTCCGCACGTTACTACCATACCTGCGCTAACCGGCGGCATCGGGGCTAGCGAGCTATAGTCCGTCTATTCTAACTTTTTCATCACCATATACCTAGCTACTCTCGAAATTACGCCTATGTCTAGGACGATTAGCGTCGATCATATCACCGACGAGCTACATATCTCCTTCAAGTATATATTGGAGATACCTGTCACGATCCTGCCTCCGGGATCAACCGTTTGGCAGGGCGCTTGGGTTGTTGGTTTCAAAAGCAGGTAAAGCCTTTACAATATCACTAGCTCCTACTATCGTTTATCTTGGGGGTTGTCTTGTCTCTTGGAAGAGGTACCAGTCTCAGCAATTAAGTGACTAATTTAAGTGTGGGTGAAACTGATACTTAGATTGATCACCGAAGTGCAAGGAACGACTGTCTGACTATGAAGGAGATCTTCCATTCTATATACCTTTGCCCTTCATCTCTTGTGTTCACGTGGTCACCTCTTTCTGCATGACTAGTGGTATCGTACCGGTCCTTATCCTTATCGTGATCATTGTCTTTGCTGACATGAGAAACTTGTGTCGGCACCCCTACATGACCCGCCCTTGTCCCTGGTCTAATCCTGTGGCGTAGTTGTTTGTGCTCCTTCCGTGCCCAAACAATCGTCCCCAGTTGGTCGGCCGTCACAATACCGTAGGTTTTATCAAATACACCGCTAAAGAACTGGCGTATAGAGTTTATAATTATTAATACCGTAGCCATTAATGTAGGTAAACTATAGTACGAGCACGTCTATTAGGACTAAGCTAGCGTGCTGATACGAGTAAGCTTATTAGACCCTAAGCTCCTACCCGAGCGGGCAAAGGAGAAAGGTGCAACGACGATACCGGTGGTGGGCAAAGAGGCGGCTAGATATGAGCTTAGCAAGGAGACAGACTTTAAGTAAGGACAGGCAGATAACCAACTAATTTCCTAATTCTGGAGAGATGATATAGTTAGACGATAACAAAGGGGACAACGAGTCGTCCTCCGGGAAAAAGGGCAAGGCGCTCGCGGGGCAAGGAAATTCTGATAAGCTGGACGCATGTATTAAGAGTGAAATGCTACTCATGGCCAAACTATTGACGCGGGGACGTCAACAGAGACTCCGGATAGGATGAAGACCGAAGCTGGGGACAGGGCTGCTTCTGACGAATAGGAACGGCGGACCCTCGGCTAAATAGCACGATTTCTTCTGCCTTTCAGGGGTCATGTGCACGCATGCATACCTGCGTATTCCTATCTTATCAGTGCCTCTGATTGTGCCAAGAGGGCACCCCTCTTTCCATAATGAGTAGTCATATGCTTACCTTCCGCGACATCACGAATATTATGCTGTGGACTCGATCGAAAATGACGACAACCAAGACGTACAAACATCGGCGCCTCTCAAACTCGCAAATCCGCATTCTGCACCTCCAGCATGGAGATTCTATCGAAGAACTGCAATGTCGCATCGAGCACGTTGATTTCGACGCGGCGAAGTATGTTGCATTGTCATATCCGTGGGGAGGCGACAAGGAGGAATATTGGTTGCGAGTTCGAAGCGCTACCGGCAACGAGGAGGGAGACATTCCTCTGACTCAAAACCTCCACAATGCGCTCAGAGATCTCGTTAGGTCGCCTGTGCAACCAAAGTGCTTCTGGATCGATCAGATCTGCATCGACCAGACTAATATGCAGGACAAGGAGACGCAAGTCAAGCGGATGGGCGAGATCTATCGTAGGGCCATATCAGTCGTTACTTATGCTGGGCCTGAAGCATCCGGTGACGTGACAGCCATTGCCCTTCTGGAACAACTCACGAGCCACTACATCAAACCCTTCTACAAGGAGTTCATGGAGGATCGCGTGTGGATATGGCTAATGACGATAGAGACGCGGCCCAAATATGACGAAGATCGCCGGTCGGATACGAATTCCCTCGAAATCGACATTCAGCGCAGGCTTGAGACTGCGCTACCATCACATGAGGGCTGGGGAGAGATGATGCGCATGCTCCTGGGGTCTTGGGGGGGCGCAAGTGGATGATACAGGAGAATGTGCTCAACCCGAAAACGGTGATTCTGCGCGGCACGAGACTTCTCAATCATCAAGATATATTGATTCTTTGCGGATTCCTGCGTTTCAAGCTCTTGGGCAGGCGCCTCCCTGATGGACAGACGCTCTCCGATGAGCATGCATTGTATCTGTACAATGTTTCGATGCTTTGGCGCATTCGACGACTTGTCTTGCGTGGCAAAACCCTCAATCTGAGCGACCTGCTCCATTGGTTCCGCAACTCCCTCTGCAGCGACCCGCGGGATACTGTCTATGCGCTTCTAAGCCTGGCGCAGGACCGAGACGTGCTGGGCATCGAGCCTGATTACTCAAAAAGCTTCAGTGATGTCCTTGTCGATACGACTGCTGCTATACTCAAGAATTATGGTTTGAGTATGTACACCAAGCAAAGAGAAGCTGTCGACATGACGCCGCGGCCAGCGGTGCCGTCATGGGTGCCGATGTGGGCTCCTGGAAGTCTCGCAACGCATCTCGTGCATACGCCGCCTTCTACGCGCATGGAACCTGAGAACCTATCCGAATCTGTGTTACGCTTCGACGACAAAAACAAGACCCTCATAATCAAGGCTGTCTATATTGGCCGCATTTCAAGACTGTTCGGCCTAGTCACGGAAAGGCCAGCCAAGCACGTCCGCCACCTCCTCAGTGGTGGAGCATCCCAAGGCATACACCCCGCTGGCCTGGCTTTCAAGAATGCTGCCAGCTTTCTCTTGGAACATGGGATGGCAGATGACGATATCACGCACATGCTCGGCCGTGCCTTTGTGGCTACCGCTCCATGGGTAGATCACAAACAGCACGCAGCTGCGCCGCTGGCCCTGAATACTAGCAATATTGCAAGCTGTCTACAATGTGCTGCTCAGATCCGAGCTGGATACCGCGCCGCAATGAAGATCCTTGTCCACGGCGGGAGTCACTCATCGGGAAGTGACTATGGAGAGTTGTTGAACACCAGCAATAACAATTCTCCAGGATCTACTGAAGACATGAATCTCGGTATGAGTTTCATACATCACTTCGGTGTTCATAGAGGGCAACTTGCTCTCGTTGGAGACAACGACGTGGCGTGGCTCCCATTGAAGAGCCAGCCGGGTGATTTTGTTCTGAAACCGATCGGCCTCACGACAACCCTTGTGCTTAGGGCAGTCACAGTATCGTGTCAAGAGTACGAAATGATTGGGACTGCGTATGTGCACGGATACATAGACGGGGACGCGGCCAAGCTCGGACAGAACTGGGAAGACAGTGCTCGCGAAATTCGTATAGTTTAGTTTTAATGATTTTGAAATAGTCCTCTGGCGAAACAAAAGGAGATAGTAGGAAAATCAGAGTGAAGTACCCGGAGATGTTCTTTGAGGAAGGAGCACATTCTCGGACATATCGCCATTGAATCGTGCTCGAGCTTTTGCGTGGTGGGGACGCGTGATTGTTCAAAATTATGTAGGCAGCTCTAAGTTCCTTTTCCCCGGCTATTTACGACCATATAAATTTCATGGATATAGATGTGTATTAAGACTGCCTGTGGACTATAGGGGTATGCAGTCCTTACCCGACTCTGTGGTTATTATTAAGGTCCAGAGACCGCTACCAATAATAGTACCTTAGTCACTATAGACTACGGGAGGATATGGTAAGCAAATCTTAGCCATATAGAAACAAAACTACAATAACGAGCTATAGCGGTACTAGATACTTCTGTATTCTGAATCTCAGTGCGCCTGGCCCTCTAACGGCTCCGATACTTTACGAGATACTTCACGGGACAACCTTTATTATCTCTAAATGCCTCCCTAGTCGAATTCTTAGTAGAACCTGATATATTCCATGGTTCGCGTTAATGCAATACCTCTAGGGAATATGAACGGCTTATAAGATATAACTAGTATCGGGAGCATTTCGGAAGCTTAGCGTTAGTAGCGGGCCAATTGGGAAGTATTCGAGCAAGGGCTGACAAGCAGCCACCTACCGCCATTTTTGAGCAAATTCGTCATGTCGCCAATAGGCCACTTTGCGGGGGTGGCGAATCCTAGTCGCTTGAACAGATTAGGGAAGAATCTGATGAAGAAAAGCAGCACAATTATTGGTTCTCGAGCCTGGAAAGTGGATGGTGGTCCGTTCGCGAGAGGGTGAATTTGCTCAGAAATGGCGGTATTAATTCAATCTTGTAACGACACACCGACAATGTATGGCAATTATAAGCCACAGCCTGGACAAGCTCCGGCTCTCGCGGACCCAGCTGTAGATCCCAATCTCGACATCTACAATCGGCGCGCCGCTCAAGCTGCACGCTTCAGGGGATCCCGAATTCCAGCGCTCGCTCCATGGTATACTGCGCCAAATTTGCTGGGAAGGGCGTCGTGCCGTACACCGCACTGGCACCTGGGGCTTCTGTGTGATCCGGACCGCGTACAGCGACGAAGCCCAGTTCCAGCGGGCCCCTGTCGTGGCTTGATGCTGCTGTGGATGCCCACTCGCGCAGGGAAGCCAGCGCCACCGAATGGCAATTGGAATGCGCCAAGAAGAGGCTGGAGGAACTTCCCAAGGAGGACTGGGAGCTCGACTTGGCGTCTATCCCCGACCACTGCGATCCACGACCTGGCCAAGAGCTGAAAGCGCTTTTCCAAAACGACATCCTCGAGGATAAGGAGAACCTGGATGGTGCCACCCCAGCTCAGGTCCGCGAGTACTTCAACCGCTGGCGCCTGTCCCTCGGCGAGGATGAATACACGTTGAGACGGCTCCCGCGCTACTGCACGTGCATCATGCTTGACGACGAGACAATGGACCAGCTCGACACGCTGCCCGACGATATCGGCAGCTTAGACCGGCTGAGCGTTTCTAAGCTCCCGCACTGGGTCAAGATGATAGAGCACGAAACCTCGTACACGGGGAATATTCACGCGCCGCAGTATACGGACCCGCTATACCCGTACTTTGGAGAATTCCGCATACGTCTCTTTGCCCACCAGAATCTGTTCGAGTACACAACCATACGGTTGACGGTCGATGGCCTGGAATTGAAGAACCTTGTGCAACCGGAAGACGTGTTCAACCCAACACCAATGCGATACTTCCAGTGAGAGCCCTGATCGCTAATGCCCCATAACTCCTACCCAGCTTCAGTTCAGCTCCTGTGGCCAGCACGCGGATCTTGCCTGCGAACCATTGTCGCATGGTTCGACTATCTACAGACATCTAGGTCACTCGATCTTGGAGAAGACGAACTCTATCGCACTGAGACACCGTTCTGTTGTGAAATCTTGCTAGAATGATTGCAGAGGCGCAGAATGCTGGGCACTGATCACCGACACAGGCCGCGGAGGGACCAGAATTCATAAGCATTTGCTGTCAATGAAGTGCTGGAAAAGGGGGCGGTGGAAGGCAACCAGGAGCGGACAACAACAGCTATATAGACCGATTCTATAAGGAGGATACATTCTCATTTAAACGCTATCTCTCAGGCTTATGAATCTGGCTTGCTGCTTCTCCGCGCAGTGAGTCGATCGTCTGCGGAGTCGGGTTCGTATCGTAGCTTGTATGTTGGAAATCAGGCCGTGCAAGTAACAGGTATCGTGGTTTCACCTTGCTGTCGTCGGCGCCTGGGCGCGCTAGCGGTAACATGGCGAGTCGCAATGGCTCTGCTTCTTAGCAGCGCGTGTCGTGATACGTGGTGGACACTTGCTGTGAGTCTCGTCGCGCTCCCTTTTCCGGATGAGGCTGGAGTTTACTTGGGGCGTCTGAAGGGGCGTGAGTAGCTCCCGAGCCGAAGGGACAAGGCTATACTGCTCGTTGTCGCGGATCTAGCGGTATTCTTGTCTTGTTTGGTCCTAAACGCAGCTAAGGAGAAGTCGAAGCTCCCTATCACGTGATTGGAATTAAACCACTCACTCGTCGCTCTGAGGGCCATGTGAGATGCACTACGACTATCGCTAGCGGTGAAATTCATCTCGAATGAGTGAAATGCGTGGTATGAACCCCGCCTCCCGCATCAGCCTCCGAAAGGCCGGGAGTCGATAGAAGGCTTCGTTGTCTTTTATCTCTCCTAACAGCCCGCGAGGCGTCACGGCGGAAAACTTGTAGATACAGCAGAGTTCTTTGTTCAATGTTGAACCGCTCGTGCATGTGCCCGAATAGCTCCTCTTGGCGAAACTCGAGATTCTTTACCGGCCAAGGGTATTTATCGTCCAGGTCTGGAGTAGCAAGGCTCGCATATAGTCCTTCTATGTTGCTAGACTGAATATGCTGATAGCAGATTGCGTCCTGAACTGACCGTAGGTTTGACATAGACGTCTGAAAGATTCGCTGAAGGCGACGAGGTGTATCGTCGTGTATGTCACAACCATCTGTCGCTTAGAGGATGCGTATGTCCGTGGACATCCACTAACTTGTTTTACGCAGCATTTCCTCCATAAGGCCCATGCTAATAACTACTGACTTTTAGTGTGCGATAATGTCAGGGCAACCTTTCTTTTTCCATGTGCCTGCACGAGAAGTTCACGGACTGCCAAGGTCTCGAAGATGTTGTGGATAATCCTTCGTGTTGCTTTAGAGAGACTATCTCAACCAATGTGGATTGACACATTGCATTCTTCACTAGAGAACATCAAGATTGTCCCAATTCTTCCTGGTTGAAAACGCGGTGAGCACGCCACCGAATTCACGACTATGTAGTGATAGAAGGACAATATAGACAAGCTCGGATCGTCCATTTACCCCACGGCTCCAAGAATAGAAGCACCATACACTGGCCTGGCGCGACTACCCTGGTGTGCCAAGATGCCAATCGGATACTCCAGAAGTGGAGCCCACGTCATCAAGGGATGATCCGGCGCACGACCCGATGCAGATCACGGCATGCTGTCACTTCTCTAAGCTGCAATGTTCACAAGCTGGCGACGTCATCTGACATCGAGGCTGTGCCACCTCGACGGCCCAAGATGAACACGGCAAGGGCGCATTATCCAGTCAAGTGTCTCGCCTCGAGCTCGTACGAGTGCCAAGACGGTGACCCTGCAGAGAGCAAGCTTTTCCATCAGCTGAAGCAACGACTCAAAAAGTACCGATATAGCACACTGTTTTCCGGAAAGATGCTTATCCACGATGCTCCTCCTTATTCTTCCATAGCATTGCGCCGCAGACAATCTCGCTCAATTGCTCCCTGCGTCATCTGGCTCGACCTCTATACTCAAAGTGCACCACATCTTTCAAAGAAGGCAGACCGCCATGGCGCCAGCTCAAATTCGTCGTATCTGGACCAGCCTCCATGCTACGGCTAGCGTGTCATTGCTTGCGGCCGGAGTGGCTCTGGCACAGTCCTCGAATAACACGACAGACTTGCCAGATAACGTGTATCCGTCTTGGAACGCCAATCCAAACGCAACGGCCATTCTTCCGATAGCTGGTTTCCGTCTCGACACCCCGTATCCAGGCACGGCTCTCGAGGCGTCAACCGCGAACCCGGAGAGCTCATGGCGCATCCAAATAAACATCACCGAGCAGCAGTACAGTTCGTACTTTGACGCTCCGAGCACGGCGATCACAACATACCTCATCCCTCCCGCGGGATCAGGGGCAGGATCCCTGTTCGATCCTGAGACCGGAGCGTGGGACGTGGACGAGGATGTCGCTAGCACGTGGCGGGTCACCGTGGTCAGCCTTGACAGCGACAAGCTTCCCGCGGGCGCGGGTAACAATGCTGACGGGTCCTGCGCGGGCATCATCTCGGATGACTGCATGCGGGACATGAGGGCCACCATCGTCAATGACCTATTTGTGCTCACCGGCGAAGGATATCCCAGGGGTTTGACCTCCGTTAGCAGCTGTCCCTTTGGAACTGCAAGCTCTGGAGGTAAGTGCAACTCAGCTTTGTCCTCTGCTTCCTTCAGCCCTCCCCGACATGTATTGCTTGGAAAGCCCAGCAGCATTCCTATGTCCAGTTCCTGCACGGCGTGATGTTCCCCCCTGACTAATCTGCCCTCTCGGTATGGGCCTACAGTTCTCTCCCTGAACGCAAACTTCTCCCGCACCGCCAGCTCCCTGTGGGAGGGCAAGACCAAGACCGACAAGTACGACAGCGCGTATAATTACTTTGGCAGTCGCCCTCGTGTTGAGGTGTACATCTGGGGCCACAGCAACACCACGGCTGTGGGGCAGCCGTTGAGGGACGATCATGTCATATTCGTCTGCACCAGGGCCGACCAAGCGGTCGGGGGTAGCAGCCTGCCTTCGGCTGCGAGGGCGAGATTCGATGTGGGAGCTAGGGGCACGTGGTGGGCTATTGGTGCTGCTCTCATGGCGGTTGTCTTGAGCAGCTGATTCTGGTAACGTGAGGTTTGATGAATGATATGACTTGAATCCCAACAGCAGTTGATGCGGTCAAAGTGATTCTGCTGATTGTTACGATTAATGCGCGGTCCGGCGTGTGCTGACTTCTGTGTACGTGGACTTCGTTCATTCAGTGGCTGCGCCGTGTGAAGTGTGAGCCATTGGAGATCTGAAGAGTGATGAACGCCACCAACCATGAGATGCTCGAGGATCAATTCTTTCCAAGGTGGACATGATTCTGGAGCCAAACACGATGGTGGAGTGGTGGCGGAGGCAACTGTTGGGCATCAACGTGATAAGATTCGAGCAGGCTTGGATACGAAGCACAAGTTTGTCTTCTGCACTGCACGATGCTCGAGTTATCTCGTAACAAGAGCCTGCGCAGAAAGGTAAGGTAAAGGACGTAAGTTCCCCTTTGCAGGATCCCAAGAACATACTAACCCTCGCGTTCTGCAATGCTCAGACATTTCGCTTGAGCCAAATAATGACATCAGTCAGGCATCACAGTGCATAGATTCAGGCTCGCATCAACCAAGGCCCACCATGCTCGCCAGGAGGAGCTGGAGCCTCCCAACGGCCAGGCTGGTGCAAAGGTTTGGCGTAGGAGGGAAGGTGCATGGCAAAGATCGACAGAGGAGAGGAAGGAGACTCGACGTGCGGCAGTGGTGACGCTGGTTGACCATTTGTACGCTATATCCACCACATTCACCGGTCGTGGTTGCTACACATCTGCAGCGTTGGATGTCTCGAAACAGGGCAGCCACGCCTCGAAGTGGTGGCTGCCTGGCCCCGAGAGCACCTCGGCCACCCACATCGCTGCTCTTTGCACACTGGCGGGCCCAGTCCTCCTTGCAAGTCCAGGCACTTAGCCAGGCCAAGCCATGGCACAACCCGAGCACAATGTCTGACGGCGCGTCCCTCTCGGATCACGTCGAGTGGGCTTTGGCCACCCAGCCAGCATTCACCAACCTCCCACCAGAACTCATTCTTGTCGTTATCGAGCACCTCTCCGTCTTCCACGCTCTCCAGCTGGCTCGGGCAAGCCGTCATATCTACGAGCTTGTCGCCACTCATGCCTATGCCCGCCACATCGAGACAGCGCTTCACAACGGAAACCCACTGGTTTGGGCGGTCAAGAACGACCTGCTCAAGACAGCCGAGAGGGCCTTGGCGTTGGGAGTGGACGCAAACGAGCCCTTTCGCCAAGGCCACGCATACAAATTCTACACACCGCTGCTCGTGGCGATCGAACACAAGAATGTAGCCATGGTGTCACTTCTGCTCCGTTATGGCGCCCATCCAGCAGCCTCAACTTCCTCCGACACGCCTCTGATGATGGCCGTCAGTCAGAAGAGCCCCGAGATCGTGCAGCTCCTCCTCAAGCAAGATCAGCACCACATTGGCAATAATACAGCATCCCCGTACAGACGAAGCCAGCTCGTGTCTGATGCTGCAAACGTACGTGGTGTCCAGGGCCACACGGCTCTTTACTACGCCGTTCTTCAAAACGACACCACTATGGTCGACCTGCTTCTCTCACACAATGCCAAACCCGACCTGCTCAATGCCTTCGGTCAGGCACCGCTAGCCACTGCCATCATGCATGGGAAGCTAGAGATTGTGAAGCGACTTCTGGACTCGTCCAAAGCATACGTGGTGACCAGAGATGACGGAAGGGACAATGGGTTCAGCCTAGCTGCGACACTCGTCCGACACGCCAGCGCGGGCGTGAGCATGGAGATCCTCAAAGCCGTGCTTTACTCGGTAAAAAGAGTCACCAACGGAAAGACATGGTTCGTTGTCCCAGACGAGGTCTTGCAGAGACAACTTGGCCGCGACAGGCATATGATGAAGCTTCTCCTTGATGCTGGCGTTGATCCAGACGTCAAATCGGCCGCTGGGGCGACCGTGCTCTAGGATCTTATGGGCCGCCCTCGGCGTGCAAACTCTCGGACAGAGATGGAAGAATTGCAGCTGCTGGTCAACCATGGTGCCAACATCAACCAAAAGGTCGCTGCAGATGCCGAGACACCAACGCCACTAATGCGTGCAGCAAAACATGGCCGTTACGACTTTGTGAAGTACCTCTTGGCAAATTCAGTAGACGCTTCAACGAAGAATGAGAAGGGCGACGACGCGCTGATGCTCGCCCTGCTGAACCATCACAAGCGTTGTGCAGAGGCACTTCTGAACCATGGAGTGTCCACCGGCGGCAACAGCCTTTCGACGCAAAGTTCCATCACGGTAGCTATCAAGGCGAAGTGGTTCAAAATCGCCACTAAGCTTATCATTCGAGGTGCTGACCTCGAAATTCAAGACGAACAATCCTGGACACCGCTTATGCATGCAGTAGCAATAGGAAACCTTCACACAGTCAAGATGCTCGTGGACAAAGGCGCTTTTCTCAACGCTGCAGGCGTGAATGCAGAGCAAGATGGCGCGAACGAAGACAAATCTCAAGAGACGGCACTCAACATTGCTATCCGAAAAGGTTTCTATGATATTGCAGCACTTTTGCTGACTTCTGGGTCATCAGTCACACTTGCAACTGACATGAACCCAGATCTGGTGAAGCAAGGCAGGGCATCAGGGGGGATCAAGCTGGCAGGACTCGTTACTAGATACATCAGAAAGAGCCAAAGACGTTCTGGTAGCCTGCCAGCAAGACAACCATCACCAGACCTCACGGCAAGCACCATGGAGGAGTCAACTATAGAGGCAGTGGCAACAGTGCCATTCGCTGCAGTCTCGTCACGGCTACGTCCCCGTGCTGGCGGCAGAGTAGTTGTGGGTGTAAATGAGTAGTGTCAAGCATGTGTTCAGAGGGTGAAGAAGGTGGGACTTTTGAAGGGTAGCATGTTATGACGGGTGGAATGAATTGAATCCTCATTGCTCAGGCAAGCCGCGTCGATTTGAACGTTGGTGGTCGTGCATGTCAGTTCTCGGAAGGATCCAAAATCCCTGCAGCTGCCTAGATCGAGAGCTCCGACACCTAGTGAAGCACCGACATTAATTAGGCAGCGACGGGCATTTGCCATGTCGTCTCCAATATAAACAACTCCGACTGTGTCCGTGACTTTGATCATAAAGTATAAATCTCAATCGAATAAGACTTGGGCAGTTCTGAAGAGCTCAACCCCCGTTGAGGACTTCCAGACTGCCGCATCTTCTTCCACCGGCACGGAGCAATCATGGCCGAGAAGTCAGTAGAGCATGCAAACCCCCCGGCGCTACTCAACCTGCCGACAGAGCTCATTCTCTGCATTGCCAGTCAATTGTCAACCCACGACACTCTACTCGGATTGGCTCTCGCCAGCCGCCAACTGAATGGACCAGTCACTGCCTTCTCACTCACACGCTACGTTCACCATGGAGCCGCCCCCAGTGCACCGCTGTGGTGGGCCTCCGAGCACCGCTTCCTCGAGTACGCGAGAAAAGCATTGGATCTGGGAGCCGACCCGAATGAGCACCTCGAAGATGCCGTGACCAAAAATCTGAAACGGAAAACACCGCTCGCCATGGCTGTGAGCAACAATGATGCGTCCATGGTCCAGCTCTTGTTAGACTACGGCGCTCACCCAGCCACGCTGAACTGCAACGAGACGGTACTCTCCATGGCTGCGAGACAAGGCAACAGCGAGATTGTCCGGCTCCTGCTTTCTCACGAGCGATCAATCTCCTCCGTGCTCATCAAAGAAGGCACCGTCAGACCATCAACGCGAACAAAGTATACCTCGACGCTTGTCGGGCTTCGGGACAGCAACGGATCATCGGCTCTTCATGCTGCAGCCAAGCAAGGTCACAATGATGTGATAAGCATACTTCTCGGCCACGGAGCCAGAGTCGACATGAGAGACGTCAGAGGAGAAACACCCCTCTTCCTAGCCGTGGGTGCTAATCTGATCAGCACCGTAAAGGTTCTGCTGGACGCCGGTGCAAACCCCCTGGCGATGGATTACGACGACAAGGCAAATGCCCTGTCGCAAGCGCTTCCGAGCTCTGGCATATTCAAGATGATGATAGAGCGGCTGGTCAAGAGCCATGAAGGGAGAACCTGGCTTGACATTCCAGGTCACCAACTCAACGGACTCCTCTATCAGGGGAACACTCGTGTTATTGAACTTCTCTGCACCCACGGCGCGGACCCAGACGTGACGGACTCCAATGGGCGCACAGCGCTACTGCGCAGGCTCCCGCCAGCACCTTCCAAGTACCGCCGCCGGCGGAATCCACAAGATGAGGTGGAGGAACTCGCCGCTCTGCTGGACCGTGGTGCCAACATCGAAGCCAGAGATCCTGCGGACCACCAAACTCCGCTCCTGAGGGCTGCCCAAAGCTGGGGCAGCGAGGTGCTAAAGTTCTTGCTGGCACGCGGTGCAGATGTTTCCGTCAGAGACATCGACGGGAATGATCCACTGCTGGTATCTATACATCATTGCACGGCCCATGCGACAATGATCCTTCTCGAGGCCGGCTGCTCAGCAATGACCGTGGACCGATTCGGTAGAGGTGCACTTGCTCTTGCCTCCAGGCAAGAAGATGCTAGCATCGCAGAACTTCTTCTTGAGCGTGGCCTCGATATAGAGGTACAGGATAAATCCTCCCGCACTCCTCTGATGCATGCTGTCATGGCTGGTTCGCGTGCTGCCGCCAGTCTTCTCGTCAAGAAGGGGGCCAAGGTTGACCACGTTGCGCGCTACATCTCAGACGAGAAGTTGGACATGTGGACCGAAGAAGCACCGCTGAACGTAGCTGTACGGCAAGGCCGTGTTGACCTAGCCAAAGTGCTCCTTCGGGCAGGCGCAAGTGCTCAAATGGCATACCAGCTGGATCCAGCCTTTATGCAGCATGCACAGGAGTCGGGCGACGACGAGATGGTACACCTTCTCATGAAATATGGAATGGAACACCCAAACTCGAGCTTGGACTGAGCCGGGCGTGCGAAGGTGTAATGAAGGAAATTCTCAAATGGCACGTACTGAACTTTCGGGACAGCAAGGCAACACAGAGGCCTCCACGCTTTGGCTTTTATGGGTGAGCAGAGCCGCTTTATGAGTTCAAGACAATCAGATACCAGTTTCATCACTGTTGCCGAATCCATCGATAGAAATTACAGCTTCGTCTATCTGCCATGCATGATCAAGAAAGACTATTGTTGCTGTTGCGTGCAAGCTTCAAGCACACGATACCCCACGTCTACGTCACAGTGCCGAGCGGCGGGCTGGTGTTTTCCTAATCGTGTTCGTGGCGAGTGATTCAGCTGTGCTATGTCAGTCTGAGAATGCTTTCCGCGATTGCCACAAGTACGTAGTGCGGCCAGGATAACTCTGGACAAAGAACGTGTCAGGTCAAACGGCATGAAAAAGTCCTACTTACTTGTCGGGCTCGCCAAAAAGGGTCATGAAGGCGACGTGAACCTGTTCCGTCAGGTCGCTGGCCTGTAAACTGCGGCCGTGCTTCTCAAACGCGAGGCGGGAGCATTCCTTCGAGGTTGGAGAAACGTGTTAGCCCATGCCTGCCTACTCAAGTGCTCCTCTTCAAGGAATCAAGTGCTCGACAGCCCTCCACTGGCAGCACCATGGTGTCATCTCCGAATCAAACAAGATGGGGAGAAAAACTTGAAAAACTCACCCTCGTGATAGCAGCACCTCCAAAGGCCGCCAACCGCAGCAGCTCATCCTCCTTCATATCCCCGCCATGATCCCACAGCTTCTCGAGGTACGCGTTCCTCCACCCCAGGAACGTCGCGATGCTGCCCGTCAACGTATCGCCCTGGCCACCGCTCCGCTTCAGCCCGCCCTGGAGATCGACAACCAGCGTCTCGTCGCCGTTGCTGATCAGGTCCACCCCGCCCTTCTGCACGATCGTGACGCCCCCGAGCGCCTTCGACAGTGCCTTGATGTGCCGCGCGGGGTCGCCCTCGATCTGGTCCGGGTTGTAGTCCTCGGACTTGACGCCCTTCCAGAGGCGCCCGAACTCGACGACGTTGGGCGTGAGGACGACCTCGCGCCAGCCCATGACGAGCTCGGGCGACTTGAGCACCAGGCCGAGCGAGTCGGCGTCCATGACGACGGGCATCCTGCGCTCCCGCGCCGCGGCCAGGACCTCGGCCAGCGTGTCGTGCATCAGGGGGTCCCGGCCCAGCCCGGGCCCGACGACGAGGACGTGCAGCCGGGGCAGCATCTCGATGATCTTCTTGGAGATCTCCTTGGGGTCCGTGTCTGCCGGGTTCTGTGACGAGCCAGCGTCAGAGGGCGACTGCCGCATGAGCGGGTGGACCATGAGGTTTGGGCTGTAGGTCTTGATCACGGCTGCTGCGCCTGGTGTGCAGATCACGTGGGACTTTTCTCAGAGAAGAAGAAAAGAACAGGTTTGTTAGCAATGTCCCGTCCTCAAGGGTACCGTCAAATGGTGAATAACTCACCATGTCACAGCCCAGGCGCGCGCTCGCCATGGCGGAAAAGTACGGCGCGCCCGTGTAATCTTCGCTGCCCCCGATGACGGCTACGCGCCCAAGCTGGCCTGTTCCATGTCAACGAGAGTGGTCAGTAATGCGTGGTCTGCTAGAAAGAGAAAAAGGACACAACGGCTACATAAGACAAGTTATGAACCCCGTAAATTGCTCACCTTTGTGGAATTTCCCCAGCATTGGCGGCACGATCTGGCGCACCTTGGCCAAGAGCTCTTTCGTGGCGGATGACATCTCAGGCTGTCCTGTTGCGGGTGGGCTCATGGCTATGTGGTAAGCTGCAGTGTTCTCCAGTGGCGTTGGTTTTCGGTGATTTTCTAAATGCCAATGGGCGTGGAATCGGAGTTGTGAGGGGTGGCGGGTGGGAAGGCTGTCGTGATTGAGTTGGCAAATGTTGTGAGAGTGAGTCGGACAGTCTTGTGTCAAGAATACCTGGGGCTTCTGCGTCGTGGATTGCTGCTGCGGGGCAGGCGTTGATGATGTTGAAGTCTGTGTGCTGGTAACACTTGTCAATCTTACGCAACGCACAATTATCAATTGAGCTTCAAAATTGTTTTGTTCCGCTGACTCTTGTTTATTACCTGAATTTGACCTGTTTATAATCCTTTGTACCTCGAGAGCAGGAGCTGTCGCCTTAGATGGCCTGACGTTTGAGCACATTGTGATGATGGAGGCATGACATCAGCATCCACAGCTCCACACCGCAGCTCATTCAGCCATGAGAACGACCATGGTCGCTTCCACCAGCAGGAAACTCTTGATACAGTCACGATATTTGGCCTTTGAGGCAGTGCATGTCCTCTCGTTCTTGCAAGCCAATTGAGTCACATCAAGATATCATGGTGGATTATCGTGCTGGTCCTCGTGTAAGCTCTACATCCCACCAAATGTTCGCCTGCCTACCTCAAGCATAAAATAGCAACTCAAGGGACTGAGACACAAAGCATTTATTACTTCTAGCAATACAACTGGTAGAGGGATCGGCCCCGTTGTCATGGCAAATATTCTTGTCTGAAAAAATAGGCACAAGAGTCAGACAATTAAGAAGAGCTGCAAACACTAGGCCCATGCAGCCCGAGCCCCGGCACAACTCATGACGCCAACTGCCGGAGGACGAAAGAACCATCGCAACATTGTAAACCACCGATTCCAAAGATACGAAGCAGCGCACATGTCTCCATTCTAGCAGCCCATGGTGTACAAATATCTTCACTTCTTAAGCTCCGGTTCGGGAGTACTGCCAGTTGTGGGGAATCCCATGAAGATCTTGAAATAATCCTGTTGGTGAAGAGACTTGTTAGTCGTCGGGGTCGAGGGACTAGGTCGATGGGAACCAAAGCTCGGAAAACTCACGTAGATCATCCACTGCAGGCCGGTCAGCGTTCCAATCATGACAATACGGACAGGCAGGCCATTCCACAGTCCACCAAAGCCGATCTCACGGTAGTTGCGTCCGACGGCGGCGCCGAAGCCCTCACCAGCCTTGCGATTGGCATTCAGCTTGCTGACCAGCACATCCGCTGGATGGGAGACAATGGCACACAGGATACCGGCCGCGTAGCCACCAACGAAGCTGACCCCTGTCTGAGCAGCCTTGCTGTAGTCACTCTTCTTTCCAGGCAGCCGAGCGTAAATCATCTCGACAATGGTCTCGAAGGAGGCAAATTTCATCATGGTGTAAGGAATTTGTCGACCCCATAGCGGGTACAGCCCCTTGTACAGGCCGCCAATACCTTCGGTGGCTGTAATCTTGCGGAAACCGTCAAACGTGCCAGTGTAGGCAGCCGGGATGGTCGTCTGCATACGGACTTTGACGGCTTCAAAGGGACATAGGGCAATGTCGGCAAGGAACTCGGCCGAGGCGGATGCGGCAAGGTAGAGCACCGTCTTGTTGTTTGCCGCCCTCTCCGGACCAGCGAGATCCGAGTACTTCTTTTTGAAGTATTCATACCAACCGTACTTGAAGGCTCCTTGGGCAGAGTAACCCAACAGGGTTGGACTCCATCCAGTGAAGATGCCGCGGAGTCCTTCAGCTCGGTATATCATGCCCCATGCCTGAAAGTTGCCCTTGTACAGAGACGAATTGACCTGGCGACGACATTTGACGAGGTCAAGAGGTGTGACGGCAGTGTGAGTCAAGCCCTATGGAGGCGTGCAGGGGTTCGCACGCCGCCCGCCGTTAGCTTCAATCCGGCGCCAGAGACCGATCGTGGACGCGGGATGCGAGATGGGTGGACCGGCACGGTCGGGCGAGTTGTGGGGCGCGGGACTTACACAGGCCATAAGGCCACCAAAGGTGCATGCTGCATAGTACTGGCTCGAGTAGAGCTCGAGCTTCTTGCCGGCCTTGGCTTGGACAGCACCAGTGGCCTTGTCGAATTCCTTCTGGGCTTCTGCGCTGAGCTGCTTGGCCTTGTCCTTGGCATCGTCTGCCAAAGAGTAGGCGACGTAGAGCTCCGAGCGAGCCTGGCGAGGTGTCGCGCTGGTCGTGAGCGTGGTCTTGGCATCAGGCTGGCCTGAGAAGGCCTGCTGGAGGGCTGTGTGGCTTGGGAACAGCGACGGCATGTTGAGGGCCTTCCTGGTGTTTTCAAGTATGGCCTAGCATGAATTATTAGCGTCCCGGCGAGCTCGAAGCTGACGATTGTAGTCTTGGCGAGATGACGACGCAAGCAATTGAGGTTGCGCCGGTGACGGCAATTGTTTTGAGGGTGGTGAACTGGAAGCTCTTGCCGGCAAACTCACTACGTGATTGGCCCTAGGCGAGGGCAACGGGTCAATAGGAGGACGCGAGAACGCGGTCCTGAAGCTCTAGAGTGTCGTCGCCAGCGATGACAAAAAGGCAGGGCACTGTAGTCCTAATGAGCTCCAGAGAGGAGTGGAGAGAGGTTGTGGCACAGGGAAGCACGGAGGGAGAGAGGTAAGCGCCGGGCGACGGGGGAGTTAAAAAGAGCGCACCTCGGCGGGCAAGCACGCTGACGTGCAACCACCACCTCGTGTTCACCAGGGCATCCTGCACATCGCGCGACTCCAACTTTGGCACACAGCCTTTGAAGCTTCAGCGACCTGAGGTGTGCGGCAGGAGCTTTCTACTGGTGACTAGACGCTAGATGACGTTCTGCGGGGCTCCTTCCGCAAAAGTGCACAACCAGCAAGCGTTAACTCCGACCGGCCTCCCTCTCTGGTCCTTGGACTGCGGATCAGAGACAGGAGTTGTTCGGGCACGCAAACTACTTCATTCTATGCCTTGGTCAAATCAGCATTGCGTGTCCTTAGCATCACGCAAACCACAATAGGGTAATGATGCAAGCGCCGAGGCAGTGATCGCATCGAGCATCAGCGGCAGGCCAGGCCCTGGCATCCGGGGCAAGCCGTGTTCGGCCGAGCCCCACTTCCCTCTCAAGGGGGCCCGGACGCCTGTGACTTTCAAGATCCACCACGCTAAGGGATTCACGACGCATTTTCCACAACGCCCCTCCCTTCAATTCCAGACAGCGATTGCGCAGAATCATAAAACGCCATCTGCTCCTCCCAGCGAACGCAATTGAACCTGGCCCTGTGTCAGAGCTCGTACTTCATCAGCAAGGAAGGCCGTTGTCGAACTCGATAGTCATCCGACACCAATAGCACCACGTTCTCCCTCACCCAGTGGCACTGCCAGAGCATCAGCGACAAGACACGACCATGGCGGCGCAGATTATGAACGCGCGGACGCATATCGGCCCTTCGCCTTTGTCGAATCCGCCGTTTGTATCGAAATGGTCAGCCAGATATCGCGGGGTAGGTCAACTCAACCCATATTTCCCAACGCCAGCCATCGCCTTTTGTGAAGCCCCCAGTCACGATATGGGCGATGGCAACAATGCCAAATACCCTCACGACACTCTCCTTTCAAAGCCACTTTTCATCACACATGTCCACTCCACTCCCCAGCAGAAACGACATCTCACTAACTTGCGTCTTGCCCATCACGACTAGGCCACCGTACAAGACCTCGAGCCCCCTTCGGCGCTGTCTTTGAACCCCACCGACACCGTCTCCATGGCTATGATGTATGCCTTTGAGCGCGAGTACACGCACCTGACAGTCGTGGACTCGGACACGCGCGCGCTCATGGGCTACATCGCGATCCCCGCGCTACAGGCCAAGCTAGAAAGTGGCGCCGTGGCCGGGGAGGATCCCCTCTCCAAGGCGATGATGCGTTTCCAGAGAAAGGGCAAGAAGTACACCATAATTACGCTCAACACGCCACTCGAGGAGCTCGAGGCTTTCTTCGAGGGATACACAAGTGGTGGGCAGAAGCAGGAGTTTGCGGTTGTTAGTGACGAGGACAGGAAGTTCGTTCTTGGTGTGGCGACGAGGTCTGATCTCGAGGAGTTTGTCAAGAGGAGGCCAGCGTAGAATGGACAGGCCTGATGGAGACCATTCTCAAGCACGTTGTACAGGTGCCACACCATAGTTCTCGGGGTTCCCCAAACTCAACCGAGATCTCTCACGACTCGTACGCTTTTCTTTGGATTTCTCATGGGCGTTCTGGCAAATGGCATACAAGGGACAAAAGTTCAACATGAGGGACGACGGGAAACCTGCAGGCATCGCCAATTGGCGAGCCAACACTGCACTGCAAAACTTCAGTGGCGCATCTTCAACGACGGCCACTGATAGTTCGGGTTTAATCTCACAACAAGACTGGATATGGGCGAGAGCGACGCAATATTGGAGAAACTTGAGCACACAAGTCGCAGAACGTCGAGGCGGACACGCGCACTTTGAAGAGCTGACATTGCATATCACTACTTTGAAAGCACAATGCTCCACTATGTAGCAAAGAATACCCATTTCATCGTACGCTCCTCTACGGGATAAAGTCATAGACCATCTTGATAGTCTCGACTTGGCCTCCCTTCTCAACGACGACGTGGCGGACATACCTCCTCTCGCCGTCGATGGTCTGGAAGCCCCAGATCTGGGCGGCAGTCCAGCCGCCCTTGGGGTCGACGTTCTCGACCGAGTTGTAGAGGTGCAGAGCGCCGTTGGGACCGGTGGCCTCCTCGGGCCCCGTGAGCCAGCCCTCGCCCATGAAGGCGCCGTGCTTCTCGACCACCCAGGTCTTGACGTCCTCCTCGGTGACCAGCTTGGAAAAGGCCTTGCAGTTGCCAAAAAGCCAGTCCCCGTGGGGGCGGGACTCGCCGTCCACGCAGCGGTTCTCCTGGGTCGAGGTGAGCTTCGAGGCGGACTGCAGGCTGTCAATGTGGACCACGTTCTCGGTCGAGGTGTTGGGCGGCGTGGGCGGCCCGTCGTACTGGTTGATGTCCACGTAGATGGTGGCAAGGCCAATCGACTTGCGGATGAAGAAGCCGATGCCCTGCAGAGCCAAGGCCTTGTCCGTGTCTGTGGAGAGAGTCTTATTCTGTTGAATCAGACAACGAGGCAAGCACAGAATATGGTCAGCCTTTGTGCTATCATCAGGAGACTTGTTGAAATAATAGAAGCTCGGTCAGCTCGCAAGCGGTGAAGCTCGCCGATTGAGCCAGGCTGGATTGTTCAGATCTCCGGTCCCAGCTCATTTGAATGTTGCGATGCTTTTGAGAATGCTCGAGACTGAGCTTATGTCCATTGCTTTACTAGGCAGAGATGCCCGGAATTCAAGGGCATGGCTGGTTTTATGCCTTGATGCATCGGGTTTGATGTCCTCTTGGCCTGTCTGAGCGGCACTCGAAGCCAAGGCGCTTGCCAGTGCTCGCAAGCCGAGGTCCAGGTGCCACATGCTGGCTCGACTCCTCCTGCACGCGCAGTAACGAGAAAGTGACACCCCTGCGTCACCGGGAGCTCTTTTGTTGTCCTCCTTCTCTTGCTGCGTCTCTCCTACTTCACTCGGGATCATCGGAGTTCGCGAGCCGAGGTATGCCGAGGTATGCCCAAGGACTGACTGGTGCTTCAGGACTAACGCGGGCGGAGGCGGGCACTTTTGGAAATGAGAGAGACTGGGCACTTACGAGCATCCACTTGCCGTTGAGGTCGGCGATGGTCTTGTTGGCGGGGGCGGCCATGGCTGCTGGAAGCGTTTGATTGAAGACACGGAGGAATTCCTGCGAGGAGAAAAGCGCGGCTGCAGTGTTTGCGAAGGGTGCAAGTGTGCTCGCGAGAAAGGTGTAGCGGTTCCCAGCAGGAGCGGACTTCGTGCGTTTGAGAGAGTCGGACCAGACGGACGGTCGTGAGGTGGGCAGTTGGCTGTTGCTCTTGGTGGGGCCGGGCACTTTCTTTGGGCCAGGGTCGACTTCAGCCTTCTGTTATCTCGATTTCCAACACTTTTTTCTTTGATACCTTTGGTAAAGAAGGAGGGGGCGGGCGACCTCATGACGGATCCAAGCAGCGCATCAACGACATACTTATACTGCATTTCCCCGTGGGGTGATATGAGCTCCCCTGGTCAGCCTCGCGTTCACATGGGACAACGCGCGCTCCAACCAACAGTCACCAGGCCTCGCGCATGGAGTAGTCGTGAGGGGTCGGGACTGCAAGGCTCGCTTCGGCCAGTGAATGAAAGGCAGCGGATAACCTCGCATTCCCCTCCCGAAAACGGTCCTCGCGGTGCTGCCCTGCCAGGCTGATCCTGGCCTGCTTGAGGGGCAGTACTGCGTAGGCAGCTCTCAGAGCTTGCTTGTGCTGGGGGCACAGCTCTCGGGCGTGACCACGCAGATCTCGACCGAGGCATGACGAAAACGTGGGACAAGGGTCTCCCCGCCGTCAAAACCCCGCCAACCATCTTCCAGGTGAGCCTTCCACGGGGGCGCCGCAACATACATGCTTGCTTGCTGACACAAGATACTTTGATGCTCATGGTTCATGCTAGTCTTGGACGGGCCGGCAGATTAAATAAGGGCCTTTCCGCACGCTTCGGCGGCATGAAGGATACCAGACACGCGGTTAAGCTTCACCACCTAGACCCTCCTCAATACCTGCCCACAAGGCACAAAGCTTCACCCCTGCAGGTGGCGGCACCTTGTGCATGAACGATACACGCCTGGGAGTTGCTGCTTTTGGCAGGAAGTTCGATATCGGCGCTTACAGAATCCTGGAACGTTGGCCTCTCTCTGCCTTTCAAGATTCTCCGCAGCTCGAAGGGGTGGTGGCGGAACAAGTCCCGAGGTCAGCGGTCACCGGAAGTCCCCTCCTTGCCTGCTCCCTAACGCGGGCAGAGCATCTCAAGCACGTAACAAGTCAAACACACGAGCCATGGGATAATCAGTGATCCTAGCAAAACTCGGTGGTCAAGAGTGCCTCGTCCTGGAAGTTTCCAGGCTGACCCAGGCGGTCATGGTCGTCCAGGGATGATCCCTAGTGTCGGGCAGGCAATGATGCAGTGCAGAATGGAGGACGCTTTCATCTTTGTCATTATTGCTGAAGTTCTGATTCGTGCCAATGCCTTCACCCGAATCATACCTCGAAGCCAAACAGATGTACATGCCGTCAGCCCAAGTGGTGCCACCAGGAATGATGCCACCCCAAACGCCTTCTCCGCACCTTCTCGGGACATCTGTCTCAAATGTAAATGATCAAAATGCCGTCCATCCGCCTCAAACATCGCTCTGTAAAGGACTCAACTAACAACAAGCTTGTTGTGCGAAGAACTAAAGCCTCTCCAGGTACGCAATTCTGCTGTTCAAGGACCCCTTTTGTCTAACCGTATATCTTCGTCTCCAGTTTCCTTCTCTTGTTGATGAAGGAAGCTGAAGGTTGGCTCTTCAGGGACAAAGTAAGAAGGTTCGCGAATCCCGCTCAGCGGAGTCTCTGCAGCATGCGACCGTCACAGCGCTTCGTTGCGACGGTTTCAACGAGCTTGGCTCAGAGCAAAGGACGCTTGCCACCGCGTTCTGCTTGAGCATACTGCCGTTTCTTCCACGACCCTTTCCGCCGTGCGCCTGGTGCTGGGTATCAAAAGACGAGCGCAAAATAAGATGAAAACTTTGAACTGTTCAAGGCCACCAGTTCATCTTCTTATAACTTTCAATGACCTCCTCGACAAGCTCCTTGGTGATGGTTGGGTGCTTGTATTCGAATCCGATGAGCTCCTGAAATCGACCTCCGTCCATGCTCAGATCAGTGTCCTTGAGCAGCTCTTTTTCCATGAAGGGTGTCAACGGGCCGGGACGGACGATGCCCTTCTCAGCCAATAGATCGGCCCAAGGGCCCAGTGTATCGTCATTGACGTCGTCGACAATGTTGTCCATGCTCAGTCTTGCCAGGTTGCTCAATAGTTGTCCTTGAAAGCCAGTCTTGATGCCAAACACTTGACCAATGATTTCGGCTATCGTTCCTTGTGTGGTTGTTCCTTTGTCGACAACGTTGAATATCGGAACATTGCCCATGCTCGCTTCGTCGAACTTGGGTTTCCCCTCGGCATACCAGGAGGCAATGGCCCACAAAGCCCGTGTGCAGTCACGAATATGCACTGTATTGGTACGAAGATCCTTCGTCCAGAGCCATTTCATCTCTTCGTGCATGCTCTGGTAGACACGCGCAAGGCACATGGCGGTGCCTACCCATTGAGACGCGTATGGGCCGTAAACGTGTGGCAAGCGGACGATGACCAAGTTGAGCCTGCAGATCGGTCAGTAAGTTTCCGGTGGGAAGTGCTTGACTTTGTCTATCATGATTCGGATGAAGAATAACTTACCCTTCGATTTGTGCTAATTGCTGCTCAGCCTGGAGTTTGAAGATGGCAATTTTGCTCCAAGGCTTGAGCTTGTCGCTCTCCTTGCTCGGAGCCGAGTTGGGCTTGTAGACCATTCCCGTGCTCAGCTCGACAAAGCATTTGACTTTGCGTTTGGCGGCCTCTTTTCCAACAGCTAATGACAGAGCCAGCGAGCGGACCTTGTACACTTCGTCCTCCTGAGAGTATCGAGTTTCGCCGCCGCAGTTGAAGACGTAATCCCACTGCTTGCCATCTTCACGGTCGAATATCCGGGCCAGGGCTTCTGCAGAATTGCACAACAACAGGTTAGCAGTGGACAATGTATAAAACAAGAATCTGCCGTGAGACAGTACGAAAATCTGGATGCCGAAAACTCAACCGTGATTGGGAGAGCGTGGCGGGTCGAGTGCATCGACAGAGCTGCGGGGAGGGGCCAAGGACATACGCTCTTTACTGGCATCAGCTTGCATAAAGTTGTCCTTGGAGCAAGCTTCTTCGAATTCAGGGGCGAGCCATGCCAGCTGTGGCAAGACCTTGTCGACAAGACGGATACTGGAGGCGAGGCCTTCCTGGTGTATGTGCTGGGCAAGGAAGCGGCCAATGTAGCCCAGCCCGCCAATAATGAGGACCGAGGGCTTTTCGGATGCCATCTCGGTCGACCAAGCCAAGGGGAGGGGTGGCGGCGGGGGGCGGAAGCTCGCGAGCTGTTTACCGTGGAGGGGCCGTCAAAAGGCGAGAGGGGCTACTGGTAAGGCTCTCGCAGGTCGTCCTTGGCGGTATTGTCTGGGAGTCTGGAGACGAAGGAAGTGCGGGAGGGGCTAGCTTTGTAGCAAAGGAGCAACGCGAGGTCGTGGGAGCTTGTGGCAGAGCATTCGGTCACAGTGGTTGTTGAAGGGATGGTGGCGGGAAGTGGTGTCGGGTCGAGGAATAGGAGGGCGGAGCGGGAGGGACAAAGGGGGGGACCACACACCCTCGCCCGGAGCTAGCGGGCTAGCGCAAGTACACCATTGCAGCGCTGGGCAGGGCCTTAGCGGTCGCTCGAGGTGGGGGGCGTGGCTTCTCTGCACCTGCTGCTGCACGTCTTTTTTCTTGCTTCTCGGCGGAGTCGTGCCAACAGGGCACTGTCGAGGCCACCATCTTGCGGGTCACGATCGGCTGCTGGTCACGGGGGTGTCCCCTGTAGACTGCTGTCTCCGTCCAAGCTTGACTCTTGATGGTCCAGCTCAACAGCCAAGTCGGCGTAGCGTCTCGAATCACCAACTCGCCCTTTTTTCACGGTCTTCCACTCCTCTGCTACCACTGCCTTGACAACTATGGGTTTGTCTCTTCTGACCCCAAAAATTGGCATGCCTTTGTGGGACGTCGAGTTGACCAGAAGACACAGGAATGGTCCAGTGCCAGCAGCCCTGATCCAATGGCGAGCTCGATCTTGAGAATTGGGACGCCGCTCGCTGGCACACCGCCGCCGACGTCCGAACCAGGGGATCTTGAGTCCAGTCCTTCTCGTTGCAGGAGCCAGATGGGGGGTGGGCGGGGCACCCTGCTCGCAATGATCATGTCGTGAGTGCCCAGGTGTTGCTCCATGCGGGACCCATACAGTCGCACCAGGACAGTGGCCGACAAGGACGTGTGATGGCAAGTGGGGACACGGGACGGAGGTGCCCCTGGCAATGCAGTACGCAGTACAGGACGCCTTGGCTAGCACTACACCATCCTTCGAAAGTTTCGAGACGCAACCCTTGCTTCAGCACGATCGACCTCAGCTCGACTGGTCCATGTCCTGTCACACCAAGCTTGGATCGCGGACTCTGGCGCTCATTCTGTAGTGGAACAAGCTTGGTGGCACGAAGGGCCCAGGGACTCGGCAGTGTTTGCTACAGCCTCTGCAGCCAGGGACCGGGGCATTATCGCTCAGAAGCCACGGCTCCGAACCCCACAGTGGCGGCGGTAAGTGCCCTGGTAATGCTGTCCCTACCCGTTGCTATTGTCGTGCCTCGAAGGGGTGTCCAACCCTGGTTCGAAGCTTTCCGCCAGCAGACGTTGACAACCCTGTCACCTGTATTCAACACAGCCTGGCCCCGAATGATCGTGTCAATTCGTCCCAACCGCAGAGACGTGGGCGGGGCAGACGGGGTGGCGGGTCAAGCCTTGTTGCTTAGTGTCGTTCACAAGATCAAGGATGGGCCGTCACGGGTCGTACACTGCCCACGATCCCAGCATAGGGCATTGCGGGACAAGTCTTTGGAAAGGTATCAACCCCGGCGCCCGTACACCTCGAAAAGGAGCTGCGCTGACGTACTTGTGCAGCTAAGGGCATGACGGAACGAGGGCCTTGAGATTGTAGCTTGAAGCCGTGGACTCCTCAGATGTATCAGTGGTGAATCGGACACAGGTGCCTGCTCAGTGAGGCCCTGGATCTGCCCACGAAGCAGCAACTGAAGCTGAAAAAGCAACAAGGTCGAGCCTGAGTCTATTGGCCCATTGGCCCTAAGCTTGTGCCGCATTCAGCTAATTCACTTCTGGCGAGGGCGGCCGATTTTGCTGTCTCCCTTTCGGCTATGCACTTTGTCGTCACCTACATGGCGACGTTATTGGAGTAACGAGTAACCGACAGCACAAATGCAAGTCCATGAGGGACGTCCTCTCGGCATGGGTGAGCACGGGGCATGCCTGCGGATCTGGCAGGGATACCATGACCGCCCGACCGTGCTCACTTTTTCACTAAAATGTCAGACGGGCGATTGACTTGCTTCGCTGCTTGACCATTACCAAAATTCAGTTCTGAGACAAATCTTGGCATGCAGTGGCCGCCTAGCTGACGTGTGCCTTTGACAACCCACGACGTTTTAGGTTCATGACGGCTACAGCTGGACCAGGGGCCTTACAGCTAGCCACCTGAAATATTCCAGAGGGACGGGAAGTCCCGCCGCTATTCTGTCGTGGTAGTCCATCAATGGTCATACGATTTGTTCTGCCGGTTTCTCAATGTCTGGTGGCAGGACTCCCAACACTCACCATACGAGGGAAATGTTACGGTATCTGTCTCGGGGAGGACCCTGTCGAAACGACCTGAGAACAAGCACTGTGTGACCAGTACAGGACGACGAGGAGATCGGATTGAACTCATATGCATCGCAAATTGGTCACTCCTTCAAGTGCCTCGAGCCGCGGGCCACCAGCGAGAACCATACAGTTCCTGTTGAGGTCCATGTTACTAAACCACAAACGTACGACTTGGTGCTCTTAGCTGGCGAACGTCCTGTCATCTTTTGGGGGAAAGTTCATGGCTTGTGTGGGGCTTGTTGGTGCGTGGAAGGCTTCCAGAAGATGGCTTCCAGAAATCTTCCACAACCCATGCACCCAGCACCCCCACTTTTGCCGTGATCTGGACCTGGTTGTGTCATTCGTGTTACAGCGAATGACGCAGAAGTTGAGGAGCCCATGTGCCATGCCTCAGAATCCTGGTCACCGAGTATATCCTGGTACGGCATTGGGCTCTCGTCTCTGTCAAGAGACAGAGGACCGCCGATCAACCTAATTTAGTATTTCAATCCCACGCAAGCATAAGATTGGGGATCACCGCGTGCGTTCTGCACCCTCAGAACACAGCACTCGCTTCACGCTCATACGATGGCCAGCGGGCTCACCGGGGAACTGCGTCCAGCAGCTTGTTGCTGTTCTTGTCCGTTTTCTCAAGAGTACGGGCCAAAGTGGAACGGTGGACGTCTGCCTCAGCAGGCACTTTACCGGGCTCTACATCGAGCTCGCGCCATGTCGTTGCCTCTATGTTTCCATTGTTCATAGCGGGAGTCGAGCTGGACAAGCAGAAGGACAATTTCTAGGACTCTCGACTTCTGGGAATGACGAATGCGCTGGTCCATGCGCAAAGAATGTTGGCCCCCGGTACAAAATCCACGTCAGTGCTCAAACCTTGAAGCAGGCCGGCGGTCATGACTGCTCTCCCTTGAGGAATCTTCCGCCACGTCGACCGCGTCTTATGGAGTAAGGCTTCGACACGGACCGTCCCATCCCACCGCCTGGCGTGCATACGTGTACACCACTTCTCTGCTCGTCAACCAGCATAAAGGGGGCGGACTGCGGGCCTCATGCAGGGGGGTCTGTCTCTTTGTGGCTAGCAAGCCGGACAATCGCAATGAACCATGCTGATATGTATGAGATCCTAACGTTGCAGCTCTAGCTTGGCACACAAGGCGTCCTCGCGCGCGAGCACAACTGCGGATGTTGCCATTGCCACAACGGATACGCCGGATGGTGTCCTGGGTCCAGACTCGCAAGCCTGAGACGATAGATGGGATTGAGTTCAGGAGGGGGGCATTGCACCCTTTCCCTTCCCTCGGCCTGATAACGTCGAATGGCTCATATCACAGCCTGGGGTGATAAACTCTATAGTAACAACGACACCGGTGCCGGCGATCCAAGATACGGTATAGAAACTACTGTCTACCTGTCCTCTGCCGTGGGGGCCAAGCGCCGAACCAGCCGTTGGATTCAGGATTGCGTGGTGGTGTGTGGGCCAAGCGACGAGACAGATTAACCTTTCAATACCCCGGACTCTATGATTACAACCACGGGACCCCCTTCGAGCAACCTTATTCCTCCTAGACACGCCCAATCACGAACCTGGGCCTAGCCCAGGGCCAAATCTCGGCAGCTTCGGAGACAAGTCCGGCATGATAAGTCCAGCCAGCGATCTGAGGCCCTCCTCGGCAAGAAACAACCCCCCCCCCCTCCCCCAAATTACCGGACCCGCGGAGCATGGGCAAGAAGTGGCTCCTGGTGCTGGAATATGCCGTTCCGTTGCGCGGCAGGGAGACACTATATGCCGGAGGTAGCGCCGCGCCGCGCCAGTGCTTGTCTTGGAGATTCTGGAATTCGGGCGGCTTACAGCTTCCTCATTTGTTATTGTCCCCCCTGGACAGACAGGGAACGTTGACCCATCAAAGAAATATCTCCCCGAAAACAAGCAATCTCATCAAGGTGTCTTTCTCGGCAGGATCCGGCTTTTTGGCAGCAACGGGTGCAGCCGTGTCAAGCTTCATTTGTTGTTGACGCGGCTTCGCACACGGACCGTTGGTGGAATGGGAACTTCACGCCTTCGACCGAATTGTTGAAAGACGTTGATGCCCGACTCGTTCCCCCCAACTGGCACTTGAGTTACTAGGAAGTGACAGGAGTGTTCGCCCCCAAAACCCCTTCGCCCCCCTGCAAATGTGGCGCTACCGGTAGCAATGACAACGGGCAGGGATCGGGCCCGATGGCGATAATCATGAAGCAGGGTCAGATGGTCACCGTTGATCAAGATGCATGTCAACCCCGGACAGCTGCAGGCGGACCCATGCCACATGCGATATGCAAAGGCCGCTGCGGAATTCGGGATCGCGGGTGGGAGAGAGAACACAACACAAGCCCGGTCAGGGGTGGTCCCCAGGGGATTCGGGTGGGATGCCGAGGGCTGTTTGAGCCCGGAGACTTTGTTCTGAGAACGGGAGTGTCCGGTTAGAGTTCATTCAGAAAGGGGCAAAGGTGAAATTGGGCTTGTCAAGATTGGGGATTGAACAGTATGCTTCTGGAAACAGGTATGCAGGAAGACGACGCACGATGCAAAAGGGCTACTCGATTTAGGACAGGCTTCATGAACATGCATGCCTCTCGGAACGATGGCCATCCGGGAATTACCTGCCTGCCTTCAGGCACTTGCATGCTGCACAAGCAGGCCGAAATCTTCGATGGTCACAGCGGCACAGGCCTACTTAATTCGGCATAGGTCTACTTGGTTATAACGACCCCATCACCAGCGTCCAAGAGTAAAGGTGACTGACTGCATCTGCTCATGACGAATAACTTTGTTTGTCCATACTTAAGCCAAGAGAAAAAAAAAGGAAAAGAAAAGAAAGCTCGTTTCACCATGGCCTGGTCCCAATGTGATGTCATCGAGGTCAGACATGCCTCAAGAAGTCTCTCCAGCTTGGCGCCGTCCAACTCGTGCACGGCATATATGCTTCTACTTTTTGAAGGATCAATGACATGTCGATTTATCATTCTTCATCTTGTTTTCAGAGTAAGAAAGGATGAAAGAAAGAACCCGCGTACCGCTCGGCCTGTAAAAGAAGTAAATTGTCTTTTATTCACTATTTTCAACTCTTAGTTTGAAGGAATGGCAACCCAATGCCCTAGTCGATATCGTCGTCATTGGCACTAACCAGGATGAAAACTTTTGACTTTGCTACAGAGACACTCCTCGGTCCTCCTCGAATGTTGACAACGAGTTCATTTGTCTCATGATGCCCGCCCTTGGTCTTTATGTTTCTCGGGGATTTACGGGCCTGTGTACAACTGAAGAGCTCCGCCGCGTGGTTAACCTTTTAGCCAAAATCCAGGCCCAGAGCAAGTCTTGCTATCTCTTCTGTAACTAAGCTCGACTTCACGCACCATAGCTGCAGGCAGAGGAGATATGCCCAGCAAAGACTCGTTGCTCAATGCGCAGATGCGCACCCAACGAAGAAAAAGAAAAAAAGAAAAAAAAGCACCAAAATGTCCGGAGCCTACGACCAAGGGCCCAAGGAGCGGCGGGTGTAGAACGATGACCGTTGGCATCTCTGAACGAGAAAGCCCGGTGCGACCAGGCGTCTGCGCGGCCGTGAGACAAGACTATCCGTATCCCGGGTCTGGATGGATTCTCCCATCAAAATGTCTTCCGACCCTCCCACAAGACATCAGCCATAAGTCTTTCGATCCCACTCACGTTGACCGGTAAGAAAATTCAAAATCCAGTAGCCGAGTGATATCTGTTGCTTTGTGACATTTCTACCAGTTCTCGAGTCTTTTTCTTTTTGAAGAATCCATCTACGAATACTCGCTCAACGGGGACTTGTGACGACAAGCGCAACAACAACATCGACAAGGCAAGTTTCAGAATCCCAACCTATTTGCTTTTGCTCACAAACCACATTGCAAGCCCAGTGAAGGAGAGACAGAGAGAGATTTCACCGCCTCATGCTGCCAATAATCTCCCTTTGCGCTTCGCGGTCTCTCGCGCCCTCGCTGAGGCTGCCCGCACTGCGCAAATCTCCAACGACATCCTTGGCCTTGCCAAAGTAGACCTCCTGCAGCAGGTTGCGCATCTTGAGCTCCATGTCCTCGACGAGCTTGCCAATGTTGGCAATCTGCGCCTCGTCCGTCTCGGCGGGCAGCTCGATCTCGACCTGCCGCGTCATGTTGCCTGAGAGGTCCATCTCGCCCAGGACCTGCGAGGCGTTGCTGAGTGACAGGATGACGGTCGACGTCAGGTTGTACTGCGTGAAGCGCGCGCGGTCGATGGCCTCAAAGACGTGGATCGAGTCCCACGTGCCCTCGCCTGCGCTTCCGGGTGTGGCAACTTTGTGTTTTTCATGCATGGTCAGCGGGGGAAACCCTTGCAAGATCTCGTTGACGGGCAATTCCTCCCAAACCTTCATTTTGACCTCAATGGCGAGCTGGCCAGCTAGCCAGCCCGCCAACCCAGAAAAGCTCGACAAAATTACGAAGTCTGGAACTCACCTTTCTTGAGCAACACTACGCCCGCAAATCCATCGTCCAGGTTCCAAAAGTACACGCTGCTCACCCCACCCTCGTAGTAGAGCTCGCGGTACACATCAAACGCCTCGTTGGCCCGAACCTCCATCCTGCGAACCTTGTCGCTCGGCAGGCCCGACGCGTTGCCCTCTGCCCCGTCAGCCCCGTCCTCACCGTCTCCGCCGCTACCACCAGCGCCGCCGCCGCCGCCGCCGGCCACGCCCTCGAGCGGCGGGTCGAACTGGTTGCTCCAGGGCGAGCGGTAGCTGTCGCCGTCGCGGTTGTAGTCGCACAGGAGGTACTCGCGGCCCGTCTGCTTGCACCGGCGCACGGCGAGAGGCTGGTCTACGGACGAGAGCAGGTCTTCGGTCAGGTCGGGGGCCAGCTGGATCAGCGAGTTGAGGTGCTCGGACGTGTGCTTCGGGTTGAGCCGGCGCAGCAGGTCGAGCGCCGAGTCGAAGGGGTCGGTGGACGCCATTTGTGCTTGTTGTGGTGATGCTTGTATTCTCGTAACACGCTTGTCGGTCCGTATGGGGTTCACGTTGTTGCCGTATGTGGCCGCTTTGGCTGTGTCGGCTTGAGGCGGGCCGGGATCGAGGCGTCGGCTGCTTCACTCGAGGGCCCTGTCGTTCGACTTGGGGTGTTGTTGAGATAACAGGAAGGCTGTCCACGGTCAAGGAGATGTGAATGATCAGAGGTTGCGCTTTCAAGTCTCCTTGCAGCCACGTCGTGCCTGCACGTGTCGTTTTGTTGGAGAAATGGCTGAATGCTGCGTGGATGAGGGCCGGGGAATGCTTGTTGTGGTCGAGTCCCCCTCGAGCAGGCGCATCACCGCCGCGGGGTAAGCCCAGCCCCAGTGGAAGCTACTGCCGGCCGGACCCCTGAGTTCCAAGCGCCATGCCACTCGCGCGCCGGCCCAAGCTCCCTCTACGAGCTCGGAGCTCACCCTGATTGACACTGCAGCTTCACAAGGACAATCTGCCATGTCGAGGTAAAGACATTTTAGAAATTTCGAGGGCCCCCCAAAATACCACCAGCCAGCTATGTACAATTGCCCTACAGATATGAATAACGAAAGAATGCCCACCCAAAATAGTGCTTGCCTGCCATCCCGTGCTACAGCAAAGTCCATCAGTTCTCAACACGCCCTCTTCGACCTCGTTCCCCCAGGTGTATATACTGCTTGCTCCCCAAACCAACTCAGCCACCAAGTACAGCTATGCTTCACGCCAGTACGGCGCTTGCGACATCCCTTTCTTCGCCATCAACCTCGCCTCAGTTGCCGGGATCGTGGAGGATACCCATAGACCGAAACGTGCAACCACAATCGTCTGCACGCATGCGATGTGCGGACAAGCTTGGCGATTGATGCGCCTCGTGCAGCTAGCACAGCCGACATCCGCCGGGGCCTCTCCTAAAGCTGAGTCTTCGCAAAAACTGCGGGATATCATAAGTCATAACGCCAGGACAACGACTTGTTGTCAAACTGCTTCCCAGGTCCGGTCGGCTTCCTCCCTTTCTCGAAAACTGAGCGAGCCCACGAGATCCCGTCTACCGAACGTCTGGTCCACAGACCTCTATCGTCCTTGTCGTCTACGGCCCCAGCAAAACTCTGCCAACAGATGCTAGAGTTTCCTGGTTTAGTGGATTTGCTGGCCACAAACAAGGCAGTCCAGAGGCTCCGTCCACTCCTTGAGACCACCGGTCACTTCTTCCCGCAGATCAGTGATCTCGACAACTGGCGGGCTGACGTCATTTCTAATGATGGCGGAGAAATAACCTTCGTATGGTTTTGCCTTCTGGGCATCTGACTTGCGGCCGCGGCCTCTCTTCTTCGGTTCTGGCGCCTGTCCCGTGCGCTCCGCCTTGATAATGGGAAGCACGTTCTCGACATCGGCCATCTTGACGGTGTTTTGCTCCTCGGGCTTCACATCAATAGAAGGCTCCGCCGTTGGTGCTGCTCCCGACTCGCTGGGCGACAGAGGCCGGCGGCCAGTCTCATTTTCTTGCTCGTCCTTGACGGGCGCCGGCTTGTGAGGTTTGTTGGTTCCGAGGCGTGCGAAAGTGCGGAGGAGAGCTTCGTGGACCAGGCAATCGTCGTGCAGCCACTTGCGGCACTCCTCGTTGGTACAGCCAATGAGCTTTTTGTCGGGGTTTTCGGGACGGTTGCAGCGGCAACGTTCTTCGGCGGACTGTTATCAATACATGAGTCAGCAGCGTCTCAAAGGCAGGCAAGTTTCAGAGTCCTGTGCGAATGTGGATGGCATACCGAGAGGTCCATGGTTCGCACGTCAAAGGCCTGGCGCCAGTACAGAGCCGGCTGTACTTCATCTTCATTTGTCTCGTCCCACTGATGGACAGTTGCGCTTGCCGTGACACTGACGACGTTGATGACATCCACTGCAAAGTCGACGAATGTCAGCTATCCACGCAATACACACCAGTCTGGGCGCGCAAAAGTCCTTACTGTGATTGGAAGCGATGAGCTCATTGTTGCCGTGGTAAGGCTGTCTACCCTTGATGACCCTCTTTCCTTCTGTCGTGCCTGCCGGCAGCTCGTCAGGCCAGTACATCCAGTAGACGCGCGCATACACGTGATGCTCGTCCGCGGCGCGAATTTCGAGGATTCTTGCGACCCAGTCGTCGTCCGACTTCTTTCTAGGTTGACGGGACTCGCCGGGGTTCTTCTGGCGCTCAATAGTGTTGTCATTTGCGACGAAGACGAAGCCTTCGCTGTGGTACTTGACACCATTCACTACGCATCATCATGTTAGCATTGAGGCACGCGTTATCAGAGGACCAAGCAGCAGACATCACAAAGCATATTGAAACAAAGAGGGGCGGAGTGGGAGGGCGCGTACAAACGAAGCTGTTATATCTGGTCATGTCCATCCACTTGGCAAACGGAGCGATCTGGTAGTGGCGGTCCATGGTGTTGTCCTTGGCGTTGAACTTGCCGATCGGAGAGAACGGCGAGACCTGGAGGTGGATTTTCGGCGGAGGCGCGGGCCGATCCTCTGAACCGCCACGGCGGCGCTTTGTCTTCTTCTCCTTCTCGTTGGGATCGGGATGTATGACAGTGAACGGGCACTCGGCCACGTTTTCGGTGGACTCCTCCGGCCGAGGTCGCTTGCGAGCGGTGGCCATCGCTGCAGAATCGTATGTTGTTCAAACCTTGAAGATTGACGTGCTCCTTTGGCAAGAGCGTTACCTGTTTGTGATGCCGATATTCGCGCGTGGAAGTCGAGCGACGTGTCCGGGTCGCGTAGATGACTGAGGAGTACCGGTTGCGGATCTCGGACGGTTGAAGCTCAGCGCGATGTCTTGTAACGGGAAATAGAGCAAGCAGGCCAGGCAGCAGCAGAGTATCTGCAAGAAGGCAGGCAGCGCGCGTTGGAGCAGCGCGCAAGCTCGGAGGACGAGGTGGCAAGTGCTGCGAGGATGACGCAGCAGGAGCTACTACCAGATCCGCACCCAGAGAGCTGCGCTGGCGTGGCGCACGCGGCAGGCGCGATCCTGTCTCCGTCGAGCGACAAAAAGGAAGGATGCCGCCCACGACGATATGAGACTTGCAGCAGGCAAAGGAGATGGATGTCGGCTGCTATGCGCGGCGCAGGCGAGGGGAAAAGCTTGTAGAGGTGTGTGGGCTGGGGGTGGGCGGGTGATGCGGCCCGAGGAGCTGACTGACGCGCAGACGCGGACGCGCGCACGGGCTTTTGAGCAGGAGCGAAATATTCGAGCTGAGTCCTGAGGGAGCGACGAGGGCGCAGGTGTTGTCGCGATTGACAGACGCGATGATTGACACGGAGCGGCGCGCGGCGGCGATGAAGCGGTGGCGAGGGCGATCGCGCGGCCGTGAACTCTGGCGGCGACGGTGAGGCCTGCGTGCAGCGGCTTGGGCAAGGAGAAGAGGAGTGGATAAGGGCGAGGAAAAGTGGTGGTGGTGGTGGTGGTGGTGTTGTGTGGGCCGGCGGCCGGCGCGGCGCGTGCTCTGGCATCAGCTCGCTCGGGCTTGGGGGGCAGGCAGCACCTTCTAGCAACTCGACAAGCTGCAGCTCATCGGAATGGGGCTGGTCAGTGTCCTCGCTCGTGGCGGGCACCAACCAGCACAACACCACCTCCTCCTCCTCCTCCTCCAAAATCCCGGTGGCGGGGGAATCCTGTCAGCCAAGCCTCTGCTATGTACTGTACCCCACGCCATGCTGGCGGCCACCACCACCACCACCACCACCACAACCACCTACACACAGAGTCTCAATATAGGGACCACCAATGCGATACTGAAAAAGGATTATTTCGTCGTGACGACACAATGTCCCAATGATCATCAGCAAGGGGGTCCCTCCCCAGAGCTCGGCATAGCTGGCGGTTAGACCAAGCGCGTGCATCTCGTTGGTTATTACAAGGCACCCAACCAGTAGGCTATTACCCAGGATGCGCTGAGCCGTACACAATGCACGAGCCTGGCTTGTTTGTCAAGAATACCTGCACATTCCTTGAAACCAGCTCCAGGGCAATAAACGTGCTTGCTTCTGTTTGTTGGAACCTGCTTGATAGTCGGGGCTCCTCCATGCCTGATGCGGACAACAGTTGGGAGTACAGGGCTTGTGGCACAGATCACCAGCACGGTCATGAGCAGCAAACAAATTCTTATTATCAACATGCCATCAGGCGCTGCTGCAGGACACCTGGTGAGTTGGCACGCATTCAGCATCTGCATATGCGGTGCAACAAACGGTCCCAGCGCAATGCTCTACACCAGTTCTCGATGATCATGGTGTCGCTACCAGTGGCAAATATCGACCACGACTGTCTTCACCTTTGACTGTGATCCTCTGCGACCGTGCCATCATAGTCGGCAAGCATGCCTTGTCGCTCGCCATCCTCGTAGTGCGGTGTGCTGACGCCATCTTCCCCACGTTGCTTATATGCCTCGATGACCTCTGAGAGCTTCTCTCCATCTTTCTTGCCGCGCTCCACGTCGACGAAGTAGATGAATGGTGCGGGCAGGCCCACCAAAGCAAGGAGGAACCAGAACGCTGGACGGATCTCCCCTGACGCATCGATGATGGCGCCAACAATGGTAGGTCCAAAGACGCTCGAGCCTTTGTCTGTGATGGCATAGAGAGCATAAAATGCAGCCTCGGAACCGGGCGGGATAAGCTCACCGTACAGCGAGCGGCAGTAGGCACCGAGCCCGCCGAGGACGAAACCATAGACAGCGGCCAGTGGATACATCTCCCAGGGCTGCTGCAAGCCAATGACTTGCCACCGCTGGACAAATGGCAAATAACCCAAGAGGCCATAGAGAGGTATCAGCTCGAAGACTGCGATAATGCTCAAGAGGACCTGATGCGGTCTCAGCTTGAAATGTCTCGCGATGAACGACCAGCTGAAAGCGCCGACAACTCCAGTCGAGGTTGAGATGACGTTGATCAGGCCTAATGCCCCTGGCGTCATCTTCAAGTGCGTCTTGGCAAAAAGTACCGCTGTTCCGGATGTCGTTGCGACCGCATCTGAGAGCAAGAACCAGGCAGCCAGGAACAGCAGAATATCCTTGAGCCGCCCAGCGAGCTTGATGGTTCGAAACAGGTTCTTCCAAGAGTAGACTGCGTAGGTCAGCGCAGCCCTCGCCCCCTTCTTACCAGTATCCGCGAGTGGAGGACCTGGACGAGGACGCAGCCATAAAGCTGCGGGCGCCGTGAACGCTGCCCACCATGAGCCTATGAAGAAGAGGACCACACGCTGCGACCAAGTCGAACTGCCCAAAGCAACCAGCATCACGATCGACACACACTGAACAAAGAGCGCTGCACCGTATCCGATACCGATGCCCTGCGCTGAAATTCTGGTAGACAGCTGAAGCTCAATCGAAGTAAGCTCCTCGTGCGTTGGTGCACGCTGGAGCTCGTACATCTCGGACGCGTCTTGCGGTAATAGGTTCGAGGTCGAGTTCACCAGGCCAGATTCTGGCTGCGAGAATGACTGCCGGGGAGAGTGTGCCGTGATCTGCAGCCCGGGCACATTTGCTGCGCTGATTTTGACTGCTGATGCTCGCACTTGAGGGTGGTGACGAACAAGGAGCGGCAGGAAGGAATTCAGAAGGACAAAGGACGCCCCGAAGGCTGTGTTGGAGATGATGGCCAGGAGTGCGCCAAGCAGATAGACCTCCTTCGTGACAAAGATATAGGCCATGACGCAGGCACTTCCGATCCAGGCAAACAAGAGTAGAAGCCGCTTTCGGTAGTTGCCGTGGTCTGCAGCACAACTGATGGTGACGACGACGACGGCCTGCAGCAGCACGCTGATACTGAATGTGTACATGGCGAAACTGGCAGTGTTGATATCCACGCCCAACAACGACACTATACATTGACCCTGGTCTGAAGGGCCGATCCCTGGCTTTGAGCTATCGCCACATGGTGTTGTCCGATCGGACAAGAGGACGCCGTTTTCGCGTGCCAAGCTCTCGAGGAGGATCGGAATAAAGGATGCTGGCAACGGTTATATGTTAGCGAACTTCTGCCTGCTTGCATGTGTCCTGGCTGTCAAGGGGCGGTAACGAGTGTCACCGCAGAGTGCTGAAGGCGTCATCATGGTGGTCGTTCTCGTGTCGCATAAAACGGGGCAAGGCTTGCTGTCGACGACTGCATCAGAACATCGCTCTGGGCGACTTACAAATAGCTACAAGCAGAACAGATAGTTAGCGACAGTTTGAGCTCCACCTGTGCGAGGACAACTGATCCCAGGACATACCACAAATGACATAGGTCTCGGCAGCGAAGGCGTACATGTACCAGCCGGCGAGCTCCTTCTTGCTGGTTGGGCGGGTGTCTTCGCCTGGATAGCTGTGGCCCGGATGTGGCGGGCCGTGCCCGTCACCCTCTAAACTGTCGCGAGGACTCATTCTGTCAGAGTCCGTAGTGGTTGAGCGCTCATCGTCGGCTTCGAAGGACGAGTGCGACAGCAGCGATCGCTTCGTGGCGACGGATTGGACGGAGAGCAGGCGCGAAGGCGGTGGTGGAGGTCGGAAAGGATGTGGTGGCGGCTGGGGCTGTTCAGGCGGCATCGGGGACGCAGGCACACGCGCGCGTGCAGCGCACTGTCACGAGCCGCTTTGGGAGCTAGTTGTCTCAGCGCTTGTACCCTTTCAATGAAGGGTCGCACTCCCCAAGCCGGTTGCCCCGTTGCACGAGGAGACTAGGGCGTGGACCTGCAATCGCCCTGGGAGTCTTCGAACAGAATGCACGACTCTGCGAGCAGGCTTCCAGTGACGGTCGGCTGGCTGCGTGGTTCTTGCGCCACGACAGATGTGTCCGGCCGTGAAACGTGGTTGTCTTGAGGGCTCCGCCGCGCCGCTATGCAGTGCTGCAACTAACGGACGTACAGATCCACTGCTGGTGCTCGTGGGTTGTTGCCCCTTCGTCTGGGTGAATGGTTGAAGCCGCGCCTTCACGAGCTGCCGCAGACAATGGCAGAAACAAAGACCTAGAGGCCAAAGACAAGAGAAAAGGAGAGAAAGAGTAACGGGTGTCCTCTCTGGTAGCATCGTCAGTTCAACCAACCCCCCCTCCTCCTCCATGTGACGATGATCTTCTAGCGCGGCCTGTGGTCCCCTGTTCGCCGCCTATTCTCCCCCGGGGCCTGACGTCGAGGCATACGGGAAGCACGGCCCATCTGATGCCTGCCATGGCAGACTTCCGGTCTCTATTGAATGAATCGTGCTTCCACGACGATGGTGTGCTGGCTGTCTGCCGCCCAAGTCCATGCGAGGAGGGGCATCTGTGCTCGCTCTGCGCTGCAGTCCCTGATGGTGAGAGTAGGTTCGCCGGGCTTGGCCTGATGTTTTATCGATGAAGCTCACAACTGCAGATCCTCACCAGAAACTCCAACGCCGGCGGGATGATCGAACGAGGGGCCTGACATATGTCGGCCACGGAGGCCGGGACCACCGTCAGGACCATTACTATTAACGATAGAGGGCTCAAGCTGTGCCCGTCGGCAGAAGAGCGCGCAGATGGAGGATCGTCACTTGTCAGAGTTGGAGACGAGGAGAACGTGGGGAGAGACAACCACCAACTGACTCCGCTCAGTGCCCAAAGTGGAGATCGAGCAAGGTAAAGGGTCCCACTGGAACTCCTTGTATCCCCAGCGAACAAGGCCGTGGGCCCCGTGGGACAGTTTCGTTGCCGCTGCCAAAAGGGGGACCATTTATCTACACCGCTGTGACTGAGAGAATTGGCACTGGCACAGCCTGTTATATTTCGTCTTTATCTACCACAGAACAATGGTCTGTCGCCATGCTGTTGGACCTTGGTAGCATCGTTTTATTCCCGGGCTTTCTGTCCAACGACCTTTGACTCGACGAGAGGTGTGCTGGTTCAGAGCAGCTGCGGTGGCGGAGACAACCGCCTTGCAGACTACCCGTGACGTTCCGTCTCTTCAGGATTGCGCAAGGTTGCTTGACATGCGAGCACAGCCCGCAGTTTCCTCATGTCGCCAGCCTGATTCTGGCCGAGAAGATGAACAATTCGGATGCCACCGTCCTAAAAGGTTCATCCTACTCAAGCATCTCATATCGAGCGGGTGGTATCCACCATGATATTCCCAGCACGGCGTGTCTGGAAGCGCTCTCAAGGTTCTGAGAACAGCCGTTGAGCCGACAGAATAGCCTGCCAAGCCGACTGGGGGTGAAAACCCGAGATCCACCTGTCACTCTAGCTCCCGTCTGAGTTCAACGACGAGCACGCCGGCCGATCCTGCTGATAAGGCCCTTTTCCTTGCACAATCGCACCGCACGCGGCATCTCTAGGCGACCCGGGATTTGAGCGACGGCAGTCAAGACACTACTAATACCTTGCGGTATAAGTTGCAAGCGGTGCGGGGGCCAAGCCGGGTGGGAGCAGTTTGGGCTGAGGCTGAGAGGCAGCGCATGCAGCTCGACCAACGGCATGGCCTCATCTTATCAGTGGATGAGCAGCTGGAATTACGTCAGGCCCATTGCGCCGGGCACCCTGCCCTGCGGTTGGCCTTATCGCCCGTTCGAGCGACGACGTCGGAGCTCCAAGGCTGTCGAGAGTGCCTGCGCTGCCCTGGCAGATGCTGCTGGCCACGCCGTGCGTCATGACGCGCCGTGTGCCCGTTGCTGCAGCCGGTTCGTCGGCTGTGGGGGGATGACGCGGGCTGGGGTTTGCCGGCTGGGCTGTTCCCAGCATACAGTAGTTATGCGGTGGCAGAGTCTGGTTGACGGCAAGAGGCGAGGGCGTGGGCTTCTTGTTGCATGTGAGAAGGCCATAGAAGATTGCCCTAGCTGGAAGCTGCATGGCCGGCAATCGCGATTGGGAGGTCGACTTTAGCTTTGGGCGTGTACTTGTACCTGCTTCTTTCCCTCCTCGACGTCGTACGATCCCCATCGAGCTTCACACACGTCGTGCCTTCCCAGAAACGGACCACAGCACTCGAAGCCAACCTCTGGCCAGTTCCTCGCATTTCGTAAGTTGCACCCGCTCTTTTCCCAAGATGATGGACGCCCTCGAAGACAAGCGACATATCTCGGGCCAGAAACGTCGCAATACCTCTGCACAAGTGACTTTCTGCGCCAGGCAGCGCGCGCTGACATTCAGACCCGCCAACCAGTAGGCACTTTCGCGACACGCCCTAGCCAAAACGAACAGCAGTCAATCACCATGACGGCGCAACCAGAAGTCTCCCACGGCCGCGGCGGAGCCGGCAACATCAACCCCGACGCCACCGAGTACGTCGATGGCGGCATCACGCGGCAGGGCGTCGAGGGCCCGCACGGCGACGGCGCATTCAGCACGGGACGTGGAGGTGAGGCATTCACTTTTCTTCTACTTTCTTTTTTTCCCAGTTCCCATTGTCGTGTTGAGGGTGTCTGCAATAGGGTAGTAGTGATTGGTCGCAATCGCAATACGGACACGGCGTCGCAGAGGAAGAAATGCAGCCACCACGGGGGTTGGTTCATGTGTATCAATAATCCCCCTTCGCAAAGACCCTCCTCCTCCTACTGCACAATGGTCTTTCCATTTGTCTCCCCCTCATAAAAACACTCTTCAAATTATACAATCCACTAACATAAAAACCCCACAATCTCCGCAGGCGGCGGCAACATCGGCGACGCAGGCACGCCACCCGCCCCAGTCCGCGCAGACAAGGACGTCATCCCGGAAGCCGCCGTGCGCGCCTCCCTCGACAGCAACCACCACACGGGCCGCGGCGGCGCCGCCAACGTGCAGCTCACGGGCGCCGATGCAAAGGCGACCACGGCCTCCTCTGGCGGCAAGGTCCTGGACGGCCACCCGGAGTCGACGCCCGGCGGCGCCACCCACCACATCAGCCTCGCCGACAAGCTCAAGCACAAGCTCTTTGGCAAGAAGTGATTTTCTAGAGGGGGGCCGCTTGTGCCCCCCCGATAATCTAGACACAGGGCATGGCAGCAAGGGGGCTCAGAAGAGCGAATGAGTCATGATTAGGATACCCTAGATAGCTCGGAGACAGTAATGGAGCAGTACATGTTACACCGACCCAAACGAGAACAACAGGCCGTCATGAGTTCCGTATAAGTCGTAGCATGAGTGTCAAGGCGACAGTGCCGACATGTCATAACAATGGTCACTGCGGAGATGCTTTTTTGGCGAATAGGGTGAAATTTTGTTCTTTTGCAACTCGCTCAATCCCTGCCTGTTCCACGCCCGCAATTCGACCCTTTTCTACCACATAGGACTCCATCTTCTCGCAGACCGAAAACCAAGAAAAAAAATATTATGAAATACCGTGTGCTTCAAGACTTAACACACAAAGAAATGAGAAAACTTGGTCGCTCGAGCCGTCCCTGCGCCATCAACCAAGAAGACTCCCTCTATCCCTCAGGTAGGTCTGCATGCGAACCTCGATCGTGCCAAACCAACTCGCCACCCCCCGCTGAACACTCTTCAAGCGGGCGTGCCGTCTCTGCTAGCGCTGGGCCGCGCCTCTCTCTTACTCAAGAAGCTCCTGCGCATGCTGTTGCGTGGTGACTCCTGTTGGGTCTCGGCAAAGCTGCTGCGCAGGGCCACGGTACCGCTGCCCACCTTGATCGTCTTGTCGCCCGAGCCCGTCTCGTCGACGAAGAAAAGCGAGTGGCCAAGGTCATCATCGCTGCCGAAAGTGTGGTGTGCCTTGACATCGATGCGGAACTGCGTGTCGGGGGTGCAGTTGTGCGTAAAAGTCTCGTCAAATGTGACAACACCACTTGGGGACTCGTGGTGCTTGGTCTTGCCAATCACCTTCTCCTTGGGTGCCAACTGTCTGATGAGCACATATACATCAGAAGAAGGCGGGTAGTCAGACGTGGATACCACGGTGAATGTCGCAACTCCAGACCCAGGACCACCGGGCGCCAGGCTGTGAATAGACGACGCGCCGAGACTGGGAGACCGGTGATGCGCCTTGCCATTGGTCGCAGGTGCACTGACAGGCGATCCATTGGTGTCGGCCAGGCCAGTTGATCGCTTCAGCATCCCACCAGGAGCAGATGGTGGAGACGCGTCGGGCCCATTCGTGATGATGGTTGGGATATCTGCTGATGAGCTGCCAGGTGGTGTCAAGGCGCCGTTGGTCTCCTTGTCTTTCGAGCGGCCTGTGAAACCACGCTTGATGAAGCTGGCGCCCTTGCCAACGCCATGGCCGACTGCTCCCACACCTTTGATGGGTGCTCCTACAACGCCGGTGACAATTCGCCCAGGCACAGCAAAAGTGCCAGAGAAGGTGCCAGTACCCATGCGCTGGCGAGTGATGTAATCAGGGCGGAACAGGAGCCGCAGCTTGATCGTACCAGATTTGCCATCGAGGAGGAGTTTGACTTCTTTCGCCTTGAACGGATCAAGACTCTCAAGATTGAGGCCAGCTCCACCGAGGAAGTCGGGCTTGTCCGCAAAATCGTAATCATACACCTTGACCTGGAAGTTCGCTGCTGTTCTCGAAAGAATCGGTACCTCGAAGAACTCGTTCCACTCAGGGCTGAGAGTCTTCTTGATGGTCTTGGTCTTGAAGACTTCCTCGCCATTATACTCAAACTTGGCATACGGATCACTCTTGCCATTGCGGTCTGCGGCAGGGAGATCGGCTGCGCTGAGGACATCCACACGCAGATTGCCCATATTGTTGATGCTTTCGCTTGGATCCAGCTGCATCTCTACGGGGATGTACTTGAGGCTGACCTTGATACTGCATGGCCGGCCGTCTTCACCCTTCAGCTTGAGAACAGTCGGGTTGTTCTATTGCACGGTTAGCGTATACACCTTCGACATTTTATGTTACAACATGTGAGGCGACTTACCAAGCATTGCTTAAGGACTTCGGCTGTGTTGCCAGCTAAGCGTGCCACCGTGTGGTCCTCGTCTCTCTCCTCGCCAGGCTTCTCACGCTTCTCCCTGATCTTGAGCGTCAGCTTGGAGAAGTCCAATTCCCGGATGAAGCAATCGCCGAGCTCGTCAAACTTGAAGTTGCGAGTCTTCGCGCTGCCGGAGATGTAGGATGGGTACATCATGTCGTCAACGAAAATCTCCAAGTGTGTCCCGCTCTTCGGCAGCTCAGCCTCGAGCAAGTGGAAGATGAGAAAGCCGGATTCGTGCCTGAGCAGCTCCTCGGGCGAGAGATGGATCTTTGGCGGTTCTCTGACCGAATCTCGCGACTTGCGTCCGAACGTCGGCGATGTCGGTGTGGCGAGCTCCGAAGGATGGGAAGAAAGCGTGGGCGACCTTGCCTCCATTTTGCTATCAGTCCTGCTGAGACTGGACGAGAACTTGCCAGCTTCCGCTGACCTAGGAGCATCCAGCGATGCACGAGCAGGCTCTGCAGCAGGCTCTGCGGCAGGCTCTGCCGCTTCCTCCTCAGCCTTCTTCTCCTCGTCCTCGATATCGGCAATGTTCAAGCATGGATAGAAGGACACCGAGTACGAAAGAACACCCTTGGCGACTCCCTTTCCGTGCAGGCGCAGGCCCTCGTCACGGAGCTGTTTGTTCTCCTTAACCAGGTACCCGCCATCCTCGCCCTGGGAGATGTAATCACCAGCAAATATCTCAACCAGTCCCAGACTGCGGTCCTTGCCCATCTTCTCAGCATCCATGACATCCAACGTCAGTCTATCACGTGCCGAGTGCATGGGTACGTAGAGGACCTCATCCCACACGGGCTCCAGAGTGTTCCGGTGTGTAACAGTGCGCGCTTTCTCGATCCCGGACAGCAACACGCGGACATAAGGATCGGACTTGCCCATGGTCTCAAAGTTGCGAAGGTCGCGAGCGCTTTTGAAGTGAAGCCTCATGACACCGATTGGGGTCTGATAGCCGCCCGTATTAGCCAGTGCACCAGAAATGGCGACGGGCTTCCACTGTGCCGTAATCTTCGCGCGGCCCGTCTTGACACCACTCAAGTTGTACCACTCTTGGCCTCTCTCCATCATCTCGAGCATGTCGTCAAGCTTGATCTGGTATGTTCCCACGATCTGATCACCAGCAATATCGCGGTCGTCCTTGATGGCGAGACCGAGCTTGGCATGTTTCTTGTCTGTGATGAGGATCTCCTTTGAGCCGTTGTCCCAGATAGGGTTGTTTGTGCGCTTGAGCTTCTTGGTGCTGTGAACTTCCTTGCCGTTGAGTAAAAGGGAGGCATAGGGGTTGAGCTGACCGACCAAGCTCTTGGTGCCGTCCAAATCCTTTGCCTGCTCCACTGTATAGCGCAAGATACCAGTGTTCATCTCCGGAGCCGGTTCCAACTTGCCGTCTGGCAGTTTCTTGTCTTCAATAACGGGGAAGAATCGAACGTCGCACGAGAGAACGCCGCGTGCTTTGCCATTCGCCGTGACTTCGATACGCTGGCTCTCGTGCGCGTCGATATCCTCCAGGCGTTCCAGTGGGAAGGATGCGACACCCAGCTCCTTGTCCTTCCTGAACTCGTTAAAGTCGTACAGAATGACGTCCAACGAGTCGTTGAAGGAGCTGATGATGACATAGTGTGTCTCGTTCCACCGAGGGTCGTGGTTATCCTTAATGGTCTTGGTCTGCGCCAGGGGGCTGCGCTTGTTAAGCGTGACTACCGCATACGGGTCCACGCTGCCAGCCAAGTGATCCGGGTTCTTGAGACCTTGTGCGCCGTGCAAAGTGATCGCAACGACACCGATCGCCTGGTCGACAGGGGAACCAGCAAGCATCTTGGCGACCTCGATCGGAAAGACGTGCGGCGCATACATCATTGGAGCCAGGTTGCCATGAATTTGCTCCTGGATGAACTTCTCGAGGCCCGGGATGAAGTTGATGTCGAAACCAAACGTGTCGCCTCCGAGCGGCTTGCAGACGTAGTCGATAGTGGGGCGTTCGAGGAAGCACATCTCTACCCTCTCGATATGAGGGAAGGGGAACTGAAGCTTCACCTTGAGGCGCATGATGCCAGAGAAGGCAAAATCCTCGACAATAACATCCAGACCCTTGCTGATCATGGCCTTGCCAATACGAATCTCCAGGACAACCTTTGGGTTGATCCTGTTTGCAATCTGGCGCTTGGTCATGTCGGCCGTGTCGTTTGGCGTGAAGCTAAACTTCCAGTCCATCACGACCGTGTCGTCCTCGGCTTTAGGGTACGACTTGACGTGTTCCATCCTCGGCGGCTTTGAGCCGAGCGTAAAAGTCTTGAGCTTGAGGCTGTCGAGGAATGCAGGCGTCGCGGTGCTCAGAACCTGGTCGACCGAGTTGATGATGGTCTGGGCGAGTACAGGCTGGTAGATGGGCCAGAACTTGAGCATGAAGATGTTGATCCACTCGAGTGACTCGTGGTCGGTGTCGAGCTTCTTGAGTGCCATCTCCCGCACGACATCGTCACGGAAGTTGCGACGCACTCGCCTGATCGAGGTCCGGTAGTAGGTCGAGCAACCAGCCATGATGATCATGATCCAACCCAGGCCGCCTCCGAGAACGGCAATGAGCCACGAGAGAATGCAGGCGACCACGATGATGCCGGCGTTGTGGTACCAGTCCCCGTACAGGTGATCAGGCACCTTGGACTCGAGCCAGGTGGTGTGGTCGAGCATGCTCTCTCCGGCGAGGACGCTATCTTCGGGCCAGCCGAAGCGTGGTGACCAGCCCACCTTGGCTGCCAGGTCCTCTTCCTCCTGTGCAGCGTCACCGTCCTTGATGATATTGCCGTCCTCGTCCTTGGGAGCCACGAAGGCACCGGCCTTGGTTGGCTCCGGCAAGTCGTAGTCAACCTTGGGGCCACCATCTTGATCAGTGACAACAGCCACGCCTTGACGTTTTCGGGTGCCGCGTATGTCTTCTGGGATAGCCTGTGCAAGTCACATCCATAGTCAGCCAATTGCTACCCCTCCCCCTCCTCCTTCTATAAGTAGCTGGTGTTGCTCGAGAGACTTTTCAGTCCAAAAGGCCTACGTACAGCTCTGGCCTGCGCCCGTTTCTCTTCCGGGCTGGCATCAGGGTCGAAGGTGAAGGCAGCGACGCCGGCACTCTGGCTGTCCTCGACAAGTTTGCGCTGGGCGTCGTCGGCCGTGACGCTCGAGTTGGGGTCCATGGCTGCCTCGATGGCGCCCTGCTGCTTGAGCTCGTGGATCTGCTTTTCGGACGCCATGGCTGGTTGTGTGTAGCGCGGGTTTTCGATGCGATTGGTGGTGCAGCCACGCAGGGCTTCTGGTGGTCGGTCACCAACCAGCTCTCTCTAGCCCAACTGCTGCGGTGCAATTGGGACGTGGCACAGAGAAGTAGAGCTCCGCGAGCAGGCAATGCACCAACTACGAGCACGACAAGAACAATGGCGAGGTCGTGATGAGTAGGTGATTGGGGACAAAAGCACACGTGGACAAAGGAGAGGGTGAATGGGCCGGTTTGCGAGAGCCACGGATGCCGGCTATAGCGTTGCAGCAGGGGGACCAGGCTATGACGACAGTGAGGCAGGGCCCTGGGCGCACGACAAACCGGGCTTTTGGGGGGCAGGAAACAGTGGCCTACCAGCAAGCTTGTGAGAGAGCTTGGGCAGGGGTGGTGTTGCTCAAAGGTGGAGAGCTCCTTCTAGAGCTGCCTGAGCTGAGGGGGGACAAAGGGCGCTAGGCCCGCCGAGGAGGGGGCCAATGAAGACCCTGGCTCCTGGCCAAGTGCGGGACTATTGTGGTGCAGTGGGTGACGACGCCCATCGAGCTGTGCGCGGCCAAGAAATTGCAGACTGCAACGGGCAGCAGCCAAGGCTCCGCGCTCGAAATTGACCCGGAGCACGCATACTGAGGAGCAATTGCGAGCGAAATGGGGACGCCGGAAAAGGGGGCGGGCAACAGGCTGCACGGATCGGCTGTGTCGAACACCTGGGCTTTCGAGCTGAACAAGCAGCTGCAAAAACAGCGCGGCGGAGGCGCATCTGCCGGGGAGGCTGGTGCAGAGTATGGTCTGTCTCGCCCACTAGACTGGTCGCTAGCGTGTGTGCAACTAAACTCTAGAACCGACGAACCAGGGCCTCCCGCGTGTAAGACAAAGACCCGGAGAGCCAGCCACCTTGGTACAGTAGAATGGCCAGGAGGAGGGAGCGAGAGGACACGCGTGCAGATCGCACCGCCAAAGACGGCAACACAGGTGTCGTCCCACCAGCTGGAGTACTCCGTACATGGTGGAGGTTGACACCATGGGAATGCATTCCCTGCCTGCTGCTACATGCAGCTCTCTGCACAATGAACCGGTTTTGGCATCCCAATTGAGGCGTCTCGACCCCTCTGACTAGACCTATGATGATAGAGAATGTTGTGCTGAGGCCATATGGAGGCTCGTAGCAGGATGTTTCCCCAAATGCTCCCAACGGTGGATAGAGGCCCATCACAGCAACCTTGAATGCCTTTGCTCTCGATGCCACTTGGGGGCCACGCATACTATGGTACAGCTTACCACATGCAAGTCTCAGCTGGACATGCAGGATTGGCCAAAGTGGGCTGGAAAAATTATTGCGAATCCAGCAAATGCACAAGCAGAAACACCCCAGAGTCCCCGGCCATCCAACAAATCGAGAGCAGCCACCAGATCTCTCTCTCTCTCTCCCCCACACTCAACACCTGAACATGCAAATCGCACACGTCGCTGGCACAGCCTCCGCGCTGTCCGCCGCCGTCCCACCTAGCGGACGCTCACAATCTCTCCCACTCTCTTACACTATACATCCATAGTTCCAGATGTCCATACATCCCCATCCGAAGCGGATCTGTCTTACGGGAAGGACGAGGCCTGGGCAATACCGAGGGCTCTGACCTACCACGAGCTTCTGCCCAGGTAGTCCGGTCCAGTCCAGTCCCCCGCCATGAAGCCGATCTGGAACCCTGCCCTCGCACACACACACACACGCGAGATCAATGATCAACGATCTACGATCTACGACCGCCCCGTTTGCGGGGGCCGCTTGTGTGGTGGGCCATTTCCCATCGGTTGCCTCCCAGCTCCCATTCATGTTCCCAGTGCGTGCGCCCGCTACGGTGAGATGTCATTGCCATTGCCATCATTACAGTTATGTGTTTTTCCGTCACGTAAGCTCAATCGAGAGCCGTGTACCTGTATGTGGCGTGGCCGGCTACCCACCCACTGGGCAGGCTTTATTGTAGATCGCCTGCTGCCTGTCCTCCCCACGGATGAGGCAGGTATGACACAATCGCTGCCCGACGCAGCTCGGCCGGCACAAATTAAGGCGTGACACAACTTCATCTCTCTCAACATCAACAAAGTGATGCTTGCTATCGTGTCCTCTGCGCAAAGCATGCATGCTGTCCGTGCCGTGCGTGACAGTTGTACAGATGGTTGTCATGCAAGCATCACAAGCTCAGTCCTAATGTGATCTGGTAAAGTGCCTGGCAAGAGTTGCGAGATGTTCATTGTATAAAGTGAGATATGTACTGTCTGCAAACCCTCGTGGTTCAATATCCACAATCTATGGTCATATCCATAATTGTTTTTCCAAAAGACATCCAACGCCCGTCCTATAACTTCTTGTAATTCGGCACCACATCGTACTCGGCCATGTCTGCACTAGAGCAGCCGGTTGAAGGGTCGACCAACGCTTGAAATGTGTAATAATGAAAAAAGACATAAGAAAAGTCTCAGGGACTTTCGAATGATGCGTGGAGGAACTGGCTGCGCCAGAGAACAGGCACTCACGCCTTACCGGCATCACGGACGCGCCCCATGAAGGCATCATCGTGGCCCTTCTCCGAGATGATTGTTCGCTCAGTCAAAGCGTTTCGCAGCTCCGCGGGAGTGGAGCAACGCAGCAAGGCTATTTTCTTTTCGAGTACCAAAGCGACGGCTGCTCTGACAAGTATGGCGTCCCCTTCGAATGTGAACACGTCCCAAAGTCGTGTACACTCGTCGAGACTCAGGTGCTGCGTGAAGAGAGTGGTGAAGATTTCACCAAGATAGAGCTCAGGATCGAGGCTCAACTCGGTGTTCGTAAGGTGTCGATACAGCTGAGGCGCCTTCTTGGATATCATTTCCAGCACGAGGTTGTATGCGGATGATTTCGCCCCAGCATCAGAAGCTTGGAATGATAGAGGAATGGGTCGGTTGAGCGTGTTCGCCAAAGCCATAAAGGCAACAGCGGGCGAAGGGAGGTTGAGCAAGAGAATCGCTGCAACAGCCTATGATTTGTTTTGTTAGCATTCTCTCTGGGGAGCTCTTTGGGTTTTACTCAATACTTACACTACATCCATCGAGGTACCCAATATCGCTGCGGTACATGGCATACGCTCGAAGGACGTTGACCAAGCTCTCGTGCAATGGGCCGGTCCGCTGGAAAATCTTGAGATCGGTCCAGGTCTTGTCCTCTACATCGGCCCGGATGCGGGTGAACCAAGCCGCACGACGTTCGTCCTCGACGGTAGCTTTTCCAGCGGCGACTCGCTCCTCGACTTCGCAGGCTCGTGCCAATGCTGCCTCATATGATGACTCGGACAAACTCAGCTCGTTGCCGATTGCTCGCGTCCAGACTGTGCCTCTGTAGCGAGGAGCAATGCCCTTCCACCACAGCTCCCTGGCGGACCGCTCGCGAATCGCAGCATCCCACCGGTTCAGTACATTGACCTCCCAAATGCGGATGAGCTCGTTTGCATCGTTATCCTTCTTCTCCTCTTTCTGCTTTCGCAGCGCCTCGCGCTTCTTCTCAGCCTCGAGGCTGGTCACCATCATTCTCTGGTATTCCTTGATATGCTTCTTCTCTTCCGCCGGATCTTTCGGTGGCAACCATGACGGCCTGGTACGCGAGAGAACTGCCTCCTTCTCCTTGGAGATGGGCAATGGGTCGATCATAATATTGGTCCGCCGGAGAGGCGGAAGCTCTGCAAGAGCAGACTTGACTCTGGGCTTGGGGCTGATTCGTTTTGGGCCGGATTCTGACGTCTTGTTTGCCATTTCGTCGGCGTATTCCTCCAGCTTATCTGTCAGAGATTTCGCCTCACTGTTCAGATACGACGCAGCAGCAGACCAGCTCTTGGCACGGCCCTGTCCTGAGGTTGAGCCGCTAGATTTCGAGCTGTTCACCGAGATATCGGACTTCCATGATGGCGAGCGCAAAGACCCGCTGGCCACGGCTACTGCTGGTGTACCATTGCCTATACTGCGGACTCGCTCTTTCGGCGATCGCTCAGGGGATCTCTGCGGAGAAGGGGTGGCCGAGCTGGCGCGGCTTGATGCTCTCTCGGTCGCCGGGCGTGGTGAGAGAGGCACGTTGTCAAGTATGAATCCGTCCGGAATGTTGTCGTCGTCATCGTCGTCGCACTCCCGCTCGAGCTCTTGTGCAGTCTTGCGATCCTGATGAGGTTGCCAGCTCCTTCGTCGAGTGGGCATTACCGTCTGCGGGTTCGAAGGGCTGACCGAACGCGGTGCAACGTTGGGACTCGGACTGCGCCGGCGATGGTGTACGCTGAGGCTGGAGGACCGGATGGCAAGTCCGCGGTTGGCGTTCGGGCCGCGGAAGAGATCGGGCCCAATCCCTCCTGTCAGTCCATGTGTGCTGGTGTCGCGAAAATGGGTCTGTGTGGCAGCAAACGGAGGTCGCGTCTTGGGGGTAGAGGTGATGTCTCGATGAGAGCGCGGCCTTGCCAGCTCGCGTGTCTGTGCATGAGGATGTTGCTTGTGGGAAGAGTGCCGTGTGGCATTGGCTCGAACTTCTGCAGCGAGTGGCGACATGTAGGAATGGGCTGGCGGACTGGCTTTTGAGGCAGGTAACTCGCGGCCATAAGCGGACGAGAGCGTGATGGTGTCGTCATCTAGTCCGATCTCTTCAAAGTGTGCACCGTCGGCGAGGACACTATTGTCGTCGTCGGATGCGAAAGACTGCACCGAGGATGCGACTGATGTCTTTGAGGAAGACATGCCAGGCGGTGAACCTGGGCCTGGGGAGGAAAGATCGACCCCTTCGTATGTGCTCACACAGGTGCTCATGATCGCATGATATGATTATGGTCAAGATATTAGGGCTCGTCCGGTCAGGGAAGCCGAGTCTCGAATGGACTATCGGGCGGTGGTGCTTTTCGTTGTTTTGGAGTTTGACAACTCGGTCTCTGCCAGCTTTTGTGGTGGCACAGAACAAGAACGCTCGGGCAGCGAGCTAGTTTTGGTGATCTGACGGTCCGTGATCGAGCCGCTCTGGCGTCCTTGGTGGAGTTGACTAGTTTGCGGTGAGCAAATGTTGATCCGGCAGCGCCGTAGGTAGTGATTCCCAAAAGGCACGGCACTTGCGATCTTTGATAGCTGAACAAGCGCGGCGGAGAGTGACTGGTCGACTGGGCTACCAAGTGTCTCACGATCCTGGTATCCAGGACCCCTGGGACGTGTTAAGCGTGGTAACGTGGGCGGAGCTGCAGATAGAAACTGCAAAGAGGCGGCTCTGGACCCTGGGGACGGCAGATCAGGAGTCCGGAAGTGTTTGAGGGATCAGACGTTTCTTATGAAGGCCAAGTACCGAGGTGTTCTGCTTGCGTGGAGATGTCGTGCTTATCGGCCGACGTCTTGTGTGTATGTGGTCAAGTAGTATTATTTGGGACGATATTAGGTTTTACTGCGGCACAAGGGTCTGGCGCCCAGAATCTGCGGCGTGCTAGGTACGTGGGATTATCGTGGACCGCTCGAGGATGTTTGCGGCAGTGCTGCTGCTGATACAACTGCCGGCGAGCAAGCTGGAAAGAATGGGAGTCGCGTGGACAAGAGTGTAAAAATGGGTGAAGGAGCGTATGGAAGGGTGGGAGCCGGAGACTCTGGGGAAGACGGATCAAAAGCTGGAATGGAAAAATGAAGGGACAGGACTCATGATGGAGCACAATGGATCGCGCAATAGAGCTAAGGTAGGCTGTACAGTGCAATGCCAGCAACCCCCCGAGGAAGCTAAAAGAAAGGGCCAGCTATAATTGGCGAGGCATCAGGGATGGACGACGACGACAGAGGGAGGAAAAACCGGCTTGCCGGGCGTGGGTCATGATGGGTTGATGATGACCACTGTGCTGCTGCTGGCCGTCAGTGCCAGGCACGCTGGCGACTGCACCACCAGCCAGGCTTGGCCTGCCCAGGAAATAATCACTGCTGCGAGAGGGTGTGCAAAGGAGCAGGACAGGCAGGGATCGCCGCGAGGCCAGAGGACCAATCGAGATTGCGTGCCGGGGCCCGGTGGCGTGTGTGTAGTGCCTGGCACTGCATGGGCGCCTTTTTATTCGCCTGCCCCTGTAGATCCATGCACTACCCTGCCACCCGCCGGCTTGCACAGGGGCCCACGCGGCGTGGCTCTAGCCTCCTGGCCAGCAGTCCTCCCTCCTTCCAAGTCATCCCTCGCGCCCGCAGCGACAATGCCTTGGACGTCCACCCCTGAGTTGGCTGAAACCCTCGAAACGGCCAGCGCGGAGCCGTCGTCGAGGCTGCAGCTCGTCCGTCAAGCAAACTCTGTTCCTCAACGGCGCGGAGCAACACGCAGACCCCGCCGCCGCCCCCCGCAAGCTGCTCGTCAGTGCCAGCCTGCCATCGACTTGCAACGAATGCTATGCTCTGTGGCAGGTACAGTTGCAGCGGTACGACAGAGCGCTGACTTGCACGGCAGATGGCGAGACAACGACGGCTGTGCCTCGGAGCGACATGTTGGCCACGGCACACACCGACATCTCGATCAACTGCGTCGACAATAGCGTGCGGCGTTGGTGCCCGGCTGTCCATAAAGGCTAATCCAAGAAATTTTGCAGATGGGGTTCTTTCCGGTTCCTGTGCAGACTGCGTTATCTTAGCCTCTTCTTCCACGAAAACCGGGCTTTGGCGGCCACACCAGTCGAAGCCACTGACGTGCACCAGGCCTCCGCGTCGTAATCGGTCGCCCATTCCCATGCGGTCTACCCCCACTGCATCACCCATCGCAAAATGAAAAACCCCCGCTGCCAACATCAGGGATGGGTCTCCTCTTCCAACCTGTGGGATCCTGAACGGGCCGGTGTCTAGACCGCTGTCGTTCCGACTCATGCGGGCGGTGTGCGGAGAAGGAGCAGCAAACGGCCTCACATGGAATGATTCACTCGAGAACAGTCGCCATGTGGTGACAATGTCACTTGTCCGACGTGGTGGTTTGACTGTATGGAAATTGGCTAGCTGCACCAAGACATGCCTTCCTCCCATTGCTCGGAAGGTCAGCAGTCAATCAGCCAGGTCAGCGCTACCGGCGTTCATATCTCTCGTTTGGCCTGGCTACTGGGTGTTTTGCCTTGTGCAATCACTCCAGGGGGAGGCCATGACAACCAATCACACAGCCTTGCCAACCACAATGCAAGCGCGGAAATTGTTCTCCATTCCTGGCATGGGCAAGCTTGACCTCACTGACAGGCATACTGCACTGTCCCTTGCCTTGCCGAGCATTGTTTATGCAGCGATCAATCACAGTGCTCTCTGCACGATGGCGACGGCGGAGGCAGGGACGTTGCATTCACACATGGCTGCTTTATGTTTTGCACCATCTTTTTTCCTGCCTGAGAGAGGCACTAGTACACATGCATGCAATGCCGCATAACTTCTCAAATCGTATAGTGGCTCCATCAGGAACCCTCAAGGAATATGTAGGAGTCAGCACTAATGGCATGGCTTCACATCAGCGATGATGATTTACAGTTCCGGGAATAGTTCTGACCAGAGCTCCATTCCTCTACGAAGCTCGAGCCTGCCTCCGGCCTGGCGAGCTGTACCTTGGCCGCCCCACGAACCCGCAAGCCGCACTGCCTTTGAACTCTGGGCCAGTTGCTCCTCTCCCAGCCTCTGCCTCCGAACGATGGCTGGACTCTCGCGAGCACAGCCTGTCCAGGGCTGAGCACGCGACCAAAAGTGCGATTTCCATGTCGTCTGCACGCCACATGCCACTAGCGAGGCTGAACTAGAGCTGCAAGCCACCTGTCTGATTCCACAACTCCGTGAAACCCTATTGTTTGATGCCATGGGTTTCAGCACATTTCGAGAATAGCCGCGCCCACGTGCTGGTGTCACGAGTTGCCGCCACGTCCAAAAGATACATGATATAGTCGGAGAGCGTCTCAAAGGAGTAAAAGCACACAGGCTCACAATCAGGTCGCCTAAGATGGCCGGCCAATTCAGGTGGGCTGGATAATAATGGTCGCATGTTCTGCAGCCCTTGCCTGTCGTGAGGCGAACCCCGGATGGCCAATCATTCAAGGGCAGTGCAGTGGTTTCGAGTAGAGCGCGGCGCCTGGGGCGATGGCGCGCTTGTCTGACCTTGCCCTGTCAGAGGTCAGGTCATGTGTCATGTCAGCAACCGCATGCACTCGGATGATGGACCAGGCTTCACAAGTTGGTAATGAGGCTGTAATAGGTCTGTAACCCGACCCAACGAAATGCCAACAGTCCAGGTCGAGGCTTCAAGCTTGGCACCACTGTGCAGCTTATAACCACAAGAGTTCACCCCCTGAGGTCGAATGCCAGATTTTAGAATCGTAGAAAGTCATTTCTTTTGTACTTAGCCAGGCTTCGATGCAGCAGTCGAGATGACACAAGATACCAGTCGTGATTTAGGCCATTCTTTCTCCCCCTCAAGGCCGTTTTACTCGTCGTGGAATTCGTGCTGCTGATGCGTTTCCCTTTCAAAGGAGGTCGTGAGACTTGGCAGCTTCCCAAATTCGTTGCCGTTGCCACATATAACGCCATCTCCTGCCAATTTTTTGCCAGTAACCCCTTCTGCCTCCCCACAAGTCGCTCGGTCCCAATGATTAGTGCTCCTACGACAAGAGGCGAAATCACGCAACAATCTCCTCGGTCTCCTCCAGCACTTCCTCCACAAGCTCCTCGATGACTTGCGCCTCGCCTTCCTCGGGCGTCTTCTCGGCCTCCGGCGTCTCCTTCTCCGGCAGGCCAAGAGCGAGGCGGTCCTCTGCGAGCTCCTCCTCGACCGATGCACGCCACGCGAGCCACTCGTCGAGGATACGTCTCCTCTCCTCGACGACGGCCAAGTCGGCCGAGGCACCACGCTCGGCATCCTCCTGCTCGAAGATCTTCGAGTACTCACGCAGGTTCTTGCGGACCTGCTTCTGCTCGTCCTTGGTCAGAAGCGTGGCGGGGCGAGGCCGCCACAGCCACTGCTTGAACTTCTCGACGAGCTCCTCGCGAAGCTGCTCGCCGCGGAAATCGTACAGGTGGTAGCCGTTTTCCATCTGTTCTTCTTGTTAGTTGGGACGTGACGCGAAACGCCCTTTTGGGTGAGCGCATGAACTTACAGAGTGCTTCCACGCCGACGCCCACGATGCAACAAAACGACCTGAAGGGTCCCACTGAAGATCTGTGACGCCGTAGTGGTCGGCTGTGTTGAGGAGCTGCAGGCACGCTGTGAGATCCTTCTCTTCCTGGGGCTTTTCGCCCTCAAAGTCGAGGTCGAAGAAGTCAAGATCTGAGCTTTGTGTGTTGGCAATGGTGGCAATGACAACAAATCGTCCCTTGGGCGACCAGTAGATCGAGTTGCTGTTCTTCTTGTCAAGTGTCCGCAAGTGCTTGAAGTTGCCGGCGACGGGACCCTTGGCCTTCTCCGGGCAGAAGAAGGAGACGGCGGTCTTGGGGGGGACTGCTGTAGCGCCAACAGGCTCAGTGGTGGAGATGATCGCGAAACGATCGCCCTTGGGCTCCCAGGCAAAGTTGATGACTGTGTCCTTGATGACATCGACAACCTCGACGGGAACACCCTTCTCCTTGACGCGGAAGATCTCTAATGTGGTGGCGAGAGACTTCTTCGACTTGGAATGTCTGTCAACCTTGACGGCAAGGTAGCTACCCTCAGACTGCCAGTGCAGCTTCGCATCCGTGACACTGAAGAGGTTGAGGGACCGGACGACCTGCTTCGACGGTATGCTCATAAGACCGACTCTGGCAGGGTTGCTTCCCATCTCGGGTGTCCAGAAGCAGAAAAGTTGTTCGTACTCCTTGACTCCGTCTCTCTTGACAGTGGCAGGCGCCCACTCAAAGTCGACAACACCATCGAGCTTGATTGTCGTCTTGTCAAGCAGGTTCATCTTGGGGAGCTCATATACGGAGATGGATTGACCACCAGTCAGACGGGCGACGTACTTGTCGTCTGCCGACCATTTGAAAGCAGGCCAGGGAGACTTGGGGCCCACCTTGGGAGCGTTCGGATCGGAGGGGTCAGGCAGGTCCAGGTTGGCGAAAGAACGAAGAGGCTTGCCAGTCTCGACATCCCAAATGACGTAGTTCTTGCCGTCGTCGTAGGCGGACAATTGAGGGTGGCCCTCGTCGGGAACAGAGATGGGACGGTTCGACCATGTAACGACGTACTTCTCGTTGGGCGAGAACTCCAACATGTTGACAAAGGAGTGGGCGAATCTCTTCTGGCGGGACCAAGAGGCACCTCCCCAGAGTTGCACACCCTGCGCGTGAACCGAGACCAGAAAAGTGCCAAGAGGTGACCACTGCACAAAGCTCTCGGTCCAGTGTTGTCTGTCGACAATGTTCTCGGGTGTATCCTTCTCGTTGTTCCAGAAAACGCCGACCGACTCGCCTCTGTACATCGCAAACTGATCGCGACCGCGACCGCTGGGGTCGGCAAGGAAAGACCTCAAGTGCTCCTTCTCCTTGAACTCTTCAATGACGGGCGGGACGTACTCGTCGTTGACCTTGCCCTCGCGGCCGTAGCGGTCGACATCGGTCATCTTGTTGACGCGCAGGGTGTGCTTCTTGTCGAGGGGGGTTTGGTCGAGGCCCCTGACCGCGGCGGCGGCTTCGGCGGGCGAGCTGTACTCGACAAAGGCAAAGCGCAGGGACTTTCCATCCTCACCCATGGGCATGAAGATGAGTTCCTCCTTTGTCCGGCCGACAGAGTTGAGCTTCTTGAGGAGGAACTTGACAAGCTTGGGCTTCTGCTCCTCGTTGACTTCAGGGAGGCCGTCGATGACGACAAAGGCATCGTAGCCTTGCTCGAGCGAGACTTCGTACTTCTCGCGGAGATCCGAGACGTCGATCTCATCCTCATCGTAGTCATCCTCGTCGACCTCTGCGTCGCGCAGGGTATCGAAAGACGGAGCCATGCTGGGTGGTTGGGTTGTGTTTAGGTGTGTCTTCGATGCTTTGGGTTGCGCACTTGTCGATGTATTGTTGATTGCGACCTGTCCTTCAGCGATTAGACAGACTCTTCAAACCCAGCGTGAAGGAGCAAGTGGTTGCACCCGAGGGGTCGTGCTTGGTAGGATATGATTTATTGGGCTGGGACGTGTGTGGAGTGTACAAAAAATGCCCCGCCTTTTGCAGCAAAGGACAAAGTCTCAACCTGCCCTCGTCCTTTGCGCAGCAGGCCATACTTGCGTCGGCAGATCGCGATGAGACCTACCTCGTGAGAGTTGACGACGCGCTGGGTAGTCAACAGGTTGTTACGGGCGCGATACTGGCGGGAAGCAGATGCTGGAGCAGCGACAGCGTCTTCGGCAGGCGTGGAGCGGCGGCGTGGTCGAGCACAGGTAGGTGGCCGCCAAACATTTGACAATTTTCCCAAGTTTCGGCCGCCTCAGAATGTGTGCGATGGGAAAAAGCGGGCTCTCTCGCTTGGTGATTGGCTGGACTGGCCCAGCATTCCACCTCTTCCCGCTCGAGGGGCAGCACTCGCCCAGGTGGAGCGGCCCTGGGAGCGTATGGCTGGCTAGCTGAGTCATCCTGCACAGCTGTGCAGCCGCCTACGCCAGCTGGCGCTGTTTGTGATAAGCTCTCGATAAGGGGCGCCGGGCTCTGGTGCCTGGAAAAAAAGTTGACAGCGGCCTGAGCAGGACAACGCCGGAGGGGAGGTCCAGTCAGGGTCCCCACCATGCACTAGCAGCCGCCCGCGTTAATCACACCTCCTGTAGAGGGGCACCCAGAACAATAGCAGTGCTGCTTGCTGCGATAGCCCGCCGCCAGACCTCCCTGTCCCACGACGAAGCACAACGACGAGCGACGCCAGGCTCCAGAAGACATCCGATCAACGAAGAGACACTGCATCGTTGCCCATCATGGTCTGTCCGTTCCTTCTCCATACCACTGGAATGGAGCTACTGCTTCTGGAACCCCCTGCTGACCAAGGATATGTCTGTAGTCCTTCAACCCGACCCAGATCTTCGAGGAGGGAACCACGGAGGAGAAGGGTGAGAATGCCCGTCTCGCCGCTTTCATCGGTGCCATTGCTGTTGGCGATCTCGTCAAGAGTACCCTCGGCCCCAAGGGAATGGACAAGATCCTCCAGTCTGCGTACGTCTCGTCACGATCCGAAAGCTCCGCCTACCCGATACTTGCAGACCCCTATTTGGGCTCCCGTGTCCATATCTTGCTGACAACTCCTCTTGCCTGCCAACAGATCTACGGCTGAGATTATGGTGACCAACGACGGTGCTACCATTCTCAAATCGATCGCTCTCGACAACGCCGCCGCCAAGGTTCTCGTCAACATTTCCAAGGTTCAGGACGACGAGGTCGGAGATGGCACCACTTCCGTCACGGTTCTCGCTGCTGAGCTGCTTCGCGAGGCCGAGAAGCTTGTCAATCTCAAGATCCACCCCCAGACTATCATCGAAGGTTACCGGATAGCGAGCCGTGCGGCCCTGGACGCGCTTGAACAGTCCGCTGTCGACCACAGCAAGGACCCCGAAGCTTTCAAGAAGGACCTTCTTGCCATCGCGCGGACAACCCTTAGCTCCAAGGTCTTGTCGCAAGACCGTGACCTCTTCTCGAAGCTTGCCGTCGAGGCCGTACTGCGCCTCAAGGGTTCTTCCGATCTCAGCCACATTCAGATTATCAAGAAGGCCGGAGGCAAGCTGAGCGACTCCTACCTCGACGAGGGCTTCATCCTCGACAAGAAGATTGGTGTCAACCAGCCCAAGCGACTTGAGAAGGCCAAGATTCTTGTTGCAAACACATCGATGGACACAGACAAGATCAAGATCTTTGGTGCTCGCGTCAAGGTTGGCTCCACGAGCAAGCTCGCTGAGCTTGAGAGGGCCGAGAAGGACAAGATGAAGGCCAAGGTTGAAAAGATCAAGGCCCACGGTATCAACTGCTTCATCAACAGGCAACTCATCTACAACTGGCCTGAGCAGCTGTTCACCGATGCTGGCATCATGTCTATCGAGCACGCCGACTTCGATGGCATCGAGCGCCTGGCGCTGGTTACTGGCGGCGAGATCGCCTCCACTTTCGACCATCCCGACCAGGTCAAGCTCGGTCACTGCGACGTCATCGAGGAGGTCATTATCGGAGAGGACACGCTCATCAAGTTTTCCGGCGTTGCAGCTGGCCAAGCTTGCACCGTTGTCCTCCGTGGTGCTACGGATCAGCTCCTCGACGAGGCTGAGCGCTCGCTGCACGATGCGCTTGCCGTTCTCTCTCAAACCGTCAAGGAGCCTAGAACGACACTGGGAGGTGGCTGTGCTGAGATGGTCATGGCCAAGGCCGTCGAGGCTGCCGCTACCCGTGTCGAGGGCAAGAAGCAGATTGCTGTCTCCTCGTTTGCCGCTGCTCTTCGTCAGCTGCCAACCATTCTTGCCGACAATGCCGGCCTCGATTCCAGCGAGCTTGTCGCCAGGCTTCGCAAGGCCATTTACGACGGCTTGTCCACATATGGTCTCGACCTCATGACCCCAGGTGGTGGCATTATCGACATGCGTGATATGGGTGTAATCGAGAGCTACAAGCTCAAGAAGGCAGTCGTCTCGTCTGCAAGCGAAGCCGCAGAGGTACGTCGTATTCCACTTGGATTTCCGATGTTCTGCCACTTGCTAACAAAGCTTTACAGCTCCTGCTTAGAGTCGACGACATTATCCGCGCTGCGCCCCGGAGGAGAGAGAGACATTAGAAGTGACGAGCACAAAAGGTGGAATTCGATTGAAGGTCTGGCATTTACTACCATGATACCATAGAATAGCCATATCTAAATCGAGATGGTCGAGAAGCACGCACGAACGCCTCCGATACTGTGACATTTGCTCTCGAAATCTTCTTTTGTCAGAGCTTCGCAATGCTCAAAGATCGATTTAATTTCACATCGAGCCACCATTGTTTGCTCCACGCAAGTCATGGTAGCCCACCCCGGACTTCCTGTTGAGAAGTGGAAATACAAGGGAACGCCGCATCCGATATTTGTCAAGTCCCCACATTTGCGTCAACTGCAATGCATCAGATGGCTCCATCGTAGAAAGTGATTTGAAACCGTCCATTGACAGAGTCAATGACTGGGTTGACCTCGTTGGTCAGGTAGACGTTCCAGCTGCACAAGCACAGATTCAGCTAACAGCTTGGCATTCGCAACATCATGTCGTTAGGTTCGGAGGCGGGACTGTGACTTACGGATCAAGGAACTCTGACTGCCATGCCCATGCGGCATAGTTGGCATCAAGCCCGATGATCTTGTCGAGGCACCATGTGCCGCTAGACTTCTGTGCCCATGCACCCCGCGGCGCACTTTCCAGCAGGTCAAACGTGAAGCCTTTGGCGTTGTGGAAGCCGTCCATGGACTGGATCATTGCAGCGCCGTCATTGCCTTCAAGCAATGATATGTCGCCATAGACCATGCCGTCTGAAGTAAAGGCGACCTCGACCCATGTGCCGAGCATGTGTTTGTGCCCGTCAAAGTAGCTCCAATCTCCGCGCACGACGCGACCTTCGAAAGTAGGGCAGACTGTGATGAATGCAGAGGACCAAGGTGGGATCCATTGGATTTGGCCCGTCAGCAAATGAGCCTCGGTGCGTCTTCGGCCTTGGGACTCACAATTACGAACTTGTACGGCACGAGGTCGTGGTTGCTCTCGTACAGCAAGAACATTGTTCCACCGATGCCGCTATGAGGGTATGGGTCGTAGTTCCAGATGAGCAAGCCGGGTCCGCCATTGTCGTGGTCGCCATCTACGATATTGTCAGTCAAGAACTTCGTGTTCTGTGTTTTTCAATTCTGTTCTCGGTGGCAGCCTATAGGTCGACCGTACATGTAAAGATTGGAATTTCAGTCTCGTTGCGGCAAAAGACTTGGATGTGCTCCGGCTGAGGTGGCAGGATGCTAGTGTGAAGCGGGGAGGCAGGCACGCCGAGCGTCATGACGCCGGGAGCTGCTGCCAGACCTGCGATGGCCGTCGAGATGAAAGTCGAAAGGCTGATTGTAGTCATTGCTGGAGATTGCGCGGTTGGCTTTTGTGTAAAGTGCATTCTCAGAGCCTAATAACTTTCGGCGACGGGACCGGCTGCGTGCTAGGGGAGTTTTACGTCGTGGGTGCCGTTACTAAAGGCGGAGTGTTTGAGGGATGATCACAACCGTGTCAAATCGAGTAGACGCCGGAATGATATTGCTTTTGATGGCTGGGCGATGTCAAGCAAGTTGCATGCCCTTCTGTGGCCAGGCTTGTGCAAACGGACGTTTTTGGGTAGTGACACCAACAACCATCGCGCCTCCCTCGTTGCACGCGTACCTGAGGCAGTCACATTGGGACGTCTTCTCGCTGATCATCACAGCGTCGACCATGATGTAAAAAGGCCATGATGTTGAAAATACTCTGCACAACACCATGTCTTCCGGCAATCCAGTAGTAGTTACAGACGTGGAGACAAATGTTGCAACCACGACCCACGGCGTTCACACTAAGCTGAAAGCAAGTTGACGACGGCATCTACACCGATACAGGAGATACTTCCTGTTCTTACGCACAAATAATTCAGACAAGTAACCAATGCAGCTACGCACAAGAATTGACAACGTGCCAATCCTCCTGGAATAGCGGCACATACGAAGTTCGAGTGGTGCGCCGGCACACTAAACTGTGAGGACTTGGTCACAATGCAATCCTTCCAGACAGCAGAAGGAGGGTGGCGCTTCCGACAGCTACATTTTATTTGCCACATCACCCAATGCAACCAGTAAAGTTGTAACGTCTGTTCCAGGCGAACGAAAGTTAGTCGACAACAGCGGCCAAACCCCATTTCCGACAGCCCACATGTAGCCCTCAAGGACACTTCAAGGAATATCGACCATCGCTTGTAGCTGGCAGCTGAACTGCCACAAACAGAAGCGAACCTACCCAGTTTCTCACTACCAGCCTTCTCTGGCCGTTAGTTCTCACAGCTTCTAGACTGCGTCTCATCTCGCATTGAGCAACTTCTGTACTATAACTTCTCACCTGCATTCAGCAATGCCCAATCCACCCTACTGGTGACATCAAAGAAGGCGCCCTCTCTATGCGGTTCTGCTGGTTTACTGCTTTTACTGAGCCCTCCTTTCGTATTAGCAAACGAGGTGAGCTGCCTGAAATAGTTCTGCATCTCGGAGAAGCATCCTCTGGTGAGCTCATTCGCATCTCACGATCGGCTCACATCACACTTGCCGCGTCACGAGCAGCGTTCCATTATAAGTCGATATTGCGATGTTAATGCAGCATTTTATTTCATAGGACCACCGCCCGACAGGCCGACATATGTTTGTGCAGTCCGTGCTCATACATACCTGCTCTTCCTTTCCTGCTGGATCTAGTAGTCTATCCTAGGTAAATAAGTTCCCACGTAACCCCGTCCGCTACCGCCCTGTCACTGAATCTAGTCGACCTCCAATTTTTCATCGGTCTTGACAACGCTAATAAGCACGGGCGATAATAGGGCACGCGTCTATACCTCCCTTCTTAACAGGATCGCTCTGCGATAAGCTCGACCAGAATCATGCCTCCGGCTTCTATTACGAACTCTCTGTAGTTTGTGATAGAACACTCTGAGACTTTTAGCCTTCTAAAACCTCCTTTGAACTCTCTGATCCCTTTAGCTAGAAAGGATGGGAATAGCAGGAACAAGCTTCGACAGCGTCGATTGTTTGGCTGGCCAGCCCAACATTTCTCGCCCTAGGATTTGGTAAGGCCATGTTACATTTGATTTCCGAGCTTGGCTGAGAAAGCGGACGGTCTCGGAGCTCTCCGCAGATACACATACACATATGAGCACGAGCACGAGGTTGGCGAATGACCTGCTCGACAATGATCCGCCACTCGTATCTCGAAGGGATTCTGACCAACACCACTTTTGGCTACCGGTGCTTAGAAGAGCCCAATTCGTTCCGCATTGTCCTGGTACAATCATATAGGTAAGTCATGTAGGCAAGTCATGTAGGCAAGTCATGCGAAGGGCAAGACGACAGACCGGCCACTCTGTCTGTAAGGCAAGATTTCATGATGCGAGTCACACGCACAACATATGCGGGTGTTGGCCAACATGGAGCTTGCCATGGAGCTTGTCCATATTGCACGCTGTTTCATGCATTCGGACGTGTCAACACCGTCGGACATCTACAATCGCCCCGCAAGGCTGCACAAGGAGCTGGGAGGGCTTCAAGTATTTGGGTCCTGGGGCGGCTCATCAGACTTGTATCGTTCTCAGACCACCCAAACGGTAGCTCCCGGCTCTTTGGTCCGAAGAGTTCATAAACAGCGTGTAATTTCTTGGTATTGTGTCTGCCGATTCGAAGCGATACGTAGCGGAAGATGGTCAAGCTGGAAACTCTGACTGAGATGGCGTGTCTGTCCCCGGTCAATGGAATCTGGCACAGCCCAGTCAGTGCCTTGTTATTTGCCGTCGACCCGACGGTCATCCATATCGGCGGCTAAACCTCGAGCGTTGTGGATTGCGGGGCGATAATGGTTTGACCAGGCCCATCCAACTCATACCCGACGGGCATTCCCGATGAGGACTTCCGACCGTCGCTCTAGCCAGAGTTTCGGGCTCGCGTGTTATCCACAGGCCCATCATTTGCTCGAAACAGCACGAGCCTCCTTCTGATGAGTCGACGAGCACAGAGGAGGATGGGATTCCAACATGTCGATATGCACCACCCTGGTAGGCAGTAGGTGGCACATTAAGAGATTGGGAGGCTGATCAGCAGATCCCAAACGAGGGTGGAGACGTGAGAGAGAGAGACGTGCGTGCGTCATGTAGTGCTGTATCTAATTGTCCGAGCGAGGATTCACCTTGAGCCTGGCTGGCGACCGCGTGGCCCTTTCATCTCTCACCTCCGCTTGGGCGGACCGCCGCGCGAGGATTGCCCGACCGAGCTGACTATCATGCGCCACACTGCGCTTTCTTCCACACTCTCTCTCTGCCTTCCCCCACACACGAGCTAACAGACAGGTTCTCTGCACAGGTGTGCTCGTCCTGGGCCTGAGCGGACAATACCATACCGGTAGTATGCTTTGACCGAAAGATATGGGTATGTCAGGTTCTGGTGTCTCTGGAGGGTCGTCCCTCCAAGGCCTGTCACAGGGGGCGATCTTAATCTCCTCGCCGTTGACAGGACCAGAGCACACAAAGTGGGGGGGTTTGTGAGGGAGCTTGGGAGCAAAGACAGGCATGGAGACGACGTACAATCTGCGGATACGTGCAGAGTATCGGAGTGGCAGCCGCGCATCCACCTTTGTCCCCATTCACCCTTGTCCTTCCTACCTCCTCGGCCAGGTACGCAGGTGCGTGTGGGTGTTTCGGTGGCCCGGGCGGGTACCTGAATGCCCAGCACGCCTAGCTTTTGCCAAGAAGGGGTTCTCCAGTGCCATGGAAGATACTGGGACAGGATCTGTGTTCCAAGGTTCTTGGCGGGCCCAAAGAGGACAGGGCTGACTCAGGGGTAATGGCGAGGGACCTGGCCGCAACCTGCGTGTTACCAATCGAAGCACCGTCCAATTCGTAGTAGTTTACGATGCTGTCTGCAATGAGGCACATTGGAACTTTGCTCAGGAATTGCTCAGAAGTGACAGAATAAAATTATAGGACCATCGCGCCAAGGACTCGTGGGCGTAAGTCCTTAAGTCATCCGCACGAGCCCCTGAACGCGGCCTGGTGCGCTCAGCCTTCTGCCACGGCTCAGCGCAACCTCATGAGCAAAATGCCGTGGCCAGGAGGAGGACAGTGTCACGCCTGGCGGCACAGCCCAGTCCTCTACGCCAAGACTCTTGTTGACTTGGCTTTAAGGCAGGGCTTCAGCTTACCCCAGCTTGAGAGTCCTCCGCGACAACGCACCTTAACGGGATCTACATATACCGGCAGTTCTAGATCCTAATTTAGCATCGAGGCAGAGGTCTCCCGCGTTGCGCTTCTCTCTGCCATGATCACGGGTTTGTCCAGCTTCGTCCATGTATACAGCTGCGAGATTGGAATGCGGGCATCTTCATCCACATCCAACAGTACCACGGACTCGTCCGGTCTCGGTTCTTGCTCTGCATCCAAGCACAGCCGCAACAGGTAGGGCCAATTGGCCACAGGCTACGCTCTTCCTAATTCATTCTGTGCTTAATCCTGCCTTTCCCCTGAGTAAACCACGTCGGCCATTACCCGATCGTACCATCCCAAACCACGGCTGCCACTGGATGAAGCCATTATTCGCCTCCAAGGTCTTGGCCTTGTGCGGTTGTGGCCGCCAGCCGACCAGGGCCGGCAGCCCCAGCAGTGGCCGCCTGGCGCTGGCGCTACGCCTTCGGTCGCGCGCCACGCCACTGTGCGACCAGTAATCACAAACAGGCGAATGGCCGACTAGCGCACGCAAAGCAATCTTTGCCAGAGTGAGTGGCGCGAACGCCCGTGTTTCGTCCCGGCGCCCTTTTCAGTGTGCTCCGTCTGCCCAGCAGTACACAGGACTCATGCATCATTACGGCGTAGCGGCCTCACACTAATGATCTCCTAGTGCGCTAGGCACGGCTATGGCTGGAGGTCATTACATGATGGAAATGATGTGTACGTACGCGTTGCTGCTGCGATGGCGACGGTGGTGGTGGCGGCAGAGGTACTTGATGAGGTTGGGGCGCTGTGTGCGTCTTCTGTTTTTGGAGGAACCAACCACCACAACTTCTACACACAGCCACTCACATAGGCTAGACGCTGTACGTGCGGAGAGCCTATTCAGAACCGCTTTGAGTTGTGAGCGTGCTCGCACAAGGCTGTGTGTGTGGACGCTTTAGCTTTAAGGTTAGGTTTGTGTGCCTGAGCCTTGCCGAGACTGCGTTGGCCATCCCAGCCACAGCCTCCAGCAGTATCAATAGGGGCTCGGTGTCGAGATCAAGAGGCACCAGCCCCTCGGGTTTGAGGACAGCCTTCAAGTGTGCGTAGAAGGGACAATTATGCTTTCTGAGCAAAGGGGCCCCAGCCACTCAGCCTCGTGGTATTCTTGAGGAGTGCTGTAGGTCTTGGAGACGATGCCTTGGACCAGAACAACACCGAATTCTACAGACATATCATGGGAGTAGCGCAGTCCCGCATTTGCCAGAACAAGCAAGACTGGACTGAGTCCCGAATCTAGCAACACAAAAACCCTCAATGAACGTCATGGACTTTACGGATCAGGCGAGTCCATGATGCGCCGGAGGGTCACCGTCGTGGATTTCTGCAGGCTAGCAATGCGATCTCGACTTGGCTTTTTGCAGTTGTGTCGTGTTGGCTTGTGGTGCCCATTCCGAGTTGGTCTCAAAAGTGGGAAAGAAAGGGGCGAGTGGAGATTGTGGTTCCTCTTGAAGATTGGGGCTTTTCCTCGTGTCGTACTGCCTGCGAGGAAATGCTATGGAAATGGTCCATGTGCCCCCTGTCGGGCGCCCGCAGCTAACGCAGAGAAGCGCTGGCGCTGGACGGTTCAGCTCCTCTCAGCCGCCGTCTAGAGTAGCGCCTAACACAGACACAGAGAGAGAGAGAGGCTGGGCCGGCGAGGAATAAATGGAAAGGTCGGCACAGTATGCATCTACTGCAGGTGGACTGCGTCATCTGGGCCAAGCGGCGGAGCAGAGTTTTGTGGTCGGCGGCACCTTTGGCGCCTAGCGCGAGGAACAATGGGCTGGGACCAGCCGCACAACGTGCATCCAAGACATGAGACGAAAAGAGGGCAGGGCATTGGACGGCGGAAATAACATCAGGCGTGGAGGCTGCGAGACAAGCCGCGCCAGGGCAAGACACGCTGCGAAAGGGTCGTTGAAAGGTGTGGCCGACTGATCGTCGTTGCATGATGGGGCCCTTCTTGACATGACATGACAGCAGCCAGCCCTGCACGGCCATGGCCAGGGTTCGTCGTACGTAGCAGACTACGGAGTACATACATTGATTGCAGGAACTATCGGTTGTCATGCTGGCAGCGGCAGGACGACCAGCGCCGCACACGCGTCCTGCCGGCATACGAGGCGCCAGGGGCCGGCCTGGGCACCGCCGTCAGAGCCCACGACGGCCATCCACTGACACCAGCTGTGCGGAGCCAGAGTGGACGACTTTAACGAGCTAGGCCGGGGGGCTGGGTGGGAGCTCGGGGTTCGCGCTCGTCCCGCTGGGGCTGCCCCTGGACCCGGCCGGCCTGAGCACCAGGGCTGGCCTGTCTAGCGCGGCGGCAGTCTCGTCGGCCGCGTGCTAGGCCTGCTGATAATAAAACCAGGGCGCCCCTTCGTCTCGGAGCCGTGGTGTGGAGGCTCTCTTGTTTCTCTCGTCAACCGTGTGTGTGCCAGTCATTCGCTATACGTCAAGCACCACCCGTCAACCATGAAGTTCGCGTCTGCCATCTTGACCGGCGCCGCCGCCGTCAAGGCTCTTAGCATCCCCCAGAATGTCGACAAGCGCGAGGAGCTCGTGCCCATCACCACGGGCTTCACCATGAAGCCCTTCCTTACCGAGCTTGTCGAGGCCGTCAACGACGGTGCCGACCTCACCGAGATCCTCACCAAGCCTGCCGGCGATATTCTCAGCGTGGGCATCGCCGATGTCAACGCCACCATCCACCTCGGCCTCTCCACCGTCGGCCTCGCCATCAACTCTGGCGGCCGTGTGAGCGACGACGACGTCAGCCGCATCGAGTCCACCGCCGGCTCCGCCTCGCGCGTCGGCGACAACGCCCGCGGATCCTGCTCCAACCCCAAGGTCCGTGTCGAGTGGCGCAACATGCAGCCCGTCCAGCGCAAGGCCTTTGTCAACGCGATCGTCTGCCTCTGGAACGCGCCCTCCAAGGGCCTGGCCCCTCCGGCCACCAACCGCTACGAGGAGCTCGTCTGGGTTCACCAGCAGATGGTCAACAAGGTCCACCAGTCCGGCATGTTCCTCATCTGGCACCGTTACTACACCCACCTCTTCGGGCGCATGCTGCGCGAGGAGTGCGGCTACCCGGGTGCCTACCCCTTCCCGTGGTGGGATGAGACCAAGGACTCTGGCAACTTTGCCGCCTCTGGCCTCTTCACCGCCGACTACTTTGGCGCTCTTCCCCAGCTCAACAACGGCCAGGGCACCTGCGTGACCAATGGCGTAAGTAAACTCTGGGTTCTCTATTTCCACTTGCCCATTGTGGTTGAGTTGCGGTTGCTGCTTGAGTCGTGGTTGGGCACAGAAAAGTGGGACCCTCGCACACTCAACCTCCAGCAACCACGGTTCACCATCTGCGCACCTTTTGAGCTCCGGGTTCTTCTGTCACTTTTAGACCCTCTGACCCTCTGGATGGTCTGAGTATTTCAAAACCACGGAGGACCCTCTGGGCCTCTGGGGCCTCTGAAAGTAACAGGATGCTTGAGACGCTCGACCTCTGAACCTCTCAACACACCTGTTTGACCAACTCGTCGTTCACTCTGCTAACCATTCTCAACAGCCCTTTGCCGGCAAGCGCCTCCACATTGGACCCGGCGGTGGCAACCAGGACCGCTGCCTGTCGCGTGGTGAGAACCGCGATCTGACCCGCCAGGTCAGCGCCGCCTTCGTCAACTCCTGCAACTCCCGTTCCACCTACGCCCAGATGCGCGAGTGCACCGAGTTCGGCCCTCACGCCTATGGCCACAACGGCCTCGGCCCCGTCATGTCTGACGTCGCCGCGTCTCCTGCTGAGTGAGTAGTCCCTCCTGAAATCTCGTGCGGCGCCGTCGCCCCACTCCACGCTCCACACCCGCCCTCGCCCACAACACAGCCTCACAATACCTCCCACGACTCTGTATCTTCTCAACGAAGCAATGCTAACATCGAATTGAACAATCCAGTCCCGTATTCTTCTTACACCACGCCTTCATCGACAGAAACTTCTGGAAGTGGCAGAGCCAGGCGGCGTCCCGCTGGACCGACATCTACGCCTGCGCCGCCCCCGGAAACCCCTGCCCGATCATGGGTCTCGACACCGTCATCTCCTCGATGGGCCTGCGCCCGGACGTCCGCGTCCGTGACATCCTTGATGCCGAGGGCTCGTGGCTCTGCTACTCCTACGACTACTAAGCGTTTGTGGTCGTCGTGTGTGAAGAGTAAGATGATGACCTGCGACTCAGTGGTGTGTATATACGCGCGCTTGCCACAAGTATGGGGAAGGGGGGGAAACTTTGAGCCCTGGTACATTCAGCATTTGCAGATGGTGACACAGCATGCACACAGCCTTTTGATTGATGCTCGATACCCGCGCGTTGTTGGGAGGGGGAGGCTATTTTTTATCTTGACACCGGCGGTGGCGCTGCCATATAATGACTCCGACACTTCGATACCACTCATTACCACCAACTACTAGACGTGTTCATACGAACGGACATATATATATGCATCACGATATATATACATACATATACTCCCTTTTCTAAAACTTAATTGCTAATATCCTTAATGTTTGAGCAATTCTGCGTCGATGGCTCCCGTGTTTACTGCGTCATGTATGTGATATGTGAATGCCTTGCTATGCCTGGTCTGTAAAATGGTATTTGGACAATCAATGCATCAAGGCGGGAAGCAAAAGAGTTCAACAGAAACGAGCGGAAAGAGAAAAGTACCTGAGGATCAAGAGACGGCTGAGGACACCATGGATGTTGGCTTGTGGCCTGTGATATCATGAGACAGTTGCCTGGGTAAGCTGTAAGTTCCCGCCAGGCTAGCATTCAACCCAGCAAAAGACACGGCATTTATCTGGATCCGTGAAGTGCCAAGGGAGTGCCGGCCGCTTCGGCCGCTTCGGCCGCAGAGGTTGAAATCTCGCTGACTCCCTCTGGCACTCTACCACACGTGAAGCTCCAGGAGGATCTGAAGTGATACAGAGATGGTGGAAAGGGAGTCTACCACCAGTTGACTTTGCTAGCAGGTGTTGGGTTGCCAGGAATGTCCTTGGGGGAGAAATAATTGACATATGTAAAGTAGCAAACACAACAGACGACTTCGAGATCTTGACTTTTGCCAATGGCTTGGGCGCAATTTATTTGACAGTCTGAGAGTGGCTGGGTCGCGGTTGCATTGCTTGTTCTGCTTGGATGACCAAAGGCTCGCAGATTGATACTCGCCATGTCTCGGAAGCGCGCACGAAGCAGCACTGAACCATGACAGATTCCCAACCACAGAATTGGTCAGCAGATTTCACTGTTGGGGACGGATGAAAAGATTGATTCGAAGGCAGTGGCCAGGGGATAGCAGAGTATTGAAGAGCTGTCGTGCTCAGGATGGACCACTCAGATCAGGTAGGGAGTGAAGGGCAGGGGTGAATTGAGCACGAGATGCGCAAGCGAACGTCAGCGTGGAGGACGATCGTGTTCTGAGAAGCAATGCTGCGCTGTTGCGGTAATGCTGACTCATTGTCAGGACGCTGCTAGTCACGCGGCTAGTGTATTGTCGACCGATCGTGACACCTGAGCGAATCTACCAGGGGATGCTTGTGCGAGATGCGGGACCGGTTTTATGCAGCTACCATCTCTTATTACTGGGAAATCTGGCTCGGTGAAAGCATAAAACTGCCAGAACCAGCATAGACAGGGCGCATAGGCTTCGAATACGAAAGGGAGGTGTGGGATCGGGGACTGCTTGAATGAGATTGACGGGCGTTGGTGTACAAGTCACTGAACGAGATATTGCACGTAGAATAGAAGCTGTGGGAGCAAACGGTCTGAGCAGGTTGGTTGATGAGAAGCTGGATGTGTTTGCTGGTGGTCAAGACAGACCGGGTACCAGCCACGAGAGTTGATAGGATTAGAAAACATGAGAGAGGCGTGTCGTCAAATCTGCTCATTGTCCCGATTGATCGCGTCATGGAGTTTACTCTTGTCAGCCGGGATGCCTCTCTGATATGTTTCACATTTCGTTTACCAATGTGAGCGCTCGTGAGACACAAACTTGAGGGCTTGTTTGCGCGGTATTTTTGTATTGGGGTGTATAATATCATGCTCCAGGATGCGTCATTGTCCAAGGCGTAGCAATGACCCATATATGCCCGTATGCACTTTGCACTGGTCAGCAAAGAGAACAGATCTGAGGAAGGATCAAAGCAAAATGACCGAGAAAAGCACCGGGCTGCGTTAATGTGATGTCTTAGTACTTGGGGTGCTGGATGCCCTGTGCGACGCGTAAGGACATGTTGCCGCCTCGAGGCTCAGCCGTTTGTTCCATTGCACCATTACTTTTGACAGAATAAAGATCTCGGGATGCGTCACCATAGGATTGCTGCATTCAGTATACGAGACTAGCTAGGGAAACTTTCCTGGCAAGGACTCTCGTGAAATCGAGTGTCATCGGCTGTCGTGAACCTGGACGCCACCTGGCCCAGTATCAGTGAACCCAAAACTTCAACAAATATTTCGCCGTATAATCAGCAGCCAATTCATGCTCGCCAATGCACCTCCAAGGTTGAAACTAGCCTGTAGGAACCTGTTGGTACACTAATGTCCATGAAAATCAGATTTGGTGAACGGAACCACGCCCAATATCAGGTGAAGCCACACTCTCAAGTCTGCTTCGATGAGAATGATGATCTTCCTAACTGCGAGTCGCGGGCAATCCGAATGATCAAGAGATGTGTCTCGGCCGTGCGAGGGTCTCGTTGTGGAGTCTCGTGATGCGGTTCATGATGCAGTTGTTGTGGTCTCCTTTCCGATCACGCCGAGAGTTTTTGTACTCCTCTATGCGACAGTTGCCAGCCTGTAGCATGTAGTGAAAGACGGGCCTCTTTTGACCCTTCCTTCAATGCCTGCCAATCGCCTGCTCTTGCCAGGCCACTTTCCACCAAGGACCGCACTGGATGAGCACGTTGGCGAATTGCAAGTTCAAGCCAACACCGCGAACGGCGCGGCTGGTGAGCATGATCCTGCATCCTTCTGCGTCCTCAAATTCCTTCAGGACGAGCGCACGGAGTGCTGGATCGACTCGTCCGTCAAGACGGAAGACCTTGACGGGAAATGGGCTATGGCGAAGCGCTATTTCGAGGATATCCAGGAAGCAGACACTATCGCCCATGATGGCGACCGCGTCATCTGTTCTGCGCTCCTGGTGTAGATGGAAGGTATCAATGATAGCATCGACGCGCGAGGACGACCACGTGCGGCTTTCCTCGATGTCGGTGATCCAAGTGGCAATCTCCTCGCGGTCTTCATCTGTACCAACATGATCAAACCCATTTTCGGCGTTTTGGCGGCCTCCTTGGTTATCCCTTCTCTTGGCCATGACGTTGAGAAGCGCGGGATGGTATGCTAGCTGCTGGGCCTTGATCAGGGCCCCCCAAGCAGTACGGGACTAAGGATTTCTGGCCCGCTGCCTCAGGTCCTCTAAGTAGGCCGCAAACATGGTACCACAAGTCTCTTGCTCCTCGTCAGTGAGCGAGAAAGGGATGATACTGGTGGTAAGTGGTGGCAGCCGGCTGGCCACGAGTGAGTCTGGGCGACGCATCATCACCCCATCTGGGATTGGACTAGTCTCTTGACATGTGAGCCTCTGGGAGTCTTGGCTAGACCTCCAGCGAAGGTGGTGAGGTAGCGGTCGAGGCCGTTGATTGGGTGGCCACTCAACAGACAGACCAGAGCACAAGCATCCTTCCACGTGTTGTCAAGCGGCGTGCCTGTGAGCATGATGCACTCCTCGAAGCGAGTCCGCAGCAACTGTACCGCCTCAAAGTCCGGCTCTTCATGTTCTTGACAGAATGTGCTTCGTCGAGCACGAGGCACTTGCCAAGAGACCGAGCACCCGGCTGCGTGAAGAGCCAGGACAGAGCTGTCAGTTTCGGTCTGGTAGCAGCCACTGTGTCGATGCCCCCGCGAAACTTGATAGTCGCTGTCATGGACTTGCGAATCCTCGTGGACTCGGCGACAATATGGCTATAAGAGGTGATGACAATGTCATACTTGATGATCTCCTCCGCACCAACAGGCTGGTTGAGTAACACCAGAACCCGCATAGACCCCCGAGAGAATCGCAGCCGGTTAGTCAACATAGTAGCAAAGAGAGCGTAAGTTGAAGAGACTGCTTGCCTTCTCGAAGCACTTTTGAACTTCATCCTTCCACTGACGCCGTGATTGTTGCCATCACAACAGCTCGTCGCCTGGGCAGGGCGATGGCGCTCAGGGCTACCAAAGTCTCGCCGTATCCCGGCGGATCACCAATGATACCGCCGTGGAATCTGTGAGCTCTCAGCAACCAGGCAACTGCATGTGCTTGGTGGGGTTGGAGCGTGATCTCCGGTTTGAGGCCTGGGATTGACATCGGCGCTGCAGACGTGCTCTTGTCTAAACTGTGAATCTTGTTAGAGCTGATACAATGCATCTAGGAGGGGAATATGCTTACGACTGCCGAGTGAATATTGCGGAAGAATTGGAGGGTGGGATTCTTTTGTCCCAGCTGGGCCTGCGCTGTCACTCAGGACTGCGTTCAGATCTTGCCGCCATGGACTTGATGATCGTTGTTGACTGGGCGCCCAGGCTCATAACCAATGGATGCGCCCGCATAGTCAAAAAGAGTGAGAGCGACTTGGTTCCCGAGACTGCTCCCACAAGAAAGTGGCATACACGATCTTTGGAGGTAAGTGTAATCCAGAGAAGTTCGCATGGCAGATAAGCGGATGACCTCAGGTCGGAGGATTGCGATGACAATGAATTATACGGCGGCAACATGCGAGAATGCTCTTGTGTCGGTTGTTGGCAAGTCGAATGAGTACTTCCTCCTTGCAGCCGATGGCCAGGTTCTGGCCTCTGACGCCACTTCTCTATCTCCTCGTGATTGCTCGGGCGGCCAGTGGCATCGAGAGCTTGCTCGATTCCGAAGACTTGGTCTGGGTCGTACTTTGTGAGTACGTTGGGCAGCTCGGGTTGGTGGGCGTATTGCTGGGCTCGAATCAAATGAGCCCATGCTACCTCCTTCCCATCTTCCTGGTGTGTATGTCTAGTGATCTCGACATACTGACGAAATTCGCTGTTTGAGAGGTCTCGGGCGCTATCATCCAGCCAGAACGGTACTATGATAGTACGGAGTTGTGGTAGCTTGCTCTCGACCAGTGACATGGGTCGACACATGATAGTGCCGTCCATACACTGGGCCAGCCTGTTGCGATGTCTCCCTTTCGGGAACCGATCATCCTGGGACCGGAAAGCGGCATAGTAACGGTGCAGGGCATTAATTGGAGGGTTGCGTAGCTGGCAGAGTAGCGCGCAGTAATCTACCCACGTGTTGTCGAGAGGTGTGCCTGTAAGCATAACGCACTGCTCGCAGCGGACACGCAGCATTTGGACGGCGACGAAAGTACGTCCGCGCGTATTCTTGAACGTGTGTGCTTCGTCGAAGATCACGTACTGTGCCAAGGGTTTCGTCTGCTTGGCGAAGAGGCCAGACAGCAGGGCCACCTTCGGTCGCTTCGGAGGCGCTCCAGCCACCCCCTTCCGATATGCCATAGCGCGCTTTATGTACCGGCTTAGCTTCGTGAGCTCTGCCAGCACGTGGCTGTACGGTGTGATGATGAGGGAGAATGTCGTCAGCTCATGGGCCGAGACTGGCTGACCGTGCAGGAACAAGACTTTCATCGTGTCCTATGAATCATAGTCAATATACACATCACTATCAGCTTCTTCACTATCGCTCTATATCTTACCTGTTTGAACCTTTTCTTGACCTCGTCGGCCCACTGGTGGCAGACAGATAAAGGCGCGACCACCACGGCAAGCTTGCCAGACCGAGCGATCAAGCTCAGTGCTGTGAGCGTCTTACCAAACCCCGGAGGGTCGGCCAGCACACAGCCCCCAAGCCCAGCATTCTGCTCTATCCACCCAATGGCGTGCGCCTGGTGGGCATGGAGCGAGACTCCCGGCTTGAGGCCAGGGACTTCTCTGACCAGCGGGGCTGTCTGCTTGGCACGCTGTTTGGTTCTTGTTAACGAGTAGTCCGAAATGGAACAGTTATCTCAAATAGGGACAAAGACACACACACACACACACACACACACATAGAGGAAGAGAATGAACTCACAATGCTGTTGTACCGCCCGTACTTGTCGGATGCCTCAGAGACCCAAGAGTCGGTGCCTATGGCTGCCATGTCGTCCAAGTCATAGTCAGTACAGCAGAGGTGGCAGAGGTGGCAGAGGTGGCAGAGATGGCAGAGATGAAGAGATGAAGAGATGAAGAGATGAAGAAATGAAGAGATGAAGAAATGAAGAGATGAAGTGAGATCGGAGTGAGACGAACCTGACAGGCGAGCACCACAGCAGCTCTTGTAATCGACTAATGGACGTATTCGCCCATGCTGTCGTGTATATATATTGTTGCCTGTAGTTGATGAGAACGATACAGTCAGCTGGCCTCCCGTTGTATAGTCGCATGTCGGAACACGCACCTTAATGTAGATAGGTACTACAAGGCTTGGAAGTAATGGGCTAACCACGTTCGATAGGAGGTACTGCCCTAGTTGTTGTGACTAGTAAGGTCATGTTCGAGCTGCTGTGAAAAATAAAGATGTTGGAGCATCGAGGGAGGGATGCGAGGTTTATATGCTATCAGCGGGCTGCGCGAGACTGTGCCGGTGCCAGTCGGCCCAGCAATGCAAGGGGACGGACAATTGATGTTGGCGTGACGCATCATTGTGAGGATGCAGTGGCTGCGAGGGCCAGGCAATATGAATGAAGCTCAGCACGCTCAAGGCATCAAAGGCTGATCGATGTTCCATGAATTTGCTTCTGCCTGAGCACATAAGCTGGAATCATCTGATTAGTGAGGCCGCGTGAGCACCCATTCTCTTGATGGGGACATTGATGCTATTGAGGATTCCTGAAACCGACAGACTCAGCTAGGCGCGGATCATGACGCACAAAGTCACAGCACGTGAACATGAAGAGACCAGGCAAATTGAAGCCTCATTGCAATCTGCGTCAATCTAGGGTCAACGCGTGGGCAGGCCGTTCTTGTGATGACGCTCCACGAGTCAGCATGGATCACTTTGCACGCTGCGATCAATGCCATTGAGCAGCCATGAGTGTGGAAGCCATGCCGCCATTTGTGGCATTCATTCCAAGTGCCTCATGCAGAGGTTCTTGTTCAGAAGGCAGCGGGACGACGATTGATGAGGTGGTTTTTGATGAGGTGGAAATTGTCACAGCACAATGGACCTTGATCACAGCAGGTTCAAAGGTGCGAGAGTGACAGGCCTGGGGGGTTGACGGCGCTCTTCAGTGTAGGCGTGTCACCCGAGAAGCACGATGCTGACTTTTCTTTACTGATGAGCTGCAAGGTTGAATGTGGTTGGCCGACAAACAAACACGATGCACAAGGGGTCCTATCCTGCTCCACAACTCCCGATGCGTCGTGGCTGGGATCGTGCCCGGGAGCGGCCGAGGACCGGAAAGCTCGGGGATCTGGGCTGGCTGGCTTGTCGACACCTTGTTGCAGTCGGGCAGGCCTCGTTCTTTCGGCTTTCCGAGGGGACGTTCGCCCAACGGCAGTGAATTCCGCGAGGCCGGGACCCGGAATGGCGTGCGTGGTGTGGGTTGCTGAGCTGAGCCGCAGGCTCGTTGCGACAGGTGGTGGGTTAGTGGTGGTGCAGATCACGGCCCACAGCTGGCCTAGCGCCCACGGGGGTGCCCTCTAGCCTAAAAGCTTGGCCAGATGGAGTGACATCATGGCCCTCCACTGCATGCCTCGTCACAACCTGGCAGCTCCGGTCCCGCGAAGTCCGCGACTGATTTATCTCGTGATCCTGCCTTCCTCGCAAACTCATTCCCTGGTGCAAGCATTCTTCAGATTTCCACTTCATTGCGATAGACTGTCACATCGGCTGCAAAAGTGCGCCGTCGCCATTCCCCGCTCGCTTCTCTTAATTGCCCTTCACAAGACAACTCGCGGCACTACATCTATTACACAGCCAACCCCGCAAGCTGCGACAGATACAAATTGGGGGTCCAGCAACCTCTCACGGCACCGGCCAGCAATTAATCACTTCCCCTTCGGCTCGCAACAGCAACCACACACAGCATAATGTCGTCGTCCCAAGGCATAACACCAAACTTCACCCCGAGCGACTATGTCAAGTTCTTTGGCGCCGGCGCCCTGGCTGCCACCCTGACACACGGAGTACGCACCCAACCACATCCCTCACTGCTCACCATGCCCAAGATCATGGCTAACACCCGTCCCCTTTCTCCCTTCTCCAGGCCGCGACACCCATCGACGTAGTCAAAACCCGGATCCAGGTCGACGACGCCATGAAGGGCCTGAACATGGTCCGCGCGGCGCGCACCATCGTCGCAAAGGAGGGCTCCTCGGCGCTGCTCACGGGCTTCGGCCCCACGGCGGTCGGCTACCTCGTCCAGGGCGGCGGCAAGTTCGCCGGCTACGAGTTCTTCAAGAAGAAGCTCATCGACCTCTCCGGCTCCACCGAGAAGGCCACCGAGCACCGCACCGCCATCTACCTGGGCGCCTCGGCGGCGGCCGAGTTCTTCGCCGACATTGCCCTGTGCCCGCTCGAGGCCACGCGCATCCGCCTCGTCAGCGAGCGCGGCTACGCGACAGGGCTGGTCCCCGGGTTCGCCCGCATGGCCCGCGAGGAAGGGTTCCGGGGCTTCTACTCGGGCTTCGTGCCCTTGCTGTTCAAGCAGGTCCCTTATGCCGTGGGCCAGTTCTCCGTGCACGAGGCCGCCGTCGAGTGGATCTACCGTGCCATGGGCCCCGAGAGGAAGGCCAAGCTCACGCACCTCGAGTCCACGGGTGTGGAGCTGTCCTCGGGCATCGTGGCCGGCGTGGCGGCCGCCGTGCTCTCCCATCCCGCCGACACGCTGCTGTCGGCCATGAACAAAGGTGCCGGCGACAAGACGCAGAGCTCGACGGCGAGGCTGTTTAGTCTCGCCAGGGAGTTTGGGCCGAAGCGGTTGCTGACCACCGGGCTCGGGCCGCGTGTGCTGATGACCTGTGGTCTGGTGTCTGGGCAGTTTGTCATCTACGCCCAGTGCAAGGCGCTTGTCGGTGCCCCGCCAGGCATCGAGATTCACAAGGAGGAAAAGTTGGATTAGACGTTCATTGTTTCTCTCTTATATAGACAGTTGTGCTTTTTGTCATGTTTGCTGGCGATGGCGTTACGGTAGAGCGAGCCAAAAAGACGAAATGCTATTAATACATTATCGCTGCCCACGTCTGAATCATGTTCTCCCTGCGTGGAATATCGTACACACCACGGTCATCGTATCCGCCCTTGGGAAGGCCAGATCCCCATCTTGTTCCAGAAAGCCCTCCCATCCAGGGCTCTCCCCACCGCAGAGGCGTCTCGCGGCAGTGCCCGCACGCCTTCCTCGACCATGAGCTCGCCCACCCACTTGAGCCGGACCCTCTGCGTCTCGACCTGCTCAGCCGACAGCTCTGCCGCCCTGGCCGGGGCCACGTCCGCCACTGCCCAGTCCTGCACCAGGTCCCACCAGTCGTACACGTGCATGTCGCACAGCAGCCACCGCTGCGACTTGGTGAAGTTGCGGTGCAGCGCGACCACCGCCCGGCTGACGTCCTCGCCGTGGATGACGTGCAGGGCGCCCTTGGCGCGCAGGTCCTCCTTGGACTTGATGACGCGATCGACCCAGTTGCGCGGCTGCCTCTGGGCCCCGTACAGCCCTGCGAGACTGAGCACGGCTGCGTCGATCTCGGGGATGGCCATGAGCTCGTCCTCGGCAATGGCGCGCGGGTTCTCCGTGTCGTAGGGCGAGGAGGAGTCCTGCCACGTCGGGGCGGGCCAGACGCTGGTGACGCCGAGCTGGATGAATTGGGGTCGTGTCCTTGTGCCTGACTGGGCTGCGCCATCGTCCTTTCTGGTGTCCAGGTACAGCTTGACCAGGCGTTCAGATGGGCCCTTGCCCTTGAGCGGGAAAGTGATCAGGATAGTCGTGGCATTGGAGAGTTTGGAAAAGGGGCGAGGGTCTGACGACTCGGGGTCAAACTTGAAGGCGATGGTTCCATCGTGGCCGGTAGTTGTGGTGGCGGCATGCTTGATGCCCTCACTCTTTAGCAGCGGAAGCAGAAACGTCGATGTCCAGCCTGCGCCGAGGACGAGAAGGTCGACCTTGTCAGGCTGTTCGTCGGTGAGATGCACGATCATGGTGGATCAATTGACGAACGAGGTGATCACAGAAGTGAGAAGACTCAATGGCTCGGTTGTCACATTCGTCACCGTGATATTGTAAGAGGATGGAAGACGTCAACCCGGTGCTGGTGGGGGGTGCGGGCGGTTGGAGATGCTTTTTTGGACCTCGCGGCCCCACTGCGGAGTGCTGGACTTGATGAGCCTTGTCGTTTGTCCATTGTGTCCAGTGGCTGGACTTCACAACTAGTCCTGCCACAAGCAAGGGAACATCGTCAAGTCATCGATAATTGCTTGCATGTTTTGGTGTTGCGAAATTTCAGGAATCCTGCAGCAAGGGGCCCGAGCGGCCCAAAGTCACCCAGATGTGCTCCTTTGGCACGCCGAAGCCTACCTAGAAGGTGCTAACGCTTAAATCCGGGCAGGCGGTCTTGGCGACAAGTCTGCCATCGCGACCGTCAGGCAACAGCACCGCAAAGTCCGCCACAGCTTCGCAACTCAAAGAATGTCAATTATTTTATGAGGTGGCCAGGTAACACAGGCGACGGAGGGAAGGACAGAGCAGCAATCAGTCGGATTTTTCCTCCCCCTTCACCTTGCTCAACCACACCACACCTGCCGCCATGGCCCCGGATATCCCCGTCCTGACCGTGCTCGACGCGGCCGCCTGGTCCAGATGGCTCGCGTCGGCCGGCCGCTCCTCCAGCGGCGTCTGGCTCACCCTGGCCAAGAAGAATGTTAGCAAGCCGACGTCCCTGACCTACGCCGCGGCGCTCGATGAAGCGCTCTGCCACGGATGGATCGACGGCCAGCGCCGCGGCGGCGACGACAAGACCTTTAGCCAGCGCTTCACCCCGCGCACGACAAAGAGCACCTGGTCGCAGCGCAACGTGGCCCATATTGCGCGGCTCGAGGCGCAGGGCCGCATTCAGGAACAGGGTCAATTGGCCATCAATGCGGCAAAGGCTGATGGGCGGTGGGACGCCGCGTACGCCGGGTCGGCCGATGCGGAGCTACCGAGGGAATTTCTGGAAGCTGTCGCGGCGGTGCCGGCGGCCCAGAGAGCTCTTGATGAAATCTCAAAGCAGGAGCGGTATGCAATCTACCACCGCCTCGTGATGCTAAAGACGGCGGCCGGTAGGGAGAAGCGGATCGCGGCGTTTGTGGAGGCGCTGGCGGGCGAGGGCGAGGACGAGGACGATGCTGTGCCGGCGGCTGTACCCAAAAAATTGGCAAAGGCGCCGCCAAACCCGCAAGAGAAGGTCTTGAAGAAAGCGAAGAAGGAAGGCTCGCAAGAAGGCCAAACGAGGAAGAGGAAAGCAAGCACAGCCCTCGCCGCAGAGGTGCCGGGTTCGCGGAGGTCAAGCAGGTTGGCGGCAGGGTCCGGGAACTTTGCCTAAGCTAATTGGCGGCTGGTCTTACCTTCCACTGCCTTCCGTTTCTTGAAAGATGCATAGCAGTGAATCACAGGTAGTGTTGACAGGTGGGGTTTTGTAATGTTTCGGGAAGCGCCTCCAATGCCTCTAATACCTCTAACGAATAGTCTTCAATGGAAGGCACAGTCGACGTGTGTGCTGGACCTTTTATAAGTCCAGCTCATCCAAGTGTTGCGGGACCCAGGAACTTGGAAGGGCCATTGGTCTACTTAGATGTCGCGCCATGCACTCAGAGTCGCAGTTCCCGGTGACAGCGATGAGCTGAATTCTTGAAAACAAGCAATCTCGAATTGAATGATAGAGAGGAAATGCCAAAGTCCGTTCAGATGTCCTCTGCACACGCAAATGGAGAATAGGCAGGTGCACGACGTGACTGCCAATTGAGATGTCCCACATCCCTGGGAACGGACCCACTTAAAAGTTGACGACAACAACGACGCGGCACGACGGCTTGCTTGTTCCTCCGTCTCAACAATTCGCACCATCGCAATCTTTGAGCAGCACATGTCGCCTTAACGCCCGGAGACTCTATCGATTAATCAATGGCGTGCCTGTCAGGCATCCGGTAGCACAAATGTGCTCACTGACGACGTAATCGTCTTCCTCTGTAAACAACCCTTACAAACATGACACCTCTCTCCCCCAGATCGTCAAAGCTGGCGAAACCCCCTCCGAAGCAAAAGAGTTCGGCCACGGACTGGCGTATCGTCGGGCTAGATCTCGAGCCATCAGACCTCCCTTCGCCAGCTAACCCTCAGCTCCGCACAATCCTCTTCGCACCTGCCTTCACTAGCAGAGATGCGGCCCAGACAGAGAGGTTTCGGACCAACGTGGCCGTCATCCTGCGCGCCTACGACTACTTTTTTGATCTCCAGGAGCTTCCGAACTTTTGGAGCCGACTGCGGACGGCTGTGAGCCCTTTATACAGCGCTGCGAACATGGATGCCGTGGTTAAGCGCTACGTCGCGGCCAGGCGTCGATTTGTCGAAGCCGCAGGTGGCTCGGCGAGAGCGGGGAAGGGACTAGATCTCGTCATCACGACTCTCGCAGACAAGCTGCATTCTAACTCACTGAGGAATCTTTGCAAAAGAAATCCCAAGGACCACCAATTTACTACTCGGGTAAACCTTTGGGCTAAGGATAGTAAAAACCTAGACACCTTGCTTGGCAGCCTCAGAGATCCGGCGACCAAGAAATGTGCTGCTATTAGCACAGATGTCGACAGATCCGAGTCAAAATCGTCTCCCAAAGCAGAAATGTCCAAGCAGGAATTACCGGACGTAGCGAAGTCGCCGTCAGACGGTGGCCAGTGGATTTCGCGATGGCTGCGGTCGACAGAGGCAGACGAAATAGCTCCTGGCGACGGTGCTTCGGCGATGGAGCCCTTCACGTCGCCCACAGTGGCTCCGATGAGCACGTGGGCCTTGAACAAGCCGCGGCCACATGGTGCTGGTCAGCTGTCCAAAGATGAGACACGCCTCCCCGCGACAGCTCGCGCAAAGAGGCCAGCCGCCCGTGACTTTATGTCACCAGACGACTCTAAGCGACGAGCAGTCGAGGCCTCCAGCCCATACTCGCCCCAGGATATTTCTGGCACGGCTGTCGACAGGGTATCCCGAAGATCTGCTAGTGTTGGCTCTTCCGATGCATATTCCCCGGCAAAGTCGTTTGCCAAGCCTCTCAACATGGAGGTCGAAGCTCCAGCCAGGAAATCAAAGACCAAAATCCTGAGAGATAATGCAGTTGCAGGCGAGGAAAACAGACATGGGGCGGAACTAGTGTCCGAGTCAAGCGAACTGGACAGCACCATGGCTGGCTCCGAACGACCAGGCATTGTCATTGGCGGGAAGACCGTACCAGCCGGGGGCACAAGCCTTTCGCCCGACGGAGGGCCTGCAGTGTTCCGAGACAGTGAAGAGTTGCAGCGTTTGCAGCAAGATCTACTGGGAAAGACGCAGCAGATCCAGCAGGTTCAGGGAGCGCTCAAGCTTGCCAACGATACTGCAGACGCATTACAGCAGAAAGTCATCGGCATGGGCGAAACAATTGCCCAGCTCGATCAAGAAAAGGCCATGCTGGCCAACGATCTCAAAATCACCAGGGACAAGCTCGCGACCGCAACAGCCATGGCGCCTGCTACCCCCACCACTACTGTCACGCAAGTGCCCACAGTCACGCCCGACACACAGCTGCAACTGAAGCAGTTTGCAGCACGGCGTGACTACAAAGGACTTCTGGCCCACATCGCAGCCAAGCTGCCGCAGATGGCCGATCCCATCGTGAGCAGTCTCCGGCAGGAAGCAGGCGACGAGCAGAGCGCGGCGTGGAAGGCACTCGAGCATGTCTGGATCGCGCTAGATTGGGCAGAGAAGCAGGCTACGCTCAGTGCGGAGAGTCTGTAGTGAGACGCTCTTGCGTGATCCATGGACTCTGTGTGAGGACATGATGGTGTCCATGGGTGTGCAGATGTAGAACAGGGCTACACAACACACTTTGATTTACAGGCAGCAATCTATGGAGTCGGGCGTTATTCTTTCTGTCTTTTTTTCCTTGAAAGACAACTTGTTGCTGCAGATTGATCTGGTTCTTGACTCTACCCGAGACCGGGTTTCCGGTTGGCTGCATTTGTACTCAGCCGGGAGATATGCCGAGCAATGACCACTAGGCAACCATTACATCTCGGGATGCGGCATTTCCTCTCACCGAGAGTCCTCGCCACTGCCTTCTTTCATTTTGGGCATGTCTTGACGGGGATTATACATTGGAAGCTCCAGGGGTACAGAGGTACAGAGGTCAAGCAGTCCCGTGGACCAAGGCTGATCGTGGTGACTACGCCTAACGTCTTCGGGCAATGTCCATATATTTTTCATGGCCAAACACACGTAGTGGTCATCGTGCTTGTCATTGTGTAAACTCGAACCCAAGTCAAGTCAGACTGCCTGGCATCTCGATTTATTCCACACGAGGTTCCCTCTCTCGAAAGCCCCATCTCCATGACTTCCTGTCCCAAACATCACGATAGGTGACGCCCATTCATAACTTCTGAGCAATCCTCCATTTCCTCTCCATCCAAACCCCCGACTAACCAAAAGTCCTCCCCCATCCCCCTTTTCTGCCTCTTCTTCCCTCCTACCTAGGTATCCCCTCCGCCCCCCCATCCCCTACAGGCCATGAGCGCGCAAACACCAAGAAAACAACATTTCTTTCTAACAAATGAAGCGGTAATCCGGGTGCGCGTCGCCAGTCCGCCCCTGGTCGATCCACAGCTGCCTCTCCTCCGGGGTGAGCGCCTCGCGGATGGCGTTCTGGCGGCGCAGGTACTTCCACTGGACAAACGCCAGGACGATGCACAGGGCGCCGCAGCCCAGCGAGGTGGACAGGCCGATGACGTAGCGCCCGTCTGGGGTGGTGTCCTTGAAGATCTGGGCGATCTGTTTTTGGAGGGGGTTGACACCTTGGTCAGTATCTCTGGCGTCGAAAGAGGATTGGATGGGCAAGGGAAAAGGGGGGGGGGGGGGGGGTTTGTATGATTACTTACCACGAGGCCGGCAGAGTTGCCGACCGTCATGTTGATGCCAATGGCCGTCGCGCGCTTGTAGTAGCCCGCGTGGCTGTTGAGCATCCAGACGTAGTTCATGCCAAGCATGATCTGTTTTTTGGCAAAGAAGGTTCGCTGTCAGCAGGCATACTTGGTTGTAGATCGGCGTCCACAGATAGGATCTGGACACACAGCCAGATTGTGCGGGCTGCCGCACAAACCAGTTCCGCTTGATATCTGATGATGCTCGGAATGTATCCCACAGGGCAAGCGAATTAAGAACTTACATAGATACCCGGCGTCACGATGAACGGGGCAAAGTAGAGCGCGCCCCTCGCCGTCATGGGCAGGCCAATCAACAGCGAATATCCAACGCAACACGTGACGGCACCCCCAATCATGAACGGGAAGCGCTTCTCGACTTTATCAGACCATATGGACAATGTGATGAAGATGGCCACGGCGACAAAGAAGATGGGCGCGGTGAGCAGCTGCGTGAGGACCGAGTCGAAACCAAAGCTCCGCACGAGCGCAGGCATGAAAGTCGACGTGCCAAACGACAGGATGTCCCCGAGGAATTGGACCATCGCGCTGGTCCAGATCTTGGGGTCCTTGAAGGTCTTGGCGACCTCGCGCTTGTCAAACGTCTCGTTGAGGCGCATGTACCTGTCGTGCTTGATCGTGCGCAGCCGCATGAGCTCCTTGTCTTCGGCGTTGAGGAACTTTGCGCTCTCGTAGTTGTCCGGCATCAGGGCCCACAGGAGGCAGCAGACTCCGATGCTGAGCACACCCTCCACAATGAAAAGCCAGCGCCAGCCAGAGAGGCCGTGGCGTCCATCGAGTTGCAAGAGTGCGTAGGCGAAGAGACCACCAAAGCCGCCGGAGAGACCGACAGACAGGTAAAGGTAGGCGAAACGGCGGGCTTGTTCGCGTGGTGTGTAGAATGTCCTGGACATGATGTTAGTCACTTCAGGCGATCCCAGGTTGACTTACAGATCTTACATCGATATGTAAGGAAGGGGAGGAACAACTCACGTCAGAGTAATGGCAAGGGCAGGGTACATGCCGGCCTCAAAGAGACCAGTGAGCAGCCGCGAAGCGTAGAGTTGGCCGGGAGTCTTCATGAAACCTGTGCCGAGACAGGTGACAGACCAGCCAAACATGAAGGTTGGCAGCAGTCGGCTTGGCCTCACCTTCTTGACAAGAAGGGCTCCTGGTAGCTCGAACGGGACGTATGTGACGTAGAAGAACAGGATTGCATCTATATGCCGTGTTAACGAGGATTCATCACTCAGGGTGCGGTTGTCGGATGGCCCAGTTTCGGGGAGTCAATTCCGACCAGGGGGGGAACAACTCACTTGCCAGTTGCTGCTTGGACATCCCCAACTCCTCCGGCATGCCAGCAATGGCTGCATTGCCAATGTTGCTGCGGTCGAGGTACGCCGACAAGAAGGAAAGGGTCAACAGGGGCACGAGGAAGAGGTCAATTTTCCAGAGCAGTTTGCGCTCCTTCTTGGGGTCAATGTAGATGTCATCTGGGTCGACTGGCGTCTTGTCCACGACGCGGACGCTCGTGTCGTCGGGGACGATGTCGACTTTCTTCTCCGTGTCGGCCATGTTGGAGCAGCTCAAGCCACAAGTGAGTGCGGTTGGTGGTGGGTTCAGACACAAAGACGGATGTAAGGGTCAGCAATGTAGATCATGCCGGCTCTTGTAGCGGAATGTCGTGCATGCTAGTTGCAGCTCATGGTCTGCGAAACATTATCTTTATCAGGTTGGACGGTGACAGCTCCATGATCGGGAGTCGGAGACTTTGCCGGGCGATATCGTGAGGAGCACTACGCCAAGACTACCGGGCCCTGAGGCACGATAGCCACTATCAGACATGATGGTTGAATATATCCCGGAAGGCCATTCGTGGTGCCGTGGTGCCGTGGGCGGATCCAGGGATCCGATAAGATGGCGCTGGGCCAGCTGGTATTCGAGGCAGCACGTCTATAATGGCATCTGACGGGGCTAGCTCATGTTCCATGGGGGAGGCGAATGATTCACTGGAGACGTCGAACTAAGACGGCTGATTGGGGCCCTTGGCAGTGCCGGCATTGTATAAACGACGCAGGCGAGTGGGCGTTTCCTGGGACATGTTGTCATGGGTGGCAGGCCAGTTGAGGGCCAGCAGAGCGATGGCAGATAGGATCGGGGACTAGACCGACGGGGCAGCTCCGGCAGAGGGACACCATGTTGTTGGCTCTGGTGTCCGATGGCTTGTGGAAGATGGGCTGTGGAAGCCGGCGTGTGTAGCGGGAGGGTGGACGGCGATATCATCAGTGGCGGACGGGGGCCGTCGGGTGGATCCCGCTCCACCCGATCTCTGGGGTAGCGCCCTGCTCGAGGTTGGCGGCGGCAGGGGCCTTATCATGGCTCACTGGTCTGCCTGCCTCTGTGGTCACCCGGTTGAGGGCTCCCTATCTCGCGCGTCCCTCATCGCTAAGCACAGAGACGAGAGCTCGAGTCGGGATCTTGACGGCAAGCCGGAGGCTGGCTGGCTGGCTGCCCGTCCACGGAAGCACCATCCGATGATCTGCACAGCGCGTGTCACGCTGTCCCGTCGTCCTAAAGAGTCTCGCAGGGGCCCGGCCTCCCGCTTGTCGTGATAAAGTTTGAGGGTCGCCCACTGCGCAGTGCCGGCCATGCTGGTCGTCCCCAAGCCCTCGGTGGCCCTTGGCGATGAGCTTGACGGCTGAAGTGGCTGGCGGGAAGGGACGAGCGGAGACGAGGTCGGCGTCCGGAGTCAAGACTGCCCAGCCTGAGGCAGGTCTGCGGAGTGCGGAGTTAAATCCCTCCACTCCATGGGGAAGGTCCCTTCGGTGTACAAGGTTGCGTTGGTGGTCCGGGCAGCAGCAGCAGCAACAACAACAACACACGTAGAAAGGCTATTTTGCAGTCTCGTCTCACAATGGCATAGTAATCTCCAGGTGACCTGCTCGTCGCAACTCAGCTGCATCATTTTCCCTGCATTCGCTGGCACGAAGCAGTGACAGATATCCTGTCGACATGCACCTCTCCTTCACAGCACTGGCTGCTCTTGCAGCTTCGCCCACCGTCGTGGGCCACCTCGTCATGCCTTCCAGCCACCGCAGCGGTCCTCTGCAGCCTGAAAACCTCGGTTGGGTCTTTGCTCGTGATATCCAGGTCCAAGACGACGTGGTTCCGCCGTTCCTGCCGCGGCAGCAGAAGCCACTCAGCAAACCGTCCACAGCCTATGCCACACCCGGCAGGTTCACCGTCAGCGAGCAGACAGAGGACATATGCAATGCTGGCGGTCGCCAGTGGACGGGCTGGGTCGATGTGTCTCCAGAGAAGAGCCTCTTCTTTTGTAAGCCATGGTCATGCCTCGCACACCGGAGATGCTCTGCTGATAGCTTGTACAGGGTTCTTTGAGAGTCGTGACGATCCCGCCAACGATCCTGTGACCGTCTGGCTCAATGGGTGAGTTGGCCCTGTCCACTATCACCCATCTTAAATCCGGCTGACTCCAACCATAGTGGCCCTGGGGGTTCTTCCATGATGGGCCTCTTCTCTGAGATTGGCCCTTGCCTGGTTGAGGAGGAGGGTGGCGAGACCGTCAGGAACGAGCACAGCTGGACAAATTTTGCAAATGTACTCTTCATCGAGTGAGTGGCACAAACGCAACCAACTGCTCAGAGGACCCCTCCATCCTGACTTCTCTACAGCCAGCCTGCCGGTGTTGGCTTCTCCCGCGTCCGTAATGGCACCGTCGGCGGTCCAGACAACGAGCTCGAGGCCGCGCAAGACTTTGATCGCTTCCTACACATCTTCTTCACGGAAGTTTTCCCACAGTTCTCCCATCAGCCCTTCCACATTTCCGGCGAGTCCTTTGCGGGTCGCTACGTGCCCGGATTTGTCGACTACATCACGAAGCAGCAAAAGCGCGGCATGCCCGGCACGTTCGCCTCCAAGATCGAGTCAATCATCCTGGTCGACGCCGTCATTGACATCATCCGGTCCGGCGCGATTGGGCTGTACGACCACATGTGCCGCTTCAACGCGGACGGAACCAACGTCGTGCGGACAGGGTTCAACGCCTCGACGTGCCGCGAAATTGAAATTGCCGTTCCCGAATGTGACAAGCTGCAGGCTCTCTGCGTCAACACGCTTGACGCTAACCTGTGCAAGTACTCCCATGGCTTCTGCGGGTTTTATATAGACAGCCGTCTGGACCCTCACGATGACGGCGGGCGGTACCTGTACGACGACCGGCTCATATGCGAGGGGGAGCAGCCCCTATGTGGCGTCACGCACTACGACTCGTATCTGAATAGGGAGAAGGTGCAGAAGGCGTTGGGCATCGAGGGCAGGCATTGGAACTACACCTCCATCAACCTTGATATGAACTCGCGCTGGGCGTCCAGTGGCAGCATGTTTGTGCCAAGTTGGCGCGAGACGAGCTACATCCTAGACGAGACGGAGACGCGGATCCTGGCGGTGAACGGGAACAATGATATCATCGTGTAAGTTCCCGCGGCCCTGTTGACGATATTTGCCGTGGCCGTCGACTTTTTGCTGACATTGGGCGCACTCACTTCAGGAACACCGAAGGGCAGAAGCGGGTTTATGACTCAATTCCCTGGACGCACCAGGCCAAGTATCGCATGACCAAGTTTGCGGACTGGTTCTGGCTCGAGACTTCTGCGGGGGAGGCCGGTGGCTCCGCGAGCAAGACGCACAAGGGTGGTGAGTTCAAGTCCGTCGGGAGGAAGCTTGCGTTTGCGTCCGTCGACGAGGCTGGACACACGTCGCCGGGTGACCAGAAGGAGGCTGTGGGGTTCTTGGTTAAGTGCTGGTTTGGCAAGGCCGGCAAGGAGGAAGGTTGTCCTGTATGAGGACAGCTGTGGATGTGGCGGGCCCTCGGGACAACTTATAAAAAGCGAGCCCTTGAACTGCTGCTCAAAATGCTTAGCTGTTATCAGTCTCCCAACCTCTGAACCTCTGGACCTCTGAACCCTCTGAGCCCCTGGAGCTCTGGCTCTCTAGCTCTTGGACCGTCTGAACCCGGTATTCCCTGGATGAGCACAGTCTGGACACAAATCAATGCTCCCTCAGAGTCGTAGACTACTGATAATTCCAAGCCCTCAGAGACTGAAATCAGTAATCCAGACTGCCGGATGCTTTCAGAGTCATGAGCTTGCACGTGGGCTGCAGGCGCCCGCCCAGCCCCATTCGCCAAGCCTGCGTGGGACTGCCTCTTTCGGCAACACCCGTCCGGCATCGGGGGCGGAGCTACGTAAAGGCACAGCCGGTCGGCGTACAACTAGCGCCACGGCGGCACGCTTTGTGCATACTGGATGTGTGTGTGTGAGTGCATGTGTGACTTGTTTGCTAATTAGTCCCGGGGCAAAGTTGCTTATCACCAACAATCTTGCAACCCCTCCCTCAACACCGGATCTGTGAAATGACACAACTTGCCAGTACCACACAGATGGTCCCATGAGGCGATGACATAAAGAGTGTGGTTCTATCGATTCCTTAACTGCCAAAACTCAGCTCTCCCCCTCTTTTGTCATTTCCCCCTTCCTCGATTGTGGTGGTTGTCATCTAGCCCTCTCCGTCCCAGAGTGAGTGCATCGCTCGCTCGCTCGCTCGATTCCTGCTTGAAATGGCACAGCGAGCCATGTCCACCACCTTCTTCCTCCCCTCGCCCTTGATGGCTGGGCTGGTCGTGCTCGGTGCCATCGGGCTCGGCGTGGCTGCGGCTTGTCCCTCGATGTTCCGAGGCAGACATCCCATCTTTGGACTCGGGGATATCATGATTGGTGGTGGGCGCGAGACCAAGACCGGGAAGGGCTCGGGGACTGTAAGTTTCTTCACTTTTTGGTTGATGGCAGGATCTTTCGGGGTTTTCTTTTTTCCGTTACCAGAGTGGTTTTCTCTGGATGCTAGAGTTTCCACCAGACAGCGTGCAAACAAGGAGGCGGGCATTAGCAATGCTCTGTTTTTCTTTTTTGTTCTGCAGCACTGACTTTAACCGCGCGCTGGACTGGTCTGGTAGGCAAACAATGCGGAGGACCAGGATGGCGAGGCTGAGCATCAACACCCCAAGATAGAACCCGTCACGGAGAAGTTCAGGTGGCAGGACACGGCACCGCTCAAGCTCCGGCCCTTCAAGCCGACGTACTTTATCACGATGGGTAAGTCTCGCAACACAGACACACACACACATACACACACATGGCGCTTCTCTGCGACATGCCCGAATGGCGAACAGCAATTATTCATGCTTTCTTCCCCGTCTCCGAAACCCAACCTCCCGAATCTCCTTTCAGAAAAGATATGCCACTTTTCACCAACATCCGTATCTCTATATCTAAACGTTTAGAAAGAAATCACTGACAAAATACTCGTTTGCGCCGTCAAAGCCCTGCGCTCGGCCACCCCCTCGGACCTGATAATAATGGACAGCAACTACACCCAGCGCATCCAGGACCGGAGGCAGGTCATCGAAGACCACGCGGACCACGTGCTGGGCTGCATCCCGGGCCCTTCAGGCCCCCACGATGAGCAGCACCATGCCCTGTACAACGGCAGCGTGGGCGGCGTGGAGTCTGTCCGGGAGCTGTATGCGTATCTGCTCGGCAACTACCTGCCGCAGCGATATCCCACGCTTTTTGCCGTCGAGGAGGAAGAGGAGGGGGCGGAAGTGGTGGGAGAAAGCTGTTCAACGAATGCTGGCGGCCCCCTTGAGGTTGGGCACGAGGAGGGTGCTGCTGTAGACAGGACTGCGCGGGAGGAAGACGTGAGCACCAGCAGCAGCGGACGCCAGACGAAGATAATGACAACAACGAGAATCTTCCACAACAAGATCACAGGCGCCAGGTTCCCCGCGGAACTCCCACCCCTCGCACCAACCGACACCAAGGCCGCGATCGAGGCACTCAAGATCCTCGGGGAGACCGTCGAGGACGACCTGCTGCTTCTCCAGCAGGACCCTTCTTCTTCTTCTTCTCCTTCTCCTTCTCCTTTACCGCCCGCGGGCAGCGGCAGCAGCGGCACTAGAGACAATGCAGGCGGAGAGAGTGCCCCGGGGGCCGGCCTGCACAGACTCGTCGCCACAATAACTTGCAACCCGTCCGGCTTCGACCCGGCCGAGAAGATGGGCAAGGTGCTGCGCGAGATCCACGCGCCCGTGCCGTCATACAGCAAGATCGAGCGCAGCATGGAGCGCTTCTTCTCGAGGCTGGAGGTCGGCAAGAGTTCTTGTCGGGTTAATGTGAGTTATAATTTTTTCTTTTCTCTATTGTTCTGATATTTCTTTTTGATAGGCGTGTTTTGTATGAAAGGACCCGGGTGGTTGGGACGAAGTGCTCTCTTTTGCTCTTTCTGTCTCTCTGCGGTTTTGTCTGGAGAGAAATAATGACTGATGTATCAACGCTGCGGCGCGTGCGTGATATCTGAAGTGGAGCATCACGACGAATCCTGTCCTGTTCAACCTCGCGAGCAACCACATCAAGGAGGGCCAGCAGGTCGACGAGGACGAGGAAATTGACGTGACCAAGGCAAGTCCTCTCTTTTACCTCAAACATGAGATGAACAACCAGTTCCAGCCGCCCAGAATACCATTGTGTGAACCTCGACCAAGCTCGAGGCTTCAAACTTCACTCCAGTCCCGCACCAGACTCCACAACCGCCAGCGATCTATACTGAGCATCAAGAGCAACGACCTGGTCCGAGCCCTTGGTCCTCCAGATTACCCGTGGCCAAGATTCATCCAGCTTTTTTTTTTTTTTTTTTTTTTTGACGATGGGCTAATCCGGGGCAGCAAAAAACAGGCATTTCTCCGCTGCGAACTGCAAACCACGACCCGCCTGCCGCGTACCCGGGCCGTCCTCTTCTCCTTCAAGACCTTCATGTACCCGTTACCCGAGCTGCGCGACGAGGGGATCGGCCCGGAGCTCGCGGACGCCATCGAGGGCCTGCGCGCAGGCAACGCCCCCGGGATGTGGGTGTACAAAGGTGCCGTGCGGTACGTTTTTCCTTCCCTGTTTACTTTTCTTTCATCTTTTATCTAAGAACCGCCTCGCCCTCCTATTCCTCTGTTCTGGTTGTTTTACTTGTCGTGGGCTTTACTGCATGCACCGGGAAAACTTATGGCTATATGTGGATATCTTTGTACTCTCTTCTTTTGCCTGAGGTGGTTGCTGACGCTGTGCCTGAGAGGATTAGGTGGGCGGAGCCAGTCTGCGAATATCTGAGATCGTAGGCTATTGTTGGGGATTTCTCTCGTGGTGGATAGAGTACCCACATGGAGTATCTCATCACGCCAAGGACGACTGCTTTATAAAGGAGGTGGAGGCCTGCAGAAGAAGACTCAGGCTATGTATGTTGGTATTCGGACAACGATATACTGTAGTGAGATGCATGTCTTTGAAAGATCACGGCATGATGCGCTAAGGGTTTGATCATGGAATCTTACGGATTAGTAGTTAAGGTGTGATATTCAATTTTCACCGTGAAAATGCGTGAAAATACCACTACGCAAGATACATACGCACTTTCAGCTGGAGTCTGCTTGGAGTGTCCGGGGTGAGCGCCACAGACGCGTGCAGACAATGAGAAGCGAGCAGCTCAGCAGGGAGGACTAGAAGGCAGGCCGGGGCTCAATCGATCCCAAAGTTGGAAAACACGGAAAACCAGGCACGCACAGGGTGGCCATCCACCGAGCTTTGGCTACTGGCAAACGCTTTCTCGATTTGCTCAACACAGCAAAGCTAGCTTGCGCATATTGTTTCTTTTTTCTGACACGCCCAGTTATGGAATGGCAGGAAGAGATGCGGGTCTGTGAGTGGTAATTTTACCCCAGATCTCACGACCACTATCGAGAGGCTGGTCCGGAATGCGCGGGCCAAGTAGTGCAAGTGGCATAGTAGAAGATTTCCAAGGTTGTGTTGTATCACCAAGGGTCTGTCTGGATAAGTCTCACGTCAGATGCAGGCCCTAGCATTTGCTTTCCGTGACCCGGATCATGCAAAGTGGATTCCAGCCCGTACGCTGAACGTATGCTCGCAGATCTTTCTCGGTTGCTCGCAAGATTCGAGCTCCACGGACCATCCTGCTAACGTTGTGTGCGCCTAGGCAATGGTAGTCCCAAGCGTGGCGGAGGGACGGATTCGAGATTCAGCCTAGGCTGGGCAGACGTGGTCTTGGCAGGCTGCTATAAAAAGGGCATGGGGAAATTGGATGCTCAGCACCTGACCAGGATCTGTTGCTCCAGGCGGCCCTTGTATGCAAGTCTATAGGAGTCCTGATAACAGGCTCACCACCGGGCAGCGTACCCTGCAGGCTGCTGGCTTCGTGTTTAGACAATGCTCCCCTATGGCTTGCCCCGTGGGATGGCACAAGGGAAGGCATCCCAAGTGCTTACTGCCTAATCATGAGCAGCAAACCTCGATATTGCTGTGCCGTCCAGATAGGTAGGTAGTGCCTTGGCTGTCGAGTGCTGCGAATCGTCAAATGTCAAAGCAGGAGCTGCGGGCGGGCAGACCACGGGCCGGCACGGGGTCAGCGAGCGCCCACCCATCGTGGGTGGCTGTCCAGGACAATGCGATTGTGAGGTGGGACAAAGGACAAGCGCGGTCTGCTATTTCGATCCCACCCGGACGGACCCACTGAACAAGCTGAGCACCCCACGCGGCACGCTCGCACTTTCCTCGTCAATGTCTCCCGGCCGATCCGCCTGAACCACAGCCAGGTGAGCACCAGGCGAGGCATAGTTGCCTTCAGCCTCACTCAATCGACCTTGCCCCTCACGTCCTGCATCTCGCTGTCTCCCCTCACCTGCAGGCGTCGCTGTACCTCTCGAGCACTTGATACGCGTTCCTTGCGGTGTCGACCCACCTGGCCGCTCTGGCAGGCCTCCTCGTCGACTCCTTTGCGGCCCTGGAAGCCCGCCCATCCGACAGTCCCAGACTCACCCCCTCGCAGAGCAGGCATCCAGACTGGGCAACTCGTCCTTTCTTGCCTCGGGTTGTCAGCCACGACATATCTTCACGATTCTCGGGAGCAAAGGCACAGGGCTGAGAGCCCCTCGGGCAGGGACTGACCTTGCACGACATGGGACTGCAGCAGGGGTCACCCAGCCGTGTCGTGTGGGCAGCCACTCACAGCGCGCCCTCGCGCAGTCCTGAGCTCTGGTGCTGCCAGCAGAGCCGCCAAGACTGCCAGCCACAATGCTGCTGGACTTCACAGACCCTGGCTGCCGCCTGGAAGCAGCTCCGGCCTTCACGTCGAACCGGCCAGCGACAGTCCCGATCGCCAGCGGCAAGTCTGCCGCTATTGGTCTGCGCTAGCTCCGACCTCAGACACCGCCAGCAGCACTGCCCTGACTAGCCCTGCCCGCCAGCAGGCCGCTTGTCTTCCCACATGGCCGTCTTACACGCCGGGCCTCGTTGGTTTGCTCTGAGCCCATGCTCGTGCTCAGCTCTCGCCATGGACATATATCTGTGGCGCGTCCACGTCTACTTGGACTACCTCTGATTTCGTCTGCATATGTCACCATATCAAACCATCTTCTTGAGCCTCGGATTTTCTCCCAGAGCCCGCTCCCTCCCCTCTCTGCTCCGTATAGTCACACATTGCATACGGAAAGATGCAGCTCAGACATGTCCTCGGCGCAGCCGTGCTGGCTCCCCTCTCCGTCATGGCCGATTCGACCAGCTCTGCCCACAACTTCAACTGCGGAGCTGGCACGCCTCCACCCAAGATCATCACCGGCCTGAGTAACCTTCGCACGGCAGAGAACCTCGCCAAGCGGGCTCAAACCACCATGGACTACGAGTCCGACATCACCATCCCACTACACCTGCATGCCGTCACCAAGGTCGGCGACCCCATGGACCCAGACGTCCTCTACAAGCAGTACCTCGTCATCCAGGACGCTTATGCCCAGTACGGCATCCACTTCGTCCTCGAGGGCATGACACGCTACGAAGACGACAAACTGTCCTTTTTCAACTCGACTCGCTTCTTCGGCGTCGGCGACAACGACGACCGCATGTGGTATGTCGGCCACACTCGCAAGGGTGGCTACGACACGCTCAACATCTGGTTCTACGACGACATGGAGGAGGGCATGAACGGCGTCTGCACGTTCCCCCATGACGACGACCCCCAGGACTCCCTCTGGCGAGACGGCTGCCATGTCCTCGCCGGCACCATGCCCGGCGGTGACCGCGAGTTCTACAATGTCGGCTACACTGCCATTCACGAGGCTGGCCACTGGCTGGGGCTTATGCATCCGTGGGGCAACGAGGTGGGAACCTGCGATGGCGATGGCGATCTGGTCGACGACACGCCCCCGCAGTCCGAGCCGTCGTTCAAGTGTCCTGTCAAGCCCGACTCGTGCCCAAAACATCCGGGCTTCGACAACGCCTGGAACTTCATGGACTATGCCGACGACACGTGCGAGGGCGAGCAGTACTTCACACCGGGCCAGAGAGTCCGCATGCACCACAGCTACCTGAAGTACCGCTACGGCAAATAGGTTGCTGGCATGTCATTTTATCTGCTTTTGAGCGAAGTTTTACACGACGCAATGATCACATATATTCGTATTTCGAGCATTAAAAGGCGTTTTGTGGGAGAGACCGGATTTATTACCATCTCGATTTCTGAGCGTTATCTGGACATGATACCATATTTAGCATTTCTAGGAAAAAGACAGCCCTTGGGTCTGAGACACACGATCAAGGGACATTTGGAGCTTGTGCACAGGTGATCGTGACTTGGGCCATGCCGCGCTATGTATCACGACTAGATCTCGATTCCTCGGGATACATGTCTACTCTAATTTGGAAATCAACCGACGATCTGCCGCCCCTCAACCTCGCGTCTCTCAACATCCAGCACGAGCGGCCCGCCCCCGGGACCGCCAGCATCCAGGCTGAGCGTGACCTGGGTGCGATCAGCCACAACGCGCACCGTCTCGCCAAGGTTCCGGTAGTCGGTCTCTATCGCGACAAAGTCACCCGCACCCCCAGCACCGCCGTCGCTGTCGGTACTCCCGCTGCCGCCGCCAGCAGCAGAACTTCCACCACGAATCTCACGTATCTCAACGTTGGGGTATGGCAGCCAGCCCTCCCGCAACGGGATCAGCAGAAGCGGTATGTCTGCCTCTGTCTCCAGAGTGCTAGTGAGGCCGTCGTACTCATCCACGTTTCCTCCATCAGCACCACCACCAGAGGAGCGGGGCACAGGCGCAGGGATAACAAAGTGCCCCTTTTTCCTCCCGCCCAGGAGCCACGAGTCCCCAGGGGCCATGACCTCATAGCTGAACTCCAGATCGGACTGGTTTTGCGGCGGCGTAGCCGTGTCCCACGCCCGTGTCCACTTGAGGTGAAGGTTGGCAGGCACAAGCTGGTTTGTGCAGATCGGCGCGTCTGGGTCCACAGTAGCAGGGAGGAGCTGGATGTCTGTAGTGTGCACAATGGTTACAGGTGGGATATCCACCGGGATGAGGATAGTCCGGGGATCGTCCAGCTTTCCCCCAGGGAGGGCCAAGCTCGGGTGTGACTTTTGCCATTTCGCAAGGAACGTAGCAAGGAGTGCTGCTATGCTGTCACCGTTGCTGTCCTTGCCTAGCCCTGTAAAGAGTTGCGCCCAGTTCACAGAGGCCAATGGCGTTGTGCTGACACGTCCGAGGAGGCTGGCACGCTCGAGGTCGTGACTCGACATGCCTTGATGCATGTGAGGGATTACTGTCGTGGTGAGTAATCTCGAGTAAGTGGACAGTGGCGTGCCTTTCAGTTCCGCTTGGATGCTCTCGGCAAGAACCTGCTCGACGTCGTCCTGAAGTACACTGTATGCCAGCTTTAGATACATGGTCTTTGTGACCTTGGCGTCAATCTTGACGCCCGCCCGTCGCTTGATCTTGTAAAGTAGGCTTGCTGGCTGCTTGGGGAAGATGACGATGGGATCTTGTGGTGGTAGGCCGAAATCCGAGTCGAACAGCTCGCACTTCTGCAAGTCGGCTTCGTACACACGAATGGGGCTCTGGCTGGCAGTGGAGACTGTAAATCGCGAAAAGAGGGCGTTGTGCTTAAAAATGTCCTGCACATTGACGCCCAGAGCCAAAGAGACGGGCACACTTGGCGACTTTGAGAAGCTGTATTCGCCGTGCGCAGTCTTGTAGGACACCTCGATTCGTACTGCAACATGCAGGACCTCGTGCTCCACCGTATACGGAAACCGCACTTTGACTGTTGTCCCGGCCGGCACGGCCCCGTACTGGAAGCAACCACTTTCCGACGACCTCGAGAATTCGATGCTGTCATCCATGCATTTTGCCTCGCTGGTTAGTATACGCAGTCCCCCAGTCGCAGCCTTGACCCGGATCTCGGCGCTGACGATCTCGTTCCATCCGGACTCGAGATCAATATCAACCGTGTTATTGCGGTCAAGTTGAATATGCTGCGATGCAGAAAGCCTGACATCTAGTGCCTCTGCGCGATGGTACAGTGCCACTTGCGGCGACGTGAGCAACTCTCCCGGCGCCTTTGGTGATTGTCCGAGTGACCGGTCATGGAAGAGACAAAGCTTGTCTGCGAGGAGCTCAACTCGATCGACCTCGTACGAGCCCGGGATACAGACCTACCAATTTTAGTACGAACATCAACCACTACGCTTGGATATGATGGAAAACTTACATTGCTGTCCAGACGTAGTGTGGTCTTTCCGGGCTCTATAACGTTCATACCTGAGCTTTCGAACCATATCTCTTGGCGCATACCGCTTGATTTGCTCGCGACTCTGACACGAGCTTTCGTCAGCTCGAGACTATCAGCCAGAAGACTTTGTAGGTCCAGCTTTAGAGTAACACCATCGCGACCGTCATGATAGTCAATGCCGGCAACCTCCAACTTGGCAAAGAAGCTGGAAAGCGGCATCAATGTGTCTTTGGATAATTCTTTGACTTCCGCCTGCAAGTCAGGCAAGAAACCTTTGATTACGTCCGTATCGGGATATTCGACTTTGCGTGGGGCAATGTGCAGCACGGCCTTACTCTCCAGCCTCTCCCTCTCCGCACTCGCAGCTTTGGAGAGCAGCTTGAGCATGACTTTGACGTATTCGTCCTTCCTGCCGAGCCTCTTCAGGCAGTCCGTGTACATGACGAGCATTGAGAGCTCAAGCAGAGTCCAGCCGCTTTCGCCAAAGAAAGGTGTTGCTCTCCAGAAGTAGGCGGATGCCACATTGTATTCTTGCAGGTGATATTTCAGAACAGCCAAGTCTGCCATGTTTGCTTGCACCGAATGATCATGGTTCGCGACAGTATAATGACGTAGGGTCTTGTCCGTCAGCGTTTCGTACAGGCGGTAAAAGTCGTCTTTGTTGTCCAGACCTGTGCTGAGCAGCTTGCTGTCAACGCCGTGAATCGAGGTGTACGGTGTTGATCTTCCACCGGACTTTGGGCTAGCCACTGTGTCGTCGTCTGCCAGGTCGATTTCAACCATGTCGACCATGGTAGACTCGCCGATTACAGGGACTGTAGCCCAGCCGCTGTCCCAGCCTCGCTTTTTGCCAGACTCTTCCAAAATGTTTCGCGAGAGGGCATAGAGCTCTGCTCTCCTAGCAGCAAGCTCTTCTAAGCCTGCCTTGATGAAGTTGTTGGTGGCTGGGTCGTCGTCCGGAACACTTGTGTGAGGACCCGGAAGCGCATCAGGGCTTGAGGGTGGCCGAACAGACGTCGGACCCGTCCGAACTCGTAATGAAGAGCCTCTAGCTGGATGCATCATGGTCTTGGGCTCAGGGATTGTTGACTTTGGCTCTTGAGCATTGGAGGGTGTCAAGGAAGAGGGCGGTATAGGCAAAGCCTTTGTTGCAGATTGAGCAAGAATCTGCTGGGCAACGTTGAACCCAAAAGAAGCCACCATGTTGTCGATGACCTCGTTGACCACGGGGTCTGAAACTGCCGCCTCAGCACCGTCCTCCTTGCTGATTTGCGCAAGAGCGGCCAGTATGTCCCTCCTCATAACTTGCGATACTGCGGGGATGAACTCTAGAGTCCGTCTACAGATTTCGGCCAGCATAAGAAGTACTTCATGCTCGCTTTCCTTCTGCTTCGGGGGCGGTAGTCGTGGGGCGACGCCAAGGAGAACTGATTCTTGTTGCTCTTTAAGTTTCGCGAGCAGTTCCTCCCTTGTCGACCAAGCGTTAGCAAGTCGCAAAAGGAGCGATACTTGCCTGGCGAAGATGTAGCAACGAAAGTCAAAGATTGAAACATTGTTCGCGAGGATCATCTCGCGGTAAGGCTTCTTGCTTGAGCTCACGGGGATCTCGTCAAGTTCCGATTTCATCTCTGAGGATGCACTCTGGCCGGATTGCAAATCCACGGTCTCTTCCTCAAACTGCAAGTCAGAACCTGCCATGGCCGCCCTTGCCTTCTGAGCGATCTTCTTTAGCTCTTCAGTGTACGTGGGCAGTGCGTTTGCGGTTGATCGAGAGTCACCAAGTGCTAGCTCATTCACAACCACATCGAGTCCAACACTTAGCTCGTCGTAGCCGACCAAGGCATCTTCAACCAGCCCAACGCTTTCAAATCCGCGGGCTAGGCCCTCCTTGAGGATGAAGAAGGTGCAAAAGTTCCAGCCCGGCAGGCTCCTCTGGCCATCGCGTTCTTTGATGTCTTCCTCGTACTGGCTGACGCGGGAGTCGAAGCTAGACAAAATTAAGCTCCGGAACTTGGTCAACAGATCCTCCCAGGCAGCTCTGCTCTCCTGCTCGGACTCGGTGTAGCCTGATGGTGGTGCCGGCACCACGCGTGGTAGGCTGTCATATGGCACATCATTGACACCAATGCGGATCTGAGCAATGCGGTCAACCGAGCTCTTGCTTGAGCTGTTGAAGTCTGACCTAAACTTTTCCAGAAGCGTGCTCGAACCCGGACGCCATCTGGATGTACTGCTCTTCTCCGAGCCCGACTCGGAGCTGGATTTTCTGGGCTGAGTTGCAGCGACCGTGTTGGGAATGACCACGTGGACGATGAGCCACTCGAAGGCGTCATGGTTCTCGGCGGCATTGGCTTTTTTGGAGCTCGACGTGGGAGGTGTGTTGTTCTTGATCCACTCCCGCACCTCGGCTCGTACCTTCGTCTTGTATGAGTCGTTGTCATCGCATCGCACGAGAAGAACCTTTAAGTAGGGTGTTCTCCTCAGACCGGGGATCTGATGCCTGCGGATCGGCACACTCAGGCGTTTAGGCGCCGACTTGGTCTCGGCAGATGTGGCTGCTGAGGGGCTGGTGCCAATCTGGGTCTGGAAGCCATCATCACTCGGGCCGAAGCTGTCGGTTCGCTCGAGTCGTGGTGGATTGGGATTCGCGGGCGATGTGACTGATGCTTCGGCAGAATCGCTGTTTGCGGTGAGCTCTATATGGAGAGTGTCGATGGACCGTAAGGGGCCGGCGTGGGACTGCCAATGTAGGTTGCGAAGGGGTAGCCGAGGTACCAGGCCGGGTGCGAGAAGCTTGTACACATCATGAGGATCAAAATACTCGACTGTTCCCAGCTTGGTAAGTCCGTGAGCGTGAGCGTGAGCGAGAGCATGAGCATGAGCATGACGCTGTAACAAGCAATCGCGATTGCAGGTATGTGAGCCAGGGGCACGAACCGTTGACCTTTGAGGTCGAGAAAGTCTGCTCCATGGCGAAGAGCGAACGCGCTAGTATATCATGGCTTCATTGTAGGGTCTGCAAGAGCAGTCGGCGTATCCTCCGAGAAGAAGACAGAGTCGCGTGATGGTTATGTGGTGAGCGTGGATTGGAGGCAGGTGAATCAAGCTGGGGAAGCTCGAGCCGACCGAGCACTTGCAGCGACCACGGGTCCTGGTGTCGCATGCGACAATGGCTGGGCCCCTAGCAGCCGTGTGGGGCATGAGCTACTGGACATGAGTTCAGGTCCCTGGGGGCGGCCAGTTCGGGACGGCAGGCGGTATGATGAAGGTCGCCAGGCACGATGTAAAATGATTGGCTGCGCATTTGCGCCATTGCGCCATCTGTCGATGGAGGGGCAAAGCGCGGCAGAATTTGTTCACGAGGTGCGGCGGGCGCTCCTTCTTCTCATATTCATCGACGACGGGTTTGAGAACAAATACGATAGAGGCCTTGCAATCCCTTCGCAACTGTTCCTATTGGAGATCCCTTCTCTTTTTGCTTTTTGTTAATAACGTCGCTATATTTGTCTGATCACCCTATCAGGATGTCTGGACTTCAGGCCATTCGATACTCGAGGGGGAAGTTGGAGGTTCTGGACCAGCTGCGTCTGCCTCACGAGCACCACTATGATCTCGTCAGCACTGCCGAGGAAGCCTTCGACTGCATCAAGTCGATGAGAGTGAGAGGCGAGTGTAGCACAGGACCATCACAAACTTGAAAAATTGTCTGACCATCCTTTCGTGACAGGTGCTCCCGCTATTGCCATTGTTGCTGCCCTCGCCCACGCAGTCGAGCTGCACAATGGCAGCTGTGGTGAGTATTCTTCTCGGAGCTGCGAATAACACCACACTACGACCCAAGACTAACCCATCGGATAGGTACAAGCTCCGCCGAGGACACAGTATCCTACATTGACTCTCGCCTAGACTACCTCTTCCTCAGCCGCCCAACGGCAGTCGACCTCGGCAACGCCATCACCAGTCTCAAGGCAGTCATCCGTGAGCACAGCTCACAAGGCAAGGACGCCATTATCGCCGCCTACATCGCGGCCGCCGAGGAGATTTTCCGCAAGGATACCGAGACTAATCTGCTCATTGGCGAGCACGGTGCCAAGTGGCTCATGGCCAATGCCCCGATCAAGTCGGCCGAGGATAAGGTGTCTGTTCTGACGCACTGCAACACTGGCTCGCTTGCCACTTCCGGCCACGGCACTGCTCTGGGCATTATCCGCTCACTCTTCACCGGCGGCGACCTCCATCACGCGTTCTGCACCGAGACCAGGCCATACAACCAAGGCAGCCGGCTCACGGCCTTTGAGCTTGTCTACGAGGGGATCCCTGCTACGCTCATCACAGATAGCATGGCCGGCGCTCTCTTCGCGACCAGGAAGCAGGAGTCCAGCATAGCGGCGGTCATCGTGGGCGCCGACCGGGTTGTCAGGAACGGCGACACGGCGAACAAGATCGGCACCTATGCGCTTGCCGTCCTCGCGCGGCACCACGGCATCAAGTTCATCGTCGCTGCTCCGACGACTTCGATCGACCTGCAGACGGAGACAGGCTCTGCCATCAAGATCGAGGAGCGCAAGCCCGAGGAGCTCACGCAAATTACCGGTGCCGTTGTCGGCACGGACGGCAAGGTTGACATTACCCGCTCCGAGCGGGTAGCGATTGCGCACCAGGATGTCGGGGTGTGGAACCCAGCATTCGATGTCACACCTGCTGAGCTCATCGACGCCGTCGTCACAGAGAAGGGCGTCGTCGAGAAGGGCGCTAGTGGTGTCTTTGACTTCCGCGACATCATGCCAGAGCGATGGGCGGCCGTTGTGAAGGCTTAGTGTTGCGGCCAAGCTGGAATTAGACTCGTTCAAGTATATATCTATCAGCCTCCATCAGTTACCTAGCGCGTGCAGAATCAACTTCTTGTAACCTTCCACCGCATCCTCCATATCTTTGAGCTTGAGCGCCTCATCCGGGCCGTGGGCAACCAGAATCGAGCCAGGCCCATACAGGTATTTGGTGTGGGTGCCGCGAAAATTTGCTACATCGGTACCATAGTTCATCACGGCAGTCTCGAAGCCGTCCACATCGCATTCGCACTTGACCACACCATAACCGGTGTAGCACTGGTACTCGATCCCTTCCTCGTCGACGCTCTTGAGCACGTCGATCAAGCGATCCACCACAATCTGACTGCCCCCGTCCTGCGGCCCAATCGCCACACGGCCGGCAATCTTGCTCGTGGCCTTCTCGGGGATGACGTTTGGCGCCACGCCGCCCTGAAGCAGTCCGACGTTGACCGTCGTGTTACCATACTCTTCGCTGCTCCCGAGATCTGTGTCAAGAACCTTGGTGAGCGCGCGCATGAGCACCTCGTTTGCACTCTTGCCGAGCCATGGATACCCGCTGTGCCCGGCCTTGCCGTGCACGGTGATCTCGCAGTCAAAGAACCCCTTGTGCCCGCACGCGAGCTTGCCCTCGGTCGGCTCGCCAAAGATGGCCGCGCGCAACTCGAGCGGCGGATCTCGCCTCGCGACGGCGTCCGAGAAGACGCGCATGCCGTCGCCGCTCCGCTCCTCGCCGACGACGAAGAGCAGCATGACGTCATCTTCGCGCTCGATCTCCTCAGCTTCGAGCAGCTCGAACACCGCAATGATCTGCGCGGCCACGCTGGCTTTCGCGTCCACGCTGCCGCGGCCGGCGATGACCGTCTCCCCGTTGATGGCACGGCCGTGGTCGGACCGCAAATATGGAATGAACGGGGGGACAGTGTCGATGTGGCTGGTCACAAGGACCTTGGGAAACGGCCGCGGGCCGCGTGAGCCAGGCCAGGCGACCACGTTGAAGCGCGCCTTGTCGTCCTCAGAGGGGCCACTGGCGGTTTTGTTTGACGTGGGGAGGAACTGCTTATACACGACAAAGTCGCGCTCGGTGAGATAGTCGACAAGAAACTGGCCGACCTCGCTCTCGTCGAAGCTAATGGACTGGATGTCGACGAGAGACTTGTGGAGAGACACAAGATCGTCACGATATGAGAGTGCCTTGTCGACGACAGGTAAGATTTCCGGCACGCCGCCCAGCGGGATTTGCTCGTGCCAGGCCACGGTCGCCTGGGCAAGGCTGCTGGCCAGGAGCAATTGAGCTGTCAGGACCTGCATACTTGCGGTGAGAATTGGTGACTTGAAGTCACAGACGACTTCAGGATTGAATCTCCTGCTGGGGTGAGGAGAATTGGAGGAAGAGCTCAAGTGTTGGGGTAGCAAGCTGCAATTGAGCAATGGGAGAGGTTGGTGAAGCTCCCGACGGGCCCCCATTGGCCACTAAACCCCGCCTCTTCGCTTTCGAGGCACCACCCCCCGCAGCGCTAATCCCACCTTTAACCCGCCCCCGATGCCGGCCACACCCCGGCGAGGTCACAATTTCGTCCTAGATAACAGATGTTAAATTACCATGAACATGGCAATTCTGCCGTTTTGGGAAAGGTGTTTCTTTACCTCTTCGCTCCATGGAGTCATATGAGCGTTGTTTGAGGATGGTCGCCTATAGTTGAGCTGCCAGGTTTGTCTCAACGTTTGCTTATTGCGAGGCAAAAGAGGCTGGAAAGGTTCATAACTGCCCGCCAAGATGGGAGTAATGACAACGTCGCGAGCTCTTCTTCCCATAGGGGATGGAATGATATTGGTTCTGTATCTATAATTCTATAAAAACCATTTGAAAAAACTGTCCTGAAAACAATCTATGATGATACCAGCCTAAGCCAGAGCATAGCTCACTCTACTAGTCCCCTTGGACCTGCCAATTTTCCTCACAGTCGTCTTGCCGCAGAGCTTCGTCGACTCGACGTGTGTTCCGCCACAAGGATAAGACTCGGCCCCGACGATTGTGACTATCCTAAACTTCTCCGTGTCCGTCATGCCCAGCGCCTTCCTGTCTGGGATCAGCCGCTCGAGGCCGTGGGATTTGAAGTCGCCCTCGTCCCACCACTCAATCTCGACCGGCATGTCCTTCTCAATGTACTCGTCGAGCTTGGCCTGGAAAGTCTCTTTCCACTTGCCCTCGAGCACGCCTGCAAAATTACACGCCGCCATGCCCGGCGCATGATCCGCGTTAAGCTCGTCGAATCCAGGCACCGAGTCCTGCGCGCAGTGCCGCACCGCAGACCCGAGGACATGGCCGGCCGTGTGGTAGCGCGAGTAGAGCAGCCTCTTCTCCGAGTCGATTGTCTGCGTGACGCTGTCACCGGCCTTGAAATGCGCACCGGCTCCACCGAAACGGCCGAAATGCAGAACCTCTCCCTCTGCCGTGGCGCTCATGCGCACGAGCTTGACGTCGAATTGCGACGAACCATCTTCGCTCTTGATGGTGCCCTCGTCAGACGGCTGGCCGCCGCCTTGTGGGTGGAATATTGTCTCCTCCGTAACGACGACTTCGTCGCCTTCCTGTGCAGCCTTGTAAAGAGCCTTGTCGGCGTCTTGCAACGAGGCGAACGGGCGGACGGCGAGGACGGCCGTTGTAAGGCTGTGCAGCTTTGCATTGCGCTGGAAGACTTGTATTGTGCGTTGCACCGCCGCCATTTTGTTGGGGAACTGTTGTAAACTCTGAAGTGAATGTATGGATGTCGTATAAATAAGTGTCTATGCCGATACCATGTGTTTTGGCGAACCAGTAAGATATGAAGGTGTAGTGTCTATATAGATGTCTGGTGAAGTGAACGTATGCTTATCCATGGTTGTCCAAATGCGCCCTTGCGGTGGGTCTTTGTCAAGGTGAGAACCCCGGGCGCTAGCATCGAGTTGACTACATGTACTGATCCATCACGTTCTACAACTTTCCGTGTCTGGTAAACTGCCTCGTACGGATAAAAAGGGCATACAGAGTCATGGCTCAATGGTGACAGATAGCTTTCATCTATTGCAAGCTTGGATGCAAGCTTTTCTTTATGGACAATTATTGTATATGCTAGGAACCGCGTGTGCTCAGAAAAACTCGCTCATAAGGTGTTCTTGAAACCCAGATATGCAGAATTGATGTCGAGCTCCAGCTCGCGCGCTTGGTGCTCGCTGAGTTCTTCGGTCGCCCTCATCTGGTTTAGTGTGATGAGCCACTGGACAATCTTGCCTCTGTTCTCAAAGTCGCGATCGGTGACCTTGTTGACGCTCTGGATCACGTCAGTGAGGAGGGGATGCAGCTGGTCCTTAGCAAGAAGTCCCAGCCTCAAGGCGTCGAGGAACGTGATAAAGTCCTGTGTCGCCTCCAGAATCAGTGCGCCAGACTTGTTGTTTGTTGCTGCGGCAGGTTGAGCGGCAGTGCCGGTGGGTACCACCAGTGCTGTGGACGGCATCCCAGCCTTGAGACGCTCAGTCGCCCTGGGTACCTCGAGCTGCAGACGGAGAGTGGTCAGTGGTTTCTATTCACCCACGCGTCGAGAGTCACACCTTTGAACGAAAAGATGGAGACGGCAAAGACATACATCCCACTCTGCCTTGAACTCTTCGAGCCCGACAAAGGCCTTTGCCACTGCCTCGTCTGAAGTGATGGACTTGTACTGCTTCAGTGACCGCTCGCAGATCTCAGTGTAATCTGCTTCGGGTATCGCATCTTTCAGGAAAGCCCTCTCCAGCTCGTCGAGAGTGACAATGATGGAAAATATCTCGGCCAGAGAGTCCTGCAAGTCGCGCTCGGCGCGACTCTCTGCCAGCTTCACCTCCTGGTTCCCGCGATGGCGATTAGCGGCTGCGGGACGGCGCTCTGCAGGGAGGGGCCACAAGTACCTCATCCAGATTGATTGTTGCAGACAGCGTTGTGTCTGGAACATAGCTGTGTGGTGTCGGCGCATAGGCGGCCTGGCGTGTGGTCATCTTGACGGCCGGACAACAGACCTGCTGTACATAAACGGGGACAACAACATCAAGTTGTCTCCGGTCCGGATGCTAGGTCTAGGCATCTTTAAAGTGGCAGTGGTACCTGAGGGCTGATCAGCAGGCAACGTCTCGCATTCCAGGTCCCCACAGTATCTGCCTGCCGCTTGATGCAAGCGCTCGCTCGGGCACTTGGGCAGGCGGCAGAATCGCACTCACCACCTGCTTCTCCGAGTGCCCTCCTCGGGCCTAGGCAGTTCCACCTCTGTGGGGAAACCCCGATAAGCACGCTTCCAGGCCGCGATAACAGCCCGTCCCTCGATTTTTTTGGAGCGCCCAAAAAAGTTGGCCTGGCCTGGCACGCAGGCAGGGTCTCTTGGACGGAGTGCAAAGCTGCAGCCAGCTCTACTTTTCGGAGCCGCCTGTCCAACAACTTCCTACAACACCAGCCTGGCCTGTCACTCCACACACAAACAGGCACAATGGCGGGCGCAAAGAAGAACTTCAAGGCGACCAAGAAGTTTGAGGCCAAGCACCTCAAGGGCGTCCTCGACCAGCGCAAGTCTGTCGCCAAGCTCAAGCAGCGACAACAGATCAAGACCAAGAAGCAGGCAAAGCACGCACGCGATGCCGAGTTCTACAAGGGCGGCGAGGGCGAGGAGGGCGCGGCGCCCAAGCCCAGAAACTCCAAGACGGCCAATGTCAACGACATGAGCGTAGACGACTTCTTCGGCGGCGGCTTCGAGATTATCGACAAGGCGCAGCCTGGCAAGAAGGGCGCTAAGAAGCAGACCGGCAAGAGGAAACGGGACGATCCGACCGGGGATGACGACGAGGAGAGCGACTTTGACATCTCCGACGTCGAGCAGCCGCAGGCCGACGGCGTCGAGGACTCGGACGAGGATGCGTCCGACTTTGGCGCCAACGACATCAACATGAGCAAGGCGGCCATGGAGAACCTGGCCAAGGACGATCCCGAGTTCTACAAGTTCCTGCAAGAAAACGACCCCGACGCGCTGGCATTTGACGACGACGATCTAGCAGAGGTTGACGACCTCAGCGGTAGCGACGCTGGCGAGGACGAGGAGCAGCCAAAGAAGAAGAAGCAAAAGAAGGACAAGAAGAAGAAGGCGGCGGAAGAGGACGATGAGGAGATGGCTGGTGCTGACGAACTCACTGCGCCAATGGTGGCCAGGTGGAAGCAGTCCTTGTCGGACAACTACTCTCTCCGCGCCGCGAGACAAGTCGTGCTCGCCTTCCGATCTGCCGCATACTTGAACGAGGAGGATGCCGAGGACCGCAAGCAGAAGTACACGATTTCAGACCCGACAGTCTTCCACGAGATCTTGATGGTGGCTCTCAAGCAAATCCCAGAGGTTCTCAACCACCATCTTCCCATCAAGGAGTCCACGAGCGGCAAGATCCAGGTTCCTACGGAGAACAAGAAGTTCAAGACATTGTCCGCCCTGCTGCGGTCCTTTGTTTCTGCCATCCTTCATCTCCTCACCACGCTCTCCGACGATGCGACCCTCAAACTTACCCTCTCCGCACTGGAGCCGCTCGTGCCGTACCTCCTGAGTTTCCGCAAGCTCCTCAAAGCCCTGATCAAGACGGTCGTGGCTTTCTGGTCGCAGGCCACAAGCAGCGACTCGACAAGAATTACGGCATTCCTCGTGATGAGGAGGCTGGTTGTGATTGGAGACAAGGGCGTCCGCGAGGCTGTGCTGAAGGTGACATACCAGGGCCTGCTGGCTGGCGCTCGTGTCACAAACACCAACACGGTGCAGGGCATCAACCTGATGAAGAACTCTGCCGCCGAGCTGTGGGGTATCGACCAGACCATCGGCTACACGACAGCCTTCAGCTTTATCCGGCAGTCTGCGATCCATCTCCGCAACAGCATCGTGCACAACCAGAACGACTCGTTCAAGACCGTCTACAACTGGCAATATGTTCACTCTCTCGACTTTTGGTCGTGCGTGCTCGCCGAGCACTGCAGCCCGCTCAAGGAAGCCGAGGCCGGACGCGAGTCCCAGCTCAGGCCGCTCATCTACCCTCTGGTGCAGGTGACCCTGGGAGCGATGAGACTGATCCCGACATCCACCTATTTCCCCCTCCGCTTCCACCTGATCCGCTCCCTGCTCAGATTGTCCCGCTCGACGGGGACGTACATCCCGCTGGCGTCGGCGCTGCTCGAGGTCCTCAACGCGGCCGAAATGCGGCACAACCCAAAGGCCACGACCATGAAGCCCCTCGACTTCGCCGTCAACTACAAGGCGCCCAAGTCGTACCTCCGGACGCGCGTGTACCAGGACGGCATCGGCGAGCAGGTCGTCGAGCTCTTTGCCGAGTACTTTGTCCTGTGGTCCACCAACATTGCCTTCCCCGAGTTCGCGCTGCCCGTCATCATCACGCTCAAGCGCTGGCTGAAGCAGTCGCGCAAGAAGAGCGGCGGCAACAACAGCAGCAACAACAACAAGCTGCGCACGGGGCTCGTGCTGCTCGTGCAGAAGCTCGAGGCCAACGCCAAGTTCATCGAGGGCAGGCGCGCCAAGGTCGACTTTGCGCCAAAGGACCGCGCCCAGGTAGACAACTTCCTCAAGGGCTTCGAGTGGGAGAAGACGCCCGTGGGCGCGTACGTCGTCGCGCAGCGCAGGGCGGGCGCCGAGAAGGCCAAGATGCTCGAGCAGGCGAGGAGGGAGGACAAGAAGAAGCGCAAGGAGGAGGAGCAGGAGGCGCTCGAGGACAGAATGCCCGAGTCGGATGACGACGACGAGGAAGAGGAGGAAGATGACGACGATGTCGACGAGATGTCGGAGGATTCGGAAGACGACGAAGAGTAGAGACAGAGAGTAGAGTTAACTCTGTCTGTCTGAGCGAGAAAAGACTGGAGAGCTGTTGCATAATCTGCCTGTAGATAAAAACAGGCCCCTTGAGTTTGTCCATGGCGTTAGAAGGGAACAACAAGTACATTTCGAGTCCGCAATTCTGAGCCTCTGACCTCATTCGTTCTTGTCCATGGCCTACAACTTATAACTCCCCCATGTCTTGTCCTTGGCGCGTTTTCGTAGCTAAGCCACACGCAATCCGAGGCATAAATCAAGATGGGCTGGGGCTTACGAAATGGACCATTACGACTAACGAGCTCGTCACAGATCATGAGACCTTTTTGTGTCTTGTGGCTAGTATCTCTTTCTTTCTAGGGACACAATACTGACAGCCTCGTCTTTTGTAACTAGATAATAGCACGCTTGTTTCAAGCTGCGTGATGTTTAATAGTTACCTGAGAACTATGGCTCCCACAGAACGCAATCACGCACACGATGTCCTGTCACAACAGCTTCCGCGTATGATACGGGCTCTGCAATTCGAAGTCATTAAGACCAGCAGCATGTCTCATACTTCGTCATTATATAGATTCTTTTGTTTGGGTGTGCATCTCAGCACTCTAGAAGGAGTACATGCCTGCCTTTTATCGAAGAGCGCTCCTACAAAGCACGGATACCCCAAAGCTAACTCCCAAAGAATCGCAGACAAGTTCTAACTACTGCCTCTCCAGCAGCATGACCTTTGAACCATAGTCCTCAACAGGGAACATGTACTGCACGCCGACATTCATGAGCGTGGCGCCGGAGAACGTGCCGTTCCCATCGAGGGCGTACCTGGCGCTGGGGTCCAGGCCCTGCAGCTTGAGATAGGGAAGCTGGTGGTTCACGTTGGCGCGGGTCTGGAAGTAGAAGACGGCTGCCTTGTCGCCCTCCGGGGTTATCCACATTGCCGCGGGCCAGTTGGAGTGTTCGGGCAGGGAGAGGCGGTACATGTCGCCCTGGATGACGATGGGGTTGACCTGATCGGCGAGGCTGATCAGGGCGGGGAGCTCGGCACGCTCGTCGGCGGTCAGGTCGGCCGGGTTCAGCTCGAAGCCGAAGCTGCCACCCATCATGGCCACGTGCGCGCGGTAGGCGAGCGGGGTGACACGGCCGGCCTGGTGGTTAGGAACAACGGAGACGTGAGCGCCCATGGCGGAAGGGGGATAGGCCAGGGACGTGCCGAACTGGATGCCAACACGGTTGAAGCCGTCGGTGTTGTCGGATGTCCAGGACTGCGGGAAGTAGTGCATGATGCCCGGGTCGAAACGGCCGCCACCAGATGCGCATCCTTCAAAGAGGACATCGGGGAAGCGCGTGGTTAGGGTATCAAGAACGCGGTACAGGCCAAGCATATACTGGTGGCTGGCGTACGAGGTCGTGGTCTCGTGCATGCCGCGGTTGTTGTCCCACTTGACGTAGGTTACCTTGGCGGTGTCGAGAATGTTGGCGACAGAGTTGATGACGTGCTCCTGGACCTCAGGCAGTGCAAGGTTGAGGACGAGCTGATTACGGCGAAGGGTACGCGGGTAGTCGGCGGCGTGAAGGACCCAATCTGGGTGTTTGCCATAGAGCGTCGAGTTGGGGTTCACCATCTCGGGCTCGAACCATAGGCCAAACTGTAGCTTGTCGGAAGAGTTGCCCGACTGCAGCTGGGTAATCTCGTCAACAAGGGGTCCCAGCCCATCGGGGAACTTGGCCTTGTTGACCTGCCAATCACCCAGACCCAGCGAGTCGTTGTTGCGAGGGAACTCGTTGCCAAACCACCCGTCGTCGAGGACAAAGAGCTTGACGCCAAGCTCGGCAGTGGCTCGCGCAAGGTCCAAGACCGTGCTCTGGTTGTAGGCAAAGTACAGGCCCTCCCAGCTGTTGAGCAGCGCAGGGCGCGGCTCCGTGGCGAACTTGCTGCGAATGAGGTTCTTGCGGAAGAGGTTGTGGAACTTGCGCGACATGCCGCCGACACCGGCGTCTGAGTAGATGGCGACACACTCGGGTGTTGTGAATGTCTCGCCGGGCTTCAGGGGCCAGGCGAACTCGTAGGGATTGAGACCAAGCGTTGCTCGGAGCGGGCCCTGTGAGGACTTCTCGACGTCGACAGAAAAGGAACCAGTGTAGACCAACGAGAAGCCCCAAGCGTCGCCGCGGCTCTCGGTCGTGTCGGGAGATACAAGAGCGAGGAAAGGGTTGTGGAAGTGGGAAGAGTAGCCGGCCAGAGATCCGAATCTGGCAGTCATCGGATAGTCAGTATTGCTCCCATGGATACTCTCTGTTTCGCCGTCGAGGGTCTTACCCTTGATTTCCATACTCGACGCTCCTCCGAACTCTCTGAGCTTCTCTGGCCCAATCACCCCGAAGGTAAATCATCTCGTAGTCTGCAAAGGGGAGGTCGACGCTCAGACTGGCAGCCTTATCGAGAACGATGTCGTTCTCGCCCTTGTTGGTGATGTTGACACTGCGTACGACGGCATCGTGCTCGGCGAAGATGGAGTAGGACATGTCGACAGCAATGGCGCTGTAGTTGTCATACAGGTGCACGATCAGCGTCGACACCTCGCCGGCCTCGCCGAATGTCGAGGGGAGGCCGCTAAGCGCGGGCTTGCCCTCCACAAGCTCATGCGACTGGTATTTGAGGTCGCTGACGGTGTAGGCCTTGCCGTCGCCAGCCTGGCGGATCTGGACGGCCGGGATGCGCATATCGCCGCGGCCTAGGTCTGGGTACTCGCGCAAGACACGTGAGGGGAAGCCGGCCCAGCCATCGGGCCTGGCGAGAGGCTCGACGAGACCATCCTCGGTGGCAAGGCCACCGAAGTGGTCATTGTAGAGGTCTCCCGTGTCCTCGTCGACGTGGAAGCGGTAGGACATGCCCTTGCCGTTCAGGGCAAAGGACTTGTCGTTGGCAACGAGAGCTGCGGTGAAGAAGGTTGTGTTAGTGCTTCGGGATTACCAGAAGGTGCCGCGGCAGTTGCGGTAGGCATTGTCACTCACTCTCAATGGATCCATCCTGAGCAGTAACTGGGTGCTGGCAGAGCGCACCGAGGGCAATGGCTGCCAATGGTGCCCGAAACGATTTGGCAAGCATCCTGTCGACCCGGAGTCTGAACCTGTGATGATGTCTGGCTGCAGGGTCTGCTGGACCGGTGAGTGCGACTCAGGATACGCACAAGACCATTGTGCGGCCCGGCGCTCGTTATATAGCTCGATGGCCTTTAGCCGCGATGGGGCAGCCATGACACCGTCACTCCATGTGCCTGGGCGTGGCTAGCCCCGAGCATGGCCCTCTTGGATCATCGGCCCTGTCGCTGCCAGGGAAACAGAGGTGCTGCTACTCCCCGCCGTCGGGGTGATGCGCAGTCAGTCCATGGATGCTGATGCGGACCGGGGTCGCTCAAGTGAGGGGATGCCACGGACGGCGAAAAGTCGTGCCTGCCCAGTTGTCTCGCAGAAACTCTCGGATGTCAGTCATGGTTGGGGATGTTTCTTCTCCACGCGCGCTCTGGCGATCGTCTCTCTCTCCACACTTTGCTCGCCCCGCCGCCTCCAGACCGGCTCTTACCGGCATGCCTAATTAATCCTTTGGACCCATGCTCACCACAGCTTGGCCGCCTTCTCCGCACCGACGGCCACACGCAGTTTGTTTTTGTTTCTGGGACTTTCCATCTATGCCAAGGCTGTCGGTCCGGGATTGCACCCAGCAAAATGCCTCCTATGCTACGCTGACGACCAGGGCTCCGTGGTGTTTTGGCCGCCATGGTGCCGAATCACCTTGTGATCTTTCAGCCATGGCCCGCCCTTTCCTTCTCCCCTCTCTTGCAGAAGGGTTCAGCATGACTCGATCATGATTCCTTTCACTATATACAGCTCTGGAGTTTGCAGCTTGGAGCCGTTCGTTTTGCTTGACCCAATAGCTGACCGCTCGATCATTTCTCCGGAAACAAGCTTGTTTCCCCGGCGTCCCGACGGCCACACAGGCTGGCCTGGGGTAAGGAAGTGCCGCCGCTAGGCGTCCGGGTGGCTGGCTTGTGACATGCGCCAAGCCCCAGGTCTGTTGTTGGAGAAGTCCTTAGCGGGCGATTTCTTTCCTCTTCAGGGCACAAATTAGTCTTTTCACTAAAGCCTGGGGCAGTGGGGTCTGCACGAACAGCTCCAGTGTCCCGCAGGCGGGGAAAAGTCACTGCGTTCTTGTTCTTGTACAACTTCGGCGGAAAGCGCTCGAATCAGGTATGCCTCGCAGACAGGGCTACTCATCCGACATGCGCCCGTCACGAGGCCCCTGTCCTTGACTTGCATCCTGGTTACGTATTGAAAAATTTTCTGTCCTGCACATGTGCCTACCTCCAGGCTCTCAAGGGTCGTCCATATCCCCCAATCTCCCCCCATAACTTCGGGCGTGGTCCGGTACAGGGAGCCAAGCCCGCTCGAGCACTGCCAACGCAACAGGGCACCTTTGAGGACAATTTTGAGAGAGACACCTAAGCACCGCGGGAAACCACGACTGTTTACAACTTGGATCCGGCGGCTTTCGCATTCTTCATCTCCTGGCGCCAGGCCAGATCCCCGAGTATCTCCTCCGATCCACCGCCAACGACCATCATCCGCAGGTCTCGCGTGATCTGCTCGACTATCCCGCCTCCTCCGGGGCCGCCTCGCTGATACGCCACGCCGCCCATGACCTGCTGCGCCTCGCGAGCTGCCAGCTCGAGGATGCGGCCACCACTGACTTTAGCCAGCGCTATGCGCCCGGCGATCGAGTCGCTCTGCCAACCGTGCTTCTGGATGTGGTATGCGATCTGCTCGAGCCAGGCCCAGTGTGCCTCGACCTCTCTGGCGAGCGTTGTGATCTTGTGCCGGATGATCTGGTGGCTCGCCAGCGTCTGCCCAAAAGTCTCCCGCTCGTGGGCGTACTCGAGGGCCACGGTTAGGCAGGTGCGAGCCTTGCGATTGCAGCCCACAGACATCATGAACCGCTCCTTGTTGAAGTTGTTCATGATGTACTTGAAGCCGGCGTTCTCCTTGCCCAGCAGGTGGTCGGCCGGCACCCGGACCTGGTCGAGCCGCACCCAGCTGGCGCCGCCGGCGTTCTGGCCGCTGTTGTAGATCTTGTCGATGGTGACGCCGGGGGACTGCAGCGGCACCACGAGTAGTGATATCCCCGTGAGTCCCGGGCCTCCCGTACGCACTGCCGTGGTCATGTGTGTAGCCCACTGCGCGCCCGTGATCCACTTCTTGACTCCCGTGACGGTGTAGAAGGCGCCGTCGGCGCTCTTGACGGCAGTGGTCTTGATGTTCCCGACGTCGCTGCCTCCGCTCGGCTCCGTGATGCCGAGGCAGAAACTTGTCTCGCGGGTGAAGAGCTTTGGCAGCCACCGCTGCTTCTGCTCCTCGGTGCCGTGGTTGATGACCGGCGGGGTACCAATCCCGTTGGCTCCAGCGAGAGCAGAGCTCACGGCGCCGTCGATGCGAAACGTCTCATCCATCAGGACCAGGAAATGGAAGACGTCCATCTTCTCTGCAGGGATGCCGAGAAGCGTGCGGAACTTCTCTGGGCGGTACTGCGGCGGAATGTCGAGAAACGTGAGGCCAGAGTTGATGTAGTCGAGCTTGGCCTGGCTGGGGCAGTCGCCCTTCTCCTCCCATTCCAGGGCATGGGCGGCAATGTTGGTGTCTACGTACTCTCGCGCGTACCTCTGAAGTGCTCTGTGAGATTCGTCGTAGTATGGTGATTCGAGCGCGCCGTGCCAGGCGGGCTCTGCCCAAGGGGTCTTTGAGCTGAGGCTGGACATGGTGGGCTTGTGCTACGCCCAGCTCACAATGAGGCCTTCTCTAGAGCGGTGCCGACGAGAACACTGCAACGAATGGCAAGCTGTCCGCAATGGAAAGAGAACTGGCGACTGGCCGATGAATGTTTGAATAAGTATATATCTCCTCTCACAGAGCTGGCGTCAGCCGTCGGCGGTTGTTGGTGTCGTTGGTTTGAGCCGAGGCTGTCAGCGGCCATGCGCCACGGCCAAGCCTAGTCCCCAGTTGAGGATTCGGGGTTTGGGTTGGAGAAGTTCGGCACCCCCGCAAACCCTGTGTGCTCAAATCCGGGAGAGCTAGAAGACATGGCGCCATCGTCAAGGAATCGTACAAGAGTCGCCAAATCGAGCTGAAGCAATCAATGAGGTTATCCCTGGTCCATGACCCGACCGCAATACTTGTCCGCCTGCTCAGCAACAACAAGGTGGCGTTGCTGGCGCGAGAGTTGTTCGTGACACAGCAATAAAGGATTGAGTTCGGAGCTTCACACTTGGTCATGCTGCGAGGGGAGGATAACGTCCAGGCCTGACTGTCAAGTCTGCGACTTGCATCCGATTGTGGAAAGCCTCGAGACTGAATGGGCGTGTCTGCCTTTGCGGAGCGACTTGCAGCGAGTGTCCTGGTTATGCGTACCTTCAAAGGTTGTCAGCAGGGCTCCGCCTGCGCTCAGATGCAGCAGCGCAAACAATGCGATACAGCTCTATCGAGATGCAGAACCACACTCCTGGGCTAAGTTGCGCCCTTCGTCGGGGCCTTCATGCCCCTTGTGTACATGTCGATTGCCACAGGACAAGCCAACATTCCATCAACTCCCATCTATTTGCAGCAAATGACCACACTAAGCCGGCCTCCGCTTAACTATGCCACGTGGGTTGACGTCAAGGATTCCGCTGTGTGTGCTCTCTATCCACTTTGCAACTTCGCAGATCCAGGTCCTCCATCGCCAACCTGTCCTGTGCAAAGAAACAACCGACTTGCAAGTAGGAATGCGAAGGTGTGGCCGACTACCTTTCCGCTTCCAGTGTGAACTAGGCGGCGGGTATGCACGACACCTTGCAAGCAATGATCTCGATACATGCTCGAGATGATAGTCAGGGCACACATGCATCTGTACAAATGATATGGCCGCGCAGAAAGGGACTGTTGAAAGCCATGTGGGAGACGCCCCTGGCTGCGACTTGGGCCCCGACCCAGTGCGCTAGCGGGGACGTCTGGCCCGATTCGAAAGAGACAGACAGCAGGGCGGCTAACTTTGGAAGGCGCGGTGTGATGCCAGCCGTCATTGGCTGCTTCCCTGGCCGGCCACAGGGAGGTTATTTTGGGCGCGGCCAATCACAGGGCGTGTGCTGGGCGTGCCGCCCGCCCCACGCGCTGTCTTCCAGAGGTTGGACCCTCCCCAGTACAACACCACACCACTCCTCCCGCCCGCAAGCGCCAGGGCCTCGCGCTGATTCGACATCTGCCCAGCTCCTGCATGGCGTCTCCTCCTTTGCCAGCGCCTTCTGCCCCTCGTCGACATGGCCGCTTCGACACCGGCGCTTGCCCGGCACCAGGCCCGCCCCAGGGTCGCCCGGGTGGGACCTATGTATATGCTCTGCCGTCCCGGGCCCCAGGAACTTGGGTCAAGAATAATGGCCTTTGAGCTGTCTTCTCGTCCGGCCTTTTCTGCACTACATACCCGTCTACCCGCAGCGACACAAAGACTCCCAGACGGCAGAGCAGGAGCTATGCGGTAGTCAAAGTACGGTCTCACACGACGATCGATCGAGGCCACTCTTGAACAGTATTCACTGTCCACAAATCAGCCCGAGGCTCGTCGCCACGAACCCAGCAGGGCTCGCCTTTATACAGCCATGGCCAATCCTGCGGGACCCTCTGGAGGGTTCTCGCTGTTCCCCAACACCAGCGGCGTCAAGCCTCCTTCAAGGAAGACCACACCGGTTGGGCGCCCAAAGACCCCTCCGGGCGAGCCTGGAGGACGCGGCTTCTCTTTCGAGCAGTCCCCGCAACGCAACGGACGGAGCGGGAGGAGGACACCAGAGGACGGCAACTTGTCGCAATTTGTGATTGATGGATCACCATCCGCAGCAGACCATGCTCAGCCGTCCAGGCATCCCATAGAGCCAAGTCAAGGCGAGAGCTCGGCGTCACGACCAGCAGCTCTGCCAGAATATCCGCCACGGTCCGAGACGGCCTTCTCTGGAGCTACGTTGGTCCGCTCCGGAAGCAATCGCTCCAGGAGCTCCATCGCAAAACGCCCGCTAGAGCCAGAGGATCCGTCGTCATCGTCATCACCGCAACAACAGGACACGGGCCTTCGCTCAATCTTCCCCCAATACGACCACACCGTACCGATGGACCGCCAGGAGTATTTCCCCACACAAGTCAGCCCACGTCACATCCCACGAACCGTCATCAGTAGGCAGGAGAACTTGCCCCCAGCCGAAGTGAGGGCCCAGAGCCCGCCAGTCGCCAGCCCACTCAGAAGTCCCCTCAGCATGGACTCTACACGCAGGTGGCCTCGCAGGAACCAAGAACCTCCTGTGATCCCTCCGGTCAGCAGGACCGAGCAGCTTCGTGACTACTGGAAAGCCGCGAACGGCTGGAAAGCTTCACAGATGGAAGGCAGGACGTATTGTCTCAAGTTGACGCCTGAGAAGGACACGCCTATCTACACGCTCTCGTCGACTACCCAGCCACTCTACCATCTCAAGATAGACCCGACATCGGCTTCAGCTTATGTGTCGCTCAAGAGGCATGATCCATCGAGGCCGTGCAAAGAACAAGACCCCACTGCAGTGGTCAAGCCAGCTACAGGCATACTCGGTGCTATCCGGGACGCTGAGTCACGGCCTGCCTGGCAGGAAGCCATCAACACTACTCTAGAGGAGCCTTCGCGACGCCTGCCTCCGAACGATGGCCTGGTCGCACTGCTGTACCCTTGCGCTGCAACCAAGGTGGCGCTTGACAGACCAGACGACATTCAAGCAGTCGCAGCTGCGGAACGTGAATGTGCGAGGCTTGTGTGGGACGACGATAGCAAGAACTACTATCTCGTCCATCCAGCCCTGGCTACACCATTCTGCATCACCATCGAGCATAATCCGGCGTGGTCTCGCACAGAGTACACACTAGAGCATATCGAATCTCCACAGCATCTTGCCAAGCTCACCCGCGAGGGCACCGGAGATGGCTACATGGAGTTGGACACGCTTGTGGCTGGCCATATCGAGGCGTACTACGTGCTAGACGTTGCCGTGTGTGCTCTCATGCTTGTCGCGAACCTGGACGAGAAGAACGTCCTGGTCGAGTCATTTGAGCCACCTCCACCACCGGCGGTCTATCTTGGCGATCACGAGCGTCGCAGCAGCAGTCGCCTGAGCCATTTCCTGGCTGGCTCCGCTAGTGTTACCGGTCGCCAGACCCCAGAGAGCCACAGCAATAAAAAGAAGACCAAGAAGAGCAAGACTCGTGCGAGGATGGAAGAGCTGGAGCTCGACCTCGAGAGCCAGACCAGCAGCGTAGCTGGTGGCAAGTTTGAGGTCAAGGATAAACACAAGCTTCCCAGCACGACCCGCACGGTCATCAAGCTGATTGGCATCATCTTCAAGCTCATCATCTGGATACTTACGGTCCTCTTCAAGGCAGTCTCGGCGATTGTCGTGGGCCTGAGTAAATGTATCACGAGTGATAAGCTGTAGGAACAGAGTGGTGTCTCAATCTGGCTTGGGAAGATTTGATGAAGACAATAGCGATGAATGGTTTCGTACAAGCGCGGGCGTGCACATAGCGAATTCAGGTTTAATGGGCAGCATTTCAATATTTCGCTCATATTTATGCTGGGTAATTTCTCTGTACATATAGTCAAATCTTATCTTGTCCACTCGGAATCAGTTGTTCTTGACACGATAATATGCTCCTGTTGATGCTTTAAAGACTCTATGACGCCAGAACGCCCTCTGATCCCAAAAGTGTCTCTTGGTCCTTAGTCACTCCTATCTTTAACGAGACTTTGGATGCCTCAACACACTACCCACTGCTTGCCGTCCTGCCCGTCTGCATCCTTTACCGCTTCCGCTCGCGGATCTTGATCTTCCTGCCCGCCTTGTTAACTCCTCCCGTGGCTGTCGCAGTCTTGGCCATCTTCGCGCGCTGCAGCTCGAGCTTGTTCTCGGCGCGCGCGAGCACGGCGACTTTCCGGCGCGCGGACTCGAGCCGCCGCTCCAGCTTGCCTAGCAGGACCTGCTTCTGCTCTGCGCGCAGCTTTTCCGCCTCCTCTTTCGTGGGAGCGTGCTGTGTTTGCCTCTTTGGCTTCTTGCTGTGGGCTTGCCGCGATTCGATCCGGTCGTCATTCTCTCCCAACGAGTTATCGTCTTCATCGTCCATGTCTTCGTCATTGCCGTCGACTTGCATGACCATGTCGTCCCGATCCTCGACGGCCTCGGAGAAGACATACTTCTTCTTCCTCGGCCGCTCGTCCAGATCATCGTCGTCGTCCAGACCAGCAAACTCATCTTCACTTTCGCCATCCACACCTCCAGCAGCCTTGACACCCAAGCCCTCCAGACTCCCCACGAGCGCAACCACCCTCTCCTCCAGCACCTTGACCTCCTTGCTCGCCACGTTCCGCATGGTCCGCAGATACCCCAGGTCCTGCGTCTTGAGCAGGCGACTGACCTCGACATCCATGCCCTTGAGGCTGCCTCGGTCCCCGTCCACGATGCCGTCCCACTTGCGCCCTTTGCTCGAGATGGCGCCCCTCACGGGACCCCTGGCCCCGCGGCTCATCATGCCAAAGTAGAACTCGTCCTCGTTCTTGTCGGCCGCCTTGGCCCGCAGGTTCTTCAGGGTGGCCTGCTTCTTCTTGTGGTCCGCCGCGCGCAGCGAGTAGTCCTTGTGCTTCTCGAGCAGGCCGTACTTGGCCCGCTCCAGGGGCTGCGCGCGCTCGCGGTGCTGCCGCCGCTGGACGGCGTTGCGCATTGACGACGACATCTTTGTGTGTTTTCTTTCTTTCTTTCTGGGGTTGGGGTTGTGTCGAGTTGAATTTTGGGTTTTTTGGATCCTTTCTTTGTGGGTTCTGTGGTTCTCGACAGGTGGTGGTTTTTCTTTCTAGTTTCACGTCTTGAGGTCGGTTGCGCTGTGTTGCTCAGCGGAGTCTTGCGGAGGTTTTCGATGTGTGTGTGTTCCTTGGAAGTGACCTTGAGACTGTGGGTTACTCGGCTGCCCGATCAAGCTCTTTCGTCCAATCGACTGAATCCCCAGGAACGGTCGATCTCGCTGCAGGAGGATGTTTGTCGTGTGCAGATTGATTGCGCCGAGCATACGATCTCAGAAGAGCACAGGTGCAGGTGCGGGTGCAGTCGCCGTGCGCGTGTCGTCAGGGAAAGATCCTTTTTGTCGTCGCCGTCCAGTGATACGTATCAAGCACAAGTATGGTAGGCGAGGTGCACGGGAACCCAGCGTGCGCTATGTCCGTCGTTACGAAGAGGTGGAAGCCGGACAAAATGCGCCCGGTGTGATTGAGGATTGCTGGAGATGGATGGAGAGAAGGGCTCGATTTCAACTTTTTAGTGGAGCCGCATCGCGCCCCACTTTCGCACGCCGCCTAGCAGTAGCAACACCACCCTTCCCTGATGCCGTTGACAGAGTGGGACCAATGTTCTTGTGCTTGTGTTCTACAATGATGCTATTCACAGAACCTGCGGCGAGTCCCAACAGTTTTCTGCCTCAATTTTAAGCATTGAATTTATCGAAGAAGAAAAAGGGTGGTTCCCGTGCTACTATTCACACAAGATCGCCACGAGTCTAGCATTTGAGGTTGATTCCCCTCCTCTTTTCCGTCTCACGGATCTCAAACATGACCTGAGCACCACAGAACAGCGCAATAATGGCAGCAGCCAAGAACGTCATGCCTAAAGCCACCCACCAGGAATTGTCAGTCGAAACAGCACGGCAACATCTAGCATCACAGATCGGGAAATTACGACACTTACCAGAGTGGTCCTGAGATATACCAGCAATGATCTTCTGCAGCCCGTCCACGCCGACAGCGAACCCGACCAGATTCGCCGCCATCATCATGAGAATATTGATGACGGCGCCAACACATGAGATCATGCGGTAGGTGGTGGGCTCTGATTCCCATTTCCGCTTGGGGAACAGGGCCCCCGCCATCATCTCGGGCAGCATGAAAAACACGACCAGCCAGCCCCAGATGAGCAGGCGCATCTGAATGTCGTGCCAGAGCGCGACGAAAGTGAACACCAGCATGTACGTCATGATCGACCGCGCCGCCTCTTTGGCGCCCTTGAAGCTTGCGCCGCCAAGGGGCATGTAGATATAGCGCAGGGACCAGCGGTAGAAACTCCGGTGCCAGCTCCGCCAGAACGACAGTGTGCTGTAGTTGTCGCTAACGCAGCGGATCATGTTCTCCGGCGGGTCGATGCCGTCGACAAGAGCCCAGAGACGGAAGAGCCTCCATGGCAGCAGGAGCTTCAGCCAGATCAGGTGCAGGTTGAAGTAGCTAAGCATGCTGAGCTGCGCGGCGGTGTAGTCGCCCCAATTCGGGTTGGCCTTGGAAATGGCCTGCACGTAGTCGAAGTGAAGTACAACCTCCATGACGAGCAGGGTGATGAGGAACCGAATTGCGTAGCGAACTGTGCGGCCTGTCTCGATAGTTGCAGACTTGTACCTCGCCTGCGCAATGTAGTCATTGAATGTGATGATTGGCCCCGTGAGATAGAGCGGTGCGTAGATGACGTATGCCACGTAATTGCGGAAGGAGTAGTCACGGGCTTGTGCCGGGATGGACACGCGCTCACGCTCGCTGAGCGCCGAGGGGTCGAGTTGCTTCTTCTTAGGACATTCGACGTCAGCGAATGCTCGTCTGCAAAACTATGTCTCGCCAGCGGAATATGGCACTTACCTCTAGGATGTCTTGCTGGCCGCGGTCTGAACTCCAATAGTAGTCAAGATTAAAGCTGATCAGACGCAGCACAGTGATGTTGAACAGAATCTCCCATCTGCCCATGAGGCCACCAAAGCTGTCGAGCCACTTTCCCCACGCGACAAGGCCACCGTCCACGTCTCCGACTGTCTTGCCGGGGACGCCGACAAGGAACTCCGCGATCCGCTCCATCTTATATCCCTGGCACAGCTCGTTGGCAAAGAGGAGGCCAACATTGAAGATCCATGTCGCAGCAGGCACATATTTCCGGGGAAGCGCTTTGGCGATCTTGAAGTTGAGGAATAAGATCAGGAGGACCTTGAGGGCTGAGAAGCCATGGAGGACGACTAGGAACTTGATGGCAAACTTGAAGTCATAGCCGACCCGCTGGTCTAAGCGGCTCTGAGCGTCCTCGGCGGGACTCGTGGTCGTGAGGTCGCTGGTCTTCTTGCGGTGGAATATCGCGGTATAGACCCGGCGCATGATCGGATGCACAACGATCAGGGTCATCATGTACGGCAGGTTGCCTCGGAAGGTATGGTATTGCGCATCAGACGTGTCCTGAAGTGCTGGTTAGTCGGTCAGATATATTGGCTTGCTCTGATGCTGGAGCTTACAATCAGGCGGCCGGGGATCCAGCCTGGTTCGAGGTATCGTTCAAACTTGTGGAAAGCCGGGTGGTCGTCTGGACAGAGAACGCTGTATTAGCACTCGAGCCTTCGCCCAAGAGGAGAGCATTCAGGGACGAACGTGTCTACACACATCTTGAAGCCTGGTAAGGAATGTAGAACATGGCTGGCAGGATGGCGCCAATGTAGATCAAGTAAAAGTAGAACTCGGGCGTGTTCCATTTCGACGGCTGGCCGGACAAGTTCCAGCTCGCCGCACGCTCCTTGCTGCTTTTCGCGTCGCGGTCATTGCGGGCATCGACGACGGTCTTGTAGGGGACAGTGGCAGGGTTGGTGAAGCGGGTGTCGAGAGTGTCGAGGTCGTAGAGGTTGCGCAGGAAGGTGAGGACCGCAGCCATGATGGCGGAGCCGGGACCTGGTTCAGGCCGCCGGCTGGGAAGGGCGTTGGGTCGTGGTATTCGGATCGGTAAACGGTGCTAACGACGATGCATGGCTATAGCAGCTTGGCAGTCTGGTCACAAGCGTGAAGTGGATGGTTGAAGTGCAAGATGCCACGATGCTGCAGAGAACCCTACGTACATGGGGAAAGCTCGCTGGTGGTGGGCCGCGGCACCCGAGAGCCCTAGCGTCGATCAGGGGTCATGCTTGTGACGTGAGCTTGGCTGTAACCCCGTCCAACTCTCGAAGGTATGCATTTTTGACGAGGTTGTATAGTAAATATCGCCTACTTAAGGTAACACTACATGCTCCTTTCATTTTTTGTTCACCTATTGTTTTCGTTGTCGAGCACAGTTATTGAGGACCTCCATGGCACCTCTCAGTTCTCAGTTACCTGGACGGTTAGAAGAGCCAGCTCCCCTTCTCCTGGGGCAGCGGCTTGAAAGCTCAATCTACAACTTCTGACGTAGCCTCAAGCACTTGCTTCCCGAGCACATTGAAACGGACTCGCAGCTTGTCATGTGTGAAACGTCGTCGTTCTCTTGCAACAAACAGAGCCCCCTTTGCGCAGCACACAACTAGCATGCCAGGCCGCTAGACCCTGCCGTGGAAAAGTAAGCTCTTTTCAGCCCACAGTAGACCACGTCGATGCTATCCTTAGCCAGCCTTCTAGCTGGCGATTGCCGCCTCTCTCATCATTTGAGCAGCAGTTCCGAGGAGGGTTGTAACTCTTGTTTAAGCAGACCTTGAGCTGCAGCCGTCAGGTGTTATGCACAGAAGTATCTTGAGGCAGGGCATCTTAGTGAATGCGATCATTGATGACTTTCTTCTCGGTGCGACGCGGGAAATAACCCGGGAGTACATTGTAATTCACCTGGTTTGCCACGGTATGGTTGCTGGTCAGCAATCAAGCTTTGAGTCGGATAGTCGATTCGAATATCTTGAGCCCGGTGGATGAGCCTGAACCAGTGATAGCTCCGCCATGGCCGGTATGACCTGCTGGTAAGAAATATTGCTCTTTGAAAGCAGATAACAGCGCAATGTACAGGCGTCTTGATGCAACTGGGAGGTCTTGTATACGGTCCCGTTGAGCGCTCTCGTGGAAGGCACCTTGCGGAGGGCCGTAGCACTGGCGTTGTGCACAGGATGCGGACGTGGTACGTCCATGCGGCTGCGGTCGCGTGCGCCAGAACCGTGGCTGGACCCTGAATTGGCCAAGGGACAGGGAACCTTCCATGCGCAGTGGTAAGGCGCCCAGGTGTCTTGAAATGTTTAGGAGAGCACGCTACTAAATCTGACGGCGTCACACCTCTGTGACTCGCCAGGTTCCTGGACTACAGTGGTTGCAGCACAAGAGCACCAAGCCCCCAAGACAAGACCTGGCCGCGGCAGCTGGACTACACGGCGTCTCGCAATTTCATCCTGCTTCAGGCGATGACGCCTGTGATATGGCATACTGTAAAAACGGGACGACTTGTTGGAGGATGATTCAGCGCTCGACTTTCCCCGTCCGGATCAACGGGCCCAAGAGGCAACGCCATACTGAAACGTCTGCTTGAGAGCACCATGCTGTCACTGACGCAGACTATACGCGCTCGTCCTTATCACAATCCCCAAATCATGGAAGTTCAGCTTGAACCACGTCAAATCAGGTATCCGTGATCATTCCCCAAGGTCTGACTTTGATTACGGAGAATGCAGACGAAGAAGCACCGAGCGCCCAGTAAGTGCTGTGCTGTGCCAAAAATCGATGCGGTCACATCAGGTCACTGTAATCGGGCGCTGAAATCGGTTAGGCGCCCTGGGTCCTGGGCGGCTGGCTTCTTGGCAGCTACCCCGCCCGCGTCGCTGATTGTTTTGGCAGAGAGCGCGTCTTGCTGTAAACAACACCGGGAAGAGCCGCCCCTCCCCCGCGCATCGGTCTTCGGCGCGTCCCTTCGACTCGACTCGCCCAAGGTTGATAGCTTGCTGGTCAACTGCCAAGCGGGCAGAGGAGATTGACGGGCGCAAGGCATCATGAGCGATTTGGGACATGGCCTTTGCCAGAGTATCTTGTCGATGGTTGCCCCTCTTCGTCCTTCTTGTCTTCAGTAGGCGCTTAAGCATTTGCCTAAGGAGTGCTGGTCTGGACTGAAGCTGTCCGAAGATTCCTGGGCCTAGATTATGGCCTGATTCTCTGGTGGAGGCGGCTTGAGTGACTCCACGCTGGATCGTCCGGGAGTGACGGGGGCAAGGCGCTGTGTCAAATAAGCGAACTGCCAGGCACGGGGCCAGTCCGCAGAACTCCGGCCGTTGTACACCGTCTTGCCCGCTCTGCGTGACGGACCAGCGTCATCAGCAAGCCAGACTCAAAGCAGTGCCGGACGGGGGACTATGTGAATTTTGGGCCTCGCGTGAAACTTCGGCAGTGCTTGATAGCATGGAGCTAATGTCTCGCGGGCCGCTGGCTCGACGGCGGGGTTGGCGGCCAAACTCGCGGCTCATCCGCTTGCCGCTGACGAGGTGGCCACCAATGGAGCCAGGTCCTGTCAGACACGACGGGATACAACGGCGCATCCCCAGGTCAGTTGAGCGTGCCAGGTTTTGCACCAGGGCCTCTCTGATAGAATAATTACAGCACAGAAGATTGGTGATTGGCTCCGTCTTTACCTTCCCACCATGGTTGCGATTTGGTGACGAAGAAGAGTCGAGGTAATCTCGACTGTGTTTGAGTTCAGAGAAGTACCAAGGCGGCCGCTGACATGACCGGGACAGCAGTAGTGAGCTGTAAACAGAAAGAACAAAGCCCATTTTCAGATAGTGGTCGAAATGACCAAGATGATCACCTACAGGTAGCAGGTTTTGTCCACGACCGGGACTCTAGAACACTTACGCTGGGGCATTTGAAGAAGGCGCAGGCTACGACGCGCTGCATCATAGTAGGCTCTCTCTGTGCCGGGTCATCAGGAAGCTGGGTCCCGCAAGCACCACCACCTGCAGTTGCGCCATCCGTTGTATGGGACATATGAGGCCAAAGGGGAAAAGTCGAAAGAGTACTTGTATGCCAAATGAGATATCACAATGAGTGCAATATATATCAGCTGCTAGATTGCTGGGGTATCGTGTTTGTTCATCGTCACTCTGTCAGCGTACATGTGGACTCGTTGCTATTGTTGAGAGCCTGCATGGCTGGTTCCGGGGCAGAGCAACGACGCGAAGCAGCTGTGTGTGCGGTTCGAGTCGCCCACGTTAGGCAGCGTAGAGGAGGTGGGCGTCCACCAGCTATCCCAAGATTATCAGCCGACCTGCGCTTTCAGCGTGCCCCCCCTTCCCGGCGGCTCAAGGGGCTCACGTAGCGCCATCAGCAGTCTTGGATGCTTCAGGAGGAAAAAGTCGGTGTGGGTGGGGGAGGCGCTCGGCCTCCGGGCTAGACGAGGCAGTGGTGCGAGCTGATTCCGCCCAGCTTGTTTGAGCCTCCGTGCCCCAGGAGGCCAGCTGTGATCCTGGCGTCTGCTCTCAGCGAAGTACTGAGGACATTGGAAGCCCTCAACAAGGACACCAACCACGCAAATCCGCCAGGAACTTACAGTCCGCCGTGCCGCACTACGTTATGGTGCACGAGGATATGCTTGAAATGGATGCAGGGAAATCTAATGGGCACACAACATCATGTAATTTTGCGAGAGCGGCTCCGAGTGGTGGCATGATTGATCGGACGTTAAGGTATTTGTTGTGGTTGTTAGATGTGGCAGGTACGATGCTGGAGAGCCGCTGCTGTGCAGTGCGTGTGGTATGCATCCAGGCAGGAGGAAACCCGGCGCAGACACCTGAGCAGGTGGCAGTGGCAGGCCAGGAGGGGACTTCGGTGCTGCAAGAGTGCTCTGGAGATCTAGTGAGGAGATCTGAAAGCAGGGGATGACAAGAGGTTGACATTCCACTGGCCAATGCGAGGCACCAGGACGCTGTCCAACGCGCAGAGGGCTCAGGTGGATTGGGGTAGGCCCATGAGGGTGGTGCTGATGAGGTGCTGAGTCCTGGGGCCCAGGGAACTTTCGAGGGCCTTGCACGGCGAGCCAGTCTGGGAGCCTTCGACGGGCGAGTGACACGTGTGCGCTGTTGCTGAAGCGCAGGGCATCTTCCGCCTAAGCCGCCCCGGGACTCCTGGAGGGCTCTTGCCGGAGAGGAGGCCGTCCAACGCTGGGCCGTTGGGCGTGCGGCCTGAACTGGGGGCCTGAGTGCAGTGCTGGTGCTTGAGTGGCTGACGCTGCACTGCGCACCTTGGTGGTGCTGCCCCTCTTGTCCTGGTGCCGCCCAGGCTCCTCCCGCCTGCATGCTGTTGATTTTTTCCCTGGCTCGCGCGCTGCTGCTGCTGCCCCCCCATCAGCGCCTACAATCACTCGAACCTCCCAGCTGCCCCAACCAGCGCATTTAAACCCGCTGGCCCCCCAACCCGCGCGCGCCAGCACTCCCCCCTCCCCTCTTCCTTTCCAGTTCCTGTCACGCTCACGCCGCCTCAACTGATTGCCCCCTCCCCCCAGAGCAATCCACCACCACCACAGGTCCCAGCCCTTGTCACTAGAGCCCTGCTGCTAAGAGTAGAGCCGCCCTTGCTGCACGCGCCTTGCACCACTGCTCCGTCAAAACAAACCACCACCACCACCACCACCACCACCACCACCATGCCGCGCCCCAAGAAGGCTGATCTCGCCGCAAAGGCCGCCGCCGCCGCGCAGCCGCCCGCGCCCGTGGTCCCCGCGATGGCCCCCAGCCCGTACTCTGCTCCTCCACCCATGCCTCAGCAGCCGCTCCAGCCTTATGGCGCCCAGTTCCCGCCAGCCACCCCCCAGTTTGGCGGCCCCCCTCCCATTCCTGTTGCGCCTCGCACCGTCGATGTCGAGCAGTTCGTCCGCGTCCGCGATAGTGTAAGTGCCATGTTTTCTACGCAGGACACCCCTCGCCCTCGCCACCACCACTACTACCAGGCTGTTTTCAATCACGGCTTGCCCACGAAGCGAGCTCAAGTTGAATTCATGTCCTGCTGTAATTTGGCTTCGCGGAAATCCGGTGTCGGCATTTCATATATCTCATGCTAACACTACTTTCAGGTCCACGTGCGCTTCAACACCATCCTTGGTCTTATGAAGAGCTTCTCGGATGACTTTCTGCGCCAGACCAACCTCCTCCTTGGCGAGCCCACGCAGTTTGACTCGTCCAGCGGCAATGCCATGTCTGCCATGGTCGCCAACCTGGATGGTATCAGCAACCAGCTCAACGACCTGGTTGGCGCTCCCTCGGAGGAGAAGAAGGAGCGCAAGAAGCGCACCCACGACCCTAACGCGCCCAAGCGGCCTCTGACGCCGTACTTCCTGTACATGCAGACCGCCCGTCCCATCATCGCCAAGGACCTTGGCGAGGAGGCCCCCAAGGGTGCTGTCCAAGAGGAGGGCCAGCGTCGCTGGGCTGCCATGTCTCCCAACGACAAAGTCGTAAGTGCAATACGCCATACCTGATCATCTCGCGGGTTTGCTAACATTGTCAACAGGCCTGGAACAACGCTTACCAGTTCAACCTCCGCCTGTACAATGCTCGTGTCCACTCGTACAAGCACGGCAACCCTGCTGCCCGGGAGATGACTGACCAGGAAGCGCACCTCTACGCTGACAACAACGACATTGCTCAGCCTACTTTGACCAGCGAGGACACGGCTCTGCCCGCCAGTGAGCAGGACGCTGTCAACGAGCAGCTCGGCCTTGCCGCCGTCCCTGCCCCCTCTGTTCCTACCCCTGCTTCGCCCGAAGAGACCAAGACCCCCAAGCCCAAGGCTGGAGGTCGCAAGAGGAAGAGCGCTGCTGCCGATATCGCTGCTGAGGAGGGCGAGGCGAGCGCGGCTAAGGTCTCGACGCCCGCCAACCCTGAGAAGAAGCGTAAGAGGCAATCCAAGGTTGCCGAGACTCCCGTGGAGGAGCCCAAGAAGTCTGCTCGCAAGAAGAAGAGCACATAAGCTTGTTGTCGCACGATTGTCTTTGCTTCTTTATGTTGAAGATACCTCTTCGTTCTCGATGCTCACCGCAGCGTTTATGGTGTTGGAACTCTCAAGATATTGAGAAGGAAAATGGTGTTTCACGGGGGCACTATCGGGAATGCCGTGGCGTTTGCACATTTGTATGACTTACGAATCTTCTTTTGCACCATGTCCTGGTTGTCAGGCCTCGGTTGGGTGGTGGAATAGGTTGGAGCACCTGGGAAAGCGATGACGCTTAAAGTTCGCCTTGTATTTATTCCGGAATGAACGAAGATATCAACACAGTTTTTCAGCAGACGAGCCTTGGTGTGGTGAAATGACCTGCACGATCTGGACTGCACAATCCATGAGCTCTGCGGGAAACACATTCAATGTTGCAGATTCCGTGCACCCATGAAGTGCCTCGCGTTGATGCTGCTTGTAAGAGGGCTGGAGCCGACTGAGGCACCAACCAATCATCTTACACAGACGACTTTGACGTGCCCCCGTACAAACTACGGTTCTACGAGACATGGCACGGCGTTCGTTCACAGTGTGCACAGCCATAGCGAGGAAGGCGTCAACCTCGGAAGACATGCAGTCCTCGCCCTATTTCCCATGGTGCGCGACAGGGAAAAGACTGTGAAGGCCTAGAGGCGCACGTACCGGCGATGTAGGGGGTCTATTCTACAATACCGGCTTCGCTGCGCTGTCAACCAGCTGCACAGATTCCCTTAACACATGTTAGAGCCCGCTTGTTACGTCCGTATTTGTTTCAGGTCGAATATTGGAGCCGCCTGCACCGGTTCGTATGATGCTAAAGATCAAGTGAGTGCGCTCATATGGAAGTCCTAGATCCACGGACATTGATTTAGCAGACAGCACACCGTAGTCCACTCGATACCGGCCCATTTTATCCGAGAGAGTAGTAGATCTGGCAGGAATCTTGATTCACCTCGATAGAGCAGAATGAATTATATGGTTTCTGCAAAATGGACCAGACAATTAATTACCTGAACATATGTGGTGGTCTCCAGACAGCATGCAGATGAATAAGTCCAACTGGGGGCGTCCTCAAGCATATGGCCATGTCGTAACTATGACAAACAACACGATCATGTAGATGAACCAAGTTGCAGCAAGTCTGGACGTTGCTCAGAAATTGTGCTGGGCAGATTACTGCCATTCGTTTTGTACGGACGCGATCAGTTTTGGTGGTTCATGGCCTCATTGCAGAGTAGCGGACCTCAAGTACTTTACGGTTGGTTTCGGCGGGCAGTTTGGTCACTGCCATGGGCCTCGATAGGGCTTGTCTCCCAGGGGAATCCTCCATGCCAGAGGCTCGGTATCAGGACCTCAGTTGCTCTCAATAGCACGACTCAGACTGCTCAACTCTGCATAAAGGAGCACGGTATATGAGAGCTTGCGGCAAGAACCGGCCCAAATACTTTCAATCTGAGCCTTCTTCTTCATTGTTCATGTCTGCAAGTAGGACACAGCCGACTGCTTCATACTTGAAAGGTCAGAATGACAGTGTACGGAGGCCGGCGCCTAGAGGTCGCGCCCCACTACTGGCGATCCACCCAAATCGGCCCAGCTTCATTCTCCATGGGGGCCGTCAGCCGCCAGTACGACCATCCCCAGGCGGGAGGGCCGGCTTATGTAATCTCCCGCGATCCGCGACGCGTGCTTGGTTGAACGACGATGGACAACGACGTTCATCCACAGCTTGGCGACGACTCCGTTTTCCATCGCGATAATCACCAGCTCGAATATTGAACCGCGGCTCCATCGTCCGCTTGTGTATTATTTTCGCGGCGACCTACGTGAGCGGGTTTACCACAGCTCTAGCGCTCTCTGCGACGAAACAAACGCATCACCGATCCGATAGCTCGAAGACCACCACTTTGCGACCAGACAGGGCTGTAACACGGCACTCAGCGCCAACAAGCGCTGAAAATTCCTCACGATGCCGCCCGCACCAGGGCAAAAAGGCACGGCGGCGGGGAAGAAGGGCAGCAGCGCAATCAGCCGCCAGCGCAGCCGCAACACGACGCCGATGGGCAGCGCGGCCCCGCCGCCGACGACGAGCACGAGCAGCACTTCTGGCGGCAGTAATGGCGGCGGTAGTGGCACAGGCTCTGGGGGCGGTGCTGCCTCTTCGGCAACTGCGTCCTCGTCCTCGGCGGGGGGCTCAATGCCTCCAGTGGAGAGCATCGAGACTGAGTTCCTGGACCTCAAGTTCGAATCGATGCGCTCGCTGTCATATGAAGACTTGCTAGACGCCATCGCCAATAGCGCGGGCATCCCAGACTCCAAGGCACTCGACGGCCTAATCACGCGGCTCGGCAAGCTCAACGAGATCATTGAGCGGCGCGGACAGTGGTGCGACAAGGGGATGCGCCTCGTCGCTGTCGAGCGCAAGAACCACTACAACGAGATGGCTGCCGGGGGTAGCCGAAGGGATGATGCGCGAGACGAGGATGCGAGCGAGAAGAAATCAAATAAGAAGAAGCGGAAAGCGAGCGACAACCTGGCCCCTCCAGATTCGAGTGCGCGTAAGTACTTTCTGGCAATGTGCTGACCTGAAATGTTCCTCCACCTTGCACTGTGGTGCGGACCATGGTCGTTCGTTGCCCATGGCAGCCGCTCCTAGCCACGCATGCAATCCGCACCTGCGACAATCCTTCACCTGCTTCAGTGCTAACATCCCCGTCTTTAGCAGAACGTTCATCACCTCTACGCGACCCTGGCAACAAGCGCAAACACTCGCGAGCCGGCTCGGCCAGTTCCTCTTTGTCGCCAGCGGCTGCCGCTTCGCCAAGCGCAATGGACGTCGATGAAAAACCGAAGAGTGAGAAGAAAGACGACGAAGAGGAAGAAGAGGAGAGCTCGGAAGACGAAGGCGCGCCACCTCGTCGGGAAGCGCCACAATACCAGACCTTTGGCGAGGATCCATCAACATTCCCCGATCCCACAGTCTACGAGATCCGGGAAACCAACTCCAGCATGTCTGTTGACGAACTCAAGGAGATCTACTCTGTTGCCGTGTTTCCAAAGACGAATCTGGCCGATCAGATCGCAGGCGACCCGCCGGATAAGGATTTCACCATCGCCAAGCCAACGAACCAGATCAGCTTCTCGACATTCTCGACTTATATAGAGCCATATTTCCGCCCATTCTCAGAGGAAGATCTGGCGTTCTTGAGAGAGCGAGGTGATCGCGTCACGCCTTTCAATATGCCCAAGCGTGGCAAGAAGCACTACACAGAAATCTGGGCTGAGGAGGATGGCGCCATGTCCGTTGACTCCAAGGGAGGCGACAAGCTCCAGCCAAATCAGCCGAGAGGGTCTATCGATAATATGGATGACGATGTCGCCGAGACTGATAAGCTGTCAGTCGGACCAATTCTCGCTCGACTGCTTCAGGCGATGCGGCCAGAAGGCAGGACAAGTGCAAGCGACGACAAGCCGGGTGTCAACGGGGTCAATGGCGATGCAGATAAGGATGACCAGCCGAATGGGGAGGCTAACGGGGTCAATGGAGAAGACGGCAAGACCTTGCCCCCTGCTTCATACATGCCCGAATCATCAAGCGAAGCATGGAAGAAAGCGACACACCCCAAGTTAGACTATTCGCAAGTCGACGAGCGCATCAAGCAGGAGCTTCGCCATATCGGATTCCTGCCACAAGAGGGCTTCGATGGTGATTACGACGGCCACTTTGATGACGAGGTCGCAGGCCGCCTGCGCCTGCTCCAAGACCGGCTGAGGCAGCAGATGCTCATCAATGGAGCGCGAAAGGCGCGCCTGACGGATCTCGTCAAGGAGCGCATGGCGTTCCAGGAGTACACAACGATCCTTGAGGATCTGGACAGTCAGGTACAGGGTGCGTACCTGAAGCGCACGCGGACAATGGGCAAGAGCAAGAAGGCCAAGCGTCCTGGCGGTGCTGGCGGAGGTGCGGCCGCGGCGAACGCGGCGGCAGGCATGGCGCGCCCGGGCATTGGCGATGTGACCAAGATGCTTATGGAGCGGCGGAAGCGGTGGATCGACAATATTGGCACGGTATTTGATGATGAGAACCTGGGTAAAGTGCCGAGGTCAGAGAACGAGGATAGCTCGATCTTCAAACCGGACATGATGGCGGACCTGATCAAGAAGGAGAAGCAGGCGTGGGATGAGGAGGTTGAGGAGGAGTAGGAAGGGCGCTTGATTGTGTGCCATGGGCCGGGTGAGAGGGCATGCTCTGATTGATACCAACCATTACAGTCCAGCATCTTGGAGTTCTCGGTTTGGGAATGGATACGCGATGTTTCACGAACAGCTCAATGATTATGCCTGATGCCGTTTTGAGGATAGGGACCTGTCAACTGCTCCTAATAGTTGTTTATGATGAGTGCTTGCTGGCGTGGACTCTCCGCGGGCCGTGAGGACGCAGCAGTCCAAAGTTGCATGTGGAACGGTGTTGCGGGGTTTGGAGACCACCCCACCCACAGGGGGAGCTTCCCCATCTGCCTCCCTGAGCTCTGAGCTGAATGCAGGGAAACAGCTTGGGTTTGGGTTGGAGCTCGGGGTCTTATCAGCTGGGCTGGGCGGGCTCCGGTTACGTACAACGGGTATTTCCCATGGACTTTGTCGAACTGACCCGACCACTTCTACACTCGACCACCAAACCCAATTGCATACTGCAAGGAAGAGCAGACGAAGCAGCATCATTGCTGCCCCTTCGCCGCAATGCATCTCGTTCCAAAAGAGGTATTGTGCTAGCACACCTTCGCTCTTTCCAGTCTCGAAATGGCTCGCTCTCTAACCCTGCCCCTCTCACGGCCGTCGTCCCTTAGCTTGATAAGCTCGTGATTTCACAGCTTGGCTTTCTCGCACAAAAGAGGCTCGCCAGAGGTGTCAAGCTGAACCATGCCGAGGCCAGCGTAAGTAACTTGGACTTCGAGAGAGTAGTACTGTCCAACAGACGTCGCACCGCTTGGGCATACTCGAGAACCAGCTACTAAACGCTTCACCCACTTGTCAGGCCTTGATTGCGAGCAATTTACAGGAGCTCATCCGAGATGGACAACACACAGTCGCCGACCTGATGAGCATCGGGGCCACCATGCTCGGCCGCCGCCACGTCCTGCCCTCAGTCCCTGCCACGCTCCACGAGATCCAGGTCGAGGGCACATTCCCTTCCGGGACGTACCTCGTGACCGTCCATAATCCCATCTCCACCGAGGATGGAGATCTCGAGAAGGCTCTATACAGCAGTTTCCTGCCTGTGCCCAGTCAACGGCTGTTTCCCATGCCTCCAGCGGAAGCGTACGAGGCTCACAACGAGCCTGGCGCGGTAGTCGTCGTCAAGGACGTCCGGGTCAAGCTCAACGAGGGCCGCAGGCGGATACGGCTCAAGGTCACCAGCAAAGGTGATCGCCCAATCCAGGTCGGCAGCCACTACCACTTTATCGAGACGAACCCATACCTCGAGTTTGACCGGGAGAAGGCGTACGGGTTTCGGCTGGACATCCCCGCAGGCACGTCGGTGCGGTTCGAGCCCGGCGACACCAAAACGGTGACGATGGTCGAGATTGGTGGTAATAAGGTCATTCGCGGCGGGAATAATCTGGCGTCTGGTCCGGTGGACTTGTCTCGCGCTGCTGATATTGTGGCTAACCTGCAGCGGGCTGGCTTTTCACACGCCCCGGAACCCGTCGGCGATATGGCGTTTGTTGATGTGTACTCGATGGACAGAACTGCTTACAAGACCATGTTCGGGCCGACTGTTGGAGATGTCGTCCGGCTGGGCCTTACAGACCTTTGGATCAAGGTTGAGAAGGATCTCACGTTCTATGGCGACGAGTGCAAGTTTGGCGGAGGCAAGACACTACGTGAGGGCATGGGCCAGATGAGCGGATGCCCAGATTCGGAGTCGCTTGACCTGGTTGTCGTCAATGCTCTGATTGTCGATTGGACTGGCATCTACAAGGCTGATATCGGAGTGAAGAACGGCATGATCGTTGGCATCGGCAAAGCTGGCAACCCAGATGTCATGGACGGAGTTACGCCAGGGATGATTGTTGGCAGCTGCACCGATGTCATTGCTGGCGAGAACAAGATCATTACCGCTGGAGGTTTCGACTCGCACATCCATTTCATCTGCCCACAGCAAGCAAACGAATCGCTTGCTTCGGGTGTCACCACCATATTGGGGGGAGGTGTTGGTCCAAGGTATGCCGATTATCTGAATTAGAGCTGAGCTTGACTGCTGACCCGCTGGCTCGCAGTGCTGGAACAAGTGCTACAACCTGTACACCGGGAGCGAATTACACCAAGTTGATGCTGCAGGCTGGCGACGCTATCCCCTTGAATATTGGCATAACCGGCAAGGGTAATGATTGTGATCCGCATGCCCTCCGGGAACAGGTCATTGCTGGCCAATGCGGTCTGAAGCTTCACGAGGATTGGGGCACAACTCCGGCGGCCATCGACTCCTGTCTTACTGTCTGCGACGAGTTGGATGTGCAGTGCCTTATCCATACCGATACGCTGAACGAATCTGGCTATGTCGAGAGCACCATCGCCGCGATCAAGAACCGGACCATCCATACCTACCATACCGAAGGCGCAGGTGGCGGCCATGCTCCGGACATCATCAGTGTCGTCGAGCATCCAAACGTACTGCCCAGTTCGACAAACCCGACACGTCCATACACGCGCAACACTCTAGACGAGCACCTTGATATGCTCATGGTCTGCCACCACTTGTCCAAGAACATTCCCGAAGACGTGGCCTTTGCCGAGTCTCGCATTCGCGCCGAGACCATTGCGGCTGAGGACGTCTTGCACGACCTTGGAGCCATCAGCATGATGTCGAGCGACTCGCAGGCGATGGGCCGCTGCGGAGAGGTGATTTTGCGTACATGGAACACGGCACACAAAAACAAGGTTCAGCGTGGATATCTCCCCGAGGACGATGGCACTGGCGCGGACAACTTCCGGGTGAAGCGCTATGTGAGCAAGTACACTGTGAATCCAGCGATTGCTCAGGGCTTCGGTCATCTCATCGGCAGTATCGAGGTTGGCAAACTGGCCGACTTTGTGGTTTGGGATCCTGCCTGGTTCGCGACGAAGCCAAGCTTGGTCGTGAAGAGTGGCCACATTGCGTGGGCGCAGATGGTAAGTCACCTCGTTGCCATTACGTTACGGACCCCAACCTCTTTTGTAGGAGCACAAACCCCGTCATGTATACTGACATGTGTCACAGGGCGACCCGAATGCGTCCATTCCCACGATTCAGCCCGTCATCGGCAGGCCCATGTACGCTCCACTCGTGCCCTCCACATCGGTCACGTTCGTTTCACAGGCGAGCATCGACACTGGTGTGGTGGCCTCATATGGCCTGCGCAAGCGTGTGGAGCCGGTCAAGAATTGCCGCAACATCGGCAAGCGCGACATGAAGTTCAATGACACGATGCCCAAGATGAGGGTGGACCCGGAGACATACACCGTCGAGGCGGATGGGGTGCACTGCACCGCGGAGCCCTCTGAGCAGTTACCGCTCACGCAGGCTTACTTTGTATACTGATGGCAATAGCGAGCCATTCGATCTACGATACTGAGGATCTATCGTCTTTTATGTAAGTGTTCGCGGTTGGGTGGGCTTTGAAGCTGCCCGGCCACAGCCCAGTCGAGTTTTCTGATTGTGGAATTGACCAATTAATACAGATCACGAGCCATTGTATAACCCTTGCCCGCCAGACATTGACGATGCTATAGCTGCGAATGAAAAAGGTACAAAAGAGATAACACCCATGATCCGATATACTTGAACAGAGTCATCAGGTTCATTGGCAAGTGATGTGACATGCTGAGCGTTTGTTGCTGGGCGCCTTCTCAGGTTGGCATAAGCGACCACGAATTCCAACAGCAGTCGACAAAGACTGCCCGGTTAGCTCAATCGGTAGAGCGTGAGACTCTTAATCTCAAGGTTGCGGGTTCGACCCCCGCATCGGGCTCAATTCCCGATGCATCCCACTGTAGTGGGATAAATCGCACCTACTTTTTGCCAGTTCTTTTTTGTTCCGATATCTTATAATGTCACGGGATCGCAGTTTTGGATCAGTTTGCTGTGGTTGGCCGTGCCAATGTTTCTGCATAAAAGTGGGCCGAAGCACATCTTGGCCTCGTAGGTATTTACGAGTTGGTCAAGGTTCCAATCAACATTTGAATGATGTTCGTCGCTGCGAAGCGTTTAGTATTCGTACCCTCTGCTGGCCTGAACTGGGGGTGGTTAGGTAGAGTGAATCATGAGACTCACGCCAGAATTGTGATAAGAACACGACACTGGGACCATCCCGTCGCTGCTTATTCGTGATTTACTCGCTGCCAAATGGGCGGCGCTCTTTCACCGTGGTCGTCGTCGTCGTCGTCGTCGTCGTGGTTTGTCCACAAACACTCAGTCTTGTTTTGTTCCCCGACAACTATAAAGGCACCTACATAGACTTTGTTGAGATCTAGAATATAGACCGTCCTCCGCCTTACTCTTCAGTACCATTCTTGCGGACAAAATTGGCACGGGCTCGATCTCAAGTCTTGTGCATCGAATTAACGTGGATGCCTGTAAGTCAAAAGAAAGGGAAGGTAATTTGAAGTACCTTTAGTTCTGCTATTCCCTTGGTTTCAAGTTGAGAACGCAAACACCCGTCTCTATATATGCTGGGCCTTTCTTTTTTCTTTTCTCCCCCCTTTCATTACTTCTTGAAGAACTAAATCCCTTGTTTTGACTTGTCGTTGCTAGCCAGGTACAAGAGCATCGACATCCCAGCCTCACGCATGATATTCATCCTACACGCTGATTTCAGGGCAAGGGGGGGTTTCTTCTCAGTAAATCGCATCGCATTCATTCATCCTGTACTACGTAGATGTCTCATCGAATCATCATGACCGCATTGGCTGCTCATCTCAATCAACCCCACACAACTTTTCCTCACATGCCCACCTCAACTCCTTTCGCCATGCTGCAGCTGTCCTTGTCCGCGAATTCACAATCTACCAACCGCCCTCGCGGCGACGGCCATACTCGTTGCTCTCGTCCTCGTCACCACCGCGGCCATACTCTTGACGGCTGCCGTAGGAGTCATTGCCGCCACCGTATTCCTGGCGACGACCCCCGTAAGAGTCGCTGTCACCTCCACCATACTCCTGGCGGCGGCTGCTATACGAGTCATTGTTGCTACCGTACTCTTGCTGGCGGCCGTAGGAGTCAGCTTCGCCGTGGCGTCTGCCGGACGAGCTGTTGTCCTCGTCATCATTGCGGCGGCCACCATAGCTCTGCTCCTGGCGACGGCCGTACGAGTTGCCGTCATCATCGTCCCTGCGACTCGAGCCGTAGCTCTGCTGGGAGCTCTCGTAGCGGGTTTCGGAGCGGGACTCGTAACCACCACCGTAGCTGGACTGAGTCTCGGTGCGCTGCTCTGTGCTGTAGCCTCCGTACCCATCGGAGCGTTGTTCGGAGCGGCGGTACTCGCTGGACTCGCCACCACCGGCGTGGTGCGTCTGGGAGTACTGCGCCTGTCCGTAGGTGTTGCCAGAGTGGCCGTACTCCTGGCGGGTTTCGGTGACGGAGCCGTCATCATCTCGGTGTCGACTCGAGTGAGTCTCCTTCTCGTCGTTTCCGAATGCACCGCCGAGCAGAGATCCAGCAACCTTGCCAAGGAAACCGCCGCCGCCGCCCTCGTTGTCATCGCCACCGCCGCCAAGGAAGGAGCCAAAGCCACCAGAGTTCTTGTTCTTATACTCGGGGATGTTGACCTGACCACCAGAGGCCTGATTCACAAGATCGGAGATGCCGCCGCTGACACCTTCGACAATGGCACCGGCAGCAGCGGCCGCAATCTTGTCCTCGAAAGTACCGCCCTTGCTGAAGTTCTTGTGCATCTTGAGGGGTGCACAGCAGCCGTGGCCGGTGTCATGCTGGCCCTCCCTGTGGTTCTCGCCACGCTCGACACCCTCACGCGAGAGCTTGCGACGGTACTCGTCGCGGCCCTCGTCAGACATACCCTCCCACCACTCCTGGACAGAGCGGAACATGATCCGGCGACCGTCCTGGGCGCCGTCGCGGCCTTCTTGGCGCTGAGCAGGGTGATGGAGGACACCGGTGACAATGCGGTCGTTGAGACGCCTGACGTCGACGTTCTCGTCATCCCACGCCTCCATGATCTGGGGCACGACCCAGGCGACGACCTGCGCCGCAGTCTTGCCAGCAGGCTCGTTCAGGATCTGTTGATCGTCTGTCAGCCAACGCCGAGCATGGAATGGTCGTGTAGGTAGTGACTTACGTTGGTGAAGTGGTCCTTGGACAGCATGGAGTGGGTAGGATCGGTGCAGCGGTCGTCGTTGAAGACGATGTGCTGCTCGTTCTGGCTGGACTGAATAATCTCCGAGGATCCAGTGCGCAGCTCGTTCTTGATCTGCTGGAGAATAGGCACGACCATAGGAGCCATGATCGAAAAGACCCACAGGGACATCTGCTCCTCGAGCTGCTCGATGATCTGGGGGAGGATCGGGATCTTATCAAAGGCCTCGCTGATGTTCATAAAGAGCTCGTCGTGGAACTCGATGGCAGGCATGATCTGGCGGAAGACATCCTGGACGTAGCGGGTGAACTCTTCGGGCTCGCGAGGTGAGATGCGGGCCTGCTGCATCTGGGCGTTCGAGGCATTGTCCTGGATTTCGTGCATCTTCTGCTTCTTGTCGCTGGTGCCGCCGCCGCCGAGCAGGCCGTCCGGGATCTTATCGAGGAGGCCCTCAATGATGCTGGTGTCGTTGCGGGCGTTGTTCTGGAGCGTACCCTCGAGATCCTCGATCTCACTCTGGGTCATCTTGTCGGACACTGCATTCTGGTCAGTGACTGTCTGTTATGGGTCGTCCATGTGAATAACTCACTCTCGCCAGTAACAGAGTGCAGGAAATCGACACCACCGAAAGTACCAGTGACAATAGGGTACACGGAGTCACGGGCGGCGGGGATACGCATCTGAGTGTCGCGGCCGACATGAGGGAAAATATCACGCTCGCCAAGCTCAATCAGAGCCAGTTCCGTGTAGTTGCTGTGAGCCAGGAAATCTGTTAACTGGTTAGTGGCGGGAACAAGAGCCAAGAGTTTAGTTGGCAGAGTCAGTACCTTCGAGACAGTGCAGACCAGTTCCGAGCAGACGGAGAGCCTCGTGCAGCTCGGCCTTGTTACGGCTGTTCTTGTAGCTGCGAGCCAGCTCAATGCTCTTGCCAAAGAGGTTGCGGACGTGCTTGGCCGAAGTCATGATGCCAACGTTCTCGTTGGCGATGTAGTTCTTCATGCCCGTCTCCTCGTCAATGCCGAGCTCCACACGCTCGTCGACAGGGCCTCGAAGCCTGCGGTCATACTGAGTGGCATCCTCGTTGTCGGCATAGTTCTTGGGGTTGTCGATGTGGTCCTCAGGGCGGTAGCAACCAAGACGGTCGGCCGTGACCTCGAACTCGCGGGATCCGTAACCGAAAGTCAGGAAACCGAGAACGCAGAGCAGCAACCGAATAGCCTCGGCCGACACAGACTTGACCGTGCCGACATCGATAGCCTGGGAGTAGTCACTGAAGATGGAGGTTGAGTTAGTCAATGTCTTCCTCGCGAGAAGTGCCTCCGTCGTTTCTTCAAGAGGGGGGTCTCACCGGAGCCAGTTTCCGAAGTAGACGCGGGAGATGTTGAGCTTGTCGAATTTCTTGCCGCCAGCGACACGGGCCATCACGAGGGTGAGGAGTGTGTCCTCGAGATCGCCATGGCGCCCTGGAGTGGGGTGGTTGTGAGCACATTGCGAACAGAGCAGACCACGCAGCCGCAGCGAATGCGTATGGAAGCAGGGACAACGTACAGTTCTGGCCCTCGACCTTGGAGATGCTGGCGATGTTACCAGCACCGAAAGCATGGGCTGGGCTGGCCAGCAGCAGGAAAACAGCCAGTCCCAGGAGGACCGGGAACGGCTTGAGCGAGAACATCGCAGAGGGGTGCGGCCGAAGCACACTGTAAGGGTGTGGAGGAGATCTCTGTTTTGTATTTCCGAGGCAAGTCTCGCAAGTTGCAACTGGGAGACCTGAAGATGATGTGAAGTTGTGAAATGCAGAGAATAGCAAGCTGGGACGAATGTTTTCAGGAGTAAAGCGGGAGCTTCGAGGCAGGTGGGCGGGGCAATGGAGGGATCGAGCTAGGGGAGCTGTCAACACCTGCAAGTGGCCCGGTCGCAGACTGAAACGAAGGAGGGGTCGTCGTCAAGGCGCGCTCTTGCTGCTAGGTATTGTTTGATGGCGGGTTGCTGGCTGGGAGCGATTACGTCGTCTTGCACTGGTGGGTGGCACGTGAAGCTCGCGATTCGCTCGAGGGGCAGCGCCAGGGGGAGGGGTCCTGGGGCGGGTGCGTGTAGCGTCATTGTCGGCTGCCATGATCTGCAGCTGGGCTCCCCCTTTGTCTCCACCATCCACGCAAGAGCATGGATCCAGATGCCGCCCGTGCCCGGCTGCTCAGACTGCCGCGCCTTGGATTAAGCCAGCTCGAGACCGGGAAGTTGGCACAGCATGATGTGATGGTGTGTGTTATCGTAGGCCCGCGGGTGGGCGGCCGGCTGGCTGGCTGGATGCAACAATCGGCTTGGGCCTGCGATGCGGCTACCAACAGAGTTAGATGGTTATTATAGTTATCCTCCAAACTTTATGCTTAACGGCGGTATAGCTTTGCATCCTCGCAGGATCCAAGGGTTGTTTGGACTAGCGGACCCAGCCCGGCCGCGTCTTGAGAGGATCGTTTCGGCCGTTCTGGCCTGCCACGGCCGTGGAGGCGAGCGCAGCCACCAAACAAGCCACTTGCTTGTCCTTGACCCCGTGCTATTCAAATAGCAAAAGATTCAGGTTAGGCGATGGCTTCGTACCTGCAAGTTGGGGGAGAGAGAGGGGTCGTCGTCGCCTGGTTTTGAAAGTGGGTCAGCAGTGACGCCACAGCTTTCACTCACGATCGCACTGCAAGGGCGTGGATCATCGTGCAGAGACTCCGTGTCCCATCTGGACTGACAGAGTTCTCCGACTCGACCAATCAGGCTGTCAGTCTTGACGGGTCCTGGCCTTGTTGAAACACCCGTCTCAGGGTAACACTGCGTAGCACTATGGCCCAGGTGCTGGCATTTTCCTAACGCCCAAAGATTCTAAAAGATTGATAAGACAACGAGGAAGAACAAAGTGACAAGAAAACTGAAGTCATAAATGCCCGCACCTACAACATTGCCCGATCGTTCCAAGCCCAGGAAAACCCGTAGTATTACTGGCAGTCTCTCGTCTCAATCCAAATATTCGCTCATGCCACAAAGAGAATTGATGCCACGAACAATAACGCTCCAGAACTGTCTCGTCCTCACGGATTCACTAAGGAGAAGCCCCTTTCTTGAAACAAAATTATTGTATAGCGTCCCGTAAAATAAAGTCATGTCTCAACAAACATTGATTCACAGCAAACAGCGCGTACGTGGGTAAGGCCTTGAGCAATAGGCAGATTATCATATTGAAAGGACGTTGAACGTGGTCGAGTTGGCATCCAGCACTCCATGCTCGACCAACGGAATCGGTATGGCGCTCACTTTGACTATTCTCCACCAGAACCCCTGGGAATCTTGCACTCATCACAGAACGAATTTGACAGCTTGTATGATTGTTCTGCTCTCGGTACATAGTTGTGTGGGAATCCTCATCCTAGCACAAGGAATGATCATGCGTGCTTCGCGGAGCGCTTTGACTTGCTGTGAACATGTCTGCATGGCCTCAAGCCAAACCGTGCGCGCTGAAGTGCTTCATGACAACTAGCATATAATCCCTACCATGAAGAACACAGCCGTTGATCCGACCTCTCCCTTCACGAAATGCAATGCTCAGCCTTGTATGGGCGGACAGATGGACAGACCCAGGGATGCTGTCAACCTAGGGTATTGATCACTTGCGCCAAATATCGCAATGAAGGCCCGAAAACCAGGGCTCGACCTTCTAAGCTCAATGTCACAGTTTCGTTGGCTTTAGAGCAAGCATTGGGATTCGGGGATGTGGTGGCAATGCTCCTCCGCTACAAACGCGAACCACGATCTTGTGATTCAGGAACAAGTTGAGACATCCCATTAGCATCGCAATTTCTTATGTGGACAAACTTGCCACGGCAATTTGGCAAGGCAATACTCATGTCTAAACGCAATAATGATAATCGCGCGGCGCATGTCTTTGACTGCTCACCCATGGTCATCGAGTCATTGAATTGTGCCAATTCCGCCAATGCCACGTGGAGGGGAGCGCGGAACTTGGTCGCCTCAGTCATGCCGCAATTTCGGAGTCCAGAGATCCATCAACTGCGCAACTTCCAGACCATCGCCGTCCGGGTCACGGCATATGCTGGATCTCTGCGGGCAGTCGAGGATGACATGCAGCTTGTGGGTGAGGGTCAGGCATTCCCGGTGTCTTCGTAGATCGCAGCTTTTCTTCCGCGCCTCGACGACACAACCGCCAGCAGAACTTACTTCCAAGTACGACATAGTGATAACAACGATGACGCTATCCTGTGACGAATGGTTCAAACCGTATGGGCTGCAGCACAGGCAATCCGAGGACATGCCTGGGCTATGTAGTTGATTTTGACTCGAGAGTATTCTCCTGTTCCTTCCCTCTTGAGCCGTTCAGCACATAATGGCGGATGGTCGTCGGCCTGCAAATGACATGTCCGAACAGGCATTTGAGGTTTCAGGGGCTAGCCGGGTTCAAACGTACAAAGTGCATGTCGCACTTTTCTTTTGCCCGCACGGGAGGTGGTATGTGAAACTGTGCAGTCGCCCTTTTAGGCTTGATTACCACAATCAACGTGGCCACAGCAGCTTCCTTTTCATGTACCATTGTACGCCAGCAGCAGCAGCAGCAACGGTCCACGTCCGTTGCCTGCGAGTTCTGCAGCAAAAGCACACCGAATTATTTCGCAGACCGCAGAAGTTTCCCCGGCCTTGACGCGTTTTAACTGTTTCGACTCTGTGCTGGACATTGCCTGCTGCCTGCTCGAACCACTGGTAGGTGACGCGGCACGAAACCCAGATCCGCATGAGCTTAAGAGGGGTGGCGCGTGGCTCCCTGTCGGAGTGACATGGCAAGGTATATGATTCGTGTCCACTTTGCGCGGAACGTGTTGCTAAGGTCACGTAGGGCAGCTCGCATGATGGCATGGCAGGCCGGTGACAGACGACGGACAGGACTCGACCGGCTCGCTCCGAGCGCCAACCGAGCCAGATGCTCTCGAAGCGGTAAGCAGAAGAGCTTATATGCCCGGCGAGGCTGGGGTTGCTGCCCGAGAAGGATCAGTCGGTGTTTATCTTAAGGTACAGTAGGCGAGGTGGGACGGCACAGGTTTCGCGAGGACAAGCCGCCGGAGACAGCCAAGCTTTGCTGGGCATGGGACACAAGCTTTAAGGGAGTGGGGCGGGCGCGCCTTGGCCTCGAGCTAATTCGCCAGCTGGGAACTGGGCACTCCCGGCCCGATGGCTTGCAGAGGCTTCCGCCCACCGAAGCCAACGATGGATGGGCCCGACGCGTGGCCACGAGTGATGCTTACCTCCGGCGCCGATGGTGTGCCCAGTCCAGGATGGGCAGGTCGTGCGATAGAGTGAAAGAGAGAGAGCGAGGGACGTACAAACACACACACACACACACAGAGAGACAATTAATACTGGCGCGAAGGATATCCCCTTCTGCCCATAATTACCTCGTAGCCTTGTCCCATCGCCAGATCCCCTGGCGTGGGGCCCTGGCTCGAGTCGAGACGAGTTGGCGCTAATCCTGCACGCCGCGAAGAGCCGGTTATCCGGTGTGGGCGCAACGGGCAATCATTTGATCCTCCTCTCCTCGAGGCAGTCGTGTCGTGGTGGCCCCCCCAAGGGGCTTAAGTCGCCTGGGGCAGGCGTCACCCCCCATCTCCATGCCTGGATCCTCTCGATCCCTCAGTGGCCATGTTGCCCCGTACCTTAAGACAAGACCCTGCCCAGACCTCTTGGCCCTTTCCCACACGGGCTCTGCTGTTCCCTCCTGCTCTCCCACTTTCCCACTTTCTCTCTCCCTCCTGCGCAGCCAAGCCTTTCTCCCTCTCCCCCCGGATTCCTTGGGTCTTGGCATCCGACCAAACGCAGTTGAGAGGTCGCTTTCCGTCCCTGACTGCCGGGTCATCGATCGTCGATCCTTTGTAGCCTCATCAGCTCGACACTGTCGCACGCTCCGGCCATCCTTTGACGACCCCGTCCTTGGCTGCTTCTCTGTCGTGGCTTTGCTTTGCTTGCTGCTGCTTGTGTGGACAACGCAGCGCAGCGCGGCCTCTCCAGCAGTCCCACCGCCCGCCGCCCACCGAGCTCTAGGCCCAACGCCGCCACCCACACCCACCCTTCAGCCCCAGTTGGCCTTGCCCTCACTCGTCCTCTTCTCTCCTTCCTCGATTGCGCGCCATTCACCAGCATCACTCCGGACGTCTCATCACAAAACGTCAAACGTGGGACGCCTGCGACCTGCTCATCGCCTGTGACACACGACTATACCGTCCCGGCTCGCTGGCCTCGCCCGGCTGCGCGGGAACATGACCCGCAAGCATGTGTACGTCTGCACCCCGATTGTCTTGTCCCGCCTTGGCCTCCTTCTTGGCTTCTGCTTGGCGCCGTCCACCGTGCCCATCCTGTCTCTCCCCAGTCCTCGCCCGGCTGACACCTTGATATCTAGCACTGAACGAGGTTCGCAATGTCGTGTAAGTCATTTTCCGTCTTCGCCTGTCTCCTTGGCATCCACAGGTGGCCGTCTCGATGCGCGTCAAAGGCAATCGCCGACCGTGCCTCACACCATCCTGCTGGCAGGTGCGATGATGCGGGCGTGCTGCCGCATGCTCGCGAATATCATCGACGTGTCTCGCCGTTTGTCTCTGCTATCCATCCATCGTAGCACAGCAGACACCACCCCGCGGCTCCTCTCGTTGCTGTCATCTCTGTCGGGCCCTTCAAACCGACTCCTCATAATCGCTTCTTTGGATTGAGAGCTGACATGTGCGTCAAGTCTTCTGCTATCTAATCCCTACACGGGCGGTCAAGTCGTACCGAGCACGATTGTCGCCGATGTCACAGAACTATCTGTAAGTTTCATTCCCTTGTTTTGATACTTCCAACCCCTAGGTGAGGCACAGTATACTGACTCGAGCGCCACTGCGCAGCCCGATATCAACGACGCGACGTCTCTTGCTGGCAACATTACTACTCTCTCCATGACCAGCACGCCAGCACAAGACGGTGCAGTGATTCAAGGACTATTATACGTTCCGGACCTGGATGCCAACGACCCGTGTCAACAGCTTATACCAGATTATGTCCCGTCGAATGTCACTCGGCGGAATGATCTCCCACCTATGAACTACAACCTGATTGCCCTCGTTCCTTGGATCAGTCCCAGCTGCACGGAATCGTACCTGACCGTGGTTCGTCGGAACCCTATCAGAGCTATGCTTGTTTACCTGCCATCAAATAACGTCTCGCAACCTCCTCCGGCGTCCGACAGCATATGGGCTCTTCCAAGCGGCGATGGATGGAAGACACAGAATCGACACCCAGTCTATGCCGTCCCTGGTGCGTGGGGTTCGGCGATGATGACGCAGCTCAGCCTTTACTCGGGAAATCTCACCGAGATCCCATACGGAGACAACATCACGGCGGCGCTGAATCCCAATCCCGAAGATTACGTTCGAGTCTGGACGCAGCTCACTGTTGGACGGCCAGAAGACAGTCTTGATCTTTGGGTTTTCATGCTCATCGTCATCGGTCTGGTGACTTTCATCATCGGATGTACCACGATTGGTATGCGCTGGGTGCGGCGCTGTCGGCGCGAGTCACTGCGGCAGCGCGTGCTCGGGGGCGACGTCAACCTCGAAGCACAGGGGATCATGCGACTGCGAGTTCCCCTCGACCACGTCCAAAGTTTCCCACTGTATCTGTACGACTTTGAGAATACCGGACTATCAAAGACTCTAAGCAAAATCGCCTCAAGATCGGAGCGCCCCTCATACAAAGACTACGAGTCGCTCCTCGGTTATCAGCCCTGCTGCCAGATCTGTATCGAGAACTTCGTCTCAAAAAAGACAGTCATCCGGGAATTGTCTTGTGGGCACATCTTTCATCCAGAGTGCATCGATGATTACCTCAGCGAGATCAGTTCGCTGTGTCCGGTGTGCAAATGTTCCATGCTACCACAAGGCTTCTGCCCGAAGATTACAGACAATATGGTCCGCCGGGAGTTTGCATCACGCAAAGCGCATGCCCTAGTCATACCCGATCCGAAGCTTTCGTCGTCGGTTTCGAGGGGTGCGCGCTCGCGGTCGAGGATGAACTCATTGTTCAGTAGCCCGACAATTCTGTCAGACCCTATTTCTCAAGCCTCAACGGCTGTTGGCAAGCCGCCTGGCTACTGAAGACACGACAACTCTCCGGGATGCTCTTAACACGAAGACAAGTTCCCACATCCTTCACCTCCACCGAATGATCTACTCAAGATGCCGACACAACCTGCCACGGAAGTTCGGTTACGCTCCACACATTCAAACAAAACATATCTCATTCATGCCTACCCTTTGAAGCATTTTAAAAGGTTCCGAACGCATAGCGAGGCGCACGTTACAGCGACTTTACTGCCGCATTCACTTCTCATTTATTCCAGTCGCTCATAAGCCGGACTTTTATCCACCGCGGTTCATCTGTGGCAACAGCAGCTCATGCACGATAGTCTTTTGATACCCCACATAGTTTTTGCTTTACTCGGCCACATATCTTGGGGCGTTCGTTGGAGTTTATGGCCGTCTCACCATCAGAAGGTTCTTATCCACTGCTGGGATGGCGGAACCATCTTTCCGACTCCGTGTGCTTTTTTTTTTGTATGGTGTGGTGCTCAGGGTCAGCAACGGGTGCGGCGCAGGCATTGTATATAAGCCAGATTTAGCATATCACCCTGAACATATCTCAAAACCACGTATCTAGACCACGTGCATTCCTCTATGTTCCACATCAATAGAATCCCAAGGCAATTAGAAACGTATCAGCTTAGTGCCCACACTCGCTCCCAAACATCCTCGGTTTGAGCAGCCGGAGCGGTCCAGCACTTCGAACATGGCAAGGATCCATGGAAAATGGTACGAGCCGGACATGCAATAGTGTGCTGTCTTGGAGCGCTTGAAGATGAGACAAAGAATCAACGTTCTACTCCAGAGATGCAGCTCAACACGCGAACCGAAGCGCCATGCTCTGCGCCCATCGCACACGCCTAGCTAATGCTACCATTTGGTGATCCACGCAGGTATTTATCTAGACTCGCGCAGTGCAACTTGGTAAAATATAGATATGCGTTTGTGTATGTTTCAACCAACGCAAAGAGAATTCCAATTAAAGAAAAAAAGGACAAGAAGCCGAATGCAAAAGTATACAACTACAACGACTACTACTGCTAAGTCATCTACGTCTTTGGGGCAAAGTTGACCTCGCCCGTCTCGCTCAGGATCCCGAGCCGGTCGTATATGTTCCGCGACCGCACGTGCGGATCGAGCAGCCAGTAATTCGCCGCCAGCCTCTCCGCGAGAGCCGCCCTCCTCGCGGCGTACTTTTCTTCATCTGCTTCTTCTTCTTGTTGCCTCGAAGCGGCGGCCTCGGTTTCCGTTTGGTGGTCCCCTTCCCCCTCCTCCTCCCCCTCTTCTCCCTTTTCCTTCCTTTCCTCCTTCTCTACCTCGGCCCTCTCCTTCTCCTCCTGGGCCACAGCAGGAGCAGGAGCAGTAGCAGCAGCAGCAGCAGCAGCAGCAGCAGCCCACTCGATCGTGGCCTTTTCGTACTCGGCAATGATGGCCTCGCGCTCGGCCGTGAGCTTCTGGATGCGCTCGAGGTCCTGCATCGCGTCGTTCTCGCCCGCGCGCGGCTCAACGTACGAGTACGTGTAGTCGTCGGCCCCTCCGTACTCGGCCATCAGGTTCGCGTGCGGGATGAACTGCTCGAGGTCGGCGGCCTTGCTGGTGAAGTGGATCTTTGAGGCGACGACGGGATCGAGCCAGCCTTTGACGATTCTCCAGATGCCTGTTGTTTTTTTCATTAATATTTATTTTAGTTTCAAGCTGTGAGCGGGGGGGGTGGTAGTATTGTATATAATGTAGAGAGAGAGAGAGGGCAACTGGCTGGAATGTGAGTGCGGTATGATTGATTTACAATAAAAGCATACCTTGGAATACCCAGGGGGCGTTGTGGATGAGGACGACACCGAGCGTCTCTGGATACCTCGCCTCGAACACCTGGATGAGGAACTTTACGGCGGGGAAGTCCATGTTGCGGAGCCCGAACCCGGTGAGGTCAAAGATGAGGCACGCCGTGTCAAAGGGGTCCTTGACGAGCATGCGGATGCTCTCGATGGTGTGGAGGATGTACAGCTCCATGGCCCGGCCCGTCTGCGTCTTGGGGCTGTGCAGCCGGGGCTTGACAATGTACACGGGCCGGCGGTTCTTGTCGAGCCCGCGGACAAAGCTCTTGCCCAGGCGGTACTGCAGCAGCAGGCCCTCCTCGTCGTCGGTGCGCTTCTCCTTGAGCCCCACGCCCTCGCCGCCCCTGACGACGACGGTGTCGACGTTCTGCAGCGCCCGCCACTCGACCATGGTGACGAGCATGACAATGGCCTTGTCGACGTCCCACTTGCGCGCGCGCAGGAAGCGCAGCACCATCGAGTCCGGGTTGTCGTTCTTGACGACGGCCCACAGCGCCCTGCGGATCGCCTCGGGCGGCTCGCTGGCCAGGTACCGCGTAAAGGCGTCCGACTGGCCATACTTGTTGTCGTTGGCGTCCTGGTGCTGGCTGTTGCCGGCGGCGCTGCGGATGCTCGCGGCCCCGGAGGCGTCGGCCGCCGCCTTGGTGCCGGTGATCTCGGTCAGCCGGACCCAGAACTTTTGCAGCTGGCGCTCCTGGAAGGGCGTCAGGTTGCCGACATAGCCCTCGGGGATCTCGGCATTTTCCATCTCGCTGGGGCCCTTGAGGCTTCTGCTCTCTTCGTTGGAAAGATTGATAATACACGCAGAGACTGCCTCGTCACAGGTGCTCGAGGGCTGTCTTAAGAGGAGTGTCCGTGATTATAAGGCGCTCGGACGGGGTGGCTGTCTGATCCACCCACTAAATGTCAGAGGTTGCCCGGGCACCTCTATCCAGTCACTAGCCCCAGGGGTTTCCTCCTGAGCGACCGCGGAGGACTTCGTCGATGAAAGAAAGGAGTCGTCTTGTACGCTACTGCTCGCTGGCACGGCGCCGGCCGCTTGCCTAGTGCAGAAGCTTGGGGACCAGTCTAGGGATTGCTTCCGTGGAGCTTTTGTCCCCTGATGGTCCAGAGGGGCGAGGGACGTGCGAGTCGGGAGATGCCGCCCAGATATATATATGTGCCTGTAAGAGGGGCAGAGAGAGGAGGAAGCGATCCTAGGACGACGGACGGACCGTTTGTGGAATCGTCGCGGTTCTCTGGCAGGGCTGCTGCTTTATGAGAGGCGCTGCTCGACCCCTCCCTGGCCGCGTTCTCCGCACCCTTGGCCATGTCCACCTCGACAAGGCTTGCGTGGGTGGTGCTGTATGTAGCTCACAGCCAGGCCATCACCAGCCTCGGAAGCACAGACCGTGCCTGGAATAGCCTCGTGCTGGGATCTGCTGCAGGTGACACACGGCGATCTACCTCGTGTGCGGGCCTGGGGCGTCAAGTCTACTGTAGGTTCACGCCAATGACAATGCGCATTGCCGGCGGCGTCATGATACTGTATGTGCCTGCCGCCGCCACACGCTTGCGGGGCCCCGCGCGGGTGTGCCCAGCCTCTGACAGGGGCTCGCCTCCGGAAACCTGGGGAAGTGGCCGATTCGTGGTCGCAAAGATGGAACATTCTGGGCTTAAGGTCCGTGGGCTATTGCCGCACAACGCTCGCCTAGGTCGTCCTCACTTACCACGGCTGATGAGGCCCCCTCATTGCTTGCTCATGGCAATTGAGTGATTGGGTATCGCCGCCATCTCTTCTAGTCACAAATGCAGTGCAGGGTTTTGATTGACATGTAAGCTACCTCGTCGACTTGGTAGATGACATATGCAGCTGTCTACGCCGGCGTGACTAGACAGATCCGAGCAGGGCATGATAGCTTCGCCCCCTTCGTGACGACAGAACTGGCGACCCGCTACATCTCGTCTGATTGGCACGAGCCATGTTGAGAGAACGGGGAGGAATCCCTAATACGGGCACGTGAATGATCCTGGCCATCTGCCGGGTCTCTACCATACGGGCATGCGCGCTATGCAACAGAACATCGCGGGGACGGTCGTCTTTCTTTCTCCCGGTGCTGGCTCTGTCGTCCTATCCGCACGAGGTCATGATCTAGGGCGACACTGTGCACAACGTATAGCTGGCCGCCAGAGGAGCGTAGACACACTGGCTAGACAGCAGCTTGGTCTGCCACATTCCAACTGTGCTTCGGATCCACGTGCTGTGGACATAGTGACCCTTTTGTCACAGAGAACTGCTAGAACGCCTCATTCTCGCGTGTCCAGATTAGGCACAATGGTTGGGTGGTTGTCCCAGAGCAGGACCAGTCTACAGAATGGGCTGGGAAGAGCTGCCAGTAGCCATCTCATTTCCCCACACCTTTAGTCGCAAGCTTGGCGTGGGGAACCTCGGCACTTGTGCATGCGATGAGCTCAGCCGAGTTCTGCAACCAGCAGCCCAGCGCAACAGAGTATTGCAAGATTTGTTGAACACAGACGGCAGTGCCTTGTAACCGTCCAGGCTGTGAGCGCGCATTAGCAAAGCACCTGCGTCTTGTCGTCAGCAGCCTCAGCCACAAGTCCTGGCAGTGGTCACAGTCTGCTCATGCAGCCATGGCGCCAGACGCACTCACACCAACTGATCCGCGGGTCCAGCACAAATTCATCCCGATCCCAGGCACAGACATCACCTATCACTGTCTGCTCGCGACACCATCCGGCGGCAGCAAGCCCCGGGCCACCATCCTCCTCATCCATGGCTTCCCCGACATCGCCCTGGGCTGGCGGTACCAGGTGCCCTACCTGCTCTCGCTCAACCTACGTGTCATAGTCCCAGACATGCTCGGGTACGGCCAGACCTCTGCCCCAATGGCAAGAGAAGTCTACACCTACAAGAACATGTGCACACACATGGCGCACATTGTCAAGACCATTGTCGACCGCCCCGGAGAGAAGGTCCTGCTGGGCGGCCATGACTGGGGCGGCTACACGGCCTGGCGGCTCGCCATGTGGTACCCGGAGCTGTTCCTGTCCGTGTTCAGCTTCGCCGTGCACTTCACCCCTCCGACGAGGCGGCTCGTCACTGTCGACGACCTGCTCAAGATACTGCCCAGCCTCGCGTACCAGAAGCAACTGATCGCGCCGGACCTCGAGGCCGCGCTGGGCAAGGACCCGCGCGAGATCAGGCAGTTCCTGAACGCGCTGTACAACGGCCAGCCGGGGCACCATGTCGCCCAGGTGAATCAGGGCATCGACATTCCCAATCTCGACAGCTATGGCGCCTCGCCGCTCATGAGCGAGGAGATGATGGACCACTTTGTCGGTGAGTATGCGCGGAATGGGCTGCGGGGGCCGTTCAACTGGTACCGCGTGCGGGATCTGAACCACGAGGACGAGCTCGTGTTCCTGCAGTCCTCGGAGAAGGGCCAATACACGTTCAAGATGCCCGCCATGCTGGTCATGGCGGACAAGGATCTCGCCTTCCCACCCGAGGTGGCGAACAGGCAGCAGCGGTTCTTTGAGAAGGGCTTGAAGCAGCACCTGATCGAGGACTGCTCTCACTGGATCATGATTGAGAGGCCCGAGGAGGCGAATCGGCTCATTGGGGAGTTTGTCGAGATGGTTCTTGGGGATAAGGCCAAGCTATAGATCTCGTGTCTCATGATGTATTGCGTTGGTAACGTACCCAACACTTCAGCGTGTCTACAAAATTTTGAAGCTTGGGAAAAAGCCCGCATCTGGAAAAAGACAGTGAAGACAGGCATATTGCCATGGGCTATGGAAAATGCAGCCTGCAGGTTCAGTGATTCACGAGTGCTGAATGCATGAAATTGGAAATCCAGGGTTGACGGGGGATGTCTTGCCATGCCAGGAATGCAGCACTGTCCCCCCATCAACCTGGTGGATATACCTTTGTTGTGAGAATTGTAATTCTCTTTGATCATCGTCTCTGGCGATATGAACGGCATGTCTTGCACAAAGTTCGATGTGATGATGAACCCTCAGTCGTGGTTTTCAAGGTGCCCCCCCCCCCTGCTTTACCTACGCCCAGGTTCATGGGCTTCGCAGGACCCCCCCTCGACTGACGGGGCGTGGCCACCCACTTTTGCAGGCCCACCACGATGTTGCTTCGTCCACCCAACCTGGGAGTACCGATAACAGACAGACATCTTCAGCGCCTGGACCACCGACAGAGAATGCCTTGTCGCTGGCGACCCATTCTTCATCTCAGAATTCCTGCCGTCCTCACATGCCACTTCTGCATATTTGCGACGAAGGGATCGAGGCGGATAGTGTGTTGAGCCTGGTGGTGCTAGGGGACGATCTACAAGACTTATTCAATCTCCCATCGTCATCTTACCATCGCAATTCCAAACCCCTGTATCTTCAGCTGGGACCCTAGACCTGCCGCCTGAACAGGCCCCCTGGGTGCCGAGCTCCGGCGCGGCCCTCCCACGCCGCTGAGCACCACGCCGCCTCACCCCATTCACTTTGCTACATCTTTTGTCCAGCCCGCTGCGTGCCGTCTTGCATGCGGCGCCAGACTCCACCGCTTCGACGCCGCCGCGCCGCCGCCCGTAGGTGAGCCCGCTCGCCCGATCATACGCAGCAGCTTCCCCTAGGAGGCTGCGAGGGCGGTGGCGATGCTCCCCGTCGACAATGTCGCTGTCGTCGCCGCCGCCAGCACCGGCAGCCACTCCACGACCATCCAGGCCGCCAGGCTCTGCAACCGCATCGTCATGTCCTTGCGCCGTCGCCCGCTCCGCCTGTGCGCCGTCGTCGCCTCCATCGCCGCCTTGGTCCTGATAATCGTCTTCGTACCCAAGAAGCATGAATCTCTCTGGGGCTTCGACTATGTCCGCAGCTCCTTCGACTGGGCTGCCCAGCACAAGGTCCATCCTGTAACCTCGCTCATCCCGTTACCGTCGAGCCCACCGCTGCCCTTGCCTGCGGTTCAATATGCATTCCCAGAAGCGGCGGATCCGGCCCGCGAGGCACTGCTTGCTGATCGCCGAGACAAGGTCAAGGCCGCCTTCATCAAGAGCTGGACCAACTACAAGAAGTACGCCTGGACGTGGGACGAGATTGAGCCTGTGTTGGGGCTGCCCAAGGATACGCTTGGTGGATGGGCAGCGACACTGGTGGACTCGCTTGACACGCTCTGGATCATGGGGCTGCATGATGAGTTCTACGATGCCGTCGCTGCCGCAGTCACGCTTGACTTTGGGTACACGCCCGCGGGATCTTGCAACTTCTTCGAGGTCACCATCCGCCATCTCGGCGGCTTGCTGGCTGCATACGACCTGAGCAAAGAGCGAGTCCTCCTTGAGAAAGCCACCGATCTCGGCGAGATGCTCTACGCGGCTTTTGACACGCCAACCCAGATGCCTCCGTTCCTGCTCAACTTTGGCGACGCAAAGTCTGGTTATCTGACGGCAGGCTCATATGATCCTGCGGCCGCCGTCACCTCATTCGGAGTCGAGTTCACCCGCCTGTCCCAACTCACCGGCGACAACAAGTACTACGACGCGCAAGCCAGGCTGGCTGTTCTTCTCGACGAATGGCAGAACCGCACCACAATCCCGGGGCTCTGGCCGCTGCATCTCAACCTGCAGAAGCTCGAGCTCGACGTCGACAGTCTCTACAGCATCGGTGCCATGGGCGACTCGCTGTACGAGTACTTCCCCAAGGTCCACGCCATGCTGGGCGGCGTCGAGCCCGTGTATGAGAAGATGTACCGCCAGTCGATGGACGCTGTGATCAAGCACCTCATGTTCCGGCCCATGACGCGTGACCAGCGCGACATCCTGCTGTGCGGTATCAACTACGTCGCCAAAGGAGACGCCATCCGCACTCCGTCGTTCGTCATGGAGCACCTTACGTGCTTCGCAGGCGGCATGTTCGCGCTGGGCAGCAAGCTGTTCGACATCCCCGAGCACATGGCGTACGCGGAAAAGCTGACCAAGGGATGCGTCTGGGCCTACGAGATCTCAAAGGTCGGCATCGCGCCAGAAAAGTTCTCGCTGATCCCGTGCGTGTCGCTCGAGCCGTGCGAGTGGGACGACAGCCGGTGGTACGAGGAGGGCAACGCCACGCTACCCGACGGGTTCAAGAGCGTGCAGGACCCGCGGTATCTGCTGCGGCCCGAGGCGATCGAGAGCGTGTTTGTCATGTACCGCGTCACGGGGGACGAGGCGTACCAGGAGATGGCCTGGCGGATGTTCGAGGCCATCGTTGCCGTGGCCGAGGCCGAATTTGGGTTCTCGACAGTCGAGGATGTGACCGTGGCGGACGTCAAGCTTGACGATGCGCAAGAGGTAAGTTCTCCTCTATTCTAATCCCTACCTTGAACACGGGCTCGTCTCGGACGGCGCGCCCTTGCTGTGTTCTTCTTCCGTGCGGCATAATTTGGCTGACAAGTGTATTCATCGGAACAGACGTTTTGGCTTTCAGAGACACTCAAGTACTTTTACCTGATATTCGCGCCGCCCGACATGATCAGTCTGGACGACTACATTTTGAATACCGAGGCGCACCCTTTGTTGCGACCCATCCCGGGATCATGATGACGGCATGAGCAGTGCGGATAATGGAGGCGATTGGCATCCGCTTGGGCTTTTTTTGTTTGGCTACTGTTTATAAAGCATGAACGGCATACTTTGCATAGGCCACCCAGGTGTCGGCGTTGTGCGGTTATGATTTTGTTTTTCCTTATTGGAGTATAGACGATGATACGAGACTAGAGAGAGAACAAGGCATAATATATACGAAATATTTGTCTTTGGGGGGGATAGTCAACCTCCATTCAACCCTGGGGTACTTGAGACAGGTCGCGGAATTCTGAAGTCGAGCTGGTCGTGTTTAGTTTCACAACCACACACGCGTCATCGGGGACAACCTTTCCTTCTACAGATAGAGCATGCATGTGTCGACGACGCCATTGGATGGCGATCAGATACACAACTGTGGTTGGTGTGGCAGCCCGAGACTTGTATGTCGTGGATCAACATATTAAAGCACGGTGCCGTTCACAGTCGTCGATCGTTGCTTCCTAGCTGCCCCTCCAGTTGCGTTCTGTTATTTACTCGTCCAGTGCAGGCATCTACGCTTAGGGTAGCGTATTAAACACGTCATCGGGCACGGATTGAAGGCCAAATTTGAAATTTTGGCATGCCCACCGCGGGAGTATTCTGGTGAGGTCGGCTCTTGCAACCATTGGGCACTAGAGCGATACTGGACTCGCGATCAGCGCTGCGGGGCCTGAGTCAAGGGAATGATCAAGGGATGGGGTTGCCGTATCCTTGTTGGGCGACAGCAGAATACGAGATTGAAAGTTGGGTCTGGCAGCTGTCAGCCCGGAGCGATCAGGGGAAGAAGCATGGCTTGAAGAGTTTGCAGCAGACTGATGTCTACCATATGACGTCTAAAGAGAGTAGGGCTGATAAGATGCGCAAAACCACTGTGCCCGCCCGAGGGAGGCGAGCGTTCATGCAGCTGCGGCATCCCGCATCCATCTTGCTTGATGCTACATGCTCCGCTGCAGGGACGCGGGTTGGCGCAACCCAAGTGGGTTGGAGCAGGTTGGTACCTTGCAGATTGTGGCGCCCCCTGTCCCTGCATTCGAGGCTCATTGGCCTGGCGGGCTGACAGGGCCCCAGACAGTGTTCATAGCAATGTGTAATTAACTGCTAGCCTACCTTTCCGGGGTTCAGTTCGTCTTCGTCTCAAGTCGACACTCCTACTTTGCACCTCGCAGGGGCCGGATCGGCACTCTCCCCTGCTTGTCAATTGTGGCCGTCCTCGCTTCATCTCCTTCGATTCTTCTTCCTCAGCCTTTCCTCGCTGCCACTCCTGTCACGGGGCACTGTTCTTCCTCGGCAGACGCAGCAGCAGGTGCACAATACGACGAGCTGGCTTCGTCGATACACCTGGGCCCCTGGCATTTCGACCACACCCGAACACCAGGAGTCGATCAACTACAAACACCGTCATAACCGACTCGATTCGCTCAACCACTCATTCTTCCGACGTCCGCCACGACCAACTGGACCTCAAGCTATCATCATAGCCCTTCGAGCACATCTCGAATCTTCCAAGCAGACCATAATCATCCACTCCACACAACTACACGACCAACACAATGCCTAAAGGCCACCACCGCTCCCGCTCGTCCATAGACCGGACTCTCGATCTGCTGGCAGATCTCGACGATGGCCAGCTCGAGCTGCTTCTCCAGGAGGCCAATTCCTCGGGAGACGCCCACGTTGCCGTTGCTCAGGCCATCACCCTCTTCGAGCGGCCCCTCTCGCCTCCGCTCTCGCCGCGGTCCTCCATGCTGGCCCGCGGCGGGCCCCAGGCTCCGCGCAAGTTCCTCACCTCGCTGTCGCCTCGCAAGGGCTCGCTGCGCCGGAGGACGAGCAACAGGACCTCCTCGGCTCCAGAGCCGCGGACTCCCAAGAGCCCGAAGCGGACGTCGTTCATATTGGCCAAGAATGCCAGCGCCAACATTGACGTCGTACTCGCCGCGGAGGAAGACCCCATTCCGACTACCACCACCACAGCTCCCAGTAGCATGGCCGACGCGGACAAAGCCGCCGACCAGCCTCCCCCCACGCCAAAATCCCCCAGAGCTACCGCACCACCAGTTTCATCACCAAAGACAACAAGCAGCAGCACCAAGACGAGCCGTGCATACAAGCGAATCAGCAGGCCGTTTCCGCTGCTCTCCCCGGGAAGCTTCGACGGCAGCAACAGCACGGCCGGCACACCGCAGATCCACGACCTCCTGGCGGCATATTTCCTCGAAGGCTCGACGGCCCCCGCCCTCTCCTCGTCCGGGTCCAGCACCGACGGCTCGTCCCCAATCACGCCTCGCTCGTTCTCGTCGCCCTTTGCAGCTTCCCCGTCTGTTATCAGCTGGGCCCAGGCAGAGGCCGAAGGGCCCGACTCGCCCTGGGAGGACGTGTTCGAGCCCTCGCCGAGCAGGAGGAGAGGTCCTGCGGCGGCGGCAGCGCCCTTCCCGACGAAGCCAAGCAAGGGCCAGAAGTCGTATGGCGACAATCTAGGCCTGGGTTTTGGCATGAGTCCAATGCGCGAGCCATCGAGGAATATCAGCGGCATCTTTGAGGTCCTCGGCCCTATCTGATTCATCCCCCCTTTTTTGCGCCTCCGGGACGAACCGTTTCGCGGGGTTTGGATTTCAGGCTTTGGTCGTGTGACCTAAGCAAAGATCATGGCGGCAAACACCCCAAGGTGCTCGGGGAAAGTATTGCTTGTGTGGGCAGATCTTGTATGATCTTTGTGTAGCCTTTTGCCGTCAAATTGTTTGTATATCCGTTTGTCCAGATTTTTGTTTAGCAGTAGGCACCTGTCGTTATCTGTCATTCTCTGAAGGGCACTTCTCAAAGTCCCTCTTCAAGTCGTCTATACCACCGCATCAATTTACGGAATCTCTTGTTCCTTTCCTTGTACCATTATTGTCTGTTGTGGAATTTGTCTTGGGCAAATATAAATTGACAGTTGTTCATGTTCAACAAGCCGCCGGATTCTCAGGCACAGCAGTACATTGGTCTTGGAAAAATGCCGACGTGAACCGGCAAACGAAAAGATCATGATGGATGCGTGGCTGTGTGTCGAAATTGCATGATTCTGGATGAAAGATAGATGCTGGTGTGTCTCTATGACGCTCTTGTTCTACACCTATAAATCTAGATGTTCATGAAGCGCAACGCTAGGAGGAAATATGCCCCAAGCTCCCCGCTGGCAGCACTGTCCAAAAAGCAATACCATCATCACCAAGCAACACGAACAAAAAGCGCTTGCAAGGACAAAAGTTCCAACGATGTGCGCACGCGGCGCGCACGTTTTTACAGCGCCACGACGCCAAACATGACGGCAATCCCCAGGCCTATCGCCGCCGCCGCCGCCGCCGCCGCGAGCATCCCTCCACTTCCGCCAACAACGGGCGCCGCCGCGGCATTGGGCGTACCTGTCGGAGTAGTGCTTGCTCCTCCGTTGCCCGCACCGGGCGGCGGCGACGATGTGGATGATGATGACGACGCGGGCCGGGGACTCGTCGTGCTGGCGGCGGGACAGTTCGCGCCGCTGGTGGTCGTCGTCGCGGCGCGGAGCTTGAGCTCGACCATGGCGGCTGGGTCTAGCGGGACGGCGGTGACGGTGACGGGGACGAAAAGTCCTCCTCCTACTTCTGCTGCTGCTGCTGCTGCTGCTGCTGCTGGCGTGGCTCCGTCAGGTATTATAGCTGTGGTTGATGATGGTGGTGGTGAGGAGCTGAGTGTTGTGGTTGAAGACCCCGTGGCTGGGGAGGCGGTCGCGCTGATGCCCGCTTCTGTCCAGGAGCATTCCACCACCACTGCCGTCGCCGCCGCCGCCGCCGGCCCCGCGGACTCAACGGCACCGGGGGGTGACACGGTCGAGCAGATCTCGTGCCGCGAGAAGTGCGCCCCGTCGTCTATCGAGTACTCCCAAACCCCCTGAGGCGACCGCATGGTCACATACGCGCCTGGGCCGGGGATCGGGCACCGACTACCAAACCGCTGCTGCTGCTGCTGCGATTCCTCCTCCCCGCCGGTCTCGCCGTCGAGTTCAGCGGCGCGCTGCTCATGATGATGTGAGTGGGCGAGGGCGTGGGCGTGCCGGCGGTGGTGCGGTATATGCTGCTGCTGGTCCTCGTCGTCGTTGTTGTTATCCGTGCCGCCGTCTTGCAGTATGCCGGGCGCCGTGTCACCCACGGCTGCTGAAAGTGCGGCGAACGGGTCGCACCGGATGAAGAACTCTGTCGCGTCGCTGTCCTGGCGGATGACGGAGCCGATGACACGGTTCTGGATTCGGAGCTGGGCGTTTGGGGGGCTGGGGAAGAAGACGCTCTGGACGTCGCCGACTGCGATCAGAGAGTCTGTGTTGGCGCCCGAAGCAGCAGCGGCGGTGACAGCAGTGGCAGTGTAAGCCATGATGACGGCTGCCAGGGCTGAGCCAGTGGTGGTGTTGGTGGCATGTGTTGTCCTACGCATCGTGATGTATGACGCTGGCGCCGAGCTCGCGGCGAGGTCCTGAGCTTGCTGGAGAAAGGGGTCCCGGAGAGTCCAATGTCTGAGTCCGTCGAAGTTTTGCTCCCAGGTTCATTCGTACTTCTCTCGCATCCAACGCTGCAATGAGTCAAGACAAACGTTTCTTCAGAATTGGGTCAAGTCTGGGTTGGTGTGCAGAACGTGGACGTGAGCTGAAGCTGAAACTCGTGGGATGGAAGCACCAGCAGCCTTGCGGGTCTCAGCCGCGCTTGTCAATGCGGAGCCCCGTACCTGGAACGTATCACCGCCGGGGGCCAGGCGGTTCCCCACAGACTCGCGCTAAATATAGCACCCAAAACTCGCCTAGCCTGCCCATCGAAAAGCAGACGAGATATCGCTGTCTTCTCTGGCCTTGTACAGACAGCATGCTTCAGATCCTTGAAGCCGAATCTGCGGTTTCCATCAACTTCCGTCGGTTGATCGCGTATCAAGTTTGCGGGACGACCTGCGCACCTTTGGCCCTCTACAATTCAGCACACTCTCATCTTAGTAACTCGTAACTCGATTCCGGATTAAGAACAATCCAAGCGCCGAGAGAGTCCGCAAAAATATTGCCTGTGATGTGGGCGCTAGTCAGGATATGTGACTGGCAAAAATATGAGGGATGAGACCTCTCTGAAAACCTCCATCTTAATGGGCAGGATACATTCGAGAGATTGCTACCCGACTACCGATATCCCCTTCACAAGAACAGGCGCCCCAGGCACATCCGCATCTTGACACAATAATATATATCCTAGGGAATGGAATGCCCCCGCTGCGGTGAATTTCCATGATATTGTCGTCTATGTTTCTACTCGTCCCGCGTTTTCTCTTTTGTACAGATCCGATCTCCACAGTGTAAGCTTGTTCCAATGTGTAGAGAAAGGCGTGCAGTGCCACGGCTTGACACTCGTGCTCGTTTTAGTCCTGCGAGATGGGAGCACCCAGACTTGGCCACGTGCCTCAGGTGGGATCACAACCAAGCCTGGGTATCCCGCCGGACTGCAGACATTGGTGTCCTATCTCGACCCTGCCCCATTGGCCGAGTGCACATTCCGGCTGGGCAATGTCGGGTTGCCAACGCGGGCCCCGATCCATTCTCAGTAATCATCCTCGTCATCCTCGTCCTCGTCGAACGCCATACCCTGCTTGAACACCACCCTCTCACAAAGCTGCAGCGTCTTGCGCATCGGAAGACCAATCACATTGTCCACGCTGCCCTCGACCCTCTCGACGAGGACCATGCCGCCAATCCCCTGCACAGCGTACCCGCCAGCCTTGTCCACGCCCTCGCGCGTCTTGACATATGACTCGATCACGTCGTCCGGCAGGCCGTCGCTCTCCCTCGCGAAGAAGACCTTTGTCTCCTCGACGTGCGTCTGGATCTCGTATCCAGGGTGGCTGGCGTCCTGCTTCGGCGCGACGGCGCACACGGCCGTCAGGCATCGGTGCACCCTCGTGTCGCGCAGATGCTGCAGCATGCGGATGTGCGCGGCCTCGCTGGGCGGCTTCTCGAGGATCCGGCCGTCCCGCGAGACAATGATCGTGTCGGCCGATATCACCAAGTCGGGCTCCTTGGCTGGGTTCTTGTTAGCGTCGGCGGTGGTGGTGGTGCTGTTGCTACTGGTATCTGGCTTGGCCCCGGACGCGACGGCTTCTTCGGCACGGTCGAGGGCGAGCTGGTACACGTCGAGAGCCTTCTGCTGGGCTGTGGCGGCCACGTACTCGAACGGCCCGAGCTCGACCTTGGAGAGGTTCTCGGGCTTCGTGCTGGGGAGGACCTCGATGTTCGCAAGGCCGAGCTGCGCAAACATGCCTCTGCGCCGTGGGGAGGCCGAGGCCAGAATGACCCGGTGTGTCTTCATGTATTTGAGGATCGGCAGCTCGAGGGGCTGTGGCGGGATGCTGCCACCGCGTCGCCGGCCCGGCGGAGGCGGGGGCGCGCCGCCCGGGGTACGAATGGGGAGGCTGCCGTGCTCGCGAGCCGAGGCATCGTATGAAGGGGGGGCATCTGCGGGCACGGGGGCCGTTGGGGCCGCGGTCTTTTCGTCAGCCATGTCGCTGGCGGCGGAGTTTTGTCGTGGAGGACGGCGTTGGAGCTGCCTGAGGTCGGGGGCTGTTTATTGTGAAGAAGCGTGGGTATTATGTATGCAACGCTCTACAGGGCGTCTATGGTGGATGGAGCCGAAAGCGGCTTGTTGATTGGGGACTTGGGGGCAATTTAACAGGCTCGAGTATAAGAGTATAAGGAGTAATGCGTTGAAGTGAGCTAAAGCTGTTGTTGCGGTCACAAAAGCTCCCAAAAATGGTGGAGGGGTTCTTTCTTTGAGCAGACCCGCTTGCTTGCGTCACAGGCCCCTGGTCGTGCCTTGCTTGCCAAAGATTGACACAGGAACTCCCCGAACCCCACGGTCAGCCACGAACATGTCTCACTTCGTTTTCAGTGAGCTCAACAATCAAACTGCTCCGACGTGCTCGACACCAGCTATGCTGCTTTCTCCAGACAGCCGTGCATGAACATCGCTCCTCGAGATTTGGCTCTCTTTTGATGGGCAGTAATGCTTCAGAGGCTCCCGCACATACCGCTGAGTATCCACGGGAATCGTACCTTAAGTCACTAGAGTTACGCCTGCGGTCGAACACCGTTAGCCATAGTCGCCAAGGGAAACGCAGGTCAGGGCACTTTGACTAACGTAAGCATGTGACGGGATGACTGATCAGACAACATTTGACAGGTCCGGCGTGCCCACACACTCTCTCTGCCACCCCAAGATTTCCCGACATGCCACAGTGGGGGCCCAAACCCCTGGGCGGATTCGACTGGGGTCCTGTCACATGCCCGCCCGCGCTCCAAAAGCCGCCCAGCGCCCACCCACCACCATCTCGTCTTGTCGCACAACCACAACGGCGGCTCCTCCCGTTTCATTCGTCGTCGATTGCGCCCGGCGCCGAAGTCTACAATAGTGCTATTCGGGGGAAGCGCCTCCTCCTCCTTCATCAGCGCCACTCATTGTGTGAACCCAGCAAGGGGAGTGAGTACTCCGGCCAGGAAACAATTACTCTCAGACTAGGCCGACGCTGCCGGGGCATGCACTGGACCACGGCTCCTTCATATCCGCATCTCACTCTTCTTCGCTACACCGAGCACGCCTGCCTGGATAGAGGTCATCGGCCATATATAGCGCCCGCCAATATGCAACACGGCCGGACAAGTACCATCAGGAGGATATTATAGAATCACACCATCTCAAGACAGCTTTCAGAAAACTTGTTATACACATTGCGCCTGGATACTAGAGCGGGAGAGAGAGAGAGAGAGGCAACATGGCCGAAGCAGCAGGCTCCAGCTCTCCCCAGAACGGCACCGACTCGGCTGCTGCGGACGACAAGCCGCGCTTGACCGAGGAGGAGAAGAAACAGAACCACATCGCCTCGGGTAAGACAAAAGACATCTCACAACCCACACACAAATTTTGACCAAGTCTTGGGCCTATACACATTCCATGCTCTGTCCCTATAACCCTCCTTGTCTCTAACCACTCTAGCGACACATCAACAGAGCAGAAACGCCGCGAGGCCATAAGGGCCGGGTTCGACCGCCTGTGCGACATCGTGCCCGGCCTCGAGGGCCAGGGCCGGTCCGAGGGCCTCGTGCTCAAGAAGACGGTCGACTACATGCGCGAGCAGATGGAGGTGCGCCGGCAGCTGATCCGCGACAAGGAGGCGCGCGGCGAGTATGTCCCCGACGAGATGCGCGAGCCCGTGCTGATCCTCGAGAGGATCGAGGCGAGGGAGGCGAGGGAGTCGGCGATGAGGACAGAGGAGGATGGGGATTCATGACAGTCGGTTTAAAAAGGAAAACTGCATTTTTTTGTGCCCAAATGGCACGCGGACACACTCTGCAGGAGTATGTGTGAAATCTGACGTTGAGCCCGGACTGGCCGGGCAATTTTCTCCTTTTATATGTTCTTTGTTTTGGAGGGGTATACAGTGTTGTTACATGTCTTCTTTCATCTATTGATAAGCGTCCGTCTTCGCCTTCAAGATATCCAAAAGCTCCTTTGGCGTCATTTCTTGGTGTAGCTGCTTCTTGTTGCCCGCTGTGCCCGCAACAACGACGTCTTCGCGTGAGTCTAGCCGTCCGAGATCCACCGTGATTGTGCCCTTGGGCACTTGCCTTGGACCGACGGTGACAACAACCCCGTACCCCTTGGACTTTGCCTCGCGCAGCTTGAGCTGCAGACTGCGGCTGCTGCTGTCAATGTCCACCGCGAAGAGCGTAGGGTTGGACAGCGGCGCGTCGGCACTGCCGCCCCGGCCAAGCAGTGTGTCTTTCGTGGCGTTTGCCAGGTCCACCACCGGCTCGCTGTCGTTGACGGTAAGAATCATGACCTGGCGCGGGTTCAGCCAGAACGGGTACTTTCCGTCATAGTGCTCGACGAGCAGCGCCATCAGCCGCTCCACGGACCCCAGAACGGCGCGGTGGATGAGGACAGGCCGTACAGGGCCATAGTCGGCAAGCTTTTCCGCATCGGTGGTGACCTCCCCTCGCCGCTCGAATTCGGGGGCAGGAGCTGTGTACTCTAGCTCGAAGCGCTTCGGCAGCTGGAAGTCGAGCTGGATCGTGGCAGTCTGGTGCTCCTTGCCATCCGAGTCACGCAGGACAATGTCAATCTTGGGGCCGTAGAACGCGCCGTCCCCTTCGTTGATGGTCCACTCCTGGCCAGACGCATCCAGAGCACGCTTCAGGGCGCCCTCGGCGCTCGCCCAGTCCTCCTCGCTGCCGATGAAGTGGTCCGCTGGCCGTGTCGACAGGGCCAGTCTATATGGTCCGAGTTTGAACGTGGAATAGACTACCCGCACAAACTCTAGCGTCTTTTTAATCTCTTCCTCGATCTGCACCGGCCGACAAAAGATGTGCCCGTCGTCCTGGTGAAACCGACGGACACGGGTCATGCCGCTAAGCGCGCCGGAGATTTCGTTACGGTGCAGCGGGGAGAAGTCTGCATATCGTATCGGGAGGTCGCGGTAGCTGCGCCGCTGCGAGGCAAAGATGAGGCAGTGGCCCGGACAATTCATGGGCTTGAGCCCATACTCCTCGTCCTCGGCGGTGGACCCGGCAGCAGCTGGGTCTGCCCGAGAAGGGGAGGTGCTGGTCACGGTGAACATGTCGTCGGCGTAGTTCTCGAGGTGGCCGGACTTTGCCCAGAGGGACTTTTTGTAGATGGTGGGCGTGATGACCTCCTCGAAGCCATAGCGGACGTACTGCTTGCGGAGGAAGTCGACGAGGCGGTTGAAGATGCGGGCGCCGTTGGGGAGGAGGATCGGGGAGCCTGGGCTGTAGACGGAGGTGGTGAAGAGCTCCTGTTGGATTCCGAGCTTGCGGTGGTCTGCTGGAGGCTTCGGTGCCGGTTCGGCGGTGCCGGTGGCGCGGGCATGCGACGAGCAAGGTCGACGCTGGAGGTGGACAAGCGCCCTGATCCCCGCGGGCTGGTGGTGTCGCAGGATGGCCAATTGGCGAGCGCTCTGGGCGTGCCGCGCACAGCGCAGAACGGACTGCCGCAGAACCATGCTGGACTGGGCCTGGGTCGAGTTGACGGGCACGAGAGAGGCCGGCGGAGGTTGGAGCTGTGGCCGTGAACAACGAGTTTAATTAGTGGGTGGGATGGTGAAGCTTCGACGAGTTTGGACAATCCCTGGAGCGGGCTCCACGTTGCTGCAGGGGTCTGAGCTGTCTCGTGGGTCCCATGACCTCAGCTTTGCCCCTCGACTCGACCCCCAAAGGGCGCTAACCAGCAGCTGCAGTGCTGCACAGACGACGACAGCATGGCAGGCAGCGTTTCCCCATGCACGCACGATGCACAATCACATTGTTGCCATACACATACATACACACTGCTGCCTCACAACCACTTTCCTCACGGCCATCAACAACGCGACACGGGTGACTCATCTCTGCCTCAGCCAGCACCCGTTGACCTCAATCCGAGCTGTTCATGCAGGGGTTCCCTTGGGCATTACCCCACAGCACCATTATATAATCGTTGCCCGGTCGCACACTTTGCCACCGCGCCTACACGTCCTTTCTTCCTCGAGTCGGCGCATAGCAGCTGCCACTCCAACCTTCGCAGCGGCCTTTACATAATTTAGCTCCGCTCACTCTCCAGCTCGAGGCACTTTGCTAGGACGGACTGACGCCCGGCGCGTCACAAGACTCGCACCCTGCGGCAAGTTCACGTCGATATGCCAGGAGCTTAATACAGATATTCTACACGCTCTTGCTACACTTTCTTGGACGATGGCTCCGCGGAGGCAGCCGATACAGGCGCCCGAGAGCTCCTGGCGGCTTGTCGAGGGCGGTGAGAATGACAGCTTCGACACCAGCATCGTCAACGACTTCGAGGACGATCCCCTCCACTCTGCTCCCCCGTCGCAATTGTCATCTTCGTCGCAAGGCTTGAGCTTCAAAGCGTCTCAGGACAGCTCCTTCTCCGACAGAGAAAACCAACTGCTCGCGCGGATGGACTTCCGGCCCTCACTTGCTTCCACCAGGCAGCCGTCCGAAGCGGACAGGGACCAGACTCCTGTACCAGAATTCTTCATGCCCAAAGTTGACACGGGCCGCTCCCGCCAGACAAGTGGTCGCTCATCGAGAACAGTCACGAGAGCCTCGGCAGCTTCTCCTGGAGCAGACAGATATCCGTATCAGCGACGAGGGTACAGCCAGAGAGATCGTGATGAGAGTCCAGATGGGCAATACTACCGCGCTCGAGAGGGCAAACGTGGCAACGGTCACTACGGCCCGCGACCGACCACGCTCGCGGATCGTTTCAGCTCATCAGTACCGAACTTCGTCTTTGACGTTGCGGCGTGGCTGCTCTCTGTGATCGGCATGGCATTCAGCATGGCCAAGTTCCCCATCGCGATCGCCTTGTTCATCTGGATCACGGTCGGACTGAGCATGTCCACCATCAACACCGTCAAAGATGGCATCTCGGCCTCGCCAATCTGCAAGATCCCCTTCATCACGCCTTCCTTCTGCAATGTCGGCCCGTCCGTCTCGAGCAACAGCTCGAGCGTCGAGTTCGACGGCCTCATGGCCGTGCAGGCGGACTTTGAGAAAGTCCTCGAGGCGTCTGCTGAGGGCGTGTCTCTCCCCATGGAGATGAAGCGTTCCGAGACTTCAGTCCGCGACCTCCGCACGATGGTCAAGTACAGCGACATATCCGCACGCGCGGAGCTCGTGTATGAGTTTGATGGGTACATAGAGACCATCTCGACGCTGTCGCGCGACCTTCAGACCTTCAACACCCACGTCGGCAGCGCTGTCGATAGCATCATCAGCATCAACCGCTGGACGTCGCGGTACATTGACTCGCTCGCGACCACGCGCGCCGACGCCGAGACGGGCAGCGCAGTCGCCCGCTGGACAGGCTGGCTGTTCTCGCCCTTCCAGCCGGTCGTGTTCGACGAGCGCATCCTGCTGGACAAGTACATTGAGCACACGGGCCTGGTGTCTGACAAGATTGCCTCGCTCATCCTCGAAGCACAAGCCAACCTGCGCCTCCTCGCCCAGGCCGAGAACAATCTCCAGATCATCAAGGAGCACGTCGTGCGCAGCGAGCAGGACGTGTCCCAGGAGAAGGACTCGGTCCTCTGGACAATCTGGACCCTCGTGGGCGCCAACAGGCCCCAGCTGAACCGTCTCAACAGCCAGCTCGACCTCCTCAAGCAGGTGGAGCGCCAGCGCACGTTGGCGGTAGCCCAGCTCGTCACCCTCGTGCACGACCTCGGCGACATCCAGAGCAAGCTGAGCGATCTGCGCGATAGGGTCGCCGCGCCAGAAGTCGTCTCGGGCGCCGACGGTCCAGGCATTATCGGTGGGAGCGCCGCGAGGATCCCGCTCAGCGTGCACATTGAGACGATCAACGCGGGCGTCGAGAGGCTGGAGGGCGCGCGCAGCAGGATCCGCGCAGAAGAGAATGAGCGGCTGCAGCGCGCGCTCGCGCGGGCAAGGGACGAGGACCACCTGATTGAGGGATAAAAAACTTTGCAGACATTTTGCTTTGTCTGGTCCCCTTGTTTTTCCAGGTCGGATTCTCAAGAAGGAAGAAGACCTCGTTCCAAAGTCTACATTTTTGTAGCTTTTTTTTTCCTCTCACCAAATGGTAATCACTGTTTACACGTTTGGAAATGGGAATGGGATGAACAGCAAGCGGATTTTTTCTTTTGGTGGAGAGACATCAAGGACATATGACACAATATAGTGACCATGTATTGAGATTGGGAACACATTTTGCTTGCTTCTTTTTTGTTTCCCTCGTTGCCGTTGAGCAGTATCACATAGAGTTCGGGATAATCATAGTTGGCGAGTTTCACACAAATTCACATCGCTCCTCTGCAGCTCATGAGCCAAAGATCCCCAGCTTGTTTAGGCCAGAGATTGGCTATGTCTCCGTAGGACGAATAATGAGACCAGCATCCCTATTTCAGTATGTCCGACCGGCGGGACACGCACCGCATGGAAAGGATCAAACGTCATGCATGTATTATAGTCACTATCGTACCCCTGGGACTAGTGGTGCCGCAGACTCCAAGCCCAATGCTGTTTATATGATGGAGAAATCGTGTGCGCGCCCGGAGCGACGCGAGTTACAAAAAGATAAAACAAAAGGGGGGTATCCGTATCCAAGGGAACATGTCCGTGTCTATTCGATGCCAAAAGTGTAGTGACGTTGCAAAATGATGTAAAGATGTTACTTTTCAGTCGTGCATCGGGGGCTGAAGCATATGTTTGGCTCTGCACATGTCTCGCAATGTCGATCTCCTCGCCGGATCTGTGCAGGGCTTCACCAAAAGAACGAATGACAACAGCCCGATCGTTATCCAGAAAAGGTGGAAAGAACCGCACATTTCCTAGCAACTCAAGCACTCGAGTGGACTGGCGAGACGGTTTTCTCAGTGTGCGCGCTGCGGCCACCAGCAAACTTGCCGTCCATGCCTAGCTTGCGCTCCGTTACCCAGTTGCGGAACTTGATGAGAGCCCAGACGAGGACGAAGATGACGATGATGGCGACGGCGATGCCAAAGACGTAGGCGGCGACAAAGGCGTGCTGCTTGGTAGGGTCGAGGAAGGGGTAGACGTAGAAGCCCTTGGTGGCGGCAGTCAGATAAGCGAGACCGAGGTAAAGAGCGAGGATGAGGATGAGCCACAGCAGATGGATCCAGGGCGGAGGTGCCGTGCGCGTGAAGATGAGCTCGAAGAGCAAGAAGGCCGAGTTAAGCGCATGCTGGCTGACGTTGCCCCAGAGCCCGTATGTGCTGGTGAAGCCAGTCTGGCCATACAAGGGGGGATAAAGGATACCCCAGAAGACCACAGTGACGAGGACTGGGTATGTGACGACTGTCGTGTAATAGAGCGAGTGGAGGGCTTTCAGGATGCGAGGCCAGCGATCGAGAAGGGCCGAGTTTGTGCGCGCGTAGCTGAGGGTGTGAGCGGCGGCGAAGAGGAAGTAGAAGGCGAGGCCCCAATAGGTGAGGACAGTGAAGAATGAGAACGACTTGGCCGACTCGGTGCAGCCGCCTAGTTCGGGGTGCGCGCACTGATAGCCAATGTTGAAGAAGAGGACCGTGATGGCGTAGAGGCCCTGCGAGATGGTGTCAGCCGTGCATGCTGCCGAGGCTTACGATATGTACGCTACTTACGATGAGGAGACGGATGCCTCCGAGGACATAGGGCGGGAGGATCCAGGAAGTCTCGAAGCGATGGGAAGGGTCCCAGACGCCTGTGCTGAGGGCAAATGGGTGCGCCATGGCTACTGTTGCTGACGTGGACTCTGCTGCGCAGCAGCCAAAGTTTCCCTAGTCGTCGTTATCGTCGTCGTGGCCGTGGCGGTCGTCAAGACTGGCCTGTTGAAAGGGGCAGCCACAAGCTGGGTGATGGCGGACCAGCTGGAAGTGGCTGAGGGGATGTCGTGATGTCGAGTGTTGTATACGTAGGCAGAGAGGCGGAGGCTGTCCCAGGGCTGAGGAAGGAGGAGGAGGAGAATGAGATGGGCGACGGGATCATGTGAGCCAAGACCGCGGGCGCCTTTTGCAAAGAGCCGAGTGCATGGGGGGCCTTGGGATGCGCGGCCAGGGAAAGGGCGATCGGGGTCATTTGACGAAAGAGGCAGCAAGTGCTGGACCTGTCCAAGGCACTAACGCAAAGGGGTCTCGGGGGGTGGCCCCAAGCAGCCTAGCCGCGGGCCCAGCAGATTCTAGCGGCTGCAGACAAATCACTGGCGCCAACGTGCTGGTTTCATCACAACTGCCACTGCAATGGGATTGTTCCATGCGTGGTTCCATGCGTGCGAGCGTGCGACGAGGCGCGGGCTAGCGGGAGCCTCTTTGCGGATGCCAAGCGCGGGCCCAGGGACGACTGCCACGGCAGTTGAAAGAAGGCCGGGCTAGTTGCACGACTAATAAGCAACCAAGCAGCAAGCACCTCGCCCGCCGCACTTCAGCCCTGACGCATTGCAACATGGGCCCCCAAGGCATCTGTGATGTGATGTGGTGTGATGGGACAGGACCGAGGCCACGCTCGGCCCTCTTGCAGGGCTGTAGCCATCTCGGGCCGGGACGGGATGGGATGCACAACACAATGGCGGCCGCACGGTCACGATAAGCCGCCGCCCGGTGTCTCACAGGATCCATCCCACCGGGTCTCTCCCAGAGAGGCTCGCGGGCGTCGTGCAGAGCTGAGATGGATGACCAGAGATCAGAGATCAGAGCTTGGCGTGAGATGTTGTGCAGCACGCGACACACCCACCACCCCTGGAGGGCTAACCAATCTCGTCCATGCCCACCGCTCCCTCCTCCCCAGCCAGTCTCCCCCACAACGTCCGGTGTAGATAGTGCCAGCCCACCCAAGATGATGATAGTGTTCGCCTATCTGCACCACCATCTCCTCCCCTTCTGCCTGAGTCGGGGAGCTGCTGCTTTTGCCCTTTGTGACAATCGCAGCGTCACAACCAGAATGTCTCTTTCCAACCCCCCCCCGGGCCTGTCTCAGTGGGCCCTCATCCCTCGCCCAATGCACCCTCGATGAAACAACCCTGCCTCTTCACATGCACAAAACCACCCCTGCTATACTGGGCCTGCCTGCTGGGTCCGAAAATATGCACCTTTGCGGAGCAGCACCGCGCGCTGCCTTCCCTCTCTGCCCGCCAACAAGATAAAGACATCGCTATATCACCATGGGTGCATCCACGCACCCCCAGCCCTTGTGATTGGTGTAATTATCACTGGCGCACTGTTTGCCCTTTCATGATGGGATGACCGGGCCTGATTACAACCTGGCAATCCATCGCTGCACAGTGGGCACGGGCACACGTATCGCCGGCCAGCGGCTGAGCCAAAGTCCAAGCAAACGCATCTGCAAAGAGAACCAGGGGGGCAACCCAGAAAAAGAAAAGTCAAAAATACACAAGCCAGGGATTTTCATGCATCGATCCCAGGCCCTGGCGGGATTACGTCGATATCCCTTGTTTTTGCGTGCGCGTTGCTTCAGGCTCAGGGTTGGAGCCTGCCACAAAGACTTGCCTCAAGGTACCTGAGTAATGTAATCCATCACCAATATTCCGCAGCTCTGTGCTGGCTTCCACCACCGTGCTTCCTGGCTTGCTCGATGAATGGACAAAGGGAACACCTTTCCGAGATGGAGAAGCATCTCATATGGCCATGGCTCATGGCCGCGTCTGCATCTTGAGGCTCGAGGCAGAAGGGCGAAGCACGCTGGCCAGACTCCGAACGGCGCATGTCTGACAAGATTGGGATATTTGTCCACATCCTGCAGGAGTCTCGGACGGTTCAATGATGGAGGTGACTCGTCGCAGCGCACCGAATCTGAACTCAACCTGGCAAATGTATTGATACGTTGAAGGACCTTGGGGGCCTAATCAACTGTTGCTGGGGCCTTCTTTTGTCCCCAAGCATGACTAGACTGTTGTCATGTTGCCGCCACATGCACCCTTTCCAATCGGGAGACTTCCGTTGCTTTTCATCTCATCCAGGTCCATCACTTGCTGCGTGCCACGTTCTTGTCTGTCTCATGATCCTCGACTTTTCTTATGGCCGTGTACCTCGCCATCGTACGCTGTGCTTCGTTTCCAAGATGCTCCTGCTGCTTTCATGCTTGGAACAATCCCAAACGTGTGCGACCCCCTCGTGATGCTGCTGTTCTTTCTCTCCGCCCCCGTTCCCGGTTGAGCTGTTCAAGATCTCGAGGCCACGCTCCCTTCAGCGACGTCGCGACGCCTGAATATGGGCGAGTAGGTGGTTTCCACGTCCATCTCCTTGAGCGATTAGACGGCAGTGGGCCAGCATGGGGACCTTTGTGGCAACCTCGCCTCCTCTACCGAACAGCAACCTTGGCAAGCTCTACATCGAGTACTTCTTTGTTTTCGTGGCATAATCCGAGTCCTCTTCACCTTGCCAAGATGATGAAACCTCGTGCTGAGCGCAAGATGCATTGACAATTTACCTCCGTAACGCGGGGCCAAGAGAAAGCATGAGACTTGGCAGTCTCGTGGGAATTTTCTTTGCCCTGTCAGCAAGCTCATCTTGAGCTGGGCTTCAATAGTTGGAGGTCGGGTTTGATCATGCTACGACAGACAAAGTCTCGGAAGTTCCAGAAAAGGTTGAATGGAACCCCATTTCCCCTGCCCGGGGTCTGGTCAAGTATTCATTGGGACGCTGCAAAGCATCACTCCAACTCGGGAGGAGTGATCCCAGGTATTTCCTTTCCCTACTATGTATACTTCATTTAAATCGAACTGCGCGTGCCCCTATTCATCGAGTCGAGTTTGCTTGGAAGTTTCAATGTCGTACGTAGATAGCCAGTACGGGCGGCACAAGTCCCATCCGTGCTAAGCTAACTCTCAGGCTTTGCCGCGACATGGTTTGAAGGCCATTGCCAATGTCAGTATGTTTTTTTCCCAACCCATGATGCGGCATAAGCCAACAGATATAAAGCCTTCACGCGCCCTCGTGAATAATAAAAGCAGCTGCCGAGCGTCTTTTGACCGCAGCTCGAGTAGTACGGCGATCTGCACCACGATCCTGGTCTTTGGACCTGGAAGATATCTTGAAATGAAGTATCAGGATTAACAAAAGATATTACTAGCATAAAGTAGAAGGTTCAGTGACCCTTTTTTCCTTTTTTTTTCCTCCTGGCTTTGCTCTTTCTTTTCCAAGCATAATATATCTCTCGCTTCTTTTTCATCGGCTACCCGAGTATTCCTGGCGACCTTACACCTTCGGACGGGTTAGTGAGATGCCCCAAAACCCGGAGCACTGTAGTTCAGTCGCTCAGCTCACGCAAGACCTGCATCTCGTTATAGGGTAGCAAGCGTCTTCGTAAATATATATATTCTCCCCGAAGGCGACGCTGACAATCTGGTCCGAGGTCCATGGTCCTGGGAATCGACGTCCCGGGCTGTAAATCACCACATACGCCTTACTGCCTCTGCTCAAGTGGAGAGAGAGAAAGCCAATAGAAGGACAAAACTCGAGAGGCGAGGCCCGGTGGTTTGATGTCATCATCCCATCGCACCTTCCTTCCTTACCTGCTCCATGCTCAGCCTTGAAGCCCGAGCCCATGCTTAGAGATGACTATGTCTCCAAGCCTGAGAGAATACCTACACTAGGCATACGGCATCGGCCAATACTCCAGCCCAAGCCCCGTTGGTCACGATCGTCCTCGTCATCGATGCTGCCCAGGTCCTCCTTTATTCGAGTCGCCTAGCACTCTTTTCACCGTGCACGGCACCTAGGGCGGCGGCGACGCAGCCTTCTGTCATACAGCTATCTCCTAAGCGACTCGAACGTCGAGCCTCTCTCTCTACCAACATGTATGTCATACGTATGGTGCGATATTGGCTTCAGTGTAGCAAGGATCCGCGTCGAGGTTGTCTCTCTTTCCCAAACGACAATCCCATCTCGCCGTTTTGTATATTTAGCCTGAGATAGCTCTTCACTCACACTACAGAAAGGCCGATAGTTTCCAATAACTACTGAGCGACTGTAGAGAGCGAGGTACATGCTTGAAAGTTTGCTTTCCGGGATCATACAAGATACATATCGGCCTTTTTGCACCATGTATCAACGCTGTATTTCTATCGGATACCGTCCGACTCACCATAGCGACAAATAACGGAACCCTGTGCCTGGACCTAAGCCTCCCGTATCTATGTATCATAATGTCCGATGACATCACCCTCGGGTTGTGACTCTTGAAGCAATGTGTCATTGTGCAGAGCCAGAGGGTGATTGAAGTTTTAAGGCCTGGATTGGGAGTATGCGGCACGGTATAGGTGTGTATGTGTGTGTGAGTGTGGAAGGTATATCCAACAGAAATGGACGTAGAATTGAGATGTACAGAGACAACGCTTCCACATTGGATGATTTTTCGCACGCATGCACGCACGACACACCCTGTCGGCAAGCTTAAGCAACCATACGCGGGTTCGAAAGCGCTCTTTGTGCGCCCGCACAACATACAAATCGTGGCGCACGGATACAACTCGCACTCAACATGCAGGCTGCCGTGATGAGGGCAGCTTCATCAAGACGCCGCCCGCCAGGCAGTCGTGGCGGGTCTCTGTCTTACTGACGCTGCTGCTGGCAGCACGAGAACAACACAACGGCGCTGGCGACACAAAGCTTTCGATCGGGCGAAGAATTGAGGATGAAGAACGTACTGGAGCAGGTATTTTCCCCGTCAGAGATGATTCTTGGGAGGTACTCCTGATTCCGTGAAGCAGCGCGCCCGTAACCTAGTCTCAGGTAGTACGGGCCAGCACCTGAGAGTGCCGTTCCTCACCTCAAGAGTCACCCCCGTGGTCAGTAATCAAGTCTGGGGAAGAGCAATTGCGGCCCAAAAAACCAGATATCCCGGACATCACGAGGATCGCCCACGCTTGTAGATCACGATCGGCAGGAGATGGTTCGGCCGAAGACCGCGCTAGGCCCGACAGCTACTCCATTCTCAGAAGCCCCCCGTTCCTGACCAGCGAAACTGCATTAGTGGCCGGTACACCAGAGCAGCCACCGTCTTTGAAATGCGTACGACATGCTATTGGACTGCTCGCTGATTGTGCTGGGCCGCGGCGACTTCAGCATGTGAAGATGGTCGCACTGCGTTGCCCATGAGGTTGGTTCCCACCACATCGCACACTCGACGGAACTTGCCGCTTCGGTGAGATTATTCAATCGTGTTGCCTGGCAGTAATCGTCCCATTGGGTTGGCTTAACTGTGCTCGGGCCAAAGCAATTGAGGCCCTGTAAGTTTGAATGCCACGTTTGACTAAGAACGACCGGTGGTAACTCACGAGCGTGTGAGCCGGCGAATGCTTATCGGCGTTATGCATTCATACTTTCCGAGGGCTGCGCGTATGCTGAACTCAGCAACATGTGCGTGGCTTCTTTAGCTGAACGGCCAGGAGCACGTGCCGATTATCGTTGTCCCTGGCTTGTGGAAAGTGAAAGCTACCGGGATCCACATTAGCACAATATACAAACCCAGATGAGGGCAGGCCACATTATTAAGAACTCATGCTCTCTGCTGAGAGCTGCGGCCCGCACCAGGCCTACGGAAATTCTTTATGGTCCCCGTGCGTATCCCAGAATCTTCATGCGTGCATTGGGAACAGATAGAAAATTAAAGTCATTAATAGATGTGGGATTCGATGATATTGGCCTGCCAAATCGGCCTTGCTCCACAGTGATCTGTTACTGGGGTTGCTGGCTGCAAATGGCACATTGCTTTCTCGGCCGTTGCGCCAGTGCTTGCAATGCGGAGGCAGCGAGGTCCGGGCCCAGAAGACGGTCTCTCGTGGGGTCTTTGCTGTGGCCCTCGAGCATGACTGATGCTGTACTGGCGCCAGGCCAGCTGGGTGTAGAGGCGAATGCGTGCCCCGCGGGCGTGCCATGTGCCAAGAGGCGATGGATATTCTGTATGTCGGAGGTCCCCACCTGAGAAGGCTCCGAGCTGCAGGCCCGACACGGAGGGATATTGATTGCTTACACGTGGAATGGAGGCGCAAACGCGAGGTTGTCGAGGCGTCAGCGTCCTTGGCCGGCGGCTCTTGGCACAGGCGGACCCTTGGGCGTCGAGGCGGATCTGTGCTCAGGACAGCCCAGGGGGGTCCGCTGTCGAGTGCGCCACCCCGGGGCCGGACCTAGCCTGGCCACTTCTCGAAGCGAATGACACCGCGTCAAGCGCTGGGCAATGGCGGGACCGGGGCAGCTCCAGACACGAGACGATTGTCTTGTTGTGCCTGAGTCGTGTAGGCCGGCGACGGCGCCAGGGGGGTGGCCGCTGAAGGGCTGGTGGTGATGGCAAGTAAGCCTGCGTGCCTCGAAGCGGTTCTCTCTCTCTTTTCTCTCTCTCTTGCTGTCTCCCCGCCTGCGCGACTGCCGCCGAGGGATGCAAATGGCGTGGTTGTGAAGCTTCTGTCGATGCAGAGGTGCCACCAAGACGGGTAGACGGACAACGGAGGGGCGGGCTGTGGCCCTTGCTGGGCAGAGTGGATGCGGGTGATCAAGCGGATGGGCCCTGGTGGGGCAGCTGCGGCCTCTGGTGAGATGAGTGCGGGCTGCAAAGTTCCTCGCGCAGCGGCAGCAGCCTGCAGGCTGCGCTCCTCCCCAGCATCACCACCAACAACCACCTCCAGACCCACCACCTGCCGCTGACCACCGACTGCACCCGCTCACCACCACTCACGACCCTGGCGCGCTGGGTTGGGGCCGCAGGCTGTGTGCGCGGGTGTGTGTGGGCAGCTGTCACCCTGCTTGCGGGTGGTGGCCCAGGCAGCTAGCAACGTCCTGCAGGTGCGCTATTGCCGCTAATTGCGCAACTGCGAGGAAAAGCCAACCGCTCGCCCCTTTTACTGCCATCACCAAACCTGCCTGCCCTGCCCTGCCCTGCCCTGTCTGACTGTCTGTCTGGGGTGCCTGTTCCTGTCCTGGCCTGGCCTGGCCTGAAGCCACCCGGTGGGTTCCTCCTTGCCCGGCCCTTGCTACGCTGCTCCAAAGCTTCCCCATGCATGCCTGCGTGCTCAGTCAGTGCTCGTGTCTTGTGCCGATCCCTCAACTCTTTCTAAACTCTGTTGTTGTCCGCAGCGGCAAACACGCTTCTTCCGCCGGCCCCGACCTTACTCGACGACGACGACGACGACGACGACGACGAGCACCACCACCACCACGACTATCGAAGACGACACCAAGCGACGGCGAGGCGGGCAACTGGTCGCGGCTACCGGTACAGGTCCCTTGCCTGCTCACCATTCTTCCCGGCCTTTCCCCATCGCTGGCCGTTCCAGTGCTTTCCGCCCACCAGCAAGCAACACCGCCGCCTGGCAACCTGCTCTTCTGGACTCTCATCGTCCACCCGTTCTTGACAAACGACGACCCGGCCCGTCCGACACTCCCTTTCCCAGCCCGCATCTTTATCCTCAACATCCAACCTATTCCTGCCCTTTGTCTGTCTTGCCACAGACCACAGTCTGTTCCGCTCAATCACTGCTTAATCACCAGCCCGCCCTCCACACCACTTACGCGTCGTCCCTTGACACACCCATGTTCTCCTAACTAGCTGCCCGAAAGCCACCTCCGCCGCCCTTGTTTCGACCCCCCTCCCAGCTTGACACTCTGCATAGTAAACCACTCGGCGTCTACTACTTCCTTCGAAAACCACCATTGCTATTAAGCGCTTTCCAGCCTATTCATTCAAGTAATCATTGGCAAATCTTCAACTTGGCGAGATCGACATTCCACCACACCGAACAAGCTCAAGCTCCGCGACCACTCCACCAGGACCGATCGGCCACGCGTGGTTGATGTCTCAGACATCCCTCTATTGTACCACTGCGTCTCAGGTCTCGAACCTATCAGCAGCACACCCGATATTTCTGGACGGTTGCCACCCAGCACTGCCTGCCATACCGCATATTTCTGCCCTGGTCACCGCGACCGGCAACACAACCACCTGCATGGTTCAACGGCCTCGCTGCTGATCACTACTGCCGTATAGCCAGCCGCCTACTAGGTCGTGCACGTCACACCCATTTTGTACCACGGCCTCGACTAGTTGCGGAATTGGTCCTCGGTAGCGGCCAATCGCCTGCTGGACCATGGCTGCCACCGCTGGGTTGCCTCTATCAATCGGGTACGAGGAGGATCGCTCGGTCCTCCTCTTGACCGATTCCGACGAGGAGGACTTGACACCACCAGTCCGAAGTGCTCGCCGTGTGCCGACGGAGTCGCAAGATGCCATCCGCCGGAAAACCGAGGCCGCCGCTGCCAATGTGCCTCTGCATCCGATCCCGGCAATGCAAGCTGCCTTCTCGGAGTCCCTCGTGGAAGCGACGAACCAAGCAACGGGTGGCAAGCCGAAGTTCAAGAACGGCAACGCCAAAGAACGCCGGAGCGTGCTGCTGGAAGGAGCGAAGGGCGCAAGACTCGAAACCGATCTCTGGAGATACCGGCCAGGCCAACGACATCACGAGCTATGGAAGCTCCTGGCACAGATCTCCTTCGGGGTCTACTTACTCCTAGGTGGGATTGCTAACAGCAACGAGCAAGTTGTCACTATTCTGCAAGGCCACATCGACGAGGTCGACGAGTTTCTGGAGACAACCATGGAAGATGTGCATCTCGCCATCAAGGACGTCAAGGAGAGAATCGATTTCCTCAAGCTGCCCATGGCCAACATGGCAACGTTCGAACGAATGCTCGAGGACCGCAACTTCCGCCTGCAGATTGTCAATGGCAACGAAAAGATCGAGCACATCGTGTCGAGGACGACCAAGGCCTTAGACGGGACGTTGGACGACATTGAAGAGGGACTCAAAGCCGTCAAGGAGTTTGCCATTTACCTCGGGCATGAAAAGGATAGCGCATGGCGACAAGAACGACCCGACATTGTGGAGATATATGACGCCATGACAGGGAATGCCGAGGGCTGGTGGAAGGCTCTTACTGAGCTGCAAGAGTCGACTGCAATCCTGGACGGACTGCTGGTCGGTCTTAGTCGCATGGTGGCAGAAATGGACCAGCGCGCGGGTGAAGTGAGTAGGCGCACAAGGGTAAGTCACAAAGGGCACTCCTGATGATCTGCAAGTGCTAACTTTCGGCTATAGTTCAGCGTCGCACCCTACTCTGAACCATCAGAGTCAGTCCCTTCGAAACACAGCTCCGTTAGGTCGCCGCAAGCTTCGGCGAGGAGGACATCCGATATAACATCAGCCAGAGTGGTCTCCGAGGGAGCCTCTAGCCGTAGCTCAGCAGTCCAATCCCGATCGGGCTCCCAGCAGCGTCTAGATCGAAGCTCCACTCAAGGCTCCCAACGAAGCTCGCACAGCAGTGGCTCATCCGTAGGTGGCATTCTTCTGCAGCCCACGGTATTCCAGCCTTCCATGGTGGACCACGAAAGAGCTGTTACAAGTCCGAGGGAAGAACAGAAATCACGAGAACCGCTGGCTATTGTCGACGAGAATGTGAGCCTGGAAATTGACATTATCGAAGAAGACGATGATGACGATGCGGCCAGCCAGGTTGAAGAAGGTCTTTTCATCCTACAGCCCCGTACTTACACTCCTCAACCTCCTGAGCCCTTGCCCTCGCCTATGATCCAGAACCCTGTGACGCCGAAGACCGAGGAATTTGCTGTCAAACGCACTTCGCTACGTCAAAGGGTTTCTCTCAAAGGTGGCAATGTGCCAAACAAAATCCAGGTTGCCACCGGACCTCGGCATGCCGTGTCGGTAGAGGTGTTGCGCACCGAGAGGAGGTCGGAGATCAGGACCTCAGAAATCAAAACGGCCGATTTCAGGGCTCCCGAATACAGAGCGGCGGATGAACGTCAGAGTTCCGCTTATCTTTCCCCCACCGTCTATCGGCCAGAGTCTCAACAAAGGCCAGACTCAGCGCATGCGGCTAGCCACGGACGTCGTTCGCGCAACGATTCTGAGTCCACTCTTGGCACAGAAGCCTACCGCCATAGCAACGTGGACACGATGCCGTCGCCACACTCGGAGAGACAATATTACCGGCCAGTACAAGCCAGCCCTCACTCTCCACTACAGCAACGCCCTTGGACTTCGACTGGGCCAACCGTTGCACATCACCAGCACGGTCTGAGCACTAGCACAAGCAGCAGTCACCGCCAACAACATTCACGCAACCAACCTTCTAGGATGGGCATGAGCATGCTAAGTAATGTCACAACGCATACCCAGCAAACCGAAAAGGTTGTGAAGAAGAAGCGTAGCGCTTTTGGCTGGCTCAAAAAGGCATTTGCCCTCGACGAAAGTGAGCGTGCAGAGTTTGAAGCACGAAAAAACCAGCAGTTCGATCACGACCAATATCAGCAAGAACAGCGTAGCCGGAAGTTCCTCGACGGCAAGCGACTGCCTGACCATCAGCGGTACCAAAATTATTGAAAATATTGACGTTTAATCTGAGTTGGCGGTACTGTGTTGAAATCAGCGCGTTTCTTCAGACTCATCTGGTTGTGGCATCGACTGATCTTGATACCAATTCACCATGTACTTTTTCCGGTTATCGACATTGGGAGGGTACGTCATGTACAAAGTTGTTTTTATTGGCATAGCGTGGCGACCAGCACTGGCCGAAACGATCAGCCACTTGTTTTACGTATGGTTCTGGGGAGTACCTGGGTTTGGCGTTTTGCAGAGACATATTGAAAGCGTCTAGGGCCTCGCGGGATGCAATATTCGGCCCATTCTTTGCACACCTTTTTTTTTTTTTTTTCCCTTTTGAGTCATCAAGTCCCCTTGGAAGGCTCTGCCTTCTCCCATGTCCACAAGCACAGATATTCCATAGCGTTGACGTCTACTATCTAATGAGCAAAATATAATGATCTGCATAGCAAAAGGGCCTATTGCCGTCTGGTTTGCCCTAACAGCCAGGGGCACGCGCGCAATCATAGGTGCCACGCTCATCTCGGTGGTCCATAGATAGCTATATCGTAGCTATCTACTGACGAGCTCTAGGTAGATATCTGCCGAACTTCGAGTTCTAGATGTAAAGACATTCCCAGGGCTTGTTGCAAGTTATGATTCCTAAACGTTCTGCACGATGTGCACGGGAGATCGAGCTTGCGGAGGCATTCGAACCACCAACGAGCAATATGTGGTGTTGGCAACGCAAGAAAGGTACTGGATACACTGTCTCCGCTGCCCTTCGTTCTGGTATAGCCCCCTACATCACTCATGTTCGTTCACGATGGTGTGAATCGCTACTTTTACAGAAATATGTGCCACCCATAAAAAGAGCAAGTAGGTCTGCCACTTCCTTGTGAGACAACCACATCACAATCCTCTCGCCTTGTAATAAGCTCGTTCACTGTATGTAGACGGTTTAGAAGACTGTCTTCGAGGTCGAGCTCGCTCCTCCTCCCCGCCAGGTTCTGCCCTCGGACTTGTCAAAGTGCCTGTGGAAGCACGCTTGCTTCGCCGCTTTGTGGGTGTAGCCTCTGGCTCCTGTGCTGAGAGAACACGTGGGATGTCCTGGTCCATATCGCAGTATGGACTGCTCTCCTGGATTTGGGACTGAGGCCGAGAAGGCTTTGGCGATGCTTCTTCGTCGCTTTCCGAAAGGGATTTTCTCTTGACTCCATGAGCACGGGCCGTAGAGCCTGCAATTGCAGTCTCAAAAAGTCAGCCTCTGAACCACTGTCACTCTTGATTAAATGTGGCTTGTGCACTTACGCGGGTGAGCAGCTGACCGAACAGGCTGCGAATCTGACAATACCTCATCATCCTCATCCCCATCCTTCCTGGGGTGCTCAAGCAGCTCGGGATAGTTGTTGGTGGGAGTTTCATGCCACTGATGCTTCTCATCCGAGCCTGGCCCATCAGCAGTCAGGGTACATCTATCCATGACGTGCCCTGCTTCAATGGTTTCTTGCTCGCCATCTTTCTCCACCTTTCCTGGAAGGCTAAGAGAGCATAATAACGCGAGCCCGAAGCCTCTGCTCTTCTTCATGTCCTCGAGATCCTGCTTGGTACGGGTTGCCTGGTCGAGGAACCTCGCTCTTGCCGCCGTGACGATAGCCATCTCCCGATCGTACTCCTTGTCGATTAGAGCAAAGTCCTTTTCCAAAGCCTTTCGAAGAAGGCGCTCGTGCTCCTTGACTAGGGCTACCCTAGCCATTGCCCTGCGCGAGAGTCTCCGCTTCTCGATATCCTCGTGGCTCGGGGTGGTAAAGGTATCTTCGCCTGCCTGGATGTCGTGAAGGACGGAGTCGATGGTGGCTTGCGCCGTGCTGTTTGGGGTCGCTGACATCGCTGACATGGTTGCCGGCATGTGTGGTGTCACCATATCGCCAATAAGTCGTCTGCCGGACGGGGCTGAGAAGGCGGAGGTGGCCTAGACTTGCTGATTGTCGAATTTCTCGTGTATGAGGAGATGCTCAACAGGTTAATGCCTGACCTGTTGGTGAAAGTCACGGTATTGCTGGCCAGTTTTGAGAAGTGAGGACAAGAACCGATTGCCGTGCCAACCCTGATCGCTGGATGGTCTTGTAATCCAGGCGATGTGCACTATCCACGATATGTACGTGTTGGTATGACATGGGGCAATGTCACAAATTGAGAAGATGTTGACACCGGCAGACTCTCGCTTGCAGTCGCTAGATGGGTCCCGCTGAGGAGGCAATGTTGAGTGCGAAGGAGGAAGGAACGACCTTGAGATGACCAGACTTGGTCCATAATCGCGACTGCCCAATCACCACCACCTGATTGCATCAAACGCACCCGTGGCCGTCCTCAGGCAGCAAGGGAAAGACCACCACCGAGACATCATGCAGATCTGAAAGAACATGCGAGGCCAGCATGGTTGAGAGCCGCTATACGAGGCGTCCTGATATCTCGCTCAGCGACTCCCAAGGGCGGCACTAGCCTTGTAGCGGAGAACACAGTCGCAATCACCAAGAAAGACACCACGATAATCATGCTTCAACACTTTGGGATAGGTACAACTAGCTACCGCGGCAAGACGCATTGCGCCCATAGTTCTCCTCAAGATTCGATACATTCAAAAGTCAAGCCCAACAACGCCTTGAAGTACCGGTTCCCAATACGGAACCATTGCATGATACCCCCAAAAGACCAAGAACTCCGATAATGCAAAAAAGAAAAGAAACAAGTTGTACCGCCTCGTGGCAAGCATAGGTATATAGAGAATCCCACCCAGTTTCCTACACGCTGTCCCGCAGGGCAGCCAGATGAAAGCATAGACCTGCAGCCATAGAAACTATCACACGAATTGTCCAAACACTAGATCGTGTGACGTAACGCCACGAGCAGACTGCGAAATCAAAAGACCAGTGAAGATGCGGGCAGCCGGAACGCTAGCCATCTACTCGTACTCTCTTGGCGTCACTGCTCTCGTGGCTGTCCGAGGGCCCCGATGTGCTAATGTCGGGGCTCTTGCGTTTGTTGACACCGGGCGGATGCTCGTCACGCAGGAACGAGGGCCCAAAGCCAGCAACCGGGGTGGCAAAAGTGAGAGGACTGGGCAGTGTGTTGCTATCGTTGCCTCGAAATTCCCAGCCAGACAAGTAATTACTTGGGCTGTGCAAGAAATTGTCGCCCATTACCCGTGAGGGTAACGCGGAACCGGGTGTGTCAATACTCATGTTCGAATTGTTTTGAAGCGATGGGTGCGGGCGTGCGAAGGGATTTGGCGGGCCAGTGGCGCCTGCGGACAATAGGGCTGATGCTGACGGCGATGGCGGCGGGAGGACGACAGACATGTCAGCTCCAGTACGGCGCGGAATCGGAGCGGTCTCTGTCACAGTACGAGGCGAAGTGGCAGTCTCGGCACCCGCAGTCTCGGCTGCGTTGCTTCCCGTCTCTGATTGCTCATCTGGAATGGTGACCTTCAAGCGAGGCCGCGATGCGCCTCCCGTCTTTGACTGCATACTGTTGGACCGGGAAGGTGGCGTAAATGTAGTTTCTGGCACCACCGAGACAGAGTTGCGTGCTCCTGGCCCACCATGGGCTGCCGGGCCTGAGTGGCTTGAGGACGGTGGCGAAGCAGTGCCATGGTTTCGAGCTACAGCGCCCACGTCCACCGACTGAGACCTGCTGCCAGGGTCCTCCTTGATTGGGGCCGCCTCAGGGATGAAGGATGCCAGATGTTGCGACAGAAGAGAGCCAGTCTCGTTGATGGGCGTAAAGATACTATGCGTTTTCCGTTGATTGTGCTTCCGAATAGCCGCATCAGTATCGAGAGAAGGTTGGCTCGGTCGCTTATGTGGTTGGGGCTTTGGCGGATCCATGGGAGCTAGTGGCGCACGCTCGATGCTCGTGTCTACAGGCGGTCCTTGGCTGTGGGGGTCCAGTCGCTGGTGCTGTGGTTGAGGCGGAGACATCTGCGGCAGCGCCTGCGGAGGCAAATGCTGATGTTGCAATTGTGGTGGCGAAGGATGAGGCCGGGCCGGTTGTGTCGAGGGAGCCTGGGTGTGTGGTGGATATGCAGGGGGCAGTGAGCTGCGTCGCTGGTCGTCCATATAAGGCTGCATTTGAGGATGACTTGCTGGTTGGTTGTACGGATATTGGGGATGAGGATGCTGCTGCTGCGGCGGCGGCGGCGGCTGTTGTTGTGGCAGGCCCGAATGTTGAGGATTGTAGATGGCAGGCTGTGGCATATAGGCATATCCATTCGCCGGAGGCGGGTGCTGTTGCGGCGGCTGGCTCATACCCGATCCACGCCTGTAGTCGTTTCTAGATGAAGGTCGGGAGCCCATTTGCGGCTGTGGAGTGTGGCCACGCGGAACGAAATTTATGCCGTTGACAGGTGGTGAGGCAGACGGTGTGTGGCCGCGCAGATGAGGAAACTGAGGCTGGCCTTGAAAGTGTGGAGGCATCATCTGTGGCTCGACTGAGCCTTCGTGCGCTTGAGGGGGGTGCCGTCACCCTCTTCGTCCTCGTCATCGTCGCCGCCAGCATTGTAGTCAGAAGGGCCTTTGTGCTCGTTGGGGCCGCCATGCTGTTAAGGGGCAGAGACGTCATCAATAACGCGATTCGTAGCGATTTATGGTGTGGATAGGAAGCCTTACGTAGTTATATCTGACCATGAGCTCACGCATATCGCCAGAGGTGTACTCATACAGCTTCTTGTTCTGCCCGAAGATGAAGACGGCAACATCTACGGAGCAGAGAACTGAGAGCTCGTGCGCCTTCTTGAACAAGCCGCCTTTGCGCTTAAGAAATGTGCTATACAAAATGAGGTCAGAGGGCACGTAACGCAAGAGTCTTGCTAAGCAGCGCCAGCAGCCAAGATGGGAACTTACACGGAGCGATTTCTGTCATCCTTGATTGCCTTGATCTCGATCTTCCTTCTACCCATTTTTGCGGTTTGCCGTGGCGGAGCTCAGTGAATAGTTGCTTGCGGCGCAATCAAGCACTCGAGGCTGGACTTGAAGCAGTATGCTCCAATAGCAAGGATCCTTATTCGGACTCGCGACTCGCGCGCGCGCACTACAGCATGTACGGGCGGTTGGGTGTCTGTCCGAGGAAGGGGTTTGGCGAGATGGCGCGACGTTACACGCGCAAATCAGCAATTGTCGGGCGGGGGCCGTAAGCTGTGCGCGGTGGCTGACAAGTGCGAATGCGCGGACTATGGGTTTCTGAGCGAGAGCGCGCCAGTCGTCGCTGTCGCGGTCGGAGTTGTCGCAATGTCCACTGAGGTGCGCGAGCGTGTTCGTCTGACAGGAGGACGCGGTGAAGGCGGCGACGGCGACGGTGAGGTTGCGGATGGGATGAGGGAGAAGACAGGCTGCTGGACGTGAAGCAGCGAGAGAGTGGAGAAGAGGAAGGCGGCGGCGCGGCGGGTCTACCTAAATTGTGAAACGGTGCTTGTGAGATGGGGCCCTCTGGAAGCTCGTGCGGCTGCTGGGCAAGGCAAGGCAGGGCAGGTCCCTTATCATGGCACCAGAGCAGAGTCGCACCTTTGCTGTCCGGGTATTGTGTGCACCGATGCGCAGCTTCTTTCCGTGAGCCCAGAGCAAGCAAGACACGAGACACGTCAAGGCAGGCCCGGATACTTAGGCGCAAAGACGTTGGCGTTGGCCAGCACCCGCGGTATGTAGGGCGATGGGGCTGAAGCTGGCGTGGGTGCTAAAATTAGAAGGAGGAACAGATGGGGACGACGATGGAGGTGCTGCTTCTCGGCACTGCGGGTGGAAACAACAACGTGCCGTCTACCTGCGTACTTGTATGGGGGGGGACCAGACGGGGGGAAAGCAGCTTGCGTTCGCGAAGCAGGTCAGGAGCCGGCAAGAGGGGACTCGCGGGAGAGGAGCACAAGGTGGGCAAGCATGGCAGCTAACCTGGCGCAGGGCAGAGCAGAGCAGAACAAAGCAGACGGGGAGCAGGGGGGGCAGAGAGCCCAGGCGAGGAGCGCAGACTGATTGACTGACCACTCTGGGCTCGCGATTGCAACTCTGCGCAAGCTGCGACCCTAGCAAAGCCCACAACAAACCCAGCACAGCCCGCCTCTGACCCTGCAGTATCACCAGGCAACCCTTGCTCAGCCCTGCCCTCGCCTTGCCGCCCATCACCACAAGTTTACCTCACCACCACCCAGCGTGGCCGGCAGTTAGCATCACTGGCGACTCTCGTTGCCTGCCCAGGAAGCACCCGCAATCCATCGAGCCAGTCTTCCAAGGCCGCCATTGGGCATGTCTCATGCTGGCCGTCGAGTCTCAATGCTGCCGCCCTGAGGTGTACGTAGTTGCGCCGCATCTTGTCGCATCGACCTGGTCGGCAGGGCTTTGCAGCGCTCTCTGCTGAAGCTTGTCCGCGACATGCAACGTGCCTTGATGTGCTCGGCTGTTGTCGACGCAAGGAAGCGCACTGGAATACTTTGTCCCCAGGACGGCTGGCCCCCGGATTATCCAGATGCCACACCCACTTTGCCGTGAGGCTCAAGAGCTATTTTAAGACACTGCAGTCCTCCTGTCAGGGACACCGTGAGCGGGGCCAGAAACATTGCCGAGACGTCAAGGAAACATCGCGAGCACAAGGCCGCCCATGTGCAGTCGATCCCGCACTCTGTCCCAAAGGGCTCTGCCGAAGCGGCAGACTCTGCACGTGTGACGCCCGACCAAGTGACTGGCTCCCAGAGAGGAAATCCGCGTCCTGGAGTCATCTCGCTGTTCGTCGCAAATGCAGCTGTCCATGCGGCCATGAAAGCTCGAGGCCAAGGAGTCGATATATTTTGCCCAAGACTGCATCGTGCTGAGGGATGTTTTGGTCTTCATCAGCACCCATCAGGCGGAGCACGGGTGCTTCAGTAAGTATCCTTCGACGTTGGCTGCACGCTTTGACCGACAGCAGCATTCCTCTCCGAACAAACCAACACCACAGTGCCACGCCAGATCCCATGCTCCCAAGCGCCCGGCGGCAAATGCAGCCACTCAGAGAGCTGATCACCACAGAGCAAGCACCTCGGACCTGGCAGTGCTCAGACCTACCGTACGTAGCTCCAATCGCCATGCGCATGCGCCCAGGCCATGTCATCGTGTCTCTCGCGCACGCCACGGCAGTCACGAGACGTCAGCCCGATGAATATGCCCAGGTGCCGTCGCTACTTGCACGGACAACTTGCAATCGAGGGAGCACCGCTTGCTCTGCTTGATGGCCCATCTTGGCAGCTACTACTATGAGCAGAGCACAAGGCGGCATTCAACCCACATCAGCCAACCACCTTCGCCCAGTCATGATCGTTCCTTTTGTGTGGTTCGTCCTTTTGTCCCGCTTCTTTACAATAGTGGAGCTCCAAAAATAGAACACGTTGCACCTGTCCGCACGCACTTACCCCCACTCCTTTCTCAAACCCTGGTCGACGCGCTAGGCCGATTTCGCACGCGTCTGGCATGGCTCCCCCGACTCCGACATCAAGGACGTCTTTTTTCCGACTCGGCCGGAGTCATTCGTCCTCCATGACTGTTTATTTGACGTAGAGGCCTCAGCACTGAATATTTCGCCCGTCATGTACTCGCACAACCCGGAAAGACTGTGGCCCGCCTGGAGAGATGCTCCTGGCGCACAGGCAGGATCGTGAGCTCGGCGCTTGCTTCTCTTTGTGCACTGGGTATGCCCACTGGCTACAGTACGTCATCAGGATCAGAGCCGCTCGCACAAGCGTTTGCTCCCTTGCGTGGAACAAGTGAGGACCATTAGAGCCTGCATGCTTGCCAACCTCCACCATCCTGCTCCCGCCACGGAGACGTTCAGCTTGCTCCCTGTACTGCACAGAAAATCACACCTCAAGATATCAGGGTAGGGGGCAGGCAAGCAGGCAGACAAGACTTGGAAGTGCACATTCATCGCGCTTTTTGAGTATCTGGTTGGTATTCTCCCCTTACGCCCATCCCTGCGCCACTGATTGCTGCTGTAGAGTACTCCCACGAATGACAAAAAGACGACGCTCGATATATGATGATAATAAAGGTGATAACGATAATGATGTGATGCCAGAAATGGAACCAAGAAAGAAGCAGATCCGAGGTCCGTAATATCTTTTGTGTTTTCCGGGAGCGAGCTGGGTTTACCGCCCTACTCTTTGCGCCCCCAATCCAGTCCTTGAACGCCGAGGGATGATGCATGATACTTCCTACTTCCAACTTCCTTTGTATTGACCACTTTTTCCTTCGCTTGTCCCTTGTCACGCTGTGGAATGAAAGAATAATATGATTCGCGACTGCTGCTGCTGTTATCGTGAAATGCGAGCTTCCAATCGATTGTGCGGAGGTCGACCGAACAATGGCGGTATGCGTGTGCTTATGTATTGCCTCGCCACTTCGCCGCCTAGCGAGTGAACGAGCCAAAACCGCCGTGGTCGGCGGCATTGTCCTTGGGGGTCGCCGTGCCGTTGAGCAGAGGACATTTGCTAGAAAGCGGGCAACAGGGTTAGCAGAGTGTATCTTCTTTGGGGGAAGGTTAGGTAGATGTAGAGCACGAAATAGAGAAAGTGTGAAGGGTGCGAAAGAGCAGGTCATCACCATCACGCTCCCAAAGGAAGCCTGATGGCATGGGGCTAGGGTTCACATCCAAAGCACGGTCTTGCTATGCAACCGTCCGCTGCCAATATTGATTGACGCAGACGAAGCAGTTGCAAGCTCGGCGAGAGTAGGGCTGTGGACCGGGTTTGTGCAAAGGTGCCAGTACCTCTTGTTCGTCTTGATGTGTCCGACCTGCCCGCAGTTGGCGCACTTCCGCGTCGTGCCCGCGGCAGCCTTCTCGATCGAGGCCGGGTCGGCGGACGCATCCCCGTTGGCATCCGCCTTCTTCTTCTTCCCTTTGCCCTTGCCCTGAAGCTCGCGCATTTGACGTCGGTCTTGGTTTTTGAGCAGGCGGGAAAGTTCTTTCTCGACGCTATTGGGAAGTAAGGTCAGCATACAACGTTGACTGAGAGGTTTTTTCTCAAAACTCACAGCCTTTGTTTCTCGCGGTTCTCGTCCGCGTCTCCAGTTGGCAACAGACTGTATACACTACGCCAAGGAATGTCAGTACTTGCTTCGAACACTCTCACACCAGCTTGTACTCACTCTCTGTCTGCCTCCTCCTTTTCCCTTCGCTGCTTCATGTAATTTCGAATGACGACCGCATCTTCGATGATGATGGATTCGGTCTCAAGCTCGCCCGCGTCGTTCCTCTTCTTGCGGACGATTCTAAGCTTCCGTTTGCTAAGCCGGCTTGCACCACTCAGGCGACTAAGCTGGCTGCGGCCATCATCCAGCACTGCCGCAGGAGTCGCTGAGGGCTGTTTTTGTTGACCAAATAGACGGTCATCCTCGTTCGCAGTATCGAGGACATCAGTGTCAGCATGTGTAGTAGTGTCGCTGAGCGTGGCGCTCTGTCGCTCCCAGATTTGCCTAATAGCAGCGTTGTACATGTCTTGCTGTTTCTTGACATTGTAAGAGTGTCCTCCGTTCGCTTTGCGTTCACGCTCGATAGCGTCGGCCGAGGTGGCGAGAGGGCCCTGAACGGCATTGATGTAGCCACCCTTCATCGAGGTCTTGATGAAGCTGAAACCCAGACCGTGGCCAGTAGGGTCACCTTCGCCATGCAACGCGACCATTGCCTTGCCAGCACTGGCTTCAATGAAGTTCTTGGTAATCTCCCAGGGAGCGAGCTTCGCGACGAGTGGCTTCTCACCCTCGTCTTCGTCGTCATCCTTTTTGAGATCGTAGCCAGCGCCCTCCAGCTGCTTCTTGCCAACTTGCATCGACTCAATGACACAGACGTCCTCAGGCTTGATCATTGCTCGGATGCCAGCACCGTCCATCATGGTTTCGCCTTCACGCAACGACCATGTCTTCCGATCACGATCGTACGTCAGGAATTCCTTGAGCTTTTGTCGGTTCTGTGGGTCAACCTTGTCAAAGACATGTGGAGTGACCTCTCCGATGCTCACGTCTAGCGTCTCTCGTTTCCGCATCATACGATAGCACACCATCTTCAGCCGGTTCTTGGAGGTATTGGTGACCTTCCTCGCGTGCGGTCCAGGAACCTCCATGGATGGGAATGTTTGACCGACTACATAGATGTGATCTATGTTGCGGACATACCATTTTGGCCCCTCGGCAACGTTGGTGCTATAGCCAACCAGGAAATCATTGGGCCGAGGATCATGCTTGAAGATGGGCGCCCTGTACATTTCATTGTGCAACGTCGGTATGGTCTGGCCGGGGTCAACTGTGCCGAATATTGAAAAGGGCGAGCGATCCTCAGGCATAAGGATGTGTCCCTCGCCGATCTCAGCCTTCGGGCGTTCAGTGTCTTGGCTGTCCTTGGCGCGGTAGTAGTTGATAATGCGGTTACCCATGCCAAAATTGGAGAGCATGATCGGGTGCTGCTCGGAGTATTCGAAGAGGATCGTAGTCGAGTTGTCGTTGAGGCTGAGATCTTTGCTGGTCTTGAACAACTCCGCGACGCTCTTGTTCTTCCAATCTTTCTTCTTGATCCGCATAGGCTTCCGAACGCCAATGGCATGTTTGACGACCTTTTCGATCTCCAATTTCTTGCGATGATGCTCCCAGAATTTGGCAGGCGCCCCTGTACGGTAAAAGGGGAATGTCAACTTCAAGGCTGGCATACTGTGCTCAACAGCTCTGTTGGACAGCACAGCTCGGACCTTGCTCTTATGGTTGATCTTAAGCTGGTCATATGCAGCATCATTCGAGATGTTGAAATGAAGCCTGACGTCACGGCGTAGTTGGCCATTGGCCATTCGGACCATCTTGTCATCCAGCTTCTGGCGTTTTGTGGGTCGGTCTAGCTGAACATCTTCGATCAAGAGGTAGGGATCATTGCGCGGTATTCTCACGCGTTTGGCGCCAGCCTTGGCCGTGTCGACAAAGTCGTCTATGCCACTTGCATCATAGGCCGTGATTTCTGGGAGTCCTGGTTTGTACTTGGGCTTCTTGACTTTGGTCTCGGTGCCACCCAAGTACTCCCTCTCCCAGTCGTCCTCCATGGTTTCGTCCTCGGTGGCCACGGCGACCTTTTCGGCTGCGCCCTTGGAGAGACCGAAGGAATGCAAGGGGGTTTCCCAGTCGTCGCAGAGAGTCGCTAATTCGTCCAAAGTGAAGCCCCCAACAAGCTGTTCGCCGTCCGAATCGTCTGACAACCCATCGTCGAAATCCAGTGCGGGGGCACGGAGCGGATGGCCCCAGTCTTCCACATCGTTCTGGTTCTGAGCTCTTTGCTGATTCGCTGCCAACGTTGAATCGGATATCCTAAACAGTTTGGACGTGTCTGCGTCAAGCTCGAGCTCGAGCTTTGTCGGCACAAACTCCGGCGGATCGCGGTCCTTGTTCGGTGGTTCTTTGTACATGTACTCGGCTGGCCATTGTGGGAACAGCGAGTTCATATATAGGATTTTTCCCTGGGAGAAATCGGGGAACTTGTGTTGGAGCAGCTCTTCCTCCGTCTGAGGTGGCGCCTGCATCGAGGGGTCTTCATTGTTCGTTTGCGTAATCCAGTCGCCAATCGCATTGTCGTCCGCAGAGTATTGAGGAAAGTTGAGCTTTATCCTCTCCATCCAGCTTAGCCTGTTGAACTCCTCATCGGTGAGCTCCTTCTCCTGGGCTGTCTTCTCTGGGAATACAAGGGCGGCCGCTTCCTCCTGCTGCCGCTGGGCTTCTGTGTCGGCTAGCACGTCAGGCTTGTTGAGGACGTCATTATCGACTATGGCTGGCGCAGCTTCGCGCGGTGGCGATGAGGGGAATGGATCGTTCTCGCCATCGTCGTCACCAAAGAGATCATCAAGCCTCTCCTCATGACTTGTCCCCTCATCTTCCGTAAGCCCGGGTGCGTGTAATGGATCGTTCTCGCCTCGAGGGGCAGCGGCGTCGTCATCGTCCAAGTCGTCGTCACTGAGGTCGATGTCTTCGAAATCCTCCGCATTGTCTGCCTTGCCAGTTTGATCGATCTCCTTGTCGCCAAACTGTTCAAACCCTTCGGGCATGCGCATGCCATCTCCCGCGAACAGATTCTTGATGTCGTCGTCGTCCTGGTCAGCCTGCGCGCCCCAGTCGATGTTGTTTAGGTCGTCGTCGGCCTCGCCGTCTGATTCGTGCTTAACGTGATTCAGGCCGTCCGTGCCGTTAACCCCGTTCACCTGCGCAAGGGCAAGCGCCCGTTCCGCGTCGCTTTTGTCTGCCATGGTGCACAAGGAGACTTTACAGGTCGAGAGAAAGCCTTTGGTGAGGCTGCAAGCCCGTCATTCGAGGAGCGTGGGCGCCTTGTCTCGGCGCCGTGAGGCGGGAGGGTGCACGCGCGGAGGTCTGTTGTTGGGCCGATGAATATGATACCATCTCCGAGGAAAGCGCGTCGGGAGAATCAGTGGGCCATATAGCCTTTGTGTTGATGGCTGGGCGCCGGGGCGTCGTAATGCGGAAGCGCGTACAGCAGTGGTGCTGGCTGTCGTGATGTTGGGATGAAAAGGTCGTGGTCGCAAGTGGTGTCCGCCAGACACGTCAAAGGTGGAGGAAGGCACGCCCAGGTGAGCAGAGCGAGTGGCTCCACAGTGCCGCAGTGCCAAGCACTAATGCCGGGTGTGGGGCTCTCCCAGGATTTGCTCCGGACCTCCAGGGCTACTATGGTATTGCTGCCTACGCCACCTAGGTGCTTCAAGTGCTTTCGATATCAGTTATTCCGGCGGTTGTGGTACATCGCTTCTTCTTTGTCGACAAGAAGCACCGCTTTCTACTACTCTAATTTGTTTGTGATAGCTTGGGCCATTCCGCACCTGGTTTTGTTTGCAAAGACATCTGAATGCACTGATGCGCCACTCTGCAGAGATAGCGTGCTGCCACCGCGCCACCGTGAAGTGCTACTTTAAAGTCGGGCGCGCAGCTTGTAGAGATCACGAACAAAGCGTGGCAATCTGCTGCCGTTCACACGGAGTTTTCTGCCATGTACTGCGTAATTGTTCGGCCGCAGTCCATGTGCGGAGGAAGTGAGCTGGGTGCAACCGTGCGCGCCCCAGCATATATCATCACATTGTGTATCATTTGTTCTAAACATGACTTAAGCTCGGGACCCTTTTTCCCACACACCTCTTACATTGAACTCCGTACACCAAGAATTAAGTCGTTGAAGCCTTCGCATGCACTGGAGGCGAGTTGCTCGTCTCGGTGAGGAACGTGCTTGGTCCAGGTCTGCTTGCATTTCCAGCAGCAATCTCAGGCCTCTACTTGCAGCGCTTCTCGACTATGCCGACGCCATTCTCCTCATACTCCTTCTTTGAGATCCACATCTGGTGGAAAGTACCCAAGCTGGCGAGAATGCTGCCACCAACCCAGGCACCAAAGCGGCGCTCTGTCGTCAATCCCGCAGCGTTGAGTTTGATCTTCATGCCGGGGTACATGGCCATGAGCTCGTTGTTCAGACGGTCGTTGAAGCCGTTGATTAGACTCGATCCTCCCGTTACAACAACATTGCCAAGCAGGTTGGGCCGCAGATCCACATCAATGGCGTTGAGTGCTGCGCGGATCATCTCGGGCAGTGTCTGTGCTTTTGTGATCGGCTCACCGTAACCTTCGGGCGTTGCGAGTGCGGCCGTCTCGTCCCACATACCCTCGGACACGCGGAATCGCTGTTCACGCCACATTTGGTTCGCGCCATCCGGCATCTCGAAGACGCGACCAGGTTGCGATTTGGCAATGTCCTCGTTGCCGGGACTGAGATAGCGACCCGGGCCGCGCCAGTTCTCGACCACAGACTCCTTGAACTCGGTAATCAGGCGCTCCTCCTCGTAAGCACGGTAAGATGGGTGAATCTCAAATGGGAACTTGCGTAGTCGTGCGTTCGCAGGTTGGCCGGCATCGACAGGCGTCTTGTTCTCCACCATGAACGTAGGTACGATGTCGATCTTGGGCTCGTTCTTCTCCCACATGCTGCGGACCTGGCCGGAGAGCCACAGACCGCCGATCGGTGACCTCTGAATAGATCGCTTCAGAATCATGCCATCGTGGACAGCGACGACGCTTGTGTTGGCCGCGCCGACATCGATCACAAGCGCAGATGCCTTGCCACCAGCAAATGCCGCGCATACAGGTGTCCGCGCCAGCCAAAATGCAGGCGTGCCCCAGGACTCCATGGCAATCTCGATCGCCTTCTCTCGCGCCTTTCCAGCGTTCCAGGGCGCTTCGGTGATGAGCACGGGGTTTTCAGCCAGTGGTTTCTCAGCATTGTCGACGGTGTCCTCCATTGCGACGTCGCCCTCTCCGTCCGCGGGCTTGCTGCCGTTTGTGATTTTGCTGTCACGCAAGTACGCCTCCCGATCAGGTTGCAGTCGTTTGATCAGCATGTGCTCCCACATCTTCGTCGCGGCATCCCAATCTTCCACCGTGCTGTCAGCCCGGCTCATGTAGTTATGGACCTCGAAGTCGGCGCGCGGGATCAGACACTCGTCGCCGAATGTGTCGCGATACGTTATCGTCGAGTCCTCAGAGTTGCTCGACTTGATACGGCCGTAGAAAGACGGCAGGACCGACTTGGGCACATCCTCGCCAGCGAAGCCGGCGCGCGTGCTGCTGTAACCGGGATCAAGGACGAGGGCGGAGACTTCGTCTAGACAGGTGACGTGTGCGTTAGTACCGGGTTGGCAGTACGTTCTCCGCCGACTTGAGGCGGTCGGCGCTCTCAGCTGCAAAAGCGCAGGCTCTTACCTCCACCATAAACATCCATTGGCTGTTGCGTGTTTGGCAACGGTTGCTGCGAGGACGCCATTGTGAAATGTGCGCGGCGCGACTCAGCGAACGACGCGCAGTAGATCGTGAAGCCTAATGATGCGAAAGATAATTGGTCTTCCCGTTGCACTGCCTCGTTCGGACGCGCCCCTCGTTGGTCGGATGTCAAATGCTGTCGCGTAGTGGTGATGTAGAGGGAGCCACTTGCGCTGACGAGCTTCAAGTTGTTGCTTGGAGGAGAGGGAGGCTGGGTGGTGCAACTGGACCTGAGCGCGCTTGGCAGGTACTATCGATAACCCACATACGATTTACAACAGTGCACCCGTCCCCGCGATCACCGTCCAGTCCCAGGTACAGTCGAGCTGTCCATCTCCATTGCAACCCAGCATCAACTCGCAACATCGCAGAGTGAACACTTTGTAATTGACAGCTCGATGTCTCAAAGGAGGGCTCGATAGCACCTAATCGGCCCCAGGGCACGGGAGAGCGAAAGCACGATCTTTGCATCAGACATTTCCACCACCATGGCACCTCCAATCACCATCCTGTCTGACGACGACCAGGACATCTTGTCCGACATCCGATCATCCTCATCCGCCGGCTCCTCCTCTGAAGATGACGACGATGGGGACATGCCCAGGCCCCTCCCGCTCCCGCACCAAAACTACTTCGCACCCCCTTTCTACGGCCGGCCACCAACGCCGCTCCCGCCATCACCATCGCTAACGTCATTGCTACGACCCTCGCGCCCAAACACACCCGACGCAAGCGACGACGAGATCGAGCCGGTGCCCCGCGCGTCGCCGCAGGTGCCCACGTACGAATACTATGGCTTTGTGCTGTACCTTTTCAGCTCGCTCGTCTTTCTGATGTACTTGCTGTGGTCATACCTGCCATCGCCCTTCCTCCACGCACTGGGCATCTACTACTACCCGAACCGCTGGTGGTCCCTCGCGATCCCGAGCTTTCTCGTCATGCTCATCGTGTACATCTACGTCGCGCTCGCCGCGTACAACACGGAGATCCTCACGCTGGCCATGAGCAGCATCGAGACAGTCGTCGACGAGGCGTCCAAGATTGCGGCCGTCGACTCGAGGGGCCGTCTCAGACCGGGAGGGGCAAGTGCTCAGACAGAGTGGAAGCCGATCCCGGAGGAGAAGGCGAGAGGCCTGCGGTGGAGGGAGATCTGGAATGTAGGCACTGATGCTGTAATGGACGTCCCGCTGGCTGGTGTCTGTGAGGTGTTGTACGACGATGTGTCTGACGACGAGGATGCCTTTGGCGATCTGGTAGATACATGACGTTCAGTCCTGCTGGGAGCTGTTACGACGATCACGAATTCACGAGTCTTATCTTCGATGTTTTTGCAGTCACGAATCACAGGGGTGTGCTTCCCTCTTGGCGTGTATGGGTCTAAGACCATCAAAGATTGCCGGGGAATTTGTGACCAGGTAGTCTTGGCAAAGCTACCCTGGGATATAGAGACACAGGCCACCCGACGCACTATATCCCGACTCCGTAGCTCTTTACGCGGCTGAAGAAGAATGCCTTATCGTTCTTCAGTCCAAACTGCGCCCAGTCGTCGGTCAGGGTGTTGTAGCTCCAGTATCCCTTCCACTGAAGCTTGTTGTTGCCAATAGCCTTCTTCCCAGCGCCCTTGACCGACAACTCCATCCTGTACATGTACTTCTTGCCGACGCCCTCCGTCTCGACAAAAAGGTCGCCCTCGCCGGCGGTGGCGGCGGCGGCAGCATCCTCGGGATGGTTGTCGCTGACGTTGTCCAGGGCCGACGACAGCCTCCAACGCCCCTTGAGCGCATGGCTCATGGAGGCGCTCGGCAGGTGTGCGTGGCTCTTGTCCCTGTGCTGATGCAGGTTCTCCTTGGTCAGGTGGTGCACCACGGCGCCCGGCTCGTCCGTTGTCAACAGCGAAATGGCTGTTCCGTCGCGGAAGAGGCGCAGGTAGCGGTAGTACGTGACGATGTGTACCGGGCTGTTCCAGGTGATGTGGTGGCCCGAGGCCTGGCCCGCTCGGATGTAGTTGACGGTGCTGATGTAGCAGCCGTTGAAACGAACCCGAGGCCGGCGGCGGAACATGCGCTGCCAGGAAGCACCGTACACGCTGTGGACGAGGGCCATTGTTGTGGCGTAGCTCGACGCCGCCCTGCGCTGCGCGAGTTCTTCGGCGGTCCACACCGTATCCTCGCTGTCGTCGACGGACGACGAGGTCTCAGAGGACTCGGCACCCTGGGAGGCGAGGACGGGAAGCGGGAGCGGCTGCCATAGGTGGTCCTGCTGCCAGTGGTAGTGCATGCCGCCGAATCCGAACTCGCTGCCCACGCAGACGCGGCGCCATATCTGATCCTCGGTGGCGACGAGGTATGCAAAGCGCTTGCAGACTTGCGACAGCCGCACAAAGTCACCAACATCTGCAACGGCGACGTCACGCAGAATATGGACCAGAATCTCGCCGGGCAAGTCGGCAATAGGGCACGGCGGTGGCGCCACGCCCTCGATCTCTGGCGGAGCCGGCTCGAGCCTGACGTTGGCGAAGCTGGCAATGAGCTCGGATAATGACAGAGCGGGGCCATCTAGGGAATGATGGGCAGTGTTGGGCACTGTCGCCGCCGCGTTTGACGGGTTTGGGTCTTCTTGTGGCTGCCTGGGATCTGACGTTGTTGAAGTTCCTGTCATTGGTATGGCCGTCGGGGCGGCGGGCTTGGAAGAAGTCGCTGCTGAAGCCGGCGGAGCCTGTGGTTTCATCTTCCATGCCGCAGCAAAGTGTTTTTGCTTGTAAGCATGGTCAACGTGGCTGTCGAGGCGGAAAGCCTTGCGGTACAGGTGCAGACTGTCCCCAAGTTTGCCCGACGTCTCCTTGTCCACGGCCTTTTCGTAGTATTCAAGAGCCGTCTCTGGCTCTTTACCTTTGCCCGCCGCGCCAGCATCCTCGTCTGGTGCCTTCTGTGCTTGGGCGGGCTCGTCGAAGGACAAGCTCTGGACATACTCGTCCTCGTCCTCGAGGTGGCCTAGTGTCCGAGAGGGCGTCTTGCGATGAGATGGCGCATGAGGCCTGTGCAGCGACGGCGCATGGGCAGCTGGTGGCGCGGCGGTTGGTCCTGCATGGGCACTTTGCGGTGGCTGGGTCCTGGATGCAGTGCTGGCTGGTTGCCTCGTGCGGGCCGAGACCTCTGCTCGCCACTGGGCTCGGAATGAGTCGAGCTCGGATTCTATCTCTTTGTTTTGGGGGTCCATGTTGAGTTGTCACGACAAAGGGTTGTGAGGCGAACAGTCAGTCGCCAGTCTGAGATAAGCTCCGAGGGAGTGGATGACGAAATGTGACTGCACTATGGATGCACCTAGAACTGGAGTCAAGAGGTTACCAGTCGGGGTTGCAACGAAGAAACAGCCGTGTAAAGTATGTGAATCCCGGATATAAGGAGCTAAACTGTAGTTCTACAATAGTGTTAGCAATACTGGAGGTGGCCAAGTAGAGGTCTGTCTGATATGAGGCAGGCGGGAGTTGCATGGGTTCGCAGAGAGATGCTCCGCCGGCAAGTGAGAGAGTCATTCGGCCTGGAGTGGAGGGGGGCACGAATTAGGACCCGGACCTATCGGGTCAGTTGGGTCAGCGTAGTGTGGGGGCGACTATTAAAATGGCGTATGGCCGCCTCTGGGGAGACTTAAGGAGCCCGACTCATAGGAGGTCCTTGCTGCAGCGGTGCCACCCTGGCAGCAGCTGGGTTTAAAGGAAGGCCCCCATTTTTGAGATACGGCCGTCCCATAAGGTACAACCCCAAACTTGAAGTCGCTCAGGATACGCTGACAGAAAATGTGTTTGTAGAGTATAGTATCATAGAGTGCGTGCAATGTTAGAGAACATGATTTCAAGTGGGAAAAGCGCTAGCCTTGGGATCGAAAGATCTGTACGATCATTGGCTGGTCTAAGCAGAACCTTGCCTCTCTGGGGAAACCTGAGCTGTCCGGACGATGATCAATGACGAAAGAACCAATTTTTATTTTGATTGCGTTCATCTCGGTCTTGAATCTTGATACAGATTTTTACAAGTCGAAACCACCAAACTGCACTGCTACGGGACTCTCCATATCATCTTCATTGGGTAATCCACGGTGTCATCCTTGCCCTTGCGATCATCAATAACAGCGAATGATTTTTTATCGGGGACCTCCCTCCCTCACCGCATCCAGATCGGTTGCGCTTCGCTTTCCCAACTCCACGTGTCTGGCAGGAGAAGTTTGACTTTTATACCCTGGCCCAATTTGTGATGCTGGTCTAGGCCGAGTGAGTATCCGTGTGATGCCCGTATGGGTGGTGAGATCGAATACTTCCACGTCCTACTTGATCAAAGCTGGCGTGATGTTGGGGGCTACGATGGCTGTTGCGGGGATGCAACACATTATTTCCAGTGCTGGGCATCCGATTCGGGACGTCTTCCATCTCTGCAATCTTGGGGTGTCGATCCCGCCGCATCATCTGCATACCAGGGAAGACTAATGCAGCAATGACAGCCACAACCACCGAGATACTGACCGCAAGGCCAATAGTTAAGGCTCGTGAGTTGTCGGGTGAGCCCATCTTCCACCCTGCAGAACTGGCATGCCTGATGTTTCACCAGCTGCAGTTGTCCATGACGAAGAGGGTGATGTCATCGAGGGCCCTGCTGATTTTGACAATGTTGAGGGCGACAAAGCACCTGAACACCGTGCGAGAGCTTGAATACAGAGAACAGGACCTCGCCGAAAGGAATCATCTGGCGCAGCAAAAGTCCCCAACCCGCGTTCACACGGATTCTGCCGCGTTTAGTCGACAACCTGGTAGCGTCGGCGGCAAGAGTGCGGGCCGAAACAGGGGGTTGTGCCTGATTTTATAGTTTGCATGGGTGAACCAACAAACACACCAGGCATAACAACTGGTGGTCCCTGGGATTTCTCTCCAATGTTTTCGTTGACCTCTGCAAAAATGTAAAGCTGAAGACTCTGTCCTTGTCTCATATGGACGAGAACCACTTTATTGGATGATGGTGAAGGTTTGATGAGCTGGATATTCACAGATCGTGGAACTACGTTGAGTTTGGCACGTAGCCCCCGAGCGGCACTGCCGAAGAACTGCTCCGGACACCGGCACAGAGACAGGGTCACCCATGTCTGCGCACGAACTTCGTCCTGACGTGATGCACCTGTCAAGACTGTATGTACTGTGACCTCGGAAGGCGGCTATTTTTCCTTTCAATCTTGTTGGGGGCTGCGAGGCTATCGAATCTGCATGATTGGGTGACGGCCTGCAGGGACCCGCGACTTGACAGGCATGATCGTCTCTGAACCCACAAGACTCCAATACAAAGGCGCTCCACGCTCGCCCGGCGCTTACAGAAGTACCTAGGCAATCCTTGTCCACGCCGAAGTGGCAGGTCACCGTGACGATCACGAGTACTTTAGAAGTGCTATACTTTTACGCGAAGGATGAAGTATCCTCGAGCATAAACGATGTTGTTAGCCCAAATCCTAGCACACTTCTTTCGCTCCGGAGTTGTATGGGCCCGGGGAAGATATGCATGTTGGTTGACAATTATCTAGGATTCCCAAGCATGTATCTTTGGGTTCAAAGACTGGTCGTTCATCAGCGGGCTTACACACGCACAAGGGAGGGGGTCGTGTTACCGTTGTCGACCTCGCGCCCAACTCAACTCTTCCCGAGATCTCTTTTATTGGCAGAAATGCCGTACTCCTGCAGTTTCTGGGGCGATCAAATATCGCTCGTGTCAACATAATCATAGGCACACAGCACTGAATCGCCATTGAAGTTTCGGAGATGCTGGCTCAATCTTCCACCGCCCAGCAGCAGGTCGTGCGGGTCGTGGCTGTCGTGGTCGCTTCTCTAGGTCTCTGGTATTTCTGGCTCACAAATTACGACTCGCTAAAGAGCCTGCCTCACCTTACAGGCTTTCCAACTCTCGCCGAGGACGACACCGGAACGCTCGATTTCGTCCGCCGAGCAGCGCAATTCGCACATGTAGAGCTCTCGGCAGAGCTCAAATACACCAAGAGATGCATCACGGCAGCTAAAGGCGTCTCACACGACCGACACGAGGTCGTGGATGTCGCCGAGCCGCTGTTCACCGAGCCACTCGAAGTCGACCAAGGACAGCCAGGTCGAGTGATAAATTCGTGCGTGCCGATTGCGCTGCCCTTTGCGGATGCCTACCCAAAGACTGCGAAATACAATGATCTCGCCTTCGGCATGGCGACAAAGTACGGGCGCCTGTTGGAGTCTATCGACACTATCGCCTACTGGGCGGGCGATCGAGGCTCGTTACTCGCCGTTGTGGTCGAAGACTATATGGATCACGAGAGCGAGGTCATGGAGCTCCTCGCCGAGTTTCGCAGGCGCAACGTCAACGCCCAGTTCATGCCTCCCTTCGCGCCCAACCACACAATGTCACAGTCACACTTCATGATACTCAACAAGATGATATCCGAGACGGGACCGGAAACGAAATGGTACGGGCTTCTCGACGACGATACATTCTTCCCGCACCTAGCGCCACTTTCCGCCGCCCTCGGCTCGTTCGACTCCGACAATAAGGACCTCTACGTTGGCGGGCTGACCGAGGACTGGGGCTCGATCAGCCGATTTGGGCTGATGGCGTATGGTGGTGCGGGTGCTTATCTCTCGGCTCACCTCGCAAGGAAGCTTGGGGCTATGGATCAGGCATTACGGTGCCTCGAAGAGTCGCCACCCGAGCTGGGCGACATCATCATTCGCGACTGCATATACCGGCACAGCGGTGCAAGGTTGACGGTCCTGCCGGATTTGTATGTTGCTTCTCCCATCACCTTGGTCCAGCTGTGATGGGCACGTCACTAACTCGTCGGCTGCTCAGGTATCAACATGATCTCCTTGGCGATCTACGCGGCTTCTTCGAGTCAGGCGTTGAACCGCTCAACCTCCACCACTGGAAGAGCTGGTACCACGAGCCCGTCATCGCCATGGCACAAGCGACGGACTTCTGCGGGTATGCCATATCCCTGTGCCGGACCGTCCCTCACGTGCTACATACCTCGATACATGATGCTAACGGCCAGGCCCACGCGCAGAAACTGTTTCCTTCAACGATTCGCGTTCAACAACGACACAGTCCTCGCGAATGGCTACTCGATAAGCTTCTACCCGAAAGGTCTGGGAGCGATCGATCTCAACAAGATGGAGCGAACCTGGGGCAATGTGTATGGTGAAGAGGACCCAAAGTACGGATACACTCTAGGACCACTGCGAGACAGAGTGCCTGATGGCGAGCACAAAACGTACTATCTCAAGTATACAGAGGCGAGACAGCGCGTCATGCGACAGCTGTATGTCTGGAAAGGTCTCAAGGGAGCAGCGGACGAGGTTGTCGAGCTCGTTTGGACGAGGTAATGGCATGGACAACCTGGCACAATAGCGTATGCAGCATTTGACAATTTCAAGTAACTCAAAGACACCTTCGGTCTATTCGAGATGTATGGCCGGTGTTCATTTTGCTCGAAGCCGATAGTACTTGTCGCTCCAGGCTTATTGTACAAATGGATCGACCCGTGTGAAGTCAGTGATTGAGTGATGCACGTTTAGCAAAAAGATGCCAGCAAATTCGGAAAGTTTCTGCAACTCAGCTAGAAACTGTCAGTGAAAGAAAGCACTGGAGGATTACTGAATGCGTGGGTGAGGTGAGCACAGTTTGGGGGCCATGGCAATATGTACACCACCTGCGGGGCTCCATGACGAGCCGTCGTGACTTGTCTGCGCCTCAGTTGCGTGCCGTGGCGCGCCGTGGCAGCAGAAGCAGGAACGACGACTTGCACAGAAAGACGAGCTATAATCAAACACAGGCGTGTAAGCACACGATTGTCACTTTTGATGCACTGTTGCCGTGTAGGAAGCTGTGAGGTTGGCATCGTCCGCGGTGGATCCAAGACGTGAGAGGGTCCAGTCCAGGCATCTCGGTTGGCGGCGGGCAATGACGAGCTGCCACCAGGCGCTAGCTCTCACAGTGACTGGCGGTTCTGGCCTGGCCCCGGAACACACAACTGCTTGGCTGCGATGCCTCATGGGAGACGGAAATCATGGCAATTATAGCGATGGTGGAGGCATTCCCACAATGTCAAGACCATCATATACCTGGACAGCATCCAGTATGTATGCCCACAGTCCAAGTCCAAGGATGTGCCTGCTTGCCCTCATGATTGGCCGCCCACTGGCTTTGTGTTGCACTGCAGCCCGGCAGCTCGAGCTGTGCGCCGACCCGGTCGTGTGGCGTCGAAACTTCTCGACCGGCTGTCGGAGCGAGAGCAGCTCAGCTTACGACGCCTGCTCACAGGCGGGATGGCTGCATATCACATGTCCCTGGCAACGCGGCGCGTTTAGAAATGATGATTGCTGAGGATTGTGCTCCGGACGCCAGGCGCGTTCCTTCCGTCAGTCTTCTGCAGGCCGTGGTCGGCGATGACTAAAGACTGACGGCTATCGCAGGGTTTGGGGATTCGCCTGCCCGCGGTCGGCTCCCCCAACGGACCCAGAAAAATTTCCCGCCCACATGCACCCAGTCTTAAGCCCATTCGCCACAGCGAGCCGGTGCCCTGCTTCATGACGCGAACAACCACCCACCACCGCCCTTAGTCTCACGACCTGCCACACCAGCGACTCGACCACTTGCCTGTACCAGCTTTGAAGCCGTGCTTTGGCCAGCACATCCAAAGCTCGACGCTCCTTCTCAAGTTCATCTGGGCGACACTTCCTCGTTTGCTGCCTCGTGCCCGCCCCAGCACTCCGCGCCGCAAAGCAAATCGACGCCTGGCAACTCTCCGGGATCGGCAAGCCCGGATGGTCGCCTGGCCGTCGCAGTCGTTGAACGTCGTCCAACATCCTCTCGAGCCGTCATCCTCCCAGCCATGGCAAACCTCGCAGTCAACGCCCAGGATCACGACAGGATACCCATGAGCATAACCAACGCCAGCGGCAGCGGGGACGAGAGTGCGCCCGATGACATATCGGCCGGCCAGAAGATGCTGTCGGCCATCTCCGGCAGTCTTCTCACTTCTTTACTTGGTGAGCCACCTTGAAGCATCTCCAAGATATGGGCCACCAGTTCTGTCGTCTCCCATGCTAACGAGTTGTCCAGTGACCCCGCTCGACGTTGTCCGCGTCCGCCTACAATCGCAGGCCACACCCTCGACACAGCTCGCCGAATTCCACAAGCTCTCTGTCTCAACGCCAAACGCTTTCCGTCCGTCCAATATCGGTGTCACAGCATGCTGCCGAGAAGTCTTCTTCATCAATAACAATGCCGAGGCTTGTGTTGCTGACTCGATCGCTGGCATAACGGCTGGCGATTGTGCGGTCGAGCAGGTTCAGAAGAGGACATTCACATCTACCTTTGATGGCATGCGCAAGATTGCCCAGAACGAAGGAATCTCGACGCTCTGGCGTGGGCTATCGCCGACATTAGTCATGGCCATCCCTGCCAACATCATCTATTTCACTGGTTACGACTGGCTCAGATATAACCCCGCCAGCCCGATTGCCAAAGTCACAAACGGGGACATGACGCCACTAGTTGCCGGTGGTTTTGCGCGCATGCTGGCAGCATCAGCTGTGAGCCCGATCGAACTTTTCAGGACTCGCCTTCAAGCTTCCACCGGCTCCAGCACGACAGGACATCTCGCAAATACTGTCCAGGGTGTACGGGAAATGGTTGCCGAGCACGGCTATCGGTCCCTTTGGCGTGGCTTGACACTGACTCTTTGGCGCGATGTGCCCTTCTCAGCCATGTATTGGTGGGGATACGAGGCCATCAGAGGCAAGCTTACCGACATACGCGAAGAGAGCCGGGGTCGCGCAGTTCATCGTGACAGTCATTCTAAACAACACTCGAGGTCCCGATCCCAAAGCCGAGAGAATCATACCGCAACTTTTACCGACAGTTTCGTGGCCGGTGCCCTTTCCGGCGCCTTTGCTTCCATCGTCACAACGCCGTTTGACGTTGGTAAGACACGCACGCAGACGTTTCACGATGCGGCTAAAAAGTCCACCGGTGCTACCGAACAAGCAGTTGCGCCTGAAGCCCGCTCAATGGTTCGTCTCTTGTGGCACATCTATCTCACGGAAGGCATCCCCGGGTTGTGGAAGGGCTGGATACCTCGGACACTGAAAGTGGCACCGGCATGCGCCATTATGATCAGCAGCTATGAAGTCGGCAAGCGAGTATTCCGGACCATGAATGAAAGGCAGCAAGCGATGTCATTGGAGTCGTTTTCTGAAAAGAATTCCTGAAAAGCACATCATCCCATCTCGTCTATTCCAGCATTGGGCATTACTCGGCGTTTGGGTTCTTATCTTTTTTGCCTTTCTCATAATGATACCTACGACAACGAAGATTGGAGGATGGAAATAGAGCAACGTCAGATGACGTTCGTATTCTGTATCACTATAAAGTGTTGTACGATATCATCAAGCGAAGACAGTCTAATTGGAACCAGAGGCTTCTTTCCATTTGGGCTCAACCTTTTGCAGATATGGCATGTAATAGAGATGTTGATACTTGAACTATCATGTCCTCACTTGGAAGGGACTTTCCGTCTAGGCAGCATCGTCTGTCAATCTGGAAATGAGTGCACGAGCCCAGGCTCTTCAGCTAGCTTCACCCTTGTAAACCTTGATTTTGCTCCTTGTGTGCCTTGTGTGCATCAAAGTCCAATCAGTAGGCATGAATGTGGCTCTCTGCCTTGAGATGGCTTAAAGTGGAGGTGCAGGCATGGCATTGTCCTCCCCACAAGGCCGACTCAGCAACTGAATTGAGTGGACCGTGGGCACCGGCAGCCTGGCGCACGACGCGCTCCAGGGAAGCTCCTTAACGCGTCGTAATTGCTTTTTCGAGCGAGCTAGGCGTGAGCTGAAACTGGGGTCCAAGTTCATCGCATCATCATCACTCAATTCACGACGCCCTCAACCACCACACGAAATCTTCTCTCTCTGCACTCAATTGGACGACCACGAGCTACTCACCGACCCATCCAATCGCAACAAGAACGCCTTCTAGTTCCGACGACTTCTTGAGTCTGCCCTCCACGATAGCTTACTTACATCCACATTACGCTGTGCGAACTCGGCCGGGCTTGGTTCACAGAAGCTTCGCGAGAGACCTGTGTCTGTCACGCCGCATAGTACGCAGCCGCTCGACACGTTCCCCAGTTCAAGTCATTGTGCGGCAGGCAGAATCAAACATGTCTACGCTCAAGCGCAAGAACGACGCAGCCGCGGCCAGCGGCGATGCCAAGAAGCCAAAGGTCAATGCGAGCATCACCTCCTTCTTCGGGGCGCCCAAGACCGTCTCCTCGTCGACCAGCAAGTCAGGTGCGGCAGCAGTGCCGGAGCCGACCATCAAGTTTGACAAGGAGAAGTGGGTGACGGGGCTCACACCCGAGCAGAAGAAGTTCCTTCGGCTCGAGATCGAGACTCTGCATCCCAGCTGGCTGGCGCTGCTAAAGGACGAGATCACCACAAAGGAGTTCCTGGAGCTCAAGAAATTCCTCGAGAGAGAGACCATGGCTGGCAAGAAGATCTTCCCGCCCCGTGAAGACGTTTACTCTTGGTATGTGATTTGGGTCTCGAACGGTCTCTCTTCAGACAAATGGCCAAAGTGAAACTAATGGCCCTGAGCCCGCCAGGTCGCGACACACACCATTCAACACGGTAAAGTGTGTCATCATCGGCCAAGATCCGTACCACAACGTCAACCAGGCCCACGGCCTAGCCTTCAGCGTGCGGCCACCCACGCCAGCCCCGCCCTCTCTACGCAACATGTACATTGCACTGAAGAATGACTACCCGACGTTCACCGCCCCGCCGAACAAGGGCGGCCTCCTCACGCCCTGGGCCGATCGCGGCGTGCTCATGCTCAACACCTGCCTGACGGTGCGGGCGCACGAGGCCAACTCACACGCGAACCGGGGCTGGGAGAAGTTCACGCAGCGCGTCATCGACCTCGTCGCGCAGAAGCGCACCCGCGGCGTGGTCTTCATGGCCTGGGGCACACCCGCGGGCAAGCGCGTCGTGAAGGTCGACCAGGGCCGGCACCTCGTGCTCAAGAGCGTGCATCCTAGCCCGCTCAGTGCTGCGAGGGGCTTCTTCGACTGCGGGCACTTCCGCAAGTGTAATGAGTGGCTCGTGTCTCGGTATGGCGCTGACGGGGAGATTGATTGGGACCTGGACCCTGCGAAGGTGAACAAGAAGAGCACTCCTCAGGAGGAGGAGGCGGCAGAGGCTCCGTCGGTTGGTACAGCCAACGGCACGCCGGTGCCCGTGATTGCTGTCGGTGAAGTCGATGCCGAAGACAAGGGCACGGAGAAGAGCAAGATCCTGGAGAAGGAAGGTGAAGGGGGAGTGGTGAAGAAGTAGTACGGTGAATGTCAAGCGAGGTACATCTTGTACACGTCCTGCCAACCCATCCGGTTGTGATGATGGAGTTATGGGTAGGTGCTGGAGATTTAGTCCGGCTCACGTGTATTTCCATCTCAAGAGGCTGGAAGTCTACGGAAATCTGGCCAGGGTAGCGAGCAATCACTGGATCTGATTTGATGTCTGACCGGCCTAGTCGCATGCCTATCGTTCCTCCATGTTGTCGAGTATCTGAATACAATGTGATGTTCAATCAGTGCGGCTGCACGGATATCCACAGCGTAAGAGTGTTTGTTGGCATCTCTTCCCGGCTCTGGCTCTGTCCCTGTTTCTGAGCGAAGGCCCTTTCATTCTATCATTCATTGACACCATGGAACGTCAGGCCTGCCGACTTTCACCGCAACGCCCACGAAAAGAACGGAGATGACGTAGGAACAGCAAATGGTCAGCGTGTGAAGACACACTGACTTTCGCCCATGACTAGTGGCGCACTGGATCACGCGCGACGTCTTCACGATCACAGGCAGAGAGATTCACCCACCGCTTTATCAGGACAAGCTCGAGATTGGCGTGGTGTTGGCGCCGAACTTTGAGCGCCCTTTTTGTCCACTGAGCTTGCCGATCGCTTTGTCGACGATAATTTGCCTTGAGGGGTAGGGCGAAGATGCCTTGCCTTGGTAGAAAGTGGTCTAGTCAGGAACGCGAAACATAAAAAATGGGGACACGCGCCGCCGCGTGCTGCTGCGTATCCGGCGCTGGCCTTGTCTGCGCTATGAATGGATGCACTCTGCGCGCCTCCATCTGTTCAAGCGCGTGCAGCCATTATGTAGCGGTTGCAGCCGTGACGTGAGACATTGATAGGGAGAATTGCCCGTGAGACAGCAATCGCCGTGGCCCAGCTCTGTGTGCATGCGGTGCACAGCAGCAAGGCCTGTGCTGTTCGGTCGTGCCTGGGAGGGAGGGGTGTGTCATGCTCATTCGCAAGTAAATGATGCGCATGACCATGATTGCTTTGCATCGCCCATTCTCTGCGTTCTTTTTCTCTCGGCTGCTCCGCACAGAGATCGGATGAAACGCACAGACGGGCACACACGATTTGATTGCGGTCGAATGTGCCCGAGAGGAATCCTCCTGGTATCCAATGTCGCACATCCAACGCATGCCCGAGGCGCCGGAGTATCACCTTGCGGCACGCTTAGGCTCGCGACCTCATTTCCTGTGCGGCCCTTTGTGTCTCAATCGTCCGTCTTCTGTGTGCACATCGTGTGAAGCCGGTGGGAATTCGCGCTGATCCAGGAGGGAAGAACGGCCGGCGCCGCGACCTGCACCTGATTTGAGGCGATGACAGGAGCCTGTCCATCGCAATATAGGTGCCAATTTTTTTGGCCCGTCCGACGTCGCGGGAACGGCTCGGCCGCGCTTGGAGGGGGGATCCTGCCGGGGTTTGTGCGCATGGCGTGCTGTTGCACGGCGGCCAGTGAGTGGCTTTCAGCTCTCGGGGTCCGACCCAGCAAAGAGACACAGCAAGAGGGCCCGAGTAGCATTGGATGCCGGGGGTGGACGGGAGTTGACAAGTTTGACAGGCGACGGGGCGATTGGGTAAGACCGGGGCCCGGGCTGCCCCTTCGCAATCTTTCGAGGACGGTCCCCAGGCCAAGATTGCTTCGCGGGTTGCTCCGCCGACATGAGACGCATCGCGGGCAGGGGCACTTGGCCGGCTTCGTCTGGCGCTGGACGTGATATTATAGTATGATTGGGAGTGGACTGGCCCAAGGTCGCGATCTCAGGCTCGCACATTGTCTCTTGTGGACTCTGGGCGGTTGCGGTAGGGATAGCAACGGAGACGCACCCGGCTGACGGGCAGCGGTGGACAGTGCCCCCCTCGATCACTTAGAGTGAGGTCTTGCATTGAGTGCTTGCGCTGGACCAGGCCTGGTCCATGCAATCAAATTACCCACAGCCGTCATCGTCATCTGAGCTAGCCCAGGTGGCCAGCCGTGCCGCCGGGGTGCTGGCCACGCCAAAGGAAGTCAAGCCGCGAGAACGGGGTCTTGAGCCCCTGCCAGGCTTGCTTCCTTGTCAGGTCCCGCCCCTAGGGCCCCCCTTTCGCTGTGAGGAGAGCCTCAGGCCACCCGCATTGTGGATGGCGAAGCCAGAGTGTTGTCCATGTCTCACCTCGCCCGCAGAACTGCCATTGTGCGACCCTGCAGCTGCCGCGAGTCCGTCCCAGAAGGTGCTGACTCGACGCATGGCATCGTACCTGCAGCTGCGCTTGCTCCAGCCATCTGCCTCTCTGGCAACCCTGGCACCTGATTCGTTTCTTTTTTCTTTCTTTGTCCCTTGTCTCGCTTCTCTTCACCGTCTGCAGGCTGGATATCACAACTCTCTGCCGGGCCTCGTCCTCTCCACCGCCCACGCCTGCCAGCATCCCATGCCCTCCACCAGCTGGGCCAGCACTCCACCAGTCGCCGCTGTCCACGCACACACCCGCTCCCCTCTGTGCGTGCCAGCGCATGAATGATTGGCGGTCACACCTCGCAGCACTGCCGTCATCCTTGATACCCAACCTTCGCCGCTAACGCGCGACCCGTCCTCCGGCTCAAGAGCTAACTTGATCCGCTAGCCACGCCTTTGGGCAGACGCCCACTCCCCCCCACACCCAATCCTCCACTCATTTGTGCCCTCAACTCCAAAGAAAACGCCCGGCCCGCCCTCCACACACAACACGGTCGCTCCCTCCTCCGTCGCGTCGCACCCCTCTGGCCCAGAAGGCGCCGTCCCACGCTTCCAATTCGAACCCACGCTCGCTTCGCCAGCACCTGTTTAATCCCTTTCGCCTTTTTTGTTTCTTGACGATCGGACCACGACACTTTACGCCGAGGCCAGCCAAACCGTCGCCCACGATGCCTAGTCTTTTCTCCAAAATCAGGGGCAAGGACGGCCAGGCCAAGGCCAAGAACAAGAAGGGCAATGCCGACGACTCGACCCTCCAGCTGCCCACGAGGCACCGCTGGGAAGATGCCTACATCCGCACCTCCATCGAGCCCGAAGAAGCCCAAGATCTCGTACGCCGCTGCACTTCAGAATTGAAAGCCAGAGGTCAGTATTACACACAATCGAGGGGAGTGGTTCAACAAGCGGGTATCTCTTGTGTGCATTTGCGCTGACAACCAGCTCGCAACACTATTTAGCTCTCGACCACCCTTTTCTCCTTCTCCCGTTCCGGCCAACGTCAGATCCGAGCGCTGTGCGCACCTTCATTCGCCACTTCTTCAATGGCGACCAACCCTTGCAGGGCGAGGCCCTGGCACAGGAACTCCGCATGATAGAACCAATGGTGCGGGAGCCTACAAGCCATTTCTCACTTGCTAGAAAGTGAAGACACGCTGACACCTATACCCCGGGACAGGTCATCTCTGGAGTGTTAAAATGGTGCTGGAGCAGATTGTCTGGAGGTATTGTCGGCTGGGATGCCTATGAACTTTTCAAAGTTGGAGAGTCTGGTATGTTATCCACTGCTCGAGTTTAAGCGACAGGATTTGCGTCGGGAAACTTTTCACTAACGTCAGACCTGCAGACTCGAATATGGCCCGAGACTCGTTTTCCACGTTTATACCTCTCAGCGTTGAGAACCAGGCAAAATCGCAAATCATCTTTGACTACTTCGACCTTCTGTCTGCCATAGCCGCCCATGGCAAAATGAACGGCTTTGGTGGACGCAAACTGTCGCGAATGGCAGCGTGGTGGGCATTCGAGCACAAGGACCTGGGAGCCGGCTTCGACGGAGGTTACAAGGCATGGTTAAGGTCGGACACCCATCTGGACCTCAAATACCGTCTACACTGCTAACTTACTCACAGCGCTGCCGATGCCACGAGCCATCTCTTCTTTGCGTATCTCAGGTCACTATCGCCGTCCCAAGCGCGCGCCGGCATAACGATGCTGCCGATGTCACTGCAAAAGCTCCTACAGGAAACGGAGTACCCGCCCCAGCTGCCGTCATTGATGCAGTCGTCCACCCACCGGGTTGTCATGATTGTCGAGACTGTGTCGCCAACACCATTTTCTTTGCTGCGTCGTGCCAACCACTTCCAGTACCGCGAGGATGACCGTGCGCTGCACGAGTACTCCGAGTACGAAGACCCGGTCGAGGCACTCACCGAAGAGTGCCAGAGAGTTCTGAAGGCAATTTCCCTGGCCAACCAGTCGCAAGTGTCAAGCTCGAAACATTCCACAGGCCTTAGGGACGCTTCGTGGTCGCGGTTTGAGGATATTGGTTTTTCAGGCACTCTTGAAGAGGAGGAGGAAGAAGAGACCGCCATGAACAACAGAGCAAGAGAGTTTGCACGTGGTGGCTTGAGAAGTACACCAGCGTCCGGCACCATTACAGGGCTCGACCGGCCAACGACACCTTCATGGGCGGACTTCCTGTCCTCGGGCTTCGTCGACGATTCCAACAATGGCACACGCAATTTCTTGCTACCACCCGACAAGGTCCTGCCGCCCATTGAGACCAACTCCCGCCAGAGAAGCTCACAATCGGCCCGGCCCCGCCTCGAGAGCGACCGCAACCTGGAGCCTGGTGAGCTGGCCAGCATCACATCCTTCGACCTCGACGATGCGTTCTGGTGGGTCTGGATGAGCAGTCTTGCTCCCGAGGAGACTGCGGAGCGGAAGTCGGCATTTGGCCGCTGTGCCGTTATCGAAACCGTCATTCGTTCTGGCCGCTGGCTCGTCATGGAGGAGATCATCAAGGGCGCAGCAGCAGAGCCCGACGACGGTGCCTATATTGCGGAGAAGAAGGGCTTCTTCAGCTGGACTAGGCGGAGCAAGACAGTCTCACGGCGGAACAAGACGCTGACCAAGGGAGAGGCTGCCAGGGCCGACTCCGCGATGGGTATGAGCGCGAGCAAGGCCAGCATCGGCCCCGACCAGCAAGCCAAGATCCAGGCCGCGGCTCAACAGCTCCACGCCAAAGAGATTCGGGAGAAGGAGCTTGCGGCCACCGTGCCGGTCCGCCGTGGCCGCACGGACGCTGAGCTGCTAGGCGACAAGACTAACAGTGTAATGACCCTTCAGCCAGCAGTCAGGTCGGCCGCCTCGCCAGCCATGAAATGGGCAAACAAGTATGACAAGGATGCCATCCGGGAAGCATATCTTGCCAACAACAATCTTGGCAGAGGCAGTGAGCTTGATTTACAAGCGGTGGCGAACGGCCATGCCTCGGAGCATAACGGAAGATCAGCGATTCCAGAGAAGCCTCTTCCCTCGCCTGTGCCAGTTGTCCAAGAAGTGCGACCAGAGCCCGAGCAGCGCACGGAGCCCGAGAGGCCAGTAGAGCCAGCATCGGACCTCCAGCCAAACGATCGCCTCGGTGCTACCGGACGCAACTCCCCACTCCCACCCGTGCCTAAGGAGCACGAGGAGGCACTGGAGGCTCGGGAGGCTATGATGTCGCCAGAGCCGGAGGCTGGCGCTGGTGGCAAAGCTCACAAGAAGCTCCACAAGGACGAGAAGAAGCAGGGCGGTGGTGGTTTCCGGAAGCTGTTTGGACGTAAGAACCGCCAGTCAAAGCTCCCGGAGAACGCTGCAGGTGATGTCAACATGATGCTTGCGCAAAACGAGGCACAGAGGTCTGCAGCCGCAACTCCAGTGCCTCCGGCTGCCCCGACTGCGCAGGAGCCACCGGCGCCAGTGGCCAAGGCGCCGACGCCTCAGCCGCCGGTTGAGCGCGAGCTCACGCCGAGCCCGCCAGAGTCAATCATTGAGAACATTGAGCCCACCTTTGAGCCGCCGATGCACGACAACATTTCGCGCGTGGACACTGCTGATGCGGCGGAGGCTAAGGAAGAGTTCTCGCGTTTCGACCAGGGGCCATTGACAGACCAGCCGGCTTTTGTGCCGGGAGACGATTTTACTGACGACGAGGACGATGCAACTCCGCCCCCAATCGCCCGGCGGTCGCCCGCCATTCCCCAGCAGCGACCAGCGTCTGAGGATAGCATCGAGGGTTCGGCTGTTCCGCCCGCAATCGACCGGTGGGCCCAGATCCGCAAGAATGCTGCCGAGCGTGCAGCTCGCCAAAATGAGGAGCAGTCTGCCCCAGTGGCCAGCAAGCCGACCGACGATAATGATGATGACACCAGTGGTGAAGAGAGTGAGTCCTACCTGGAGCATTACAAAGAGGGAGCTGTGCTTACAAGCATCTATAGCAATCGAGTCGCGTGTCGCACGCATCAAGGCCCGCGTCGCAGAGTTGACGGGCAACATGGAAGGAACCAACGGGCCTGGACAAGTCCCGTACAGACAACCTCCCCCTCTTCGCCGTTGAGCAGGGAAGAATGCCTGATTCAAATTTCAGTCGGGTGACTGTGGTGACCTACGAATGCTGGCCATGAGGAGTTTAATTTCGCGAAGACACTTTGGCAGAGCTTGGTTTTTTTTTTTCTTTCGTTGCAACGAGCACAGTACTACTTCTTATGGTTTCTTGCTGTTCTTGACACTTCGTATTTACAATGATACCATCTATACCAGAGCAAAGAAAAAGGTCTTGCTCAGCAGATTAGACCCATGGAGTCTGCTGCCCCCTGTCTCGTTCAGATCTTTCGTACCTTATATTATACAACACAGCTTTCACATGTCTCATTCTATTAAGAGAGCAGTGACGGGTCGATTACTTGTTGCGCCTCGTGGATGATGCTGTATTTGCGGATGCTCGTGGTCCGGCAGGGTATTGAAAGGCATTGCTGATAATCTTGGATTTCGGGTTTATTGTCTCTGTATGGCCTCAGAAGGTAGAGATTGCTGTCCCGGCCCCCTCTTAAAGAGCTTAGGGCGTGATGCCCCATTTCCCGTCGCGGCCTGTGCCGACGCCAAAGTCCTGCGCGGCCTTGAACTTTCTGCGGACTGTTTTTATCAAAATCAGCATGGGGATGAAAAATAACAAGACGTCAGCTCATTGGCAGTATGAATGGACAAGGTTTGATGACAATGGGGCATCGTCCCCTTTTTCCCTTTTTCCTCTTTGGTTTCCCTGCTGGTGATACTTCCCGATTTCCTTTTTTTTCTTTTTCTTGTTTGGACATTGGATGTTGCCCTGTCCGCTTGTGTCATTGTGAATCGGGGTAGACTGGGAGGGCTGATGCTTATACTATGAAGAATGAAGAAGAACAAGAAGAAGCAGAAGAAGGAAAAAACCTACCGAACGACATCCCGCCCATGTCATCCGCGCCCGGCAGGCTGTCCGCATTGGCCCACCATACGCGCAGGCACCAGCTGCTCACGAGCACGTCGAACGTCTCGCGCGGCAGGGGCTGGAGGGTGACCAGGCGGTGGTGGTGGTGGCGGCGAGGTGGTGGTGGTTGTTGCTGCTGCTGCTGTAAATGAAGTGTTGCTGTTGGCACTGCTGCGGCTGGTGGAGATACCGGCAGCGGCAGGCCTTCTTGGCTGGCTGGCGGCGGCGGAGGCGGCGGGAGAGGTGACCTCCATACCTGATCCTCGCGGGCGACCAGCGTGCCGAACTCGTCGAACCACTCCCACTCGACGCCGTCGGTGTCAGAGCTGCTGCTACCGCCGCTGTCTGCCGTCGTCGTCGTCGCAGAAGCAGAAGTAGTAGTAGCGTTGGTGGTGGTGGCCTTTCCTTTGCCCTTGACGAGCCCGGATAGTCTCCTCCCTCCTCCTCTGCCTCCCCCTCCCTCTCCATGGCGAAGGCCATCCTGCACCGACGGGACATCATCCCCCTGCTGCTGCTGCCGACTGAGCGCTATCGCCGCCACAGCCCGCCTGCGAACCTCAAAGATCGGCCGCGCGTACCCGTGGCCCTTCTCCCCCGCGGCGAAACGCGGGATGTCGTGCTCGGCCCGGCGCCGCGCGAGCGGGACCACCGCGTACCCGTGCTCCGACCCCGCGGCTGCGATGAGCTTGGCCGCGAGACCACCCACCCGTGATGACGGCGACACTGAGGAGGGACCGGCGCCGTGGTGGTGGCCGTGGTGGTTGTGGTTGGATGGGTTTTCATAGCTAGGTGCAGCGCCATCGGCACCGGCAGTTGAAACAGAAGCAGCAGCGGCAGCAGCAGTAGGAGCAGAAGCAGGGCGGTAGCGGCACTTGCGGAGCCCGAAGCTGCCGAGGCTGCGCCTGCTCTCGGCCTGGCAGAAGAAGCGGGGGATGTTTGCGGCGGACTCGCCCGCGCCCTCGGGCCGGTTGCGGTATCCGCGCAGGGGCCTGGCGTGGAACGAGGCGGCCAGGTCGTCAATGTGGCGCAGGGTGAAGATGTGCTTGCTGCGGCTGGTCATGCGGTTGCTGCTGCTGGTGTGGCGGACGGCGTGGTCGAGCCGTTCAAAGGTCACGCTCGAGTCGGTGTGCGAGAGGGAGGCGATGCCCCGGTTCATGGCGTAGAGGGCCAGGCCGGGTGGTGCTGGGGTTCCCGTAGTTGGGGCCGTGTTGTTGTTGTTGTTGCTGTTGTTGTCGATGTCAATCATGTCATTGTCGCGATAGATAGACTGCCCGTTGATGACAAGACTCAATGGCTCGACCGTCGTAGCCGCTGCTGCTGCCACCGCTGCTGCCGCTGCTCCAGGAACTGCATCGTACAAGGCCTCGCCATACGCTGGGGGCCTATTGTCCGGGTCGTCATCGTCCATGGCGGGGGTGTAGCCCGGGGGCGGACCGAAGTCATCCTCGCCGCCGCCGCCAATGATGCTGGGGGCAGCTCGGATATTGACCCCTCGGAAGTAGGTGTAATACGAATCCTCGCCATCGTGGTCATCGGATATCTCCAGATGGTCCAGGGTGAGCTCCGGCACCGGCCCCGGCGGCGCGCCGTGTCTTGGCGCCGCGGCCCCGTCCAGCGGCGGCGGCGGCAGCGGTGGTGGAGACGCTGGGGCCGGGCGAGGCCAACCCGCGGCGGCGGAGATGTGGTCCGTGTCTTCTGGGTGGCCCGTCATCCCCGCCGGCACATTGAGACTGCCGCGATGCATGTCGTCTTTGACTCGTGCGCACAGACGGCAGGCGTCACTGGTAGCTGTGTTCCCACGTGTGAGGTTGTAAAGAAGGTGTGGCTCGGCAATGGCTTGGCCATGAGCGCAAGCTTAAAAACAAGCTCACGCTTCGGCCCCAGACCTCGGGAAACGGTACGTACCGTGAGCTATTTTACGTCCCTACATCACTCCACAAGTATTGTGGTATGCGCGAGATTCTCACGTGTCCCATGCAGCCTTCTCTTTCGGGCGGCGGCCTATCCGAGACAAATGCCCCGACTGGCACCGCAATGTTGCTGCCTGTCTTTATTCTCCGCTGTCCTTACTCAAAATGTGCGCGGCGCGGCCTTAATGATTTTGAGTCCGCAACATGGGGACCGGACTGGCCAATCCCGTTTGCGAACCAACAGTGAAGACGTCACCTGTCCCGAAGTGGACATCGTATGGTGTTGTCCAGATCTGCACACCGCAGTATACAGCTTCTCACTCGGGTATGCCCGGAAGAATGAGGGAAGATAAAATGCGGTGTTTTTTGTCTGCTCGCCGAGTATCTGATTTGTTCATCCAGATCTGGAAGTTGACGCCTGCAATACCCCTCAAAAGCCTCGTGGTAACTCCACCCTCAGCTTTCCAGACGCAAACAAGACGGCAGTCCGGCATCGCTACTTGCGTTGGTCTCGACAGCAAATGATGCTCGTCTCGACCCAGCCCAGCCCAGCCTCTCATCTCATACCCCATGTCCCGTTGCTCGGATCGACGCCAAAGTCCTGCGCAGCCCTGAGCTTCTGGCGGACTGTCCGTCTCACTCTGAAATCAGTACACGGTCTCCCGAGACAACAAAAGGGAAAAAGGAGAAGGACACTTACGTGTAGAAAGCCCGCTCGGACGCCCGTCCTTGTCGGCGCTCTGCCACCAGACCCGCATGCACCAGCAGCTCACGAGCACGTCGAACAGCTCGCGAGTCATGGGCACCGTCGTGACGAGCCGTGGCAGCAGCTGCCCCTGGTCCGACGGCGACAGGATCTGGTCCTCGTAGGCGACCAGGGCACCAAACTCGTCGATCCACTCCCATTCCGTGACGACGCCGTACTCTAGTTGTGGTGGTGGTGGTGGTGGTGGTGATGATGATGATGGCGATGAAGCGTACGGCTCGTCTACAGCTGCCGCTTTGCCTTTGCTCTTGCTCGACAGGCTGTTACCCCTGAACCTACTGGCGGTATCACGGCCGCCGCCGCCAGAACTACCGGCAGCACCAGCAGCAGAAACAACCTCCCTCCTCCTCGTCGAGCCACGCACCTCGAACAGCGCCTTTGCAAACCCTTTGCCCTTCTCCCCCGCCGCGAATCGCGGCAGCTCCCCGTTTACTGCCCGGTCCCGGCCCCGTGCCAGCGGCACGACCGCATACCCGACAGTCGTCTGCGCCGCCGCCGCGGTCTTGTACTTGACCTGCCGGAGCCCGAAGTTGCCCAGGCTGCGCCGGCTCGCGGCCTGGCAGAAGAAGCGCGGGATCATCTCCTCGGACTCGGCCAGTTTGCGGTTCAAATTCCACGAGAACGCCCAGTTGATATCCCTGGTGGTGTACGTCACCGTGTACTCGTCGATGTGCCGCAGGTCGTAGATGTGCCTGTTGCGGCTCGTGATTCGCGGCGCCGTGGCCGCAGCGGTTTCGCCGTCTCCGTCGTCATCGTCATGAGGAAAAGGCGGAGGAGGAAGGCCAGGTTGCTGCTCCTGCTGCTGCCGGACAGCGTGGTCGACCCGCTCAAACGTCACACTCGAGGCAGCATGCGACAAGCCCACGATGCCCCGGTTCATCGCGTATAGCTGCGTCGGCCCTGCCGCCTCCGCCGCCGCCGCCGCCGCTGCTCCCAGCCCAAACGCATCCTCGCGATAGATCGACTGCCCGCTGATCACCAGCCCCAGAGGCTCGACCAGTGCCTTTGCCGCTGCTGCCGCCGCGACACTCGAGGTGGCGCTGTAGACCGGCAGCCCGTCGGTGTCGGTGTCGAGGGCGGCGGGAAGAGGCGGAGCCGTGTAGTCGCCAGCTTTCTCGGGACGGCCCATCGTCCTTTAATTTTTTTTTTTCCTTCGGGGAATTTTCCTCGCTTGGGTGACGCTTGCTCTGTTTTGCTAGTCCAGGGAACTTCTGACTTATGATGGTGGTGATGATGATGATGATGATGATGATGCTAATACGCTTGTGCGCAGGAGCCCGGAAGAAAGAGTAAAAAAGAACGACGTCACCTGTGCTTTAAATACCCACTTGCAAAGGTTGGCATCTCACGGGGAAACTTCTCTCACAGAGCAATCCCCTCCTCATCTTATCGAGAGAGAGAGAGAGAGAGAGAGGAGGATGCAGTCGTGCCCGACCGTGGAACCCTTCTAGAATGACTCCTCCCCCACCCCCATGATCTATCGCCTCTGCCTAGGCAGGGCGCCGCAGGGGGGGGGGTTAGTAGTGCAAAAGCCCGCATTGGCACACTGAGGCTGTGCCAGATTCCCGCGCTCGTGCGTTTTTGTCCCGCGCGGCTATGTCGTTCGGGCTTGGCGTGGGCACTCTGTCGCGGTCTGCTGACTGCGACTGCGCCAGCGCCAAGAACATGGTCGAACTCCTGCAATCCACCCGCTGTGGAACATTCTCCGGGGTAGTCGTTCCGCCGGACGCACGTCTACGCCACGGCGGGGCCGAGTTCCGGTCGCCGGCGCACGGCGAAGCTCCATCCATGTCCGTCACCGTCACCATCCCCACCGAGGGCAACTGCACTTCTTGTCGTGATGACAAACAAAGCCCTCATGCCGAGCAATGCACTTTGTAGTTGACACATGTTGATAATTCCATTGGCTGTGGTCCACCTCATCCCATGCTAAAACCTGTCTTGCGCCATAGGACATTGCCGGTCCAAAAGTAAGTAATTGCCACCCAAACGGTTGCCCCGGACTCCCATCGACCACCACCCTCCTCTAAATAAAACCATCGTCCGGCTTTGCCTCCCTCCAACCCCAACACAACGTTCTCCTACAACACTGCTCGCTGAAGATTATAATTGATCGTAAACTTTTCCAGTTCCATGTTAAGCCCGTTGGGTCCTGTCTCGCCCTGAGGCAGCGCCGCTACAAGCGAGACCTCAATGCGGTTGGCCCCGTAGCGCATCGTGGCGTCAAACACGGGCTCGTTCCGCTTCTCATACGGAGCACTAGGGTACAGGCGCTGCTGGTCATGCATGACGTGGAGCTTCCACTCCCGCTGCTCCGCTTCCAGGAACGAGGCAATGTGTGGTCGCAGCTGCAGCCGGAAATGCGTGGGCGGCGCGTTGACCGTAATGTCCTGCTGAAACTCTGTCGCACTGGCTGGGAAGCTCACGTGGAGATTGTTGTCCACGGGCAGGCCGGGGTGAGAGTTGATGACAAGCTTGCTCATCAGTGCTGCAGAGTCGCCTACACAAGTCGAGGTTAGCTATATATGCTGCTATGCTGCAATCGGCTGTACTTACTGATCGGCCGCAGTCTGTACTTCTGCGACTCTAGGATATCAGTCGCCGTGCGCCTCGGTGGGGCAGCTTGCGCTGACGCTGAGCCCATGGGCAGATTGCCGTTCGAGTCGTGTCGCAGCACGCTCGGGTGTGGCGCAAAAGTGTGCAGAGTCGTGTTCTGCGCCACTCCGGGTGACTGATGCCCATGCGTCTCGGCCTTGAGCGCTGTTCTCAGGCTCGGGCTTGGCGAGCCCGTGATATTTGCAGCACTCCTCGTGCGTTCGAGCGGACCTCCGTTGAAGGAACCGGGACCCGACGGCACATAAGGCGTTTGGCCCAGGGGCGTGCCGCTACGGACAAGTCCAGCCTCGCTTGACAAGGTTGCTCCAGGTGCTGGCGACGCCCCAGCGCTGGACTTGCCGCCAACATGGATAGTAATCTTCTTGGGATGTGTCGGGGTCTCGACATTCTGCGACACCTTCAGCTTGATCTTGGGCTGCGCCGGAGGCTCTGGCGCATGCAGTTTCGCCTGCTTTAGTTGATCATAAAAGAATTCCTATGGCGGGTGTCAGCAAAATAAACCCTTTGGCCGCGCAGGCGTCCGGAAGCACTTACCTCAAACTCTTGTGCCAGCGTGAAAATGTCACTGCCGTCCTCGTTATAGTGGTATGCGTTCTTCCAGATGAGGCTTGCCTGATCCTCAAATGCCGTCCATGTCTTGAAGTCGCTCACCCACGTTGGATCGCCTCTGCCGTGCAAGCCCCGGACCTGCTTCTGGAACTTCTTGACCGACATGGGCTCCGCAATGACTTCATAGTAGTCTTTCAGGCTCCGTGCAGGGAGGAACATGAAGACTTCGAAAAGCTGATAGTCTCCGCTGTTCGATCTTTCTGTCAGTCCGGAGCCCGGGATGAAACTTATTGATAGGCACTTACCCTTCGTCCTTTTTCCTAATCATCTCCTCAACGACTTTCTCTTGGGCTTGCTGGAAGCTGAGGCCCTTATAATCCACATTTTCATAGAGAGTGTCGTGCTTAACTGCCGCTGGGTTCCGAGTAATTTGCTTCTGAGCGCTTGATGTAGTGATCTTCAAGGTGCGACTGGAAGACTTCCTCCTTGCTGAGCGGCCGCCCGCATCTTCCTCCTCGTCATCGTCGTCTTCGCCCTCGGCATCCTCATCGTCGGCTTCTGGCTCGACCTGTCTGGGCTGTGGCTGAGTGCGAGATTTTATCCGTACCCGGTTGGGTACTGGAGTCGCAGCCATCTCATTAATATCGCCATGCGCATCGCGGCCACCTTCGGAGGGCAGTGGCGTAGCTGTTGCTTGGTAGTTGCCGAGCTTGTATGCAGGATTGTACTTGACCATCAAGTTGCTAACTGCCTTTCTCACTCGTTCCGCGTCACCGAATATCTCTGACTGGCGCGCATTGGTCTCCTTGGCATTCGACACGAGCCGTTTGAAGTCGCCCTCGAGAGCGGACAGCTTGGAGTATTGGTGGTTCAGCAGCTTCTGCTCGATGATGTCCAGTGACAGCGGGAGTCGGATCTTGCGATAGTAGTCTGGGTTGGTCTCCGGTGGAGGCAATACCTCGAAGAAGGGAGCCACTGCTCGGCCACTGGTGAATTGTCAGCTCGTGTTCAACAGGCGCAAGCACGCAACTTGTGGCCATACTTCTTGTCTGTGGTGGCTCGGATGGTTTCGAGGATGTTAAGACCGTACGCCGTGGTCGATTCGGGGGTTTCGCCCTGCGACAAGTCGCCAAATTCCTATTGCCATTGACCTGTGTTAAACGACTTTGGACGACAGCAAGATGTGGTGCATCCTGCCCTTACCTCTTGCAGCCTCCTTCGTTTCGAGGCACGATCTGGGGTGTCCGCGGCGGGCTCGTGACCGTTGACGCCGCTCGCTTTGCGCTTGTTGTCCATGGTTGCTGGAGAGTACGAGTTCGTTGAGCCCAGCGTGCCGGCTTGTTTGTTGTCTCGGGGGATGCGCGGTGTTGGTTGGATCTACCGCCTGATCGGCTTTGATGGCCAAGCTCTAGAGCCGCGGCTGTGGGAGTGCGATGGTGTTTGGTGGGTGATGGGACGCAGAATGCGCTGCCAGGTTGGCGCAGCTGCCAATTGACACGCGCCGATGATGTTGCGCCGGGGCCCTGTCGTATGGGATTGCTTGCTATGTCGGCGAGTCTGCTCCAGCGGAGGAGTTGCGCCGGGTGGGCTGAGTGGCACTCGGGAGCTGGTCGAGCTTGGATGCCAACGACGGGTGCTCTGCGCGGTCGCGTCGAGTCGATGCAGCAGAGGGAGGGCGAGCTGGCGCAAACTGGGAGTGAGCGCAGCCCTGCAATGGGGAAAAGTGGGTGCTTGCTCATCCCAAGCACAGGGTGGGTCGAGCCTGCTGTTTGGCTGAACGTGCACCAGCCACAGACCTCTTGGGAAGCCACACACACCACACCATGGTGCCCGCCGCTCATTGCTTCCAAGGTTACACCTGCAGTAGAGCTGGTGCCGGAGCCGAGGACGCTGATCAGGGACCACTTCAACGGTTCCCAGGTTGTTCAGAGTTGCCATGCCATGCCATGCCATGCCATGCCATGCACGGTCACTACCTTGAGGTGATCGATTCCATCTGCATCTCCAAACCACATGCAACAATGTTTGGCGGCCACTGCCTCCCAAGCTCTCGCCCTTTGTGCAGCCGCTTGCTACTTCTGATCGAGACTGGCGGCGCCACCCGAAACACAGCAAAGACCCCCGTTTGTGCATTCACCATCACATCATAGTAACGTGTCGATGCAGAGCCGCGCCCGCGCTACTGGCTGCCGTGAGGGTGTCGAAGCGCTGATTCAAAGAGATGAAACACTGGACCGCTGATTAGCAAGTCATTTCACCCCATCACGATTGCTGGAGCCCGCTAGATCTAGGCCACCTCGATGGCATTGATGAAACAAGGAGTCGGCTCTCCTGCCCGCAACATTCCCTGGGCTCGTGGTATGCAGGCGCCGTGCACCGACTCGTGTGCACTTGCTTTTGTTCACTTGGGGCCCGGGCGGCGCAATACGATGTCATGACCTCAGCCGTGTAGGTGTTGTTTACTCTGGTGGTCCGCAGCACTTTATTTAACCCACGGAGCCCTCTGGTGCAAAGGCACCCCGTTGCATCCTCAACAAACCCCCCCTCAGTCACGAGTCATCATATTACGTGCGCGTTACTGAGAGCACCCAGAGGTATTGTGCGCTCTGGTGTTGCTGTGCCTTCCTCACACGTCACCATCAGCATTGTTTACAAAGGGACCCTTGTTGCCGCAGCCTCTAGCCTTGCAGCCCTGGAGACCAGCCAGCCTCGCAACCGGGCAACTCCCGCTCTGCCCCTCCCAGACCCCACGCGACACTGCTTGCTCTTTTGTTGATCTCCGCTCTTCTGCACCACCGCCTCCTTCCCGCCTGCCTGTCTGCCGCGCCGACTTTTCGCATCGTCCTCGCCGCTGCTCTCTGCCTTTCCAAAACCCACACTCGTTCCCTTGGCCAGCGCTTCCGCACGCCCTTCCCTGGGAGTCACCAGCACGCTGCAGCTCGCGTCGCCCTCGCACACCCGAACGAACCGTGCCCAACATGTCGTTCAACATTGACATGTCCCGCCGCAACAAGGAGCCCCGGCCGCTCAAGGACAGCGAACGCGCTCGGCTCGAGGAGTTTATCGACTCGATCCACTACTCTGCGAGATACTCGGACGATGAGTTTGAGTACCGCCACGTCCAACTGCCCAAGACAATGCTCAAGGCCATCCCCAAGGATTACCACGACAGTTCAAAAGGCACACTGAAGCTGCTTTGGGAAGACGAGTGGAGGGCAATCGGCATCACCCAGGTATGAAGACCCCGGCCACTCTGTGCATGATTTCGACTAACCTCCCCTCCCCTTGTGACAGAGTCTCGGATGGGAACACTACGAGGTACACGAACCGGAGCCGCACATCCTCCTTTTCAAGTATGTGGCAGTCACTCAGCCGGCCCAGGGCACCAGGGCCACAGGGCTTTCCTCTGGCAGCGCCAGCTAACCATTCCCAGGCGTCCTCTGAACTACCAGCCCCCCCAGTGAGCGCGCTCACCGCCATGAGAAGACGACTTGATATTCTCCCATTCGAGCGCACCAAGGTCTTCCGACAGACCTCACCACAGACCTGTATTTTATCACACTGCATAGCGAATTTGACGTATTTAATGATGGCGTCGACCATGCGACCGCCGCAACTTGTTCCCGGGAATCAAGTAAACCACAGAAGGACTCGAACCGGCATTGATTGATCGCTTCGTAGGCAGAGGAACCACGGGCTAAAAGCTGTTGCTTGCACCACTCTTCCGCTGCTCCACGCCAACCCGACTGCCTACCTAGGTAGTCAGCGCAGTTGTCGTCCTCGGTTGGTGGTCAGCCACACTGTGCGCATGCTACATGCATGCGCGGTCCTCCAAGCCGCGGAGAGGGTTCGAGAGCGAGTAAGAGACGGAATGGGACGAGAGTCGTGTGACGGCAGTTGCAAGGAATCTGAACCTAGCAGCGCAATCAGTCTGTATATAGTGATAATGGGCAATTTTATCTTATGCGGGCCTGGCGAGATCCTATCTTGAGCTTGGCATGATTCGGCTGAGATGATTGTGTGCTGTTTTTGTTTCTTGCTGGCAATTTTGAAGGTAAGCACGGTAGTCCGCACCGCTCGGCTGTTGGATTGCTCGTGTTAAGCTTCCAGTCCCCCGTGCAGGCACCAGAGATACCAGTTCTTGCTTGTGAAACAGCGCGGCTTCCGTCTCGATGTGCTCAAGTATCCAGTGATACTGCGTGAAACATGATGCACCATGCTGGCGAGTCGGTGGAATCTATTCCAGGGGTGGCCAGATGGGTCTGCCACGTGGGTGGAGGTGGTGGTGTTCAGCCGGCTCACCGGGCTGCAATGTCTTCAAGTTTCCGCGAAACTGACTAATAAAAGGATTACCACCTCAATCAAGACAGCGAAACCCACCCTCTGAACGGCTACTGCCGGTGGTGGAGGTGGTGGCACATCAGCGGCGCCCAGTCGCCACTTGTAGCGTGCGGAGGAGCCGAAAAGAACACGTTCCATCGAGCGGGTGAGCAGGGTGTCGTACGAGGCACCATACCATGCCACTATGAGTCCGTCACAGCAGCAGGACAACTTGCAGACTTTGGGTCGCTGGCCAGCTGCTAGCTCTCAGAACTATATAACTGTCCCCGTCGCAGAGTCTACGATGGGATTTTCGAGCTACCATCAACCGCTCAAAACCAGCAGGAAATACAGTGCACCTGGGCAGCTGCATAAGCGGACGCTAAAGACGTGTCTCGAGCAAGCAGGTTCAGTGCCAGCGAGGTTACACGTCCCGATTTAGCGACGGCCCACTGTGACAGTTCGCAGGTTCTCGAACCCTGACTTGACGCTAGGGGCGGCGCGGCTGGTGGCGTTGCATGGAAGGTGCGGAACACTGCTGGCCTCATGCACCCTGTCTGTAACAAGCTTGTGTCCTCCTTCCCAAAACTGTTCCCTACTTTTCCTATTCGACCTTCTTCCGTCCTCCGACACACACCTGGGCACTCTCGACGATACCACTCGACAGGACCTGCAGTCTCGCCAACCCCCCAGCGGATCCTTCCTCTTACGGACACCTTCCGTCTGTCCTTGGCTGACACCTAACGCCCAAGTGACTTGCCTCGGCCCCCCTGCTCCGTCCTTCTAGGATCTCTTGCCGACCTGACAAATCCGCCCAGCTTGTTTGCAAAGGCCACGATTACACCCCCCGGCGTCGACGCCCTGCGTCATAAGACGAACCACCCTCCCCGCGCTGGAGCTACATTCTGTCCTTACACCATGAAGGGCGCGGCGCACCTCTTCTACCTCAGCCTCTTTGCTCTCTGGGGCCAGCAGCCTGTCCATTGTCAGAGCCACGCTCACGATGAGGCCTGCGCAGTATGTCGCCCTTCGCCTTACTTCTCGCTCTTTGTTACACCCTGACCTGTGCCGCTGCCACGACTTCTCCACCCGTTGTCGACACGGCCGCCACTGCCCAGCAATGTGACCATCCTAATCAGACATTCTCTCAGATCTCTCCGAAAGCCATCGTTTCGGACGCATGCGCCTCGTACTCGACCCTCGAGAAGCTCAACCGCAGGGTCAAGCCTGCCGTCGATGACCTGACCAAGAACACCGACTTTTTCGCATATTACCGCCTCAACCTCTTCAACAAAAAATGTCCATTCTGGAACGATGAGAATGGCATGTGCGGCAACATTGCCTGCGCCGTGCAGACTCTGGAGAATGAGGAGGACATCCCGGAGACCTGGAGAGCCAGCGAGCTGGGCAAGCTGAAGGGCCCGCACGCTGAACATCCTGGCAAGAAGGCCCAGGAGGAGAAACCGTTCCGACCGCTGCAGGGTCGTCTTGGCGAGAACGTCGGCGAGTCTTGCATTTTCGAGTGCGACGACGAGTGCGACGAGCGTGACTACTGTGTGCCCGAGGACGAGAGCGCCAGCGCCAAGGGGGACTATGTCAGCCTGGTACACAACCCAGAGCGCTTCACAGGCTACGGTGGCGAGGGCGCCAAGATGGTCTGGGACGCCATTTATAGGGAAAACTGCTTCATGAAGTCTTCATTCCCACACGCCTCAAAGCTGGGTGCGCAGTCGCTCCCGAATGGTCCGGCTGCGTTCGACTTCCGGCAAGTCCTCAAGGATGCAGATCGCAAGCAACTGGTGGAGCAGCACTTGCAGAACCCCGACCTGACACTGACCGAGACCGCTATGGAGACGGAGGACGAGTGCCTTGAGAAGCGGGTTTTCTATCGTGTCATCTCTGGTATGCACGCCAGCATCAGCACCCACCTCTGCTATGACTTCCTCAACCAGTCCACTGGCGAATGGCAGCCAAACGTCCAGTGCTATATTGATCGACTGCACACGCATCCTGAGCGCATCTCCAACTTGTATTTCAACTACGCTCTCGTCACTCGCGCAATCGCGAAGCTTGGGCCTCAGCTTTCCTCCTACACATTTTGCACCGGCGATCCGGATCAGGACGCGGCTACCAAGGCCAACGTCCTGGCTGTCACCCAGGGAGCCGCTTCTGTCCCCGAGATTTTTGACGAAAGCCTGATGTTCAAGAATGGGGAGGGCCCGTCGCTGAAAGAAGACTTCAGAAATCGCTTCCGCAATGTGAGCCGCATCATGGATTGTGTCGGCTGCGACAAATGCCGCCTTTGGGGGAAGATTCAGACCAACGGATATGGAACAGCGCTCAAAGTGTTGTTCGAGTTCGACAATGACAGCAAAGAGATTCCGCAGCTGAAGCGTACAGAGCTCGTTGCTCTTTTCAATACTTACGGTCGCCTCAGTCATTCCATGGAAGCCCTGAGCAAGTTCAGAGACTTGGTTGATATGCCAGCTGAATCGCAGACCCAGACCAAACCTGTCAGCGATGAGACGAACGTTGCAGAGCCGTTGGCTGAGACAAAGCCAGATGGCGAGGCTCCCGTTCAGGAAGATTGGGAGGAGAGGCAGGAGGAACATCCGCGCCGGCCAAAGACGGACGACGAATCGTCTCACAATGACGCCACCGAGGAGCTTGAGCGAATCATGAAGGTCCTCAAGTTTATCTTCAAGGGCTGGTTCAACGCTCCAAAGACATTGTGAGTGCTAACCACAACGGCCATCGGCCACTAACTGTGCGACAACTTGACTAACTTGAACACAGCTGGTACATAATATCGACCGAATTTCGGCGTTTCGGCCAGGGCTTCCTCGGCCTACCTGTCTCTCCAAGGAGCTGGAAATGGGGCCTCGACCGCGAGGCCTTTGAAGATCTGTGAGGGCGGGACCCAGTCAAGAACTACTGTGTTAAGAGCGAAGCGATGCGATAAAATTCTCCTTCTCGCAAGCATGGCAGGACATGAAAGTACTGCGTGGCGTTTTATGATCACCATGGGAACAATAAACATTTTCGGGCGTTTTGGAGAAATAACAAATTGAGGCAAAAGATTGCCAGAAGATGCTTGTTTATAGGAGGAATGAGACGAAAAGAGGAGTATGTTCATAGAAGTCTCCTGGTCTCTTTATAGAAACGAACCAAGCACATTACTTTTCCAGGCACGATTTGGATCTGGTTGGATATAAGTTTTTTCAGACTATATCCACCAGCTCTGATGACATTACTTTCACGGGCCGAGTGCCATCCCTTGTCTTGCCACTTCGGCTCTGAGTCACACACAACCATGCGGCAAGGCTGCGTGATCCAATACAGGCCATGATTACAGCGGTATGCTGGTAATGACATTTCCAACCTTGAGCTTGATGGCGTCAATGTCAAAGGTCATTCGCCTGAGCCTCGCTGCGTGACTGCCCTGAGATCCTGCGGCTGAACTCAAAGGTGGTGGGAGAGAGGACGTGTGGTGGTGGTGGTTGTTTTGGGGATCACCCTCGGCTGCTGCTGCTGCTGTTGCTGCCTTGTTGCTGTCGTCGAGCGGAGGCAGTAGACCAGCTGCGGCCTCCTCCGCGGTGACAGCTCTGATCCGAGGCGTCGGGATGGCGGGCGACCATGCTATGGAGACGTGGAAGGCGTCACGAACTGCCGCCTTGCTGGCTGGCGTTGTTGATGGTGGCCCTCCCCTTCCTTCTCCTCCTCCTCCTCTACCTGCGGGGTTCGTTGCGTAGAGAGCCGGCTGGCCAAACTCCGCAGCCAGGGCGTTGAATTGGCCCAGGAGGGCTTGGAGCTCTGGGTTTGTAGTCGTTGGCCCCCAAGCAGCTGGTGTCTGATCTTGCCCTGCTGCGTCGTCGTCGTCGTCGTCCCCCTTGGGTAGTACTTTGTCCTCCGGGGACTGTGCCGGGCGCGGGCGCGTGGTGGCGCTGGCGACCTTGAGGACGAGAAACGACCGCTCGCTCTCGCGCGTGCGGTGCCAGTACACGCCGAGCACGTGAAGCCGGAAGGGCCCGGCTATGCCGCTGCGGGCGACGGCTTCGCGGGCGCCGTCGAGGAAGGCGTCCTTCTGCGCGGTCTGCAGCGCGAGGGGGCGGGAGAGGCTGATGTGGAGTGGCTGGGGGGCGCCCAGGTCTGAGCTGAGAAAGGAGTAGACGGGTACTGCGCCCGTGCTGGCGGTGTTGCTGTCGGAGGCGGCGGCGGCTGTGGCAAGCCGCCTGGTGATGCGGGCTACGAGGCCATCGAGCAGGGCACGGTCCGAGTCTGTGGGCCGGACGTCGATGTAGAGATGGGATGGCCAGTTGCCGACCTTGTGGGGGTTTACACGCTTGCGGCCCTGGTGCAAGGAGGGGTCGTCGACGGTGCTGACGCGCACAGTCGAGGCGTAGAGGTCGTGGAAGGCGGCCGGCAGTGGTGGTGGTGGTGGGGGAGGCTTGGTTCTGGCGGTGACTGCCGAGGAGGAAGAGGCACTTGTCCTGCGCCTCTTTGCGGGTGTGGACGAGGCCGAGTCTGAGTCTGAGCCTGAAGAGTAATCGACCAGGCCCATGGCTCAGTCGTGGCGGCCGGTCAGAGGTCAAAGTAACGTGGTGGTTGTCCAGGGAGTCGGGCAAGTCTGGTGGTGCAGCCTCCGTCTGATTTGATGGTGCACGGGGCCTGTCTTTGTTTGGGACAGGGCCCCATCCTTAGGGCTGAGACACGAGACAGCGGCGCTGCGGCTCCGCACCATCCCATCCCTTTGCCGCTCAAGCAGATTGATGGCCGTGCTCAGGCCCCGGGGACTAGTGAGATGAGATGATGTGTCGCTGCCATATTAGAGGTGGCCGTGCAGGCTTCTGTCAGCTCACTGGGTGCTTCGATCACTTCCAACGGGCGCCCATCCGGGCCATTCTCGACGACTAGTCAGGTCGCCGCCAGGGATAGTTGCGTGACCAGGCACGTGGGATCGTTTCGGAACTGATCAGACGTTGCCATTGACTCGAACAGTCATCTCTAGGAGATCACTGCAGACCCGATGCTCTGGTCTGGTCTGGTATGTTGTGCATGCCGTCTGGTGAGGGTGACGCGTGGTGGGCTGCGTTGCCGGCAGATGCGGCTCTGCAGGGTCTCGTCTTCCCCCACCGCATGACGCAACGGCCCCAAAGAGCCGCGCTGGGCACCACACCACCGCTGTCTTACATCATCCGCACCGGGGGCCAAGCGCTCTTTACGCGTGGCCCGCCGTGCATGACGTACCGCCCTCCAGGGCCCTCGAGCTCTGCTAAGTACGCTACGTACCTCATGGTACCTTACGGTATGTCCTGCTGCTCCTGCTGATCAGCAGCCCAAATGATGCAGGCAGGGTCTTCCTGCACCCGTCCCTTCAGGCCCTGCCTGCCTGCCTACCTGCCCGGCTGCCCAACCAAGCCAAGATAAACGAGCTGGCCCAGTCTCGGCTGCCTGCGTCACCCTTGGGTCTTTCATCCGATCCTCCCGATCGTCCCTTCCTGTTTCTCTGCCTGCCCTTTATCCTCTCAAAAGGACGCTCCAGCCCGGCAGCCGCTCATCTTCTCCCTTCTCAACCTCCTTGGAAGCCACACCCTCTTGCATCGTGATTTGGAAGCACCAGACCTCAACGCAGCACAGGCTCCGTCTTACCACAACACAGCCATGTCCACAACACAGACAATGGCGCCCGCCAGGCCCCTCGAGCAGATAAAGCGCGAGACCAAGGCTGCCAACCGCGCGCCCCATCTCCGCAAACAAAACTTCACCGGCACAGACCAGATTGACATGCTCGACGATGTCGGCATCGGCGGCGCTTACCACCACGACGGGCCCTACGACGCCACTCTGGCCTCCCGCAACCGCGACAAGCGCTACGCCCCGGTAGAGGCCGTCAAGGAGACAAACATGGCCGCCCTCCGCGCCACCCCGCGCGAGCGCATCCAGGACTCTCTAAAACACCATGTGCCCCTCTCGGGCACCGCAGAGGTGCCCCCCGGCATGACCGACCGTTTCGGCCGCGTGCTCGACTTTGAGGAGGGCGACGACCTTATGCGGGACTCAGACGCCCCAGGCGGGCCCTACGCGCGCTACGAGCACGTGGTAAGCCGGTCCTTGGGATCCTGATCTGTCGGTATACACTTAAACTAACGAATCCCTGTGGCAGCCGTACCACCCAGAGGATCTCAAGGGCAAGGGAGAGCCATCCTTCACCATCGAGCGGGATCGGAAAGCCCGCAAGCATGCCAAGTCAAAGTCCATGGGCTCAGCCAACGGCACCAATGTCTACGAGATGCAGCCCCAGGCGGGCAGGGCATCCGCCTCCGGCAGGGAGCAGCACCCCGGCGAGGTCGGTAGGGGCGCTAAGAACGGCACCACCCCCATCACTCGGCAGCGCAGCAGCTCCTCGGGCGCCTTTCCATCAAACTCTCGCAGCTCGCCACTCGGTGCAAGTGGTAGTGGCGACCTTTCCCGCAGGGCGTCGACTAGCAAGCGGCTCAGCGGCGGGCTCAAGCGGACATTTGGCAGTCTGCGCAGGCGACACCATGCAGAGTAAAGGCGTGGTGGCCCGTCGGTTGGTTGGGATATTGCGGTGGTGGTTTTATGCGACAGACGATAGTCGCTAGCGAGAGCTCAGAGCGCGTGCTTGCAGATTTTGTTATGTTTCTTTCTTTTTCTCCCACGAGCCATGGACCGAGTGCAAGTCCCAATGCGGAGAGACTTCAGTGCCAAATTGAACAGGCACTTTCAATCATGCAGTCAGTAGCCCAAGAGATACCATGATACTTCATCTCCAAGGATCTGCAAACAGCGCGCACACGTCCAGCATCATCACAAGCAAGAGAATGAATGAATGACCCGACACAAATGATAAGTCTCAATATCGTCTATAATGAACATCCACTTCCCCGGAACTTCTAAATTCAAAGTAGCCATAAAACCCCCGCGCGCGCTTTTCCACAACATCACAACGCTCAGAGATACCCCAGCCCAGCACCGCCCAGAACCTCTCTCAGCACCTCCCTGACCTCGTCCACGCCGCCGCCGAACCCGACACGGCCCGCAATCTCGGCCCGACGCCCAGCCCCAAGCTCATTCCATCGCCCCAGCATGCCCGAGGGGGAGACATCCACGATGCTCCGCCCCACGCTCGCGTCGACCGCCGGGGTGGACACTTTGCCCACCACCCCTCCAGGGTTCGCGGGGTTGCGGTACTCCTTGGGGTTCAGGCCGCAGTAGAGCGGGAGAGAGGAGGCCAGCTGCGTCGAGAGGAATGACAGGCGGCGGTATTGCGGCTCCGAGAGGGCCGCGAGAGTCGACAGGACTCCGGTCGGGGACGAGAAGAGGATGACTGATGGCGGCGGCGGCGGCGGGATGGTGCCGTTGGTGGACGGGAGGGTCTGGGACTGCAGTTGCAGCAGGTAGTCCGACGTTGCCGGCAGCGTGCGTGGGAGGAGCCTGCTCCGTGTGGGCGGGTGCGCGCCAGCGGAGAAGGTCGTGCGGTGGAGGAGGAGATGGCCCTGCAGGGACTTGGGATCTGTTTGATGGCGACGGGCATCCGCACTCGTTAGTGACTTGTACTTTGTTTGGTTGCGGGACATGGGAGTTTAGGGTAGAATGGTATCAACTCACGTTCGGGATCAAACTGCAGGACGTGGACACCACCGTCCGAATCACACGCCACAATGAAGAGCTCGTCGCCGTCAGGCAGGAAGTCGACCGTCAGCACCTCGAGTATCGTCGCGCTCTTACCGAACAGAATCATCTTGTACGGCTCTTCGGTGTACCCCGTGAACCAGACACCCTTGACAGCGTCGGCCATCAGGCACAAGCCCGTACCCTTGAGCTCGCGCACCGCCGTGACATAGCAGCTCATATCCATGAATGCCACGGGCAGCAGCGACCCGTCCTCCTTGAGGCCACGCACCATGCACTTCTGCCCTTGAGCCACGAGCATGAGACCCTGTGTGCCGATCTCGGACAGCGCAGTCACAGCGCCGCGTGGAATGTCCTCCTTGGCAACGAGCTTAAGGCGCCGGTTCGTCTCGGGCCGGCCAGGCTCCGGGATCACCTCTACCACATCGTAGACTATCACCCGGCCCTTGATCGGCAGGTCCTCGCCCTTGGCCACGGCCGTGCCGACAACGAGCAGGTTCTTGCGCTCATGGGTCGACTCGGAGACCTCCAAGTTGAGCGTCTCTATGCACATGACTGTCTCGCACTCCTCGAGCTCCACGGTGTCGATAACGGACCAGTTCGTGGTGCTCAGCAGCTTGATCACACCCCTGGGTACCGTGGGCTTGAACACGAGGTCCTTCTCGTTCTGCCATTCTCGGTGGTAGTCGTCCTCCTTAGGCAGCTCGAAAGGCTCGGGAATGTCGCAGCCCACTGCGAACGTCTCAGACGTTGGGTGATGCGCAATCGAGTGCACGTCCGCCTGGAGTGAGAGCTTCGTCAGAGACATGCCAATGTCGGCATAGGTGGTGTCTCCGTTTGGAATCTGCGCCACACGTGCGACACCCTTCATGTCAGCGTAGATGAAGCCATGCTCGCATCCTTCCGTGTGGAAAGCGCTCATGCCACGGATGCCACGTCCTTGGAGGCCTATGACTTTGGGCACAGACTTGGCAGTCTTCAAGATAAACCTCGGTGAATCGCCAGGGATAAAGACGGTCGTGTAGCCGGCAATGTCCTGGCAGCTGCGCATAGGCAGGTTCCTCTTTGGCTCATCGTCTTCTTCGTCCTCGAGTTGTTCTGTGACATTCGCAAAGGTAGGATTTGACAGTTTTTGGAAGTGAAGGTAATCAGACAGCTCCTTTGCGTCTTCGGATGGGACACGGAAAGCCTGATAAATCGTAATGTCCTCATTCTCTTGCCGAACCTGTGGATTGTTAGCAGGTGGAACTCCGGTACACTAGAATCATAGCTCAACTCACCAGCAAGTACGGAGAGACATAAGTTGAATCTCCCACGTCTGCCACCAGTATTTCCTTCAGGTTCTCTCTCGCTGTGCCTCGCCTGGCTGTGTAGTTGGCCGACAAAATTGGCGGGACGAACGAGAGGCCTTCGGCGATATATAGGGGTTTGCTAATGTCTGGAAGCGAGTAAACCTATATCTGGTTAGTAGTCAACTTGTGCGAAACCAACAACGACAGGCTTACATATAGAGCGCCGATTTTGCTCAGGAGAAACATGACAATGTTCTCCCCAGGCTTGAAGCCACTCTGTGGCTGTTTACTTGAGAAGACACCCTTGACATCGTCATAAAGGCATCCAGTAGCCCACTTCGTCGTGGCGAGCACACTTCCCGAGTCCTTCTCCAGTTCTTCCAGCTCTAGGTCGGAGTCGATCTCGGCAATGAAGACAGAGGCGTCCTCGCGAACGAGCATGATGAATGGATCAACGATGCTTGCGCTCTCCACGCGGGGCTCAGCCCCCGACTCCTCATCGAGCATTGGCAAAATCTGACTTAGGCCAAAGTCTACGCAGGCAGACGAATGAGTGCAATGTTCGCCGGACGAGCCTCGTCTGATGGGGAAGACTTACCTCCGTCGTACACATGGACCGCAGTCTTAAGAACCTGGATGATTCGTTGCCGCTGACCAATGGTTCCAGCCTCGATAGTAAGTCCCGCGGCAGGCTCGAACTCGGTTCCGGTTAGGGCCTCGAAGCCGGCGCCAGTCAAAGCATATACATCGGACGTCTCGTAACCGTCCAGGTCGACCTTTGACACAATCATGTACTTGTCATGCTGCGCCGCAGCATCTGCCTCTGCACCCACTATCCCAGTGCCCTTCTCTCCCTGCATCGACTTCGGCATGGGCTTGTGTGCTGAAACTGTCCAAAATCCTCTGGCCTCTGGGAAGTCAAAGCGTCCGATCACGTTTGGTTGGATCTGTCGATTGATAATGGATACGGCACCGGACGCGCCACGGCCTGTAGCACAAACAAGGCTGAGGTCACTTCGAACACCTTCAACATTCGCCTTCTCGACCTCACTGGAGGGCACCGAAGTCTGCCCAACGGTGAAGTTGCGGATGGGTGCAATACTGACGAGGCGGTCGTGTACGCGGAAATGCAGTTGCCCACTCTTCGCTCCACGCACAGCTGAGGAAGGCGTCTGTTTGGTAGTGGCTGATGATTCACCGTACAGATCATCATCATCCTCCAGATCTTCCAAGTCCACATCGTCCATATCAATGTCTTCTGCAGCCTCCAGAATCGCCCGCGCCTTTCTCTTGCCGCCTGGAAGCTGATTCCGTGCCCAGCCGATCACCAATGAATCTCCACTTTCGCTGCCTACGAACATGGCATTCTTTGCGACTCTGCTGAGTGTTGTCGCTGATGTCTGAACGATGGAGGCCCCCGCCTCGGGAGACACCATTTGTACGTGGAACCCAGCAACTGTACGGCCGTCAATCTCGAACTTGAGCAAAGCTAGCCGGCCATCAGCCAGAACTATGAGCAGTTCCCCCGTCTCTGGAGAGAGGTTTTCCAGTTCGCAGCCCTCTAAGCGCAGGTCCAAATCAGACTGGTCATTGAGACTGAAAGATGTGGATTGCTTGGCGAACGGGTTGACCCCAACCCCGTGCGTCTTGCCAGATTGGTCGATATGCACCATCTCATTTGCGCCTATCAGGAGCGCGCCTCCCACAGGCGCAGGCAGGGCAATTATGCGGAACAAGTCTTGTGGCAGACCGGTGACTGATAGGATGGTAGTGGAGGCCTTTTGCTGGAGATCCAAGGTGAATACCATGTAGATGAGATGGTCTTTGCGACCTAGCACGGCCGATGGGGCCATGGTAGAGAACAAGATACCAAAGGTGGGCTCGCGGTACTCATGGAGGAAAGTGAGATGCACAGGATGAATGAGGCTCGGGTCAAGATTTGGGAAGCGCAAGACAAACGAATTCGAAACTGGTGTCTCTTGAGTATTGCTAGCTCCATTCGCAGTGGCTGTGGCCTGCTCCTTGACCGGTCGTGGCCCATCCAATTCTTCATCCCAGTCGTCCATCTCAATGTCCTCATCCGCCGTCGCGAACTGGATGATGGCGAGCTTGCGGGGGCCGAACTTGAGAGCAGCACAGCGGCTGCTCGGGTCCGCCGTGAGGATACTGGCATAGTTGCTCAGTGGCGCCTCCCACGGGCTGCCCTGGAGGTCGTCTTGCTCGTAATAGTGAATCGAGGTGGTGTAGAGGGAGTATTTTTCCGGATCCCACCCCACCATGCTGAGTTTCGCGTCTCTGAAAGATATCAGCAGCGCCTCTCCACCCGACTTGGACTTCTGTGTCTTGATCCGTGCAAGGCCCGTCACGGTACCCGTCAATGGGTATTCGGCCACCAAAACCAGTTTTGTGTATGATGACCGGTCGGCGCGCACTGTCATCGAGTCGCCACCGAGGAAAGAGGTCTCGAGACCGTCATCGTCGGTCAGTCGGCTGTCGTATGGCGCATTGTACCGGCTCGCGGTCTGTGTCTGTGCGTCGTGCGTATTGTCGAACTCGGCCGAGACGTTCTTTGTGCTGAAGATCTGGAGGAGGGAGGCTTTTGCGACGACGAGGTTGTTGCTCTGGGGTGTGAGGAAGGGCAAGACCACAGAATGGGAGACGGCCGTCGGTGGCGTCAGCTCCGAGTAGCACTGCATGATTCCTTCGACGCTACCGAGGCATCGCCGGGAGGGGATGTTGCTGCTTGCGATTGAACTCGAGCGGCAAGCAGCTCTCGTGAAGTCGAAAGCGAAGCAATTTTAGCTGGATGTCTGCGGAACGCGCTTTAGCGCGGTTCAGAGCTCCCAAATGGTGCAGGTGCATTCGAGCTCGAGGTCGACAGGGTGGGGGCGGTTCAGGGCCGGCCCTGCAGAACTGCCAATCGGGTCCTGACATTCAAGCTGTCGCCAGGCACAAACGGCCTCCATGACTTTTCTGCTTCTGCACATGAACAAAAAGGTCGACAAGATCTACACGTCGACGGTAACAGTGTCACGACCATCATCTAAATTGAACCCGGCTGCTCCTGCAATGGGATGCCCGCTGCTAGTATCAACTGTCTCCCGTCTGTGATCAGTCGCGCGCAAGATGCCCGCTCCCTCGCACAGCCTCCCAGATCTTCTACGCCCAGGAGCCCCGGACGGCACTGCTGAGACCAGGTAGCCGGCATCTACGGCCTCTCGGGTACCATGGCTCCCTTCAACTTCTTTGACCTTCCACCAGAGTTGCGGGCCGATATTCTCGGGCACCTTGTCGTGTTGCCAGCACCCATCGACATCAACCTGTTTGGTACCGGCCCCCCAATTCCTGCGCTGGGTCTGTTTCTTGTCAGTCTCCAGATGTATCGAGAGGCATCCGAGATATTCTACATGGAGAACGAATTCATCGTTGATTCCACGACGCATCGGCTACCCCCTGAGCTGATTCGCGATGGCGGATTCCTAAGCCCGCAAGCGCAGGATACCCGCAGACGAATCCATCGATTGACAGTCGACCTGCGCCGAGTGGGTGGCATCTTTGAGAACTCTCTGGCCCCAGCCCTCAGCGATATGACGCTCTGCGGGACGCTCAGGTATCTCAAGATCCGCCTCGACCTAGTTGCACCACCGCCTGTGTCCATGCTTGGTCGTCGAGGTGGCCCTGCGACGGACAAGGCGCCTGATCTCATGACTCGCAGCCCGTGGCAAGCACTCTTTAAGCTCCTTGACGATCCAGACCTCGAGCATGTCGAGGTGTGGGCAGGGAGCGAGCACTACGCCATTTGGTGTCCGTTCCATGAGACACTTGGCGATGAGGAGAAGCAGGACTATTCGCAGCCGCCTGTCGTCGTGGCAAGAGTCAAGTCTCAGCATTGGATAAAGCTGGACTGGCGTGCTATGGTCAACACCTATGGCCGTGGTCATAAGATCCTTCGTGTTGGCGATCGCTTCCGATAGAGGCAAATCCATCTGCATGTCTCGAGAATACTTCCATGCTGGCTCTTGCGGAAGACAGTGACTTGCCAAGAGACAGCTCAGTTGCTGATCAATACAGCAGATCGGCAACAATTCTGCCACCACGAAACACTGCATATCTTGGTTTCACGTACGTAGTTCGGAACTTACTATTCCAAGCAAGATCTGCGCAACGAAACAAAATGTCTCCGCTCGCCCAGCTCAATTCGGCGGAGACTGGACCCTGCCGTCACTAAACACGATGCAACATGAAATAATTCACCATCTTGCAAGTCCTCGTTCCCCTTCGAGGCAAATGCACTCGACCACGACGCCGTTAAATTTACTCTCTTAAGCGTGACGGTGGTGATGACCACGGCCTTCCCCTTCATCACCGTCTCTAGCATAATCACTGCTGCCTACAATAGCTTCAGTCGACATTCAGAGAAGGTCCAGACAGAAGCTACTAGGATGGGAATTTGACCAGCAGAAGAGCTTTAGCATGTGATGCCGCCTAAGCAAGTGGGAAAGATAGGTAGTCACCGCGGTCTTGCCAGCACTATGGGCGTTCAGTAAATCATATATGAGCCCCCGACCATGTCGCTCGATATATCTTCATCCAAGTTCGTCCACAAGCCCAGAAACTGGCCGTTCTCATCGCGGTTTGCTTCCCGTCCCGAAAGCGTATGGTTCTTGTCGTCACGCCAATGGTCTTCTTTCGGAACTTGGCCTGCCAGCGACTCCTTCAAACTCGGTTTGTCGTCTCTGAAAGGATGCACGTCCGCATGACTGGTCCTCGCATCTACGGCCATCCTGTCATATGCGGAGTCGGAGCTCATAGAGAAGCTGTAAGAATCGCTCAAACGTCGCACTGAAGTTGACATTACTTCGGTCTTGTTCTTTGGTGATCAAGTCTCGTGGCCCAACTGCCAGGGCAATCTCCATGTCCCTTGAATTTCCCACAGTACAGTCATTCAGGGCAGCATCCGTAAAGTATCTAGCATTTCTTTAAGTCCAACCGAGCGGCACGTTTACTGGATGTTAGACTTATAGAACCGCTAAACTCATAAGCAGACAACGCGTACTATAAGGAACAATAACGTTTTCGTGGCGTCTCATATATAGGCCATGTTCTCGACTGAGTGCTATGTACCATACGGTATTGACACATTCGGGTCACGGGTGACAATCCTTGGCTTGGGCACTATGCTAGTTAACATCGTTTGACTCGTTCTCTCTTCTATCTCTCTTTGGACTTTCCTGTTCTGAAGCATTTTTCTACAGCCGTATCAGGGTCCAGCTACATGAACATCCAATTGCAGTTGCGTCAACTGGGCTCAATGGCGAGTTCTCTACTCATAGCACACAGCCTGCAAAGCGCTTGTTTGCGGGACTCAACACGTCAGAGAAACTGACCTAGCGAACCACCAAGGAATTTCGGGCCGGTGACAAACAAGACGGTCATCAAAACCCATGACCACGACTCGGATCACGCGGCGTCCTGGTGAGCATTCTCAAGGACGATTGGGCATATCATATCTGAGCGAGTAGTTTCGACTGATCGGACCCCCCCGGACGTAAGACACGTCAGATCCGTCTTCCACCACCAAGACTGGTGCTTATTTCCTTGAACCCAAAGTCCGCGCACGCGAGATGACAGCTTCGCCCGGCGCCTCCGAACGATGACTTTGTTGGCCCTTCGCCGTTGCTTTCAAATCCAGACGGAAGCCCCCCCCTGGTGTTCTCCGCCCGCGGCCACATCCTCCGGCGAATGCACTGATCGAGCTCCGCACCAAAAGTCCTGCTGCAGTGACTGCCCCAGTAGGGTACGGATAGAGCAAGCAATAATTCGAGGGGGCCTTGCGTGCATGCGTGCATGCATGCATGCATCTTACTGACCAAAAAAAAAAAGGTTCCAGCAATAGCCACCCCATCTATCTATCTCCATGTCAGAGAGCCCTCCTCACCGCTATCGAGTCCAGGCGCAGATCCAAACGTGACCCTGCCGAGGCTTGCATATCCCATTGCCGTCGCAGTGTAGTAACTCTGAGCTGCAAAACTGGAGCCCAAAGCCACAGGCAGGGTCCTTTTCAAACAGTTCGGTTGCCAGCCAGCCAGCACAGGTCTACTGAGAGAACTCGGGCCAATTACAACCCTGAGCCCCCCACGCCGCGCTGGGTTTGTGGTCGTGGGCGTCCGCCAGGTCGCGCGCCTTGTTGCACCCACCACCCTGCAGTAGCTTCTGGGTTAGTAGGGCAACAATGCCGTGCCGTTCTGCAGCCGCCTTTGTATGAGGAAGGACTGCTTGTCCATCTCTCTCTCTCTTTGCACTGCACTAATACAAAGTGTCATTGTCCCACCAAAACGTGACAGCCCGGATCTCCGGGGGCAAAGCAAGCTCTTACCATTCCGTAGGTGTATCTGTACATCACGCAGGTCCGAATCTCGTTACATCAACGCCTTAGCAACAGCGGCCGTTGCCGAACAAAGGTCCGAGAAAGCCCAGGTTTTCATGGTTCATTCATACAAGGGCATCCCCCCGAGCAGAAACGACCCATCGTGGCTTGCTCCCCCTTTTCTGCACTGTCTGGTCAGTTCGATACGCGCACCAATGACCTTGCGACTCAAGCTGCTCTTCCTCTTGTAAGAAGGCAGTGTTGGTCATACGATGCCAGACTGGCCTGGTTCCTACTGCATTGTCATTACTGCAAAGAATTTTGGTTTCGACACGGCAAATAAAGAAGCTACATCCGTGGGGAATGAATACGCGCAGTGGTTTCTTGGCGCTCAAAAGACATGGACCGAGATCAGCATATGTTGGGGCATGGATAGACACGAAAAACGCGGGCAACATGTTCTTTGATTGTTCAGCTGATTGGGTACTATCCTATGCCGTGTTGTAATTACAGCGCGCCACATGCGGCTATTGCTGTTGTGGGCTTGTCTCGCTGATCTTATGTGAACCCCACGCTTACTTGGCCCCTTGGTCGTCCGGTGGTGGTGGTGGGCGCGGGCAGCAGCAGAACTTTGGGCGTACTGGCTGGCCTCCCCTACTGTAAAGTGTGGTCCTTGGGGGTGTTCCAGGCGGCGGGTGACCCAAGCTTTTTTGCTTTGTGAAACCCCGAACCGACCGTCAAGCTTCAGTGCATCACCGTCCCCCGCCAGAGCCCTGTCCCCTCCCCCCACACGTTGCAGCCAAGCACTGGGATCGTCATTGGCAGGAGAGAAGGACACCGCTTGCCGTGCTTTTGCAGATAGTCTGGGATTCCCAAACCACCCGTCGTTCCAGGGCATTTTTCTTCTTTTTCTTTTGGTGTTCTGTTGTGGGGGGACGCCACCCTCGCTCTTTCGGCGCTTCTGAGCTCTTCTCAGTGGGAACGCCGAAAACCTGGTGTGGGCTTGGCCGTAGACCAAAGGGTGTTTGTTGCTCGGTGTTATTATCTGACGCTGGAGTGGGTTTCTCTCTTCTCATGATGGTCTCCCCCGCCATGGCATACACGCGATGACGTTGGCGCACTCCGTGCATACACCGACGTTCCCCCTCTGTTTTTTGTGTGGTTTGATTTTCGTGTCATCCCCCGTAACATAGAATGAAGGGGAGGAAAGGAAAAACGTGTGTGCAGACTAGAGTGAGAGAGAGGACGAAAGACTACTGAAGGAGAATAATGCCGTTGATGTTGATGTCGACGAGGTGGTGAGAAGTGGGGGGAAGGGTGCCTCATTCGGTGACGGCGACCTCGTGAAAGTCGTCCTTGTGCTCGTCAACGTGCTCGCCCCAGTGAACAGGGCCCAGCTTGAGAATCTTCATGCTGCCGGCGCTGCTCAGGCTCGAGCTGCGGCGCGCCATGGAGGTCGCGGGCTTGATGCTTTGCGAGGACGGGTACGAGTTGGACACGGCGGGCGCCAGGGACAGGAAGGTCCTGGGCATGGGCTCGATCTGGCGGAAGCCGTGGTCGTTCTCGGCAGACATTGTTGATGATGGGAGTGGAAGTTTTGCGTGTGTGTGTGTGTGTGGACGACGGGTTGTTGGGGATTGAAGATAGATGAATCTCTACTCAAGGGGAAGGACGGATCTTGCAAGATGAAAGTGATGTTTGTTCTTTCCTCCTTCGCTCTTTCCTATTCCACAACACGGGGGGACAATGGAAACCTTTATACACTACATGGCATTTCACTGACTAGCCCCGAGTGCCATTGGTAAGCGTTCTGGCAACATCACCCCTAGGGGTGAGATGGCGCGCACGCAGATAACCGAGGGCCCAGAGAGGAACATCTGGTGTTGCATCTATCTCTCTCTCTCGCTCTCTGTGGCGCGGGCGGGCGGACACTCCCATAGAAAACCCACACCTGATCCATCCATGCGTCAGGGTGGCCTTGCCTTGCTTCGGCTCACGCCCCCCGGAGGGGCGGAAGCTGCTGTCCCCGCTAACTGGCAAGTTCGACGGAAACAAAGAAAAAAAGAGCCCCAGGGGCATGTGACGAGACACGACACCTTCTCCCGCCGCTGCCGTGCGCCCAGGTGTCGAGGAACTAATGCGCCTTGCACATCGCAAGGTGCCCGCGGCCCACCTTGCTTCCTTTCTGACACGCCAAGGGGAGGGAGGGGACCCGGCTGCCTGCCTGCCTCGAGCTGGGTGTACCCGCCATAGGCGCGCGGTGGAACGTCTTCGCACAGTTTGACCTCTCTGCGAGACGTGTTTTGAACAGCACGGCCCTCGCAGGTTATTCTTAGCATTTCTGGGATGTGAATCCCGGAGTCTTCTTTTTCTTGGGCTTGTTTTGAGTCTGTAGCCGTCTGAGGCTCTCGTTGAGATCGCCATGTATCCGTGAATAGCCCAGACGTGTCCTGTCGCGCCAGGCCAAATGGCGTGTTCCACCAGCAAAAGGATCGAACACGTGGGGGCACAATTGGTGCCAGACGGCCAGGCAGCATGTGGTGGGCAGCCAAGCGGATGGAAAGAAGGTGGCAGCCACTTTGATATCAGAGCTCCTTGGAGGATGTCTGTGCAGCCATGTCCCTCGAGCTCGCTGCTGTACAACGTCAAGCCCACGCCCGTTCTTGAATGTTAGGGACGTTGCTCCCGCACAGAGCGACGGCGCGGGCCAGCCTCGCGTGTGTGTACAACAGAAGCGGTCAGTACCCACTTACCAACCCCAGAGGGAACGCGACATGCTGACCCCGCCGAGACAGCAATGTTGAATATGCTCCCAGCAACCTCACGAGAACAGACATCAGGAGACGACGTCGCCCTGTGGAGACCATCGACACGTGCCACGCCTGCTTCATCGAGCAGCCACCTTGTCAAGTCCCGGTGGCTTCCCGATTTCCCCAGATTGCGAGATCTTGGGGGCTCCAGCGCCAGGCGTTGCCGAACGCCCGCTGCGCAACCCTATTGGCCACACCCTGGCAGCACTACGGGAGAGCCCGGAGCGGCTTCCCATCAGACGGGACCGCGAAAATCTGGGGTAAACCCGGCCCGCTGGTTCCTGTTTCCTGTTGACCCGAGCTAATGGTTATCCGGGGGCGGTCTTGGCTTGCTGGTGGGCTCTGGAGACGGACTTTTCTGCCTCGACGGTGGCTGCGCTGTCCGGGGGGCGGGGATCGCTCGCCATATATATGGCTCAGATGTTGCCCTTCTTGCCAGCCAAATCCCCAGTCGTTGTACCGTGTAGCTTTTGCCCCCTTTTCTGGATAGCTACCATGGATATTGGCGCGGTCGTTTGGCGTAGCGACCAACAGACGACCGTACTTTCGGAGTGTTGGTCAGAGGTTGCTCACTAGAAGAGAACACTGTCGAGTTTGTGCTGGTTGAGCTCAAGGGATATCGTCACAAGGCAGTCGGATCGCGTGCCTATTTTGCGAGGCCTTTCAAATGTCGGGTGAACTGGCCAAGCCCAGTATGCCTGACATCTGGTGATATTGCCTTGGGCAATGCGTCCAGTCAGAGTGTGTCCACCCAAATTTCCGTCGTGGTAGGCAATGTGTAACTCCGAGCACAGTCAGGCAGGAACGCAATATGACTTCGAGGACCAATAGTCACGCTGCCGGACGGCCTTCGGTAGATGACGGAAGACCTCGATCTGCAGAAGCTTCTTGCGCGATGGTCAAGTGCACAATCGCACCCTATGGCTGTCCACATACAAAGTGCAAAACAGAGCCTCTCTGAGCTGGAGATGCTGAATCTGCAGTGGCCCAGGCATTTCAGCGTCTGAGAAGGCCCTAAGAAGCGCATGTCGCGCGTCGTCCACTCAACCGTGTCGGTCCGTCGCTCCGCGAACTGGAAGGATACCACGATTGTTGCCTGGCAGGGTGAGGCCACACGCTGTGTAACGATGGGCGCGGAGGTCGTATGCTCGTCACGGGAATCAGCACTCGTAACCCATAACTAATCTGCACTGATGATTAACTTACACTATCGAAATCGGCTTTGTAACCTTCCTACAGGATCTAATGTCGTTTCTGAGGTTGAAGGCTGACGGAGTTCGGGCTATCCAGGAGCAGTCGATCCAGAGTGGATTATGTACCAAAGCTTGAAGAACTCGCGCGAGTCTCACTGAATTCGATCGATTGATGCGGCATTGTAAATCGGCGCCTGGATAGCCTTTAGATGAGCATCAGATCGCCTGCGTAACGCGAGACTCTTCCACGCAAGCCGCGTTCCCTGGCTAAAGGCAGCGATCCAGCCACAGTGCATGCGGCCAAAACGCGGATGCAGATGCATGAAAGGCCAGGGTAAGCCGTCACACAGCAGAGCCAAGTACAAATTTCTGTAGTCGGTGCTCAACCCGGACGGCGTCCAAGAAACCCTTTGTGTGTGCAACCAGTCCAAGTAGAGAGGTCTTGGGAAGCACGAGGGCTTTCGTGCCCGGTGTCGTCAGCGCCGCTGCAGACTTGCCGCAAGGCTGTGGCAATATCGAGTGCACTTTGGCTCTGATTGTCATGGATGGTGATTTGTTGACAAGCTGAACGGATGCCGGGTCGACCGGTCCAGAATGTGGACCATACTCGTATGTAGGGGCGCTTCACACTGCCCAATTGCGGTCGCAGAGCTTGATCATAATGTTCTTTGTATAGCATGTTGACTTGGCTTTCCGCTCCAGGCAAGTGCTTGAGCACCCGCTTGTCCGTCGCCTGGCTGGCATGACATGGCATGGTATGGCAAATGGTGTGTCAAGCCCTGGCTGACAGCGTGCTCGCTGGCTGGATCATACTTTCGAGACGTGCGAAGCACGAGCAAGTAAGAGCGGTGAAAAGGACCGTCACAGGTTGTCACCGGTTGTAGCAAGCGTGCTCGTGCAAGGAAGGACCTGAACACCACCTCGCCGGAGGCAGACCGCACCAACGTCCGAAGCCGCAGCGCTTGCGGTGCTGGGGCCAGTCGTATGATTGGCGGCCAACAACTTCTGATTCAATCACCTTGCATGACAGCACACTCGCTGGACTCAAGAGTGACCGGTTTGGCTTGAGGAGCTCTCGCTGATATAGAAACCCGGTGTGATTCGGAGCAAGACTCGATAATTCCGGTGTGCTCGAGCAGCTTTCCGACCAGGCCGCCCTCACATGACATGGTGGGAGAGTGCTACCCATAGAGCGCCTCTTCCTGAGTCAAGAGTCATGGTCTTTTCCTCCAAAGCGCAGTCGATACACAATTTCTTGCGGCATGAGGCGCAACCCAGAGCATTTCACATGACCATGTGCAAACCTTGCCCATGGACATGCTTCTACTCGTGTCCCACTAAAGCGGGCAGGAGCATTCATGAACGCACTACATTATGCATCTGTTGATGCAAAGAACCAATGGGCAGTCGCCCGGAAGCTCACGAGGTGCTAGCCATCTTGAGCGATGTTAATTGACACTCCCGACCCGGTGAGTCTCTATGATCTTAGCAAGTGACGATTGTGACATATGGATAGCGGCCTCGACATCTTGAAGACTCAGGTTTCTCCATCGTCTGCAACAGTCCCACAAGAGTGTTACACTCCAAAAGGAGAGATCAGGCCTGCATAAGTGGCCGCATCGGCAGTTGTCGATGTGCTTGTGCAGCTCGTCGCAGAACACCATAAAAATGGCCATTTACGACTTCTTCCTGACGCTTTGTCAGATACTGCGCCTGCCAAGGACATCACGCACTCTACTGGGGGAAAGTGCACCGAGTCACAGCAGGGAGCCATACACACCGATAGCACCCATCAGCCACGTCGTACCCATGACCATCTCAACGGACAAAGTTGGGGACTCTTTGGGCGACATGGCGCCCTTGAGTGGGCAATGCTACGCTGGGCTGAGAACGCAGTCTCCGTGCTTGGTACTGGCATAGAACCCTGGCTGCCAGAAAACCAGGATTGCGGCCACCCTCAGGCCCTCTACATGATCGTATTCGATTCGACGCGGAGATGACCGACACTCGCGCTTATCCATGTCTGAAAACCGGCAAGCATCTGTGTTCATGTAATATTTATCAGTGCCGAATAGTCATATGAGGCATGTGAGGTGTGCATGGGCTTGTCGCTGATCGTTTTAGTAGGTGTCTGGCGTGTGTTGGCGCTGCGAACCTTTCTAGAATAGGTGGTGTGCCACAAATTAGAATGAGAGGAGTTCTGGCACGTCGTGACGACCAGGATGATCGAAGAATGCAGGGCTTGTCACGCAGTTCGGCCCTTGTCGCAGGCCACGAACCCAGGCGGCGGTGCTAGTCCTCAACTTCAAAAACGACGAAAATCACACGCGGAAAAATGTTACCCTCGGGCTTGGTGGGACAGGCGATGGCAGCAAATCGGGGGATCAGGAGCTGAGCTGAGGGTCGAAGTACTGTATCGATTCACCAAGTGCCAGAACTCAAGGCCGCGTTGTCATTCCCATGTAGACCTCGACTGGATCCGATGTATCATCGTGTTGAGCCAGCGACGGTGGTGAAGACAGAAAGAGGACGCTCACATGGCCTTGGCACGCCCACTCGCACATCAGCAACGTGTGGTCCTTCATGGCTGCTTGATTGCGGGATAGCAGACACTTCCGGGACTCAGGGTCACCGTGGCGGCTCCCGGTGATCAGGTGGCCAGCTTTGTGTAGAGAGGTGTAGACATCGCCAGGGGCCGCCCGCAACCACTTCGACAATGATGCTGGTACGACAGGCGGGCCGGCCTTCATCATGGGTGCCCATGTGCTGGTGGAAGCGTTCGAAGGTTCTTTGGCGAGGGAGGGCACCTGGACTCCTGCGAGACCTTGTCGTGCGGCGGATGGGCACCACGGCGAGAACAGGTGACCGCTCGAACCAGACTGGGGGGACCATACACCATCCTGGGCGGGCTTCCAGGGCTGGCAGCCGTGGATGGCGAGAACCAACAAGTCGGGTTGGCTCCAAGCAGGCCATCTCGACCCTGCGGACTTGAGTGGCCAGCATCCTTGTGGGCAGCCCTCTGTTTGCTGGGAAGGCACGACCTCAGCTGGGCGCGGGAGCTCCAGCTTCCTCAGGCATCCGGGGCTCGGCCTTTCCAGGCAAACGGCCAGATCCTCCAGGACCGACATCGCACACTTATTGCCATGTTCTCCATGCCGCCGCGAGGTATGCACGCTAGCTTCAGCACGATGGATTCGATAATAAGCAGACCCAGTTGAGTCGATCGACAAGATTGCCAGGGCCGGCATGTGCCCAGCAATTGGGACACGCAATGTTGGCCCGCCGGCTCGTCTCTCCATCGTGCCGGCATTGCTGGTCACCCAACTTGTCATCTCGCAAGCTTGCTCCATACCATTCCATCAACCCCTGGATGCTTCGCAAGACCAGTGGCGTCTATTTGCCGCGCCGGGCCCGCCGCCAGGGCTACCGATGCTCGAGGTGCCTGTTCCCATGCCCTGGCCGGTACGTGTCAACCTTGGGGCCAAGCGCGTGCATGCGCACCTCCGCGTGTGTGTTTGTGATGCACACAAGTATTCATGCTGTCCCTTGTCTGCCTATGGACACCCATACCCATCAGCTGATCGCCGCTCCGCGCTATGCCCTCTCACAGGTCTGGTTTGTCCAGTCTCCCAGAAAGCACTCACAACCCCGGCAACACGCGACCACGGCGGACGGAAACGGCCGCGGCTTCCTCTCAGCCGTGCTGCAACGCAACACACGGGACGGGCTAGAACAAGGTCAAGGCATCCCCGCTTCCCGGCACTCGGACATCACCAAGCAAGCCGAGGAGAGTGACAAGTCGCACCGAGCGGGCAAGGTCTGCCGGTGGGCGGTTGCTGCGGCCGACCACCAAGCTTCCAATCTGGCAACATGATGTGGAGGGCAGTCCAACCTCCAAAGAAAAGAATGCCTGGGGCCAGAATCTTCCGATGTTTTCCGGCGCGCTCGCCTATGCGATCGCGAGACCGATGCAGAGAGCTTTGATGATGTCGCCAGCAAGGGACCACGAGAGATTGGCTGCACTCCGTGGGACGCCACAATCGCTCTGCGTTGACCCGCATGCCGAGTAGTGGGTAGGGCACAGCGAACAACAGACACCCCTGTCTTGAACCGCCAGCCCTTGCATGTCGGTCCTCACAGAGGCCCAACGAGGATAACCCTGCTCTAGGTCATTTCCATCGGCTACTCGAGCAACAGCCGTCGAGCCGCCTCATTCGCCGCGGAAGTCCATATTGCACTTGGGCACGGCAATTTGGCTGGTGTGGTGGCTCGCCATGTTGGTTTCATTCGGGCTCCACCAATGCGAGCTGCCTGGAGCTCTGCCTGGCATCGTCCCCTGATTTGCAGGTCAACCCTGCTCACCCAGCTAGCCTGACAAGCACTGAAATGACGTTTAGGTCGCTTGGGGGGTGGATAGACCGCGGCTACGGACCCCAGTGTGCCTGGGTGGATCTGCCACAAGCACCCGACCATCTTTGCACGCCAAGTACACCCGTGGACATCGTGCAGGGGTGGAGTTGGCTGCACGCAGTGTGGACGGCACGCGGATTTTCCCAATGCACATGGCCGAGTACTCTGTTTCTTTTGCCCTTGTCACTTGACCTTCCAGATACTTGTGTTGGCCCGCCCAGGGCATCCCTCCCTGATCTACCACCAATGCCAGGGCCAACTCCCCTTTCCCCCGAATGCCACTCCGTGACGATGCTGCACCTACATCCTCACTTCCAGCTCGGGTTTCGATAGGTCAAGGTCAGAAGACCATCTACAGCCACAGCAAGGCAGCCGGCCAACGGCAACCCGCCCGACTGTACATCCCAAGCTCAAAAGCACTCCAAACATGGGTACTTCCTCATCACCAACATATCCTTCAACATAATCGAACCGATCCAGCTTGACGACTTCAAGTATAAAGGCAAGCACCGTCGCCACGGTTTCTCAGTAACAGCATCCAGAACGTCACCCACCATCATCGGCACGTTTCGGCAACAGCATCCATCCCGACAGGCACCATCACCGCCTTCCTACATCTGCAAACCCACTTCTTGAACCACCGTAACCACCGTACGTCGTCATCTCAGCAAGCCACTGTTCCAGTGGCGCCACTTGTCCCTTGTCCGCGGGAGGACTTTGGCCGCAACCCGGAATCTTCTTGAACTAATGAGAACGCTTGTAGGGACATCTGCCACCATGTGCACCCAATGGATTGAACGCTACCACAAGACGAAGTGTGAGCATGAGCTGCCGGACATCGTGGAGTGCTCCGAAAAGCCTTCTGGGGTGTCTTGCAAAGACTGCCCTCACTTCCAAACAAAGGTTGATGAGAGGGAGGGTGCGTGCGAAGATGACAGTCACCAAACGTGAGTCTGTACGTTGCTTGATACACATTGGAATAGCTCTCCGCTGGGGTGATCTCCTATATCTAACATGGCACGGTCTGTCCTTTAGGAACGGCACGTCCTGAGTGCAGAACTCATGAAGAAGGCGATCGAGTCCACTCGAGGACCCGAGGCTCTTGAGTCGCTGCGTCGTTTCACTTGAAAGAATAATATGCGAGCGATCGCATGCTCGCGACTCATCCATGATATTGCTTGCGCAGTCACGACTATACTCCATGATGCTATGCGGTGCATCTTTCCTTTCTCACATACAACTGGGGACGGGTGGTCCTCCATGATGTTCACACATCACATGCTACGGAACGTTGGGGGTTGTGGAGGATCACGACTGATGCATCACGACCTCGGCGGCTATTGAGAGCCATGAATCTCTGGCTGGCAATAGTCAGACCTTGCCCTTGGAACTCCAGCCTATTCCTTCGCATTCGCACAATTTCAGGCTGTCGCAACGTTTTGTCGACAGTGTTGGGTGCACATCGTTTCACTTCGTACTTTGGGGGCCTTCCCTTTTCGGGATTTTGGCCCAGTCTCCTTTCAATAGTATTGCAAATATCTTTTTTCAATATTGAACACACTCTCTTCTACATCTCATGGCCTTTTGCCCCGTTGATTACAGGAATCCGCCGCCACGGCGAATGGCGTTGCGACAGAGCCCGAAAGTGTTGGCCACGGTCATGTCTCCAGTGTGGATGCCACGGGGTGGGGCGTGCTGAGGTAGTGCTCCTCCCTCATTGCTGAAGACAGTGGCTTTGCTTTTTCGCTGCTGGTGGAGCTTGGCGCAGATGTTGGCAGCGTGGCATAGGCAGACTTTGCGGGAATAAGAAACCTTCCGAACAGCAGATTGGCGGTGCGCTTAAGAAGCGCGGCCCAACAACAGATGCGCTTTGCATGGCTAGTTGGCGACAATGGCCTCCATTCATGGACTGGGGCGAAGCAAAATGGCCGCAGGGGAATGACCGCGTACGACCAAGATCGTGATTGGGCCGCGCTATTGATAATGCCCACTCAAAAATCAGAGAGTTCGCGCAATTGGCTGGCCCCAGACTGCACGTTGCACTAGAGTTGCATGGCCCCTGCAGGAGGGAAGGATCATGTGATGTCGCAACCCGATACTGCTCGGCAGCGACAAGACTATAGTCTGTGTCGCTGAAGGTCCGGCACGCACCACGGCCGGCAGTAGGAAGGTGCACGGTAAGTCCTCAAGCTTGCAGATCGACCTGTTGAATGCTAAGCCGCCCGTTGCACGCTCGTGGAGCCAATGATCCGCCACGGGGGCCGAAACTTGCTCGTGCATGGATGACTTTGGATGATCTGGGGATGTTGTGTCATGTTCTTGGGGAGCTCAAAACGGAATAGGGCCAGTCCGAACGACAGGGGCGCTATGAGGACTGTCTCAATCCGGATGGCGGAGCAAGGATGATGGCCCCGGCTCAATAAACTATTTCTCGTAGTCAGCCCGTCAACGTCGCAGGGACGAACGTTAAATTGACAGATAGGCCATCTAGAAATCCGTAGTCGGTATGGCTGCACGGGTGAGCGGCATCCTCCGTCAGCCTAGGACCATGACTTCAGACGGTGCAGCCAGTCCGTTGCGAGATAGCACTCACTCACTTTGTGGCCGGGCCGGGATGTGCGTCGCGTCACCGGACCCCAAGGCATTTCGAAGAACCCTGATCCTGGGCCTGCAACGTCGTCGACACACTTCAGCGACCAAGGTGTCCACCAGACTAGCGATGCAGGTCGTTAGGTGTCAGGCCGCCTGCGCCCACACTAGGTGGGATCTCGACACTGGTGCGGTGCCAAACAGCAGGCCGCAATCCTCCTAGCTTCCGCTTTGTGTGTTGCAAGCCCGGCACTTGGACCCCGGCATAACGGCCCCTAGTGCCATTGCACCTGTTTAGCGTTGTTGGCCCCGTGGCGGCGGCCCCGACAGGCCCTGCTTCCGCGCCGGGCTTGCCCAGATCGTGCCGGTCGTCGAGGCGCAGTCCCGGATCGAGGCACGCACTTCAGTTCGATAGTGCTGATGACCATGCGGGACGTGCATGTTGGCGTTGATATGGGCTGGGCACCCCTGTCCACCTTGCAGCTTAGCCGCCGAGCATGTGCAGTGTTGCCTGCATTGTGCTTCTGTGGCGTTTGCCTCGGCTCTCATTGGCGGGCACATACAGACATCGACTTCGACGCCATGGTCAACGCCATGGTGGCTGTGTCCGATGCTGGGATGAATGCAAAGGTTGCTACAGACTGCGACTGGTCTGCAAGCGGATAGCGGTGGTGGGGTGAAGAGGACTTGCAGAACTTGGCAGAAGGTCGGTGAGCGGAGATGCAATGTCTGAATGCCTCAGGCAGCCAACAGCGACCGTGCGGTCACGCCTTCCCACCTTGAAGCCAGTACCCAGAAAACCAGTCGCCGCACTGCCGCATGGACAATTACAAACTGGGAAGCACATATTCGTGATATTACAGCTACAATCTGGACCTGCAGCCTCGACTTGAGAGGTCGCGATGTAAAGCGATCCACGAGACAGAGACGCGCACATCTCGTGTTTCCGTCATACCTGAAACGCAGGTCATCCTGCCCGACTGGGGGCAGTACATCGTGATGCATCGCTTCATTTCCTCTTCGCACCACGTCACACTCCACAATCGGTCAGCCTGTCGCGTCCTGGCTTCATCTCTCTTGTCACCCTCCCGGCCCAGACATGATCAGACAAATGGACTGTTGACAGCCGTGCTTTGGTGTCCGGTTTCGCCGAGCTTCGGGTGCAACCTCAAGGCCGGCAAGACTCAAGGCAGGCCATTCAGCCCATGACGCCCGAATGGAACACGTCGTTTCTTTTATCTCAAAAATGCTACATGTGGAGAGCATTGTCGCCGAGGCCAGGCTATATCTGATCGTGCGAAGCATCAGAACAGCCTGCAGGAGGATGAACCTCCATCATTACCATGCTCGCCAGATCACATCCTCAGGCTGGGGTTAGGAACAGGGTTGACCATAATCAGGCCCGAGCCATCCCGGCCTCCACCACTGCCAGGTTTGCAGCACACCAGCGCAGCCTAGCTCGACTCTGTGCCTCTCGGATTGCTCCATTTCCTGTGTTAGCCGTCGGATCCCAACTGCCTCTCTGCATATATCATGCATATATCCCCGGTCTGTCCAAGATGACAGCTTGATAGGCACCGAATGGCATTTCCAGAAGATGCGAAGAAGCCAGCAACTGGGTCAGGGACATCGGGTTTCAAGAATCTCGGCGTCACCCTAGCAGGACTTTAGGGGGATTGCCCTTCCGTAGCTCAGAGCGAGTCTTGCAACCCATCCACAATAGGTTGCATTGCGCGAGGTTGCGTGAGGATTCTCGATCACATTGTAGAATCCCTGCTAATCCATCACTGGGGCCCGAGGTCATCGGCCTCCAATGCATTAGGACTCCTCAAGGAAGTGTCACCGGATGGCAGACTTTGACATCAGCTTCTGGCTGTACGTAGGGTACCCTGTCATTGTAGAACGATCATGCCTGAACATTTCTAGTTGACATTCTTACAGACACACGAGGCCGTGGTCGCTGCGAGTGACTTGAGCGACATACCGGAGTGCTTTGTCGTGTTGAGATGACCGCACTTGTCGTCGGCAGCCAATCTCGATGCTGTATGTAATGTCAGCCTCCAGGCCATCCAACCCAATCGGACCAGGCACCCCAGCTCCAAGTGCATGAACTGCGTTCTTGGCAGAGCGGCGGCAATCCTACGGCGATTTGGAGTCAGTGCACGTTCGACAGGGGTTTTGCAACCTTGGCTCGCTGCCCAACGTCAACTACCAGTCCTGGGGACATTCAATGTGGGAGCTTTTCAGCGGATCTCACAACCCGGGTAACATATCACCAAAATCCTGGTGCGGTATCACTCTGTGCAGCGACAGTCCGGCGCTGGCTGGACGTTTGCGGATCAACAAGTCCACAAAAAGGTGCTGACTTTCCATGCACATCTTTTGCAAAGTTATCGTTACACTTCAGCAAACGTGTCTACGAGGTCGGTGCTTCACGTGAGCAAAGGGTCCTCACGAGCTCAAGAAACTGGGCCCATCACAGAAGGGGTTCGCTCCAGGTCTGTCAAAAGATCATGAAGGACTTGGAGATGTGGTCGATTGTGCCCCCTAGCTCATCATAACTTCATCACCAACATGTTCCAATTGGCGAGTAAGGATGTTCACGAGACTGGATTACCGCGAGTGCAGCCGAGTCTCTACGCATTGGAATTTTGGAACCAGCGGAACCCCCCCTCCCCCCTTCGGGAACCAAATCAACACAACTAGGTTCATCCATCCCAGCGCAGGTTGTATCCATACAGTCCGATTTCTGGATGTTTCATCAGGGTGCCTTTCTGACGCTATGTGCCTGAGCAAACTTGAACACTGAACTGCATAGCGAGGTCTGCAAGTACCTTTCAAGGGCTGAAGTCTCCACATATTCCAGACCACATCATTCACGATGGCAATGAGCCGTCTCCGCCCGGGCACATGAGCTCAATCGAAACTCGCAAGTGGACTTTTGCTAATCATGAGTAGACGGTTGGAGACCGCCTATGCTTGCCTGCAGCGGTGTGCTGGTAGTCGCGTCAAGCAAGCCACGATCCCTGTAGGGCGGCTATTGGGCGAACCAGAGACACTGCACGGTATCATTTACGAGTTTGTCGACATCGGCTGCAGTGTGACCAGCATGCCGTCCGCCTCGTTGGGTGTACACAAACTGGTTCGCTTGCGACCTGCCTACAAACAACAGGTGGCGAGGGCCCACAGACATGGCCGTCATGTGGTCCGAAAATCTTCAGGGACAATGGAGATCCCGATACTGCCTCGCCATGGAGCCCATGCGGCCGCCAGGCCGGCCTCGGGTGCCTTGCGCAAGACTACCGGCCAGCAACGCGACCGCACCTGCGGCCACGGCACGGTCCTGGAGTCAGCCGCCTTGCATGCAGCGAGCCCGGGGAGTATGCAGAATGCAGCCAACTTTCTGTGGATCTGCAACGGACGGGTCCTGCCGCAGAGCCTTGAATCCGACCGGTTGCGATGAAATGAACAATGTACAAGATCACATCTCGGCGCGTCCTGGCCAGTCACAAGCTGCCAATTAGCCGCACCGCGCCTACGGGAGCGCCGACCCCTGTCCACGGATGTGCTGTCGACGAATCAGGCCTGGAGCTGCGCCTATTGCCGCTGTCTGGCAGACCCTGGCCACCATCGCTCCAATCAGACCAGCGCATGCCGCCACCAACCAGATGGGGGCTTGCTCGCTTTCGATGCTCATGTCAGCCAGTCAGGATGCACCAACTTCGATGTGAAGCCGATGCCATCACAAGGCACTCCTCTGTCTGCCGCAAGTACCCTTAGACACGACCATTGTACCTCGACCTTGCCAGTACATAGGCGCCAGGACCCTGGTCTCAACACCTGCATCCAGCCAGCCCGGGGTGATTGCTTCCTCCTCCTCCTGCCATGTTGGTCACGATCCTGGTCACTCTAGGCAGGCACCCGACCAAGACGACAAAACCGGATGATCTTGGTTGCATCGGCAGGCATAGCCCTCCCCCACAGGGGACATCGCCATTCGCAACTTCACGTCACCAACAACTAGTCAGACGTCTCCGTGGACTGGGCATGTGCTCCAAACGCAGCAGTGGGGGGATACACTGGTGCAACCTGGAAGCACAGGCCATCGTGCCGGCTGGCCGGGTCGACGCAAAAAGCTGGCGGCCAAGCGATGGACCAACTACATCTTGGCAAGAGCAGCGCGGTCCATGATGGCCCACCGAGAGTGGTGATCGTGACTCATACAAGTCAAGTTTCTGGTTGGACCAGAATCACACTGTTGAGAAGTCCCAAAGCACATCGCTGCCGAATCAGCAGCAGGAATGTCACGTTTGCCATACCGGAAAGCCCCCCCTCCCGTCTCTCATCTCCCAACTGCTAAGCGGGATATCCCCTATCTTCTGGAGCTCACCAACCTGATAGCAGGCAGGAACATTCACCATGTCGCCACGGCAAGTAGTGGCAACCAAATGACATCTTGCTGCTTTACAGGATCGGTGTGTCAGGGGTTGGCATACCATTGGAGCCCTAGTGAGATCTAATGTGATATGGCACGCTGTGTTTGCACCAACTCTCTTTGAGTGGCTCAATGGTTACAGCCCAGCGCACGCGCTCCATCTCCTGCAGAGAGCTCATGCAGGGTACAATTTATGCGCAGAAAAGGGCCGTTCCCGTCCGGTGATGTGAACATATGTTGGTTGCGAGGCGCTGTTGCCCGCGCTGACTGCCGCTTGCATGCTTCATCGTGCATATGCCGTGAAGCACCAACCCCCAACCCCCCAGTCATCTCGAGAGGTGGCTGCGTGATCAGAGCAAGATGTGGTTCGTGGCGTCGGGGCTGTTTCTGCGAAGTCCGGCACTGTTGGTTCGTATGACATGTTCTTTGAAATGGGAAGGGGAGGGGAGGGGGCGAAAACAGGATCGAGCCTGCATCGCACACCCACACAAACACACACAACATGATGCGCACAGCACGGCATCACACGGTCCGACTCCCTATTTCCCACTCACCAACTGCAAAAGGAGCATCCCTGGCTCTGCAATGTACTGTGATCTGCCGGGGCTCGTGGGGTAGAAGAGGAAAGAGAAGAGTGATGTGGCGTTACCGCAATGGCTCACTCACGCGCGGTTGGGGGCCGGCGGCAAACAGACATGCGTCCGCGCGCAAGCTGTTCCCCGGGATCCTGCTTTGAGTGACGCACTTTCTCTGTCTCTTGGTCTCTCTTGGGTTCGAGTCGGCGGCCAGCACAGCAGCAGCAGCAGCAGTGACAAAAGGCAAATTGCAAAAGGCTTCGCCAGCATGACTCGCACATATGTACAATCAATCTAGAAAAAGTATTCATGACGTGTTCTTGAATTCATTCTCAGTTATCGTGTTCGGCGCGCCGACTTTTGAAAAAAAAAAAAAAAAAAAAAAAAAGAAAAGGTGCAATCTGTGACTTGATCCACGAGCTGTCCCTCCCTTTTCTCACGTACGCCCCCCATCACCCTTTTCCCTTGCACTATTGAGGACACAAAGGAAGCGAGACAGGGACCCATGTGATCGCTTCCAAGAAAAAATCAATCTGGTGGTTTCGTTCCTAGGTTCATGAGATGAAGAGCGGATAAGTAGGAAAATAATTCAGGCGAAGCTGAGTCCCGAAAACGGGACACCAAGCGGGGGACGAGCTCCTTGAGAGAACCACAACGAAAATGAGAAGAGAGAGAGAGAGAGGGCGAAGAAGAGGCTGAAGGGAAGAGAGTTCGCCAGAAAGATGCCACAAGTCGCAAGGGGCCATCGCTCGGCGAGCCGGAACTCTTCGGGACCGAAAGAAGCGTAAGGCACCAACACGCCCATCCGATGATGAGACGTAGGACAACGTCGATTGAAGGACACCCTCTCCATTTGCAGACCTTTGGCAGAGCCCTGGGCCACTCAATGCGAGCATGGCTCCTCACAGGTCTTGGTCGCTGGAGATCGAGGGGCTCACCGGGGTGATGATGATTCAACGACGAGCCGCCCCGAAGCCGCATCAGGCACGGCGCGAGCTCTGATGCTCAAGAGAGCAAGTGCATGGATAGATGTTTGTCGAGCCTGGTCATTCGCTTGCGACGAGTCAAACGCTCGTGCAGGACTCGTGTGCACAAGTGCTGCGCGCCCCAGAGTGGCTGGCCTTCTCTTGTCAAACAGCTCGTCATCGACATCCGGGGCGCCCATGTCGCCAAGGACGATCCGAAGTCGGGGCACTCGCAAATTGAACAGGGACTCGTAGTGATAGTGACCGACCGTGTGTTTACGCATCGTGATATTCGTACTTGGCGTCCTCGACGTTCGCCGCTCAGCCTTGTCTTGCAGGTGCCGAGAAAAGAAGGGCGTGGAGCCTAATCGCTGCTGCCGCATCGAGCTGCTCTCGCCGTTCGCTAGCTGGAGGGTCGCGATCGACTGCGGTTTTGTAGATTTATTATACAGCTTGGAGGGTAACTCTTGTTGTATCCCTCTGACACCTGGTCTCTCTCTCTCTTCTTCCCCGACGCGTCTCCTTCAGAAAAGACCTCCCCCCAACCCTTGCACCGTCGTACCAATTTCTTCGTTTCTCAGGAAAATCAATCTTGTACTGCCCCAGTCTTTTTTGGCGGACATATCTTCTAATGGTGGTGTCCTTGTCCTTATACAGTCCTCCGCAGGACCACCAAGATTATACCTCTATGTTCTGTGAGGGGCAAAAACTGCAATGCTAGGCAGACGAAGGCAAAAGCAAGGAAATCAAATAGAACACGCCGAAAATGCAGAATCGTCCGTGGCGCCATGATGTATAGGTTATTCAAATTGGACACGACTTCGTTAGGTAAACTTAGTCGTTCTTGGGAGAAGTGGGAGAGCTAGAGACGGGTCAGTCAGAGCTAAAGTTTCATCTTGATCACAGCCCGGTATGACTCACTATTTGGGAGAAGTACTGCCAGCAGGCCCAGGAGTCTTAGGAGACCACTGAGGAGACTATTCCAATGAGTTAGCGATTGTCACAAAGGTGTCAGCGGATTTGAGCACTTACTGTAGGCGAGTACTGAGGACTGGTAGGGCTCTGTTGAGCACCTCCCGACGTCCTGAAGTTGGGGCTCGTAGGCGAGTACGAGGGCGAAGTTGGAGAATACGACGGCGACACTGGCGAGTACGACGGCGAAGTCGCACCGTGCAGGTTCGGCGAGGTAGGACTGTAGCTGGGACTCGTCGGAGAGTAGCTGGGCGATGTCGGGGAGTTCATAGCTGGAGAAGTGGGCGAGTAGTGACGAGGGGACGTTGCGGCAGGTGAAGTAGGCGAATAGCTTGGCGAAGTCGGGCTGTAGCTCGGGCTGGTAGGGCTAGTGCCACCAAACTGGGGCGAACTCGGGGAGAACGAGGGCGACGAGGGGCTGAACCGAGGAGAGCTGGCATAGTTGCCTCCAATAAGCGGCGACGTAGGCGAGTAACCACCTCCAGGAGATGAGGGCGAGTAGCCGCCACCAAAGCTGCTGAAAGGAGAGCTGGGAGAAGCACCTCCGGAGAAGGGACTTGTTGCTCCAGGGCTGCGGCCACCGTAAGGGCTGGCGCCTCCACCAAAACCGCCGTACTCGGTACCGAAGCCAGACGGGTTGTCTGATCCGGCAGAGACGATGGGGGAGAAGTTGCCCAAGCCCATCGACGGCGAAGCCAGGCTCAAGCCGTAGCCAGAGTCTGCCATAGGCGATCCAGTATCGTAGGGTGTCGCAGCACCTTCGGCCTGATTGCCCTTCATCGACATGCCCTGCATGAACGTCCTCGAGTTGTCCACAAACGCAGTATCGAGCATCTTCGGGTCGAGGTAGACCTGGAAATGCCCTGTGCCCATAGGAGCGAGCTGGCCGAGCATGACGTTTTCAGAAATACCACGGCAGTCATCCAGCTCACCCGTGGCAGCAGCCTCGAGCAGAATCTCGACCGTCTCCTCGAACGAACAACGCATGAGCGCACCGGTGTCGGCTCTGTTGATACCATGGCGAGTGACAGCCGCGATGCTACCTCTGTAAGTCATGACATCGACTAGCAGCGCAAGATGTCTTTCGTTGACGTATGAACCGTCGAAAGCCAAGACTCGGCGCAGCTCGTTGAGCAAAGCGAGCCGAGCAGCCTCGATACCAAATACCTCGACACACTGCCAAAGATCGTTGGTCGTGGTGCGGACAGGGTCGACGCCGGGGCAGCACAGAACCTGGCGCAGAGAGGTACCCTGTGTATCCAAAAACCACTCGACACAGTCTGGATTGCCACCGTCCTGGACCAGGGCACCACCCTCAGTCTTCGAGGTCCTCTTGCCAGGGGTCAAGAAAGCTCTCTCGACGCCCTTGACACCACGGAGGGTCAAATTCTCCAAGAGATGGTCTGAAAGACGCTTGAGCATAACATCGTCCTCGACAGCCTTGTCCTCGCCGTCCTTGTCCTGCACAAATGAGCGGACACGAATGACTTGCTCGGCGGCGTTGTTGTCACTGTAGATGACTGCAAGATCGGCCGCGTAGTCCTCCTTCAGGCGCTGAGCGACATCCTCGACCGTAAGCTCCTTGTCAAGAAGTTTCTGACGGTCAAGAACGAATCGAAGAAGCCATCTAGACTGTCTGTCGATGGACTCGTGAGCCTCATCAGGAATCAGGAAGTACGACTCGACCATGTCCATGTCGTCCTCGATGGTGGTCGACTGAATGTCAGGGTCATAGTGGACCTCGGTAACAGCTGTGACTGAGCGCAGGTTGGTGTGCTCGACGACACTGCGGAGACCAAACAGCTCCTCCTTGGAGCCAGCGCCACCCTCCTTGAAGACAATCATTGAGGGTGTCTTGATGTTGCTGGCAACGTTGAGAATCTCCTTGAGACGGGGGACACCAAGTGTCACGTTCTTGGACGAGATACCCGTGAAGTGGAAGGTGTTCAGTGTCATCTGAGTGGCGGGCTCTCCAATAGACTGGGCAGCCAGTACACCAACCATTTCACCGGGGTTGACCATAGATCTTGACCAGCGGTTCTCGAGCTCGCCCAGGACGTGACGAAGCGCTATCTTGTCCAGGCGATGCATGCAAGCAAGACGCTTGAAGCAGAGACGCTCACGCAAGAGAGCCTTGAACAAAAGACTCGAGCTCTTGTCAGCCTCAAGCGACAAGGGATCAGAGCCACGGACGACAATCATTCTGTCGAGCATGTCCTTGACGACAGGAATGACGTCCTGTGGGGTCAGGTTGCTCCGCTTGGTGCCGTCAACCTTCAGAAGCTTCTTCGCTGACTCAATGAGACGACCAGTGTTGAGTGGCAGCTGGAAGTCTGTGTCCAGCTTCTCGGCACCGTCCTTGATTCTACGAAGCAACTCACGATCCTCAGAGAGCGCCTCGAACTCGCTGTCTAGCAGTTCCTGAACGGATGGGTCGCCAATAATGTCTTGCGCGTACTCCAGCGTGTCCAAAGCACCAGAGCGAGTGTTCTCCATAACATCAAGGCGATACCGCTTCTCGAACTCAGCATCGCTGACTACCCAGTGATCCATAGTCTGTTTCTCGATGCACATGGCATCCAGACCGTCCTCGCCGTAGATGAACTGGATGATATCACCGAGAGAGTTGCGGACAGTTCCATCATACCGAGCGCTGACGTCTTCAAGCGCCTTAACGAGACGTCGCTGGATGTAACCGGTCTCGGCAGTCTTGACCGCAGTATCAATCAGACCCTCACGACCGGCCATGGCGTGGAAATAGAATTCCGATGGTGTCAAACCACGCAAGTAGGAATTCTCGACGAATCCGCGAGCTTCAGGAGAATAGTCATCCTTGGTGAAGTGAGGGAGTGTGCGGTACTTGAAGCCGAAGGGAATGCGCTTGCCTTCAACAATCTGCTGTCCGACGAGCGCGCTCATCTGAGAGATGTTGATGGCAGAGCCCTTGGAACCAGATCGAGCCATGGTTACGGCGTTGTTGAGATCCTTCAAGCCGTCTTCAGCTGATCTACCAGCCTTGTCACGAGCAGAGTTCAGGGCAGCTGACACCTTGCTCTCGAATGTCTCTCGGATGTTCATACCCGGCATGGGCTCGAGCTTGTCAGCCGTGGCGAGAGCGACGAATTTGGCGACCTCGCTCTTCTGGTCGTCGATGTGCTCCTGAACCTTGATGATCGTATCCTTGTCGGGGATGGTGTCACCGATACCAATGCTGAAGCCGTTGTGGAGGAGCCAGTAGTTGATGACTCGCTGGCAACCATTGAGGAAAGCCATGGCACCTTCGGGACCCAGCTCGTTGTAGCAAAGATGAACAATGCCACCACTAGCAGCACCGACGTTCTTCTTGGTGAGAAGACCAAACAGAAGCTCTCCAGACTGAATCAGAATTCCGTCGTCTGCCTTGGGGAACCATGCGCCATGAGGATCCTTCTTCGGATCAGGCTTGGTGTACAAGCTGATCTCGCGAGGGATGATCATGCTAGCAATCTGCTTGCCCGTCCAGCGAGGGCGAGGCTTGTAAATTGCAGGCTTGGGGATGACACCGTCCCAATCAGGAACCCAGAGCATGGTGTTCATGACCTGCTCCTTCGTCAGGAAAACATCACGACGGCACATCTTGTAGACGCCGGCAAGGGTGTCTTGCACAATACCCATCAAGGGGCCGTTTCGCTGGGGGGAGACAATGTTGAGAGGAACTAGACAGAGCTCCTTGACCTCAGCACGAGTCTCTTCAGTCTGTGGGACGTGAAGATTCATCTCGTCACCGTCGAAATCGGCGTTGTAGGGCGAAGTGACAGACAGGTTGAGGCGGAACGTCGAGTAAGGCATGACTCTGACTCTGTGACCCATCATAGACTCCTTGTGCAAAGATGGCTGACGGTTGAAGATGATGTAATCACCGTCCTGAAGATGTCTCTCAACCTTCCAACCATATTCGAGACTAATGGCGCCGGCACGCTTGTGGTGCTTTAGATCGATGCGGGTTCCGTCTGAGCGAATGACGTATTTGGCACCAGGATGCTCGTTGGGACCATTCTGGACGAGTTGGTGAAGCCTGCTAATGTTGTATGGTGTAACGGTTTCTGGGTACGTGAGAGTCCTGGCGATACTGCGAGGGACACCAACCTCGTCTAGCGAGATGTTGGCATCACCAGTAATGACGGTTCGTGCAGAGAAATCGACACGCTTTCCCATCAAGTTACCACGCAGACGGCCCTCCTTGCCCTTGAGACGCGCACGGATAGACTTTACAGGACGGCCACTCTTTTGCAGAGCTTGAGGCTGACCAGCAATATCGTTGTCCATGAGCGTGGCAACGTGGTACTGCAGCAGCTGCTCAAACTCAGAAGCGATGTGCGCCGGTGAACCCTCTTGAATGGCTTGCTTGACGTTGCCGTTCGCGCGAATGATATCACCGAGCTTGTATGTCAGATCGTCTTCGTTCCGCAAGCCCTGCCCAGTACCGTCCATGGAGACACTGGGGCGAACAGGAGGAGGAGGGACCGGCAGGACGGTGAGAATCATCCACTCAGGGCGCGAGTAATCCTTGTTAAGACCCATATCGCGCAAGTCATCGTCGGAGATGTGCTTAAGGATATTGAGAGCCATCTCGGGTGTAATGGCTCGCTTGTCTTTCGATTTGGCGCCCTCGTCGTTCTGAACAGTGTAGTGAGCCCACAGCTGCAGCGCACTATGCCGCACCTGAGGCTGGGAGTTGCCGCAGCCGCCATGTCCAGCATGCTTGGGCTTGTTGCCAGGCTCGTACTCATGGTCATCCTCTTTCGGTGTCTCGTTGCTGCAAATGTTCTTGCCCTTGCAGCACTCCCAAACCCGCTGGAAGCGGGTCTTTGGGTCTCTGCTCGAGACAGCAGCGAGGAAATCAGGCGAGCTCTATGGTTGAAGAAAAGAAGCACGTGGCGGTTAGCATCTTTGAGATCCCTAGACAAGACTGCCGGGAAGGACCGAGCAGGGTATACTAACTCTATCGTCCAAGACTTTGCTGCAGTTGTGGCAGACCATCTCGAGGATCTTTTTGACCTTCTTGATGAATCCAGGATGATAGACGGGCTTGGCCAACTCAATGTGACCGAAATGACCAGGACACTCTGCTATAGTCTCGAGGCACGTCGCGCACTTGAAGCCGCGGTCGACAGATCCCAGGCGGGGATCGTTGAGACCGTTCTGGCGGGGCTTGGTTCGTGTCTCGTCCATAGTCTCCGGGTACATGATGTGCGCAACACTCATGTTCTTGATCTCCTCGGGCGAGAGGAGACCGAACTGGATCTCCTCCACCGTCTTGAGAGGCGCATCGGAATGCGCAAAGACAAGATTCGCCATGTTGGCTAGATTGTATGACGCGAAGCACGCCTTGACCTGAGCGATAGGCAAAGATCAACGCGCACGCGTGCAAACGGGCTTGCCTCAACGAGACACACACAACAAAGTATTTTTGGGGGTATTAAGCGATGAAATGATGCATTCGCGTAGATGAATCAGATGGTCGAGCGCGACACTATCTGGGCGTGCGGTGAAGAAGGTGTAGTACCAAGGATGCCGGTGGAGGGCGTCGTGTCACGACTGCGCGCGTGCGCGCCGTCAAATTAATCGAAGGAGTGAAATGCCGCAAATGGCGATGCGAGTAACGATGATCGAAATGCAGGCGCGGCCGGTGCGGATGGCGATGAGGCGCGTCGTGATGCGACTCGCGTCGTGCGAGAAGGGTTTGCCTAACCCTGGCCGAAGGCCACGAGCGGTCGGAGAAGCGCCGTAACCTGAGAGCGCGCGCCCTGTGCTCAGGCAAAAGTCGTCGAAAAGCCGATCTCAAGTCTCAAGAAGACTGCCGGACACCGATAACGCGGGGAGAGGGCGTGTCCGACGCGAATGGTGATGATGACGACGTCGATGGTCGGATGTTGCGTGGTTCACAGTTGGGCGGCAGGGCGGAGGAAATCTCAGTTCCTGCTATGTCTGGCCTCCCAACGTGCCTGCCTGGGTGGTGTGGCGCTGTGTATCGTGCGCGAGATGTGCTCCTACTGTGCCGGCGGCGCACAGACCATTGCCGTCCTAATTAGCACAGTCTGAAGGGTGAAACGGCAGCCAATCAGTCGACGCGCTCCCTGGTCAGACCGTCCATTCGACCGCCTGCCAGCCCCTTCTCGAAGTCGCTTTGCTGGCAAACCTGGTCCAGTCGCGTCACCCCTGAGTCTGGCAAATGTCACGTAGTGCTCAGAGCTTGCTTGTGTGAGGGTTGATTGCATTAATTTCTCTCGTGCTCGAGACTCTCGACGACTGCCTACAAACCACTCCTGGTGCATAGTTGCGGTGCGTCTCAGACTCGTCGGCAGACATGACACTTGAGTAGCACCAGGTCGCCTGTTCTGTGACACCGTTTTCTGACAATGCTCCTTGGCCGATGACTCAGGCCAGAGCTACTGTGGCACTCTGGGGGCCAGCTTCCAGCTGACAGCGTCTGATTGTGCCAGAGTCGACCCGTCACACTGTGCGGCTAGCCTAGCTCCCAAGCATTCTAGACCGGACGCCTCGAACCCCTTGGGCGACTCGGCCTGCAGCGCGTTACCTTGCCACATGCTTCAAATGCCATGTGCCGACCTGTCCAAGGTACTGGTCAGATCACCTTTTGCGGCCCTTGGCCTTCCCTTTCTTGGGCGCCGATGCCTTAGCATCACTGTCTGCGCCGTCGCCTTCCCCACCTTCATCCACACTGCGCCGACGGACTGTACCAGCCGATACTGCAACAAACTCCTCCTCGCTGTCGCTCTCGCCCAGATTGAACAGCACCGGCATCCGAAAAGTCGGCCCATCCATCTCATCACCATAGCCCTTGCCCTGGTCGACCTGCAGCACATCGACGTCCTCGTCCTCGGCATCCAGTCTACGCTTGTTGATCTCCTCCTGCGGGTGAATGTCGAACTCGTCCTCCTGCTCAATGTACTCGACATTCTCTTCCACCTCGGCAAAGTCTGGTGCCAGCGCAGACCACCGCTGGGGACTGGTGACGGACCAGATGTAGATGCGGCCAGTCTCGAGGCCACATGCTGCCAGAAGTGACCGGTGCGGGTGCCACTCTATCACGCCCTGCTCCTCCTTGGGACCTTCCAGCATCCGGACCAGACTGCCGTGATTCCGCTCCCAGATGTACAGCTCGTGATTGTTGTAGGTCGATGCGGCCACGTACTCGCCTGTGGCACTAAAAGTGACATGGTTCCAGCTCAGCCTATTCACCACATCCTGGAACTTGTGCTCAAGCGGCATCTGCATCGTGTCGGGATCAAGGTCGTCCGCGGAGAGATTGGGAACGTGAAATGTGCGTATTATGCGGTCTTGCGAGTTGACCAGCAGCACCTTGCCAGATCTCGTGATCCTCAGCGTCGTGACAACAGAAGTGCAGATCTTCTCCGACCATATAATCTCTCTCGTGTTGGGGTCGATCAGATTGAGCCGGCCTTTGTTCGTGCCCGCAAGGATGTAATCTCCCGTGTTCGTCCATATTGTCGCCGTGGTCATCTGCTTCGCATCCTCTTTTGCGTGTTTCTCTTTGGTTGCGGCGTCTGCGTCGCTGTTCGCGCGCTTCGGCGCGGACGGTAAGGAGTATTTGACATCGTTCGGCTCGCTGACGTCGACGAGGGCGGGGGGTTCGTCGAAGATCGAAGCAACGAATTGGTGACTATTTTGTGCACAGTCTGATTAATCTTGTGACCTACAAGCTGAACCGATGCCATTGCAAGAAAAACAGCGAGGGGACGTACTGGTTCCACGGATGAAGATCCGCGGTGTATATGGGCGCCCTGAAGCGCACCTCGCGGTACCGAGTCCCGTCCTGCAGATCCCAGAGCACTGCCCGCCAGTCCTGGCATGCAGACAGGAGATATTGCCCGCACCTAGACCAGCTTAGCGACGAGATGACGCCCTTGTGACCGCGCAGCTTCCGTGCGACGCCCATCGTCTCGAGGTCCCAGACGACGACGGTGCCGTCAACGCGCCCCGAGGCGAGCAGGTCGCCACGCCGGCTGAAGCGCAGGCATGTCGTATGGCCGGACCGGATTGTGTTGGTGATGTGCTCGGGGTAGTCCTGCAGCAGGTAGTCGTCGGAGAGGAGAAGGTTCATGGTGGCGATGGATTATGAGGAAAGGTCGAGCTGCAATGGGCTGTGGCCAGCGCCCACCAGGAGGCCGTGGTAGGATCAGTCGCTCGTGTTGGTACACATTTCCGGAGTCGAAGTCGTTGGCGCTACCAAGGCATACGAATTCGGCGAGGCACTGGTATTGACGCAGAAGTGTTGTTGGACGGTCGAAAGTCTAGGCACTTGGCAATTCGTGTCGCAGGGCGGAAGCTTTGGCTTCAACGACGCATACCTCCCTGGACATTTCCTGCAGGGGCCCGCCGATCCAGATGTCAGGCACACCTTGTCCGCCGCCCCACGTACAACGAAGGAAAAGCTGCCAATCCAGAGCGCTAGACTTCCTCGTGACAACTTTACGATCAGTCTTGCGGCCAATAGGCCAAGAAAAAAGCGCGGATAACTTGACCCGCTCGTCCCATGCTTGACTGCCGAAGCTCATCATTGAGTTGTACCCTGCCTGTGTCGTAAACATGGCAAACTCCAGGCAAGTGCCCCGCCACCCACTAACAAACACTGCGTGTATGTCTGCAGACAGCAGTTGCCAGCGGAAACAATCTAGCTCCAACCCATGCTAATTTCGGCTCGGCCATCAGGTTCGAGTACGTCAAGAACTTTGAGCAGCCAGACACCCTGCTGCCAAACACCTGGATCGTCGTGCGGATAGACGGCAGGGGTTTCACCAAGCTGTGCGCCCGATATGGCTTCGAGAAGCCCAATGACCGCAGAGCTCTCGACCTGATGAACGCCGCCGCAAAGGCTGTCATGGGCGATGTCACCGACATCACGATCGCGTATGGCGTCAGTGATGAGTTTAGGTATGCCCATCGTGGTGGAACAGTTCGCCTGCTTGGAGTTTCCGGTGTTGATATGGAATCCTTTACAGCTTTGTGTTTCATAAGTCATGCACCATGTTCGAGAGAAGAGCAAGGTAAGTCGATGAGCGAGATAACCGCAAGGAATCGTGAGTCTTGCGCGGGTCTGGGCTCTAATGTCTCATTTCAGCAAGCTGGTGTCGACGATAGTGTCGACCTTCACAGCATACTATGTCTATCTCTGGTCTACATATTTTCCGGACACCCCCTTGGCTCCGCCACTCCCGAGCTTTGATGGACGGGCAGTGTGCTACCCGAGCGTGCAGAACCTGCGTGATTACATGAGCTGGAGACAAGCAGACTGTACGTAGCGCCGCTGTCGCACCCCTGACGCTGAAATTGACCACCAGCTCTCTAGGCCACATAAACAACCTGTATAACACGACCTTCTGGGCCTTGATCCAGCTGGGTGGGATGGAGGCCAAAGAGGCCGAGAAGTTCCTCGCGGTGAGTGCTCCATGGACATTGCGGAGTACGACAAAGCTCGGAACAACATTGCTGATCAGTTCCTGTCTGGACCAGGGCACGTTGGCCAAGGACAAGAACGAGATCCTCTTTTCCCGCTTCAAGATCAACTACAACAACGAGCCCGAGTCGCTAAAGAAGGGCAGTGTTCTCTTTCGTGATGTAAGTCAGAGCCGCGAGGCGTCCTGCTTTGCCGCGTTGCTTTTGCAAGTTCGTATTCGCTGATAGTCTGAATATGTAGTATGAACTGGTAGAGCCGGGATCGCAACCAGTAGATCATGCCGATGGAGGGTTTGGGGAACCAGCGCAGCAGTCCAAGACACAGATCGAGAACGACAAGAAACGGCGGGCGAAGGCAAAAGTGGTCGTGGAGCATCTTGATATCATCAAGGATGATTTCTGGGAGCGAAGACCGTGGCTGCTGTCCAATAAGCCGGGCAAGATACCCAAGCAAACGTAGGATGGACTATACAGGCGTGACTGAGATATCGTAAGGTTGCGCTGAAGCAAGAACGTGCCGAGGCTTTTGGATATTTGGTCGTAATGCGAAGTCAACGTCATACGCCGTCGTTTCAAGCCATTGTAAGCGTATCGACACAGCTGCGGCTCCGGGTCTACGACCTGGATTTCGCCCTGCAGGAGGTGCCTCAATTTAAAGAACCAGACGGGGAGCGTGATCATGCGGTTGTGCGTGGTTGTGCGATGTGCTTCATCTCAAAGCAGCGATCTTCCTTTTCTCCTCCTTCTTCTTCCTCCGGACGTCTCTCCTCGCTTTCCGCTCTTCTCTCGTTTCGGACGCCTTGACAAGTTCCTTGGCCGCCTTCTTCTCCGCTTTCCTGGCCGCTTTCCGCAGTTCCTTCTTTTCGTCCTTGTCTGATGTCTTGGCCGTGCTCGGCTTCTTCGCGTCCTTCCGGGCCCGCCGCTCGGCTTTTTCCGCGGCTCTCTTCGCCTTCCTCTCCTTCTTGTCCGCTTTTCTCCGCTTCTCAGCCGCCTCGCTGTCGCTGTCGCTGTCATCGTCACTGCTGTCGCTGCTGTCGTCATCGTCGCCTTCGTTCATCGTCGGCGTGGCGGCGCCACTATCCGGTGGCGTGACGAGCTGCGCCTTGCCCTTTGTCTTCTTGGCCTTCTTATTCTTCTCCTTCTCCTCCCCCTTCTCACCCACAGACGCCCCGCCTCCCGGCGTGACACCAGCCTTGACGACCCCATCAACGCCAACGCTCCCCTCAATGACCCCTCCCCTCACAAAGCTGTTGTAGAGCCCCCTGCCGCCCGTATACTTGGCCAGGCCTTTGCTCGTAATCTTGGCGAGCTGCCCGCCGTCGCGCAGGGTCTGCTTCATCCCGCCCTTGGCGTCCTTGGACACGTCGATGCCCTTGAGCGCCTGGTCAAAAGCGTTGAGCCACCACGCCTCGGCCTTGTGGTCGGCCTTTTTCAGCCCCAGCCCGCGCCCGTCGTCGTTGCGCTTGATCAGGAGGTGGTGCTTGAGGCCCGTCTCGTCGCTGTCCGGGTGCAGCGAGTGGCCGGTGCCCCGCCAGCCTTGGGATTTGAGGTACGCGTGGGCGTCCATCGTGGGTTCCTTTTTCTTTCTGTCTTCTGTTGGCAGGGAGGATTTTTCGCGATCGTGGGATTACGGCCGGCGGTGGCCGAGGGTTGAGCGAGAGGGACAGAGAGAGCGTAGGTCTGCTTTCGTCGATGATGGTCCACGGAGTGTGATGGAGTGCTTGTGTACAAGGGCTACGTTCGTCTTCGGCGCATGGAGGAAATGTCGAGAAGGTGTGTGTATACGGCAAAGCGCTGTTTGAACCAATTGTTGAAACCCGTGAGAACACGGTGGACTCGAACGCGGAAAGAGAGAGGAACAGTATACAGGTCTTTCGTCAAGATCCTAGCAGCGGACTCTGTTGTTCTAAGAGAATGTGATTTACGCGCGCTGCCTCGTACACAGGGAGATCGTGGACAGGTCGTGCGAAGCCTGGGGAGAATGGAAAAAGTGGTATGCTCGGCAGAATCTTTGCAGGGTCCGGCGGTATTCCAAGATTTTAGCGGGCCTTCTCCCCCAGAGTAGCCCCATGGCGCTAACCAGCGTGCACCGGAGTGAGTGGGGCATGGATGTGCAGCACGACTACCTAGGTAAATGATCATGCTTGATTTCATCAAATGTGCACAACTAAAGGTCACTTACAACTTGTGAGGTGATAAGGTGACCTTGACTGTGCCTGGAATATACTGACCGCTAGAATTATACGAGTGTGCTGAGATCTTGAAGCCTGTCATAGAACAATCCATATTGTTGTGTGGAATACAGGTGCAGAAATTAAGAACGCCGGGCTAAGTATATACATGTGGTTTCTCGACGTTCAAGAGCAGGAAACAAGAACAGTACGCCGTCGCCATGATACACGAAACAATGCAGGGACTTTAAAAGCGACTTTGCAAAAGAATGACACCTCTTGATGCGGGGATGACTGGCCCTCATGATCGAGGCATGTCTGTCATTTGCGTCGCCCCGCAGTCAGGTGGACAGTGAATGCCGGCAGTTCCGTAGAATGCTGACGGCTAAGCACAACTGGGCATGTGCCTCGTGCGTTAGCCAGTTCACATCCATGATCAACGTAATATGTGCCTAAGCTAGGCGATTGTGCCGATAGTCGATTGGGCCCTCGTAATGCCATATTGGCTCTGGCCTCTTCGTGGGTAGAATGATGAAAGTAGGTTCCGCGTCGACGGATACATTAGTGCGATGTCTCTGTTCCCTAGACTCCATTACGGTAGTATCGGGGCTGGCAGATCGAGAATCGTATGAGTGGAGAAAATCCGCTGGCAGCCATTCGGGCGCCGCATTGACCCTTGATGGGGGTGTTTCACTTGTATGGCCAGAGCAATAAGACGTTCTCAGAGGCTGCTCATGAAGATATGTCGCGGCGTCTGCGAGGAAGTCGTCCAGGTCGGCTTCGATATTTTTCAAGTGAAGTGTTTCTGGCCCAGCCCAATTGTCGATGAGACTGGCAATTCGCATGAAGCCATCAGTATGACCTCCTGATGCACGTGCCTTGAAGCCGCAGCAGATGAAAAGGTAGCTGTGGACGAGCTCGTGGAGGAAAGTCGAGATCAAGAGGCGGCGACTGTAGTTCTTGTCCCGCAAGAAATGCGATGAGAGAATGATCAGAGTCTCGTAGCCGCCAATGTTGCTTGCTTTCCGCAGCGCCGTGGTGCCGATGATGTTGGTCTGAAATCTAGAGTGGCACTTGTCGGACCATTCCCAGGTGACACGACCCTTGAGGCGCCCACAGAAGAAGAATTCGTTGGCAGCATAGAAGATTCCCTGGATGGCCTCGTCGTCGATCTCGAAATCGGCGCTGCGTGCCTTCGGACGAATCAAGCTCTTCAAAATCCTCTCGTGCTTGGAGTGCCGATTGCGCTTGTGGTTTTCGGCTACATGACGCTCCACGCTGTCCGCCGCCGCCGCATCACTCATATGGTCGTCGCCATCGTCGAATCTGTCCTTCGGAGAGCATGCTGGCAGGGTTGAAGCTTGCTTTGATCTTCTGTCCTTTCTTGCAGGCCGCGTTGTGTTGTCGTACTCGGCCTGGTATACGGCGCTGAAGTAGGATTCCTGTTGCTGAGCGTCGTGACCCTGCTGCGAGCCAGAATGTAGTCCTCGAGAATTTGCAGACAGTGGTGCTGGGGAGCTGCTGTCCTCCCGCAGGATATAAAAGGGTGGTATGTTTTCGACGAAGACCTCTGGATAGACGACATGCCGTGCCCACTTCGATTTTGTCAAGCTGGGCTCAGCATCGTCGTCCTCGGGGCCATAGCGGCTGGTAATGCTTATTCGCCGCTTGCCGCCTTCAAAAAAAATCTGGTCGGGAAGGCCATAGTCGTACGAGATTTCACCCGGACTCGAAAGGCCGCTTGAGGAGCGGGACATGGGTGTGCCTCCTCCGCCAACGTACCAGGCCATCGGACATGCTTGAGCGAGCAGAGGTCTTGTCGGCACGTCGTCTGTCTCGCAACAAGCTGTCGTCGATGAGATGGAACAGCCGTGCACAGAGCCGCGACAATATGAGGTGATTGAACTCAAGGCGGAGTGGGCGAGAAGAAGGGGGGATTACTCTTGCTTGAGTCGAGCGCCGCCCGGGGGAGTGCTGCCACGATAATCAGAGTGGCGGGTGGGCTAGTGGAGGCACGGGCGATGCTGCGACCGGCATTCCAGGGGACCCTTTGAGCCGCGTGCGCTGGCGGTCGCAGAGACGCGAAGGAGCTGCAAGCCGCCTCACTTGTGCTGGGAGAGCCAGGAAGCGAACGCTCAGGCAACGAGGGGTGCCCGGGGCGGAGAAGCAGAGCCAATGTGTTGGTTGGCCTCGACCGAGGCGTGCTGGCGCTGCATGGAAATGCTGGCGGGGCTGCCAGTGGATGATGAGTTGTCGATGCTGCTGCGGCGTGGCGTGTGGAGCACCAGCGAGGGCGCCGCCTTGGACACGCCTGGGTGATCTGCTCACTGCATCCAATCGAGGGACCAAGCGAGGCTCGGCATGCAGGCAGAGGGCCCGGGGAGCAGTCCGTCTGCGATTCCTGGGGCAGATTGATGTCGACAGAGGAAACTGGCGGTCAAAAAAAAAGATGGCAAGAGCAGGTAGCTGATGATCAGGGAGTCAGCTGCTCGTATCAAGCCAGAGCCGGTCCGTTGCCGGCCCCGCTGCGCTTGCAGTAGCTGGTGCGGGTGGCGCTGCTATTCCAGGGCTTAAATCTGGGTCCATGCCTGGGGACGCTCCTCCCGCCTGACTTCTTGGCTTGTTCAGCGATGCTGCTCTGCGTCGTTCTCGTCCTGCGCCCTTGACCGAGTCTTGATATGACCCGGGCAGACCATGGCATCTATCTGCGCAATGAGCCTGGTTACGTCGCCATGAGAACGTAGCTGTGCACGTTTCCAACCACGCACCACGGCAAATCCGCCCTATTGTGGTCTCTCTGCCACTGACCCGCCAAGGGGCTCACAAGGATCAGCCATCTTGCATAGCGAGCGAGGGGGCCCGCTCCAGACTCTCACGCATGGCGACCGTGCGAGTCACGCACATTTCGATCATTTGACTGCGCTCAGTATTGGGAACAAGCGACTTGCGGGGCACCGTGAGGTTCTGTTCCAGCATTCTCGTTGGCTGTACGAACTAATCTGGCAGACTGTCGATAATGCCACTTCTATAATCCTCCGCCGAGGCTGCCGGCGCCGAGCTCTCTCACAAAGTGGACGTCTTGCGCTTGACGCTCTAGTGCGAGCCGCATCCTCTCGCTGTACAACTGCTCAGCTTCCGCGTCAGGATCATCCTTGGTGCCTTCCCAAAAGTCTTCAGCGAAGAACGCAGGCTTTGATGAAAACGTGGCCAGACCAAGCTTGTCACCGGTCCAGAACAGGATGTCGTCGGAATTTGCCTGCGTGTCTTCAGCCACCCCGCCCGATGTCGTCCGGGTCGAGAGTATCTTCATTGCAATGTCGTCAGAGCCAGGCATAGATCTGAATAAAGACGACTGAGAGGCTCGCTCGGACTGGCCAATCTTGTGACGACGGGCTTCGGAGAACCCATCGCGCTCAACCCATTTCAGATAGCCCTGTCCGTCCGAGTAGACGATGCGGTTACCGTGATTTGCACAGTAGAGGACTTTGGCTGCTGCAGCTGTGACGCGATTTCTTATGGGCTTCTGCTGATTCGCGGCACTCGACAAGTGTTTGCTCGAATCAGAGAGCCCGTAGATCTCCAAAGAGCCCTTCGACTTGTACTCGCCACAGGCAATCAGTGTTCGTCCAGCCTCGCGTTTGGCCGCCTGTATCTCATCCTCTGTCAGCGAAAAGCTCCTACGCTCTTCATTGCTGATGTATGACATTGAATATGGAAGTGATGCCATGCTGCATAACTTGGCGCCAGAATAAATCGAGCCCTGGATCTTTGGGAACTGCCTCCGGTCATAGTGAAGAATATTCGAAAACCGGCCGGCGACGAGGAAGTCATTAGATATTTGAGCTGGGCGGCCTGATACCTCGAGGTGCTCTATAGCAATCGGTCCAGGCTGGGGCAGGGCGGCGTATGGGTCTAGATTATGAGATGGTGTTCTGTGGTCGTTCATGTGGAGACCGAGTGTCGTGCCGACAGTGAGGGGAATTCCGGGCTGTATCGACGAAAGAGTATTGATCGAGAAGTCGTACTGCTTCTCACTAATGACTCGCATGACTTTGAGGTCGACCTCGACAAGCACTATGCGCGCATTCCAATAAGCGAAATGGATATGTATGAGTTTGATGGCCTGTAGCACTTACCATGCCCAATCGCGAAGAACGCGATGCCACGATGATCATCCAACGATACGCTTTCCAAGATTCCAGGATCCGTGACAGTCGAACGCCGCGGGTAGCCATGAGGAGGGACATGCTCCCACAGCATACCCGCCTTGCTCTGGGTCACGATACTCCCTTTCCTCCTCACATCGCTGCCCTTCACATCCCACAGGCAGACTGACCCATCTTCGAGTGGACTCACAGCATATGCATGGGCCCCATCGCCAGCGGGTGACGGTGGCCTGTACAAAGCAAGACCCCGAACATCAATCGGCACAGCACAACCGGCAGCCGTTCCCCCGCTGCCGTCTTTCGTCATGGGCTGCTGCGGCCAGTTGACGGCAATGGGCGCGAAACGGTGGATGTACTCATCATACCACCGCGGGTCTTCCTGTGGGAACGTGGTGTCCCAATTCGCGATCACGCGGGCATGCTGCTTGCCCGACAAGGACCGGAGGAGTAGTTGGTCCTCGGCGGAAGCATCATCTCGCCAGGAGTCGCTGGTGTTGACGACGACGTCAAGAGGATTGCTGTTTCTGTGGACGGCGGTGATGCCGTTGCCGGCCTGGTGGCTGCCGCCGCCCACGAGCTGTCTATATCTGGACAGAGCGGCTGGCGAAAGCGCAAGCTGCCGCCAGAAGCTGTTATCTCTGCACAGTCTCAGGAGGTGCTTCGATGTGAGCTGCAGGCTCACGATTGCCGGCGGGTCAAGCCCTGGGTTGTTCGAGTCACGTCAGTGTCCAAGGACCAATATGTACCTGAAGGTGTGGGGGTCCCCGATTATCCCACTTACATGATATGATGCATAGGAGTATCTCCTCCGGTAAAGAGGTCAAGTTATGTCTATGCTTCATCCGGCTTGGTTCTGATTTTCTGGTACTGTCTTGTTTGATGGCTGGGCTTATTGTCGTGAGAGGTCCCGTGCTTCAGCGATACCGGAGAGTGGAGGAAGTCTGCATTCGTTAGCCAGCTTGATGGTTTGCAGATCTTGGAGGGGCGTCTCCACTAAGGTTTTAGTTTTCAGCAGACGATAGAGCAAGGACATCAGATGCCTCAGGCGCTCATGGATTACAGGCGGAGCCGATGCGTACACTTGAAGCACTGAAATGAAGGTTGTAGAGGGTAAGGCTCAGGCCAGCGATAACAATATAGGAAAGTACTCGGTCGTTCCTGATGAGATGTGCTGATGCCAATGCTATTTAGCGGGCACCAGCATGGGTGGGGGTGGGGTCAGGGCCCCTGACGCATGGTGGGGCCGCTCCAAGACGCCACGCGTGCATGCCGCCGGCCGCCCTGGTCTTGCCATCTGGGAAGACTTGGATAACTACGCGTACATTTCTAGAATATTCCTGCCATGAAACCCTTTGATGATACGAACCAGCTTCCTTCGCGCCTGAGCCGTTTTTTCATCTGCTTGCGAGCAGTGCGCTCTTGACGCCCCCGCGGCGAACCTGGTCTTGTCACGCCGTCCGCTGTGGCCAGGCACAGCCTTGCGTGTCGTCTTGGCATTGCTCCGGTCGCCACCTCGTATTAGAGTGCCTTGATCTTACTTGGAGCACCCGGGTATTTTTCCCTGGGTGTAGCTAACCTCGTGCAAGCGTGCACGGAGTAGGATTGTTCGCTATGTCTCCATCCAACATCCATCTACCACCACATCTTCAAAGCTCACACGGAAATTCACAGTTTAATAAATCCGCTTTATTTGAATTCTATGGGAAACCATCGCAATGCTGTCTCATGCTGCCGCCATGCATAGCTCAAGACGCCCAACGACTATGCCACCCTGGCTCAGCATGGAATGCAGATTTCCGGATAGAACAATGCCCGCGTTGTGAAGATCACTTACAGCCAAGATCCCACCAGACTGTCATTGCATTCCTGCTAGCGAGTCATCTTACGCATTCCGTCGGGTTGGGCGTCTCGTCTAGCAGTAAACCCAACCTTGCTGCCACGCCCGGGCTTAAAGAAGCCATATGGATTTGCAGTGACCAGGTTCCGCCTGCGACCAGTATCCCCTCCAACGTTACCCTCGACCGTAAAAGCTCTCAGTTCTTCTGCATCGGCAGCCACGCCTGTACCATTGGGCACATTATTCCCAGGATAACCCACACAAAGTCGTCCTGGAGATACCAGGCATGGGACGGACTTGCCACCGTAACCAAAACCAGTCTGATTAGCTGACTTTGGCTTTGCATCATCCATGCCGCAGGAATGGAAGATGTAGTCTGGCTTGTCTTGCCCTTAGTTCCCGACGACAACTTGGTGAATGCCACGTTTGAGTTCTTGAGGACGATTTCGGGGCCGGCTTGCCCGACGACCTTGTCTGTGGTAAGGTATTGCTACCCTTGACCGCGGCTATCGACGTGACCGACAACACTTGCTGAGGATTGATGTTGTATCTGCCACTGGCGACGTCCTTGTGGAAAGCCTCAACGCGGTCCGCGTCCATTTCCGGCCAGAGCATATCTATGGGCTGCTTTGTAACGTAACGATGCACGCCCATAAGGATGTCTCCCATGATATTGTTGCCCAATACACGGTCTATCATGCTGCTCCAGGCCTTATGCTCCGTATATCCGACCGCCCTTAGGAGGCGTCACCGCGCTATACGATTGCCAGAAATTTGCGACCAGCGTCTGAACAGTTGCCGGTGTTCTGCACGAGCACGAGAAAACATCAAGGAGTACGATCTGGCTATCAAGCCAGTTGACCGCCGTGGTGCCAGTATTAAAAGGCTACCATGGAATCCGAGTCTGTCAGACGATCTGACGGAAACCCGAAGGCCAATCGTCCTTTGAAGCTCGTAGGATGGCGCAGTCTTCAGAGGCGAGTCGTCCCCACTGTTCCGGGACCGAAACCGCCCACCTCGGGCAATCTACAGCTGCAAATATGGGATTGATGATCGACTGTCATTTTCATTATGGTGACGGGTTGTGAGACACGGGGTGTGATTGTTGGCGAGCATGTAAAGTGCTCTCCATACTAATTGTTGCACACAGCCTTAGATGCGTCTCCCAAAAGCTGCCGCCCGAGAGATCTACAGCGTTTCAAGGTTTGAAGCACTCTTTGATGTTTTATATATTCTTTTCATCGGCACAGCAGAGCCTGGCTTGATTGATAGACCACTAGTCTGCCCGATCCGCACTCTTCGCTCCCTTCGTGTCATGCATCATCTTGGCCCTCCTCCTGACCCAGTCGACACAGCTGATCTCGTCGTACTTTTTCACCTCGCCGGGGCCGACGCAGCTGTCGAGCACGCCGCAGCTCTCGTTGAGGTTGAACCCGAAGAAGAAGGGGATGCTGACGCGCTCTTTACCGCTCCAGTTCTGCACGCGGTGCACGGTGCTCACGTACCGGTCGTTGGTGATGCGCTGGAGGTAGTCGGCAATGTTGACGACAAAGGTGCCCTCGACGGGCTTGGCGCTGAGCCACTCCCCGTCGTGGTTGAGGACCTGCAGGCCGCCGACCGAGTCTTGGTACAGACAGGTGAACAACTACGGATCAATGTTAGTATATATATATATATATACATATGTGTGTGTGTGTGTGCGTGTGTTTTTGCAGCCTTCGGCAAAGACTTGTCGGCATTGTTAAACAACATAAATTGCCACGTACCTGGAAGTCGCAATGGGACCCAATCGATACCTTCTCCCCATCATCCATCGCGCTCTCAGCACTCTCCCTGGCCGGTTTCGGGATAGGCGGATAATAGTTCAGCAGCAGGTTCGCGTCCGGGTGGCTGAACTTGTCATCAAAGAAGTGTTCGTCCAGGTCCAGCGACAGCGCAAAGGTCCTGACCAGCGCCCGCGCCATGCGCAGCGCCTGCGTCCAGTACTCGACCAGCGCGGCCTTGAAGCCCGGCAGGTGGCTCGTCTGCTGCCAGTGGAAGTCCTCCATGCGCAGCTGCGCCCGGACCTCGTCGGGGATGTCCTCGAGCTTGCCGCCCACAGAAGGGTCGTAGCGCGGGTCGTACTGCCAGGAGAAGGACTCGCGCACGTCGACGGACTCGGTGGGGTTGAGCCGCTGGGTCGCGGGGGGCTTGTAGCCGTTGAAGAAGGCCGACTGGGACGAGTTTGCGCGCAGCTTCAGGTCCAGCGGCTGGCGGAAGAACTGGAGCGCCGCGTTGTACGCGTTGTTGATGGCGGCCTCGTCGACGCCGTGGTTCTTGATGTAGAAGAAGCCAATGTTTGTGGCGGCGTCGCGGATCTGGCTGGCGACATGCTGGCGGTCCTGCAGGTCCGGCGAGAAGATGCCCGAGACGTCGATGATGGGGATCTCGCTGGGCTTTGCGTCGCGGAGGGGCGACTTGATGACGGTGCGGTAGACGGGTCCGTTGCCAGAGGACAGGTAGAGCTTTGTCGTGCCGTACTTTGCGGCGAGGCTGGCAGCGGAAGTTGGCTCCTCCGTCGTGGTGGTGGTCGTGGTGGTGGTCGTGGTGGTCGACATTATTGTGGTGTTGGTGTCTGGGCACTCGTCCGTTTGCTGCTGGCAGAGGAGAAGGTAGGAGGTGGGTGGTGTCACCGTCTTGCCAGACTTGAGGCTGCACACGTCACAACACGGGAATGCTTGGCATCCTGTGCCATCACCATATTCACAACGCTCCAATGTCAAAGATCCAGGACACAAATCATGAGGTTGATGGTCCATAACCACAAAGCCCCCGCCAGGTTCCGAATCGGAGCTTCAAGCGGCCGGGCGGAGTCGGCCGAGCGTACCCCAAAGTTCAGCTGGTACCCCGCTCAATCACACCCCAACTCCCCTCCCACGCAGTGTACGGCGATGGCCTATCAACGGACGGGTCGCCTGACTCCAGGGCCGGCCGATTTTGTGCTTCGAATCTGCGCCTATCTAAGGGCAGACCCTTGGTGGCCAAGATACTGGTTGGTGTCGCGCTCGGCACCTCGACCATACGAGTTTGGATCGAGATACCACCACGGCATGTTCCGAGGAGAGGATCCAGGCAGGCATCCAGTTTACGAGGAGCTGAATCATTGGCGTGTCGCGCAGAGCCTTGGCAGTGGGCAGTGGGCGGCAGCCCTTGATATCGCGTTCCGAGCGTGGCCTTGGCCGGCTGGCTCACTCCCGGCCTCGGGGGCGCGCGCTCTCGACAATGTCGGGCGCCACTCCGACAATTCCAGGTTGTGGTGGGGCGACGGCCTTTCGTTGCCGGCCGGGAATGCCTTATCAGCAGCAAGGGGTCCCCTCTCCCACTGTTCCGACCCGTCGGGTCCGGTTGGTTGCGGGGGGGCACGGAGCTAGCGCCGAATTAGCCTAGCCCCAGCTGCCCAATTCAATGCCCGAGAGCAGCAGATACGGCAATTATCAAGGCAATTATCAACGAGGCGCGCTTTTTCTCAGCTGGGCCTGCCTATCTGTGATGACGGCCTAGTTTTCAGCTTTGTCTCTATTGTCCATGAACAATGCTCGTGACCGATGCTAGCGCCCTTGCTTCGGAGTCCCACTTGGAGAGGTCTCGTGGCCACCCACTAACACGGACGAGAATGGTAGTCACAAGTATGGTATGCTTCAATGTCTGGACACTGAAAGCATGGAAATGGATCCCTTCACAAATCTGTATTGGTCAACTACTGTCATTTGTAATATCACAATTCAAAGTCGTAACTCTCCGCAGCTGTCCCGGTCCACGTGCTCAAAGTGCATCGGTCAGGTCGCGCGAGTGCAGCTGTCAACCCCACAAATAGACAAATGTTCCGACCTCGAGCCTGCAGCCCAGCCAGCCACGCACGCTAAACTCGGGGAGACGCTAATTTAGTTAGACCTTTGGCTCCGTGACCACCTCGACGCCGGATGCGCTGCCGTTCGACTCCTCGTCGGCAACGTCATTCTCCTTCTTGTGCAGGGCGCGCATCTCCAGCACGCGCACAACGACGACCCACACGCACATGCCAATGACTAGCGACAAGCTGGCCCGGTAGCCCTTGGAAAACTTGGGGGCGTCCGTAACGGGGTACGCCCATTGGCCCATGATGAGGGCGGACACGGCACCGCACGAGTTCATGATAGCAAGAGTCAATGCACGAACTTGGGCGTCGCCGCTCGTCAGGATGTTGGCCCAGGAGTAGTAGATTGGGGAGAGAGGACCGTCCATGCCGGCAAACATGAACGAGACGACCTTCAGCCCGAGAGGGATCTCCCAGATGACAAGGCAGACGGTTCCGAAGATCAGGATGGCGCAGTTGAAGGCCACGGCGTTCATGCGGCAGCCTGTCGCGTCGACATAGGTGAGGAGCAGGAGGAGCATGACAATGTTCCAGCCGTTGATGGCAGTCGGGATGTTGTTGACGTCGTAGACTGACCAGGTCCGAGTTGGGTCGTTCTTCAGGAATAGGGAGAAGACGAGGTTGGCAACCTTTCCAACCGTAGTGTTCCAGAACCTGTGTGTGTGCACATTAGCATTTTCGCTCCCTGTCGAAACACTTGAGTGTAGAGTATTGATTCAACGTACATCCACAGGATTGTCAGCACATAGACCTGCCAGGTCCTGAGGGTCCGGCTGAACAGATCCCAAGTGAAGCTGTTCATCTCCGTCCGGCCGTCCTCGGCAAGGCGCTCGACGCAGCGCTTTCTCTCGTCCTGGCTGAGATAGAAGGCGTTTGTGGTGTATGGCGTATCCGGGAACACAATGTAGCCATAGAGGGCGACCGCGAGAGTAATGATGCCGTCGATGATGAAGACCCAGCGCCAGGCCGCAATGCCGTTTCTGCCATTCATGGTCGCAAGCAGCGCCGATTGAAGGAATCCACTGACGAGGGTGGCCACGTATGCGGCAACGGCAAAGATTGCTGTGCGTTTTCCAATCTCGCTTCGCTTGTACCAACTGCCGAGGACATATTGTACGCCGACGAAGCAGGATCCCTCGAGGAAGCCGATGAAGAAGCGAAGGGGGTAAAGCTGGTTGACATTGGTGACGGCGTAAGTTCCGATGGTAAGAATACCCCAGAGGAATTCGAGTCCAGGAAGAAGCATGCGAGGGGGAATCCATGTGAGAAGAAGGTTGGCGGGGATCGGGCCCAGAATTTGGCCGACTTGGAAGCAGGTGGTGGCGAGGTTGAGCTCGGTTCCAAACATGGACAAGTCCTCGCGCATGCCCGAGACGTAGGCATTGTTAATGTTGGACTGGTCGAGCCATTTTGTGAAGAAGGCCAGACATCCGTAGGAGAGGACTGTGATTCTTTTGTGTTAGTTGTGGTGGTTGTGCTGGGGGATCCACAACAATGAGCTTACTGAAGAAATCTAGCTTGTGCAACAGCTTCTTCTCGGCCGAGGTTGTGCCCTTGGGGTACCAGATGAAGAAGTCCGGGCGGTCTTTGCCGTAGGACGACCTGAAGAGGTTGGTTGCATAATAAGAAAGTGACAAAGCCATGGTGACGAGAGCCGAGCCTGGGCTTCTGAGCAGAGGATGACCAAGAGGACTGAGTTCCACTCTGACAATTCTGTGATCCAAGGCAGGGAGCACGAGAAGAACAGGGCGGAGCTGTCGCCCTTGATATGAAGAAATCCCGAGTCGCTGGACGTCGTGCAAGTTGCCTCTCTTATCACTCGGGGCTGGACTAGCGGGCATCGAGGCCCCTAGACAGCGGGGCCCGGGGGTCCGCTAGTCATGGAGCACCCCAGTCTCGCGTGCCCTGGACCGCTGGCAGAGTGGACCGCAATTTTCCCGGCAGCTCTTGGTGGTTGGAGACAGGCCGTCCGTCGGAAGATGGCCCACGCGACCCGACAGATAAGTCGAGTCGAGATGGGTCTGGCGACAAGACCAAGCGTGTTCCGGTCAGTCCATTCCCTCTATTGCCTCATGACCTCGAGTCAACTAGCCAAGGCCTTGGTTCTTCAGCTGCCAGCCCTTATCACGGTAGCCCGTGGTGGCTTTTGCCACGGCGCTGGCTGTGGGAATAATGATGATGATAATGAGCTTGGTCGGAGGAATATCCGAAGGACGCCACCCATTACCACACACATTGTCGCCAGAAGATTTGGAGATAGATAGACAATCAGAGGGGTGCGTGATCCGACGCAGCGCTGCTCCGAGCCAAGCCAGGGTTGGCCCACCGAAGCCGCCGGCTTCGGGCGAGGTTCTTCGGGAGCCGGCAGGGTGGGCAGTCGGGCGGGGTCCCAGCGGGCACCGGTCGTCGTACCATCGCAACTCGACGGTGGACGACTTGGGCCAGGCCACTTTAAAGCACAACAGAGCCGGCTTTAGCATGTGGCCGGCCGGCCCTGTATACACCTCTGTCCGTTTGTGCCCAGATTGTCGCGACTGCAACAAAGAAAGAACCCGTGAGCAGGCAGGAACCCGTCTAGCTTCCAGGAACCACAACCAGACGCAATAATGGCCGACGTACTCCCGGCGCCCGCTGCTGGCGGCGCACACTCTCAGGTGCCCATGACAGTGAGTCCGACCACAGGGAAGGAACTGCCCACCGCAACACTGCCCACCACAATAATGCCCACCATGATAGCCAACATGATCAAGCTGCTGTACATCCATCTCCCAAAGCTGACTCGTGTGTTGTTCTCCCTGCAAGGACAAGAAATACGTCTACTTCCACTCCGGAGCCGAGGCGACTTACAGAGAGGTCTCGGACAACCCGTCGTCTTTCACCAGCATCCCCACCATCGACCTCGCAGACCTCGACAGTGGCTCCCTCGAGGACCGCAAGCGCATCGCAAAGGAGATTTACGATGCCTGCCATCTCTGCGGGTTCTTCTACATCAAGAACCATGGCATCCCCCAGAGCGTGGCTGACGACGCCTTCGCCCTCCTCAAGCGCTTCTTCGCCCTGGACACCGAGACCAAGATGAGCGCCCATGTAAGTAGATTGCCCACCTGGGTGCTGCAAGAAATGACTGGATGGCGATTGCTGACGGCAAGGCACAGGTACAAAAGAACCCTGCAATCCGTGGCTATGAGCCCATGATGGAAACACAACTGGACGCCAGGTAAGTCCACACAAAAGAGACCGCAACCAACGACAAACACACAACAATTTCTGACCATGTCACTACAGAACTGCCGGAGGTAATGCACCATGAGCCCAAGGACTTCCCATGCAACATTCGTCTATACGCAAATCCACTAACTCTCTCCTGCGTGTCTTCGAACCCAGACGTCAAGGAGGCCTTCACCATGGGCGACTGCGTCCTCGAGCCGGAGCAGGACTACGTCGGCAAGACCAGCCAGCAGCCCCCGGCCAAGTTCAAGCGGCCCCAGAACATCTGGCCAAAGGACGTCCCCTGGTGGCGCGAGGGCATCTACAAGTACTACAACAGCGTGTACCCGCTGGCCATGAAGCTCGTCCGCGTCTTCGCCCTGGGGTTTGGCCTAGAGGAGACCGCCTTTGACAAGGACTTCCGCTTCCCCATCACGGGCATGCGGCCTCTGCACTATCCGCCAACGCCGGTGGACAAGGACGAAGCGAGCGTCGGACTTGGCGCACATGCAGACTTTAGCTGGTGAGTCTTTTCTTAAAACCTTCCAAACTTCTGGCGATATGCAGTCATCCTTGACGACAGCAACCACAACGACGACAATCACCACAACAAACGCCAGAAACATGCCCCTTTATTGCAAGAGAGCCTGCTAATCAAAGTTCCAATTTTCTTTCTCCAACAACAGGCTCACCCTCGTCCTCCAAGAAGAAGGTGTCCCGGCCCTCGAGGTTCTAAACCAGGACGGCATCTGGGTCGGCGCCCCGCCCGAGCGCGGCACCTTTGTCTGCAACGTCGGGCAGTACCTCGAGCGCCAGTCCAACGGCCGCTTCCCCGCCACGGTCCACCGCGTCCGCAACATGACGGGCAAGGAGCGCTACTCGCTGCCCTTCTTCCTGACCCCGGACCCGGACGTCAACCTCGGCGTCCTCGACTGCTGCCGCGACCAGCAGGACGGGTCGGCCGAGGGCGGCAGTGGCGAGGACAACAAGGCAAAGTACGAGCCCATCAATGTCGGAGATCTGTACATCAGGCGCATCCTGCCCGCCCGGAAGAAGCACCCAACCAGCATCAGGAACATCAATGTGCCCCAAGAACAGTGGAGCTATGATATGTTGTTGCAGTAGGGGGAAGAGAGCATTCGAGATCGTGTATGAGCAGTCTGTTTTTATATATAGAATGGGCGCACCGAAAATTAAGACAATACTATTTTCTGAACTACTACTACTACCACTACTACGGTTCCCTACCAAGATCTCATGAGTGACACCCGCTCCTTTGCTCCCCGCCCAAGATATTGATCCATCAGGGTTGAAGGCTGCTCCTGCTCTTACGTTTTTGACTATATCTGCAGCTGCCTCCTCATTGTCAGCCGTATGTTTCTTTTAACATAGCACAGAATGGGCGCAAAAGGAAGAAAAACTATTGGGATCTTGCTCGTCAAAACGCCTCTCTGTAAAATCACTTATGTACACGACCATTCAACACATCAAGAAAAGCCCACGCAAAACCAGCACAGCTTATACCCTCGGGTCCGGCACAGGGGTCGGCACGACACGACGCTTTTTGGGCTGCGAATCGGCCACGTCCTCCTTCTCGCTTTCGCTGGCGTCTCTCTTAACACCAACAACAACAGACGCACCGCTCGCTGGCGTTTCCGGCGGCGTGGTGAGTGGGATACCAGTCACCTTGGCCGAATTAGTCGCAGCAATGCTCGGAACTGCGCCACTGATGAGATGAGGACCGGGGATGGGCGTCGACAAAGTTGCGACCGAGGAGGCAGAGTTTGATCGGGTTGGCGACGGCGGACGCGCGCTAGCAGTGGCTGGGGGTGAAGGTGCGGTGAAAGAAGTCGCCGAATTGCGATGGTGGTGTGTCGGGCGCGGCGAGGGAGGAGCGAACCTTGTGGCCGACGCAGGCACTGGGGTCGTCTGGGTCCTTGCCGTCGCGAGCTCACCCGTGTAAGCCTGGCCGAGCTCGCCAGGCGTAAACGACAATGTGGAGCAGAAGCCGTCCGAAGACGAGATCAGCAGCGTCGAGCCATCGCTTGACCATGTCAAGTCCGTAAATGTGGCCAGATGAAGATTGCTAACAATGCAGAGAGGTGTTGTTTGTTGTGTGTCGTACAGCAGGACAGCATCTTGTGTTGCTACAGCATATACCATGCGGTATGGCAACGTAAACGTTGGCTTGGGCGGGGCATTCTCTGCCGAGGACGACTTTGCCGGCGTGGCCGGCTTCTCAGGGTCTGCCGTGGCCGCAGATGTGGGCGGCGGTGGCGGATCCATGACAGCAGGAATTTGTTTTGACACGGGCTCGGGCAAAGACAGAATGGGACCTTCCGCAGAGGACGTGTCTATCGTGATGTTTCTGGTCACAGGGGTCGATGTTCTCAATGTGTACAATACAGGTGAGCACTTGATGGCGACCGAGGGTTTCTTGTGGCCAGGAAGATGTGCGATTGGTGGTTTGTTGATCCCGCCCCGAGTGTAAATGTACACTGTGTTGATGATATCGTAGGAAGACCTGCCGGTGTCACCGCTGGTCTGGTGAGCCTGATACTGGCCCGCTGGTGTCAGCAGTAAGGATCCATCAGGGGTGAAGCAAAGCCGCCGAAAGAAAGAGGTCAAGGTCTCATTTGCGTAGAGGCTGGCGTTCTTGACACCACTGAAAGAGTGGCTATGGCTAGGCTTGGGCGAGGGCTCCATAGGCATGACTGCAGGAAGTGGTAATGATGGAGCTGGCGACATTGATCTTCTTGATGAGAACGAGGAGCGTCTGCTGTGGCTCACGACGCTGGGTGGGTTCATGGGGAGCGCGACAGACTGTGGCGTGCCTGGCTGCGATGGCACTGGCGATCCTAGCGACGCACTAGGAGTGTCGCCTGCTCCTGCCAATTGCGAGCGGTAACCACTGAGCTCCGACGGCGCCGGGCTACCAGCAGAAATGCGTCTTGGCGGCAGGTCCATCTTCTGGTGGCTGGCGATCTTGGTGGTCTTCTCGTCGTGGTTGTTTAGTGTGTAATGTCCGTCTTTTGTCTTCAAAGAGTAGATGTGGACGGAGCGGTCGGACGACTGCGTTGCAATGTATTCATTCAGAGGATCCCAAGTAACACCCTGCACGTAGTGGCTGTGCTCGGCAATCTGGCGGACGAGCGAGCCAGTCCCCGCATTGTAGATCCGAGCGACATTGTCCATGCTGCCGATGATGAAGTAGGAGGCGTCAGGCGACCAGGCCAGATCGTAGATCTCAGAACCGGTCGGGCGGAACATGTGCTTCGTTCTCCATGTTTCCTTGTCTTCGAGACCCTCATTGCCAAAGGTCGGATGATGCGTGTCTGAGGGAACCCAGAGAATGACATTGCCGTCGTCGCCAGCAGAAGCAAGAATCTCGCCTGTATGTGAGCTATCGTGTTAGCATTGCAAGTCAATTCCCAGTATAGCTCAACTCACCTTTGGGAGCCCAGCGAACCACATTGACAGCCTGTGTGTGCTTCGTGAGCGTTGACAGATACTCGGCCTGCCTGTCCTCGCCTTCGCCCGTAATCTTCCAGATGCGAACGTTGTTGTCCCCACCTCCCGTCGCCAGCCGCTCTTTCCCATGTGGTTCAAAGTGTGCAGAGTATATCGGCGAGTTCTGGTCGTGCCAATTGATGATCAGAGGAGTCGCCTTCATCGTGGCGGATTCGCACGAGGCATCAGCCCCCTTCAATTGTCTGTGAGATTCTGTCGAAGTGGTCGTGCTGGGCTCGGTGAAGTCGACGTGGATGCCGAGTGAGGAGTCGTCTGCGTCGTTGGCTGATGTCGATATCGAGGCTCGCTCAATTGGGCGTGGTCACGTCGATGGTGGAGGAGACGATGCTTCGTTGTGTGGTGTGTGGACTGATCGAAGCTCAAGGTCAGTCCGGATAGCTGTGGCGCCCGAGGTGATGGTAATGTGTTTTGGCGGCAGGGCAAGCTGAGGCAGGTGTTCCGGGTTAGATGAGGACGAGGCAATTGGGGGTACTGACTGGAGCTGCCCACGCGAGGAATCTGCCAACGTAAGGTTTGCTTCTTTTGCGTTATTGGATTGCCGGGGCTGGCCTGGAAGTGAGGTTGTCGTGGGCGACGGGCCGTGTGGTTGGCAGCTTGCACCTCGACGGGTGGACCTCCCGCGTCCCGGTCGCCCACGGGTGGAGCTGAGGAGCCCGGTTGGAACACTGTAGCTATCGCTCAGTTATCGGGGGGCGGCCACAGCGGGTATCGGCAGGGCTGTGGCTGCTTGGCGGGGGGCACCTTAGCCTTTGCAAACCGCGCAACGTGGGATGGGATCCTGCTCCGCAATCGCCAGGGCATCGTTACAGCTCAACGCTGACGACTGGGCTGACTTTGCATTAAACGGGTCGAGTCATTGGCCGCATCCTTGACCTGCTGCAGAGTAGCAGGAGTCATCTCGAGGCCATAGTGCAGATGTAGTCTCTGGCTTGAAGCTTGATCATCGCTGACCTCTTGTCGAGTTGTTTTCGGCAAGCCTGGAAGACACCAAGCTCGACACACCTCAACCCACCCTAACAAACCAGGACGCAGCAGGCGGCTCAAGATAAACTTGGAAGGCTGGTCTGGGCATGGAACTATCGCAACCTTGAGCTCGCTAACTCGAGGCGATGCATCTCGCTACTTCCCAGCCTGGCCAGAGGGAGGGCCCCGCTCGTGGCAAGTACCAGACGCAGACGTGCCTGCAATTGTGGATGACCATGCGACCCCGAGCCCAGCCAATCCCCACGGCCCGGCAAAAGACCTTCAGACGTCTGAAGCTCCAAGCGCACCGGCGCGCCGCCCCCCGTCTCGCATGCGACCCCCATGGTAGCTAATCAGATCAATAGCCAGATGCTGCTGCTTTCTTGTCATTGCTGCCGCGTGCGCAGGTTGATGGCTGTCACTCCGTCGCAAACTGCATGCAGCTGCCTGCTTCTGGCACTTCAATTGCACCTCTGACTGCCTGCCTGCTTGCCTGCCCACAATGCAGCTTCGAATTCGTCAACCTCCCCATGCAGACGCATGTCATTCTGACGGGACGGCATGGCGGTGCTCGCGGGAGCAGCCGTGGCACAGCAGATGGCAGAGATCTCCGTAACGAACTCGGCACATGAAGCAACAGGTTGCGCCTGTTTCTACACCTAGGAAATGCGAGTTCCGGTGCGCGGCAGAGCCGTCAGGAGGACGGCTACAGCAATCGCCAAGCCCTGCGACCTTCCTCATCGCGATTGTGCGGCTGGGAGCATTCTGCCAGGATGTGTGAACGTTTGGCGCAGCCCCTATGCAGGCGGAGCGTCGGGGGGCCCTCCTTCCCAGCACATACACACATGCACGCAGAGGCCATATCACCAGCCGGCAGCCAGTATCTCCACTCGTGTACACCGCTCAAGCTGCAGTCAGATTGCGGACATTGAGGGTGTCCAAGGTGACAACGGGCACGCAAGTGGCGGGGTCCAGGTTCCTGTCTCAGGGTGTGCTCAACCCCGGCCAGGGCCTGGGAAGTGTCTGGTGGGCACTCCCGGATCCCAGGGATCGGGCTCTTTCGTCCGCGGGCGAGGCGGGTCGTTGAACGCCAGAAACCAGAGTGATTGGGAACGCTGTTGTGATGTTGTCATGAACTAGTGAGCCTGCATCGCAAGAGAGCGTGTTCGTTGTACAAGCTCGGTTCAGGTCTCCCTCTACCCCAGGCCCAACAGCAACCCACAAGGTAGACCAGACCAGCTCGCTGCCGTAATAGCAAACGACCGGATAGCGCCTCTACTAGGGGTTCAATCATGGCTGAGAATGGGGGACATTGCTCCTGGTCAACCTAGCAGGAAGGGTAGGTCTCCATGCACGAGCTAAACCGTGCAAGTGGAATATGAGTCAACCGGGCAGTATCTCTCGACACCCACTCGAGTATATGTGATGGTGGCAGCGTTCTTATACGGACACCACCACGAACTCGCCAGGCCTCATGTCGGCACTGGGGTGGCCGAATCGAGGGTTCTACCCCGCTTTGTGAAGGAGGGCTTTGCTGCCTGGCAGGCAGGCAGGCAGGTCGGTGGTGAGTCTTTCTGTCTGACGATAGGCTGTACGACGAAGCCTATCTCGATGTGTTTGGCGCAGCGTGCCTTTCTTGGCCTGACGAACAGCAGGAGAATCACTGGATCCACGGGCGGCCGAGTGGTTTGTCATGAGTCGGGTATACGCAGGACATGGGCCTACCCCCTAGCCCAGCATGGTAGGTAAGCCGCAAATGGATGGACTCCTGATGAGCGAGGACGAACGTCCTGGCCGGCGTTCTCCTTTCTGACGCGCCAGGCCTGCCTGCCCTCTGCGAGCAGGGTCCAGATCGGCACGAGGCGCGCCAGCCAACCACGGCGCGCGAGGCCCGCCCGGCGGAGGCTGCTGCTCGCACTTTGTTGCTGCTCGCACTTTGTTGCTGCTCGCCGGTCCCGTTTGGTGCCTAGCGCCGTGCCGCTCGGCGGGGGCCGCGCCTGCACTGCAGCGCCTGCACCCCGGGCGGGTCTGCTGGTGACTAATTCCTCGTCATATCTCTTCACGGCCTTCCGCTTTTTTTCCCGGGCCTGCTGTGAGATTCCTTCCCATGTGCCTTGTATTTCGCATCATATTTCCTGTCAGACCTGCTCCCGCCGTCCCGGCCAGAGTCTGATCAGCCAGGCGTTGTAGACCTCCGCGATTTGCACCATTCATCAGCAGTCCTTGTATTCTTGCACTGGTGGACAGCTCGGCACTTCACTTATTCCTGCGTGTCTCGCTCGCAGCGGGCCCTGCCGCGCCTTGCAGCGCCTCTCACTTACACCGCGACATCGGTCGCCAAAGCTGCCGACTGACCAGCAAGCGCCGTCAGCAGTTGGCTCAGGCTATAAGGCTTCCGGCATTCTGGCATTTCTGTTTTTGTCCAGTGTAGAACTTCATCCCAAAGGACCAGGCTTTTCGCGATAAGAGCATGGCGCCCCAAAGTACTCTCCTGCTGGCAACTTCGGCTGCCGGCCTTGGCGTCGTGGGTTTGCTTTCGATACCTGCAGCCCTCAACATCCTTGAGCAGCTCCACAAGAAGGAACCTTACGACCCCGACACCGTGTACGAGGACGCAGATGGCAAAAGCACTCCCGAGGCAACAAAAGCATTCAGTGCAAAATGGCCAAAAGCCTTTATCCTCTTCTTCTCAGCTGCCGGGCTGCTCGTCTCCATTGCTCTGGGCGTACTTGCCATCATCAGTGACAACAAACTCGCGAATACGCTCTTTCTGGAGAATTGGCTCTGTGTCGGCACATGGGTAAGACCTCCCTTGCAGCTGTAGAATTATCCCTCCGCGTCATGGACAAACGGTATACTAATCTTTCCATAAACAGGCCCTTCTCTTATTTCAGGCCATTGCCATCGCTTCGGCACGCTCCTCTGTCGTGGCTCACGACCTTGGTATCTACTCCATGCTAGCAAGCGTCGCTTTGCTCGTTGTCCGGGTCATTCAAGACAACCAAGTTGGCGAAACTCTGCTCAAGCACGATATTACAACATTTGCTATCCGGGTGGCCGAGATTGTCGTCGTGGTAGCTCTCGGCTTCTCAAGTCTTCAACTGCCTAGGCGTCCTGACGTCTATGACGGTGACCAAGTCATTGATCGTTCCCTGACCCAGTCCGCATGGAGCCGGTACAACTGGAGCTGGGCCTTCAACGTCTTGCAAGCCGCTAAGGAGAAGAACAACCTCGATATGAAGGACTTGCCGCGGCCGGATCACTACACCAGGGCAAGACCCGCGACTGAGGCGTGGGAGAACCGCGGTTTCAAAGGACCCCTGTGGCTTTCCATCATCAAGGCTCACAAGGGAACCTTGGCCCTTCAATGGTTCCTTACATTGTGTACCTCTGTGCTCAACTTTGCTCCGCAGTGGTGCGTCCTCCAGCTGCTCCGCATCCTTGAGCGCCGAACCAAGGAATCCGATGCACTTGGCTACGATGCCTGGATGTGGGTCATCTGGATTGGAGTGACTATTGTGCTCCAGTCCTGGGTTGAAAGCCACGTCTTTTGGTTATCCTATGGCCAACTCTGCGTCAAGGTTCGCGCAGAGCTCTCAGCGCTCGTCTTCAAGAAGTCTATGAGACGCAAGGATGTCAAAGAGGCCAAGAAGAAGAGCACTCCAACGACCAGTACCCCCGAGCTTACCGTCACCGGACCGGCAGGCGTGTCTACCAGCGTTGACACCCCCGAGGTGGCGTCTCCTGCAGACGAAGAAGAAGAGGAGGATCCCGAGCAGCTCAAGAAGAGCAAGCAGGGCACCGTCAACCTGATCGGAGTCGACGCCAAGCGTGTTGCCGACTTCTGCGCTTTTGCCAACTACTTTCCCGGATCTCTCTTCAAGCTCATTGTGTCACTGACGTTCCTCCTCGACCTTCTTGGCTGGAAGGCCCTCGTTGCTGGTTTCTCAACCATGATTGCTGTCATGCCGATCAACATCTACTTCTCGAAACGATACTCTGACGCCCAGGATCGCCTCATGAAGGTGCGCGACACCAAGTTGGAAGTCGTCTCAGAGGCGCTCCAAGGTATCCGTCAGATCAAGTTTGCAGCTCTCGAGCCGCAGTGGGAGGACAAGATCAGCAAGGTCCGCGAGAGAGAGCTGTCTGCCATCTGGTACGCGTTCATCAACGACTGCATGCTTATCGGATGCTGGATTTGCTCGCCCATCATGCTTGCCGCTGTATCTTTGGCTGTGTATGCTTATGTTCACGGCTCTTTACTTCCATCCGTGGCTTTCGTCAGTCTCGGTGTATTCAAGGCGCTCGAAGTCACTCTCTCGGTCATTCCCGAGTTGACCACGGACGCTCTGGACGCCTGGGTCTCGGTCAACCGCATTGACACATACCTGAACAGTGCCGAAGTCACCAAGATCAGCAAGGATGCCGAGGAAATCAGCTTCGACAATGCTTCCATTGCCTGGCCGTCCGACGATACTGAGGAAAACCCCGACCGCTTCATACTTCGCAACATGAACTTCACTTTCCCCAAGGGTGAACTGTCCGTGGTCTCTGGCAAGACCGGATCCGGCAAGAGTCTCCTCCTTGCCTCGATCCTCGGAGAGGTTGATCTCCTCGAAGGCTCCATGAGTGTCCCCCGCGCACCGGCTATACAGGACCGCCACGACCACAAGGCCAACAAGGATAATTGGTACATTCCTGGCTCTATTGCCTTTGTCGCCCAGATTCCTTGGATCGAGAATGCCACTGTGAAGGAGAACATTCTGTTTGGTCTTCCTTTGGACGAGGAACGTTACAAGCTGACGGTGGAGGTCTGCGCGCTCACTAAGGACATCGAAATGTTCACCGACGGAGACAGGACTGAAATTGGCGCCAACGGCATCAACCTCAGCGGTGGACAAAAGTGGCGCATTACCCTCGCCCGAGCAATGTACTCCCGTGCTGGCATCTTGGTTCTCGATGACATCTTCAGCGCTGTGGACGCCCATGTTGGGCGCCATATTTTCGAGGCATGTTTGACTGGGGAGCTTGGAAAGGGCAGAACCCGCATCCTCGTCACCCACCACGTGGCCCTCTGCGAGTCTAGGACGAAATATCTCGTCGAGCTTGGCAATGGCGTTGTTCTCAATGCTGGCCCAGTGGAAGAGCTGAAAGAGGATGGCACGCTGGCCAAGATCAAGAGCCATGAACAGTCTCCGCGCGAGATTCAGGAGGATGAGGACATGACGGCTGTCAATTCGGAAGAGGTTTCTGTCAACGACGCTGATGGTACCGAACCCCTCGTCAAGGTGCCCTCAAAGACTCCCGAGGCTCGCAAGTTTGTCGAAGAGGAAGCACGCGAGCGTGGAAGCATTAAGAAGAAAGTCTATGCCACATATCTGCATGACAGTGGCGGCTGGCCCTTCTGGACTGGTGCGGCTGTCATCTTCCTTGTAGTCATGGCTCTGGGTTTGGGCCGCTCGTGGTGGCTAAAGGTGTGGACCGATTCATATGAAGAAACCGAAAGCATTGACGTGCATTCCAACGGCAGCCACGACTACTCGTACGCCTCGCAGATGATCCTCAAGGAGTCGACCCTTCATCTCCTGTCGAAGCCCATCATCCCTGTGGAAAACGACGACAGCCTGACCTTCTACCTGGGCATTTATGTTCTGCTTGCCGGTGTTACATGCATCATCAGCACGTCAAGATGGTACTACGTTTTCAGCGGCTCAATCGTTGCTTCCCGCACTCTGTTCGCCAAGATCAATTTCGTCGTCCTTCGCGCACCTCTCCGATGGCTCGACACTGTCCCTGTTGGCCGTGTCCTGAACAGATTCACCGCAGACTTCCACTCGGTTGACACACACCTTGCCTACGCCCTTGGTTTCGGCATTGGTGCCATCCTGAACCTGGTTGCCGTCATCATTGCCGGACTGTTCGTTTCTCCCCTCCTGATCCTGCTTTCCTTTGTGCTGCTCGCAATCTGCTTGTGGTACGCGCTCTTCTATCTCCATGGAGCACGACCGGTGAAACGTCTCGAGAGCACAGCCAAGTCCCCTGTTTTCGAGCAGTTCACTTCCGCACTGACAGGTGTCACGACAATCCGCGGCTTTGACAAGTCCGATGTCTACATCGAGCGCATGTTCAGGAAAATCGATGACTGGTCGACCTCGTCATGGCACCTGTGGCTGTTCAACCGCTGGATGGGCTGGCGCATGTCTGTCGTCGGCTCCTTCTTTGCCAGCTTTGTTGCTATCCTGATCCTGCTCACTCCGGACATGCATGCCTCGCTCGCTGGCTTCGCTCTCGCGTTTGCGCTCGATTTTTCGGCCAGCGTGATGTGGACTATTCGGCACTACGCCACCATCGAGCTCGAGATGAATGCCGCCGAGCGCATCGTCGAGTACACGGAGCTCCCGACCGAGAAGCTCGATGGCGATAATGCGCCCGCCACCTGGCCGACCGAAGGCCGTGTCGAGCTCAACGATCTCGTGGTCACCTACGCCGACGATCTGCCGCCGGTTCTTAAGGGTCTGACCTTTTCCGTCAATAGCAATGAGCGTGTCGGTGTCGTCGGCCGCACGGGTGCTGGCAAGTCGTCCTTGACTCTGGCTCTCTTCCGCTTCCTCGAGGCCAAGGGAGGTTCCATCCACGTCGACGGCCTCGACATCTCCAAGATCAAGCTGCACGACCTGCGCAGCCGATTGGCCATCATCCCGCAGGATCCGGTCCTCTTCTCGGGCACGGTGCGGTCCAACCTCGACCCGTTCGACAACCACACCGACGAGGAGCTGTTGGACTGCCTCGCCCGTGTGCACCTCATTTCGGAGGACGAGACGCGCCCGCCAAGCGGCGCCGAGACCCCGGGCGTCCCGTCCTCTGGCACCGCCACCCCAACGACCGCAGCGGCGCCCAAGAAGAACACCAACATCTTCCGCAAGCTCTCGTCGCCCATTTCCGAGGGTGGCCTGAACCTGTCCCAGGGCCAGCGCCAGCTCCTCTGCCTGGCTCGCGCCATCGTCAGCAGGCCCAAGGTCATGGTCCTCGACGAGGCGACCAGCGCCGTCGACATGAACACCGACGCGCTCATCCAGCGCAGCATCCGCGAGGAGTTTGGCGGCAGCACACTGCTCGTCATCGCCCACCGCCTCAGCACCATCGCCGACTTTGACCGCATCCTCGTCCTGTCGGACGGCAAGGTCGCCGAGTACGGTTCGCCCAAGGAGCTGTGGGATCTCAAGCCCAAGGATGGCGGCGAGTTTGGCATGTTCAGGGCCATGTGCGAGGAGAGCGGTGAAAAGGAAAAGCTGCGCAAGATTTGCCTTGGTCTGTCTGAATAGATGACCTACAGTGATAAGAGGGAGTTTGAATGCTGGGTTTGGGGGAGCAGAAAATTTTGATTACACGCTCATCTGTTGGATAGATCGCATTAGCCTGTTGTTTGCATGGCCTGAAGTATAGCGCTGAAGTACCTTGGACATGCGTAGATCCGCTTGCTTTTAGAATCACGTAAAACAACACTACATGAGTTAGATATTTTAGTGCTTTCTACATCTCTTCTGATCTTCTTGGTCGTCGTGCCTACATCGTCTTCAGTGCTTGTGGGCGAGTAGGTTGCCCTAACAGCAGATGCCCGGCGCCACCATTCATCGCCTCATCCAGGACAGTTTCCCTCTCGCCATAGACCACTGTAAAAACCGAGGCACAGAGTGCAACCTTGAACAAGCTCAGTTCGCCCCTGAACCGCGCCACAGTCTACAAGCCCTGGCTTTTGATGACAAAATACACGATAAGTGATGCCATACATCCCGTATACACGATGCACTCGGCAATAAACATGGTCTGAATGATCCGTTTCTGTCGCTTGGTCAAGCTGTGAGCCTCGCCCTTGGTAATCCAGGAGAGGGCTTCATCGAAGACGCCCATGAGAACCAACAGGGAGAAGAAAGGGAATATCGACAGGACAACCATCGTGTAGAACCAGCATTCTCGTCGTGCCCTAGACTTGTAGGATATCTCTTGATTTCCAATAGGGGAGAACAAGGCTCGCCTGCCACTGAATGGACTGCCGTTTCGATCATCACCGAGCTCTAGATTCTGATTTCCAATCCAGGATCGATCATACTGTTGATCCACATTGCCACTTGTCATTGGGGTGGCAGGGGATGTGCCGGAATGCTCGTTCAATAACAGAGCTCGGTCGGAGGTGGGCGATACGACACTGCATCCGACCAAAACCGCCGAGTTCGGACCTGACGGCGAATGAGTGAATGCCTGAATATAATGCATGGAACTAACTGACCTCGTGGGGTGCTTGAGGTGTGCCAATTTGAAGACACATCGCGAAGACGGGCTGCTGTCGGTGGTGAGATGACATTCGCGGCTGATCTGAAGGTAAATGATGGTCGTTTACAGCCTTTTCCTGGTTGAGGGGTCTTCACGCTCTCTTCCGCTTTGCCACTCTCACGCTGGCCGGCAAGTCGCGTCCGCGCATTGCCGAGGGGAAGGAGCTCAAAGCCAAAGCGGAAGTTAGCACTCATCGCAGACTCTTCCGAGCCGTCGAATGATACCGGGCTTCGCTGTGCGAAGTCGTTGTGGGCGTCAGTCTGTCTCAGAGAGTCTGGCGCTGGTGTATATGTGCTGAGGGGTGTGTTGCGGCCGTTCGCAGAAGACGGCAGATCTGGCAGTATAGCATGAGTCCCCAGCGTGTCCGACCCATCAGTTGCTTTGTTGCTTGCGAAGGCGGGCACATACTCTGACAGGGAGTCGCGAAAGTCGTATTTTGAGCGGAGCTGGTGAGGTCCGAATTGGAAGTGGTCATCTTCATGAGCACGGCTGTACGAGGACCGGGAAAAGGGGTTGACCAACGATGTCGGCTTCTCTGAAAATGCTTCCTGTCGACTGTCGGCCAGTCCACGAAGCGAGTTTAGTGGGAATCCATATTTCGACCTTCTCTTGCCAGGGAGCAACACCTGCCGTTTTGTGTCCTTGATATTCCGTACATAGAAATCGCTTGGCGCCTTGCTGGAGGCCGGATGCTGGAGCACCAAATCCTTGGCACCGAAAAGATGGACAGCACTGTCCCCATCTGAGAGGTTGGCAATGCTGCTACCAGTCATCTGGACACCGCCCCCGAAAAGGGCGTCTGCGGTCCCGGACTCTCTGTCAAAGTTACTTGTTGCCACAGTCACCCAATCGCCTCCATTGGTTTCGTCCCTGTGGAAGTCTTGCTGAAACAAACCATGCTTTCGAGCGGTTGGTCCAAGGTCTCCGACTTGGTCTAGTGTTTCGAGGTCTGCGCCATTGTCCTGAGCACGGCCTTTGATCACAACTCTTATGTCGCGGGTGGTTGTTTCTCGGTCCGCCAACGTCTTGACAGCGGCGGGGTCAAAGAAGCTGCTGCCGACGTCGTCCCATTGAGAAGAGTCGCTCAGGCTGGAGACCTCACAGTCGGACTTGGCTGGGTGGCGATCCATGCTATTCTCGGGTTCTGTGAGGTTGAAGCCACTCAAGTCATTAAGTGCCGTGCTGACATCTCTCTCTTTGATAGACCGAAGATAGTCGCGATAACTTTCGCTATCATATTTGAAGAGGTCATCAGTTCGCGCATCAGCAAGGGATGATTGTGTTTCGCTGACCCAATCGTCATGGTTGTCGGTCGCGACAGCTAGACGGCCTTCGTCTGGTGATCGTGCCGGTGGATGCAACGAGCTGGAGCTAGCTTCTCGCAGCTCTCGCAGTTGAGCCTCGGTATCAAGCAGATACTGCGAGTCCGTGACACTTGAGCTCACTCGGTGCGACTCACTCTCGTCGGGCGTGTCCGATACGAGCCTGTCGGCAGGTTTTGGTGGACAATTTGGTAGGGCGACGGTAGGAGGCTGCTGTGAGATCGATGACTTTCTCCGTAGACGGGCTGGACGACGCGGAAGGTCCTTGCGCTTGAAGGAGGTTCGACGTGCAGGCTGCACCTTTTGGATGACGGTGCTGATAGAGCCTTCCTTCTGCTTCTGGACACTTTCAATCTCACGAAAGCCGAGGCGAGTGACAGCCTCATCTCTGCCTTTTGTGCTGGGGAATCTCGATGGTGGTTTGGCTGCAGAAAGTATGTATGCCCCTGCATGGCTGTCACCGCTCACTGCATAGCTATTGTTTACGAGGCCAGTGGCGTAGTGCTCATAGATCTTCTCAACCGTGCTGCCAGATTGGTGCTCAGCATTTGTCGCGACTCCTGGCAGTTTGCTCGTCTTCTTCTCTCGCGAGTCCTGACTCTCGTCGGCGGCGTTGTGCATGTACGCTTTGCGGAGGCGATGCACGTCCGTCAGCGATCTACCACTTGCCATTCTCTGCAGCGACGGCGAGTGGTCCTCATCGCCAGCATGATCTTCGTGTGTGTGGGAGATTGGCTTAGCGAAGACCGAGCTCGACGCGCCACAGTCAAGGCTGCTGGAGGCGGCACTCAAGCCTGGGCTCGTGGAGACGTCGTCATCGAGATAGTCCTGGTGATGATGGGTCTGGCCGTCTCGAAATGGGTTGTTGGATGCCAGGCGGTTCGTGATGTTGCGGTGAGCGTCTTGCAAGTTAGGAAAGATTTGCCCGCGCGGTGTCAGGCTCCTCTTGGTCATGCCTGCCGGCTGTCCTTCCCGTGGCGATATTGCTGGTGACGGGGTCGGCGTGGCGTCGAGGCAGTCGTGGGCGCCTGCTGCCGTCTTTGTGATGTCCGCCATTGCAATGCCCTTTCCGGAGTGGTTGTGCTCGAAAACAACGGAAAGTGAGTTGCCGTGGGGAAAGGCGCTTGCTCAGTGCTAGACAGCAGAGGTCGGGCCCTTGGTTGTGGCTGACTAGGAAAGAGTCACCCAGGGAAGGAACGCGATTGAGATGCTGTAGTGAGAAAGGTGCAGGACAACGAAAGCAGGAAGGTCCAATCGAATATGTCACGGTACCTGCCTTATTGCAAAAAAGATCAAACTTGCAACTTCCACATTTCGGATCATGCGCCCTGAATGTCGGTGCATTCAACAATTCAGCTATAAGGCCAAGCATCGGGTGGTCCTGATAATGTCCCTGGGTCGAAAGGCTACGGGGGCCAACGATGATACAAAAGTCACTGCCGCGTGAAGTAAAAGTGAAGTCAGTGTGAGTGTGCGTCACACCCTCTCGAGTAGCTCGAGATATTGCATCTGGGAGACCCAAGTAGCACTCTGCTCTCGAAGCACTTTGCGATATAGAATAGCCATCCTCGTTCATTGGGGTATCTAGTCGTGTCTATAGGTCATCAGTCCGTCTATACTAAATCATGCTTGCGCCCGCTTTCGCTCCAACAGAGAAACACAAAAAGAACATATATAGCAAGGCACCCTTGTCATCATCCCGCTCAGTACACTGTCGTGTTGCTGATGCCAGTATACACCCAGGTCAAAGTTGCCGCCTCAAGTCTAGGGCGTTTTGCCGGCCGCGTGGACGATTCCCTCTCGAGAGCATTCGTCTCCTTCTGGTCGTCCGCAGTGGTCTCGTCCACCCACTTCTGAAAAGTCGCCTTCAGCGCCCGAACCTGATGAGGCTTCGGCTGAGCGTCATATGGGTCTTCGTATCTGGAGTGAGCTTGCTTCGGCTGCTGCCCGAAAAAAGCCGACGTCGTTGTAGTCGTCGCAGTGGTTTTTGTCGTCGGGCCCGACGATATTGGCACTTCTCCTACGCCGCCCCGTCCCCTGACCCGCGTGTCTTGCTGCGGGCTTAGGCGCGCAGGTGAGGCCGCTATGTTTGTGTCCCTGGTTGTTCCACCATGCCCATCTGCCTGGACCTGCTCAGTTCCTTTCATTTCATCCGCGCCATGCTTGCTGCCGTGGCCAGGCTTCTCGTCCACATCATCCATGACATAGTCTTCGAGACTGCTGTGGCAAGGCCGTCTCAGCCAGTAGTTGTCCAGGTTGAAGTTGACATGGAAGTTGTAGTGAAACGCCTGATTCTGTACAGCCCCCGCGTGACTACCTATTCTCGGTGGTGGTGGTGACTGGTGGTGCTGATTCGGTCTTTGCATCGTCGGCATACCGGCCATGGCGATTGGTATTGGTGCCGGCGTGGGCGTCGTGCTCCATTGGAAGCACCGCTGATCGAGCCACTGGACCTGCAGGCTAAAGGCCGACCTCTGGTAGACCACCAGCTTGACGGCCTCGAGCTTCTGGAACTGCGTGAGGTGCTTGAGCAGCTTCGCCATGTTGCGCTTCGTCTGCACCGACCGGTGGAACAACCTCAGCTGCAACCCAGCATGCAGGCCCCACGACGTTCCCAGCGCGATCTGTGAAATATGCTTGCGGATCACGTCGACCTGGCTCAGCAGGCGTATGGCTTTGAGCAGTCGGCGGACCTGAAGGTATGAGTCGAACAGCAGCACGTCCCGCTGCAGATCGAGAAACTTGATCGTACCAGATAGAACTACCGGCTTGTATCTGCGCATCACCGCGCTGCGAGCACCATGACAGACATTGCTGATCACTGGCGGCCGCTCGTTGCGGATATCGGCAAAGAGCAGGTGGTTTGCCGGGTTCGAGCGCGGTATTGAGGGCGCCGGCGCATCAAAGACCTCGTAGACCCTGGGCTCGGGAAGGGCAAACTGCCAGATGAGATCCTGGAGTTCTGCCGGGAGCCGGCCGAACAGATGAAATTGCGCGGCACTCATACCAAAATCCCAAGTCTGGTCGCACAAGAGGAACCGGAAATGTAGTTCGGACAAATACGTAAGATGAAGTTGTGTAAGTATGCACTTGGAATATGCTTTCGCTGGAAAGATGTTGCTACATGTGCACGTTGGCCAGGTGCTGTTCCTGATTGCATTCGAGAAGTCGGTGGCAAGGCCAGGTTGTGCCGCTGGCAGTGAGGTGGTGCGTGGCAGCTGAGTGATCAGACTGTTGTTGTTCCAAGTTGAGCAAAGGCGCAGGTTTAGAGGTTTGATCAGAAGCGGTTGGTCCCTCGAGAGATGCGTGTGTTTGGTTGGCACGGCTGTGTACGGGCTGCAACCTAAGCACAGCCGAGTCACAAGACCACAGGGTAGTGCAGAATATATAAAAGAGGCACTGCAATCATGCCCGGTTGGCACAAGGGCGGTGGGGGGGTTTTCTTACCAAGCGAGCGCATGATCACGAACGGCACGCCGGCGGTCGGCGCCTGACTTGTTAGTCTGGAGCCCGAGTGGTGATGAGTGGCTCCCTGGGCCAAGCAGCAGGCGGTGGACTGGGCATAGTCCGTCCACCCACCCTTGTGCACAAGCGGCCACGGGCAAACCGCGAGTGGGTGGGCGTCACCATGATGGCAAAAGGACCAGCGCCAAATGTGGGCAAACACGATGGTGCACCCTGGCACAGAGAGGGCCGCTTGCCGCGGCCTGGCCTGGTGGTGGGCGTCGTCGTGTTGCATAGCGGCAGTGGTGTGACGGGCTTTGACCTGGGGCGGACTAGCTGCAAGCGACAGCACACAGCACAGGGCAAAGCAGCAGCAGGCGAGATGGCTTCGTTTGTGGTTGCCAAAACAATGCCTAACCTGGCCCGGCGCCGACCTATTCGGGGTCGGCGCGGCCAGCAAGCGCACCGAGTATATCCCATGACGACAGGGCTGGCCGGTCTAAACTCACGGGCGACTACCGAAAGAGGCCATGGAATGCGTCCCAGCAGCACTCGGGGGCCAGGGGCAGCTCGGGGGGGCAGCGCGGCATGGGGTTCACTGACGTCGATCAGCCGGCGGGTACTCCGTCTGAGTGCAGATGTAGCTCCTAATTACGGTGCCTCGAGCTTGTTTGGGCAAGACTGCAGTTCCAGATGTCTTCCTGCTCTCCGCGCTCTACATAAGTCAGTGCTGTGCGCCTCCTGACCAGTGCTGTGTAATGTGGGGTGCTTGGATGAGACGCAACAGGAATGGCCCAGACAACTTTGACCCAAGTCTCTTGACGTATCCGGCAGGATGCCATCAAGGTTGAGCCCTATTCACAAAACTTCTTGATGCAAGTCTACTTTGGTCGAGTCTGTGCATAGGCACCGAGTATATCTAAGTGGAGATCGTGGTCAGGCACCTTTCCACAACTCGGGCCATCCTTGCGCACGACCAGGCATTGACTCGCGTCTTACTCGCTCAAAGACAGAGAGGATGGCGGCGTGGGCTACGATTTCTGGGAGCAGGAATTGTGATCCTTGAGCCCTGCCAAAAACTACACCCACCAGGTTTCACCAACGCAACTCGTATGGCATGGCTAACTAAGGTGGGCAAAAGCAGCCGCCCCTAGCTGAGTGCAGTGCAAGTTGACCGCCTGCTGCCGAACGACACCTGTCACTTCATCAATGGCACCAAGGCGATTCAGATGGCCCTCCTTTTGGCGAATCGGTGATGCCGACTTACTTGCGCGGCCCGGCCCATGTAGTAGGGGTGGAGAAGAAAGGCTCGAATGGTGCAAGCGTGGCCATCATCGGCCTCTTGTGATCGGGTACAAGCATATACAGAGGTGTCTAGTTGTTGTGCCAGTGAGGATATCAGAAAACCAGGCCTGCTTCTCAACCAAGTCAGAAGGGGCTGTGCAAGCAAGCAAGCAGCAACAGGCTGCAGCATAGTCGTGATGCGAGTGCAAAAGTGGTAAGCATCGCCGGTGCATGCGGCGGAGACGCCACCGTTCGGATCACGGACATGGATCCAGCCATAAGCTCCGAGTCTGTCAGCCGGGGGACCGGCCGTCAGTGCGCCCGCCTTCTGTGGGTGGTTGCAGGCAGATCCTGCCGAGCCCTTTGCTGGCAGTCAAGCCCGGAAGATCGTGGGGCTTCTTGCCTTTCAGGGCAAGCATCCCCGTTGAAGCCAGGGCCACCGTCCGATGCGGCTTCCGCAAGAGTTCTCGCGAACGTATGCAACGGCGTTTGACATGCATGCGGGACCCCCTGGCGGCTGATCCGAAGACGACATCGAGCCGGCCGGGGCGATCTGCAGTTCCAACCTCGCTTCCGTGAGCCATTCGTATGGGCGGGCTTGTTGACGGGAAGGAAGACCTTGAAACACCGGAGACCCTTGCTTCATCAGGTATCGCCCACGCCGACTGCTCAAGGGCACGCAGCTCTCGCTTGCGGAGATGACCAGTCGAGCCAAGTTCGTGGCGCCGGCTAGACGCAGGGGCCGCAACTCGGCGTCAACAACGGCATCATACGAGGCAAGGTTTTGTCGGAGCACACGAGTCGTCGTCTATGGAGCATTGTCCTGCAACACAGCGTCCCCTCTACCCGTTCTACCCGTGCCGTCGGATGGGGATTCTGGATATCTTGGGCGGCCCATGAGCGCGGGGGTTTTGACTTTGATGGTCAAGCCACTGCCCCAGCCATCATTGCATGGGCCCTGAAACTCGGGTCCGAGTCGACGGGAAAGCGAAAGTTCCTGACCATCTTGGACCAAGTTGCAGGCTCCGAATGGCACGTCGCCATCACGCAATCCTTGCTCAGGACGGACAGCCTCAGGCGGTCCTTGCTGTGGGCCCTAGCAGAATGCAGGACTTTTGCTTTTTCTCCTGCAATATCGAGGTTGCAGTGTAGGAGCCTCTGAGTCATCGCAGTCAAGATGGAGCGAGCAGCAGATTCTCGTTGGCATTGAGGACGGGCAAGCTTGCACTGCCTCAGCGACGACGTCTTGGCAGAGTTGTTGCTGCTGCGCAAGGCTGGGCCAGAGAACTTTCCAAGGTTCTTGCACCTACCTAAAGTGAAGCAAAAGCTTTTTGTGTCTCGTGATGTCGTTTCACTGGATGCCGTTTGGTTCTCGTTGACATCGGAATAAAACCTTTCCAACAAATATGAGCAGGAGGACAATAATACTATCTATCCTAAGAGAATCAATCGTTGTCGTTGTCGTGGTCTCTAAGCTGTCCACGGGTGCCTCAGGGCTGCCATGAGAGCTTTCGCACACGCGTGACAGCTGCGCGACAGCCCGCCCCCAGCTGGCACCCTGCAGAAAATTTCCGGGTGGGTGCTGCTGGCACACGCGCCGGCCTGGCCCACCTTTCCCACCAGAGGGGAGTCCATAAAACGCACACGGCGCCGCCTGCGACTCTTCCTCTGCTTCTCTTCTTCTTTTCTTTCTTCGTGCGGCTGGCATGATCTGATTTCTCCGTGTTGCTCGAGATTCTTCAAACCCGTAATCAATCGCAGCGTCAATCATTTTGCCACAGATTATCCAAAATTGCAGGCCGGCATACTCATGTCTTGCACTCCTCGAGTTTTCGTCTCCTCTCCGTGAACACACGGCTCGCTGGGTTTGCCTGAAAGGGCGACCTGCGGGAGATGGGTGGAGGCGCGGTGCAAGACGTCGGACATAACTTTCATCATCAACAACCCTAGACAGATAGCTTCGCTCCTCTTGGCCATTGCGGTCCGGCTAGCAAGGGATTTTGCGTCTCGTGTGTTTTCAGTGTCGTGAAATGCCAAAACCTTCGCCAAAATCGTGCACGCGTCCAGCGTGGGAGCACTAGTGGGCTGGTATCAACGGCCGCGTGGACGATCATCACCATCAGATGTCCATTGATCGTATAAACTTGCGTTGGAGTGCTGATACTTGCTATGCATTTGGCGCCGTCTATATCCTTTTTGTCATAGGAGGATTGTCTAAAACATTGCGCAATCATGCTGCGCCGCATGCCTCTAAATGCAAACGTTACTTCACCCAGACCAACCCGAGTCCACATGGCGGAACCGACACAACATCTCTCAGCCACGACGCTTGAACTGGGTCCCAGCTTCCACAGACGATAGTCTACTCGCCAGGCTCGTCGCCAATCTTCTCGAGCTTGCCCATCTCGCGCTTTTCGCCCGTCTCGCCAATGAGCCTGATGCGGTCGAGCCGGACTTTTTCGCTGTCACCATCGCCGTCGACGACAAAGATGACGACACTGGTCACATTCTGGAACCGCACGAAACGCAGGCCAATGTTGGCCGTGCCGTCCTTGTTCCAGTCGTCCTCGCCAAGCTCAATCTCCTGCGTGGCCTGCGTGTCCTCGGCCTCGGAAAAGTCTAGAATATGCGGGCGATTCGTAAAGATCTTGATCGTCTTGGGCCGCATGGGCAGCTCATCCTCGTCCTCGTCCTCATCCTCGGTGGGTGGTAGCGAGGTGATCTGGCGGTTGTGAGTGGCAAAACGTCAGCCGAAGCCCAGATGTCGGAACAAACATTAATCACCCCCATCAATGCGGAGTGGGAGAAGCTCTGCGATGACCCGCTTACCTGTAGAGTGTGCAGCTTGACAGTAGCGTTGAAGGGCACATAGAGCATGACCTGCTCGTCCGTATCGCTCTCGATCCAGTCCTTGCTATCACTAGCACCACCGCTCTTGTTCAGAGCCGAGGGCTTCTCCCTGCTGTACAACGTGCGCTTGCTGAACACCGACTCGTCCACGTTTGACCAGTCGAGCCCAGGGATGTTGATCACGTCCGACAAGTCCGTGTAGCCCCGCGGCAGGTCGGCGCCTCGCCACGCCAAACCGCCGCTACCGCTGCCACTCGCGCTGCTGCTACCACCACCGCCGCCGGACTGGCCAGCCTTCTCAATATCACTGGCAAGCTGCTCGACGACGGCCTGCAACCTCCGCGGGTCACTGCCACGGACCTGCTCGACGACGCTGCCGTGGCGGAAGAGGATAAATGTCGGGAGCGAGGTGACGGCGTACTCGGCGCCGACCTGCTTGCCGGCCTCGGTCTCGGTGTTGATCTTGACAAAGGTGGCGACGCCGGGCTGCGAGAGCTGCCGGGAGAGCTGTTCGAAAAACGGCGCGATCTGCTTGCAAGGCCCGCACCAGTCGGCATAGACTATATGAAGATGGAGAAGAAGCACCCCGAAAGTCAGCCTGATGTCTCCCGGTTTCCTGCTTGGGAATCGTTGTTTGTTGTCGTAGATTAATGTCCGGGTCGTGAGAAAGAAGCTTACAGTCGGCAACCACGATGCTGGAGCTCTTGAGCAGCTCGCTGAACTGCTCCCTCGAGGAGATTGTTATTGTTTTCGACATGGCGTCTATGAAGCACTCTGGCTGCGATGCGGAGGTAGTTCAGGCACAACCCTCGTCGTCAGGTGGGAGATGGGAAAGGCGGGAAGTCGAGCTATGTAGTACACACTGGGGCAGCCTGCGTTGCTGGAATGGTGGGGAAACAGAGCTCTCGTAGAGGCGTGACTGACATTGGATTTGTCAAGGCGCGTGGCGGGGCACGTCAAAGAGCTCCGCTAGCGGTACCCGACGTAGAAGAGTGCCGAAGAAGCAAGCAATAGCCCGACCGATATATGGTATTCCGACACCGATCGCAACAGTGCGTCCCTTTTGAGTGCGTGTATATGTTCAATTGAGTTCTTGACGGTCAAAGTTCTCCATGATTCGAACGTGCCAACACTGACATTACATATTCTTAGTCTAAACCCACCCCTCGAGTTGGAGAACATACCAACTAACTACACCGGCAGGGTACAACACCCACAGAACGAAAGACTATGCACGCGGTAGTTTCTAGTATTAGCAATACTTGTGTCTCGTATTGATTCTTCTTTCGAGTGATATTGATGCTATCTATTTGGTCGGTGCCGACTTCATGCCAAGCCCGACGTGCAAAAGGTAATTCCTGGCGCAAGTGCAAACGTCTCAAAGGATATCTCCATAAACAACAATCCGACCTGCAAAATCAAAAGATTAATGACTTAATTCGGGACAGGTGACCAGTACTGAGATACAGCCACCGAGGCTGAATCATACACCAACAGCGTGGCTGAAGACCTTGGTGGCAAGCTGTGCTAGCAGCCGGGCACGATCGTCGTACGGCAAATCCTGGAAGACAGCATAAACGCTCTTGCCCTTTGCGTCGCGGATGGCGCCAAGTCTGTTGCCGGCCACCATACCACCTATGGCACCAGGGAAATTGGCCACGATGAATCCGAGGACACCGCCGGCCGCGCCACCAGCGACGCCCCAGAACTTGCCCCCGTTCTGACTGCGGGCTTCCTCCATGCCCTCTTCCCGGAGCATCTCCTCGAACACGTCACCAAACTGTGCATTCTCTGTCTCCTGGCGAGCCTGCTGCGTGTTGTCGGGGTTTGCCTGCCCGGTAAAGTAGTTCCACGCCCAGCTGTAGAAGCCATTGGGCTGGGTTCCAGTCCCTCCTGGCGGCACTTCCTCGTCAAAGGCTTCCTCCCAGTCATCGTCGGAGAATGAGCCAGGCACGCCCCCTTGGGTGTGGGCGCCGGTGCTAGGTTTTGGCTGCGGCTTTGCCCTGCTGCCTCCAAACAGCTTGCGCTGAGCGTCGTACTCGCGTCGCCGGGCCGAGTCTGAGAGGGTGTAGTATGCGTCGTTCACGAGCTGGAACTTGCGTGTGCGGCTGGCGCGCTCTGGTGAGTCGGCAGGAACTCTGTCTGGATGTGTCTTGAGCGCAGCGCTTTACAGAAGTGGGTTAGAATGACGTAGTTGTAGAGCTTCGCAAAGGATATGCCGGGGAGTACTGTACCGCTTGTAAGCCTCGCGAATCTGCTGGTTCGAAGCTGTCTCTGAGATGTCGAGAATCGCATCTGTGCGATCGAATTAGCCTGACACGTTCCCAAGCATCTGACAATACAATACGTGTGAAGCATGATCGGCTTACAGTAGTTGGGTGGGGCGCCCGTCGCCATCTTGAAGGTCTCGTGAGAGGGGCACGGGTCGGATCTGCTGGTGACGGAGAGGTAAGATTGTTGGTGGAACAGGACGACCAGGGCAACTAGGAGATGCAAGATGTACGTAGATGAAGACGGCTAGGAGGAAGATGCGCCGGGACGGAGCTTTCCTGACGGCTTGACTCTGAATGGCCGCCACTACCACGAAACCGGGCTGGCTGTCAAAGTCAGGCCTGGAGTGTCACGTCCGGGGCCCTTCCTGCCCTGGAGCGCCCGTCGCAGCTGTCAGTCAGGCGATGAAGTCATGGCTGTGGCTGAGGCTTTCCAGCGTTGCGCGGGGGAAGGCAGACCCCAAGTGACTCACCCGCCACATTGTGGCCAGTGTGTCCTTTGTCGCAGGGCTGTCTGCTCCAGGCGGGCACGCTCAAGGGTCTCGACTGCAGAAAAGCGGGGCCCGACACGCCCGCGTGTTCTCTGTGACATGAACAGGCCACACTAGAGCCCGAAGCGTGCTAGCTGGGCTGGGAGCCACTCCAGCTGCCTCCCAAGGTTGCAAGGGGTGCTCAAAGTGGTGCTGTTCAGTCGATCACTGCAGCCTTCCCAGCCTCTCGAATTGTCGGTGAGAAATGGAGACCGTCCCAGGTCAGCTCAGGATAAGCCCTCTCTTATGCAGTTTGCTGCAGGTTACCATCGTGCATACCGGATCGTAGTGAACTGCATCCGTTGCTCCATTTCCCCCCCTCGACTGCACCAGACCGTGGCCCGCGCAAGGCCCCTCCCTTGGTTTCCACTGTCTTCCTCACGGTTTTATCATCACACAGCAATAAGCAAGCATCAGGGTGTCGTTGAGCTCTCGCTTCTGTGCCTAATCACGCTCCTTATCCACTCGACCGCGGGGATTGACTGGCTCGCTTGGACCCTGCCAACCCGGGCATCTCGACAACCCTCCACACATGTTCCCGTCAGCCTGACTTGGCTGTTGAGCTTTCAATTGACCTCGAGAGTGCTCAGAGGAAAGCTGATTTGAAGCCTACACGCAAGCCTCTTCTCGAAAATTTAGACATAACGTCCAAAACCTGAGCTCCTAAGCTCTCCACCAACCTCCACGATTCCTAGAGCTGGGCCCCGGCACAACCATCACGATGGGTTTCTTTGACGGCTGGGACGGCGCGTCCGTGATTTCGTCGTCGTCGAAGCACACCAAGCACCACAAGTCGTCTTCGTCATCGCACAAGTCGTCGCGAAAGCGCTCAAAGTCGAGATCCCGCTCGCGCGATCGCAAGCACCGCAGCTCGGGCAGCGCCTCTGTCATTGGCAACTTCCTGGCTGGCAGCGGCAGCAGCCACTACAACAAGCACAACTCGTCCAAGGCGAGCTTCTTCAACCTCGGCAACAACAGCAGCAGGAGTCTCTTTGGTGGTCTGGGTATGTCACTTACTCATCTTAACGCTCCCCCTCACCCCCGCTCTGACACAACAAGCACAGGCCGCTCCTCGTCCTCATACTACCGCCGTCAGCCCCGCGCCAACTTTGTCCAGCGCGCGATCAAGTACCTGAAGAAGCTCCTCCGCGACCTCGTCTACTACGCAAAGCGGCACCCCATGAAGGTCTTCATGATCGTCATCATGCCCCTCATCACCGGCGGCGCCCTGACGGCCCTGCTCGCGACCTTCGGCCTGCGCCTGCCGCCCTCGGTCGAGCGCATGCTCGGCGTCGCGGCAAAGACCGCCTCGGGCGACGGCATCGGCCTAGTCGGCGAGGCCGTCCGCATGGCGAGCAACCTCGGCGGCAGCGGGGGTGGCAGCGCGTTTGTCGAGCACGGCCGCGACGGCGGCCTGCAGTGGGAGCGCAAGGGTTATAGCAGCACCAGCAGCGACTGGGGTATCGGCGGGGGTCTGATGGGCGGCGTCAAGGACTTCTTCCGGTGATTTCTTTTTGGTTGGGTGGCATTTTTTTTTTCAGTGCTGCTTGTTGATGAAACAGTGTTTTGATGAGCGTTTATAGTGACTTTGGGTGGCATTTTGCGCAAAAAGCTTAGCAAAACAGCGAGTTTCTGGGAATCGAGTTTCCCCCCATTCCCCGCCTGGCGGAGAGTGAGGGATGGTTTTGTATATAGCATGGTTTCTCTCGGCGGATCCTTCCTTTCACTTGTCTCCATAGGCCCGCATCTCAATATCACTACTATTTGCCTTAAGTACCCGAGTATGGACATGGATGCAAGGACGATCGGATCCGTTCCAGTTGTTTAGTGTACGGAAGACCCTGGCCAGAGATGTAGGCTGCAGAGGTTATGTCAGAGAGTTCTCTGCTCATACACTTTTCCATGCTCCAATCCACGTACCATCCATGTAACAGTCAAGAAAGCAAAAAAGATGAGATTTTCCGTTGCAAAATGTATAATAACATGATAAGGATGCGACTTCGTCCAGACAGGTTGACAGACATCTCTGTCTCTCAGTCCCTCCTTTTCTCCCTCTTCGTCTCCTCCTTTTCCTTTTCGTACTTTTTCCTCTCCTTGCTTCTATGACTCCTCCGTTTTTCGACACTACTACTGCTGGTCGTGTCCTTGCTACTCCTGCCCTTGCCTATGGACTTTTTGTTTTCTTGTTCTGCGGGTTTCGCATTGACCTTGCCATCAATCGTAGTCTTCTCCTTCTTCATCAACGACTTCCATAGAGGGGACGCAGTCGAAGCCGAAAAGGGGATATGTTGCGTGGCAAGAGTAGGAGACAAAGTGACTGAGGAGAAAGGCTCGCGAAGTAGTACAGCAGATGACAACGACGACAAAGTCCTGAAAGACTTGGAAGAATTGGCTGGCTCATCCTATTTTCCCTTTCGACCCTTTTTCCCACCACTGCTGCTGCCGACAGGCTTCCGCTTGGATGGCGACGATGACTTCTTGGATTTTGGTGCACGCTCAGGCTCGGGAGAGGTCGACGGGCGCTGTTCCAGTACGACAATGTCCTCGCGGCCACCGTCGCGAACAATCCGAGCACCACTACCCACTTCGTCGCTAGTGGTCTCCTCGTCCTCGCTGCTGTACCGACCAATCAGCCTGGCGCTCCGTCTCGGATTGCCTTGAGGCAGGTTGCCATAGGCCAAACCCATGTCCATAGCGTCATCTCGAGAAACAGGAGTGCTGGACCGAAGCGACGAGCGTGGCCCAGCCGTCTGGTACTGGAAGGGATCATGCGGGTGTGAGGACGATTGTGATGACCCGGATCGCCTCCGATGATCGTCCTCGTACTGATAAGAGGTTCGGGATGGAGGTCGCGCAGTAGGGTCTGAAGCATGCCTCAAATTGGACGGAGGGTTGACATATTGGTATTCGAAGGGCGACGAACGTCCGTCGGCTTGGGAACGAGGCCGGTGTGAGCTTCCTGTGCCCGAATGAGGGCGCGAGCGGGACGAAGTCGTAGGTGGCGCGAAAACACCAGAGGGCGGCCCTCGTGCCTGGTTGATGGCCGAAAGCGTCGATGGTGTCGGATGCATCGGCAGCGCATCATCTGGACCTCCCACTGCCTTGCCTCGTCGTGAAGGAGGTGGCAACGCATCGAAGTGGGAGAGTGGTATCGAAACCCGGTTCTCCTTCTCCTTGCGCCGCTTTTTGTCGCTGCCACTGCCACTCGCACCACTACTCTTCCTCGACGCCTCGGCCGCCAACCGCTGCTTCCTCTTCTCCAGTGCGGCAAGTTCCTCCTTGTTGAGCTTGACTTGTTGCTTGCCCTTGGCCTGAGCCTTCCGTATCCGGCTCAGTGCATGCTGCACGATGGCCTCCTCTTTTTCTCTCTCCGCAATCGAAGCCTCGTCTTCCGTGTCCTCGTTGCTTTCTGACTCCGACCCGCTCGACTCGTCCTCCTGGTACGCGTAACCTCGCCGCGACCTGCTGCCGCTTCCGCCCCCACTCATATCTGCGCCTGTAATCTGAAGTGCATCCTTACGAAACAGTCTATTGCCACCCGGAACCATTAAACCAACGCCTTGTGAATCTGTGTCGTCGCTGTCCAGCTCCTCCACGATCCTGTCTCTAGCAGTGAAATATGCAAAATCCCCCTCTTGCGGCGCTCCCCACGTGTTATTCCCGCGCCTTGATGGTCTTCCCCATTGGGGCGCTGCTTTGGGAGCTCGCGGCCGACCACCTAGACCGCCTCCCCTGAAAAAGCCTCATCGATCGGCTTGTCCATGAAAGCAGCGTGGCCAAAGATGACAACGCCGCTGGCGCCAATCAGCCACAGAAGAGTGGAGAAGGGCGATGCAATGAGAAAGAGCAGACCACAGGTGACCATCAGACCAGTGTAAAGCTGGGACGAGGTCGCCTGGAAGGTGCCAATGACGAGATCCTGGCCATTGAGGCGGCCGAGAAGCCAGAGGCCGCAGACGAAGAGCACCACATCCAGCAAGAGCACAGTATTGGTGATGAGGGCGTAGATGCTGAGGAGCACGAAAACCAGGGCGTAGTTGCTGGAGAAGGTGCCGAGGTTGTAGTTGACGCGCGACTGGACCTCGCCGAAGTTCTCGGGCTTGGAAATGCGCTTGAAGTCGAAGAACTCGCTGATGGGCCGCATATTGGCAAAGCGGCTGGACAGCGAGGTGTTGCGGAAACCTGCGAGGCGTTCCGAGATGTTGAAACGCGACGTCAGGACGTCAATCGGGATCTGGATACGAGCCATCTTGTCCAAATTTCAAAGGAGATGGAGTATAGTATACGATGTCGGGTGCCTAATGCGTGTGGTTATAGATGATGTGTAAATCGAGCCGGGCCGAGGATGCTGTGTTCCAAGCAGTAACGGTGTCTGGTTCGTTATGTGGGGTTGAAGCGGCGGTGGAGTCGTTACGACGAAATGTAGCCGGAGCAGGTGCACTCTGTGTGGTGTGACAATGGACAATGGCAAGGTAGATGGTAAACGCGAGAGGGTGATGGCGACCAAAGGGTGTCTTTAAGGGCGGTGCTCGTGCAGTGAATCAAGGGAGAAGGGGAAACACGACCCTTGGAAGAGGCGGTGCCAGGCCAAGGTGGAGTGGATATCTGTTCAAAGCGCGCGTGTCAATTTCAGATCTGGGCGACTGCATTTTTTTAAGGTTGCACGCGAAATGCTACCCCAAGAGGAACCAATAAAGGGGGGTGGAAGTGTTTCTCAGGGGAGGCAGCCACTTAAGGACGGGCGATGGTGGGCTTACGTTTCTGATTGCGCAGGGCGATGCACCCAAGATAATTGGCCGGCAACGGAAAGGGCGCTGGTGCGCCGCTGGCGATAAGCTGATGCAGCCTCTGGGTCTCGCCTGAGAGCGTGCGTTGTCTCTAGGCAGGAGCCCAAGAGGTTCCAGGCAGAAGTTTCTGAGTCTCGAATGGGGAAACGAGACAAAGTGCTCTGGCAAAGCCCGGATGGCGAGTGCCGGGTCGGGTTGTAGTTGTGGGTTGGCGGTGCAGGGATGCTGGTGATGCCGGGTGGAGGCCCAACGATGACGACAATGGGGCTGGTCTCGACCAAGTCGCTCACGTCCACATTCAGTGTCGTGGTGTCGTGTGCTTTGGAGGCTCTGGGAAAACCGATCCCCTTTCTTTTGTCTTGCTTGGTGCCTGACTGGAGAAGCTGGCCAGCCGGCTGGTCTGGGGCGGGCTGGTTGCGCACCGCCTGCTGCAGGATCTCGTCAAGCCCCCCCTCTGCAGTGTTTCTCGTGTGTGGAAACACACGACCGGCTTCGTGAAGGTTGGGTCTGTCCCGAATGGTCGTCACAACTCCGCCTGCTCCTCAATGACGGGAGACGGGCTGGAGGATAGGGCAGAGAAAGGAAGAAGGGGCGGGGAGCTCCAGGTGTGGGAGCAGAGCTGTTTTCACTGTCCACCGTCTGTCGCCAGCAAGCCGAGCTTATGCAGCGCCAGCAGGGTGTGAGCCCGCTGCAGGTGTGAACTGGCGGTCGGCCTAAGAAGCGGATTCGCGGGCATCGGCCTCTTCCACGTCGAGCAGGCCTGGTCTGGCCGCCCGGTGCTTTGGGCTCCAAGCTGGCACAGGGCACATCCCGTCATCCTATCCACAGCGTGCAGATCTTGGAAAAAGTGGCTGATCTGGGTACCATGCACCTCCGCCTCTTCCATCACAGTAAGCTTGCCAATGTAGCTCTACCACCTGGCGGGATGAGCAAGACCGGATGCGAAAACGGTACGCTACCTGGCTGCTCTCGAATAGCACCAGCCAGGGTCCCTGAATCACTTCGCAAGCGCGCCGGAATTAGAGTTTCCCCAGTGTCTTCAAGGAAAAAGTCGTGTGGTTCCTGGCTACAGCGAGTCGGCATGGCCATTGCATCAGATTGATTCAGATCGCCTCACGGGAAGCGAGACTATGCCAGACGCAGCCCGAGGCGAGCAAGCTCTGTCGTGGCGGTCCTCTCTGGATGCTCTTGGGGCTCTCGATTCAGGTTGATGGCCAGAGTCTCTGTTGCGACGAATCCCATCGCAAAGGCACATTGTGAGGCATTCGTGTGGAGAGCAGCTAGCTGGGATTCGGCTTGTGGGAGAGGCTGGTCTTCGTGTCCCACTGATGGACGTTCATTACGTCGTCATCCCAGCTCGACAGTCACGGAGCAAGTAATTCCCAGAGGACGGAAAACTCTGCGCGATGTGCCTATTTCCCTGCTGGAGAGCGCATGCATGCACAATGCTCTGGCCAGCTGTGTGCTGTGTCATGGCGTAGTTTCTCGTCAGTCGGGCTCTCCCCACCACAGCCGCCAACTTGCGGTGTAGCTCAATGACGGCGCTGTGAGCTTCTGCTTGCAGAATGCCCGCGCGGACGAGGCCCCGACACAGTCTGAGGACAGTGATCCAAGCTATTCTACCGTCCCCTCACAGAGTCGGCCTGAATCGCAATGTTGGCCAAACTCTTCGTCCCTGAGCGACGAAGCATCCGGCAATGCTTCACGGCTCCATGTGGTGGTTCTCGAGCAGTACAGCACCATCACGGTGTGATGAGCATCGAGTGCCTCGTCCAGAGAGAATATGTGTAAAATGGAGGTTCCGACATATAGGATGCAAAGTCACTTGAGTGCATACCAGCACTTATAACAAGCACCGGGCCAACCTGAATCCCTGCACGAACCGATCAGACTTGTTGTTCACGATGTGTATGTGTGAACGACTCTCTAGAGCATCTGGTCCCAGCCCAGTTTCCACGCAGGCAGGCGCGCCCGGAAAACCGGCTCCTGGAGCGCTTCCCTCGTCGGTTGCCGGGATAGCAGCACGAACTACCCCACCAACACACCACCCGGAGGAAGGCAGGAGCCGCACGGCACTCCTCCCAGCAGGGCAGAGAGGCAAGCCAGCAGGGCAAGGCTTGCAACGGCGCCGAAGCCAAAAATCGTCCTTTGACCAGGCCGGCCCGGCTGACGACGACTTTCGATTTCCAGGTTTTTCTGCGCCTTGGAGACCACCTGGGCAGCTGCTGCGCAAGCAATCCGAGCTCCCCAAGCCTCCTCAATGCATTGTGCAAGGTCACCCACACCACCAGATCTTTGACGCGGCCAGAGCTCGAGATACGTGGTGCGAATGATTTGAGACAGCGTCCGCTTTCTTCTCACGTCTGGCCTAACCTGGCCATGGCTCAGGACGAGTCGGCGGTGGGTCCGGCGCTGCCAGCAGCCGGGCCACTGCTCAACGCTTCCGAGAACGACAACACACACCAGCAACGTATTGGCGACGAGCCATCAGGCAAATGCGACGAGTCCAAGGGCGATGGCTCTGACGAGGTCGAGGGTCATCATGCTCGGTCACTCTCGATACGTGCCAAGGCGGCCACTTTGATTCAACGCAATTACCGCGGGTACCGTGTCCGGAAGCAACTCCGTGGTCTTGATCTCGGTCCGTCGACCAGGTGGGACCAAGCAATCAGTGATGCGCGCTTCAGAGAAATCAACCGCCCTCGTCCCAGGGACGAATCCTTCCCCCTCACTGTCAAGGCAGAGGAGGCCAAAGCGCACGGCGTGTCCCTGGATTCCCTCAATGGAGAAAATGCCGCCCCGGACCCTGCCAGAGCGGCTGCCCGCCAGCGTTGGAAAAAGGCCATCACAGTGGCCAGGCGTGTTGGCGCGGATGTTGACTCGGACTATTCTTCAGACGATGAGTCGTCATCTGATCTGGGCCGTGATGACCCGGACCGTATGAGCCTGCAAGAGAGTGGCAGGCGTAGGCGTAAGCTCAAGGACGAGAAGCACCTCAAGGCATCACGGCACATGGGGCTGCGGTATTTCCTAGAGATGGTCGACCTCAAGCACCGCCATGGGTCAAACCTTGGCAAGTACCACCAGGAGTGGCTCAAGAGCGACACCAAGGAGAATTTCTTTTACTGGCTAGACCACGGGGAAGGAAAGGAGGTGGACCTGGAGATCTGTCCTCGGGAGAAGCTGGAAAGACAGCAGGTCCGCTACTTGAGCCGCGAGGAGCGTCAGCATTACCTGGTCAAGGTCGATCGTGAAGGACGGCTGGTATGGGCCAAGAACGGCATGAGAATTGACACCACGGACGAGTGGAAGGACACCGTTCATGGCATCGTTCCAGCTGACGACCCCACGCCTGCAATTCCTCCGGCGACAGAGCCAACAAATCCTGTAGAAGGTCACGGAAAGGCACCGGCACCACCAAAGCACCTGCAAGACCTTTCAGATTCTGCTTCGGACATATCAGTCTCGGATTCGGATGAAGACGATGACAACCAGGATGCAACGGCGCAGGATACCGAGTACAGGATCATCAAGCGGGTAAAGGACGTCTCGGCAGGCACCATCTTCAAGCGGCTTATCCGGAAACAACCACGCAAAAACACGTGGCTCTTTGTAGCCGACACGTCGTTCCGCCTGTACGTAGGCATCAAGAGTGGCGGCGTCTTCCAGCACAGCTCTTTTCTGCAAGGAGCACGCATCTCTGCGGCCGGACTGATCAAGATTCGCAATGGCCGTATCACGAGCCTCTCGCCGCTGTCAGGCCATTATCGACCACCAGCGGCCAATTTCCGGGCATTTGTGCATAGTCTTGAGGATGCTGGTGTCGATATGAGCCATGTCAGCATCACGAGGAGTTATGCTGTGCTCGTAGGACTCGAGGCGTACGTAAAGACTCGGCAGCAAGGGAAAAAGGTGGCACGAGCAATGACAACCCATGAAGACGTATACGTACCAGGAGAGGTACCGCGTGAGGAGCCTCGAAGTGCCGCAGCGCAAATAAAGAATGCGGAGGATGCAGATATGGAAATCGGAGCAAAGAACAGAAAGGGATCGCCCTCAAGAAAGGACAAGACATTCGAACCCGTCGTCCGGTTACTGCATAAGCTGGGCATACATCGGAGGAAGTCGAGTCGCAACAACGGCAGCAGCATGCCTATGGCAAGGGAGGAGAAGAGCGTACCATGATACCCACCATCACGTCATCTGTTTAGTCATCTTAAATTGAAATGGCATCATAGCGTTTAATTTCCTCGCGAGAATGCCCATGGCAGCTTGGGATCTGGTGAATTGTCTTTTTGTCCCCGCGGAGTATTCGCGACCTGATCTGGGCCAAATCGAAGTATTCTGGCTCGTTTCAAAGTCCAGTTAAACATCCACACACCACACACCACACACCACATCAAATAGGCTTATGTGAAATTGACCATGGACACTGCCTATGAACAGTCATTTCTTCCGACACACCCCAACACAAGAACTACTACGAGATTTCCAAAGGTGCGGCAGCAGGTATGCGGGTAGCAAAACAGTGTGTCAATATAAGGCTCCGCTCAAGGAGGAAGGGGAAAGAAAAAAAAAAAAAAAATCCAACAACGTCGTCTGTGTTGGTGAAAAAGAGAAAGCTTACCCAGATGAGAGAGAGACATGCTGGTTTCTTAAAAGACTGCCGTGAAAGGCAGGAAGGACAATAATAATGAAGGAAAAAGAAAAAAAAGGAACTCTGAAGTGGACCTCAGATGATTGGATATGTGTGCAGCGTGCTCTCGATCGGGGAATCGAACCCCGGCCACCTGCGTGACAAGCAGGTATCCTGACCACTAGACCAATCGAGACTTTTTACAGTCTTGATGCGCTGTTACGGAAAGGTCTCTTATCGAATATTATATCAGCTGCCATTTGAGCGGCGCGATATTCATAACACGCACGACTTCTACCTAAGAGGGGCTACATTATCAGTCGCACGACCTGCTTGATCACGACATATTGCCACACCAATCATCAATCATAGTGAGCAAGAAAGGCATGATCGAGGGAAACTTTTTTCCATTTGTAACGTTGGACTTGCTCCTGTTGTCTTGGTATACTGCTGTAAATGTGTGTTGTCGAAAGGCGATAAAGTACCGCCAACTTTGCAAACCCTTGAACTCCAAGCTCTGAACCAAAGGCACAAAATGTACAGGCCAGCGAGCACTTGTGACAACCCAGACTCCAGGAAGAAGAGACTGGCTCTTCTGAACCACAACAGCCGGCACTGCCACTTCCTTGGCAATAAACTCATACTCGTGGCGTGAGAAATTTTTCTTATGGCTGAGACGTCGAAACAACGTGGTGGTAAAGAACTCAAATAACCTGAATGTGGCCGATTGTATTGGAATCTGATACAATTCCGGCAACTCGACCCGGACTCGGGCCAGCGAATCAGCCATGGTCTGCCAGATGGGTTCCAGGGACAATCAGCAAGCGTCGGAAATCTGGTGTTGCCTGACAAATTGCCGCGAATAGTGCGTATGGGAGATTTCCAGATGAGATCGAATATCGTATAATGTCGTCGTCATTTATTTCGCGTGTGAGATCGTCATTCCATTGTTCATTAAAATAGTAGTCGTTACACATTCAACGACGCTTCGGCATTTGCCCAGCAAGCGAAACGTCGCCAGTGTAATCCCAAGATCGTTTGAGGCCGCCCTCGTACACACTGGCTACCGATTCCTGCCACATTGCCGGAGTGATATAGCTCTGTACGGGGGCACTGGAGTACTGTTGTGGTGTCATTTGTTGGATGTTTGGTGAGATCGCAGCTGTGGCGATTTGAATGTCCACTGTGGTCGGAACCTCTGGAGCACCTGCAGAGGAAAGGTTTAGAGATTCTGAAGTTTCGGCCATGGCCTCCAGAGAGGGCGGAGGAGGATGGGGCGTACCGAAGGTGGTGTTCCATTGACTGTGTTACCATACGTTAGTACTGCGAACAATAGCAACCAATTCAACCAATACCGGATCGACCTACTCAAAGATGCGTGAGGGGTTCCAAGCCGGCGTAGTGTCCGACATTTGTAGTGGCGTGGCGTGCGAGCCCTGACTGGTAGACATCATTCCGAGTGACTGCAAGGGAGAAGAGTCACTATTGTTGTCCACGGATCCGATGGAGATCGGCGTTATTGGGTGTGCATAACTGACTTGCGATTGATGACTGGCTTGTGTGCCGATGGTCTGCTCGACAGAATTGGTCCGGAGCATCTCTGGCTTGAAGGCTGTCGTGCGAGGAGGACTGGAGTGCGTGCTCGGATGTGGGCTTCCGTAAGGGAAGCTTGGTTTCAACACGAAAGGTTTCCGGACGTCAGCTGAGAACGCCTGCCGCACCGAGTCGATTTGCTTGAGCATGTCAGGCAGGGGCCAGCCTTCCACAGTTTTCTCAAGAATCCGCATATGCCTCGTGAAGTATTCCCGCGCATCACCATTGAGTTCTGGATCAGGGGAGGTGAGCGCAACCTATCGAGCCAAGTCAGCCTCTATCTACCATGATTCCGACGGGTCCTATTGGAGAAAACTAACCAAATGGAGAACGATGCAAGCGAGGACCGAGTAAATTGTGAAGCTGATACCTCGCTGCATGCACTGCAGCCCGTTGAGACCGAATGACTGTAACATGGACTCCTGTATCCGACACAACGCCTTGGCTGACGAATAACTCAACATCATATGCGACTTCCAGGCTCCGTTCGGATGCGTAGGGTCTAGCAAGTTCAGCTGTGGGCGATGGCACAGGATGACGCTGAGGTGATAATATGAATGGAGGTTTCCGAGAAAGTGTGTTGGTAACCACGGAGGAGCCCCATCCGGAGTGAAGGTCAACGCCATATCGGCAGGAAGCTCATCCAGCCACCCTGTTACGGCCGGGTTGATCTTTTGGAATTCAGGGTCAAGCGCCCAGTCCTTCTTTCTCTTTATCTTGCCATAGACCGTGTTCATACGATGGACGCTTCGAACAATGCGAGCCATGAATGTAAAGTTGCGCGAGACCTCGAGCTCCTCTGCGTCGATACCAGGCATTGGCCTCCCAAGGCTGAAATCTACAGTGGACATCTTGATGTGCAGATCATCGCGACCTATAACATAGCTGTCAATAAGGTGCTTCGCTTTTTGGTGGTGCGATAGCGATCACGACTGGGTGCCGCAGCCGACTCACCTTGCGAGCCTGCGATCATATTTTCGCATGTAAAGATCGTCTGCCAGACACGGCTCTTGGTTAGGCAATCTACCGGCGAGGAGCCACATGGCTTTCCCTCCTGGTGGTCTTCAAAATGCTCATCCAGGCCAAGATCCTTTGCCATCTGGAAGCAATTGACGATTGACAACCAGGATCTGTAGTAGTAGCCACGTTTCGGCATTGCTTCTCGGGCCTTGAGAATGATCAAGTGTGCCTGGACGGTGCTGAGCCGGGGTACGTCCATGAAGGCCTCCAGATGTTCTGCCACAAGTCAGTCAATCCCGAGTCATGCGTTCGTGAATGGGCAAGGGCTTTGCATACTTGAGGCAAGAGCTATCCACTGCTGACCCTGAGTTGGCTCATCCGCAAGACGGCCTGCGACAGCGAAGATGGCCTCCAACAGCAGTGGGGATATTGAGTCGCGGTTGGTCTGGAACTGGTGGTAGAGTTGCGCCTTGTTCAGGACAGGAACGTATTGGTGCACGTTCGCGAAGTAGAGGTCGAGGTAGTGAAGACAAATGTCGTCGGAGGGCATCAGCTCCGGTGGGATTCGAATCTTGGACCCTGGCCCGAGGGTGTGTAGGTAGCTGTAGTCCTCCTCCTGCTCAACCGTGGGTTCTTCTTCCTCTGGGCCGTTGAGTGCGGATTTGTTATTCAAGTATGGAGCTGTCCACGCTCGTCAGTATATCGACAGCATTATCCCATCCATACCGAATGAGACCATACCTGTTCCTATCTCATTCACTTGCAGAGAGCCCAGGAGATCCGACAGGTCGGGTTGTTGATATGAGTCGTGTTGATACGAGTCGGCAGGGGACGCCGATTGCGGGACGTTCGCGGAGACTGCTGGGGGTGTGTGGAAAACGCTCCCTGACTGGTAGCTGTGAGACTCAAGGGCATTTGCTGGTGTTGTCATTGTAGAGTAGGCAACCCCCGGCGGCAACTGGGAGCTCTCGCCGTAAGAAACTGGATACACGCCCTGGTGATCCGCATATTGTGGCTGGTGCGGATACATGTGAGGCTTCTGCTGCCCAGCCATCATGGCCCCGTGGTGCTGCTGTGGAGACGACGATTGTGGTGGCATTTGGACTTGGCGATAAGAGTCTTGCATGCCTACAACCTCGTATTCCTGCTCAGTGCCGAGCTCGAAGCCGTCTTCAGGGCGGCCCTCATGGAGGCCGTGGGGCCGTACACACTGCAGCTTGAGGCGGATGCAAGCCGAGCAGGGCCAAGTGTTTGTCGTTGCTGCATCGCATTTGATCTTTCTTCTTCTACATCCTTCACATGCTCTCATGACTACAACCTCGTCAGTTCTCTCTGTACTGTGACTGTCGGGATTGCCCAAACTGGATGCGGCTGCGGTACCATACCCTTAAGGCGTTTGTGGCGGTTGTGCTCATCTACAAATACGTAGTCTGCCGGCGACAAAATAACAATTAGCATGAGGCGATATGAGAGCAGGTAGGCGGAACCCGAGAGAGACCGAGGTCAATCATGACGCACTTTTCTGTGTCTCGCGAAGCTGCTGATAGGCTGGGGGCGCAAAGGCGAAGGTGTTGAGCTGGGCATTCTGCGGCAGGAGCCGGCGCCCGGAGGGGTCGCTGGCCATGACCACTACTGATCGACGTGGCACGAGCGATTAGGCGTGATGAGGGCGACTGGTGAGTGAAGCGCGCGGCATGCGGCCTGTCAAGCTGATCAAGGGCAGCTGATGTGTTGTAGGCAGGAGACGGGGCGGCGCAAACAGGCTGCTCCCTCCTTGTTGCAGGTCGGTCAGATAGAGGTGGTGGGAGTTGGTCCCTTGCTGTGGACTCTGCGGGCCGGGCTATAAGGCGATGCGCTCAGCTAGTTATATGAGACCAGATGAGAGCATGTGCGTGCGTATGTGGGTGCGCGAGCATATGGGGGCAGGACAACGCTAGCTGGGAAGTGCGACGGGGTGGGCTAGCCCGGCGGGCGTACAGCAGGGGCGGCGCTGGTGGCGGATACGCGGGAAGTAGCAGTAGCATTCGCAGCAACTTTTCCAACAGACTAACGAGCGGGAGCCGGCGGAGCAGCGACGATGCCACAGAGGACAGGCTAAAGTGGATGTTGTGCTCACAAGACGGTGCTGTTGTTGACACGGTTCGCGGGCGAAACCCTGGCGGCCTATCAGTGGCCCTGAGCTGTGGCAGGAGCCTGCTCACGGCTGCACCAGTCGCGTCGCTGCTGTGCTGAGGCTCGTCGGCAGCCGTGTCCTCAGGAAGCCCAACTCGCGGGTCCCTTGTGTGGGCGTTGTAGGTTGAAGCAGGGGACACCCAGGCACTCTGGACGGGACGCTGGGAACCTGGGATCGGGTGAGTTCCTGACAGATTCTAGAGGGCGCGGGCGCCGGGGGGGGCGTACAGCAGCAGCTGCCCACCGCCGATGTAGGCCGAGTGAGGATCGTGTCCGGCGCTGCCGTAGCTGCGACAGGACTGTGGGAGCCGGGCGGGCAAAATGAGAAGGGCTAATCAGGCAGGAAGTGACAGTAAGCGGCCCTCGAGGCGGCGTGCGTCCGATGTTTTGTCGTGCTTGGCTGCAGGCTCAGGTAGATGAGGGGACGGCAAAGATTGTCTTACGACTGGCTGGCTGGCTGGCCCTGCAGCGGCAAGCGTAGAATTGTCGAGGGGGACGATGGGGCAGGGGCCCTTTGATCGCGTGGTGTGGGGAGGGGCTTGCTCCCGGCAAGCGCTAGGGGCATCGATTGCAGTTCAGATGTTGATGCAAGCCACCAGGGTGTGTGCCATGGCAGGAGGGAGGGGCTTTGAAGTGTGGTGACATAAAGCCTGCGACGGGCGCTGTCAAGAACTGTGCCTGAGGCAGGGAGCAAGCAGGCGGTCGTCCCCCTCCCCCCTTTGCTGAGCCTCGGGAGCAAGACCTTTCTGTCAACTGGCATGCTTCGCCATCCAGCTCGCTCAGGCACTCAGCCGCGCTGTCTCACGGAGAGTCGGCCTCTACTTTGCTCCCTGCACTGCCATTGAATGATGACTTCGTGGGCCACGAGGAACTGGTCCACAGACGGTCCCTTGCTAGCCTTGCGCCCTCCGCCGGCAGAATACACCGCAGGCGCATCTCTCCGCACCATTCCTTGGGCAACTCGACCGAAGCCTTAAAGTTCTAGCGGATGCGGGTGGCCTCGCGGATCGCGTGTCACTCCTCTCGCGCGCCTATTTGGCTTACAATAGACTTTCCGCCCTGTTGACCCTAGGCCCGCTGAGTGTCTCACGCCTCCCATACACTCCACCTCCCATACTGCACTTGTGCGGGAGTCATGCCTAGCCAGGACTTTGTGGGAAAAAGCAGATATCCTTGCCGTCGCCATAAACCTCCCCCCCCCCCCCCCCCGCGGGGAAATTACGCCCTGGCTGCTCTACGTCTTTGTCAGTTGGGCCGGTGGCGTGCTTGGGAGGCGCAATAATATCGACCTTGTTGGGTTTTCACAACTGGTGTCCAGAGCATTTCCAAGTACCACGCCACGGCTTCCCTTGTGTGGATCTGCGTGCATTGACAGCCTCGACGACATCCCTGGATGCCCAGGGCGAGAAGCTGATGGCATTCACGAGTTGTACAGAACACAGTATGCCCAGCTTGGTCGAATCGCCGACGTTCGAGGTTACTTCTATTAAGAGTCACCTAGTGTAGACTGCCATGCTTCCCTGTTGCCACATCTGACCACTTGAAGAAACCTGCCGGCACGCATCGTGCAGAGATGGCCCTCATCAGAATCAATGACTTCTCTGGGACTTCAAGCTGAGCTATCAGATGCCTGAACTCCACAGAGGGGTGCCCATGGACGGTTAGACCGAGCCTGTAATTTCTGTCTGTCTTATTTGTCTGAAATGCAACTGCTCCGCCTCACAGCACTAACAATCAGAGAGCCTCAGGATGCAGTAGACGAACGCAATCTTTATGCCACAAATACCGACAACTATGGCGACTAGCCCGGGTTCACAAGCTGTACGATGTGAGCACGACGTAGTCCTAAAGGCACACACGAGGCTGCCAGGAGCCATTTGCCGTGCTTGGCGTCCGGACTAGTTCTGTACACAAGTGTCGAGCTAGCCTTGGTTCAGCACTACTTGCCGCATTGGCGGTCTTGCTTGATTTGGGGAATAGAAGCGATCTTTTCGACACCTTCACATCGATGTTTTTGGATCAGCACGCGCGCTGCAGCATCTTTGCAAGCGAGTCATGAACAGACAGATCTGTGGTCGACATCTAGCTGGACAAGCGCATTCTGCCATAGCAGTGGAGCGTTATTAATAATTCTCAACAGCATTAGCCGGTTGCCCGTCCGAAGTGACTCGATCAGGCGTAGGCAACCCCGGTCAACGATCATGACCAGGAGCCTGCCCGAGATATCTCGACGTCAATATTGCGCTTGTCAGCCCATGCATGCATAGCTAGCCATCCAATATCACCAAATAACTCGGGACCTGTATCATGGCCACCCCCGTAGCAGCATCATTCATGCAGTAGCTCCCCTCATTTACTCGCTGCGCAAGCAATTCCTACTCACCTTTAGCGTGCTCCTGCTGAAGATGATCACATGTCGTCAGTTAGTCAGTCAGGGGGAAGGGGCGTGGAAGCGACAGGTCAAACGACCCAAAGAACGACACAGCTAGGTCGCCACCGCCGACTAGGACCAATTCTTGGGACTCGCTCCCGAGGAATGGAACGTTCAACGAAAGCGTGAAAGACCAACAGGGTGGCACATCTGGCCCCGGCGCTTTGCGCATGATTCATTTGTCGATTGCGCCGACAAAGTCACCACTGAACTGTGCACGGCCTGAGCAACGGAACACGCCAGGGAGAGAGCTGAGAACCCTTATTTTGGCGGCTTGGGAGTTGAGGTCCACAGTTTGCGCTACCTCAGGGGTTGGGAGGTTTACTTACTGCCTGATTAGGACCAGTACCTGGACTTTACGCAGGACGCGTCGTTCCCTCTTTCCCCCATGCATCGAGCCCGTCGAAGCGCACTAGAAAAAGATAATGCTAGTCTGTGCTTGAGGTCTAGCTGCAATCATGGACAATGCTCCAGGTAGGCCGGCCCAGGATGCTGCCTCGCAAGAAACGGCACATTTCGGTCCCCCTTTGAGAGAGTTACGGCACGTGGGATTTTGACGCTGGCCGAGACATGTTGAAGTTTCCAAGATTGCTGAGGTGGTCCCGTGCTCTGGTCTGGGTCCAGCCTAGCGAACATGGGCTCCCTGCCACAAAGCCCAAGCCAGTGGTGAGTGCGGATTGCCGCTTCATGCTTCCAGATCACCACTACGCCCGCGACCATACTACATAGTACAGTACTTGCCATGCTCGCAGCGGCTGGCATGCATGATTCGCCCAGCCTGCGCGACAGACCCCTCAGCTAGGGTGATCAGCACTCCTGAATTGAGGCGTGCGGTTGGACTCACAGGGTTGTGCGCCACCAGAAAATGGATACTTGGCCCTCCATATGTAGGCTTGCCAGTCCAGTGTGTCACGTCCTGCAACACAGACCCTTTGGTCTCGCTTGCCCGTCGGTGTCCGCTGCATATGCCTGGGGGGATGGAACATGGCAGGCTGAAGACTCAAAACACCATCAAGTTACACATTGCTGTCTCCCAGTTGGCTGGCATGACGTTTTTGATCGTGCACTGGCCTCATGAACAAAGACCACAAGGATGTCGGAGCGAGAAGCTAGTACCATAATAACAGAGAACCCTAATCGGGTTGTGGAGACTCGGCAAAGAGACCGGGAGTTGCTGCCCCGGCAGGCAGGCTTTCGGTTCGCAGCAAGAGGTAGGGTTGGCCATAGCACTAACAAGAAGAGTTGTCGATTCTGCACAATAACCTTCTCTTCCAGTCGGCGTGAGCACTCACAGTGCAACAGACTTGCAATTATTCAAACCCACAACCCGAACAAAAAAGGCTGACATCACCTCCGGAACGGTCGGACATCTTCCTCCTGGACATGGGGTACGTATCGAGCAATCAGTGGGGCTGGTTGGTTGGTGCTAGCTGGGAGCCATTGCCTGACAATTTTAGCCTGATCCCGTGGTGGTGCAATATGGTTCCGGCTTGTCGTCTCGCCCACTAGCCCATATTGGCTCGTAGCACATATTGGCTCGACTCGGGATCTCCTGTGCCGGGGAGGAGGAGGAGGAGATCAACCCGTGCCTCTGTAGAGTGCGCACGGAAAGGCTGCTCAGTGTCTCCGGTATGGTCAGTCGCCATCACCGAAATGTGTTTGTGCTCGTCGACCAGTGTAGGATGCCAATGCCCAGCTCGTCCTTCTGACGAGAAGCTGAACGGCAAGGGGAGCATGAGGCCACAACGGAGCCCTGGGCTGACTGGCATCACCATGGCTGTTGTCCAGCCCAATGCCTGCATGATCGAGGCCGTTCTGCTGAAACCCAGCAAAGGGCCCGTAGACGGAGTACCGGGGGGCCTACGCAAGCAGGCGAGACCAACAGCGCGGCACAGCTCTTGAATCCAAGACGCACGCGCCTCTGTAACTGGTCCAGGCCCCATGATCAGTCGTCGCTTAATTCTGTCTCGCCCCCTGTCGTTTTGGCGCATCCAGCACATGCACGACGCGAATTGCTGTACAGCGCCAGGTCAGCCTGGTCCCGGCCTGGCTGGGCCTCCTGGAGTGAGGCGGGGGGAGGTCCCAGCCGTGTTTCATCGCTTATATGTACGCATGTACGACATCGAGACCTTGCAGTCGTGTGACTGCCGATGTCGTCTGGAGCCAGATGTCCTGGGGTCGATCATGGATCACACCAATTGAGACCATTTTAAGCTTGGAAAGGAGCGTTTCCCAAGCTGTGAGGCATCAGTGACCGCCTACCTGAGTAGCAAGATAGTAACGCATCTCGGGACCACGTACATGAAGGTTTGGTCGACGAAGCGCTCAAGGGACCCCACGGAGAGATCGGCAAGACCAGCGCAGACTTGGCGGTGGACAGGGTCCATTTCCGGGTCCAGTATTATCCTCATGCATAAGAAAAATAACGGTATGGTGGCTTCGTACCATAAGGCACCTCCTTTGGAGTCTCAGTGCTTCTCCCAATTGTTCCATGCCAGATACTTTGCAGAACTGGGTGGGCCAACAGCATACTGGCTGGTGGACATGAGCCAACAACATGCCGTGCAGGGTCCAGCAGACTGCATGTTCAATTCTCCACCAGAAGCATTACCAGGGGGGCCTGGCAGGTCGGCGGTGCTTCTGGGAGACCAGAACTCGTACGCAGTACATACACTATGTAGTAGGCGACCAGCGCAACAGAAGCACAGCTTCGTGCAGGATTCGAGCAAAGCTTGGCAAGCGCCGCCACGTGGTTGGGTAGCGGTAGTGGTGGCCTCGGTGTTTGAAACTCCCGGCCAAAGTCTATTGTCAGGCGGGCTCAACTATGCAGCCATCAAAAAAAGTCTCGACACCGGTAGATCTCCGAGGGAGAGTTTCGCACGACTTTTAGGTAGGGTCGCTTGGTACGTAATGAGTCCACTCCAGAATGGTCAAGCTTGGACGAAATACGGCTTCCACAGGCTGGATGGGCTTCCAAGAACCCCTTGTATGCGGAAGCCACCCCCTGTCTGCCGATGCAGATGTACTGGGTCAGAACCGCTTCCGTTCGTCAGAATGACCAGAATTGAGATCTGTCATGGATCAGCGGTACCCCTGCAGGGGTGGGGAGACTAAAGACAGGGATCTGAGGCGGCTGGTCAACAGGCCGGCCACCGCTATGATTCGAAATACAAAGTTTCTACCTGTGGAGTGCCTAATCGCGCAAGGAAGAGACATGAAAATCGTATGATGACTTGAGCCGTGGAAGCAGGGAGAGTACGACATGATGTTGGCTATATCGTTTGGCAGGTAAGCATATCTTTTCACAGTAGCCCGGAGCCCGTTACATGGGATGGTGCGCCACTTACTGCCAGGTCCCCTGAGCTCATCGTTGAAGGAGTCTGAATTTGGGCTACTGTAGTAGTTACGCTCTGCGGATTTGCAGTGCCATATCCTCTCAGTTCTGCAGAAGTACGGTCTGCAATGACAACGTAGCGCGCCCGTGTGTTTCTTCATCAGCAGATTGTGGCGAACCCGGACTTCACAGGATGGGGGCTTTACGGGACATGCTAGTCACGACCGCCATGCGGGAACGTGGCGTGGCGGCGCATTTTGAACGATTCATGCCTCGAAAACGGGCCTGCATCAACACGCCGCAAACCAGCATCCAAGGCACCCAAAGCGGCAAACAGCCAGACACCGGCAGAGTCGACTTCATGAGAAATCGCTGTGGCTGCCGCGTTGTCTAGTTTATTTTTGGCGGAATGGATAGAGTTTGTGGCGGCCTAGGAGTTACGTTAGCGCAGCACATGGCATGAATCGTTGTGACGGCCTCCAGAAGACACCTAGAAGTCTTTTGACACGGTGGATCCAGGTGGCGCTAGAAGTATCGTAGCGTAGGCAGGATGGCAGTTGCAGTGCTTGCCGTGCACGCGCTCGGTTCGGTGGCGCGTGGAACGCCAGGGAACTGCGTGAGGCGTCGTCTAGAAGCATTTGGGGCCGATTGAAGCCTGCCCATATACGGCAAGGAAATCGTTGGCTCTGCCCGGCAGTGGGAGCAGGTGCTGACCGGTGTTGGATCAGAGCACTGGTAGGAAAAGCACTAGCACGAGCCTAGAGGAGAGCGAAGCCCCACTGGCACGCGACATGGTGGCATGGGTGTTGCCCGTACAGAGAGACGTGGGCGTTGGCGGTGGCAGGGGATGGAGGCGCAAGCTGGGCGAGTCCCCAAGTCGTCGCTCATGTCGCAAAATCTACCGATAGGGCACCACTCGTATTGCTGAAAGGCCATGTGGTGGGAAGATTGAACTGGAGCCGCGGCCAAAGACCGCGCTGGGTCTTTGCTTGGAAGCTGTCTGCTCCGCCGGAATGGCGGCAGGTTCCGTCCGGCTGGGTCGATTTGGCCCTGAGCTGAAAACTGGTGGACACGATGAGTGGCTCAGGATTCCCAGGATCAGGGCTGCATGACAACCCAGAAGCAGAAGGTCTGGATGGTTTGGTGACGCGCTGTCCGGGGTTCCATGGAGCAACACTCGTTTGGTCTTTGGACGGCCAACTGCCGGCGCGGCCAGGACCACCCGCCAGCTGACAAGGCTGTCTGTCCCGCTGTCTCCGACCATCGGCCACTCCAACGCGATTTCCAAGCATTGCAGAAAGTGCCCCGCGTGGCAACGACAAAAGTGTTTTGACGGCGAGGGATACTTCAGCAACAACCACCACCGCCAGCACAAACGTCACCTGGGCAGTATCAACTGCACTCACAGTACACTTCAAAGATCGCAGACCAGCCCAGCCATCAGTCTGCCTTTACCAGTCCTAGGAGAGCCGCGACGCTACGATGGAGAAAGACAATGCCAACCCCACCATCCTCAACACGTCGCAGCTGCCGACTCGTCAGCGCAAAGGTGGCAGTGCCTTTTCCAGGAGCCGTGATGCGCTGTTGGCTGCTACACCACTGGCGCCTCCCTCATACCTCGACAGCCCGATATATAAACTCGAGTATGGGTCGAGCATAGGCGTCGAGTCTGATAGCGACAGCGATTTCGGCCCCGAGCCCATCGACGAGCAAGAAATCTTTGGTGTGTTTCTTCCGTCATGTAGCACGGTACTCGCTTACCACTTCTGGTTCAGGAGCTAAACCATCCTTTAGACCTCATCTCGACCATTTCCGACCCCGAGCATCCTCTCACTCTTGGCCAGCTTGCTGTAGTAAACTTACCCGACATCGACATCACCCCTGCACCTGCGCCTGCACGCCCATCTGATGCCTCACGGTTGACTCGGGTCCTCGTCAAGATTACACCCACCATCACCCACTGCTCGCTTGCCACCGTCATCGGTCTCGGTGTCAGGGTTCGTCTTGAGCAGGCCCTTCCGCCCAACTACCGCGTCGACGTCATGATCAAGGAAGGCACCCACAGTCAGGATGACCAGGTCAACAAGCAACTAGCCGACAAGGAGCGCGTCGCAGCTGCGTTGGAAAACGACACCTTAAAAGGCGTACTTGATAAGATGTTGGAGACTTGTGTCTGAGAGGGTCCTGCAGCTGACATATCGCATCTCGTGGTGCTCGTTTTCTTACTATGCCAGGAGCTTCTGATTCAGAAAGACGCAATCACGAAGGCGCTCACACTGCCCGATGTGCAGGAGAGAGATGCGCTGCTTCATAAGGTGCCCTTCATTCCAGCACTTATGTTTCCTCGGCTCAGCTCAAGGGGCATGGCACGAAGGTTCACCGCAAACGACAAGGATTTCGAGACACACCGGTCTGGTTGATGTCCATGTTCCAGCGTTCCGAGGGCGGCGCAATATTGCGGTTTCAGCACGAGGACGCCTTCCAACGCCCGTGCATGTTTGACCATGCTTACAGTGGCTGGGTGGCATTGGTCTTCGACCTGCTGTGATGGGTCAGTTGGGGTTCAGCGTCAGCCATGCCATGCTCACCCCTTGACCACTGATCGGCCTAAGCATTGCGATTCATTCTGCTTCTTGTCTTCGACACATCCTTCGGTGCGATGAGAAAGTATGCCTCTACCTCAGGCTAGGCAATGTACCAGAGGCGCCTGCATTCCGACAGTCGCATTGCTCCCTCACAGCTTCAGAGTTCGAATGTTATCGCGCTCGGTAGCTCACAGGAAGCTTGCCCAGCACGATTCCTCGCCCATGCCTCAGCTGCCTGTGGGCCACGCGTGGGCCAGGTGCTCAAAGGTGGAACGCGAGAAGGGGTTAGTTTACGATATTATAACTGGTGTCCCGCAAGGCAGGCGTGTCTCGTTTTGTTTTGTATCTGAACAGCCTGCCAGATCCGAGGCTCATCACTGGCGTGTAGCTGGGTCAGCCCTGGTCACTGATTGCAGGGACTTGCTGCACCGCGATCCATATCCTACCAATATCTGACCAATCTCCTCCCTGGACTACTATACTTTCTCACTGTGAGCCCATGAGAAAATGCCGTATTTGCGCTTGGGAAAATGTCCTTAATTCGCTCTGCCTGCGCCAAACTTCTCGCCTCTCATGAAGGGAAGATAACCCGCATTGTTGCGTATGCTGAAACCACGATGCTGAACCACAGGGGCGCCAAGCGTCCCAGTGTTTCCATTGCTTGATGCAACATATAGCTCTCCAGCTAGCAAATTTTGGCAGCCCGGGCAGGGTTATTCCTCCCTATTCAGGCAATCTACTTGGTGGGATGATGTTGTGATTCAGATCACAGCGATAGGCTGGTTGCGAGATACTACCTAGCACCAAGTATGATAACGAAACCTGTGATTGACAAGCCGCTATGCCAGCACGCAGAAAGAAACCCTCAAGGCGTGCCGAGACACCAACGACTAGATATCCACATGAAGGGGCCGCCCAGAGGAGTTCTCCCCACGACTGAGAATTCGACACGGTGGCGCGCACGATACAGCTTGGAGTCCTATTAGACCGCTGCGAGTCCAGGACGACTGGTTTTTGTGCGGAGGAACTTTGGCAGATGGCGATTATCTTCGGCCGAGAAGCCCTGTCCCTTGTCCCTCGTCATCCCACCCCACCTTGTCAGGATTGATCCTGCACAATGGCGCCGGCAATGGGGATCCAGTTATGCTTGGTAAACACTCTGTAAGCCAAGCACACGGCAGCCCTTGCTTTTTTCCGTTCTCAGCCAGTGTTCCTGCTCAACTCAAGTCCAGACGGCTCTCTCAATGCCCAACCTGATGGCCTATCTGTAGGCAGGCGAGGGCCCTGCCGCCGTCGTTGCAGTGGATTCTGGGCCCCCAGCCGCCCGGGTTGCCCCGAAACTCTCCACAGCTGTGTCCCATCCAGTCTTGAGAGGACATTGTCTGAGATTTGACACAGCAGTGTGATCTGGTACGACAGATGACAGATGCGTGAATGATTTGCAGAACAGCAGGGCGCGCTCGGTTGAAACATTCCATCGTTCTTCTAGACCTCATGCTGGGTGGGATAACGAGCGGTCTCCGTTGCAGGGATCCGTCAAGAGACAAGGGCGGCAGTTTCCCCAAAAAGGCGGCCAACTTCTACTACCAACGACGGCCGTCACTCCTTGTTCTCTCTGTCTCTGAATCGCTAGCGTCACTAATCGGTCAGCCTGTCAAGATTCTCGGGCACCTTCTCTACAACATCACCATGCCCCACTAACAAGCTGGGTCTTGTCCAAGGTGGATGGACAGATCGGTGGTGGAGAGCCGAGGCTCCGACGGAGTCGAGATGACCTGATGATGGCTCTCCCGGTGGGCACTTACTTGCATGATGGAGTAATACCTTGCGACGGTCGGCTCAGCGACCGGTGACGATACACGGCACGGACCAGCACATGTCAAAAATAACGGGGGCAATGTCAAGATAACCAGGTGTAACAGTACAACCGACTGGGGGCAAGAATCAGCACAGAGGGACGGACCCTCAGTTATTTCCAGCTGGCAAGGCCTCCATTCCATGGCCTTCTCCCCCACAACGCCACTGGGACATCAAGAGAAACTCGAACCCAGTCCTACATGCTGGCCTCCACAGGGGAGGGGGGGCTCCGGACCACCATCAGTTACATCGCGATGAAGCTGTTTTGGATCTCGCCCTTGTATTTTGCATGGCCCATTTCGAACGAGCGCGACTGCACCGGCAATGTCGCATTCTCTGCCACCGTGACACCCGCACGGATGTAGATATCAGGCACCGTCTCTTGTCCACGAACGAGCCCTAGCGGGACAGGGTGGTGCTTCATCTAGCTTTTATCAGCCTCATTTTGTATCAGACCCCAGAATGATATCTCTCTTCCCCACATGTACACGACGTCTGGCAACCACGCCGGACCTTGAACCCTGAGCCCAGAAGGCCTCTTCTCCATCATCTCCACCACAAGCGCGCGTTCTTCTCCGTAACCCGCTCCACCTACGGGCTCGCCCCGTCGCCGCCGCCGCCGCCAACGGGACCACCCAGCGCGCCGCTTTCGAGCAAGGACTGGTACAGCTCTGGTTCGAGGAACTTTGCGACGCTGACATCCTCGCTGAGGCCCTTGCGGCGGCGCGTCTTGAGGACGAAGTCGCGCGCCGTGGCCTGCGCGTCGGCAGCCTGTAAGGGCCGCAGCACGACGTCCCGGTCCAGCGGGTCGCCGGGCACCTTTTGCCACTTGTCAAATACGAGGCTGATGGTGCCCATGCCCTGAGTCTGGATGCGGAACTCCGTCTCGTACCCGAACGAATCGATGACGGGGATCAGTCCCTCGACACGGTACAGCGGAGTGCCGGCGATGGGCCCGTCAGAGAGGACGTGGCCTCTCCGCCGGCCGATCGTGTTGTATATCGTCGACAGCGCATCCTGGGTGCCTGTCATCGAGCATGCGTATAGGGGCTCCATGAGTCGTGGCGAGGCCATCAGGAACGAGCTGTAGCATGTCCTGCGTGCCGTCGGGATGATCTGGCCACCACCGCGGAAGATGGCTTCCTGCGCGAGCGAGGCGTCCATGATGCGGAACTTTGTATTGCGAATGGCTATTCATAGATTCTTGGTCAGTGGAAATAGCCAGACATGGGTTTGCTGTTTGCAATCGCCATTATCAGGTTGCCCCTGCCGAGCGAAGCCAAACGTATTTGAGCCCTGGACTCCTCGCCATCGAAAGTGGGCGGGCCGCAACAACAGTCCACAATCTCGGGAGGAGTCCGTCCTCTCAGGTATGTGCAGGAGCAACACATCCGGCATTCTCCAGACTCGGCAGCGGCAGGCGTGGCCTGGAGCGGCACGAATGCTTGGCATACGGCGAGAGCTGTGCTCTTTCGAGACTGCCTCGATTGACATTTGCCGGGAACGTGCCGGAAGCCAGCGCTCGGCCACTCCACCAGACCCTGGTTCTATCCAAGGACCCTGGACATCCTTGGTCATGGGTCCCAGGAGCCTGGCTTCAGGAGGTCTTGGCGGGTTGGGCGAACTCCAGCGGAAAGCCAGGAGGTGGCTGTGGGAATGGCGGAGCCCACACCGGCAGTTTGACATCGGGGATAAGCAATGCGAAAAGACACAGGCACAACGTGGGGCAGTGAAGCTCGTGCTGCCATGGAGCGCACGTCATGCCCCATGAAGTGATCCATGTGTGTAGTATCGCGAACTGGGACACAAAGAAAGAGGAATGACTCACGTTCTTCACAGAGGGGACCTTCTCGTGTCGCCCAGCTGAAGCCCTGCCGTATCGTTTCGCGCACGCTGCGCAGCAGAGATTTGTCGACCTGTTGGCATCCCGGCAGCATTAGCGTTGGCCCTACATGTGGTTGCATCATGCGCGTCGATTGGCGTGAACGACCCATAGCAATTTGCCACTCTCACGGGGTTTTGCAAAGTTTTCTGCATGGCAGCTGCAACCTGGAATACGGGGATGCGCAGGTATGACTTACCTCGGAGGGCAGCGTGTCGTCCTGCAAGATGTTCGGCCCCGTCTCGTCCGGTCCGAAGGCCCAGATGCTCCTCGCAGCCAGCAGGTCCCAGCCATACTTTTCCTCGAAGAATTTGGCTACTTTGCGTGTTCCATCGCGCATCTTGACACGACCACTTTCGATGTCTTCGGCGATGCCGTCGTCCAATGGCTCGGCGACCATTGTGATCTTGTTCTTCTTGTTTGGTGTAATGGCGTAGCAGTTCGTGGCAGACATCTCATCCACAGTCTCACAGAATCGTGTGACAGGATCCGAGACTTTGATTTCCATGTCTGCGTACTGTCTCCGTAGATCGTGGAGTACAGAATCCATATACAATTCTCCTGTTCCTAATATGATGTGCTCTCCTGACTCTTCCACCTTTGTCGTGACGAGGGGATAGCTTTTGTTGATTTTTCGCAGGCCGTCGAGCATCTTCGGGAGTTCTGATGGGTTGATCGGCTCGACAGCAATCTTGAGAACAGATTCTGTGAAGTGAGATATCGGCCTGAATATATAGGCGTCTTCGTCATCTTCGAGCTTCATCGGGACAATCGTCGCAGTCTTCACGATGGAGTTGTCGACGCCGGCGAGGAGTGCGAAATTGCCAGCAGGTATGCCGCTGGTCTCAACGTTGTAGCGTGTCTCTGCGATGAAGACATCCGCAATCGTCGCCACCGTCATATCTTCTTCGTCGTCAATGGAGTAGCCTTCGCCCAAGACACGGACTTGGGCGCCTGGGCGGGCAATGCCACTCATCACACGGCCGAAGGAGTAAAAGCTCTTCGCGTCTGGGGTGTTGAAGAGCTTCGTGATTTGCATGACCAGCGGGCCGTCCTGGTCACACTTCCGCATGGACTCTGCAACCTTGGTGTCCAGTGGACCGGTGTAGTATCGCTCCAGCATGCGTTCCGCGCCAGATGCTGGCGAAGGGATGTGCTGGACAATCATGTCGACGAAGCCCGTCGATGGGCCGAAGAATTGCTCGCAGACCAGTTTGAGTAGAGCCTTGGCGTCTAGCTTATACTGCGATGGCTTCAGCACGATGCCGACGATTGCGAGCGAGTCCTTGAGATCCTCAGGGCTCTGGCTAATGGTGACCGAGAAGACCTTGTATATGGGTTCGAGGACGAAACGCACAAAAGACCTGGCTGCTCTGGTCTCCCCAGGGAGCGGTTTCCTGCTGAACGTCCTCTTCTTGGGGTTGAAGTAGACATCGCCCCAGAGTCTCTTCGCGAACTCGACCGAATTGACTCCCGGGTACATGTCGGCATACATCTTGGCAAAAGATGGAAGGGTGAAGCACCAGCCCATGCTGCTGCATGCGAAGAGGACGTTGCCCTTTTCTGGGCTGACTCGCCGCTCGGCACCAGAGCCTGGTATCGTGTTCTCTATGACAGTATTGACCTGTTCGATGACGTGCTTCAGCTTGAAATAGGCATCGACTGGCGGCAACCGCAGCTCGAGAATCAATCGATCCATCTTGTTGAGAATGAGAACCAGCGGCAGGCCTTCCAGCACTGCGTGCTTGATAATCTTCTCCGTGTTGACGCCAACGCCTTCTACCACGTCAACGACGAGCGCAACGCCGTCGACCAGTCGCAAAGCCGCGGCAACCTCGTCGACAAAGTCGACATGGCCAGGCGTGTCGATGATGTTGAGCAAGTGCGACTTGCCCTTGGTGCTTTGCAGGACCAAGCTCATGGGCGCGGCCTTGGCGGAAACACCCCTCTCGCGCTCGACGACGGTGACGTCTGTGTATCTGAGCTGCTCATCGCGTTTCTTGCCCGTCCTGTGCTCGAGCCGATGGGCGATATTGTGTGTCTCAAGGACAAGCATGTCCATCAAAGCGGTCTTTCCGTGGTGTAAATTGCCGGCTAGAGCGATGTTGCGCATTTGGTCGGGAAAGTTCATGAGATCGGTCATGAACTCGCGGTCAAAGTAGACTGGGGGCAGATCGGTCTCCTCGACGGAGAATTTCTTGACTTCAACGGGCGCAATGATGGGCTGCGTTAGTGGTTGCGCGTCCTCTTCCTGGACCATGGTCTCGACATCCTCGCCGTAGACCTGCTGAGCGGTCGGGTAGTACTGCTTGTCCTCGTGAAGGATGACGGCGTTAGAAGGCCCGTCATCGTCGACCTGCATCAGCTCCTGGTCGGCAGCGTCGCGGTCCGACTCATCGTCCTGGTCGAGGTACGCGTTGGCATCGACACCCTGCTCCGACTCTTGCTCTGAGGCGTCGGCATCCTCGCCGATGAAGTTTCCAAACTCGTCATACAGGTCGCCCATGATGGGCGGAGAGGATCGCAGCGGGCGCTGCAGCTACGCGCAAGCGGCCGTCAATGGTCGTCGTGGCAGGTATCGGGACGATGGGTTTGCCTTTGTCGGTAGACTGAGCGACCCGAAAAAACGTTGCCGAGGTTGAAGCGCAAGAGCCGCGGCTTTTGAGTCGGCGCCGCGAGATTGTATGCTTGGCCGCCAGAGATGCGCACTCTGAATTGGCAATGCGACGGGTTGGTGACAAAAGGTGCAAGTGCTCGACTGGAGCTTGGTTAAGGCCGATCCAAAAAAGCGCCCGTGACGGGGTGCTCTGACGGGCGAAAAAGGGCCAGGCTGAAGAGGCTGCTACATGATTGGCGGAGCGTGGGGGGCTGCTGCAAGGCTGCGAGGGAAGTGACGCCCCTGGAGAGACGCCCTGGGCGTAGGCTGTAGCACTCAGTATATAGCGGGCCCAACCGCCTGTGGCTGGTGGTGTGTGTGTGTCTCTGTGCCTGGAGGGAGGGGAGGGGCTCACCGTGCAGCGACGTCGGAGATGTCGGCTGACCAAGACAGAGGCCTGGCAGGCCCTCGGTCAGCCTCTGATGCCGGAACTGCCAGACGCGAGTTCATGCAATGGAACAGTGACGCCGCCTGGCATCGCAATGGGCGGTGAGGCGGGTGAGCACCAGTGCGCCTCTGCTGAGTGAGCCGAGCTGCCACCAACACACGCCATGGCTGGCGAACCCTCGCAAGCACACTGAATCAGGCAGGGAGGGGCAGCACCTTTCGATGTTCCTGGCAGGGGCGGGTCGGCCCCAGAATAATAATTCGCTGGACCCTCCAGAGCTGCTCGACTAGCAGCAGATGGCCGTTGGGACCGTCCACGCTGCTCAACCACCACCAGAGCGACCCCTTTCGGCCTCCATCGTGACTACTTCTGCCTCTTCTCCTGCTTCGTCACTCCCAAACGAGAGGTCTCGCTGCTCCTACGCCTCTGCTGCCTTCTTCCCAAACCCAGAATACCACCACTGCCCGTCATGTCTGGCCTCCCCGCCGTCTACATCGCCTCTGTGGCTCGCACGCCCGTCGGCTCCTTCCTGGGGTACGCTCCCCTCTGTGCTTCGAGTTTGCGTCTGCGGCTTCCAGACAGATGGACTGACAGTGCTTCTTCCTCGTCTTCGCAGATCCCTCTCCAGCCTCAACGCCATCCAGCTCGGATCTCACGCAATCAAGGGTTCGTTCTCCCTCGTCCGACCCTTTGCTACAACACAACAGCAACAAGATCACTAACTGCAGTCGATCGAAAATAGCTGCCGTTGAGCGTGTTCCCCAGATCAAGCCCGAAGATGTCGAGGAAGTCTTCTATGGAAACGTCCTTTCAGCCAAGTAATAATACCCCTCCGCCCTGTCTGGCACGTCTACATCTCCAGCTGCGTCCACGAGACTGACACACGCTCCCATGTGCCCAGCTTGGGACAAGCTCCCGCCCGCCAGTGCGCCATTGGTGCCGGCCTCTCTGACGGTGTCGTCGCCACCACCGTGAACAAGGTCTGCGCCTCTGGTCTCAAGGCCACCATTCTCGGTGCCCAGACCATCATGACTGGCAACGCCTCCATCGTCGTCGTCGGCGGTACCGAGTCCATGTCCAACACCCCCCACTACCTCCCCACCTCGCGCTCCGGCACCAAGTTTGGCGACCAGACCCTCGTCGACGGCATGCTCAAGGACGGCCTGACCGACGCCTACGCCAAGGAGCACATGGGTCTCGCTGCCGAGCTCTGCGCCACCGAGCACAACCTCTCGCGTGAGGCTCAGGACGAGTACGCCATCGAGACGTACACTCGCGCCCAGAAGGCCACCAACGACGGCATCTTCGCCAAGGAGATTGCCCCCGTCGAGGTCAGCGGTGGCCGCGGCAAGCCCGCCATCCAGGTCACCCAGGATGAGGAGGCCAAGAACCTCAACGCCGAAAAGCTCAAGACCGTCCGTCCCGTCTTCAAGCCCAAGGACGGCTCCGTCACTGCTGCCAACGCTGCCCCTCTCAACGATGGCGCGGCTGCTCTTGTACTCATGTCCGAGGCCAAGGTCAAGGAGCTCGGTGTGACCCCCATTGCCAAGATCCTCGGCTGGGGTGACGCTGCGCGCGACCCAAGCCGCTTCACCATTGCTCCTGCGCTCGCCATTCCCAAGGCTATCAAGCATGCGGGCCTGACCGAGAAGGATGTCGACTACTACGAGATCAACGAGGCCTTCTCCGTCGTTGCCCTCGCCAACATGCAGCTTCTTGGCCTCACCAGCGAGAACGTCAACGTCTTTGGCGGCTCCGTCGCCATTGGCCACCCTCTCGGTGCCTCTGGCGCCCGCATCCTTACCACTTTGACCACCGTCCTCCGGGAGAAAAAGGGCAAGATCGGCGTTGCTGGCATTTGCAACGGCGGTGGTGGTGCCAGTGCTCTCGTCATCGAGAACCTGCAATAGACGCTATGGCCAATGAGTATATGGACAATGAATAAAGGGAAATGGGAATTTAGGCAATGAAAAGCTTTCGAAAGCGACTTATATCCCGTGGGTGTCGAGACACGCACGGATGGAAACATATCTAATACAAATATGCATATAGAGACATGACGAAACAAACTTACTGCAGAAGAGTGAACCAGGACCCTAACTATTCGGCAATTCTATCTACATGCAAGGCTCGAGAATGACTGACGGATGTGTTTTTCCAACGGATCTCGCACCATTCAACAAGAAGAGAGTTTGGGAAGCTGTGATACAAAGCACGTATTTGTGCCGCTTGACGTATTCTTAGCGGTGATCAATTGAGCTCGATACCTCCTACTTGAATACAGCTCTGTAAACTGCGCCGTTGAACGCCAGCTTTCGTCTGAAGGAATGAAGGAAAGAAATGGAAAAAATGAGAGACGACAAGACTTATGTAGTGTACCATAGTGGAAATGAGAAAAAAAACATGAGCGTGAATGCGCAATGCCCTTCCGACGCAGAATCCCAGATCCGACCGAGCATGGTCGGCTTTTTGTTTTTCAAACCATCCCGCCCCTGCGCCTCACCTTTCCGGCCCTGTTCTTTCTGACGACTATCACTCGCTCAGGCTACGCCCGAGGAGAGGCAGAACGGTGATAGGAGGCAACCATCCGCTGGTGCGTGTGAGCCACAGAGAAAGAATGGGAAAACAAACCCTCCTCTCACCGGTCAATCTCCATCTCTCCGCCCCCAACAGCACTGGCATCGCCACCGCGCAGGTTGGACGTTGGGATCTCGCCGTCCTTGACCCATTTCTGGAATTTCTCATTGACAGCCTGTACCTCGTCCTGACTTAAGCCGCGCATCCAGGCGTTGTTCATAACCATCTTCTCGCGGAAGCGCTGGCTGCGGTGCTCCGAGAGGTTCGCAGCGTGCTCCTCCGTCTTGACCTTGCTGCCTTGCTCGGCCGCAGCGTTGCCAGAAGCACCACTCTCCTTGTCGCCACTACCAGCGGCGCTACCATTGGCGGTAGTACTACCGTCAGCACCGGAGCCGTCTGGAGTCCAGTAGATGAAGAACTCAGACGTGTTCTTTTCCCACACAATCTGGTTCGTGTTGAGGCAGATCCGCAAGACCAGGCTTTCGTCGTACTTGAGCGGCTTGGGCGTGCTGCCGTCATCTGAGTCCGTCTCGCTGGATGGCAAGTTGCGTGCGAGCACTGTCTTGCGGAGACGAGATCGCGAAACACCCTCTGTGGGATCAACGCGCATATATGAAGAAATATAGTACTGCCAACGCTCACGCAATTCCATCTCATCCATGTGGAACGTCGTCTCGTCCCGTTGCAGCCAACGAACGGTAGCTTCCCGCTTACTTGGAAACTGTGTTGTGCTCGACCGTTAGTGCCTGCATGTACATTTACGCATAAGTGATGTGTGACTTACCCAGCAAATGACAAACATGTCGTTGTCCTTGATGCACTTCTCTGCAAACTTGCGCGCGCTGATCTCGGTCTGGTAGCTGGTCTCCTCCTGCTGCCGGCTCGTCAAGAATTGCTGAATCAGGTCTGGAGTCTTCTCCTTGGCATCAGGGCTGGTGCAGACCAGTGCCGAGCGGCACATTGTGCGCATCAGATCCTGGATCGTGTAGAGCGTCCATCCCTTCTTGAGGTAGTATCGCCGAAGTATTTCCTGATACCTATTTTCGTCGACCTCTCCAGTGATGAAATCCTCAATCAGCTCGACGGTCTTAGGCCAGAACGATGCCGGATCTTTCTCATCGAAGTAGTTAATCTCGTTGATGGACAATCCGATCTCCTTCGCCACCTGCTTCATCTTCGCACGCTTAATCTCGACCATGACGCTGTCGGGGCTGGCATCTTTAACTTCTTTCAGTCTCTTGTAGATTGTCTGGAACAATGTGATAAACACATAGATCGTCTGGTTGCAGAAGAAGTTGTACCAAGGGCGAGGGAAAAACCCGTCCGCCTTGAGCTCTCCGTCAGCATCCAGCAGTGGGTTGTCGCCCTGCACCACGGTGGCACGCGGGACGGTGGGAAGCCACCGCTCGTTCGAGAGCTGGGCAGGCGCAGACTCGTCAGGAGCTTCGGCCATTTCTTCCTCGTTTGCAGAGGTGACATCTGGGGTGGTCTCCTTGCTACCAGAGTTGGTGCTGTCTTCCTTCTGGTTCCTGCTCTTTGTGCCGCTTCGACCAGGATCGAGCACACCACGGAGCAGGTCAGACTTCTTGCCGTTGCGACGGGAACGGCCGTTGGTGAGCTCGGCGGGAAGCTGCTCCTCGGAGTCCTCTTCGGCGGACTCTCTGTCAATATCATTGAGCCGCTCTTGGACCTTCTCCTCGGGCAAGTCGAAGAGCTGCGGGATGAAAGATTCAAAGAACTCAATCATCCGCTCCTTCTCGGCGTTGCTGTGCAGACCTGTGTTCATCACATACAGCACCAGAAACCTGAGCATGTCGAGGATGAGATCCTCATCGCTGAAGTCATAGGAGAACTGATAGCGAGGAAGCTTGTTCTTAGCGCTACGCAGACGCCTTTGCTCTTCGTGCTTGGTTTTGATGACGTCGACAATGTGTTTGGCAGAGAGATTTCGCTTGTCGCTTTGTCTAACCTGGATGCCCATGTGGTCAAGACTCTTGAGATGCATTATCTCTGTTTGTGCTTGCCACACCTTTTCCCATTCTCGTTGAGTGAAGCGCCACTCTTCGTCCTTCTGCTTGAGCCGCGCCAGGACGACGGGCACTACCGCAAATGGGTCGAGGAACATGTCATTGACGACTTCGGCGCCCTTTTCGGGCCCGTAGATCTTCTTCAGTACGCGTTTGTAGATGGATGTGCTCGGGCCACCAAGGCCTGGTGGCATTTGGAAATGCTCGCGCTCCTGAGGGCTGAGGTTGAGCATTTGCTGAGCGATGGGCTCGAGAAGCTGGATGCACTTGAGGTTGGCTTCGATATTGAAGTCATAGTCATGGCGCTCCTCCTCGATGCGGTGCAAACCTTCTTCGAATGCATTCTTGCGGTGTGCCACGAAACCAGAATCTTCGGATGCCCATGTGGGATGCGAAGCCCATTCGTCGTTGAGAACAGCATTGCACATCTCATCTCTTCCGCCACATGGCTTGAGTTTCTCTCTGCGAGGCAGTAGCCTATAGCTTGGCCCACTTCCACGGCAGTTGCTCAGAGACACCTTCTCGATCGGGGGCCTGGGCCGATTCTCAATAATCTCGTCCAGTCCCTCGTATCCGACAAAGTTCTTGAACCACTGCATGAGCTCTGGGTTGCCTCCGATGAACTGGCTGGCCTTGTGAACCAAGTCATTCGTGTCGATAAGGCTCTGGGAGTACATGTTGCAGAGCTTTAGGAATTCGTTCATGGTAGATCTGTTTCCGATGTACTTCTTGACCTTCTCGAAAAACCCAAGCTCTTCGGCAGTGGCATTGCTTGACGAGGTAGGCGGTAGTGGCTCAGGCATGACAGGTGTGAGTGTAGGCTCTATGGATGGCGCATCTGCGAGAAGAGATTTGTGGTTGACCTTGGGTCGTTTGCTGCTGCTGCCAACTCCTGGGATCGATCGCGTGGCGGGGATGGGGCTGTCCATGGCAACGGGCGCGGCACTCGGGGTGGGCGGAGGCAATTGCTTGTCATTCCGCGGTCGCTTCTTGTTGTCCTTGGTGGCGCTTGCCGGAGGTGCGAAGTTGCCTACCGGGGGCAGTTTCTGGCCATCCCTCGCAGTGTGTGAAGGCTGGGGAGTGCCTTGGGCAATTGGCCCGAGCCCGCCGAGCATGTCTTCGGCCCGCTGGTGATTACCTTTGCTGGACGCAGCGGATTCGGGCAAGAACTGCTTGAAATCTTCAAGAAGATCCGGAGCAGTGTTGAAGAGGCTGGTGACCTGCGCGTATACGTCCTGGATCGGCTTTTGCTCGCGTTGGTACGTTTGTAGTATTTCGAGGAACTGTTTGTATATCTCGGGTTTGTCCTGGAAACGGTTCTGTGCCCGTGGTCAGTCAAACTGTTTGTGCAGTCTCAAGCTAGGTCAACGCGTCATACCTTTATCTTGTTCACGTAGCTGATAGCGTGATTGAATTCAACCGGCCCGCGCTTCTCCATATTGGCTTGCTGAGAGCCGGCGCTGCCGTTCGGTCCCCCAAGAGGACCAGTCGGGGTCGGTGTGAGAGCGCTGCGTGCATTAGGGACGTTTGGAGTTGTCGATGCGTTCTGCGGTGCTCCTCGGCTGTGCTGCTGAGGATCTGGCCCTGCCGGGTTGTTGAGACCACCAAGAAACAGGCTCGGGCCAGCCGCTACAGGATTGCTGAAGGCTGCTTCCGGGCTCTCGATGCTGTGTTGCGGCTGCGACTGCTGCCAGTTGGCTGGGCGATGGTTGAAAAATGGACCTCCTGAACCACTCTGTGCGTGCTGGCCGTCAGGTTGGGCGGCTCTTCCTGTAATAGACTGGACGGTTGTGCCCATTGGGGTCGTGACTCGGATCGTGTTTGGGTCGTTCCCAGCTCCGCATTCTATCCGGTAGCCAGGGGGGAGGAATGTGTTGAAGCCTTGAATCAAGTTTGGATGCCCGGAGAAGAGCTCCGAAACTCGGTTGATTACACCTGGGGTATCGATGCTATTGCGCAGCATCCATGTTAACCTTGCGTTCAAGTAGTACCACTGGTCGCGTGGAATTTTGACTTACGTCTGACTCTTGAAGTCTTTCATAATGTCAAGGAATTTGTTGTAGACATCGGGCTGATCCGAGAATTGAACCTTGACTTGGTCAAGATAGCTAAGGGCGTCCTGTAATGAAGGTGACGTTAGCGATGCGAGGCAGGCGGCGTGTTTTATGGGCTAGTGCATGAACACAAGGAGGATTGGCAGCAGGGCTAAGCAGAGCTAGAAGAATGCTGGCCGACCTCCCAGAAGAGTCTGAGCGCAGCAGCGGAGACATGGTTATATGGTCCGCAATGAAGTGTACACTTGCGCCTGCACACGAACACCAAAGGGAGAAGCTTTGTGGGAAGAATTTGCGGCACGGCGATGCTTCGCGTCCGCCAAGTGGGACGACCAAAGCGCGCTGCTGCATCGCAACCCGCTGGCCAAAGGCAAGCCGGACTCGCAGAAAGTATCGCTACGACGGAGACACGTACGCAGGTCCGGGCAGCTTTAAACTAATTGCCAGTAACGAGCACAGAAAGAGAATGACCAACTTACATTCAAGATTGGCTGTTGTCCTTGAGGCAGGGCAGAATTGTTCGCGGCATTCTGTGGTGCCTGCGCCGCATTTGGTGATGGACCGGGAGGGCCGCCGCCGAAATGATGTCCTTGTGGTGGGCGACTCGCGCCATCTTGAAGAGGTCCGCCGAACGGCGCACTCGAGCCGCTCGCCGGCCCACCGTGTGGTCCTGGGCCTCCGAGCGCGCCAAACATTTGACTCGAGAGGTTCTGTGCATTATGAGGCTGCGTTCGGCTCGCGTCGGGGCCGTAGGCAGACGGGCCGGGTGGGTGGCCGGACGGCATCGAGGAAGCAGCGCCGCCGTGGTTGGCGAGCAGGCCGCCAGGACTGTGGATCGCGCCCGAGACTCGGGAGGCTACAGGCTGGTGTATCGGGAGGGAAGCGGCATTGCTGTGATGAGGCGCCCCGGCGGGATAAGGATCGCGGTGGTGATGGCGATCCGCCGAGTCTCGCTCGGGGTGGCCGTCGTCGGGACGGGAATTCATGGCGCTGCGCATTCGAGGGCTTTCGGGTCGGTCGCGAGACTGTTGAAGGACGTCAGTGGTGGTCAGAGCGTGCGGTCTCGAGAAGGGCAATGGAGAAGACGCCTGAGCATCGTGTCCAAGTCGGCAACAAGACCTGGTCGTCGGAGGGGAGACAGCTCTGCTGGGCATGGGAGAGCTATGTGCAGCAACGGCTCGCCTCTGACGAGATGTGGCAGGCCGACGACGGAGAGAGGGAGCAGAGGGAGGGGCAAGGGCGAACTCACGGTCTACATGAATGCGCTCGACATGTGGGAGCGATGGAAGGGAGATGGACGCGTGCCGCCCCGGGCACAAGAGGGTGCGATGAGGTGGGCGGGCTGGTTGTGGTGCTCGTGGTGGGAAAGCACTTTTCGAGGAGGGAGGAGGAGGCAGGGGACGACAGCGCAGCACGAAACTGGTTGCTCCCCGACTCCTGTCCCGGGGATGAGCTGCGCTAGTGCAATGGCACCACGACCAGCCAGGCCCGGCGAGGCCCTCTGATTGGCCGCGCACCGCCATGTCGCAAAGCGCATCCAGCCCAGAGCTTTCCGCGTCGCGGCACCGATAACGATAAGCACCGGATGATCCCCGGCGTGCCTGCCGATAAGGCCTGCGGCGCGTTGGTGGTGTGTGACGTCGAGTCGAGTCCTTCGGGACTTGATCAACCGCCGCCTGATTGGGCAGCGCATCCTACCACAGACCATGAATGTCACTTGCAAGATCCATGCAGTCCGTAAAGCACAACTGCCATTCTTTACATCTTGCAAGCTGGGCATTCCAGTCAAATACAGGCTGTCTACACTGATGCGGCTTGTGCCTCTTTGCCCGCCTGCTTGGCTACCTTCTCGTTCTTCCTCTTCTCGTCCCGCTGCTGCTGCTTAGCCTCGGCCGCTACACGCTCATCCTCCCATTTTGACCAGGCTTCTGCAAGCACTTCTCTATTCCACGTGGTCGTCGTCAACTTGCGTATGCTGTACCAGTGATACAAACAAAATACGCTGGCGTGCATAATGGCAGTGACGGAGCAAAATGTGTCAGCCTGCAATCGTCTCTCGTCCACGTCCATGTGCACGCGCCTGCACCAGATATGAGGGAGGTTACTCACAAGCAGCAAACACCCATAGTCCCGCAGGCCAAGCTAATATCCTCCAGGACGGCCAGCGTGGCCTGGCTTGTGGAGAGGGCGAGCCCGAACAGCCCTCGCCGCCGCTCATCGTCGTCCGGTGAAACATCAAAGATGACATATGCGTCGTCATCAGGGTTGGAAAAGGCAAACATGAGCGGAAAAGCCGGCAGCCAGGCCACTGTGGACAGAGCTAGAATCACGTAGTACCAGGTTGGCGGGCGCGGATCTGTTGCCGCCCTCGGGCTCGTAGGAGGCCCGGGCAAGAAAAAATGCAGGCAGCCCTGGTGCTCATCGTCAGACAGTTGCTCCACGAGCTCTTGCTTCACATTTGGGCGGGAGGGGAGGAAGACACTCACAATGACGACGTTGTAGATGGCAGCTGCTCGAAGCCCACCTGCGGGATGCTTTGAGATGACGCCCGCAGCCAGGCCAAGGACGGCCATGGAGACGAACCATCTGCCAATGCCCACGGTCAACATGCGGTCGTATATGTGCTCAATGGGGTTCTTGGGCTCCTTCGCTTCCGTAGCCGTGTCACTCTGCCTATGTTCCTCCCGTGCTGTGTCGGCTCTCTCGAGGTTTTCTGGTGTTGATCTCGCAGCCATTGTGTATGATTCACGGGATCTACCGTATATGCAGGTTCGGTCGGGCCCAAGCGAAAGTCGGCTCAAGAATCGAGATACCTTCGCTCTGTATTCTTCGGCCAACGATTTCTTGGCACTGAGGATGTTCACACAAGGCGATATTCGTGAGCAAACACGTGCTAGCAGGGGCGCGGGCGGGACATGAAGAAGAAGAAGAAAAAGATCAAGTTGTCCGTTGTTGATCGTGAGCAAGCATAGAAGTCGGGAGTGGCATGGCAATAAGACGGCCTGAAAACCGCCCGGCAGGCATGAGGCCCTCAGCCGCAGTCCTGACAATTGAGTGCATGATCGGCAGAACATGACATCCCTGCACCCACGATTGAACAATCGCTGGAACCTTGGAAGTCGACGCTTGAATCGCAAACAACACCCGGCAGAGAAAATGATCCCACGGCTGTCATTCTTCTCATGTGTGCCTCCCTCAGCCAACATTATAATAAAGCAGAATGCTTTCGTGGCCTCGCCTGTCTTGGCGCTGCCGGTGCAGGAAGAACCAATTCTCAAGATTGGCACGGCCGAGTCTCACATCCGCACAGGCGCGCTTTGTGCAGTGGGGCAACTTCTCAATAACACCAACATCTCAACCCACCACCACCGCCAAACTCCGGGGATATCTCCCATGTTATCAGCACTGAAGTATCGCCACTGCGGCGCAGGAATCACCATCTCATAGGAAACACCGGTTAATCTCCTTGAGTCTCATTCATACAGGCCTTGCTCTCTCAAGATGCTGCGCCGACCACCGACAGTCCTCAGTCTCACGGCTGAGGACATTGCCGCCTACGAGGACATGCGGGCTCAGAAAGCTTCACTCCAACAGCAGCAGCATCACCACCAGCACCAGCAACATAGTAGCGTGCTACACTCCAGACATCCTATGCCCCAGCAGCAGCAGCATCAGTTGCCCCACCAACAGCAAGGCCGTGCCGCGATGCTGGACACGTCCCCGCGTTCTCCTTCTCCAGTCGGCCTCTCCAGCAGCGCCGACGAGGCCATGGCCGATGCCGCAGACATGACGGTGGACCTTGATGATGAGGAAGATGAAGACGACGAAGACGATGACCATGAAGACTCGTACTATGCACAGAGAAGTCTCCGCAGGGCGGCTGCCATGGACGACCCTTTCGTATCCACAAGCCACCACCAACCCTCATCGCGCGGAGGGGGAGCATCATCATCCGCCTCGACCTCGTCCGCGGCGGCTATGCAGCCAAGAGTGGCCAGTAGTGCTGGTGGCGGGCCAGGTCGGGCAACGGGCACGGCGCGGACCTTGTTTGCCGGCCAGGCACCACGAGCTTCTCGCCTGCAGCGGATCACGGGGGCTGCAGATGGTGGTGCGGCGGCGGGGGGTACCGGATCTGGTCGTGGTGTTCCCGCCGGATCACAGCAAGGAGCGACTCGAGCAACCGCAGCGACGACGGCGCGACAGGCAAGCATCGAGCCCCCCGGCGCGCCGAGTCGGTTGACTCGCAGCCGTGAAGAGCGCATCGGGATCGCTCAGCCCCAACTGCAGGGCGGAGCAGCGGGACTGGGATCACTAGGTGGCAATCCGGCGGGCGGTGCAGCTTCGGGCACGCGGCGAAGGTAGAGTCTTCGCTTAAGGGCGCTGCGGCGAGGAGGCACAGGCTAGGAATGGCACCCAGCGCGGACAGCAGCAGTCGGAGGAGACTGCCTGGGATGATACCAACAAATGTCAGCAACGGGCAGCGAGAAAGAGAGTGAGGGCTCCCGGCTGGGCTTCATGGGAGGCAGTTGCCTAAATGTTAATGCGCTCGGCAACAGCATCGGTCCCGCGTTCTCACACCCACCCCACGAGCTATCATGACATCAGCTGGGCAGGATGCCTGACACTCAGGCAGCAAGTGGAAGTGCGACAAGACAACCGACAAGCTCAACGCTCGAGCTCCATAGTGGCCATCAAAGAGACGACTGTCTCTGATCTGTCGCGAAGGACGTTCCTGCCTCGACACGAAGCATCACGCCATTGTTGCCAACATGAAGAGTCTCGTAGAAGCACGTGTCGCATTACACAGTCAGCGACTCCTCCGGGGGTGGGCGGTAAACACAACTTTGCGCCACCAGGAAATGGAATTGTCCCGTGCTGGTACAAGACCACTCAGGTCCAAAAACCCCCCCGGCGCCAAAGAAATTTCATCGAGTGTAGACGGCGCCACTTCAATACAGAGAGAGGCAGCTCAGCCTCAGCGAAAATGCAGCGGTAGAGCAGTCTGTCTCCGTGTGGACCGAGCAAGGACGTACCAGCCGCCTGCAAGCTTACTTAGTAGCAGGAGAAGAAGAGCAACGAGGTTCTACAATCGGTCGAAGTGCCGTTTGTGCTCGGCACGCCAAGTCTAGATTTGTGAGTGGGCATTGTCAGTCGGTGGAAGTTCCTCAAAGTAGGTTTCCTTCTGCAGCACAGGAAATGCAATGATGGATATTCACACTTGGGCCGGCCATAGCGGGCAGAGCTGCAATGATACTGCAAGGCATATACCACATAAGACGCATAACCCAGCATCATCACAGTAGGGGCAAAACCGCAACTACGAATATTCATTATTATAAATTCTCATGGGTATTGGCATAGAACCAAAATCTCATCCTTGAATGTCTGCGTTCGGATTTGAAGAAGAGGGTGCGCCATGCGCTAGTCTCAGATTGTGATATGTACAAACATCGCATTAAGAGCGGCTAGAACTGCCACTATCCCTGGCATCGCCAATATCATAGTGTTTGTTTTGGACTCAGTGCCCGACCGGAGGCATGCCGATATGTCAGTCCATGAGCAGACTCTGGTCATTTGGTCCTCTCGCACCAACCATGGGAATTGTCTTGTCTCCCTCTCCTTTATGAAGGACCAGGTGCCTTGACCTTGAACTTGATTTTTGGTGCCGGCGGAGATCCGCTCTTGCCACCACCACCACCACCATCGCCGCCCATTGAAGGACGACCAGAATGAGCAGACGACGAACCACCACCCGTTGAATGACCGCCAGAGGAAGGTAAAGGCTTGCGATGATCATCACGTCCTCCACTGCCACTTTGATGATTATCTCTGCCGCGATCGCCTCCGCTCCCACCACTTCCACTTCCACTTCCACCGCCACCTCCTGGCAACGGCCGCCGCTCTCCAGACGGGAGAGCCTTGCGCACTGAGTCCGGCAGAGCCTTGCGGACAGTTCCTCCCGAAAGCCCGCTCCCACTGCCGCTACCAGGGTCCGGAAGCGCCTTCCGCTGCTTCTCAGTTGAGCTGCCGCTCCCCTGATAATCTCTGCTGCTGCTACCATTACCACCACTATTTCCACCAGTAAATTTTGGCGATGACAAGGACGGCGACCGCGAGTGGCCAGGACTGTGGGAGCTGAGCTTCTTTTTGCTCGAGCCAATGTTCGAGAAAAGCCGGCCCAGCGAGGGACCGGGAGAACTGCGAGGGCTGGGGCCTGATGGACCGCCACTGCTGGTCTTTTCCACAGCAGAGTGCTTGGGCGCAGCGCGGACCTGTCCCGATGAAGACGAGCTTGGCCCTTGCGGCGCTGGTGCTGAGCCAGACACTGATGCTGACGACGATGACACCGATGTCGGCATGTCCTTGCGTATCTTGAGCTTGTCCCAGGCACGGAAAGGGATGCGTACAATCTTCTTAGGTTTCGGCTTCCTGAGAATCAGTGCCACTTGACTCGCAATTTTGGAAGTATTGAGCTTGACAATCTTCCTGGGGCGGCTGCTATTTAGAGCATCCGGATTGGGGCGCTTCTTTGGATTCGCCAATATACTGCCACTGTTGCTGCTCGTAGGAGGGGGATCAGGCTTGCTCGCAGGGGGGATCTTCGCAGTAGGGATCTTCGCAGTAGGGATCTTCGCAGTGGATATCTTCGGGGTCGAGGTTTTGGCCACACTGATCTTGTCAGGATTGATCTTAGGGGTGCTGGTGCTGCTGACCAGAGGTTTAGAAGGTGCAGGCTTGGGCGGCGCTTCAACCTTGGCTATGGACGGTTTCGTTTCCGGTATCACAGGTCGATCGCCATTAGTACGAGCAGGTGTCGAGACTGAGATACTATCCCTGTTCTCAGCTGGCGCAGATGCTGGCGCCGCTACCGACGCCGGTGATGGTGACTTCACCACAGGACTAGCAGTAATCGACTGTTTTTGTGGCAGCTCGATTGCCTTGATTGTGGAAGACGGCGCTGCAGGCTTCGTAGTGGCAACCGCCTTTGGTGGCACCGTGATGGCTCCCAACGTCGGCTGAGGGGCGGCTGGCACCGCAGCTGGAGTAGATGTCTTGCTATTGAAGCTCGGTGCCTTGTTGAGGTTGAGAGTAATGGTGCGCTTTGGCTCTGGGCGCGGCGCGGATGCTGGTGTCGTGTACTTCTTTCTCGACTTCAACTTGTAGTGGCGCCTGAAGTGCATGACGCATGACCTGCGCACTTTCTCGTTGCGCCGCTTGTCGACTGTCCAGTAGGTTGGATATTTGAAGGTCATGAGCATCGAGTCGTCTTCCTCCACGAGGATGGAGACGAGCTCCAACAAATTGATTCGCTCCGTAACTGACAACACTGGAGAGTTGATGGCATCCCAGACCACCTCGTGCAGAGTCTCATCGTCCTTGAGCTCATCCTTGAGCGCTGCCAGTGCAGCAGACAGGTCTTCCTTGCGTGCCCGCGCCTTCTGGCGCTCCTCGGTCATGGTGTTCTCGTGCTCCACTATAAGACCGTCATCCGCAGGCGGTGGTGCGGCCTGCTTCTCGAGGTCCTTGTTTTCGCCGATGGCAATGCCGGCAAGGCCACGGCAGAGAGCCTTGAAGAGCTGGGCCCTCACAAAAGGTGATGGGTCGGTACCGATCAGTGAAAGAAGAAAGCGCAGGAATGTCGGGTTCGAGAGCAGCCCAAGCTCAACCAGCGACTCGCATGCCTTGATGCGCACCAGATCCAAAGTCTTATCCTGCAGATACTGTATGAACACGATAGGGTTTTGATCGATCACCTTGGCCTTCATGAGCGTGCAGAGAGCGTCGAGAGAGGCCACGGTGAAGCAGTTCTGGTACGAAGGGTAATACTCGTCCATTCTCCGGAACCGCTCGATCTCTTCAAGCGCCTGATCGCGGAACAGCCGGGGCTCCGGGTCGTCAATCGCCTCCTCCATGAACTCATCTTCATCCGCATCCCCAAAAGACATCGGCTTCGGTTTGACCTTCTTCTCGTCCGGGACCTGACACTGGGCAAGTGCTCGAATTAGGATAGATATGTAAATATGGTCGGAGTACATGTTTTCCGAATTGTCGTTGCCGCGAAGCTGGGCGAGGATGAAGTGTCTGGCCTCGCGAGGACACTGGCCATCATCTCCTCTGACCTGTGCGATGGCCATGGGGATCGCACACTGGACCAGGTACTGCCTCTTATCAACAAAATTGTTAGGCCTTGGCGTGTCCGTTCCAGGCACACAAAAGAAGTGCTGAAATGTCTTTCGTAAATGAAACAAGCCGATATTGTCGATGGCGTTAACGGCATGCTTCGGAAGGATCTTGGCCGACATCGTCCGGATGCCATAATAGTAGCGCGCATCCAAGAGCGTTCTGGTGAGGATTGTGGACACCAGTGGGTGTGGTCCGGTCTTGGCAAAACTGCTGTCAAGGAAGAGCATCGAATCCTGCTGGGCCACGACGTCCTTGTCTTGTTGGAGCTGCGAGACGTACATGTATGCCGGCAGGTTGGTCTTGATGTCACAAATCCACTCGAAGTCAGCGTCCATCCGGATCCACTCGTAAGACTCCAGATCCATGCGGGCTTCTTGCTCTTCGTCCCAATCAATGAAGCGCCACTCGTCAGCTTCCTCCTGCTGCTGGAGCACATCTCCAAGCGAGTACAACGCTTGGGTCTCCTCGGCGGCATCGTCGTTGGCCTTCGTGCTAAGACCAGCCATCTGCCGTTCACGCTGGCGTCTGTTCCTCTTAAGACGCTTGTATTTGGTGTTGTAAGGGATCTCGAACTTTGACGCTTTCCCCGAGTCCTCGCGGATATCCACAATGTGCTCGTAGGGTGTGCCGTCGGCCTCATGAATTCGTATCGTCATGGGGCCAGTGAAAGAGCCCTGCAGCTCGCCAGCGTAGACGGCGTGGTTGTCTTCCATTACTTCCCGCCAAAACTCGTCTTTTTCCAGCGGCCGAGTCTTAGCGGCTGCAATGTCCTGGGTCTGCCGGATCGTCATTTCGACGCACAATCGCTTCTTGTTAAAACGCTGAAAGACATCGAATCTAGGACAGCCAGATCCATGAACCCACTGGCTCCAGAAAGTGTCCAGTCTGGTGCCCAGTGCCTTCTCGCAGGCCTTGCGAAATAGCTCAGACATTAAGACCTCATCAGATGTTTGCACCGAGGTGTTGGCTTTGCTAACAATCTTGGAAATGATCCGCATCAGTCCGGCCGAGCTCGATGACTTGGAGATGCGTCGATCCAAGATGAACAGGACCAGTGGCGCCTTCAGGTTCATGAAGTCCACCTCGAAGTCGCCAAGGTACAAATGATCACCAAGGTCGTGCAGAGACGGACGCTTGATGTCAAGCTGAACGAGCCGATCGGCCATGGTCTTCATGCGGAACCGATACTCGTTGTTACCGCAAAGGAACTTCATGAATATGTCTGTCATGAACCAGGCTATGCCAACGATGAGCCATATGTCTGCTCTTTGGTTTGGACCAATGTTGACGCCGAACCACTGAGAGGCCAATGCATGGACCAGTGTTCTTGTGGTTTCAACCTCGGTGTCGATCACTTCTCTCGGATAGAGCAGACGGCTGCTGCACAGAGAGAACGCGCACAGTGGCACTGTGTCGTCTACCATATCGTCCACAAAGCAAACTTTGTAGCTGTCGAATGGGTATCTTCCGAATTGCAGAACGAAGTAATCAACAGCTGTGACGAGTGTGGCACAGGTGTTCTTAACCTCTTCTGCTCGGCCTGGAAGACAGTAGCCATGCACTTTGACGGCGCTGACGTTGAGTTTGATGTCGTCTTCTTCCGTGCGAAATTCTGACCAAAGATCTACGTGCTCAAAAGGCCCAACCGCGAACCCAATGTGCTTGGCTGCTTTATTCTTGTCGATCTCAAAGGTCATTGTCTTCTTTGTCTCGTCATCCTTGCAGATGACATCTCCCGTCAGATAGCCCGTGCAGACGACGGTCAGCTCCAAGAGCTTGTCGTCCTCTGTGAGCCTCAATTCTCGACGCGGCGTGGGTGTGGGGTCTTCCTGCCCATATTTCCTCTTACGATTGATGCCATTCACACCATTCGTCAAGGTGCCACCCTTCTGGCTTGCTTGGGCTGTTTTTGGTGGTCGGAATGCGTCGCCAAGAGTTCGTGGGCAGGTGATGGACACCTTCCACGAGTTTCTGCTACCCGGGTCATCTATGCATGGGAATATCGAGCACGCAGTCCCGGACCCTGCCGAATGGCGCGTATATACATGAGGGTACCTCGTGTCGGTCTCATCGCAGCCAACAAAGTGTAAGCCGTCCGTCACCCCTTTGAGCTTGAATGGAATGCTGATTGTGCAGGCTGATATCGAGCCGTCCGCGTTTAGAATGTGATCGCTGAGCTCGTTCTTGGTCGCATCCTGATTCTTCTGCTTGATTTCCCTGCCCGAGGGCAGCTTGACGCGAAGCGAGCCATCGTTCGGCTGACAGCATTTCAGGTCGTGGTCGAGGGCTGAAATCTCCTTGCGCTTGTGGTGCAGCAGCGGCTGGATTCGACGCTTTCTAAGCGCCCATTGCCCGGGCGACCACTTGAACTCGCTTGGCGTGTCAAGCCATCCGCAAGGGTCTTGATACGAAGCTTCCGTCGCACAGCCAGATACTGTGATTTTGGACGTGTCGATATCAGACTGTCGCGCGTCGATGTAGACCTCTGACACATCCTCAATGATGGCAATCATTATGTCGGCACGCCCATGTATAGCCTTGTTTTGAAGATCGATCTCGAGGTGAACGGACTGCTTGAGGACGACATAGCTGCGTGGGGGCGTATCGTCGACAGGGAGCTCGGCGTGAGGAGCTTCGCCGTCGATGGGCGCAAGCTCGGGGTCGACGGTTCCAGGCATGGTGAGGCGCGCTGGGAGCCGTTGACGTTTCGGACTATGTGCAAGTCATGGGCGAAGGCACGTCGATCGACCGCGGCGGCCGACTACTGCAGGCAAGGGCAGAATAGTGTGACGGATCGCGCGGGTCGTCGGCCGTTCTCGGTGTTGAAGTCGTTTCTCCCGGGGCCCCAAGCAACGCGCTTATTCAGAAGAGGCAGTGGCAATCGATGATGGAGATAGCTCGGAAAGAGGTCGAGACGGCTGACTTGTGCGCGCGTGTACGAAGGCAGAGTTCTCGGTATCGCACAAAACCGACTGGCCGGAAGGACGAAGTGAGGAGGCTGCCCGTGTGGAAAGTGCGTATGCCGCCAAGTGCGGACGTGGTAGGCGTTATATGGTTGAGGTAAGGAATGCAATCGCCGGTGGCGGAAAATGATGGTTGTGGACAGGCAGCAAGTGTCAGGCTTCTTTTCGCAAGTTCGGTGCTTCCAGACGTTCAGCGTCGCCGGACGACCGTTGCGCCCGTCACTTGCTTGGGGCACGCGCGATGCGTCGCGGCCTTGTCTCGCTCGCCCAATCCGAGCCGGCAGTTGCTGGGCTACGCCGCACTGTATAGGCTGCATATCCTTGACACCACCACACAGTGCGATAATTGACAACTCACTCCCAGCTCATCAGCCGACCGATCAACTTCACATCAAAGTCATTGAAATTGAAAGTGGAAGCCGTTCCACCTTTCTTGCAATATCACGAACTCTGTCTCGAAGCAACAATTTATCATCATAAAGCATGGGTATCTTGAAATACAATAGGGACTGTCTGAAAGGACACATTAGTCCTTGCGACAGAGCCACGCTACAAGTTTAGTGTTTCGCCTCCCTCCGTGCCCGGCGCTTCTGTCTCTCGCGCGTTTTCATCGTCTCCGGGTCTCTGAGCTCGTCTGGTAGGTCAAAATCGTACACGTCGAATTCCGGCACATCGTGACCCCAAGCTACGGCGATGCGACCCCGTCTTCGGGAGCGGTTCAGCGCAGCGTCCCTTTGGTGTCTTTTGTGGAAGAAGGATGTGAAGTCTCTCCGCCGACTCGGGCTATCCTGTTCGGACGACTGCGCGAATGAGTCGCTGCGAGGCCGTTTCGTCGGATGTGACTTCTGGTACTTTTCACGGGCTAAGGCTGCCTCATCACGTAGCTGCCGTGCTATGGATGCATCCACGTCGCTTGAGTCGGGCGGATCGCCGTCGCTCTCTTCGTCATTGTCCTCGTCCTCGTCGTGCTCCTCGCTCATCTCGACATTGCGCAGTGCTCGGGTGCGTGGAGCAGCTGCGCGCTTGAAACGCGGGCGACCGACATCATCATCGCCGGAGCCTTGCACATTGTCATCGTGGGAAACCTCAGACACATCCGAATCATCGTTTAATGTCTCTTCCTCGTCGTCTTCATCTTCCTCCTCTTCTGCCAAAGCACGCTCCTTTTCGAGTTTCCGCCGCTTCTCCTCTTGACTCCAGTGACGAAACTTGCCAAGTATGGCTTGACATCCTCTGATGAAGTGTTCTCGGGCGGGCTCAAAGGACTTTTTCCGGGTTTCAGTTACACCATTTACTCCCATGGTCCGCAGCCAGTCATGGCCCTGGAGATCGCCTAAGATTCGCACGATCTGATCCTTCTCATGCTGTGCGCGACTTCGCTCCGTGTTCCTGATGCTCTTTTCCAGCCGCGCCGCCTTGCGATGGGAAGGAGAATAGAATGAGTCGGCCAGGGGGTCAGACCAGCCGTCATCATGTTTCTTGTGGTCAATCAAGCCGAAGTCTACCCGCGAGGCTTCGGCCAGGTCTGTGAATAGACTGTCACTGAAGCTGCGTATGGGATGGTCTGCGGCAAGCAGGACGTGGCCATTGTGGCGCGATGAAGTGTCCCTGGCTGTGGACAAACGTGAGTCGACGATCACAATGGGTGTATCGGCATTGAGCAGGTCTAGCATTGTAATGTCAGTGAGCACGATTGGAAGTGATTTGGAGCGTTCGGTATGGAACACATACGCTGCTCTTTTGGGTCATTGCCAATCACTTCATCGTACTCCGGAAAGTATGCCGACAACTCGCTCTTGAACCGGGTCGCTTCTTGCGAGCGAAGCTTGCGACCCGTCGGGGCTGTGGCCGAGGTGTCTGCTGCGCTAGGCTGCAACCTGTCCAGCTCGTGCTTGATGCCATCTACGACCTTCTTCTGGGGTTTCGTGGCGGCTGGCGGTGCGTTTGAAGCCGTGGTGGAGGTATTGGAGGTCGGTTCGGGCGGGTGATTGGTCGAGGTGGGAAGGGGCCTCTGTTGGAGAAGCTGTCGCGATTCATGTGTGGGCGCTACGATTGGGGTCGAGGTGGTCGTTGTTGTTATTGGCGTCCTATGGTTCAGAGGTCGACTGGGCAGTGGAGGTCGTGGGATTGGTATTGGTGGCGACTTTGGCGCTTCATGTGCTGGTGGTGTTGGTGGTGGTGGTGGTGCAACAGTCGACTGGGGGACGATTCGGCGCCAGTGATTATGAAGCGTGGTTTGCTGAAGCATGGGCTGCGGTCGTGAAGGGGGGAGGCGCGCGATGGAGTGTTTGGACGACGGGCTGCTGAGCGCGGACGGGCGCGAGCGCGCTGCCACTATCTCGACGGTGATTCTGGCCCTCTTGGACTTCAGAGGATCCTGGTTGGAATCAATGACTTCGAGCGGCCGCTTCATACGGGCTGGCTGGGCAGGGCGGGAAGGCAGCGGGCGCGTCGTTGTCGATGGCTGTGTTGGAAAGGAGCTGCTGTGAACAGTGTTGTCCTGATTGCCGTGTCCGTTAGCGCTCCTGACTGCTGCGCGCGGGGCTCCTTCTGCCTCGACCAGGCGCCAGCTGTTTCGTCGTCGCGTCTTGTGCCGCATGCTCCATCGCTCTGCAATTCGCATGGGCCGCGTGCGCAAGCTCCAGGGAATCAATTGGCATGTCTTAAATAGAGCGCCGGAAGACCATTCAGCGGTGCGACAGAGATTAGGACAAGGCGTCCAATCTGCCCTTTACTGCGACCCCAGACGCTATTCTCCAACTGCGTCCGCTGCAGATCCAGCTTGTGACAGTGGCATGCACTGGTGTGGACCTATTGCGTTGGAACATACCGGCCTCAAGGGCTGGCTTGAGCGCAACCACAGGAGCAATCAGTTGTATCGCGCTGCGTAGAGTTGTCGATCCCCGATGTAATTCACCCTATTGATCCATCACTCTAAATTTGGAAGCCTCGGGATATGGGCTTTGGCTCCGCCGCGAGCCAATTGTGCTATGGAAGAGAGCTTCCTCTATGTATCTCGATAAGAACTTGTTCTTCCATCAACAGCCTAACCGGGTTTCCGCAAGAAGGTGCTATCGTCTAGTGGTTAGGACATCACGTTGTGGTTGTACGCATGTACCGCTTAACATTCACTATCACGGAGAAAATTCCCGTGAAAACGCCGGTTCGATTCCGGCTAGCGCCAAGGCAAACCTTTCTTTTTGCATTCCTTCTCAACCACGATCGACTGACCGACCACATATTGGAGGGGGGGCGTTGTTGGTTGTCTCGAAGCTTGTTTGTTTTTTGCCTTTCTGGCATCTCTCCTTACCGAGATAGGTAACGCGTACCAATAATAATAATAATCTCTTTCTTTCATGTTGTCGAGTTGGGGGATCAATGAATAATACGCTGGTGGTCCAAGACGAGGCCATCCATAATTACTACTATATCTATCATACAACAAACATGAAAAAATGACAATATGAAGTGAAAGAAAGAGGAGGTTAACGAAAGAAATCCCACGATCTTTCTTTCTTCCTTGCTCCTAGTAAATAAAAAAATACGTGGCTTTCGGGGAGATATTGATTTGTTCGTGCTTAGTCGATATGTGTTGCTTAAATTAATTAAAAGCGACTCAATTTGAATGAGGAAACTCGCTGCTAATTAATATTGCCAATGTTGTCTGTCTGGTTTGATTATTCAGTGAGAGGTGTGAGGTCTTTTGGCCTTCCATGGCTCGACTAAGGAAACGTCGGTTTCCTCTGCCTGAGGTTGGAAATTCCAAAGATCCCTTAACCCCGTCCATGACCGTTATCTACACCAGTCGGCCCTTTCACTGTCGACGCCGTCGAGTAGCAGATGGCTCGTATCTGCCATCCCTCTCATACTGCCTCACCATCCTCCTCGTCTCTCTTGCATCCCTCGCCATTTCCGCATCCTCGTCCTCGGCACCGCCGCTGGCTTGGACCCCTTCCCGTCTCACTTTCAACCTGCACCTCGCCATGCTGCCTTTGCCTCCAAACCCCTCAAAATCCAACATCCACTCGAGCGGCAACACCCCACGCCTCGCCCCGTCCACCGTGTCCCGCGCATCATCACTCACCCACTCGTACCCGGCCTTGAGCACCACATCCGCAGTGACCTGGAACACGCCCCAGCCAAGCCGGGTGATTACATACGGCGCGCGCTGCCGGACGACCCGGCTGGGACGGAAGGTCGGGTGCAGGTGCATGTGCACCTCCTCGATGATGTCCGTGCGCGAGGGCCGCACAAAGAACTCCCACTCGTGCTGGTTCTCCTGGAGGCCGCTGGGCGAAGGCGCCACGAGGGTGTGGCGGTTGCCAATGTATACCGTGATTGTCTGGACTCCCGCACCGCCGCCCGTGCCACCGGCCAGAGATTGCTCCGCGGCGACCTCGGCGCTCCGCATCGCATAGGCCCGGGGGTACTTCTCTCGTAGTGCCTCGCGCCTCTGGGTGTCGGGCCGGGCGGCAGTCAGCGTACGGCACATGGGACACCGCGCCTCGAGGTCCTGCACGGCGTCGAAGTCGACGGGCACCTCGTCAACGTCGACTATGGCCATGGGCGCCGCGAGCGAGACCGACGCCCAGGTCGCCATGCAGAAGCTGCAGAGCGTGTGGTTGCACGTCGTGCGGACCGGGTCGTGCAGCAGGAGCTGGCAGATGGGACATGTGTCGTCCTCGTCGATGGTTTGCCCGTCTGCTCCATCATCCCCCTCTGCCCGCGCGTCTCCATACTCGAATTCGCTCTTGGCGTCTGGTGTTGCCTGAGGTTCTTGTCGTTGTGGTGGTCGTGCTTGTGCTTCGCCGTGATGGTCTCGTTTTGTTCTGTTGTCGGAGAGATTGTCGTGGCGTGGATTTTCTTGTTCTCGGGCCTCGCCTTGGAATCGATCCCCACGCAACGGCGACGATGGCTCGCCCGTTAGATCAATCACGTCGTCATTGCTGGGTGCCGGCTGTGAAAGATGTCGAGACTCATGGGCATCCTGGCTGCGTATTGCTGATCGCCGTGCTCGGCGAACTGCTCGGTCACGCGCGGTATGAGTACTCATCTTGGCGAGCACACACAAAAGGAAAAGGTAAAGCTATGGGACTGAGTCAACTTCAGAAAAGAGAAGAGTGAATCTCAGAAGTCGAGAATTCTCGAGGTGCACACTTCCTCGTGAATTCGAAGGCACATGCAGGCAACAGTGGCTTACAGTGCATGGGACCGACCGGACCAATCACAGCCCGCGCTAGTACCCCAGGATATCCAAACCCTGGGGGCGGCACTCTTAATAGCCATGTATGTATGGAGCGTTTGTAGAAAGGATGCCATCAGAGTGGCTAGTACGGATTGCATTCAATTTCACTTTTCTCTATGGCTTTATATGTCGTCAAGATATGTCGTCAAGCATAGTGTAGCTTGGTTTCTGTCCAAGCATCGGGTCTGCAACCGAAGACCTTGCGGACTTGATTCTCTTAGAAAAGTCCCATGCGTGGTGCCACGCTGGACGACTATTTCTTCTTGTTGTTACGCTTCTTGGACTTGCCACTCTGCGCCTGGCTGCCAGAAGTCTTGGACTTGCTAAGGTCCTCAACGCTCTTATCGAGAAGCTCAAAGTCCTCGGTAGAGTCAGCACTCGGCGTGCGCTGGCCAGGAGTGGACGAGGAGTCCTCATCCACAACCTCGTCAAGCTCGTCGTCCGCGCCGGCAGCGTCAGTGGTTGGTGAGCCGAGGAATCTGCCAATGGTCGACTTGAAGGCCCAGACCGGAAGTTTGACGAGAGCAGTGTCCTTGATGGTTGGCTTTGCGAGCTCATTGGGCTGTTCGAACATCCATATTAGTGCATGACACAAGCGTTTACAACTTTAGGCAATACTCACATCCAGCAGGAAGTCCATGACGTTGCCCTCGTCGTCGGCCTGCTCCAGGTATACATCACCAAGCGAGTCGACGACGAGGACTTTTCCGTTCTCGGCCACAACGCGCTTCTTGGCACCAGTAGGTCCAGACCCCTCGGGCTGAGGGACTGGTGTCGCACTGCCGCTGGCCTGAGCAGAGCCACGGGCGCGGCCACGAGGGACCTTCTTGCCATCCTTTCCGGACTCCTTGCGCGTCTCCCGCTCCTGGAACCGGCGCTGCTTGCGGTTCATGGGCATCTGAGGCTGCTCATCGTCACCAGAGGCAGGTGCAGGAGGCGGAGTGCTCGAGGCTGCAGCCTCGACACCGGGAATAGCAAGGTTGTCACCCCACGCAGCACGGCGGGCGAACTTGATGTACCGCTCGACGAACTCGCGCTGACGCTTCCAGCTCATGTACAAAGCAAGGTAATGGAAGCCGCCGCCCATCACAAGCAGGCAGCCGACCAGAACGGTTCCAAAGCCAGGTCTGTAGCGGTTGTAGTAGTAGTCGGTGCCCTTCCAGAGAGGAAAGCCGTTGTTGAGGAAGTGGTCGTAGCGCTCCCGACCAGGTCCACGTAGGACGTCGGCCACGATACCGAGGCGTGCCTGCCTCTCACCAGCAGACTTGATAGCAGCCTTGAGCTCGGCCTTGGTCGGCGGCTTGGTCGCGCCCTTCTTGCCCTTGGCCTTGTCCTCCTTGGCGCGCTCAGCCATCATCTGCTGGCGGACCTTGTCAGGGTGGAGCAGCTTGCTCTTCTTCTTGTAGGCCTTGCCAATCTCATCCTGAGAGGCGGAGGGGGCGATATCGAGGTATTGGTAGAAGGTCATGTCGGGACCTTCTGCAGCGGCAAGCTCGTCGCGGACGCGGAAGATTTCGCGATCTGCCGGCAGGGTCAGTATGAGCCGGGAAGCGTGCCATCAGGCCACTCGGAATACTGCAATGGCTGTCGCGTCGTGGAAATCACTCACCCTCCTTGGACCAGGCCGCAGTGAGCGGTGTGAGTAGGGCCAGAAGGCCGACAGAGACCATGGAGAACTTCATCTTGGCAAGCTGTCCAACCGGTGGATCGAGAATGCGCAACGGATGCGTCGAGGACGAGGAGAGGATGAAGGGTGTGTTGGGAGTGCAGGCGCCCAAGGAGCGGATTGACGTCGCACAAGGAAAAGGCCGCGCAGCTGGGCGATGCTGTCGTGGAGGGAATATATGTTTTTTTCTCCCTCGGACAGGCTGAAACCACTTGAAGGATCTCCTAGCCTGGCCTTCTAGACACGGTACATTTTAAGGGACTTGCGGGCCAGGGAGCGCTTCCAGACAAGGCAGGCGCGACCCCTGCCCACCGCCAGGCTGGGCCTAGCCTGAGTCGCCGAAGTCCTTAAAGGTCCGGGTATGTACACCTACCTTAAGGTAAGTAAGCGTTGCTTCCTCTCTCCAGTGGCTGGCTGGCTGCCGGGGTGCTCCAGCAGACACAACTCGCCAAGTGGCCTGGCCCTCTTGCTAAGCATTCGGGTCTACCAGCCTCTCTCTTCAGACAGAGAATCAGCCTCCGGATGGGACCGTCCGCATCTCCTTCATACTCGCGTGCCGAACGCCCAACTTGGGAGCTGCTCGTCATGCTGGCACCGTCTCAGCATTTCCTCGTGGGGTCAGGTTTCGCGTCACAAGCAAGGTTGCCGTGTGAGACAACGCTTCGCCCTCGCAGGCTCAGCTGTCCAGATGACGCCCTCGTGGAGGTCGCTCACTGCCTACCGAGGCCATGCTCGTCTTCATAACCAGGGCTAAGTATCGTTACGCACTGCTGCCAGCCAGCTTGTGAATTCTATCACCCAGCCGGGATCGGACAGATTGAGACATGAGCGCCCCCGGAGCTAGACTGGCCTATAGCTTAGTCTCCAACGAGCCTTCATTTAAGCGCGGCCCGACCAGGTCACATTGCCCACGATGCGTCACCACCTAAAGACACTCGGTCAGTTGGTGGAGGGGCTGCGGCCATGAAGAAGCAAACTGGCCGTGGCTCTGGATCGTGCGCGCGTGAGCTCTTGGACAGCCGGAGGGACGGGACAGCCGGTGAGTGTTGTTGGGCGGCAACAAACCTGGGGTGCCTGCCTGGAAGACTGGCCCGGCATCTGGAAACCTGCCCAAGTCGGTGGTGCCTGCCTGGACCAAGTGTTCCTGCTTTTGCCTGCCGTCGTCATCGACGCCTTCGTCATCGCCAGACAGAACCTCGTAGGGTCGTCTCAACCGCTCGTCCTTCTGTCCTCCTCAACCATGGCCACCTCGACGCCTCCTTGAGCATTACATTTTGTTTTGGCTCTCTGCCTGCCTGTCTCGTCCCTTCAACACCGCCTCGCTGGCCCCTTTGGGCTCTCTTGATCCCGCTTGCACCCCGCGGCGCCCCTCCCCCCTGGTGCCCCTGCAGACCACTTGCCCGGACTCATCTCATTTCAGCAACCCACTTGGGTACTCGTGCATGACAAGCCGCATTCTCGTGCCCCTCGGCCGACCCAACGGTTCGCCGTTCACGATAGTATAATACCGACGACTCCCCGTCCCAGGGGCCTTCTCCCAATAATTTCACAAGTCTCTGCTGCCTCGACCCGTTGACTCAAACTGACTCAAATTGATGTGTCTCTTCGTTCCTCAATCGTAACGATCCGCTCGACAATACTTATTGCTCACCCTTGCCGCCCAACCATAAGTCAAGTGCGACAGGATCACCAGGTCCAATCGTCCTTTCACCGCTTGACTCTCTCATCAGGACCTGCACCTTTCGAATTTGCCTGGAACTTGGACTTCGCGCCCATAAACCACCACTTGCGCACGTATCTGATCCTTGATCCCGGGCTGTCAGTGCACTTACAGCCGACTCGTGGTAACTCGTGGTAAGCTCAACAGCCAACTCAACCTTGGGTGGGGTGAGATCATCCATTCGCATCCGCATGCATCCCACTTACACGAGATGACAGCCTCCTCCAGACAACAGCAACGCCGAAACAATGAACTCCCACGACGAGCTTGCTGCGCTTTTTGCGCAGAACCTCACATTGCACCAGCCGCACCCGGCTCGCTTCCAAGCCGAGCAGCCACCGGCTCCTCAAGCAGAACCCATTGTCTATTCCATATCCCAACACTACACCCACTCCGCCCATGTGATCCGAGAGGCCCCGCCCGCACCCGAAGTCCAGCGTCCATCTTCGGAACCACCCCAACTCCAGCAGCCGACACCAGAGATGATTCTTCGCGAGTACGGGGTCGATCCCACTGCCTTGTCTTCTGCACAGCTCGATCTCTTCAAAACTGCCGAGGACGAGCAGAAGATGCGCCTCATCGAACTCTGGCGCATATGCCCGCCCTCGAATCAGCAGATGGATGCTAGCCTCGCCTTCAGTAGCACCACGGTAGATCAGGAGGAGCTGCTTGCGCACAGGCGGTATGAACAGACCCTCCAGGAGGAGGAGGAGTCTCGGAAGAGACAGAGCCTGCAAAGCATCAACTCGCTAGATGGCACCCCGTTGACGCCAGTGCAGACGGAGCACGGGCAGTGGCAAGCCTCATCGTATTCTGAGCCATACATGCTGTCTGGCTACGAGGCACTGGCTCGCAGGGAATATGAAGAGTCCGCCAGGAAAGCGGCGATGATCCAGCCCAAGGAGGTGTACAACCACTTTGGATCGGCAGCAGCTACCCAGCAATATCGACCTGCGATGGACCCTGTTTACAACGCTCACAACAAGGACGATTTCATCCGCCAGCAGATGGAGAACAACTATGGTGCTTACCAGCAGATGGACAGCGCCATGGAGTGGTGATTTCGGTTTCACTGTGGTCACTCAAGCCTTGCCGTGGTAGATGCATGTCTGCGGTGTTGATTTTGTCGCGAAACCAGGTCTTGTTTGGCTTTTGCATCATTTGCAGTTTAAAGATACCAATTCATAATGAAACAGCATGTGGTATGTCTCCACAGCACAGCAATGATTCTGCTTTTCTAGTGCAGTCCGTCGTCCATACTACCACACCATATCCGATCTTGTGAGGAGGTGGGTGCTGAGAATACCCCAATGCTCAATTGGAGCTCGGATGGTCTACTGTAGGCAATCCCCGTCATACAACTGCTGTGATCCCATCATGCATCGCGCATATTTGGGTCATAGTCGAGGTCCACCCACGTTACGTGTGGCATTGAGTTTTCCCAAAAACCCATCAACGCAAATGAGAGCCTCGGAGCGCAGAACTATATTCAAAGGGCCAAGAAACTGCCCTGCAAGCAGTTGCCCACCTGCGCAGGTAATGTTCCAGGGTGCGGCATGATGTTTCGCGTGTAAGGGGATGACGAGCAACCGCGCACCACGACGACCCACTTCACCCCACGGCGGGCTTCTTTCCGTGGGTGACGTCTCTGCTGGCTGATAATCGCATCACGACCTTTCAAGATCGAAATCAATATACAAGCGTAACATCTCCTTTCACGTAAGGGCCAGAAGCCGCAAACCGGGGTTTCCAGGGGTCATTCTTCCAGCCTCAACAGATCGAACATAGCAAGATGGCGCATCCGAACAGATCCTTCTCGCTCGCAACAAAGGTCAAGGTAAGCACACCAGGTCTGTTTGTTTAAGACAACCCCAGTAATGAAATGCACTGGATTCGACTCGACTGCTGTGTCGACCAAGCACACAGTCCTCAAGATCCGGCAGTAGACATGCTAACATACCTCTTCTCTTGATCTCGCCACCCACAGCTCAACAGCGGGTACATGATACCGCAGCTGCAGCTCGGCTTGTACATGATGTCCGGGCGCGAAGTCCTCTCAGCGGTCCCGCACGCGCTGGACCTAGGCTACCGGGGCTTCGACAGCGCACAGATGTACCACAATGAACGCGAGGCCGGCCGGGCCATCACGTCGTGGCTCAAGAACACGACTGCCTGGACGCGCGGGGACATCTTCTACACCAGCAAGCTCGCGTCCAACAGCGAGGACTACGATGAAGTGCGCAGGTCCATTACCAGGAGTGTGGAGGCGTGTGGGTTGGGCTATATCGACCTGTTCCTGCTGCATAGCCCGCATGGAGGCCCGACTGCTCGGCTCGAGAGTTGGAGGGCGGTCGAGGATGCCATTGCTGCGGGCGAGGTCAGGAGTGGTGGTGTGAGTAACTATGGAGTGAAGCATGTAAGTCTGCCCGCTACTCCCGGCTTCTTGAAGACCTTCTTGAAGACTTCTCTCGCACCGCAGGTCTTCATTTTCTTCGTTACTGTCGTCAGCCTTTGATTCCATATTAACAAGCAGCGTCTCGCTCGCGGGCAACAAGATCCAAGAGCTCATGTCCGCAAACCCCAAAATCCTCCCGTCCGTGAATCAGATCGAAGTCCACCCCTTCAACACGCAGGCATCCATCCGCAAGGTCTGCTTCGACTTCAACATCGTTGTCGAGGCGTACGCGCCTCTCGCGCGGGGCATGCGCATGCAACACCCGGTCGTGGTCCAGCTCGCCAGGAAGTACGGCTGCACAGTGGCACAGCTGTTTGTGCGGTGAGTCCCTCCCATGCGAGTCCTGTATCATCCCAACCAGCTCTTTCCCTCTGTCCCTTCTTGACGATGATGAGGCAGTCGTCAAACGTCCCGGTGTGGCCGTGAGCAAGTCACTGACTCTTGTTTCAACCCGGTTACAAACAAAAAAGGTGGTCGCTCCAGCACGGCCTCGTCGCCCTGCCAAAGAGCACAAAGGCGGCACGCATGGCCGAGAACGCCGAGGTCAACGGCTTCGAGATCTCGGAAGCCGACATGGCCACAATGGATGCTCTGGACGAGCATCTTGTGACGGACTGGTATGTGCACTTCTCTTTTTCTCTTCCACCTTGCATACTTCTTATATGTATGCTATATATGCATTCTTTTGATTTCGTAGTGTCTTCTACTTGTCTGGTTGTTCCTGGGGCCATGGCTAACGTGCGCGCGCCCAAACACACACAGGGATCCGACCAACGTCCCTTGAATTCATGCTCCTGTGGACAGCCGGTCACAGTTCTGCCCGATCCAAGGTGGCAGGCATGCAGAGGGAGCCGGGTGATTACGCGAACCTTTCAATGGTGGTAGCTTGGCATATGCATATTAGCCCCAAGCACAGGCTACTCGGCGCGGAGCCAAATGACAAACTGGTATCTGGACAAGATGCTGCTGCCCAATGCTGAATTTTCGCAAACCCAATTCTGTCCCAACCACATAATACATGCAGTAATGACAGGCGTGCTTCGTCCCTTGCCATCGGACCATTCCTGAAGCATTGGTGAAATGAAACAACAATGACCACGCGCACACAAGCCATGCACTCATCCCACCCGCGCGGGTAGTCTCCCCATTCGAATCCTAACACAATGAGACCAAAAGTGCGTGAAAGGAAGATAAGGGGTTATCTCTTGTACTCTTTCTCAACACTCGGCATCCAGAGTTGGATGACGTGCGCTTCGTCTCGGTCTAAACATATGGTCTACTACGACTGCTCGCTCATAACAATCGCCTACAGTCGACTCCATCCGTCCAAGCATACGTAGCACGCCATGATAAACCTCGTTTCAGATACAAGACCGTGCCGTGATCCAGAAGACTCAGCCTAGTCCAAGGATTAAACAGAAAAACCCAAAGACACGAGTTCTAGACCAAAACCACATAACTGATGGCAACGCAGCCGCTGGCCGAGCGTGGCCCATAATAAAACGAGGGGGAAAAAGAATATCCAATCGACGCAGCCGCCATGCTAACAAACAAAACAGCCCCAAGAAACATACTTAGGAATACTGAAGACAAGAAACAGACCCAGGCCGTCTCGCCACGAACCACACAACGTCCAACGAGCAAGAGAAGCTCCTGCTACAGCTGCGACGACCGGACTTCGCCCTCGGCCGCGCTCTCAAGCAGCATGAGCTTGCGGCACTGCTCCTCAATCGACTCCTCGCTGTCGTCATCGTCCATGCCCGCCCCGTACTGGCCCTCGACACACGCCGCCAGCATAAGCTTCTTCACGCACGAGTTGTACACCAGGCCCTCGACTGTGTTCTCCGTGATGAGGCGGATTACCTCGACGTCACGTGTCTGGCCGATGCGGTGCGCACGGTTTGACGCCTGCACATCTTCCTGCGGATTGTCGGACTGGTCAAACAGGATGATCTTGTTGGCTGCCGTCAGATTAAGTCCGGTGCCGCCAGCGCCCGTAGTAAGTAGGAATACGGGAATGCCTGGGTTCTCATTGAACTTTTGGATCTCGGGGAACCGATCAGACGTCAAGGTACGACCCGAGAGCTCGCAGTATGGGATATCGCAGCCGTGAAATGTCTCGCGGAGGATGTCGATGACCATCTCGAACCGGCTGAAGACGAGGACGCGGTCGCCGGTCTCGATATAGCCACGGACCAGTTCGAGCAGCTTCTTGACCTTGGGACTTTCTTCCCAAGATCGATCAGGAATATCAAACTTTCCAATGTACTTAGGGAAGTCCTTGCACCACAGGTGGAGCTGGAAGTCGGATTTGGCCATAAAGTCCTCGAGCAGGAGCTTCCTATGCCGATCGGCCTTGCTCTGAATGCACAACTCCTCCTCGGTACACTTCTGCCACAGAATGTCGACCATTTTCTCGACGCGCTCGTCGGTGAAATGTGTTCTAAAGAGCTGATGGTGGATAGCAGCCTTCCGCAGCTGCATCCATGGATTCGACTCCTTGATTGCGGATTTCTTGGCAGTGCCTTTGGGAATAAGATATCTCCCCTTGATCTCGTCGTAGATTGCTTTCTGCGTGGGATGCATGCCCACAATCTCGTTGCGCTCAGTCTTCTGTGCCAGTTCGAGCACATCGGCCTTGCGTCGCTGAAGAATGAAAGGAGCCATGATTGTCCGCGCATTGCCAACCCGTTCCTTCGCGAGAGCAGCGAAGTTGTGTACGTCCTTGTTCAAGACCTTGGCATCGAAGATGGTCTTGAGGCGGCCAAAGTCGTTCTCCGTGAACAGATTAGGCTCAACAAAACTCAAGATCGACAACAGTTCCTTCAGGTTGTTCTGCACAGGTGTGCCACTGAGAATGAGCCGCCATTCCATTGGAACCCTCTTAAGCTGCTTATAGACGTTCGTGTTGGGGTTCTTAAGCTTGTGACCCTCATCAAAGATGGCAGCGTACGGCTCCAGGCCCTGCAACCAATGCAAGTCTTCGACTTTCCGCTCGATCTGAGTATAAGTCGTGAGGACGACGTGATAATCCTGCACATCCTCAGGTTCGGTATCGCGGCGCTCTGCTCCGGAGTACAGGAAGAGGCTGATGTCAGGCGCAAAGCGCTCAAACTCGTTGATCCAGTTCTCGTACGTGCTGGGTGGTACCACGATCAAGTTTGGCCAAGGCCGCGTCGCTCCGCCATGTTCGTCATATGTTCCGACAAGATGAGCGATGAATGAAATGACCTGGCAAGTCTTTCCCAGGCCCATATCGTCGGCCAGAATGCCGCTGAACCCATTTTGGTGCAGTAGATGCATCCAGTTGAGGCCGAGCAGCTGGTATGACTTGAGCTTGACCACATCGGCATCCATCAACGCAGGCTGAGTGGGAACTGGCATTTGCTGCATCATGATAGCAGAGCAGTCTTCCCCATCTGGGCCGGGAGAACACCGCATCCGGCCGTTTCTGTCCATGGGCCAGTTTGCCATGGCCGCCTGCAGCTGGGCGCCGCGGTCTTCGCACTTCTTAATGACGACAGCCGCAGCATCAAATGCTTCGAACCATGACGACAGCTTCTCAACGATAAGGGAGCCAATCTCTGTACGGGCATTCTTCGACCGGGAGGACTTCGGCTTGTCTTTGCGGGATACTCTCTCGGCAGCGTCCAGGCTCTTAAAAGGGGCAGCCTCAACCATCAGCCTGGCATCGTTTGGCAAGCCGGTCATGCGGCCCAGCTCTTCGGCTGAGCAAGAGTTGAGATAATTGAGGACTTTTTGCTCGTTGGGATTCACCACAAGGACGTCGCTATTAGAGTCATCTGCAACGGCTCTGGAAAGCTCATCCTCAGAAGCCTCTGCATCGTGCTCAGCCTTGCGCTTCCGTGAGGGCAACGTGACTTTGGCAGCGACTGGATCCGAATCTGAGTCGACGGTGACGACCTTGGCAGACTGGCCCTTCGACTTGATTCCGCGCATCAGTCGTCGTTTGGGTGCGACCGGCTTGGCACGTTCTTGAGGTTGGTCGGCAGAAGTCTGATCCGGACTGCTAGGCGGCGAGGTTGCCGAGGACGAGACAGAAAAGACCTGTGCCGGAGAAGGCGAGCGCTGCCTACGGCCTTGCATGAGGCGACGTCGAGGAGGTGCCGACAGGGTCGACTCGCTGCTCGGCGTGGTGGTTGAGCTAGGCTTATTGCTGTATGCAAACTGAGAGATGGTGGACTGGAACGAGCTCTTTGCACTTGCGGGTTGACTGCCTTCATCGTTGGTAGATTGGCTATTGCTCCTTGAGACTGGTGCGGGTTTTGACCCGGAGGTCCCAATAATGGACTGGACAGCTGCATTGACCTGCCAGCCTCCTTTCTGGACGGCGTCCTTGCAAGCTTGCAGGGTAATGTTTGGTCTTGCCTTGTGCACGGCTCGAAAGACCTCCTTGGTCAGGTAACGAAGTCGTAAATTAGGAATATCATTTAGCGAGATGTCCTTGGGAGGCGGCTTGGCAGCAACGGGCCTTGCGACGACTGGTTGAGCTACTCCGCTATCCCGTTTGACAAAGGACGGACGAATGTCTCCCCGCATGGGGGTGACTTCGTCATCAGAGCTGTCCTGATGCTTGTAGTCCTTCGCGATCTCGTCGTCGGACAATTCGAGATATTGCCGGCTCGCCGGTGCACGGGTCGGCGCAGGCGCAGGCGCTGCTGGTGCCCTGAATGCTGTGCCCGCTGGCGCCATAAGGGAGGCTATCCTGCCTGAGGCAATTGATGGGCGAGCCGCGTTCGAGCCATGATTTGGTGGTGTCGTCTTCGGTTGGAAGGGCGAGGATGCCGGAACTTCGACCACGCTGGGGGAGCTCGGCACGACTGGCGACGATTCGCGGATGACCTTGCGATCTAGCAACTGCGTCGGCTGCGTTGTATGGTCCGTCTTGCCCACAATCTGTGTGGGCTGGGTAACATGCGCCGCCCTGTCCAAGATTTGCGTTGGCTGCGTGGTGTGCGCACCAGTGCGATTCGCTGGCTGTGTTGGTTGTGTAAAGAATGGCGACGAGTTGGCGAGGTCGTCGAAGTCATCGTCCTCGATGTCAAACCATTCTGACCGGCCCTTGGAAGAGCTGTGAGGGCCAACCATATTGGAGGGTTGGTGAGCGTGTAGCGCTCGAGGCGGTCGAGGGTGGACTCTTTGACGTCACAGTAACCAACCGAAGCTAGACTACCAGACCGCCAGAGCGAGGGATCTTGGTTGCAGGCTAGAACGGATAGAGCGATTGGAGACAATTCGTCGTGTGCGGCCGCATAAGTTGTGAGTCGAGAAAACGATGGTGGGAGTTTTGCCCTTGGACGAGTGTGGTTGAAATTGAAATCGTGAATTGAGGTGGCGCAAGGGTGCTGGTCGTAGCCGGGCTTGGCTCTGCACAGGCTGGTATCCGACGCCGTTGTTTTCTTAGTGGTCCTCCTCGCACACGAAGCCACTGCCCACGCCTGATGTCAGGCGAAGCGAATGTGATGATGTTTGAGCAAGAAAACGCCAGGCGACAGAGGCAGAGGCGGGCCCGAGTTCACGACCGGAGAGCAGCGAGAGGACGGCGGGTCCCGTCTGTCTTTGCCTGCACGTTCCCACCCGCGCGGGAGCGAAAAGTGGATGCTGCACCGGTCCCGCCCCCGAAAATTTAGGGGAGAGCAACCGCTGCGGACGCGACGTGAGCGCGTCTGCACTTGACACGAGCTCAGGTGACCTGGTGGGGCTCTTGCATGTCATGTCGGGGCCGCGTCTCTGCTTCTGTGTGGTGTCGTGTTGCCCATCTTGTCTCCTGGGAACACTGCTGGCTGGGATGGGCCTGTATCTACTGGTGATCAGCTACCTAACCATCTTTCTCTGCGTGACATGTTGTTGTTCCTAGTTCGTGTTGGCTGTTCTTCGACAGGGCTCGTCATGTCGTCAGCTTCAAGGCCCACCACCCACTTTCCAGGCAGTTGCATCCCGCTCTCCACTCCTGCCACCACCAGTGCCAGGCTCCACCACCAGACAGCTCATGAACAGCTCTCGTTGGCTCATCCCATCCCTCTTGACCTCTAGCTCTAGCAACACATTACATCGCAACAACAGACGTCGGCCCTTCAGACTCAAGTTGTCAACCATATCCCCGACTCCCGTCAGCGCCAGCAAAAGAACCAGCCAACATGGCCACCAGGCGCATCGTGACTACCGAGAAGACCTCCCTCGACCGAGACGAGGTTTTCTCCGCCTCTGCCGGCAGCACCACCCAGAAGTCCAATATTGCGCCAGCAGTACCCACGTGAGTCCTTGTGATGTGATCCTTTGTTTCGGCAACACGTCTCTGTGTTGCCGTGGGGTGGTGGTTGACAGCAACGGCCAAGCCCCAATAATGATGATGATGGTGATGACCTTGCTGTTCATATACATACATGCCATTGTTGGTCCAAACTTCGCCTGCTCTTGAACCCTCATTGACAAGGCCCTCTCGCAGGCATGTCATCCTCAAGCTGCTCGCCGCAACGCTGGCAATGATTGTGCTCCCCATCGGCTCCTACTTTGCCACACTGCACACTTTCTTCAACGGTATGTCCGCCAGATCACTCTCCTGCAATGAATTCAAATCCCTCCATCCCTATCCTCTCAACAGATTCCTTCCCGCCCCCGTCCCCTCCCTTCCACATTCTCCCGACGGAACTGGTTGCCCATACACCAAGACTAACAACATCCGTCACCTCTTCAAAATCAAAGGCAACGCAAGCTACGCGGGCGGTTTCGCCGCCGTCATGGCCAACGTGGTACTGATCGGCTACGTCATCGTCGCGATGAATGAGGACGAGAGTGAGCGGCGGCAAGAGGGCGGCGGCGGCAAGGACAGCATCAAAAGCCTGGCCAGCGAGGCAAAGAAGGACCGTTGATCTTTTCTCTTTGCTTGGATTTCCACCTTGGTCGTCGTTTTTTTGGTGTGCTACTTTTCCCACATAGTTGTAGCCCAAATCCAGCTTCGTCAATGAAAACCGAGCAGGAGTACAGAATGAAAAAGAGACAAGACAAAAAAAGAAAACACGAGGCAATGCTACACACGTGTTGAAAACCGTCCGGCTCTATTCTGCGGGTATCTGATTCCCCCTCTCTCTCCATATCTTCGATGGATGTGTCCCCGAAAGCAAACCGCATGTCTGCGTGCGCGCTCTTGCTTGCTGCCCGGCAGGTTACAGCGGCTATACGCCATGTGTCTCGCTCGGTAAACAGAGCAGAGGACAGGATTCTCTCCCCAAGTCACGAGATAAGCAATAGACGCTCCGCGTATCAAGCAAGGTTAATCGGAGCCTTAACGCATAAGAAATACGCCAGGAACATGCCAGATCCATAAGGAGAGTGAGATTGATCCGATGAGCATGACTGTCAACAATCTTCTCGCCATTGCCGTCAACAAAGCCAGATGGGCAGGCAGGTCATTGCTGCACTGAGAAGTCCGACGAGGAGGAACGGAACTTTCACGATGGACTTCCAAACTGCTTTCCTCCGTCTCAGTCCGGGCACAAACGGTGTCACAAGTAGGCAGGGCCAGGTGAGCTGCGACCACTGTCCCCGAGTCTTAATTCTTGCATTCACCGTGCTTGCCGGCCTGTCGAGAAGAAAATTTACACTATCGGCATGGCAACACACAGGTCACAGGCAATAGACAATACAAATGAAAAGCGAGTGGGACATGGTTCACATAGCAGAACATGCACACGAGCTATCTTGCAGTCACAATACAATTTTCTGTGCTTCTCATCCGGCCTCAAATTTGCCTATTTAGACATTATGCTAGTAGAGGTGAACAAATGATTTCGCCAGGAACGGGACTCGCGGAGTGACGCAAGGAAAACGCCAGGAAGAAAGAATAGGTCGGCAAGCGCTTCCTTATGCGTCTTCTGGATGTGGTGTGTTATTTGTGTTGTAATCCTTTCCTGGTATGCACGGCTACTGTGTGCATTCCCAGTGTGATGTCGTGTACGTGTTGTGTGGTCTTCGTTGCTGGTGCGCCGAACGCACACCCTCATTGGCAAGACCCTTGCCAATCTTGTCATATTCTTCAATTGGCTGCCGCGTTGCCTCCACCTTGAGAACGAAGCGATCCCATGTGCTCCGCCTGAAGGATTTCATCCATTCGATCATCGGTCATGCGCATCGTGGAAGTCACCAACTGCGCCTCCAACCTATACTAGGCGTCCTCAGGGCCTGGATGGGTATATCATAGCGTAAATGAACAGAGTACAGTTCAATATTGCGTCAGAGTGCGGCCCGGTGGATTGAGCAGCCATAATTTGGACCGAAGGGTATCTTTCGAAAATGAGAAAAAGTACTAAAAAGTCGTCGTATAACATCGTCCAGCATGATTTGTGCTGGTGTTCAGGGTTTCGAGCTGTGTGCTTGGTTCAGAAAAGCCGCCTAGGCCTTGCTGAAACGCTTCGAGAACCAGCTCTTCCTCTTTTCCACAGGTGCTGGTCGGGCCTGTGTCGCGGTGACTGGTGGGGGTGCAGTCTGCTTTCGCAGCATGGCTCCACCGACATCCTTCCTGGGAACGGCTGGCTGGTTGGTCTGGGAGTTGGACAAGCCGGATGGCGCAAAAGACCGGTTTTCGTAACCAGTCTGGCCAAACTTGATGCCATAGTCTTGAGCTGGTTCTTGCCGCTTGGGGGGCGAGCGTCGCCCCATTGAGCTATTCTCGCTGCTCGGGTCTGTCGAGTAGCCCGCAGGCTCGCTTCCGCTGCCGGAGCCGGATGCCACGGTCTCGTGGGATTGGTGGCTGTTCGACATCGGATACACATTTCTTGCCCCGTTGGCGCGGTTCAGATGTGGCTCAGATTGCTGCCGGTGGTAGCGCCGCCCGTTGTCGTGGCCCTCGAAATACCCGTCGCGGCCGGGTCCGCCTCCGTCGTGGCGTCCTGTGTCGTAAACCACGCTCTCTGGGCGGTAGATGGAGTGCGGCCGGCTGCCATAATAGCTGTTCTGAGGAAACCGTGGTGGACCACCTTGATCTATTACCAATTGTTAGTGCCAGTATTCTGCATGCAGAATGAGTAATCCAGAAGCATAACCACTTACTTCCATACTGACTTGTGCGGCGGTTCCAGCCGTTCAATGCAGACTCAGACTCGGATCTGTAAAATGACTTGCGGTTGTAGTTGCCGTCAATGGCGGCTTCGAAGCTGCGAATTGTCTCAAGCGGGCGCTCCCAGCGCGACCGTGTAGGATTCGACCGGTCAGGATCGACTAGCACACCAAAACAAGTCAGCAAGGAGCTCTGCAACTGTTCCGAGCACAAGAATACACACCAATGGCCAATCCGTCGTAACCCTTGTGTTGAATTGAACTCAGTGGCCGGAGTGCCGCGTCTTTCCCTGCAGCCTGGGCCGCGATGGCCGCTGTTTGTAAAAAGATATGAGTCAGTTATACTTCCAGAACGAATACAATGATTCATGGCTAGTACTAACAAGGTTCAGCCTCCTGCATCGCAAGTGTAGGGTCGGCCTTGCTGTGAAGGCGCTTGGCTTCTTTTTCGGCGTGTGTCTCCTGGAGATTATTCTTGCCGGGGCTGTTTGAGCTGTGGTGCGACTTTTCCGAGCGGAAACTCAGTCCTCTGGTCTTGGGGCGCGGGGGTTCGGGAACACCCTGCCGAAATGGTTGCTGGGAGTGCGCCGGAGGCTGCTGCTGGTACTGAGGCTGGCTCTGAGGAGCGTACTGCTGCTGCTGCTGCTGCTGTTGCTGCTGTTGTTGTTGTTGTTGGTAGTGATATTGCTGGGACGGCGCGGACGGCGGGTAACCGTAGGACTGGACGTTGTCGTGCTGAGGGACAGACGGCAGCGGCTGGTGCTGGCTGTTGTATTGGGAAGTCGCCATGGCAGCGTCGGGAGCAGGCCGTGCGCCTGCTAGACTGCTAGATAAGCGTGCTGGTGCTGGTGGTATCTCGCGCGGCGGGAATCCCGGTCGCAATCGGCAGGCACTGACCACAGGAAGTGGAGGAAAGCGGGTGATACGGTGGGTTGGTGGTGGAGAGCCAGGGGTCGCTGGCGCGCGTGGATCGAGGAGATACGGAGTCTCGAGAGAGGGTCAGGGAGCGAGCGGAGCGTCCTGTCAGAAGCGATCGTGGGTATGGTTGCCGGGGGGGCGGGTGTGTGGGCAATGCAATCTCAGAGTTGTTTCTGGGACGGCCAGGATGCTGTTTGCACGGGGCGAGCGCGGCGGTAATGTAATGGCTGGTTATGCTGGTGCCTGGTGGCCGGGCACGCAGCCAAGGTTACGTCGGGTGCCCGTCGTATGTGCAAGTGCTGGCTGGTGAAGGCACGAGTGCGAGCAGGCCGTGGTTGGACGAAGACCGGGATGCGAGGAGATGGCGTGGGGCGTTTACAGAAATGGATGGATGGGATGGGAAGGGGGATGGATGGATGATGGGGTGATGCGCCGCCGCGGGGGCGCGGCCTCAGTACTACATAATACACCATCACACATCGGTCAAAAGAGGCCGGCGGAAGGGCCGTCTCAGCATGCGTGTGAATGACACCCACCTCGTTGTTGCACGCCCGCCCGGCCGCAAGCACTCGAGGGCACTCTGGCTGCTGCCGCGACGTGCTGTGTGCTGAATGCAGACTAAGTGAGCGACCGGGTTGGGTTTCTCCCGCAAGTTGAAGCGACCGGCGCGCAAGTGGGCGGGGCTGGAAACGCAGCAGCAGGTACGTGCCTGTTGCCCATCCCCCTCGCAGATCCAAAAGTCACTATGGCGCGGCCCTCGACTAAGGTTGGACCAGCCCTGCACGATGACCACCGTGGTCCGTACATACATGACCATACATGACGCCACGCTGCGCACTGCGCCTCGAGGTACGCATCATCCCTACCCGAGCAGATCCATGGCCCCCTAACTTTAGCCCCAACTTTGCCACTGCTTGCAAGCGCCATCAGCTCGAACGGGCAGAGCAGCTGGTGGCTGGCGGGCTGCTTCTGCGGCTGGCGTGAAAGAGGGCAGAGAGAGCGTGTCCAGCTTAGGATCCTCTGCTCCAATGTGTAGGCAATGCCACTGGCGGCTAGCCAGGGGCCAGTTCGGTGGCTCAACGAACGGCGGCCTTATCTCCTGCCCGCCAACCCCGTCAAAATCACTTGGCCAAGCTTGCTGGTGGACAATCAAGCAACGAGCTACAAGATACGGGGGCTGGCCTGCCAGAGTTGTCTTTTTTAGCCATCCATCTGCGGATTTGATCAATGCGCCGCAGGGCAATCTGTCGGGTTCTGTTGATACTTACGGAGTACTGCACATTCTCATGGCCACCGGACTGGCCCCAGAGAGCCACCAGTGCTCGTGTTTGACACAGATATCAACCGGGGTTGGGGGGTCGAGCGGCTGCTTGAAACGAGGTACAATCTCACCGGCGAGTGGCAAGCTAGGGCACGTACTGCGTACCACGGCTGGCTTAGCGCGCCGCTTCCCACTATTAGTTCGTACTTGATTGCCAAGACGATGTCCGTCGTCGGCTCATATTGCTGGTGCGAATAATGAGTCTTTAGTGGCTGGCAGATGGCGAACTTGACTAGGGTATTTGGCCAGTCCCAGCTGCGTCTCTCCAGAAGAAGCTCAATCTGCAGACGGGAGAACAACTACCTGCTGCACGACCAAGTGTCAGGACCGCGGTGGGCATCAAAAGGTTGGAAACTGCCAGGACTTCCATCCTGCAACAACGCGTGGCAGTCCTCCTTGACCAAAGTTAATGTGTAGCACTAACGCGGGTGCCCGGCTGTGAGGGCCCTTGATGACGAGATCGCCGATGCCACACGCACGGGCAATGCTCCATCAGAACCCACCCTTGACGAGCACCCTTGCACCTGTGGATCAGCTTCTTGTCCACGGATCATCTACCTTCTGTTACGCAGTGAGACAAATTCAGATGCCGCCAGAGATCTTGGGGCATCGAGATGTCAAGGCCAATCCGGAGGGAGCGGGGAATGCCAGGACCAGGTGTCGCGGCACCAAGTCTCCCCCATCGTCTCAAAGTCATCTGGGCCCCCAAGGTGTGACGATTGACCCGGCAGTCCATCAGGAAACGTCCAGGATCGTCCATGCAGATGGCAAGGAAGCTCCAGAGTTACCCATGGTTTCAATTTGCGCGCAAGTTTCTGTTTTGTTTTAGAGTTCGTTTTGCCAACCCTGGCAGACCACGCTGGATCTCTCAAGTGGATTTGGCCGGATCAAAGCTGGCGGCCGAGCTGGTGCGGAGGGGCACCATGGTTTCTTGCGGGCGGTCACTGCATATCGTGGCTTGACACGACAGGCACGTACCTCCACCAGGCCAGACTGGCACCAGCACGCGCGGGCGACGGAGACGTGGCCGGCAACGCAGTAATACATGCGACCACTTACTACCACTTGGTCATGGTTGAAAAGATGCGAGACTCGCTCGTATCGTCCAGCACGAGCAGTCCGCGCCAAGGGGCTTGGCACCCGAACCATCCATCGCCCATGTCGAGCACCACCGAGGATCCACTGCGAAACCGGGTGCCCCTGCAGGACAGGCCTCGTTGGATGGGAAAGCCAGCAGAATCCGGTTTTGTCGGCATGGGCGATGGGCGACGACCCCCCCCCCGGTCTCACGTCAACCTGCAGGCCCGCCCGCTCCGTCTGGCTGGCGTGCCTGAGATGCCTTTCTCATCTATCTCTCTCCTCGCCGCCGCCGACTCTCGGCTGCGTTGTTCGAATTATGCGCCAATTTCCGTGGGGCACACGATCTTGGTGGCAGCGATCTCGTCAATGCCGGACAACAGACGCCGACCCGCGGGCAATTGAAGAATTGCAAAGGCGGCAATCACGCATTGGTGCCGCGTCTGAGGATGCCCAGCAGCAATGGGCAGCTCTGGACGGACGACATTTGCTTGCATGGTGGAGCAGGCAAGCAGAAGACACAAGAAAACAGCCCACGTGCGTGTTGTGCTCGTAATAGACTTTCGGCGCGACTCAATTTTCGCCCTGGCCTAGCCAAGTCCAAGCTTACAGTAAGTTAGTGGGGGAGAGGGAAGGGAAGGGCAGCGGAGCGGAGCGAGCGACCCCTGCGAATGCAGCGTGGAGCTGTCGAGCTGGCTGGATGCGGCAATTGACGTGCCTTCACATTGCGTGGTTCTGCTGCGAGCTTAGCTCCCAGTTAGACGCATGGATATCTGTGTCGTAAGTACATAACTTCGCTAATGGTCAAAGATCTGCGGCAGGCGGCTGCGGGCGGTCCTCTTTGCGCGCGGGGGATGGTCTTGTCGAGTCGTGCCGCCGGAATCGGGGCAGGAATGCATGCAAGCACTATGTACGATAGCGTACTTAAAGTACATATGCGTGACCCACTCGGTCGTTGCAAAAATGGAAGAGCAGGAAGGAAGGGTCGCCGCGCCTGGCATGGGCATAGTAGGCATAGCACGGCATGTTCCAGGCCCCTCGACGTCGAATGCAGAAACTTGCCATGGGCCCAGCCAGTGCATAAAAAGTCACCTGCGGGAGCGGGAGCTTGCTCAGCTGCTGGGACACGCCTGGCCGTTACGATGATGACGGACGACAATGTCTAAAACAAAACTTTGGCGGTTCGGCAGATCCCGCCTCTGAAAGCTTCGCAAACGGCGTACAGGACAACTCAAGGAGCATCTGCTCCCTGAAATAAGCGGAACAAGCCATAAAACTAAACATTAGCCGCGGCGACCTTGGGCGGTTCACTCGTCAGGCACAGCAACGGCAGATGAGAGAGGACATCCTGTCAGGCACCAGTATGGACGATTTCATCAGATCGCCTAGTCGGCATCGTGGACGGGTCTGCATACACGTCTAAACACTCTCGGAGAGGAGCTGGGGGCGCGTTTGGGTTCCTGCCATGGGGCATGAAGCTCCTGTGAGCACGTCTACATCTGCGTGAAGCTTGTCTTCACTGCTTGTTTGTTTGTGTCTGCCTTTTCGTGAGGTCCTCACTCGTCGTTTTCGCTTGCATAAACAACCACGCAACTAAGAATCCGGGTGCTTGAGAATGTTACATATAACTATCTTGGCGAGAGGCACTGGTGGGAATTGTGAGCCAAGTAGCGTGGGACCAATTTCATGGTACGAGTGACCAAGGAAAGGGAATTGAACCGGGAGAAGATGGACTTGTCCATCGCAAGACGACGGGTAGCCCGCGTGAAGGCACTCGCGTCAGGAAAGGAAAATAGGCGGGTCACCCGTGTGAAGTCTGGCTGTAGTCGATGGAGCTGGGCTGAACAGTATGCTTGGCAGGATTTCTAGACCCAGGAGGCTGGTTGTCGGGACTCCCGGACCCGAAACATTTCCCAGTCAGCCATGTTTACGAGTCGATATTTTCATGGGGACAAGTGGTGTCGTGGATGCTTGATACACTCCAGCGGCGAGCAAACAATGTCTGGGTGCGAACGAGGCTTTGGTCTAGCTGGAGGACCAGGGTCAGCTTTCCAGTCCTATCAAGTCGCTCCTACGTTTCCAGATAAACCTCAAATAGGGAATATGTGCGAAATCCTCAAGATTTTTTCCTTTCTGCGCCGCAACAAGCAGAGGACCGTGACTCGACTGGCGCGTGTTGTCTCGACGGGGGAACTGTCAAGATGTCGTTGCTTCATTGCCGAGCCATACCTTGTTCGTACGAAATCATAGGAAATACGAAGGAGAAGCAAAATAGTATTTAGATTGGTAAGATCAACAATGGGGCAAGAAGCACGTTTAGTCCGGTTTCGGATTGTTCGTGGTGTCGACAAGCCGGGGCATGTATCACGCCATCCGGTCACTCGACTGCGTACTCATCCTGATCGAAGCTCGAAATCCGATCTCGAAGATCTCTTTGCCAAAGACCCTTTCTGAAGTCCAGGTGAATGGAAATGCCGGCCTTGACAAGCGTGATAAGTTAGAGGCGGCACTCTAGAACGACTGGCGCTTCAAAGGAACCAGGATCTCCAATACGGAAGGCGTGTTACGCTTGGAAACGCGATGGGAAGGTGGAGCGTAGCATATAACGTCACGATAATGACTAAGCTGGCAGCTCGCAGCCAAGAGTCTTTCACATTCTTCAACACAAGGAATTTTTAAACCAGCTGCCCATGATGATGTGTGCCGCTCCTTGCCCTCTCTCCCCCTCGATGTCAGTCCAGCAGAAAACGTGATGATTGATAAAAAACAAGACAAACCACCGGCAAATACTTTCAATTGACTGGTCGTATTGAATTGAGTTAAGAACGGTGCCAAGCTACACGACCAACTTAGTGACTCAACAAGCAATATTGTAGTGTGATGTGCTTCTCCCTTCCCGTCAGAAATACCAGACTTCCCCCAACCACGCGCTGGGCCATCGAAGAAAGAGACACAGCACATCAGCAGATGCGGTAGTCGTTTTGCCAGCTGTTTGTTGCGGACCTGAGCTAGACTTGGGGAATAATTCTTTGGGATCCGAATTGTGGTGAGATCCGCCACGAGATCGAGCGTGTCTCGATTAGTCAATGTGACTTGGGACATACATTGTTACGGTTCGATATTACGGTTATATTGCGAGTTGTGAAGCCAGTGTCAAGAGCCACCGTACTGAGCCAGAATTACGCAAAGGGTGTGGGTGTCATCATGAATGTGTGCATGACCGGGGAAGTCCATCACTAATTGAAAACAAGGTATGGCAAAGTACTATTTATGGCGAGTGTCGCCTTCTTTGGATTTCTCGGGTGACTGATGGTGGTGGTGTCTAAAGCATGGCGAACTCCGTTATCAAACCAAAGTCAATACCACTCTTGAGTTGGCCCTGGCCACAGCACTCCGCCGACGTTTTATCCGAAAACCTCTCAGAAACATGGTTTGGTCTTCTGTCAGCCCGATTGAGGCAGATCCCAGAGCAAATTGTCTCGTGCGAGGTAGTCGTTCCAGTCGTGAGTGTCGGCCAGGGTAGTCCCCATCATTCGCCCTCTTATCTTTTTGTCTTTTCGTAATTCATCGCGTAAAAGTGATTGGGTCCAGGGATTGTCCTCCATCCTCTTTCGGGGTTCTGTTCCGATTGTGCCGTCTCGACGAAGCGTTGTCACAGGGTTGTCAAAAGAAGCAAGAGTGCATGCCCGTTCCCCGATGCGTGTGTGATGTGATGTGCGCGCGCGTGGTTGTGTAGAGTTCTTTGTTGGTATTTTCCCTTTTTTTGATTTCGTTGTCGATTTTGCTAGACACGCAAGGTCGAAACCGTGAATCCTTGCCTAACCCAGATGCAGCCTAACCATGAACCGTCCACGCTTCCAAACTCCGGCCTATCCCCATGTTTATATCGAAGAGGGGTAGAGCATGACACGAACAGAAGCACCAAACGACTTGGAGGGAAGAGGAGTGCTGAACTTGGCGCGGACGACGCCGGAGTTGCCTGTAAAATATCTGTCAGTACAGATTGTTCCGTGGTCGAAAAACCGACTGCCGAGCGAGAATTGCGGAGGCATACCGTGAGGGCGGGTGACCTTGCCCCAGATGACGCGGACCTTGGTGCCGCGGATCTCCTTCTGGCCCTTGTAGACGTAGGCGACACGCTTGCCGAGGTAGAAGCTGCGGTGCTGTTAGTCTCAAACTGTTTCAAGCTGTTTGCTCCTAGATTTGGACTGCATACTTGGCGGCGTTGGTGTCGTCAACACCCTCGATCTTGATCAGACTCGTCTTGGAGTGGGTGACGTGCCGGCTACGCTGGTAGCTGAGGTGGCGACCCCTATGATTAAAAGGTGGTCAGCGGGATTGTCCTGACGTTTCGGTGTCGTGCGCAGTTTCCATAAAAGACATGTCGTTGCGACATTCGTTCGAGCAATGCGTCGGGTTGAGTTGTCCAGCCGTGGTGTTGCCGAGAATGTGCGGATCCGAGATCGGTGTAAAACAAGTTCAAGGTGCACTCACTTGACGTATACTGTAGACAAAGAGATGTTAGCATGAATGTTCACCTGCATCCGCCTCTGACATGTTGCTGCTGGCGCGCCCGACGATATTTTGTCTGAATTGTGACCTCTCCGAACTCTGCGAAAGAAAAAATCGTGCGAGCGCGCCGGCGTGTGTCCTTCCACCCGAGGTTCTACTCACGTCTGTGTCCGGCTTCGGTAGGCATCTTGTCGGTTAGTATCTGTGCCGTCCTCGGGAATCCGTCGATCCGGGAGAATGGTGTGCTGCTGGGCGAGAGTCGTTGTCGTGGAGTTCGGTGCAGTCCTATCTTCAAAGCGAGGCACCGGGCTATGGGTGATGATTGTGGGTCCCTCAATTTTGGTTGGTATTTTTGAAAAACCGAAACTCGTGTGGGTGCGAGACGAGCCGGCAATCTGCCGCGCGACACCGCCTAGTCACATGATTTCTGCACATTTCCCGATTTATGCAGAGACTGATGACATAGGTCGCATTATGTTTGGCCAGTGCATCACGCTTCACTTGAGCACTGGGACCGCCTGTGATGCGTGCGACCTGGGCTAACTCAACTTTGTAGATCAACAGCCGTACCTGAGCTATACCGAAGGTTGGGTCTTCATGCTACCGCAAACAGAAAGGCATATTCCGATCGTCATGTTGCTCCCTTGTGTAGTGTTCAGACACATACACAGATTGATTCTTGGACCTCTTGCTGGCGAGTCGGTGAACTCTGGCTGAATGCGAATGTATTGCGCTTACTCAGCCACACAATAGTCGCTCGTCCTGAGTCTTGAGCTCACCAGCACTCCTGGCTGCCCACATGCGACTACTGCAAAGGGCCAGCGTGCGGGACAAGCGTGCGTAGAAGCAAGTGGACTTTCGCCCTTCTTTGGGCACACATGATGGTGAGAAGCTCCAGCAATCATGTCGGTCCGGCCACGTGCTTCGAAGAACATCCCCACCTCGCGGCATTGTGTGCCAGCTGTTTATGCGGATGTCGGCGGCGCAACAGAGCGAGAGCTGCGGGTGCGGTGAAGCTTGACCATCTGTGCATCGTTGTGGATTCTCAAAACCCCCACCAGTTTCCCTTTATCCGCGTCAATGAAAGAGACCGAAGGCGCCGTCGCCGCCCCCCGTCCCGCCTTCGCGCGCAGGTCCATATTGGTAAGCGCATCATGGCGGCCAACCTCCCTATGACAGAGCGTGGGGGGCGTGATTGTTAAGGCTCGGCAACACCCAGACACAACCTGGCGGAAATGTCCTTGAAGCGTGTGCTGTGATGACTCTTGACAATGTTTGTCCAGACTGCAGCTTGAATCACACCAAGCAGCGCCCCTCTTTGGCAGCCTGGAATGCCTCTCTCTGGCCTCTCAATGTATGGGCCTCGTCAATAGCCCGTCGCAAGCAACCACTTTTGCCTCGACTTGTTCGCTGCCGTCCTGATCCTCTCGGCCTCTGAATAAGTATCTGTCCAATGCCCTGGGTCTCCAGGCTCTCTACCAACTCCCACAAGGCCTTGACCTTTTTGCATGTCACACCTAGCAATTACAAGGGTGAATTGCAGCAAGCTTACAGAGTTCCGAGCTAACGGCAGATAGTGCCAGGCGTTCACCTTGCAATATTCTAAGAAGACCTCCTCTAATGTCAGCCTCAAGGTAGGGAAAAGTCAAAGCACCGGCACTTTACGACGCAGCTTTTCCCTTCATGGTGCGTGGCAACCTTCTGTTCCAAAGAGCCTGATACGGCTCAGATTTCGAAATCGAGCGGGTTCCAGGTGAGCTGGGTTGCAGGGTCTTTCCACCGATATCTCCGTCCATGGGAGTGGCGTAGATGCTTATTGATCACAACACACTTTGGGAGTGGCCCGTGCCGGCGGAAATGGCGAAAAATACAGGGGTCCTCCGTCCTTCCGTCGACATGAGAACCCATCAGGCGGCCGAGCTATGCTACGTAATGGGTGAAACCCACGCCGACCCACTGTCGACTCGGCACCCTGCAGGTCCCTGGTGGCTCGCGGCGAGCGAGGCTCTTAGTGATGACAAGGGGCTGCAAATAGCCTGTCCAGCAAAAGCTGTCGCACGTGGTGCCTGCCTACGGAGTACCGCAGACTGGATGTGGCGGAATGTCGAGAATGTAGCCCCAAAAGTGCTATGCCGTCGTTGGGGAGGAGGAGCTGCTGGCTTGGGGGGTCATGTAAGAGAGCTTCGCCTCGCGCGGGGTCTGCTGGCTCAGCCAGCAGCACGGCGAGAAACACGAGCCCCCACCAGCTCGAGATTGGGAGGTGATATGCAGGCTCTGGGCAGCACGCAGGCAGGCTAAGCAGGGGATCCCTCAGCGCAGAGCGCAGCAAAAGCGCCGAAGATGATGCCCACTTGCAGCACCTGTGGCGGCGGAGGCGCCGGAGGGTGCGACGTAGAGTTGAGGTAGGTTTGAGCGAAGGCCAGCCCTGGCGGCAGGTCCTGCTGGGCGATTATTACGCAGCGGTGGGGTCGGGGTGGGCAAGTGGGCTGCCGCTTCGCTGTGACGTCCAGGAAATCTCCAGTCGGCGCTGGAGCTTCCCTCGTCCGGACCGGCCGCACTGAGCTGGGCCGCCGCCTTCGTGCTGCGACGAGCCGCGAGCACCTCGACAACTTCTTCCACTCCCCATTCCACCATCCCACGACACCTCCAACCTCTCGACGACACGGAAAAAACCACTGCTCGCCGCAGCATCCATCCCAGTCCCAGCAAGCACTGCATCGCAGCCTTAGGCGAATCCCTGCTATCTCGGCTGCCCGCAATGGACTCCGCCGCCTCGTGAGTTGCAAGCTCCCCTCCATCTACCTCCACCCCGCCGCCATCCTCTGTCCATCCTCGGTGACACTGATCGCTTCGAGCGGCCGGCCAATTCTCCTTCATTCTGTGGCGACATGCTCCGCAGAGCTGAGTCTCTCGCACATGGCATTCGCAGAACAACATCTCAAATAAATCTTCCGGGTGGTAGCTCTTGCTACCCCTCACAACTGGTGGCGCTTTGAGGCTGACAGTGATCATGACGTTGCAGCACCATGGAGCTCAAGGAGAACACCATCATCGTGGTCCTTGGTGCCTCCGGAGACCTGGCCAAGAAGAAGACCGTGAGTCCCCGAGCTACTGGACAATTGCTATGCATTCGTCTCGTTGTCACAACGAATGTGCTAACCTGCTCCTAGTTCCCGGCCCTGTTTGGTCTTGTAGGTTTCCCACGCCGGCCTGTCCGCTTTCCAGCCGGACGCTTACTGACAAAACCTCCCACAGTACCGCAACCAATTCCTCCCCAAGGATACCAAGATCGTCGGCTATGCGCGCACAAAGATGGACCACGACGAGTACCTCAAGAGGGTCAAATCTTACATCAAGACCCCAACCAAGGATATTGAGCGGCAACTCGAGGAATTCTGTGAGGCGTGCTCCTATGTCTCTGGCCAGTACGACAAGGACGAGTCGTTCAACGAGCTCGACGCCCACCTGAAGAAGCTCGAGCAAGGCCGCAACGAGGCCCACCGCGTCTTCTACATGGCCTTGCCGCCCAGTGTCTTCACCATAGTCTCCCAGCACCTCAAGAAGTGCTGCTACCCTACTAACGGCATTGCTCGCATCATTGTAAGTCTGGCAGAAACGCGGCTCCACATGCGGCCTTGCAGCTCTCACTGACACGGAAATGCCACAACAGGTCGAGAAGCCATTTGGTAAGGACCTGGCCAGCTCTCGGGAGCTCCAAAAGTCTCTGGAGCCCGACTGGAAGGAGGACGAAATCTTCCGCATCGATCACTACCTCGGAAAGGAAATGGTCAAGAACATTCTGATTCTCCGATTTGGCAACGAATTCTTTGGCGCGACATGGAACCGCCACCACATCGACAATGTCCAAATCACATTCAAGGAGCCCTTTGGAACTGAGGGCCGAGGTGGATACTTTGACGAGTTCGGCATCATCCGCGACGTCATGCAGAACCATCTGCTCCAAGTCTTGACTCTCCTGGCGATGGAGCGCCCCATCTCGTTCTCTGCTGAGGACATCCGCGACGAGAAGGTGCGCGTGCTGAGGAGCATCCCGCCCATTGAGCCCAAGAACGTCATCATTGGCCAGTACGGAAAATCCCTGGACGGCACCAAGCCCTCGTACAAGGAGGACGATACTGTCCCCAAGGACTCCCGGTGCCCGACCTTCTGCGCGCTCGTTGCCTACATCAAGAACGAGAGGTGGGATGGTGTGCCTTTCATCATGAAGGCTGGCAAGGCGCTCAACGAGCAAAAGACTGAAATCCGGATTCAGTTCAAGGACGTTACTAGTGGTATCTTCAAAGACATCCCCCGGAACGAGCTCGTCATGCGCATCCAGCCCAACGAGAGTGTATACATCAAGATGAACTCCAAGCTGCCTGGACTGAGCATGCAGACCGTCGTCACAGAGCTTGACCTGACCTACCGGCGGCGATTCTCTGACCTCAAGATTCCTGAGGCTTATGAGTCCCTGATCCTCGACGCCCTCAAGGGCGACCACTCCAACTTTGTCCGAGACGACGAGCTCGACGCCAGCTGGAGGACATTCACGCCGCTCCTCCACTACCTGGATGACAACAAGGAGATCATCCCTATGGAGTATCCCTATGGTATGTCGACAAGGCATTCTGACGAGCGGTCGTGTCGTGAACTAACCAAAAATTGAAACAGGCTCTCGGGGTCCGGCCGTGCTGGACGACTTCACTTCATCGTATGGCTACAAGTTCAGCGATGCTGCTGGCTACCAGTGGCCGCAGACCTCGGCCGCTCCTCCCAACAAGTTGTAAGTCTGCTGATGCGCCGCTTGGCATCTTGACGACATAGTTGGCGCCCTGTTCAAATCCGTCCCCCACAAGTTCCATTGGACTGATGGGCGTGTGGCTAATGTGGCGTACAAGAATGTAAAATACGGAGCTGGTCAATTCGCTGGCACTGAGGTTGCATCGGGAGAGTCTCGGGTTGTGTTGGGGAAGGATACTAGTACTTGATTGGTAGTGAACGCAAGCAAAGCCCCTCGAGTCAATGTACATGGCGGCATGGTGAAATTTTCGTGCTTGAGATGAGCCAACCAGCTCATAATATGAAGAAACCAAGCAAGAGTGGTAGAATCAAATTCACTGGCTCCAAGAACGTGTAGACCCCCCTTGCGCGCCGTACTTGACGAAATGTGCAATTTTTCATGCCAGCGGAGAAGCCATGTCGTTCTGCGGTCGGAGGCAAGAAATATGCCGGTTTGCGCGGAGAGTGTATCAGCCCTCAGGCAGAAATGTTGCTGCCTTGACTTTGAAGCCCCTTTGATATCGGTTTGTTCTACCGTGGTCACTAGTCATGCCATTTTGCTAGCAGCTCTGGTGCCTAGGGCTGCATGTGAAGACCTGGTGGAGCTAGGCATTCGTGGCTTGGGAGATTATTTAGAGCCTGAGCGCTAATGCCTGTTGGGTCTTGTCACATTCTCAATACTCTGGATCCTGGAATCATCTGCCGGGCATAGGACAGTCGGAGCTCCCTCCCTCTTGGGAGAGTAGGGTCGGGTCAAGAGGAGTAGTAGATCCTGCTTGTCATGGTGCCTTTGCATCCTCTGGACTTGCCTGTTGCAGCCAACGGCACTGCAATCAAAGAGTTGAAAAGATCGTGCTTGGCGCTCAATATACGCATTCCCGGGGGAGGGTCCCCCGTTGAGCAAACAAATGGTATAAAGGAGAGAATGAATAGACTAGTTAGGCTGCCCTTCGCGTAGACTTGCGTACGGGAGTTGCCGTCGAAGTCGTAACCACGTTTTTCGAACTTGAAAAGGTGGTAAGCGAGCTTTGGGGGCTTCAGGGACCGCCGCCTGGGGTCCCCAGTTCAAGGTACCTGTGACAACTCCTTCCGGGACGGCGTCAGGGCCGTGAAGTGCCCAGGAGCTAGCGCTAGTATTGACGCTTAATTTTCTTTTAGGGGTACTTGGATGGGAAAACCAGGCAGGGTCCGGAACACAAACACATTTTGAACATTGATGCTTGCGTCGATACACGGACTCATGCGTTGGCAAGATCCTTCACACCACGGCCGTTGAGCGCTCGCTCTAGAGAGATGCCTATTACTGTGCCCAGGTGTACTCGGAGCACTTTTAAGAAGTCAAAAAAAGGTTGTTATTTGTCACTGTCAAAACGAGAGCTGCGGATTCGTTTAGTCTCGGGTACGAAAGCGATTGGCAGAAGCCTACCCGCAGGGTGGATCTTTCGCGCGTGATCGCCGCCAGTCGAGAAAGCACCGTGCCAAGGATGGTGCGCTTATGTGGTCCCGTGCCGGCAGCGCGTTTTCATGATTCAGGATGATTCTAGTATCTGGAATACTGAAGGTGGCACCTTGGGTACACAGCGCGGCCTTCAACTCAGAGCTGCTGGACCCAATGGAATCTCCCGGTCATCATGGCCAGTCATTTGCTGTCAAACTGTGGCATTGGCGAAGACGAAGGGCGATCTGCCCCAGCGTAAAGAAGTAAGTACGCTAGGTAGCATTGAGACTGTAGGGCCCCTCGGACACCCGTGGTGGTCGGCCGCCGGAGCGCTACACGCCCGAGCTCCCGACTGCCCAACTTCGAACAAGCGACCTGGTGATCAACGATGACAGGAGTTCTGATGACTTTGAGGGACATCTGGCCAAAGCCAAGACGAAAACCCCTCGCAATTGGGACTGGGACTGTGCGGAATGGGCCGGGCTGGAGGGCATCTCCTGCGCGCGCCGGATGCATTTCTGCTCGCCGGCGGAGACATATGAAACGGAGGTACCGCCGCACGAGCTGTCGTATTTCGGGTGCGCGTCCCCTAATAAGACGGCGTCGTTCTCAGCCGCACCAGACGTGCCTGCCTGCTTGCCTAGCCCCGGGAGCATGATTCACTCTGACCCCAGACTCGCTTGACTCTGAGCTGCCTGAGTGCCGCCAAGCAGACACTCGGGGTTTTTCTCTGCACAGATGACGGCAGCCGTGACGACCACCCTCGCTTGACACCCCAGGCAGCAACGGCGGGAGTTCCACTGCGGAAGTTCCACCATCCCGTCCTCGACCATTCCAAATGTCCACTGGGATGGTTGTCTGTCAAGTGCTGACCTGTTCTCTTGGTGCGAAGCAATTTCATGCTGTCGGCCGCAGCTGCCAAGAGCGACCAGGGGACTATCCTTGGTGGTTGTTATAGACTTCTTGTCCCCGCGACAAGCTCCTGAGTCTGGACTCCTTGTTCACCTGCGATCTCCTCCTCTTCGCTCAGACACTCCCCAGCACAACATCGCGAGCTCCCTGATCGCGCGCGTGTGTGTCCATCCACCTGCCTGCCTGTCAACTCAGGCGTTTTCCCCTCGGCTGCACGCATCACCAGTTCGTCGCTGCGCAGGCCCACGGTCTTGCTGCCCGCCTCCGCAATGGAGAAAGGCCAAGATGCACTCGCCTCGGCGCCTGCAGGCCCCACTGCCGCCGCGTCCACGGCGCCCGTCGCCTCTGGCTCGACGCCCTTCCCCGAAAAGGCGGCCACGACGACGACAACCGCGAAGTCGTCCGCAAATCCTCCGCTGCTGACCAAGGAAGAGGCAGCCGCCCAGGACGCGAAGCTCAGGCCGGAGCGCGAGGCCGCCTTTGCAGACTACCTTGTAGGTCTCCGGCAGCTTTCGTCAGACTGCACTTACAAGATGATTCGGGCGCAAACACAACTCTAACACCAAATGAAAACAGAGGATCTTCTCGTACGCGAAACCATGGGACTTCCCTCTCATGATTGTCGCTGCCCTCGCGGCCATGGGCGCCGGCACTACCCTGCCGCTCATGAACGTGGTTTTCGGTAGGTGTACAACCTTTGGAGCTCCGAAATATATTCACACTGACACGCCGATCTGATCAGGTGCACTTGTTGGCCAATTTACCAGCTATTTCACGCCTAACCCGACCATCACGCAGGAAGAGTTCCAGGCCGGTCTCAACAGGCAATCGCTGTACATCTTTTTGTTGTTCCTCGGCCGCTTTGTCCTAACCTACATCAACAAGTTTTCCTTCCGCATGATCGGCATTCGCATGTCCGCCGCCATCCGCCTGCACTACCTGCAATGCCTCTTCTCCCAGGCCATCCACGTCCTCGACTCCATGGCCCCGGGATCCGCGGCAGGGACAATCACGACTACCGCCAACACCATGCAGCTGGGCATCTCCGAGAAGCTGGGCACGTTTCTCGAGTTCATGGCCACCATTATCACGGCCACCGTCATTGCCTTCACGTATAGCTGGAGCTTGACCCTTGTAACATGCTCCATCATCGTCTTCATTGGGATCGTTTCTGCCATCCTCATTCCTTTCATCGTCAAGAGCACCAGCAGGACCACCAAGGCCGAGACCAAGTCCTCCTCCGTTGCCAGCGAGGCCTTTTCAGCTATCCGCATGGTTACAGCTTGTGGTGCTGAGGCGCAGATGACCAAGCGCTTCGCGGTGTGGGCCGACGCCGCCAGGAGACATGGACTGTCCACTTCGCCGCTCATGGCCGCACAGTTTGGTCTCATCTTCTTCTCCCTATATGCCGCTTTCGCCCTGGCTTTCTGGTTTGGTGGCCACAACATCGGCAACAGCGAGACCGTCCTTGTCGTGCTTATGTCCGTCATGATGATGGTCATTTCGCTCGAGCGCATCTCGACCCCTCTTATTGCAGTTGGAAAAGCCATGGTCGCCGCCTGTGAGTTCTTCACCATCATCGATGCCCCCCGCCCGGAGTCTGGTAACCTCAAGGGTCCCGAGGTCACTGCCAACAACGACATCACCTTCAAGGGCGTCGACTTTGCCTACCCTAGCCGGCCGCACGTCAAAGTCCTCGACGGCCTTGACCTCACCATCCAAGCCGGCAAGCTTACTGCCATTGTTGGACCTTCCGGTTCAGGCAAGAGCACGATTGTTGGCCTCATCGAGCGCTGGTATACTCTGCAGAATCAACATGTCATCGCCAAGGCCATCGACCCCGAGAAGAAGAAGAAGGCTGCCGAGAAGAAGAAAAAACAGGAGAAGAAGGCCAAGAAGAATGGCGGCGTGATCGAGACCGACTCGGACGACGAAGAAGCTGCAAGCCAGCCTGAGGACACGGGTGCTCCTATCGAGCTGAAAGGTTCGATACAGAATGGAGAGCACGAACTCAATGCGATGGATCTTAAGTGGTGGCGTTCGCAGATCGGCTTGGTCCAGCAAGAACCTTTCCTCTTCAACGACAGCATCTACAAGAATGTGGCATATGGTTTGATCGGCTCCGAATTCGAGAATGAGAGTGAAGAGCGCAAGAAGGAGCTCGTGCGGGAAGCTTGTAGAGAGTCATTTGCCGACGAATTCATCGATCGCCTTCCAGACGGGTATGAGACCTTTGTGGGCGATAGTGGCACGAAGCTATCTGGAGGTCAGCGCCAACGCATCAGCATTGCTCGTGCAGTCATAAAGAAGCCCAAGATCCTCATTCTTGACGAAGCCACCTCGGCCATTGATGTTCGTGGAGAAAAGATTGTGCAGGCAGCACTCGACAAGGTTTCTCAGGGACGTACCACCATCACCATCGCGCATCGGCTGTCAACCATCCGCAAAGCAGACACCATCGTTGTCCTGAAGAAGGGCAAGGTTGTTGAACAGGGCACACACGATTCACTGCTTGAGAACGACAAGGGCGTCTACTACGGCCTCGTTCACGCTCAGCACCTTTCCCTCGGCGAGCCTTCGGACGCCAGCGATGTCGAAACCACTGAAGAGGAAGACCTTGGTACCGTCCTTGATCGAGAGAAGAGCGCAGCGCTTTCCGAGGGCGGCGAAGTCACTGGCCAAGGACCAGGTTGGAAGCAACGAGGTCTCGTTCGAAGCTTCGGGTTGCTGCTGTACGAGCAAAAGACCCGCTTCCCAGCGTACGTAATCACGATAGTGGCCGCGATGTGTGCTGGTTCCGTGTCTCCCGTACAAGCCTACCTCTTTGCGAAAATTCTTGACGTCTTCACCCTCCCAATCGGCAGTCCGGAGTACAACCGGGACATCAACTTCTGGTCTCTGATGTGGGCTGTGCTGGCCATTAGCAATGGCATTGCTTATTTCACGCTTGGCTATGTCTCGACAACTATTGCTCATGTAAGTATTCTTATGACATTTGCCTGGTGGCTCATCTGTCTTACTAATATCACGTCCAGCACGTCTCCTCATTCTACCGGAAGCAGTACTTTGAGAACCTTCTGTACCAGAAGACATCCTACTTTGACCACGAGGACAACTCCACAGGCACTTTAACGGCTCGCGTTGGCGGCGACCCGAAGCAGCTCGAAGAGCTCCTCGGCATGAACATGTCCATGGTGTACACTTCCTTCTTTACGCTCGTCGGTTCACTTTCCATCTCGTTCGCCTTTGGCTGGAAACTCGCTCTGGTGGCAACCTGCGTGACGGTGCCGCTAGGCCTGATCGCAGGGTACTTCCGCTTCAGGTTTGAGATTCAGTTCGAGAAGATGTATGGCGCTGTCTTTGCCGAGTCATCAAAATTCGCTGCCGAGGCTATCGGCGCCTTCAGGACCGTGGCGTCTTTGACACTCGAGGATACCGTCACGGGCCGTTACGACGCCTTGCTGAGTGGTCACATTACTGAAGCCTACAAGAAAGCCAGATGGTCGACCATCATTTTTGCGTTCTCGGAAAGTGTCAGTTTGGGCTGCCAGGCGCTCATCTTCTGGTATGGAGGCACGCTTCTGGCCAGCCGCGAGTACAACATGGTACAGTTCCTTGTCTGTTACATGGCTGTCATTCAAGGCGCCGAGGCCGCCGGCCAGGGCTTCAGCTTCGGGCCAAATGCGGCCCAAGCATCCGGTGCTGCAAACCGCATTCTCAGTGTTCGTTCTTCGCGACACCAGGGCCAGATTGGCGAAACTGAGCACATCACCGGTGCCGAAGGTGGCATCAAGATCGAGCTCAAGAATGTCCACTTCAAGTACCCAACTCGCGACGTCAATGTGTTCAAGAACTTAAACATGACCATTGAGAAGGGCCAGTTTGCGGCGCTGGTGGGCGCCTCTGGCTGCGGCAAGACCAGCATCATTTCCCTGCTGGAGCGCTTCTATGAAGTGCCCCGCGGTGAAATCCTTGCCAATGGAACCGACATCAGCAAGGTTGACGTCCACGAGTACAGGAAGCACTTGTCTCTCGTCGCCCAAGAGCCAACCCTCTTCCAGGGCACGCTGCGCGAGAACATCCTTCTAGGCATGGACCCGGACGCCATCTCCGAGGAGGAGCTGCACGCGGTATGTCGCGATGCGAGCATCCACGACTTCATCGTGTCGCTGCCTGACGGATACAACACCGAGATCGGAAGCAAAGGTGTTAGCCTGTCTGGTGGACAGAAGCAGCGCGTGGCTATTGCGCGCGCGCTCGCACGGAAACCGCACGTGCTGCTGCTCGACGAGGCGACGAGCAGTTTGGACTCGGAGAGTGAGAAGCTGGTGCAAGCGGCGTTCGAGCGGGCGGCAGAGGGCCGGACCATGGTAGTCGTCGCCCACCGCCTGGCGACCGTACAGAACGCCGATGTCATCTTTGTCCTAGGCGAGGGCAATGTGCTTGAAAAGGGCAGTCACGCGGAACTCTTGAAGAAGAAGGGCGTGTACTGGCATATGGTATGTTCTTATGATGTTCTTGACGCTGCCCTCCTCAACCAAAATCAAACATGATTTCGCTAACATTTTGACTTTGCAACGACAGTGCCAGAGCCAGGCCCTCGATCGGTAACATCAGCGGCTTGTGTAATATTTGTTGGATCAGTTTTAATAGATAGACATCCTCACCTCTCCGGGCAGGTTTTCCTTGTATCTTCTCCTCTCCCGTTCTTTCTCTACACCACCTAAAATCTAGGGACTATAAATTGCATACATGAAGGAGGCGTACCGATCTCATTGGTTAGGGGTCCGTATGTACAAGTACGTGAGTTCGCTGCCGTTCTTGCACAAGACTCGACGGCATCCTGGGCTGAGAGTTGGACATTGGATGTATGCGTTTAACTCTTTTCGTGTGGGTATTTACTTCGCTCGACTATTTTTCTGAGTATGTACAAGAAATTACAACTCTTCTCCAGCGCTGTGTCATATTGGCATTGCATGTTTGAGAATGGGTCTTGTCAAATTTAACGCGCCACGCGCGTTTTCAGCAAGACTAGTGTCCGGAACGTTTTACCAGACGCACACGCCGTGACAGACCGGACCTTGGTCTCGTGCATACAACTTCCCTTTTTTTTCCATGAAGTGCATTGGTACATGCCAGGCCATGAACGTCGAAGGAGCCGCGCCCAAGTAGGAGGCGCTGGTGCAGTACATCTTCTTATACTGAACCAAGATTCGTCGTTTTTTATCCAATGTCCTGCTGGGGCAAGACCCGGGCTAAGTTCCTGCTGGACTTTGACTGGACGATGCACTCTCATGGAGAGGCCAGCGTTGACACTTCCGCCTCCAAGCAGCTTTGGCCTTTTCTTTTCCCCCCAATGAGCTGGGCTACAAGCAGACGGGCACAGGGCCCCGAAAGGATACAGATCCATGGCCTGCTCTGCTCTGCTCGACGTCTCTTCATAGAGCCAACGAAAACGGTCCCGGCGAGGATTCAGCAGAAGATCAGATGTAGGAGGAGTAGTCCTACTAGCAAAACGACGACGGCGAGCAGTATCAGCCGGGCGAGGACAAGGAGGAGGTATGACGCAGCAGATAGGACAACTGACGGGCTGGCTGCCTAGGCCAAAGCCGCGGCGCCATTGCCGCCATCTGCGAGTTTCTTCGCCGTGCTCCTGGTCGTGCGCTTCGTTATCGTCGCGGAAGGCGCCGAGGCCTTCTTCTTGCTCGCTGGCACAGCGGCAGGCGGTTTGGGTTCTGTGGTAGTGGTGGTGGCAGTGGTGGTGGCAGCGGCGGCTTCTGTCGCTGTTGTCGCCGTCGTTGTGATGGGGATGTCCGCGTCCGTGGACGGTGCTGGCGGGGGAGGAGGTGCTGCATCATCTGTTGTTGAAGTAGTGATTACTGTGCAAGACTCGTCGGCGGCTGCGGCGCCCGTGGTCTCTGCAGTTCCAACGCTCTCTGTGGTCTCCACGGCGGTGGCAGTGGCTTCGGCTGCATCGACTGTGTTTGCTGCAGCAGCAGCAGCAGCAGCAGCATCGGGAGCAGGCTCAGTAGTAGTAGTAGTAGAAGTAGTATTCGAAGCCGGAGCCGCGGCGGCGGCGGCGGCGGTGGCGGACGCCGCAGCCTCGGCCTTCTTCATCTCCTCGGCGACCAGAGCCCGGGCTCTCTGCATTGCGGCCTGGTCCATTTCCTGCTGCGTCTGCGGCTGTGGCGGTTGCTCTCGCGGCGTGCTGTCGTCCATGACCACATCCCCGTGCTCCCCATCTTCCTCGTCTCCCTTTTCCACACTGTCTTGCAGCTGTGATTGTCGCCGCTTCGATGGCCGCTGATCCTCGCTGTCTTGGTCTTCGTGGTCGTCTTGGTGTTGTTGTTGTTGTTGTTGTATCTGCCCGCCACCACCACCACCACCACCCTCTTGGAGGGCCATGTTGTCACGAGCAATGTCACGATGGCGCCGCTTCTTACTACTCCTAACCCCCTTGCTGTTGATGTTGTAGTTGCTTCCCTGCGCCGCCCTGGCCAGAGCCGTAGCAGCTCTCTGCTGCATCACCTGTAGCGCCGCGTCCCTCGCCGCGATCTTGGCCTCGCGCTCCTCCGCGGGCAGGCTCGTCCAGCGGGGTTTCTTGGCCGACTTCTTCTTTGTCATTGACGTCGTTGTCGTTGTCGTGGTCGGTGGTGGCCGCGAAAAGGTGGGAGCGGGCAGTGCTGCTGCTGGGAACGAAGGGTGGTGTAATGTCGCCATGGCTGTTTCGAGACGTGCTTGTAGGCGTGTACGTCGATTGACGAAAACTATTGAACCGCCGGTAGAAGGTGAATGTGTCGCGGCACTCTCAACCGGGGCCTTGCAAAGGGTAAGGCAGCCCGTTGTTTTGGCAGTCTGATTGTGGTGATTTTGTTTCTCCTTTCTCTCTCTTCTCTTTCTCTTGCGCTGGTTGCCGGAGAGACAAGTCGTGCTTCTTCAACAAGCAAATCACAGAGCCCTAGTCAGGAAATGCGTATGAGGCTGTGCGCAGTGTCGTGTGCGTGCTCTAATGGCTGCTGACCCGTGAATATGCAGCGGTTGAGATGTGTTCGTCTCCAGCTAGTCAAAATCTTGTTGCGAACTGCTCCTCAAGTTATACCAGCACTGGGATTCCCCAGAGAAAGAAAGAGAAAAAAAGGGAATGAATTGCATCACGAAACCTGAAGTCGGGGGGGCCAACAGAACTTTATAGTGGAGCTTGGCCGTGAGGCGGAGCTGCAAGCACTTAAATGTAAACGTTGTTGACCCGGCAAGGACAGCACGCGCGCGCGCGCGCTCTGGGGCGAAGCGGAGACTATGAAAAAACGATGACGGGGACCCTGAGAATCGACATGGAAGTGAGTGACCCCACTCGCCTGGACTTCGTACTGTGTGAGTTTTTAAGGGGGAGGGGGGATTCGAATCATTAAAATCATGAACAACTGACTGTACTTGGAATACACGGAGTGAGAGGTAACCTTGCGGAAGTCGTGATTTTCCGAGGTTGTCAAATTCGTATTGGGCCGCGTGCAGGCCTCAAAAGTAAGCTTTTTTGTCTATATCTGCCGATTCTAAAAAAACGACGGAGCTGTACATTGTTATACACATCATCGTGCCTTCTGTCTATACATCCAGCCGATGGCTGCTGTTCTGTAAACCGCGCTTGGCATCTTTCCGCCCAAGCGCCTCCATGCAGTCGAAACATCAAGATCGCCTGTTCTGAGCTTTCGCGGGGTTCAAGGACAGCCCAATCGCCTGCTTTGGAGTGCCGGAGTCATCCATGGCCAGCTTGGAGAAATTCCGCGTCGACACGCGAAAGAAGAGCGCATCCGATGCGACCAGGTCCACCATCTCCGCCTCGGGCCGCGAGAACCCTTCCAGTCCCGTCTCGCCGATGTGATCGTGCCGGAACACATCGAATCCCGGACGGGTCGAGAGCTCTGGCATCATTGACCACCATCGCTCCCGGACTGGTCTCTGGTCTCCAAGCCATGGCTGCGCCTTTTGCTTCGCGACTCGCATCGCGACCTCGTATCCCGCACGCATAGCAGGCATGATGCCCGCCGGGGAGTAGCTCGGCCCAGCGACTGCCAGCCCACCATGGAAGGTCTGCAGAAGCTCATCGTGGGCGCGTGCCATGAGCTTGCGGTGCCCGACAAAGTGCTGGGGCAGGCAGTCGCGGCAGAGCCGAGTCGTTGTGCGCATCCCTGGCATTCGAGGGATACCGAGAGACTTGGTGACAGCTTGGATGGCCATTTCTATCGCCTGCTCGTCCGTCGGGAAGTACACGTTTCCGTCCCAGTGGTGGCCACCCATCATGACGGTCATCTTCGTGCCAGGCTCGTCGTTGTGGGTCTGGGCTTCAGAGTCAAATATGACACCAAGGATGCCCGCATCGTTGTCTGGAGTGCTGATTGGTACCAAGTACCCAAAGCCAGGGTTGTTCTTGAGCAGACCCTTCTCTGGATACCACAGCGTCACGACCTGAATGGTGACAGCTTCTGTCTGACCCAGGGCCGCCAGAGCTCCTTTTGGCTTGGCGAGTTTCGATAATTGCTTTGCCGTGATCGTGGAAATAACCTTGTTGAATCTCTTCTCGACCATGCCTGAGCTGTCCCTACTCTTCAGCTGAAAAGGTTGGGCATACCGTTAGCCGATCTTCCCTACCCGCCAAATCGAGGAAGCGGGGAGGACCACTTACTTGAACCTGCCCGCTGCCGTCTGGACTGAGAGACACGACTGGGGTCTGCATGTTGATCTTGACGTTGCGAAACCGCTTGAGGTCATCTTCCAGGGCACGCACCAGTGTGAGCATACCGTCGTCAAACGACAGCATGTTGCGCGAAACCGCTGCGCTTGCCATATCGATGACTGCAGCGCGGTTTGGGCCGTCCATGATGTCACTCAGAAGACTGAGCTCCTTGTAAGCCGTCCATGCGGAAAATGGATTGGCTCCGCCAGCGTCATTGTACCACATCTTGCCAAAGATGGTATGCTTGGCGCTCAGCTTGTACACGTCGCCGCCATAGATGCCATGCATCATGGCAGACACAATATTTTTGACTGGGCGGTCATCGCCGAGTATCCGCTCCAAGAAGTGGCCCACGGACTCGTCTTCATCAAGGCGTTGTGGAGTCTGAGCAGTCTTTGGTGTCTTGCCATCATGCGATCTCAGGAAGTTGATTGCTGCCTGCAGACCACCGTCCCACAGAGGCTCTGTAAGGAGACTCCTGATGCTCTCGACCACGTTCTGTGCAGTGAACGGTGGCCCAGGCAGCCGTACGAGACGGTCAGGATAGTAGAGATAGCGACTACTGGCAGCCTCGCCAACGTCCTTAAGCTCGTCCTGAATGTTCAAACTGGCCAGCTAAGAATGCGGCGGCAATGACAACTCGTCAGCCCGTGAATTGCTACAAAGCGCGACCAGCGAGGTATAGAGACAGCAACCGCTCTGATGGAGACTTACCACATCATAAAAGACAAGGTCGTCATAACGGTTGGCGAACTTTGCAGAGCGGATCATGCGGGGTCCCTGTTGCATCACGACCTTGCCCTCTGGAGTGTCCTCAATAGACCCATGGACCCAGCCGCCGAGGGTCTGGCCAGCCTCGAACAGTGTGATTTGCGCATCTGGCGCATGACGAGCAAGGTAATGGGCAGCCGTCAAACCAGTCAGGCCGCCACCGAGTACCGCGATCTCTCGTTTCGATCCGCTCGAAGTTCTCCGGACTGCAGTGGAAGTCGTAGGCTGAGGCGTAGAGCGCCGCTTCAGCTGCTTTGGGGAAGCAGCTGGTGCATTCCAAGGCGATGGCGTGCCGCAGAAGTCTCGTGTTTGCTGCCTCGTGGTGAGACCACTGATACCAGTGTGATTGAGAGTAGCGTTGGCGACAGCAGGCCGTCTCGGTATGGAGCAGTAACGCCCGGCGGTGCTCGCACGCCTGAGCAATTTCAGGGAAGCGGCTTCTGATCGTGCCGTGGCCATGGTCGCTAGTCAATTGGCATCGCTATCATTTCGCGACCGCGATTCTCGCGCTGGAAAAGTGCGAAGTTGGGAGGAGGATCGTTCGTTGGGTGTAGCAAACAGCCAGAGCTTGGAGCTCGAATAGCTGGGGGAGGGAAAGCTGCGCGCCATGGGTCGAGGCCGGGTGCCGGAGTGGCGCCACCAACAGCCGGCAGATCTGGCGCCGATGACCGACACTGCAAAAAGACCTCGGGATGGCAGCATCATCATTTTTCCAAATACACTCAACTCGACGCTCACAATTTTGGAAAACCAGGCAGCCACAACCCTGCACTTTCCATTCAATCGAGCTATTTGCTTTGTCACTTCACTTCATAAGCACCAGCAGAGCAGTATGAAAGATGTTGTGTTACAGTCACCAAAAAAATGCAAACGGGGTATATTGTAAGTCGTGCGCTGAATCTTTGATAATGAAATGAGGAGGCGGGCCGGATGTCGCTCATGTCTACACGACATACCGTCCACAACTCCCCGGTGTTGTTTAGCTTTTCTCGTCCCTCTCCATGGCCTGGAGCTCAGCTGCGGTCGAGCTGGCATTCCACCATAATATACATGATGCGATGAAATTGCTTTCCCTCGCCCTAGACCCTTATAATACCCTTGTCGGTGCCTCTGAATCCCCATTTCCCTCTAGACGGCGTGGCAATCTAGGCAATTCCCTCGTCCATAGCCTGGGTCTCAGCCTGGGCACCTTCTGGCTTCACCAGCTCCTCCGAACCTCCTTCTGCAACATACGCCCTGTTGCTCACATGTCCTTTTGAGCCGTCCGCGGTCCAGACCTTATCCTGGAAAGTGCCGCGCTGACCCTCTTCGTGCTTGTACGGGCAATACCGATTTGTGCAAGGCTTGAACTTGCACATGGTTTGCAGGTGGGTGAACTTGCAGCCTTCCACTGAGCAGTCGCCACCGTTCCGGCAAGGCGGCATGTCTGGGTGTTTGAAAGGGCACTTGGGGTTCGAGCAGTTGGGGTAGAACTTGCATTCTTGCTCGCTCTGGTGTGCCCGTTTCGTCGCTGGCGACGGGTGGCGACCCACGCACTTGAAGTTTTTGCAGGCGGCTCCGAACGAACACACGTCGTTGACGTCGATCGTGACATTCGGAGGTGCTGCAGGGGACTGGTGGGCGAACTTGCAGTTGCTGTTGGTGCATGCAAGATTATACTTGCATACAGATGTTTCGGGGTTGACTTCTCTCTTCTGACCCATCTCCACATCTTCGCCCTCGGCGCCTTCGCCAGAAGCGGAACCGTTTTGACTCTGGTGCGAGCCGTGTCCGCCATTGTGCCGCCCACCACGTCCTCTACCTCGGTTTGTCCGGTCAAACAGTGACCGCCCGTGACCGCCACGTCCCTGTTGCTGTGTCTGAGCGAGTTGTTGTTGCAACGCAGCCATCATTTGATTCTGCTGTTGCAGCAGGTTGAAGATCTGGTCCTGGCTGTTGCCCTGCATCATCCAGTTGGCGTCTCCCATGCCGTTCATGCCTTGTGGAGTCGGCATTCCAGGCATTCCAGGCATTCCTTGGTTCATGTTGTTGAGTCCAGCGGCGAGGCCAGCCATCCGATTATTGTTCATGCGGTTTCCACCGCGACCGCCCATTGCTCCTCGAGGACCTGAAGGCGCCCCGCGGCCGTGGCTGTTGATGCGTTCGTTGCCAGTGTTGCGGACCCGGTGCAAGACTGAGTCGTGTGTCCGATCCATCGCTTTGTTCATCTGACCAAACATGCGTTTGTCGCGACCACCTCGCATGTTGCCGTTGCCGCTTCGCATCGACTTGGGACCAGTAGGCCTGCAAGAGTGAAGTCAGTACATGTTTGTTGGGAAATCGCTACTGAAGAGTTTGCACTTACGCGTTGGGCATGGCACTGCCATCATTTGAGTTGCCCATGTCGCCCATATTGATATCGTCATCCATGGCATTCGCATTATCGGCACCAGTGCCAGCGTCGCCGGTTTGCGTTTGTGGTCCGTTTATTTGAGCGTTCAGTGTTTCAATCTGTTGGAACAACCATTGGGAAAAGTCGCGAGCACCAGGGTCATCAGGGCTCAGGCCGAGAAGGTCACCAGCGAGCTCGGCGGCGATTTGATCCTGATTCTTGCCGTTGACGAGCATGAGTAGGATGTATTCGGTAAGAGCGCCATCATCGGCGCCGCCAGTACCCCACCCAACCTCGACGAGCTTGGGCTGGATGGCCGCGTTAAGCGCATCCGCCAGCGGCGTGTTCATCGCTATTTCGATAGCCATGATGTCGGTGAGGGTGTTGAAAGTCGCTGAAAGCGGCTGCGCGGACCGGAGGTAGTCCCCGGATACCAGCAAAGTGAAATCTCGCGATGCGCGTCGGGATTCGAAGCTCTCGATTTCGTCGCGTGAGAGACTTGGCGTCGCTTGATGTCCTTGGCTCAAATCCGGCAGAACCAAGATTAAAAGGTTGGTATCTGTATGCTCTTGTGGCAAATGACACCTTTGAACACCGTAGATTACGCGCGAAACGCGAGGATTGGGGTTGTGTCTAGGGAGAAAAAGAATGAGGTGTGACGTCTGCTTTGTCAAGAAGTAGAGTTCGCGGCTGGTGCAGGCGAGAGGCAAACCAGAAGGCTCTGTGCAATAGGCAGCTTGCAGGATACCCGCCTTGGCTGGGGCCCAGCTGCTGCAGGAAATTGGACCTGGCAGTGGTCAGCCACAGCCACGGATGACTGTTCATGCAGCCGGGCCATGTGGCGGAAACCCATGGAAACCAGCCACATATGGCTTATGTCAGCACGCCGATGCCTAGCCAGGCTCACTTTCAGGAATGCGCTCCTCTGCATGACACAACGAAACATTGGAAGGCGGCATGTGAGCACAAATAGTGCCAGTCTGACTCTTCTCCTGACATCGAGCTCTAATCATGAAGGACCATGCAGATCAGGGCCAAGCAAGCAAACTCCCATATATGGTTGGGCAAACAATGTTGTGGTTCCTGAGTTCTTGGTCTGTGACGCCCGGGCAGACTTAAAAGCTCTCGAGCTCTAAGCTCAATCCAATCCTCCTGCTCTGGGGCAGAAAGCCCGCAAACACAGGAGCGTTCTGAATCTAAGCAGCCACAGCGCGTTTGTCGGCAGTACTGCCCGGAAACGGAAGTCCCAACCCTGTGCCGCTCGTTGCCATTAAAGTTGGAGCTCTGACGAAGCAACCCCAACTGATAAGCCACCCACCACACGCCTCCACCACCATGCGGGGAAAGCTCGAGCAGGGCAACCTCGAGCGCTCGCAGCTGCAGCTCGTTCCCCTCACCAGGACCACGCGAAGAGGGCCATCAGAGTGGCGATAGACCAGACGTGGTGTGGTGTAGGACAGCTTCTGCCCGTGTCACGGCCTTATGTAAAGGCCGTCGGTGCCCCTCTCTGCCCACCATGCTGAGATCCTTCCGCAGGCCCCTCGCTTCTCTGTCTCGCGTGAACATCTGCACAACTGCACCGTCTCAAGTCCTATCCAAGCGCTTGCTCTCAGCCATGGCGGACCTCAAGGTCAACCTCACTGCCCCCAATGGAAAGACATTCACGCTACCGACAGGTCTCTTCATCAACAATGAGTTTGTCAAGGCCGCCTCAGGTGCCAAGGTGACCAGCATAAACCCCACGTAAGCACACACTTCCAGACAAGGCTCAGCCCAAGACCCGGCCCCTGGTTCGCCCCGTGCCATTGAACAATTCATTGACCACCTTCGTACTCCAGAAATGAAGAAGAAATCTGCTCAGTAGAGGCCGCTGGCCCCGAAGACATCGACAAGGCCGTCGCTGCTGCACGGGCTGCCCTGAACCACGAGTCGTGGCGGGACATGCCCGGCAGCGAGAGGGGCCTTCTCATGTTCCGCCTCGCCGACCTGGTCGAGAAGAACAAGGAAGTCCTCGCCACCATTGAGACATGGGACAACGGCAAGCCGTATGGCGATGCCCTCAACGGTGATCTTCAGGAAGTCATTGACTGTCTTCGCTACTACGCCGGCTGGGCCGATAAGCTGCACGGCCAGACTATTCCCACAACACCCCTGAAGTTTGCCTACACGCTGAGACAGCCAATGGGAGTGTGTGCCCAAATCATCCCGGTGAGTCCTTACATCAATCCTTGCCACATAATGTGCAAACAGCCCAGCTAATATGCGAGACAGTGGAATTATCCTCTCGGCATGGCGGCGTGGAAGCTAGGCCCGGCCTTGGCTTGCGGTAACACAGTCGTGCTCAAGCCCGCTGAACAAACGCCTCTCTCGATCCTATACTTTGCGACGCTTCTCGTCGAGGCCGGCTTTCCCCCGGGAGTTGTGAACATCACGAATGGGTACGGCAAGGACGCGGGCCAGGCACTTGCCAGCCACCTGGGTGTCGATAAGATTGCCTTTACGGGCTCCACCGCGACTGGCAAGCACATTATGAAGACGGCGAGTATTAACATGAAGGCCGTGACGCTCGAGACCGGCGGCAAGTCGCCTCTCATCGTCTTCCCGGAGGCCGACATCGACCAGGCCGCCAAGTGGGCTCACCTCGGCATCATGAGCAACATGGGCCAGATCTGCACAGCCACCTCGCGCATCTTGGTCCACGAGTCGATACACGATGACTTTATTGCGAGGTTCAAGGAGGCCATCAAATCGACCAGCAAGGTTGGCGACCCTTTTGCATCCGACACGTATCAGGGCCCACAGGTGACAAAGGCCCAATACGACAAGATCCTATCGTTTGTCGAGTCTGGCACGTCCGAAGGCGCGACACTGACTTCTGGAGGCAAGCCCTGCCCGCTCAACGGCAAGGGCTACTTTATCGAGCCCACTATCTTCACGAAAGTGAAGCCTGACATGAAGATTTTCCGTGAGGAGATCTTTGGGCCTTTTGGCGTGATCGTGCCCTTCAAGGACGAGGAGGAAGCTATCCGTATGGCAAACGATAGTACATACGGCCTCGGTGGCGCCGTGTTCAGCCAGAATATCGAGCAGGCGCACCGGGTGGCGGCGCGCATCGAGTCTGGTACTGTATGGATCAACTCGTCGCAGGACTCAGACATTCACGTCCCCTTTGGCGGGTTCAAGCAGAGTGGTCTGGGACGGGAGCTGGGTGAGGCTGGCCTTGCAGCATACTCGCAGACAAAGGCCGTGCACGTCAACATGGGTAACAGACTATGATCGTGTCGTTCCTGAAACAATTGAGAAATGTTGGGTTTCAGGCGTCGTTGGATCCAACTACAAGTGCTGCATTTGAGCCGTTTGTCAGGTGCACACTTCGCTAGGTTGCCAGCCTGTAGTCCTCTTTGAGGAGCGAACAGGCATCAATCTGTACTATCACCACGTTGCTGATACACTCTGCCTTCTGCACGTGTCACTGGAGGAGATACACGCTGCATCTGGTCGCCAGGAATCCACGTGCAGAGGTGGTATTGCCGTCTCGCTTGATCCGGCAGGATCTGGTTGAAGATTGAACGATCGATCGACAGGGCAAGATTGCTGTCATAGTCGATGCGGACTTTGTTGCTGATATGGGGGACTTGCCCAGTCTGTATAAACTCCTGCAGGAATCCGCAAGGGCCGGAGGGCGTATGCCTGGATGTTGCCATCACGAGGCCTGCACTCAGTTCCGGCTGACATCGATCTCAAGGTACGCTAGCACTAGGCATATACTCCTTCACATAAGACCTGGCTGGGATCCAGCTGATGACTATCCTTCTGTGGAGGGGCTTGTTCTTGGTGGGACGCGTGCATGGCTCTGGAGAGCAGAAAAGGCTAGCTGGTACTGCCTGTTTGTGAACGGTAGTGGAGGCGGAAGTTGCCAGATGTAACCTTCAACATGCCACTCCATATGTAGAGGGGGATCGGGGACCGGCTGCATGTCATTCGGCCCGGCGGAGACATGCAGAAACATGCAGAGCGTATCGGCTTTGTACGACAATCCCAAGCATGCTGAGAGCAAGGAAGCGGCGAAGGCACGACTGTGTCTGGATTCCAAGAAACGGGCAATCCTGCGGGATGACGGGCCTTGCTCTGGGGATTACATGAAGCACCTTTTATGGAAGCCAGCCAGGGTCGTGGCTGTAGCTCAGTGATCTCTTGCCTGAACAGGCACGGACAGGGGCCAGCGAGTGGAGCGCCACACCAATAGCAACTGAAATCCGGGGCTCAATCTCCAGAGACGCACAGGGGACAAACGTCGCCGCCGTGTTATTTTGCAGACGATAAAAAAAGAAAGCCATTGTGTCCCGTTTGGGCAATGGTACTGGTTGCAGCCCCCAAGGATGGCGATCTGCAACTGCATGAAGCTTTCGTGAAATGAGGTTGGTTTGTGCGAGGGACGCGCTGCGTGGCGCAAGATTGCCTTGAGGGGGGTGGTGGTGCAAGCGACAAGACTCGCTCTGGATGCTGTATTTTATGGTTTTCCTGAGGACCGTGCTGACAATGTCGGCACAAACTCACATACTGGAAGGATAATGCATTGTTCTCGGAATGTTGGACACACGCAAGGTTTGCCGTCCGTGTCTCAGTCGCGCCTTCCCTTGCAGCGTTTGGCACGAGCATCCATGGACTATTAGGTGGCTGCTGGATCACCACTGGAGAGATGGAAGATGCCGTCAACAGTCTTCCGTCCTGGCGGCTTCCATGAGTCCGCCCAGCATTGATAACAACAACGTCGCCCCGCACCAAAACAAGAAACAGACGGTCCTAACGCGACTGGCTTTGCCGAATCTCGGTCGATCAGGCGCATCGGGAATCTTGCTTGCTGTGCATGTCTGGTGCGACTGCGTGTGAGACCCTTGAAGACGTGGTTGATTGCAACGTAACGTAACGTTGCTATCCCGCCCACCATCGCCGGCACCCACCAGCACAAACAGTAGCACATCGCCCTAAGGCTCTCCTGCGCAAAACGGCAATCACTCGCCCTCGTCTGATCAGTGACAGAGCGGGGGACAGCAGTGCAGATCACCCTGCGCCCCAGTACGACACTGCGGTGCGCTATCACGGACCCTTGTTCCCTGGAACACCTGCTGCAGGGCCCACTGTTGGGCGAGCAAGCCGCTGTGGGATTGCAGGGTCGGTACCCGTTGGGCCAACCACTGCCGTCCATCTTGGGTGGTCTCGCTCGCACCGTTGACCTCACCGCGGACAGACCGGGTGCAGATCGACCAGGGCGCTGCCCAGGTCAGATCGCGTCTCGTCGCACGGGTCACTGCCGTGACTTGTTATAAGGGTGTCACGGTCCCCTCTTGTGCGAGTCTGTTCCCGCCGCTTCCGTCCAGTCCAGAGGTCGCATCTCGTCTCGTGTCGAGATCGTCTGGCTCCTGTCCGTCCGCTCCCAAGTTGCCTCGCCCACTGCACTCCCGCAGTGCTCGATCCTGCATCATGAGATCATTCCTCAGCAGCAGCTCCCAGCTGCTGTCTCTCGCTGTCCTCGCCATCAGCCCCGTCCTTGCCGTCTGGCCTGTCCCAGAGACCATCTCGACCGGCACCAAGGTGCTTTGGGTGGACCAGAGCCTCCATGTCACTTACAATGGCCAGCCTGTAAGTCATGTCCTGCCAAGGTTCAGTAAATCCTTCGGGCGTCAAAGACTGATGATTGCAACAGCTGCCCTGGATCTACCCGTGTGCGCCCTCAACCGGAGCGGCCAAGTTCAGTAGCAAACAGATTGTCCAAGGTGCTGTCGCGCGGGCGGCGCAATATGTCCTCAAGGACAACTTTGTCCCCTGGATGCTGTACGAGCGGAACGCTCTCGCCGATTCGGAGCCCAGCCCGCACAAGGACAAGAAGCTCTTGCAACGGCTCGTCATCACTCAGACCGGCAACGACACTGTGACGACTTTCAAGGCCAAGGCCGGCGAGGTCGACGAGTCGTACAAACTGGCCGTTACAGAGGAAGGCGTTGCCAGGATCACGGCCGTCTCATCCATTGGCGTCATTCGTGCGCTTGAGTCTTTCTCCCAGCTCTTTTTCAAGCACTCGGGAGGTCAGATCTACTCCAATCTGATCCCGGTACAAATTTCCGACAAGCCACAGTATGACCACCGAGGCATCCTCTTCGATGCCGCTCGTTCCTACTTCTCCGTCGACAGCATCCTCAAGACAATCGACGCCCTCGCTTGGAACAAGCTCAACCGCATGCATTTGCACATCAGCGATGCTCAGTCATGGCCGATGGAGGTTCCGTCGCTTCCGCTGCTCGCAGAGAAGGGGGCATATTCGCCAAATGCGCGGTACACTCCTGAGGACCTTGCCCTGATCCAGGCTCATGCAGTTGAGCGTGGCGTTCAGGTCTTCATCGAGATTGATACCCCGGGACACTGGGGCATCACCTACGAAGCATACCCAGATGTTGTGGCTGCTTGGGGTGCAACCCCGTGGCAGGACTACTGTGCCGAGCCACCTTGTGGCCAGCTCAAGCTGAACCACCCGGCTGTTGACCCATTCTTGGATACTTTGATGGACGATGTCCTGGCACGCACCGCCCCGTACTCGGCCTACCACCACACTGGAGGTGATGAGGTCAACTTCAACGCTTTTGCGCTGGACGAGACGGTCGGCACAAATGACTCGACTGTGATTCAGCCTCTGCTTCAAGAGTTCTTCGACAAGCACCATGCACGGGTGCGGAAGCACGGCATGACGCCTCTGGTATGGGAGGAGGTTGTCCTTCACTACAACGTCACCCTGGGCGATGATGTCGTGGTCCACTCGTGGCTTGGTGGCGAGTCGGTCGGCGAGATCACGGCCAAGGGCCACAAGGTCATCAGCAGCAACTACAACTACTGGTACCTTGACTGTGGCCGAGGCCACTGGCTCAACTTTGCCAACGGCGCCGCCTTTGAGCAGTTCTTCCCCTTCAACGACTGGTGCACGCCAGCCAAGGGCTGGCGCTTGGTATACTCGTATGACCCCCGCGCCGGTCTGTCCGAGGAACAGGCCAAGCTCGTCATCGGCGGCGAAGCTGCGGGCTGGAGTGAGTACATTGACGAGTACAACATTGACACGATCCTGTGGCCCCGCGCGTCCGCACTGGGAGAGGTACTCTGGTCCGGCCGCATCGACAGCCACACTGGACAGAACCGCTCGCAGCTCGACGCGGCGCCGCGTCTCGCCGAGTTCCGCGAGCGTATGGTCGCCCGTGGCGTCGGCAGTGCGCCGGTGCACATGCCGTTCTGCACACAGGGCAGGAATGCTACTGCTTGCGAGTATATCCCTGACGCATGAGCGGCAAAACCGAGAAGGGGGTTGAGATCGTTATGCCATATTTGTAATCTTTAGTTGGTCCTAGGACAGGCACAAAAACCTGGGATGTTTGCTGGATATCGAGCCAATCAGGCTAAAAAGGATAACTCAAGAAAGCCATAGATCTGATCTACAGTATTCCACAAGACAAAATCAGTCACAGTAGACTCATTGAGACTCGATCAAGTTGATTTCATGCCTTCAAACGTCCAAATAGTTGTTAAAGTAATCCCAAACATGAATAGCCAAACATGATGCGCCTGAACCAGTTGATCAACAAGAGCCGAAAAAGAAAGACTGAAAGTCAGTCATATGCCAACCAAGTGTATACACGGCAATTTTGCCACCCGCTCTCCTTTACTTTCCTTTCCTTTCCATTTCTTCATGCATCCACCCGACCACCCATTCAAGCCATTGTGTCGGTTGTCCTCTCTTCGCCATCCTCGTCTCAGCATCGAACAAAACAAAAGAATGCACGCCGCCCTACTTGCGGGCTTCCCATAGAGCGACCTTGACACCGTCTCCAGGCTGCAGGACGATCTCGGCCTTGAGGGTAGGCTTGCCGCCGTCAATCTCGGGCATGAAGGACTCGACGCGGTCGAACTTTTGGAATATGCGGGTGAGTACGTAGGACATCTCTGTGAGGGCGAATTGTTGGCCGATGCAGATTCTCGGACCCTGTAGCGTTGTACAAGTTAGTATCCCATTGACGACACGGAGTGTTTCTGAAGAGGAAGATGAGGGAAGTGCTTACGCCGTTGAAGGGGATGTACTGCCACGGCTTGGGCTGCCAGTGGAGCCAGCGGTCGGGGTAGTATGTGTTGACGTCAGGGAAGTTCTCGGAGACCGGAGGGTATAGATCCTCGCGGCGCTGCATAACCAGAGTCGAGTATCCGATCGGGGTGTCCTTGAGGACAGCGAGGGGCTGGGACCCGTCGGGACCACCACCGCGAGGCAGGGTGGTATCCTTGAGGGCAAGTCGGACGTTGAAAGGGACGACAGGGTACATGCGCAGTGTCTCGTTCATGACGTTCTGGAGGTACTTCATGCCCTTGAGGTCGGCATAGGTTGGTGTCCGATCGGCGCCGACTGTGTTGAGAATTTCGTCGCGGAGCTTCTTGACGACCTCGGGGTGGCGGCCAAGCTCATAGAAAGTCCAGGACAAGGTGGAGGCAGTCGTGTCACGGCCAGCCAAGAGGATGGCGACGAGCTGGTCGCGGATCATCTTGCGGTCGCGGGTGTAGGATGCAAGCTCGTGAAGGAAAGTGTAGCCCTCATCAGACTTGGTAACAGCCTCGAGCTCCTCCTTGGAGAGGCGCAGGGCGTGGTCGATGTAGGTGTTACACAGCTCGTTCACGAGCTTAAGACCCTTGCGGAACGATCCCAGAGGCACAAATCGCTGCAGAGGACCGGCGCGAGCACGGATGTTCTGGACGCGTTGCACTTCATTGAAGCCGTCGGCAAAGGCTTGCCTGGGGGTACTGTATATCTGCAGTCAGCAATCATGTCAGAGCGCCGGAGTAGAGTTCTGGCCAAACATACGTCAGAGACTGGACGTCCTTGCCCAGGAGGTAGTCTGTGGCGACATCCAGAGTGTAGCGGAAGAAGAGGTCACTGAGGTCGACGGGCTTGCCGTTGCCCGCCTCGAGGTCGACCTCTTGATCAGGGCCGTCGAGGGCGCCACCATTGGCGATGGTCTTGAAGAGGGTTTCGAGGTGGGACTCGAAAACCTGGAGGTCACTGATGCGTTCCTTGACGAAAAGAGGCCGGATGAGCTGCCTGCTGGTGTGCCAGGCGTGGCCGTCCGTGGTGAAGATGCTGTCGCCGAGGAACTCGCTCCATTCCTTGTGAAAGGGCTCGCCCTTGCCGTAGTCGTCGAACTGCTTGGCGAGAATGGCCTTGATGTTCTCGGGGTCGGCGGTGAAGACGATGCGCTTGCCTAGCAGGCGAGTCTCTGCGGTGTAGCCGGTGAGGCCTTCGAAAAGGTGCAAGAAGCCCTCGTAGTTCTTGTGCTCCATGGTGGCATCCACCTGGCCCTTGAGGACATCGATACCTGGCCGGCGCGTTAATACTGGTCTCACAACAGGCGTGGAGCCGGGGTTCCGGGGCATTGGCGGGGCCTACCAAAGGGGAGCTTGCTGAAGACTTTCTGGCCACGGGGGCCGAGCTTGGAAAGACGAGTGACCTCGTCGATCTTCTTGTAAGTGAAGTAGAGAACAGTGCCGACACCCAAGGCCAGACTGGCTGTCTTGGGCGAGACATGCTCGAGAGCATCTTCAACGAGACCCATGGTGAGGATGTAGAACTAGATGCAGTAGTGATTCAGGCTCGACAATTTCTTTTTCCTCGTCCTCCGGAACTACCAGACCAAGCTCACACTTGGAAAGGGTGGGAAGCAATGGATAAAGCTGGCGAGTAAGAGCCGCAGGGTCTTTGCTGAACTATGTGGCAAAGACGGAGAGACTGGCAGCGAGGGCGATCCAGAAGACTGGGACGGCAGGGTCGGAGGGGGGAAGGCTGGTTGATTTAAGCAGCGACGTGAGATGCTGCCCAGGGCTACGCAGTGCTACGGTGGCCGAGGAACAAGACCAGGATCAGCCGTGGGCGAGGCCTGCCTGGAGAGGGGGAGCAGGCGTGACAAGGGGATTCCCGGTTGCGCTACGACAGCACGGCAGCACGGCGTCGAGCCAAAGGAGCAGCTGTTGGGACGATCTTGGTGGCACACCGGCAGGCGGGCGACGTACGATGCAGCAGGCGGCAGGCAGTGTGACAGCCCCGAGCTTATTCGACGACGATGCAATGTCCTTTTGCCATGTGGCCCGGCGGCGTCTAGGCTCGGATTCACAGTAAAACAAACGAATGCAGGCTGGGTCCTGCGGGTTGTCCGTCGAGCCCGGGGCCCGTGGACGTCGAAAGACGGAGGACCCAGGGCGGTGGAGTAGAGGCGTATGGGTGCGGGAGGGGGGTGCATGTAGCTCCCCCAAAAATAATTGGTAGGGCAGACCAGGGCAGGGCAGGACCATCCCAGGCGTACATTGTTGGGGCCCGCCTCTGCAACGACGCGCCTTAGTCGGTCAGCATCTGACTGGCAAAGCGGCGACAGACAGACAGTAATCTGATACATACTGGCAGAGACAGCCAAGCAAGCGGCGCTTCACTGTCGTCGTATGCTGTCATCACTTGTTGCCTTCCAGGGTTGGCTTGGGGAAGAGACCAGTCGAAAGCAGAAGGCACAACAGCAATGCAGCAATGGCCATTGGCTGGCTAGGCCCTGCACTCGCCGTGCTAGCGCTCGACTGGGCAAGTACCGAGGCCTGCTGCCCTCTGCCCTGCGGGGAAGCTGCGACGAAGAGAATTCCCCTTCTGCTCCTCCATACGCCCACCCCGCGGCGTCCCTCCATCCTCGCTTTCTCCTCCTGCTCATCTCGCCTCCCTCGCTCACCCACCTTGCCCATCGACTCTTGCAATACGAACCAGTGCCTGATGCTGTGGTCCGCGTCGTTCCATGGCACGATAGCCAGCCCCAGACTGCTCGGCCAAGCATTACTGCTTCCACGGTTGTGTCCCCGGGCCAGCAACCGCCACCTCGACGACCATCGGCGGCGGGCCGGGCTGTTGCTCCGGGCACGCGCTTACTGCACTATGCCGGCACCCGTCAGCACCGGCATTTTCGCCTGCCACAAGGCCGTTCGCCTCTCGGCTGCTCCCGAGCGCAGAGTCCCGACGGCTTCGATGCTGGCCGCCGTCCATGCCTGCCCTCGAACAGCGCGCCCATGTACGACATGACTACGCTCTCTACTGGGCGAAGCGACTGCTCTCCACCCATCAATATCGCGCCTCAACCTCGCTCCGAGTCCGTACTTAACCTCCAGGCCTGGGGAAATGGCAAGGGTCTTGCTGCACGCACGATCAAGGTTGCCGCCATCGCGCTTGGTTTCCCCCCAGTTCACATGCTAACCCCTCAATTTCACCACCACCACCGGGCCGAGCTTCGATTCCTCAGGCACGACCCGATGCTCCCCTGCATGACCGGCGAAATGCCAAACTGAGGTTGTTGGTTGAACGTACCGTCAGTGGCAGCCAATGCCCCTGAGAGCGCCAGGTCGAGAGGTTGCGCTGGGGCGGGGATACCCAGTCAGCTTAGTGCCGCCCGCCCGCCACATGGAGCGCACTTCGGAGATTTATAGTAAGCCTCAAGCACAACCTTCGTTACTCCCACACCACGACTCTGGCATGCCACGACACGGTGTTACGGCCAGCATGGCTACTAATTACGGATATGCTCCTCCTGGATGCACCCGAACAAATAGTCTTCTCTCACTCCATCCAAATTGTCAATGTAGGGCCCCGCATGATCAGCCATACAGCGCATATGCGAGCAGGCCACATGTCTTTAAGGTTGCATACCGCAGCCCATGTTGTGACTGGGCGGACACTCCGATTCCTACTGCTGATCCTCTCGTCATGTCTTTGCTGTCATTGACAAGCAGGCCGGATATTGTTCAAACCTTGGCAGCGGTAAGCCGCTGGCACTCAATGATGGGCGGTCTCTGAAGGCGTGGGCCATCCTCACCGAAACCGTCAGATGAAGTTTGCGCAATGGATCGCAATGCAGCTCTTCCCTACGTGCCTTGTTTGGCGAGAAGTGGCCTTTACTCATGCATTACTCAGCAGAGCTTGGCTGAACATTACCTCCTCACTCTTGGTACCGTCATAGTAGAGGTGCAAGGGTTGCTCGACCATGACAGCCTATTACCCACGGCAAGGATGTAGTTCAGCGTCAAGCGATAAGCGGTTTCTACGGCCATGCTACGATAGCCGGAAACTGTCTCGGATTGCCTGACCAAATCTCTCAATGCCCTTGACCATATTCTCCTCGGTTGATGCTGCGTATGTCGTGCGGAAATACATGCCCGGGAGAGGCTTGCTTGGATCAGCGCGGAACCACGACCCACGACAGACCAGGACTCCCTTGTCGATGCAGGCGTTGTAGATCTCCTCCTCGATCTCGACGACGGACTTGGTAGAAGCGTCTGGGTGAGCCGCATGGTTGACTTGAAGCCACAGCTATTCAATACCGGACAGAGGCTATCAGCATCACAAAAGCTCGACCATGATCTGTCACAAACGTTGTAACGCGAGAGGCTGATTGGTACTCACAAACATGCCCGCCCTAGGGACAGTCCACTTTACTAGGGCATCGTTGCCGGCATTTCCATCGCTGCAACGCAGGACGCCAAGTTGCCTGTTGCACGCATCCAGTAGCACATCTCTCCTCACGGTATACTCGTCCCTAAGGTGAAGCAGCCACCGCAGAAACCCATCATGGCCCCACGTCTCGTCCACGAGCTTCTGCACGATGAGCTGTGAAAGCCCACTGGGCCCCTGACTATTACACTCGGCGTGTCTCAAGTACTGCTCAACCATCTGCTGGCTTGCAGTCACCCAGCCCAGCCGCGAACCAGGGATGAGGTTCTTGCTGAACGAATCAAGGCGCATGACGCGCCCATCGAGGTCCAGGCTGAGGTATGTCGGCGGAAGGGACTGAACAAAAGCATCAATATCCTGATCTTGCTGAGCTGCGTTTCCAGCTTTTTCAGAGATGCCCTGCTTCTGAAATGGTGGCATGTGCAGGAAGTAATACGGCTCGTCCTCGATGATGTAGACGTCATGCTTTCGACAGACGGCGTAGATCTCCCGCCGTCTCTGTTCGCCCTGTGTCGCTCCCGTAGGATTCTGTCCAGACGGCACCGTGTACAGCACGGTCGGTTTCCTACCATCCGTCCACCCTGTCAGGATTTCATCCATGGCCTTTGGAAGCAGGCCTTCGTCGTCCATGGGCACCCCGGAAACCCCGATCCCAAGAGGCCGTGCAGTCTCGAGTGCCGTGGCGAAACTGAACTCCTCGGTTAATATGACATCTCCTCTCCCTCCATTGTGGTTGCCCTCGCAGAGCATGCGGAATGCCTGCTCTAGAGCGCCCGTGCTTCCGATGGTCAGGGAGCATCGCCAGTCTGCGTACGGAGGATTCGAGATGAGCTGCGTGTGCTCGGTGACCCAGCGTAGGAGCTGGGCCGCGCCGACAGACTGGGAGTAGTTCTGGGCAATGGAGAGATCGTATATGTTCTTCTGCAACAGGTCTTCTTGCTGCTGCTGCTTCTCTGTGGGAAGGGCAGGTCTCCCATCGTTTTCGGCAGAGCCGGTAGTTGTCCCGCTCGCCTCCGTGGCCTCTGCCGGACTTGATGCATGAGAGGCGTCATACTTGCCAACAACGACCTCCGTCGCAGCGTTACCATTTCTTCGGCCGATATCAACACCACCATAGTCCTTCGCTGGCAATGCAAGGTCCATCTCGGAGAACCCAGTCCCCACCGCGCCGCTCGGCACGCGCAAAGTGAGCCGGCCGATGGGGAAATTCGACGGCGTCGGGATGCCGCCGCCCAGGCTGACCAGGCCGGGTTTGCCCAGATGCTGGACTGCTTGTTTGAGAACTGGGGGCTGCCGGGCCCGTGATTCTGGTGAGAGGAGGTCTATTATTTGTTTTGTCGTTGTGTGGTTAGTGAGTGGTCAGCAAGTTTTGTCTCCCGGAGCTCTGTTCGTGTTGATGACTGCGTGAAGATTTGGTGCTGGTATGTACAGGCGTCGAGTGGGGGCATGGGAGTTTTGCTTGTGCGCGAAATACAGACGGAATGCGAAAGCATCATGTATGAGATTCGAAGAGACAGGCGGGAAGCTCAATGACAGGGTGGTGGACTGCAGCAAGAAACGAGCCCGTGTGCAGGGCGGGAGAGGAAGATAGGACGACGAAATAGAAGATTCTGTTCACTCACGATCCCATCTGCGAGCTTTGGGCTTCTTCTTGTAGTCCTGCATGAAAATGACCAACCGAGATGGGGGGTCTGCTGTTAGTGATACTTGCTGTTCTGATCATCCCGAAGCACCAGATCCCGGTTTTACGTGGAGAGAACCAGGCGTTCCCGTAAATCTATATATCCTTGGTTCTGCAAACCTTCCCCGTCTATTCATATTCCTATCCAGGACCCCCCAAGGCAAACCCGCAACATAATGTGAGAAAAAGAAGAAGAAAAACAGGAAAAGAAAGGAAAAGAAACACACATACCGGATGCTTGAACATGTCACTGTCGCTATAACTCGCCGTCGGGGCCACGAGCCGGCCCCGCTCGGCCCTCAGGCGCTTGATCGCGGCGATCCGGTCCGTTGCGGTGCCGCCGCCGCCGCCGCCGCTGTTGGTGGTGGTGTTGGTGGTGCTGGAATCCATCTCGTCTCCCTCGAGCGGACTCCACCACCCCTGCTGCTGCTCCTGCTGCTGCTGCTGCCGTTCACGCAGGGCGGCACGGAACGTGGAGAATTCCCTCGCGCTTCTTGGCGACAGGGACAACAGGGCATCGTCATTGTTGGCGGCGGCGGCGCCGCCGCCGCCGTTGCCGAGGAGGAGGCGATGACGGAGAGGAGTGCGACGGAAAAGCGTGGTCGTCGTCGCCGCCGCCGCCGGCCCACGTTGGAGGAGGATGGTTCGTGAACGGAGCCGGGCCAGGGGCCGGGAAGGGACGGCTCGTTGCATGTTGTTATATATATGTGTGTGTGTGTGTACCGCTGTGTATACGTAGTGTCGACGCTGTTAAACCGGATCAAATCTGCCGACATAGTAAGTTAGTCACTCAGTTAGTTAGTCACGTTGCCTGGAGATGATCCCAGTACTGGATAAAACCCTCGGCAAGGGAAATGGCAGTAGCAGTAGCAGTAGCAGTAGCAGCGGCGGCCTACTTGCGAGACCCGTCTCCCCTTCTTTTATGACAACGCGGACCTTTAGTCTTACTACTATATATATATATATGTGTGTGTGTGTGTGCCAGGCTTGGAAAACAGATCTGGATTTATCTTGACGTCAAAACATAGATATGAAAAAACGAACCGATGCGAGCGGGTCAACAATTCCTGCTTGGAGGACTTTTCAATAAGTTTTTGGGAGAAAAAGCGACACCGGATCGCTGTTCCCCGCGTCTCTTTTCTTGGCCGGCTACTTAATATGCAAGTCGTGTGGGTGATATCTCAAAGAGAGGGCCTATGATGACAAGTGTAACCCCTTCCTCTCTCGGCAGCATTCCAGAGCAAAGCCAGTCCGCTGTAAAACCGATTGGGAATAGACTTCTCACAATTGAAGAAATAGCTGGAATGAGTATCAGGTCATGGGCGGTACACGGGAACAAATTCCATCGATGCTGATGATGGCGATGATGATGACTGTGAAAACGTAGTGTAGGACAGGTCGCTGCCCACCGCGCTCTGTCTCTCTCCCTCTCCGCACGCGGAGTGGAGATGCGGCGGAGAGAGGGCCGGGGTCGGAGTTCGAGGGTGGTCCAATGCGTGGGGGGTCCCCTTCGCCTCCTCCAGGAACCGACGAAACATCTATCTCATGAACCATGATAATGAGACTGACTTCTCGATGAATGCATCAAAGCTGGTACCATGTTTCTCACAAAGCCCTTGCAGCTTGCGGGCAATGTAGTCTGTTTGTCTTTGTCCTCTGCCTGATCGTCCAGATTCGTGCAGCTAGCGAATCTCCAGAGATGGGTCGTAGAGTGTAGTGCACATGCAGGTTGCCGTGGGATTTATCTTTGTACACGATTTCGCCTTCATTAGTTCCTCTCTGCGCGAATTACTATATATCTTTTATCTATCTACACTGAAGCCTCCATGTGCAAGGCCCTCTCGTGAGCGTGTGCAATGCTGATGCGCCCAAAAACCAACTCGGGTATATCCCCAGGCTAGACCAAACCCAAAATCAAGAACGCCTGGATGCCATGCTCAATCTCTCATGAGACTATTATCCAACCATGCTTGTGGTGCTGTCGAAAAAATCAAAATCATAAACGTGTCCTCGTCTGCATCAATCATTTACATCCAGAACCGCCCAAGGCCAAAGACCGAAGCCATCAGCGTGAACACGCCGACAAATGCGATCGGCGGCACGACGCTACCCGCTGCGCCGATGGGCATGATCTTGCCCTCCGACGTCATGAACCAGCCTGGTGGCAGGTTGTATTGGCTGGCGCCGGCCGTAGTGTCGCCGCCGACGCCGCCCACGGGGACGCTCGGCTTTCCGGCTGTCGTTGGAGAGCTCGCCACTGCTGTCGTGGTCAGGGCACCGGCGCCGTTCAAGTTGCCGTTGACCTTGCCACCGTCGGCCTGGATCGACTGCCACGTCCCGCTGTGGTCGCCGTACGTATACTTGCTGCCAGTACTGTAGTCGGTGACCTTGATGTGCTTGACGTTCATGCTGAACGGGCCCTTGGAGTAGTCTGTCGGCCCGCGAGACCACTCGATCGTGCCCGGCGGGTTGCTCGGGTCGCCGCCGGACCAGGCGCCGAACTTGACCTGCATGGGCGTCTGGGGGTACTGGCCCGCCTCGGCGTCGTTGTAGCCCAGTTGCCGCACGACGGTGCCGTCGACGGTCCACACGATGCGGTTCGCGTTCCAGTCCACCACGTAGGTGTGGAAGCTGTTCTGGTTCTCTGGGGTCTGGTGGAAGGCACCGCGGTTGTACGACGTTGTGATGCCCTTGCCAAAGTAGTTGGACTGCACCTCCGTGGGGTCGGCGCCCAGCCACTCCCAGTCAATCTCGTCGAGACAGTCGGACTGCAACACAAACGAAGAGACGATGCCCGCGCCGTGGGCTGCCTTGAAGGTCATCTCTACGCGACCAAACATGATGTAGAAGACCGAGGCGAGCTGTGGGGCATCGCCACCTCTTGTGACGGTGAAGGTGGCGCCATTTTTGGGGTCGTAGGTTACCGAACCGCCGCCGGAAGCAACGAACGAGTTGACGCTGCCTTTTGTGAAGTCGACATCGACGGTCATACCGAGCCCAGTGTTGGGAGGGCAAGCTGGAGTGGGCGGCGGAGTTAGTACACAAGATGTCTTAGGCGGAAAAGTGGTCGAACAAGAGAAGGACATACTGGTTGTGAGAGGATTACAGGACGTCCACGTCTGAGCAGCAGCATGGCCCATTGAGAGGGCAGCCACGACAGCGGCGCCCAGGCCGTGCCGCGAGAGCATCATGGTGGGCTGTGGTATATGGGTCTGGTCTGGCGGGATTAGGTCGTCTCAGATGACCGACAGAGACCGCCCCGAGATGTCTCAATGCCTTGTCAACGTGTGGTATGGTGACTTTGAAGAGCGAGAGAGGGCGAGCGGCGCCGGGCGAGGTGTGAGCAAGAATCCGCTAATGCAACGCTGGAAGAGCAACTGCTCGCTGAGTCAGGTAGAAGCAGCGTTCTGTGGTCGAACCAAAGTAGTACTCGGAACAATTGTCGATATGCAAGGAGGTAGTAAGTATGACGGGGACGGATGAGTTCTGCAAGAGGAGAGACAGTAGACTCAGAGTCGGGAAGTTGACGATGGCGGGCAAGACGCCAGGTTAAGTGCTGCCCAGCCTCTTGACTTTGCGGCTCAGGTACCAACCATCGTCATCGCTGGCCCCAGCGCGCCAGAGCAGCAGGGCCAAGCCGCAAACCGGCTTCCATGGCAAGGATCTCCTGCTGCAAGCTCTTTGCCCAATGCCTGCAGAGGCGCCGTGCCGCGTAGAATGCGCGAGGCTGGGCTGTCGCACCAGCCATGGGCCCGTCCGTGGAACCAGCAAGGGTAGACCCTTGTTGACTTCCAAGCTCGCTTTGGCCGGCCAACCTCGCCCTTTTTCCCACAGGCCGCGAGCCCCACTCTTCCCGGCACTGGCTGTCACCACACGAGCTCCTCTGCGCAACAACGTGTCTGCGAATGTGATGAACCGGTCTTTTATTTTCAACGCCAATGACAACGCATAAGTACTCTAAGTATGTATGACCCCGAGCAAGCGAACAGCCATGTCTGGTTTCTTCTGTCTAAAATAATGAGGCGCCTTTCCAGGCAGCTGATGCGTTCCGATTCGCCAAAACCCTCCCGGTCATGTTGCGCCGTGCGTGGCATCCTAACCCCTCGTGCCACACATTGCTGTTCTATCAGAAATGATAGGCGACGGTCGCGAGGTCTGTTGGCTGCTGGTGCTCCACGACGCAACGCAAAATGATATTTATTCGATAATCCCTCATACTCTGATTTCACAGATACTGGTACAAGGGCGGAAGGACTCTGCAGTGGCCAGAATCGTCCCATGCCAGGGCAGTGACGGCGACGGGGAGCCTAGAACTCCCAGTTGTCATCAGACTCGACGGATTTGATAGCCCAGTTGAACTTCTCGCGCAGCGTCTTTGAGAAAAACTTCTCAATGGGTACGTCGAACTTTCGTGAGAAGACGACAGTCAAGCGGGGGTCAATATAGTTCTGGAAAGGGCACAAGTTAGTAGGCGTATCAATACGTGACCAAGGGTACGGGATTGCTCACGATCTTCGAGGTGCCAAGGGCCACCTCCTTATTGCCGTCGCGGTCGGCCGCCTGCAACTCGAGGGTCTTGATCCGTGCCTCAATCTTCTCAACGTTCGCCTCGACCCTGTCCACCGTCGGAGACTTGCCCTCGGCCTCGACCTTCTTGGTCTTGTGCTCCTTCTTCAGCTTCTTCTCCAGCTCGCTGACCGCCTTCAGCCGCTCCTTGAGCTCCTTGTCGGGCATGGGCTTTTCCTTGTTGGCTTGAAGCTTCTCATTGTCCTTTTCAAATTTCTTCTGAATCTTGGTCCTCTGCTCCTCGACCAAGAAGGTGATGTGCTCCTCGATCCAGGCATCGTCGATGGTAGAGTCGAGCGCGAAGTACTCGACGCCCTTCTTCTTTTGTTTCGGATCAACGTCCAGGATCATCTGCTTGGTTCGCCAAAGCTGGTACTTGAGCCCCTTGATGCGGTCACCCAGCTTCTCCATTTGCGCCTCGTGTCCGGCACCCACTGTCCGCTTGTGATTACAGAGAATGGCAACCTCACGATTGCAGTCATTGTAGAGCTTGACTTTCTCTGGAATGGACAGATTCTTGACTTCCAGTCCCTTGAGCAGCGTCGACATTGTGAAGGAAGCGTTATAGGTACGGAAGACCTTGGCCGTAAGGCCCTGCATGTAACTCCCAAGATGCTTGTTGAGCTGCGATGTCGTCAGGCGATCGAAAATGTCGTCGCCGTCTTTCTTCGGCGGCTTTTTGAACATGCGAAGGTTCTTGAAGACCTGGCGATCTACTGTGACTTCATCGTAGAATCGGATACTGTCCTTACCCAAGAAGTCAAAGATGACAGTGTTGGGCTCACGCAGGGTGATGTGCTCGTATTTGAGCGAGCAGCAGCCGACAGTTTCCGCCTCGTTCTCGGCATCCTTCTCGTTACCAGCTCTGAGTGCGAACTTGTCGATAAGGTACATGGCCGTGGCGCGTTGGCGATCGGCCATGACCCCGCTCTTGAGCTCTCTCTCGTAATCCTTGCGAATCCGCGCAATGTGCTTCTTGAGCTCGCGAGCCTTCTCAAACTTCTTGAAATCGCTCTGACCCTTGATGGCACTGTTCGCAGCCAACATCACGTACTTGTAGGCGCCATTGATGTTTTCTTGCCACATGGCGAGCCAGGTTGCCTTGTTGTCGTGCTGGATGGCTTTCCACTTGTGGCCGGGGGGCGGCTGGGGCACTTGTGCGTCCTTGCCAATGTTGATGGTGACTTGCTCAGGCATGACACGAAGCTTGAGCTTGCCAGTCTTGGGATGTTCTCCACGACCGCGGAAGAGACTCGGAGGTTCGACACGGAAGTTGCCAACCTTTTCTTTGCGACCGTCCCACTTGCAGAACGTGAAGGGCGCCTCGGCCTTATCCCTCTCGGCCTTCTCGGCCTTCTTCTCGGCAGCAGGACGAGCTTTGCGCGCCTCGCTCTTGGCATGGTAGTGGTCGAAGATTTTGGTGAAATCGAGCTTCGAGAACTCCTTGATGGCCACCTTGTTGCCGTCACGGTCCTTGGCACCGCCCGTGCGCTTGAGTACTTCTTGGAAATCATTGAAGAAGTTCTTCTGGAAAACGGGGTTCTCGACGTTGTGGGTGGAGTGCAGCATGGCGCCAAAGAAACCGGCGACCTCTTCCGCCTCCACGTGGAGATTTACTGGCTTCCCGTCGTAGTAGAGCTTGACATTCTTCGGAAGCGGCTCATATGGTGGTGGGAAGAGTACACCGTTGTGCTCGAGTGTGGTCCACTTGACGCTGTCATCTTCCTTCTTTGGCGCGTTCCACCACTCATACTCGCCATCGTCGTCTTCTCCTTCAGCCTCGGCACTCTCCTCCTTCTTGCTGGCCTTTTTGGGCGCAGCCTTCTTCGCCACAGGGGTGGCAGTTTTGCCCTTTGTGGAGGCTGCTGCGGACTTGGCCTTGCTCCGAATGGGTGCATCGGAGTCAGAATCCTCCTTTTTCACGCCATTGGACTTAGGCTTTGTGCCGTTTCGCTGGGGTCCCTTGGCGCGAGACAAGGGGACGTCATCGTCACTCTCGTCCTTGACGGCTTTTCTTGCCGCAGGTTTCTTTGCCTGCTTCTCGGCAGCCTTTTCGATGGCCTTCTTGCGCTGCGCGAGCTTGGTCGTCAATGGCACATCGTCGTCCGAGTCTTCGATATTGGCTGTTTCGTTGACGGCGGGGGGCAACTTCGTCGAAGATCGTCTACGGCTCAAGACAGCGTCGTCGGAATCGGAATCAGGCACCTTACGTTGCCGTTTCGCCTGCCGCGATGTCAGTATACTTGAATGCACCCAATGGAACCCACTTCAAAGCGTACCAGAGGCCGGCTGTCATCACTGTCAGACTCCGCCTTGTAGCTGACTTTGGCGATCGATGACCGGGATTTGCGCTTGCCGTTGCCGTTCACGAGAGGCACGTCATCGTCATCATCCTCTTGGACGGGGCCGTTTCGAATCGAGATGCCTGCCGGCGCAAGTATTTTGGAAGAGTCTATGTCCATGGCAGAATCGTCGGCCTTCGAGACTCGCGCAGCCGACACTATATTGTATAATGTAAGTCAGGGTTGTTCTGATGACCCAGTGGATCGGCAAACGAAAACTGCACATGGTCGCCGTCTCGACACCAGTGAGCCCAGCTGGGCAGCGTCAAGCACGTCTTGAGGGATGTTGGGTAAGTGCTCCCCAGGAGAAAGACAACACACTTACAATGGCCATTCGACCTCGAAAGAGGCATGTCGTCGTCTGATGACATTGTGAGGTTTTGTGTTCGAGTAAGAAGCGATCTGGGAAAAGGAAACCGACGGTGGTTGTTGTGGTCGGTGTGATGCGAAGGTGGCTGTTGTGTGAGACGAGCTCTGGTCGAGAGCACGCGCTTGCCAAGACCGGCGATGTTGTTACTCGTGATGGGACAGCAGGACGCGGTTGTTGGGTACCGGGTGCGATTGCTGGCCAAGCTGGAGCTGCAAAGGCTGTGGAGGGGACAACCAGGGAGCACGAGTCGGACGGAATCGGCTGGTGCTGGGCGAGGATGACGGAGAACGGCTCGTGAACCAAAAGAAGATCTCACGAGGGCGTAAATGATCTCGGGACAAGGAGAGGGTGGCCGACACCGCAGTGCACCACCCCAGGAATTAAGATGGGCAGGTGTCTTGAAAGGAGGACAGAGACCCCGAGCGGATCAGCAAATGGGCACCGATGATGGGAATGGTGAAGAGAGGGCGAGGTGATGGACAGGGGCGCCTGCGGAAGGAAGAGCGCAAAGGTGCGAGGAGGAGCGAGAGGTGGACGAAGCCACTTGGGCAAGCAGACTTCTGGTGCGCGAGGCGATTCCCTAGCCCGGGCGATCAGAAAAGCTGCGGCGCATCCAAAAGGTGCTCCAGTCGTGGATCCGTCTCGACATGCATGCATGCAGTCCAGTGCAGCAGCGGCCGGGTGCAGGGGCTCTGGATGGGCACAAGCAAAGTACCACTGTACCGCGCTAGTGCTCATCTGGCAGTGCCCGCTGAGTGGCTGGCCAGGCTCCAGATGGGGCCCGGGCTGGCAGCCAGTCACTGCTTGTTTGCTCCTGCCCGGCCAAACGTCTCGAAACCGCCGGGGCGAAGCGACGACGGATTCCACCAGCCCACTCGTCGTCAGAATTTGGTCGACAGCTGGCGTCAGCTGCACTCATCGGCGAGCACCTTATTCTGAGCCTGCTCAGCTCAGTTTACGATGACAATACGCGTGACACCAGATAGAATACCTAAGTACTCCTATGGAAGTTTGTTTTGAGCATGAGACTCGGTGCGAGAGTAGCGCCTTTGAAAGGTATCTTAGTCATGGCCAGCTCCGTGTAGGACCACGTTTGGGTGAGAAAACCCAGCAAGAGATGCAGTCATCGTGAGGCACACTGCTTGGGTGTCAGGCCTCAAATGGCTTCACTGACACGGTTCGAGAACGAATGGCGCGGAGGCTCGTGAGCCAATCCCACGACGACCTGAAGATCATCAGATATGCGCCTTTGGCTGGTTGAACTATTTATTGATGGCGGTTGCAGGTGTGCTCTGGTGATTTGGAATGATGCTGCCCGGTACCTAGGTGCATGCTGCAGTTGCAAGTACCATGTAGTCCCGGGTAGGGTCAGACGGGTCCGTCTACGGGCCCCAACCGAGAATAACCCGGGTCTCTGGGCGCCGGGTGGGAAAACCGCGCGAGGACGGGGAGTGGCTAGCAGAGCTTTGAGCGCCTGCGTGCAGCGCCCGCCCGCCCAGCAGCAGCACCAGCAGGAGCCAGCAGCTCGCCCAGAGTGGATAGGCCAGGGACAGACAATTTGACAAAGCCTCCGCCCGTCCTCTCAACTCCCGCAACCCGCATCATCACCACCACCCTCAACACCCGCCTGCTCCCATTGATTGCGCGCTCCTGCCCCGCAGTCAATCGGACCCGTTGCTGGATTCCCACAGGCCATCGCCAGACCTCCCGCCATCATGCTTGTGAGAGCGGCTCGCCCGGCCCTCAGGGCTGGCGCTGCGGCCATTCCTGCCCGGTAGGTCGCCGTCTCTCTCTCCCGCTCCGCCAACGCTCTCCGTCCGCTCGCCCGGCCACCCGCCTCTGTCGCTCCCAGATTGTCCTCGTCTCTTCGGCCCTTGGCTACATCGCTCCTTCTGCTGCACGACACAAGCTCGCACCTGCGCTTTCGCCAACCACTACCGTGTCGAATACGTACTGGCATAAAAAATCCCAGATGATGAGGCAATTCACGCCGGCCACAACGCTAGACGACCCAGAGAGAGCCACGCCGTACGAAAGTTCTCTCCGCTGCAAGCGGCGGGTCCTCTTTTCGACCCTATGGCCACTGCAGCATGACTATGGATATTCTTCAGACAGCAGAAACCCGAGCGCGGCACAGCGGGCGTGGTGCTTTCAATTTTGTTCACTGGAAAGGAACAAGCACTAACGAACTTGTCTTCTAGCACTGCCAACACTGCCGCCGGCTATGCGACCCTGCGTGAGATCGAGTCTCGTCTCAAGTCGATTCGCAACATTGAGAAGATCACCAAGACGATGAAGATTGTCGCCTCTACCAAGCTCACCCGTGCTCAGCGTGCCATGAACGACTCCAAGGCGTATGGCGAGACCTCCAACAAGGTCTTCGAGTCCGCCGAGACCAAGGGCCTCGAGGCTGAGGGCAAGAAGACCCTCTACGTCATCTGCAGCTCCGACAAGGGCCTCTGCGGTGGTGTCCACTCTGGTCTCTCTCGTTACATGCGCCGCACCCTCGCCGGTGGTGAGGCTGCTGACCTCGTCCTCATCGGCGAGAAGTCTCGTGCTCAGCTCAGCCGTTCCAACCCCGACAACATTGTCCTCAGCTTCGCCGGTATTGGCAAGGACGTTCCCACCTTTGCCGATGCTCAGGCCATCGCCGACCAGATTGTCCGCCTCGAGGGTGACTACGCCGACATCAAGATTGTCTACAACAAGTTCATCAACGCCACCAGCTACGAGCCCGAGATCATCCCTGCCTTCTCTGAGGAGGCCATCGCCGCCTCTCCCAACTTCTCCGCCTTCGAGGTTGATGAGGAGCTCCTCGGCAACCTCCGCGAGTACGCCCTGGCCAACTCGCTGTACTGGGCTCTTGCCGAGGGCCACGCTTGCGAGATCTCTGCTCGTCGCAACGCCATGGATGTCAGTATCCCAATCCAGCGCCTCCCAGATTGATGGTGTATACTAATTAGCCCGTTTATTACAGAACGCTTCCAAGAACGCTGGTGAGATGATCCAGAAGAACCAGATTCTGTACAACAGAACTCGCCAAGCCGTCATTACCGGAGAGCTGGTCGAGATTATCACTGGTGCCACCGCTTCCGCGGACATGTAGAGAGCGACCTGAGACTTGTAATAGACTCAAAAAAGCAAGGCGAAGAATTGTTGCACAGAGCATATCCTTTTCTCTTCTTCCCTGGGCCATTATAAACCCCGCGTTGAAGCAGCGATATGGGGTTTGTGACTAGGCGGCGACTAAAGAGGCGGCGAATACCCGACCCTTCCACGTCGTTGCCCGGTTCCTTGGCCTCGGAGGAGAGTTGAACGTGAAGAGCTCGAAAGACCTTCTTCCCTTTGTATTAAAGTACCCTATTCCGCAAATTTCAAACAAAGTGTACCAACGTCTCAAAAAAAGAGATCCTCCAACGTACCCAGCATACCGCGGATGACCAGTGATGTGCGATAGAGAGAGCGGATATGACGTTAGCATGAGACTTGGGATATGTTGCCATTTTGCAGGAACCTTTGGTCCGCGAACGCATTCAATTCTGGTCATTTTTGAGCAGGAGCGCTATCTACATCAAATTGCGCATTTCCCCGTGGCGTGAATTCGCTAGCATGGAACGATATATTTTATGCTTTTCACTATTTTGTTTCGCTGCTTGGCTGTCCTGCTCCTGAGCTGCCCTGTCTGTAAAGACATGATCTTTTTGAACTTGATGTGTCCCGTCTACCGGATCGTGTAAGTAATAATACAATTACACAAACAAAACATTACTCAAAAGCCGGACCACTATACACTAAAGTCCTCTGCCGCACCATCATCCTCACTCTCCGTGTATGAGCTGACTTTGCCGCGCGCCGCCCTCCTCCCTTTCGTTGGCGTCGTGTGGCGCATTGCTTCTCGTCGACCATCACGATCACCACCACGGCCAGCAGTAGCAGCACTGCCAGGACCAGAGCCGACACCTTGATCCTTTTCCATAACCTCGACCCCATCGTCAAAGGACAGCTTGTTCTCCTCGTCCCACGCGGCCCGGATCTCGAGGTATCGCGTGTCCCACTCCTTGCACTCCTCCTCCCACTTGCGGCGGGACTCGAGGTGCGCGGCCTTGAGCTCCGCGGCCTCGTCCTCGAACGGCTTGCGCGTCTCGGGCTGCGTCTCCTTCCACATCCTGCTCGTCATGACGCGCACGTCGTTGGGGCTGGGCTTGTAGCTGTTGTTGCTGTTGCCACCTTTCTTGCCGCTGCGCTGTCGCCGCGCGAGGCCCTCGTCGATGCACCGCTGCCGTGCGGCCTCAAAGTTCTGCTTGCTGTACAGCAGGTATGCATTGCCCGCGACTTTCTGGGGGGGCCACGGTCGTTCGCCAATCTGCGGCCGGATGTGCTCCCATGCTGCGAGCTCGTGGGCGTCGATGCGGGCTTGTTTGGTGGCGCGAGAAGATGATAGCGGGGATGCCGAGGATGAGGACGTAGCTGAAAGGTTCAAGTCAGAGTCAGCCTTGCGCTTGAGCGACTCTACTGCCGGAGCGAGGGCGGTGCTCTCTCGCGGGATGATGAGTGGTGTCGGAATTGAGATGGGCCCCAGGAGGGCGGTGATGACCTCTGAAGCGGCGCGCAGGCCGGACAGGTATGCTCCGTGAACAGTCGCCGGATGTGTGTCGGTCGTGTGCTCGCCCGCGAAGAACAAATTGCCGACTGGTCTAGCCATGAGTTTGTAATCTTCCGGCTGCATCGTAGGCCCGGCAGACGAGTATGATCCTCTCGCGAATTTGTCCGAGCCCCATCGTGTCACAACAGACTGTATCGGATTGGGGACCTTGGCGCCAAATACACCGCGTAGGACTTGCGTGGCTTCCGCAACCAGGTCGTCGTTTGATGAGTGCTCCGTGTCGAAGCCCGCATCCCCAGCCATGAGAGCCAGAAGGACAGGGACACCAGAGGTATGAGACACATCGAACCACTGGAAACAGCGTCCTCGCTGCGAGGCGTAGTCGGACTGCTCAACGCTGTGCCGGGACAGTGGCTCTCGTAGGATGCCGAATATGTCTCTGCTGCTGTCCCAAAACGATTCTTTGAACACCAGGATGACTTTGTTGAGAATTCCGAAGCCCAGGCGGCCAACAGGGCCAGTCTTCCACGACGGCAGTGGAGGATTGAACTCGACATTGCCGTGCTTGAGCACGCCGAGGGGTACAGTGGACACGACGTAGTCCGCATCAACAGTTGACCCGTCGGCGCACTCGACTTTCGCCCGGCCGGACCCTTCTGGGTCATATGTGATGGTCTTGACCTCGGCGTTTTTCCTGATGTCGAGACGTGATGGTGCGTTCCCCAATCCCCACGGCACGCTTTGATAGCCGCCGACAACCATGGTATGCTTGCCCTCCCATTCATAGCCAGCATCGATGTCCCAACCACCTATACTGAGTTGATTATAATTCGTCGCATTGCTATACTCCAAGTTGGCAACATGCCAATTCATGAGCCGGAAATCCAGCGGATTCAGGTCGACCAAGTTTTTGTACTGCGATATCGCGAGATCCACAATGGAACCAAGAGTCGCGCTGCCTGAGTGCACAGCACCGTCGAGCTCAAGGTCATCGTCCTCGGTGACCCCTTCTTTGAGTGCCCAGCCCAGCAGCCGTGCCTTGTGTGCAGCCTTGAACGTGGCAGGAGTGCCAGGCTCAACATGAGCTCTTCCTGTAGCGCGATCAGTCGCGACAGGTACGAGACTGACTTGTGGTGCCAGACTCTGCTTGGACACCGGCGTTGCCTGGGGTAGCGCGGCGGTAGCCTCTTCCGCTTGTGCTATGGTCATTCGATTATCCGAGGAGCCATCCCGGCCTTCGTCTATAAGCTCTCGGGCACCTTCGATGAGCTTCGCGGGTGGTATCTTGAACTTGTATTCGCTAACGCGCTCGAGACAGTCGTTGTACAACTTCTCCACCAGCCGGTCCCGCGCCTCGTCAACGGCCTTGCCGTTCGAGTCGTACAGCGTCGTCTCGGGTCGGAGTGCATAGTAGGGCAAGCCCATCTGCCCGCGGACCAACACGTTCAGGGGATTGCCGCGATCGAATCCTGTAATGATCATGCCGCCACACTCCACGCTGTGCCGCCGGCCCTTGAAGTGGACTGGTCGTTGGCACTGGCTGCCATCGATGGCCCTCGAGTAGACCCGACCACCTACGCGGTTGCGACCTTCCAGCACGACAACATGTGGCACTTCCTCGCCCAGGTCATTAAACTCTCGGGAGTACTGCTTGAACAGGCTGTCGAGCTGGCGTGCGCACCCAAGCCCCGACATGCCCGCACCAATCACGACGATCGTCTTTCCCTTCTTGTGGCTTTTGCCTCGGGCGGGCCGCTTTCTGGGATAAGTAGGCACTTCTGTGCACCCGAAATTGATAAACCCATTACGCACGAGCCAGTCGTAGCATACATTGGCGACATCGAACCATCTCGTGTCCTTTGCACAGCCTACGGCCTCGTCTCGAGCTACGCCCAGGCGTGGATTGTGGAGCCATAGTCTGAGGATCCCGTTCCGGATATTCAGATATGTGGTCACCTGGCTGTGGCTGATGTGGTCCCGGAGCATCGAGTACTCTTCCTGATGCAGGGCATACGGGTTCAGCCGCGACGCCTCCGCAGCGGCGATGCATTGGTTTGCATATTCGTACGAGGGGAGTTCGTTTGGGATCGATATTTTAGGTCGCACATCAAAAGTCTGCCTTCGGCATTTTCGTGCAGGGCTGACTGGCGTTGGCAGGTCCGGGACCTTCTCGTGCGTACTTTCAATCTTGATTGTAGGTTCTGGCCGAGCAGGCACTTGCACATGCGACTCTTCGGCGGCTGTGGTATCTATCGGGGTGGTGGCCTTGCTTGACGGCGGTATCGTCGAAGGGGGCGAGGTGAGCAACGACGGCTCTGATCGAGTAGACGACTCCAGTGAAGCGGAAGCCTTGGTCGCGAGGTCCCAATCGCCGGCAGCGGTATGCTGACTCTGGCTGTCAACGGCATCATTCAACGATGGCTGGCCGAGTCTACTCTCCTGTATCAGAATGGGATGGCTCACTTCCACTGCGTCTTTATTTGGTATACAAAAATACAAGCCATTGTGGAGACATGGCCCGTTCAAGCAAGAAATAGCATGATATGTGGCCACTTGTTGGTGGTACTTACTGGGTGGCCGGGACTGGCTTCGGCGGTGTCGAAGCGCCAGCGTCCGAGGAGACCTCGTCGAGATCCATGCCTTCTATCCGGACCACGATCTCGGACTCGGTTTTTGGCGACCTGGACCAGGACGTGCTGGTACCTGTCCCTTTCGGGCTTCTAGTCACCAGGTCACTGTTGGTCGTGGCGGTGGCAGCAAGGATCGACTCGAGGTGAGAGTCGACTTTCGAAAGGCTCACTACTGCTGCCGCTGTTGCTGCTGCTGATGATCTCTTCTGCCAGTTCTCCTCGTAAGACATGAGCCTTTGGAGCTTCGTCATGGTTCAGGAGGGATCCGAGATCTCGGTCGTCGTGGTCGAGACATTGATCGAAAAGGGGATTTTCCTGGCGAAGTCGCCGGAAGAGGCCCCCGTGATCGGGTATTCTACTGGGCCAATATCACCCCAAGAGATATCATCAAGTCTGCCGACCACCCTTCGAATGTCGCACGGCGCATGGGGATGCCAAAGTTGTCACAGTCGGAGTATACTGTACGGTTTTATCATCGAAACTGCATGTTCTGGTCAGCCCGACGGTTTTGGGCGACAACCGGGCCCTTGTGCCGATGTACCGAGCACCAGACGTTGGCGTTGGTGGTGTAGGAGGGAGACGTCCGGGGTGCGGGCCAATGAAGGGGAGAGGTGGAGTTCGACACGCCGCCGAAGGTGTCTTGAGAGAGCAACGTACGGGGAGTAGAGGGCGTGGAAGCCGCTGTTTCGAGCTGTGCAAGCCGAAGAATCCCTGGGCCGGGTTCGCAGTCCCGTAAACGAGACGGAGCCAGGCTGTACCCGGCGGTTGTGTATCGTCGTGTGAGAGTGCAGGCTACCTGCATGTGGCGGCGGATGGAAGCAGAGAAAGCTCCGGACGACGACTTTTGCGGGAATCGTGCGACTACAGGCCAATGGGCTCACAGGCGGGTCGGCGGCGTTCTGGGCCGTCACGGGGCACCTAAACCTTGGAAGGTACTGATGCTGAGACGATTTGCGGCCGGGGGCGAGTCCCGCGCCGAGTCAAGGCGCAGGTCCAGGACAAACCCACTAAGTAACTCGCTGCCCACCCACGTGACGACGCCCACCACTAACCCCCAGAAAGCTTCATACACTACCCACGCGCTTTGCGAGCACTGCAATCAGTCAAACGGGACCTTGTGGCACATCGAGAAACGGCCTCGGTCATTTTATTCGTCTAGAATGCGATTCATAGCCTCTGGCCGAGAAGCAAGCACGAATCATCATCCTTGCCAATCGTCAACACTGCAACTTCGATTCATCCCGATCCCACCCTCGGTCTACAATATGCGCAGCCTAATTTGCGCAAAGCGACAACCTATGTGTAAATCCTACAGGCAGTGTCTCGATTCGAGCCCGCGGATTTCGCGTTCATATACGTTCGGTCGATACGAGGCTGTCGCGAGGTGTCATGGACTAGGCGGTTGTTGAGATGGTCGGAGCATTATGGGCGAACGATCCCTTCTCTGTGGCAGCATCCATGATCTTGTTGCCGCTGATGATTGATGTCGTGCAGATTATAATGTCACGCCGTCCTGTATGATTCGATAGTCTCCGTTAGCGATTGCATACATGTTGAGGAAAAAGCGCCTGTAAGAATCGGCGAAACCTCGATGACTGACCTTCTTCCTGCTTGGCGATGAAGCGGAGCGCCGCGATTTCCGTAAAGGTAATGCCACCCACAAAGACCACAAAGACGGTTTTCCTTTCTCCACCGCCTGACAGGAGTGCTCGAGCTTTCACGGCCTTGTCTTCGCCCTTCTGTGACTCGTCGAACGTCGGGCCCCTAGCGTGCTTCAGAACATCATCGAACCCACGCCAGCCTTGAGCGCTGCCTGTTTGTGCTGCCACAGACGGAGCACCATTGCCTTTTGTCATTGTAGACAAATACTGCTTCTGCAGCACACATTGCACCAGCCGTATTGATAGTGGAGCATACCCACTATACACGTATGCGATGTCGTTCGGGTCGTTCTCGTTCACTTCATCGACAATGAGTCGGAGCTGTTTGCGCAGATAGGTGTAGTTCGTCTTGCTTCCGGCCGCTGCTCCGGATCCCGGCATTGGGATCATGCTTGCCATAGGAGAAGCGCGCGACAAGAAAAGCTGCATCTTCTCGAGGTTGTGCAATGTCAGCATGTGCTGGTAGCCATAGCTTTGCAGGATCAAACGACGGAAGTGATCAAAATCCTTGGACTTGATGCCGCCAGCTATGCTCGAGTAGATGCAGAGTAGTCTGAGGACTTCACGCAAGGGTATGCCTCGTGCGATCAGCTCTTCGATCCTGTCGTTCTGCGAGCTCGGGTCAGCACCAGCCGCTAGGTTCTGCTGGACCTCAAGCAGCTTGCTGAATTCCTCAGCTCTGGTGTGATTTCTAATCTCTTCCGCTAGGCCGGTGTGAACTTTGAGGCTTTGCTGCTCTGTCTGATAACCGGGGAGCTTTTGCACGAACTCCTTGAGCTCGGCCGTTGTTTTCGAGGTGTGTCGGCTCTCAAAGTCTGTCTTCAGTCGCCGGGCAACTTTGTTCAATAGCAGGCCAACAATCGCAAAATTCGTGTCGCGCAGTCCATCGTAGAGCTTGTCGGAAGAATCCAGCTGGATCTTTCGTTTCCGCGATGCCGGAGCGCTCGTGCCAGGTGTGCCAGGTGCACCCTGGTTGGCTTGCTGAGGTGGCGGGCCAACGATTGTCGTGTCAACCTCTGCCTGGTGGTTCTCGATGCCCCAAACCTCGTCGATCAAGCCTTCGTACGTCAGCTGTGTGAGTAGAGGTGTGACTGAGTCGACCTCGCGGTCTATGATGATTATGGATTCTGTGTTGTTGCTTGGTGTGAGCTTTGCTCGCGTTGTGTCTTTGGCATTCTCTCCAGCCAGGTTTTCTTGTCGCATTCGGCTCAGCAGTTCGGCCACCCGCTTCGCATTGTCGCCCTTGCCGATGATACGGGGAAACAGCCCATATTTTGCTTGCAAGCTCATCAAAGCCTTCGCCATCAGAAATGCCGGTGTGGTATCTCGGTTGAGGTACAAATCGCGGAACGCATCGTCTAGCTCCAGCGACAGAACATCACGCTCGATCGGAAAGAAGTCTAACGGCAGCTCAGATATGCTGATATCGCCTAGAACTCCAGCCTCCTCGAGGAGGGTGTCGGATACCAGGGTTCGTCGGGGGACCCAGAAGATGTGGAAGTCGTGGCCAGTCTGGCTCTCCCTCTGTAGCCGCTTGACCTGCTCTATCGCAGAGGTTAGCGCGCCATCACGAACAGAAGAGGGTTAGTGGCCTGAAGCGCAAGTCTCTTACGGGCGATGGTTTGGGCATGTCGGGCGCATTCTCCGCGGGCGATGAAGATGATGCTCTGTTGGCTCGTGTCGGCATTGTCGTTCTCGAGGAAGAAGAACTTGTCGACACCATAGTCCTGGAGTGTAGAGACCTTGACCACTGTGTTTATGGGTCCGGCCAGACTGCGCTGGAGGACGAGGTTCTTCTTGCCGCGGACCTAAATTGAGCAGCAGCACAGCTGGCTATCAGCGTCGCGTCGCAAACGGTGACCCGGAGCGGGATGGATGCCTCTTGAGCACACTCACACCTTCCAGGAGGTATAGCAGATCCTTTCGAGCTTTGTCGCGCACTTGCTCTACGTCGAAGCCGACATAGGGAGCCATGGTGAGCTCCGCATAAGGCACGCCCACAACACGGGGACCTCAGCAGGGCCGGGTGAGGCTCAAGTATCCGCGCCGGGCGCAATAACAAAGTGCTCTAGACAGCCGCTTCAGACAATGGGCTTATTTTGACAGTGTGAGTTCACGGGACTCGACAGTGAGCGCGCACTGCGGAACAAACGAGTCGAGTTCAGGCGTGGTTGAGGAGCATCAGCTGGGGGGTGGTGCTCTAGCGATTGGCGCCTATCGCTGAGCTCCTGGCGCATCTCCACGTCGTAATGGGCAGCTGCTGTCCGCTTTCGGGAAGGCGTCCAGGGGGACCCCAGAAAAGACGTCACATGTGATCGGAAGGTTCCATGCACTTTCGGTGAAATTGCATCACTTTCAAGTGTCGAGGATTTACAGTCAACAAAATCGGGAAAACGTCGAGTTTGGGCAGACTGGCAGTTTTTCATAACTATCCGTGCTCTGTAGCACAAGGAACTGCCTTGGCTTGCATACTGCGATGCTGCAGAAGCCATCGCTATCATCAATCGGTGCCCACTTCATGTTCTAAGAGCGATGTCCACCCAGGACTTTGTGATCCCTCCTCCGCCACCTCTACAACGCCCAGCGTCCAGTGCACAGAACAAAAATAAATGCATTCCAGATATGCGAGAATGCTTCCGAGCTGTTGAGTCGTATTCGAGTTGTGTCCTGGACTGTCCTATGCCAATGCCCTCGCACAGCCTCGGGCCCAACTATGGACCATGCAGAGCCGCGCGCCCGACTGCATCAAATGCTTTCCAGATCACACATCGTTATCGTGATAGTAGAAATTGATGTCGCGTGGCCGCTGTTTGTTCCGTGCTGTGAATTGCTCGTCGTCCGGTGGTCTTTCATTCTTGGTGTTGCCTGTCAACATGCTCTGTATGCTCATGCAGACGCTCTCGACGTTCTGTACCGGGCTCCAGCCCTGATCACCAAGTAGATCGAGACATATGATGCCATTTGAATATATGTGAGGATGTATAGGCACTGTTCGGCTCGGCTCGTCTTGTTTTTGGAAGGTGACTTCTGGAGGCTCTGGAATACCTGTGTTAGCCATGTCTGTGTGTACAGCCGCCTGGACCGAGTTGCACGCAAGTGCTGCGGCGAGGATTCATACCGATCGGATATCTTTCGCCGAAGCGGAACTTTAACCGGTAGACTTGGTTGAGGTATAGCGGGTTCTGGTCCAGCACTACTATGTCGAGCAGCCATTCCTCCAGATTCTCGGCTTCAACAAGGCTGATCCCAGGCGGCAGACTGTTCTTGATCTAGGGAGGCAAGACATGGCATTAGCTCTGTCATCGGTGGGCTTCGCGCACGTAGACGGGCACATCAGCCTGGGAGCTTGAGGCACAGACCTTTGTGAGCTCCTTACCCAGCCTTTTCCTACCGAGACTCGCAGCCATGTTGATGCTGCCTGGTGCTACTCTGCGCCGGATAAGAAAAGGGTACGCCTGCCTGCTTGCCGATTTCTTGCGGTGTCTTGATGCGGTCTAAGGGCTTCTTGCGGACGCTCGAATGTCCAGGGATGGTTGTAGGAACAGAGTAGTAGAAAGACGGGGCCGTTCGTCGTCGCCAGATAACACTGAAGAGTGGGCGGCGACCGAGCAAGGTGTCGGCGCTGAGCTAAAGCTAGAAGTGACCCGTTGAAAGCACAGGGCGACGGGCAGATGTCGTTGTCGCTGTATAATGGAGAAGTGCTCTGGACATGTGCAGTGTGAAGATGGGATGATTTGCCACGGAGACTATGTTCGACGTGGTCGTGACTCGGATCAGAGTGGTCGTCAACGTAGGATCCGTTGTGACAGGTGTGGAGGGGTATGCCGGAGGGCCAGGGGGGGTGCCGTGTTGGCGGCTACATGAGCTGTACGGAACTGGGCAAGCGCGTGAGGCCGGCCCGCTCCACTTGTGCTAGATGCTGGGCTGGCCGAGCGCGGGCTGGCTGGTCGCAGGAGGCTTGTCTGTCGGCCAGTGTTTGCACCCAGCAGCGCGGTGCCAAACTTCAAAAACGAGAATGAATGCCTTGTGTACGTACTGAAGTGAAGGTACGTTCTACAGGACACGGTTCTGACTTGACGCGACGCCAGATGTCTGCCCGATAGCACGTCATGTCTTCTGACGGGCTTGCCCTGCTTGGCGCGGTGACTTATGCAACTTTTATTGATGGTTGGGCTCAGGCATGTCCCAAGAAGATGCAGAACGAGCGACCCCAACGAAGCGTCATCTCCCTCTTGTCCTTCAATACTTTCTCGCGAATAGCCTGAGGAGCTGCTGTTCCAAATGGCTGATGGGGCTCCAGTGCAAATGAATGCCCTTTCTCGGCCGTGATTTGACGTCCACGGCGATCGGAACCTCGGCCAGTCAAAACCCGGCATCATCACACCCATCCCTGGATGTTTACCACCAGGCTCATCGCTCAGCCCACTTGCAAGCTCCGTCCAGCCCTCGAGCCATGCGGCTGTGCATCCGACCATGCCGTTTCTTGAGCCAGACGGCGAGGCCCGGCCCTCAAAGTTCACCAACAAGCTGATTCTCCTCTTGGTTCCCCTGTGGAATTGAATGAGCAGCACGAGAGCTCGTCGAGACAAAGACGCAGCAGTCATCCACCACGGTCCAGTATTTTGCAGGGCAGCTCTGTTAGCAAAAATCTGGTGCTCCCAGGAACGTGGCCCCCAAGCTGGAACCCCAGGTCTACACGCCAACCTGTCAAAAAGACGGGAAATGGTCAGACCTTTGTCTGGAAATAGAACATGCAATCTCCCGAGCCGGTGCCCATGAGGCTGACTTGAAAGATGGACCCGAGAGGCCTGGCTTGCTGCTGAGTTCCGCTAGGGCTTACAGCACCTGAAGGTCTCGCCCAGCCCGCTACCCTGGCCTGGCCCCTGGTCGCTGATCGGCCGTCCAACTTACAACATACGCGTCTACGGGGCAGGTTCTGCCGTGCTAGCCATGTCGAGCCAACCTCCAAGTCAGCCCAGCCTGCGCTGCGGCCTCCCACTGTACCCGGCCAGCATGGACTCGAGCTGAAACACAGCCAGAGCTCATAAGTGCCCAGGCGATGGTGTGCCTTGTCCCAAGCGTGACTTATATCCCAGGCGCCTTCGTCAGCTTCACAGTCCCCGCCCGCTGTGACTTCTCCTCTGTTACTTTTCCTTCTCGTGTTTTCGACCGTCAGCTGCTGATACTACTACACTTCCTCACTTTGATTGCGCTCATCAGTCAATCCTGCCGAGGTCTGCGCATTCGTGTAAGTCTGGTCAATCTTGTGAACGTATGTGCCTGCCCCCACAAGGGCGAGTGTTATCACTATCCTGCTACCCCGCCTCCCCGCGTAAGGCTGCCCGCGCCAGGTCAAGTGTGCTCAGCGTTCAGCTTGGCCCATTCCCAGGTTCAACATCTTCAAATTCCACATTCTGCAATCCCCCTTTCACGCAGTGCGCTGCTCGCTCGCTACGAGCTGTATACTGTTCGCATCCCTGGTTCGCCCGCCCGCCCACTTGGCAATTCCCCATCCTCAGGCCGCTAACTGTGTCGCATCGCCAGATATCAGCTCAACCAACCCCGCCCGGACAGCCGCAACACAGAGCTCTTACTCGAGGCAAGCGAAGACGAACCGCAACAATGAGCTGTAAGCTGCGCCAGTTTCTAGCATCCAGACTGCCTCACGGTCTATCGCCCTGTCAAGGACTCGGCGAATGAAGAATCGGTGGGACTGACTCTACTCTTGGTAGTCAACGCCATGTTCAACCGCCTTCAGGGCCAGCCTGAAAGCTACGAGCGAAAGGCAAAGTACCGCTTCGGACGGACACTGGGTGCCGGCACCTACGGTATTGTGCGCGAGGCCGACGGGCCGGATGGCAAGGTCGCAATCAAGATCATCCTAAAGAAGAATGTCAAGGGGAACGAGCGCATGGTTTGGGACGAACTGGACATGCTGCAGCGTCTCAAGCACCCGCACATTGTCCGGTTTGTGGACAGCTTCGAATCAAAAGTGGGTTGCACAAAGCTGTTCCGGGTCTTTGATTGTCGTCGATGAAACTGCCTGAGCTAACATATCGACCACTCACTAGGACAAGTATTACATTGTCACAGAGCTTGCGACAGGTGGAGAGCTTTTCGACCGAATCTGTGAGCAGGGAAAGTTCACAGAGAAGGATGCTTCGCAAACGATCAAGCAGGTCCTCGGGGCTGTCGATTTCCTCCACCACAACAACATTGTTCACCGGGGTGAGTACTGCTCGCTCGCCCTCGCTTTTTCCCTGGAAGTAACGACTGACTAACGACCGTCTTCGACGTAGACCTGAAGCCCGAGAACTTACTTTACCTCACAAAAGACCCTCACTCAGACCTCGTGCTGGCTGATTTCGGTATTGCAAAGATGCTGGACACGAAGGACGAGGTGCTTACCACCATGGCTGGCTCATTCGGTTACGCTGCTCCTGAGGTCATGCTGAAGAAGGGTCACGGCAAGGCGGTCGACATGTGGTCCATGGGTGTCATTACCTATACCCTCCTCTGCGGCTACTCTCCGTTTCGCTCTGAAAACCTGCAAGACTTGATTGACGAATGCAGCAACGGCACAATCGTCTTCCACGAAAGATACTGGAGAGATGTCAGCCCCGATGGCAAGGACTTCATCATGAAACTGCTTCAACCAACTCCTGAAGACAGATGGACCAGTGAGGTACGTTTCTATGGAGGAGGCCATTCCAGCCGGCCATGGTCTCACATCGTCCCTTGTCATGGTCAAAAAGCTAACACCGACCCTAGCAAGCGATGAAGCACCCCTGGCTCAGCGGAGAGACGGCCACCGACCACAACTTGCTGCCAGAGATTAAGGCTTACATGGCCAAGGCTCGCCTGCGCCGTGGTATTGAGCTGGTCAAGCTGACGAACCGGATTGAGGCCCTCAAGATGGCCGAGGATGACCCGGAGAACCCCGACTTTGCCGACGCGCAGCAGGAGCAAACACCGGAGCAAAAGGCCGTGGCGGCCGCCGCGGGTGCCAGCGGCAAGGCGAAGCTCTCCAAGGCCATGAAGAGCGCCATCTTCCGCGAAGTCGTGCTTGCCAAGGTCCGCGAGATGAAGGAGGAGGAGCAGACCCTCAAGATCAAGGAGGAGGTCGAGAAGGAGGCCAAGCGCAAGAGCTTTACCGGTTAAAAGAAATAATTGTAACCACAAAAAACAATTGCGTTTTCTTGTTCGGGAAGTCGGCCCACACGAGCAAGTTGAGCACGAGGCTGCTTGGAGGTCAAAAGTGGTCCACACGGTTCATGCCAGCCAGTATGCAAGTATGGACAGGCAGACAAACGCCAGGATGGAAGGATGGATTGATACCACTTCTTTTTTATATCATTACTGTTCATCTCTTTCTTCTGTACGCGCGAATGAGGCGAGACTTGGAATCCCAGTCACCCAGGATTGTCATTATTGAACTCTTTGACACTCTTCACTACTTCTGAATCATTCTCAAAATTTCATTGTTCACTTGGACAGGTGTGCAGATTAGGTGAATAATAATAAGGCTTGAATTTTGCAAAACTAAAAGAAAAAGTCATGCTATAAATTCCAATTTGGGAGGACCGCCCCTCCGGGTATCCAAAACCACCGCCGCGCAAATACAATGCCGCTCCTGGTTTCCCTAGATATATATATGTATGCAGAAGATTGAAAGGTCGTACATGGATGGTATATGTGTACACAACCGGTACGGAAGAATGGGGATATTGTAGAAGCACCTGGCAGAGCCATTGGTGACAAAAGAGCTGAATTACAAACTTGTGTGTGAGAAAGCTCATTAGTAGTGAAATAAGGATAAAAAATGGGCCGTGCTTCTCGTCTCGTGGGTGATTCGTCGTACACATAGTCGTATAATTAAATTATCGTAATCGTGACAGTGTCTTGCGCCTCGGCTTCCGGCCTCCCTTGATCGACCTCGCCTGGCTTGTGGACCCGTCGCGCAGTGGACGGCGATCAGAAACCTCGGTTGTCGAGTTCGTCGAGCACGCTCTCCCGCAGCGCCTCGTATTTCTTCGGATCAAAGCGCTTGCGCTTCCACCCGTTGGCGCGAAGGCGCTCGATGCGTTCTCTCAGGGCCTCGTTGTCGCCATTGGTGCTGCCGCCGCTGCTGTAGTTGCTCACGGCAGAGTCTGCCCGGCGACGCAGGCTCGTGGCTGTACCTGGCCGCGACAGGAGCGGGTTGAATATGCTCAGGCTACTACTGGCCCGTGGAGGTCCAGGGCTGAAAGTGGATGTGCTTTCCGACGAGGCACGACTATGGAAGCCAGGAGTCTGAGGGGGGGAAGCCTCATAGTGGTGGTCGGACATATCCTCATCGGCCTGGAAAAATGTACCACCAGGCGAGTACCGAGGGGTGCTTGCACCACTGGCCAGTGGCAAAAATGTTCGTCCCAAAGGTAGAGGTGGTACTTCTGGGGCAACTTCGGCTCCTTGGGGCATGGCAAGTAGCGTATCAACGGCATTGCGGTGGAATGCAATCTGCGATCGTAGGGCCGATATGTGCGCACACATGCGGTTCAAGGACTCGACCTGTGCCACTGTGGATGAGTCTGGTGTTTCGATGTTTGTCTCCCGCTTGACAAGAATAGAAGGGCTTGCGGGACGGGCCATCGAAGTCTTCTTGGCCGGAACCATCTTTGGCGGCATGGGGAAAGCCTCGGGCTTTGGTGCCACCTCCATCGGTGTGTTTCCTGGCTTTCCCCAAGTATACGAGTCCTCCATGCCTAGGGTCGGACTGTCAGGCCGGATGTATGGCTCGGCTGGGATATCGTTGGGGATTTCAATCTCCAAGTCAGGCAAGCCAGAGAATGACACCTTCTTCTTGGGCTTGAGCTTGCCTCTCTTCGCAACACCGTCGATGGAGCCGACAGAACTTCTCGGGGATGATGGGCCCGTACTGCCCTCCGAGTGGGCATCATGACACAGGTCAGGCGCCTGAGTGCTAGATGCGGTGGACTGAGCCGAAGGAGACCGGGTCTGTTGTATGGTTATGTCCTCGGCCTTTTTTATTAGAGCTTCTGCCTGGTCATAATGATGCCGAGCGTCACGCAGGAGCCTGTTGCGGAACTTTGAGGATGGAGACAGTGGTCTGGCGCAGGTTTCGAGAGAAACGGCAGCGTAGAAGTGGAGGGAGACGAGATAGATTGGCTCAACAATTGACAGGTTGTCCATGTTGCTCAGCAGTTCAGCGCATCTCGCTGAGCATGCTCGGTACTTGCGACTTTCATACTTGAGCTTGACGTCGACAATGGCCTTCCTCCACTCTTCTGTCGTGGATGGCGATGGCGTGGGAGCAACTATTGAATCCAAAGAGGGTCGCCGGGCCTTGTGGGAGAAGTGTGACTGCCTTGCGTCCGAATAAGGCATGTCCAGATCGGCGGTCATGCTTGAGGCTGAGGGCATGCTGCTTCGGCTGCCCGGGTTGGCAGCCAGCAGCATAGTTACGAGACCACCCATTTTGCAGATGCAGGTGTCATGGACTGTTGTGAGCTGGGTGCTTGGCAAGCTGCAGGATCGACCACACTATATATCCGGGCTGGGATATATACGGCTGGGCGCTGGCGTGAGGCGATGGGGCGGGGATGTCTGAGACAGTCGCGTCAAGCAGACGTGATCGAGCACGTGGAGGAGGAGCCTCGAGGTGGCCGGAATGCTCAGCCTCGTGAGATGCGACTGGGTGAGCTCGTGACAGCTGGTAAAGATGATTGGGTCCGGAGGTGTTGTCGTTGTCCCTTTGATACGTCGAACTTGGGAAGCTGCAGAGCAAGGTGTTGCTGAAGAGAGCGATGCCGGGCGGCGTGGTGCGAGAGTATATCCGCGTCGAGACAAAGGCCGGACAATGAAGCACAGACGCGAAGGGAGAGCAGGTATATGGCCGGTGGCTTGTGTAGAAGAATGCGCAGTCGAGGGAGCTGGGACCTGCCAGACGCGGCCAGGAATGACGATGTGGTTGGAGGGGGGAAACAGACGAGCATGTAAGTACTTATTAGACTACGTACTCTGCCAGACTGTATGTAGTGTAATATGCATGTGCGTGGTCGAGCACTGCAGGCTCTGCTCGACATGTACGATGGGAGGTATGTCCATAGCAGTATGCGATGGCGGATCCTGGTCTGGCCGGCCTGGGTGGAGGATCCGCAGGGGCCAGGGTGACCCCCAGCAAGGAGGGCCCCCTTGTCGTGGCCCTTGTCGCATCTTTTGGCCGAACCTTGAAGCCCAGCCCGCCCCAGCACGGCAGAGGCAGAGGCAGAGGCTCGAGACAGCAAAAAAGCCCTGCGGCAAGGCCCGGCGTGGAGGGGAGGGGGAGAATCACCTCAGCGTCGCATCGCACCGCGCCAGTGCCGGCGGCACGGGCACTTCGACGCACCCGAGCGCCATGCACGATCCACGGCACACACTCTAGTCTGGCTGTCCGTCTTGTCTATCCCTCGTGGCCACCCCACGACACTTTTGCTTGTTCCCCTCCCAGAGCCTGGCCATCCCCTCCCCTCCTGTACGCTGTGTGACAGCCTGCAGGGTCCGAGTGCTGCTTTGCCCTCTGCCGAGCCACGCGCGCCAAATATGTTCGAGCCCAGAGCACTGGCGGTGGTGGTGTTGGTGGTGGCCCCTGACTCCCAGCATCGTTTCCGCTCAGGCAAGTACGTAAGCAGAAGCATTCTTGTTGATATCGTCACAGCAACAGTCAGAGCAGTCGCAAATGACGGGCCCCTCCAGGCACAGAGGATCCGCTGGGCGGCGACGAGCACCTCTGTCTTGTCCCCCGTAGCAAAAGGTACCTTGCGGAACCGGCCCTTAACAGCAACACTTTGCTCTAGGGGAGGCTCCCGGGGCAGCGGGACGCATGGATGGCACTGCCCGTAGCGTAGCGTGGTGCCTTGCACAAGGCGCAACCATCCCCGCCGCCAGTGCAGATCCCTCATCAACACCACTGACTGATACCCCCAGGGCTCCGGTTACCCCCACCCAGCAATCCTCACTCACTCCAGATACCCGTACCGCTTTGCCAGTCCTCTGCCGCCAGCTTAGGTCCGGGCTTCGGACGTCTGCTCCTACTTCGAGCCCGCAGAGCTTGCCTGCCTGTCCCCCAGAGTTACATCCCAAGACGGTATCGGCGTCCCGCCCCTGCCTCAAACATCTACACTTTCAGTCACCTCGCCAGAGTCAGACACAATGCAACATAGTGGAGCTGCGTGGATGGGCGAAGCAACAACTACCGCTCCCCCAAGAAGCAAACACGTGCTGGGACCCGTCACCAAGCATCCAGCACGGGCAATAGACGACTAGCCTCGAGGCTACGGGCCATAGCCTGCAGTAGCGACCTGCATAGAAGCCGTCTAGGGCCAAATCGCCGGCCAAGCTCCACAGCACCATCTCATCTCTGCGATTGCCTCTCGTAAAGGAGGTTCGCGTGGCTCGAGAACCGAACGAAAACCACAAAGTGCAAAAAGGAACCCGTGCAAAACACTCCTTATCAGCGAGGAATACTCAAAAGTGCGCTTTGGGCACAAGTGACAGACCCTCCTTGCGCATACGCAGTCAGACCCCGACCGTTATGCTTGCTCCCTCCAAGGATCTATGAACGAAGGCAGGGGTTCTAAGCTCCAGCCGTGCAGCCGTTGCCAACAAGGTCAGGGGTCTGAGAGCGAATCATGCCCAGGCCGGAAAAAGGGGAGTCTTGTCTCCACAACTCGCCCATAGCAAGCCGGCCCAGGCTACCGGAGTCCACGCCGTTGGCAAATGATCCTCACGGCTCGGCACATACTTTCGTATCCCTGGTTGTAAGCAAAGACTTCTGACGAGTCGCTCAAATCATTTGCTGCTGCGCGAGGAGCAGCATGGCTCAAGGATGGACTGCAAGGCCAGGCTCTAACGAGCTCAAAGAGGTGACAATGCGGAGGCGCACACAGCCACCCAAACGTGGAACACGGCCATGGTCCATCCCGAATGGGTGGGCGTCTCAGGAGCTCGGCGGCGTTTCCGCACGCTTTTCGGCATGAACACTCCAGCCAGCACAAATTTTTGAACGTGTCGGCCAGCCACCTTCAAACACTGAGGCGAAGCTGGGTTTGACCCACTCCCGTTTCCTCTATCGTCGCTGGTGATGGCTCTGGTGTGGGGCCCTGAAATGGCCAAATTGCCCAGACTGTCATGCGCAAGACGAGTCGTTTGTCTCACAGCGAAGTGGCTGCGTCATCGCCTGGTTCGAGCATCGAAAAACAAACCAAGTGTCGTGTTTGCTTTCTGCGCGACGCAAGGGAACTCGCGCTACAGACTCCCTCTTCAGTTTAACTCGTTCAGTGCCGAGGGCCCGCCCGGCACGTTGGTGGAGCTATCACAAATGTGTCCCAGTTTTGACGAAAACTAAATATGACAGGTCCGCCGCCCAGGAATACAATCACGGCGAAGTTACTGGTCGCATAATCCTGTGGCCGCCTGGGCTAAGTGCAGCCTAGTTTGCGAGTCAGGAGAGGGTTTGGTTGTCTTTGTTCGTCAATAACCTTGACAGCAAGAAGTTTAGCGCGCCTCGCAAAGTGTTCCTGGTCAACCTAGCGTTTCTGGCGTCGCTGTCATCCCAGCAATGGTTCGGCCGGATGGCTTCCGGCGGCCACGCTGGCGTCATGAGCCTTATTCGTCCCACGCCCGTGCGCAGCACCGCCTTTTGCGTGGTCATGACATGACAGAAGCGTGCTGATCTCAGCGCCGCAAGGCCGGCTAGCGAGTCGGTGTCCTTGTTCAATACACAAGATGCCGTCACTGGCTTGAAAGAAAGAGACTGCTAGTGCCGCGAAGGTCGGCCAGGTGGTGCAACCACGGCGCAACTATCAATACCGGCTCTCTACGCCGGTCGCATCTTCCTAACTTGTACGCCGTCGCCCACTTGCAGAAGGCCGGAAGTGCTTGAGGACGAGACAATCAACGAAGCCAACGGCAGCTTCAGATGGTGATGAAACAAGCTAGCGACGAAGCCGTGTGCTTCAGCATCCCGACCAAACACGAACAGCTCTGTGGTGGGAGAGAGAGGCAGAGACTGAGAAGGAGGATGCGCCTCAGTGCTCAACATGGCTCTCCAACTGCAATCGTGCTTGCAAACCTGAAACACCAAACCACCACATGTAACCCCAGACTCGATCACAGCCACGGGAGCGAATCAAGAGGCGCGGTACCTGGACGACTACTGCGAGATTACCTAACCATGCAGGATGGACGCAACACGCCACCAAGGTCCCGCGGGAATTGGTTTATCATGAACGGCTATGCCTGAGCGCTCTTATGGAGAGAAGAACTTTGACCTCACGCCACCCTGTTGTTTGTACCTTGCGTTGAGTTGCGCAAGAAGGACCCTCGGATGCCTTTTGACGCGGTATCCAAGGACTCCACCGGGTAAGTAGCCTTGCTTGCCAGGATGCGAGCCACTCTCAAAGGCCGTTTCGTGGGGGGGAGAGCGTTCACCGTCTCCTCGAGCGTCTCCTCGAGCGCTGATGACACATCAGGGCTCCATGTTGAGCGCACTGCGAACCCTTCTTGGCGAGTCCCGTGATCTGGCGGGTGCAGCAGTGCGACGGTGCCATTTGGCCAGCCTGGACCTGGCCTGGGTAAGGGAACGAACAAAACCCCCCACGCAACTCCGGTTGGCTCCGGTTGGCTCCGTTCACTGCGACTCTATAGAGCACAGGGGCTCAAGAGGCCCTGGCCACGAAATACCTGGCGGATCATATACGTTGCAGCGAAATGGAGATCATGGGGCACTCATGAACGCCAGAACGAAAAGGGAAACAAACTCGTACCTCGTGGGTTTCGGTTCCCGGCAGGCGCCCATGCTTGGCTCGCGCTCGTTATCGAGCCATGCTAATATCTGCGCAGCAGGCCTCGCCCGCCGCTGACGACTGCTCGGTGCTGTGCCGTCCTCCACCATCACGCCACTGGACAAAACATTCCGAGCAAGACTCCTCACAAGGTCCCACGAGGCCCCGCTTGGCCCGTGGCGACGTTGACAATCATGACGACTGACAAGGACGAAACCAAACTGCCCCCCAGTACAAGGACCTTTTGGGGGGAGATCCTGGCCTGGCATCACAAAATATCCCCAGGAAACGTCCGTGGGGGGTGTTCTGGCCTCGGCACTGAGTGTCTATCGTCATAGACCCCGTTGTCTGTGTTTCGTGGGGATCTTTTCTTCTGAGCCGGGCCCCGTACAGACAGGCTTGGCAGATATGCCGTTCGGGGCGGGCCCGCAGGCTTGCTCTTGTTGTGTTTGCCTCCCAGAGAACTTGTGTTTCTGCGACGTGGTGTATTACGTGGTGGCGTGCTGGCCTTGGTGATGGTCAGTGTGCGAGAAACGGGCAAGTGCGTTTGTTGACACGCAAGGGCCTATGGACTGCTAAACTCATGCAGCGCGGTAGAGGAGAAGGGTAAGCCCGGTTTGCTGGGCTATTCCAGTCTCTTCAAAGGTGAAGAAGGGGGGCCAGCCGACGACAACGTGCAAGCGCGTCGAGGAGCCATGGCAGTTCTGAGGGCACATCCGGCCCTTCCGGGCCTGGTGGTGTTCAGCGAGGTGTATGTATGTCGTCTCTTTGCATTGTGCGACTGGCGGTCATGGCCTCGCTTGCCTCAGCGCTCCAGCGTGATATTTTCGCCTCCTTGGAGGTGGGACAGTGCAGTTGCCGCTGCTGTCTGCTCCATTGTCTGCATTGACAAAGTTTGGTCTCGCAACGAGTGTTCGTTGAACAAAGCAAGCGGTCTCGTGTCCAGATTTAGTGTTCTCATTCACGCGAGGGTTTTGTGTCTCCGAAGCCCTATCTATGGTGATGGATTGCTTCTAGGTATTCTGAGTGTCATTGAGGGAATGTCGTTTGCTCCGTCCATGGTCACGGGACCTCAAATTCGGCACGTGCGAGCTAGTCGTGGCCGAATTGCTGAGGAGGGATAAAAGTTGCGCTGTCAGGAGTTAACCAGAGCGCTTCAGCCTGGCTTTACCGGGCATGAGTGATTATGTGTTGATGTCGATTTGGGAGCAGGAGAGATGAAGCAAGTGACACTCGCGTGCGGTGCCTTCTGCCAGCGGGAGGATCACGTCCTCGGGTTTGTCTCGCTATCTGCCTGTGACGATGTCGCGAGGGAGAAAAAAAAAAGAAAAAAAAAAAGGATGCTTTACTGCCAGCTCTCTTTACTTTCTTTGTTAGACGACGTCCCTAGGGTTGCCCTCTCAACTGAAAGGTAGCATTACAGCCACTGAATAAATTGAACAGAATCAGAAATAAAAGATAACCGTTTTCTGAAGAGTAATAATAAGAATGCCAAAGGGAGAGGTGGAAACCCCTCATGGCCACAGTAATGGCATGGAACCTGCCACAGCATTTCTGCTTTCACCTGCCCCAGTTCCCCGAGAGCTCGGCCATCTATCGGCTGCTTATGATTCCCTGTGTGTGTGTGTCCACGCCCGTGATCAGAGTGTGAGCATGCGACATTGGCAAGAAGTGAGAAGAGAAACGATGCGGAGACTAGATTCCAGATCCCAGAGGAAGACGTTGCTTTAGTGAACCAGGCAGCTTATGGTACCAAAACATTATCTCTACACTTCCAAACTGTGATTCGCGAGTGGGTGATTCTCTTCACCTTGTTCGACAGCCTTACACGACTACGCCGTGTCGTTTCATTTCTGCAGCTACTTTTTGTTATGAAAGAAAAAAAAAAAAAAAGTCGTGGGATAGATTTCGTTCATGAGAATCGAGATGACCACGACGGCAAGAACTAGACCAGCCAGAAGAAGAGAGCCCATCTCCCAACCTTCCCAACCTTCCCGAACCTAATGAAGAGGGCCACCGCCCCGTGAGAAAAAGCCACCACAGATCAAATACCCGTGGCACAAAATGGTATCGAGACCGCAATGGCTCTGCGGAGAAGGAAGGAAGGAAGGAGCCTGGGACACGAGCGAGCCAGCTAGCCTCGTCACCATCACGGGGACCAGAAGGACCGGGCTGGATCACCTTTGTTGCAGTAGACCTGGGGCCGGTCGCGGATCAAAAGGGTGTGCCTATCCGGAGGGCTGCGGGGAAAGCTTCTAACTGAACCTGTACAGGTATTCATGATAACCTGGCTGAGGAAAGTAATGTAAGTCTGCCACCTGCAAGATGTCGTCACGACCCGGACACAACTCTATGAAAGTAGAGACATATGCAATGCTGCAGAGCACGGGATTTGTTTGGGTGTCATCATCTTCATGCTTTTATTCAGTTTTTTTTTCTTCTATTGCTCGTATTTGTCTGAATTCCATCCCAGTTGCCAAAGCCCGTTCGTTTATTGGTTTATTGCGTCGCAGTCGTTGTCGTGTCCACCGGCGCAGCCTGCTCCAGCGCAGCTGCTGTTTCGCCCGCCGGGATCTCCTCCCCGCGGATGCCGTGGACGACCTTAAGTCCCTCGGCGCGCTGAGTGATCTCGTCCAGCTCGGCCTTACGCTGCAACCTCTGCTGAACCTCGGCCGCAATGTTGGCCAGGTCAACCAAGACGCCCTCCTTCTCTGGGTGGCCGTCCTTGAGGCCCATCTCCTTGATTTTCGCCTTGCCTTGCGCGAGCTCTTCCTCGCCCAGCACGATAGCAAAGGGGACGCCGTTGATCTCCGCGGCCTTGAACTGATTGGGAAGCTTTGGCTTCACCTTGTAAAGAAACTCGGCCTGAACGTGGATTAGTACTTGCTGCACAACCGGGCTTGACTGCTGAAGACCAAACATACCTTGATACCTGCTTCCCACAAAGTCGCGCACACAGCCATGCGCTCCTTGAGTAGGCCGGTGAAGCCCTTGCCGCCGAAAGCCATGACGTAGACATCAACCTCGTTGTTCCGCACCTGCTCGGCCGCCTTGCTCGCTTCCATCCGCGCCTTGGTGATTGAGAATATCCGGTCTACACCGAAAGAGATACCGACGCAAGGAATCTGCGTCTTGCCGGAGAACATGCCGACAAGGTTGTCGTAACGGCCACCTGCAGCGACACTGCCCACTCCGATCGAAGGGTCTGACGAGCGGTCCTCGTCAGGGTCGGTCGAGGTCTTCTTGTTCTTTTTTGATGGGGCAGGCACCACTTCTGCAGCCGCAGGTGTTGTAGACGGCGCTGATCCCTCTGTGACAACCTCATAAATGACGCCTGTGTAGTAGTCGAGACCACGAGCAAGACTCAGGTCGAATGAAACGGGAGCGAAAGCGTTGAAGGCCTCGAGATAGTCGAACATGAGGTCGAGATCTTTCATGCCCTGCTGCATGGAGGCATTGGCAGACAGCGCCGGGTCGGCCTGGAGCTTCTGGAGCAATTCCCTCTTGCCCTTGAGCACAACCCACTCGCCAATCTTATCCGCGACGGCACCGTCGAGGCCTTTCTCCTCCGTCATCTCCTTGCGCACTTCGGCCCAAGGAAGCTTGTCGAGCTTGTCCACCGCAGACGAGATGGTCCGGATCTTGTCTTCGGGAACACCACACACCTCGAAAATGCCGTCCAGGATCTTGCGGTGGTTCAGCTTAATTGTGTATGTGCTTTGCCAGCCGAGGGCGTCAAAGACTTCTGTAATGATGCGAATGATCTCGGCGTCGGGAAGCATAGGGTCGTAGGTGCCGGCAATGTCGAAATCGCACTGGTAGAACTCGCGCATGCGGCCCTTGGTCATGGCGGGCTGGTCCCTACGGTAGACCTTGGCGATGTGGTAGCGCTTGATGTTTTGGATGTCGCGGTTCATGGCGAGCCACCGGGCGAATGGCACCGTGAGATCGTATCGGAGAGAAGTAATCTCGCCACCCTGGTCGGCCAGGTCGTAGATGAGTTTGCTGTCCTCGCCATACTTGCCGGCGAGAATCTCCTTGAGCTCGAAGACGGGAGTGTCGATTGTGACGGCGCCGTGGCGCTTGAAGACCTGGGTAATGGTGTTGAAGATCTTGTCACGGATCACCATGTCCTTGCCCTCCCCTGGGTTTGGCGCACAATCGTCAGGTCAGGAACGAGGAGGTCGTGTGACCAAATACGGAGGACCCGAGCCAAGGAATCCACTTACAGTCCTTTGTGCCCTTTGGGGTCTTCAGCTCAAACTTGGGAGCTTTGTCCTTGGGCGCCATGTCGGGCAGTTGGTGGGGTGTGGACGATGGCGGGGCGTTCGAGGAGGAGGAGGAGGAGGAAGTTGTCGTGACGAAGGTCGCGATGGTGGCTGGGTCGAGTATTCGGGGCAGGAGGGGTCGGACTCGAGCAGCTAAGCGTAGAGAAGTGGCAGGCAGAGCTGTCAAAGGGAACAATGGCACCGGCCCTGGAGGTCTGAGGCAGCGAGACAGTATGCGCCGGCGTAGTAGGGTATGCATTCGGCAGACGGGGGAGGGGCGGGCAGAAGTGCGTGCGGTGCAGAAAAAAAGATTGGGGACGGAGCATGTGGCGGCGGGCTGTTGTGACTTGCTCAGGCTGCCGCCCGCTGGGGGCCACTGCTGCAGTACCAGCCCTGGAGGGCGGGAAGCAGCGACTATGACACAATCGAGCACAGCGCCGTCTTCGGCGGGCTCTTCCTTCAGTCGTCCCGGTGACTCAATAACTTCAAGGAGCACGTAGTTGTGCTTGTATTCGTCAGGATAGGGTCTGCAGCATCGATGTCAGCCACCAATTCACAATTATATATCTCGAGTCCCATCCCACGTCAAGGCCGGGCATATCTGCTTGGGTGCTCCTCACTCAACGCGGTCGAAGCGCGTCGATGGAGGGGCAGCTCTGCACCGACCAGCATGAGGTTTGACCCCACCATGCATGTGCAAGCCAAGGCAAAAGGCGATGCTGGCTGCCCCCGATACATCAAGACAACCTTCACGTTGCTCCTGGCTGATTGCAGAAAAGGTGCCTTCCTGTTATATTCTACAAGAGGACTACACTTTCGGTAATACGCGTCTCCCGAGGTCGGCTGGCATGGCCACATGTATATATGCCTTTCTACTGGGCCTTCCGATGTCATTGTCTATCCGTACGGTACTGTGATGATTTGCCCAGACGCCAATAAACCACTGCACTGAACCACTCAATTCATGCAAAAGAACAACAAACGATTCAATCGCGTCACGCAAGCGCCTCTGCGGTAACACCGCCAGCCGGAGTTGGCGCCGGTACGTCCACTACGGGCGTCGGCCCAGGGCCACCCATCTCCTTCTCGATCCGGGCCCGGATGAGCTTGTGGATGCCACCGCGATTCGCCTCAATGTTGCCCTTAACTATGCCGACGAGCATCCTGCTGCAGCTGATGACGATGTCCTGGTGCAGCTCCAGCGCGCCGCTGCCGTCCGCAGCATCCACCACGATCCACGCCGTCTCGAGCACGACGCCCATGGGCGAGTTGACGCGCGTCCACAGCCCCTTTTCCAGGTTGACGTACTCGAGCCGGCTGTTGATGGTGCTCGAGAAGACTGGGTTGGGCATCTCGTCCGTAAGCTCGTACACGTTGACGTAGGGATCCGCCTCGGCGCTGCTGCCGCCCAGGTATTTCCCCATGTGCGAGAGGTCCGGCAGGTCAAAGGCCTTTTGCGCGATCGCCAAGTCTGTCGCGGCGCCGGGGAACTTGGCGGGCTGCTCGACCCGGCTGTGCTTGACGTGGTGCGGGTCGCACTTGATCATGAAGTCGTGGTCATGCAGTGCCGCCAGGAGTTGCTCCCTCGTCGTGCCCTCTGGGAGGGTCGACGTGTTTTGCATGGTCTGCTTGGTTGAGAAGACTGCGAGGCATGATGGTGTTAGACTCGGGGCTGGCAGATGTCATCCTCATCCTTTGATCAAGACCCAATCTATCAGGCACAGCAATTGGGGGTAAAAGTTGCTTCTGAAGAAGCACCCGATATCAATCGAGGGCTCCCAAGCCTCCTCTTCCTTATGCCGCGGGCCATATGCCCGGCCACTCTTACAAGAGGCGGTCGACAGACAGAGTACAGCTCGCGCACTTACAAGACATGGTGACGTCAAAACACCACACTGGCGTTGCTAACAATCTGATTGTGGTGGCGGCACCTTGACCAAAGAAGATTAAAAGAAAAGAAACTGTGCGCTGATGTTGCTCGCGAACAATGGTCCAGATATGTTTGCTCGGTGAAAAGAGAAAGAGAGTTGGGGGTTGGTGAATGCTTGCCACAAAAGTCGGGACAATCGGGGAGGTTAGTACCACATGCATAGTGCAACGCCGCGTCACTGCCAAGCGCAGCATCCTCGAAGGGAGGAGAGCTATTCCTAGTGCTCACCACAACACAACAAACACGACTCAGACAGACACAAACCCCCTCCAAATGCCGTAATATCGTACAAGCTGCACCTGGGACCGCACGCAAGCCTCATCAAAAGACCGCCCTTTTCGTAACCTGGTGGCTCAAGTCGAGCTCCGGATGGTCAACGAGCCGAGCCGCAGCCGCCTTACTACTCTCTAGTGTGGGGTCCCCCTGGCTTGCTGGCTGGATGTAAGTCGATCAGTCAGTCGTTGGGGTGACGATCTCGTAGGACGTCTCCCAAACCCTTCGATTGATCAGAAGCTCTCAAGGGTCTGTCTCACTTGGAGCTGACTGCACTCGTTGCAGGTAAGCCGCGCTATCACCGGTGAGCATCATCAAGTCAAAAGTCTGTATCAATCCAAAAGATACCCAATTCGGTAAATGAGGCAGACCATCCACCCTGAGTCGCTGTGTATGATATTTTATTCGAATCGATATTCGCTAAGTTTTGCCCATTTTCTTTTGGAACTAGTATGTTGTCCAGCGCGTGATGGCCTCTCTTCCCCCAAAAAACACCGTTGATATGGATCACAAACCCAGGGTGCTTTCCAATTGTTGGTGTGTTTGTATGCATGTATGCCGTCGTCGCTGGGGGGTATCATTAAAACATAATCTCTAGACAATGGTTCCGCCACCTGCCGCATCCGCCCAAAGTCAGTGTCTTTCTTCTTCTCCTTATCTCACAAACGCCAGAGGTTTCCACTCTGCCACGTGGGCATTGTTTTCAATCCAGCACCACGACTTCCGCAATCGGCCGTGCCTTGGCGTTGTTATTGTTACTGTTCTGCGCCGTTTTGCCTTGCGCCGCCGCCGCACCGGATGCTTGAGTCTTGGCTCCCGACGTGGTTTTCGAGACGCTCTGCTTGATGGCCTTGGGCGACTGCAGAGCCAGTGGTCGCACTGCCCCGTCAATGGCCATGAGCAGTGTCTCGATGCCGCGGTCCATGGTGCAGGCCGCGCCTCCACCAAGATTCCGCCACTGCCTGTCAGGGGCATTCCAGACCGGGTCAAGTGCCTTCTTGAAGGCGTCGTCTGGATCCCTGACCGGGCCCGGCTCGTCACGGTATACCCACCAGAACTGGTTGTTCTTACGCTCCATAAGCTGAATGCGCAATGCCGCTTTTCTCGCAGAATCCTTGGTCGCCCCGGGCAGCGTGTAGTGAATATTGAAACAATCCAGATGTGTTGCGAAGACAGCCACCTGACCTTTACAGTCGGCACTAAGATCCAGCCAAGCAGTTTCGATGGCGTCGAGCGCAGACTGTAGTGGGGAGATGATGGACAGGAAGAATGCCAGCTGCCCAAAGCGAAGCTCCGAGTTAAGAAGCTGATGATACATATCGATAATTCGCAACTGAGGGTCGTCCTTTTCGAGCCGCAGTTGTATCTCGTCCGCACTCAGGTCCAACGTCGCCTGCCGCCTCCGAGCTGGAGGTGGTATCGCCGACTCGGCCTCAGCCTTGCTGAGCTGACTGTATGAAAATGTAATTTTCTGGAGGCTGATCTTTTCGCAGCGGACATCACGATCGCATCGCCGGATCGCGTCCACGCAGTCAACCAGTCTTTCGATAGCTTGGAGGCGCCTCTTGAGGGTATCAAATATTGGCGTCCCAAGCTCGGTCTGAAGATGCAACGCGAAAACGCCGAGCTTCTTGTTAAAGACGACGTCGCGCTCCACATTACATTTGAGCATCGAGAATCTCTCCGGCTCGGCGACCTTAAAGCGCGCGTCGACCACGGTGCTCAATTTGTGCTCGTTATTCGGGGTCAAATCCGGCATATCTCCATTGCCAGTCTCGTCCTTGACCAAAGACCTGACAGGAGCTGTGTTCCGGATGCCCAGGAACACGATGCGCACAGAATCCCGAGCCCAGGAGGGGGCCTTGGGCGTCTGCGACCCTGCGGATCCTGGACGCTGCAGTATATCAGAGAGCTTGACGCGAATGGCTGGCACCCTAACGCCAGGAGGCAGCGACTTGTTAACTCGAGCCTCTGTCGCATGGTCGATGTTTTGTGCTCGGAAGTGTCTTAGATCAGTAATCTGAGCAATCATGATGGCAGTGAAGACCGTCAGCTCATGGAAAAACTTGTCAGATAATTCTGGCAAGCCGGCAGTAAGCGATAGTGGCGTGTACGACGAGATCCGCGATGGCTTATCCGCACTATTGTGTTTGGTATTAGTCTCTTGCATGTCCAAGGCGGCAAAACGTGGCTTTCTAAGACTTACACCTCTACCAACCACCATCTATCACCACCCAAGCTCAAGCTGAGCATCAGGTACCACTGCTCGGGCCATCCACGGCGCTTGAACCACATCGCCTGGAACGACTCGCGAGTATTCAAGATGGGTTTGATATCGTCCATCTTGACTGGCGCTCTGCAGACGTTCCAGCCCATGCTCTTGCCGCGGCGGTTGAGCTCATCAACCGTGTAGTAGCACCGAATACTTTCTAGTGTAGTGACGCCTTCATCTGTGGGGTCTTTAGACGACATATTCAGCCGGTTTTCGCCCTTCGAAGTCACGGCAGTCTGCGGTGAAATGGCAAACTGTCCCGTCGTTGGCGCGATCTTGACCGTCACTATATCCTCTCGTCCGATTTGCATCTGGAGGTTCGAGAGCACTGGCTCGTCCTCGGCAATATTCAATGACAACGCCGCCTCACGCTGCTGGAATCTACCCTTGCTGTTGAGCCTTGCGTAGATAGCACCCAGAGTCGACTTGACATGGCGTCCAATGACCCTCTTCAGTAGACGCTCTGTCGAGATGTCGTGATCGTCAAGCGGAATCTGAGCATCTGATATTTCTTTGTTGTCCTTGAACCACCGGAGAGTGAGTTTGCTTGTCGAAGAAGGATCGGACGGCTTGCCGAGCTGTCTGCCACTATGTACCCCAAGGAGGATCCAGCTCTTGGGTCCCTCGGGAGGATGACGGCTGGCCCAGTATTGTATCGACATGGCGCGGTTGAGGCGCTCAACCTTGAGTGTGTCGACCCATTGGTGCCGACTGAGCTCAAATGCTTGACGCACGAATTCCGTGATCTTATGTGTAAGCACAAACTCGTGCAGGAAGCTGTAGCACCCCCTTAAGCCGTCCTTCTCCAGCGTTTCGTTGACCTTCACTTCGAGGTACTGTCGCAAGAGATCGGAGAGCTCCGCGGGCGCAGGCGTGAAAGCGAATCGAAAGTCGATGAACCAAAACTGCTTTTCAAAGTCCTCGTCGGCAATGGTCAGGTCCACCTCAAATTCTCCTGGCACAACAAAAGTGACTCTGCCCGACTCGATCTTGTAGTCTTTGAACTGAGCCGGTATCTTGTCGTGCTCTTCGAGATTGAGGCGCAGTGATAGGAGTGTATTCGTGTTTTCGATCCATTGTAACTTCTCTCTGGGACTGATCGGCGGTGGCTCGATATACTGCAGATCTGGCATCCATGTCGCATCCCCTGTCGAAAGGATTTGCAAAGCCGTCTGAAGATCAGGTTCACCCAGACGCGCGGCTGGGAGCGCGGCGCGGACATCGATGAGGTGCTCTACGGATCGCATGTAGTCGAACTTCTGCATGTTGATCGCGTTGTACAGATCGATGAGCTTGCTCACGGTCTCGGCCTTTCTGCTCCACGAGGTCATGACCAGCGCCTTGACCCATTTCGCGTGCTCGTCCTTGACGAATTCGAGCAGGTGCGCTTTCTTGCGAATATTTTCTGGCGACGAGTCGTCAGGCAGCGACCCCCCATTTACCGCATTCCCGTTGACCATAGGCGCAGATGAAGGCAGGGGCATCTTGGCCATGGCTATTACGCAGTCCTGGAGAGCATTGTGGGATCGCTGCGCAAGTCGTGACACGAGGAGCCCGAGCGGGACAAAGCCCTGGGTGATGTGTTGTATCTCGTCTGATAGGTCGTTCCATCGTGACGGATCCGTGGATGTCTTGGTTGTCGCTTTGCTGTGGACAGCACCGCTGTCAGCGCCGTTTGCCATGACGCCATTGCTCGTGGTCGCGCCTCGGTCGTGGTTCGTGGCTATGCCGTTCGCAGTGCCGTTCTCCATGATGACGGCGCCGGGCATGGCCTCGCCCAGGCCCCCTCCGCGACAGCGCGGACGCTTAAGACTGTTGTTCTATGGCTAGAAATCAGGGTTGCAGACCGCCGTCTTTGAGTCGCTGCGAATGTGGAAATTGGGCATGTGAAGAAGCGATGCTATGAACGAAGCGAGGGATCCAGGCCGTCGCGAGTGTGCGCCGTGAAAAGGCTGACTGGACAGCGCGAGGGGAGCCGGATGGTCAAGAACCAGGGGCGTTGGATGCCAGTGGCCTAAACGACAGCTGCGTCGGTCGGCTGTGTCGCAGATGGCGCCAGTGACGTACAAAGCGCGTCTGCCCAGGAGTCGTCTGTCGTGGCCGTGGCAGCCGTTGTGAAAGAGCCGACGTGCGGGATGACGGTGCGTGATCGAGGATGATGCGACAAGGTGTGAAAATGTATGGCGTAGCAACCGACGGGGACAGACGCGGTGGTGGTGTCAGTCCGCCAGCGGGAAAGCGCACGCCTCAATCGGGCAGCGGTCCTGGCTGGGGGCTGCGCTGGGCTGGACCCGCCGCCGCCCACGGCACGGACAATGCAGCATTAGCGTCGTGCTTAGGTAATGTCCGCCATGCCAAGGTGGGACGAAGCGCCCGAGACATTGACTGACATTTAAAGCTTCCAAGGTTGCTGAGAGCCGTGTTTTCAGATGCTAGGCACGCTTTAAGCTGGTGAAGACGATTTCTTGTATGGAGCAGAGATTCAGATTCCCACAAGGGTATGAGGCCTATTCATCTGGTCCAGGACCATATATTTCTACACCCCGAATGATGATAATATTCTTAGCACGTTGTGCAGAATCTTCGCATTTACGGCCATTTAGAACGAGGTGACTTTGATTAATGATTACAGTGGTTTATACGATGAGAGGGTATCTTGTTTGATGAAAATCAGATAGTCCAAAATTTCAAGGTGTCCGGCATTTCTTCCCAACACTGCGAAGCGGGACAATGAAGTTGTGTCCCTGACCTAAACCAGGGAAAACCTCAACTTCGCTGAGGTTCCTCAGTCAGGGCAATGGGTTCATTGGCCGTGGCCGGAGTTGTCTCATGGTTCGCATCTTTAGCCCCAGAATGCAGTATGGGGTTGTGCGGGTGCTGCAAAACCTTTGCTTCCACCAAGGGGACCTCTTGTGTTGCATCTTGACCCTTCTCTACGTCCTGGTGAATAGGCTGCACAGGCACGGACTCTGCCAGCTTTGTCATTGCCGTATCCCCGAACATTCCAGAGGGGCCTGGCGGAGCGAGCAAGCCGCCCAAGCTCAAGCGATTGCGGTGGTGGGTGTCGACACATGCCCACACAAAGAGTGTCAGATGTACAAGAATCGTGACGCAGTAGCCGGCCAAGAGGCTCTTGACATATTCCACCGTCGGGTCCAGGAATATCGGGTTCCGTTGGTAGTAGGTGCAGGACTGGAACGGGTAGGGTAGAAAGGGATAATAAGGGGCACCGTTAGAGGGACTGTTACATATAACATTGGCTGCGTTGAAGACCTCAATCGACAGAGCCCCAAAGCAGATGCCCACGCATGAGAAAAGCCACATGATAAGGTGCACTCCAACATGTGCACCGGAGTGGATGCCTCGGGGGTAGATGCTCTCTCCGCCCCGCGCGCAGTGCGTGAGGATTTCAGCGGCATTCCACACCATGTCAATCGCTCCGAATGGAAGGCCAAAGTAGCAGACCCAGTCGAGCTGGGCTGGCCGAACGGGGACCTTGAGCATATCGGCCAGGACAATGGCCGAGATGGTTGTCAGGGCCGCGCCCCACGAGAACAACAGCATTGCCAGCCACAGCTTTATTCGCGAGTGGTTCTTGTTGTACGGAGGGAGGAGCCGCAGCTCGTGGGTGTGCGGTTGGATTGCCAACTCTTTCGCAGTAAAGTGTCTGGTTTGTTGCGGATAATATGTCGGGACTGCTTGTCGCGGCCCAGAGGCCGCTGGTACCGCGGTCGCTGACGGTCTCGGTGGTAATGGTGGAGGGGCGACATTGTCGATGGATTGTCTCTCAGAAGGCGGCGAGGAAGCCACAGGTTGCGCGATCCTTGAAGGGGCGCTGGTGTTGTGCGATTCTGCGTTTCCCCCGAGAGTCGTCTCTGACTCGTCCATGGCTGGATCCTTGCCTTTGTCGACGCGCGAGGCCAGACCAGGCTCCGGGAGATCGGCCATGTGAGAGGGTGGTCGTCGGGCGCACGCACAGGTACGATTTTGCCTGCACTCAAGCACGTCGGGTTGCGGTGGGTGATAAAGGAATGACAGTGGTTGTTGAGCAGCACAAGGAAGGGAACAAAGAAGCCGCCGTGTTGGACAATGACATTTTCATGGCATGGGCTATTATGGCACCCCAACCTGGCACTGCCGCGCTGCACAGCCCTAAAAGATTGAGCCAGCATCGACGACCTTGAACTGCCCAGTCGGGGGCCGAGAGTAGTCCCTGGTGGCAGCACCGCCCCAGGAGCCCCTGCATTAGTGCTCGGCACATGTTGTCCGGTGGCCAGCTTCAGTGCTGGCGCCCCGTCGTGTAATTTGTTCCACTATCGAGCTGTCATGCTGTCCATAGAATCGCTTTTATGTTTTCAATGTACAGCAATGTACAGCAATACCTCAAGGTCTGGAAGCTGACTTGGCTCGTTGATAGTGTAGCTGCGCTACAAGCTCCCAGAAATGCTCGCTGAGGATGACAATGGCGTCTATCCCAGCCTGTATCTGTATCTCCCATGCCCACACTAGTATGATATGGTGGGTAATATATTCAGTCACAATTGAAAGCCAATGGCTCTCGTCTGACCGTCATTGCTCTTGCGGTATCTTTGTGTTGGTTATTCCTGGAGTAGCGAAGAGCCAATCCGGCACATCTACAGAAAGACTTTCGTCAGATCGAAAACACAGTTCGGCGTATGACAAGATGCGACTTGACGGAAGAAGATATCGCGCGAGAGGCCGTGTCAGCGAGCCTTGTCCACAGCCAGCAGGGCGCAGATTCATTTCGGCCTTGCTGCGCCGCTGACAGATGGGTAGAATGCGCTGCTTGATGTTGTGTTAAACCTACGATGGTGGCAGCGGCCCATCAATCGCAGTCTGAGGGGACGCGGAGCATGCCGCATGAGCTGCAAAATCGTTGCGCGTGGTGAGGAGGTCAGTCATAACTTATTCCCAGCCATTGCTGATGCGATGAGGCCTGCACTGACTGCATCTGCGGATTGGCGCATGCAGCGAGCCGTGCAGGTTCAGGTGGCATCGTGGGGTCGACCTGTTGTTGCCCAGTTGCTGGGAGAGCATCTGTGGATGGGACATGCAAGCTGTGGGGTACTGTCGGCGCAACGGACCAGCGAGGGCTCTGATTCGATCACGACTGCAGCTTCGACGACACCATCACCGCGGTCTCACCGTGTGGGCGGATCGCAGTCCGGCGTGCCGAGGGAATGCGGCACTGTGCACCAGAGAGGAGAGGGATTTTCTCGGAAAAACTGTTGGCCCAGGGAGGAGCTAGCTTCCGGGTTAATCTCGCGCGCACGGGGCACCAGCAGCCGGCCACCTGGCAGCCGGCGCTGGGCTGGGCTGGCCGACCCGGCAGCGCCAGCTCTCAGCACGCACCCGCCGCCCGCTCGCTCTCCACCCGCCGCCCCGTCTGGCCTGGCCGCCCTCTCAAGTTCTTCTCCCCGAAGAAAACAGCAATCCCGCAAGCAATCCAGTCCATCCCCTTCCCATCTCCCCTCCGCTCAATTGCAGTCGCCCCATTGCAATTGACTCTTCCCTTCGCCAAAGAGGATCTCACATCCCTCGCACATCATGTTCCGCAACGCCCTCAGACAGTCGACGCGGGCGGCCAGCGCCCTCTCTGCCTCTGGCAGAGTCGCCCTGGTAGGTCGCTACTCCCCCCAGCCAGCTGCTCCTCGCCAGCTTTTCGCTCGTCCCGGCCGGCCGCCAGTCTTCCATCGATTCACCACTGCGCTCCGCCCCGGTGCATCTGCTCGCATTGCCCGGAGCTGGGTCAGCTTGTGCAGTATCGACTCGACGGATTTTCAGGATGGCTTTTCGGGACGGCTCGTCGCTGGTTGATGGCGCTGGACAAGACGTCGCAGCTCTTAGCTCGTGCTCTCGGCTAACCTAACATTTTTTTCCTGGACAGGCCCGAAATGCCGCACCCGCCACCTTCGTCCGCTCCTACGCCGACGCCAAGGCCACTCCCACCGAGGTCTCCTCGATCCTCGAGCAGAGAATCCGTGGTGTCGCTGAGGAGTCCAGCCTCGCCGAGACTGGCCGTGTCCTCTCCGTCGGGTACGTCAAAATACACGCATCGCATCCGGTTGGCCGAGTGGGTCCAGTGATGGGGAATTTTCACGGCTGGCGCAACAACGAGGGCAACACAACACGACAACGACGACAACACTGATTGAGGCGGACGTCTTGTCGTCATCGCAGCTAAGAGTGGACATAGCGCAGTCGTTGTCGTTGGTTGCTCAGTTGCTGGGCTGGACTCATCACGTTTGGACTGGGCTCACAATGTGCGATCATGAACTAACGTGTCCTTGACAGTGATGGTATCGCCCGTGTTCACGGCATGGCCAACGTCCAGGCTGAGGAGCTCGTCGAGTAAGTTTTGCTGGTCTCGTTTCCGATTTGTGGGCTCCTCCTAACGGTATCTAGGTTCGCCTCTGGCGTCAAGGGCATGTGCATGAACTTGGAGGCCGGCCAGGTCGGTGTCGTCTTGTTCGGTTCTGACCGTCTCGTCAAGGAGGGCGAGACCGTCAAGCGTACTGGCCAGATTGTGAGTTACCAGTCATCAAAAGTCAATATGTCCGCAGTGTCTAACAGTGCGTAGGTCGATGTCCCTGTCGGTCCCGAGATGCTTGGCCGTGTCGTCGATGCTCTCGGCAACCCCATTGACGGCAAGGGTCCCATCAAGACCACCGAGCGTCGCCGTGCCCAGCTCAAGGCCCCCGGCATTCTGCCCCGCGAGTCCGTCCGGGAGCCCGTCCAGACTGGTCTCAAGTCTGTCGACGCCATGGTTCCCATCGGCCGTGGCCAGCGTGAGCTGATCATTGGTGACCGTCAGACCGGCAAGACTGCCGTCGCTCTCGACGCCATCCTCAACCAGAAGCGCTGGAACAGCGGCAGCGACGAGAAGAAGAAGCTCTACTGCATCTACGTCGCCGTCGGCCAGAAGCGCTCCACCGTCGCTCAGCTTGTCCAGACTCTTGAGGAGAACGATGCCCTCAAGTACTCGATCGTCGTCGCCGCTACTGCTTCCGAGGCTGCTCCCCTGCAGTACCTTGCTCCCTTCACTGGTGGTAAGTTGCCCTTTCTCCTCCCCTATCACGTCTGAGAATTTGATATGCGTGGTCTCTTATCACATCTGATGTGCGGAGCTCCACAACCCCCCTCTGAACCTCTCCCTCCTCCGAAGCTCTACCCCCTCTGGACCTCTGGATCTTTATGAACCTCCACATTCCCGTTTGTTTTGATACCTCATCACCTTTCCTGTGGCACTACATATGTCGGACCGGCTTCTGCGGATTGCCCCACCCAAGCTCCACTTTCCCCACTCACGATCCACAACCACACCCGACTCAGTTCACACTCTTCCAAGTTCATGATATCGCTTTTACGCGTTCACAACCGCACCAGGCATTTGCTAACTTGGCTTAAAGCTGCCATGGGTGAATGGTTTCGCGATTCGGGAAAACATGCCCTCCTCATCTTTGACGATCTTTCCAAGCAGGCCGTGGCTTACCGCCAAATGTCTCTTCTCCTCCGTCGCCCTCCCGGACGTGAGGCTTACCCTGGCGACGTCTTCTACCTCCACTCTCGTCTCCTCGAGCGTGCCGCCAAGATGAACTCCAAGACTCACGGCGGCGGTAGCTTGACTGCTCTACCAGTGATTGAGACCCAGGGTGGCGATGTCTCCGCTTACATTCCCACCAATGTTATTTCCATCACGGACGGCCAAATCTTCCTCGAGTCTGAGCTTTTCTACAAGGGTATCCGCCCCGCCATCAACGTCGGTCTTTCCGTCTCCCGTGTCGGTTCCGCTGCCCAGGTCAAGGCCATGAAGCAGGTCGCCGGTTCGCTCAAGCTCTTCTTGGCCCAGTACCGTGAGGTCGCCGCTTTCGCCCAATTCGGTTCTGATCTCGATGCCTCCACCAAGCAGACTTTGTCTCGTGGTGAGCGTCTCACTGAGCTCCTCAAGCAGAAGCAGTACTCGCCCATGGCCGTCAACGAGATGGTTCCCCTCATCTTCGCTGGTGTCAACGGTTACCTCGACAAGGTCCCCGTCTCCAGCATCCTCCAGTGGGAGGCTGACTTCCTCGCCCACCTGAAGACCAACGAGACTGAGCTCCTCAACACCATTGACAAGGAGGGTGCTCTCAGCAAGGAGCTTGAGCAGAAGCTTCGCGACGTTGTCCAGTCTTTCACCAAGAGCTTCATTGCTTAAGCAGTTACGTGCTTGTAATTAGGAAGATGTGAAGCTGTGCATAGCGGCGAGCGATGCCTGCAGTGGGCGGGGTCCTGTTTCTTTTAGAAGGCTGAGAGAGTGTCATCGGGTGCCCAGAAATGAGGATATGGGTGTGACGTCGGGGGAAAAAGATACTCCAGATCAGCCCTTGTAAAATAGAGCCAAAAACTCAAGAGCACTCGATTCCCTTTGTTTGAATTACTCATGGCCAATTCGCCTATGTGAAGTGACGAATTAATGCTGAGACGATCTTGATCGAACATCATACCAATCAGATACTTTCCTTTCACGAAATGAGACTGAATGTGGGCATTCTCCCTACTACGCTTCACGCGGGGAGCAATGTTCAATCGGGTTGACAAAAAATCATCGACGCCCAGTTTTAATATTATCGTGTTCTTTAGCAGTCGCTGAAGGCATACAAGCTCCTCCCAGTTGGCATCGATTTCCCAAGTTTGCCAATCACGGCACATTGTTACGTTGTCCGTGAAACACTAAGACTATTGAGCCGAAAAGACTTGAAAGGGCATGTTCAAGAATGCTTCCATGTCGATCTCAGGGCTCTTGTTTGTGTCAGACCTCACACCGTCCGGCCTCGGCGAGATCGGAAAGACATCCTTCACAGAGCAAGTAGCACGCATAGTATTACATCGTAAGACACTGATTCAGTGGCTTGGGCTTTCATGAGGGCTCTGCTATGCTCGGGCTCTGAGCTTTGCGGAGATGGTGATTATCTTTTGTCTGCGTTGGATCCAGATTGTGTGGTAGGTAGTCGCGCCTGCCTTCAGATCTTGCTCACGGTCCGGCAGAAACTGCCGGGATGGCCTCTCAGCTCGAGCTGTCTGTATAGAAACTGAGATGGTCACAATACCAACCACAAGATTGTTCATTTGGATACACGAGATCTTCTGGGTTTGCAGTGCTGCAACTGGTCTCGCGATATGTCCAATCCCGCCTGAGCGATGATCGCATCCTTCCATGTTGGCACCACTCTCTGGCAGATAGGCCACTACACAGTTGAACCGTCAGTGCCGGTCTCGGCCTCGTGCGAGGGGCCAGAAGCAAGCTATCCTGCTCTATATGGCTCGTTGCTACACCACCAGGCGGCTAGGCACTCGTGCCCGTGTCTTTATTTCTCCGGGCAATACCATCACGTGCAGCCATGCATCTCTGACTACTGATATAAATTTCCTGTTGTGCCAACTGAACCTGGGTGCAACCTGTTCCATCGACATCACATGGTGCATGTTCTCGAGAGTTCTGGGGACATTTGCCTGGTTCGTTGCCAACTTCACATTCCGCTCCCAACGGCAGTCTTCCGTCAGCCACTGGCTCTTCTCCCGCACGTTGAGCCTTGCATAACCATCACCACCTCTTCAACTTGATCTCTACATATACGGCGGTGACTTCAAGCGGACTCTCGTCATTATGAACGGCCACGACCATCACAGGTAAGAAAGACTCTTCTGGGACTAAGCGGAGCATCCTCGTTGCGGCGACCAGAGAATTAGTAGTGAGGCGAAGGTGACTAATATGTGAACCCAGACTACATAGACGCAAAGAAGACGACGAGATGGATGGAGAGAGGGAGTTGCTCTCCCATCAGGTCCTATCGGATACCTCATCCGATGCTGAGTCTCTCGAGTCTGACGATGGAGCCACTGAGGCAGACTATCAGCGCCCTTGGGCTGACGAGCGTATGTAACCACGTCCGAAGCTCAGATTCTGAGTGCTGACTACAATCTAGCTCCAGATGATGACGACCCCGACGACCATGACTATGACGACCATGATGACCATGACAACGATGATGATGCGACGCGTGTCACCAAGACCAGGACATGTGCCCGCAAGAGATCCATCCCCAACGCGTCGGACAACGGAACTGGCTCCAAGAGGAGCAAAGCCGACAAGAAGTCGCGGCCCGCTCAAAGGGACTGCGCCCGACGAAAGTGGCCTTGCCAGCGCTGCACATTCGCCATGGCACCATCTAACACAGAGCCTAGGCCCCCATGAAGTTGACGCGAGCCGGAATGAACTCATCGTTTGCGATGATACTCGTCAGTTAATCATTTGACTGTATGCCGAAAAGTTACTAACGCTGAATCTAGAATATTCTCCAAAGTGCACGCGCTGTCTTGCCAATGCGAGAACTGGTTGTCCAGATGTGTGTCAATGTCGCTGCTCCGCACCGAATCACTGCTAACTTCAAAGCTTGTTCCTGCCCTTCGATCATGTGGCCATGAACTGGCCACGGCCTACGAGAACTACCACTTCCACGATGGTAGTAGCAAGAACAAGGTGAGCCCCTTTGTTGACATTGATGGGCGGGTTAATAACATTCTTTCAGAGGCTGTTGATCAAGATGGCCCGCAAGTTTTCCGCAAAGGCGAAAGAGCTCGGCCTGAACGCCGAGTCAACCAGCCTCAAGCCTACACGGGCAAAAACCATGAGGGCTAGCGATCTCTCATCAGCCAAGAAGACCACGACACCATCAACTTCAACTTCGGCCACGGCGAAGCCCACTCCTGTCTCGACCACCACAAACCCCCTTCCGTCGTACGTGGAATCGACAACAGCTGGGGCAGCCTCACTCAGGCAGTCTGCGAAGTCTGTTGACCGTGTCTTGGTTAGGCTGACCGCACTCGAGGCGAATTTCTCTACCCTCAAAGCAGAGTTTGTCACTCGCATGGCAAGGCTCGAGACTCGGGTTGACGAGCTCATCACTGCGACCAGCACGATTCACCATGGCATGAGGGAGCAGTCCCGGACCACCCAGGATCACCTCGCAGTGCGAACCGCTCGCTCGGACACTCGACGCACCCAGTATGACCAGCAGCAAGCCGAGCCGACCCCCGTACAGCCTTCTCGCCCCAGAGGTTGGGAGTACCAGAGTATATTACCGCGCCGATATCGAGACTTCCCTGCTCAATCTCGCGCCGCCCCGGCTAACACTGGAGGATGGAGACCGTCAGAGCTGGTTGGCATCAACTCCAAAGGTCTATGCGAGAGCGTGCGGGGCGCATCTGTGGATATCTTGCACTTCGAGTAAGGTGCGTATGAATTGGGCACCTGGTGTAAATCCACGGTCAAAATCTTGTCTAAGTTGGTGCCTCATTGGAGAACAATTTGAATTGTGCTTTCAATCCGGATTCCAAGTTTTAGATGGGGGCAAATGCACAATACAAGCATATCTCGCACGTTGGCGACTAGCTCTTCAGAGGTCGATATCTCTGTCCATTGTATTGAGATCAGCTGGATACAACAGAGCCAAAGGTGCCTTCACAGGTAACAGCGTTGTCAGTGCGTGACCCAGAACGAGAACTAATGGCATGATCTCGTACAAGCGGCATGCCGAAATGGCTCCGCAGGCAGCCTCGAAGAGATGAGTGAGAAGATTCCTCTAATCTTGAATTTTGACGCGTCTGCTATCTCATCCAAGATGTGAATAGAACACGTGGTGAATCGGCTTCCCTATCTAATACTCATGATCCTCTGCTTAATTCACGATTCCGTACTCAGGGTTTCGGACATGTATTCAAACTCAGCAGTAGTCTAGGGATCACAGGTGTCAGGATGTGGTGGTCCCCTGGGCCAATTCGCTCCGAGTTCAGGTTGAAAAGGTCATGCGTCTAGCCGTTTTGATAACACGTGTGGTTGAACTGGCTGTAAGGTCCAATGGCCAAGTTTGAACCAGCACAGCAACCCAAAGGGGTTTTGTCTACATACTGTCACGACGTCATCCGAGACACTGACGGATGGTAGTCGGACCGAACGCTCATGTGCATGCAGATCTGCACCCACCAACACGTCCATGATGCGAAGGCGGTCATTTGGAAACCTAGCCTGATAGGTCCATGTTTTCGCAAGCATGGGCATGTGGCTATTTACCCCACAAACGCATTCGTTGAGCTAGCCCCCATCGCTTGTGCGGATGTTTCCCGACGACTTGGTGGTGCCCTTGTTGGCGCTCCTCGACGCCCACGCTGGCGGCTCGTCCAGTGCGCGCCACACCAGAGTCCGGCTCGGGTCCGACTTCCTCCACGAATTGCGACTTCCGGCGCTTGAAATTGGCAAAGAGTCGTGTAGGGGCAAGCCACAAGGAACTAGGCAAGTGAGGCCCAGAGTAATTTGGATGTCCTGTGCTACGTGGGAGAATGTCACGACTAGTACCGCCACGATCCTGATGTGATACGCCACGAAGAAGTCAGACGTCCTGGTGATCCTTCTGCAGGCAATGTTCTGACACCTGTGGAAGCCTTTCGGGGGGTCTAGAATGCGAGGGGACAATGCACAGGCGTTGTGAGGGCGAACGTGGCTTGTGGGGCGCGTGAGGCCATCTTTCTTGGTAATGGAGCGCCGGTTAAAAAGAGCTCGGGAGCCGGCGACATGCAAGGAAAAAGCATGAATGCGGGTGATGGTGCCGCGGGAGTGTTTTCGACTTCGTAACCGAATCGTACCTAGACTGAGCTCGCTGATTCATGCCGATAATTATGGTCAAAACGTAAAGACGTCCACGATGGTGTTCGTTGAGGTTTCCAAAGGGGCTTCTATGACAGGCGGCTGCCAGGGAGGCGATAATAGGAGCACGGTACGGTGCCCGCGAGCCGAACGAGACGGGAGGGGCATTAGTTACCAGAGGGCACCCACCAGTGGATGAGGAGAAGCTGGCCAGTGGATTCGACGCAGGCGCTGGGGTGCACCCATGGGCAGAAGCTGGGGCAAGTTCAGCCAATGTAACAGGGCGCCAGGGGTGGAGGAGGCTGGGTGGCAGGGGGTCCCTCGTGGACAGACGGGGGAACGACGTGCTGACCATGTCGAGGTCAGGCAGGCGAAATGCCAGGCAAGAACCTGAACCAACAGCGGGGTAGACAGCCTGTTGGTGGTCCACTAGGTGAGCCGTGATGTCGTTGTGGTCGGTGCGGTTCCGATCGAGGTCGCCAGGTAAACGCGCGGGGTTGAGAGGGTTCGTTGGCCGAGAACAGGCAGCGCGGCGCTGGTCGATGTCGATGTTGAGCCACCCAGCGAGAACAAGGTGAGGGAAGGCGGCGAGGTGTTTCGACGTGAGGCTGTCCCTGGTTGCAGGCCCTGTGATCTGATCTGCAGAGGCAGGAACGGTGGACAGCCCAGAGAGGGAAGGAGCGCACCCCAGCCCGGCCAGTCTTGCAGTCTCCCAGCTCGCCCAGCTGCATGCACTGCAACCGCCCTCCCTCTTCCTAACCACGGGGCGGCCATGCAAGCTTCATGGCGACAGCGAAGCCTTTGCTCAAGCCCGCCGCTCGCCACACTTGCAGCACCAGACCCTCCTCCACTCATCGCCCGCACCAGCCGAGCCCAGCCCGCCGGGCCCCCTAGGCAGGCACCGTACGCAAGTGCTGCTTAGAGGGATATCCAGGATCCATCCACCCACCAGGTCAAGTCCTTTGGGAGCATTTTCCCCCCAGGACCGGCCGACGGGCGTTGGCGCTAGCCTACCGCACCTGCTCCATCCCTGTCTGCCTCGAGCGCGCGTTCCTCCGTCCCCGACTTGCCCTCGACTTGGCGGGACGCTACTCCGTATCTACGGCTGGGCACGCAAGCAACTACGGCTGGGCACGCAAGCAACTCCGGCCCATCTCTTGTCTCCGACCCTGCCTGCCTTGCCTTGCGCTTCCCAGGCTTCCTTCCCGACACGACTTCGCCGCTTCCCGCCGTTCTATCCTTGTGCTGGCACATCTCGATCCCGACACTACCCTCTCCCGTCTCCTCCGCTGTTCCCACGAGCAGTTCAATTGGTATCACAGCGCCGAGTCCTGCTCCGGTATCTCATCCCGCCGAGGGTCCACAGAGACGTTGAGCCGACCCGACCGCGAACGGGGCACATCGCACATCGCAGCACCCGACGGCGTGATCACGACACCGCATCGCAGGCGGTCACCACCGAATTTACAGAGCACCGCCGCATGCGGTCATCGCAAAGGATAAGGATACTGGCTTATTGCGACACTGAGAGGAGTGCCTGCCGCTCGACCACCCGGACTTTGCCGCGCGCCGTCGCTGGCTGGCTGTTATTCTCCTGGCATTTCCTGCGGCGTTACAGTTCTGATTTCACACCATGAGTTTCCTCAACAAGTGGAAAACGGGCTCGACGGTGAGTATTCCCTGATCATGATACTGCTGTTGTACGGTGCCAGTACCACCTCGACGCGACGCAACAGGACACGAAGCATAGCGCCATATCGTGTGATCCCAAAACCGACGGCCATTGTTACTGACGACGGAGATTCCCAGAACGCCTCGAGCCCGGCTGCCAAAGATGCGCAAAAGAAGAAGGAGAAGGAGGAGGCCGAGCCTGAAGTTACACCCCTGGAGAAGATGCTCTTAACCGCGGGTGCAGTGCGGGAGGACGGGAGCGACAAGTTCTTTGGCATGGAGAATGTATGTCTGGCACATCCTCGTATTCCCCAGTCCCATCGCTAAACGCTACTCGTCCTGACCATATCTGCAGTTTGGCAATACCTGGTACGACCAACCCGAACAAGGTGCACTGTTGGCTCCTTCGAATGGCATTACTGACTGGCTCATAGCTATTGCAACTCGATCGTCCAAGCCCTTTACTTTACCTTGCCATTTCGACAACACGTTCTCAACTACCCGGTTCTGTCGCCCTCGTCGACACCAAACGGCGAGAAACCCAAGGTCAACGTCACCATCCGCGCCCCTACAGCAGTGATCAATGGTAGCGGACCGGCCGCGCAGAAACCCTTGACAGCTGCGGAAGCCATGGCGAAGCGCAAGGCAATCAACTCGGGACAACTACCGCCAGGCCAACCAATCCGACCAGAAGACAAGCCAGACACCCCGGAATACAAGAAAAAACAAGCCATGCTCAAGGGGCCTATATTAGAACTCGCACAGGACAACAGCAGCGCATACGGCATGGATGAGTGCTCCTTCACGGCCTTGCGAGACATCTTCACTACGCTGGTCGAGAGCGGCGTCCGGACAGGAGTCTTGAGTCCGCAGCGCTTCCTCGAGATTTTTAAGCGCGACAATGAGATGTTCCGCAACTCGATGCACCAAGATGCCCACGAGTTCTATGGCCTCATCCTGAATGATGTCATCGCCAATGTGGAGAGCAACGCCCAGCGACTTCTAAAGCACCAGGCAGACGCTGCCGCAAGAGAAGGCACCACTGCGTCACTGGAGCAGGCTTTGGGGGCGGTCGCCAAGAGCTCCCAGAATGGCATGAACTCGCCTGGAACTGGCTGGGTGCACAACATCTTTGAAGGACTATTAACCTCGGAAACAAAGTGCTTGACTTGTGAGACGGCGTCACAAAGAGACGAAACTTTTCTTGATCTCTCCATCGATCTTGAGGAGCACTCCTCGGTAACCGCATGCCTCCAGAAATTCTCCGCGGAGGAGATGCTCTGCGAGCGGAACAAATTCCACTGCGACAACTGTGGAGGACTTCAGGAAGCTGAGAAGCGCATGAAGATCAAACGCCTTCCCAAAGTGCTTGCGTTGCACCTGAAGCGCTTCAAGTACACAGAGGATTACAGCAGGCTGCAGAAGTTGTTTCATAGGGTGGTCTACCCGTATCACCTGAGAATGTTCAATACCACAGATGAGGCCGAAGACCCAGATCGCATATACGAGCTTTACGCGGTAGTAGTACACATTGGTGGCAACGCATACCACGGGCACTATATCTCAGTCATCAAGACGGAAGACCGAGGCTGGCTGCTATTCGACGACGAGATGGTCGAGCCCGTCGACAAACATTACGTCCGCAATTTCTTTGGCGATAAGCCCGGCACAGCGTGTGCCTATGTGCTATTCTACCAAGAAACGACCTTCGAGAAAGTACGCGCTGAGCAGGAGGCCGAGGGTCTAGAGGAAGTCCGGCTAGCGAGTGAGAAGGCCAACATCGCCCAGGAGAATGGTGCAGTCAATGCTACTGCAGCTCCTATCACCAAGCAGACTACGTTGCCGGTCACGCAGCCAGAAGAAACTGGTGGCTTGGCCAAGCTGGAACACGCGGCTACCGCACCCGGTATAGCAACGACTCCGGTCGCACCGCCTGTGCCGGCAGTACCAAGCCAAGCTGAAGTCACCTCGCCTCAAGGGCTGTCTCGGTGGGGCACCATCAAAGGAGACTCGAAGAGCAAGGAGGACAAGAAGGAGGCCAAAGCTCTCGAGAAGGCACGGAAGCAGGCTGAGAAAGACGAGCAAAAAGCGAAAGAGAAACAGCGCAAGGAGAACGAGATTCGCCTGCGCGAGGCGCGCCGAACGGAGGCGGACAACCTCAAGAAGGCCATGGAAGAGAGTAGAAAGACTTTTGACGAAGATGAAGGCAAGCGGAAAGACACGGATTCGTCAGCAGCGACGGCCACTCCAACGTCACCGGCTGCCGACTCCGCGACCGCCTCCAACAACGGCACACCGAACTCTCTCAACAGAAGCAGCACTGGCGCGCACATCAACATGGCGCGGAAGAGCTTCAGCTTCCTCAACAAGGACAAACTCAAGCGAGACAGCGCCGAGGTTGAGAATACCCATGCCTTTGGCAGCGGCGACGCCAATCACGGGAGCGGCAAAGCCAGCGGTGACGCCTTTGAGCCAAAGTCGCTCAAAAAGACATTCACATTTGGGCTGGGCCGGAAGAAGAGCAAAAATGTGCTCTCTTGATCAATGAATGTCTACCATGTCGGAGAAAATAATGAGGATAGGGACAGACCTTGGTGCTGAGTGCCCGCCGCTAGATTTTGCTGCTGAAACTTCGGGTTCGACAGAAAAGAAGCTTGCCTTGTATATAATTGGAATGCAAACACAAACCTTTTTCTCGCTTCCTAAGACGACTGCCACGTGTCTATCGTGCCGTGAAGTGATATGGGCATGTGGCTTAATCAAGTACCTTTCATGCACGAGTCGTCCTTCCATCATCTAGCCACTATTCATGCAAGTGCCTGTGTTGAAGAGCTCTTTACGGACTAGAATTTGTCAAATATTGGTATTGCCTTCATATCTTTCGTGAATCTACAAGAAACCCAGATGCCAGAGGCAACGCTCAGCTGCAAGTGCCAGGGCGCCTTCGGCGTGCACCGGTGTCTTGTAGACCTGCAGCAGTGTGATATGCCTGCCTGATCCATCGCAATCGAGATTGAGATGTTCCCGTGGCCAAGCCGCTCCGTGATCGCAGTCCTCTTTTGAGATTGTGCATATACGTACATAGGGGCATTTCGTCTGCGCGACAACCCTGTTTGTCGCACGTTCTGTCAGGTGAACACGTCGTGTCCGCTGTTGCATGTGTGTGCTGCTAGCACTTTTCTTTCGTGGCCGGTTGAGCTTTTCTGGCTTCTTTATCCGCTTGATTCCCCGGTTGTAGAGTATAGTGTTGTTTATCTAGTCGTCGATTCCTCCCGCCCTGGATGGCCAGATCGCAGTAGATGTCCCAGTCTAACCCAGCACAAGCTCGTAGATTATTATCAACGTGTTTATCGCGATCAGCGGAACTATATAGTGGATGATATTGTCAGCTTTTTTATCTCCTGTCGCAAACGTCAAGGGAATTTGAAAGTGTTCAGCCGTGTCTGATGCTCGCTGGGGATTCAAGACCTCAACCGAGCGTTTCTTGCGTCCCTGGCAGGCCCCAATCCTCCCCCGTGCGAATATTTGGCAGACGAGAGAGAATTTGGGGTTTGCATACTTCTCATCAGCGTCCGTACGCTAGCAATCAGGTTGACGACTTTTGCCTTTACGCTTTGCGAGTCTGGGCCTGCGCCGAATGCAGGATCGTAGGAAGATGGTGATAGGTGGACTGCAGGCAGGGATATTTGTTAGCTTTTTACAACCGGCTCCGGCGACATGCATGTACGATGAGAGTTCATCATCGCCCATCCACGGAGGGTATGGGGGAGAGGGCTGGTCGCGTGGCGGCGGGAGACACTTACGGCGTGCGAGGAAGCGGTCTTCTGAGAGAATGGCTATGGCGTTGATCATGAGGACCGAGACTGCAGAGCGCCTGGTCAGTGGACCTGGTCCTCTACAAGGCAAGGCAATGTGGTCTCCGGACCGCGGTCGCTGGAAACCGGGCTGGCTGGGAGCTGATGACGTGGGGCATACCGTAGAAGAGGTTCCCGAGGAGCAGCATTTTGTCGAGGATGCCGCCGCGGCACGCGAGGATGGGCGGGCGGAAATGTGGGTGGCGGGGGGTATGGACTGTCGTGCAAGTCGCTCTCGGCCGTCGCGGGCGAGGTCGTGGTTGGGGACGGCAGAGTGTTGTCGTCTTCGTCGTCGTTGTCGTCGTGGAGTTGAGGTTGAAGTGGCATCAATTTGGGGTGGTACCTGTGGCCAGGCTGCGATTGGTGGTGCCTTGCGTGGGCTGCAGCGCGAGCCTGGAGCTCCAGCGGCGTCCTGCAACTCTGATGCGCCTGCCTGCCTGTGGGCCACCTGCTCCTGTTGTCTGTTGTCTGTTGTCTGTCTCCTTGTCTCAAACCAACTCCAGGTCCCCAGAGGCAGCAAACATGTGGCCCCAAGGTGTTCCATTGCTCGACAATTGAACAAGTTTGTGATACTGGGCATACCTGAAGAGCAGTCCATCGCGCCAGACTGCGATTTGGGTTCACCGTTGTTCCTGTTTCTAAGCAGCTCCTAATAACACGTCGCGCTGTGTGAGCTGCACACCTCAGCGCACTCCAATCTTCAGCACCGAACAACACGTACAAGAACCCAATCAATGTTGTCATAAGCCCAGCATGGCTGCTTTAGGTTTGGAGACTGTCTTTTCTCTGCGATCAAATCGGTACACTGGCTGATCGTGCTTCCAGATATCCTCATTGCGCTGCTGATCCCGACCTTGGTCATGGTCCACTTGCTTGTGGCGCCTTACACCAAGGTCGAGGAGTCGTTCAACATGCAAGCAACCCACGACATCCTCGTGTACGGCATGCCGACCCATGACGTGCACAGCCGCCTGTCGGCAGCTTATGACCACTTCGACTTCCCCGGCGCCGTGCCGCGGACCTTTGTCGGCAGTGTCCTCCTTGCCGGCACCACGCAGTGGTTTGTCAACGTCTTTGGCTTTCACCACGCTCAAGTCATCATCAGGGCGACGCTGGGCATCTTCAATGCCGGGGCCCTCTTGCTGGTCAAGTCGAGCATGGAGAGGGCCTTTGGGAGGAACGCCGGGCGCTGGTACGCCGTGTTGCAGGCCTCGCAGTTCCACGTCCTCTTTTACGCATCCCGCACGCTGCCAAACATGTTTGCATTTGGTCTCAGTGAGTCTTTCCCCGCCGAGTCCAACATGCAGACGTGGAAACTGACCAATTTGTCACAGCTACCATTGCATTTTCCCATCTACTTCCAGATGCCGATGGAAGGACCCCAGTGAAACAGTTTCGTCTAGCCGTCGTACTCCTGACAGGTGCCACCGCCGTGTTCAGGTCGGAGCTGGCAATCCTTCTTGCTGCCACCGGCATATATGGACTTGCCACCGGCCAGATCACCCTTGGGAAGCTGCTTCCAGCCTTCCTCACTTCGTTCATATTCTCCTTGGCAATGTCAATTCCCATCGACTCTTACTTTTGGCAAAAGATTCTCTGGCCTGAGCTCTGGGGGTTCTACTACAACGCCATCCTCGGTTCGTCCTCGGAATGGGGCACCTCTCCCTGGCACTATTACTTCACATCGGCCCTTCCCAAGATCTTGATCAATCCTTTGACATTGACCTTCCTCATCCCCTTCGCGCTCACCACCCCCGGCACGAGCCGACAGGCTCGCCCTCTTGCTATTCCCAGCCTCGCCTTTGTGGTTGTCTACTCGCTCCAACCTCACAAGGAAGCACGGTTTATATTCTACGTCGTCCCGCCCCTTACCGCCGTCGCCGCGCTGGGCGCCAACTTTATCTTTACGCGGAGACAAAAGTCGGCTGCATACATGCTCATTTCACTCGCGCTTGTGGCCTCGGTCATTCTCAGCTTCGTGGCCAGCACCGGCATGCTCATTATCTCGTCCCTCAACTATCCAGGTGGCGATGCGCTGTCAGCCATGTGGGCGATCGCCGAGTCTTCCTCATCCGACCTGCAGAGCTTCACCGTGCACACCGATGTGCTGTCCTGCATGACAGGCGTCACGCTCTTCGGACAGCACCCAGTCGCCCCGCTCGATTTCAATGGCGGCGAGAACACCTTGTCGGTCAAGTTTGACAAGACCGAGGATGAGACAACACTACGTAATCCAGAGTTCTGGGAGAAGTTCGACTATGTCCTGGCAGAAGACCCAGCCAAAGTGCTCGGGCCGTTCCAGATCGTCGGCACAGTCGAAGGCTACGCGGGCGTCGAGTTTCTCAAGCCCGACTCATCTGCAAACGACATTGAGAAAGGGGTGGACGGTACAGTGCTGGGGAAAGGCTTGCAGGTCAGGAAACTGCGCGACTTTGTCCGCTCGCTCACGGGAGGCTGGTGGGTTGGGCCGAGGATGGAGCCGAAGATTCATATCCTGCGCAAAGTTCGCGAGGGGGAGGCAAGGCCTGCCATGTCTTCGTAACGTGGCGATGGCCGCTTGGTGCGCTCAGGAACACTCTAGTCCTCCAAGTATTAGAGATCGCCTTGACCGAGGCTGACCATGTCACCACAATAACGGCCATCAGATTACACGTCTATAACGCCAATTCCCGGTCGGGGCTTATATGCCTGTGCCAATTATTGAACCTTGCTTCGTGACATCCCTTTACAGAAAAGTATTCGTCAATCGTGCAGATTCCCTCTAGTATGGAGGGTCGGGAAGTCCACTCTGAAGCGAGCCGACAAGCTCGACTGCCAATATCAGAGATATGCGACGGCCGCTCAGCCAAGGCAAAAAGCTGACTGCCGTTGCCATCCAGAAAAGATTCGCCCCACGGGTTTCCTTATCGCATCACAACCCGAGATGCAGCAGTGAGAAAGGCAGTTTTTTTCTGGCCTTGCCCATGTCCATGTCTGGCACAGACAGAGCCTTGTGGCTGACGCTGAACCTATTAGCTGACATCAGCTTCTCACGCACCGCCGACTCACACGCTCACACACACCCAGTCCTGTGGTATGTGGAGGCGGAGCCATGACACAGCCCTCAGCCGTAAAAATGAGCTGCTGCAAAGCACCGGTGATGTTCTCGTGACGAACTCCTAGTGGGCGCCGCCAAGCGGGCGTCAAACCTAATGGGCAACAGATGTCCCATTAGGAGGGGTGACCTTCCTCCTCCCAAACAATGGCATTGTTCGCAGGGTACGAGACGTGATTTTGTAAATAATTGTATGGCGATGCAGGACTGTTAGTCAATTTGTGGTCTTTGGTGAGCACGAAGAATGGTCTGCATTGCAACACCATGGGGACAATTCAACAGCTAGGTTTAATGGACTGCAGGCAGACCAGTGTGCAAGAAGTTTGGATCCATGGCCAGGGTGTGTGTGTGTGTGTGTGTGTGTGTGACTTGCAGCATGCACCACGTTTCTCGTGCTGCGGCGCCGTGCCGAGACCTTCCCACGTGCAGCAATCGGTATGCTTCTCCACGCACAACTAGCACAACGCCCCCATGCGCCAGCCAGAATTGGACAAGTTGGAGACCAGTGATTGGGTCGGGGGCGGTGCACTTGAGAACGAAGATGGTAATCCGACGTCGGGTGGGCGTTCGCTAGTTCCCCGGTCGCCTTCATCCGATGGCGATGTGGCTCCTTGGTGCCCATCTACTACACTCAAGTGCTTATTTCACAGGGCGCTTGATCGAGACTTCTTTGACTGCGCACTTGTGTTAAAGAAATAGTCAAAGGCTCGCCATTCCCATGGAACCACACTTGACGGCAGGCGAGGCCGTCAGGCTTGGTGACAGACGCACGATATCGAGCTGGCACGTGAGGGCAGAGGAATGCCCAGTCGCTGGCCAGGGATCAGCAGGAGTTAATCTGACGACGTGCGCCGCTAGGAGGTTGGAAAGTTGGTGCTAGGCGGCTGAGTGAGAGGCAGCCCCCTGGTGCTATGTCTGAACCAGCACAGGGACGTGGGGAACATCTGAAACGAGCGCAGAGCAGCGCCCTGGCCCTCGCTCGCGTCTATCACAGGCCAGGAGCTCGCGGGCAAGGGCCACTCGGCCGGGCCGGAGCATGCACATCGCCATCAAGGCATGGCGGATGTTGCGAGGCGTGACGGCATGTATCACGATCTGTGCAGCGCCGTGGTATGTGGCCGCGTGGCCGTGGTCGACGTATCTGCTGCATGTCTGGAGCAGGAATGCGCAATGTACCGTTGCGAGTCGGGGCGTGGACCGCCATTTATTTTCTCTGGGTCCGCAAGGTCGCCATGAGCTGCTAATGACATGACAGATCGGCAGGCATGCCAGGCACGGCAGACCCAGTATTCCTCGTATCTGGGAGGGTTGGTGGACGGAGCGATCGACTTGCAGACGAGAGGCCACCTCGACACAACACCCGGCCGTGGACGACGGCTGACGTCTTGGGCTGGTGGGCCTGCAGAAAGCTTGAGGGTCGCTTTGGGCAGAACTGCAGGGGGCTTCTTATTTTTGGCAAGTGACACGGGACGAGAAGCATGTTGATGTTGCTCATCTGCTAGCCCGGCGATGGTGGCTGGACAAAAGAGAGGCAGACGATGTCGATGTCGACTCTGCCTGCTGCGGCCGTCAAGGCTGGTGTCAAGTCGTCGTTCCTGGCGTGTGGTTGCACATTGCCAGACTGGGAACGCAGGCCGGCCTTGCCTTAAGGTTGCGCTCCTGCTGAACCCACTTGCTCCTGCATGCACCCACCCACACCCACACCGGCTCGACCCCACGCAGGCACAATAGCACGCCACACTTCCAGGGCCTGCCTGCACTTTGACGCCTATCGTCAACCACGAAGCCACTCTTGCACTTCTTCTTCTCCTCCTCCCCCTCGACTTGACCCCAGGTCTCTTGTCATCTCGCTCGCGATGCCCATGCTGCAGCAACCGCTCGGGAAAGCACGCTCGAGAGCTCATCCCACCCGCGTCTGAGCCGGCATCTGCGGACCAGCCTTCCCTGATTCCGCAGGGAGACGGTGGAGGCTCCCGGACCTGGCCCTGTAAGCCCGCCCAAGTCTAGTCTGATACTCCTGCTGTTCGCTGGTTAGCGCCCGTCACCCTTGTGGGGACCGTTGCCAGATCCCCTTCTTCTGTTTCCACATGCACCTGTCTCGCAACTCTCTCGACTTCGACTCACTCCCTTCGTCAGCACAGTACAGCACAACACATAGCGGCGGCGTTCCCTTTTTGTCTTTTGGCACTTTCAGTACTCGAACTGTCCTTTTCATTGCGCGTGAAAAGCGCCGCGTGCGACATCCCGTCCAGTCCCGCCATAGACCCCTCCAGCTTGGTCGGACCCCTCACCCTGAGCACACGACCCCAGAACGCCACCACCAGCTGGTATCTAGCCCACGTAGATTAATGCTAAGCAGCCTCTCGACTCCCGATTTACCTTTGGTCTCGACAACATGGACAAGCTGTTAGATGGCAAGCACTCGCGCCGTGATCGCCTGGTTGGCAAGCTCTTTGGCAAGGACAAGGACTCGAGCACCAAGGACCGCAGGCCTACCAACGAGGAAAGCGCCGCCGACATCTCTTCTTTTCTCAACACCTCCGACCGCCTTACAGTCTCTCACCCAGTGCCGCCTCCACCACCAGCGACACATCCGGGTTTGCCTGCTCTAGCCCTTGATACCTCGAGAGTCACACGATATCCGCAGGCACATGACGTGGGCTACCAGCAACCCGGTTATGCGCAAGAAAACCTGCCACGCCGGCCACAAAATGGCAGCATATCGCGCCGGCCGAACCGCAAGGGATGCATGGTCTGCTTCGCGGACACGCCTGCGGAAATCATTGGTGTGGGCGGCGATGAGTGCGAAATTCTTGTATCTGAGATTGGGCGCATGAAGCGATCGCGGAGTGCTCCCTTGGTCGCAGCCTCCCAGTCCACGAGACAGGGCAATGAGTACAGGAATGCACAGGCGAGCCAGAATACTGGCGACGATTTCGTGCCTGCTCCGATCCGACGCACGCAGACAGGCTTCTCGTCCATCCAAGACTTCAATTCTCAAGGGCCCAGCACAACATTGCCTGGACCACCCCCAGGGCCGCCACCAGCACGTTCGCCTCAACCTCGAGCACTGCAGCCGGGAGATACCGGGCGTACTCGCTTCCTCGACAGCACGTCAGAGGATCAGGATAAGCGACGGTCATTCATCGAAATACAACAGCACGAGCAGAGAGAGGCTGAGGGGATGGCTTTCGCCAAGGCAAGGGCGGCTAGCCAGGATGACGAGTTTGACGGTGCAACCTCTTCCCCAGAGCCCGTACGTGCCGCACCACCACAGCCGCGCCTTGCAATGCCTGCGACGACACTGCCTGTCCATCACTCGCCGGTCCCGTCGTCGCCAGCACACTCGTTCACCTCTAGAACCGCGGCCCAGCGGTCGCCTGTTCCTCCGCCACCTGCGTCAGTGTCACCTCCAACGCCTGTCAGGTCGGACCGCGACATGCCTGCCGCTGTGTCTGAGTCGCCGGTCGGCAATCTAGCTCCTCCGACGCCACCCCCAAAATCCGCCTCACGCTCGCCAATCAATTACCAGCCGCCTGAAAACCAATCAATACCAACGCCATTCTTGGAACAAGTCACCCCATTCGGACACCCGGTTGAGCAGGAACTCACGCGAGATTACACCAATGTTCACGGGAGCCCGAGCTCGACGTACTCGTCGTCCATCTACTCGCCTTCAGACATCAAGGATGCCGCAACAGTAAGGTCAAACTCCACGCGAAGTTATCAGACAGTATCACCCGACAAGCAATATCCGGGGAACCGACTTCCAGACCCCTTCAATACGGCCAGGGATGAATCTCTAGAACTATTTCTGCAACGCACAAAACATCTGTATGAATTGTTCAGGCTCTATGCTGAGCAGATGCGGCCGCTCGAGACATGTAGACCAGATGATCTTTGCAGAGCCGCGCTATGGTGGTTTCTCAAGGGCCGGACTGCGTTGGAAATCGTCATTCGCAATCGCGGCGGAGACCCAGAAGATCCGCAACAGCTGATGCCCCGTTATCAAGCATACACTGATCTTGCGAAGGCTCATTGGCTTGCCGAGGAGGCATTGCCCGAGATTGGTGGTGGCAGGTACAGCCCCATCTCGGGTGAGTTGGGCGACGTTCGAACGACCATTCAGCACAACCTCACAAAACTCTGTGGCTCGATGAGGCGGAACAACTTTTTGCCACCAGAGGAGCCATTCCTGCCACAAACCATGGACAAGTCGATCTGGGTCGAGTACCCAGCATTGAACCAGGACATCATAGCTTTACTAAATGGCAACGCAGGCTCTGCCTTGGCCGCCGTTCAGCAGCCAGCCCGGAATATTGATCTGCTGGAAGCGTTGCCTATTGGCGACACGCCCAGGCTATTCAACTACGGACGGGTGAACGCAGATGTGTACCTGATGGAGCAAGGCTCGGGTGCCAACCAGCTGCATTTCCCTTGCGTGCTGTCCATCTTGCGACCTCAAAACGACCCCCAAATCACGTTTGTGGTTGCGAGTCAGAACCAGACAATCGCATTGAGGATCGGTGCGGACAAGAACGTTGGTCCAACTTGGCAAGACGTCAGATGGAGGCCAGATATGTGTTCACTTGAAGTCAAACTTCCGCGAGGTTTCCTCCTGGCCATACAGCTCGTGAACAAGGACTACGGCATGCTCTGGAGCATCTACGACTTCGGCTCCAAAGTTCGGTCGTACCTGTACTCCCGCAAGGACGAAACCGTCGTGTACAAATCTGCACTAGCCGGCTTTCACTACTTTGACTCAAACCCGCAAGCGCGATCATTCCCCAAGGAGGCCATTAGCAATTGCGAACTGGCTCTGTTCGAAACCCAGCTCAAAGAAGGAAGCCCACACGGCCCCAGGACTTTCCACCGAGGTTTCCGCATCGCGGTCGTCACAGGCGCACAAACACGTACACTGAGCGGTGTAACGCACACTTACGCCCCACAACTGCCGTTGCAGTTTGCTTACATGCGAGACGATCAACGACAGCCACTTCTTCAGCTAAACTTTGACGATGGCAAAGACAGAGGGCGGATGGTATTCCGCTTTGACAACGATGCTGAGCGTGATAAACTCCTGAAGCTCATCAACGGCACTTATGTACATCAGGACGAGGAGATCGTTGCCGAGACTGTCCTTGAGGGTATGCAGATATCTGAAGGGCTGAGTGATACGAAAGGAGGTTTCCCCGGAGTGGGACGCCTGCCGTGGCAGAGAGCTCGAGTCATCAACGACAAATACCAGGAGAATGCACCAGTCGTGTTGGCAGAGAAACTCCGAATCGAAATTGAATCCATGGACAAGCGAGGCATCGGCATCGTCAGCACAATCACAGACCGGATCAACATTGCACCTGGCGAATTGCGCCTTCGCGTCGGCACAAAGGACTTCCTCACGTTGCAGATTCTCCGGCAGAATCAGGTAGACATGACTGTGTCCTTGTCGGAGAATCTGGCTCCACGAGAGCTCGCAAAGGAATATGCGGCCATGCAGGAGAGCGTGATGCGCAACCCAACTCTCCGAACGTTCCGCTTTCCAAGCTTCAAGGAGATGCACACGTTTCAGGCGGCTGTGACGGGGTACAGCGTGCTGTTTGACGCCATTGCCTCGACCTTCAATGTGTCGAGACGACGAATGGTTGTCCCAATCCACAAGAAGTGGGAGGCGGGCACCACTCGCATTCAGGTGGTACAGCAGGACAAGACGATCCAACTGTTGGCCTTTTTTGAGAACTGGTCACACGGAGACTGCATGGGCTTTGTGCTCAAGGGCACTGATACCTACGAATGCGTTAGTCGAAGCGGCAAGGCTGGCCTCAAGCTTTGTGAAGCCAAATTCCCTCTGCCACGCCTCCCCGCCGAAGGGATGGCCAAGACGGACGATATGGCATGCCTTTCCCTGGACATGCCCGAGTACGCTGGAGAAAACGACGATCTCACCATCTTCTTTGAGGATAGTCTTGGTAAGTGTGCCGCCCCTTTAGAACATGTGCCCCGACTGGGGGGAGGAACCGAGACTTGACAAGGTATCGCGACTAACCAAGCACACAGAGAGGGATCGTCTGTGTTCTGTTCTGCCTGCGCCCGTCAAGGGCTCGCGCCTGAGTAAATCGAAGTGAGTTGAAAGGATTGAGACAGTTGCGAGGGTATTGGTTGTCATGGAGAGGAATGTTATTGTTGTTGTTAGCCCTTGCATCTGGAACGAGCCATGTGGATAGCCATGGGGGGGCGAAGTCGGTATATTGTAACACAGATACCCCATGTTTATGGAAAATGCATCAGACAGGCCGAGACTCCCGGCCACTGACTTGCCGCAATGGATGCGTGAAGGGCATGGTTACTGGGCCGTGTAAGCCGGTGCAGGCGGATGCGGAATGTGATGGCGGACCCCTCCCCCGTGGCCGATCCTGCCCGTTTGACTGGAGGCCTGTCGGGTGAGGTCATCGAAGGGCGGGCACGATGGCAGGTGGGGTCCCCGCCAGGCAGGCAGGTCAAGCGATGCGACGTCGGAAGGCCCCGGGCCTTACAGTAGTGAGTGGCCCTGGAGGGCAGGCACCTTGCGTGGTTATTGGAGAGAGGGTGGGTGTGCGAGGCAGTGTCATCATCGGCGTCATCCCTGAGCCCTGACCCTGCGCATTGCCCCGCCGCTGCTGGCGCCGGGGGCCGGAGCTCGCTGTCCTGGCTACCTTGAGCTAAGTACTTGGGTACACGCCCAAGAACGTATGTAGCTGCCTGCATGGCATGGCGCTTTGGGGAATAGCACACTTTTTTGTTTTGTTTGTTGCCCTTCTTTGGGCGCCCTCTGTTGGTCCTGGAGGGCCATGTGACTGGATTGGCGTTGTCTTGGCCCTGGAGCTGGCTGGCTTGCTGACTGCGTGGTCATGATTCAACTGTTGCTTGCCTGACCGGCCTGCCTCTAAGTAGCGTAGTGTTGGAGCGCAATCTTGGACTTTGCAAGGGCGTGCTGTCATAGCGGCTGCCGGTCATTTAGAGCTGCCCCTCCTCCCGAGCCTGCCAGACCTGCTCGGCCAGCAAGTTTTCTGCGCTCACTTGATTGAACCCGACTAAGATACACCTGGGCAGAGTACATCTTTTGGTGAAGCGGCAGCACAGCCCAGTCAGTTCCAGCGACTCGCAAAAGTCCAGGGGACCCCACTCCAGATCGGCTGTGACGGGCTTCACTTGCGCAAGGGCAGAGGACGGGCAAAAAACCCCCCTCCTTCCCGACACTGGGTCAAGCACCTGCTCTGCTAAAATATACCGGCGGCTTCAAAACAGCAAGTCGCGCAGCGGTCCTGTCCTCCCTACCACAGGAGTGCCAGTGTTAGAGCTGGCTGCCCTCCTCACCCTGCTCTCGTACCCGGCCTTCACCATGCACGGCTCCCACAAGATCACGGCTGGCTTGAGTCGGCGCCGCAGGCACTCCAACGCCAGTAAGTGGTTGCCTTCTTGCCTCTGAGTCTCTGCAAGCTCCATGCGCAAGATGTAGTCTCCCAGTTCACCAAGCTGACTTGGCTCGACTTCTTTCACCCACGACAGGCAGTGCCCGATCCTCACAAGATGGCAGCATCACCGGCGACATTGACGACGACACCACCTCGGTCGATGCGGAACAGGGCAATGGTACGCCGTCTCTCTTCTAGTCCCGTCACACACGCTCTCCAGGCACAAATCGTCGGGCTCCCCCAAAGGCATGCGACCACTTCTCTGACTTGCTACAGTCCTCACCCACATCATCTCTCAGCTGCGGCCTGGCGCAGACCTAAGCAGGGTCGTCCTGCCAACTTTCATTCTCGAGCCGCGAAGCATGCTGGAACGCATCACCAAGTGGGTATTCACCGCGATCTCCCCGAGGTGTACAGGCTCCTCTCCTCAGGGAGAAGCGAGCAGTACACACTATTCGCGTACAGGCAGCAAGGGCAAGAGGTCACTGACGCCCCTTGCATAGCTTCATGTGCCACCCCGAGATGCTGCTATCCATACCCGAGCTCGAGGACCCTGTCGACCGCTTCGTTTCTGTGGTCAAATTCTACCTGAGTGGTTGGCACATTAGACCTCCGTAAGAACTCCCAGAGGGACCCCCAAATGACGACCAGAGTTAGGCACTAACTGCGAACTACTCCGTCTCGCGAGCCAGTGGTGTGAAGAAGCCGCTGAACCCCATTCTGGGCGAGATACACACCTGCTACTGGGACCTGCCAGACCACACGAGGGCCTACTACATCTCGGAACAGACGTCTCACCACCCGCCCAAGTCGAGCTACTTCTACATGGCACCGAGCCACCATATCCGGATAGACGGCACTCTGAAGCCTAGAAGCAAGTTCCTTGGCAATTCGGCCGCCAGCATGATGGAGGGCATCGCTGTGCTGAGCCTGACAAACAGGGGCAAGAACCCAAAGAAGGGCGAGCAATAGTATGTTCCATGTCCGGCCGTTGTACCCACTGACTTCGACCGTTGTTGGCTAATGGAAGTCACGACTAAAGCTGGCTCACACAACCCAATATGTACGCTCGAGGTATCCTGTTTGGGCAGATGAAATACGAGCTTGGAGACGTCAGTGTCGTGAGATGCCCTGAGCTCAAGCTCAGCGCAGAGATCGAATTCAAGACCAAAGGTTGGGTCAGCGGCACCTACAACTCTATTGGCGGCACGATCAGGAACGACGAGACTGGCGAGGCATTGTTCGAGCTGTCTGGTTTGTGGAGCGAGGAGATGTATGTCAAGGATCTCCGGGTATGTCACCAACGCTTTTCCTTAGCAGAAACACAGAATTCGTCGACTGATATGACACGACAGACCGGCCAACGAGAAATGTTTTTCAATGCTACCAGGGCGAAGCCATCACGCCCGCGCATCCGACCTGTCGAGGAACAAGAGGAGGGCGAGTCTGTGCGGTTATGGAGGAAGACGGCGCAGGCTGTCAAGGAGAAGAACCACGAGGTTGCGACCGACGAGAAGACCAAGATTGAGGAGGCGCAGAGACAGGAGGCCGCGAAGCGCCAAGCAGAGGGCACGAAGTGGCACCCCAAGCTCTTCCGAAGGGTCAGGGACGGCCCTGGCGGGGACGAAGCGGAGCTCAGCGACCTGGAATGGATCATTGACAGTGAGATGTGAGTTATTTCGCTGGACTTGTCCTGGGAATGCGAGGTTGGCCGCATACACTGATACTAACTCTGCTCACCCCTGCAGTGATCATAGCGCAGAACCCGAGAAGCTTGTGGAACACATTACATCGATCTACCCGATTCTCAAAGGTCAAACATTGGCAAACAAGCAAGCAGCTCCGCAGCCAACACAGCACAGCGAGAACAATTCCAACCACAGCCAACCCAGCGACAACCTGATCGATTTCAGCGAGTCTTCCGGCGCTTCAGCTACTCCACCACCGCAAACCGCTCCTGCGGCAGCAGCACCAGCACAGCAGAAGAGTGGAAGCCAGGACATCTCGGCCATGCTTCAGACAACTGGCAAGGAGGCCGGCGAGGGTCCCCTGATCGACTTTGGCGCCGACCTCAAGAAGGACCTGCCTGCAGCCGAGACTAAGGACGACGGCAAGAACAAGCCCATCATCAGAAGATCCGAGACTGAGGACACGGATGATGCATTCTACGACGCTGAAAGCTGAGACTTTGGGAGAAGAAGCGCATGTGGTTTCAACACGGTGCGAAGGGGAAGTTAGCGTTAGATTATATACAACAAAGAAAGACGTATTTGTTAATACCAAGATTTGGCCTGGCACTGGCAAAAAGCGGCATCTACATCGGCCATGGGAATGATCTTAAGCGACTCAACGCAGATGCACAAGATTGTCCAAACTGGTCTGTGTCTGAGTAACGCATGATGATTTTCATTCATTTGCATTGCGCTATTGTTGATGGCACCTTGAAAGAAACTATATACAGTACAATCGAGCCCAAACTTCGGCATTTACAATACACATGGAAGCGGGTTCGATTAGGGCTTGCTGGGCGACTTGATTGAATTGATCACGATCACTGCCTGGCCTTTGCTGGTGACCATATCTCCTCCCTGTGCCTGTTTGGGCTTCTTGTTTGTCTTCCTGATTAAACTTTTTTGAGAGGCGTCGAAGGATGCCAGGTCCGCGGACTGTTGTTTTTGCGGTACGCCATCCGAATCGCGGTCCTCCTTTTTGATGCGGAGCCAAGGGGAGGCATCAGCTTGCTGACAAAGTCTGTAACAGTCTGGGCAGAGCTTTCTTTCGCCCTCCTAGCCTAGTGTTGTTCCTGCGGTAGGCTGCGCGTGGAATTGCGAATGTCTTTCTGTCGCTAACGAGCGAGGCATCGGAGTCGTGCTTGCCAGTGTTGACAACACATGCTGTGTGCCGCCGGTGTGAGGGCATATTTTGTAGTTTGAATGGTCCCTTACATTCCGTAGTGGGGTGTCCGTCGCCATGATTGCGAGTCTCACACCAGCACGCGCTGCCCTTGTTCCCTGTATACACTCTTTGGTCCGTGGTTCTGCGCCTCCTATTGATCCGTGGGAAAGCGCCAGTCTGCCAATTGACGCGCGCGCGCGCGCGCGCCCTCTGCGTGCCGTCCTCAAATTAACAAAGGCTCTTGACTGTTCAAGCGCGGACTCCCCCTCCCAAACTCCTCTCTAGTACCGCTTCCTCGTCGGCTCCGGGCTCGGGCTGCGCGACATGCTCTTCTCGTCGCGGCCGCGCATCTTGAGCCACTTCTTTGTGGACAGGGTGAGGTCCCGGTCGAGCTCCGGGGTCGGGTTCTTGCGATGTATAAAGTTGCAGAACCCCCCCTGACGCAGCCCTCGCCCGAGTTGAGGCGGCAGCAAGCCTCGCGGAAGTCGGTGACGGGGCTGAGCTCGCAGTATATGGGCCTGCCGGCGTACCAGCGGGCGTTGAGGCTCTCGCAGGCCTTCTGGGCCGAGTCCTCGTACTTGAAGCGCGCGTAGACGTTGCCGACGAGGTGGTCGTTGGTGTTGTCGCACACGACGAGCTCCTCGAGCTCGCCGTACTTGCACAGCTCGCACCACAGGTCCTCGTAGAAGGCGTCAAAGTGGTTCATGCACTGCTCCGGGGTGAGCCGCGACTTGGGGTCGTGCGCGGGGTTCTGGTACATGCTCGGCAGCAGGATCGTCTGCGAATACGAGGGCTTGACGTGCTTCCGCGAGCACCGGTCGCCGTGCCGGCAGGCGCCGATCTTGTAGTAGAAGGAGCAGTTGACCTTGTCCTGCTCGGTGCCGAAAATGGAGGCGAGAAAGTTGGCCATGGTGGGCTAGGTTTGTCTCCGGGTTTCGGAGTCGGGACTGGCTAGGAGTTATGTGTGTCGTGGGTGTCGGTGTCGGTGCCGGCGAGACAGAGACAGGGAGAGAGGAAGAGGGCGTCTCTTGGAAGGCGGAATCCCTCGTTCTTCTGGGGTGGGCGGGCACTTCAGTCAAACTGTGCGGTCGACGAGGGGCGCCGTCAGGTTTGTCGAGAAATCCGTGTCTCAAAGAAAGCCAATACGCAACGACGCTGATGGCGGCTTCGCAGGACGGTGCTGTTCGGCGCAGAGGTAAATCGCAGATGTGGTTCTTGTTCTGGGGAGAGATCGCGACACCCTTGACGAGAAACGCGGACAAGGCTGAGGACCCAGTGCTGGAAAAAGAGTGGGGCCGTAGTCGCTATCTGATTCGCCTTGTCAAAGGCTGACCAATCACTTCGTGGTCGCAAAGCTCGAAGGCAGGGGCGGGTCGGCTTACCTAAACTTTCCAACGCCACATCCAGATGGTTCTAGTCTGGCCCTGCAACTCTCTCTAGAGTTATGTATAGGCAAACACACTTGCGAACAATAGGTTGTATTGTCTCGTGCTTGGCAAGCGTAGTCTTTAGCCCATATTTATGTATGAATATGTCACAGTGCAATCTCTCTTGTTTCCACGTCCATGTGGCAAAGTCTACCAACGGCTCAATGTTCATTGGATAAGTTGGTGGTGTCTGGTTCCAGTGCTACTCGAGTGACACAGCGTAAAGCTAGCCGGGCCTCTGCTGACGCGCTTGTCTTCTCTTTAGGTTAAGGTCTGCATGATGTTAAAACATAGTATCATTCAACGACATTCTCGACGTGACCTCTACCATATTCACCCAACCAGTTGCTTTTTGACAACAAGGAGCTTGGTGTCGCAGAATGCATCCCTCGTGTTTAAGAAACTGCCGGCAGGAAAAGCCAGACGGACAGAATGATCGAAGTCGCAGTACGTGGGTCTGCTTAGTACGTCGTAGTACGTACTTAAGTATGTCAGAAACGAATGATGCAGAGACAGGATCCACCGTGACCTGGACTATGAGTTGTGCTTGTGTAGCATCTACACCAGCACGATGGCTATCTTTGGCACTGCCCAGATCTCGTAGCTCTCGTGCACCAATGTATGTGAGGACATCCATAATTCAAAGAGCTGCAGCTCTGGAGCGATCGTCATTCCACTGGAGACTCGCTGTGCGTGAGACAAGTCTTTATTCAACGCCTTGTAAGGGCAGTGCCCGGCAGAGAAACTGACATCATATTGCAGACGAACGGAAGTAACGATATGAGCAAGATGTTAAAATGGTATTTATTCCCTCTGGAAGTCATAAGATAGCACAGCTTAAACAAGCAAGTTCTCGCGGCACACGATCGTGTATATGTTTCCCGATATCGCACATCTTCCAAATAGCACAACCAAGAACGTTGGTCGGTCAGCTCTTACTGAGTGTGGCGACGCTTGTGCTGGCCATGGGAACGCCTCTTGTGGCCACGCTTCTTGTGAGGCTTGCTAGTGCAGCCAGGCACCTGCGGTGCCGTCGTCGGAGTAGGCGCAGCTGTGACTTGAACAGCACCGGTGCTGGCGATGGTGCTTGTCGAGGTCGGGAAGATGACGACATTGCCATTGGGACCGATGCTGAGATCAAGCACAGGGAAGGTGCTCGCATCAGGCGGCAGCGGCGCAGCCAACACAATGGTCGTCGTCGTCGTGGGGCCGGGAGGAGGCGCCGAGACGTAGATGCCAGTGGGCACGGGGTCGACGGAGAAAGTCGTCAGCAGAGTCGATGGGTAGAGAGGGGCCAGAGGAGCATCGGTAAGGGTGACAGTGGCGGTAGCAGTAGGTGTGATGACTGGCGCCACGACGGGGTAAGTCGGATAGCTCTCGGCGACAGGAACAGGAGCAACAGGGACGACTGCGGCGCTTCCGGCATTCTTGGGCGGCGCGAAGTTGGGTGTTGCCCGCACAGGAAGGTCAAACTTGAAGGCGGGCGGGCCAGAGGCCGAGCCGGCCTTGCAAGCCTCGCCATGAGCAGTGCACTTCTTGCTCCAGAGCTCGCAGTTGGCTCCGCCGGTGATGGGAGCAGAGTCCCAACAGGCAGTGGCTTGCTTCCAGCAGTTGTCCTGCGAGGCCCAGCACGCCTGCAGATCGTTCTCGTAGGACGGTGTGGCAACACCACACCAGTTGCCATTGACAAGCAGGCACGTGTCCGGCACAGCACCCTTTGTCTGCTTAATGACATTGCTGCTGCCGACAGTCTGCGGCACCGGGGGAGCCCATGCCTTGGGACCAGCCTCAGGATAAGGCTTCTTGGGGTTTGCGTACTCCTCATCCTTGTAGATGTTGTAGGTCATGGAGGCATCGCCGCGCTTGATGTAGCCAGGCATGCTCACACGATATTCGTCGGGAATGGAAATCTCCGCAGAAATGGACGATTCGAGGAAGACCTGAGCGCAGCCAACGTAGAACTGGGGCTCAACCTCAGGCGTGACGTTGTGCATAGCAACAACTTCCGGGCGGAAGAGGTAGTCACCCGCAGGCAAGCCCTGGGGAATGTCGATGGACAGGAAGCCGTTCTCCTTGATCAGCTTCTCGGTTGCCCAGAGATCCTTCTCCGCGTCGTAGCCCTCGGACCAGATCTTGAACCAGCCGTCGCCAGCACCAGAGTCCTGGGACGAGGATAGCTTCTTTGCATACACAGCCGCAGGACCTTTGTGGCCCGGGTCGATGAAGCCGGAACCAGCCTTGTCCGGGCTGATGCGGTACTCGAAAGTCAACGTAGCTCCCTGAGGCGCAGCGCAAGAGTATGCCACGGGCTCCAGACCATTGACGCCGCAGACGATATCATTTCCAGAAAAGTCGACGACGGGGCTGTTGGGGGCATTCCTGCGATGGGTGGTACGAACACAGGTGGCATCCCCCTGGCTCTTGCCATTGACCCACAAGGTAGTAAAAGCGTTGTGAGCCTCGGCGGCGGAGAAGAGCAGCGCGGTAGCAGCTGCCAGAGTTGCGAATGATTTGGTCATCTTGCTACGTGGGACGGTTTTAGCTCAAGGCGAGTGGAAAGTGTAAAAGTCGCCGTGACACGAAGCAGGTCTGTGAATGGATCGTAGGGCTGTCAAGTAATTTGTCTGCTTCGAGCGGACAAGTGTAATCACGTCGAGACTGGCTGACGTGGTTCGTAGTGAAGGAGAGTGATGGAAACGAAGGTAATGAAAGTAAGGCGAAGGGCTCGTGCGAGAGCAACTTCAAGCAAAAGAGTGACAAATGGGAACGAACGAGGAAGAGATGAACAACAGCACCAGCCGTAGAGAGTTGAGAGAAGTTCAAGATCAGCGCCTGGGGCAGGCCCAAGGTCAATATAAAGGCGAGCCAGCCAGACCCTGACCCTGGTGCGGATTCTGTTTGGCAGACATGGTGCAAGCAACCTTCCAGGCCCATCGCCAGCGTTCTAGACCAGCTCGAGGCTAGCCTGATGGTTCTGTCATCTCAAGGTTGTTTCAAGAACAAGCTGGCTGCGGGAACATCCTGGTCTGGGGTGCCCAGTGCGGCAACTGGCAAACATCTTGGCCGTCGATAGAGGCAGCGGTGGTTTTTGGCGGCCAAGGTCACGGACTCGAGCTCATCAAGCTGCGGCCGCTAATCAGGTGTGTCGCCGGCAAGCGCCGCCTGTGAGTGGACCGCCCTAGTGTAGGCGCGCTGCGCGGGCGGCCCTTAATTAAGTGCTCAGCAGCTCCCAAGGTCTGCCAGACGTCAGGTGCAACCAGAAAAAGCAGCAGGCGAGGTTTGCTTGAAACATGCCAACATGTCTCTAGGCCAATTGCAGGGAACTACGCTTGCCTTTTCGAGCATCGCATCTTGCACAGAGACCCGGCGCCAAGAGAAGGGAGGGCAGGGGTCCTTGCGAGCAGGAAACGTAGCAGACTGATGGTCCAGCGTGCCGCCCAGCGTCAATCACCTAGCGGTGTCATTTCTTGCTAAACTTGGCCTTGATCATGGGCAGAGGAAGCTTGCTCGCCCAAACACGGCCATCGAGAGTTTTTGGTTGTAGTTGTGGTTGTGTTTGTGGCGACGCCGTGGTGGTAGAGGCGATTGAGCATAACGTAGTATTATTAGACGTTGGAGGCTACAAGACTACCCCTGGCGGCAATCGCCATGCTGCGATTGATTGATGGAGTCTGGGGAAGACAGTGCTGTGAGCTGGACGCACTGTCGAAGCCAGACGAGCGGCAGCTCCATCTGCCAGACAGTGCCTGCGGAAGCACATACGGCCTCTCAGCCAACAATGCGGATCCACCCGCACCGGCATCCATGCGCACCCGAGGCGCCCCTGACAGTGAACCGTGGAGCTGGCCACCGGCAGGCCCAGCCAGGATGAACTGTCAACAGATGCACGCCCAGGCTGCTCTCGGCACTGCACTCTGGCACACATCTTTGCTCTGGCTGTGCGGCATCACACATGTACCTGCAAGCACCTCATGGCGTAATCTGACCGCCCGCCACTCCTTGATTGTATGGCATTCTCCTAGACGCACCACCCATCATGGCCCGGCCTGGGCACAACGGCTACGGCTACCCTGTCTCGGCGTCCTCTCCTTCGCCATACCAGCCAGCAACCTCCTCTTCCTCCGCGTCCCACAGGCACTACTCGGCCGGCACTCCATTCGGTGACGACCACACCTCGCCATGTGACGACATCACAGCTGGCTGTACTGCCGTCTTCTCCCGTCTCCTCGCCTACCTCAAAGGCCCTGGCCTGCAAGCAGCCATGAACCTCGCCGCAAGAGCTGGCCACCAGCTCAGGCGGAATGCCGTCCGCCGACGGCTTCTCAGCTTTCCCCATGTCCTCGTGGCCCTCTGGATGGTCCTCATGCTGTGGGGTGAGCGCTGGGTGTTCGCGGGTAAGGTCCGCGACTGCGATTGGCACCACTGGGAGCATTGGGTAAGCATTGTACCACACTTTCGTGCAACTTTCTTGCTGGCGTGGACCTCGACTCGTGGCTAATGGTTGTCTTCATCGTTCTCCGACAGCCCCCAGGCGCCGTGCCACATCGACTGGTCTTCGTCGCCGACCCTCAGCTCATAGATCCGCACTCATATCCAGGCCGGCCGTGGCCCATCAACCCTTTGACGATGCGTATCACCGACAACTACATGAGGCGAGGATACACACAGCTGCAGAGGATATTGAGGCCGGACTCGGTCATGTTCCTCGGCGATCTGTTCGACGGCGGACGGGAATGGAAGACGGCACAGGGCAACTTTGACGAGCCGGAGTGGGCCAAAGGCCACCGACCTGCGCACGAGCAAAAGTACGTTAAGCAGTGGAACAAGAAATACGGCGAGGAGTACTGGCTTCACGAGTACGAGCGATTTGGCAACATCTTCTGGGACAACTGGCGCCTGGGTGGCGATGCGCCAGGCCCAGGACAGCGAGGACGCAAGCTCGTGACAAGCTTGCCAGGAAACCACGATCTTGGCTTCGGCGCCGAAGTCAAGATTCCCGTGAGAGATCGCTTCATCGCATTCTTCGGAGAGACAAATCGTGTCGATGTCATTGGAAATCACACATTCGTCTCCGTCGACACGGTTTCGCTGAGTGCCGAGACCTCTCAGGTGAAAGACAAGGAAGCCGTGCAAAAGATCTACCAGCCGGTCGACGAGTTCCTGAAGGATGTCAAGGCGGTGAAGCGCAGAGCCGTCGAGAAGGAGCTAAGGTTTTGGCGAGGAGAGATTGAGGAGCTGCAGTTCACGCAGAAGGTAGAAGAGCTCGACTCGGCAGACTTCAAAGGTTTGCCAACACTAGATCGAGGAAGCGAAGCTGTGGACTTTCCGACAGTCTTGTTGTCTCATGTGCCTCTCTTCCGACCGCCAGGCACTCCGTGCGGGCCGATGCGAGAGCATTGGCCTCCAGCCAAACCACCCAAGGGCCAGACAACACCCGTCTTTCCGGATCACCGCAACGCCATCAGCGTCTCTGGCGGTTACCAGTACCAGAACGTCCTGAACGAGGCCGATACATTGAAACTGATTGATAGCATCGGGAATATCAAGCACGCCTTTTCAGGAGACGACCACGACTACTGCGAGGTCGTCCATTCACCAAAGCAGGAAAGCATCCACGAGGTTACCGTCAAAAGTCTCAGCATGGCCATGGGTGTGCCGACACCGGGATTCCAGATGATCTCGATGTGGAATCCTATAGACGCTAAAGGGAAGTCTCTGGCCGGTGATGGCTCGGAAGTGCCTACGCTGCAGACTCATCTTTGCTTGTTGCCTAGCCAGCTATCGACGTTCATGCTCTATGCAGTTCTCGGGGTACTGACCGTCATCATCCTGGCGGCACGCTCGTTTCTGGTGCCCATGCTTGGTCTGCAGCCGTTCGCGCTTGACCCAAATGCGCCAAGCGGCCAGTCGGCAGTCCTGCCTGTCTTTAAGGCCAAAAGTGAGGGTGCAGAGGACAATTACAACAATGGGTACGCGATGAACTCGTCTGCGTCCTCGGCATCCTCCTCCGCGTCTAAATCACTCTCGGCAGCGCGCACATCCCGGACGCGAGGCGCATCAATAAGCAATGCGCCTGGCGGCTCCGGCAGCACGGCAGCATACGGGAATGCTCGCAGCTCGTCACCTAAGCGGAAACAGCAGCAGCAGCAGCGGTGGGGCTGGGGCAATGGCGGCAGAGGCCCGAGGATCCAGATCCGCAGAGACGCCACGGCGTACGCAAGCAACCAGGGTCCCTCATCAGGTGGGTGGAGGCCTGCGATGAGAGGTGGCGCCGCTCGCGCGCGATGGCAGCTCGTGCAGGTGTGGCGCGAGTTTTGGACGACTTGCTGGAGAGTTATTTGGATGGTCTTGTTGTTCTTTGCATATCTGACCTGGAAGGGCTAAGTGATCCGTTCCCTTCTGAGCATACTCAGAAGAGAAGTTTCACGGTAGTGCAATGCGGGAGGAGCAGGGGGAGCTGGCATTTGAAAAGTTGTAATATTTTTTGTTTTTGATGGGTTGCATATCGGATTCGCGGCCCATGACGGCATACATCTTGTTCTTCAAGAGACGTGAAGGGGAAAGGACAAGTGTGAACATACCACCATTAGCATGGCGTTGGAAGCAGCTCGCCAGTAATCATTATGACATTGATATAGTTAGCCTGCATATCTCGCGAAAAAGTTGGCAGATGTTGCTGAGACTTTTTAGAGCCTAAGAAGTTGCGACTCAGTCGCTCGTGTTTTGCCAATTATGCACATGGCCTCTATCCCGTCCCAGCCCACAGATCCAAACCGATAGGTAACATGAGAACGTTCCAAGGTTGTCGTCTTCATGACTAGATGGCACCGGCGGCAAGCCGGAAGTCGGGCGGGCCGGTTGGGGAAGCGCCGATTACCGGTTCCGGCCGGAGCGGGTCGTGCGGGCCAAAAGGCTTGGCCCATTGTTGAGTGACGGGCCAACCCCCGGTCCTGTGAGCCGGCATGTCATGCCGGCGACGAGCCTATCGTCGGACGCGTCAGTTGCTTCAAGCCAGCTTTTTCTGCCTCCAAAGGACCGACACGAGCATGGCATCCCTTTCTGAACGGACGGTTTGATTGTGGCTGGTACTGCTCTTCTCGAGGTCAGACACATCCGGCCGCGTACTTCTGCCCACACTTGGAGCTCTTAGCAACCAAACTTGACAACTTGTCATTTGTACTTGATCAATATCGAGGCAGTGAGTGTCGCTTATCGGTGCACAGACTCAGAAGCCCTTGCGGACCAGATCTTTCACCGTCGTGGCCAAAGCCGCCGCTCTCACAGTACCACTCGTCATGGCCGCCTTGCCATGGCGACCTCGACAGCGACAGAGGTGGCAAGCCGCCACGATGATACCCAGCGGCCTGCTAGCGCACCAGGCCGTCCGGCATCCCTCACCAGCCGCAAAGTAGGCTCGTCCGCAGGAGAATACATCACAAGGAAGGAGGACGACGACGGCATTGAGCTGCAACCTCTCCCACCGCCGGCACTGGCCCGAACATCCTCGAGCGGCAACTCATCGACGACGACAAGTGCGCACGAGTCGACAGGCACTCGCGAGCATGGTGGCCAGCCGGGCCGTGCTCGGTCGATAGCCTCGAGGCACTCGAGCACCGAGGACATGCCCAAGAATGCGCTGCAGCGGTTCTGGAGGGACCATGTCAGTCTGCGGGTCGAGCACGCGTCGTGCCGGGATCACTTGGGTATGGACTTTCTCTCATCTCGTTCTTCTCAACGAGGGACGGGGTTGCCTCGAATACACCCAGTAACGGACAGGATTTCTTTTACTAAATCATGATTTTGTCACATTTCAGCCCTGGAGAGAACATATCTGGGCTACTTCCGCACATCGACCCTCCTGGCCACCACGGGCGTCTTCATCACGCAGCTGTACGTGCTGCGGGAGCCGACGGAGCCCGTCGTCGGCAGCGCCACCGGCATGGCCGTGGGCAGGCCGCTGGCCACGACGTGCTTCTCGCTGGCCCTGGGGACGATACTCTGGGGCACCTGCCGCTTCTGGCGGTTCCAGCGGGCGCTTGTGCGCGGCAAGGCGCTGGCGGGAGGGTTTGAGCTTACCATGGTGTTGGGGGTTTCTGTGCTCGTAAGTTTTCTTTCTTATAAATTGTCTCGTTGCGTGTGGCTTGTTTGGCTTTGTGTGTGTATTCACGGAAGAGCGAAGTCTGACTTTGTGTGTTTGGTCTGAGGGTAGTTGCTCGTGACGATGTTTGTTATTACCATTGTCAGCAAGGGTTGAAGTTCGCATGAGGGCCCAGAAGAACGAAAAGGATGGACGAAGACAGCCAGTTTCGACTTACATTTCGATCCCCATGGCCTGAATTGCGGACTGGGCAATATCTTGTGTCAACTTTGGGGGCAGCGAGCAGACGGCAAACACAACAGCGCACAGCCCATGACGGCCTGAAAAGGCACTACATGCGTACGAATTCCTCAGAGAAACAATATTTGCATAATAGATTGTGACAACACGAGCCATTGTCAACTATTCCCCAGGTTACTCGCAAATGTGGGGTTTTCCCAGAAGTGCTTGCTCGTGTTCCGCGTGGACTGGCATGACGGTAGAGGCCATAGAGGCCCAGCCAATCAACCCCAGGAACCGGAACCAACTCAGTTCCTGAACACGAATAACACACGAGCCTGTCTTGGTGGCTCTGCACTTTCCCAGGTTGTTCATGCGGCGCTTCGTTGCAAGCCAACGTGACCCAGCCCTGGCTTGGTCCCCCGCAACGCCCATCTTGGCGCTCCCCACAGCTGACTTGACTTGATCCCGGCGTCTGACCAGCGGGCCTGACCAGCCACAATCCCCCGCTTCCCTCCCCCCTGCATCTCGCCTTCGTCCTCCCACCAAAGACTTATAACCATGCCTGCCTGCTTCTGAGCCCGACAACTCGCGGGTTTCTCCTGTGATGTTTGCTTTGACCACTCGCGTGGAGCACCCAGCGTGTCGTCAACCAGTGGTATATCGATGATGAGCTAGCATTTCCTGCAGGCCGGGTTTTTGCCATATTGCTTTCAATCACTGCTGCTCGCTCTGCTACCACGAAATCATCCTGCATAAAACACCTGTTGCCATCCATCATGGCCAATGCACGTTGGATCCGCCGTGTGCTGGCCAGTGTGTGGTGCCTGGCATCGCTGCCCGCGGTCACACAAACGGCTCAGGGCTCCTTCATCCCGTTCTTCCAGACCCAGGTCGACGGCAATGCTCCCGGCCGCATCACCAAGCCAGATCTCGACGGTGTCCTGACCCAGATGCTCGATGCAGTAGATGTCATGCAGCGCGAGTACTATGCCCCCTGGGTCGGCACATGGCCCGGCTCGATCGACTGGACCGGTGCCGTCATGGGCACACACCTCTCTGCCGCACTGCGCACCTTGACCGAGGCACTGGCAAGAGCCGACAAAACCGCCGGCGGTCTCCATAACAAGGGGAAGGGCAGCTTCGTGGACTGGAAGCTCAGGGCGAATCTCGTGGACAACTACTTCACGCAGGTCACGAGCTACTACTTTGGCGAAAACGCCGTGAGCATTCGCGGGCAGGCGTACGACGACATCTTGTGGGTGGTGCTCGGCTGGCTCGAGGCCGTGCGGTTCGTCGACACGCACACCAAGCTGCACTTTTCGCCAGCGTCGACGGCCACCCAGACGACCGGGCCTGGGCAGCATCTCGTCGGGGCTAGCGGTGGGCTCGCGGAGATTCTCGCGAATCAGACCTTCTTTGGCAACGTCTGGATCCCGCCCTTTGCGCACCGGGCCCGCGTGTTCTGGGAGCTCTCGACGCACGGCTGGGATGACGAGTACTGTGCCGGCGGGATGACGTGGAACCCGCGCCTGCTGCCGTACAAGAACGCCATCACCAACGAGCTGTTCATTGCGGCGTCGGCGTCCATGTACCTGTACTTTCCTGGAGACGACAACGGGTCTCCGTTCCTCAACGGAGGAGGTGTCGGCAAAGCCCACGGGCGTCGTCATCGTGGCTACGACGGCAGCGACGACGACGACGATGAAGATATGCCAATGTGGCCTCCGCGTGACCCGCGGCACCTCAAGGCCGCAGTCGACGGATACCGCTGGCTCGCGGCGTCCGACTTCACCGACAAGCAGGGCCTCATTATCGACGGCTTCCACATCAGCGGATACTCAGACCCCAAGAACAACAACACCGCCTGCGACGAGCGCAACCTGCAGATCTTCACGTACAACCAGGGCGTCGTGCTCACCGGTGCTCGCGGCCTGTGGGCGGCTACCGGGTCGCGAGCGTACCTGGAGGACGGACACAAGCTGATCAGGAACGTCGTGAAAGCCACAGGCTGGGACTTGGACAAGGATCGGCCTATCGCTGCTGCTGCTGCTGCGACTACTACTGCCGGGATCGGCGGCGGCGGCAGCGGCGGCGAGGACGAAATCAGAGCCTTCCGGACCCAAGGCACTTTGCCGTCATGGCACGGTCTCGGGCGCATGGGCGTCATGGAGGAGCTGTGCGACGCAAGTGCCACATGCAATCAGGACGCGCTCACGTTCAAAGGCATCTTCTTCCACCATCTCGCCACGTTCTGCGAGCCACTCTTCTCTGATTCTGATGCTGCTTCTGCTTCTTCTGCCTCTACTACTACTACGGAGCACAGGGGGAGACAACCACACCACGACGAACAAGATTTCGCCAAGACGCAGGCCATGCACGCGTCGGCATGTCTGTCGTACAAGTCCTGGCTCGCGAATAACGTCCGAGCCGCGCTAGGGACGAGGGACGACAGAGGACGGTTCGGGATGTGGTGGACTGCCGGGCTCCTGGCGCCTCTTTCTGCTTCTGCTACTTCTTCTACTTCTTCTTCCTCTTCTTCCCCGCCATCAGAGGCAGAGGGTATTCCTGACGGCGAATATGATATGGAGGACGCCACCGAGCAGTATGTAGGTTCCTGGCCGACGAAGCTCAACGACGGCATCCCCCGCAGCGGCAGTAGCGCAGGCGAACAAGACGCGGTACCACAGCCAGTGGACTACCGCAACGACGGGGTGCCGTGGGATTCTATCTGGCGCAGCGCGGAGGATCTCGCTGCGCACCACCACAACCAGCGCGGCGGCACCGGCAACCACCACGAGGGGCACGACCTGGCTGAGGCATCAAACGAAGACGAACGAGGACAACGACAAGGAAGCCGAGTGGAGGAGGAGGAGGAGGACAACACAAGGGCCGAGCTCAAGAAAAGAGGGCATAGTCGGGGCAATACCAGCAGCAGCAGCACCACCACCACCACCATCAGAGACCCAAACTCGCGCGGTGCAGGCCGGACCGTCGAGACGCAGGGCGGCGGGCTGGCTGTCATCAGGGCATACTGGAGCATCCTCGCGCAGGAAAAGTAGCTTCTTGGCGGGCCACTCTCGCGCGGGAATTGTTTATCGGTTTTGAGCGACACCCCACATGGTTTTGGCTTTGCGTTGGATCTTCTCTCTCTCTCTCTCACTTTTTCCTGGCTGCCCTGTCTGCTGCTGCGACATGGATTGCGATATGAAATGACTTGGGAGGAAAATGCCGGCACCACACTGAGTATATATATATGTTGGAACACCGAGCTGGATGCGCAACTTGTATATGATGGTCATAAAGAAGAAGATGATATAACGCGGGATGCACAACTCCCATGGTTACGTACATACAAGGCTAGCAAATATCATGAGATGCCAGACTTGAACACCCTTCTTGAAAGTTGAAACGTGACACGTATCAATCCCAGACTGCACCATAACTACAATGTCTCTCGTACAGTGGCATCTCTGAGCCTGCTCATAGGCCCATTCTCGGGGTCACGAAGGTCTTAGTTGTTCCGCCACTCGCTGCCGTTGGTAATGCCGCTCCTCTGCGTGTTGCTACCGGAGGGGCGCTCGTCCTCGTCACTCTCTTCGTCACTATCGTCGTCATCGCTGTCCTCGTCGTCAAGAGCCCGGGCCAGGTCATCAGGGTCCGAGATCTTGGCGTCAGGGTCGACCGGACCGTCGTCATCAGTGAAGCTGCTGCTGCCAGCAGCTCTCCCGGTGCGACCACTCTCCTGGTCATAGGTGCTGTCATCAGCGCTGATCGAAATGCCTCTGCTACCCCACTTGGACCTCCTGGCATTGCCAGCGGCACCATCGGACCCGCGACCACCAAGGGCAGGGGCGCTCTCCTCATCGCCATCATTGGCGTCCTGCTGGAAGCGCTTGTTGCCAAAGATGCGGTTCAGGAGCCAGCCGCGGCTGATGTCGTCGGCGTCAACAATGCCGCCATTGCGAAGCTTGACACGCTGACGAGTGTAGTAGACCCAGAAGAAGTCCACATATAGTGCTGTCTGAATGATGCCGAAGATAATTGAGACCGCGTTGGGTCGGCGATCGTTAGCATCAAGCTCTCGCCAGATCCAATTGAGGAGGTACAAGCCGCGGTACGATGCAAGCGCGAGCAGGTAGAATGAATCGATAACCGTCGGAACACTGGTCTGGCGGAGCAGGAGTAGCTGAGGCAGGACGCAGATAGACTCGAGGATCTGGGAAAAGTCCCAAAGCCACTAGAAAGAAGAAGCCAGCGTTAGTAACCCAGTATGTGTGTGGCGTGTCCAATGACAACCTACTGTGCGGAAAGACCACATTTCTTTGCCCTCGAAAATGAGCATGGCGAATGGTGACAGCAGGAGCGAGACCGCAAGCGCAGCACCGCCAAGCTTCCAAGCGACCTCGCGCTCCCTGGTCCGGGGGAATCGCCAGTACATGATGGCAACGATGTAGAAGGAGGAGGTGATGTAGAAGATCTTGAACATGATGTTCCAGGCGTGCGTCTCATGGAAGAGGTCTGTGTATCGGGAGCAGAAGACGACGGCGTAGAGGATTTGGGTGATCATGGAGACACCCTCGGCGCTCCGGTTGCGGTGGATCTGGACCATGAGGATGATTTTGGAGAGGAGGTGGGAGCAGTCTCCCAGGATGCGGAAGATCTGGAGCAGTTTCACAAGTCAGCGGCACTATCTCCGAGTCGGTTGGCGAGCGCCCAAAGCACCGTTACTTACGTTCCAGCCCGGTACAGCCATGATGGGCAGCTGGCGAGGGGAGTCGTGGGCCACAGGCCGATGTAATGATCCGTGCCCAAGCTTCAAGCAGGACGAGGTGCTCGTTCGGTGCAAGCTCAAGAAGAGGCAGCGATACCACAGCTGCAACGTAGAGGACGGAGGAAGCTGACGATGATATAGATGATGAGCTGAGCGGGAGCAGAATGTTGTTGCCTGCCCAGCAGATGGATCGAGAGGTACAGTAGGTAGCAGCGAGAGAGCTGTCCCAGCCCCAGGTCAAGTGGAGAGAGCTACGTGGACCCTGAGTGGTGGTTGCGCTACGCAGGCAGGCACGCGGCGGCATAGCTGCAGCTGACCCGGAGGCGCACCCCGGCCCCCGCCCGCCGCAGTTCCAGGTGTCCCAGCATGCCAGTCAACAAAGATGTGGGCCATGACGCCCGTACATTGGGTGCGACCCTGTCACAGTATGTACTGTACCAAACACTGTCTCGTCAACATCACAACTTCATGTCACAACCATGTCCATTGCTTTCCCCTGAGCAGAGCTCTGTCTGCATATCCTACAATCGGCTTCCTTTGAGCCTGTTTCCAACGCAATTCCATCCTTCCACTCGCCCCAATTCAGAAATCTCAAACATCTCAGGGGACACTATGCTGTAGGCTATCAGTGGCTTGCCGTTGTGCCTTTGTGAACCGTCAACCATGGCTCGCCCCGGATACAGGACTCAGCATCTTAGTTTCCGTGATTTCAGTCGCGTCTCAAGCCGAGCTCTACACTCCAGGATGCCTTCGCATCGGCAGCGCCGTTCGGCATGTGCGAGTATCCACACCGACACTTGACAAGTTGGCTTCCCTCCTCGTCCTGACCTGCCCCTACCGCCCGGGGCTCTTCTGGAGTTGGATATCCATCGGCCACATGCGTGAATGCTGGCGGTGGTAGAAGCCTGTCGTCGTCGCGGTCGTCGTGGTCGCCAGAATCATCACGTTGCCCTCCTCCCGACAAGCGTGATCTCTTGGGCAGTGACCCCTCCGTGGCCGCGTCGTCCTGTCTGTGCTTTTCACCAGAGCGATAATCCTGCATCCTCACGGCTCTTCCTGTGGCCGGGTCAATGAAGATGCCCGCGAAAGTGACGAACCTCTTCGCCACCTTCCCGCAGTGTCGCAGCGTCGTCCTGTCGCGCCTGGGCAATTCCTTCGCATGGGTCGTGGTGATTTGCAGCTCGGTCAGAGCGCTCGTCACATTCCGTCTGGTCACAGGCTGTTTCGGCGGTTCGACAGGAGTGATCTCCTGCGGCGGGATGTCATCAATGACCATGTGGTCCCCGAGCATGGTTTCGAGCTCGTCCAACGAAGGTGCAGGCGGGAATTTATCAGCCGGCGCGAGAAACTTGACCAGGTCCTTCCACTGCGTCAAGCTGACCAGAGCCGTCGCCTTGTGGTAGCTCGTGAGGAGATCCTTCTGGGTCGTCGGCGGCTGCAGCTCACCGACATCTTCCCATGCCAGCCCTGTCCGGTGCCACCAGGCCTCCGCCATGACGGTCATGTAGAACTTGGACTCCCAGGGCCGTCCGGGCGGCAGTCCAATGTTGGCGACCTCGTGAGACCAAAAGTCGACCTGTCCGCTGCCTCGCACGAGCAGCCAGTGCCAGACTGCCCACGCATGGACATTGTCAGAGCCGCGAAGGAACCACCCGACCCGACCGCGAAGCGCCACCTCGCGCTCAATGCACGCCGCGCACGGCTTGTGCAGAAACCCCGTGCTAATCGTCGTGGCCATGCCAGACCGCTCGGGCAGCCGTCCAAGCCACTTCCACAGCACCGAGTTGGACTCAAACTCGAGGTCTTCGAACCCACGCTCCCCTTGACCTCCTCGCAACACGGGCTCCCGGCACAGCTTGCAGCAGGGTATCCAAAGCGTCAGATGGCAGTGCGGACCCTCGGACAGTCTTGGGGTCCAGTCGGCCTCGGGCAGCGCGTCCGCCATGAAGGTGTTGCTGCTCATGCTGTTCGCATGCAGCTGCTCAATGTGCTCAGCAAACACGCGCGAGCGCATCTCGTTAGACACGAGCGTGTCCCACTCTGGCGGAAAGCTCCCTTGGACCTGCGACGCCGCCGGCAGCACGAATCCCTCAGCGTTTGGTGGTAATGGTACCTGCTGTGTCTGCTGTTGCGCGGGTGCCGCAGGTGAAGAAGATGAAGCGTCACCTCGTGGCGCACGCTGCCCAAACGTATTCACTCTCAACGCCTCGAGTTGCTTCTCCCGCACCGTCCAGTGGTAGTGCGTCACGCCGCTGTGCAGGCACGCGTCGCAGATAAAGTCCTCAACCGCCGCCCGTCGGCTATCTGGCGGTAGTGGCCAGACGAGGTTCGGACAGTGGAGGCGCGTGCCGTGTGGGAGGATGTTCTTGCTGGTGTCGCTGCTGCTGCTGCTGCCATGATAGCGGTTGTCACCATAGCGGGCGCCTGCGTCGGATGTCGCGGATGTCGCGGCCAGCGAAGACGAAAGAGACGACGCCGATGCCGCGAGACGCTTGATCTGCGCGCAGGGGCGGAAGCGGTATGTTCGTTCCGTCGTGGAGCTAGCCTTGCCGTTGAGTTCCGCGTTTGTCCAGGGAGGCTGGCAGACCTGGCAGCGGAGGCGAGTGATGCGGCACATTCTGTCCCTGTGCTTCTCGTCTACTCGGTGGATGTCAAAGAAAATAGAGTGTTGGTACCAGTATCGTGGCCTCGTCCGTTCTATGTTGACACTCTACTTGCTGGATCGAGTGGTGGGTCTTCTCCAGTGACTGGGAGAAGAGAGTTGTCTGGAAACCTTAGAGAGGACACAGCTCGAAATCCAGACGAAGACAGTGACAGGTGCTCAGACGAGTGTGTGCCGGACCTAATGACGCAACTCGGTCGACCCAAAGAAAGTAACGGTCCACTAGGAGTATTGAAAATTAGATCGTGAAGCGTGAGTGAGCTTTTCGTGAAGCGGTCACTGCCTCGCCTATTCTCTCATGGCAGAAGGGCTCTCTCTGAATTTCAAGTCCTGGTACCCCCTTGAAGGAGACACGCAGCCGCTGACACGGGCTTGATGACGAAGTTGGGAGCCCCGTTGGTACTGCTTTGAGTGCAGGACTCCAGAGGGTGCGGCCTGCTTATTCGTGCGAAATAGACAGGTTCGTTTTGGATGACGACGACGACGACAACGTGCTTTCGACAACAGTAGAACAAGTAGCGGCAGCAGGTGTAGTAGTAGGAACGAGAAATGTCCCGTGGCCAGGAAAAGGAGCTTTCTGGTTTTCCAGGCTGTTCCGCGTCGTCAGTAGTGCTGAATGTACCTTGTGAACTGGGTAACATTCACCGCCCCAACAGCGGCGCTGGAGACGACACAGATCTGTGCTGCTGCTGCGGCGGGAGACTGTAAAGCTGGCGAAGATATCGGCGCGCAGGTTATAGACAGACTGGGCAAAGAGCCAAGGACAACTCAAAAAGGTGGGATTAAACAGAAGAGTACAGTGCAGCTCGATCCAGATGAACGAGAATCGTCCGGTTTCAACGTATAATGCTATGTGCTTGACTGCTACTATGCTAAGTGGCTGCAAACTCGGTGTGTGTGCCTCAGTGGGAAGTAGTTAGGTGCCTCGTCTCGTTCCACCACAGTCTGTCCTCAATGTCTTTCTCCCAAGATTACTGGATGTGCTATGATACCTTAGATTTGAACGGCGCAAGTGGATCTTGACTTGCTATATGTTCCTCCACCTGGGCATTTCCTGGCATGGAGTGGGTGCTTACCGCCGATGCACTGTATCCATGATTGGTAAGATACTTTCAATAACATTAACAGTTGCCTCAGACACCCAGGCTGGATCTATAACTAGCACTTTCAAACGCCTACTAGACAAACAAAATTCACAGGTATGTGCTCGAGATTGGCTTATCCAAAATTGATCTACGGCCAAGTCTAGTACCAGAGACCCAAGTCTCTCAGCATAATAATAGATTGCAAACCGCGCTGACAACCTCAAAACCCAATTAGACTTGAAAGCCGCCGCGCAAGGACTCCGCGCATGCATGCAGACTTGGGAAAAACAACTGCTCCCAGTATTGGCACAACCCAGGACAAAAGAAATGAGGTGTGTGGCTCTTTTTGCCCCAAATACCTTGGGACACCACACAAGGGGTATCGTGATATTCCGCATCGTGACATTGGGCATGATGCGCGTCAAGCTAACCACCTGAGAACCCCCCATTGCTAAACGACATTTCACAGGCAGACGAAAAAAAAAAAGAATAGGTAGCGGAGTCTCCAGCCCCAGTACGCCTTTGCAATGCGAAATCACCAAATGAGACTAATATCACCGAGTAGGCCCAGAGTAAAAATTGCCAGCAAACGCGTACTCGGCCTCCCAGCGGAGAAAATCGCCCAGGTCCGACGTCAAGTTGCAGCCCATCGGTACAAAGTCGACGTTGTCGCTGCTCGAGTTGTGGACGACCTGGAGACCCTCGGCGGCGGCGGTCGCGTCCAGCATGAGGACCTGCTTCGAGGTGTCAATTTCCAGCCGTCTTGTCGCCGATGCGCTGTCATCGGTGTCGTCGGCATTCCTCCACTTGCGATGGGCGTTGTAGGGATTCGATGGCGACAGCGAGTATGCCGCGAGGTCGTCAGAGAGCTCATCCACATCCTCTTCGTCGTCGTCTTCGTCTTCGTCGTGCTCATCTGAGCCGTCGGACAGACACGTGAACGAGTCGGCGTTCTCGCTAGAGTCCATGCTGCTCCTCCCACTGCCGCTACCGCTGCCGTCGCTCGGCTGCACGGTGGCGTCAGGGTTTTTCTGATCGGCAGACACGAGTGCTCCTGCGCTCTCAAAGTTCCAGGTCGTCCACCAGGCCACGACATCCTTGGCCTCGTCAGCCTCTCGGCGGCGGGTTGTCTCCTCGTTCTCGGAATACCAGTCGCCGGCACCACCCTGGATCGCCATCTGGAATGCAGTCCAATCGAGCCCGTCGTCGAACCCCATGATTCCATCTTGAGGCATCGGCGGCCGCGAGACACGGATGTGACCATGGCGGAAGCGGGGCGCAGTCAGAGTACAAGGCGTAGACGGGAGATATACAAAGTCTCCGCTGCCTCTGCTGCTGCTGGATGACGGTGGTTCGCTGATCATTGCAGAGGCTTCCGAGTCTTCGGGCAATGAGGGCAGCAGGGGTGACAGCTTCTTCCTGGCAAGCGCGGACCGAAGCGGGTTCTTGGCGGGCGGAAGCGGCGGTGGCGGCGACGGCAGAGAAGGTAATTCCTCCTGAGATGTAAAGACTGGGCTGCCGCACTCTGACGGCGTGCTGTCGTCAAGAAATGTGAAACCGGGCTCGTCATCAGACAGACGGCCGTCCAGGTCTTTCGCAGTGGAGTTTACGGTTGCAAGGCTGAGAGCCGTCCGCGTCGGCTCGTCGCTGCTGTAAATTGATGAAGGACTGTCGACGAGCGGTGGCGTCCTGGGACCCGTGGAAGAGCCGTTGCTCGATTCACTCTGATCTGGCAGCATCGACTCGAGAGACGACCGCGACCCCGCGGCCTTCTCCCGTTCTTGCACCTCCTGCTCCGCAAGAGCGAGGGACATCTTTCGAATTTTGAATGCCTCGATCTGGATGGGTGTGACAACCTCGTCGGCCTCGATCTTTTGGAACATCCTCATGCTGAACAAGTCCGACATGTTGCCCGGGATGCCCCATCGTCGTCCAGCCTTCTTTGAAGACGCCCTCGAGGCGGTAGTGGCTTTTCGTCGGGGTGGTGAGGTTCTCGACTTCAAGGACTTTTGCGACTTCTGGCTCTTCACGCTCTTGGTCGACTTTCTCCGAGGCGGCAGCGAAGGCTGTCTTGCAGTGCGGGCTGCAGACTTTGGTGGTACTGAGCGAGCAGGATCTTTGGGGGGTGGTGTAGGGGGAAGTGACGGAGAGGAGGCGTGGCTAGCCCGAATGGCTCTCATTTCAACCAGAGCAGAGTTGACGGCATCAAACGCATTCTCCGTGTCCCGCACGAGCTGCTCAAAGTTGCTCGATGCTGTCGAGGTTGGAGACTCGTCGGGTTCCCCATTTGTGACTGTAGAAGGAGCCTTATCCGCCTGAGCCGCCGTCATTGAGGTTGTCGGTACAAATCTGGACCGCAGTGCCGGGCGGCTGTCATCGAGCAGGTTTTCTGTGTTGAGCTGGGTTGCTATGTGTGTGGTTGACTTCGAGGTCAACGCCGGCCGGGCAGCGAGCATATCCTCGCCCCATGCAAAGTCCAGGGCCGTTCTGGCCTGAGGGTTCGCAGGCTGGGACACGGATTGAGGGTCGAAGCTGAAGTCGTCGAAGCTGAGCTCTGGCAATGCGCCAAGCACGTTCACGCTGCGCGGCCTCTCGATCACGCTGGCGGACATTGCTCGTTTTGTGCCCGACGACACTGGAAACACGGCCACGGACTCTGGCCTGCCTCTGACCTGATCTGCTTGCTCGCTTGTGCTGGGGAGGAGGCGGTTCTGCATGCGGGCCAGTTTGCTATTTGCGAACGAGAGGCTGCTCCGCCGCCGAAGATCAGAAATGGAAAACATGATGGCCTGGTGTGACGAGCGCGGGGGCGCCCTTTTTGCAGACAAACAGATACAGACGGAATCTCTGGTGGCGTCGGTGTGGGCGATGGCACGGGGCAATCGGCCTTTATGGAATCAGGCCGTAGGAGGTCGATGGTCTGCGTGCAACAGGTGCCAAGGCTTGTGGCATACAGACGACTGCTCTGCAGACAGGAGAGCCAGACGAATGCATACCAGAGAGGGAGAATGGGATATGCTGCTTGCAAGAGGAGCAGCCAACCTAGAGTTTAACAAGCAAGCAAAGGGACTGATGGATGGCACTTGATAGAGAGGCAGGTTCACCAACCAACAATGCAGTTGGGGGGAAGCATGCCAAAGAAATGCAACGGGGGCCTGTGGGATCGTGGGCACCCTGGGGGCGAGGGCGGCAATGACACGGGGTGGCTGCATAGCAGCCTGCAAAGCCATGCCTTGTGCATTTACTGTACTACATGACTGAGGGTCGTCCAGGCCACGCTTTGCTGCCTTCTCGTAGGAGCTGGCAGCGTGCAGGAGGGTGGTGGTCGAAGGCGTTGACAGGCAGGGTGTGCGTAGTAGCAGGACCCCTGCCTGTGATGACATAGCCCTGCCCTGTCCAGCCCAGGACACACTAACCCCCAGCTATTTTTGTCGGCGATTGGCGCTGGTGGGGTCCCAAGGTCCCCGGCATGATCGGCAGGTAACGTTAGCTGAGGGAATCGCTGGTCCCCCCAAGTGGGATCCGGTCACCAGCTGAACGCCTCGAGCCCAGATAGAGACCTTTGCAAAGGATTCACAGTTGCTTGGCAGTGACGACTATGCCCGCACAGCAGACAGATCTGCGCCTTTGAGCCTCGATCCAACGCTGTGGAACTGCCATGCGTCGCCGATTCCAGCCAGGGCCATCCTCCAGCCCGGGCCTAGCGGGCACTCGGGCGAAGCCAGCCAGGCGACAGTGACGACGCGAGGAATTTGTCATTCTGATTTGCCGCGTCGAGGCGTCATGCACGCAGCATTGACACAACGCGGAACTCGACGTCGGGAGCTCGTTTGCGCAGCGCTGGCCGGCCATTCAAAGTCGAGGCCATGTCTCCAACGGCCTCGGTGGGCTCCTACATTGACGGCACCGCCCCCGGAGGCTAAGCGCATTGGCGCACATTCCGCGCGGGTTCCAAACCTTGCGGGAATGGCCGCGGGGAGGCCGAGCTAGACGCCATGGCGCAGGGAATCTCAGGCGGGAGTTCTCAAGCGCCGTTTGCCCGGCTCGAGTCTCGGTCAACTTTTGACTCGTCGCCTACCGCCGTTGACTGATCTCGGCGCGGGCGCTTGGCGCGTTTGCAACGAGACTGCCGATATGACATGGTGGGGTTTGGAGGATGTAAGTTGCCGTCATCGTCATCGCCAGCATCATCACCATCATCTCGTTCGCCGCGGTAGAAAGGAGTAGGACTTGGTGTCTTGGACATCTGGGGTCCTGGCTCTCATCCACAGAAGTGGTCGCTGACCGCGCATGGGATGGAGACCAACCGCCTGCGGTGCTGTCAAGACGTCAGTTGCCGAACAGGTAACATCAAGACCTTGTATGTCCCAATTTGGGTAATGTGACGGGAATGGAGCAGACACGGTAGTGGTCCCCCCTCTGGTGTACAAAGATGACCCCCGGCCGGACGATCCCATCGAGGCGAGGCTGCAGCTCCGCCATGGCCGTTCAAGGCAAAGAGTCGTCAAACGGGTGGCAAGGTGTGCTGAGCAAGGACTGCTCCAGCAGCGCCGATCGGGGGAGACAGGCGGGGTAAGTAACGGCTCTCGAGAGGCCACGGGGAGACAGCTGCACGTAACACACTCCCGTCTACCATTATTGGTGCCGGCCCGTGACTGACATCACCGCCTCCCGAACCCTAATCCAGTCCCGTCGCGGGACACCTCGTCCTGGCGTCACCTGTGTGAACGCCCAGTAACTGCCTTGAGTTTTGTCCGTCCACCGTCTGGTCCCACCGCTAACGCGGGCAGCTCGCGGTCCGCATTCCACAGTCGTGCCCCAAGTCAGGATAGGATGGTACGCTGCGTCTGTTCAGAGGAAGTGGCTGTTGTTGGCACTGTCGAGGAAACCTCTCTGGACGGTGCCCGTGTTGTTGGACCCTTGGATGCAGACCAGGGTCCTGGGGCTGGCGGTCTTCTAAAAATTACTATACTGACCCGGACTCGGCGATGCCTGGGCTACCCCCAGCCCCGAGCCCCCACTGCATCAAAGTTACTTAAAGGAGCTGACCGTTAGACGAGCAATCGAGGCAGAAGACATGTCCAAGACCTCCCTGACCAGCCGCCGGGCTGTCCGTTTGACGGCGAGGCATCAAGCCAGTTGTTGCCGAGTTTGGACCAAGGATCATCGGCCTGGTGAACACTGCTGGCAGCCTTCTCCAATGTGCATGAGGACTGACTGGTATCTTGCGCTGCCGACAAACAAAATCAAAAGTCCAACGTTTGTCCATTGGAATGTGACAGTCCACTCCCTGGCCGTCGTTGGTCCACGGACGCGAACGTACGTTTTCGACAGACCCTATGGGTCCATCGTATGGATTGATCGTATGGGTTTCTTGGACATGGGCCCCTCCCCCTGGCCCTGCTCTCGAGCACGCCGAGCAATTGGAGTTCCCGCATCACCATTTCAAATCGCAGAACCGCACCCACATACGCCCGTACGAGCATCAAACTGTGCAGACGTCTTGTTCACAGGGCATGATTGTGCCATGTCGTTTTTGCATGAACGCAGACGACGCATCCTGCCAGAACTACTCAGTGATGTCAAATAGTCTCACCTCGAACAAAAGCTTGACCCTTGCCATGGTCGTGATGATACCTGCCTACGGACCCTTGGAGCACTTATTTGAGGTCATTACTAAACCCCCGCGTGTGGCGCCTGCCTTGACACACTACACTAACAATGCAGTTCAACCAGCCTCCCGCCGTGCTGATTGTCCATCCAGCATGAGCATGCCAGGGCAAATGCAAGGGGCCCTGACTCGAGTATCCTGTCGAATTGCTCTTCTCGATATCGGAAAGTACCAGGTCGTCTTTGTCTCTTTGTTGGTGATGCTGGAGTTTGTCGCAGGAGATCGGGTGGAGCACATGGCGGACGTCGGCACCACGGATAATATTCAGACTTCGCTGGTAGGTCCAGACTCACAAAGAAGACATGACAGGGAACGACAAGCCGAAGCTTTACTCACCTGCGCTTTTCTCTATTCTGAAGCATTGTGGCAGCCCGAGCCTGGTGCTGAAATTCCCTTGAGCAAATCTGCCTGTTACAAGATCGACTTCTGCATGCAGTGTCGTAAAGTGTGCAATTGCTGTGCAGCAAAGACCAATAGAGGCGTCGAGCCGAGTTTCCCATCAATTCCACCCTGGCAAATACACTTGACGGGTAACTTTGCCATCTTGTTTCACAATTGTGGCGTTGGAACTGGGCCTGGTGATGTTTTCATGCGCTTACTAAACCCGCTTCACTTACACCTCGGGAACTTTGCTCACTAGACACCCCTCAAGGCACGTGCAGGTGGCACACTTGTGACATGAGGTCGGCGTTTCTTCTTGTCCAACCTTCGTGGAATAAGTGCCATCGGCGGACTTATCTCCGGGTCTCGAAATGCTGCATTGCGCTCCACCTAAGCTATTTCTTGGAAGGCTTCATTGCGAGCCACAGTGGACAACAGCGCCAAGTCGAACGTGCTAGTGATAGGAGGCTAGAAAAACAATGCCGTACGTGGGGGGCAAATTGTCCTCGTCGAATTGTCAATGACATGGCTCGCTTCGAGCGGTCAGGTATCCAAAAGGTGAGTAATTGCACGAACAGGGTACCGCGGCAGGTTGCCTCTTGGGGCGTCCGGATCTCTGATGCCCGTGATGGAGGTTGTCCCACAGCTTTGCACACTGCGAGAGATGACAAGACTGGCAAGGACGGCACTTGAATGCGTTTCAGATTTGGAACGCAACATCTTCGCCGGTCCAGAGTCGTCAGTTCAGGGCTAGAAGGTTGATTTCACTGTCCCTCTGACTTTAGGTAGTCCGAGGACCACGCCAATCGTCTGCTGGGTCATTTGCGAATTGTGATTGGAGAGAATGGAGATGACGAGACTTATTACTGTGCCAGGGCTGGGGCTGAGAAGTCATTCTCAGAATGCCTGTGGTTGGCTACAGCCGCCCGAGAAGAGGCGGGGGTCCCGCTGGGCTGGGACATGCCAGCCTTGATGGCAAAGCCTTATGCAGGGTCTGGATTGGGCATAAAATCTCGATTCGAATCGGCATCCTCACAAGAATGTCCAGCCAGTGCACAAGCCACGCAAGGGGGTTGAAGTCATGGGTTCGGGGAACGTGAAAGCTAAGAATAAATGCCGTTGGCTTGGATGTTTGGCAGGGTGCTTCCCACGACACCTCCATGGAACCATTGCACAATGTTTGTCATTGCATTCCAAATCGTGTTGGTGCTGCTGGCGACACACGCGAGGGAGTCGGGAGGGCAGTCAGCCCAGTCATGCACGAGCCGGCTGTTGAGGAATGTGGCGGTGTCTGTCAACAGACATCCCTCATGGTGAAGCACAACTCGAAATAGAGACTGGCTTCCAGCTATGGCGCAAGCAATTTGGCTGACTGTGCGGATGGAGGTGGCCATTGCACTTTTGCCATGCACACAACACTGGTTGTAATTTTGTCTCTGCGGCGACCGGCAGAGACAGACAGAGACTGTCGTGGCTGGGTTGCGACAGTAAGTCTCGGTTTATGCGTGACCGCCGTTGACGCCCAATACTCGGGTCTTGTGGCTCTGAGATCTGGCTCGGACAGCCGTCCACGTGCACACCTCGAGTCGGGGACATTGTGCTGGCAAGCGCGACCCGGTCTGGTCTGGTTGCAGGCTCCGCACCTGCACCCACTCTTCACTCGTCCCTGCCACGCTGCTCAAGTGGCTCTGGGCCACGCCAGACAGACAGACCAGACAGCCAGACAGAAAGGCCTGGCTCGCGACCGCCAACATACAACAAGGGCCTGCCTGACTGACTGACTGGCTGGCTGCAACACGGCACGCGGCTTGCCTCCTTGCTTTTGCCCACTGAGACAAAGCCCTTGTCCCCATCTTCATTTCGACACGCAACGCTCGCAGAGACGCTCGCAACAGACTGAGCAGACCAGATCGCGACTCGAATCGACTCTGCCAGCCAGGTGCTTGCTTGGCACGCTCTCGGGGTACCGTACATACTGGACACTCGCCCCAGCGGACAACCCCCAGCCGGCGCCGCTCTCGCAGCGGCTTTGCCCGCCCACACAGCGTCCGTGCACCACCACCCTTTGTGCATTCGGCTCTCGTCCGCCTCAGGCGAGCCCAAGGGCGGTGCCAGCACCTCCCGGACTCGCCAGGCACGCACTCGTGTCCACCGGCACAAATCTCACCACATCCGGACAATCCCACGCACTTCCTTCCCAGAACATCCAGCCTGCCCAACATCCAACCGCTACCCGCGACACTGTAGCCTGCCACTTCAGAGCCAACGGTCCTGCCGCGCGCGGCAAACACACCCCTCGGCCATTTAGCCTTCCTGCGGCCTTTGCATCTGGACTAGTCGCCTCCAGCCGCCTCCAACCCTCAGCACGGCTGAGCGCAGCAGCACGTTACACGCACCTCTTTCCACGATATTTCGCAACGCCTCGACAGCTGGACCATCACACCACGGTGACACCAAGCCCCGACGTTCGCAACAATGAAGGGGCGTCCTGTCGATCAGCTCGTCTACGAGTACATGTTCCCCAAACCCCGTGCTACGGATCCGCCAAACTTCCACTCTCTACTGCACCGCCACCTCATCCTTGAGGTCCGCCAGGAGGTCCAGGCCTACTTTGGCCACATCAGCACCCAAGAGGCCAAGTACCCGGGCCTGGACTATTCGCATCGCATCCATCGCATACGTCTCTCGCGCTGGCCATGGCATCGCCGCCTGTTTCGTGCCTTTGACGGGCTGGGCCTTACGCGCTCCGAGATCGCCACGCTGACAAAGTGGGAGGGCACAAAGTGGGCCAAGGAGCGGTTCGAGCGAGACTCTGGCATCGTCATTCGCGATTCGGCTGGCGATGGCATCGAGGACTGGGTCGAGGTTGAAGACCGCGTTTATGGAGCACGTGGTTCCCAGCGAGAGGCCAAGCAGATCGAAGATGATGAAATTGCGGTGGAAAGAGGCGACGAGGAGATGGAGCAAGACACCTACAACGACGACGAAGATGAGGACGAGGAAGAGGAGGAAGGCGCGGACGGTGGTGAACAGGACCGTGCTCAAGACGACGAGAGCGAAGGCGAGCTTGAAAGCATTGGGGTCGCGTTGAACGAACGCCTCCGGGAGCGAGCGGCGAGACACCAGGCTGGCGACACGTCTGAGCCACTGGACGAGGACTGGGAGCAATGGCTCAAGAATGCGATCGAATCTGGAGAGCTGCCGTTCCTGACAGACCAAATCTTGTCGAGGCCCGACAATCCTACGCCTGTCCCGCAAGCGCTCTTTCCGCCGCGGATGTTGAGTGCGGCACGTGCAGGAAACTGGCACGAAATCCCCGACTTCCTTCATGGCATATTGCGATGCACGCTGGAGTCCGAACGTGCCGCTACCGCCCGTAACATTGCACGCCACCGCCAGATGGTCGCCTTGAATAGCAACCCATACCTTGGCACACTGGACACCTCAGAGGCGCGTAGGCGCACCTTTTCAGATTTGCGACTTCCCATTGGGGAAACGGGAACAGCGCCGACCTCGAGTCTTCGTTCCTCGCATCTGGCCGAACCCCGAGCGTAGAAATTTCACGTTTATCGTCACAACGCAAGCTGTGGTCGTCGTCAACCACCCCCAATCACGATTATGATACCCCCTTTACCACGAACGGAAGACGTCTGTTTGTGACTAGCACATAGACAAGAGACATCAACGCATCACTCGCGGCTGACCTCGCGACCAATCCAACCGTCTTACTCATCCTGCCCCTTTACTCAATTTGTACATATTTGGACAGATCCTTCTGGAACACAGACATAGACAAGCCGGGCTTGCCTTTTCCATATCATCACCAATGTTTATGCCTTCTGCCAAAAGTTGTGGGACCCTGGGCCACGGGAGTTGCCGGCTCATGGCGACGAGACGTATCATGTTGCCACGAGCACTTCCGCAAGTTCCAGCACAATCACATGTTTGCTTGCACCCACACACGGTTTGATTATTGGCTATACACACATGAATCCAAGCGAGGTTATTTGAATTTTTGTGACTTCTCAATCTTTTTTTACCACTTTAGACAAATACAACATCACCTTCACAGTGATCCACGAGGCTCTCATTGTTCATGTGCACGTCTCAAACTCGCATAGAGTCAAAGCAAGTCCTCGACCGGCCTAGAGAATGGTGAAAATCAAACCAGAACGCCATCTTCTCTCATGATCGCTTCAAAAGCAAAACCCCAATTGCCCCGCCCAGCCATGTTGCGCCTATATATATAAAGTCCACAAGATCAACAGAAAAGTGAGATGGTCCAGGGTGACAACCAACATGTGCCATATCCAGTCTTGCCACCAGCATCAGCACCAGGCGGCCTCATGGCTCCAGATGCGACCACTCGGGAATCCCTTTGATCTGCTGCCACATGAATTTCTCGAGCTTGTTGGCGCTCTTGGCATAGGGCGTCGTCTCGTTATTGTACTTGCGGCAGTTGTCAAAGACGAGCTTGGCGTCCTTGATGAACGCCTCTGGCGTCTCGTACTGGTCTGCCTCGAGCTTGGTCTCCATTGTGCTAAAGTCCATGGGCTCCTTGATGACCTCGTAATAGTCGTGGACCTCGTCCTTGTTGACAGGGTTGAGGAAGGGCCATGCCGACGCGTGGTTCTGCATGTCGTTGAGCAGGTGCAGGAGCTGGTTATAGTTGGGTCCGTGCCTGGGCTGCCGCGCCAGCTCGTCCATGTCAGGCGACCAGCCCGACGCGCGAATCGCCTCTATCGTCAAGGGGTCCAGTGGCGTCACGCCATTCTTCCAGTGCTTCGGGGGCTGGTGGATGACGTGTGACTTTGAAAACGCGCGGATCTTGGCCTGGACGCACTCCTTCTGCTTAAGTAGCATGCGACCCATTTCGAGATAGCGAATCCTAGGAACCATGGAGCACTGCATTATCGTGCCTCCCTCATAGTCCTTGATGTATCCCATCCACACTGACCGCGGCAACGTAATCTCCTTGGTAAAGCCTTGCTTTTTGAAGTAACCGATGGCGTAGTTGTCCGCATACGTGAGGAAGTGCATTACGTCGCTGGTCGCCTTTACATAGTCCTTCAGATGCGACATGAGATGTGCACCGTAGCCCTTGACTTGCTGGTCGCTGCTGATGGCGCAGAACACAATCTCGGCAAACTGCCGGCCTTTGAAAGGGCGATATGTGATGCCGCCCACGACCTCGAGCGGTTTCTTCACGATGGCGATCGACAAATGTGTCCGGTCGTACACGAGTCGGGCTATGTAGTCCTTCGGCATCTTGGGGAGCTGCTTCTGGAAGATGCATTTGAGACCGGTGAGGATGATGAGCGATTCGCGTTCGTTGTCGTTGTTGACCACCCGGAACTCGATCTCCCCTTCTCGTTCCTCAATAACCGCTGGCTGTACCACCGGCTGATCAGTATCGGCAGTCGTCGCTTGCAAATAGGAGCGCGAGGCTTTCGGGGACGCATACCTTCTCTGGGAACGGAATCCGCTTCAAAACAGGCTTTTCGTCCTTTTCCTTCTCCTTGTCGGAGTCGCCCGATTCGTCATGTTTCGCGCGCTTGTTGGCGAGCGGCGACGAAGGCTCGTCGCTCGCTTTGCGCTTTCCGTCTGGTACACGTGGAATTTCGAGTCAGTAACAGACCTAGATTTTGGTTCTCCGGGCAAAATAACTAACTTTCTTCCTTCACCGGCATCGCTGGCGCAACCAGAGACGTGTTCAGCCACTACGCGACGAGCGGCATGGATGCGAATGTCGCACTTGGCTGAGATCGTGTGGGCCGGTGACCCGGTCCTTGGCAGGTCGTTGTGTCTAATAGAACCGCCTCAACTGCAGGCCGTTGTATACTGTGAACGCTCTGGCGGTTGTAGCGGTGACCTTGTCGCGCGGAGGCGCGTACTGTCAGATCGTCACTGGTCGTCTAGCGATCGTGAGGTCAACGCACGCAGCCTGGGGTTTGGTGGAGCCTCCTCCCTGTGGATTGGAGGGGGAAAGCGGCTGATTCAGCCCGAGCTGCCCTGCGCTGGCTGTTGCACGGTCTGCGCACTGGGTCCTGAGACTGTGGCACCTCCTGCATCTGGCTTGTGGCGGAGAAGACAAGTTGCAGGTGGTGAGGTCGCAGACGTGAGCACGGAAAGTGGGCCCTGAGCGATCAAGGGTACCCAGCCAGCTAGCTGTTAGCTAAGGCAGTTACGTTGTCGCATTTGACCTTCCAGCAAAGTACCTGCCAGATCGCAATCCGTCACTTCACGCAACTTTCACGCGCCGACTTCCCAAGCAGATTTCACGAATCGCAGGTTTTCAGCCAAACTCACGACTGTGCCTAGCACCGCTACTAAGCTCTCCTCGGCACACACCCTGCGACTCAATCCCTCAGTTCTCATGGATCCCTCCGTCCTCGAGCTCTGGCAGACTGCTTCGGGCACCCCCTTCCTCCCAACTGTCGGCAAAGGAAGCCAGTTCTTTGTTGGCTTCTTGCTCCTCTGCATTGGGCTGTCTTTGACCGGTGCATTCACATTGAGTACGACCTGCCAACCCTCTTCGATAGCCTGCACGGAACTGACAAGGTTGGGTACAGATCGTTCCCTACTGAATGTGCCTTTGATCGGCCTCCCTGCTTCGGTCTGTTTAGCGTAAGACCTCCTCAACGACCCTCGGTGACTGGATGTCGTGCTGATGATCAATTCTACCACAGTTTCGGAACTGTCTACATGTTTTGTGCCGTGGGCGTGTACGTTTAGCAAAAACCAAGAATATACCCGTCCTTCGAGACCATACGCGCTTGAGACAGCATCCACACTTGACGACTTCATTGAGCCTTACGAGCGCATTCCGGGTGCATGACGGTGCCGTGTTCTGCTTTTCGATTCATAATCGGCTATTCAGACGATATCGGGCGGCATACCAACCGCCTTCACATCACAGTATCTCTGATACTACTGAGACTTCTGTTTCGACGGAAGCAGCGTTATTACAATGGCACCTTCGACGGCTGTTCCACAAGATGGGCAACAGCCAGTTTTCCGGGCTGTCGCCAGCTCGACACGACAAATATTCCAGCTGCTGAAATGCATCAGCTTCACCACAAAAGTACATGTCCAGATCACACCGGATGGCATCCGATTCGCTGCAGACCATTCTCGAGTGATGCAAGGTAGGTTGTGGCTGATCGAGAACGGAGGGACTCGGCGAGGAAACACCGGGCTGACGGCATGCAGGCGTCGCATTTCTTGACAAGGCTCTTTTCACCACATACACTCTACAGCTCCCCAACGACAATGAGGACCAGCCATTCCCGCAATTTCAGATGAACCTTTCTGCACTTTTGGAAGCTCTACAAATCTTTGGTGCCGCAGATGCCGCAGCTCGACAAGCCAAGGCTGACGCAGAGCCTTATCGAAGCAACTTGCGTAATTATCGCCCTGACGCCTTCAGTCACCAAACACTGGGGATGCCCGGCAGCTGCTGTCTTATGTACGAAGAGGATGGATCGCCGCTGGGAGTGATACTGGAGGAGTCTGGGGTCAAGACACAATGCAATCTCGTCACCTACACGCCAGACTCTCCAGAGGACATTCCTTTCGATCGAGACGACCTCACATTCAAGATCATCATGCAGGCCAGATGGCTTCTAGACGCCCTATCAGAGCTCGCGCCAATGTCGCCAGCACGAGTCACCATCCGTGCGTCCCCGAGCTTGCCTTTCCTCAGTCTTTCCAGTGGCGGTGCGCTCGGCAGTGCCACTGTTGACTTTGCTAGCGGGCGGGACCTCCTCGAAACATTTTCCGTTCGGGAGACCTGGGCACAGAGCTTCAAATTCGACCTCATTAAGTCCGCTAGTGAGGCCATGCGAATAGCCAGCAAGGTCAGCTTCCGTGGAGATGGGCAGGGCGTGCTCAGCCTGCAATTCATGGTTGAGGTCGAGGGTGGTGCTGTAAGCTTCTTGGACTTCCGGTTTGTGCCATACATCACGCAGGAAGATGAAGAGACCGACTCCGACGAGGAGGCGGCGTAAGTCTTGCTCCGAGACGTCATCAATCATGGCGGCTCTGTGGCTTCCACGTGGCGCTCATACATGAAATCGATAGTGGGCGTAGAGCCATACCCTCGAGGTCAATACAAAAGATGCAAGAACGCTCTGCCGCTGCAGACTATCGAAACCAGCCATTGAACAGAATGTCTGCCATCTTAGACTCAACTTTGTGACCTGTTGGCAGTGCATCCCCTGATGCAACCAGCCGAGCCAGCCAACCCCAGCGTTCATAGAGGCCCACGAGGCCCCTGACGACATACTTGAGACGCGTTCGTGGTGGCTGACCATCAATCTTGTGCTATGCCTCATCAATCCAACAAAGTCTGGACCAATCCTCTGCCGCGAAATGAGCTGGACGTGAGAGCTGAAGGTCGAACCACTAGCCATCCTCGGGTCGGACTAGACAAGATAGCTCTGGGTGGCGTTGGCTAGGTTGCGCCGCGTCCCGCAGAACACCTTCAATTGCGTGCGGCTCTGAAAGTGCTGTGGGAAAGCTCGAGGTTATGGACGCCTCCGCACCGCCAAGCAAAGCAATTTTCGTCTTGTTAGTGTCCCGGGCCCAAACCATGCAGCCACGCGAGGCACCGCCCATGGCCGCAGCGCAGCGCCCCTGTTTCGACTCTCGCCCTGCTTCTAGATCTGCATCCAGTCCCCGAAGCTGGGATTCCTGGATCAGTAATGCGGAGTGCATGTATTGAGGGACCTAGACCTCGAAGATTTTCGAGCATCTCCAGGAGGCCGATTTCTGCAGTGGGCGTGGACAGAAGTAGACCGCGCGAAGCAATCCTCGGGGATGGTCAGAACTCCATCTTGGGGGATAACTCGGTCTTTCCATGGAGGACTGGGTGCATGTTTTTGTTCGCAGGCAATTTGCATGTATCGATCCAAGCCTGGCATGACTGAGTGGCAAAGAGTCAACAACAATAGGAGACTACTGAGCGGCAGGACCCCCGCTTGTCGTCGTAATGGACGCGTGGCGCCGTGGTCGGGGCAGCCGTCGCAGTTACTCAACTCATTCCTTGGCGACAAGCATGCCAGTTCTAGATCTCTGTCCCGCGACTCCAGCGTCGGGCCAATCGCTCTGGTTGCTCCGGGCTCAGCAACACGGCCAGCCAGTCCAGCTCGGCTGATGTGCGAGGAGGTTGCGCTCCTGGCGTTAGGGCGAGGGCGCCAGCGACGCCACGTCCGCGCCCATGGAGCTGAACTTTGGCCGGAGCCCCTCGTGGCATTCCCACGTTCGCTCACTAAGGCGGCCTTAGCTTGCGCAGCTGAGTTACAGCGGCCGCCTTTGTCCGATAAGCTGCGATGGCATTTCTCTGTAGCGGTTTTTGGTTGGAGCTTCTTATATACTCGCTTGGTTCTGTGTTTTGCTCGTCTCCGTGTTGCTCTCAGCTCTTCTCCTTATTCCGCTTTTCGGCTTGCCGACAACTACATCGAGCTTCGTAGCTTCTCTTAACTCAACGAGCAAGTGCAAGGTCAAAGATCGACACATTTCTTCGTGTACTTCTCATACTACTTCCTATCTTCGGAAACCACAAGAACGCCTACATCTCAGTTCACAAACCACCAAACTACCTGTTGGCCGTGGGAAGTCGCCGTAGACACCTCTCCTCCAATTTCCCTCCAATTTCATCTTCGCCCATATACGCAGCAAGACATTCCGCAGGGAAACAGCCATCACCCCCGTTCAATATGTCCCACTCCTTTTCCCGCATGGTCGACTTCTTCCTCCCCGGCCACAGCGAGAAGAAGCGGGCCTACCACGAGAACCAAGACCGCGAGAGGCGGCGGCGTGGCTCGATACCGTCAAACGGCGAAAACGACGGTGCCGAGGAGTCTTCTTCTCCACCAACACCATCTTCAGCAGCGGCGGGGGGCAAAAGCGGAGCGAACACGAACAACAACAACAAGAGACAGCCGTATGTGCCCCAGAACGCGGCCTCCGGGTTCCTGGCGACCGCTACGCCAAGGCACATGAAGAACAAGGCCAACGAGATCTTGACGTGAGGACCGCGGTCTTTTGAGGATATTGTGTGTGAAAGAGAGAGAGAGAAAGAGGGCAGTGAAGCGACAGCTCCCCCCCTCTCCTCCGGTGCCCTTGGGGGATATCATCATCCGAGTGGAGTCATACTTGATGAAAGCGGGAAGAAGAATCGCTTATGCGCTCGGCACCAACCGATCTTCAGGGGGCTGCAGAATTTCACACACCAATCCGTCGTTTTTTCACGATGGCGGCGAGATGGGGGGAAATGGAAAACGACCAAGTGACCGGTTTTGCGCTCGTCGGGTTGATATGATCACTCAGCAGGGGAGAGGCGCTTTTGCGTGCGAGGCAGTGTACATCGATACAGCATGTACAGTCCCATATACCCGGATCCAAGGGGACGATGCCGCAAGCCTCCAAGTTGTGGGACCTGGCCTGATGTATTTCCCCCGATCGGGCTGGCGGATGAGTCTCGCGGCGCGGCGCAGAAGAGAGTCCTATCCGTTCAATGTCATCGGTCAAATATTTGACTGACAACGAAAAAACCCACCCCCTACTGCTCGGACAGCACCAGAGCAAGAGCTGCACCTTATCCTTGGAGAAAGAGAGACCCGGGAAGGGTGATACTTGAAGTCCACAGCAAGATATGGCGGAGACGAGGTTACATGGTAGAGCAGGCTACGGATTCTGATAGAGTTTAACCTCAGTGGTTGTTAAAAGAACATGCAAGCAGCAGTTTTCGCCTGGCCTACAGCTTAGGAGTACGGGTGTGAGATTGAGCAAAGAATATGTGAAGGGTGCCCGAAACTCGGGAGATCCAAGCTCTACGCTTTACTTCATTGATATCATGACTGCACATTTTGGCTTGGGTTCAAGTGTACATGGCCAAATAATAATCACTTTGATTACATGACACTCGCTTTTCAAACTCGGCTATCATCGTGTGTATATGGCGTTTCGCCTTACAGCAATCAGTGTAACTCCAGGACAAAGTACACTACAAAGTACAATCAACGACGACGACGCACGGTTACCCCCCCTTGCCCGGTCTTCCTACCAATCGTCCAGCAGCCGATTCTTCTCCTCGTCGCAAACAGCTCCGAGTCCCTGGCCCGGCAGCACGAACGAGCTCCGGCGGTCTCTCCTCCCATAGCCGCTCCACAGGTTCCATTTCTGGTTGACCTTTGTGCCATTGACTTCATCCGCGTCATCACCGCCATCGTCGTCGGGCTTCTGCTCCGTCCGCTCCCCGTCGCCAAACCACTTTTTGAACACGCCGTCATAGACCATCCACATCAGATTCATAAGCACCGTCATGGCCACGCCCAGCCACGACGGCACGCGGCCCGTGTCCTTGTCCGCAAAGAGGCGCGACCCGCCCATCACGAGGAGGAGCCAGGGGAAGCAGACCAGCGCGTAGAGCCACTTGCCCAGGGTCTGGCGGCGCGTGGTGATGACGTAGTCGTGCAGCTCGGCGAGGTAGAGCTGGTAGTCGTCCGGAAGGTAGTTCTCGCGCGCGCCGTCCCGGATCAGGGTCAGGTAGCGCAGTGAGGGCTGGGCGTAGTCTGGCGGGCGCTGGATCGGGAGGAGGAGCCTGCCGAGCCACTTTTTCGCCTTCTTCTTCTTGTTGTTGTCGTTGTTGGGGCTGTCATCCTCGGGAGGATTGGGGATCGGCAGCCGCGGTGCGTACAGTGTGTGGGCGAGGAACGGCTTCGGCAGCTCGGGGACCAGCGGCGTCTCGGGGATGTGCATGGGCGGTGGGAGTGGGATGCACGGGGTCACGACGTCTTTGTAGGAAGAGCCGCCTCCTTCGGTTTTGACAATGGTAGCGTAGTCCTCGGCCGTCACCTCGTAGACGACGCCATAGAGACCCTTTGTCCAGACCGGGCCGTCTCTTGGTGGGAGGGACGGGAAGAGCACTCCCGGGGATGAGGCAGGAGGGGGGTCGACTGGCGGCTTCGGATTAGGGTCGATGGGAGGCGGCTTGGGTGGATTGACTGGCGGCTGAGGGGGATGGACTGGCGGCGGCTGCGGGATCTTGCGCCGCGGCTCGACGTTGGCAAAACACGGCTCCCAGTATGGCAGACCGGGCAGAGCAAAGTTGAGATCGAACGCCGGGGCCGAGACGTTGATACGGCTGAGGGGCCGGATCCCCCGGCGGCCGAGGAAGGTCTCGGCCGCGAGGTTCGAGCCGTATGCGAGGTAGAGATACGTCCGAGGTGCGACAGGCGCTGTCGTCGTGTTGGCGATGTCTTCGATCTTTTGGCTGGCGGTCAGCTCATTGCTGGTCACAGCGGCCTGTGCAAGGCGTTCGGCCGATGTGAAGGGGATGTCTGCGATGCTCGGATACGACTTCTTTGCGATCGGGCTTGTCGGGGAGGGAGCAAAGCGCTGGATGGTTGTCGATAGGATCTTGCAGCAGCTACCCTCAGCCGAGTGGGCTTCAGGTCCGCCTTTCGGGAGCAGAGGCGCCTGCTCGGCGACGATGATGGAAGCTGGGACCTTGCCCATGATGGTTGCTGTCGGAGGCAGCAAGGCGAATGGTCAGTGAGAGCTTGAGGTGTGGTTGACCGGCGAGCACTGGGGTGTGGTTATTGTGCGGTAGGCGGGTATCGTGATGATGGCGACTGCCACACTATGAAAAGCAAGGTTTGTTGGTTTGATCTGATAGGCAATCTGGCGTATAATGGCGGACGGAGAACGAAGGTTTGGAAGTGTGGTTGAGCACCGAAAGAATAACTGCGGGATTGAGTGGGATGGGGAGCAGCGATCTCCGCGCCGGGGCTCCACTTCTCAAGAGCGTCGCAAGTTGGGGTAGCTGACGAGTCCGTAGGGGATGCCTGGTTCCAGGACACAGGTGTGGCTGCAATAATTTGATTCGGTGATCCCGCTCCAGTGTCGAGAAAGAGAACTTTTTATATCACAATAGACTTAGGATCCAGCGTCTCTTGCAGGTGAGACTTGGGCTTGGTCATGGCCTCCGTTGTTAGGGGTCGTCGTGCTCGCCAAAGACCCTTAACTCCGAGTACATTTCCAGGCCATCTACGGTGAGTGGAGGCGTGCCGGTGCCCGCGCGCGTCTCTGTCAGCAACAGAACCCGCGGCCCAATTTCCGCCTACTATGGGACATGCGCCCGGACAAATTTCTAGCGCAGGCCTCCTCAGGAAATAGTCATGGCTCGCCGGTGGTTGGATTTGTCACCACAGTCCGCTATTCCCCAACCTATCACTCGGCGGTCCGCTACATGGGGCCGGGATCTGTTGAGACAAACGAGACTTCCGACAACCTTTGACAATGCCATCCACCATCTGTCAGCAAAGGCTCAATGGACCAGAACTACAACGGGTTTGCGACAGTAGACACGTCTCAGAGGTAAGAACAAAACTGCATTGGCACCGATTCAAAGGATATGTCTATGGTCCTCTCAACGTCCATTGCCAAGGCCCGTTGAAATAATGACTTTCGGCACAATGCTGCCCGGCGGGTCCAATCAGAGCAGACCGTCGGTGGTCCGCCTCGTGCCTGAACCCGGACCATGCCCTTGCATCTGTGACATTTTATCCGTCCAGGGCCCTGAGCATACCTTGTCGTCCGGAGAAACCTCCCAAGGTCCTCAATATATCATAGGGCTGTGTCAACTGCTTTAGTTCTGCCATTGTCGTCTGTTCCCCTTCGAAGCCCCCATCGTCTGGCTCGCCTAGCTCGCCATTTTGTCTACCGCCTCCCCTCCATCATGAGTTGCGGGATATCGTCCACTGTGTTCCTGCCTTCAAGGATGTTGTGAACCGCCGTGAACAAGGGGTATTCGTTCTCGAGGCCCCTCTGCTTTAGGAACGAGTTGACCTCGGCCGCCGTGCTGGTGCCCTGCAGCTTCTGGCCGTTCAGGTCGGCCTCCTCAATCTGCTGGACAGTGACGCCACGCTCGACCGCCTTCTTGGCGCATCTGAAGTTCCGGCCACCCATGGAACTGGTAATCAGATCAGCCACACCAGCACTCTCCTCGGTGAAGGTGGCTGCGGACACAGTCTCGCCAAAGAACTCCTTGCCGAACCTGACCATCTCGATAAGACCAATTCGCATGATGGCGGCCTTAGCGTTGTCGCCCCATCCCCGGCCATCGACAAAGCCGGCAGCCAGCGCCACAATGTTCTTGAGAGCTCCGCCAAGCGACACGCCGGCCACGTCCGAAACCATGCTCACATGGAAGTATGGTCGATGGAACAGCTTCCACAGAGTGTCGTGATCGAGCGGGTGGTACTCCTTCGGGACCGGTGTAAGCTTTGTCTTGCTGGCCCGGCCACGGGCGTCCTTGTGCTGGAGCTCTTCGGTGCCGCCAGCAGTCAAGGGTGTGATGCTGAGCTCGGAGGCGCGGTCGGCTGCGGTCGAGGCACGGTTCGGCGTCATGGATCGAGGTGTCGCATTGCGGGACGGGTTGCGCGAAGGATCCATGGGCGGGGGGTCGTAGGCCACGGTGGTCTCGCACCACTTCTCAGCAGCAATCTCGGAGGCAATGTTGGCGCCAGACAGGGCGCCGCAGTAGATGCCTAGGCCATCACCGATCCACTCGGAGAAGAGGGAGACGCCCTCGTCGGAGACGTTGACACCCTTGATGCAGGAGACGCCACGGGCAAAGGGGAGAATGTTGCCCTTGAGCTGCTCACAAACTTTATGGATGAACTGGTGTGGCAGGTTGAAGATGAGGATAGAGGAGCCTTGGACGGCGTCGAGGAGCGATGGGTTGGCAACAATGTTTGAGGGCAGCTTGATGTTGGGCAAGTACTTGATGTTCTCGTGGTGTTGGTTGATGACGTTGGTGAGCTTGTCCTGCTTGTCGCCATACGTGACCGTCTCCTCATACACCCACATTTGGACCTCCTGGTGGAAGAGGTCCGGGTGAGCCCTGGTATTCTCTGCCACGATTTTGGCAATGGTCGAGCCCCAGTTGCCCGATCCGATGACGGTGACCTTGTGCTTCTTGAGCACCCCGAGAGTGTCAGATGCCATGATTGACGTCGAAGTGGATGAGGGACGAAGCTGCTGTGGACGGTTGCGGGGATGCGGGAAGGGTCGCGGAAGTCGCAAATGTAGGCGAGGTCTACTCTTGGAAAACAGAGAGGGCGAACGGGCAAAGATAAAGGAGACGGAGTGGATCGGCGCCGAGGTTGAGAAGTTGAGGCTCAGAGACATGTGGTTGCGGTGGTGCCGAGGACGCAGCTTTGACGCATGGACAGCCGCAGGGTCCAGAAATTCTTGGAAGGGGCAATGGCGTGCAGACAGGCGAGGGCGAGGGAGATCAGCACAGGGTTCGCGGCTTTTGCGAGGCTTGACAGGTCCGCCACGCCGAGGCTGCAGGAGGTTGACAATTGACTTTCTTATTCTCAGATTCCACGCTACTTTGTCCTGCTGTGATTACCCCAGGCTGCAATGCCATCGCCGGCCTCGCGAGCTGTTGCCGTGCTGTTGAGGGGCTAAACCAGCCCAGCGTATCTCGGTGGGGCATCTGGCAGATGACGCAGCTCCACGCCAAACGCTTCACCGAGCCCCCAATCACAAGCCAGCCAAGCTGCTATGTACAGGTACTGAGCTGCTGCGTCAATGTCTGATTAACATTGTGTATTCCTTGGGGCTTGTGCATGCGTGCACGTGTGCCTGCAAGCGAGCCAGTTCCATTGCTTTTAGATTCAAGGCCATATCTTGTCGTGTACCTTCAGGAACGTACGGAGCAATGTCACAAGCAGGGTCACATTGATCGGCAAGCCCGGAGCCTCGGCGCGGCTGGCTCGTGTCCGCAGCTTGGGGCCACGGCCCGATAGGGTTTGTATGCTCCTTCGCTACGCCATGTCGTGTATAATCACCGTGCCTCGTGTGCGTTTAGTTGTGGTCAAGACTTGATGGTAATGAGAGGCTGTCACAAATCATCGGACAGCTCGACAAGTGAGCCAGCCATTCCCGGATGTCCTCAGGGCGCGACCCCAACAGGCGGGGCTGGCCGTTCTCATGGGTTGGAGACACTGGTGGGGCCGTCCAGGGCGCTGAAGCAGCAACCAGCAGTCCGGACGAGCTCTGCAGAACAGCGCTGATATCTCGCAAGCCAAGGCCAGTCTGTTTCCGTAGGCCGCGATGCTAGGAAGAGCCCGGTATCGTTCTGCCCAAGCTCGTATCCCTGTCGGCCGTCGTCAGCTCGAGGGTCAATGGCGCCCCTGTCGACCAATCCCGACGACTGCAGCTTGAAGCTTGCTGTGCCAGAATCCAGTCAGAAAACGGGGACCACTGATGTCCGCAATAGCTCAGCACGGTGCTGTCGACGGAGAGCGGCTGATCCTGCAAAGCTGGCGTCTGCTGTCCGACACCACGCTAGGGAGACTTCCAATCAGCCCACCTGGCACCTAATCGTAATCGCATGGTCCTGCCTTGCCCCCATGTTATCACTCAGGACCACGCCCGGGCCTGTGCTGTGATCGACAGGCACTCGTGGAGAGCCCACATGGCAACAACCGAGCAGAACACATGGCGTTTTGAGCTTCCCGAGCGGTTTTTTCTTCCTCCGTTGGGACGATCCACACAAGCTGGATAAGACCTGCCTTGTGGAGATTGACCAATGCTAACAACATTGTCGCCTCGTGCTTCTGGGCCGGAAGAACGCTGCAATTGCGCAACTAACCAAAACAACCTGGGGAATCGGGCTGTCTGCCAGCAACAAAGGCCTGCGTGACCCCATGATGTGTGGCTTCCCAACCAAGGTGTCCATTTTGGCCCTTCAGCAAGCTCTCACCGGCAGACCGTGGCTGTCAGCCAGGTGAAAGGTCCGGATCGCGACCAGGATCTTTCTCTCGCTCCGGAGCTGACCTTCTGTCTCTGGAAGTGCCTCCCCCAGTATGCCTGACGTCATCATCGAGCTGCCCCGTCTGCCCCGTCTGTGCTCGTCCTGCCGCCCCTGTAAATTGAGTTGTGTCTGAGCCGCGCCGGGCAGAGGAGCATCGTGCCTGCCAATCGTGCCCCGACCTTCCCTCCCCGGGCCCCACTGCTCGCCGGCGGGCCAGGCCACGGGCTGAGGGGCATTTGTTCCTGGCCGGGCTGCACGCTACCTCGACGATCGAGATGCAGCCCCAAGTCGCGATGCCCACGGCGCTGTGATGCAGACTCGCTCCTCTCCAGCTCAAGCCTCTCCAACATCCTCCTCCTCGCTACAGACTGCCCCATGCCCTAACTTGCCCTGACTAGCTAGCTCCCCCTGCCTGGTACCTATCAACCCTCGCTGTCACGCCGTCACTCACCTAGACGCCGACGCGGCAGGTACCCCCCGTGTGTCAAGCTCTGCCCAGGAACAGGAAGCCAATTCGTGTCCCAGCTTGGTGTGCAAGCGAGCAACCCTGCCTGCGACACCGCTCCGTCCCGCGCGTACCATCTCAGACCCGGTAAGCAACCTTGGCCCCCGAGCGGCCTGTCACTATTCCTGTGCTTGCTCAGTTCCGTGCCCTGGTGCTGGTGGGGCGAGGCACGCTGTGAGACACCTTCTCCTCGTCACCGTTGTTTCTCCTGCTTGACGCTGACCTCATCCTCCGCTCGTTTGATCGGCCTGCTTTGCTTTTCTTTTCTTCCCTCCCACTCGACGACGCTCCACCTTGCTTATTAGAGCTCCTTCCTCCTTTCCTCATACTCACTCTTGTCTTCCCAGGTCAAATTGTCTGACGAAGTCCTCTTCGTCCTGCGCTGCGAGCCCAAGCTCGTCGTGTAGCCAGCGGATAGTCACGGTCCTTCGCGGGCCTGTGCCGTGCTCATTTCGCCGCTGCAGTCATTCACTCTTGCGAGGGTTTTCGGACGGCTCACTCTCCTCCCCCGTTGCTCGCCACCTGGACGAAGATCGATCCTCCGCAGTCACAATGGTGCCGCGAACGATAACCTCGAACGAGGTCTATGTCCTTCCTCTCAAGGACAATGGAGCCCCCGACGTCCCTGGCGAGTTTATTTGGCTCGCTCCGAAGACCAATGACCCCATAACTATCCGCTTCACCATTGAGGGCACCTCTTCCATATGTCGTCAAGGCAGCCTTTGGGTCAACATTCCCGAGAAGGGCAAGCCCTTCCAGAGGGGTCATTTCCGCGAGTTCAAGTAAATGACCCAAAATTATCCGTGCGCATCGCTTGTACTGACTCGGCCCCCAATTGCTCAGGCTCGTACCCGACTTCAACAAGACCATCGAGATCTCGATTCCCGTCTTCGAAGCTGGTGCCTTTGCGTTCTACACAACTTACGCGGTCCTGCCTGAACTTTCAGCGAGCCTGGCCACCAGCAAGCCGGCAGCCATTGAGCAGACAAAGACCCCCTTATACTATATCGATGTCGCCCCACGCCTGTCGCTGGACGGGCGTCCGCTGCCTCTGCAGGCTCTTTCCATCTTCTCCGTGATCAGCAAGTTCATGGGCAAGTATCCTACGGATTGGGAGAAACACCTCAGGGGAATCAGCGAGCGTGGCTATAATATGATCCATTTCACCCCTCTTCAAGTTCGTGGCGCCTCAAACTCGCCTTACAGCTTGTATGACCAGCTCGGTTGGGATCCAGATTGTTTCCCCCAGGGCGAGAAGAACGTGCAAGAATTGGTGGACAGTCTAGAGCAGAATCACTCATTGCTCAGCTTGACCGACATTGTTCTCAACCACACCGCCAACAACACCAAGTGGCTGCTCGAGCATCCAGAGGCTGGCTACAACTTGACAACCGCGCCGTGGTTGGAGTCTGCTTACCTTCTCGATACTCAGCTTCTGGTCTTCAGCGGCAGACTGAAGGAGCTTGGTTACCCTACCGAGCTCAAGTCCGTGGATGACTTGACAGAGCTCATGAACGGCATCAAGAAGCATGTCGTGGCTGAGATTCGTCTGTGGGAGTACTACGCTCTGGACATCGACCGCGATGTTGATGCTGCGCTCGAGTCCTGGGCTGCACAGGAGTCTTCTGACTTGCCGCAGGACGCACTGGACCAGCTGAAGAGTGCCAGCGCCAAGGTGCAGGCAAAGTTCCTGCAGGAGAAGGCCTTGCTGGGGAACGATCGCCTTGGGGAACGTTTCCGCAGGAGAGTGGACCCGAAGGCTTCGGCTGCTCTCATCAATGTCGTCTTCGGTCGATACCGAGGTGAGGCTGACGAGGTCACCATTCGCTCAAAGTTGACCGAAATCTTTGAGATCATCAACGTTCCCTTCTACGAGGAATACGACAAGGAGATTGGCGACATCCTGCAGCAGCTTTTCAACCGCATCAAGTATGTCCGGCTTGATGACCATGGGCCAAAACTTGGCGCTTTTGATGAAGCCAACCCTATCATTGAGACCTACTTCACCCGTCTCAACAAATCAGAAGCAGCAGGACACCTCAAACCGGAGGACCTGGTGCTGGTCAACAACGGCTGGGTGTGGGCGGGAAATGCCTTGGTGGACAATGCTGGTCCGCAATCGAGAGTCTACCTTCGTCGCGAAGTCATCGTTTGGGGCGACTGCGTCAAACTCAGATATGGTAATGGCCCAGAGGACAGTCCCTGGTTGTGGGACCACATGACAAAGTACGCACGCATGCTAGCCAAGTACTTTGCCGGCTTCCGCATCGACAACTGCCACTCAACCCCCATCCATGTCGCCGAGCACATTCTTGATGAGGCACGCTGTGTTCGCCCGAACCTCTACGTCGTAGCCGAGCTTTTCACTGGCTCCGAAGACATGGACTATGTCTTCGTTAAGAGGCTGGGTCTCAGCTCTCTCATCAGGGAGGCTATGCAGGCCTGGAGCACTGCCGAACTCAGCAGGCTGGTTCATCGCTACGGAGGCCGGCCGATTGGCAGCTTCGAGGTTGACGACATCTCTAGAGGCGGCACATCCAGTGCTCCGGGAAGTCCCTCCGCGACCAATGATGGTTTCGAAACCTCTCGAGAGGTAATTCGGAAGATCAAACCTGCGTCAGTGCAGGCTTTGTTCATGGACTGCACTCACGACAACGAGGTTCCTGCCCAGAAGCGCGACGCCAGAGATACGCTGCCCAACGCGGCTCTCGTCTGCATGTGCTCTAGTGCGAGCGGTAGTGTCATGGGCTATGATGAGATTTACCCCAAATTGGTCGATCTTGTGAACGAGTCAAGACTGTATACATCGGCTTCGTCGACCGGGAAAGAAGTAAAGGTCGGCGGAGGGGAAGGCGGCATTGGTGGTGTCAAGAAGCTGCTCAACCAAATCCACACCCTCATGGGCAAGGACGGCTATGACGAGTGCCACATCCATCATGAAGATCAATACGTCACTGTGCACAGGGTTCACCCAGAGTCACGAAAGGGATACTTCCTCATTGCGCACACAGCTTACCCTGGCTACGGCAATGGAAATGGTGCTTTCAATGCCGTCCATCTGGGCGGAACCAAAGCTCGCCACTTAGGCAGCTGGATGTTGGAGGTCGACACCAGTGAGGAGGCTCGGAAAGACGTGGACGAAGACAAGAAATATCTTCGTGGCCTTCCCAGCCGTGTAGTGGATGTTCCAGGCATCCGCATGGAAGTCAAAGCTGACGAGACCATCATCACCGTCCGCGACAAGTTCCCTCCCGGCAGTATCGCGTTGTTCGAAACGTGGATCCCTGCTGCTGAGCACACAAATGGCCTCGACAGATACGTCACCTCTGGCGCTAAGGACGCCATGTCCGAGCTGGACCTCGTGGACCTCAACTTCTTGCTCTACCGCTGTGAAGCCGAGGAGCGAGACGGTAGCGACGGCAGAGACGGCGTATACGACATCCCCGGTCATGGGAAACTAGTCTATGCTGGACTTCAAGGATGGTGGAGTCTGCTCAAGGACATCATCAAAGAGAACAACCTCGCCCATCCTATATGTCAGAACTTGCGCGATGGCCAGTGGGCGCTGGACTATACTGTTGGCAGATTGGAGCGTATGAGCAAGCAGCCATACTTTGGTCACCTCTCTAAACCGGCCGCATGGCTCAAGGAGCGTTTCGACGCCATCCGTGGCATCCCCAGCTTCTTGCTGCCTCGATACTTCGCGCTTACGATCCGGACCGCCTACAATGCCGCTTGGGATCGTGCCATGCAGCTCATGAACGAGCATGTGCGAGACGGACAGTGGTTCTTGCAGAGCCTTTCTATGGTTAGCATTCAGGAAACGGGCCTCGTGAAGTCAGCTTCGCTCTGGCCCAAGAAGCTCGTCCCGTCTCTTGCCGCCGGTCTGCCGCACTTTGCCGTCGAGTGGGCTCGCTGCTGGGGTCGCGATGTCTTCATCTCTTTGCGTGGACTGTATCTCGGTACAGGTCGTTTCCAGGAGGCTGCCGAACACATCTTTGCCTTTGCTAGTGTGCTGAAGCATGGCATGATTCCAAACCTCTTGAGCAGTGGAAACCTACCTCGATACAACAGCCGCGACTCCGTCTGGTTCTTCCTTCAGTGTATCCAGGACTATACACGACTTGCGCCAAATGGTCTTGAGCTTTTGTCAAAGAAGGTCAAGCGTCGCTTCTTGCCATATGATGACACTTGGTTTCCGTCTGACGATGAGCGAGCATACTCCAAAGAGAGCTTGATCCAAGATGTGATCCAAGAGGCCATGCAGCGTCATGCCTCGGGCATGGAATACCGTGAAGCCAACGCAGGCCCATCGATCGACTCGCAGATGCGTGATGAGGGATTCGACCAGAAGATCTTTGTCGATTGGACCAACGGCATCATTTTCGGCGGCAATCAGCACAACTGCGGCACCTGGATGGACAAGATGGGCGAGAGCGAGCGCGCAGGTTCCAAGGGCGTTCCAGGCACCCCTCGAGACGGTGCTGCGATCGAGATTACGGGACTGCTGTACAGCACCTTGGTCTGGCTCGCGAAGCTCAATGCCGAGGGCAAGTATCCATACGGCGGAGTCAAGAAGAGCGATGGCTCTGAAATCACTTTCAAGGAGTGGGCCGAGCTGCTCAAGTCCAGCTTCGAGTACAGCTACTACGTGCCCGAGACGCCTGAAGAGGACAGCAAGTATGCCGTCAACCCTGCCGTTGTCAACCGCCGTGGCATCTACAAAGATCTCTTCAAATCCGGCAAGGAGTATGAGGACTACCAGTTGCGCCCCAACTTCGCCATTGCCATGACGGTGGCTCCCGACTTGTTCAACCCGGACCACGCCATGGGCACCTTGATTCTGGCCGACAAAGCGCTCCGTGGCCCGACTGGCATGGCCACCCTCGATCCTGCAGATCTCAACTACCGCCCGTACTATGTCAACAGCGAGGATTCTGACGACTTTGCGACGTCAAAGGGCCGGAACTACCACCAGGGGCCTGAATGGCTGTGGCCAACCGGTTTCTTCTTGCGTGCGCTGCTGAAGTTTGACCTGATGCGCCGTGACACCAAGGAGGGCCGCATCGAGGCATTCCAGCAGGTTACCAGGAGGCTGAGCGGCTGCAAGGAGTATATCCAGAAGAGCGAGTGGGCAGGCCTGACTGAGCTGACACAAAAAGATGGCCAGCACTGCCCTGACAGCAGTCCCACCCAAGCCTGGAGTGCGGGTTGCCTCATTGATCTGTACATGGATGCTGCGGACTATGGTATTGAGTAGTGTGGCGGACAGGGGTGGACACGGATGGAATTCGAAGGACGAAGGGCGCATGCATGAACTCATGGCTCCAGACAATGCTGCTAATGTTTCTTGGGTAACGATCGTAGTACACATACTCCGGGAGAACAGGGGAGACTAGAAGCAGGGCAGTACAAAGATTGGGTTTCTTGATGTAGCTAGAACAATTACAGTAGATACCTTGAAAAATCATCATCATGCTTCATGTGTACTGCTTGCTGTCCATCAGGTTGAGTGAGGGTTGATCCCAAGTAACGACCACAGGGAATCGACAATGTTACAAAATTGCACAAGCCATGACGAGGATCGAATCCCACGCTGAGGAACCAGAGATGTAGGGTGGTTGAATATGTGCACGTTCGCTTCCAAGGCCGCCAGAGAGGTAGGTATTTTATGTAACGTGAAAGGAGACGGGGACGAATTCAAACCCGCGGGACATGACGTGACAAGAAAAACAAAAAAAACAGAAAAGGAAAACACCGGGTGGAAGTGGGGAGAGTGGAAGAAGACAAAAAAAAAAGTATACAAGAAATGCTTCCTCGCTCCTCCCCACTGATCCTTTCCTTCATGATCGTGAAAATGACGAAACACCTCCAACTCCCTAGGGAAATATGTATGACTTGAACAGATATTTGTCAATTTTCGTGCACCGCTCTCAACTTGGCTCGAATGCCGCTGCCAAGTGATCTCGTTGACGACGGGGCGCGGGCCGGTTTGCGAAAGACCATGACTACGGGAGCCTCGACCGACGACACGGCAACGCTGAAATAGCGAAGGGGGTTTCTCTGCTTAAGTCCGCTGGGTCGGGTTCCACTTCCTCCTCTCCTTCTCGACTGGCGCGCTCGCGCCGGCCATGAGCGGTCCCTGCCCCGAGTATGAGCTGTCGCGAGCTCCGGGACCAACGAGATTGCCCTGGTTGTTGACTGCTACGCTGCTGGGCAGACCCTTTCCGAGCTCGTACATACGGTCCTTCTTCTTGAGGTACTTGCGGCGCCAGACGCACGCGCCGGCCCAGATGGCGATGATGGCGACAATGACAACGACGATGAAGACGACCCATTGCCAGTGGGTTGAGATCCTGCCAAGATGTGTCAGTTACGCTCGGATTTCGCCTAAAACAAGCCGAAGGAGAAACTCACCAGCTGCCGCCTCCACCATTGTTCTTGACTGGTGTGCTCGAAGATGACGAGGTCGAAGCCGCGCCGCCGGTGGTGCCCGTTGCGGTGGGAGCAGCCTTGCCAGCGCAAAAGCTCTTGAACCAGCCCTGAATGCTCGACAGATCCTGCGGGTTGTTGCAAGCCGCGTCGCAAACGCCCGACGGGCCGGCGCTGAAGGGCTGAAGGGCTTTGGCGCCGCAGAAGCAAGATTCGTAGACAGAAGGCGCTGCCGTTGGTGCGGCAGGGGGAACACACGCGCCATTAGCGTCGTATAACGGGCCACAAACGGCCGCGCACGAAGGCAGCGAGCCGAAGGGCATGATGGTGGTGACGGGCAACGCTGGGGTGAAGTCATGTTAGCAAAGAGTGCTCGAAGTCGGGGAGAATCCTGGTCACGCACCCATTGTGTGTACTGAGGTTTAGTCTGCTGGAATTAGACAATGCTTTTTTCGGTGTGGATGTTGCGAGCTTCGGGTCTCCAGGTGAGATCAAAGTCTGCCGAGGTACTGTGCGTGGGCAAGAAAGAAATCGAACGACTTTTGGGCGGACGAAGCAGCCAGTGCTTCCGGATGGTTGGTGTTCAAGTGGGAACTCTAAAAGAGCTTGGCCTTGGTGGAGTGTGGTTGACAGGCGTCTCGTGGAGACTGGATGTCGGGTTCGGGCTCGAAGCGGACTGAGGCAGCAGTGAAGCGGTTGCTGGTGGACGGCGATGCCACAGCGATGATGTGGATGGCTGCACTGGCGGTCCGGAGACGGACGAGCGTACGTAGTCGGCGGCGCGGTGCTCTCAGGGCGTGGAATGTGGTGTCTTGGGAGGCCACACGGAACGAGCGAGGACGACGGATGACGGGATGACGGCGGTGGTGTGTGTTTTGCGGACGTGAGTGGCAGTGATAAACGATTGAGGAGTCCCGAGGACGGCGCGCGGATGTCGAAGTCGAGAAGAGGTGTCGTGCCGCCGAGGGTGTCGACGACTGGGATTGATCGGCCTGCTGCAGAGACGCTGCTGGGAGAGGGAGGAGGACAAGACGAGACGAGACGGAGGCCCAGCCAGCGCGCAGCCCAGGGGAAGACAGGCGAAGAAAGAGGAGGAGTGGGTGTGGGTGCGGGCGGGCGGGCGGGCGCTGGAGACCGGGGCGGCCGGGCTGGGCCATGGCTGGCTGGCTGGGGCTGTCAGGTCAGGCAGGTTAGGGGGCATGGGGCATGGGGCTTAGTACCATTCATAGTGTAGGGCAGGGGCCAAGGGGGTGTCCGTTTCTAGATGGAGGATGGAAGCCAGAAACGGTGCGGACACCACATCACACCGTCTCGACCACCGTTTACGCCTCAATCAAGCACCAGGTGCAGACCGCGTGTCTAGGTTGTGACCGTCCTATTGACTGCCTGGGCCTGGCCTTTGGCCGTGGCCGTGGCAGAGCGCCCAATTGGACTCTCGAGCGTCGAACGCGGGTGTTTCGCAGCGTGTCAACTTAAGCGCCAGGAGACTCCCAGATCGATCCGTCCTGCACGACGGTTTCGACCAGCACCAGGCAAGCTCGAGTGAGTGGCCCGTCCTGACCGACCCGCATGGGCCCTCTTCCCAGAAAAGACCCTGGGCGTCAGCACAAACCGCCGTCCTGGTATAACGCGCCAATCAAGTGCCGGCCAGCCAGCCAGCGCCTCGAAGCCATTGAAAGGCATCCTGGTCTAGGATGCAATCCGTCCATGCACTCCCTCACTCGTGCTGCCTCTTGCCGGGGTACCCTCCAGAGTTTTGTCAGCGAGCTGAAGAGGCGCCAGCAAGTGCGGAGCCGTGGCTGGCCGCACCTCGTGATCTGGCAGCCATCATTAAACGACACGATCACGACACGAACGACACGAACGATACGACATGCATGACCTGCAGGTGCAGCACAGCACGAAGCTGGGTAATGTGCGTGGATAGAGTCGACGACGTCACCAGCATCGCATTGCTGCCTGCTGCGTAGCGCTAAGTCCTGTCGTGAGCACCAGAGGCCTGTCCTCAAATCGCGTTTCTGACCCATTCACAAAGTCCAGCACCGTTTTGCTCAGGGCAGAAGGCCCCAATGATTTGCTTCGTGTTCCTGCATTGATCCGCAAGCACGATGGGCGGCAAAGTACACATTCAAGCGGCGCAGTCTCCTCGGAATCTGCTAGGAGCAGCGCGCCATCTACAGATCTCGTCCACATCTCCAGGCTCGCAGTGTCCACAAAACAGAGTCAATGCACGCCCCACTGGCCCCTGGCTACTGCAAGTGCGGTTCGGAAATCCCATATGCGTGTTTCGCCCACGGGCAAATCGGCACGCTGGTGCTGTGCGCCCTTGGACAGCCCACGCTGTTTCCCTCTTGCCCACAGGCTAGCAATCAGTGCGTCGACACGCAAAACAGCAGAGACCACAGAGACTCACATCTCTTCCTCGTGGCTTCTGGACGCGCAGGCACGTCCCCCGACCCGTCTCGCCATCGCGATCGATGCCAGAATGTCTGGAAGCAGTCGGCCGCACCTGGAAGCCAAGCCGGCAATGCTGCCACTAGCTCAGATCTCAAGCCTTGGCCATCAGGTGGCCAGGATGAATATATGGGCGGATCGTCCATCCCTAGTCCACCGTTGAGCCGGCACCGGCAACCTGGAATGCATCCACATGCGTGCATGTCGACGGTGTCCTCTTGGACGGGAGGCTGTGCGCCTGGGCACAACTAATGATTGTAGCCCAAGAAACAATCTGCCAGCACTTGCTGTTGGAATGGCCAAGACTGGCTCGGCAGCCCGTGCTCCGCATAATGACGTTGACTAAATTAACGAATGCATGACGAATAGACTCGCAGGTTGTCAGGCAGTAAGTCTACGTCTATCGAGGTCAAGTCTGAGTTGTGCCCAGGCGTCAGAGGATGAGTGTTGAGTCTGCTAGAGTAGCGAGTCGCACCTTCCGGCCGTGGCCTCGAGACGGCTTATCGCTCTTGGCTCGACGCGAGAGCTTCACAAATGACAGGTTGCCATCAACTTAAAACGGTATTCGCTGGACTCGTCTGTAGAGGCGACCACAAAGATCGAAGGTGGGCAGTGTTACTGTTCCGGCTCGCAGCGTCCGACGTGGTCGTTAGGTCCAAGAAGCACGAACCTCGTCACCAAACAGCGCTGCACCTAGCCAACGTCCCTGAGGCTCTCTCGAATCTCGCAAGCTCACAATGTACTTCCTGGATCTTGAACCGCAGCTCGCTAGACCCTGGCATAAATGCATTATGAATATGCTTTTCTGCCATTCACTGGTGGGAAATCGTCTGTCGTCGAGTTCATGTCTTGTCTTGGAGCTGAAGACCGGCTCAAAAACCGGGGGAAAAGAGATATATATATATATATATCGCGAAGCCAGAGCACATCTCATCACCTCAGTAACCCGAACCGCTGTCGCTTCCGCACTTCTCTTGCCACCCCGCAGAGTGTCGGCGAAGAGTATGCCAACAGTTCCCTTCGTGGTGAAGGTCCGCATTCATGCACCCTCCTTCCCTTTATTCTTCTTTTCGGCGGCCTTCTTCTTCTTCTGGCGGCTTGCCTGTCTCTTCGACTCTCGCACCGAAGACTTGCTCGTGTGCTTCTTATTCTCTCCAACGCTTACAGCTTCACCAGCTTCTTGGTTCAGATAACCAACATCGACACAGTCCTCACACCCGTCAATGTCGCTGTCGCTATGCGATCCTTGCATGGCGAAAACGGAAGTTGCACCATACTGTGTGCTGCAATAGCTAGAGGCGTCGTGCTCGATCGCATCGACCGAGTCAATGTTGTGGTATGGACCGGCACGCATCTGATAGTCCAGGAAGTCTTCCGTCGTGATAATGCCCGAGTATGGATGCTGAGATTTGACAATCGGGTCGGTCCACCGATTGCGGACGACCTGGACAGACTGGGGCGTCTGCCCTTGATTCATCTTGTTGCTCCGGGCTGACATTGTATTCAAAGGCAGTTTCTAAGAACGCGGGATTTCAAGAAGAAGTGACGGTTTTGGAGCACACGGGCTTCGGGCAATGGACCGGGCTATTTCTTGTTCGATTGCGGCTTCTGTTCCGAAGGGGATAGAGAGCTTTATACACCTCGACAGCTTCACCGGCTCGGTATTCACGGCTCTTTTTCGCGCACATTCCAATCATGAACTTTATGCTTTGAACTACGGATACTAAAGGTCGACTTGTCGGGAAATTGCCTGTCTTGGTCGGCTTCGGAGACAATACAACGGCTAGATGCATGAAGCTGCGCCCGACATCGCGTGAGGGGCGTTTCTGCGATGCTTTCAAGATGGATCCCTTACCTGGCCCAACACAGCTCATGCCCCCTACTGCTGCCGATTACTCATGCTGGTGAGATGGGCGACAACCTGTGGAAGCTGGCGGTAAGAACAGAAACATTTGAGTTTGATGCTTCTTTTCCTACACCATGAGTTGATTGTAGTCCCAGTCGCTGACACGAAAGGCTCCCACATTCACGTACGCATTCAGAAGACTTCAGTCTCTGCAGCTGACATTGTCACGCCTCTATAGCACGTTGAGGGCCACAAGGAGCGAAGGTGTCCCCAGCGCCATCAGACGGGAAGCCGCAGGCTTACATGCGTGCGATATCGTGCAGACAGGGTATGAATTTTCTCCCATTCTTAAGCCTGCTTTTCCTTCGAAGGGGAAGTTTCTGTACGACATCCTCGCAGGGGGAGCTCGACCGGCCACACACCTATTCCATGCTAGATTGCATGATCGAACTCGGCTGCACACGGCATGTCAAAGACGGACAGATCGATCCTTGGCGTGTGGTGCAGCACGCACCTGTTGCTGATTCCTGCAGCCTTCCGCAGTGATAGCTTGGTCTTTCATGGATTTGCCGAGCATATCTGGCCTGGCGGTCGGCAGTGCATAGTGTCGTCAGAATGAGCATCCCAGCGAGCATCACAAGTTTGCGTTGCCGCTTACTGAGCGTACTGCGCATCCCGTCTTCGCGTTTTGCGATCAAAGAGGCGGTGAGAATGGAAAAGTGAGTTGCCGTTGCGTCTCCCTGCCCGGCGCTGCTCAACATCTCTAGCCTCGAAGTGGTAGTAGTCGGGCCGGAAGACGACCCATGGCCATGCCAGGGGCTGCTTGAGGTCGTGGACAATATGGCTTCTCACGCTCCTCAGGACCAGGACGCGCATTGCCCAAGACTCCCTGCCGAAGATCAGTGCATACAATCAGCTGTACCCTCTACGCCTCTTTTGCGATCTCAGATTAGCCTGGGGACGGCAGCCAGGCCACTGGCTGAGCGTCAGTCATGCCAGCAAGGTTGCACAAAAAGAGTTACGAAGCGACGCCGTTACACGAAATGCAGATAAGCTCCTTGCTTTCCCATGGCACTGCTACCTGTCTTTTGCCCATTGAGTCTGGTGTACAGGCTTTGGTGACGTTGAGCGTCGTCTAGACCCGCAAAGACCACCAGTGTTCAGGCTGGCCCCTATGCGGAAGCCTCGACGGCGATTGAGCGCAAAAATGGATGTCATTAACTCATCGTGACATAATATGGGGTTGCAACAACGGCGACAGCGCCGCCTTTGAGAAGCCGAATACCCATGCCTTCAGGGCGTATACATGAAAGATACGGCAACCCCGTCTGACAATTACTCAGGACGCATGACAGCGGACCGCAGAGGGCTTCGAGCTGATTGACCGTAAGCGCCTCCTCACAGTCCTCTTCTCAAGTCATCCGAGTAAGTTCCTGGATCCAGTCCGTCCCTGTCTCTCTGGCATAAGCCGGTCATGCAAGGGGTGTAAATATTTTCGTCAAACCTTGAGCAGTGACATGCATTACTGCCCAGTGCGCTAACCTTCAGATAACCTCTCTTTGGTGGGACTTACAGATTCCGCCGCTTTTGGGTTCTCGTCAATATTAAATGGCAGATTACATGCAAGGGATGAAGAAACACCACCGCATATTCCACCGCGGCTAGACCTCATCATTAAGCTCTTTGACACTGTCAACTCGGCGAAAGGGCATATTTCGCAAAGACACTGTACATCCCCACACCTCTGGCGTGGTGGACTGCCATTCAGTCCGTGGTGGATACGGCCCGATGGGAGGAGATGCTACACACTTTCTGACCGTGGTGGCCAAGTGCCCCTGCATTACTAATGAACTGCGAGATCCTATCAGTTGGGTCCGGCCAAGTCTCCGTCGGAGGGTGCGTCGGTGCCGGCATCGTGCCCGAAGAGGGGTGCGGAGAAATAAGCGGACGCCAGGCCGGAGGCAGGGCGACGGACCCCCGCATGCCATGCGTGACCGGCGTGCATGCGTGTGTGCAGTTGCGGGCGTCGGTGGCGTCTTCGCAGCCAGCTCAGGGACAGGGGGTGTTGCTTGCGAAACCTGGGCAGACGATGCTGTACGAGACCAGATGCAGGAACTGTAGCGCCGGCGCCCTCGAGGGAAGCGTCTGGAAGCACTGGGGCTGATAGTTGGGCCGGGCTGGCTGGTCACTGTTTGTGTGTGCCTCGATACGCTGCCATGTGCGATAGTGAGTTAGTCCTGTCGCCAGACCACGATCCTTGTCTCCTACCCCCAGGCGCGATCGAGCCAATCAACGTGACACATTTTGTGTGGCTGTTGCTATCATGATTATCTCTGGACTGCCGTGTGCGAGACGAGAAGGAGCAGCAGGCGGCAGCGGGTGCTTGGCTTGAGTTGAATCTTCGGCTTGCTTCCGACGGCACACTTATCAGCAGCGACGTCCGCGCATCGAGGCCTGCATGGCTGGGAACCCACCCAACCCGGAGCGGTCCTGGCGCTATTGCTGCAATCACTCCTCTGCAGTACCAGCCTCTATCAAGCATGTTACGAAAGCAGCCACGCTTCCTTGCCATGGGCAGGCTCGGACCTGCGACCGGCTCGTCGACTTGTCCAGCATCCCCGCCCACGACAACGACGACGACGACGACGACGACGACGACTACCGAGCCGTCGGCCACGAGGCCCACTCGGGGCCGGCCCCCACAGCAGGCGAGGCCAGGACAGGTGCCTATCAACCAACTCAGCTCCGATCGAGGCGCAATCGAGAACCAGCTGGCCACCTGTCGCTGCTCGCAGTGGTTGTGACTAACAGATCGGCCCGGTGCTTGTCTATCACAAGGCATATCAAGCAACATCTGTTGTTCCCTAGTATGCTGGCCCCGGCGCATGTGTTGCTGTGAGCGAATGGGAAGGCACTGAGGGGAGAGATATTTCTTCTCTCTCTCTATTTCCCTCTCTCTCAAGATAGGGAGGGATCCCAGGAGTTGTCGAGACTGACTGGAGTGTGTGCTCCTCGTGGTGTTGGCATTCGCTATCGCCATGAGGGGCAGCCAGGCGAGTGAGGGTCGACGTCAGTTTGGCTCCAGCAACATGGGACGGCGCCTGCTGGCCGGGGCACCCTCGATTGGTCGGCAAGCTGTTTCCGATAGGAGACCCTTCCCCCACCTGCTGGTTCCCCAACTCCCCCGCAGTGCCGTGCCGTGCCTATCCTCGAGCCGTATCACTGCCGCGATGGCACAGCCAGCTTGTCATACTGCTAGCACGCCAGCAAATGCTCCGAGGCTCGACTCCTCGCCGTCCCAGGCCTCGCGCCGGCAGGGGCCCCCGTATGATAAAGGCTGCCCGCCACCCCATGACTTGACAGAAGGGACGCTTTTCCGCTTCCTTCCTCCTGCTCGCCCAGTCTACTGTCGTCCTGTCTGCCATTTCTTTGTCCTGAATTTTTCTAGATACCCCTTGTGACCATGGCGGCAAGCAACCAGGGAGAGTACCGGCTTGGTGTCGACGTCGGCGGCACCTTTACAGATGTCTGCGTCATCACACCCGCCGGCGAGACGGTCCGGGCCAAGACGCCCTCGACGCCTCAGGACCAGAGCATCGGTGTCAAGAACGGCATAGAAAAAGTCCGCAAGCTCCTCAAGGACAAGTACAGCTGGGACGGCGAGTTCTCCTTCATCCACCACGGAACCACTGTTGGTAAGCCACCCCTTTCCATCCCCTCCTTGTCCAGTGTGCCAAATGTCTGACAGAAGACCCATCTCTTTTTCTGCAGCGACAAATGCCATCCTCGAGAACAAGGGCGTTAAGGCGGGACTTATCGTCACTGCCGGCTTCAAGGAAGTCCTCACCAACAAGCGAAGCCAGATCCCTGGCGGTCTCGGTGGCTGGATCAGCTACATCCCTCCCGAGCCCGTCGTGCCGCTGGAGCGGACAGTCCAGTGTCCCGGCCGCATCAACCCGGACGGCAAGGTCGTCATCCCTCTGGACGAGGCTGCCCTGCGCAAGAACCTCGAGGACCTCAAGCGCCAGGGTGTCGAGGCCATCACCATCAGCCTGCTCAACTCGTACGCCAACGACGAGCACGAACGCGCCGTCGAGAAGATTGTCCGCGAGGAGTTTGGCGACAAGATCGAGGTCGTTTGCTCGGCTGACGTCCTGCCCGAGGCCGGCGAGTACGAGCGGACCGTCACCGCCGCCACGAATGCCGTCGTCAAGCCCATCGTCAAGCGCTACATGGACGGCCTCTCCAAGCTCCTGCTGCCCGACTCCAAGACGATCCGCATCCTCAAGAGCGATGGCGCCCTGACCAGTCTCAAGCTCGCCGGTGAGCTGCCGGTCAACTTGCTCATGTCTGGCCCGGCTGGTGGTGTGCAGGGTGTTGTGGACGTCATCTCGAAACAGACGCCCTATAAGAACCTCATCACGCTCGATATGGGCGGCACTTCCACGGACGTCGCTCTCATCTCCGAGGGCAAGGCTGCTCTGCGGAGAGAGACGGTCGTGGACCAGCTCACTGTCCGAGCGCCCTCTGTCGATGTCCGGACTGTCGGTGCCGGTGGTGGCTCCATTGCGCAGTACGTCGATCTCACTGCCAGCATGCGTGTTGGTCCCGAAAGTGCGGGCGCCCGTCCGGGCCCAGCATGTTACCAGAAGGGCGGTGACAAGCCCACCGTCACCGACGCCAACTTGACGCTCGGCTACCTTCCCGAGAAGCTGCTCGGAGGCGACTTCCAGCTGGACGTCTCCGCGGCTGTCACGGCTTGCAAGAGCGTTGCCGACCAGATGGGCATCAGCACCGAGCAGACCGCCGAGGGCATCATCAACCTGGTCAACGAGACCATGTACGGTGCCCTGAGACAGGTCTCTGTCGAGCAGGGCTACGACCCTCGCGACTTTGCCCTGGTGGCCTTTGGTGGTGCCGGTCCTCTGCACGCCAACGCGGTGGGCAAGCTTCTCGGTGCCTGGCCCGTCATTATCCCCCAAGCCCCCGGTGTGCTCTGCGCCGAGGGTGACGCCACGACCAAGCTCAGTCACTCTCAGTCCATCACGTACATCAAGCCGCTGAGTCAGACCTCCTTTGAGGATCTCAAGCAGGTCCTCGGCAGCCTGGAGGAGCAGTGCACGGAGAAGATGCTGCAGGCTCTGGAGACGAGCAGTAGCAAGGCCGTTAACGTCGAGTACGAGGTCGACCTGCGGTACAAGGGCCAGGCGCTCGACATCACCCTCACCTTCAGCCCGGAGGAGCTCAACCAGGGCAAGGAGGAGCTCACCAAGATCCTCTCGTCCCAGTTCAACAAGCTGCACGAGACCCAGTTCGGCTTCTCCCTGGACGACCTCGAGTACGAGCTTGTCAGACTCGGCGTGACTGCCACCGACGCCTCGTCGCCCATTGTCTTTGCCGAGATGACGACCGAGTCGGATGGCAAGGTCGTCGCCGCGCCCGAGTCCGCCGTCGTCAACACCAAGACCATCATTGTCGACGGCCAGAAGGTCGAAGCCAAGTTCTACGACAGAGCCAAGCTCGACAAGGCCGGCTACCGCATCGACGGACCTGCCGTCATCTCCGAGATGGACTCCAACACGCTTATCCTGCCCGGCTTCTATGGTGAGATCGACTCGATTGGCAACATCCTCATCAACCCTGTCGACGAGAGCAGCGTCAAGCAGTCCAAGACCTTCACGCCCGAGGAGGCCAAGGCCGAGGTTGCCAAGTCGCCCCTGGTCCCGACTCTGGTCGGCTCTGCCCTGCAGGCCGTCCGCATTGAGATGGACACGCTCGTGCTGCGCTGCTCCATGTCTCCCGGTATCCGTGAGCAGCAGGACGAGTTCAACGTCGTCACCAATTCAAAGGGCCAGATGCTCGTGGGCCAGTTTGGCAGTTTCATCGAGCAGTTCCTCGAGGGCTGGGCGACCACGGGCGGCACGATCGACGAGGGCGACATCTTCATCACCAACGACCCTTACCAGACGACCGGTGCCATCAGCCACTTGAACGATGTCATCGTCATCCTCCCCATCTACCACAGCCACAAGCTCGTTGGCTGGGCGGCCAACTTTGGTCACCTGTCCGACGTCGGCGGCAAGGTGCCCGGCAGTATGTCCATCTCGTCGTCGAGCATCTTTGAGGACGGTGTGCAGATCCCCCCCGTCAAGCTGTACAAGCAGGGCGTCTACAACAAGGACGTGATTGAGCTGCTGTGCCGCAACTCCCGCATGCCCGACTGGTACCGCAGTGACATTGCCGCGCTGGTCAGTTCCTGCAAGACTGCGGGTGCTCGTGTCTGCGAGCTGATTGATCGATTCGGATATGAGTGAGTTCCAATTCCTCCAGCCAGTTTCGAAGGTGACTTTGCACATTCTGACACCAACGTTTTTCTCTTAGGTTGTATGACGCTTCCTGCAACGAGCTGCTCCGACGCAACCAGCTTGCCGTCTCCAAGCTCATCGATACCCAGTTCGGTGACGAGACTGCCGTGTTTACCGACTTTGTCGACGATGACGGCGCTGGCAACGGTCCTTACGCCGTCAAGTGCAAGATGAGCAAGGTCGATGGCAAGTTGCGGTTCGATTTTGACGGGACGAGTGCCCAGAGCAACACGGCCTTGAACTACTACCTTGCGCCGACCCTGTTCAAGATGTTTGTTGGGTAAGTCCGGATGTCTATTCATACTTACGAATGCAGCATTTTACTAACTTGCCTCCCCCTCCTACTCTTTAGATACTACCTTTTGGCCGTCTTCGACCCCCACTGCGTCGTCAACGAAGGTCTCTATGACTTCATCGAGGTCCTCATCCCTGACGGCTCCATCCTCAAGCCCACTCGACCTGCGGCTCTGTCCTGCAGAACCCACATGCTCGGCCGTGTCATGGACATTATCCAGGCCCTCATGGGCCAGCACAACCAGGCGTATCGGGCGGCTGCGGGCTTCTCCGACTCGCCACACTTCTTCTTCTCGGGCTACACGCCCGAGGGCGAGTGGTTCCAGCTGTACCAGATTGCGTTTGGCGGTGTCCCTGCGCGCCCGATCGGCGACGGCCCGGACATGCACTGCCTGTTCCCCGCCATCAAGTCGGTGCCGACGGAGCACACGGAGCTCAACTTCCCGCTGCTCATCGAGGCCAACGAGTCGCTCGCCGACACGGGCGGCGCGGGCTTCTACCGGGGCGGCAACGCCCAGCGCACGCGGTTCCGGTTCCTCAACCGGGGCGAGTTCTCGCTGCACGACGACCGCTGGTTCACGCACCCGTGGGGCATCGACGGCGGCGACCCGGGCGCCCGCTCCAAGAAGATCCTGCTCCGCTACTCCAAGGACGCCGAGAACCCGCCCACCGAGTACCTGCCCAGCAAGTGCGACTACATCCGCGTCGAGGTCGGCGACGTCCTCGAGTACATCACCTGGGGCGGCGGCGGCCTGGGCGACGCGCTCACCCGGCCCGCGGACCTCGTCGCGCTCGAGGTCCACCGCAAGCTCGTGTCGGTCGAGGGCGCGGCCAAGAACTACGGCGTGGTCGTCGACCCGGCCACCTTCGCGGTCAAGACGGCCGAGACCGAGTCGCTGCGCGCCAAGATCAAGGCGGAGCGCGAGGCGGCCGCCGCTGCCGCCGAGAGCCAGCCCGGCTTCAAGAAGAGCATCTACAACCGCGGCGGCACGCTCGAGGAGCTCCGCCAGCGGTCCCTCGAGGAGACGGGCCTCCCGGCTCCCATCCCGCAGTGGAACGAGGACCCGTACGGCTCGCACGCCGCCATCCCGTATGTCAAGGAGTGGTTCAAGACTCGGCGGGCCGAGGGCGACTGGTTGCTTGAGTAAAGGAATTAGAGTAGAGTAGAGTAGAGTTTGGGCTTGTAGAGATTCTGGTTTTGGGGGAATGGGAAGGAGGGAGGGAAGAGCTGACGAGAAGGCGGGGGTGGTCTGGAATTGCGCGTCAAGTGAAGCATTTTCTGCGGTCTTTCCCCCCCTTTTGTCTTTTGATCTTGTATTAGTGATTGCAAAAGAGTAGATCGTTATGAATGTCACGAACATCCTTTTACGTCCAGTTGCCGTGTTCATTGCAGTTGGGTTGCGACTGGTATCTCATGTCTTGTTACTACTTGCACGTGTGGATTATCGGCCTCCTGGGCCGGCAGAATTACACACATTCGACTAAAATGCAAGCACTAAATGGACGAGACTGTCCCATAGAGATAGCCCTGTACAGCTCTAATCAGAAATACTGTCTCCGCGACCTGGAATGGTCCCGTTGGCGACCAGTATGGTCTGGCCAGAGCCAACTTCATCTCGTAGACTGCCGGGTTTTCTTTTGTTAAATTTATGCCATGCCTGCTCCGTCACATATATTTCTGTCGTCTATTCGTCCAAACTTGAGCACCGACTGGCACCACGTGCGAACCACGTGGCAGACACAGCCAGTACCGCGGATCCAGTCCAGTCGGACTGAACTTAGAGAACCGCCGGCTGGCTGGGGCCTCTGGGTTCCGGACGGCCACTCGCAAAGGGGCAGCAGCAGGATCCTCTCCTGCATCCACACACCATCATGGATGGGGCCGGGTTCCCCCTAAACGCGAGCAGCCATGGGGATGCAGCAGCACACACACGCAGTGAGGATCCGCGGTCCCCGTCGCTCTGGTGCTGTCCGGCGCCGGCAACCCAGCCAGACTCGACCTGGATATGGCGACTCTGGACTGCAAACCCCCATCCCACAACAGTCTCGGCCAGGGGACTCGAGCGCAAATTTTGTGTATATAAGATTTGTGGGAAGGGGTGAAGACATTACGGAGATAGGTCAGAGATCGAATCGCAGACCCGCGGCTGTCATGGTCTTAGCAGCCCGCGACTGCCAGGATCCTCAAACATCAAGACGAGTCTTCCCGATCGCGCTGCAGGCCTCATCTCACCTTGGTGCAAATCTCAACTACACTCGCTATACATCAACCACAAAACTCTTCACACGGTCTTGGTTGCCGCATAAGGTACTCTGGACTGTGATACACACCACTTCTGTTCCATCACTTCTTTCCCCCAAAAGACCGTCGTCGTCGTGTAGCCTGGATCAAATTTAACAAAACCTCATCTATTCACAACGTGAGAACAACGACAACGATGAGCCGGTATACCGACCACCTATCAGGAGACTGGCCCCAGGTCGGCCCGTTCGTCAACGAATGGCCACATATCCATCGTCATGCCCAAATGAACGACAGCAGCTATTCGGGTGGTCTGTTTCCCAGAACCGGGTCAAGGAACAACGGCGACTACTTCAGTCTGGGCCACATGCCATCGCCATCTCGACCTGCCATTCCCAGATCCCCCTCATTGTTGCTATCCAGACGCAACACTGCACCAGCTGTCAGCCTGTCGTCTCTGGCAGGCTCGTCATCAGAAACATGGTCGTGGGGAGGCATGAACCTCAACGAGGGAACGCGCCCACACTCGTCCAATTCAACCTTGTATTCAGAAATCTCACGTCCCGATCTCGTCCCTACGAGATCAAGCATCGACCGCTGCACAGCTTCGAGCCACAACCACAGCCACGGCCACAACCGCAGCCGCAACAACTACGACAGTCTCCGTGAGCTGCTCAAGAGGAACTACACTCTCCCAGCCTCAAGTCGTCCCCTGAGCAAAAACAACAAAGACAGCAACACGACGGCTAAAGACACCACGACATGTATGACCCGGTACATGGCCTTGGCGTTCCCACCCACGAAGACGGCGTTGTCACTCTGCCGGGGGAAATCCATAGACCAGCAAACCCGGGAGAAGAAGACACCGGCGATACACTGCTCTCTCCACGAGCGAGACTACCACTGCCCATGTGCCTCATGCGCCCGCTACCGCCGCACCCGTCGCCAGACACCACGCAGTGTTCGCTCGTCGGTGGCCAGCTACAGCAGCGGTGGTAGCAGCGGAAGCAGCACCACGGCTACCATGACCAGGACCACGACAACTAGCAGTAGCAGTACCACTACTACCACTACCACCAGCAGCAGCACGACGGAGACAAGAAAGACGACGGTCATGGCCGCAGCCACTGCCCTCCAAGCTGCTCTTCGCGCTGCTTCACGGGCCATCGACAGTGACCACCACACCAACGCCGCCGCCTCCTCCTCCTCCACTACCACCACTACCACTGCACGTCTACTTACAGAAACCACCATTACCAGAACAACGAGCTGCTCCTCTGCCTCCTCCTCCCCGACAACAACAACAAGCTTCACGGACATAACCGAGCTGACTTCCGCAGCCATGCTGTTCGAGTACAAGGAGCGCCTCGGCCGGCTGCGCGCCCGGCAGGCCCACGCCCTCCGGCGGCGCGAGGACGAGCACGCCGAGCGCAAGAGCCGCGTCCGCAGGGCCATCAACGTCGACTTTGGATACCTCAAGAGCGAGTCGGAGATCTGGGAGGAGCGGATCCGGCTCGAGGAGGAAAAGCAGAATAGTCGGGATCAGAAGCAGCAGCGGAAGCAGAAGCAGCAGCACCAGGAGCAGGAGCAGGAGGAAGAGAAACCGACATTGCTGCTCAAATTCGGGACAGCAGCACGTATACGCTCATCGCAAGCACGGTCACAACTCCTGCCGGCCCCAAATCAGCTCCACGACGAGGACTGTGCAGAAAGTGACGAAACGTGGCAGGAGGAGGAGAAGAAAAAGACTCTGGCCGCCAAGATGCGAAAGACAACAATACAGGCCATTAAGCCTGTCTTCTGGCAGTTCCTTATGCTCAAGAAGGTGCTCGCTCTCGAGCATGATCACCAGCTGGATCTCGACAGGCTCCGCCAGATCCACGCCGAGCAGGACCGCGAGCTGTACGAAGAATATTCACAGGTCAACAACAGGACATATCCACCTTGTCCACCGCCGCAAAACGTCGAGAAGAGACTATCAGGGCGGTGGCGTTCATGGGTTGTCACGATCGGTGACAACAAGAACTGGCAGGTTCTACAATCACAGGGCGTTGAATAAGATGACAGTATAGAGAATTTTGGAAAATAGGGGGACAATAACGAGCAAGGATGATTTTTTCGGCAAAGCTAGCAGACAAGCAACATTGAATACATACATGGCTCTCTAGAGGCCGAATTCGTGCGTGACCCTTTATCGGTAAACCAGGCCATGTAATGCTTAAGTTTCAACCTTTTCAAGTTCACCTACCGTAAATACTGGCAAGACAGTCGATGTGTCGTCTTTCCGCCGTGTTCAAGTCCTGGCCTCGCGCAGATACTTTCTCGTCTTTGCAACTTCCTGCTGCCATTCGGCATATTTCAGCTGCCGTCTTGATTTCTCATTGCCATCAAGCTCCCTGTCATGCTCAACCAAAGCATCGAACTTTTCTTCAAATTGCATGGCACGTTCTCGAAATTCCGTATGCATGGTGTAACACTCCTGTTCCTGTTTCCGGGAAAGCGCAGCGGCAATACGTTTCCCATTGCGCTGATACTCATCGACAACACTCGAGATTGCCTTCTCCTTGGAACCTAGGTGGCGTAGCATGTTCTAATCATGTCAGAGAAGCTCAATAGACGAACAATGAATGAACCTACCACAGTCACATCGTGCAGGCTGTCAATCAGGCTGCCAGAGGCATCATTTACGACACTTTGACATTCTCTCCATTTTTCGAGCGCGTTCTGGTTGTGACTCATTTCGCCGTTTTCTGGCTGGGCTCCCTTGAAAGTTTCATTGAAGCTGCGAGTCGTCAACTGTGCAAGGCGCTGGGGTTCGCGCTGGAAGCGGGATGCACTTGTCAATCGTCCTGCCTGTGATAAGTCATTTTGGAGCTGATCTGTCTGTTTCCCACCGGGAGGCTGATTGACTGACGCAATCCGTCGCATGAAGTCGGCAGTCGTTTGGTAAGAATGTGTCTGTCGTTCCCGAGGAAGCCCTGTAAGGTTCAAAGCTCGCTTCAGTGTGCTAGATGGCTCAAGTGGGCGACCCAGCACGCCGTCATAACTATCACGTGGATTGGCTAAGGGTTTCCTCGAATTGATTGGGTCATTGTCAAGAACCAACTCTCGGGCATGCAGCCGAGCATTGGGTTTGTTGAGCTTGAAATCATACTCGCCAGCATCGGGCGACCACCTAGGGACATCGGGCTCGACGGTGGGCACATGGTTTTCTGAGGTGATAATTGTTACCATGGTCTTTGCTGGCTGTGCCGCCTGCATCTCATCTACATGATACATGTCGCGCATCCTTCGAGTATCAATAGGGCTGCCTAGGTCGCTGACAAGCGAACGCTTGTGTGCGGTATGAGGCAGCGATGTCTCCGGCTGCGGTGGCTGTAGGGAGTCTTGACGCAGTTCACCTGATATTATCGCTTCTGAAGGGCGGCTTTCGACCTTTCGGCGGCTTTCTGAAGGCGGCTCATTGTTGGGCTGGTCACACTCGTGATTGTTGACTTCTAGGGTGCTTACGGATTTGTTCTGAACTCGATTACCTATGCTGAGATCTTGACCACGGGGCGCTGGATTCGAGGTCGCCGCATATATCTTTGTAGACATGACATTCTCTGCTTTGTTGGGCACTTCAATATCAGTACACATGTCCAGCTTTCCCATTGGCTGATCGATTTTCTTTTGAGTAGAATTGTTTGAGTTGAGGCCTTTGGCTTCTGATTTGCGCGACAGTTTTGGTTTCTGCGAGGCTCTTGATGCCGCTGATCGTGTATTAATGGGTTGACTGTGTGTGGTCTTTATTTGTGATTCTTGGATATCACTGCTGATGTCGTCCGATATGGGATCCGACATAAGCTCTGATGGTGCTGCACTGCGATCGTTCAAGTCGAGACTCTTGGCGGAGCGCACCGAAAAGGGTGTCCTCTGGACTTTGATGGGCATCTTTCTGACAGGCATTTCCTTCTGAGCAGGTTCAGGAGACACTCGCGGTAGTCCGGCCTCAGGCTCGGCAATATCTTGTAGCATCTTCCGGGTGATGGGCCGCAGGCGTCGTCTGTTCTCCGAACCATATGACACAGGACTTCTCTTCTTCCTCTGATTAGAACCAGGAAGGGGCTGCTGGCGCTGGAAGGCCTTTCCCTGCACGGTGGACAGTGTTTTGGCTGCCTCCTTCTTCTTTGGGGAGACTTCCACGTCCCAGTAGTTCTCCTCGGCAATCTTTGAATTCGTTGATTTCGACCCTAGAACAGCCTTTGCCCTTCGCGAACTGCCTTGGTTCGCTTTTGGCTGTGGGCCGATCTGTCTGCATACAGCAGCTGTCGAGGTCTCTGCAGGCTCACGTCTGCTCTGCTGGACGTTGGCGTCCTCCAGAGTTTCACGAGCTACCACCAGCGGAGAATGGTCAGTGAGCAGTCCTATTACACCACAAAACCACATTCTTAATCATCTCACTCACCTTCCCTAAGTCCGATCATACTCGAGTTTCCATGGCTTCCTTGGTCCGCAGCATTCTGCTTGTCGAAGAACGATTTCTTTGGCACTCTTGGCACGGTCTTTCTTGCGCCCCTCTCATTTGTTGGTGATTGGCTGCCGTTGCCATTATGTTTCCTTGGTTCACTTGAGGAGGCAGGTTCGTGGCCCGGGCCTCGGTTCACACGTGAGCTGGTCTTTGTGTCGCCTTTTTCTGTAGGTTCTGCTCGCTGATGTGTAGTCTTAGCATTGTTGATTGGCGCTTTCCTGCTGACCGACTTTTTGGGTGGCTCGCGTTGGTGACGCGGATCTGTGCGAGCAGTCGTGGAACCCCGTGTCCTTATGGCCGTGGACGTTTTCGAGCCTGCCTTGGGCGCTCTTGCCCGCAGGTTCCCCTTCTTAGCCTTTTTGGGTTCGTAATCCGAATCATCATCGTCTGGTTCGGCGTGGTCGACCTCGTTCAGCACCACGTCTTCGTCCATTCTGTTCTCGCCATTTCCAGCACAAATCTCACTACTGCATCGTGGCGGTCGGTTGATTTCTTTGACTTCCTCTTCAGACAGGCCGGAGTTGACGGGAATTTCATCAACGTCTGACATCGCTGCCGGTGGCCGCAAACTGCTCGGAATGGCCGGTGGGGATGATCGCAGAAGGTTTCCGTCAAGGCCTTCCGGCTGTGGAAGTGGGATGGTATCATCTAAGTGAGCCTGGTCGTGAGCCATCTGCGATGTTCCTCGTCCTTTCTTTGATGGTGCTTGTTCAGGTGAAGTTGAATACACCTCTGACTCATGCAGGCTAGATGAGCTGATACTGCCACGCCCAGGCATGGACGACGATCTTTGACCTTGTGGTATGATAGCAAGGCTCAGTCTGCCGTCGCTTTCTCGTCGGAGCTGCGACGATCCCGCCATAGCTCTTTACCACTGGAGATCGGAATCCTTGACAGGATATGAGACCGCCAGTACTTGGGTCATCGACGGACAGTTGGTTGCCTCATTTGTGTTACGATCACCACAGAATGAGCTTGGTGATGGCGTGGTGAACAGCAATGCTGAAGTTCAATGGGAGTTTTTCACGAAGAAGGGAGAGCGAGGCAGATGGGCTTGGGCCTGTCGCTATGACAAGTGATAAATTGTCTATGGCATCGAGTCGGTCGCGGTTGTCACGGCTGCAGAAGGTCTGTGACAGATGAGCAGAGAGGACAAGGATGATTCCAACACAGTTGTAAATTTGGAGGTTGCTGAACATTTGCAAGAGCTCGCTCTTGCTCAACCGGGAAGGAGCGGCAACCAGTACAGGCCTGATCCGTACCTGCCCACATGGGGGAGAGCGACGAATGCACGACTGGTTCTTGGCATCCCGAGAGCACCGCAAGAATTTGAGAAACTGTGTTTTGAGAATACGGATATTGCTCTATCTATGTGTAATTGTGCTAAAACAGTCTGATGATGCACAGTTGACGTTCGCCAAAGCCGAACGCACTGGGCATGTTTGACAACCTAGTTCTTCATACCAAGTCGTCTTCGTGCGAAGCATCGCAGGTCCGACATGAGATTCAAGAATGCACAAGCCACGAGGGCACAGCAGGCAGGCACTTCAAGTGTCTAATCAAGCAGAATTCTGCCACATTTCAATAACGGTCACGCTCAACTTCATTCGGGTATCGGTGAGCCGGCATAGCGCCGGTCGGTCTCTGAGGCCGCAGCTGACTTGATTGACACAAGTCGAGCTTGATATGACGATTTTCGTCGCCAGTGTTCAGTAGATACAGGACCCACGAAGTCATGTCGTGCCAGATCATGCCTTGAAATAATTCCATCCAGTCAACGCCGCCATGCTAGAAAGATTTTTTTGAGATCCATCATTTTTGTCGTGATTCCTCCAAGGACGCGCGAATGTCCTGGCTGCATTTACCGGACAATGCCGTCGAAGCGAGACTTGAACCACTTGACGGTCTCGTCACGCTTGATCTTGTGGCTGGCACCGATGGTGCTCTTGCAGCGGCGGCGGCGGGTGACGCGCTCACCAGGGCGGGTCATGCAGCAGTAGAAGTCCATGCCGTAGATACCAATCGCGGGGTCGTACTTGATGCCGAGATCGATGTGCTCAGTGATACCGAAGCCGAAGTTGCCAGTCTCGGAGAAGTTGCGCTTGCGGAGCTCGTACTCCTTGACCTTGAGGCCACGCTCGAGAATCTCCTCGGCCTTGGGGCCACGGATGGTGACGTGGACGGAGATCTTCTCGTTACGGCGGATACCGAAGGTACGGACGGTGTAGCGGGCCTTGCCTGTAAAAACGCAGCCGAGTCAGATATTTGCAGCGCTGGCGATGGATTGCGAGCATCAGGACATACTGTAGACGGGGGTTTGACCGCTCAGCTGCTCGAGCACCTTGGCGGCACGAGTAAGTCTGTCACCAGACTCGCCAACGGAGATGTTGAGAACGAGCTTCTGGATGCGCAGCTCGCGCATGGGGTTCTGGGCCTTGTCCGACTGCAACAAATCATTTTTGTTAGCTGTTGGTCGTCGATATTTCGAGTAAATGCGCAATGGGAGTCGAGAGAGCGTACCATGATGGGCTATTGGGTTAGTATCGACAGCGGATTGACTGGCGTTTGGTCGTGGATGGTTCGATAGCTGAAGATGCAAGATCCCCTCCCAGAGCCGAAATTTTGGAGGTCTTCAATTTGTCCCAGCCAGCCAGAATTTCCGTCGGTGGGCTTGCACCTGTGCGAACCCTTTGAATTTGTGGAGCCTCGGATGTGGCTGCTGTGCAAAAGCCTCGGCGGAGTTGCACCATGAGGAGCGGCCTGGTTGGCGACGAGCGGAGGATGAGCCACAGTTGGGGTGTGGCTGAGGGCGAGACTTTGGGACACCCTGGATCACCCTTACATAATCATCCCGGCCTTTGCGCTTGATGGAGCTGATTGGCTGCTTTCACCATAGAGGAGCTTGCACCGAGTGGAGTCGTCCTTGGGACTCCAGCCTTGCAGCCTCGTCCAATGGAGCGCGGGTGCATCAACTCCACGCCCGCTGCCTTGTCCAAATTTACCCTCGCGCTGCACCTCATACCCAAAGTCGAGATCAGAAAGCTTACGCGCACGCGCAGCTACTGTCTTGCTGGAGTCAAGCGAGGACTTCAACAACAAAAACTCCAACCCAATTTTTGAGAACAAAGCGCTCCTCGGAGCCAATCGCCGCAGCCATGTCGAACAAGCAGGGAAAGATGGTATGTCCGCACTCTGACCGCTTGCGAAGCTCCCACCTTGACATCACCAGCTAACACGATACTCTTCCTTAGGCCGGCTACGTATGTGACCCTATTGCCGAGATATTCTCATTCCAGCTGGGCGCGGGTCCTGCTATCACCCTTCGAACGATTGCTGATCAGACGAACAGATCAACTACCGGATGCGAATCACGTTGATGGATGGCCGGCAGATGACTGGCCAGATGCTCGCCTTTGACAAGGTTCGTTCCCACGCGAGGGCTGTCATGATCGAATCAAGCTGACTGTTTTGTAGCACATGAACCTCGTCCTCGCCGACACCGAAGAATTCCGCCGCGTAAAGAAGAAGCAGACGAAACCCTCAGGCGCTCCCGGCGCATCTGGATCTGGCGCAACACAAACGATCGAGTCTGAAGAGAAGCGCACGCTTGGTCTTACCATCGTGCGTGGTGCTCATATTGTGTCTCTGTCCGTGGAGTCGGCTCCGCCTGCCGACCCAAGCACAAGATTGGGCAAGAGTGCCCCGAGTGGTCTTCCGACAAGCCTGACTCAAGGCCCTGGCGTATCTCGGCCGGCCGGCCGTGGCGCCGCCGCTCCTCCATCCTCGCTGGCGGTGAGTTTGACTGAGAACCATTTAAACCGATCAGCTGTACTAATTGACGTTGTAGGGTCCGGCTCCCGGCGTTGGCGGTGGTGTTCCCCCGTTTCCTCCGCAATTTGGCGGTGCTCCGGGTTTCCCAGGCCCGGGCAGAGGTGGTCGTAAGTATCTGTCTCCCTTCGAGCGCTCGTGCGGCATATCCTTCAAACTTTCACTCGCTAATGCTCAGTAGCTCCCCCGCCTGGCTTCCCTCCTGGTGGCTTCCCGCCTCCTGGCTTCCCTCAGAATGCACCTTTCCCTCCGCCCGGCTTCAACCCTGGCGGCGGACCGCCTGGATTCAACCCTCCCCCACGGAGATAGACCATTATAACGGCGTTGAAGTACGCAGGGAAAGACGGTCACTACGCTGTGCGCCAGAGTGGTTACAGTCACGCTCCAGCTTTCACTCCGTCAGGGCCGTCCCGGGACCTTTGTGGGCCGTGCGTGCATCAGCAGCTCCCATCATAGCTTGAAAGACAGCTCAGGAAACACGGCCCCTCGACCCATTGGGACTGCATGGCCCCCGCAGGAGCGGGACTGTGATGCCTGACGCTTGTGCCTCATGATGGTCTTGGGGCAGAGAGAAGGAATTCTCGTGCTTGGATGAAGGCTACAAAACGATTGTGTAGCAGACCCTGATCTGAGAGACGAATAAAATTATCAAAGCCCCTCAGAAGAATGATGAATACACCGAGACATGGCGACCAATTCAGAAGCTTATGCACAAGAATTATTGCATGGTTCCGTATCTACGTGGCTGCTCCCTGTTGTCCTAGTCTGAATTCAACAATCTGACTTGTCTCGGCCTAACACGCTAAGATGAATATGACATGCGATTATTCTCCGGCGGGCAAGGCATGAGCCAGTCCTCCTAGGATCAGCAACAATCGATCTGAAGAGCTCAACAATACTCTGAGTGAGAGACATCTCTTGTGGCAGCTGAAAAGGAGGCGATCCGGAGCTGTGCTGTGAGGACGTCACCGCTGACCAATGAAAGCTGCGCGACCCCAATCCCGGAGACCCACCAGGTGTTGAATCCGCCCCAAAGCGCAGTCAACGCTTTTTTTGGATGGCGGGCGGGAAGAGCCCTATCGCAGCTTTCACCCAAAGAACAAAGTGCGCCGCAAGCAGTCTCCCTCTCCCACCACCACTGCCAATCCCACCCAGCCCAGCCGTGCCCGACAAGCCCAAGATGGCCGCCGCAATCAAAGCTCTCAACGCAAAGATCAGGTCGAACCCGACCCTGAACTACATTTGCTCTACCCGTACGTTGCTGCTTGCCCGCCCCTCGAAAAAAAGCCGCCCTTCCGATATCCGGAGCGTCGCGCGAGATTTGCTTCAGTCCCGCCGCTCAGCCTCTGCCGGCCGCGAAGCACCACAAATAAGCACGCGATGCACCCCAAAGCCGCCAGAGACATTGGCGTGAACATGAGCAGGCCATATTTGTCTAGTGCCGCGCCGGCACCTGAGACCAGAGACGCACACTCGCGTGCCTGGTTGCCGCAATGCGAACCAGGGTCTTTTTAGTGGTGACACGGTATCGCCAGGGGAAACCTTGAGCACATCGCCCTGCATGGACGATCGCGTGTCGTCATTTGCGCTTCACTCTGGACGCAGGAACAATCTCGGGGGAGCTCGGTGGGCACGATCCGCTCGCAAGACCTTGAACTAACCACCGTTTGCTCGACAGACTTCTGGGGTCCCGTCTCCAACTTTGGTATTCCCGTGGCCGCCATTGCCGATGCCCAAAAGTCACCAGATCTGTACGTATTATTGCCTTCAGAAGCATCGCCCGTAGCATACGTTTCGATACCGCGCACCATGTGCAGCATTTGATCCACAGCGCGCGGCTTGCCGGACCTCCAGCCTGGACTCAGCGACAAGCAGCATGCTCAGATGGCCTGACACATCCACGCTTGTTGTTCCAGAAACAAGAATGCTGACCATCGGGCCTTGTGAAATTACTGCAGTATCTCGGGCCAGATGACTGGCGCCCTCGTCGTCTACTCCGCGACCTTCATGCGCTACTCGCTCGCCGTCTCGCCCAAGAACTACCTCCTCTTCGCCTGCCACTTCATCAACGAGTGCTCCCAGCTCACCCAGGGTTACCGGTACCTGCAGTGGCACCACTGGGGCGGCAAGGAGAAGGCCGGCGCCGCGGGCGCCGTCGAGACCGTCAAGGCCAAGGCGAACGAGGCTGCGGACAAGGTCAAGGCGGCTGCTTCCAAATAGGCGGGATAGAGACGGTTTGACGCGGGGGAGCGAGGAAGGACGGAGTGAGGATGTGCTTGTATACCACAGACGTGGCCTCGACATGGACCGACAGTGAACAAAGTGTGTGCTAGACCGAGAGGGATATGATTGTCACGCAAAGTGGCAGTCGTTAGACTGGTCGACGTGGGCGAGGGTTCGTGGCCCTGCCATGGAGTCGATGTCTCAACAACGAGAGGAATGCTCTCTTTTGTAACACTTATCCACCGTAGGAGTGTCTGCGTATGACAGACTATTGTACATCGAAAGAAAGATGGCCTCGAGAGGTGAAGAGAATAGTTTCATACATGCCTGGTATCTGTTTGGGAAGTTCATGAAATATAGTTCGGCCTCCCAGGTACCGAACCGATGCGCAGCGATTTTGGGCTGTTCCGACCAGCGATATCGATGCTGGACAGTCTCCTCAAAATGAGGAAAAGCCATCGCCGCCTGCGTGACGTCAGATAGCCGTATATCGAACATCAGAATGTTCAATTTTGCTCCCTGATTTGCCTAGTGCTCTGTGAAAGCAGAGTCTGGTGTTCGACGGTTGAGGGTTAGGTTGGCCTTGTGAGCGCACCGCACATCTCCTCATCTGTCTACAAATCGTGGTCAGTGGGGGAAATATGTATACCATAGACTTCTCTGGCGTAGCCGGCATTGGATAAATGAGTCGGTCCGACATCTGGAACGTCTCTGGGCAGGGTGCAACGCAAGGAACAACGAGTTGACTACCGCAAGTCATCTCCTGCGAGCACTGAAGGTTTGCAAGTTGTGCGTGCACTTCAGCACGCAAAGCGGCTACGGTACGAAATCGACAAGAAAGAGAGAGCGTTCTAGAGAGTTGCTGCGAAGAAGAAATCGCAAGCCCTAACCTAACGGACGTCTGGTCCTGTGCCAAACAAAGCTCTCGGGTTCCGAAGAGCAGTCGAATATTTATTTCGAGATCGTTATCCCGAGGTGAGTTGTAGCGTTTGATCACCATCTGCGCCCTCCTTGTCGAGTTGGCAATGTTTTCACGTGCATACTGAGGTCCAGCTTGGTCTGGTGCAAAGGTGTGAAATTGAAGAAACATAACATAGTACTCGTCCCACCCAGTACTCAATAGACACAAACGCCAAGCTTGCCGCCACAGATTCCGGTGCCACTTTACGTCGCACTTTCTGTTCGCGAGCTGTGTTGCGGCGACTTACCCGCGCCGCCGAACTCGTTTACTAGAGATACATACACACAGGTACAGTGGTTGATGATCTGCACTGCGGCTATCCCGCGTGTCGCGCACCGGGCCAGACGAAACAAATTCCCGTCTCATGACCCCCACAGGCCAGCGGGCTAAATATGGCTGCCGGGGTATATCGGTGTTTAGACGACTGACTGAGACCTGTTTCCATGTCGTCGGGGAGCAATACTAGAAACCCGGCCAAGAAACGGAGGAAACATGTGTCGTCTATTTCCGGCGGTTTCTGTACCGGCGTTACGGAACGCACGCTCGTCGCGGAAGCTCTTGGGGGGGAGGCCGGCAGGGGGCGTGGGTTTCGAGCCGAGGTCGGACCCCTGAGAATGACTCCCGTTTCAACTTTTCACTTTTAGGCGAACTCGGGACGAGGCCGGGCGACGGATCGAGTCCGACTTGGTAGGACAGGCAATTCCAGGGAGACACCAAGGCGGGACAGAGGCTGACTGTCTGGTTTGATGCGGCTCCACGCGGCCACTGCCGGACTCTGCTACGTCACGTCAATCGGAGCTCGGCCACTTGGCAAACACATGGAGGGAAGTGCGAAGTGCTCGTCAAGATGGCTTGCGGTGGAACAGCCCCGCCACATCCACTCGCCCATGAGCTAGTACGCTGGAAATGATAGACGCAGAGGCTAGTCATGAGGATAGGACAAGCCATGGAAGACTTCACCCAGGCGTCACATCGGACCGAGCTCGGTGCAATTCAGTCCAAAAATCCACGTCGTCAGTTTCTTGGCGAGTTTTCAGCGTTGCGCATCTCGTTGTGGCAGGGATGCTTCTCGACCACCCTCGAGACGACAGCCGTAGTCCGAGTAACGACTTCGCCGACATCTGGGGACTCCATTACTTGGCTGTCTCGATTTGTTCCCCACGACATCACGTAATCCTCTGCGGGAAACCACATCCATAGGCGCCGTTGGCGCAATACTTGGGCAGCCACGTGCCTGGAAATTCCGGGGCATAACTCAAGCTACTCCAACCTTTCCCTGTCAAGCCTTATTTTCTTCGTGCATGCTGTTTAGATAGGCTAACCTGTGATGGAAAGTCGAGGTTGATCGAGAAAGACCCGGTTCCTCGGGTCAAGAGGCGTGGTGACGGCTCAGCAGTCGTTCGGAAGCTGCGTCCAGGCACTGGTGCTTCACCCGAGACAGCCGATGTACAACCCGGATGGCTAAGTTATCCTCGGCTCAGCGACAATAGCCAGTCCTTTGGCTTCGAATATTGCCCGGCGACATCCAAGCACATAGTTCCGACCGCATAGTGTATGCTGGGAGCAAGGCAAAGTGCATTGGCGAATCAGCCGGCGTCGAAAAGAGCGCTGCTTTTTCAGTCCAGTCCATGAGAACCGCCCCACCGTGGGCAGGGTCAGTCGCCGAGGTACTGGGAAAGCTGTGCGATGCATGCAGTGCTCGGCGGTTGGGGCAGCTGACAGGAAGAACAAATATATTCAAGGACGACAATGTCAGACCTGTAGACCCTTGGACAAAGATGGCCTGTTGGACTTGCAGCACTTTTGGTATCCCTCTGATGGAATCTCGATTTATGCTGTCAGAGCAATTGGATACTGATAAGTGCAGACTGGATGATGGCGGCTGAATGACAGGTGGAAAAGACAAAGCCGAGAGTAATGGGTTCTCCAAACGGACTCCCCACCAAGTTGTGGCCAGGCCAATGACTGCGTGCCGCTTCAGCTGCTCCCCCGCGCCGCATCGGCGGGTCTGAAGGGGACTTGGATCGTGCTTTGGGTCTGGCGCGCGTACCTAGATGCCCCTCCAATGACGGGGGTCGCGGACCAGGGGTTGTTGGGGGTTGCAAGAGCAACACGGGAGGTCAACAGAACACCAGCATGCTCAACCTCATTGACATCACACCCCTCCTGGAGGGGGTAGACGGGAGTTGATGGGTGCCGCCTCGTAGTGGAAAATCTCTGCTGCCGAATCAACTGCAGTCATCGGTGCTCCGGTCGGTCGATAAGCCGCCCAATGGAGTTTTGAGCACTGTTATACCGGTTGAAGCTGTGGTCGATCCTTGTGTGCAGCGTCATACGTCCATGTGATGTGATGAGGGTGAGCATGGGCGAGTCTTCACCGCAATGAGTGGATCTTGCTGGCGGCTCGTCAGGAGACAGTGCGGAGGTTTCATACATTTTGGGAGGCACCCCTGGGAGAGCCTGGATCACTTCTATTTGCAGTCACCATCATCAGTAGTTGACCACGGACGGCCTGAGATCGTCCTTGCAGCCGTCGCTTCTCTCCAGTGGCTTATCTAAAAACCTTGTGTTTCGAGACGCCGTCGTGGAGCACGATCAAACTCAATGCTGACGTTAGTGTCCCCGGGGCAGATGGCCTCGTCGATAGAGTGGCTACAACGCCTGTCGTGAGTAGCTACGCCGAGCGGTGCCCCGGTGCTCTGTCGCTCGCTGTGATAGACTGTGCCTCGGACAGGAGGAAGCCTGGTGGGCTGCACGCAGGTCTCAGTCCAGATCCAGCTCTGCCGCGAAGCTGCCGCCGTGGGGTGGGGGCAAGCGGTGGGAGGGGCCCGGCCGGAAGTACCAGATACCGCATCGTGAGGGGCTAGCCTGGCGTTGCTTGGTGCGCCAAGCATGCATGTCGCGGGCGGGTCGCAAGTCGTTGAGACAAGCGGGCAGCTCGGCACTGTCGCGCACTTGCTTCTGATTACCACGCTGGCGCCGTGGCAGCTTCGCCAGAGAGAAGCTCCAGGATACCTAGGTCTCCGCTTTCTTTTGCCCCGGCTCGCGACGTCTGGGTTGGTTGTCACAGCTGCTCGCTATCTCTGCCATCCATTGCGGTGGTTGTGCCTATGCCCACACCCGGTCGTCGTGTTAGTCGAGCAATGGCCGTGGCTGACGACGTTGTCTTGGGGCCTTCGTGCTCATAGGCACAAGGCAGAGCTGCCTCAAGCTAGTCCGGCATGCTGCGAGCTTAAGAGCCCCCTCGCCCTCCCCCCTCGTGCCAGAGCCCCCTCTCGCTCCTGTGATCCCTTTGTTTTCTTGCTCTGAGAGAAAACCTTCTGCTGCCTCTTCCTCCGAGACCATTGCTGGCAATCGTGAAGAGCCAGCTCGTATCGATTCAGATCCCATCCCGTCTCGACCTGCCAGACTGCCGAGGTCCTTGACGCAATCCACCCCCACCAACCCATTAGCTTGTGCTTGCACTTGCTCAGACTCGCAGCGGCGGCCACTGAGTGAACGCGGGGCTTGACAACAGCTCAAGTTCGTTCTCCCGCTTTCGTGCCTTAGGTAAGTGGGATGACAGAAGGAAGGCACGCCCCGCCGGTGCTCCCGGGCGCGGGGAATCCTCTGTGTTTGCGGCCCCCAGCATCCTTGTGATCTCTTTCTGGGTTCCGGCCAGTCTTTGCTGCTGCTGCTGCCCAGGACAAGATCCTATGGTTCGTGTGCGAGCCATTGATCTCTGCGACTCGTCTTATACGACCCGAACCCCTGTGCTCCGTACTGCGCACGCATCTTGTATGCCAAGCAAGTCTCGCTAAGACATCTCTCATCTGCAGCGCTGTAGTCTTATTCTTCCACGCAAGCCACGACCAAGACGACCAATTGGTCAGCGAACCATGGCGGACATCCAGGAGCTCAAGTCGCTGGCCGCAGCTCGCGAGGCGGCTGGTCAGCCAATTGACGAGGATGCCTTTGAGGAGGGCGTCGCTCCCAAGGACATGAAGACTGCCCACCACATCCGTGCCAACAGCTCCATCATGCAGCTCAACAAGATCCTCGGTGCGTCTCACCACGTAAAGAATGAGCTTCGGAGCTCAGATCAAAGATGCAAGCGCTGACTTAGACTTTTCTTTTTATGGACTGCAGTGGCCAACAGAGGCGAAATTCGTAAGTCTTGCCGCAGCTCTCACACGGCGGCGTGGTGTCCGGACGCATACTAATAGCCATGACAGCCATTCGTATCTTCAGAACTGCCCACGAGCTTTCACTGCACACTATCGCGGTATTCAGTCATGAAGATCGTCTCAGCATGCACAGGCAAAAGGCGGACGAGGCGTACATGATTGGCAAGCGGGGCCAGTACACTCCAGTCGGTGCTTACCTCGCTGGTGACGAAATCATCAAGATTGCGGTCGAGCATGGCGCTCAGATGATCCACCCCGGCTATGGTTTCCTCTCTGAGAACGCCGGATTCGCGCGCAATGTTGAAAAGGCTGGCCTTATCGTAAGTTGGGTTCTAAGCTTGATCCGCAAGATTGCCATTTGTTGGTTGCCCGCCTGACCTAGCTTCATCCTGCAGTTCATTGGACCCTCGCCCGACGTCATTGATTCCCTGGGCGACAAGGTCTCTGCTCGCAAGCTCGCGATCGCCGCAGGCGTTCCTGTCGTGCCCGGTACGGAGGGGGCCGTCGAGAGCTTCGAAGCCGTAAAGGCCTTCACAGACGAGTATGGCTTTCCCATCATCATCAAGGCCGCCTACGGTGGTGGTGGCCGTGGTATGCGTGTCGTGCGCGAGCAGTCCAGCCTCAAGGAGCACTTTGAGCGTGCGACTTCCGAGGCCAAGACTGCTTTCGGCAACGGCACCGTCTTCGTTGAGCGCTTCCTCGACAAGCCCAAGCACATTGAGGTCCAGCTTCTCGGTGACAACCACGGCAACATTGTCCACTTGTACGAGCGTGACTGCTCCGTCCAGCGCCGTCACCAGAAAGTTGTGGAGATTGCCCCGGCCAAGGATCTGCCAGTGGAGACCCGTGATGCCATCCTGGCTGATGCGGTAAAGCTCGCTAAGTCCGTCAACTACCGCAATGCGGGTACTGCTGAGTTCCTGGTCGACCAGCAAAACCGCTACTACTTTATCGAGATCAACCCCCGTATCCAGGTCGAGCACACAATCACTGAGGAGATCACCGGCATCGACATTGTCGCCGCTCAGATCCAGATTGCTGCGGGCGCCACGTTGGAGCAGCTCGGCCTTACCCAAGACCGCATCTCCACTCGGGGTTTCGCTATCCAATGCCGAATCACCACCGAGGACCCCGCCAAGCAGTTCCAGCCCGACACAGGCAAGATTGAGGTTTACCGCTCTGCCGGTGGTAACGGTGTCCGTCTCGACGGCGGCAACGGCTTTGCTGGTGCTGTCATTACCCCATACTACGACTCCATGCTGGTCAAGTGCACATGCCATGGCTCCACATATGAGATCGCCCGCCGGAAGGTCCTCCGTGCGCTGATCGAGTTCCGTGTCCGCGGTGTCAAGACCAACATTCCCTTTTTGGGCTCCCTGCTGACTCACCCCACTTTCATCGACGGCAACTGCTGGACAACCTTCATCGACGACACTCCCCAGCTCTTTGACCTCATTGGAAGCCAGAACCGTGCCCAGAAGCTGCTTGCCTACCTTGGCGACGTTGCCGTCAACGGCAGCAGCATCAAGGGCCAAGTCGGCGAGCCCAAGTTCAAGGGTGACTTCATCCTGCCCGAGCTCCTTGACGGGGCCGGCAACAAGATTGACACTTCGGAGCCTTGCACCAAGGGATGGAGACAGATCTTCCTTGATCAGGGCCCCAAGGCTTTCGCCAAGGCCGTCCGTCAGAACAAGGGCTGCTTGCTCATGGATACCACCTGGCGTGATGCCCACCAGTCTCTCTTGGCCACTCGTGTTCGCACCGTCGATCTGCTGGGCATTGCCAAGGAGACCAGCCATGCCCTGTCCAACCTCTACAGTCTCGAGTGCTGGGGCGGTGCCACTTTCGACGTTGCCATGCGCTTCCTCTACGAGGACCCCTGGGACCGTCTTCGCAAGATGAGAAAGCTTGTGCCCAACATCCCCTTCCAGATGCTGCTCCGTGGCGCCAACGGTGTTGCCTACGCCTCGCTGCCTGACAATGCCATCGATCACTTTGTCAAGCAGGCCAAGGACAACGGTGTCGATATCTTCAGAGTTTTTGATGCTTTGAACGACATTGACCAGCTCGAGGTTGGTATTAAGGCTGTGCAAAAGGCCGGCGGTATCTGCGAAGGGACTGTGTGTTACTCAGGCGACAGCAAGTCTCCCCGTTCCCAATTTTGATTTCTTCTGACCATTTGCTAACATATTCTTCTAGTGTTGGTAAGTTTGGTCTCTACCCGGACCGCCCCTTGAAGCCCGCATCTTTCGAAGATCTTCTGTGGACCTGTCAAGTCTTGGATGCTCTGCCTCTCTGAGTACCCTTTGCGGGACTTATGGATCTTGCTATTGAGACTTGAATCCTGAACCCTCTGAACCCTCTGAACCCTCTAGTTCCTAATCAGCAAAGCTAACCGCATTATTCTAATCATAGAACCCCAAGAAGAAGTACAACCTTGAGTACTACCTCTCCCTTGTGGAGAAGCTTGTCGCCCTCGACATTGATGTCCTCGGCATCAAGGACATGGCCGGTGTCCTCAAGCCTCATGCTGCGACTCTTCTCATTGGCTCGATTCGCGAGAAGTATCCTGATCTGCCCATTCACGTCCACACTCAGTAAGTTTCCTCAGTCATCATCATGAATATTTACTGACTTTTTTCTCAGCGACTCGGCCGGTACTGGTGTTGCTTCCATGGTTGCTTGCGCCAAGGCTGGTGCCGACGCCGTCGATGCCGCCACAGATAGCTTGAGTGGCATGACCTCGCAGCCAAGCATCAACGCCATCATCGCCTCTCTGGAAGGCTCTGACTTGGACCCTGGCTTGAACCCAGCTCACGTCCGGGCTCTTGACAGCTACTGGCAGCAGCTTCGCCTGCTCTACTCGCCTTTCGAGGCTCATCTCCCCGGACCTGACCCGGAGGTCTACGAGCACGAAATTCCTGGTAAGTTCTCTGCATGGCCCACCCTAAGATAGACTACTAACAACAACCAGGTGGTCAATTGACCAACATGATGTTTCAGGCCCAGCAGCTCGGTCTCGGAACTCAATGGGCCGAGACCAAGAAGGCCTACGAGCACGCCAACGATCTGCTTGGCGACATTGTCAAGGTCACGCCGACGTCCAAGGTTGTCGGCGACTTGGCGCAGTTCATGGTCTCCAACAAGCTGTCCGCTCAGGATGTTGTTGATCGCGCCGAGGAGCTCGATTTCCCTGGTTCCGTCTTGGAGTTCCTGGAAGGAATGATGGGCCAGCCATACGGGGGGTTCCCTGAGCCTCTGCGCTCGAAGGCTCTGCGCAACCGTCGCAAGTTTGAAAAGCGTCCCGGCCTGTACCTCGACCCAGTCGACTTCAAGAAGGTCCGCTCCGAGCTCACTCAGAAATGGGGCCGTATCAGCGAATGCGACCTCGCCTCTCACCTCATGTACCCGAAGGTCTTTGACGACTACAAGAAGTTTGTTCAGAAGTATGGCGATCTGTCTGTTCTGCCCACCAAATACTTCTTGTCAGCTCCCAAGATCGATGAGGAGTTCCACGTCGAGCTGGAGAAGGGCAAGACGTTGATTCTCAAGCTTCTCGCAGTCGGCCCCTTGTCCGAGTCTACTGGCCAGCGCGATGTCTTCTTCGAGATGAACGGCGAAATGCGCCAGGTCACCGTTGACGACAACAAGGCCAGCGTTGAGAACATCAGCCGGCCCAAGGCTGATGCCAGTGACTCGAGCCAGGTCGGCGCCCCCATGGCCGGTGTTCTTGTCGAGCTTAGAGTGCAGGAGGGATCGGAGGTCAAGAAGGGCGACCCCTTGGCTGTGCTGAGTGCTATGAAGATGGTAAGGTTTTGATTCGCAGACGTTACTGTCGTCCATCCGCTAACTCGTTCCAGGAAATGGTCATCTCTGCGCCGCACAACGGAAAGGTCTCGGGTCTGCAGGTTAAGGAGGGCGACTCTGTCGACGGCTCTGACTTGGTCTGCAAGATCGCCAAGGCATGAGTGGAAGGTCTCAGAACGCAGCCGTGGCGGGATGATCGGCAGTCACGTTCGTCAGGGTCTACAAGTACACGGGAGGACGAAAGCATGATTAACGATGCAGGTAGTAGCTCTATTTGAATCATTGCTAAGTGCCCGTTGTGCATGGCCCGATGTCTCACACGCCCTTGGTTGTATTGTAAAGTGCCAAGTAGTGACAAGCCTTTGACGGTACATTATCGTACCCACAAGTGAACCCAACTGCATTCCACGTTGGTCACGGTCCTCGGCAAAAAATAATGTCCATATCTGATATTCCTCCTTCCCATTCGCAGGACATCCTCCCACGCAGGCCTACTTCCCGAAAGAGTAAATGTAGTTTCAAAACATCTCCATTGGGGCAATACTAATTGGGGACTCATTTAACTAGGGCGAGATATAAAGACGAGTGTGAGAGTTTCTTTTTCATAAAAAAGAAATAAGGAGATAAGCCAAAAAAGCAATTTGAAGCCGTTAACCAAGGCATTTATTGCAGATGTGAACTGACGGGAGTATGATGCAGATTGCCCAATAGAGGTGGCCGGGGGTGGGGGGAGTCGTGGGGGAGCACGGATTGGTGCCAGTGCGTATTTCTTCCACACTGGGAAGGCTCGACCGGGCGCGCGTGTCACAAGCAGCAGAGCATTCCCAAATCTCACAACAGCAAAGAGAAAAAGCTGACCAACAATACTCGACAACGTCATCATCTACAGGAGCAAAACTTCACAAAGTGACAAAAAATTGGGTTGATGAGGACGAGACTCGAACTCGCGCGGGTTGCCCCATCAGGAAGTAACTTGTTAAGGTAACCTTAACCTGACGCCATAACCAACTCGGCCACCTCACCAGATGTTGTTGAAAGAGGCGGCTCTTATCCCAATACAGATGCCCTGTGCTGGAGGACCAGATTAATTGGGAGTGTTTTCTGTCGTCTAGTCCTGCCAACCCGTCTACCTCTAACTCACAGGCTGCGTGCGGGCTATGTGACGAAAAGTCTCGGCTTAATAATCACCGTAAATATCTTTTGGGGAAAGTGCAATATCGTAGTGTCGGTAGAGGTTCATCTACGTAGCGCTTGTGTCTCTGTGCACAGTAAGAGTTCCTCGAAGGTGCCAGATGGCTAGCCCTGGGGCGACAGCCTAAAGTGCGGGCGGGAGATCGTCAAAGCAGCAGCAGTTGGAATATTTCAGGATATCTTCGCTCTCCACATGCTTTGGGTTTCTTTTCCAGTCAGTGACACTTGATATCAGACAGAAGGCAACGTGAGCCCTGCTGTTTTTATCTCAGATGTAACAGTAGTGAGCCGTGATGCAGTTTGCCTCGAGGATTGTGCATCGCTTGGTGGGATTGGAAACATAATTACTTCTCAATGCTAGAACGTTTATTTATTTATTTACACTTGGGCTCGTGTTATTGGTTTCGGGAAAAGGAAACCCTTCGACGACGAGTTCAACTGGTTGACCACAAAGCCGGGCTGTGAAAACTCTGCTTGCACCTTGCTCCTCGACGGGATGGCTCAACACGAACACTGGTGACTTTGTCGGGGCCTGATACATACAGCTACGTACAGTGCCGATGCAAAGCTCTGTGCTTAATACCGCAGTTTGAAGCATCAACGACGCTCTCTAAGTGTTTGAAGCGACGGGCTGCACGCAGCTTTTCGTGCGAAGCACTGTTTCACGGAGCCTTCGAATCTCTCAAATTCAAGGTACCTATCAGACTAAGGATAAAAGAATAGGTTACGGTATCTACAAAGCCACAAGACCCAGAAAAGAAAAAAAGAGAAGGCCCCTTCGCATGGCTGCTCATTATTCTAGCTTTCTGCAATTCTCGTGGGTTCTCATGATCTAACCAGCGATGGCGATGTGCTGGATAGTATCTCGATCTGTGTCTCTGCCTCAGCATGCTCTTCCGTGGGGCTCACGTCACGACAGCCGTCTTCGCCAGCAGACTGAGCTGTGTCAGGAGTTCTCTGATGAGGCTCCGGCATAGCAGACGATGGCGGCGAGGCACCAATGTTAGCTATTGGCAGCGCTTCCTCAGACGAGGATGAGAGTGGCAGCTCTAAGGAAGAAGACGATGAAGATGCCGACGACGCCCACGAAGACAGCCGCATCGCGGCGACTTCCGTGCCGCCGCTGCCTCTGTGGCCGTGAAGGAAGGCATCGAAATCCGCGGACGCGGTCGAGTGCTTGGCCAGGTGCGCGGACCTTCTGCTACGACTGTTGTTGCTGTTGCTGCTGGCGCTGCCGGTGGACATCTCGCTGGTCGAGACTTGGCGTGACGCGGATGGTGACAAGGTGTAAGATGCTGATGGCCTCCTGTCTTCTATGATTGCGTCTCCGCTTTGAGTGCCAAACGAGACATCACTGACGATGCTTGCCGCACTCTGTTTCCGTGGTGGGCACTCGAGGGCACTATTGGGCTTGTTGCCGCTCGAGGCGGCCTTGCTGCTCGAGGTGCCGAGCAGCGGCGACAGGACGACCTCAAAGATGGGCTTCATGCCCATGCTCGACACGGCGATGAGCCCGAGCCCCGGCTCCAGCAGGAGCAGACTGGCGTAGAACGAGCTGATGTTGTTGTCGTTGGTGGGCCAGTCGTCCCAAACGCGGAACACGAGGCGGAGAAAGGCGCAGATGAGGGTCCTACAACGACGGCAAAACGAGTTAGTGATCATCGGTCTTGGTTTTGCAAAATTGATCATGCTATATCGGACGCAAGCGTGTGCCGGGTTGGGTCGGATGATGCGGAAAGGGCAGAACAGAGGCAGAGAGGACGAAGAAGACCAAGCAGAATCCCCAAAAAACCCGCTCTTGCACGACTTACAGAATACCAATGGCAAAGATGCAAAACACTCCGGCCTTGTACCTCCACCCTATCCTCAGCCGCCACACCATCGGCACGGGCAACAAGAAGATGACAATCTCATTGAGGAGGTTGAGCGTCGACATGGCAATCTCGGCCCTGAGCGCGGCCTCCGGGCCCGCGCAGTGCGTCTGGATGGCGGTGAGGTCGCAGGACCACAGGATCTTGATGTCCGGGGCGCACCAGAGCACGTTGAGCAGGAGAAGCGCGAGCATGAGCACCCCGGAGAAGACCATGGTCGCGTAGGCGATGTAGCGGAAGACCCTATTCTGGGAGAAGATCCGCGACATTGTCCAGATGATGCTCAGCTTGACTGCGGCCACTGCCATGGTGTACATGATCATCAAGGCGATTGTGGCCTGGAGAGGCGGCAGCAAAAGAAGATGTCAGTTCCAGTGGCCTCATTGTCTTCTGAGAAAGTGCTAGTGCATGAAGCGACCTCACCTTCCTCATACACACAAAAGGAAGGTCGTGGTTGACGCACCTGATCCCGCCGCTCGAGGTGATACCATTGGAGAACCTCGTTCGGGTAGTTGGCTGCCCCAACAATAGCACGGATCGCGTACGCCGCGACATCGCCATAGAAGCAAAGCAGCGCGAAGAGCTGCAGCCAGTCTTCAAACATGAGCCGGATCTTGAGGATCTTGATGCGGCAGTAGAGGCGGGCCGCCATCCACGCCGTCGTCCATCCGACCAGGACGAGCCCCGTGATGAAGGGCCCCAGCGACTTGGGGCTCAGCGGGACATAGTCTTCATAGATCTGGCCGTTGCTGGCGTCTGGACTCGCCATGTCGAAAAAGGGAGCGGCTCGAGAGAAGGTGGTCTGTCGGAATGAAGGGACAGGAACGACATGGCTGTCGAGACCGGCGATGAACAGACCATCTGATCCTTAAAGCAACGGGCTTCAAGATAGGTGGGGGTCATGCTGCCCGTCCCAAAACCTCTCGACCATTTGATGGCGATGCTGCTATTTGCGGAGCCTCTTCCGTGGCGATTGCAAGCCTACATGGGGGACGAGTGGGCCAGGGGTTCTCTCGCCCCGATCTTCACGACTCGCATGTGATGTTGAAGCACCTAAAGTATCCAGATACATGGCCGTCCTTCTTAAATATGCCGAGAGGATCTCGTCATCTGTCAAGGTACTACGTAGCGGCCGCTCTGTTGGAGGTGTCCCCGTAAGCAGACAAATCGTGGCGGCATGGCTAAGCCTATAGTTGACGCCCAAAGGCCCAGGGGTGAACAATACCTAACGTCGTATTGGCAGTCGATCATGCACTCCAGGGTGGTAGCGGCCGTTGATCAGTCAGGCGTGCCCGGTACATAAATCGAGTGACAACGCTGCCTCGGCTGCTCAAGCGAGATTTGACATGTCTACGGGATCTGGCAGGCGCAAATGGTGGGAGACTCTGCCAGACTTACACCCTGGCATCCCTGTGTTGTGGAAACAAGATCCAGAAAAGTCGGCCCGCACGAGGTCCCTCAATTTTGTCGGAGAGATACCTAGACCACGGCAGATAACAAACCTCGAGATAACCTTTGCTCCACACACCTGTCTCCAGAATCCACGCTTGCACCTCCCAATATCGCCCGGCGGGAATGCTCTTCGTGGATTGATGGTCACGGTTCTACATGGAGTGTCCAGTCTGCTGCCTGCAGTGATGATCAAGTCGCTTCTGGGAGGACTCGTTGTTCTTGGAGGGATAATGCTTACTGTGCCAGCTCCTCCTCGCCCCTGCTGCCCACGCCTCGGCAGTTGGGACCAGGATATCATGTATCGTGGGGTGCGGCTGAGTAACCAACCACGCTGCCCCCACGGAAAGACCACCCGTGGACCACGTTGCCCGTCCCAGAACGTCCACACTTTTGTCCCCCACCGGAACAACCACCACGTTGCCCCCACGAACTGAGTCTCTCGTGCAAGACCTGTCCGAGAGTGCCAGCACAACCTATATCGTGGATCACCGGAACCTTCGGCAATGGGAGGCCCTCGATCAACGACAAAAGGGAATGTAAATTGAAGTATAGAAACATAATTACAGGCCCGCGCTGTAGGCGGTGTCTATCGGTCCAACTGGCGCGGGCTGTTTTGTGATGTTGTACAGCTATTGTACCTGGCTTCTCTAGAAACTCATGGTGTCTGGGGGTATCAAATCATTCCTTTATATCTCCCTCCCTCGTCTTGGTAGCAGCGCCTACAATCGGCGCAGGCTCCAGAAGAATCCCAGGCGCAACGGCCTTTTCTTCCTCGCCCCCCTCGTAGATCTCCTCTATGATCTCACCCGGTGCGCGGATGATTGGGCTGAATTGGTCAACCTCCTCAATTTCCTCCTCCCCCTCCTCTTCCATGGTGGGCACCTCGGCAATCTCTTCATCTTCCTCTTGAATGGGAAGTTCTCCGCTACGCCGACCAAGGCCGCTACCACTGGCGCTGCGGCTATGGCCGGCAGACCTTGAGGCGCTAGGGGACGGGTGATGATGCTGCTGGCTTCCGAACGAGAGCATTGGGCCCTTGAAAAGATTGCGTTTCCGCTTTGCAAACAAGACGGCGCCAGACCCAAAGGGGTTTGGCGAGCTCGGCGGACGGTCCATCCCACTGCTGCCCGAAGGCATCGTCTCGTTAAAGTCGAAACTCAACACCGGTCCGCGTACCAGCCGGATGTTGGAAGGAAACGAGGTACTCGTCGGTGTGTTGGGCAGCACTTTGACTGAGTGATGCGGTGATCTTCCTGGTGTTCTAGACGTGGATATCGACCCGGCAGAGCTTGTTGAGCTGGCCTTGGAATGTGTGTGTTGATGGTGCGGCATCGTTCGAATTGAGGACAAGGACGATGACGTAGACTTCCTTCCACGTAAGCCAGACGTGCGGCGAACCGTAGATCTCGGTGTCAATGGTCCTGGCGACAACGAAAGGCGCTTGTACGATGCTGAAGAAAGCCGTGGCGGTGCCTGCGAACCTGGAGTGCCCAAAGGGGCGGAGATGGTCTGGTTGCTGTCATGAGTATTTATCGACAACCCTCGCCCAGCTCCACGGCCATCACTGTTGTACAGCCTTGGCGAATTGTTGCCAGAGTTGGCTGGCGCAGTTGCTGAAGTCGGATACTTGCTTGTCTGCGGCCGAGGACTAGGTTGCTTCGAGCTCTTGCCGCCATTGTCGGATTGGGCATCCTTCGGCACCAGATTCGGGGTGGAGAAGCTGCCTCGCTTGTTCGGCTTGTGCTTCCGGGTGCTCTCGCGTATCCAATGAGTCCAGTGTCTCCATTGCGCGATGATGGCCTGTGTGGGTCGCTTTCGCGTCTTCTGTGGTTGGTTCTCCAATTTCGCACTTGCAGCATGGAGTGCATCCGCAGTCGTGACTAGGTGTAGCGTCGAGCCGCGAGACCTCGCGCTTCTGAGTATGCCTTCCTTTGGAGGTGGCACTGGACGGCGGTGACGTGACGTGCTGGGTGAGCGTAGGGAGTCCTTGTCAATGGGAGGCGGCGGCAGTTCACCGTCATTCAACTGCTGTTTCCGCTCCCTCGCCTCGGGCAGGTCCGGCAGATCCGTAATGGCGTAATCAGAGTAGTGGGCGCTCCTCCTCTCTGGGCGTCCCCTAGAGCGTGTCCTTGGGAGAGGGAGCTGATCGAGATGGCCGTTTGGGTCCTCGTCGAGTATAGGGGCCATGCGCTCCAGCTTGCTTGATGCGGCTGACCATCGCCGTGATGTCCTCTTCTCCGCCTCCTTCTCCTTCTGTCTCTTTTCCCGCCGCTTCGCTTTCCGTTCCTCCTTTTCCAAAAGAAGAGTCCACCACCCAGCAAGTGCGTCGCAACGCCTCGAAATAACGCTCTCGATGACAGCGTCAATGTCGACGCCAGCACCTCGCATGCGCTGCAACGTTTCCTTTTCGAGAGCGGTGGTGAATGGGGCTGGCTGGTGCAGCTTCAGGATTGCCTGCTGCTGGGGCGCGTGCTCGGCAAGAAAAGGGTGACAGAGGAGGTCTGGCAGCGTAGGTCGCAGAAGTGGCCGTCGGGAAAGCAACTGCTTTAAAAGCGTGACAGCCTCGGCAGGAAGGTGTTCGGGGTATTTGGGGTCTTCCGTCAGGATCTTCTGCCGTGTCACGTTATCGTCATCGTCGTCGAACGGGAGTTCCCCACACAGAAGCGCGTACAGAATCACACCCAAGCTCCAGACGTCGACTTTCTCTCCAGCATACTTCTCCCCTTTCAACATTTCTGGTGCCGAATAACATATTGTGCCACAGAAGGTCTGGAGATAGTTCGACTTGCCCTCGTACTCGCGCGTAAACCCAAAGTCCACCAATTTGACATTCTCATGCTTGTCGAGCAGGATGTTTTCGAGTTTCAGATCTCGGTGTACACATTGTTGTTGGTGGACAAAGGAGACGGCGCCGACGAGTTGTGTAAAAGTTTTCTGGACCTTTTCCACTGGCAGAGGGCCATGCTTGAGGAGATAGTTGTAAAGCTCGTCGCCTGCGGACCACAGTTAGCTTGTGCAATCCACGCTGCATGTTGTAGTGGGCGCCAAACTTGCCTGGACAGTACTCGAGAACCAGCCAGACCAGATTCTCCGTGACAATGACTTCGTACAGGCGAGCTATGTGGGGGTGAACGAATTGGCGATGGTGATGGATTTCTCGGGCAAGATTCGAGTCGTCTTTCTTCGCGGACTTGAGCACGACTTTCGAGCCGTTGGTGAGCTTGTGTGTGGCGAGGTACACCTTGCCGAAGGAGCCTTTGCCTATGAGCCTCCCAAGGGTATAGTTGCCAACATTTTTAAGGTCCTTGTTGGAGAATTCACTGCGAATCGTCAGCAGAGCAGCCACCAAGTAGGGACGGGAAGCCTAGAGAGACCTACTCAAGGAGTGCTTGATACGAGTTGGCGAGCTGCGGCCGTTGAACGCACTTTGGTCAGCGATTGTTGTTGTTTTGCGCCAGAAGTCCCCAGCCGTTGTCTATGCTCTCTGGTTCTTACCTTCGCCTTCTTCCCCGTGGCATCAGCCTTTGTTTTTGCCGTCTGCATCTCCTACGCCGGTCCACGTGACCCCGCGCCTGCCACAGGCCGGGCCACCCTTCTCGATATGTTTCCAGAAAGCCGTTTTCGAAGCTTGAATATGGGAAGGAATGGTTCGGTTGTCCGGGAAAGCTCGGTCTGCAGTAGAGGGGTGTTTCGACGCGTCCAATTATGGGTTCGGTGACCTGAAGCAACTGATCGCAGCCGAGCAACGGCTCTTTTCGTGTGGGGAGGTCCGCGTGTTGGAGGAGCGGCGCGGTTCGTTATGGGCAAAGTTGCGGATGCCGGTTCGAGGCCGTGTGGGGAGGGCTGGACACGCGACAGGAGCTGCCGATGCGCGCGACGGCACAGGATCGAGTATTGAGCGGTATCCGGGGAGCTGACGGCAGCGTGGTTGAAGGCGGAGGGGACAAGTGAAGCGCAGCCCGAGTTGGGGACGTTGAAGCTGTCAGGCTGGGCTGGTGCTGGCACGCAGCCCGGACGGGTTGCGGTCTGGCGTGGTGCGCTTGCCTGCCTGCCTGCCTGCAAGGGCAGGGATCTGGAAAAGGGGAAGAACGGGGAGGCGAGCTGCTGCTGGGCGGACGAAGCTGCACGGGCGGGCCTGTGACGTGTGTGTGCCCGCGCGCAGCCTGCCCCGGGGAATGCGATGCGATGCTGCGAGCTGCTTCTGGGGCTTGGGCACGAGGCTGTGGCAAGCTGTTCCGAGCTGTCCAACGTGGTTTTGCTGCGTCGAGGATGACACCAGGCAAAACGCCTTAACAGCAGCACTAAGATGGTCCAGTCGCTAGCACTGCACGATCCGCCATGCGCGGACGACTTGACAAGCCTCGCGAGCTGGCAGTGCCCGTCCCGGGGCCACTGCCGCAATGGACCACGCTATGCCCAAAAAGAGGCGGTCATTTCTCCAGACACATGTGCCGCTCCCTCCCTGCACAGGACATCAATCACATCACGCGCACAAACCCGTCCGCTTCCCACATCCTCCTCCTTTGTGGTCTCGAGTATGAAGCCCTCATGAGATAACAAGAGCACTAGTTACCTGCGCTTTGCGGGCGCCCGATGCCCACATCTTGGTTCAGCAAGCATGCATGCATTTTCGACCACCATGCATGCATTTTCGACCACCTCACCTCACAGCATGAATCTCACCAAATACCCGTATGCACGAGAGATAGCCTGATGATGGTCCCATTGTGTTGAATTTGTTGCTGCCACGAGGCAGCCTGGAGCAAACGGCTGTTTCAAACTCCTCTCCGGCCGTGGCTCTCAATCACAGACGGCAGACCACAGAGACAAGACCCGCAGAAGGTGTCCAAGCAAGGCACGAGACGGTGACAGCACAGCTTGCCTCCATCCAAAAGACGACAAGAAAGACGATGCCAACAAATCGTTGTGAGTTGCTGCACCCAAAAGGATTGGTCTCAGCGCATAAGCAAGCATTGCTGGATGTTGGATGCAACGCTTGCACATTGCCTGCACACTTGGAAACTGGCGGCTGAAGTGAGTGGCAGTGAAAGCCGATGGTGGCAGCAGTACTACGCCGATCCAGAAATCCCGACTAACAACGGAACCTCGACTCTGCGACAAACCACCTATTCGGGCAGGTCTGTGGGGGTCTGGGGACAGGTCATTGGTGGGCCATTCGCGGCAGAGAGCCACACCACGTGCTACTGCTGGATGAGATTTGCTTGCAGCACGTCGGCCCAGGCACCGGCAAATAGTCTGACAGTGGACTCCAAGACTTCTTCTCAAGCAGAGAAGAGAGGGGAGATGAGGGAGACGGGCAGATTCCAAACCCAATGACGATCACCGAGGTTGAGCGAGACGAGCAGCCTAGTGTTCTCAGTAGCAAGCGATTTTCAGCTATCAGCAAGTTTGCACGGCGAGAAAGAAACCTTGACGGTCGCCAAGATAGTTTCGGGACGTACTGACTCGAGACTGAAGTCCACGGGTAGTCTTCATCTTATCGGGATCGCAGTTGTTGGCATTTCTAGCTGACCTCGGGAGCTGGTCCGCCACTGCAGCAGCACTCCTGTCGTGGATGACATGAACGCTCGGGGACGCAAGCTCACCTACCAGCGATGGATGTGGCACTTATGCTCCCAATTTTTTGAACTGCCTTTCGACATAAAAGCCACGGGGGCAAATGGCAGTCTACGAGCACGAGGCACTTGCACAAGTTCTCCATGGAACCCGAGTCGAGCACTTGATCTAATTAGAGCTAGCCCAGCAGGAGAGTTGTGATGGCTCCTTCCCCAGACATAGCGACATGTGGTCCGGATGATTGGGCGAGACTGTCCCTCGCGCCCCACTTGACTTGCATATCAAGGGTCCCCCACTTTTTTACGCACGATCAAACATCCCATCATGTGTATCTCCATGACAAGAGAACTTCAAGCTATTGCTAGAGGGACACTACAGCGAGGCGTCCGCCAACTGGTGAGCCCGACATCTTCCTGTATTGTCGCCCTATGGCCCACCCGGCCAGGACCCGCCCTATCGATGAGGGGCTCGACAGGCCAAGCCAGCGGGGTAGCTGTTCTATGCAGCCTGCGCCTCAGGGTCCTTTGACGAGGAGAGTGCCGCGTTCTCGACATTGTATTGGACAATCCCACCCTGCTTCACCATCGAGACGATCAGCTGAGAGACCCGTAGAACCCTCGTCAAGCACCAAAAGCGGCCGGGCAGACCAAGCTCGAAGTAGGCTCGCGTGAGCGCTTCTACAGCGGCATCGATGCTCTGACCCCTCACCCGTATCTCGCCTCTTGCCAGGATCAGATTGGTCAGTCTGGACTCGTGGCAGCGAGATAGGGGGCTTGATGGCTCCGAAGTGGACAGAATGCCTTGGCCGTGGCGTTCCTGAGCGGTTTTGCTCGCGGGCATATAACATTCTCGTCCACGCGATCATGTTTTACCCCTCTGTCTCCTTCTTGTCACTTAACTCCCATTTGTCCGTTCAACATCTTTCGACCTTGACGGTAACATTCAACCGTTCCCCTCTCGCCGCACTCTAACAGCAATGCGAGAGTACCATGGATTTTCCTGGTGGTAACATTCTGCCGGCTACGCCGCAAGCCAAAATCTACATCGCTGGTGCTGCCGTCGTCCTCTTTGTTGGCGTCTGCATCTCGAGCGTCAAGTCGAGGCCCGCAAAGACTGCTGAGAACCCCAGCCTTCTCAAGTCTCTGTGGCTCTTCGCATACTCCTGCTTCCTGAAGCCTCACAGCGGAGACGCTAAGCACAACCAGCAAGATGCGCTTGAGAGCTTCTACAAGGGGCAGGCTGGTGCCTACGACACCACCCGCAAGGCCCTGCTCAAGGGTCGCGAGGACATGCTGGCTTTAGCCGCTGCTCAGCTCAACTTCAGAGCGCAGGAGAGCGGCTCGAATTCCAAGAGGCGTGTCTGGGTCGATGTTTGTGGCATTTCCCTATCTCTCTGCATCATCAAATCTGCAACGACTAACCGCACGTAGGTGGGCGGTGGCACTGGCTTCAACATTGAGACGATGGCCCAGTTTGTGGATGTGCCCACATTCTTCGACAGTGTCTACCTCGTGGACTTTTCGCCATCCCTCTGCGAGGTTGCCAGGAGGCGGTTCGAGCGCCTTGGCTGGAAGAACGTCAAGGTTGTTTGCCAAGATGCTAGGAAGTTTCGCCTGGAAGACCATGAACCAGCCTCCCAGGGAGACCGTCCTCGCTCTCCAGGCCTCAGTTACTTCTCCCAGAAACGTCCCACCACTGGAGGGGCCAGCCTGATTACTATGTCTTACAGCTTGTCAATGATGGTAAGTTGTCCTCAAGCCAACTTCCCCCTGTAGGCCATGTCTAACGTCTTGCCTGCAGCCTGACTATTACTCGATCGTTGACTCGCTCTCCCCACTTCTCGCCTCCAACGGTATCGTTGGCGTCGTCGACTTTTATGTCCAGTCTCAGGTCGACATCAGCTTTCGAAATTACACAGGGGGCAGTGTTAACCGCCACGTCAACTTCTTCGGACGCACGTTCTGGCGAGCCTGGTTCGACCTCGACCGTGTCGTTCTCGAGCCCGGCCGCCGCGACTATGTCGAGTACAGCTTTGGTACCATTCTCAACCTCAACAACCGTAATTACGCACTCGGCGCGATCCCCTACTACATCTGGATCGGCACCCACAAGCAGCCTATTTCGAGTAGTCTCCCCCACGAGATCGTGGAGAAAGTCGATGCTCTCGTCACCGAGTCGCCTTACCTTCACCCTGCCAATCACTCGAAGGCACTGTCCCGAGCAGTTGAGAAGGCGGCCCCCGAGCTGCGCTCCAAGGCCTTCGATGCCGCCATTGTGAACTTGTCTGCCAACCTCCCATTGCCGTCCTTCTTTTACCAGAACCACCACTACCGGATCTACTACGATGATCAACTCCAGAAGCACAAGCAGTTCAACGACGAGTATATCTATGCTTTCACCTGGGAAGACACTCGCGTCGACGAGCGTATCTTGAACCTCAAATCGGACGACGTTATCCTTGCCATCTGCAGTGCCGGTGACAACATCCTGTCCTACGCTCTGCAGAGCCCCGCAAGAGTGCACGCCGTCGACCTCAACCCTACCCAGTGCCACCTACTTGAACTCAAGGTGGCCGCGTACCACTCGCTGTCGTACGAAGACTTCTGGAAGATCTTTGGCGAGGGCAAACACCCCGAGTTCCGGTCTCTCTTGCTGCAGAAAATGTCTCCCCATTTGTCTAGCCGAGCGTTCCAGTATTGGTACAACAACTCACACATCTTCACGAAGCTCAAGGGTGGGCTCTACGACACCGGTGGCTCCAAGCACGCTATCCGAATCTTCGCGTGGATCACGTTTGTCTTTGGCTGCCGGAGGGCCGTCAAGGAGTTGCTGGCTGCCAAGACGCTCAATGAACAGCGTGAGATCTGGCGCAACAAGATCCGCCCAGCACTCTTGTCCCGCCTTGTGTCCAAGTTCGTTGTCAGCCAAGAATCCTTCTTATGGACCGCCCTCGGAGTGCCCAAGAACCAGCTGGCCATTCTCGAGGCGGACCATGCCGTATCGCCGGCCGTCTGCGGTGAAAACCCCACGGCCAAGAACACCCGGTCCCACGCCATCTGGGAGTATATGGTCAACACCCTTGACCCCATGATGGAGCAGACGCATATCGGCACAGACAACCCGTACTACTACGTCTGCGCCGAGGGAAAGTTTTCGCCACGGTGCCACCTGGACTACCTCTCGAGGCAGGCGCACGCCAAACTCTCTCAGCCTGGTGCTTTTGATGGCCTCCGCATCCACACCGACGAGCTCGAGGAGGTCATTGCACGTATCGCCCCCGGTACTCTGACGGTAGCTGTTGTCATGGACAGCATGGACTGGTTCGACCCTGGCTCCACTGCCGCCACGACCCAGATTTGCAAACTGAACCGTGCCTTGAAGATTGGTGGCCGCGTCATGTGCCGGTCTTCTGGCCTCAAGCCATGGTACCTGAAAGAGTTTGAGAAGTACGGGTTCGTCGCCAAGTGCCACGGCTCACGTGAGAATGGCGCCTGCATTGACCGCGTCAACATGTATGCCTCGTGCTGGATCATGACCAAGCGTGAGCACCTGCCTCCAGCGACCCCAGCGGCCGATGGAATGGTTGGACCAGAAATCTCCGCGCTCGAGATCTGATGGCTCCATCAAATGGTGTGCCCTCGAGAAAGAAGTTGCGCACATCCAAGACTGTCCAACACAGCCTGGTGGAAGGGAAGAGCAGCTTGTAACAGACGCTCTGAGGATCAAAACACGGGTGTGAAAGTGTCGCAGCTACGAAAAGCTTGATGTATAGTCTTTATCCGATACCATTTTAGCGATATACCACGAGATGTCCATTGACTCTTGATGGATCCAAAAACATGGAGCCATTTGCAGGACTTGTGATCGATCTTGTCTGGGGTGCCTCAAAGGCTGGGGTCCTGGCCCGCGCAAGCCACAGAGCTGCACCGCCACATGTGGCACCGCTACGTGCCTTCAGGAGGGTGTCCGTAGTGCGCTCTGAATTTTTGGCCCATGGGCTGACGCCTGCCCCACCGCTGGAGTTGGGAGTGAGTTGGGAACTGCCGCCTTCTCGAGTTTGGCACAGGGACCAGAAGCCCCAGGGCCAGTTTCAGCGCTGCCATCATAAAACCTCCTGCCAGCCAGCTGCCTGTCCTTGCAACAAACCCCCCAAACAAACACGACTTTTGACCGTGCAGGAGCATTTGATCGAAAACGATATTCCTCTCTGCCCGTTCGCTTGCTTGCACACGACTTCTGCCTGGTTGCAAAGTCGAGTCCCGTAATTCAATCCGCCGACCCCTCGTCCGAGCCGGCCCCGCGAAGCCATCTTTTTTCGAGGTCACCGTCACCCGCCCATCTTCCTCTGTCGCATAACGCCGACCAACTCGCGACACCTTCCTCAGGCACAGCCGCTCACGTCGCGCTTGCCACATCAGCAGCATCTGCGGATTGCACCTTCCTCGCTCGAGAATCTCTCGGCACGCTTCAACTCCCAGCTAGTCGCAAATTCCTGCGTAGACTAGCATCATCCGACAATACCTCTTCTTCCAACATACACCACCACCAACATGGCTGAACAAGTCGACCTCACCACCATCCCCATCGACAACCCCGATGGAGAGAAGAACGACTCTGGCGCGCCTGCCGCCGACGACAAGGTCGTGACTGTTTTCCACGACAAGGACAACTTCAACGTCAAGCACCCGCTGCAGAACAAGTGGACTCTGTGGTTCACGAAGCCGTCGACAGGAAAGGTAAGCTCACGACCTGATCACGCTCCTCGAACCGGAGAAAGCGAATTGCTCACACGTGAACCATCGACTTAGGGCGATAACTGGAACGATCTTCTCAAGGAAGTCATCACCTTTAACTCAGTTGAGGAGTTCTGGGGCATTTATGTAAGATTCTGTCCCTGACGGTTCTGTCCGTAGCCCGCACGCCTAATTTTCGCCTCATCATAGAACAACATTGCCGGAGTATCCGATCTCGCCCTCAAGTCAGATTACCACCTCTTCAAGGAGGGCGTACGGCCAGAATGGGAGGACCCCCAAAACAAGCACGGTGGCAAGTGGTCCTACAGCTTCAAGGAGAAGCGCAACGTCGACATAAACGAGATTTGGTTGCACACAATGCTCGGCGCTGTCGGCGAGACCCTCGAGGACGAGGATGACGGAGAGGTCATGGGCGTTGTTGTCAACGTCCGCAAGGCCTTCTTCCGTGTCGGCGTGTGGACTCGCACCATCGGCAAGGCCATTCCGGGCCGTGGCGACGGTGACGTCGCTGGTGGCAAGGGCCGGCCGCAGGCCAAGGGCCAGGAGATTCTGATGAACATTGGCAGAAGATTCAAGGAGATCCTGCAGCTGCCTCCCAGCGAGGCTGTCGAGTTCTCTGGACACACCGACTCTGCGCACAGCGGAAGCACGAGAGCCAAGGCGAAGTTCACCGTCTAAGATTGCAATAGCTGCAAGAGCATGTGGCCCGAATGGAGCTGGGGCCGTAGCTTTTAGCTAAGGGCTATTCTACTTGCACGACTTTTTTTATTCCCCGGCAATCAGTGTCATGACTGCGTGCGAAAGGTTGGCAGGTTGACAAGGGAAGGACCGATTTTGAGCGAAACGACAAAATATTACTGCATGGGAATTGACGGCCCCGAGGCTATGAACATGACCAAGGCAATCAGGGAGTATGAACATTCTAGTCCTTAATAGACGGCGCAGAATTTGGGATCACGATTTCGCTAAAGTGCTTGATGACAACTTCGCGCCAGTGCGCAGTGCTGGCATGTGACTTGCTAATGGCCTGCTACTATTCATGTGCGGAGCTTGCAGTTTGATATTGAGGTGTGATTCATCGCTCAAGATGGGTGAAACATGAACGCCAAAGTAGATGCGACTATATACAGACATTAGGGAGTTGACGTTGATGAACAGCACTGTTGTAATGTTTGTCGTCGTCTTCCGTCTCCCTAGTGCAAGGCCCTCTTTCTTTAACAATGAAGAAAAAGCCAGCCCACCAGGAAATCTAAATTCTCACAGGCTCACTCACACACAATTTTCCTACAACTCGTCTCCGGAAAAGTCATCGCTAAACACTGCCTTGACAAGCTCCTTCTTGTTGATCTTGCCCATGGCGTTCCTCGGGATGTTGTCCACGACCCTGAGGATCTGGGGGATCTTGTAGTTGGCGAGCCTGCCCTTGAGCGCGCGCCGCATGTCCATGGGCTTCCAGCTGCCGCCGCCGGCCACAAACTCCCCGTCGAGGATGACGACGGCGCCGACCTTCTGGCCCCACTTGCCGCTGGGCACGGCGAGGACGGCGCACTCGCTGACCTCGGGCAGGGAGAGCATCTCGCGCTCGACCTCTAGCGCCGAGACCTTTTCGCCGCCGGACTTGATGATGTCGGCCGACTGGCGGCCGAGGATAAAGTACATGGTGTTGTTATTTGTTGTTGCTCCCCCAGCGGCGGCCGCAGTGGCGGCGGTGACCCAGTCGCCAGACTTTGAGACGCCGCGGGCCACGGCGCTCTCGGGGACGGGCCGCCGGACCGCGACGTCGCCCGTCTTGAACCACCTGCGCTGGTCCGGGTCCTGCGGGTCCGCGGGGACAAACTCCTTGGCCGTGGCGGCCGGGTTGCGCCAGTACTCGCTAAAGACGTTTGCGCCGCGGAGCTGGATCTCGCCCTGGCGCTCCTTGCCCGTCACCGGGTCGGTCTCCTCGCCCGGCAGGATCACCGTGGCAGTGTTGGTCTCCTCGTCCGTCTCGACGAGCCGGGCCTGGACTCCCGGGAGCGGCCAGCCGACGCTGCCGTCGATGCGGTCGCCAAAGTCGAGCCCGCACGACAGGGCCATGCCGACCTCGGTCATGCCGTAGCGCTCGAGCAGCACGTTGCCCAGGGAGAGCTCCTTCCACGCGCGTTTCACGGGCGTGGGCAGCGCCGCGGACCCGGAGATGCTGACCCGCATGTGCTCGGGGGAAACGGCCTTGCGGCAGGCCTCTGCGAAGCGGGCCGTCGCGGGGGACTGTTCGAGCAGCTTGTGCGTCGAGATGAGGCGGGTGTATACCGTGGGGACGACGGTGAAGAAGGTGATTTTCTCGCGGCGCATGTTGGCAAACTTGTCGGCCGCGTCGTTGCCGTTAACACTGCCGTTGGTGGCGGCCGGGGCGGCGGGATCGGCTTCGAGGAACGGATTGGCGAACCGCCGCCACACGGCGTCGGCGTTGAACGGGAACAGGAACTCGATGGTGCTGCCGGCCAAGAGCGGCGTGATGACGGCGTTTACGGTGCCGTGGATGTGGTGCAGCGGCAGGACGTGCAGCAGCCGGTCCTCCGGGGTGTACCGCCACGCCTGCTTCAGGGCCGAGCTCTGTGCCGTCAGCGCGCTCTCGGGGATCAGCACGCCCTTGGGCCGGTTCGTCGTGCCGGACGTGTAGAGCATCATGGCGGCCTGGCCGGCGTCGGAGCCCTCTGAGAGGGAGACTGCCTCGTAATAGGGACTGCCGGTGTTGCTGGAGGATGAAGAGGAAACGCCCATGTGCTTGGGAATCTCGACCACCTTGGGGTTCGGATTTGGCGACGCCTCGGGCCATGCTGTGGAGAGCACCTCGTTGACCTTTGCGGCGAATTTGGGCGAGTGGACAAGGAGCAGCGCCTCGGCGTGCGAGATGATGTACTGCAGCTCTGGCGCGGGGAAGGGCGGCGAGAGCGGCAGGGCTACGGCGCGCGCAGCCAGGATGGCGAGGAATGTGACTGTTGCCGGACGGTGTCAGCAATTGGTCTTCTTGTGGCCCTTTAAGTGACCTCTGCGAGTCGGTAACCGAATAGGGAGACGGTATATTATCACATACCAACATAGTCGTAGCTGTTTTCGACAAGAAAGGCGACCCGCTCGCCCTCAATGTTGGTGCGGCCGGCAGCATCGTATAGCCGCTCGCGGGCACGGTAGATGTCTGGGAGAAGTTCGCCGTAGGTGAAGGAGCGACCGGAAAGGCAGTGAACCACGGCTGTGGACTTTGGGTTGTGCTGGGAGATGGCCTCAAAGAGAGGCAGCCTTGGGAGGGTGAGGCTGGGGACGGTCGAGCCCATCCTGGCGAAATACCTTGGGGATGTGAGAGGTGACTTGAGAATAGCTCGTGAGGTGGATGTTGCTGCCACAGCTCTCGCCGGCGAAATCACGATAGGTATGGGACAAGGCGTGGTGGTTAGGAGGGGTCGGCGCGAAGAAGTGTGAAGGGATCGAGAGGAAGGCGGCGGCCGGACAATTAAAGGCCGACGCCGGGGACCGGGCCGGCGGAGGGCAGCAGCAAGCGTGGGGACGAGGGTCTCGACAGCGGCATGAGCTGCGGGAGGAGCAGCAGAGGTGACGGCAACGACGCGCTGGACGAGACAGCGCGGCGCACCAATCAGGGCCATGTCGGGGAGCCGGGACAGGAAAGGGAGGGGAGGGAGCGCCGGGGACGACCTCGGGAGCAGAGAGGGAGCTCTGCCAGCACGGGAGAGGCGCCTGGTGGAGAGGCAGCGGCGAACAGACGGACGGACAGGGGAGGATGGGCAGAGCAGGGCTGTTGGGGGAGTGTCAAGATGAGCTCGAGCACGCCGCCATCAAAAGTAGTCCCGGCGCCGGCAGGTGGGGCGGGCCACCAGATCTCGACGATGCGGAATGCCCATCGATCGTGCTCTCCAAGTGTAGCTCGAGCAATGAATGTCATGGGCGGTATTTCGGGCGTCATCCTTGGCCCGAAGAAAGATAGTCTGCTGTGCTGCAATAGAGTTCTGGCCTGCTTGGCCGCCATGTAGGTTTCCTTGAATCCAGCCCAGCCGCAACAACAACTTCCCTCGGTACAGGAGAGCACAAGGCTAGCCTGCAGTTCCGGGGCGCCGTCCGGGTTTCCCCCCCGCCACTTTTGATCGGACGTCGGCCACCAGCTTCCGCCCTTTTTCTCCTCCGGCTCGGCCCTTGATTTTCACCCGCCTCGCCAACCTCATCATCCCTCCCACCACTTCGGCAGATTGACTGGCATCGTCCCCAGCAGCCGCACGCACCCACGACACGCGCCCAGGCACACCCGCTTCGCCACACGCACGCAACAAGCCGCCGCCGCGTCGGGTCTTGATCTACAATCGACGCAAACCAACGAGATTAATTTTTTTTGTTGAGCAAAGCACAGCAGGGTCAAAGCATCCCGGTCTACCTTGGCCCCCCCGGTCCCCGCGGCTCTGTGGTGGCTCCCCGACTGCAAACCACCCTTACGCGCTTGTCCATACGGCAGAACCAGGCGGGCCATTGTGTGTTTTCTGATTAGATGTTTCTGAGCAGTAGCGCCGTCTCGGCTCTGCGTACCAGCACCAGGCCTGCTCGACAGCAGCTGCCCGCATTTGGCAGCCGCCTTCTGTCCGCCGCCATGGCCTCCTCCACCTCTGCTGATTCGTCTGCTGCTGGCTCACAGACACCCATGGAGGATGCTATTCGATCAAAGGTTAGCATGACCGCTCTCTCTCCCTCTCTCCATGCAGAGGATTATCACTACTGCCATTCCCCACCTCCTCCACCCTTTGAGCAACTTCTTGGCACAGATCCCGTCTTGGGGAAGATGTGATATAAAGTACTATATGCATATCAGTGGTTCATCTCACAACGTACACATTGGAACAAGTGCCATCAAACAGTTGTCTTACCACATACCGACCTGTCTCCGTCTCCTTTATGGATTTAAGAGAGAAAAAAAAGGATAACAAAACACTCGCTGAGCGCTGTTCCCTAAAACAATGTTTTACAGATCACCGCCGCCCTCGCGCCCACAAAGCTCGAGATCCACAACGACTCGCACAAGCACGCCCACCACAGCGCCATGCGCGGCGTCACCTCGCGCGAGACGCACTTCCGCCTCGTCATCGTCAGCCCAGAGTTCAAGGGCAAGATGCAGCCCGCCAGGCACCGCGTCGTGTACCAGCTGCTCAGGGACGAGATGGCCGCAGAGGGCGGGATCCACGCCCTCCAGCTCAGGACCAAGACTCCCGAGGAGGAGGCAAAGGCCGAGGCGGCCCAGCAATAGCACCAGCAACAGCAGCAGTGGAAGCACTCAGTGAGCCAATAAATGGCAAGGCAAAGACACGAATGAAATGTCACTCATGGAAGGGCTCCTAAACATCCCACCGTGAAGCATGGGCGTGTGTTGTACGATTTGGCTGTAATAGTGGTATCATTGTTCATCAATTCATCAAATGTCATTATCTCGCAGTATCCGCCCCAGTGTAGAATAACGCCAGCAGCCCTCCCGCCGGGCTTTTGTCTCGAGGCATGAGGTACAAGATACCATACACATGCCGCCGTCAGTGTCTCTGCGCTGACGTTGGTGCAGAGCTCATGATAGTCTCGTTGGCGGTGAGATTCTTCTGCTTGATCAGAAACTTTCTGAATTGCTCCCGCCGCTTCTCAGGATCGTTGCCGTAGCGCCGCTTTCTCGCATCCGTCGAGCTTGGTGATCTGAAGTCCACACTTGCCAGGGATCCCGTTGGACTGCCCCGCGATTCCCTTGGTCGAATGCTCACCTGGCTAGGCGATGGTGGTGCTGGCACTCTATGGGGAGGGGCCCGAACAGCTGCCATTGGTGCTCTCCTCACCTGCCTCTCAACCATCTCCACGCTTGCTTTGCGTTTGTGATTTGCTGCCTCCGAGTATGAACGCACCAATGACCTTGCGGCAGGCTGTTGTCGCTTCATGTCGATCTCGCTCATGGACTTCGAGAAATCCATGGGTGGAAGCTCGACTTGCGAGTCTTCCAGGATCACATAATCGGGCGATCTAGGAACAGCAACCTGCGGCTGTTTGGGGATGTCCTCGTGTGCTGTATCCTTGGTCAGCGACGGGGCCTCGACAGGAGGCACAGGGTCACTGGGCTGCTCCTCTCGCGGGGCTTCTGCCACGGCCGCCTTCTCTGGCCGTCGAAAAGGATCCTTCTCCTCCTGTGCAATCCCAAGGCTGCGCCTCGCAATTTTCACTTCCTCTGGAAATGCATCGAGCGTGGATTCCAGATTCTTTTTCGTGATGACACGCGAGTTGTAGAGTGGATCGTCGTCCATTGCATTATACCACGCATATGCGTGCATTACCGGTACTGGCGGCACTGCACTGTCACACTCTTTCACGTACGCATAATAGCCATCATGCCACGCCCGTATGAAGTCGTCGTATAAAGAAGAACGGATCTTCTTGTGCTGGAGCTGAATGTAAATGCATGCCGTGACGAAAGACTGGGCGCTCCCTTTGTAATCCTTATAAGCACCACGGAACTGCACGTATGGTGACTCGTGCTTGGCTAAGCCGAGTGTTTTGGCGGGAGGCTCTGTCCTGCTGACTGGGTCCACCGTTGGTAACGCCGCGGACTGCGGAAGAGCCGCCTCATCCGTGCTGTGTAGAACATCGTTTTCGCGCATGGGGGGTTGGGGGCTGGCCACTCTGGTTTCCGGTAGCTCTGGTGGTTCGATAGGTTCGACCGACTTTCTACAGTCCGTCTCGCGTGGTTGCGGAAGGCTAAGAGGAGCAGTTTCCTCATGACTCGAGCCTTGATGCGTGGAGGGAACAATAGATGATGAGACCACAGGAAAGGTGTTGAGTTGAGAATTATCACCAAGCTCTAAAGAGGCCTTTGATGCTCCATTGGCAACATCGGTAGTAGTCTCAACATGCTTTGTAGGCCGGTAGAGTGCGGTCACCGGCACATAGCGAGTCTGTTTCGTTCCAGCCCTGCTTCTTGGCCGCGCAGGCTCTCGCGTCCTCAACTCGGCTGGCTCAAGACTGCAAGGCACGATCTGTGCCGAAGGCGGGGTTGCCATCAGCTGTATGGTGGCACGGCTTGTGGTTACCGCAGGCATCTCAAGCCTGGTGGGAATATCGATTTCCAGTTCGTCCTCATCCTCCTGGCCTACGCTACTGGTGGGGAATTCAAAGCTTGGCCGGGACAACTTGGAGCTTCGAAGCGCAGTAGGTTGTGGAGGCCAATCCTCTGGGAGCTGGGTGACAAATTCATCTCTGACATGTTCTGTAGCGTGGCCAGGCGGATGCATGTGGTGAGGCGGGCTCACCGACCAGGAAGACCTGACAGAGGATTGGGCGGTATCTTCGTGGTCTTCGCCATGGTCAATGCTGCGTGGTGATTCTGGTGACTGGCTTTCGAAGCGCGCGGGTTCTGAAGCGATAGGAGACTGCCGGGTTGAGCTGAGTGATCCGTTTCCCTGAGGTTCAGCATCGTGCTGAGCTGTCTCTGCCTCTCTCCGGCGAACGAGATGCGCCGAGACATGCTCCAGGATAGCGTTTGGGATATTGCTTGGACTGAGACTCCAAGCACTGTCCCTGCTCAAGAGTGACTGCTGTTCCGAGCTGATCTTGAACAGTCGTGCCCGAAGGGCGTGATCCTCCAAGAAGTCAATGTCATGCTTGTGAACGCCCGCCATGGCTCAAAGCAACCTGGGAGGAATCTGACACATCTGTGAGGCAGACGCAGAGCCTTTCGTTCGGATTGCAAGCGAACGGCAGATGTTAGCCACACCAAAAAGCTGATCTCAACCGCCTGAACGTAAATCCGAGTATACCAGATCTGAATCCCACAGCACCTGGCCCGTTCGTCATGGCGAAATTCGTGCATGGAACGCGCTGGTGCTGCTTGGACGCGTCGGAGGGTTCTCAAAGAAGTGGGTCGGCGGGGTCCTGCTGAATGCGCTCTCACGTGAGGGTGCCTTGGCCAGCTTACGTGGGTTAGGCACACACCCATGCTCGCTCCCCTCTTCCCGAAGTCGTGTCTCCTGACGAAGATATTGTAATGCAGAAAAACAAACAAAAGCTTGTGACCCAACCGCAGACAGTTCATACAACAGGTCGCTGTCTAGAGATTTCGAGGCAACAGAACTGATATTGGCGTATTAGCAGGTAGCAAGAGAAGGAACTGTGGCAAGGGCGCATACGACTAAGACCACCCCACCCGTGGCTGTCACACTCCCACGCTCGTGGAGGGAGCTGCGTCACACTTGCAACCAATCCCAGCTTCGAGGTCGAGTGCCACAGCCTGGAAGATCAGGCTTCCACATCAGCCATCGCCGCTGTGCAGGTCGACAAAGGCAGCAACTGCAACGTGCCGGATCGCCTTGGTCGGCTTGACCCATATCAACTGTCTTGCACCCGACAAGCACACCGCCTACAGATGCCCATCCCGATAACGTCACCTGCTCTCACCGGCTGACTCTCCGACAATATGCTGCAAGCATATGTCACCAGAAGACTTCGCATCCCGACCTCCCAGTGCCCTCACGCCTAGGAAAAATATCAGCAGCATTGCGAGGAGAATCCATGAGCCATGTCGGGCAGGCCATCGGTGCCCCCCGTCCCTTTGTCGCCCGCGACACTCGTCTCGCCGACCACGATCACGGAGCATTCAGATGGGTCCGTCACGCCCTCCTCGCGGACCTCGGCCGCTGCAGATAAGGTGCAGTTAGCCCAGGCGCTCGACAAGATTCATCACTCGGCGGCACAGCAAGACACGCTCACCACATTCAACGACATCGCCCCACCACCAGAGACGACGACAGTCACAGACAGCAAGGGCATAGCAGGAGATCTTGTACATAATGGACTGAGTGGGCTGTCCAGGTATTTCCGGTTCAAGGGTGACTCGTCTGGCAACACAGCCGCCAAAGATGGGCCAAAGGACCGGGATCGGGAGCGAGAGGTTCCAGCCTCGAAAAGCAGCCAGGACCCGGCCGACACCGACAGCCTGAAAGCACCAAGCTCCAAAGGCTCCATCGCTGCCTCGACACGAGTCAACTCGCTCAAGGCTGGCTTCACCGTAGCTTCAGCTGTTTCAGAGCCATCCCTTGTGACGGACAGTGCCTCTGGCCAGGCAGTTACAGAAGATGCGTCGGCTGCATCACAAGCTTCGAGATCTGCATCTGCGATACACCAGGTTAGCAGACAGAGCCTGCGAGACTTTGGGCCCAAACCGACTGCTGCCATAGCTCCAATCACGGTCAGTGCTTTCAGAGGCCACTCTGACGATGTCCGAGATGGCCGGCGAAGAAGCAACATCAAGATCGTGGACGGGCAATCTCCCATATCTCCGTCCGAGGGACCCATGGCCTACCGTTCCGTCGAGTCCCTCGACAAGGCCTCTGCGCCATTTGTCACAAATGCAGATGGAAGTGCCGATTCACTTGCCAGCCCGGTGCAGAGCGCGCCATATGGCAACGTCTCCATCTCGCACCCGGCGCAGGAAGGCCAGAATCTGAGCCACGGCGTCCGACTCTCAGCCAGGGACACGCGGAGACCAGCTGTGATAGATCGCATCAGTCCTTCAACGTCTCGGACACGCACTGCGCACTCCAGGTCGTCATCCATGTCCCATCAGACTGCCGAGGCAAGTCCCATCAATACCATCGCCCACAGCAACGTACATCATGATTCCTTCGGAAACGCGGGGAGATCCCAGCGCACAAGGGCAGGTACCCTGAAAATACCGGGCACCACCACAGATGAGGGCGCACCGGAAGCAGTCAGCGCCAAGCTCGAGTCTATGCGCAAGCAGGTGCAGAGTAAAGACTTCTGGATGGCGGACGAAACGTGTAATGAGTGTTTCCTGTGCGCCACCCCCTTCTCAGCGTTTCGACGAAAACACCACTGCCGGACCTGTGGCTGCATCTTTGACAGCAAGTGCACGTCCATCATCTCGGGGCAGCGCTTTGGGGTACCAGGCACGCTACGAGTCTGTAAGCCTTGCTTGAACATCATCAGCCAGCGACAGGATGGCAATATCTCTGATGAATCCGCGGACGATTCTTACCTACCGGGGATCTTCCGTCCAAGCCATGCCAAGTCTGTGAGCCTCAGGCTCCCAGAAGGTGACCGCGACGAGGACGACAGTGGGTCGGGGAGGCATCGCGAAGCAGATGAAGATATGAGAACCATGACCACACCAATGATGGCGATCCCAGCTACACGTCGAATAGGAGAGTCTTCCAACCGCAACTCAGCCATCCTCGAGATCGATGCCCCGCAGCTCGACCGTCCGAGCTCTTCCCGGTCTCTCAAATCGATGACAACTGGTCGACCTCAATCTTCCGGCCATAGGAGGCACCACTCTAAGCATAATATGTGGCGATCGATGAAAAGCAATTCGGACAATCGCGCTCCTTTTCGGAACTCTGCAAATGAAGAGGCCTCGAAACGATCCGGCCTCTCGGCCTTTCACGACGACAATGTGATTGATCCGGACCTCGCACCGTATTTGTCCGATGAGTCGAGCGGTGACGAGCAAATGAGCATAATGGCGACGATGGCTGGAGATGAGAACCCTCACCCAACGAGCTTTGACCATGACAAGCCAAGCTTCGGGCCGTACCTGGGTGCTGCGCGCAGAAACCGAGCTCGTACCCAGGTAGAGAAGAGCGTCAGTGGGTTGAGCTTCATGAGCCGGGGTTATGAGGACGGTAATGGTGTGTACAACTATGCGCGAGCCAATCGCCGTCGCAATCTGAGCACGGCAAGCACACATCATGGACGATCCCCCCGGCCTAAATCGTCCAGTGTTAGAGGACCAACAGCGTCAGTGGAAACGTTACAGCATTTCGCCGATAGCCCTTCGAACTCGACTTCTCGTCTAACCCGGAGCTCCTCGATGAAAGGCGACAAAGAGCCGCGTCTAGAGCTCAATCCTGCAAGCTTGTCGCATGTGCGCAAGTTACTTCGCCAGCTGCTTGAAGATGCACAAATCCAGCACGTCTCATCTTGGGAGAAAGCCTTGATGCCTATCTTGCTAAAGTGTACATCTTCGGTTGATCCGGACATCGACCGAGGCGATGATATGGACATTCGCCACTACGTGAAGCTCAAAAAAATCCCAGGTGGACGACCTAGCGACACGAGCTATGTGACGGGGGTGATTTTCACCAAGAAGTTGGCACTGAAGACCATGCCAAGACGAATTTCAAATCCCCGCGTCGTAATTGTCTCATTCCCTATCGAATACCAACGCCACCAGCAGCACTTCATGAGCTTGCAACCGGTCATCGAGCAAGAGAAGGAGTTCTTGCGGGTCGTAGTCCACAGGATTGTGAATCTGAGGCCTCACCTGCTTCTTGCAGAGAAGGGCATCTCAGGCCCAGCTCTACAGATGCTAGCAGACGCCAACATTGCCGTGGCATACAACGTCAAGCCGTCTGTACTGTCAGCAGTGTCACGTTGCCTAGAAACCGAGATCATCTCATCAGTAGACATGCTCGCGCTTCCCCCGCCAGACTTCGAGACTGGCAAGAGCGGCGGATTCGAAGTCAAGACCTACATCAACGAAGAGATTGCGGGCAGGAAGAAGACATACATCTTCCTCACTGGCCTACAAGAAGAGCTCGGCTGTACAATTGCACTGCGAGGTGCACCGACAAAGACTTTGGCCAAGCTCAAACGCATCACCGAGTTCATGGTCTACGTTGTCTACAACCTCAAGCTTGAATCGTGTCTTATGCGAGATTCCTTTGTTCAGCTCCCGACAACGGACACGATCCCCACCTCTCAGTCAACGGATGAGACGAGCTCCTCGTGGAACACAAAACACTCTAGTGCCAGCTCGGAACGCCAACGAACGCTGTCGACTATGACACTTGAGGACGCTCCAGCCAGTCAGCCTCACAGCAATCAGGACGCTTCCAGCACAGCCCCATCTGAAACCGGTGGCAAAGAGCAGACGGCGACTGAGGCGGTCGACCCAACGTCCCGACTCGTTTCCTTGCACGAAACACACGCTCGAGAATCACACGACAGCCTGGTGCCCGAAGATATTCCCATGCCACAATACTACAGCGATGTCGTGGCCAAATACGAGACCAGAATATTGTCTGCCTCCCCGTTTGTCCGGTTCTCACAGCCATATCTGCTCATGAAGGCGAGGGAACAGGAGCGACGTCTCGTCCACTTGAAGCGGCTTCGTGACCAGGATGTCATTGAAGAGAGAGATGAGGGCGAGAAGGCAAAACCGCAGAAATTCCAGCTGATCAAGCCGCACATGGTACACCAGACCGGGCAAAAGGCCCCCCGCCAAATCATGGAGATCCTTCACGCAGTGCATGATGCCGAGTACGACAAGGCCCTCTACAATTACCAAACACAGACACGCCAGTGGGAAAACTATATTCAAGGCAACCTAGACTTGTTCGATCCATTCGCCCACCAGAATATTGTAGTCCTGCACTCGGTTGTGTGCACCGAAACCAAAATTCCTTGTGTCGAACCCGGTCTCATTGCGATAGCCTTCTACGACGAACACACCGAGCACAATAGCAGCATGGACCCTGATTGCACCCTAGGACAGTATATCGAGGACATCAGCTTTGGCGCGGATTCACTCTGCACTGCGAACGGCTGCGATCGCAAAATGCGCGAACACCACCGTACTTATGTGCACGGAGAAGCTCGAATCACCGTTTTCATCGAGGAGGCTGCAAAACACATCCCGATCCGGCAGAATATAATGATGTGGAGCTACTGCAAAGTCTGCAAGCGAGACACGAGCGAGATGGAAATGTCCAGGGGCACCTGGAAATACTCGTTTGGAAAATACTTGGAGCTGTCCTTCTGGAGCAGAGGAACACACCTAGTGCGAGACGAGGACGAAAGCAGCTGGAACTGCCCGCACGATCACCACCGTGACCACATCCGTTACTTTGGACTAAACGACAAGGTTGTGCGCATACACTACGATCCCATTGATCTACTGGAAATTATTGTCCCGCGCGCTCGCCTCACGTGGAAGGTGGAGCACGATCTCAATATGAAGAACGAGATCTTCACGCACACTCAAGAGCGTTGGACTAGATTCACGACATCCGTGAAAGCAAGGCTGAAGACCATCAAGCTTGACACCATCCTTCCTGAGAAGGCCGAGGCTTGCAAGGCCGAAGCCGAGCATCTCAACAAGAAGATTGTTGATGATCACGCCTCACTTGTCCGGAGCTTGCAAGAGGCATACATGAACTCAAAGTACTACGAAGTCATCCCGTTGAATGCTGTAGTGCGAGAAATGCTCGAGCTGGTCACAGAATGGGATGCCGCTTTTGCAAAGTTTGAAGCAGACTTCCTCCCTTCAGAAAAGGATATCCGGCGCCTCACCATGCTGCAACTGCGAAAGATGTTTACGGAGTCCAAAGAGTCACTCGCGAGCAGTGAGGCACCTTCGGAGTCCACGGATGCCTATGATCGTGGCACTCTGGGAGGCAGCACTACAGATGGGGAGAAGCTGAGCACACACCTTCCTGACACGCCCTTGGAGACGCCTTTGGAAACACCCTTGGAGACACCACAGGAGACACCGCTATCGCAGGATACACCCAAGGCGCCAGAAGATACGAATGTTACCCCTGCAATGGCCACGCCCACGGTAGAGGCCCTCGAGAGAGTCGAGCCGCTTGACCTGGCAGCGCCTCAGACTCCAGCGGCAACGCAAATTGGAGCTGGGACGGCAGCCGAGACCACGCTGCCAGATGAGACGACCCCAACCCCTGTTGCGATCCCGACGCCAGTGGCCAACGAGGTTCGGAACGCCGCTGAGGGTCCGCCCACAAGCCAAGATGTCCTCAACTCGGCAACGCCGAAGTCTGTTACGGAGCATCTCGAGAGGCTGCGCAAACAACAGCAGGAGGTTGTGCTGGCAGAAGCGCAGATTGCTTCCAAGGCTGAAGCAGAGCGAGCTGAGGTCGGCCAAGGTTCGACAAAGCCGGCCACAGAACGCGCCCCCGCTCGCCGCATGGGCCTGGCCGTGTCTCCCCCCATGCTTCGCGCGATATCCACGCCCACGAATGGCATCTCATCCCTGCCTAGGACCCAGTCCCAACTTGGCATAAGCAGTAAGATGTTCAGTGGTGCTGGCAAAGGGAGAGAAAGGATGACACCTACCGAGGCGCCTCCGGGGATGGAGCTTAGAAAAGTACCGACCGGCGAATCTTCCAAGGGAGACAAGAAGCTCTTCAGCTTGCGAGGATCACGTAAGGCGAACCAATCCTCGATTCCTAGATTTGTCGGAAAGAAGGATTCCCGTGTTTCCACGATACGGAAGCACTTTGAGCAGTTAAGTCGGGAGTTTGAGAAAGAGCGCGAGAAGGACAGGCGGAAGCGTGCCGCAAAGATGGGTCAATCTCGGCCAATGCTGCAGCACTCAACCACCCGTGCGATTGTTCAGGTGTACGAAGACGTCGACGAGGCCGTGCAGGAGCCCAATCCAATCGAGGACGACCAGAAGTCGCTGGACAAGGACGCAAGCGCTTCTGTGGCTGAGTCATCGGCGGAACAGACTGGAGAGGCGTATACGGATGTCAACGAAGCCTTGGGGACCGATACCGCCACAGCTGAGACTGGAGATAAACCAGAGGAAGCCACAACCGAGGCTGACACAGCTGATGAGACTGCCACGGCAAGCCATGGTCCCACCGACGACGAGCAAGGACACAGTGACACGGAGCACTCCATTCTCGACGGAACCACTTTGGAGGAGATTGCGGAATCGTTGGATTCAGCGACAGAGATCCCTCTGGAGCTGCCGAAGCACGACAAGATGAACTTCATGAAAGTGCTGACAAACTTCTGGAACGAACGGTCCTCGGCTGACTGGATGCCCCTGGACTATCCTCTGAACCCCAAAGATCACATCTTTCTCGACTCGGACATTATAGTACGCGAGGACGAGCCAAGCTCGCTAATTGCCTTTGCGCTCAGCTCTGAGGATTACCGAGGGAAGATGGCCAAGTCCCGTCGCGGTCGGGTCGAGTCGAAGCTGCGGAAAAAGAGGTTCAGTGGGCACGTAACTGTGGAAGAACAACATGATGCCTCTGGAGAGGAAACAGGTGACGATGTCGACATGGAGACGCCTACTCAACACCTTCATGACCAGGACAACATGGGCATCCCCGCTGTTGTTGAGGAGCAAGGGCGACGTCCTCCGAACCCCGAACCTGCTTTGACGCCGGAATTGACGGTGACTGAGGAAGAAGTCCTGCAGGAGAGTCTCCGCTCCGCGTCCAGCAGTCACTACAAGTACCAGTTCTCTGAAGGTGGAGCGAAGATGTTGGTCAAGATATTTTACGCGGAGCAGTTTGACGCTCTTCGCCGAAAGTGTGGCGCGTCGGACCGCATCATCGAGTCGCTGTCACGTTGCCTCAAGTGGGACTCCAAGGGTGGCAAAACCAAGTCTGTCTTCCTGAAGACCCAGGATGATAGACTGGTAATGAAGGTTTGTGCTTTCCTCTTGGGGATCTTCGAGTGATAATTGTGCTAACATTCGCCTAGTCTTTGTCGCCTGTGGAAGTGACGGCGTTCCTGAGATTCGCTCCTGGTTATTTCCAAATCATGAACGAGGTTCTCTTCCACGATCTACCATCAGTCATTGCGAAGATGCTGGGGTTCTTCCAGGTCATTATCAAGAATCCCGCCACAAATACAGACATCAAGCTGGATCTTCTCTTGATGGAGAATCTTTTCTACGATCGTGCTCCCACGCGGATCTTTGACCTCAAGGGATCCATGCGCAACCGGAAAATCCAGTCAACTGGAGAGCAGAACGAGGTGCTTTTGGACGAGAACATGGTCGAGTACATATACGAGTCACCACTGTTTGCCCGCGAGCACTCCAAGAAGTTGCTACGCGCCTCGGTCTGGAACGACACGTTGTTCTTGGCCCGGCAGAACGTCATGGACTATTCGCTGATGATTGCTGTCGATGAGACCCGGAAAGAGCTTGTGGTGGGCATTATCGACTGTATCCGCACATATACCTGGGACAAGAAGCTCGAAAGCTGGATCAAAGACCGTGGCTTTGCGGGGGGAGGCCGCAATCGCCCTACAGTGACAAGTCCCAAGGAGTACAAGTCCCGATTCAGAGAGGCGATGGCTCGGTGAGTTCATATTTTTTCAATGGACACGAGTTTTGAAGACTAATCCGTTCTGCAGGTATATTTTGCAAGCACCGAACTGCTGGCACCAGTTCAATGTTCCCTTGATAGCTGCTCGGCCGCACTCTGATATAAATCTTGCTGGCGATGATAAGACAGTCGTCGCGGATACCCTCTGAAGTGCATAGACATTCAAGAAAGGCCTCAACGCACAGACTTGATTTGTCACTTTGGGGGACTCCCAGAACTGGGTTCAAATACCTTACGAGTTATGATGTCCACGAATTCCTTGTTTGATTCTCATGGCAAGCATTTGCGTAGTCTGGCTTGAGCGGGCGATATATACTTGTTATAGATAGCGCATTATTCACAACACTTGTTTTGGTTTACCGGTATATGAAGTGCCGGTGCCAGCCTAGGCGGCCGATCTGTAACGAAATCCTGAGCTGTTGAGTAGGTTTTTAAGGAAGTGGAATTACTTCTTACCTGCTTGGTTTTGACGGCAATGCCTGGCTTTGTGGAACAGGATGGCTTGGGGAAGGAATATTCCTTTGCCTCCACGATGTAGAGTGAGAATGCCAGTATGATGATTATTTCGTTGTGCCGAATGCTTTGCGTAGAAGAGGTGGTGCTGCCCATTCTGCTCGCTAGCGACAATTGAGGGTCAGTGGGTTAAGCGCCTCAAGTGGCACTAAATGGGCCCAGTCTCAAACCCACCTCGGCAGCCTTATTCCAACCACGATTGACATCACCATAGCGAGACTTCTCGTCAAGCAAACACCACCCTTGGTCAGATGGGACGACACACTGTATTCATATAGCAGTCAGTGCTGTCTGCGGCCCCCGAGAGTTGCACCGCTCTCCCTTGCAGCACTTCTCCAGCGCTCGACACCGCGCAGTACATAGCAAGCCTCGTCTCATCGTGCCAGGCCGGGCGCAAAGATCCCTGCAGAGAGCGCCAGCTTTGCCGCAATACGTCGCCACTCATTTTTATCACGCAGGCATACTCGCGCCCGAGGCCATGTCGATTGACCTCAACTGGGACACGCTGACGTCGGGGCCCGAGGGCGAGGCGCTGGCGGCAAGCATCCGCGACTTTGTGCACACCAAGTTCCAGGCGGTGCCCCTGCCGCGCTTCATAAAGTCGGTCGCGGTGCACGAGTTTGAGTTTGGCAAGGTCGCGCCCCAGGTCGTCCTCAAGGACATCTGCGACCCGCTGCCGGATTTCTACGAGGAGGACCCGGATGTGGATTACGGCGACGACGAGGACGACGACAACGCCGTGGCCTCTGCGGGGCAACATGACAGTGATGATGCACAGGCTGATGGGGGATACAACGACTACGACGACGAGGACGGCGAGGACAATCACATGAGTGCCAGCATAGAGACGCTGGGGGCGTCGAGTACGCGGACCGGGGAGATGTCGATGCCCCCAGCTACTCCGGTGAGGAGACCACCGCACCGCGAGAGGCATGGAACGGAAGAGGTGCCGGACACGATCAAAGCTGCTGAGAGACGGCGGCATGCTGAGCTCGACAGGCGGCGATATGGCGCTGGTCGAGGCGGCGGGCAGCATGGCGACAGCGACAATCCGTACCGTCGGGCCCCAGAGCTGCGACGCTTCAACAGCGAGAAGAGCGAGTTCCCATTTCCCTCGCACCTGCACCTCGCAGGTGCAGGCTTGCGGAGTGGCACGCCGGACCTGGGCACGCCCTTCCTGGGCCTGGGAGCCTCGACGCCGGGGATCGCCGGAGGCATGTCCAACATGCACTATTTCCAGTCCAAGTTAGGACCGGGCTGGTCCGGCACGCAGACGCCGCTCGCCGCCGTCGCGGGCGCGCAGCATCTCGGAGGCTGGCTGGATGCCGCGAACAACAAAGATCACCAAAACGGGCCAGCTCAGGCGGACGCGAGGCGGCGAGCCGCGCTCGAGGGGATATCACCGGGAGCAGCAGCAGCAGCAGGGCCATCAAGCAGAACAGGCTCGGCTGTCGCGGACGGGTATTACGACGGCCATCATGTGCACGAGCATCACCGGGTCCCGTCCCAGAGCTCGGTCTCGAGCAACGACTTCCCGACCCTGCTCGCACCACCGCTGCTGAGGGAGAAACATAGCGTGTCAACCCTCGCCGCGACGTCGACAGGGAACCACTCGAGGCCGCCGACGAGAGACAAGCCCCTGGGGCCAAGCATGCTGAGCAGCTCGTCCGCCCTGGCCAGTGATCCGTCAGACTATGCCAACAGCGCTGGCCGCGACAACGAGGAGCCGGAGGAGGAACCCACGCCCGGGCCGCCCCAACACGACGACGAGGAGCGCCGGTTCCGCGAGCCCAGGGTCGACGACATGCAGGCCGTCTTCCGCATCAAGTACTCTGGCGACGTCCGGCTGCGCCTCACGGCCGAGATCCTGCTCGACTACCCGATGCCCAGCTTCGTCGGGATCCCACTCAAGCTCAACATCACGGGCCTGACCTTTGACGGCGTCGGCGTGCTCGCCAACATCAGGAAGCGGGTGCACTTTTGTTTCCTCAGCCCCGAGGACGCGCTCGCCGCGGTGGGCGATGATGACGGTGACGCGGACAAGGGAGACGACGGCAACGACAACAATGACGACCATGACAACGAGCACCCTCACAATCACGAGGGCGGTGGTGGCGCCAGCGGCGACCACGACAGGGGACACGGCAGACAGCTATCTCTTGCCACGGCCGTGGGAGTCGGTCTGCACCCGAGCGGCGTTGGCCTGCACCCCGCCAGTGGTTCAGACCAGCATCACAGACTAATGGAGAGTCTGACACTTGACCCGACGATGACCTCTCCCGGCCGAGGCGGGTATGGTGCAACGAGTCTTCATAACAACAACAACAATACGTCATCGCAACAACAGCAGCAGCAACAGCAGCGGGGTAAAGTAGGCGGCCTGCTGCAGGAAATCAGGGTGGAGAGCGAGATTGGCCAGCGCGAGGGAACAAAGCAGAGCCTCAAGAACGTCGGCAAGGTCGAGAGGTTCGTGCTCGAGCAGGTCCGGCGCATCTTTGAGGAGGAGCTCGTGTACCCCAGCTTCTGGACCTTTTTGGTGTAAGACGGAAACACCCCCCCGGGCTCTTCATCCCCTCTTCCCAAACAGGGGTTTTGGATGAGGGCAAGAGTTCATCTTGTAGAATAGCAAAGGGCCGCCCTGGGCGGCGTGTATGATGATGACGATGATGAGAAATATTCCGCAATCACATGACGAGACTTCGCTCCTTGGCGAAATGTTTTCAAGAGGACTGAACTTGGCTGGATTGCACTGGATGTTGTTTCATGAATGAACGATTCCATGCGGCGATAGTGGCAGATTCAAATGGTGTTCTGGTTGCCTGCAATAGTTCGTGCCGTGAGTTGAACCAGGTCTCGTGTGTGCCGCAGTCACCTGTCAATGAACCCCCAAGCCAGGCTGCCACATTTGACCTCAGATGCTCAAATATCTAGCCACATAAGGAGGACTCCCCTGCCTGGTAGGATATTGCAAGTGCACGTCTTCTTGTCCACCTAAATCGAATCGGATCCAGAGACGTAGTAGGTTGGTTTGAGCGCAACCCATTACCAACCAGAGACCACGGACGGGTGTGGCTTGACCGATGCCTCTGGCGCGTTTGAACACCACCGCATGTTCTGACGCACGTCATTGCCGCAGCGAAATTATGCTCCTGCAACATCGATACCAGGTCATTCCGAATCATAGGGCCATCTTTTTGGGCGGGCTAAAGAGAGACCTGTTCACCTCACAGACATTGTACTGTTGATCGATCCTGTTGGTAATAACTTCTATATTTCGCTGGATTCACTATTTCCTTCAGTGATCTCAATAGATTCGCGCATCTAAGAGAGAACGAATCGCTACTGTATGATGATGCCACAATTGCATCTCTAGCCAAAGCCAAAATCCTGGATGCTGTGTTCGCCGCTACTCCATGCACCTTTCCCATTTTAGAGCCTGTGTCTTGCCAGGTCCAAATCAAAAACGCCCAGTGCGCCGGAATATGCTACCGCCTCGATGGCTGCTCTTTAGCTCAAGCAGAATAGTAAACCCCCTAAGTAGACAAAGAGAAATATGATATAAGGTAAAAAGCCAAGGAAATGCAAAGAAATTTTCGCCCAAATGCTGAAAGAGAATCTCAGAAAAACTATCTATAGCGTCCAAATCAGCTCTATTACCTCATCCAGAGCGCCATCTTTGCCGACCCCGAAATTGGGATAGAGGGGCTGTTTGGGCTTCCCGCCGTCTTCGTGATCGCCATCAGATGATTCGGTAGCAAGAGACAGCGGGTCTTTCTTCTCGTCGTCTTCCTCTGGCTTTGGCTCCTCGGTAACGCGGTCCGTGCGATATACGTATAGTTGCCGCAGCTCGCCCTTGGGCGTGATCTCGGCATGCTTGAGCTTATAGCTCTTTTTGCGGTCCTTCGGCAATCGATCCCGGAGAGGGCCAACACTAAAGTCGTAATCGCGTCCTGCCTGAAGCCAAGTCCCTTCCATGAGGTCGAGGTTGACCTCTGACATTCCTTTCGGATACGTGACAATCGAGTAGCCGCTCGTGAAAACCGTGTCCTGTTCGAAACGGAAGCGCTGGAGGAAGCAATCTCCACAGAACTTGGAAGCAAGCGCCATGTCGGCCATGGGCTCGTGATACCAGCTCTTCCAGTGGTGCAGAACAAGCGGCTTGATGCCAGCCTCGAAGAAGCCGCTCACGTCGTCCTTCATATCTTGTTGCCAAAGACCGTCGAGCATCGTCAACTTGGCCTTGGAGTGAGAGTAGACACAGTCTCGAATAATGATGTCGCCTTCTCCACTCGAAGCCTCGTGGATGCACTTGAGCGCTTTCGGTGCGAGTTTGCGGGCCAAGGGGGCAGAGAAGTAGGCGCCAGCGCCACCAAAGGCCATGAAGCCAAAAAAGCGCACGGCCTGGAAGTCCTCTGACAGCTGGCCCACGTAGACGTCCTCGGTATGGTCGAGTGTGGCAAGAGCATCGGCGAAAGGCCACATGTCGGGCATGAAGGTGTCGTCGTCGATCAGGCCGAACCATTTGGTGTTGTCGTCGCTGTGATTAACAAGGTCGACCAAAACGGCAAAGTGGTTTTGCGATACGGTGAAGTCAGCGCTGAGCGGCTTGACAAAAGTGGCAAGGATTCCCGACTTGCGAAACTTGTTCTCGATCATAGTGATGTTTTCTTGCGTCTGCTTGCTGTAGTCTGTAACAACAGCTATGAGCTTAGAGCCCGAGTTGGCTAGCCAATGTTCAAATGCCGGTAATGAGCCGTTCAGGCGGACCAGGTCGGTGGAAACGCCAAAGATGATATGCGAGCTGCTCTGCTTAGGATATGCCTTCGGCACATTCAGCTTGATCTGCTCACAGTCCGGTACAGGGGCGGCTCGTGTATTCCAGAGATCGACCTCCACCGTTCCGTTGAGAAGCGAATGCCCTATGTCGGCCACTTCGTCCCGATCGATGTCCTTTGAGAACACAGGTTTGATACATCTACGGGTGTAGTGAACCTTTTCTGTCAGGTTGAGCCCCTCGCCTGCCTTGATCAGGAAGCGATAGTCTTGAGCTACGTCGCTGGACTCGATCGAAGGGTATGGCCTGATCTTGCTTGCGTCGGCATCAGTCGTCGTGGCAGGAGAGGTTTCGGCCCCACCGGGTGGTGCAAACTTGTCGGTTGGCTTCTCCGCAGGCGCTTTTACTGCTCCTTCAGCAGGAGGCGATGTCGAGCCTGTATCATCTGGCTTCTTGTCTTCGAGCGTGGCTAGTTTGGCCGGCTCTGGAGCGGAGTCGGGAGAGTCGATGGCCAAGTCGGGCTCTGCCGCGACGGGGGCCGCGTTTGCAATCTCAGCTAGGGACGCATGTTCAGGCAATGTGAAATCCTCGTGAGTCTCCGCTGGTTGAATGATTTTCTCAGTGTTGGGAGGATAGCCGAGGTTGCTGTCGTAACGAGAGATTGTCGGGCCGCCGTCGACATAGAACTGGGTATAGATGATGAGGAATGTGATGATGGACCCGGCGAGTATGAAGACGCGGGGCACCTTGGCGAGCATCGTCATTGTCGAGGGCCGAGGTCACCGATGTGACCACTGCATTGGACGAGGGCGGAACAAGGGTGATGCTAGTGTGCTGACGAGCGGTGGTCTGGGGATGGTGGCAAAGTGTCTTCCTGCAGTCGAGGAGTACAATCCACGGCTCGCTCTAAATATTAGAGATGCCGCAGTCGAGAGAAAGGGGTGCCAGTGTGGTCCGAGATCCAGAGGCGTGATGCCAACCAGTCGAGGGTTGAGGAGGGCCTGGGGCAGTGGGTAGTATTGTACAAGAGAGGGAAGAAGAAGGGTGGTGAGGACGAAGACGACGGTTGGAGATGTTGACAATAGAGGCAGGCAGATCAGGGGTCTTGTGAGGGCCGCCACCACTGGGAGCCGCGTCCTCGTGGCATACCTGTAGTTAAGGGGAAAAGTCGAGATAGCCGGCAAGCTAGCGCCCAGCTAGCCAAGCCGGCAGGGGCACGCTTTCCTGAGCAGTGGACCAGTGGGGTGCCGTGACGCAGTGCCTGCCCCACCCCACCGGCATATGTACACTATCCATCTCCAGAAGCACATCTTGCTAGCCACGGGCCCAAGGCACAGCTGGCCAGCCTCTTCAGGCCCTCACGACGCCTGCAGCCATCACCATTACGACTCGCTAGCCACTGCCCCTCCTCCCCGTATCTGGCGCATCCGTCACGATCTCTCCAATGACATGAAGCAGCAGGACGAGCAAGAAGACGCTGATGATTACGAGATCCTCGACAGCAACTGCCGGTCTTGCCAGCGATCAGTTCCGTCCTGCCCATCATCTCCCCAGGTCGATCCACATCTGCCATGCCTGCAGGACGCGTGTCGCTGGGGCTCGCTCAATGTTTCAAGACGCCGTTCCGCTGCCTCAGCGTACGACAATGCAGCTGCTCCGTGCAAGATGGTCTCAATCGACTGGCCAAAGCGTCTTTCCAGCAGGACTCACCCTTGCTGCCTCCCTGTTGGGGCAGCGCGGCCACAACGTCATCAAACCATCGCCCGCTGCTTCTGGTTGGTGTCGATGTCTCCATGTGTCTCGTTTGGCGCGGCCCGCTGCGGGCCTAGCATACAAGATTGATTCGAGCACAAAGCAGGAAACCAGCATCCCAGCCAGGGCATGGATGCTCGTCACTGACTAAGGCTGGGCACAGCACTTCTAGTTCTCGAGGCCCCCTCCCAGCTCGGCTATCCGGAACAATCGCAGCGGATGACGGCACCGCGGGCACTTGGCAAACCAAGGCAAGTGCGACAACTGCTGTACTCGACAACATAAGCATGCTCCGGAGAGGGCAACAGCAAGGCAACAGAAAAGCTTACTTCAAGTTTGTTTATGTGTGTGCGCGCTAGTGGTCGACAATTGAGGCGATACGTCTTTGCAGCGGTGGAGGGTCGGATTATCCTACCTGCCTATCATCCCAACGGTCGACATGCCACGCGTTAGCGGCAACGCAAAACACGACTACTTGCGTAGCACATCCGCCTCCTAATTTCGGCGCTACAGTAGTCGCGTGCCGAAAGGTTGCAGGCTACTACCAACTTTGAAGTAGGTTGGACTACACCACCAACACTCTTCCGCAAAGTGGCAAAGGCTATGGGAGCCCTCAAAGTCTCAAAGTGTAGGCCGCGCCAGCGCAACTCCCATCTGATCTTTGGGTGCCGTCACCATCGCAAATGATGCGGGTAGGCGGTGGTGGCTGCACCGACGCCTGTACCGTCACTGTGCTACCGTTGATACTCCGACTACACACACACGCTTCACATATGGCAAGGTATCCAGATAGGGGTGGGTCCCGTGGGTGCTGATCTGCAACATCGCGATCTGAAATGCTTGCTGTACGAGGGCACAAAGCCTTGGAAGCTCGACGACGCCTACGGCCCCAGCAAAATTCTCCATCTCGAGGCCGCGTCAGCATGCCCTGGAGCCCCAAGTCCAAGGCGAAGTGCACTGCCGAACGATGTCGAACACAGCGATGAAAGACGCGTGGCGATGTCAATGCTGGAGACGAGCGACTCATTCGATATCAAGCCGGATGGGCAGACCACGATGTCCAGGATGCACCTGTTCTGATTGAGAGTGAAGGCTGGCAGGTAATCAAGCTGCAACACGGACCAACACCCATAGCTTGGCGTCATGCTCCACGTTTTGACGATGAAATCTCCGCACGACCCTCGAGCCTCACTCTCAAATCCCCTGGCGTAAAACCATATCAACTGCCTTGATTTGTTCCGTACACCTCCAACTCTTGCGCCTCAGGAGTGCGGGGACGTGCGCAAAGTGCATCCTAAGCGTCCCGTTGACCAGGAGGATTGGTCCATTCCTGTGGCTATTTATTGTGAAACATACCAAATCGAAATAGCATACAAACATGTTGCTGCGCAGTATTGTCGCGGTTCCTAAAAAGAGACGGCAAACGCGGCACGCTTTCTGCCAGGCGTAGCTGCACAGCGGGCTGCCTGCAGTTGCAGACCAGTCACGGGGTACTTGGCAGGGAAGTGTGGTTAGTCGCCAAGTTTGAGTTCTGACTGAGAAAGGTTCCGATTGCCTGTCCACCTGTCGTTCACTGTGTTCCCCCTGTCAGCCGCAGCAGCTCGGAAGATGGGACGCAGCAGCCGCACAGGCTAACTAGCCGCACTTCGGACCTTCCGGGTGCTGCAACCCTTTTTGCCCGTGACCTTCGATGCGACGTCGCGAAGACTGTGTGATAGCATGTGAACTCGGCTTGTTGGGTCGCCGGGTGTGGTGGTCCGATTTGGGTCTCCGGGGAGCACTTATCAGTCTCTCGGGGCGGCCCCGTTTTTGCAAACCGGCTCTTGTAATAGCAGGTGCTCGATGAGACTTCGTTGAGCTTGTGGGATCTGGTCCAAAGGGATGAGTACGCGCGGACTTGCTTGGGCGAGCATGTTCAAGTATGAGTTGGGCCGTTGCTATAGGGGGTGGTGGCGATGAAACAACGCAGTTACCTCTACCCGAAGTCTAGAGGCTCGCAGAGAGGACGCATTTATCTGCCCGGAGGCTTTATAAAAACAACATGTCCGCGAAATCAGGCCAACACAATGCGAATCATCATCAAACATATACGATGTGTTTGTCCTGACATTCGTAGTTGTCCCAGTACAACTCGCGGGCTGCAAAAACGACAGCCGACACACATACACGGAAAAATCGCAACACGGCACGGATGGAAGAGCATCGGAATTCCCGACTGCTGTCACTGTTAAATTGGCTTAAGCCTCTATCTTTGTCCCCATCGCCTTGGCCAGACGCTCGCGCACTTCGTCCGCGCTGGCGGCCATGTCTGATCCTTCGCGGTACGCGTGACCTCGAATCGATCCGCCGGCTCGTTCGCTGCTCGCAACAACCTTGCCGTCGTCTCGCGCGCGTGCCAGGAGACCTCCTCTGCCGTTTTTGATGCGCTCGACAGCCTCTACGCCGAGACAGAACTGTGGATCCAGTTTGCCCAGGCCGTCTTCACTGACGTTGTGGCTGCCCGCGAGCGTGGACAGCGCAGCCAGGCCCAGGTACGCATGATACACGTCTGGCGGGTTGCCTGGGTGCTTGCCGAACCCACCAATGACGTGCTGCGTCTTTTCGAGGAGGAAGCTGCGCGAGGGCGTGCGGTCGACTAGGGCGCCCTCGCCGAGGATCGAGAGCGTGCCGGACGCCCACCAGGTGTAGCAGGTGTCTGGCTTCTTGTTGATGCGGCCGTTGAAACCTGCGGGCGTGGCGGCCGGGTCGATCAGCGAGAGCGTGTCGAGGTCTGCAAGGATGTCCGAGGCATCAGCCGTGTCCTCGTCCTCGTCGTCATCACCTTCTTCGTCGCTGCCGCCGGCGCCTTCAGAGGCAAAATATGTGAACTGCCGATTCACAAGGAAGTGGATCAGCGACGGAATGGAGGTGATGCCGCCGGCCAGGTGACTGCCTGCCTCATTGTCCAGATCGAGAATCGAGAGCGCTGCGACAGCACAGTAGGCATAGCCAGCATGGCTTTCATGGGTAGCACTTTCTGATATGCCGCCGTCGAAAGTCTGGCCCCTCCGGATGTGCGCAACCAGTGCGGCAACATCAATGTCGTCCGCCTGGGAGGCCTTGTCTCCGCCTAGGATATACCGCACCGTGGCGGCCAGCAGACAGAACCGCATGTCCCTGCCGCCGGACACGAAGCCATGCTCGTTGACCACGTCCCCGAAACTCCCGTCGGGTCGTTGTAGCCGCTTGAGCCAGGCCAGTGTCTGCTCCCTGTGCACCCCATCGTATGCATCAGACCCGTCGCCTTCAGCGAGCAGGCCAAGGAGCAGGAGGGCAAAGGAGGTGGCGGCAATGTTGGGATTCGCAGGGTCGCCCGCGACCTCACGCTGGGCAGCGGGGTCCCACTCGACAGACCACTCCCTGGGCAGGACGTGGTTTGGAGATCCGCAGAAGCCGCCGAGGGGGTGCTGCAGACTCAGTACAAACTCGCGGAGTCGCTTGCGGTCGGCAGCCGGGATGAGCGACGAGGCCCGGGGGTCTGGCGGAGGCTCCGAGTAGGACGAGGCCGAGGAGAGAAGGTCCAGGGCGGCGACGATGAAAAAGCCGAGGGTGAGGCGAATGCTGTCCATCGAGGTGTAGTGGTGGGGCAGCAGAGACTTGTAGCAGCGCTGGAAGTAGCGGATGTGGCGGGCCGTGTCGAGCGGCGGCCCGGCCGCTGTCTCTGAGGGGTCCATGATGATGCACTGATGTGTTCTTGCCTGTTGGAAGTAAGGGGCTTGTTTGTTGGCGAGGAGCACCCAGATGGACAAGAAGAAGGCGATGGCTCCAGCAGTAACACCAAACGGCAATCTGTGCAGACGTGGGCTGTCCCGATGGCCCTTCGACCTCACACGAGCTATGGGGGAGCTCAGGGCGCACAGTTGTGAAGTTATCGCGAGCTCTGATGCCCCGCTTACACACAAAAGAGCTGAGGAGTTGAGGGTGGACGCTAAGCACAGTACCTAGGAGCACAGCTCCAGGGTCGATCGATGCCCTGGCGTGCTTGGCAGACAGTCCGGCAGGCAGGGCCCCTCCCCTCGGTGGTAGTCGCCGCCAGGGGTTGTTGCACTTTAACTTTTTGGGGGCCTGATGCATGGCGGCAGCCTTGTTTGACTTGTGACAGCAGCAACACGAGACACTCCCGCGACCAGGGCCACATCATCGTCAACACCACCACCCACCACCACCACAGCAGCAGCGATTGGACAGCGCCTCCTCCGCCGCCAGAGCACGCGCCGTCACACGACACCACACGACCCGACCCGGCACGCCCCTGCCTGCTACTCTGCCATTCTCCATCACGACTGTTACATTTCTGCCGCTTCTCGAATACACTCGGCCGTCGAAACCCTTGCTGTCGAAAGACAACACCAGCTCCGTGCCCTTGTACATCGCTGCGACGACATCAACGCCCAACGACGACCAGCCCGCCATGGCGCTCATCTCCACAAAGACCATCCTGACCTCGCTGTCGCTCTTCCACGTCACCCTCGCCTTCTTCTTCTTCACAAACCCAAACACCATCGCAGATCAGATCCTCGTCTTCGTCCTCGGCGAGGCCATGGGCATGGTAAGTCTGCAGACACATGCAGCTTCGCTCATGCAGCACCCTTGCGTCAAAGCTAATGCGTTCCCTCTTTTCTTTGCCGCCACACAGCCCGAGACCCCGGCCTTCTCGACGCCATCACCGCCGACCGCCTTCCTCAGCATCGTCCTGCTCTTCATCGGCCTCTCGGACCTCTTGACCCTCTCAATGCCCGAGGAGGTCTGGCTCATGCACCACTGGGCGCCCCAGGCCCCGCTGCGGGCATTCATCTTCTTCGTGGCCACTGTCTACACGTATTTTACGAACCCGGCGGCCCCGTCGCGGGAAGGCGTGCGCATGTCCCACCTCAAGGCGCCGTACGTCGGGGCGCACTACGGCACCGCCGGAGGCGGCGAGGCCCTGCGCAACCGGCTCTTCTTCACGTTCGCGTTTGTCGAGTTCCTGGCCTGGTTCTGGGTCTGGGTCACCATCAAGGAGGATGCCGGCAAGTTTGTCTCGAAGAAGAGGAGACGGTCCAGTGCTGCGGGTTCCAAGGCGTGGTCGCAGACTCAGTGAGGGAGGGTCCTGAGTCCTTCGTGACAGTGCGAAAGGGGGTAGCAAGGTTTGGTTGCGTCGCGCACAAACTCGCGACAGCAAACAGTCGCGTATATCGAGAAGAAGCATCTACATGACAGGAGTTTGATCATTGCGATGGGATGGATTTGTCGCCCGGAGTTGCCACACGGGCTCGGCATAGCGGAGAATCATGTACGATTTACGACATATTTACACATAAAAACGGCAGACAGACACGCAGGCAGAAAGATACCCCCAGTTTCTACTTTAAAATATAACTTTTGAGCCCTTCCTTCGCACATCTCTGGAGAGCCTTGTCTAAATCGAATAGCTGTTTCCTCGTGCAGAAGGTCGACACTATTCGCAGCCGGAGTATGCGAGCAGCTCAAGGCAGATACTGCACAGTCGCCCAACCACCCAGGAGCTCCTTCCATGACTGCGTGACGGTGGCTGCCCACTCACGCAGCCGAGCATCTCCGCTCGCACAATCACGCACGAGCGCCGTGAGCTCCTGTCTGAACTGCTTTTCCTCTTCCTCAACCTCGTCCCCGTCACCTCTGTCTGCTCCCAAGGCTACAGCAGCGACATCGGCGGCCAGGACAAGCTCCCGCACTTTGCTCTGCCATGGCACCGACCCGACCTCGGCAGCCAGGCTCTTCACGCGGGCCTTGCACTTGTCCTCGACCGCGCCGCACGTGGCCTTCAGGTCCTTCAGGGGCTTCTCGATCCACGCGAGGTCCTTGGCCGCGGCGCGGGCCTTGTCGACGACCCTGATCTTGTCGAGGGCTGCCGAGACCGACGCGGCGGCGAGCTTGATCAGCGTCGTGGACTCGCGCAGCATGCCGAGCGCGTGGAGGTCGATGATGCCTGCGAGCGTGGAGGCTGTTGTTGTTGATGGTTGTCCAGGGTTGTTGTTCTCGAGGGCGGAGAGTGCATCGGATGCCTGGTCCTGCAGGAGGTCGGAGATGGAGTTTATTGTCTGCTCGACGCTCGTCTTGATCTCTGGAAGCGGCTGTTGCTGTTGGTGGTCGGGCGAGCAGACCCGGATGAGTGCTGCGTATAGTGTCATCGTTTCCTCGAGGACGCCATAGTAACTGTGCTCGGCGGCGGTGAGTACCCTACGGACAGGCTTATTGCTGCTGCTGCTGCCGCTGCTGCCGCCGCTGCCTCGGTTGACCACGGCGTAGAGCTGCTGCAGCAGGTCCTCGGTCTTCTCGAGCGCGTAAAGCAGGTCCGCGGCCAGAACTTGGCTGGGCTTGGCGGGCTTGTATTCCTTCGGCTGCGCGTAGCTGATGATGTCGATGAAGCGTTCGCCTATCAGGCCGAGGAGCGTTCTTGTTTCCTTTGTTTTCAAGAGTCAGCTAGGAATTTGTGGACAAAAGGGATATCTCTCTGGCAAGCATACCGACTGGGGTGGGCCGAGGTTGAGCATTTCTGTGATTGTTGGTGAGCCACGTCGCCCGAGGTTCGGTAAGCAGCTGAAGTCGGTAACTTCAGATAGTTTATGGCGAGTGCTCAGATTTCCTGTGGCCGAGCTTGGTTAATGCCAGGGGTCACGGAGACACTTGTGTTTGAGCAGAGTACGGCCAACTTACGGATCAACGGGTCGTCATCAATGCAGTGTGGGTTCCGGAGCTGGTTGAACCGCCGGCCCCGTCTCGCTTCCGTCCGAACCATGACCATGCTGCAGCTCGTCTTGAGCTTCTCGTAAAACCCGTACAGTCCGGCAATGCTCGAGTAGCTGTCATAGTCCAGCGCGTCCTTTAGTCCTCTAGGATATGTTCGCCGCAGCGCGGTGTCGAAGTACGACACCAGCGGGCTCATGCTCGTTGGGTTGCCGCCGCCGCTCGCGCTCGTCGAGGCGAAGAAGTGCGGAGCAAACGTCGACAGGCGGTCGTAGAAGAGCGGCGCGAGCGAGTCGAGGATGGCGTTCTTCACGCCGAAGCTGTCCCAGAGCGTCTTGGCCCGCGAGACACAGCCGATCAACAGGTACAGCTTTACCAACATCATGCGGAGCGCGTCGTTCTTGGGCAGGGCTGCAAAGTAGGCCTCGAGCAGGACGATGGCTTGTAGGACGAGTTGAACATCCGCGTCAGCGAGCGCCGAGATGCCTGGTGCTCCAGGTCTCGTCCCGTCTCCGGCGTCACCCAGCTTGAGCAACGCACACGCGCCGATGACGGCAAAGTCGGAGATGGGGTCGACAGGTGTCTTTGGGAGGACATTGTCACGTAGTTCCGAGTTTGACATTGCCACCTTGTACTGCTGCAAAGCCGTGATGGCGATTTGCCTCAGGCATTTCGCACAATACTCTTGGCAGGACAGCTCGGTGCCACACGCGGAGCAGATGGCGGCGACGTGCGTGGCAATAGTGAACTGGACCCTTAAGCGGAGAGCGGTTGTCACAAATCGCTTAAAGACGTCGTCCTGTGAAATCCTGTCAGACGTGGTTCTGGTTTGGCCAACATCAAAGGAACATACCTGTTCAAGATTGGTGGCCAAGATGGTACGGAACTGCTTGGCTTCCGCTGGGCTCAACATTTCGATAAACGCCTGTGTCTCATCATAAACCGACGGACTGCGGTAGTTGTTGATGACGTAAGTCGCGAGAGCGAGGAGCCGCGTGTTCTCTGAGCCTTGCTGTTGTTCTTGCGGCTCAACTGCGAAGTTGTAATGTAACACGGCCAGGTCGCAGTATGCAGAATGTGATCTCGTCAGGCGCTTGGAGACTCCTAAGGCGTCATGTGCCGACTCAATCGCATCAAGAGACTCCTTCAGAGCACTACTCAAAGTGTCAGTCATGGGGATCAATTGTATGCCGGGGCCAAGGGCACTCACGCCTCTGGGTCTGGCTGGTATCTGCTGGCTCGAAGAAGCAGACTCCAAGTAGACCACTCCGTGCCGACAGCCAGAACTGCAAGCTCGGCAGCAGTCCGTGCGGCATGTACCTCGTGAACGGCCTCTGGTTCTGACTTCCTTTCGGCGATCGACCGTCCGTCAACTTGGTTGAGTGATGTTGCAGAGGCCACGATTTCTCGGCACACGTCGTACACTTCTGACCAGGCTTCGATGTCGGCCAGGTACTTGAGTATCCTCCGTACGACGGGCGCATTGCCAGTCTTGAGCAAGCTGATGGGATGTGCTAGTGGTCGCCTTTTCTCTCCGTTCTCAACCACTTGCTGGAAGAGGGTTTTTAAGACTTCGGCCTTTGGACAGCTAAGCAAAATCTCGCACCAGAGGTCAAACTCCGCTTCTGTCGATATTGCGCGGCCGGGCTTCTTGGAATCGAAGCTCGCCTAGATTGGGTTGATCAGAACGATAATTCGTTCTCAAGAGGTCCTTCCTGCACTCACCTCGAAATGCTGACAGAAGGCTTTGTCAATCATTCGCCTTGTCAAGGTCTGGAATAAGACCTTCTTCTCGGGGGGGCACGCTGGCGTCATCTAGAACCTGGAAGTCAGCTATGTCGACCACAACTTCATGGTTAATCCGGCGAGCTGGGTACTTACCGTCAAGAGATGTGTACTCAGGATATTCCGGAACAGCATCTTGCGCTCGTTGGGAAAACTGCGGTCCATGGAGGCGGCTATCTACGCACACAGCGATTTAGCAAGTCCCCTTGACAGCAGACATATCCATAGCACGAAACCAGACACATACCTGCTGAGCGTGCACCCAGTCAAAGTTGGACAGCGTAGCATCAAGACAGCGTTGGCAGGCCACGACGTCCTTTGGCGCAGCTTTGACCAGTCTCATCCGCAGCTCTCCAAGAGTATCAGGATAGCTCATGGGGACCAGTGCACAGGCATACTCATACAGGTCAAGTGTGTCTGCGTCCTTGACCACGACGTTGTCCTTGACCATCTTCTCCACAGCATCACGCCCGGCGTTCTCCTCGAGGCGGTCTGCATTCCACGAGCGGGCGACTATTTCGATGGCCTGGACGAAGCAGTGTTAGCAAGTCAGGCTTCCAGATAGATTAATTTGAGCTTGCGCTTGAACTTAAACACTAGAGCTTGGTCGCGAATGACCTTAGTTGCCATTACAGATGTGGTGGAAAGTGATGCAAGGTTACAAAGTCTCCAGGCCTTTCAAACAGAGCTCGAGTAGATGGTCTCGCCGCATGAACACCTTTCTCGGGACGGTCAAAAATGTCAAGCGCTCTTAAAGTGTACAACCCAGATTGAATTGACACAGACACCAGATTTCTTGTTGCAAGATACGCAGAGAAGGATACATACCAGGTAATACGGATCCTTGGTCGCCCTGTACCTCTGCGCGGCAATAGTGCCCACAGAAGTCCACTGGGCATTGTGCCAGTCGCTCTCGAGCTTGATGTCTACCGTCGGCCGCAGGTTGGGCATGTACGGCGAGGGCCGGATCTCATAGCTCGCCGGCGCCGCTCCGGCAGCGACGGCGGCGGCGGCCATGTCTGCTACCCGATCCGTTGAGGCTTCCGAGGCTGTGCACACAGGCCACGGATCTGTACTCTGGGGGCAGCACTGCTCGAGGCAAAGTCCAAGAACCGGAGGCGCTGTGCACTGTCCGGACTCTGAAGGGTTGATGGGCAAGCCGTTGGGGACTTGTCATGTGTGGTCTCCAGGGCTTGTTCGGCTGGCCATCCCAGACTTTTTGGTGGGGTTTCTGTGTCAGTGGCACTTGGGATGCGGTGCTGGTGGGTTCGCCCGTGAGCGAGCTGTTGCGCTCAAAATAACGAACTCCTTTTCAAAATATTCCAGCCGAAGTTCAAAGAGACGCCAAAACTGCACCCAGAGGTTGCCTGCCTTCACTGTTGCATCATTTGTGCACATGGTCATGGGCTCTTGCCTGTATTATTCGCAGCCTGCCCAGTCTTATGGAGGTCGTTCTTAGTTGTGGTGGGGTCCGAAGCTCCGGAGCGCGTCCCTCCCTTGAAGCAAAACTCCGTCAGCCGCATATCCCGCTTGTGCCGGTGGATCTGCCCAGCGACACTTGGACAAGTCTGACAATATGTCAACAATTGCTCGTGGATCTTCCGCCCCCTGATACTGTACACATCTTCTTACATATAGAGAACCGGAAAATGCTCATACACCGGATCTTACTCGTACAAGAATCTCCCTGAGGTCTGCGAAGTCCCCAGCAGCAATCAGCTCAGCTGACAACAGCACCGTCGACTTCATCCGAAGAACCCCTTCTTCTCTTTCGCCCGTTTATCCAGCTGTTGCCGCAATCGCGCGTTAGCCATCATAATCAAGTCTCTCTGCAAGGATTGATTTCGTGTATTTCAGCTTACCCATTCCTTCTTACACGCACGGTACGCCCTGCACCTCCAATTAGTATTTCCACGCAGATTGGATCGGAAAGGGGGAAGTGAGAGGAAGAAGTCGACTCACTCAAAGTAATCGCTGCACATCTTGCGGTCCCCGCCGTTGCGGTTGAGGCATGCTATGCTCCGCGCCGCGAAGTCCTGGCACGGGTCGAAGTACTCGCTTCTCGATTTACTGTTTCGAAAGGCGCGGGGGGGCTTTAACGTTAGTGATGCTGTATAGTCTGTTTGTTGGGATTTGTGCCTTTTTTTCCATATCGCGTTACACAGCTTTCTCTTTCGCGCGCCCTCTTTCCAGCTACTGCTGTTTTCCGGATGTGCCTCGGGAGGATTCGCCACGCGGTCGTGGATCCTCGGCACGGATCTGAGCTTCGCACAAAAATGCGTACCGGCCCATTCAGAATGACATGTGCAGGAAAAGAGGGTGCACCAACTTTTGGAACTTGCGCTTCTTGTCCTGATCCCACGGGTTCTCGCGACCTGGGCTCCCTTCGTCCCCGGCGGACCCGGTGGTCCGGTTTGGCTCTGAAGACATGGTCTTCCTTCGATTCTGATGCTGCCGCCGCCGCCGCTACCGCTGGCCTGTGGGCACCGCCTTGGCTTCGGGACTTGTGGTGGAAGGAGTCGTGGCCGTCGTTTGTGCTGATTCTCTTTTGTTGTGTCGCGCAGCTCCCCCTCCCTCTTCGTGTGTGCAAGTGGGAGCTCGTCCTCGTGGGCTGTGGAGATTTTATTTCGCTCGATCGGGTGCAACTGGTGCTTGTTTCACTGCTTAGCTTTGTCGAAGCTGCTCTGCTTTTGGAAGGAAGGTCAAGATATGTCGTCAGGTTATCGTCTGTGTTTTCGCAATGCGAACTCGAACTTGGAGATGGGTGTGACGTGCTGCAGGGTCGAGGATTAGACAATCGGGGTATCGCGAAACAAAAGTTGGGGTAGTGACGTGGGCCAGCACCTAAGGATCGATGAGCCCCGTTCGAGTGATAAACTGGTTTACACGCATATACGCCGCGCCTTGAGTTAAGGAGTCTGGCCATGTTCCAAACGCCGGAGACTCAACAGGCAAGATTTGACGGGTATCAATTGCTCAAAGTGTCGTCATTCATCCATGATATCATATGAATTGTATTATTCGTGGCGGTTAAAGAAGACCACACATCAGGCGTCAGCCAGTGGAATCTGTAAGACACGACTAGGGATACAAAGGAAAGGGGTGCTGGTAGAGGGTATCATATCCATGGGCAAGCACCGAAGGATGTCAGAAACAATGAACAAGAAACCAATACAACATGAACCAAGAAGGAACACGTGCCCGCCCATAATGCCGCCCTCAAGGAATTAGGAGAGCAAGTCCGCCTCGACTGAATTCTCCCGCACGCCAAGCTATTCGAACTCAACAAGCATGCACGCGCAAACTAGATCGCCCTAGTCGCTCACTACGCGCTGGTCGAAGCGCCATTGGCGTCTGGCTGCCTGCCGGCATACTCCTTGATCTTGTTCGGGTCAGCCAGCACGTCGAGAACCTTTTCCCTCTTGCTCATGCGCCCCCTGTCACCGGACGCGTCGAGGTCTTCGAGGTCGCTGATGTCGTCAGAACTGAACGAGCTTGCGCTGGGGCTGCGGTTCGCGACCATGCGAACAACGCGGCCTTCCTTCTTCTTAATCTGAAACTGCTCGTCCTTGAGTTTCTTGTCCTCTGGGTCATCGCAGGCGAGTGTCACAATTCCGAGCCCGGGTAAGTTGCGCTCGAGGAAATCGTGAAGATCGGGCAGGACAGACTTGTCTGGTCGGTATGTTCCGCCTGCAGGCAACAAGATGTCAGTGGCGACTCACTCAGAGGGCAGCACAATTGGCTCAGCTCGGGCCGTGCATCAAACTTACTGTCATTATCGATGATTAGTTGGTAGTGTTGCGGCTTGGCTGGAGGATCACTGTGCGGTGGGCCGCCCGGCACATCCTTTGCAGGATGAGTAGGTTGATCTGGCTCGGGGTCTTCAGATGCGTTTGGCTTCTCCAGTCGGCGGATGAAGAATTCTCCCGAACACGCGATATAGACAGCGGCATCACTGTGCATCGTGTGTTTGCTGAGGAGGTCAATACCAAACTCATGGCCGGTCTCGGTGAATCGCATGAGGCCATCGAGCGTTATCACGTAGGTGAAAATACGCCCGCCCTGGTCAAAGTGACACATCCGCAAAAACTGTAGACTGGCCGCTTCTGTGCATGGCTCGAACGTGCCGTACTCTGTCTCCTTCTGGAAACTATACACTCGCCGGTGTTGATGGTGGAGTGCCGCGTTCAAGATCTTGCCACGAAGCCCTTTGTTCTTGAAGAGCATGCCAATAACTGGCCGGAACTCGACGAAGCGATGGTAGAGCTTTGGCGGGACCGGTCCCGCAAGCTGGATCTCGTTGGCTTGGAAATCGTACTTTTCCGTCTTTGGATTGGCCCTGCCATTGCCAGTGCTGTTGGCGGGCTGCGGGTCGTGGCTGCCGTGGTCGTCGCTCTCGTTCCTATTCACCTTGATCCCCGTCATCCGCCCAATCATTGGGCTAAAGTGCTTGAAGTAGTACGTCGGCCCGACAGTATACATCTGTCCATGAGGAGGATCAGACTTGCCAAGAACCACGGCGCTCAGGATAAGATGTGGCGTGATGCTGTGGTCTCGCACGAGGAAGTTTGTGCACGCCCTCAGCAGATATGCGCGCTTACTGCCTGCGCGCTTCTTGACCTCAAAGTCCTGTCCCGGAGGCTGAAGGCCTTCCCACGACTCCGACACGCTGTCCACGTTGAGCGTCACGTTGCCGAGTCTGTCGTCATGGTCGGGCCAGTCCTCATCGTAGAGGCGACACTTGAGTCTAAAGCCCGAGGCAGGGACGTTTGCGACAATCCACTCCTGCTCCCACTCGGGCTCGAGCGACTTGCGGATCGTCTTGGTCCGGAAGACGAGGTCTGGATCCTCCTTGTGACGTTTGGGCAGGTTGGTGGTCAGAGTTGCTGTGAGAAACGGATCGGAAGACCCAGAGCCAAAGTCGGAGACTGGGAGATTCCGAGCGCGATGGAAGATGAACTTGACCGTGTAGCCCTGAGGAGCGTCGGGGATGGGCGTAGAGTCGAAGCCTCCGGGAGGGTTGACCTTGCCCTTGATCTTCTGCTTGCGTTCGTGGTATCGCTCCTTCATCGTGCTTGCGCGTTTTGGCGCCGACTTGTCCCCATCAGCAGCCGAGGGCTCGGGCTGGCCGGCCTCACCATTCTTCTCGTTGGGGGTGTCTGCTGCACTGGTTTCGTCATGGCCGGCCTTTTCCTGCTGTGCCACAGCGTCCGGCCTAGGGCGGCCGGAGCTGTCACCGCGCTCGATGGAGTCGCTGGCGGTGGCCATTTGTCGCGCGAGACGGGACGAGACAGTGGGTAAGACGGGTTGTGGGTGCGGCCTTGGCACGGGTGGTTGTATGGCTGCGGAGTTGACCCCGGTGGTGCTCGCGCTCCAGCAGCAGCCGCCAAAGAACGCGGGGTCGGCTGCTCACTGGCAGTGGTCAGATGACACAATCTGACTTGGTCAAGCCCGTTAGTCAGTCGGCCGGGTGATTTCTCATTCGCCGACTGCGTTGGAGGCGCGCCGGGTGTTGTCGCGGGCGTGTGACAAAGGCCGCAAAGCACGCAAAGAAAAGTGGACTGGGACGAGGCAGTGAGGTGAGGATGCCGCTGCAGATTGCGGGTTGGCTGCAGATGATAGTCTCCGGCTCCAAGAGTCCAGACAGGGTCCGCGATATCACGAGGGAGAGAAAGTCGTGCGAACCCTGCAAACGACGGCGACGAGGCATGCACGGAGTCTTAAGCTTCCTGGGCCGGGCAAAGACGACTCAGGGCTGAGTCTGCAGCCCTGGCGAGCTGTGGCATTCCAACCTGGACGGACGAGGGCTTGCGCGGCACGATGTTGCCGGATGCCCCATCAGAGCGCGACCATAATAATCACTCAGCAGAGGTCGTAACGATGACCCTCTAGGCGCCGCAGCCACTAGCAGGCAAGCTTTTGGCAGGGCCCGCCATCACAAGCTTCGGGGAGCCCATCCTTGGCCCTTCCAGCCCTCTGAATCTTATTTCCCTCCTCAGCTTGAGCGGGCGCCAGCCATGCTTGAAAGCACCTTAAGGCAAGCAAGCTCACGGCCGTGGCTTGAGACTAGATTACGCGGCCTCCCTGCTGTCCAAGCGCAATCTAGGGGCGATCCAGAGGCGATCCAAAGACGATCCAGCGTCGACCCGGATCCTCGGCTCGCGACCGTTGGCAAATGGATGCACGAAAGGGTCTTTTCTGCGCTGCACGAGCAGAGTCAGTCCGCAGAACTGACACGCCCAACTACCGGCCCTATGACGTATGTTGGCGATTATGGTTACTGAGGCCCCCTGTCATGCTGCCGTTGGTGCCGGAGTCAGCGGGGAGCAGTGCCAAGGCACACGTCCAAAGTGAAGCATGCTGTGATGCGACGCAGGCAGGACCCTGACCTCCCGCAGCTCTGTTTCGAGTCAGCATACCGGAAGGAGTTGCACAGAAACCAGCGACCTTGGCGTTGGATGCAACGCACTCGTCTCCTCGGTGATGGTGGTGGTGATGCTCGTTTCTGCACTCAGTGTTGAGCATGTGTTGGATGCCATTGTGTCTGTGCTCTTGCCGCAACATGCACGGGTTACAATTGTATGGTCATGGCCTGGGTGCATGTCCTATTGTAGACTATTGTGTGACGACTCATGTCCTGACTGTACCTCAGCATTTCCTGTTGTTTGTCGGAACCGCATCCCATCTTGTCGTGCACTTGATTGAAGGTGCACATCGCTAGAATGCCGGTGCCAAGCAACAGTGTAGTGGAGCTGCAAGAACTCTGCTGGTCAAGCAAGTGTTCCCAGCTGGTTCTAGAACACCTCGACTTGGCAGCCCCCGCCATCGTTGCCGACGTACGTCCACAAAACAACGCTCGCCACAACTGGGACCTCGAGCAGCACTAACAGAGTCAATATCAGCCGGCCTTATGGGAGAGGCAGACAATCAAGTGTACCCGTCCATACCGCTCACAATTTAGGCACAAGACCGAGCGACGTAGTGCTTGCACCGTACGCCATGTCGGGCACACCAGTCCTTTTCCTCGATGGTGGCCTCGGAACATCCCTCGAAGACAAATATGGCGTCAAGTTTAGCCACGACACGCCGCTATGGTCCTCACACCTTCTCGTCAGTGGCGAGCGTGATGTTCTGTTTGCATGTCAACGGGATTTCGGCCATGTGCCTGTCGATATCCTGCTGACTGCAACATATCAGGTCTCGGTCGAGGCATTTGCACGCACAAAGACACCTCAGCACCCGCAGGGCATTGGCCGTGCCGACATGCCCACCTACTTGGAGGAGGCAGTCGCCATCGCCGAGCAGGCCAAGCAGCCTTCCGCCAGCATAGCGCTTAGCCTGGGACCCTATGGTGCCAGCATGATTCCCAGCCAGGAGTATTCTGGGCAGTACGACGCTGCTCACGATTCCGAGGAGTCGCTGTATCAATGGCACTTGGACCGGCTCCAGGTTTTCACCCAGGTCCACCAATTGGCAAACAGAACGGCGTACGTCGCCTTCGAGACTGTCCCCAGGCTCGACGAGATTCGTGCTATTCGTCGCCTCTTCCGGCCGTCGGGAGAAGCAGCCACCAGGGTAGTCGAGAATCTCCCCCCGCGATACTGGATTTCGTGCGTATATCCCGAGACAGCTGCGTTGCCAGATGGGAGCACAATCGACGCTGTAATACGGGCGCTGTTCGATCCCACTCAGGGAGGCGCGGTGCCGTGGGCCGTGGGCATCAACTGCACCAAATTGGACAAGCTGGACGCCATCATCAGGCTATATGAAGCTGCAATCACGCAACTGGTCGAGGAAGAAGTGCTTCCAGGCTGGCCTGCGCTTGCTCTGTATCCAGACGGTACCAATGGCGAGGTGTACAACACAGAGACTAAGGTCTGGGAGGTCCAGTCTTCGCAGGGAAGCCCTTCGGTAAGTGAGCTCTTCGCGCAATAGCGGTTACGGCAATCGCCAGGGCCGCCAAGCAGCGAGTACTTCAGATTTGGTTTGTTCAGACATCAGTGTTAACATGAGACTGCGACAGCTGCCATGGGCGACGCGATTTGCCTCACTCGTTGAGGAGGTCAGGGCTCGCCGTCAATGGACCAACCTTGTTGTCGGTGGATGTTGCAAGGCGAGCAGCGACGACATCGCAGAGCTCCGCAAGCATCTGGAGGACGATGCCTGATATCCACAGCGATGTCCGGAATAATATGCCACGTTCCCAAATTAGACACGGACAGGCGAGCCCGCAGTCCACCCAGCGCTCCCGAGCCGGCTAGGCCTTTCCACTCCCAGGCGCACGAACGCAGATCCGCTAGGATCTAAAGCCGTGTCGATGGCTGATTATGAAGGGGCGTGGGCATCGAATCGAGCATAGCACGGTACGCCTTCGAACGACCTTCCAGCACGCAAAATACTGCTGTGTCGACAATCACAGAATTCCGTCGTACAACGACATTGGGCATACTTGCTTCGACATGCGTTGAAGTGCTTTCGTTTCCGACGTGGCGACTTGGTCCGTTCTCGAAGGCTTTCGCTACTCAATAGGACCAAAACTCATTGAATACGAGATAGGAAAAATTGATAATCTAAGCCCTTCTCGAGTCTTGCAGGGCGCCTGAGTCACATCCCAGATGAGTTGGCGAGCATTCACACCGCGGAAGACGGCATTGTTGGTGCAACATTCGATGCGATCCACTCTGCGACCACTTGTCAGGGTTCCTGGTCTGATCATTGATACAGCAAAGGCCGTCCGCAAGCGAGGCACTGCCCGGGGCGTTGTGGCCGGCCTCTTTGGCCAGACACATGGGTCTTCGGTTGCATCCCAGTGAGGCATCATAAAAGGAGCATCTATTATCTAGAAGCAATTTCACGGTGAGAAGGAACGACGCAACAACAATCTCTATGATTACTGGATCCTCACGCCCCTAAGCCCCCTATTGAGCGGACCGTGGGAGTCCCGAGCAGTGCCACAGTGGCGGCCAACATCGTGCGCAAGAACATGCAGAGGGCCGGCTCCCCGTGGAGCCTAATCCATCACAGCTGCGAAGCCGGACCAGCCCCTTTGCCCCCCAAAGTTCTCATCCGAGTGCTTGGCAGTTGATGCACATCTGGACGCGGTGCGTGCTGTCGCCTTTGGGTAGACCGCCAAACGACCCGTCCATGCGCGTCCACGCACGCAGCACCCTGTCTTGCTCCATAACTGCAGACATATGACTCCGCAGTTTCCAGCCTTGCTGGCACGCAGATCCGGCGGTCCAGCCGTCGGACAATGACAAGCCAAGTTGGCAGGCATACGGCTGGTTGCGCCTCGGGGGAAGGTGATTGGTGCAGGGAGATTATGCTCACACAAGCGCCAAAGGCAAAGCCTCAGCGAACAAGCAGGGCTGCGTGGGAAGTCCTTGTGCTCCCGTGCCTACCTGCCCTCGTAGTCATGGTCAAGCGCCGCGTGTAAGATTGCCCCTGACTAGCAAATTAGTGCAGGCTTTGTCCAACAGCCGCAAGCAAGCAAGCAAGCAGGCAGGCACACTGGCCATGGGGCCTAAGGTTATTCGAGGGCACAGCACTGATAACCTTATGCTTGAAGTTTCCCCCCGAGCAGACGACAGGGCAGAGGGGCGCGGACCACAGCGCCCGAGCCGGAGAGGGACGTGCGAGGGGGGCGACAGGTTCCATTTGCACTGCCAACGCATCGGCTGGAGAGCGAGATGAGGTGTCTAGACATGGCGCCAGCCCCGTACCGTGCCCAGAAGTGCGTGGGAAGCCCGAAAAAGGACGACTGGCAACCGCTAGTGGGTGCTAGAGCCGGGCTGAGGAGCAGGGCCTGGTGCAGCGGAGGACGGCGTTGCCAATGGGAGCGATGCCCTGGGCGCATGTCTACCCACCCTCATGCATGCGAGATTGCATTGTGGCCATGGTGTGGACCGGGGCTCCGTGGACTTTCCTCAAAGAGGAGGCGCCCAAGCCCAGCTGCATCCTGGCAGGTGGAGCCCACCGGTGCGATTGGCTGCGGCCCCTGAGGACCTGCATTGAGCAGCAGCGCGAGAAGCTTCGCGGAGGTTGCCCACTGCACGTGCGGTGAGATTGACACGAACGGCCGCCGCCCAATCTCGCCCGCCTCGAGCAGGCCCCAGCCGCGCCAAACGAGCGGACGAGCGAGCAAGCAAGCGACGAGAGAGGGCAGCCATGCGCCACGGGGGCCAGTGGGGTCGCGCTGGTGGACATTGTCCCTCCCGCGATCCGCCTCGAACGAGTTGCGCCTGGGCTGGGCTGCGATGCGCATATAAGTCGATCCGGCCTCCCCCAGAGGTCTGCCAATCTTACCCTTTCCTCCTCACCTGATTGTGCTCAGTCCAACCCTTTACACTCTCTCAGTCCAACCCAACTTCAGTCACTCGCTCATCTGCTTGTTGGATAATAATATCTTAATACCGCCAAAATGGTTCAGCTTCTCAAGTACTCCGCCGCTGGCGCCCTCTTCCTCGCCGCTGCCGCCAACGCCGCCCCCAAGTACAACGAGGTCCCCGTCTCGTACGAGGAGGATGAGTGCACCGACGAGCCCGAGTACCCTACCGGCGGCTACCCCACTGCCACCGAGACCTCGAGCACCGCTGCCGTGACCTCGTCCGGCTCGTACTCTGCCACCTACCCGGCCACCTACCCCGTGCCCACCAACACCTACCCCGTCACCGACGTCAGCAGCACCTACGCCGTCTCGACCAGCTACACCACCACCGTGTACACCATCACCAGCTGCGCTCCCGACGTCGCTGACTGCCCCTACGGCTCCGTCACCACCACCGTGGTCCCTTGCACCGAGACCAGCGCCACCTCCGAGTACCCTGCCACCGAGACCTCGTCCGAGTACCCCACCGGCGAGTACCCTACTGGCGAGTACCCCACCGGTGGTGAGTACCCGACCAAGTCCACCGCCTACCCCACTGGCGAGTACCCGACTGGCGAGTACCCCTCGACCGAGACCGAGTACCCTACCGGCGAGTACCCCACTGGCGAGTACCCCACCGGCGGCGAGTACCCGACCAAGTCTACTGCCTACCCTACTGGCGAGTACCCGACCGGCGAGTACCCTACCGGTGACTACCCCGTCCACCCTACCGGCTACCCCGTCACCGAGTACCCCCACGGCAACGCTTCTTACACCGTTCCCGTTGAGTCTCCTTACCCTACCATCCCCACTGCCGGCGTTGCTGCCGTCCGTGTCGGTGCCACTGGTGCCGTCATTGCCGCCGCTGGTCTCTTCTTCGCCCTTTTCTAAGCGGCTTCTGAAGAGAAGTGTGGTGGTGTTTTGGTGATGGAGAAAAGACGCCCATGACGAGCAGGCCGGGGGGAGCCTCCGCCCTCACCGGGTGAGAGCCCCTCTTGTCTGCCACGGCCATGGACATTCTTACGAAAGATCAACACGGTGGAAAAGAAAGCTATGCCCTGGCTCTAAAAGGCGCGACTTTGCACATGCCCATATTTACTATACCTACCTGCCTTTACTTGTAAAAACTTTCATCCCATCGTTGGGGAGCCATGTAGAAGGGGGCAGGGCTGGGCCGTCTTTTGGTGGGGGACTTCTTTCAGGGGGGTTTTCTGGCGGAGGATTGGTCTTGTTTCTGTCTTATTTCTGCATTGTCTCCAGCGAGACCCTAATTAATGTTGAGTTGAATTGTAAACGCAACCCACACTCGTTCACTTCTGCCATGGTCTCTGTGCTCTGTTCTGGATTGTGAAGTGTTCAAAGATTTGATATCGCGGAAGAGCGAGTCAACTCTGGCGGTCAACGCCTCTACAGTTGATTACAAACAGCGGCAACTAAGTTCCAACGGTCACTCACTTACAGCAAACAGTGAGGGCCATGTTTTTGCCTCTCGATCACGCAGAAGGGATGGGATACGCCAGATTGCGCGGCATGGCTGTTTGTTGATGCTGGCGGTTGCGCCTGGGGAATTGCTGAGTGAAAGACCGGCACGGCTCACCCGGCGCTGTACAGCGTGGCCCAGGCAGCCCGCTAATTGGACCCCCAAGCTCAAAGTCTGGGCCAGCAGGCAAGATCCACACGGGTGTGAGACACTCTGGTCACAAACGGAAACAAGATAGGGTGCTAGCAGGTTGGCCGGTAATCATGGCGGCGGCAGGACGAGGCCTTGTTTCAATTGTTCGAAAAAGAAGTGTCTTAGACATTTCCAAAGCTTACTTTGCTATTCTTTGTGTGTGTTCTGTGTGCATCAATGTCTTGCGAGAAAGAGCAATAGAGGAGGGATCCATCTTTAGGGCCTCCCTTTCTTCCCAGGCTTTTTTTTCTTTCTTCCGTGTGTGTAAGCGCGTATCTTGTCTTACTTTCTGAGCTCGTTCTGCCGTTTGCTCATATTAGGCTAGACGCTCGAGCTGAGCCAAGACGTTCCGCGCGAGTTTGTCCTACTTTGCACAGAGCAAGCCAAGGTCATTCACCATTGGTAATGGTCCAGAATCGCCATGTCGTCACCACATACTCGTGATGTGGGACTGGGTGTGGTCGTCGTGGTCGTGTACGATTGCCGATCAGGTACTAGTGCCGTGTGATTCTGGGTCCTTGGTGGGTTCTCTTTCCGATCAACTTGGCAATACGAGATACAACACTGCCTGTCTCCTCTTCTAGACTGCATGCTTACTTGATCGGCAGTGCTGCCAAGGACGCGATGATGAATCGCGCGAGATCGATGGCCATGGCCGAGGCAATGGCGGGTCGGTCGACTGCGCTGCGACGCGAGAGACGATCCGACAATCCAAGGCTGTCCTGCAGCTGGCTGGGCGGGCAAGGGCTGGATCGGAACATGCTTCTGTACCTGCACAAGCGCACAAAACTACCCCATGCAAATGCATGGGTGCTTTTCTGATTTCTGCATGTCGAAGCGCTGATCTTACCCTGAAGCGCACGATTTTTCCTTCTGGGGGACGGGCTCGCTCCGAGTTCCGGCGGGCGGCCGGTGCCAACCGAACCGATTTACCCAAGGTTTTTTTGGCGTGGATTGGAACAAACTGGCTGGCAACAGGAGGCAGACTGGGCCTCTCTCTCTCTGCCCACCCAAGGTTCCTCCCAAGGTTGCTCCACACACACTCGTCAGGCACCGCACCCGCATCAGCCCCGTTCCCCTGGAAAACCGGGGTTTCTTGCGCAAGCCTTCTTTCTTGGCTTCCTTCTGCAGGCGGTTCCCTCCGTCATCCTCCTGCCTGCCTGCCTGCCTGCCTGCTGACTGCCTGACCGGACGGTACAAATGTGTTTCATCTGTGCATTACCTGCACGTCGTCGGCCCTCCTCCTGACGTCCATCCGCCTGAAGCACGCATACATGGGTGTTTCGAAAGATGCAAAGCAACACCCTCTCTCTCTCTCGCGCGCGCAATCATCTGATCATCTCAAGATCTTTTGGTGTCCTTCGCCCGGATGCCAGTCAGCTCTCGTCGTCGTGGGACATGCGGGCCCCACAGACCAGATCCCATTCCCCACAAGCTGACAAGACAACCGTCCCAGGTGCCTGAGTGAGTGATCCGAGGACAGGGGTGGCCCCCCCCCCCCCAATTGTACAGTGTGCTGCCCATGAGGCTGTCACTGTCTGGTGGGCACGTTCTCTGTGGGATGAATCATCCCGGCTGAAGCGGCGTGCAACGTGGGCTTCCTCCTCCGGTAGCCGTGCGCACCTTGTCCCGCCGCCCACTCTTTCGTTCCATCAGTCAGTCCACATGGTCTCTTCCAAAAATGGCATCAACCAGCAATATCGGCCGACGTTTAGGATTGATCGTCGGGATTCCCATCCCTTCTACACACAGGCACGATGCTCAGATTGGATAATAGATGCCATGGTTTTTTCTTCGCCTTGCAGGTCCGTTCGCGTGCGCGAAAGACAAGACATCGTCGCGGAAAAAGCCACCCACCGGCTGTCGAGTCATTCAGAGCCGAGCCATGCAGCCGGAGCCAGCGCTAATTAAGCTGCCAGACAAAAAAAAGGCGCCATCGAGCGCCTCCAGCAGCCACACAGAGCCGGGACAGGTGCATGCCAGGTCAAAGCAAGCGGGACTCTGGCCGCTGGCCATGGCGTCGGCGTCGGCCATGACTTTTGTCCCATCCGTACTTCACCGGCGACGAGATGTGGATGACGTGATCACCTGCTGTGAAAGGCTGGGCGAAAACCACAGCAGCCGGCGAAATGATCTGACCAAAAAAAAAGCCACGATTGTTACAGACCGAGACCAGTCCCAAGGTTTCGTGTCAAATATCAGCCACCCGTGTATCACAGTCAGCCATGCCGCAATTGCAGTGTGGCGCGATGCCGTGTCACATCACCTTAGCTACCTAGGTATGTGTCAGGGCGCGCTCGAGAGAGCCAGCAGAATGCAGCTCAGCAACGGTCGACACATGGCTAGGACGGGACGTGTTTGCACAGGAGAGGCGCGAGACATGATACTCGACAGATCAACCCCTCCCAGAAGCAAAAAGTGCACAAGGCTCGGGAATATGCAGCCATATCACTCGGGCCAGGACAAACATGATGCCTATGCGGAGTGTAATTACTGCTCAGCCCCGAGACGGTGCAGATGTTCGGAAATGAAGGCAGAAGACCTGGCGTCAGCCATGCCGGCCGGCCAAGCCCAGCGCGCCTCTTCCAGCAGGTTGATTGTGGCAGGCCAATCACCACGCGCGGGTACCTGGCAGGATGCGATCGGTACGCGTAGAGAGAGACAGAGAGATGGGGCGGCATCGTCGTCAGCACTAAAGTATGCATCCACCACCAACCATATCGCAACTGCGACCCCTCTGGTTGGAGCTTACGCAGTGAATGCTGAGCTGCCCGTGACGCTTGTACTCAGCACGCTGATGCAACACACGGCGGTGGCGCCAACCACATGCCGGCAAATGCATCTTGACGCGCTGACGGGCTTCGTCTGCAAGGCACCACTACATCCGCCAAGGGTACGCGTAGGTAACGTGACGGCGAGTTAGGGCTGACAATGACAGCGCGTAGTCAATGTGATGGCGCATACACGGCCAACGAGAGCAACGTCTCCTGTTATAGCTCACCGAGAGCCGCTGCGGGGAAGTAGGACTTGCCTGCACACCTTCTGTCCGGAGGACATAGTATTGGCGGCTAGTGGCGTGACATGTCTGGGCCTGTGTTTGCTGGTCTATACGATGATTCTTTCTTAGTATGTTGACGCCACCGTGATCGGACTGTTAGTCGGTTTCCCTGCGGGACCGCCGGTTCCGTGACATACTTGAATAATGCCGCTCTGCTGCACGGGCACACAGTCAAAATATTACAGATGAATCGTGCTTCCGGTGTACATGTCCCACTGCAATGAATCAGCGCCAATTCAAAACCAGGTTGTCGTAATGTAACGTAGACACGACGGTCACGGTATAGAGAACGGACGCTCTAATACCGCCTTGGGGTGAGCACGTTCGACAAGTCTTATACGTACGAAAATGCGTGACAGAAAAGGGGGAAGACCGGAGGATCTCGCAGTGTTCATTACCGTGACAGTGTTATTCCAGGAGAATCATATGTGGGATATAACCCGGTGACAAGACTAGATTGCTGAGTTCGCTTTTATCGTGAGAAGTGCGGAATGTACATTGTCTTTGGCGTGAAGTCTCAGCACGGCGACAACAACCTGGTCGTGAATAGGGATTTATGTTGTCAAACAGAGCCCGAAGACGTTTATTTCAATTTTTTTAAATAAATATCCACTCTCACAAGGTTAATAACAATTTCGGCCGGCGGTATTATACGTTGTTCTTTGGCGTAACTGACTTCGAAATTGTGCTTTTTATATGATTGAAAAGCTGCTACGGGTGAGACTCAATCTTGAAGTAGCAATTAGGGCAGCAGGCCACAGGAAAATGCAGACATGAGCTGAGCGAATCGCAGCGGCGACAAAATGACAAGATCTTTGTAAAAACTTCCGTGGTGGTCTTTGTGCGTTTCGCTTCTCTGAGAAATGTGAGTTGGTCCGGGCAGTCAACAAGATGCAAATGAATGCGCCCGATTGGCATTTCGTCGCGCGGCTGCTCAGATCTGACCACCTGGCGAACTCGAGGAGTGTGTGCTCAGACGTGTTCCCATTGAGTATATTTTCATACTGCGCCGAAAATCCGTATCTTGGGTGCTTCGCGGCCTTAGTTCATTGTCGGCGAAGGAGTCCATATGCCATGCTATGATGCACAGACCAGACCTTGGATGTTGAAAACATCCAGACCATTCAGCAAACTCATACATTATTTCGTTGTACTGGCGGACCGCGGGGAGTGCTGGCTCTCTCATTCCAAAATAACAGCATGATAGAAGGTGTAGTAGCCGAAAGCGCCACCAACTTTTCAAGCAACAACCCGACGATGCTCAACTCTGGCAGATGCTGTGCAATTTTTAAAAGGCTGCGGCCAAATCGAGGTAAACTGACCACCCTTGACCTGCCAAGACGACGAATGACCATGACCTTTGAAGTCAGACCTCGGCTGTCTACTGTTGCGGCAACGATAATGAAGGGCAGCGCCGGTTTTCAAGCCCGATATTAGACAATCACGCACTTGCTGCTACTTATTTCACAAAAGACATGTATAGTGAATTAGAGGCATATGCTTGGAGCACAATTGTTCAACACCGCAATGGTGCATGTTCCATGCCCGGAGGCGATGATATTGTCCTGCTCATCATTGATCAAGACAATCCAGAGTGTCCGAGAAAGCGCCTGCTCGAGGAGCAAGTCTCCAGAGCAGAGTGCCAGGATTCGAGCGAATCAAATGGAAATTTAAAACCATGCCACCAGCCTTGCGATCGAGGGAAGATGGGAGCCAAAGCTCCTAGCTCCTCCATCCACCGAGGTTGCAAGTGGCTATGACTGTCCTTGTCTGTGTGAGGATTGCAGGCACATAAGCTTTTACTAGGACACAAAACCTCTTCATTGTGGAACCGCTGCTTTCGGACGTGCTGTCTGTTCAACAAGTTGTCACTGGAATGATGATTGGACAGCCAGTCATTGCCCATGCGGCTCTCCCGTACAGGTTACCGGAGCCCTACCTACTGGTCTCTGGCTAGAGGGCTCTGCTCGCAGGGCTTCTTTGGTGTGATTGTGCACTTAAGGGCAATATTACCAGGCACTTGACATAATCTATTGTACAGCTGAGCAGGATATATGCACAGCCCTTGAGTAGACCATGGACTGCTCGGAAGGTTCGGTGTTGTCCGCTATGACAAGTTTTACTGCACAAGCATCCTAGGATATCTCTGGGCAATTTACGAGTGCCTCATCCGCTCGGGGCTACAACTCCTCAGCCGGTTCTTGACGCACAGCCCTGCGTCCTGTCCACGTGAGCACCGCTACGTATGTCCTAATGGGCGGACCCGAATGGAGTAGTTCGCCTTCACCAACAGGAGCAGCTGCCCGCACCGACGGCTGACCATGCAGTCTCGCTTTCCATTGCAGGAGCGAGGAGGCGCAGTATACATCGGGGATATATCTCGGAACCACGGAATCAAGATGTATCGCCCAGATACGGTGGCTTTCGTGGATAGATCACACCACACACACACACACCCACGGCCTCGCGCCAGATGTTTCCGGACAAGCCGCCACGATCTGCAAGCATCATTGGCCTCACTAAGCGAAGAGGGGGAGCCCATCTCGAAGCATGCCCCGGAAGATTCGGCGCCGCAACACAGATGCCAAGACCTATCTGCTTGGAGCGGGCATCTCTGCGTTGCAAAAGTGGTATAGCACCTGAACAGCTGGCTCGTACCGAAAGGCGTTGCGCGACTTGCACACAGACTATCCAGGGCTGAGGCATCCAGTGTCGAGCTCCAGATTGGTGGAGGCTGATCCGAGCGGGAGGTTGTCGATGGCCATGCATGGCTAAAGAATGAGTTCCGAGACCGTGCAGCAGCAGCTGATGGCGGGCGAGAATGATCTCCAGCTCTTGACATCGTCAACACGCACGTCGCCGTGGTGTGGCTGTCGGTAATGACCTTTTTGGGGAGCCGCCTTGTTCTCCAAGCGGCTGAGCCGTGCAGCAGCACACCCACGTGGCGCTTCCCTTTTTTCTGGGGAAGAAAGAAGCTTGAGAAGCTTAATTTTTTAAGTTTCTTTCAGCCTCCTCCAGCATTGTCTTCGTGCGTGCCAGACTTACACGGAACTCCGGGGGTTCTTTCGCTATCCTAAATTGTCGGCCTGATGTCCTGGAACAATGTGGTTTACTGCTGCAGAGAAAGGAAGTTATATAAATATCGAGTCAGTCGACCGCTGCATCGTGGGTAGTCCTGGAATATGACCTGTTTTCTTTTTGAGTTACTTGCACAAGTGACAACTTCCTCAATACTAAGCAAACCTTTTCGATAATGGTCATGCGTTCCACATATGCCAACACGGCCCTGTGGGCCTTGTCGGCCTTGAGCGTGGTGACACAAGTCTTCGCCCAGGCGCCGGTGCCAAACCGCCAAGTCGACCCGGCCGTCTTTCCTGGCATCACACCCAGCGAGAAACTCGAGTGGCATGACTGCTATGATGTCTTCAAGTGCGCTCGTTTGTCGGTAGGTCGGTCCGAGAACTACTAAGCTTGCTCAGTCCTCTCAAATTTGTCCGCGATGCCATCGACAGGGCTAACCGATGCTGGCGACAATGATTGTGGCAGGTCCCGGCCAAGGTGTCAGGCAAGCGTTGCAAAGACCGCGTCGAGATTGCCATCATCCGGCTCCCTTATCGTCGGACTAATGAGAGCATGCCAGCCCAGCAACAGGGGACCGTGCATATCCAGCTCGGCGGCTGGTCCGCATCGAGCACAGTAAGTCAAAATCCTGTTTACCTGCACGCAGATACAACACAAGCAGAGACACTCGCCTGACGGCTCCCTGCCCATGCGTAGAACTTCCTCGTGCGCTTCGGCGAGTCCTACACGACTCTCTTGGCGGGATACGAGCTACTGGCCATCGACTACCGTGGCTATGGCTGGTCCACGCCATCCATTAACTGCTTCGCCTCGGAGGCTGAGCGCCAGGCTTTTGCTCTTCCGGAACCTCCCCTGCTGAGCTCGTCCCTCGGGATCACGGAGGTCTGGGAGGCTCGCGCCCGCAACTTCTCTCGGTCTTGCCGCAAGCACGCCGCCCGCGCGATCAGTTATGGAGGCAGCTACGCTGCGGCCGTGGACCACGTGACAGTCATGAAGGCCATGAGTCAGGAAAAGCTGAGCTTCTGGGCCGTGACCTCGGGCTCCGTGGTCGCCTCGACCGTGGCGTTCCTGTACCCGCAATACATCGACAAGCTTCTGCTCGACGCCCCCGAGGCCGTGGCGCCGGACTACACGACGACCACTGCGCAGGCGAAGAATGTCGAGGATTCGAACACGGCGCTCTCGGCGTTTCTGTACACGTGCCTGCACGCGGACCCGCATGGGCCGAGCCCTTGCAACTTCACTGGCAGCTCGACCACGCTGGCCGACATCCGGGCGCGCTTCAACAAGATTGAGGCGGACCTGCTGGCAAAGGGGGACGCCGGGCTCAGCGTGCCCAACTTCCCGCCCGAGGTGCGGTTCACCTGGTCCAGGTTCAAGTACGTCACGGCGGTGTCGCTGTTTGTGCCCGCGCTGTTCCCCGTGCTCGCGGGCGTGCTGGCTGAGCTCGAGTCGGGCCAGCTCGTCGGCTTCGTGCCCTTTGCCACCGCCAACCTGACCTACGAGCCCCGCCCCCTTTGCCCATGCTGACCGAGGACCCGCCGTTTGACGGGCTGCTGGCGGGTGCGTGCATCGACGCGGCGCGGCCCCTGCGCTCGAGAGCTGCGTTTGACGTGTACTACGCGGACCTGGAGGTGCGGGCGCCGGTGGTGGCACCGTTCTTTGGAAGCAACGTGCTGTTTTGTAAGGAGTGGCGCGTGCGGGCAGCGAACCGGTACCGGGGCCCGCTGGTGGCGTCCGGGCCGGAGCTGGCCAAGCACGGGGCCAAGGTGGTGGTGCTGAACAACCTAGCCGACCCGGAGAGCAGCCGCCGGAACGCGGAGGAGGTGCGGGACTCGTTTGGCGGGGGCGGCGCGGCGGTGTATGTGGAGAGCGTGGCGGTCGGGCACACGAGCTTTGTGTCGGCGAGCGACTGTCAGTTCAAGGTCATTGCTAAGCTATTCGCGGCTGGGGTCGTGCCGCCAGACGGGACGCGGTGTGAGGGCATCTACGCGCCGCCGTTTGGGGTGCAGCTGCCGAGTGATTTCTCTGCGTGATTTCCTTGGTTGTCTTTGGCAGGACTTGGGCTGGCGGGGCCTGGGACGACGCCACAGAAAGCTGGCGCTATTCACTGTACCCTTGTTGTACGATAGTCTCCTAGTCTGCGGATATTCATGCAGTTTGTCAAGTCTACTGCTCGATGCCCTCTTTGCAGGGGTCTCTAGGCTTTCCGACCAACACAATTGCCCACTGCCATCGCTCATCCCGTGTGCAGGGTCACCAAGTGGAGTGAGCTAGTCTGCCAAACTGTGCAAGCGCCACCGACCAGGGGTACCTTGCCCTGCGAAGGGTCTTGACTCCTCCGATTCTCCACCAAAAGGAGTTATATAAGGACCCCATTCTCCTCATGCCTACTGCTTGCATCAACCACATGTGATCACAACGACAAGCTAACACGAACAGTCTTTTGCAACATCGCTAAATCTACGGCTATGACTACCCAGCAAAGAGCACCGCGGCCTCGTCCACGGGAGGATCCACAGGCATACCACCCCCCATACCGCTCATGGGAACAACTGAAGCAAGACAATGTCTGGGTCCGTTACAATTCCGGCTATACTGATCGCCTCATTTGGTACCTCAATGGCGCCTTCCCGGCATGTGTCTCTGTCTCCAGCGCTCCCTACAGAGAAGACAATCTCGCACCGCTCTTCACGCCAGCCAGCGAGGATCATCAGTCGGACAGTGGTGGTGGTGGTACATGGCACGAAATCGCCAAGCTGCCCATGACAAAGCCTCCCGTCTCTTCAATCAATGTCTCTTGCCTGGACCTCGAGGAGCTGGAACGTTCCTGGGTCCGGACTCACAAAGAGCTCTGCGATGAAGACGAGGGCGAGTATGCCTCGTCCCAAGACTTTAGTAGCAACAACAATGATGACGACGACGAGCGACGACGACCGATTGCGACCGCCAGCGAGAGGAACGGTCGTCGGGAAGCCGACCAAGGCACGAGGTATCTCATGCGCTGCTGTGGGCAGGATCGGCCATTTGGAAAGACTGGCCAGAAGGTGACAGTCGCGTCCTCTTCGGCAAATGAGTTTGTTACGATAGGGGATTACGTTACCAGTGAGTTTCTTAAGAGCGAGTTCCTCCCCAACGTCTGTCTGATGAGTAATATACTAAATCCAGGGGTACTCTTCTAGCTGTTCATGCCTGGCTGACTGAACATTATGACGATATCATGCACGCAAAGAGAGTGGAACCGTACATGGGAGAAACGAACCCAGAATCTGTCGAGTGGATGGTTACGCTCGGCCCACGGCATGAAATCGTACGGAAACGAGACTGGATTGAGGGAGATCGGATAGTTCCTCCAAGACTGATGTAAATATAGTAGTGCAACTTTTACGTGCGCAGTAGTTCATGGAAAGCAACATCAAATATTTGAGCGTACGCCCGCCGCCTGACCAAGACCCTCACTCCTTTGACGCACACACTGAGCAGAACTTGCAGTATTTCTCGTGAAAGTTGTCCACCCTCATTCAGTCTGACCTGCACTACCTCTTTTTTCCGTCCCTTTCACCCCTTCTTCTTCGACCAAGCGAAGTTTGCTCCCACTCAATGACCCGCCGTAGCAGAAGCGCAGTACGAGCTTCCATACGAGATAACCGGACGAGCCGCATCGGTGCCACAGGCGCCATTGGAGCAGTCTCTGATACCATTACCAAAATCCTGGTTCTTGCACAGACACGCAGCATTAGGTTGGGAGCAGCCGAGCGCCGAGTACTGCGCGACCATATTGTCAAAACAGGTCTGGCCGCAGGAAGCCAGAGCTGCAAAACCCGTCGCGGTAGTTGTATGCGTGGCAAAAGCGGTAGAGCAGTACGCGCTGCCCACAGAGATGACGGTACTTCCTACAGAAGTGCCGCAGGCGCCGTTGGAGCAGTCTCGAAGACCGTTGCTGAAGTCCGGGTGATTACACAGGCAGTATGCGTCACCGGCGGCACATCCTAGTGCTGAGTACTGTCCCAGCATATTATTGAAGCAGGTCTTGCCGCATGAAGGCAGAGAGTCATAGCCCGAAATAGACGTGGTAGGGGGCTTCGTGGTCGTGGTAGTTCCCCTAACAGCTGTGGTGGTAGACAAAGGAGTCGATGTGGTTGACGATCCTAAGTCCATAGCGGACGTTGTGTCTGTGAAAGGTCTCATGGAGAACATAGTCTCTGGCATCGGCACGAGTTCCGGGATGCTGCAATTACCCAGCTGACACTCGCCATATGAGCAAAAGTCTGGCCCTGTTCCACAGCGCCCGACACTATTGCAGCAGTCGCCCCATCGGCCAGCACATCGCTTATAACCGTGGTTGCGGCCGCAATCGCCGTTCGTGGTGAAGATGGTCTCTCCTGCACAAGCACCTTCGTAGCACGTACCATCGGCACAATCTTCACTGTCAAGCAAGGGGGGCCGTGCGCGGATAACCTGTCAGTAATGCATTACAGAGCGAGAGCGAGGTAACTAGAGCCGGTAGTCAACAACATACAGGGAATTTCCGCAGGTAAATGTGTCTGCATTGCAGCACTGAAATTGGGTTCCCAGACAGGTGGCGTTGCCATTTTTTGGGCCACATTTTCTGTCCCAGGCTCTTAGTGGCTCAATGACTAGTGATCAGGAAATGTGTGATTAGTCTCTGGACGAGCAAGTGGAAGTCCTTTCAGGCATGTGAAGAATTTGTGAGGAATTTTTGGAAGCTGTTTCTTACATCCTCGAACACAATAGTCCGTGTTGCGACGCAGATTACTGCAATCCGTTTTAACAATGGGATTCAACTGAAAGAATACATCAACCGAGATACCGTAACGATCAGCCAGAGCGGTACAGGTATAGTAGTTGAGCACTTTATCCGCCGTGTTCGTTGTGTATCGGCACACAACCTGGCCCTGGTTGGCACTCTCGCCATTGATCAGAGGACTGATAACGACAAGCGAGGAGGTAGAGGTCGCAGGCGCTGATTCGATAGCACTCGAGGTCTTGAGGGTGGCAGATGAACTTGCAGTTGAGACAGACAGTTGCCTCTTCTGGTAGTCGCCGGCAGTGAAGTACGCGGGCTCGCATGTTCCATCGGCCTGGACAGCCGAGGTCAGGCACAAAACCACGCCCAACCAGATGAGGCGACGTGGCCAAGTCGGTACCAGTGTCATCACTTTTGACATGATATGAATACCTCAATTTCGAAAAAGGTTTCAGCTGTCGAAAAAGAAGAAAGCTGTCGAAGAAGAAGAAGAGAAAGAAGAAGAAGATGATGATGTGATGTTAGGGCAAAAGTCGATTGACAAAGACCATCGGAAAGACCAGAGCAAATACCGAACCAAGCAAGATATCGGGGCTTGAAGGCTGAACCGCAACCCTCAACATCGGGGAGTTATGCGTGGATGCCGTAAAGGGTAGTCCACGATTGTCATATGGCAATCCGGAGCTCACCGTGTCTCGCTCCGCACCCCTGACTGATTGCAGACTTTTCATCCCATCTCGATAGCCTTGGACTAAATTTAACTGGATGATTGGGCGGAAGCGGGCAATATCAGGTGATTTTTCTGTTGAGCCGAGATGGCGAGGCTAAGGCTTGCAAGGAAACAAGCGCTGTTCCACCATTGCACTTCGCGCGCCATTCCCTGTTAGACCCCGTCCGCCGGGTGCCATGGCGCCATTTGTTCACGATGAATTTTTTTTGGACTTCCTCGGTTGCAACCTCATCGCGATGCTGCGTCAGGGGTTCGGACCGGACATTGGCCGGCAACGTGCCTGTCTGCAGTGTGCTAAGAGCGGAGCAGCGGTCAAAGGATCAGAGTCCAACCGCGGAGGACTACAAAAGTTCTCTCTTGACTCGCACCCGGCAGGCAGGACGACGACCTCATGGACCCCTCGGACCCTTTGGCAAGGATCCGATGGATGATGCCGAAAACAGGGGACCTCGCACGGAAGGAGGCTTGCATAAGTGGGTGGGAATAGCGCCAACAACCAACAACCAACAACCAACAACCAACAGTGGAGCCATGTCGAAAACAGGGGTCCAGAGGGCTTTGACACTTCTCGCGAATGGAACAAGTTCTGATAATGGGAAAGCACTTTACCGTGCGCTCGTGTGGAACCGGTCATCGTGAGTTCTTGTGGCGGGTCTAACGAGCGGACTTGCTTCGTATCGAGCCCAAGAGCACCGTACGAGGTGCATGAGGGGGAAAGAAAAAGGAAAAGAGAGAAATTGGATTGAACGTAGCCGTGTGACCATATGATGCCCTACAAGAGTCCTTCAGTGACCCGTTTGCACATCCTCACACTCTCTTGTTCGATCCGCATCCTGCTAAGCAACGCCCGTAGCTGTGTCTAACGGTCGACCAAAAACATGGTGAAGTTGGGAGCATGGCTGCCATTTGCGGCGTTGAGCGGTCTATTATACACGCCTACCGTCCTGGGACAGTACAGTCAAGACTATGACGTTGATACTACCACTGGCGATCTTCTCTAGTGAGTCTCCTCGCCCTTTCCCCCTGCGGGCAATCTCTTCCTTTCGGATAGTTGGGAGGGCAAGACTTGGGCCGGAACGCCTGAGGGATGGGTCAACCAGTTCTGCTGATTACAACCCACGTTCCGCATAGGACAGTACTGACAATCTCGCAAATACAGCACGCCAAACTCAGGCGACTTGCCGATTCTCGTGATCAGGACTGAGGATGTCACAGTGCATTTGGAATACAACTGCTACTACATGAGAGAAATTTGCGCCAATGCGGATAATTTCTACACGCTGTCGCGAGGCCAGACATTACACCCTGTGAACGGTCTCAGCAACACAGAGTTCGGGTACGATATGAATGTAGCTCGCAAGGAAGACCGGCGCGATCAATCGTGTCCGGACTCGTGGAAGAGGCACCATTCTTGTCCTGAGCGAGGACAGCCAGTCCAACAAAAACCCATGAGACATGATGGCATGTGGTGGACAATAGATACGGACCCAAATGTCAATGGCCGACCAAATCTGCACATAAGGGACATGCATATCAGCACTATATCTGGGCCAATCATCCATCTATCCAACATGTCGTATACATGCGACGAGTTTCCTCCAGCGACTTGGTCAGTCATAACTCTCGCTTCGCCTGAATCATAGCATCCACCAAACCCCCAAGACTTCTTTCGCTCGGGGTAATGTAGCTGACTCGAACGACTGACAGGGTTGAAGGTGGAAGCGGGAGTTCTCTGAATAGCGCGGCCGAGACACGATGTGCTGCAATGGGTTGCGGTAGAGCCAGGGCAGAACAAAATTGTGAGCAGAAAAAACATGATTGTTGCACCAAGCAGCACAATACTATAATTGCACAGATGACAGCTGACATATCTGGATGACCATGCAGGGCAAGCTTCTGCACACTCGCAGCTCCGTGGCAAGCTGCATAAACATGCCAAAGATCTTTCCGGATATGACGGGGGGGAGTCCATCGTCTTGTTTCAGTTCAGATACTCAAACAACGGGCCCGACGGAGCCGCTGCCCGCATCATTGAAGAGTTTGAAGACGGCCATCTGGTCGAGACGTTCACCGAAGTGTGGCGTCGCCAAACCCACGGCACCTTGCTACCTCATTTGCGCCATACTCGTCCACCGTTCTCACGTGAAGAGCGCAGGGCCCTCATCGAGGCCGGTGAGGCTCTTGAGACTATCATACACGCCGATATGTCACGTGTAAGTGTTTGGGTCCTTGCATCCATCAGTTTATATGACTAGCTCCCAAGCTAATTAGATGTTCTGAATAGATGGACGTTTCAGCAGCACCCAAGGCGCGGGATTTGCTGCCTTACGACACGGTGGCGCCTTATTCCTGGGCCGCATTTGGCCTCAACAGCACGACCCAGAACGCCACTTACATGCTTCCGAGAACCTTGCCCTTCGTTTCCATACCTCGAGCACGGAGCATAGCTGACGGTTATGCAACCCCGTTGCTCAAGAGAGCCACAGCTCACGACCTGCAGGCCGCACGCGAGACGGTCAAGAAGGCACAGGCCGCAGCCAATAAGCTGAACAAGGCGCGTGTTGCAAATCCGCTGCGCAACAAGTACAGCCTGAAGCCTGGCACTGTGGTCGGCGGAAGCAGCAACACTACAGTGAAATCGAAGAGGCTGACTGCCCGTGATTCCACGGCAGAGACTGCCCCACCACTTTTGGAAATTACGGATGAGATTGCGGCTGCAGCAGCTCTCGTGGCTGAGGCAGAGGCATCGGTCGGCTCTTTCAACAGTACTTCGAAGCGAAGGATAGCAGCCCGGTCCGGAACCTTCTGGATGGAACAGTAAGTGTTTCTTAGTCTTTCTTGGCGCTGATGTAATTACTGCCATGTTGATCTATGTCTTACTAACTGCGGGAACGCTCAAGTCTTGCTCGCAAAGGTACTGTGCCATGGGGAGACGACCCGAACCATGTGAGTTGTCGATGGATGATTGTTCGAAAGGATAAAGTGGACTGGTACTAACTAAGAGGGCAGGTCGTGTTCCGAAACGTACTCGACTATGGCGCGATTGGTGATGGTGTCACGGTAAGTCACTGCGGATGGCATTGCGGATCGTGATTTCACATCCTCTTTCGTATCTGCTCGCTAATATCTTGTTTCTTCCGATAACTAGGACGACACAAAAGCCATCAATAAGGCCATGGGGACAAATAGCACTGCCTGTGGCAAGGGCTGTAATGGTTCAACTACGAAGAACGCTATTGTTTACTTTCCACCGGGAACGTACCTGGTTTCTTCAACGATTGCTATGCCCTACGGAACGCAGGTCATTGGTGACGCTAACGACCGCCCAATCATTATGGCTGCATCCAGCTTCGTCGGCCTAGGTGTACTATCCAATGACGAGTACACCGGTTCGGAAGGCAAGGGAACGGACGGTGGAGATCCTGAGTAAATTGGTTCTTCGCCTGAGATCTGTTATTCCAGATGCTAACCTAAATCTCCGCCCCAGATACTACGTCAATACGGCCAATTTCTATCGCCAGATACGGAATATCGTCATCGATATCCGAAAGATTGCTTCAGGCCAGACTGTGACGTGTCTCCACTACCAAGTTGCACAGGCGACAAGTACGCAGAACCTTGAGCTCATTGCAGCTGCTGGTTCTGAGCAGATCGGCATGTTCGCAGAGAATGGCAGCGGCGGTGGAATCTCTGATATCACGTTCACAGGTGGTGGCATTGGTATCAAAGGCGGCGAGCAGCAGTTTACAGCACAGCGCCTTACATTTAATGGCTGTACAGTGGGTGTCCAGGTCATCTGGGATTGGGGCTGGGTCTGGAGATCCATTACTATGAACAATGTGGGCACAGGCTTCAAACTGGTTGGCGACGGCGGTGTAGGCAACAGCAAGTCATCACTTCGCTCTTTCTCTCGAGGTGCTTCCTTCGTTTCAAGGCAACGTTTTACTGACCGCGCTGCCTGCACAGTCGGATCGGCTTCAATTATGGACTCCTCCTTCACCAATGTTCAAACCATGGTTACTCTCAATCCCATCACAGCAACCCCAGGACAGGGAAGCACTGGCCTTGTTCTAGAGAACCTTGCCCTCTCTGGAGTGGGTGCCGCTGTTGTCGACACAACTGGTGCCACACTCCTGCCTGCGTCCTCAACCATCGACCAATGGGTTATTGGCCCCGTCTACGAGGGTTCCGCAAGCGCGCGCAGTTTCTCCAATGGCGGCAAGGTCGGAGAGTTTCGCAGACACCAGTCCCTCCTGGACTCTCAGGGCAACTACTATGAACGTCCCAGACCCCAATACGAGGATCAGGACGTCTCCATGTTTGTGCATACTAAGGACCTCGGATGTATGGGTGACGGCTCTACAGATGATACTACTGCCTTCCAGACTGCGGTTTTCTCAAGTGTTGGCAAGATCCTCTTTATCGATGCCGGCTCGTACATACTGACTTCAACAATCACTATTCCTCCAGGCGTCAAGATTATCGGAGAAACATGGTCGCAGCTAGTGGCTTCTGGCGCCTATTTTTCCGATGCTAGGTGAGCAACCTTTTTTCGTCTCATTTTTCTTCTAGTTCGTTATCTCTGCAAGCTAGGCATAGCATTATAGCTAACCAGGGTTTATCTTCTCGCTAGTAATCCAAAGGTCCTGATTCGGGTCGGCAGACCAGGAGATATTGGCACCGTAGAGATACAAGATCTTATCTTCACAACTCGTGGAGCCACAGCGGGTGCTATTTTGATCGAATGGAATCTAGAGGCAGAGAGTCCTGGAGCAGCAGGCTTATGGGATTGTCACGTACGCATCGGAGGTGCTACCGGAACCGAGTTAACACCCGCCGAGTGTCCCCCAGTTACGAGCGGTGTTAACCCCCAGTGCTCAGCAGCAAGTCTGATGATGCATCTTACACCCTCTGCATCTGGCTACTTTGAGAACATGTGGCTTTGGGGAGCGGATCATATGATTGAGTAAGTTCTCCGTCGTTTCATATTTGCGTACAAAGAGGCATAGAGATGTGGTTTCTATTACCAGGCAACTAATTATAAATAACATACAGTGACCCTGATCTAAAGAGCGAGAGTAATCCGATGGTGCAGACCTCAATTTATATCGCGCGTGGTTTCCTGATAGAAAGTGTAAAGCCTACTTGGTAAGTTTTCTTTTGTTTCCACTCAAGTGATTAATGTGAGACTCTCCGCCGAGAACTAACTTTGATTATGATGATAGGCTGTATGGCACAGCTTCCGAGCATGCTGTGTTTTATCAATACAACTTCTATGGCGCAGCGAACATATATGCCGGCATGCTCCAGACAGAGTCTCCCTACTACCAGCCAAACCCAACCCCCCCGGCTCCTTTCACCAACGTCGTTGGCCAGTTTCCTAGTGATCCGAATTACTCCTGTACTGCTGGCGACGAGTTCAGTGGCTGTGATCAGTCCTGGTCAGTCATTATAACCGGGTCAAAGAACATCTTCGTCGCAAGCGCTGGTATCTACTCGGTTAGTACAAATCGCATCGCCTGTGATCGACGTTGGACAAAGAAGACCTCCATAACTAACTGACTGGGCTCCTTGACATATATACAGTGGTTTACAACGTATACACAGAGCTGCATTGACAGCCATAGTGGCCAAAAAGTTCTGATGCTCTTGAAGGACAACTTTTCCAACATTCGAATTCAGAATCTAATTACAATTGGCGCCAAATACATGGCAGTCATGGAAGGGAAAGGTATCCCGGCTATCGACAATCTCAACGTCGAGGGCCACCCCAGATGGTCGCAGATCAGTGTGCTCGATGTTGGCCGTGATGGTCAAACCCAATTCGACGAAAAGGTCTGGATCGACCGCAAGATTTGGGATATGGACCAGCCTGCGTTCACATGCTCAGCCCCTTGCTACGTCCAGATCCCACCGTACAAGGGAGCAACCAATGTCGTCGACTATCCCCTGGTGACCGTTAGCCAGGGGGCATGGACAAGCACAATCACCAAGCCACCATTGACCATTACAGAGTGGGTTTTTGAGCCCATGAGTATCACCATGGATGGTGCTCCTGGAGTACACAAGCGTGCGCAAACAACACAGGTTACTCCAGTCCTAGCCACGACTCCGATCTGGCCTGGCTTCGTCTACTACGGAGGCGAGGATGGCCTACTGACAACGACCGCGGCCACCGTCCCATTTCCCACACCCTCCACTGCCACGATCAATGGTCGCGGGGGAGGAGATTCTAATGGTGTAGACTTGGTCGCGTTGGCAGGAATCATCCAGGTCATTTATGGGTCACTGAACTCTCCAACGACGAATCTGTGCAACTACACCGACTGGGACGATCCAAGCTGCCCTCCAAAGCCGTACACCAACACCGCAGGCTCGGATGGCTACGGTTGGGCTTGGGGTGGAAGCCTGACGACAGTGAACGAAGATGCCGAAATAGAGCCGCTATGCCTGTTGGACATAGACCCCGAGCTGCCGGGTCGTGATATTACCGCAACGGCTCCCGCGCCGCCCACGCCGACACCAACGAATATCCTGGGCGATCCGCATGACAATGCCGTCAGGTGTTTCAATAGTGGTGAACAGACGGAGCAGGAACGTATGTTCTACGCCGCAGACGCTTTCTGTGGTTCTCTCGAGGACGACGACATGGGTCCTGGGTATTACAAGCTCAGCACGTCCAAGTTCAACTTCAACGGAGGTGTTGGGTGGGTGTCGATTGATGTGTCGCTGGAAGTCAAGGATGGTTGTCGCTTCGACTACGATAGAAAGCTGTGCAACATGTATTTGGCCAAGACTGCCTTGTCGTGCAACTGCGACCACACTTACGGCAAGCAGGGAGGCGTCCTGGAGAATCACTGCTACACCTGGATGGTGGATCCACAATGGAATCTCTAGGCTAGGACAAGGTCCCGTAGACAACATGAAGGGGTATTCGCACTTCATGTATTGTTCTAAAGATTGGGTAGAGTACAAACAAAGAAAGTTCGTCATAATTCCAGTATATTGCCGTCCCCTCGGTATCTCCATTCGCCACTAAGGGCATCTACGCGTCGGCGTTTGGGGTGTAGCTGCCGAGTGATTTCTCCAGGTAATTGTCCTGATAGCTTTTGGCAGGCTGCATTGGCACGGGCTCGTGAGGTCAAGGCCTGGGACGATGCCACAGAACGCTGGCGCTATTCAGTGTACGATAGTCTCCTAGTCTGCGGATATTCACACAGTTTGTCAAGTCCACATGCTTGATGCCCCCTTTTTCAGGAAAGGGGCTTCTAGGCTTTCCGACCAACACAATTGCTTTCTCCCATCGCCCATCCCATGTGCAGAAGGACTCACTGGAGACACGGCATGTGATTGGTCGTGTCGTAGAGCAAGGCTGCGAGCACCGCCTCATTGGGCACAATGGGTCTGCCAGCTATCTAAAGCTGGTTGCGGCTGGGCTTGTCTTTGACGGAGCGCGAATCGCTAAGCTCTGGGCACACCTGCTTGCAAGCACGGCAAGATATGCCAGCCAACGTCTGGTAAGATCTATGATGCCTCACCGGAGCCTGAGAACATCATGTCCCTTCTTGCCCGACGATTGAACCATGTCTTGACCTCTACGCCAACGTCGGAGAGGGGCTGCACTGCAGCCTCAGATACACAGCAGGACTACATCGGCGGGGGACAGGAGAGGGGGCGTTGTGCATGCATGGGACTGTATGCAGTCAGCTGGCCCTTCTGCCTGACAAGGCTGGATATCCTGGCGTGCCATCACTACCACGAACAATGGCCTCCGTCTTCTCCCTCTTTCCCTCAATTTGGGCAGCGACAACACGAAGTCTCTAGCATTTCGTCTTTTCCATGCGACATCTTCCCCACCAGGTCCTTTGCCGCTATTCTCTGTGCATTCTTGCTTTCATTCTTTGCCTGGGCGACATAATACTCTCGGCCCGAAAGGGCGTCTCTCATTTCATCACATCACTTCCTCGCTCGTGGCTGCAATGGGAAGGAAGGTACTCAGCGCCGAAAAAGGTGAGATCACTGGAGTTACCATCGTTTCCGGCGTTCAATGAGTTGTCAATACTTACAAAACAACAACGATGCGTAGCAAATGAGCTGCTTTTTCGCAAGCTTCTCAACGCCCTCCGAGACACTGATCTACTCCATCGGGGCGCTTCTTGCTTTGTGGTGTATGCACACGACTCCGCCGCAAACCCCCATGATAACGTGCCCGCGCACGCAGAAACCACAAGATGGATCATCGAGCGACTCCGTCTGCTATGTCCTTCCACGCTCTCAGATCGCAATCCCGTACCGCCGTTCGAGAGCCGTGCAGACGATTATGACTCGTGTCATGACATCGTCGCCAACCAGGCCTGCCTGATACCAGGGCTCAAGCGCACGAGCGATGGTGGTAAGGTGGGCACGGTCGACAAAGCAATCATCTGCGTATCGCCCAGGCTTTGCAAATACTTGGAAACGCGATTTGCCAAGAGATACATGGAGTCAATTCGTCAAGCATACAGACAGCATCGAAGTCGACCAAGGAACGAAGTTGTTGCAATAATCAGGAACCTGGTCGAGCAGTCCCACAAGCACCCTGACTTCCACCATGTGCTCACCGAATTTGGCTTGCTCACCCTGGACAAGGACATCGTCAAAGATGTGCCCCGAACAATTTTGCTCACCCTTAACTCGGCTACATTGGACCTACCAATGTTCCCAAATACCAGCCTCCAGATCCTCTCCCCCCGGCGTGAACCCTCGACGCACAAAGCTTTTTTCAAGTTGCTCAAACGCGTACATGAGAACCACGACTCTATCATAAAACTCTACGCAGAAGCTTATAGTAGGAATAAAGTTACGCAGAACGTAACAGAGAGCACATTTCGCGCCCGGATTGCTGGGGTCATCAATCAGATACACGAGGAGACACAGCGTCTATCGGTACAGCGTGCACGTAATTCTCTCGCCCGCGACAGAAACAGCCTGAAGCAAGCCGAAAGCTCAAAAGTGGGCAAAATACCAGAAACATCATCCATCATCCCTTTTTCCCGGGACAGAGACTTTATTCAGCGAGGGGACCTGCTTGATCGCATTCACATTTCATGTGCTGAACCTGGCTCAAGTACCGCGCTCGTGGGCCCGGCTGGTGTTGGGTATGTCTCTTGAGCAAATCACTAGTAAGGGAATCAGCTGACCACTGTGCAGGAAATCTCAATTGGCAATCCAATATGCGCACGAGGTTCGAGAGAAGTTCCCCAACACTTGGGTTTTCTGGATACACGCAAGCAACGCTGCCCGATATGAGCAGGGTTTCCGCCAAGTAGCAGGCCTCGTCGAGCTACCCGGACGGCAGGATCCTAATGGGAACATCTTCGAGCTTGTGCACAACTGGCTGCGTGGCGGGACAGGCAGAAGATGGAGACTGATTCTTGATAATGTCGATGATCCGAGCTTCCTTTTTGGCATTCCTGGCAAAGCTGGCGACACTCGGAATCCTAGTCAGTTGAAAACGAGGCGGCTCCTCGATTATCTCCCCAACTGCGAGAACGGATCCATCCTGGTCACATCGCGCAGCAAGCGCGCGGTCGAGGATCTGGTCGAGCCAGCCAATATCGTGCAGATAGATCCCATGGGTGGGTCAGAGGCGATCAGTCTCATTGAGACGAAGTTGGGAACTAAGAACGACAAAAAGTCCATCGAAGCACTTGCCGCCGCACTTGAGTACATGCCGCTAGCGATCATCCAAGCAACAGCCTACATCGCCAACAGAGCTCCTCTTTGTTCCGTGCAGCAATACTTGGAGAAGTTTGCACAAAGCGACCGGAAAAGAGCTTCTCTTCTCGAGCGTGATGTTCGCGGCAGACGGTTTCGACGGGATCCCGAGAATAAGAATTCGATCATCATCACATGGCAAATCTCATTCAAGCAAATCCAGCAAATTAGGCCATCTGCAGCCGAGCTGCTTTCGCTCATGAGCTTCTTCGATCGCCAGGGCATCCCGCAGGACATCCTCTGGCCCTTGAACCAGGAGAATGGTATGACTCACTATCTGCACCAAGCGCGACAGGAAGTGATTCTGGGCGACTCAAGTAGCGATGAAGACGGGGACACCAACGAATGGGATACCGAAGGTCTGAATTCAAACGCGAGCGAGGATGTCGACAAATTTGAGGATGATATTGCCCTTCTGCATGACTTCTCGTTACTTTCCACGAACGATGACGGAAAGACATTCGAAATGCACAGCTTAGTACAATTAGCTACGCAAAGATGGCTTGAAGACGAAGGCCATCAACAGCAGTGGAGGTCAGAGTTTGTCGAACGGCTCAATGCCAAGCTTCCAAACGGGAACTACGAGAATTGGGCAACATGGCGGATCCTTTTGCCACACGCAGTCGCGGCATCGACGCAGCAGCCAGCAGAGCGTAGCTCCTTGATCATCTGGACTGAGATCCTCTACAAAATGGCATGGTACCTTACCAAGATCGGGAGGCATCGTGAAGCGCAAAAGATGGCCCAGACTTCAGTAGACCATCGCCTCAAGATGTTAGGGCGGCAACATAGGTTGTGTCGAAACGCTTTGAATTTATGCGCCACTACAAATTGGTCAAACGGTCATTGGGAGGCAGCGGAGAAGCTGTTTTTGGAAATTCTGGAGTTTGAAAAGCAGAACCTCGGACCAGATCACCCAGATATGCTTGGCAGTATGGAAAATCTGGCATCGACGTATGGTACACAAGGCCGACTAAAGGAAGCAGAGGAATTACAAATAGCAGTACTAGAGACAAGAAAGCAGAAACTCGGACCAGATCATCCGAACACACTTCACAGCATGGCAAATCTAGCATCTACCTACTCGCACCAAGGCCGATACAAGGAAGCAGAGGAACTGGAGGTAGCAGTATTGAAAATGAGGACGCGCAAACTTGGACTAGATCATCCGAGCACGCTTCTTAGCATGGCAAATCTAGCATCTACCTACTCGGACCAAGGCCGATACAAGGAAGCAGAGAAACTGGAGGTAGCAGTACTAGAGATGAGAAAGCAGAAACTCGGACCAGATCATCCGAACACACTTCACAGCATGGCAAATCTAGCATCTACCTACTCGGACCAAGGCCGATACAAGGAAGCAGAGGAGCCACAACTGGCAGTACTAGAGATGAGAAAGCAGAAACTCGGCCTAGATCACCCAGATACTCTTCACAGCATGGGACATCTAGCGTCGACATACTATACACAAGGCTGACTAAAGGAAGCAGAGGAGCTGGAGGTGGCAGTGTTGGAAATGAGGACGCGGAAACTCGGACCTGATCACCCAGATACTCTTCAAGGCATGCACAACCTGGCGATGACCTTAGAATCCCTGGGGCGAAAAGATGAAGCCGTTTCGTTGATGGAACAATGTGTCCATCTACGGACCAGTCAACTTGGCCAAAGCCACCAAGATTCCATAAGATCGATTGAGCTACTGGAGATTTGGAAACAGAGGTAGTCAGACGGCTCGAGTTCGGAGACAGGTTCTAGCCAGGGGGGTCTGCCGTGTCGCAAACAAATCAAGGCTTCCAATCATGGTCTTATGGAGATTTCGATCTAGGGTGGCAATGACGAGTAGTTGTTCAAGCGATGTATAAAATCAAAGTGCCTGATTGCATGTATTCTTGTCCTTTCATGCACAGACGAGGCGAGGTCTTTACCAAGTGAGCCGGAAAGGAGCATGACAATCGAGGCGCCAGAAAAGTAGTGCATGTGATTTGGGGTGAGGTGAGCACTTCTAGCTCAACCATGCATTGCTAGTCGTCGTACCCTATAACTGCTCCTGTGCCAACCATTATATCCGAAGCAGGCTAACTCGATGGCAGCAGGGACTAATTCGTGGGTTCTGAAACAAGCGACTCGGTGACGAGGGTGAGTGACCGAACCACTCACAGGCGAGTGCACACCAAAAGTCGACAGTTCTAGCCCGAATATACCATTATTTGCCATCGTTCATGAGTGTGTCACATCTTCGTGCTCCCCTTAAACACCTCATTCGAATGATATAAACCCTGCGAGTCTTTCAGTCTACCACGTAAGACGATAGTATCAAGAGGATTGAGGGTCCCGTCCGCTCCCTTGTTACACAAGCTGGATACCGCAAGCTAAATAGCAAACTTCGAGGGAAACCGGATCCCTGTCATGTGGTCACAAGCGAGGCTGGCACTTGGCGAGCCCAACCAACCGAAGAGAGAAGCAGCATTCCAACATCGCAAGACACAAAAGGACTACGAAGCAAGTAGAAAACGCAGTTATTCGATTCCATTCTTACTCACTCTCGAATCCCGGCCTTTAGACATTACACATCACCAGGCGCGACAGTAAATGGCGTCCGCACCCCGTCTCCGAGTTCCGCCCAAGGAGCCAGAGGCGCGCCAAGGGCAGGGAATTGAAGACGACGCATCCGGGCCCGGTGAGGCAGGACGCCCGGCTCTTCTCTCGTTCGATGAGATGCCGGAATGGTTTCGACACGACAATAATCAGTGGATCCTCCACGGTTACCGGCCCATATCGGGCTCGTTTCGCGCCTCGTTCCGCAGTTGGTGGTATCTCCACAACGAGACGGTCAACATCTATTCCCATCTCATTCCGGCCATTGTCTTCCTCCTCGGCGAGTGGTATATCTTGCAGTACCTTTCTAGCAAATATTCCAATGTTAATAGCACCGATTTTGTTACTTTCTCGTTCTTTATGCTTACGGCGACCACTTGCTATACATTTTCGGCCCTTTATCATACTCTGATGAACCACTCTTACACGGTAGACCATTTCTACCACCGACTAGATATGCTCGGCATAGGGACCTTCATAGTCGGTGACATTGTCTTGGGAGTATACATTATCTTCTGGTGTGAGAATACGCTACGCAATATTTATTGGTCTATGGTTAGTTGACCTCCATTAGCTCGGCTTTTTTTGTGCCAGGACTGGCAATTAGATCTAACACTGGCTTCATAGATCAACAGATTGGGGTTTTCGGGGCATTTACCATCGTCACGAACATCCATCCCAAGCTCCAGAGCCACAAGTATCGCTCCATGCGAACACTAGCGTTCGTGGCGACTGGCATGTCCGTCGTGGCGCCCTTGATTCATGGGCTCGATATATTCGGGCTAGACCTGATGAACAAAAAAGCCTTCACTTATACCATGGTAGCAAAGGTAGGCTGCCTCCTATCTGGAACCGGGCTTTACGCAGTGAGTCTCCCATTTTGCCCGTACAGGAGAGTATTTGGTCCTAACGCACCTGATTCGAACAGATGAGGTTTCCCGAAAGTTGGTGGCCTGGAAAATTCGACATGTGCAGCTCCCACTCATTCATGCACATCCTGGTGGTCTGCGCCGCTGTCATCCAGATGATAGGGTATCTGGAAGCATTCGACTATGCTTACTCAAATATTACGTGCTCAGCCTCTTGATTGTAGAGCCTCTGATCGGCGGGACGAGCGGCGACTTTTCAACCTAGGTAGCGCTGCGTTCCAGGTGCAGGTGGTCTATTGGGTATGTTCGAGAGACTTTCTCTTGGCTCGTGATGGATAAGGGACGAAAAATTCCGTTGCTTTCAAAGCCAATATCGACAACGAAGATTTCACTCCCTCGATTTGCTTAACAGGGAACCATGGATCCTGTAGAGCTAATGCCGGAGCCACCTTGTGCGAGTGGCTTCCTCCTGGGAAGCCCGTAGCCTCATTATCTGTGACAGTGAGAGTGCTCATGATTTCCCCTCGGCTCTTTTGCGCAACAGCGCCTGCAACATGCCTTCACGTGACTATCCTAAGAGTCAGGGCCCGCTGTAGGGGAGAATTCTGGGACCTTTCTCTCCATTCTGCTTCACCCCCCAGGATTCAGTGGCCCTCATTTCGCGCCGAGCATACACTCCTTGCACATGCTGGCGATAAGGGGCTGACGCCTCGTGCCTCTGTGCCGCATGCCATACCTAGGGAGTCAGTACATGGCAATGAGATCAGCAGTCTCGAGGGCCTATCTCGCCAGAAATCCGTGTCCGGATAACTTCCTGGGAAGTGGAGGTGCGGAGAGAATGCTGGCGAGCCCTCGCAGTGGATGATCCAGATCGTGAACCATTGACTCTCTTAGGCTGCATCCGTCCGATGGAGACTGTGTTTCGACTGGTGTCTTGGTTTGACACGGCTTCCGTTGACATGAAACCCCAGGAAATCAACTGCATACGTTTGCTCGATTCTGCCTTGCTTACGACTACGCCTGTCCATGAGTACGCAAGACTCAGACCTTAGCAAGCTGCCTCCTCCACCTTCAATACAATCTCGGCACAACCTTGCACGAGACTCATCACTTGCAGAAGCAGCCACCGCTGACTCTCTCGCTGCGTGTGAATCAAGGGCAGCGGGGAGGACCCAAGAACACGGATGAACAAAGCCCTGGTCACAGTGGTCTGAGGCATCATCACCCACTGCAAATCTGCCCGTGCAAGGTAACGAGGTCGACATTCTGGCACAGCATGATCCTCTATATCCCTCTACAAGAGACTCTCCTACCACGTACGACCATAGGATCAAGAGAATTGAGGGTCCCGTCCGCTCCCCTGTTACACAAGCTTGATACCGCCGGACTAGTAGTTGGGTCGGTGACGACCAGCGAATCCCCGGTGTTGTACGTGTTCTTTTACATTCTTCAGTCTTTTTTTGTTGTTGCATATCATTACCGTCCTTTTTGTGGATAACTGAAATGTTTTCAAGGCACGAAACGAGCGGCCTTTTGATGTTAGAGGCCCATCGTCGTTTAGCATACCCGGAATGCTTCACCATCTATCTCACAGCAGTGAAGACGTGCGCCGACATTGCCATGGGGTTCCAAGTGGAGAGGAAGTTGTATCGCAATACAATCATTGCTTACACCGTCCATCGGGGATCAAATGTCGTAGTCGAGGCTGACCTGGATTTCGCACCGTCTCCATTTCTGCAAGTGGAGACAGCCAGCGCGCCTCTGGCCATCTTGCCATCCTTCTGTTACACGGGAACAGAAGACTCGTTATATCCATACGCCACGGCAAGACGTCGTTGTAACAAACCTTCCGGTGGACACTTGAGGCTTGTGGACAGCCCAGGTGAGCTTCGCTTTAGGTGTCTTTCAGGCGGGGCCATGTACTCTGGTTTGAAGTCGAAGTGTCCGGCCCCACTGTACTCTCTTGTGTCTGACTTCAAGCGCCATAACTTGTCCTGTACCTTGTCTAAGTGTAGTTAGTTGCCCCTTGCCTCTGTTCGTCACCACGACCGTCCGTTCCCAGTCCCACCACATACCAAGATAATTCACATAAGTGACGAGTCCAACACGGGGAGAGCCATAATGGGCGGCTTCCTGGTACAAGATGAGGACTACGAGACTCAAGCTCAGAGCGCAATCCTAGATTTTGTCCCTCGAGCTCGCTTGCTGAAGGGCAACCTGCAACATGAAATCAGCTTGCCACTCCTGATAAACCCTCCCGAGGACTCCCTGGCATGTCACGAGACGGCAGTAGAGACGGCATATGTCAGCTCGCACATCTCATCCCGCTTACACGCGCTGTTCTCGCAGCTTAGTCTCGCCTTGGGGGATCAAACAACAACCGACGCTGCACCACCACAACGATCAACATCATTATCATCCACTTCACCAGCAACATCAGTCCTGCCGGAAGAAGGCATGTTTCTAGAGCTCAAAGTCGCCTCACAATCCTTTGACATCTTCCCCTTTTGCGACCACCGACAATACCACTCCCGTCGCCTCACCTTGTCATCCCCAGACACTTTACCCACTGTCCCCTCCATCACCAAGCTCCTCTTGAAATCCACCGAAACCTACGACGGCGGCGACAACAACACCAGCGAGGACTACCGCATCAGGCCGCTATCCCTGCTAATCCCCTTCCAGCTCGCCGCCAAGCTGCCGGATCTGCACACGCTGATCCTGCCATGGATGTGGGAACGGCCTTTATCTTTTGCACACTCCAGCAGAGTCGTCAGGGAACACTATACCCGCCCTTGGGAAGGACCGTTACGGGACGCGAGGCATGATTTCGGCAACGCGATTCTGGAGCAGCAGATGTTCCTCCGGGGCGGGCGGATCCCGAACGGGTTGAAGAATGTCCTGATGCATTTCTGGACACCGCAGCAGGTTGCCGAGGAAGACCAGAGCGAGAGGAGGCCGAATTTGATCATCTCTCCGACCGCTGCGGCGACGTCGGTGGGGTTGGTGGAGGGTGAGAACAAGGACCCAGTCAGCCTGGGACTGTGTAAGCTTGCGGGACAGCTGGAGAGGTTGGACTTGAGGGCCATGGTCACTGAGGATTTATTCCCAACTCCTGCTCCTGCGCCTGCTGGTGCTGGTCTGGAAGTGGAGCAGCACCAGCAGCACCGGCAGTGGTCCAAAATGCAGCGTCTGCGGATCGAGTTCCACCCTCTCCGTCCGGATGGGAAGTGGTTCTTCATCGGCCCCAAGGGTGAAGATCCCCACGGCGAAGAAGGGGGTTTCGAAATCTCCGAGGATAGAGATTATCCCCGCGAACACGATATCCCCGAGGACGAGGAGGTCGATGAAGAATACGAGGACTTCCCTACTGGCGACGTCGAGGTGGATATCTTGCAGGACATGTTCCGTACAGAACCGCACCGGGAGAGGATAGAGCCATTACTGGCGAGATTCGCTCAGGCAGTTAGGGAAGCGAATATGCCGTCCCTGCAGGATGCTGAGCTGTTTGCGTATCTGTGGTGGGCGCCATCGGATAGTCGCGAGGAAGAGGAAGGGTACGCTGGGCAGGAGCAGCCGTATGCGAAGTATAGTGCCCATAGATGGGGTGTCAAGTATATTACCAGTCGTGGTGGAAATGGCGATGGCGGTGGTGCTGAGGCAAGGACGACAGCTCCGACGGTCCAGTGGCAGGTTGGCGACTGGAGACCTAGCCCTGATGTCATGGCTCTTTTTGAGGGCTTGGGGACACAAGAGTGGCTTGACTTTGACTCCACGCATGGTCGGCCCTTGCCGCTTTACGAGGACGCAATGAAGGCGCGATTGTTCTGATGTGAGAGAGAACAATGTAGCATATAGGCATGGCATCCCAGGGAAACCCCTGGATGCTTGACGTGGACCCAAATGCTCGGAGTCCACTTCGCGCTCATTGTAACCGAGGAGAAGACGGCCGACGAGGGTCTGAATCTGAACGCGATCTAACCCTCGGGGCGTCGGCATCCGTGAGCGCGCCAAAGTCTCTCAGAGAATGCACCAAAGCCAGGGCTGTCGACTGCTACCATTGGATGAGCTTCTGACTTGAGCCTTCCGCCGAGGGTACAGAGGTCTTCTTCCGGCAGGTTCTTGACCCATGTCTGGCTAGAAGAAGAATCACAAGATCTCAATGTCAACCTGCTCCGCGAGTTGCGGACCGGCCCGGCTGCTAAGATCGGCGATGCTCGTGAAAAGGCGTGGCGGGTTCCTCGTCGTTACACATATGTCAATCGCGTGTCTGAAGCCGTCGCCCAGCGACTGGCAGCAGCAGCAGCAGCAGCAGCAGTTGCTGTCGCTTCCTCTGGGGAACGGATCCATCAAGAAGTCTACGCTTCTGGCTGGTGTGGCCTATGACTGGCTGATGCAGAAATCTTGAGCTGTAGTCGCGTGGTGTGGAGAGTCGTGCCAAGCAGGCGCTGAAGATCAGAGATCTTGTCACCAAGCTGTATCCTGCAACTATGAAGCCGGCGCTATGTTGCTCACAGGTCTTGGGCTTACGTAGCGATCACTTAGGGCTTCCATAGTATGCTTACGGGATGTCTGGAGTATTGTACCATAGAAACAAGTGCTTATTCAGTTCAGTTCAGCTCAGTTCAGCGAAGCTGAGTCTTGAGAAAGGAGACCAACCGCATCATGGGAGCATTTGGATTGTCATGAAGCTTTGGGGAAACCAACTTCTAGATTTCGATGTGGTGAACCTGGTACGGAGGTGCCGCGCACGTTTTGGCACGCGTTTTGAAGAACCGACCTGGAGAAATCCTCTCTGCCCTTGATGTGAGACCCATGCCTTTTTGAGCACATTTGAGAAGTTGCCGTCCCCAACGAGCGAGTGTCTTCATGAGACATTACATAACAGGTCACTCCAGAGCTTTGAGCCCGGTTGCGATAGAAGAGGCACTACAAGTCACCACCCTGGGAGTTTGTGCCCTCCATGGTTGTCGAACTGCCGAGCAACAAAGGCAACATCGTATCAGGAAATGACGAGCTGGGGGCGGCTGGTGTGTGATTGGAGGGTGCGCTTGATGGTGGTTGCTGGTGGTCCGGGGCTTGCATGCACACACACCAAACGGGTTTGGCCAGCCGCGTTTGGCAGAACAAGCTGCGGCGGCCCCCACGTGCGTGCCTTTGTGTGGCTTTTTTTTGCAGCAGCAGCACACCACTTGCATTTGCATTTCTCCGCACCCCGTCCCGCTGTGCCGATCGAGAACCTGCAGATAATTACCATCACGCAACCTGGTCGGGTGACGCGAACAGATTCCGTGCTGGGCCAGGCCGATTGCGACAGAGCTTCTCTTGTGGGCGACAAAGGCAGCGGCAGTCGCTCAGGGCGAGAGGCGATAGGCTGTCTTGCGCTTCCCTGGCACGCACCACATCACGACTGTCGCAAGTAGGCGGAGGTGCAGATGCCGGCTGGTCTTGCAGCCATCGGCAGGATGGGCCTGAGGGCGACTGGGAATTACTGTATGTAGGAGTAAAACCTTGTCGTGTACATGCCATGTCCAGAAGAGAGAGACACTCGGCGAGCTCGGGAGCATCCACAGAGCAAGAACCCTGCCTGCCCTCCAGATAAGCAGAGTTGAGCAGGGTGCAGGGATCTGATCCGTCCGCCCATGCGTCCCTGCTCGTAGACTCTCCATGCAACGTGCCCTGCCTGGGCACCGTTGAAGGGAACTTTCGAACAACTACCTTACTTCGTAAGCTCTTGTCCAATGTCGGGTAAGCTGCTGAGACATTCAGTTAAGCTTACCTCCTTTCAGGCACTCTAGCAGACAGCGCCAAGCAGAGAGTGTCGGTGTCCCAGCTATTGCCGGCTCCCTGGACTGGCACCACACCACCATACGAGATCCAGAAAGGGAATCCCTGGGAAGATGCCCTTTGCGGAGTTGGTGCTGGCCCTTGCCATGTCCAACACGAGCCTGAAAGATTGAGCGGGCTCCGCTGGCCCTGGCCCGGTCTGGCCACAGCAATGCCGCGTCACGCTACGCGGCGCACAGATTCATGCTGCTTGTTGACTGCCCATCTGGAAACGGGTCAATCCGCCTGCAGTTCGGCGACTGCTGGCGGGCCACGAGGAGGCGTGCGGCCGTCGAGTGCCCGAGTGGGCAAGTTCCAGAGAGTGGCGCCATGTCCCGGCTTGCCTCGTGACGCCTTGGCCGCTCCTTCGCTCGCGCTAAGGGCGCGACTTGTCCTCACTGCACTCTAGCACCGCAGGCCACTATCGATGGCCAGAACCGCCCGCTTTGCACCCGCTTTGAGCTACTTGGGTCTCGCCCGCCGCCGCATCCCCACGCGGACCTCTGCCATCCCAAGGCATCCTGGCAGCACCCCGAGGAGGAGGCGTTCGCCGCTTTGGCTTCACCATCTGGCACAGGCAGATCGGCGGTGGCATTCTCTTGCGTGGCGCCATCCCGTCACACTGCTCTCGCAGCAACCCTCGAGCACGGCGGTTCTTGCGCCAGCCACGCTGACCATCGCGACATGCCACCGCCAGCAAATGATGGCGACTGCGCGCGGTGCCCGCCATGGTGCCATAGGATCGACGCGCCCAAGATTGCGGCATCTCCTCGATGAACCCTTGCTGCAGAAGGCCCCCAGCACGTCCTCCGGCCGATCCCTGCTGCGCAGGGGTCTTGGTATCGATTTTGCTCACTAGCCGGCCGGCCTAGGTACGAGTCGACATGTCGACGGCGCACCACCAGGGCTCCACCGCCGCCCGAGACCCTCCAGTCCCGACCTCGTCCCTCACGCCCATCCCGGCCGGTTCAGATTCCCTTCGCGGCGAGGCGTGCCTAGCCTCGCAATGCCAGTGACAATGCGAGGACTCCCTGCAGCAGCCGCCCGGCTCACGCTGTTGGGCGCTGCCGTCTGCGCTCAATACCACCATGGCTACGACGATCGCCAGGTTCCACTTACAGGGTTCGTCTTTTCCGTCTTGAAGCTGCTTGGTGTCCAGCACGTGGGAAATCTCCCCGTCTATATCAGTGGCGCTCCCCCAGTGGCACATCATGTATGATCCAGTGGTGTCTTTGTCCGTGACGGCCGTCCATACATTCCACCGCCTGTGATACCGGCAAGCCACTGCTGGCCACACAATACTAAACATGGTCAACCCAGCTTGCTCGCCAAAGGCCATGTGCCTGCTCAGCTTGGTTTCACTAGGACTGACAGCTTCGATCCCCAGGCAACAAAACAACAACGTGCTCATCACGATACCAGCATCTGTGCCGTCGACTGCCTCAAGCCCTATCAGCCCCAACTTCCCGGGTTTTGCCTTTGAACAGGCCTCCTGGGTCAAGTATGCCCAGAACGGTCTCGGCACCACCAACAATTTTACCAGGAACTTGATCGCCTCTGTTACATCTCGGACTGGCGGCTACCCCATCATCCGGCTTGGAGGCACGTCACCAGACTACGGCAAATACATCCCGTCTCAAGTCGAGCCCGCCCTGCCTGTCGCGGAACAAAACAACTTCCAGGATGTTGGACACACAACTATTGGTCCCAGTTTCTGGCCCCTCGCCAAGAACTTCCCCAACGCAAAGTACATGATCCAGGTGCCCCTGGCCGACACCAATGTCAGTGAGGCCGTCGCCTGGACCAAGGCTGCGGTTAGCGCCATCGGGCTCAACCAGATTCATTCGATCCAGATCGGCAACGAGCCGGATCTCTACAGGAACGACTTTACTGGAGAGGGTGGCATCTACCTGGGCCCTCCGCGATACCAGGGCACGCTGGACAATGCCACCTATGTGAGCATTTGGACAAAGTACGCAACTGCCATTCGCAAGGCCGTTGCCCTGCCTGATCGCTTCTTCACGGCGTTCGATGTCGCTGCCCATGTAGAAGATCCGTCAATGGCATCGTGGCTGTTCGACGTCAAGACGTGCTTCGGGCTCGGTATTGACGCTGGCAACAACGTCAAGGAGGTTTCTCACCACTACTACCAGAACGTCGCCGGCAAGGCTGCAGACCTTCAGGCCGGCCTGATGACACTGAGTGTCACACACAGGAACTTGGATTACCTGAAGCCGCGCATCAATTGGCTCAAGGCCAACCGCCCCAACATCCCCTTCATCATCAACGAGTTGGGCAACTCTCTCTTCCGCACCAACAGCTACGAGTACCAGGCTCGCCTGGGTAGTGCTTTGTGGGCGGTCGACTTCTACCTCTACAGCATGACGATCGGCGTCGCAGCCATCAACTACCAGCAGATTATGCATTCCGGCTTTGACCTGTGGCTGGCATGGAACAGTGCTGGCGTCCCGGCCCAGGTTTTTGCCAACTACTACTCCCAGCCGTTCATTGCCGACTTCATCGGTAACAAGGGCAAGGCGCGCGTCGCCAAGCTCAATGCGGCCGGCGGGCCCGCCAACCTCGCGGCCTATGCAGCCTATGAGGACGGCGTGCCCAAAAGGCTCGCCATTGCCAACCTCGAGTTCTGGAACTCGACGGCTGGCGGCCGCGCGCGGACATTCACGCCCATCACTCTCACAGTTCCCACGACCGTCAAGTCGGTCAAGCTCACCCGGCTTAATAGCCCTTATGGGGCCGGCGCGACAGCTGACAGCATCGCGTACGCCGGCAGCCATTGGCAGTTTGACAACCGCGGCATCGAGATCCAGGGCTGGCGCGCCGATACTGAGATCCTGACTGTCAACAATGGCGCGGTCTCGTTTTTGGTGCCGTTCAGCTCGGCGGCCCTCCTATACTTTTCATGAAGGCGGCCCGGATTGGCACCGCGAGCGTCACATGAGGGCGTGCCACTGCTTGTGATTGTGGCCCAGCAAGGCGTGGGCGTGGGTGTGCAGTACATATGCATACATACAGGCATACATACATGCATGCATGTATATGCACATATAACGATGACATGACTCATGATCTATATAGAAGGCATAAATTAATCCTATATCTGTAAGCATTCTACAAGCAGTAACGGTTCCTGCTGGACGATTTTTCAGTGAACCTCTTCAGAAGGTCTACTCAACCTGTGCCGGTCCTGGCTCGCTCTGTATGAAACTCGTCTGCACTTGGATAACACTGTGATACAACTGCCAACTGCTATGAGATCTGTAGCTTTCAGCCGTGGTTCAGAGCGCAGTTCAGAAAACCTAGTACAGAAAATCAATTAGATGATGGGCATCTCGTGTGAAATTGAAAATGCGGGACGTCAAGACAGCATCCCTGGTCTTTTTCTTTTTTTAGCGGAGAACATGCCGCCGTGCATGCTGCTCTACTGTGTTTCTCCTGCTGGCATGGGATTCGGAGTGTTCCTCCGTCTGTTCATGTTTGTATTGGGAGGCGGAGGGACGAGGGAGCAAGAGGAGAAGAATGGCCCGGCAGGAGGTCGGAGCGGGAATGAACTTCAGGACCATAATACTGCGCTCCAAGTAGTCGGGGGAAGAGCATCGGCGCGGGGGGAGAGGGGGGGGGCAGGCTTCCAAGAGATCTTCTGGTGTGAGGTTTGGGCGTGAGATTTGGAAAGGTGCGTGATTCACTCCCAGGTCTGCATCTGGATTTTTCATTCGTGGTTTGTGCTTTTCTCGATGCCGTTCGTCGTCGTCGTCGTCGTCGTCGTCGCCGTCGTCTTTGTTGTCATTTGTTGTCGCTAGATCGTCGTCGAGTTGGCCGCTGCTTGCTATTACGTAGCATCCAGGCGGTTGACAAAAAGAAAAAAAGACAAATCGGATACCACACCCAGCAGGGTATATCTCTGTGCGAGCGCCTGATCCATTCTGTCACCTACGCTCGGGTCCTCGGCATTCACGTCAAGCTTTGGCACACCACTTCTGCTCTTTCTCTTTTTCTCATGACCCCGTGCTTCAATTGTTGGTGTATGAGTCCTCAGCGAAACACCACAGAGTGCCTCCTGGATATTATTTGCCTCCCATCGTCATCGGCATCGTCATCGCTACGAGGTATGTATGATGATACATGATCAGCCGCAACGAAAGGTTTCTACTCGCGAGAGAGGGGGGGGGAGGGATTGGAGAACAATGGAGATGTACATGATGCCGGTTGGCGCAACGAGTCGCGGGCATATCATCAAGTAAGAAAAGAGGAGGAAATGTTGTCCCCAGAATCCGCCACCCGCTTGGTGTGAAGAGGTTGGGAGATCGGAATCGAGATTGAAGGACAAGTATGGGTCAGCGGTTAAGCACGAGAGGGTTGCCGGATTGCGGGCCTGTCAGGTTGTTCTTGCGGATACCTGGCGGGTTATTTGGTTTGCGCATGTCTGTCGTTCTTTCCAAGGCTTTCCAAGGATGGATGCTGATTCACGGGAATAAGATCTGGGAAGTGTGGGTGACGGGCTTGTTGCTTGTCGTTTTGGCAGCAGGGGTACAACCAGTCACATTCCCAAATGTGCTCGAGAGGTGCTCGGCCTTTAACGGCCGCGTTGATCTGCACATGTGCGTGTGGAAACCACTGTATGTGTCTATCAGGTATCTGGTATGACGATGCTAAAGTACTCTGCGCCGTTGCCACCCAGCCAGCTTGCGCTCACCTACGTCCACCCACCTAGGAGCAGATGGCCCGGGACTGACGGGCCGGGCCTGCCTGCTTCCAGAGCTCGACCTGTCAAAGATGCAGGCAGATCGCTCCTGCGCCAAGCATGAACATGACGATGGATATTCAGGTGATCTTAGTCAAGTTGGCTGCATCGCAGACGGATAATGATAATCCATAGAACAAGTGAACAGCCATGGGCTCGGGCATGCTGTCACCATCAACAGCTCCGGCTGCTTAGCCGGAGCTGATGGTGATGACGTAGCTCGACCCAAGGGAGGTGCTTCCGAAGTGCTAATTTGCCGTGTCTTGCAACCTCATGTTGCACGTTGTGGGCCTGTCTGTCAGACAGAACAGGTGAGTACGCGTAGAGAACCCCCAAATCGCACGGCAATCACAACTAGAGCCTGATGCATGTCGAAGCAGACAGCTAATGGCTCGGTCGGTGCCTTCTTTTGATGAGAATGGTTGAGAAATCGTGTGCGAGGAAGCGTGCAGCACGCAAACGACTACAGCGGATCTGCTGGACTCAGGATCAACAGCATATCTGGTTGGTCTGACGATCTCGACCAAAAGTACCTGCCGTTTTGTGTCTGGCTGTACGGCGAACCTGACATTGACACACCAGGCCGCACTCACCTAAGCTGTGTGGACGCTGCAACCTACATACCACACACTTGGAGCCTCCGTGGACTAGTGTACATTCTCGCCTGGTAAGGCTCAAGCTAGACAAGCATAAGTCGACTTCTGTGCTGTCAGGAAGTCTTTGTCATCACGTGCTGGGCGGACACTTTAGTACCTGGTGGTGGCGCGTACGGTTGCACGGGCGGCTTGACATTTTGAGACCAGCGTTGAGACGGGTCCTGATGTCGTCTTGTCGCAGAGCCCCGGCACCCCACCCCGGCTTGAGAGAACGATGGTCTGCAGGTTCCCGAGGAGCGGCATGGCATGTGCTGGTATTCGTTGACGAACGAAGTCTCCCGTTATACGGTGCTGAAGGATGTGTTGGGACGAGGCAATGCTTTGCCGGCGATCGGCGCGGTGATCGTCATATGGGGGAGCGCTGCAGACGAGCAGACGAGGGCTAGGAGGGTCCCGCCCTGGTCGTGCGGTTTCACCCAGACGAAACAAGACGTCAGGAGATGGATGTTCTATTGCCATGTCGCATGATCGTGTGCGGTCTCGTTCACTGTGGATTGTCCCGGGGAGAACGCAGTGGCGGCAGCAGCCACTACTCAAGCCTTGGAGACCAGCCCTCACCGTGGGCTGGGGCCCTTAGCATCGCCGAAAACAGCGCGGAGAAGCGAACCGTCTCGAGGACAGTAGAACTGACGACAGGCCGACAGCCTTGCCAGGCCCGCGAGCAGAAAGTGTGCCAGCCTCGGAGTTTGGCAGTGTTGTTGTTGTTGTTCTGGCGCAGGCGCAGTCGAGGCTTGCCCCACCGCCATCGGGCGCGATGACAGGGACATGCACGGGTGCCCCGCACCTGCTGGATGACGCGGGTCCGCCTACGTCATGCGCCCAGCCCGCGTCCCCACTTCTGCCCAATGAGCGGCTGCGACGCTCACCCGGAATGGGAGTCCTCTCGCTGGCCAGCTCCGCCCATCGAATCTGGCCCGCAGTCCATCACAGGCTGTTCTACGGCGCTCACTTGCGTGCGCTCGACAATGCAGGGGCAAGTTTCTGTGACCACTGACAGGTTCTTGAAACTATCTCGTACTGGAAGCACCAAAGTGGTGTCTGTGACTGCAGCTTCATGCGACCGTATATGTAATGCCAGATCAACGGCCTGAGATGCGACGTGCTGGGATGCTTGCTTTGGTCGAGGACCCCTGTGACAAGCAGTCCAAAGCAGGGTTTCTTTTGCCGCTACTGTAAGCGACAGAAAACATCTGGCTTGGGATTGTGGGATCTGTGCTTGATCTTAGGAGTTGCCGGTCGATATTGCCTGCAGTTTGCCAATGCTGTTCAAGACGATCTCCAGCTTCTGGTGGGCCACAGCTGAAGCTCATGCGGCCCAGGGAGTGCAAGGGTGACGCCCACGAATAGGCCAGAGGTTGCCTCGTCCACCCTTCCCCTGAGATGACGAAGTGATGTGTATTCAGCCGCCGTCCACAGCTACGGAGGATTACCTCCTGAACGGAGGCGGCGTATCAAGCACAAGGTCGTCATCTGCCAAGCCGCAGCCTCCAGGCGCGAAAGTCGCACCCGAATCTGTGGTCTGGTCTGGCCAGGTCTGGCAAGTGCTGTGCCCTTCCTCCGGCGTTTGTCTTGCTTCGCCATGTGCGCACAGGCACCGACGGGGGAGAGAGTCTCGGAAGGCACAACCTTTCCACCACGTGCGTGATGCGACTGACGTAGCCGACCAGGGCCTGATTGGCTGCCACTGGCCTTCAGTCGCCATGTGCGGTCCGCCTGGGCGCCTGAAGGCCGGGAGGAACGGAGTCTTGTGGGTGCCTCGCCATGTTGCAGACTTTGCTCACATCAAGGAAGTGTGCGACTCTGGTGAATGCTGCGGCCTGTCAATCTCGTTCATTCATTAATGCAGAGTTATCGAAAACGCTCTTCGCCTTCATGGTCTGCGCACAGGTTGGGCAGCATCCATGGCTGGAGAAACAGGGTGACAAAGCATAAAAAAAGAGGCGTGCGTGGGAGGGGCCGCCGGGCGAGGGAACCTTGAATGAGGTGTGGTGACAAGACCCCTAGCCCCAAAAGCCTGGCGGGCGCCCCTGCACTACATCATCGCGCCGCACCATGCCGGCCCAGCGCTGCCCGCCCTCCACTCGCACCGCGCCCTCCGTCGTCACCACCCACACGCATCCCACTTTTTTCCCTCGATGCTCTCATTCTCGTCCTCCTCTGCTCACCTGCCTCTGCTCCCGCCTCGTCCTCGCCCTCGCCTCAAAGCAGTGCTCAATCTGTCAACCAGACTAGCCAGTCAAGCTGGCTGCCTGTCTGCCTCATAACCCTCCCTGACAACATCGGTCCAGCCGCCTCTCCGCGCCGCAGCCCACTCCCGACCCCGGCTCGTCTCGTCTCGTCCACTGCCTCTGTGCCCGCCAACCCTGGTTGGATCTGGCAGCCTGCTTGTGCACCTCTCTGCTCGACCTGCTTCGATCCCCATCGACATCACTTCTCGTTTGCCGACTACACACCCCGGCTCTTGCCTTCCTTGTCCTACAACCTTGCCTACGACATACTCCATTCCAGTAATTTCTCCTCTAGATATCCTGGTTGGATCGCTGCCTCGCTCTTGTCCAGACGGCCCTTCGTGACTCTTATTGTCTTCTTTTCACCTCCCCCCGCCCTCGCCTTCGGTTCGCAAGCATCAGCGTCGTGATAGCATACAACAATCAGCACAGACAGCGAAAACGTCCTTTGAGCTCGCTCGGAACATCTGTGTCAAATCTTGAGAGTTGCTGCTTCGCCCTTTCTACGCCGCCCGAGCCACTGCACATACCGCACGAAATCAACCAATTACTGCAGTAGCCCGGAAGAGGCCCGTACAAAGGCACGCCCAAGTCTTCCAAACCGCAGCAGAAGAGCTCTGTACGCTTCATCCGCCGTAAGGTGCACGAGCCCTGCCAGAACCCGTCGTCCCGCCCAGTGCCCGACGCATTCCCAGTGTGGTGGTTGCTCGAGTTGGAGTCGAAAGACATCTGACAGCATCCTGCACGAGGCAGTGTGCATCCACTGTTTGCTGTACACCTCAGTCCCCAGTCGATACCAGCGCTTGTCCCTTTGTGACGTCGTTGGAGAGCAGCAATGTCGACCATCCAGCAGCTCAAGAACTTCATCCGGCATGGTGCGTAGATCCCCGTTCCCTGCCACTGTCACATCTGTCCTCTACTTTGTATACTCTACCTTTCTTTCCATGCCTGCACTATCCAAGACCTCTTCCCTACACATCTCTCAAACAGTAGTCCAGGCATTTGGAGCATTGAATAGCCCTGTCGCTGGTTCGCTGGACTTTCATTGCTCGGTCTGCTTGCAATAGTTGCTCCTGCCTCAATCTTCCCTTCAGCTGGGCGTGACCTTTACTTTTCTGGTCGTATGACCTGGCCATTCCTTCCACAACGCTCTGCGGTGGCCGCTCTCTACCAACTTACGCAGTCGCTTGCCGTCCACTCGCTTGTCTGCAAAGTTCCTATCAATCACCATGTCTCCAACCCCGCTGACATCATACCCGCCCCTTGAAGGCAAACAAGCCAGGACCAACAACTACGTCGACTCAGCACCTAAGAGACATGAGCCTTCGCCGCCAAGAGCCCAAGAACCAGCTCCCATCATGAACAACCCAACTGAGCCTGCCAGTGGTGCCGGCGGTAATGCCCATCACGCGCAGCCGCTTCCAGACGCATATTCAATGCAGCCAGGCGCCATGCAAAACCGGGTAGCTCAGGCTGACAACGTTGCCGCACACCATGCCGAGGGTCATCAGAAGGTGTCAAAATCCAGGCATGACGATGCCGCGCTTCAGAAGCTCATCGAAGAGGAGAGGGCGAGTCGGAGCAAGTTCCCCAAATATCCCGGCCTTGAGAGGTGGGAACTCCTAGAGAAGATGGGTGACGGCGCCTTCAGCAACGTATATCGTGCCCGTGATCTCCAGGGCACGGCCGGTGAATGCGCCATCAAGGTTGTCCGCAAATTCGAAATGAACAATATGCAGGTGAGTTGGGCTGGCGGTCGAATCTTCATGTCACCGACCATGTCAATATTCCTTCTTGTCCCAGCTGTACACTTTGTCGTTTTGTTCTATTCTTCCAACCAGAAGTCTTTGCTTGGCCTGCTTCGTTCTATGCGTCGCATTTTTGCTTTCCTTTTACCAACACTGGACCCATCAAACTAGGGCGACAAGCATCTTCACCCGGACTTCAAGAAGGTGCCGAAAGCTGCAGAGGTGCGAGAACAAACTTTCCTTTTATCTTGAATCAAGACGTACACCGCCTGCCACAATCCTACACTACGTCCGCCACCGACTTGGGATCCCGAATCTTCACTGCCTGGGTTGTTGCCGAAGTCCATGCGGCTCCAGCTTCCTGCAGGCGTTATATCCTCTCTCCACGCGCACAACCCATCATGTTCTAATATAGCAACGTCGTTCCCTATCATCACGATGCGATGCTAACGCAAGTTTTACCCCAGCGCGCCAATATTCTCAAGGAGGTGCAAATCATGCGCCAGCTTGACCACCCGAACATCGTAAAGCTAGTGGACTTTACGGAGTCGAGACAGTACTACTACATCGTGCTTGAACTCGCTCCTGGAGGAGAGCTGTTCCACCAGATTGTGCGACTCACATACTTCAGCGAGGACTTGTCGAGGCACGTCATCACCCAAGTTGCGACGGCACTGCAATACTTGCATGAGGAGAAGGGCGTTGTCCATCGGTAAGTTTGTCTTTTGTTGCCCCAGATTGAGAAACGAGACTAATAACTTGGGACTAGTGACATCAAACCTGAGAACATCTTGTTCGAACCGATTGCATTTGTGCCTTCCAAGCACCCCAAGCCCAAGCAGCCAGGCGATGAAGACAAGGTCGACGAAGGCGAGTTCATCCCTGGGGTTGGTGCCGGCGGCATCGGTCGCATCAAGATTGCCGACTTTGGTCTCTCTAAGGTGGTGTGGGAGAACTCAACTATGACTCCTTGCGGTACGGTGGGATATACTGCTCCCGAGATTGTCAAGGATGAGAGATACTCCAAATCCGTGGACATGTGGGCTCTCGGCTGTGTCTTGTACACGCTACTCTGTGGTTTCCCGCCGTTCTACGACGAAAGCATCGAAGTCCTTACCGAAAAGGTTGCCAAGGGCCAGTTCACATTCCTCTCGCCATGGTGGGACGATATTTCCAAATCCGCACAGGATCTGATTGCGCATCTCCTGGCGGTCGACCCAGATAAGCGATACACAATCAACGAGTTCCTGGCTCACCCATGGGTCCAGGGCTCGGGTCCGACACCAAAGGATGAGCGCAAGCTGCAGAATCCTGATGTACTGCGGGTCCTTGACGAGAGGCGGTTCGGTGAAGGTGACAGGCGCTCGGATTTCAGATCTCCTGGTGCTGTTAACCTGCGAGAGATCTTTGACGTCGGCTACTCCGTGCACAGGCAAGAAGAGGAGGCCAAGCGGCGGAAACAGGTGGGCACAAAGCCTGCCGTGTCCTCTCGCCTTGCTGGCCTGGATGAGGAGGATAGCGAAGAGGGTGAGAACCAGAACGGCAACCCCGCGCACAAGGCCGATGCTCAGCAGCTGGAGCAGAGCATGCGCAAGACCAATCTGGGCAAGGACCAGGAGCGTGGTCGTGAGAGGGAGCGCCAGGGCGAGCGGGGCTACGGCCAACACAGCGCTGCTGTTGCCACTGCGGCACGGCAGCAAGTGCGTGAAAGAAACAAGCAGCGTGGTGCATTCGAGCTCAGCTTGGATGGCGCTACTCTCCTTGGACGGCGTGCAAACAAGCCGACCGCTGTCGCGGGCGGTCACTGAGTTGCGGCGTTTGTGGCTCGTCTCGACACCATGTGCAGGCAAGGACTCCTCGTAGGGTTCTGCCGCGAATCTTCTGCAACGGGACCTTTCCTGCTTTGTTGCACTTTTCCTTTTCTCTTTCGGTTGTCCATAATATGGTAGTGTCGTCGGTAGTCGTCAGCACACTGCCTAGCTTGACGACGGCCTGCCATGTACTTATATTGCGTTGCACTGTTGGCGACGCGCCTAGCATACATCAGACCAGGAGTTTTGGAATCATCAGAGCTGTCAGGTTTTCTGGAAGCTAGAACGAATGATGAAAGTTTCAAGAAGAGAACCAGTCTTCATAAGAAGAGCCTGAAACGTAATCCGTCTAACGCGCCATCGTGAATGCTGCACCGTTGAAGGATGTCTCGGGTGGAGTTTTTGCAGTAATTCTACGAGTGAATGATGACCTTGTCTGCCCTTAGCACTTTATCATACACCATCACCGCCCTAAGTGTAGTATATTCATAAGTTAGCAAATCATGTGGTACATGCGGCATGATCGTCCCCCTCCTGTCCTGCCGATGCTGGCGCCTCCTCCGCCCAAGCACTCCTGCGGGCGGATCACTATTCAATGTACTAGAGCAGAGCGATAGGGAAGTTGTACCGGAGATGGGACCAAACAGTGACGCCACGATGAGAGATAAAGGGGCCACGCACACACACAGAGAGGTAGAGAGATAGATACCGAGAGCGAGAGAGTGGTTGCTTCTGGCAAGAGGCGCGTGTGAGCAAGCAGGCTTCCTGAAAGGGGGCAACAAGTATCTTTCCACAATGTTCCACAAGGCGTCGCATGGTAGCATCCTTCTTCCATGTGGACCTGGTCGTTGAAGACAGAGACACACACACCGGACATGGGTATCCGGAGGAGAATGCCCGGGGATTCAGAAGAAAGGACCCTGGCCAGGCGGCGGCTTGGTTTGTTTCAGCCTGATTAGTTCATTTACGTTGTTTTTTTGGTCCTTTGACAAAGGACGCTGAGCTACTACTGCACAGAACAATGCGGTTCGCTTTTGAGGGGGTCGCTTGGAACGAGGCCCCTCGACGGCCAGTGTGATCCTACTCAGGATTCCAGTAATGCCAAGCCAGGGTATCTGTTGGGTTTCCTGGAAATGGTGGGAGCCTCACTCGCAGGACAAGGATGGGGGGGGTATCGGGGAAGCCAAGGGAGGGGGGGCCTCAGCAAGTAGCAGTTGCGATGTAATAACTACGGGAAGCTTTCCGCAACGGATGCAAGGGGGAGGGGGAGTTGCCGGGATCTATCCCCTTGGCTGGCGGCCGCCCCCATGCCCAGGGTGATGTCATATGTTTTTTTCCCGAAGTCCGGGGAGTCGGGCCCTTTGACCGAGTGAGATGGGACCGATTTGCGTCTGCCCCTACATGGTAATCTCTTCGCAGCGAGTCTTGGCAACCACATCGGTCAAGATGATTCGTTCGATGGTGAAGCATGGGATAAAGGGAACACAAAAGGGGGCTGAGAGTCAAGATGGATCCCCGCCAAGTGAGCGTGATGTGCGCAGCAGGACGGAAATGGGACGATGGCCTCGTGCTGCACTTCGTGGAAATGATGAAGATGACCAGTATCTGAACGAGTTTGGTTTTGCCGAGACTCTGTAGCCGTGCTCCTTGCTCCATCTGAGCGCGACGCGTAATGTGCTACAAACCGAAGCCGATCGTTGCTGACCACATATTAGGTCAGTTGAGAGGGTGGGATTTGGGTCATATCCAGTGTAAGCTCCCCTCGTAGTCATGGGCAGTGCAAGTATTAAAAGGGTGGTGGCGATGATAAGCCGAAGCAATTGGATGATTGGGCATGACCCAGCACATACAACTCCTGTCGTGTTCGCTATGTCTGAGGTAGCAGCAGACGGCGGTTGACTGTCAACAAACCATATGCAACCCAGCTGCTACGAGTCTGGACATCCAGGCAACTGCTGCCTGACAACCGCGGTGAAGTCATGGCGCGCCGACAATAATCTGCGCTTGACCATCGCGCGCGATGTACGTGCTGGCGTCATTTGCTCTCTATTTCGGATCGATTGCACACTCCCTCCTGTAGCTTGGCTTCAGCGGCGACCGACGACTTGTAAGTGCCCACGCGATGATCACAACCTCTGATCCATAGTTAGCCAGTACGGGGTTGGTAAGCAGAGCGCTCGAGTAGTGAAGTTAGATGAAAATGCCAACAGGGTTTCTAGTGCATTTAGCCGCGCAAGCTAGAGTTGGCGAGCTGAGCACGCGACATGTCGTAATGAACAGGCAACATTGCGGACACCAGGTTGTTGGCATGTTGAGGAGCTCTTACGATTGGCTCGGGCAGACAGCCGGTGCAAGACATGTCGTTGCCAGGCCGTCGGCGCGTTGGTGTTGTCGACTGGTGGAAAGAATCGCGGACATTGTCGAGTCCGTTCAAGGCAGGGCATTATCCCCTGATGTGGACCCGTCAGATTCAGCCTCGCTCCTGCCTGCTGATCTTAGCAACAACGGATGCTCTGTTTCAGCGAGAAGCAGATCATTCCAAGCTGAGAGAAGTGGTCAGAAGAGTCGCCCTGCCCAGTCATCTTCACATTGGCTCGACATCGCCAACTGCCACGAGTCGAGGTCGAACTTCTGACCAGGTTTGCAAAGGCTAGGAAGTCGATGAGCATGCTTACCCGTGCACCACTCGGGGCTACCTGGCTCGGCCGATCAACCTCGGGTCTTGGTCTCCAGTCAGTTGCGGCCATCTCGACTACGATATCTACCGGCCGAACGTATCCGCGCGGAGATGCCGGGGAGATTGCGGGTTCTCCGGTCATAGAGTTGGAGGCATGTAAAGGGATGGTATTCCCACCCAGCCCTATCGAATTGAGCGTGTCCGCGTCAGCCGTTTCATCCTCAAGCTCGGATTTTCAACTTCAACGACCCAAATTTGACTTGTGCGGGCCATGCTTTTGTCGTGCTTCCAGCCTGTTCGCTGCTGCGAACAAAAATGGCCACTTCGAAGAACCCCCACCAAGCAGGTTGCCCGGTGCACATCGAGCCTGGGCATCAGAGCCTAAAATAGTGGCATCGCGTCAACAGGCGAACCTGTCACGCGAGTTGAAGGCTTCGGACTATGATTGCGCCATGGCGGCGCTGCTCGTCCTCTCCGCCAACCACCGATGACCTCGCTTACTCCCCGCCTGTGGGCAAATGTGCACTTTCGTCTTGGATGGTCCCCGAAGCCCGCGGTCAAGAATCAGGTCGGGGCTTATGTCAATAGTCCCGAATCGAGATGAGGCCATAGACTGACCACAACGCCACAGCAGTGCCAAGCGGCCGATAGGCGAGTAGTCTTTCGGCCCCAACGTCATTGCCCAGATCTCGCATCAGCGTGGGCCGTGGGGCGGCTGATCACCCCAGAAGCTCCGTGCATTAGCCTAGGGCGGATCACGTCAAGGGTGCAGCTCAGCCCGACCTGTGGCAAGGCGAGATGTCCGAGCACCCGTACGCTTGATTCTAGACACTTGATAATGTCCAGGTATCCCAGGGCTTACAGCTACTGTGTCGCACAACTCCCATTCGATGCGAAACCCATCTGTTCTTTGAAGCTCTTGTTAACCAGGATGCTCGCGGACGACTTATACGCGGAGAAGAGCCAAACTTGGAAGGCGACAGGGGCTTACTCGGAATTAAGCATGAACCAATATTCGACCTGGGCCACTCGGGCGACAGATCCGATGGCAACAATCACAACTTGCGTAGGCATCCGAACAAAGTCGAAAACAAGGCCATCGACACTGCCACGACAGCCCATAACCGGAAGCTCGGGACATTGGCCTCGTACGGAACGACAGTTGTGATCTGCGTTGCTCAAGATGGCTCTGACCAGCAGCACCCTAACCTGTGCACCTGGGGAAACACAAAGTCTGCATCATTCTGTGATGCCTATTTCGCTGCCTGTCGCAACATGATGCGCCTATTCGTTTCGCCACTAGCGAGGGACTTTCGAATGATTTACTGGGACCAAGCAGTTGGCGCCTCGGATTTTGGCATTGCCGGCAACATTCCATTCGGAGATTTCGGCGGATTCCTCTGAGCCAGGGAGTGGTCTGTAATGTTGCTCGTACAGATGCCCAAGACTGGGTCGCAAATTCGCTGGGACTCGAGCCTCGTCTAACCTCATCGCCAAGAACGATTCACTGGGCCATTCATGGGATGTCCACTTGCTCAGCATAGCTCATTGGCATTCCGGGACAGCAGAAGAGCAACACCAATGAGCTTCAGCAGGTCATGCGATTAGAGATGGTCATCGGTTGCAGCTCCTTTGGCTGGCTGCCCAAGCTGGCCTAAACCCGCGGTTGGTCCTGAACTAGGTTAGTGAAACGTGTGCAAGCTAACGTGGTATAGCAGGAACATAGCTGTCTTGGAGGCTTGTCAACAAGCAGGATTGTATGTCTGTAGACTCGTCCATGTCCAGCAAAGGCGACTCGTCCTCAAACTCAAGAATGGGATACCAAGTTTGCCAACATGGACGTCGTCTCAGGTTGTTACGGGTCTGAATCATCATGCCGTGCGACCTCGCCAACAAGACTTGCGATTCTTCTCGGGCTACCTCACTGCTGCGGCCTGTTCTTAGCTTGAGTTGAGGCAAGGCCCGGCCCTTGAAAAGGACGTGTGATGGTCGAGGCGGCCATTCGACTGGTTGATGTAACCTCTTGCTGGACTGGTCCCGAGAAATATCTCGCAGCTATCGTTGCCAGCACTGCTCAAGCCAGCGACAGTGACACAGGCGATGCCCAAAGCTGTGTCAGTGTCCGAACCACTTATGCTGTGCCTGATCAGATTTGATACTGGATGGCAAAATGGGAAAGAGACATACTATTCAAGACCGACGTACGCCACGGAGCAGGAATGGCATGGAGAAAGGTGCCACGGGCATCAGCCGTACGGAGCATGACGGAGCCAAGACCGCTGGCATCAACATACGTCTCATGTGCAGCTGGAGTTCCAGGCGGTTCATTGGGTCAAAAACAGCGAAAGGCCGCCAGGAAAAGGAGAAGAGAGACACCATGACGAGCTCGCAAGCATTCCTGAACGAACAGCGGGGAGGGATCGGAGCTGGAACCTATGTTTGTTATTGATGACACCGACATCTTCAAGTCGATCACTTGGGCGGTAGACGTGAGGCAGCCGGCGACACGGACCTTGGCTACGTGTCGCATTGCAAATTCACCTACAGTCGATATACGATGTGGATTCTCCACCACAGAGTCTGGGCCAACTCGTGGCGGCACGATGGCAATGGCCGGATCCCGGCTGGGGTGCTGGTGGACTGCAATTGCGAAAGACTCCCTGCCAGCCTTGCCGTCCCGTCGACGAGCAGGACCGGCGTGCTCAGAGCGAGCTCTGCTCGTTGGTGAGAACACACGGGTGGATGTGGTAAAAACAGAAGGACCCTCGTTCGGCAGGAGCAGCTTCGCTGTTATCGCCTGACCAGGCACTTGCACCTGCGGTCAGCCCAGGTCATTTCGCTGCGTCAGTCAATCGGCTCCGGCACAACTGCACGACCCGACCGCCTCTACTCTGCCAGCTCCAGCTCGTCAGCAGCAACCTGCCATGTCACGATGCTGACCCTCTTCTCCTTACCAGCGCACTGAACCTGGGGGCCGCCTCAAGCGCGATGCCACGCTCCCCCAGCCATCAACCTCACGATAGGCATCAGCCCATCAGCACATCAGCACTAAGAGAAGGGCACAGCCAGAAGACTTGCTGCAGCACAGATCGACGTGAGGTATGCTCCAGCCCCTTCGTCCCGTGGTTCACTTTGAATGCATAGCGCTACCAACAGCGCCGAAGGATTCGGTCAGCTGCCTACTTCGTCACCATGCCTCAAGCCACGACGACACCCCGCACGTGTCGCAAAAGCAGACGAATCCGTCGTCCGGATGACGGCGTAGGGGTTGTGCCACCCTGCATGCCCTCGGGCTGCGCCTGTCCGGAGCTGAACAGTGATCTTCGTTGCGCCTCGCAGCCAACCAGCAAGTCAGCTTGACCGGTCCCGAACACGCTGCAGACTCCCTGTCCTCTTGCCATCCGGCAGCCCTGCCAACCGAGACACAGAGGCAAAGACAGCCAGGAATGGGCGTGCTGATCACCCCAAATTCAGGGTGGGCCTCAGCATCCAGCAGGATAGTTGATCCACAAGCACGCTTCTCTCCGCCTCATGGCACAGCCCTTGCCGGTCGCGCCCACGGCTTCAAGTTACAAATGCAGCGAACTCCAGCTTGAAGGGCGACATGTACCCTTCGCCCTCCAGGGCTATCCTGCTGTGGTACTGAAGGCCCCGGCCGCGCATCTGAAGAGCTCAGGAAGAGCCTGTTCTCTGCACAGCCCGGCAGCGTCTCAGCTCCCTGCTGTGTCTCCTCTATTTTGGCGCTGCACAACCCACCAGAACAGGCTCTGCATGGTGCTGGCGACCACTGCCCCGTGGAACGCAGGCTACATCGGCCTGCAGTCAAGTATTGGATGCCATTTAGAATTGTGGGCTGTGATGGGCGCTGATCGCTGCTGCACGCCTTATCTTCGCGCTGGGGCTCTAGGACCTTGAGGGGTCTCTTCCACAGATGTGCCCCGCCACACAAAGCACAACCTGCCCATGCTATTTTTGGGCGACTTTTTTGTTAGTCTCCATTACAGCTGGCGCTAGCAACAGCAGCACTCCCATTTTCGAACAAGGACAACGCGGGGGCCAGTGCCGTGGTCAACACTAGTGGCCCCAATCTCCAAAATGTCTTGTCGATCATGTCCGGTGCCTTGCCTCGAGTCTAGTGCGTTTCTGGGAGCACAATGGGAGACCAAGGTCCCTTGTCGTGTCTATGGGATCGCTCGAATAGAGAGTTATGCACAACATTGACAACCCGGGCGAGAAGCAACACTCATACGCTGGCGGTTACCTTCAAGGTCACACACAGTTCGACCCAGTATCACAAGAAAGCAGCAAGATCGCTTAGTGAGGGTAAAATTTTGGTTATTCTTGAAACAATGGCTAGATTTGTACAGCAAATAAGGGCAAAAAGAAAAGCCACGCTTGGTGGCCACACAGCCTGTTCAGGATACCACGCGCTCCATACTCCATAAATGCCCAGCCTGGGGACGACGCCCAATGAGGATTGTAGAAAAAAAGGTTCAAAGCCAGGACTTGAGAAACGCCGCCAACCTGACCAATGGGGAATTCCAGAAACGCCAAACGCTCGGCCCAAACATGAGACAAAAGAAATCGTGAGGCGTTAATCGCTCAAAGACAACCCGATTGGAAAGCAAGACGAGACTGCACCTCGCAAGGTAGAGGGAGAAACGCCAACGAAGGGGGCTGTGGTGGAATGTATAGCCTGCCTAGGCGGGTTTGGTCTACGACTGCGTGTCGGAATTGGACGGCAGGAAGGCGTCGTGTAGAACATGGTCGCCGTCAATTGTGGCTCCATGGTCGAGGAGCGTCTGCACCATGTCCGTCCGGCCGCAAGCCACTGCCCGCTGGAGAGGCGTGTAGCCGACCTGGTCGCGAGCCTGGATGTCGACATCGTGGCGTTGCAGCAAGATCCGCAGAGTGTCGAGGCTTCCGCTGGCAATGGCAAAGTGCAGCAGTGGTGCAGAAGTCTCGGGCATGTTTGGGGTCATGTCGGGAAGCTCAGCCATGGGAACGCCATGAGTGAAGTTGGGCTGCGAGATCGTCCTGGGATCCATGCCCTGCCAGGCTGCTTGAGCGCCAACATCAGGGGGTGGCGGGTAGGAGACCTGTCCGAGACTCTCGTCGAGGGAGAAGCTGGGTCTCGCCTGCATGAACGAAACGTCTTCGGGGCTGCAGCTCAATCCAAAAGTCTCCTGACCGGCAACAGCAAGCATCGGGCTCGACGTGGAAGACATGGACCCGATCGTCAGCGAGTCTCTGCGCTCTGAGGTCGGAGCGGACCACTGATTGGGCATGGGACTTGAGCAGTTTGAGCCCATCATCGCTCCTGAGCTGTTGCTGCGGAGGTGGCGAGCACCGTGGATGGTGTTTTGCAGGACGGACGAGGCTGTGGTTGCGCGCGGGCGAGAACCAGCTGAAGACGACGGCGGTGTAACCATTCCAGTCATGACATCACTGCCGAAGAAGGACGGATCGAAGCTCGCATCGACGCCAGTCAGGCCGAGGCCGCTCAGGTTTTCGTGGCCGGTCGGTTGCGACCAAGTTGCCATGTAGGGCGCAGCTGTGCTCATTGGTGGCGTGTTGTGGCCGCTGGCCATGTTGCTTCCCGGTGGTGAATCATGGTCGGGGGGTGGTGTCGTGTTACCGTTCTGGCCGAGGGTTCCTTGCAGTTCTTGCAGCTGCTTCTTGAGCTTCTCCACCTCCTTGGTCCTATCTCTCATGTTACGGCCTGGGTTGGTGGTCAGTCAGCTTGCATTGCTCTTCTGGTCCTCGACTGCTCCTTGGAGAGGTGCAGGTGCTTACGGTATGCGCGTTGGGCGAGGCGGTTCTGGATCTTGCGGCGTTCGGCGGCATCAGGGAGATTCCTCCAGTCCTCGTCGGGCTTCATGAGGTCGGCATATGAAGTCGTCAACGGCCGGCCACAGCGAGGTGACGCTGTGCCCGCGTTGCTCGAGTTGGATGAGGCAGCCATGGTCTTGTGTGGTTGTGTGAGAGAGCAGTTGCTGCTACGGCTGGCTGGTGGGCTGTGCTGAAGCAGACTGGCGGTGGTGAAGGGCTTGGAGAAGAGGGTTGTTGGTTGGCAATGGATCCAGAGCAGAGGTGGCAGATTTGAGGTGGGAGGAAGCGGTCATGATATAAGTCGTCGAGGACGAGAAGGGTTGGAGATGGTGCCCCCCAGTGTCCCAGTATAGAACTTGTCGATCTTGCTCGCTCCAGCTGTGTGACTGGCACTAGTAGGTAACAGGCACACGGCGCACAACCTTGTCACCATCCATCAAAGTGCAGGGCCAGGAATGACGCAAATCGCCGACACCCTGGTGGTCGATCTGCCACCAGATTCGGACGCAGTGCACAAGGGAGTGGCTTGGGGCGTACGGGTGTCGTTGTCTAGCGTCCCCCAGCCTGGCTGCTGCCGCCGTCGCCCAGGGTCAGGGTGGAGCCAACAGACCCAAGCCCCGTTATCTGGAGGGTCTGCCTGCCCGGGGTGTGGCGTGGCCAACGTAACGAGGCATTGCCTGTTGTGGGAAGTGAGGGAGTGTCCCTGGGAGTGCTGCCCGAAAGGGTTAGTTGGCTGTCTCCTAGGCCGTGTCGCAAGGTACCTCGACTTCACACGACGAAACGTTCCTTGACCGGGGGACCATCGTCCGACCCGTTCTGTGGTTCTGGGAACAATAGTGCACGGCCAACGACACACACTGACATTGCTTACCCCACGGACACTTCAAGAATGATCCTTCGCGGCGCCACATGGTCGTCTATCTGAGACTGCGTCCTGGAGTGTTCCCTGGTCTGGGACAACTCACGTAGACGAAATGTCAGGCCACTCGTGTGCACCTTGGTCACAATATGCTCGCAACTCAAGATTGTGCGTGCTCAGCAGGATCCTTTGACCTGTTGACTGATATGTTGGTGAACCTCATTCCAATGCTCTGGCCCGTTGGTCGCTTGCATTGGTTGCTAGACGCCAGCCGAGGGGGCTCATGGGGACCACCACTTCTTGCATCTGATTCAAGCCACCATGCCATATCGTCTAATTTGGGATCTTGCAGGGCTCTTGTGCATTCAGGAACGGCCAATGTAGTCTGGGAGTGGCCGGTGCCGTTTTTGAAATCACGCTTTGACACCCAGAAGCGCCTGTATGCTGCTCCGAGGTCTTTCCCGCTTCCAGCTTCAGGACTACGACTGCAGCATTCCTAATCTGATCTCTTCATGCTCGAAGCCGGACCGTACCTCGGAGGAGCACAGACACGTGTGCTATTCGCCACAAGAGGGCTCGTTCTGTCTGCGATAATTCAATTGTCGAAACATGTAACCGGGCGCGCCATCTTGTGCATGAGTTTGGACGATGCTGTGGCGGTCACCGAGGGACCAGAAGATCTTGTAAGCCCTATGAGCGCCACCCACGCAACATGTGCGAACGGAGTGCACGTTTGACCCTGTAGCAAGATCTGAAGACACCGCTCACTTGCCGTGCCGCAGTTGATATGCCATGCCATGCTCCAATGTGTCCGAATGCAAGCATTGAGCTTGCTTGGTGGCGGGCTCGTTGGATCTCTGGGTAGTAGTAGATACGCAGAGGCCGGCCAATAGAGGGGGCTGTGCCAGCCATGCTCTCCGCTGTGCCAGGTCCTGGAGCGTGGTTGGTTGTGACTGATTGGATCGCCTTGTGGCACTTTTGGCCGTCGACTGTCTCCCCAGAGGCGGGCGGGCGGGGCCGCGTAGCGTGCGTTTCCGCAGGTGTTGCCAAAATAGAAGCAACAACCGATCTCGAGGTCGAAATGCCACTAGTGGCGCTTTCAACTATGTAGTCCATGCGGGGGATATTGATGTTGCCCGTGTCGAACTGCGAGGTCAACTCACGAGAAAGAGGCATTGACTGTCGATGTTGAGATGGAAAGGTGCGCCGTGGCGGACGTGGCCCCGGGGATGTTGACAGGTGCGCTTGGCGGCGCGGAGGCAGCGAGTGAGGTGCGCAGGTTGGTGCGGGAGGGCAGCGACGCCCGCCTGGGCAGGCCAGGGTCCTTCCTTCCTGGGCAGAGCACCCACAGCAGCCAAGACAGGAAAGATGGCCGACAGCCGGCCGGCCGGCCTAGGAAAGCGCCAGCTGATCGCCTGCCCATCCACCACCAGAGGCGAGATTAAGGTTGTGACGCGGAAACAGCTCTCCAGCCGAAGCACCCCTCCGCTCAACGACGCCACCTCCGTCCACCAGCATAGCAGGTTGACATGACGTCCTTGCAAGAGAGCGCCGCATCCCATCGCACCTCCTTCGCAGCCTCCCTACAGGAGGTGCCGCCACATCGTCAGTGATAAGGAACTTGACCCCGCTCGTATAAGCTCGCCTGCAAGAGAGCTGGCTATTCCAGGCAGTTCATGTACACAGGACGCCTCACGATGAGATAAGCCGGCGAACATAGGACCCTGGACCCGGGGCGACCACAAAGCCAAGCACGCCCCAACCCGCCACAGTAATGCTTATTAGCAAGAGTTCTCCGGTCTCGTACTTTGGCCCAGCGGCGAATCCTCATAGTTCTCGTTGGTCCCTTCGTGCAGCTCAGCGCACATCGTCCAGAGACGACACTCAGCTCATAGGCCCGCCTGTCAGGTCCTTGATCAGCACGTGTTGTCCCCTACAACCCGGAGCTGAAAAATGGTCGATCTTCGAGCTCAATGGCCCAGCCAGATTGTCTTCTCTTGTGTGAGCGAGCTATGCTGGAATGATCAGGCCAACATCCTAGACTCTGCCCGGTTTCATGGTCTGGATCCAGTGAAAACAGGGATCTACAAGTCGAGACTGGAAGTTATTGCCGCTCCGCATGTCTGCTTCCTGGCTCCATCCATCACATGCGAGTCAAGCACATGCGAAATACGGAGCTCTACAACCTTCTTCATGAGCCACTCTGAACATGGCCATGTAGTCCACCCTCAAGACCATCTCCCTAGCCAGTGCGCAAGATTGTCCTGGACAGGCGTAGGGGCTTGCCTATGGCAATCACAAGGATACCTGCTGTGCGCCTAGGTCAGATGTCTCAAAGATACACGTGGCTGGGGGGCGATTGTGGAGAACACCAGCACCGGCACACGCTCCCGTCGGTGGACTTTGGAGCAGGATGGAGGTCATGTTTCACGCTCACGCAAAGAGGACTTGCATTGCATTACTTGCTGATCCTCAGGCAGGCTTGCCCGTCGACTTATATTTGGCCAAGTGGGCCTCGCAATCCGCCAGTGCGCGAGCAGAACGGTTGCGCTGAGTTGACGAACCGACGACGAGGGGCGAAGCCCCGACGCTGTAGAGAATGTGGCTTGTCTTGCGAGGATTTCACAATCATGCTCAACGAGAAGCCATTGCCGTTGAGAGAGTGTTTTTGTTGCGCTATCCTTCCATCAGCTTTGGCAGACTGGAAGGACGAGGGATGTCAGTGTCACCACAGCTTTGCCAAAATTCACGGACACCGAGAAGCTCACGCCCACTGCACGTACACTTGAAAGAGCTGTAGAGCCCACTGCAGCCAACCAGGTAAAAAGCCCATCCAGTTTTAGCCCCGGATGTCCCTATGGCTTTGGCCAGCTTGAACCCACCATTAGCCACGGGCGAGGCTACGTCAACACTAAAGCATTGTGATCTTGGATTATCACGCCCAAGCCTCTCGTCCCACGCAGGCAAACCGGCCCAGCCACCGTGGGCGCAAACCAAGCTTTGCCGAGCCATCAGCCATGATCACAATCGTGAGATCGCCCAGGCCATCCTTGAAGGGCGGTGCCTCCTTGCGCGTGAAGCAGCACCAGAGAGGCTGGTCACCTACTGTGCACCGTATTTCTGACCAATCTACAGAAGATCCAGTTACACTACACAGAGATCAGGATGAGGGCGATTATATCCATGTCTAGCTCAAACGTGTCTGTGGCGTCGGCCAGTCAGATGGCAGCTGCAGCGGTCCTATACAGCCAACCCATCGCTGATCTTTGCAGGGCTGCCCGAATTAATCGCTCAACTGCACCTGGGCAGTTTATTTGGCATGGCCGTTCTCCAGTCCAAAACTGTATTTCTTCCTGGACAAGCTCCCCACTTGGCCGCCCATGTTACTACCTTTCCCAGGGACCAGGGCCCCTGGTCCCTTTTAGCCACACCCACTTCCCGATCAGGGAACGCCACGGAATCCTACTGCAACGCTGCGTGCACAGCTGACGCACCGTGAGTGGTCGCTGTCGCGCAGGGCTGTATCGACAGCTTTGAGCCACATACGTTGCTCGTACGGGGGGCCAGAGGCAATACGCAACCTCGCTTGCACGTACAGAGAAGCACATTATCGTTATTGACTTTATTGGCAGACGTGGGCGGCAGACTTTCCCCACATGTTCAGGCAGTCTGCTCCGGAAATGCGCGCAATTCGGCCGGCATGATTTGATGTCTATGTCAGGGGTCGTGCGGAATGCTCCCATGCATCACAATCGAGTCTGCCGCGGGTTCAAACTTTGATACATGCAGCAAACGGTTACTCCGTAAGCTCGACCGTCTGTTCCTACGGGTCCAGAAAAACGGCCGCTCGCCGCTCGATTCTTATCCCTTCGACAGAACCACAAAGTCGAGCATTTATGGCTTAACAGAGATTAGCAGCAGCCGGCCTTGGGCGATTCTCACGCTCTCGTTACTTCCGCAGCCAAGCTACCCACGTGGAACCGAAGCTTCTCATCGCTGGGCGTATGTCCCCTGTGATCCACGATGATGACGCTCATGGCACTCTCCAGCGGAACAGTACTGGTCTAAAGCCTTGCCCTAACCACTGACGGTGCGAAGAGCTAGTAGCGGGTCGCACAGACCGTAAGACCTAGCAGTTGTGCGTTTAACAGCGGTTACGCCATTGTGCTGAAGTAGCGTCCCTGGCGGGCCCCTCCCTCCCGCACCGGGTCCCCTCGCTGATCGATAGACCCGACCAGCAACGCCTTACCAAGAACCGTATTCGTCGTTTCTGGGAGAGCATGAGCACTGACCAAGTGGCACGTGCCCTGGTGGTAGACCGAGTACTGCTGCATCATCCCGCGTACACAGATGCCTGTTGCTGAAGCGGCCCGAGAATGGCCGTTGTGATGAGGCAACCACCA